GAGTCTTCCGGTATGCGACCTTCATAGGTACAGCGATGTCCGATCACTGTAATTTTGGGTCTGCACAGAATGAGTTTAGTACCAGAGAATGTGCCTCCACAATACTCCATACGTTGCACAATATGATTGAGATTCTGGAAGTGCTCCCATACAAAGTGTCAGATGTTGGGATTATCGGGGATGGTTTCGTAGTCTCCATCTGGTAGTTCATATCACGTCGCAGAATCTTTGACTGACAAGTCATCAATGTAAGGAATGGTGTAGTCAGGTATTTCTGGCTGTAAGATGAATGTAATGTCATCGTGGAAAATGGGTACTGAGTTAGTCCATTCCATTGAAAGGGTCATAAGTCGCATTGCTCTGAATGAAGTCTGGAATGTCATTAAGTCGCGTGAGGATTCTGCGACATCTCTCTCATCATATCCAACATAGAGATCTAACATTGCACCACAGGCCCGCTCACCAAATTGTTCCATGATGTGGTCAGGTGTCGGAGTAATGCCAGAGTGTTGAATGGTAATGGCATTGAGAGGCTCGAGACTGTGAACAATCCTCAGCAACTTTCCATCCTTCTTTAGAATGCAAAACTGATGTGATCGGTAGGAGGCATTAGAGGATTCATAGACACCTGCTGTGATCATCTTCTTGATAATCGCGCAGACTTCGTCATAGAGTTCTGGAGGAATTGGGATGTTCTTCTGAATTCAAGGTTTGTGAGGTACGATCAGAAACTTGATTGGTGGAAAGAAGTCTGATTGGAATCGACCTCATTTGCTGTTGGACCATGCGAATTCTTGTTGGTGCTTGCACATGAAGTCATCCAAGAGCTTGAATTCGGTCGGGGTAAGAAAGTCAGAGTTATGCGCTTTATGAAGTGCATCGCGATGTTCTTGTGTGTAGCGACTGGTGGGTTGAAAAATTGGTGGATTGGAAGAAAGAGTCGGCATGCTGGCTAATGGGTTGCCATCGATGTGATGATGGATGCGATACTTGTCTGGTAGTTCCGCTGCAACTGGTTTGACCTTCTTTGCTGCTGGCTTGTATTTCTTCTTAGTAGAGACAAACAACTAATTCATTGCAGAAGTCGCAGATGTTGATGGTACAAGAAAATGAGTGGGGGATATGTTCTGAGTAGAGTCTGAGGGAAGAACATGTGATATATATGATTTTCAGTTCACGATTTTCGATAAATAGTTCTTGACTTCACGGGTATCGCATGCAGACATGAATATCACAATGAGGAAAGTCAGATTGATAGAGTCAAACTGAGAAGGAAAGGATGAAAAAGAGGAGATGTAGACTGAGTCAGGAGTATCAGAGGATGATTCTATGATCACTGCCAGATGGTTGCCACTATCCAGTTCCGGCAGGTCACATGTCGCAGTTTGGTTATGAGTGATTGCACATAGAGGAGACATGAAACCGAGGTTGGCCACATTCAAATGTCGGAATCATGGTGACCATGCCAGAGTTGGGGTCACAGATGGTGATCGTCTGATGTTCGTTGTGATAGTTCTTGACTACGCTTTTGGTTAGGATATCAAAAGGCTGACCAAGTAGAATATCGTAGGCTGGGTCGCAGATAACATGGATCTGAAGGTAAAGAGTGATGTCGCTGAGTTGGAAAGGCACATTTTGTGCAAGCCCAAGTGACATATCCATTGTCTTGTTAGCCGATTGCATGGTAAGGCAAATAGTCAGGTTGTATTGAAGTCCGATTGCTAGGCATACCGCTTCTGACATCGCAATGACTTGGGAACCTGGGTCAAGGATACACTTGACCTGTTCTGTATTGGAAACCAAAGCCATGATTGCTCATAATGCATGCAACTCTTTCACAACCACAAGTTGCTGTGGGAGTTCTCCAGGAGCAAGAGATCGCAAATAGGTCTCATAGGGGTCAGGTATAACATATACCCTTGGTCGCATGGGTTTACCATCCTTTATGGGCTTGTCAGGAGCTGGGATGCAACAGTCCGATGCCGCAGACACTGTCAGCGTGGGCTCCATCGCAGCTGGTGATAATAGCTCTTCAGCTTTGTCATCGTCAACTTCGGTAATTGTTGCAGCTTGAATAACCCATTTTGGAGTGATTACTTCACGATACTTCATTCTGACCTCTGGTGCAATTGTGAGGAGCTCTTCAGGTAATAATGAAACAACATGAGCCTTGAGCAACTGGTTAAAGATGTCATCTGCAGTCTTCAGATTGTGGATGGGGACCTGATTGCGATATGCGGGCTCCCTGTTCTTTGCAGGTTCATTGGGGATAGGGTCAGGTCGGACAACTGCTGGTGCTGCTTGCCGAGGTCACAATGCATCACGGGCCTTTGCATACGGATGGACTGGGGGTTCCTTCACTTGCTCCAGTTGCATCGCAGCATTACTAGCTGGTGGGACCGCATTCGATGAAGTTGCAGGTTGTCATTCATGTGTCGCAGCAGGATCTGAGTGTGTAGATGGGATGGTTGGAGGTTCTGGTGGAGGTTCTGTCTGGTCACGATGCAGTACTGTAGGACCATCCAGTGCTTCCCGGCATTTTCCACTTCTCAACATGTACAGCTCCCGCTTCAAGGCCTCGATACATTTATCATGATCCAAATGCATAACAGCAGTTGGGGGAGTTGGGATGACTTCGAAAACCATCTGTCCAGCTGATAAGATGCCAGAAGAAAGTTGTCCTGGGTTCTGGCAATGCCATTTATTAATGCAATCATGCATTGTCGCACCAGTAATGCTCCTGGGTACAAAGCTGCCACTGGGTAGGACGACTCATCCATCGGTGTTCCGTCAGACCCTCCCTGCTTTAATGTCTTCTTCGACCTCATTGCATGTGCCTATCAAACAATTTGGGCCACCACAGTAATGACAGTTGCCCCTAGGTCGATTGGCTTGAGGTTGACTTGTCGCAGGTTGGGTGTTTTGTATCGCAGCAAGGGTAGATGCTAAGACCTGAGCAAATGAACGAGTGATAGTCTCCACAAGTGACGTGAGGTCTTCTGCCTTGATTGCTGGACTAGGCATCAGAGTAGTTCTAGCTGCACTGACAACTTCAGTCAAAAATGTAGAAGGAGTACTGTGGAGGATGAATTTGGCTGCTTCCAACATTTCGGATAGCTCGTAATCATCCTCTGGATTGTGATCAGGCTACTTCAGCTGAAGTCACTGAGATATGCAGCTCCACAACGCATCAGAGATTCCATATCAGAAGGCTCAGTTTTGCTCGCCCTTCGATATGTGATTCTTCTTTAAAAGGTACGATGTGATGGCAAGGAACTCTCGGTAGTACTCCAACAATTCTGCAATCGAGCTAATTCTGATGCGACTTTGCTCCCCTGTGAGTCGATCCAAGTCACCAAGGGTATAATGACGGTCAGATGATATGCTGGGGTATAATGCAAGGATCGCGGTCTTGAAATCCAAGTACATTTTTGCTGCAGTGATACACTCTGGTAACGCTGACCAAAGCTCCTCTGTCGTGATATTCACGTACTTCACAACAAACTTCTTCTTCTCATTGTCCCCTGTTATGTTCGACATCACAAACAGTGCCTCCAGGTCTTCAAAATAATGGATGAGTGACCTCTCTTCTAGAGGGTCGAAGACTGGTGCAGTGTGATGACCTCTATGTCGCATAGGAGGGTGGGTCACCATAGTCATCGATTGAGTAGTGATAGTCGAAGTCAATGCGACATCCGATAATAGATGGAATGAGAGTGGAGTGGTTCGAGAAGGGGGTTCAACAAGAGAAAGCCCATCTGAGTCAGTTAGAGGAGGTAAAGGAGAGGAGTGTGGTTCTGAGTCAGAGCTAAGATGACTGCGAATCGATGAAGTCGGTGATGCAGGGGTAATCGACCAAGCTGTGTCAGATAGCTCAGGTGAGTGCTGAGGGGTTACTGGGACTGTCACCAGATCGCCGTGAAAAGCGTATGGAGAGAAGGTAACTGTGAGATCTGCAGCTTCTGGACTAGGTAAAGGAGGTAGATTGTTGTGTGTCGCAAGCTCCTCTGGTACAGTTTTGAAAAGATCTTCTTCATCGGAGTGGTCTGGTGATCCAAGAGTCTGGTTGAGTAGCTCTCAGAGTGCGATGAGAGTGTCGCAACAGTCGTTACTCCTTAATGCATGTTGAGCGATGAGGTGAAGGTCAGATGGATTGTTAGTCACAAGGTGAGGAATAGGTCAAAGTCAGAGCCCTTCCCCCCTCGCGGTGGGCTCCAAAATGATAGGTTCAGTAGCACACAACCTACTACCTAATATAGATAGTGGAAGGGCATAAGTAGTTCGAGGGAGGGGTAAACAAAAGGGGTGTATGACTTCAACAAATGAGATAGATGAGTCGCAGTGTAAGTCGCAGTAGATACGATAGGAAAATAAGTCGCAGTCACAGTCGCAGTGTATAGAGTCGCACTCCACAGCCCCGTGAGGAAGAACTAAAGTGTTCAGACTTTCTTAAGTACGCAAGAGTTGAGCTTTGAAAGGGGAAAACTAGTGACATTTCGTCCTCCTACATACTTTTATACTACTGGCTCGGTTAATGTATGCAACATAGTGACGTAGTAGTGCGATATTGTCAGTATGTTGGGAAGATGAAGTAGCTAAATGTAACTAAAAAAGTAGATGAAACAGGGACAAATAAGGGTTCCTACACTCAAGAAGGTTTAGACTGTGGAGAAAAACAAATAAAGACATAAAAATTGCAAGGAGACCATGATGTCGGAGGGCGTAGAGTCTGCGACCTGGCAACAAGGATGTCGGAAGGAGTCGATTGCAGTGTTTTTCCATGTTTCAGACCTAGGAAAGATGATTCTTCCTTAACGAGGTGAGTCCAAATAAGGAAAGTCACATGTTGCAGAGTCGGAGGGAATGGCCAAAGGCCGGATATCGGAATGTCGGAACATTGGAACCTATACTCCTAAAGTGGTGAAAGTCGGATTGTCGGCATATAGCTTAATAAGGAAGTCGGGAGTCGCATGAAATTGGAAGAATTGAAAGAATCTGGGGCTAGATCCTATGGCTCCCTATCAGCGACCTTCTCCAAACCCCTACAAAACAGCCAGTACTTTCAATACATCCCTTGCTTGCTGCTCATTTGTATGTACAACTGAAGGAGCCCAAGAAAGGAAAGATGGATAAAGTGAATGTCAAAAGAATGGGTTGTCGCATCGGCGTAGACGACCGAAGAAGAAAAGTCTATGTGCACATATCCTGGGATAACAAGAAGTCGCATGTCGTAAGGTTGACCATCAACGTCCCTCAACGTCCTTCAACGCTGCCATGCTGGGAGTCTTTTTTCTTGATACTAGACTGGTCAGCGCGTGTTGACGGCTGCAGAATACATGTCAATATCGTTTCATGGCGTAAATGGAAACAAGAGTATTTACAGTACCCATAGGATAAGTTTCCCTTGACAGATCAATTTGAACGCTAGTCGTTCTGTTTTGAGAAATTGCTACAGCGATGGGTCTGGTCAGGTTCGTTCCACTAGTGCGTTCCGCCGCGGCAAAGTCACTGAGATATCGCTCAGCGACACTACCAGACAACGTTGTATCCTCTGAATTACGACCACCGACAAGCCTAACTCGAGCGTTGAATACCTAGACGGAGCGAGAGCTGATGATCAAGCAACCGGAAAGAATGACAACGTCGGAGGGATGAGACTTACCACTAACAGACTATTGGAATACAACTTGCTCAGCGCAATGCTAGGAGCGAGGTGATAGTTGTTATGTTGATACGCGAGGAAAAGAGCCAGATCGATGACGGCCAGAATTGCACAACTTGCTCCAGTCTCGATAGACAACGTGACGAACTTGGTTATGAGCGTCGTCGTCTGCCGAATACCAGTCCTATTTTTGAGCAGGTAGTATATCATGGCCACGGCGACTATTACGTCGCAAAGAGCCGTCCCGCCGAGCCACACCTGTTCGAAAATGATGGTAACTGAATGCTGCAAACAAGGCACATACGACGAGATGCAAAGCGCACCGTAACCATCCTATAGTTCCCTGTTTGTACTGATTCCAAAGCATCAGACGTTCGGATGAATAGAACAGTAACAGCCGTGATGATAAGACTCACTTTTTCCAAAGTCCCCGACGTGGTGGGCAAACCAACCTGAATACAAACCTGCACCACATTGCGTCAACGAGACCTAGAATACAATCGATTAGTTCTGTCGAAAGACCAGGATGAACGTAGAAACCGAACGAGAATGATCGAGCCACAAGTCCATCGATTTCGGCCAAGGATCCAAATACGCCAGGAGTAGAATAGCTGGGCAAGGCAGCTCACTGCACCACGATGTGCATTTTAACGGCGAGACAGAAAAATGATGTGAGGGATACTGACTGATGCTACCAAGAACGGGCACGCTGAACCAAAGCCACCCTACGGTATTCATCTCTGTCATATTGCCCCATCCGCTCCCAAATACGCGAAATGCATCGCGCGTTGAGAGGACGGTTTGCAGAAGTTCGATAATATACGTCGAGGCTACAATTAGTTTGGTGGTATCCCTATCACGAGGAAATGCCAAATAGTAGATGTCTTCAATCGAGGTCAGTATCCCTCCGACCTTTGAATCGCCTAGTGGCTTACAGACTTGCACCGTCAGCGCTCCAAACAGGCCCCAATTGAATAGGTGGCCTAGTAGCTAGAGGCATGTAATCGACTTAGGCAATTACCATCGAACTAGCGAAGACACTCACCAGAGGACCTGTCCTAGCACATGGACAGTGATGAAGATTTTACGGAAATCGCTATAGTGTACTGCTAACGTACAATTCACCTATGATTGCTGGAATAGCCGGGACAACATCCGTGCCGGACATTTTTTTATCGTCGCCTGCTAGGATTCGTGTCGCGACGACCAGCGAACACTTAACAAGAACGTCGCTCAGCACTGAGTATAGAAAGTGAAGTGGTCGTACAGGTGACAGAACAGTCTCATAACATCAGCATTGCATATAAGTATGCAAGCTGTCGACACGAGAGGTGATAAAGGGGAGTTGCAAACCGCAGTGTTACAGCTGGCTTAGGTTGGGAAATTTCGATATGACATCCCGACGGCGTTGCCACGATAACCGATGCATAGGAAGTACCTTGATCGCGCTGTAAGCGACAACAAAAGAACTTCTAGAGCGAGAGCCTGGAGTAGCACATCATTGGTCGATATGCTGAGCATATGGGTTGGGTTAATCTAAGCTGCCTGCATGTATGCAGATCGTGCTTGCGGCCGCTCGCTCCGAAGCAATCTGACGATGCTGACAGTGGCTCTGGGGCTGCGGTATGTTGACTATACCACCAGTTTTTTATTTGCAAACATAACGAGATTCCTCTGCACCATTCGAAGTCTAGTTAGACCGTGCCTTGAAAGTTCAACCGGGAAAGAATCGGGATCAAATTGCAGCCATCGTTGTGCGGCGTTCCTTCAAAGCAGGTTAGCACTGTACTAGCCATACTTGGAACGGGTGGACAGAATTACAACACCCAGTCTGAAGCCGAAGCTTTGAAGCATGAAGTAGACATGTACATCCAACTTGGTCCCTGTCTTGACTTACAGGAACTGTAGACTTGGGGCGGTTGTCATCCATTGTGATAGATTGTGATACGCTCGGAATGGCGATTTGGATAAGAACTGCTTGATACCCGACAGCGACTCCAGATATTCCATTAGAAAAGAACAGCGGTTCTGACGGCATTCGATCAGGGGGTCACCAATTATTAGTAATGAATCCAGCTAAGTGGTTCTCACAACCTAGCTCGGGGAGTGAACGAAACAGTAAAACAAGGTCTAACCATGCATCGCTGGCCGTAACTATATTCGTTAGTGTGCCTACATACAACGTCGCTATGCCGCCTGTGAGTAAGTAAAAAAAACACGTACTTGATGAATGAGGTCATCAAATATCGGCCGAACGAGGAGGTGCTCCACTATTGTGAACACTAGAATATCGAGAAGGGATACTCCTCATCAAACTGCTCTTTATTCAGCACCCGACCATGTTCGTTAATGAACTGTGTAAGTTCAGCATTCAGCCCTGCAAAGCGCGATGTCACGATTTCACCAGACTGAATGAGGCCACCACGTACCATCCAGTGTCATCGGTTTTGTACATTGCATGGAGTAATCGTCCGAATGCTCATGAAGTATCGTCAGGGACGGTGGCAATGGGGTGCCTACAGGTCGATACGTTAACCTGACTGGACGAAATATTGGACGCGTCCAGCGCACATTCTTTCAGTACATACACGCAGACTTGACACCTCATAAATTCCGCACGACTTCTTGGAATGTCGTGGACAAGGGCGGTCTCAATGAACAACCATTTGGACTTGAAGATCAATCAATTTGGAGACAAATGGTAACGAGACCAAAAGATGGTATACCGATGAAATTGGGTCCTTCCGCAGGCAAAACCTTCCCGTCCACGAGCTTCAAATCATAGTTGAACCGCTTCAGTTGTTTCTGCGTTTCCTAGTCGCGTAGTCGCACATTTGTACCTGACTGCACTCGGGCGAGTTCGGTAGGTACATGATCATACCGGCCCAGGAGTTGGCGTGGCGCGCGTTTTACTGGCGGGGCACCTGCATAGCTGCGGCGAGAAAGCTCAAAAGTATCTCGCAATAGAGAGCGAGGAAGAGAACGACATGGTGGTGCAAAGGCTAGCATGGTTAACGAGGTTGCCACAGTACTGTATATAGTGACAAGTTTGCTTGAAGTACATTATACGTGTGGGAAGGCTGACAAATATACTATCATGTCCCATCATATCCTCAGCCTGGATGTACCGTGCTTCCTGGAGATCATCCAACTCTCGTCTATCTTTTACCTGTGTAACCCCCGGCACTTTCAAATGTACGAGGGGAAGCAGGCGTATACGAACGTTGTAGACAAAAATCTGACTTTCTATGAGTCTTCATATACACCTAGGCGGCCTCCGTCGTCTTTGTGGTCTCAAACTGCCTAGTTCGAAAATATGATTCCCAGGGCCCCTCTACCACTATTCTCTCTGTTCTGTTTAGCCTGTTTATAACTGACTTACGGTAGCATTGATGGCCGTACCTTGTATCACAGGACCCTCCATATGTCGCCAAGATCGGTCTCGGAATTCCTGGTGACAGCTACGAAATCATAGCGAAGCGATTACCGGCTGTCGGTCCTTGATTCCTCCTCGTAAAGGCACGTACGAGCGGCTCACATATACGCCCTGAAAGTTACATGACTCTCCGGACATAAAAGCCGTCCGAGAAGCTTGATGAGGTACTGCAGAACTCTTTTTCTCTGCTGTGGTCTCTCATACTGTTTTCTTCGTTCGACGACTGCCATTACGGACCTTATGAAGCTCATGATTAACGCTCAGCCGTGGCTTTATGCTGCGTTATGTTTTCTGTTGCACAGTTCCTCGAATGCAAAGGTTCTCTCTTCTCCCGCCGAGTTGACAGTCCGCGAATACGACTTCATTGTCGTCGGAGGTACGTGCCGAACTGAATATGGCTATCATTGTGACTCAATATGAGCCTAGGCGGAACTGCTGGTAGCGTTGTTGCCAGTAGGCTCTCGGAGGATCCGCAGGTCGCTGTTCTTCTGATTGAAGCGGGTGGCAGGTACGTCTTGCAGCGTACCATCGGGAGCATAGCTAACCTCATGCCACAGTCACGAAGGCTTGTTGAATCTCGAAGCCCCCTTCCTCGGTGTTACATTGCCCAACACGGCTGTGGACTGGAACTACACAGCCGTTCCACAAGTTGGTCTTAACAACCGCACATTCCATTATACGAGAGGATACGTATTGGGCGGCAGCAGTAGCGTGAGTAAGTATAGGCCTGTTCAGTTTAAACTGAATGTAATGCTGACAGAAATTGTAACCGCACTAAGATCTATTAACTTGGAATCGCGGTTCGAATGATTTATGGGATCGTTGGGCAACACTCACTGGTGATGATGGGTGGTCGTGGAATCAAGTGGAGAAGTATTATTTGAAGGTATATAAATATGTTTTGCAAGTCATGACGCTCCACACTCATAGTGCCTTAGACCTCTCGTCTGGTACCATCCGCTGATGGACATGACACTATTGGCCAAGTTGATCCTTCGGTTCATGGATACGGACCCGTGCAGGTTAGCGTCCCAGGTTTCGAGCTTCCGACAGATTCCATCACAGAAACAGCAAGCAGAGAATTGGGTGGTCGGTTTGCGTTCAACGTCGACTTCAATTCTGGTAACTTTGTTGGCACTGGTGAGCGGATGGAACTATGTTGACATCAAGGTACTAATTGAATGACGTCAAGGGTACATGCAGTCAACTGTTGGCGGCGGTGAACGCAGCAGCGCGGCTACTGCGTATTTACCTCCACTCGTGCAATCTAGGACGAACTTGGACATCCTATTGAATACAAGGGCAACGAAGTTGGTCAAGTCTGGAAGTTCGAAGTTGGGACCTATTTTCCAAACTGTGGAGATCGCGAGTTCACCGACAGGTTTATTTCCCTCAACTCCATTTAACTGTGTGACTCTGACGTGTATTCAGATAAGCGAATTCTCGTCAGTGCGAAGAAAGAGGTGATCGTCTCGGCTGGTGCCTTCGCTACACCTCAGCTTCTCTTGCTCTCTGGTATCGGTCCCGCAAACGACCTCAAGTCCGTGTCGATCACACCTATAGTCGATCTTCCGGATGTTGGACAATACTTGCTCGACCATGCCTTGCTTCCCAACTACTTCTCAGTGTCGACGAACGGTACCTGGGATGATCTTCTGCGAAACCCTGCCGTCTTCAATGCTACTTTAGAAGAATGGATAGAGAATCGTCAGGGACTGTTCGTTGATAGTCCTGGAAACACCTTATCGTATTTGAGGTTACCGGAGAACTCGCCGGCCTTCAACGATACACCCGACCCAGCTTCAGGCCCGCTTTCGCCTCATACAGAATTTATCGTCGTCGTAAGTCAGCATGTCTGTTACGTGCTATGTATTGATCTGAGTTCCTATGTTATATAGGATGGATTTGCAGCGTTTGGTCCTGTCCCTCAACCTGCTACAGGCAATTACATAACTATTCTTACTGCCGTCGTGTCGACTACATCTAGTCAGTTGTCATGATCGCTTGGTTTTCATAGACTAACACTTGACATGCAGGTGGTGCTGTGACTCTTGCCTCTTCTGACCCCTTCGACCTACCACTCATCGACCCAAGGTTGCTCACGACATCGTTTGATATCGAGGCCATGATCCAAACAATGAAGGACGCGCAGACCTTCCTCCAAGCGTCACCATGGCAGAAAGCTTATCGCCCAGTACCTTTCGGCGACCTCGCCACAGCCACCACTGACGAGTTGAAAGCCCAGTATGCTCGCCAGAATACTTTCACGGAGAGTCATCCTTCAGGTACTGCTCGTATGTCTCCTGATCAGGCAGATTGGGGTGTTGTGGACTCCAAACTTCGCCTTAAGGGTGCTCAAGGTGTTCGAGTCGTAGATGCATCCGTCTTCGTGAGTATCGTTATTTACCTCTATATGTAAAGAATCTAACTGATGATTTTCGATAACTGAAACAGCCTGCCATCCCAGAGTGCCATATCCAGGCGCCCATCTATGTGATTGCGGAACGAGCTTCTGACTTGATTAAGTCGGCATATGGACTTCTTTAAGGGGGTACATATGTGGTCTTCACGTCTACGCCCATCCTTCAAACTTGTATGTTCCTCTTGTGGTGTCCTTCGTACAGTATTGACCATGTGCATCGTATTCTAGAACGACTTTGAGAAATACTCAGACATGAGCTCTTATAGAGCCTAAGCGACTGGTCTGTACCTGTCTAGCTTACATTGTACCAGTATCAGTAGTTGTATTCTAAAGGCAAATGATTGGAAATGAATTGCGTATCGAAATGCGAAGGCGTGAGCTGCTCAAAAGCTGTCGTACTCCAATAGTCAGGCGGGTCGTAGTCGAAGCGGTCGTTGGCATGCAGTCTCACGCGGCCTGAGTATTTCTCGGACGTACTTGACCTCACTTAGCTGCCAAACGCTAGCGTTCGCGCTTAGTCTCCTGAAGACAACATACTCGTACCAAACCAGGCCATATACATCCATCACCGCTCTACATATTATTAGAGCCGCTCAATTCCTCGCAACTGAGCTTGACTTGATCGAACATATAGTCATCCGCCGCCGTGGATGACCATTTGGTAGCCTCCTGTCATTGACAAAAAGAAGACCAGTCGGAATGTGCTGCGAGAATTGAGCTGCTCTGTCGAAGGCCAAGTTTCTTGTCGTTCGACTAGCACCCCGGAGGAACGGAAGAGCAAGAAGAACCTGCTTTCTGGATGGTTGGTACAATACAGTCGGGAGTACTTCTGCGACGACATAACAGAAAGCACGACGAAAGCCAAGAGTAGGGATTGATAGGGTATGATTTTCTACAATCAGAAGTTCAGTCATTGAAGTGTATCGTATCACATATACTCGAGTACGACTTACGAAGACATCAAGCCACTAAGCGTTTTAGTCGATACAGACCTTCACGGGCTACCGCAACTGTATCATATACAACCCGTTCTGACACGGATTCTCTACGCGAGCGTAGCCTCCACCGCAAGGTGGACTCGTGCAAACCAGCAAGAATCTCGTGGAAGACATGGGACGCAGCTTCAGCCGAAGGTCGACGTTCCGGTTGTGGTTGTAGCATGGCGATAATTAATGGCTCGAGGAACTCCAGCCCGTAGAATTTCTTTAAACACTAATTAGTCACGCAACCTGATACAAGCTGATGTCTTACGTGTACAAATTCCTTCAAATATACGTTACCAAGAATAAATATATCGAGGGGAAATGGGTTATATGGTTGCGTATCAGAGAGCTCTGGCGGTTCTTTATCCCTGCCCTTGGTGCCAAGGACTAAGAGAGGCTCCTCGGGTTCAAAGTATGACGAAAGACCAAAGTCAATGAAGTAATACTTCACTGACTTCTCCTGACGGGAAAAATAGGGTGCATCGGATACACCATCGGGGGTATAGTCTAGCCGAACGGGATGATGTCCTTTGGGAAAGAGAGGTCGTCCATCCATCATGATATTGGCCGGAGCACAATCACTGTAACAGGTCAGTGATTGCTCGACTAAATGGGCGACAATACAAACCGATGTGCGACGCGCTGTTTATGCATAAAGCAGAGACCCTACATATGTAACTCAGAATCTGCTTCCGGTGAATCCCATGTGCAAATGCACTGACCTCAAGTGTTTGAGAAATGAAATCCATAACCTCACCGATTGTACGAAATTCCGGATCATCAAACGGTCGCAAGTATGGCATCACCATCAGAGCTTTGGAGGTGTCAAACGGGTCATCAAATACATCCAATACGGGAACGCAATGATTGGATGGATCTCGCAGCAGCTCTTTGGAGGATAAACGGCGGGCGATGGTAACCTCATCATTGTGCCGAGATACCGTCTTGATCGTAACCTGTGATCCGTCCGCTACTCTTGTAGCGTCCACGATTTTAGAAATCTTCATCCGTTGTAAGGAAGACAGTTACTACAGGTAGCTGTCTTCACGCACCGGTGAACTGATGGAGTCTTCACAGAAGTCTGGGTCACGATTGGTGCCTAGCCAAGAAGGTGTCCAGCCAGGTTTGAAACGGGGCCGAAGAGTATAACCTTTGCTCTCAAGGAAGTCATATCTATCCCTCCAACGCAATTCGAAAGATAGAAGACCCCATTGGCCCTGCTTGGTCAACTCCGCGTATTTTTCTGCCCTTTCAGGAGAGCACGTTGCATAAGAAGGAAGGTGAGGCACTTCGGCGCTCATATTGCACCAAAGCAGAAGTACAACGCAAGGGCTATGTTAAGAATCATGGAGGACGTAGCAAAGGCCTACTACTGTAGTACTACTAGGCTACTCAGTGTTAACATCCCGGCACCTGTCCAAAAGTGGTATCTGGGGGCTGCCGAGCGAATCTCTGTTTTGTATAAGGCAAGTATTGTCCTCAGCCCCGGGCCAACTGCGTTGCGTCGTCGAGGGTGCTGCTTGAGTTCTCAGATCTCAACACTTTACCACCTCCGAAAATGCTGTCCAGTGCGTACAGGTTCAATAAGAACGTGCGACGTTCAATGCTTTTCACTTCAAAATGGTTCATTGCTCGCACGACGTCGCAATCAGACGTTCTGTTGCCAGGACATGCATAGACAACGTGGATCATGGCTGAATCAATGCTTGGACGGACCGGGCTGGCGTTGCAATTCAACAGACTAGGTAAAAGCAACGTTGCTTGTGAAGAAGAAACACACTAATACTGCTTCCCTCCACAGTCATACCTGATCCACTGCATGTCGCTCTTGTTCGATATTAGCGGTTTCGTTTTCGGGGCGTTGGGCGTCCTCGGAGTGTTCCAACGGTTTACATTCTTGTTCACTTTTATGTGCCAGAATATAGGCTCAAGGTCCTTGAGGAGGTTTTCTCCGAGACCTATTTCTGGCTTCGATGTGGTGTCGAAGAGGGTCTGATTCTTCACGATGAGGCGAAGGAGGCTGAAGAGCAATTGCGAAGGTATTACACCATATACAGATCTTAATAAGGTTGCTAAACACTCCACAGTACTCGTGCATTACTCAACTCCCTGCGAGCTGAAGTTGTCTGTGCTGGCGAATGGTGGCGACAGTACTTTGCGGCATTTCGTGGTCTATCACGCAAGATCAGCGCCCTTGAACACAAGGTGCGGGCACTTCGTGCGCATATTGTAGTGAGCACCAAAGATAGGCATAAGTATTATGCGCCACTCACATGAATACAGGCTACCAGCGAAGAAGGTCGGGCAAAGCTTGAAGAAAATGGGGAATCATATAATCCATGTATGATACCATTAGCAAGCGATGTAAAGAATCCTGCCGCAAGTTCAACATGGTCATGGAGAAGCCTCACTCATGCTGGTCTGTCCAATGGTAGGCGATAGTTTGTCCCATGTCATGTTTGGGGTATTTAGCTGGCTTATTACAGACTCTGTTGCGGGCGCACGTCTAGAGAGGGTTGTAATAGTTGAATTAGATCCTCCGGCAAATCACCTAACTCCGTTTGCTCTTCATCACGATCTCCGCATCACCAGAGGACACCGAGATTCGACAAGCTCGGTGGCAACCAGTGTCACCGCTGTCGATTTGGAAGCTCACTGCGAACCTCCGATCACAAAGCACCATCGTTCTGACAACGCTTGCTACGTATCTCCTTGCAAGTATCAAGGTGCTGCAGAACCCAGCTCGATATTGAAGACCTACTCGATGGGTCCCTTCGTTGAGGAACCTGACATCGCTTCCAATATCAATGTTGCTGTGAATGACCGGCATACCCTCTCGACGATGTCGAAACGCGAGGTGGTCTTGGAAGAGCTTACTCTGAGTTCACTTCAGCTCAAAGATCAGCTTGTGTCTCGGAACTCTATGGTAGAGATGGATATCTCGGATGGTATTGACGACATTGACTTGGTCAGACCGCTTTCAAATGCGCCTTCGCTATCTGGATAGCGAAGAGTCGAGCGCTCCCAGGAGCTGCGCCCCCGAATGTGCGGGCTTCTGGAAGTGCTTTGATTTATCTGTATATTCATCTCTCTCATCTGTTTTGCTTTCGTTCATGCTTTCCATTTTTCTCGCTACCTCGCACTTGCTCGAAATCGTTTTCTTCTTGTTTTGATTGTTGTTGTTTTGATCATTGGTGTGTACACGTACTGCTCATCATTTCCACTGCTATTGCTGCGGAAGACTGTTATAGCTAGGTTGTCCCTTTTGACCCTGTGATATAAATGTATCGTCGAAGAAGTTTGATAGCAAGGCATTTCCGATAACGTCACAGAGCAAGATATATACATATACTAGAGAGTATCACGAAATGCTGAAAATGAGGAAGAGTCCCGTAAAAGAAGAGGTGGGCCCAAACAACGATTTGACGATTCCGAAATAGGAGGGTTGGCATGAACAGCTGACAGCGAATGGGCTGGAATCGGAAGGCAGATGATGTGTATTCACTTATATTCCTTAATTGCCTTATAACTTCATCAAGAGATACTTGTTAACAAGGGTCATGGATCAGGAAACATTTACCGTACTAATCCAGAACCCTACTACAACCTACTACAACCAACAGCCGAACGTCACAATACGATGAGCGTTTCGAGATCTAGAGTACTTTTCCTGGGCGATTTGAATTTTTTTGAGTGCGAGTCTGATCGAAATGCCCATCAATCCCCATTGACAAGACAATCGACTGTCAAGAAGGCAGCTTCGAGCCCCAACTGAAGTTGATCTAATAAGACAAGTCAACAGCGCTCTCCCGTTGATCGTCCTATTCACCCTAAGGTTTTCTTTGAGGTCACGCTGATATGAATATCGCCGTTAAGAGAGACATTCTGGGCTTACCCAACGAAACTAGTTCCTACAATATCCCCGGATTGATATGATGACGTTCTCTAAACGCCGGCAAAGACGTATAGGACGCTCGTATTAATTGATGCATTGCCTGGCGTAAACGTAGTTTCAGGAGTTAGTCAGTTCCTCATAAGTCTAACTTATACTTAAACCTGACATGGAATCGCTTTGCTTGTCTGATCTCGTTGCGCTGGATTGGTAGTCAATATCCGAATCAGGTAGGCGTATGGAATGCCGCATGCATCAGGTCGTGTATGAGACGCAGTTAAATTTCGGTGTGGCCTGTGCAAGGATAAAGAGTCGCAGAGTCGTCGAATTGTCTCTGCGGTGTCGCACCAGGAAAAACACAGCCGATGGGCAGCGGGAAGCAAGGACTAGGGCATACTTAGGCCAGTTATCTCAGCCACGGCAGACGTGGTCACTGGAAGCAGCTGGATGGAGCAGGCAGAGACGCATGCGTGAAGCAGTCGAGATTCCAGATTGCATCGATCACATTGGGACACGATCGGGATCGCAAGATCGCTAGCTCGATCATGCATGTACGCGTTATTTGGCCCCCTGTTCCTTGTGCAGTCCACATTCTGAAGCCATATTGGATGAGATAAAGGTAGAATGCAGATGTTGCAATCTAATATCGGAAAACTACAGCTTGTAGTATTCCTAGAATAATCTGAGAGAAAGCACAAGCAAAGCGATAGCTGTAATGGGATGAAATCCTTGACGGGGTACTCACGATTAGCTGGCAATCCATGTCATACAAGCAGCAACATACAAGAATATCACGACATCAGACGCTTCAAGCGATAAATGCCCTCTCGTGCGACGGCAACTGTATCATACACTACTCGCGCCGGGGTGGATTCCTCACGTGGGCGTAGCCTCCATCGCAACGTGGAATCTGGCACTCCCGAACGAATGTCCTGGAAAATCTGAAGTGCAGACATCGCTGTTGGACGCCGTTCCGGCTGAGGTTGCACCATGGCAGTGATTAATGTTCCGAGAAACTCGAGACCGTGGTATTTCTAAGTTTAAGTGGTGAGATGATTGCACTGTTTATGTCGCAGGTATTCCGACTCACTTGCACAAACTCCTTGAGATATACATTACCGAGGACAAATATGTCGAGTGGAAAAGGATTGTAAGGATGTGTATCAGACATCTCCGGTGGTTCCTTGTCTCTACCTTTCGTGCCAATTACAAGAGGAATTTCCCCGCGCTTGAAACGAGAGGATATGCCAAAATCAATGAAGTAGTATCGGACTGGATGATCTTGTCGTGATAGGCAGGGTGCGTCAAAAACACCATCTGCAGTGTAATCTAGGCGAACAGGATGGTGTCCTTGGGGAAAGAGAGGACGACCGTCCATCATGATGTTAGCTGCCGCACAGTCGCTGAGAAGGTCATGGTTAATTGACTCTAAGTAACGTTGAGGCCAAGAATAACGAACCGATGAGCAACACAAAGATGGTGCATGACGCATAGACCCTGGAACAGTATTTTCGAGAGGTTCCATGAGATTAACTTAGACGTACGCACTAACCTCAAGTGTTTGATAGACAAAGTCTATGACTTCACCGATAGTACGAAACTCTGGATTATCGAATGGACGGAGATATGGCATCACGATGAAGGCCTGTGAGGAGTCCAAAGGGTCGTCGAAGACATCAAATATTGGCACACAATGATTGGTCGGATCTTGCAGACGCTCGGGAGAGGAAACAAACCGAGCAATAGAAATCTCATTGTTGTGTTTTGAGACTGTCTTGAGAGAAACCTGAGTACCATCAGATTTCTTTATAGCATCCATAACCTGGTACTTCTGAAGCAACGATTTGAATAGAGTCTCGCATGCGTGATTTGTAGGCACGTACCACCGAGCGAATGGAGTCTTCACAGAAATCGGGCTCGCGATTCGTTCCAAGCCAAGAAGGTATCCAGTCAGGTCTAAATCGCGGTCTGAGAATATATCCTCTGCCCTCCAAGAAGTAGTATCTGTCCCTCCAGAAAATCTCGTACGACAACAGTCCCCATTGACCTTGGCGTGTAAGCTCTGCGTACTCTTTGGCCTCTTCAGGAGAACAAATTGCATAGTTTGGAAGATCAGAGTGTTTGGCACTCATCGCACACAAAAGGATAGCACGCCGGCTATCTCCAGGAACATGAAGGACGCGTGTAAGACTTGTCAACACTGATCATGCTCAGGATGTGAGCGCACGCTTTAATGCGCGATCTCCAGTTGCGGCATTCGGTGACTGCCGAAAATTGGTTTAGATCGTTACATCAATTTGAGGAAAGTCTTCAGTGAGCTTGCACCACAGCCGTTGTAATGGTTCTGATTCATCACTGCAGCATGATAGCAGAAGCTGATATCATCGCCTTGAATCAGTCGTGAACCTAATGCTGCGTTCGTGATCTCACGACTGCTTACGATCAGAGCTTTCTTCAGACGACATGCAAAAGCAGCGTGTAGAGTCCTCATCGAATCAATACAAGCTGCACGGTCCGAGCTGGCATCAAAATTCATCAATCCTCATTTAATCCATGCGCACACTACAGAATGTCTAACCTTCCCCCATTAAACCCGCCTGAAGCTGCTCAATGGCCCTCTTCTTTGACATAAGTGGTTTTGTCTTCGGAGCTTTGGGCGTCGTCGGGGTATTTCAACTTATCTTTTCCCTTATTCACTACTTCACTCCCAGAAAAAGGTTGAATGCACTGGAGGAGACCTATTCGCAAACGTACGCACTTTTCCGGTGCGGCCTAGAAGAAGGTCTCTTTCTCCCAAAGGAGGCGCAAAGGACTGAAGAGAATCTGCGAAGGTACAACTCATATTGAAGTCACATTCACTTCGTTGTAACACTAATTCCCGCTACAAGAGACCGTGCAGAAATGAACACTTTGCGAGCTCGGGTATTTTGCGCCAGGGGTTTCTATCGTCAGTGCTTAGATATCTGGCGTGGTCTGTCCCGGAGGATCACTGCCGTCGAACAGAGGGTCCAGGAACTTCGCGTCCAAATATTGGTGAGCGTTCCAAGTCATTATTCCACTTAATCCTATATGTTGACATCTGTCCTCTGGTAGTCTACCAGTGAGAAGGGCAGGGCTCGGCTCGAATCAAATGGACAGTTGTATAAACCGTGTATCTCACCCCCGCACACTATGGCTCTGTTGTCTTCGACTCAAGAAGGGATGCCGTTACCTGATCCTCGTACCCAGACACATTCGGTGGAGGGTGAGTGATGACATTGATAAGCTGATGAATACCCGCTCAGCCCGCCAACCCTTTAGCTGTGAATTCACCAAACACCACAGCCGATGTAGTAACATCTAGGAGCGATCCCAATTACCAACCTACGCCACACTGCATATCATCAGCAAATGAAATATGTAGAGCGAGCATTGTCCCGGAGCACCGAGACTCTATCAGCTCTATGTCAAGTAGCGCGACATTGGTTGCTCTGGAAGCCGGCTGCCGTATGATTTCTGGGCACGGCGACACATCTGGGTCCTCTGCCAGACCCGCTTCCTCCTTTGATGCACCTATATGCAGCTCCAGTAACTTGGATCTGGTCCCAGTGACGAAGACATCCTCAGCTCCATTTGTAGCGGAACCAGACGTGGACCCGGACCTCACTGCCACTACAAACCACTCTAAAGTAATTGCTGATCTACGGAAATGCGTCGAGTTCCTGACTTCAATTATCCTGAGCTCTCCCCATCTTCGTAAACAGCTCGCGACTGAGATCAATGCGACGGAGATGGATATCTCTGATAGTTTCGGCCCAATTCACCCTTTGAAGCGATTTTTTACGCAACCTCATGCTGACATCGAGCACCAGATCATGTCTGTAGGACACGCCTCCGCCTGCTGAGGGTAATCACCCCTTTATATGTCACACCCCGCGATGCAACGTCGCCTGGCTCGCAGCAGGTGTTGTTGTCATGGTCGCACATTCGTCCGTCATTTCCTGTTTTGCTGTTTTTCGCTCTCATTTATGCTGTCTGATTGCTGTTTTGTTTTCTCTGCTTTACAAGTGTCCCTCGAGCTACTTCTGAATTGCTTCGTTTAATTTCGATGACGCTCTGCTCATTGTTTTCTTCGTCGGCTTGTATCATTAGTGTCAATCTGCTGTGTTCCTCCGCTTGCTTATTTATCTCATCCGTATTTGGTGTGTTGTTGACTTATCCCTTTCCAAATGTCGATGGCAACCGATATACTCATATATGTCAATAAGGGCATCAGGGATGATATCAACAACGCACGTACTAGCTGAGCTACTATTGCATCTTGTCACGGATACGTGTGGACTAAATGTCATACTAGGATACCAGGATTGAGAGCCTACGCTAACTCGGAGGGTTGCCTGCTGATGCAGGGACAACAGTCAGTGGAACATTCGATCTTAGGAAACCCCTAGAAATCAGACGAAAGCTGCAAGTAGGCTTGTAGTTGAGAACACGAGGCGGGTAATATCAGTAGGGGTGTTATCGACCCTGAATGAAAGCTGCTGAGGCTGTATGTTCCAGAAAGCTCAAGCGCGCAAGCTCTGCCTGCAGGCAGGCAGACTACAGCCTCGAATTTCCACGATCGTGATCGGAAGATCGCCAGTTCGATCGCCAGTGTACGCGTTGTTTGATTGCAACTTGCCATCTCCCTGACTCTGTCATACGAGTAGCACTCAGCATGGACGGACAAGCGAGATGATCTTGCAATTTATGTAGTCGGTACAGCACACTGGGGAGTACACCGGCGATAACCTGAAGCAACTTGAGCATGGCGAAAGCGAAACGATGGGGTACAGGGTCCTACTCCGTCCAAAGGTTCTCGATTGGTAAGAATTTGCAGCACATAATTTAAAGACGTACGGGAGTTATCGATCCATTAGACGTCTCAATCTATACAGACCCTCACGAGCGGCAGCCACCGTATCATATACAACCCGTTCGGGTATAGACTCTCTACGGGAGCCTCCACCGTAGAGTAGATTCGTTCAACCCAGCGAGGACGTCTTGAAAGGTTTGAAATGCAGCTTGGGCCGTGGGGCGTCGTTCTGGCTGATGCCGAGCATGGTGATACTTAGAGGCTCGAGAAGGTCCAGCCCGTCATATCTCTTGAAGACCGTCAGCCAATGCCATGCAAAAGTGAGAGAAAGATCATCTTACTTGCACAAATCCTTCAGATACACGTTGCCGAGAATGAAAATATCAAGAGGAAAGGGGTTGTAAGGACGCGTATCTGAACGTTCTGGCGGCTCCTTGTCTCTGCCTTTAGTTCCAATGGCTAAGAGAACTTCGCCAGGTTTGAAATAGGAGGACAGGCCGAAGTCGATGAAGTAGTAGCGAACTGGCCTTTGGTTCCGCATGAAACAGGAAGTATAAGAGACACCGTCAGGGGTGTAATCTAATTGTACAGGATGGTGTCCTGGAGGGAACAGTGGTCCGCTGTCCATCATTATGTTAGCAGCAGCACAATCGCTAGTAACGACCGAGGTCAATGCAAATACTGAGTGTCATTTGCGGATACATACCGCTGTGTAACACCTTGGCGATGGATAAAATATAATCCCTGCGTAATGTGTCGTCGATCTCAGTTGAAGAATGCTATCATTAGCTGAAGAACATACCTCGAGTGTCTGAGAGACAAAATCTACCACCTCGCCAATAGTCTGGAACTCAAGGTCGTCAAATGGTCGCAGATATGGCATTACCATCAGAACTTCTAAGAGATCAAAGGGGTCGTTCAAGACGTCTAAAACTGGCACACAGTGATTGCATGTATCAGCTAATAGCTCTTTCGATGATAGAAGGCGAGTAATGGGGATTTCGTTGTTGATGCGCGATACCGATTTGATCATCAAGCGAGTGCCATCGGATGCGTGCGTTGCATCTATGACTTTGATCTTCTACAAATTCTAGACATGATTTTCTCAGCAGTCCGCAATAGGGATGGTTTCCCGTGCATAGCATGGGGCGAATGGAACCCTCACAGAAGTCGGGATCACGATTCGTTCCCAGCCATGAAGGGACCCGGCGGGGTTTCAATCGAGGTCTTAGTACATACCCTGTTTTCGAGAAAGCGATAACTTTCACGCCAAAATATCTCGTATGAGAGAAGGTTCCGGTGGCCCTGTCGGGTTTGTTCTGCGTATTCCTGGGCTTGCTCTGGAGTACACGTCGTGTACGCTGGGAGGCCGCGAGCACTGACGCTCTTCTGCATCGATCTCGAAGCTTGCGATAGGGCTATGTCGAACTCATGGAGGACACATGGGAGGAACACGCAAGTTCCTCCAACATCTTCAAATTACCTGTCCGAATATGGCATCCGGCGACTGCCGTTTGGCCTGTACTAATTCATTCACACAGCAAGCCTCGTCCGACAGTTACCACAGCCTCTTACATGAACTTGCCTCTGAGCATGCGATAAAAATACTTCATTCGGCTCAGAATTTGATGCTGGGCTCCACATACTGTTTTGGCATGAGTAAAGCGGCCAGCAAGGCCAAGAACGATCAGAGCGTTCTCTGAGACGGCACGCGAAACCGGCATGTTCATGTCATAGCGAATCTCTGTGGAATCGGTTGAAATGGACAAGGTTTTTGCCTTGCAACGTTATCATGCTGGGCAGGTAAAAGCCAGGTACGCCTCGAGACACTTTCCCTCGTCCTCTCCCCTCCCGTCTGCAATCAACCAACTGCTTCAAATCAAGCCAGAATGGCATCCCTTTTCGACATCAGTGGATTTATTTTTGGCATTGTGGGCACCGTCGGATTTTTTTTTTAGTGCCTATATATTTTGACAAGTTACTTCCTTCCCAAGCACAGACTTGCGGCGCTAGACGAAGCCTTCTCTGACGCGTATCCTTTATTTGAACGTAGCGTAAAGGAGGGGCTTCTCCAGACAGAGGCACAGGCGATGGAGGATAATAGGGTTAGGTTACACTCAGGTCATACGCTTGGGGGGATTTGGCGACAGTGTCTGGCCATGTTCAGTACACATTCTAGGAAAATAGGCAAAATTGACCGAAGAGTAAAAGAGCTTCGCATTGAGATTCTGTAAGGGACTACTCTACTCCAATAATCATGACCTGACGGCACAGTTTGATAGTCCAGCAGTGAAAAACGTAAACGTCCACTCGAGGCCGGTGGACAGACATACAATCCTTGTATGCTCCCCTGGGGAACATCCGGCTCTAATCCATTGACTCCGATCTGTCGGCGGCGATCTGCATGCATAAATCGTAATTCGAGACAATACGAGGGCGAGCATCCTATGGTATCGCAGTGAGGTGCTCTTTCTCACTGACAGGTGCTTCACTAAGGCCGTTACGAAGCAGTGTACCCTTTACATTACATACTGTTCTTGATAGTGATCCTGTCGGAAGTCAGACTGACTCGCTTCGTGATCTACATCCCTCGCCAAGTTCACAAAGGTTCGATCTGCTCCGTATCCACATCTGCAACAGCTCTGGAGACAGAGGAATGTGAAGATGCTATCAACATCAAACGACAGAGAATGCACCTTGATACTGCTTACAACACATCAATTTCCGTCCCCATTGACGGAGCTCGTCATTCACTGTCGGACGATGTTTTCAAAACACGTTAGTTGTTTACTTTCGTGACGGAGCCCGAGGTCGATCTAACTTCCGCGATGCTGGATTCGTTTGGGGATGTGAGAAATCGTATGGATTTTGCTAACGTCCATTATGTTTAGCTTTCCTCATTTGCGGAACAAGCTCCAGGAGCATTCTATCTCGGAGACGGATATTTCTGACACCGTCGTCGAGCTAAATGCTAAACTACATGGGAAGAAGCCTCGCCACATCCTTGGCCAGACTCAAGCTGGACCGATTTTACCATCCTGATTGTGACCATGGCAAAAACCCTTTCTATCATCCTTTCACTCTTGCTCCTCGTTTCTCAATTTCCGCGTCACGTCGTTCTACACTTTTCCGATGCTCTCGAATCCTACTTAATCATTGCTTTCAATCTTGTTGTGTTTGGTCGATATTCCGCAACGTCCACAACGCTTTGCCGTTGAATGTTTGCTTTGCTTGTTATTTTGTAGTACGGCTCCGAAATCTCCTGCTGTCGACATCGTTATGTATTGTATCCCAAACCTGTTTGCATAAGAATACCCATTGCTCGACATCAAATGGACACAGCTGAGATATCGGACATAAGATACTAATAACTAGAGTTCATGTTAGCAACAGGTGGAATGAGTCGTTGGGAATCATCATGCGGTCGCAAAGGTGGACGAGTGTCCGACGAAGGAAGAAATGGAGCCAAACAATGATTTGGCATCGCCGTAATAAGAAAGACGGTACGATCCGGCTGCGATCGTGTAAGCAAACACACCAGCAGAAACTGAAACATCGACTCACATGGTGTTCCATCCTCGATCGTCCTATATAATTATCAATAGAGTTTCGTCCGTTAGAAACAATGCAACGTACCAGGAGACGTTGACGGTACTGAATCCAAGTATCTGTCACAACCGTCAGCCGAATGTAGCGAGTGATGGGCGTTCTGAGACGTACAGTGTTTGTCCTAAGCCATTGGAACTTCGTTGAAGGATGGGAGTCTGATCGGAATGCCTGCCAGTCACCATTCACAAGACGATCAACAGTTAAGAAGGTGTCTTCCAATCGCAAGTTGTTCTACATGAGACAGTTAACACCTTTTCTCTTCGGTTGATTGGCTTTCTCACCCTAGGGTTCGCTCTAGGGAAAGGGGGAAAATCGAACTGAGTATGAACATTGATGATAAGTGTGACACTCAGGGCTTACCCAACGAACTGGGCTACGACAGTATCCCCAGCATGATATGGCGACGTTGTTTGAACATCAGCGATGACCCTACCGAAGCTCTCGCCAATTGGTGCATTGTCTAGTATGACTGCAGTCTAACGAGCTGAGATCAGTCTCGTCATGGATCAAGCCCATTCTCAGATGATAACAAACCTGCAATGAAATCGCCTTGCTCGTCTGATCCTGTGGAGCTGGATCGGAAGAAGGTGACCCGGAGGCATTAGGAGCGAGGAACGGTAATAGACTGGTATACTTGTCAATATAAGAATCGAGGGTATCTAGAGAATATTCAGATTTGTGTTCGTTGAAGAAGAACAGGATCGTACTTGGACCAAAGATCGTCGAAGCTCCCTCATAACGTTGAACAGCGTATTCCTCTCTCGTGGTGACGTAGTGCGCATATGTATTCGCAGGCCCTGCAATCACGACGTACGCGTCATCACCGATGATGCCTGAGGAGATGAGTTTGGTTCGAACGGCCTCTCTGGAGCATATGTAAGTAGAATATATGGCGTTTAGGAGTGAAAACGAACCTTAGTCGTCGACCAGCCATAGTCGTGAGTTCGCCAGGAATGATGAGCATCACGAGGTTACCAACCCGAAGCATTTGGATATCGACGGTGCTTGGTGACCATTCATAGGGAGAATGCGCGAATCCCTTGAGGAGCGAATGTTAGCGAGTGTGCATGCTTCAAAGGTCGACAACAATCACTGTGTTAAGAAGGATAGGTTTTGGCGATTGGCACTGCACCTGTTCGGGTGATGGAAGAGGCGTTACCGCACCTAAAACAGACTCATATAGGTCAATCCTGCCTCTCTGTAAATCGATTTGTTGAACTTACCCTTCACAATCTCCCAGAATGGATTCCTGTGTCGAAGTGTCAGCTAACTAAAAACTACGCCGAACATTCACGACACGTACTGCGGATTAGAAGAATTGTCTCCCTGAATGAAGTCAAATGCTCCAGGGCCATCGCTGAGAACTTGAGTCAGAAGGCCTGAGAGTAACCAATGGGGACTCTACGCACGTAGTACCACCAGCGAATGAGAATCCTGCCATCAAATGTCATTAGATCAGAAAAAGAAAGTGTACTGATCGCAACGTACCCATAGCTGGGGGACATGTCTGAACAGTGGTCCCGTTTGGCAAGGTAAAGGAGCGGAATGACCTATGTTGAAGGGTTCAATGGAGATGACTCCACAGGCACATACGGCGACGTACATATTCATGTAAGTATGTACCCATTGGATAGGGCCGCTAACAGCGGGAAGAGTTTGGCTCATAAGTGTCTTGGCACCATCTACCTGAGCTTGAGCGATGAGTCGGTTGGATTCAAAATCGGAAATACGGAACCCTGGACCACTTTGATAAGACGCATCAACGACTTTCTAGAGACAACGAACAGTTTTTCTTACCGTCCATGGCAGTCCTCGGTCTTATTGCCACAGGTAGAGTGTTCGAATTCACAGGGTTGGCCGTCCCATGGTTGACCCGGGCTTTCGCAGAAGGCACCTTCACTACAACGGGGTGGTTTAGATTCAATAATCTCCGAGTATGAATCTCGAAAATACTCACGTATTTGGACTCGTGTCGCCCACGTTGGCTGCAAGTTCGCTGTTTTGATACTGACATCAACGTGAAAAAAAGGGGGGATTACGTACACTGGGTGAAGCCTGCTACGAATGTGTTGTTGCCTGGCATAGCCGATGGCTCGACCATAGCTAGAGTAACAGTGAGGTCACCAGGATCAGGAACCGAGAACGATCACGAGCTTACCTTCGTACAAGTAAGCAGCCATGCCTTTGTTATCACCACTGACCAACGTGTTGTTCTGGAAGACACTTGATCAAAACTTACTATAAATCAGTTGCAAAGGACATACTTCGTAGAGACTGGTTCCATGAACGGCAAAAAAGCTCAAGAAGCCTCTCGGGTTTCCACTCGCATCATCAAAACGGAGCAGAGAAAGGTCCTTATCTTGATCAAACTGGTATCTGGCCCTCTCCTCCGCCGGATTGGCAAGATATGCACTAGGCGAACGATTGATATTCGCATTCAAGACTGTAGTGTTGCCTAAGCTCAACTTGCCAGGAGCAAGATTTGCATGAGCACGGCGAACGGCCAACACTGTCCCCGCCACAATGGCGTCAGCAGTTTGCTTGACATAACCCAAAGCAGTGATCTGCGGAAGTAGGTTCTCTAAATAGCCACCAACGCCACTGTGCTGATGGGTGGACACGAGAGCGATATTTTCGTTCGTATAAAGACCGGGGAATTCAGATGAGAGCTGGGAAACGATCGATCGGCGAATGCCGGTGTCCCCCATTGCGATGTCTGAGAAAGATTCGCACGACGCTTAGTTCAATTCCAGTGCATTTGAGCAAAGCGCATACCGGCATTGATGAACACAACTCTGTTTGAAGAGTTTGAGGCATCCGCAACGATCCATGCACGACTTCGCTGTCGCATGTGGAGACCAGTGTCCGTCTGCCCCAAGCTAGCATAGCCCTGACGAAAACCTGATGAGACAATTATGAAGGCATGACTAGAGAAGAGACAAACCATCATGTTAGTCTCCACTACAGGGCTGGAGCGTATATCAGATGAATATGTTTCGTACGATGCAGAACTGAGCGTACCCAGTGATGTCACCAATGCCTGCAAAGCAATGGTACTCAAGACGAAGATACCATCGCACATTGTAAAAAAGCACATACCTAAACCAAGAAGGTACTGTGCTTGCACGCCCATCGGGACGCCGCCATAATTGAGAATATTTACAGAAGCAGCGAAAGTGACCAGACAGAGTAGAGCCTTGTTAAGCATAGTGTATAGAGCTTGTCCGATGTCGCAGAAGTGAGCGGAGACACTGTCAGACTCGAGAACAGAGTCAAATATATACATGTCCACTGACACTTCTTATTGCAAGAAGTCAAACGGTCGGGACTGTGCTGCCACCTGCACGACCATGCGGTTCGATTACGAAACGTCACAAGCCAGGGGTGGAAGGAAGCCGGGGACCGTGTGCTGCTGATGGGGCAACGTCAGAGGTAATGGTCTAACTGTCCGAATATATATGACCTCTTTATATGAATGTAGGCCGTTTGTTCAACTTTGGTATGCTGAGACCTGGTGGCGGTCAGGCCCACGATGCTTAAACTTCCGCTTTGGTGCGTCTCGGGATGTGCCGAGAAACGACTGGCAACACATTCCCGACGAGTCCGAGTCGTGAGTTATTCCTGATTTTCCAGTCGTCGGCTTCTGGAACATCGAAGTCAATGCATGCAGTTCACTCTGAACTAAATTGCAAACGTTCGTGATCAGCTTGATGGCGAACAGCGTTCAGTCAGTGTTCGCCGAACACTGACTGAAACGACTTCTCACTCATATACGTTCATGCCTTTAGCTCTCCTCGAGGTCTGATGACGCTTCTACCTATGTAACTGCGGGGCTGTACATCCGCCTGCAAGAACTAGTATTTCAGGTACAGCATCGTTTGTACTGATGTGATCTCTTCTCACATAGACGAACCGTCTTACGTTGGGTCTACAAAAATATTCTTCACGTCAGAGAAATGCCCCTACTAACTGATACACGCGGATTGAACATCTACATGATATACCTTTGCGACTAGATCCTCCTCTGAGCCTACTTTTCACTTCTTACGCCTCGAAACAAACTCAAACTTCAGCCCCCAACTCCTCACCGTAAAGAATAACTGCAAGCTCCAACTATGAACGGCGAGAGCTCGGCAGGTGGTCTCGACTACTTTCTATAAGGGCCTTCAAAGGATCCGGTGTAATAGTACGAACGTCTATCACACCGCCCCGGCGCTCCTTTTGACTTCGAAGTCGATACTAGGCTGCGCGTAAGGCTTGATAGGCGTCCTAGCCCCTCATATATATATATATATATATATATATCGCTATTGATTTTTGCCAGTATCGCAGCAGTTTCTTGCATAAAAGAGTGAGTTGTTGTTACCAGATTTTACTAATTTGTAACTTCTCACTTTCTCTTGTTGAAGAGTATGGGGCGAGTCTTTGCGTTACTAGTCGGAATCACCCAAATGAAGGATGGGGAGACGTGGGACTCCGTCGAAGGCGCGGGAAAAGATCTAGAGAATATGAACAATTACTTGGAACAGGAGCTTCACGTCCCTCCTAAACATATCTGCATTTTACGAGGCAGCGACGCCACTAGGGACGGCATTATTGACGTATTCCGGTCTCATCTCATCGATAACGAGTCTATTCGGAAGGGAGACGCTATTATCTTCTACTACTCTGGCCATGGTGACACGACTCAGGCTCCAGAAGGGTGGAATATCATCGCTGATGACCAGCTAATAGAGTCCCTCGCTCCTTATGACTATGGCACGCCTGGCGCTGACACTAAACTACTCGGTGGCATTCCCGATCGTACCATCGCTGCTCTGTTGGAGCAGGTTGCGAACAAGCATGGCGATAACATCACTGTCATTTTGGATTGCTGTCATAGTGGACATGGAACCCGTGGTGGCTCAGAGAAGGTGCCACTCTATCAGGTTCGGGGGATAGATCCTACGAAGGCTATTCGTCTTCATGAAGATGTCGATCGCGAAATTTGGTCATCCGTATCGGCTTCGGCAGCGCAGAAATTTTGGAGAGGGGCCTTTGCCAAGCGTCGAGATAAATCCCACGTACTCCTCGCGGCATGTGGACCAAGGGAGGATGCCGTAGGCAATGCAGAAGGTGGAATATTCACGAGGTCCCTAATTGCTACACTGTGTCGACAAGACATTCGTCCAAGATCATACGCCGAAGTGATGAAGCATGTGACCGAGGCACTCCAGAACACTCATAGTTGGTCGAAGCAGCGTCCTCAGTGTGAAGGAGTTACACGCGATCGTCTTATTTTCCAGGAGGTCCAAATCAAACAGGACATGTTCGAAGCCAAATGGCAAGCGAATGTCAAAAACTTCCGCATAGAGGGACCATGCGGCGTCTTGGGCGTACTTCCTGAAACACAGATCGAGCTGTACAGCCTCAATCCACAGTACGAAATTGAGCGGATCGTGGGTACAGCGACCGTGACAGAGGTTGAAAGTGATCATTGTTTGGCCAAAGTGGCAGAAGACATTGATGTCGAAGGCAGACATATCACTGCCCGTATTCTCCACCATCCCTACAAGTTACGCTTCGCCCTTACCTCAGACGTCGTTGAATTGTCTGAAGCAGGGCAAGAGTTATTCGAGCTTCTCGATGGTAGTTTCGCTCAGCTTCCTCGGACGCTGGAGCGTGTCAGCACTGATGCTGACCCTGATCTGATCCTGAAGATCTATCACGATCCCATTACAGGTGCTGGCCTGAGTCTGCATCGCAAGGACCTTCACCTCCGCAATCTTGCTACTCCTCCTCCCCTTCTGAGCATGGAAGAGCTGAAAACCACCAATATAATCGGGATCCTGAATCGTATTGCCCATTTCAATTTCTACCTGGATCAGACAAATGAGTTGCATCCTTATGCGGGTGATGTTCAGATGGAGTTCTGGCTCCTGGGTGTAGGCAGAGGTACTCCTCGACCATTGAAGAAGGAAGAAATATTCAAGAACGACGAGGCAACGATTGTGGGCTCCAACGACAACGGGTATGCCTTCGTACTGCGCAACACTGGAAAAATGCCTCTCTATCCACACATCATCTATTTTGATACCTGCACTTACGAAATTAGTGTTTGGTGGTCTTCAGCAGACGCAACACCTCCATTGAAGCCACGGGGAAAACTTCAAATTGGTGCTAGTGCCGAACATCGTTTGCCCTTTGAATTCTTCGTTCCTGCAGGACAGACTATCGACACTAGCATGTTGAAAGTGTTCCTCATGCAATCTCCAATGAAGTTAGACTTCATGAAGCAGGGTCCTCAACTTGGTCCTGATCGCGTCATGCACGCACTGAGAGCTAGTACAGACCGTGACAAGGAGACCATAGCGACGCCGCCGGTCCGGGGTGGCTGGGACAGCATCACATATAAGATCACTGTTCGCAACGGCAATGGTAAAGAGTGAAAAGCGAATTCGATTATGGTTTGCAATACGTAGTTACAGTCGTGAGAGTCCATTCTCATCCTGCCATTCGTTCTAGTTTGGTATTTGATTACAGTCGATGTAGATTACTTTCGAAGGTTATGGCGTTGTCACTCGATATGCCCTAATTACTAAACATTCGGAGATTGACAGAGAGGATGAAAGCCATGAACATACAGCGTCCTATTCAAGTAAGTCCTCAGGTGACTGTGATATATGTGACAATTCTTTCCAATCCGGTAGATCAAACATTCCTGGCATCACATGCCATATTTTATCTCTACCTTCAACCATCTCTTCCCCAGCTTTTGTCCTGCATATTGCACAACGGGCATTGCGAATGAGACGCAAGCCACGTTGCTCAGGCAGTCGTTCGAAAGGGTCAATCCATCCTTCAGCTTGTTCTGCAGTCTCTGCCCAAAGACCGTTGAGAGATCGGCAGTCGTATGACGCTTGACATCCAAGCACTTCTTTGTTGAGAAAGGCAAAAGAATATATATGTTTGCGCGCGAATAACGAGATCCTTGATCTGCCTTTGAGTATGGCGATGAGATTCGGAGGGGAGAGAACGATGGCCCCGCCGGATGGAAAAGCATATTTCAAAACGTCATCCATGGTGCGAGTACAGAGTAGGAATAGGATGGAGGGTAGGATAATGAGGGCATTCGCCTCACGAGCAGCATTCGCGGCACGTACGAGGCTATCCAAAGACAACGAGGTATACACGCCGCCTTCATATCGCTCAAGGAAGAGTTCATATTGCGAGGGGAACTGCAGTTGGAGGAAACCGTACGCTTTGGTACGTATCGCCCTTGCCATGTACTTCCTACTCATCTTGAGGATACCAGAGGGTGCGACGACGGACGAGGAATAATTTTCGCTTGGAAAATAACTATATATAATATGTGCAATGGTTAGGCTAGGGAACAAAGTATGCATAGAAAGTCATACTAACCCTAGAAGAAAAGGGTTTTCAGAAAAGGATAAAGGTCATCGGACAAATCGTGAAGGGAGACCATAGAACAGCCATCGAAGAGCTCTGCGTCATTCGAGGGTGCCACAGCCAGGGAAAAGAGGCCTGTGAATATCGGAGATACAGATGTCAACATGCCTTTGTAAACTCGGAATAGATGATCCTCCGCCACCGTTACAACGTTGCCATCGTCAAACCAGATGTCTGACTTTCGGAGATTCGAGTCGGATGCCTTCAAGTTGACAACGGGGGTTACGTTCATTATGAAGCTCGAGAATCTGCATTCAAATATTCAAGATCACTCATAAAGTGTATTGAACAATATCAGGGCGTGATAGTAGATAAGTACATAGGCACAGGCAAGTTCTCATACAAAGTGGGAATACTATTTGTTCATGTTATGCAACATCACCAATGCACTACCAAATCCGGAACGCCTGGTAAACTTGATTCTTCCACGTGCTGAAGCAGGCTGAACGTTTTGTACTTTTGTCAGTGACAGTCCTGCACTCGCCGTTAGTCTGCACCCCGTGTGGTCAGTCACTCGATCCGCGCGGTGCAGCATGCAAGTAGTTGATAATACTATCTATAGATTGTCTCTCATAGCTATGCGGACATTTACCGAGCTACCATCTGAGCTTGTCGTACTCATTCTGACCAATCTCCCAGCCGTGGACCTTGTGAGGTGTCAGCAAGTCAGCTCTCACCCACTCTGCGTATTTCATGAGATTAACGAAGTTACACAGCTATCGAAATATTGGTACACCCTCATCAATAACCATGCTGGCCTGCAATATAGTATTGCACTTGCTCTGACGTCCATGGAGGACGCATGTGCTACAAGCTTCTCTTCACGCGAGAAACTCGATATTCTAAATTCTTTCCAGAGAATGTGGACAAGTGGATCCCCCTTTGAGTCCGAAACCATATGGCCCGTGGTCCCTTATAACGACCACATGAACCTGGCGCAAGACACAATGGTGCAAGGAATTGGAATGCGCTCACTGAAGTTCACCAGGATGTCTTGCGATATAACCAGCGCGTCAACCATTTCTTGGGATGTGGAACTTGACTTTGACATTGTTGAGTTCACCTTTGATCCTGATGAAGGTCTCCTCATCGCTATCGAGGCGCGGGATAATAGGTGATGGTTAGTCCTTGATATTTTTGTTTCGTCTCTCATACATTTTTAGATGCTATGTACGCCTTCTAGACACGAATACTGGAAGGGGACACAAAAATGCTACTCAAGACAGTCTCTATATTGGGGAATTTGGCACTCCGGGACAAAATGACTTGATGCCCTTGGATGGCGAAAACCTCATACTCGACACGAGGAGTGCTGAAGATATGCTGGTAATTCTCGCTAACTGGGAGGCAGAGGAACGGACGATGTACAGGCTAACTGCGTGGAATTGGCATGAAGGCACCAAGTTCTTGGTGCGCCAGAACGCCAACTATCCGTACTAGCTATGGTCCTGACGACTTTCTTTTGCATGTAGGAATTATCTCCGAGTATGGACTTCTTGAAGGACCAGTACATCTCCTCGGCGTCACCTCTCAATGGGCGACAAATTATTTTGGGCGTCACCGGCGGCGGACAATCAGATAACCAACGAGGTTTTGCCAAAGTCTTGGATCTTACCTTAGGTCGGAGTGCCTATATGGAAGCCGTTACTCTCGAATTTCCTCCCCTCACGGCTTCTCTGGAAGATCTTAGCATCTGGCGAAACGTGCCAGCTACTCCATCTCGACGCTCCTTGCATCATAACTATTTGCCTTTCCAATGTACACAAGACGATGCGATAATCTCGTTTGGGTTGCTCCTTGACCCACCCAATGGACACGATCTTCCGGGAGAGTATCACTTCGTGATTCCGACGTCGAAGTTTATTCGTTGCGTCGAGCGCGCGGCCAAGTGCTCTGGTTGTTGTCTTCCCTGGGCAGAGTGGTTACCAGACAATTGTCGACTGTTTAGTGTCGATGGTGCTTGGGACGTTGCAGGATCTCGAGGTATCCGTCAGAGCGGCGGACACATAGAGATCATGAACTTTGCTGAAGCTGCAGTAAGGCGTCATGAGACGTCACCTAATAACGACTATCTCACTCTGGTGAATACTCCTGTGGAGGTTAATGCACCAGTGTTCTGGAAGTGTCCGATCACCACGTCTCTCCCATACCTAATGCACAGTGTCCCTCTGCCTGACGAAACCCAGTTTGAAGCGGTATATTGTGGAAGCGATACCATATTTCTCTGCAATGTGAGTAAGTTGGTGCAGCCAAGTTCGTCTGCTGCAGCTGAACATGACCTTACACAGGAAAATAATACCATGGTGCTGCGTCCAAAGTATTGGTAGACATGTAGATATATCCTCATGACGATATATTATTTGACCCACAAACCTGGCAAAACCAGAGATTATGCAATTTCACACAACTCACAAGAGAGGACAAAACTGTACATTGTGAACAAGCTGTACAGATGATACAATATGCAGAAGTCGTAATAACATCGTAGATGCGTAACAAATCGTAATCAGATATGCGTTAGGAGCGAGTAGAGTTCAAATGTGACCAGTCTATTGTCCGTAGTCGATGCAACCCAATGTGCGGAGACCGAGCCAATCGCAGAACACGCTTAAGCCTTCTCATTTTGAGTGCCGCAGGAGACGACCTGGGGGTTGGCATGGATCATCTGAAAGATTGTTAGTCTAAGATCTATAGATGTCCTATTAGGATAACTGACCTCATCCCCCTGAAGACGAACGTAGTTGCGGCGGCGGTAACTCTTGACAGCATGCGAACCAAACCAGGCAAAGAGCATCAAGAAGAAAAGCGCAGTCATGCCGAACACAGCGTCCATGAAGCGGTTGGCAGCGACATCAGAAGACTCGAGGCCCATCCAAGAGGAGGCAGAGCTGGCTTGACACGCTTGAGCCCACTCACGGTTGCTGTCAACAACGGAGTTCTAAAGAGCAGAGTGAATATCAGATTGTTACAACTATTCAAGACAAGACACGAACCTCAAGACGGTAAATGAACTCAGTAAGAGGGATGTCTTCGTGGTGGTTGAAGACGTTGACAGTCTCAAAGTTACCACTGGTACCGTTCCTCCACTTGAACCTCAAGAACTCGCGGGCATCCGGGGGAGGTGCACGACGGAGCTCAATGGCAATAGCAGAGCCGAAGTCGGCTAACAAGATCATTCTCATGAGCAACGAATGCTTAAGCGTTAAATAACGACTTACGGATAGCCTGGAGCTCGGGGTGCTTCTTGACTGCACCAGTCTGGTGGAAGAAAGAGATGAAAGGTTGGTAAGTTGTCTCGATGAGCATGAACTTGAGAGGGTCATCGTTGAAGGCAATACGCTGGAGAGCCTTGAGGATGGAGCTCAAGACAGTACGGCTAGCAACTAGAATAAAGCATGTTAGAGCAGTATGATGCTCAAGAAAAGAAAAACGTACTGTTTCCAATACCGCCCATACGCTCATCAGAGAAGATGGCATTCTCGCGGAAGTTGGCCAGACCACGAGCTTGCTCAATGAAAGTGGGAGGGAAACGGTGAGCAAAGGTCTTATTGTGAACCAGTTCGGAGGAGACGTGATCGTAGAGCTAGAAAAAGTCATTTCAGTACCACAAAGTAGCAGCATTGACGGCGATCTAGTTTTACATTGTACTAGAGACACAAAAATGGTTATGAGCGACTTGAGTTGTATCATCAGAAAATGTCGGGAGACTCACCATGTTCTCAATAGTAGTGGGACGACCAAAGACGAAGTCCCTGAGGGTGTTGAAGAAAGGCTGAGCATTTTTCTCGACCTCACGAGCCTTGTCCGACTTCAAGACTTGCTCGACGTGCTTTTGGAAGGCCTACGTGGAGAAGTGAGCTCAGGAAATCGGAAGCAGAAAGATACAACTTACCGGGCAGTTAGTCCAACTCTCTAAAGAACGGTCGTTGACGGGCTCGACAGTCTCAACTACAAACATAACCTGAAGTGAGCAAGCGCGACTCATTAAATGAACGATTCAACGAACTGGGCACATATTGGTAACCACCGAGAGGAGCAACGACAGTGGTCTCGTTGGCCAAAGTCATGCGGTTTTTCTCAGTGGGAGGGAAGAGACCCTGAAGAACGGCAGTGGCACTGTCGAAGACGGACGCGCCCTCAGTGCCGACCTTCACGCGAACATGAACCTCTTTGAGGTCGACGAGGTCAGAGGAAATGCCCTGGATGTGAGAAGAAGAGGATGGACTGATGTAGGTGCTACGCAAGAAAGTTCCAAGTTGATAAGCTTGAACCTGTCATAAGAACATGCACTCTTGAGCACACGACACGTCGGAGACAGGGTAAGAACATGCCTCGCCCAAAGGTGTGCTGGCAGTTGATCCCGCCTGATAGGTGATAGGATGTTGAGGACACTCGGTACGGTCACCATTGCGAGCCAACACGACGACACCGTGGACTTCAGGGTGAGACATAGCACTAGGATCTGCGTCGAAAGTTGTAAGCCGAAGATGTTCTGAAGATTCAAATGCAGGAAACAATGAACCGTTGAGCTCTGAGAACTGCATCTTGCGCCTTTTTATAAGGATAGTTATTAGACGTCGTGAGGTTCGCAATGAAGAAGCGAAGGGAATGGAAGTTTCGGGGGGAAGGTGCAAGGCAGGTGGGTGTGTGGATTGTGACACGTTTATAGCACGCCCGAAGGGACCACCAATGTCACCGGCTAATGTGATGCGGGACGGAGGAGTGCTCTATTCGGAGATTATGTTTCGCCTGAGCTCGCATCTAGACCGGTGCGATGCCCTCACAATGTTCCCAAGCAACCCGGAGTTGGTCTGCATAACGTCAGAAAAAGTTGGGAAAAGATCTAACGAACGATATAGGCCATCAAACTGCAAACACTATTGAGCAGCGACACATTGAGGCTGGTGATCACGCAATGCATACAAGCGTACTGCGGACATGCTCAAGGTGCCTATGGACTTCCAAGACCGACGTCAATCGGGATAACGTTCAAACCATGAATCGTAATTTACCACTAGGCAACGTGCACGACAACCACGCCCTGACTGCGTGTGCACACACTAGAAAACCATTGAATACCTTCGAGACGATATGATGGGGAGGATGCGGAAGTAAACTACCCCAGTAATCTGAGTCTCTTGCAATGACGAACAACAGTCAAATGAAGGATGTCAGAAGACAAGTCGGTAATGTATCAAGCATTTCCGAGCGAGCGCTAGCCAGATTTTTGACCCTGGAGGTGGGGAGGTTGCTCCCAAGGTCTTGCCTTTTAGAGCCATATGCAACAACACATGTGTTGCCTCGCACCTTGCAATTGCCGCGTGAACTACTCTGCTAATGAAAAATCCTGAGTGTCCCGAATCCCCATACCATCTACGAGGTGTGGCGAGAGCGTTGCACGTTTAGATGCAGATAAGCACCATCATCGATAGTGATATTATAGAGCTCACCACCGGGGCGGGGTACCCCCGGATGAATGCATCTTCGCGTACACAGTGTACCACACCGACCGACATCAACGCGTCTACTTCTTCTTTTTGCCTTTGCCTTTGCCTCCACCGCCTCCACCGCTACCCCCACCCGTAGCCAGATGAGGACCCTCCACGACTCCTTGGGTTGCGCCACCACCCTTCCTCTTCTTATGACCACCTGAATGAAACGTGGACCGTTCACTCTTCTTAATCCAACGGTCTGGATCAGGCGGCGGTGTCACACCAGGAACAACGCCTGCAGGAACACGCTTCGCTCGGACCTTCTGGGATGCAGAAGCCTTCTTCTGCTCATCATAAGCGACGGATGAGGAGGCAGCTAGGAGGGCAGATGATGGCTGTGGAGGGGGTGGTGGCGGGACGGATTCTATAGTGGAAGTTAGAGTGCCCGGAAGCACGTCAAGAGCGCGGAGATAGTTCTTGTTGATGAAATCAAGGTGCTGTTGCGCAGCTTCCAGGTTCGTCAAGATGTCAGAATGCTCTTCTGTATCCTATATCCGTTCGAAGAAGTTTAAGCGCCAAGCCTACAGGAAGTCACGAACAACACTCACCGGGTCAGTATTATCGAGGAGGTCATTGTATTGATCGAAAGCCTTCTGATATGAGCCTTGGCGGTAGCTCTGTGGGAAACATTCTTGAGATGAGGGAATCCATCAACATGAGGTGGCAGGAACGCACCAACTGAGCCTCGAGGTGAATGACACCTCTATCATCCTCCCCCTTCTCCTGCTTAAGCGTCCCCAGCACCTCTGCTACATCGTCCTCCTTATGCAGCCTGTAAAGAGAATATGCTTTCTCGAACACAAATTCAGGCTGTCCGTCGATCAGAGCAAGGGCATCACCATATCGTTCCGTCTGTAGCAGCAAGAATAACTTGGTCTGTAGGGCATCGCGGTCATGCGGCGCGAGTCTCAGAACTAATTGGAAAGCGTCAGCATACGATTCTGGTCGGTAATAACGGGCACGCACTCTTGTCACACGTCTTGATCGCATTTGCGAAATGTCCACCGTCGATCTGGGCGCAAAGTGAGTTGAACAGCCGCTTCAGCCGCTCAGGGACAGGTGTTGGTTGCCTTTGTATCTTCTTAGAACTCTTGCTATCCTTTGCGATGTGCTGCGACCGTCCAGCATCCTTCGGAGCCATGGTCAAGGTGACGGGCTTGACGTCGCAGGTTAACGACACCGTCTACGAGTCTATCTATATTTCGAAAGCAATTATGAATAGATCAAATTCTTATATTTCGGGTATGGGTTATGCTTACAAGAGCTGTGGCTTCAGATATGCAGAGTAAGTGGTGGTACGAGGCCACCGTCAAAGTTGTGCACAGTCTGCATGCCCGTGAGAAAGTCTTTCCATCTCCAGCTTTCAAGTAACCATTGTCTCAATTAGGCATACACTGTTCTTTACGTACTTCTTACTACAATGTTGTTTTCCGAGTCATTTCTTGTCGACGCCACTCGACCTCTCTCACTAGCTGACTTGCGCCTTGACGACGGTCTTACTTGTCCCTGCTGAAAAGTTCAAATTCCTCGTTGACATTCCTTGCGTGGGCACAACATGGAATCTAGTCCTCCCCCTCTGCCGGCTTACAAGACCCTAGAGCAACTCAATGCTTTATCTCCAGATGACTATGCAAAATACATGGTTGCAACTCTAGGATGGTTTCAATACTATGCACAGTTGGGTACTATGCAGCTGCAGGCCATGGTACCCGATGATGCGGAAGGCACCGCTACCTCACACCAACAATTGGCTTCGACCTGGCACCTAGACCCAGCTGTCTTCCCGGATACGCCTGAGAAACGTCAACTGTTCTTTGAGACGTGTGTGGCGGGCTGTCAACAAAGTATCGTTTCGCCTGTCGAGTACGCCAATAGTTCACTTCCTCACTGTCTCTGGCTGACGGTTAATCTCTCCCTCAGTGCTGTTCGTTGCACCTTCTTTGCGCGCCCCGCTATTCAGATTCTTACTTCTGAAGCCAGCCATCACTATCCTGCAAATGAGGATGAGGATGAGGGATCTACGTCAGTGGCGAGCATTACGAGAAGAGCTGAAGAGCTTGCGTGCGTACATTCTTTATATTCACCATGTTCTGATTCTCATCTACTCATGTGCGTTGTATCAGAGACCGTCATCTCGGTACTTCCGGTGCAGCCGTGATTGCCTACACTAACTATGAATCAGACAGCGAGTCTGAGCCAGATAGCGGGCGGTTCCGGGATCTGGTAGACCACTACTTTGGCACCATGTTTCGCTATCGCGACGAAGAAACTGATCAGCTCGCGGAATGTACCATTGATAACATGGCAAGGGATGTTTTCAACGAAGAGTGGTTTTGGCTCATTCAGAAGGTTGGGAATGAGGCTCCCCAGACAAACATCGTGAAGGCTGAAACACTCGAAGATATCTTCGCGAACCGCATCAGAAAGGCATAGTTCCTTCAAGGTGGACCATATAGATGTCGACATCGAGTTGAACAATTGTTTTCCCGTCGCATTCTATGTTCGTCTTGTATGGCGCTGTCGAGCGGCTTGCTAGAAAGGAATTATGTTAGATGAATACGCTGTACTTGGACTCCGGAGTCTATTAACTTTTGGATTTGTCGTCTTTGTACTATGCGAGTTTCAAGTTCCTATCTGGTGAAGATTGCCATAAGTCATTGAGATTGTTCATGGACGATGCGTGAGATCAACCTGCTAAGTAGGGGTATAAATCTGTATAAATTTGGCGTTGTCTCTTGCCCACACCATCATACAAGGAAGCCAACCATCATCGGGTTCACCAGCTATTCAGAGTTTCTATCGCATCCTCCCGTCGCCTCATCTACCCCGAAGGCTTATTGACTTTCTGTAAGTGCTTTTCTCTCCGGTCGATCCTCATTTCGCAACCTTTACTCGTACGGCTAGGCTCTTGTGTGGCATAAAAGCCCCATATCATCCGCACGGCAAAACCTGACTGTTCGCCATTCTACATGACGAATAAATGAAACTACTGCTTAGAGAGACTAGGCATCGTATGGCGCCCCAAGTCTCATGAAGATCTGGACACTAAAAACAATCCCAATGATGTTTTACACATCAACGATAATCGGAGATAGGTCCAGGAGTTCTCATAAAGTCTGGCGGAGTAACTTCGAGGAGGGGGTTCCCTGTTCTTGCTTCGCTCGTGAGGACCTGCCTCTCCCTGTCCCACACGTCTTGCATTATCCTGGATCCGCTCGCCGACGAATTATCTGGAATATATCTACCTTTAACATGAACAATAAGCTTCGTGGGGTCTGGTACATCTCTACGGAGGAAATAAGTGGAGTTTCCCTGGATAAAGCTATTGACACTTTATCGGAGGAGCAGCCGGGTCACGTCGGTCTCCAACTTCGAGAATATGTGAAGAAGATACGAAGCGTTCGAGGACGCACTCTCAGATCCATCACAGGACAACCCCACCGAACATTTCCTGTCTCACCTTTTTACCAACCTCGGGAAACGTTTGAGAACTTTGCAGACTTTCGCGAATACCTCTTCGCTCTCTTGTTCGCGTGCAAGTGCCTCACACCAAAGCACATAGATGAACTATTCTGTGCATTCTTTCGAAATGCCTCAATGCGCTTCGCTCACGCCGACCCTGCACCAAAGAATACCATGGCCGATGGATCTACGATAACTGGCATAATCGATGGGGTTTTGGCTGGATTCTATCCTGACTTCTGGGAGTATTGCTGTATGCATGAACCGCTTTTCATGACTCCTGCTTGGGATAAAGAGTGTTTTTCCTGGTGATCGACGGCGGAGGGACATTGATGCAGTCACCACAATTTTACGTTCTATCGCTACCTTTCTCTAGGTCCCGCAATATGTGGACTGCTACGATATTGTCTATGTTTACTAGGTGAATCGTTCTACGCTGATCTGCTCTGATGGGGAGTGTTTCTACTGAGGACTCTAGGGCACTGCTGTCAACTGCGACGTCTTTGCCTTTCTTATTCGTCCCATGCTACCATTGTTTCGCAACATTCGTCTTCATGGTGGGTACCCCGGGACTTCGCATTCAACTGCAAGTGTGAAGAGGCCACAAGAGATACATGCATTTCGCGCTACTAGAGGAGATTATGATTTGAACGGGCCTGGAAGGTATGAATGGTAACAATCTCATGCTTGATTCCTCGTGCACATCCTCATCCTGATACTACCTGTGGCGTAGCACGTTGTTTGCACGACACGGGAACTACCTGCTAACGGTACAGTTTGTTCCTGCGATCATCATCATATGACCATCATCAGCACCGATTCTCACATCTGGACAACGTTGAAATCGCGCTTTTTGTCTTCTCGCTGGTAGTTGTGGCTGTCGTGTCTACTAAGAGTGTTGATGACAGCTGACTTCGTCTGTCATGAGTCCTTTCTATTGTCATCGATCGTGCAAGACATGGCCCACGAGGCTTCCTGACAGTCAACTTTCAGTTAATCTCACTGTAGTCTGCTGCTACCCATCAATATGATTGACCTGAAGCACCTGAACGTGCTTTCAGCGTTTACTTACAATTCCGAAGTGAAGGGAACCTTCTTCCAAGCCAAATATGAATGATGGTCCGAGTCCCCGTCACATCAAAACTTGGTAGAGAAACAGACAAATGCGACCTGAACACGTTCGTGATCGAAACTGTACAGCTACTGTAAAGTTTCAGCGAGCAAACGCCGCTAGGTTCCACGACTATGATCAGGTTTAACCACTAAACTAGATTTGGTCTCCTGGGTACTTTACTCGGTCTCAGCGTGGTGGTAACATTGAGTTTGCAGGAAGAATCAACTACTCGAATCATTCGACTGTCAATAGTGTCGCACGTGGATGAGGGATCCACTGGAGGCGCCCATGGAAAACGAGTCGCCTTCGAAGATGCTGGTCGAGGAGCTCTGCTGAAGCGCAAACCGGATGTATACCTGGGGTAGAAATAAAACAAAACAAAATAAACTTAAACCGGACATAGTTTCTGGTGGATAACGACGTGGATCATACACCCAGTATGTCCCGTTAAACAATTGTTTTTTGTTGCCTTCTGAGTTCGTCGTGTATCCAGTTGACAAGCGGCTTGCTATACCGGGATCAAGTGCGTTTGATGAATATGATGTATTGGTATTGAACTGCGGACTATACCAACTTTTGGACCTGTCGATTAAGTACTTTGAATGCATGTGGGTTCACCTACGCATGAGAATTACATGCAAAGTACGAAGTCTTGTTTGGCATTGTTATGCAACAGCTCTTGCTCTCTCACCATACAAGGAAGCTTATATCTATATCTGTATCTAGATGTCATGCCTCAGAGCTCGCCGTCACTGAAAGTCTTCTCTTGCGTGCAACTTCCACCCGGACGTCGCACAGTACTAGCCCACCAATTATATTCCATGAAGGCTTGTTCATTTTCCGCACCTGCTGTCTCTTTTGGCCTCTCATTATTTCACATCCTCCACTCCCCCGGGCTCTCATGTGGCGTAAAATTCCTGTATTTTCGACACAGCAGAACCTGGCTGTTCATGATTCTTCAAAGTGATCTTGGGAGGTGGAGGCATTTCTGTGTTAGGTGTCTGTCTAGGTGATTCTGCTACGCAACGGGTGATCAATCCTTTGTCGTAGGAGCCTTCAAATGAGTCCTACCGCGCGGCCATATCGGCTACGTTTCACAACATTGCAAACTTCCAGCTTGGAAATTGCACATTATACATAGTAAACTAACAGGGAAAAACTTTGTGCCAAGATGGAATAGGAGATCCACAAGTTGCGTTCATAGTTGATGTCGCTGTGGCGCAAGTTTGAGGTGAGTCCCCATAATCAAAGATACATCCCGCAACTTCTTGCTGCATAGAGTACACGCTCCGTGTAGTGTTTTAATGATCTGCCTTCGCAAATCATTCCAGGGAAGCCACCCGATGCTTTCGAGTGTGAAAGCCATTTATCAAGGGTATTTGCAGGCACCGAAAGTGGAATTCCTTTATCCGCTCCAGACATGATTCACGGCAATCCGCTTCATGTGCAGAATAGGCTCTATTTCTCCCGCAATGATAAAGAAAATGTCTTGTGCATAGGTGTTACGAAACAAGGAAGAATGATGAAGATCGCTTCTTCTTCCAAGTCAGGGTCTCGAGTTCCGGGCCTGACGTTGACAAGACGAGGTTAGCGCAAATTATGTTCTTCACATCACCCCGTGCAGATGTTATCAGACATATGATCTTCGTGCGGACAGCTCGTAGGTCCATAATATCCTCTTCCAAACGAGTACTCCATCGATTGCACCCAATATGCTCGAACTTTTAGTCATGAGCTCTCACAGTGTAGCTGGATAGTCTCTCCCGGCAGAATAGAATGCAGATTTCCCCCGGTTTAAATGCTCATTGCATGCGTATTAAAGGTCTGGTATATGCTGTTGGTGGCGCATCAGGTTACCTGTCCAATTGCCTGTAGGCTTCATCCTTTCCTCTAGTCTTACGGAGTGCTGATGTGTTCTTCTCCAGTGGCATAATTCCTCACGTCGCATATTAGTCTTCTACTTCACCTTCGAATTCTCTCTCTTTAGGTATGTGTATCCATACGTACCAACAGGAACATCCACTGAGGATTTCTTTTACCCGCCCAGCAAACCAATGGCATCCTCTCGTCATTTCTCAGACATGAACTTCTCGTCTGCATACCCAGACAACAATTCCACGAAGGAGCTCTTTCTCCAAGCAGGAGGTCGGAAAGCAAGTGATGTACCGCGCCACGTATTGCTGTTTTGGTGGAATAATCAATCCAGCAATATGCGAGAGATCGTGCAGCTCAAGGGGATCTCTGGAAGATACACGTACGATCACAGGGTGCAGATGTCCAGCCCGACAAGTGAGATGAACAATGAACGTTGGTCTCTTGGGATGGCCACTCGTGCTGCTCGCAACCGCATCATTGAGATTGCCGCAGCTGTTCCATTCAACCCTCGTTCAACTGTAAACGATTGCCGCGTATGGATGCGACTCCTTCTTGAGGCCATGGTGCAGGAACATATCATCACCCAGGAGAAGTTCGATGAGATTGACCGTGTTCAAATCCCACTGCCGCGTCCAGCTCCTGAGGTCTGATTTGTTGCAAACAGCCCCTCGCCATACAATGGATTGATTATATTCGTACCTGTAACGTTCCAAACTTGATTGAATGACGTCCTATCATCTCATTACTCATTATATCTTTTCTCCTCAGTTGTCGTATGACCACTCTCACCACCGCTCACACTCCTATCTATTGTGACTACTAACTGTATGGCCAGGCTTTTGGTTATTCTTTCGCTTGCTACTCTAGTCCCACAATCATGTACATACTCCTGCTTACTAGGTTATACATTAAACTACTGACTATGCAACTGCAACTGTTCGTGTCATTGCAGGCTACTGTAGGGACGATGGGAGCAGTGTCCAATACAGCAGCATCCATTCACTTCTCATCGGGCTTTCAAAGTAATGACGATCTCGGATCGATCGCCCAATTCCGATTAAGATTGTCGTGGCGTTCTCAGGTTTGCTCTTGACTTGAAGACAACTTTCTTCAAGCTTCTACTAACTACAAGCTTCAAACTTTACCCTACCTTGTACTCTCAATTAAGACTCTCCGGGCTGCGTTAGCGTTAATCTACGCCATCAATGAATCCGCCAGTCTCACCACTAAGTGAGGATCAATTGCTTGTAATATAACTTGCCCTAATATTCACACATTGCATGAATTTTCATGTAGAGAGGCAAAAAACCTTATGGCATCCCAAGTCCTTCAAGGACCTCGATGCCATAAACAATCCGAATGATGTTTTGTACGTCAAAGATAATCGGAGAGTGGTCAGAATAGGGCCGGGAGTTCTCATAAAGTCTGGTGGGAGTGACTTCGGAGAGGAAGTTCTCTGTTCTCGCTTCGCTCGCGAAGAACTGTCCCTCCCCGTTCCTCGTATCTTGCATTATCCCGGTTCCGCTCGCCGAAGATTCGTCTGGAATATGTCTACCCTTGCCATGCTCACGAACGACAGACTCCGCGGTGTATGGTACATCTCTATGGAGGAGGTTCCTGGGGTGTCTCTGGATAAGGTTGTTGATACTTTACCAGAGGAGCAGTTGGAACGCATTGGTCTCCAACTCCGAGGATACGTGAAAAGGATGCAGAGCGTTCGAGGTCGCGCCCTTGGATCCATCACAGGAAAGCCGTATCGGACATTCCCTGTCTCGCCTTTCTACCAACCTCGGGAAACGTTTGAAAACTTTGCGGACTTCCGCGAATACCTATGTGCTCTGTTGGTTTTGTGCGATTGCATGTCTGAAGAAGACATGGATCGGTTATTTTATGCCTTCCCTCGAAACGCCTCAATACGCTTTGCTCACGCCGATCTGCTGCCGAAGAATATAATGGTCGACGGATCCGCCGTGACTGGTATAATCGACTGGGCCTCTGCTGGATTCTATCCGGATTTCTGGGACTATTGTCGTATGCACGACCCAGAGTTCATGACGCCCGGTTGGGACAAAATGCTCAGGACTATATTTCCAGGTGAACGACGACAGGCTGAGATCCACGCGGTCGCAACTATCGTGCACTCTCTCGTCACCTACATTTGACAAAATTTGCATGTCATGTTGTCGCTGTTACCACATGACTTCAACTTTCCTGTCTGACGTTTGCGAAGTCTTCCATGTAATTCCGCACTCTTTCCCAATATCCCCATTTAATAATCTTTAACTTTATCTTGCATACCTCAGGGCTTCATAGGCAAACCAGGAAAGGCCGGTGCACTGTAAATACGTATCTAATCAGGAGGAGGGTAATGAAGATGTTTATTTGAATGAGTCTTTCTAGGTATGAGACGAAGTGGTACCCTCTCTGAAGTGCAAAGCGGATCTGTAGCTTACAGTACGTGGAAACAATTAGAAAGAAATCGGACGAGGTGACCTTCCTTTTATGGAATCACACCGGCGTCTGCCGATGAGATGCATTGGTGGAACAGCGACCGACTTGGTCGTAAGCCTTCACCTCCTCCTCTTTCAACGCTTGAACGGCCTCAAAGTGCGATTATACGAAGATGTCGACAGAAGAGTGAGTTCGGTCCCTAAACGCAATGATTTCATGCTCAAAAATATGTGACATAGACTACGGACGGACGCGCAACATGAAGACAATGGCATGCAACAAGACACGCCAACTGGCCCAGGAACGAATCGCAAGCGTCCAAGGATAGATCTGACCTTGGAGCCTCGTGAACGTAAACGAGGCAAGACTATGTTCGGACTTGTTCTCGGCACGCTGAACAAGGCCAGGACTGAGGATAAAGAGCGAAATGCCAGCGATGCGGTGAGTATCACACTGATCTCCAGTAAGCTGGTATAGCTGACTAATCGCTTGATGTTATCTTCTTGCGTTGCATTGTGTAATCCTGGCTTATAGGCGAAGAAGAGACAGTTGATCGAACAGAGGTTACAGGATAAGCTACGAAAAGAAACTGATTCTGTCAGGAGAGCTGAAGAGGCCAAAAAGGACAAGACCTCGGCGAACAGGAAAGAAGAGGAGCTACAGCTGAAGGATTCTATAGTACGTCCCTTTTGATCTCGTAGGTCTGCAGTCCTTGCTCATGAACATGCTATGACAGCACAAGCTGAGGCGAAAACGACTACCAGTCCTTGCTAATTTCCTATCTACCGCCGATCGTATACCATCGTCCCTTGAAGACATCGACTCGCAAACTCCAATGAGTACCCTTCTCGCTCAACACCCTCGTTCTCACCCACCATCGCTCTACTATCTTCCCGCGATTCTCACGCCAGCCCAAGACGCATTCTTGAAGCGTCGTAAAGCTGAGGTATGTGCTCTTTTGCAGCATTTTGCTTACGAAATCACGCGTTATTCACGCAATGTTACAATAGGTCCAAGAAGCAGCGGAGAAGGAATGGGAATCTTTCAAGGAGGAACGCAAGACAGGTATTGAAGAAATCACTCAATTGCGCCAACGCGTCGCCGAAGAGGAAGCCCGCAAAAAGTCCGAACAGCAAACAACGACGTCTGAACAACCGTCACAGTCGCAGCAAGAGTCAAATCGTGACGCTGATGGTGGCGGCGCAGGGGAGGACGTTAAAATGGCTGAGACGGAGTCACCTAGCAAGGAGGCTCCTGCATCTGAGCCTACATCTGCACCTGCGCCTGGTCCTACGGAGTCACAACCACCCCCGACTACGAACGGCGATAAACCCGCCGAAGCAGATAAGAAAGATGAAGAAGAAGACGGGCCTCCAGGGTTGTCACCACCGAAAGAGAATCTTGCTATGGACGTGGATGACAACGCCGCTAAAGTGGCAAAAGTGGAGGAGAAAGCCAAGAGTGGTTCTGCTTCGCCAAGGAAAGAGACTCTGGCAGCGACCGCACCTGCGGCCGCGGCAACGGACGAAGACGACGCGGTGGAGTATTGATACTGTCCTACTTCGTGATGGTTGTATTATAGGACAAGGGAGTATACAGTGCTTTGTGCTTTTTCCGTCGTTCTGTTTCTTTTTCTTCTTCTTGTACATACCTGCTGTTATTTCTTGCTGTCCGATGGATCTAGTCCGCTTCCACATATGTGTCTCGCCATTGCCAGCGTGGAGCTTGCACTCGAGTACCATACGCTTGAACAGTCGACTATGCTAGGGTATATGAGATGCTGTACGTACGTGCGAAAATGGGAAGGTATTAGATACGGTATACAAAAGGGAGATACGCGAATGAATGTCTGTGTGAAGTAAAAGCAATAGGTCCAAGTCATGATGTACAACGCACGACTCACGAGCAACCCCGAAGTAAATCAACGGTTTCCGCCTCTCAACCTCTCGGGTCCTCACCAAGAAAGGGCAGAACTGAACAAAGTCAGACTCCACGCTATTACCACCGCTCCAACCAAATTATCCGCAGACAATTGCCCGAATATTCCGAGAGCACCAGACCCGCTTGGCGTCGTCGTAGGAACGCTTGTGTTAATCGATGTCGGTACACTTGGCACAGAAGATGTCAAAGAAGCCGACCGCGATGAGCTGGAGGAAGGAGAAGAGGAAGAAGATTGTGTTGGGAGAGGTGAAGGGAAAGACAGTGAGACGCTGGGACTGGCAACGTTGCAAAACTGTTGGGAGAGTGTCTCCGCATTGGTTAAGTCGCCTGGGCATTCGGACGAAATGCAGTTCACGATAGAACGTGTAAAACGAGTGGTGCTGAATGAGACACGTTAAGTTGGGACGGCGTTGAAAGGTTACCAAAAACGTACTTGGTGCAGAAACATTGCACGTCGACTAAACTATTACAACCAGTTTCTGAAACTGCCATCCCCAGACAGTTCGCAACTGGAATAAGAAATTATTGATAAATTCCCTATGAAATTTAATGCAAGCTGCTCAACATACCACAAGGGGAGTACCCGCTCAGACTGGGAAAGTTGGCGCTGCTCGTCGCACTGGCAATGGAAGTTGCATTGACACTAGATGTACCATTCGCTGCAGACGATGCTGATGAAGATGTTCGCGAAGCAGAAACAGAAGGGCTAGATTCGGGCGCAGATATCGGTGGAGGAGTGAGAGATCCTTGACCGAGTGCTAGCGCAATAGGCCACAGAAGGAGAGCGAGAGGAATAGGAAGCGAGAGCATCCTTGGAACCATCGTCCTAGTAGTTGCAAGCAACCCTTTTCCGCCCCCAAAAAGCTATTGCACCTGTGCTGATAAGAATGAGCGACGGTGAGCGGGTACTCAGCACGATCGAACGGCCTTTGCGCAGTCGTCCCGTGGCCGTGCAAAGATTTATGTATTTCCTTCTGCAACTTTTGACGAGCTCAACGACAGACTGCGCCAGCAATGTGGTAGACAACGGTGAAAGAGAATAAGTAGTGACAGTGCGCTGCCAAGTGAGAGCTAGCGGTGCCAACGTTGTATGGCCCGGGCGCTCAACCAACCGACGCCGGCGCTGATCCCAAAAGTGTATACTGAGTCAGCATTTGATGCGCCCTTTCGTCGGCATCATCCAAATTGGTCGATCGTCGTGTTTTCGCTGCACGGTTCATGATACGTATCGTCCGGGTCGTCAAAACATTTCTTTAAAGCGTGGCGAGTATTTTATTTTTGAGGTTGATGATTAGACATTGTGATCATTATCATTGATACAGGACGAGCATCTAGGCATACTTAGCAGTAACTTTCATGAGCATCCAAGCTCAAGCTCAGGCTCGTCTCATCATTTCATTGTCGCACTTATCTGTGACTCTATCAACGTCGTAGAATCAACATGCATAACTACCGAACAATATGGGAGCAGCCGCCGCCGCCAAGTGCTCAGCTACAAGCAGACTAGCAATCATAGCCGCCACGTCTCCCACATTGGCCCAGAACAGCTCATTACCTTCCCCGATACTAAAGTATCAGCGTTCTATTCCTTCGGTTCCTGTCTAGGTCCAGGGCTGAAACTTAGCTGTAAGATCACGGTCTGCTATGTATGACCCCTCGACTAAACCATTCATGGGAAGGCTGACGCTAATCCTTAAGGTCCTGGGTATTCTAGCTCTCGTCCAGCAATTGGATAGCTCGGCGCTTCTGTTTGACGTCCTTACTCTTGTGTCAAACGTTGTCTGCTATTCGCTTGCCACAATATACGGGATGCAACTACTATGAAATACTTATGCCATCCAGGAACTATTCTCCAGTCCTTATCTGGGTCTGTCATGTCTGGTTCACGTCTGGTTACAATGCGGCCGCCGAGCTCGCCGATCGCTACGTCTTCTTCGCAAGAATATTTTCAAGGGTTGGGCCTGACTGCATTCATAGGTTTCATTCAAGATCTGCAGCTTCATTGCGGCATTGGACTGTAGGTGCACTCCTCGCTATAATGCCCTCCGAATCCCCATATTTTTGTTTGTAAGGCTCATACAATGAACGGTCACTGCGGGTGCGGACATACGCATCGGGGCTCACGGGACATCCACTCCATCCGACATCATATGTGGCGTTAACCTTTCTTCGAGGTCATGATCACCGTTCGCTGGCTAGCGTCTTCGGATGCCCCCACATGTATGCACCCCAGTTTCACGGCGGAGACCTTATCGGCTTCTTGCCTAGAGACGAGTTCGCTGCCTGATTCCATATATGATAGTGACTTGCTATCATATTCATATTGCCTTAATAATTGCCGGCGTTTGGTCAAACAACCCGGGCCTAGCTCTTGCTGGAATTCTCACTTCCTTCAATGAGGTTTTCTATGTCGCTTTCAATCAAATTCTGACATCGCGCGTCGGGCATCTATCTAGAGACAGAATGCGGTGCATAGGAAACGCAGAAATCTGCTTTGTCATGCTTGACCTTTTTATGGCTCTGCAAACCATCGAAGCGGCGTTTCCAATTGGTTCTCAACGCAAGACGTAAGGCGTTCCTAACAGCTCCTGCCGATCAATTGTTGGCCAAAAATCTGTTTCAAAAGGAAGCAACATTGCTTCCGTGGCTTGGCTTCCAGATCCAGCTGCCTGATCTTCGGCGTTTGCCTGAGCTTACGTCCTTTTCAAACCAAAGTCCCCTCACTGCGTCCTGCATCCCTGACCAGTGTAATAGAAGAGGTCGTAACCCGCGAACGCGTCCCGCCGGTGTAGGTTATATCAAGTCAGGTCGCGGCGCAAGATTGGACCAATGCCGTTGAAGATATTTGATATATATCAGGGTAACGTTTGCCAATAGAAGCTGTCGATGATGGCGCCCTATTCTGCTTTCATTGCGGTTACTACTAGAGAAAATTGTCAAGCCAACCTAGGACGACTTGGGCGATATGACTTTCGAGTAATTCCTGTCATCATAGCTTCAATATTGCACCGGACGCTCCAGATCTTTCGAATATTTAACGTTACGACATTGTCACCCTCCATTTAAGCAAAACTGAATTGAACTTGAGGCGCCATCAGCAAGCGATTGGCCTGAGCGACGGTAAGTGACGGCGTTCTGTTCCCATTTCAGTTAGGTTGCAGGGGTGGGTATGTGGCAGTGCCTTGTTATATACCATTCGGGACAGAACAAAACCAAACGATCGCATATCCGACGGCTCATAGGCTGACAGGCATTGTGCTGGAAGTTTGCGGACCGACACCATGCCTCCCCGGATACATTTCCACGACTCGTGCAGCCCTCATATATAAGTAGGCCGACTGTCGCGCTCTCCATCGCCGTGCTCTCCCCCCTTTGCCCGTTACCTATCCACTTCACGCTGGCTGAATATTCGTAGTAGCCATGGGTGAATTTGACACGACCGTTGGTATGCACCCGTATTTCAGAGGTTGTGTTTATATTGACATCACGTTAGGTACCCTTATGATTGGTATCATCTGTGAGTACTTAAAGGTCTTGCATCCAATGCACTTCACGTCTTGACATAGGGCTTTTCTAGTCAATACCTTTCTTTATGGTCTTGTTACATTCCAGTTCGCGGCGTACTATAGGAAGAGTAAGTTCCCCTATCTTCGGGTGCACTTGGATGTCTCACATGAGTCTGTACACAGAGTTCAATGACCCTCCTATAATAAAGTATAAGCTCGCCCTCCATTCAATACGTTCAGCCCACTTATGCAAGTTTTATTAGGGCCATGATCCTGTTCCTTTTCCTCCTGGACACGGTCCATAGTGCATCGTGAGTAGTCCGCTAAATAATAACATGGATTCTCTGGCGATGAAGAACTGAATGGTCTTTCAGGGTCATCTACATGCTCTGGGGTTACACGTACGAACCTCGTTTCTTATCCAAAGCTTTTCTTAATGTTCTTGTAGTGTTACGAATTATAATAACCCCCCTGCATTAGCCAGTAAGTCACTTATTCAATACGATCTAAAATATCTCTGACATATGTCTGTAGTCGGAATGTGGCCATATATGTGGACGCCAATTGCAACTTGTCTCGCAGCGGTTGTGACCCAGGTCTTCCTCGGATATCGGTATGTCTAACTGTTACGCATTGTACTCAGCACGTATTCATCCACTGAAATACCGTTATTGTGCATAGTATCTATCGCTTAAGCAAGAACCTGTACCTCTATATTCTTATACTTGCGATTGCTATTCCGGGTTGCATCCTTGGCTTCGTCGCTGGTGTGAGGGCTCTGATTATCAAAATGTGAGCCATTCACAGAATGTTGTGCTTGCACTGACCTTACCGTCTGTTTCGGTCAACAGCTTCGCCGATCTCGTTGTACTGTCCCCGGTTGTTATCGGTTGGCTGTCTCTGCAAGTTGCGGCAGACGTCATCATCACTTGTACGTATCGTCGCAGCCCTTCGAACCCGCTTCGTTGACAATCGGTTGGTGTTTTCTAGGCTCTTTGACGGTTATCTTGGCTCGCTCGCGTACTGGGTTCCGCAAGACCGACACCGTTTTGAACAGGTTGATTCGTGGCTCGATCCAGACTGGTTTATTCGCTGGAATTTTCTCCATCGGCGACCTGGTTTGTTTCTTGACTGTGCCTGAGACGAACCTTTACGGCATGTTCGCCATACCTATAGGTCGAATCTACACGAACGTACGTCCTGCAATCGTCCTATCCCACTGGAATCCATGGCTGAACCTCTGGGCGTATCTAGACTTTGCTTGATACGCTTCTTGCGCGAGACGAGCTTAGAGATCAATTGTCAGCTACAGTTGAAATGGACTCCTCGGTATGTGTCCTTTAGTCCTCCGTTGCTCGTCTATAACGGCCCTCGTCAAGGTTGGTGCACTCACCTCCTTTGATCCCTTTGTAGACTCATAGCGGAAGGCGGTGGGGTGCCGGTCGTACAACTTCTCATACGAACGCACAAGGAATCCACCTCACTGAAGTTGAAGTCCGACAAGACGTTGTTGTATTCGATGACAACGCAAAGTTGCATAAAGACGACCAGTCTTCTGTGAAAAAGATGATGGATTCTATGGCTTGATGCCTTTCTGCTTCTTGTCTACAGGCTCTTTTCGCCTTTCGTTTGGGACCGAGTCACATCGCTCGATGCTGAGTGACTGTTGTCTCGCGCTGGGTTCTCTTTTCGTCTTACGGGACGTATAAGAGTACTTGTATCTTCTTGGATATATCTATCGATGGGGTAGAACACGTACCATGATGTAGCTACATCAATCTTGCTTTCGTTTTGCTGTCGCTTTTTCAGATCTGCTTTTCAAAAGGTGATCTCTCATCATTCATTCAATTCAGTCGTCAAGCTTTCAGTCCCGTTCATTTGTGCACTGTACTTCATAGTCTTTGAAAATTCCGGTGTTTCGTAACATTACCACAGACTGATCAACACGGTATACTTGAGATGGAGTCTACGTGATACGTCATGTTGAAGACCGCATCTCGATTCTAGGAACGACACATAGAAATAGGGTATCATTACACTGTTAATACAAAAAGTACGCGAGTGGAGGTATAAGATGATGCAACATGAGTAGAGAGTATGCTAAAGTACAATGAGTCGTGAGTATCATATCCAAGTCCGTCCAAAATAATAACTTAGTCAACAACGACCAAACCGTCATAGCTAGCCTTTGAAAGAGCCTTTTTCATCACGTTCAACGGATTGAACTCTTCCTTTTCCTTCTCCTTAATCTCCGGCTCACCATCTGCACCAATATTCTCCCACTGCTCGTCTTCCATGACGACGTCCTCTGCTTCCTCTTCCTCACCCATGAAGACCTTCATCATCGCAGGGGAAAACCCGTTCATGATCGCGACGCCCTTCCGGTCATGCTGGACAGGGATCGTCTCCGATCCGAATCCAAGGTTCCAATAGACAATCTCCGGAACCTCGTATCCGGCATCTCTGTAAGCTCTCTCGATCACATCGTGGTTTGTGTCCCATCCCTCAGCGTAATCGACCGGATTAGAGCTAGAGTAGTCCGACTTCTGAGACTCGTCGAATTGCATGTCGGAAAAGACGAAGAGACGTTTGATCATATCTTCCTGCTTGACGTTGTGCTTGATCGCCAAGGGAAGCAGAAGCTTTAGGAAGACAGCCTCATAGTTGGTATTCATACCGCAATCCGCCCTTTGAATTCTACTAAAGGCATCCACAAGTCCCGCGGACGGATCGAGCTCAACGAACTCAGGATGGGCGGAGAAGGTGATGAACGCATTCGAGAAAGGTGGTTTGGCAATCTGAGCGAGAACCAACGACAACGCAATAGCGGGGTAAATCGGTAAAACCGACTTCCCACTCCAGCTATATTCTGGCCAGATTTGTCCCATAGAACCCGAAACATCGCAAACCGCTAGGGCATTCTCCATCTTCCTGGCCTCCCGTACTCGATCGAGCATAGTCCTCCATTGTGCTTCAATGACTCTGAGTTGCATATCCGCTTGCTTCTTTTTGATATCCCGGAGAGTAGGACGCGCAGGATTGGGAACGTGCTGCGAATCTGAGGCACAGGCAACCGCATCTATTAGGAGCTCATGAGGCATAAGGGTCGCACCGCTGATCTTCCTCGAACCAGACTCCACGCGCATCATGTACTTCTCGAACCCCTCCGGATCGTGTTCATAGAACCGAGTCATGTTGTTCTTCATGCACTGAGAAGAGACACGGCTGTAGATGATCTCTTTCCAACGATTTGCAGACATGAGGGGTTCCGGAACGGCGATGACTTTGCGAAGAGCGGTGAGAACCCAGCGTTGGTAATACGAACGCAGGACATGCGTCTCCATTGAGGGAACCTCTTGACCGGGAACGACAGAGATTCTGGAAGGACCAATAGAATACGAGTGTTGGAGAAGCTGAGATATAGCGGAGGCGATGTTGGTATGGCGATCATGTGAACGACCTGGAGTGGGTGCCCATTTGCTGACGAGAGTGATCTGTCGTATAAGTTCGTTACGCTCCTCGCCGGCAGATAACGACTCGATACGATCCAGTAGTTTCACATCTTCAGCCAACTGCGCAGCAAAGAGACGAGCTACCAAGATGTAGAGGGCCCGGAAACGAGGTTCGGAGAGTTTACGCAGGAGATTCTGGTGAAGACGTAAATTCACGTTCTCCCTCTTTCGTCTAGCTTCAGCTTTTTTCGCCTCATTAGTCGCCTCTCTCGCCTTCTCAACCTTATTCCCCAGGAGATCCGTCACCGCCTTCTTGGGTTTAGACTTTCGAGAATAGTTGTCCCACCGACGTCTGCTCGTCGCCGGCATGTAATTGTGGAGGTACGTTGAGGGCTTGTTAAGAGGGCCAAGTTGGTCCAGCGCGGCAAGACAGAGAAGGTTAAGTAAGTCCTTCCAATAACCATGAGGAGCTGCATCCTTGCCCTTGTGAAGGGAACACAGAGGTTTCACAAGCTGTGGCAAGTTTTCCAGCGCTGTGCGAGGATGATTTTTGTAGAGCCAACCCCACGCCCTTCAGAAGATATGAACATAAGTTGCCGTGGCATGAAAAGACAACAGTGAAACTTACTGATAAAAAATTTCCTTCTCGCCTTTTCCATCATGGATACTCCTCGAGTTCCAGATGATACGCAAGGTTAACTCAGGGTCCTCCTCCCATGCTTTCCCCAAGTAACGATAGATGTGAGAGCCGAGGGACTGGGGCCTGAGCATATTGAAAGCATCAAGAGTGGCTGAAAGTGTAGAGTCGAAGGTGGGAGCATTGTTGGTGGTCCGAACGCGATGAGTAGTAGATTTTAGAGCTTCCATCATTGGGTTCGAGGGTTGAGCAGCAGGACCAGCCTCCTTTACTTCCGCCTCGCGCCGAGGAACGAGAAGATCAAGGAAGTTGCTATCATAGAGCTCAGGGATGGCGGGGAACACGACGTTTTGAGAGGTAGCAAAAGTAGCAGGAGTCGACATGAGTCTGAATTGGAGATGAGAACCTGTATGAGGTGGGATATAAGTCTTCCTTCCACGGAGGCGAGGACTTGCAGTAACTTTACGGGCTATCTCTCGAATATATACCCTCCCGGCCATTGGAGTGGCTACAGCCCGCTACCGGCACCGTGTCAACAATGACTAGAATTTGTTGGCCAGTGTCAATGTCCTCCAGAACTGAGTCTCACAGAGTCATAGGTTGATTTAGTACGGTGATCAGAGTCAACCCCGATATCTGAATTCACTGCCTTCTCGAGTCAAACTGAGACTCGTCCAACTGATGCATGATGGTCTCACTTGTTACAGTATCCTGTGAATACAAAACTTTGCTGGTGAACTGGTTTTACGATTGAATTAGATATTGAACTGAATTACCTCATGTGTCGTGGAAGAGAAATGAGATGATCGCAGCTGGAAGTAGTAACTAATGGCGCTACTTCGACTCTATAGTTCTTGTCATTGCGCAGCGTGAAGTCATAATCATTACAAGCAGGTCTTTCAAGATACAACAGGCAAGGTCGCCATCGTAGAGTACATTATCATAGAAGTACACTACTGAAGCAACAACAAAGCAAGGTATACGCGAGTAGAGCGACAGCAACAAGGATAAATATTCGGAAAGAAAGCAGAAAGCAGAAAGCAAAGGGTATAACTAGCACGTACAAAAACATAAGGTTCATCAGGACATAAATCAAGATTAAGTTAGCCAAGAGAAAAACTTTGGAATCGTATAATCTCAAACGTCCGACGCATGAGCGGAACAATGAAATCAATTGTCGGAAATTGAAGGCGTTCCAAATAATCCTGGACTTCGTCGTCGAGGGGGTGACACCACGATTGGTTCTATCTCGAATGACCCAGAAGACGGTTCATAGTTAGGATCGGCTGAATAGATGTTATGCTCAGGCAGCGCAAAAGGAAGAACTGGTAGACGTACGTTGCCATAAATTCCACGAACCTGACCTATCAGGAGGAATATCAGGCCCAGCAGCAAGATGAGGTACACGTGGCTGTCTTCTCAATACTCGAGGCCCTTGAGGCGGTGCATGCGGTGGCTGCGGATGAGGACTTTGGACTACAGGTGGAGGAGGGGGAGGAGGGGGAGGAGGGGCGGGGGGATCCCCAGGAGGTGGACCACGGCCACGGCGCCTGACGCGTGTTCGTCGAGTCTCACGCCAGCCACTGGGTACACGGGGAGGAGGACCCTCGGGCTCAGGAGGAGGTGCTGTTTCAGGAGGAACAAAAGCGTCAAGTGGTGCTTGTCCCCAAGTTTCAGGCGTCCTGATACAAAATCAATGAAAAGCGTATCTAAAGGTATTTCAGTAACTCGCCAGTCGTCATTCATAAGACCTCCAGGAGCGAACTTGCGTTGGAAACATATTAGTTTACCAATTTGGCTACGAGCAGCAATGGGTTCAGGAAATTCGCATATAATTGTGTGGTACGTACAATTGCAAAGTTCTCCGCTTCTCGTGTAATCTCCCCAGCTCTTGAATTAGTAGTCGTACTTCAGTTGCGAGAGACTGGCTGAATTCCGCTAGATACTGTGGAATCGTATAATTCAATGTAGGAAGCTCGCAAAGGGCGTTAGAACGTACGTCTCGAACGTTGTGCGGGACACGTTCGTGGGCAGCCGCTTCCGCAGCATCTACGATCCTTTGAGTTCGTTCCTCTAGCCTTCTGTGACAGTCTGTCGAAGCCGTAAGATGATGCAATCAGACATCACTCAACCAACCACTCACCACCGGACATTTCGCGCAAAGCTTCCTGGAATTCGGTTTTCCATCCGGCTAAGGAATCTCGAGTCATGTTTTGCATCTCTGTCCAACATAAGCATGATCAGACAACGTACAAGGTCTTAAGTCGAAGGTAATCGATCTCACCTTGCATAGCAGATTCGAGCTCGCGTGCTCTCTCATCAATGCGATCCTTACAACTCGCCTTCTCTTCCAGAAGTTCTTTCAGTTGGTCCTGCATGTCCTTCCACTGAGCGTTCTTCACTGCACGACGATTTTCCTTGTCTATCCATCTCTCTTCTTGAACTTCACGCTTTTGGGCACACGCTTCGCGTTGTTCCAACGCCAAATTCGCCACATCTGCCAATTGAGCAGACAACGACTCTCCACGATCATAATCTTCCCGTCTTTCTTCATCGTGTCTCTCAGCTGCTTCCAACTCGCGACTCCGCGCCTCTTCCTTCTCAGCCTGCAATGCGGCAAGCTGCTCTTCAAGTGCCCGAACTCTAGCATGGTATTCCTCATCGCTACGTCGCCTTTCTTCGGCATAATCTGCTTCCTTCTGAGCCCGTTCTGCACGCTCAGCCTCGAGTTGTCGAGTGGCCTCTTCCCGTTCTGCGGAAACAATATCTCGAATCTCTTGACTATACCTAGCTGCTGCCTCGGCCGCGGCTTCGGCCGCTGAAGGTGCGAGCGAAGGAACACTGGCAGGTGGGGGTACGTGGGGAATATCCTCCGCTGTAAGTGGCGCCGGAGGCCCAGGTACCGCACTTGGGCCTGGAGGAAATGAAGAAACCGGTTCGGGTGCTGCTGTTTCAGCCGCAGGAATTGCAGCCAGACGGTCCTCAACAAGGCGTACAGAGTGCTCTCGGCGCAACCTGGCTTCCTCGTCCCTTTGAGTTTCATGATCGAGGAAGATTCGATCCCGCTGCTCTTCATTCTGTCGGAATATATCTTCACGTCGGCGTTCACCTCCTTCAACATGGTCCAGGGTTTCCAAGAACTGGGACTCCATGTCTTCAAATCGTGCCGCACGGTCACGCTCAGCATCAGCATAAGCCAAATCATACAACCCAGACGGTTCGCGGGTAGCGACTGCCATACGTTGTGGTGCTTCTGGTGCAGGTGCTTGGACCGGCATTTGGGTTGGCGGTCCTGCACCACCGGGAGGGGCTAACGGAGGGACTACTGCGGGTGGTGGAACTGGAATCGATGGGGTCGAAGGTGGAATTGTCGGCTCTGCAAACGCAACACGTTGAGCAGGTGCCTCGATGGGTACTGGTGCTCCTCCCCTATCATGTTCTACAGGAATACCGGGAGTAGATGGATACCCATAGTCACGTTCAGAAGTTGGTACCCGATGAGTAGGCACTCGGCCGGGTGGTGATACGTCAGTGGCCGCTATAACATCTTTATTAGCGCATACAATTGCTCAAATACAATAGATACGTACCCGGTCTGGAAATGAGAGGTGAATAGTGAGGTTCGGCATGTTCGGGAACTGGAAGATTGTCAGCCATGGCCTGATAAGAAGTGGAACTATAACCTCACCTTCTCCATATCTATGTGGTGGAGAACTAGGAACGCGTATGATCTGAGTGCCTTCTCTGGAGGGCATACGTTCAGATGGGCGCCCAAGGCTTACTATCGTTGGAGGACGTGATACTCTTGCATAGTCACGAGCACGGGTAGGGACTGGCACTGGAGCGGGACTAGCCGTCCTACTGCTGGGGGATGAGGGAACTCTGCGAGGTGATGAGAGGCGCGTTATTCTGGGTGGAGCCGATGGAATCTCTTGTTCAAAGCCATACTGGGGAGAAGGCGTACGACGTGTTGGACGACGGGAACTGCGAGTGCGAGCTGTACGGGGAACCACGAGAGTTGGAGACATCGATCCAACGGTGTGACGTCCAGGTTCGATATGAACAGGTCGAGCATCCTCCGGACCTGTGATTATGATGGGAGGTGTGCGCCGAGATGGGCGACCTGAATGGGCAGATATGGTCATTGGGGACGGCGAGGATAACGAGCGCGGCGGGACAGATTGAGATCTTGGAGGACGATGAGGACGACGTGGTGGTCGATCAGCATCAGACAACGAACTACTCCTGCTGGGCCTGTAAGGACGTCGACGCCTACGACGAGGATCTGAAGCTGTACGAGAAGGATATCTTGGATGACCACCAGGAGAACGAGAATATGACGGTGTACGTGAACGATATGGCGAGTAGTGCCGGCGGCGGGGCCTGCGCGAACCTCTGGAGCTTGGCCGTCTACCACTGGAGGGTAATAAGGTTACACCGGGTGCAGCCATTGTGCCATGAGGTGGAGGAGTGCGTCTAGATGAATCATGGCTACGGATAATAACAGGTATGCTTGGGTCATGATGAGAACGCGGTGGAGAACGAGATGGACGGTGGCTTGCCCTAGGATCGTACGTAGATGCTTGTGGCTGCGAAGGAACATGAATGATTTGAGGACTACCTCGTCCTGAAGCGTGGGAAGGCGTGGTGACTCTAATGACTTGCGTTGGCTGTTGACCTGGAAAACCTGGTCCTTGCATAACAGACGGCTGGATATATCCAGGTTGGCCGGGGGCTGAAGGCGGAAGGATAATGGGTGGAGGGGCCATACCTGGATAAGGCGCTGGACCCTGCTGAACTACAAACTGAGGTTCAGGCCGGTGGTGTCTCCTTGGGCTTGAGCTTCGAGAACTAGATCGAGATGTACGTATCCTGATTTCCGTAGGTCCCGGTCGGCGAGGAGAAGACGATCGGGAATGACGGCGGCTCCGAGGAGCCTCGTGAGGCCGGTCGTAGTCAGAGCGACTAGGGGCTGAGGGATGGTGGGCCGTTGTGTGGATAACAGAAGGTGGACGATCCGAGGCTATAACTAAATGTGTCGGTTGAGGACTGTGGCGAATATCAGAAACTGGATGACCAGAGGGCGTCATCATTACCGGGGGCTGCTGAATCACGACAGTCGGCATCTGCCCTGCAGCAACAGGAGGCGCAACTTGGGGTTGCTGAGCCCCTGGTCCAGAAACTACCACCATAGCAGCTGCGGGTGCAGGCGCATGTCCGACATCGGCCACGTGAGGCACACCACCGACATCGGACTGAGGGACTACAAATTGCGGAGATGGACGTCTGGATGGACGATCAGCATCGGACTCCACACGGCTGGGGCGACCACTAGAACCGGGAGGATAGGACTCTGGTACAGGAATTATCGTTGGCATAGTTCCCGGGGGTGGCGGAACTAGTATTGGAGGACCCACACCCGGATGGGAAGGTGGTGGAAAAAAGATTGTCCCTGGTGCCCCGTGCTGGGATCGTGGACTCGAAGATCTACTGCTGGAACTATAACTTTCATCTTCTGGACGAGGAGGTATAAAAATGTCCTCTTCTGTGCGAGGTGGAGGTCTTACATGGAAAGGTGTAGGTGGGCGTCCAAACGGTGGTTGAAACGGTGGTACAACAGGTACGGGGTAATCTTGGTATGGTGGTATGACAGGCGTGGGTGAGCGACCAGGGGTTCGTGGAGGAATAACTGGGAACTGTTGATGTGATACACCCGGAATTACTGGTTGTCCAGAGAAAGGTGGAGCTGGTCCTACAACAGGCGGAATAACAAATGGGGGACCTTGTCCCGGTTGAAAGGTTATGTGTTGCTGTTGCATGGGAGGTTGCCCTACATTGATGGTTCAGCTGGGTTCGATCACTATGTTATCAATCAAGACCTACCTCCGGGCTGTCTGAATTGGTCGACACGGCGAGTCAAATCGTCTATCCTTGCATTCACGTCTCTGATGTCTGCTTGTCGGCCTCCTACATCGCGACCAAGCCAATCATTCAAACGTCTGAGATATCGCATGATTTCACCCTGTTGCTCTAATGTTGCTCCTTGAGCTAGTCGATTCTCCTGTGTTCAAAGTGTGTAAGATGGACTATTCGTCGTGCATTCAAATGGGGAAATTCATACCCGAACAAGGGCCAAAATATCGTCAAATGTTGGCGGAAGCTGGAGAATCGTCTGCGAGAAAGGAAATGAGTAATTTGGAGATACGAACTTCCGAAAACAAGCCTTACTGGTGGAGGCATCGGAGGGGGAGCAGCAGGGGGAGCTACAGGAGGACGGACACCAGGAGCCGGCTCAGGAGCAAAAACTCCTGGAGGAGGTAAGATGGGCTGCTCAGTTATGGCTGCAGGTGCAGTGGGAGGCCTCGGAGGCTGATAGACGGATAGTCAGGCGAGGAAAGAAGTAGCTGTTTGTGTGACTTACCAAAGGACGACCAACGTCACCAAAGCGTGTTGTACCTGGCTCTCGGGGAGGCCGCCGGGGGAAGTCTGCTTGAGTTAGAGGCCTACCTGTTGGAGGTCTACCCGATGGAGGCCTAGGAAAATCTGGCTGAGTGAAAGCCGAGTCGCTGACTGAGGGGGGTCCACCGCGAGGCGCTCGAGGAACTCGAGGACGTCGATCACGGAATATTGGAGGACGCGTGAGAGGCACAGTACGAGCACGATCGGGCAGATGCACTTCAAACGTAGGACTCACACTTCGTGGCCTGATTCCAGGCGCAGGGCGATACTGGAGTGTGACCAGCGGAGGTGGAGGTTGCACCGTTGGTGCAGGTAGACCCGGCTGAGGAGTCAAAGTCTGCATCAAAAGGTCATCTAGAGTTGGACCAACACGTTCTGGTATTGGCATAGCAAGATGAGGGCGTCCATCCCCAACTGCTCTTTGAGCCATATTGCGAAGACGATGTAACAAGGATGAGACATCAGGGGATGACTCGTAGGACGATTCTGACTCTTCCTCTGTGGGCATAGTCGGTGCAGGCCTTGCTGCTTGCTGCGGAAGATTTTGGAGAATGCGCTGTACAGCATCTTCCAGGCCACGCAGCTTGTCTCGAAGACCAAAATCAGGTTCCCGTGCTCGCTGTGAAAGATCATCTAGCATTCTGTTTGTAGAGCCTTGACCTTCCTGTAGGGCTGCCACCTGCTGTTGTATGTTGCGTAGCAGCTCCTGCAGGGGCGAAAGATCAATCGGTGGAGCAGCTCTCATGTCGAAACTAGAGATATATGTAAGTATACGACCGAATTGCAATGGACAGATCCGCCTACCGAGTGGGTGATTCCGAACGATCGCTAGGGACGTAGCCGACATCCTGAGGGAAATCAGGTATCGAGGAAGACAACGAAGAGGATTCAGATGAAGAGCTTGGTGGAGACATCGAGGGCGAAGGCGGATGATAAGGATACGGTTCAGGTTCCATCAAACTAAAGTCGTCCGAATAATGTGAAGACAAGAATGACATTGTATCCGATAACGTTTCAGGGCTCAGAAGGGGACTCCTCATTTCCGGTGGTGTGATTGGGAGCGGAACGAGTCGGCGATCCCTCGAAGGACGATCTCTGAACGGTTCCGCATAGGACAGCTTGTCACTACCGCCAGCAGCACTGTCTTTACGAGGAACTTCTGGAGGCATTTCTGGACGTGATACGGTTCGAGGTCTATCACCCATCAACTGGTCGACATCATCTTTAATGGCTCGCGTATTACCCAGAATATCGTTAATCTGGGGACCTCTTGTTGCTTCAATATCTCGCAAGTAGTGCAAGAGAATGTTGATATCATGGGCCAACACGTCGCTTGGACCTGGAGGAGGAATCGTCTCAGGATGTTCCGAAGGGATTGTCTCCAGAGTACTATGGATCGAGGGTATATTTTCTGAAGGTGTGCCGACACTGACGGACACAGAAGGTGTGGGGGGACCAGGCGAAGGCGGACGGGGAACATCTCGAAGGACGATCTTAAGAAAATCGGTATGTTAGAAAATGTATCCTGTGAAACTCAAAGTGTCACGTACTGGCGTTGGAGTCCCATCGCGAGTAGAAAGAAGCGAAGGTTCGGTAGAAATGTCGTCCAAGGGCAATTCACGAAGTGCAGGAGATACAATCGAGGGTATAGTGGGTATAGTAGATATACTTGAAACAGTTGAAATAATCGACGGCGTGCGTGACAAATCGACAAGTGTAGGTCCCAAAGGTGGAGAAGATGGAGATGGCGTAGGCGTGACTGACACAGGAGATACCGAGATAGACTGAGGAACAGGGGAACCCTCTGGAATAGGCGTCATAATAGTTAAATCAGGTTCACTTTCGATGGAAGGACTCGGCCTGAGATACGACGTCTCGAAAGAGAAATCCGGGACATCTGGCAGACCTATTGACTGGATAGATGGAGATGGACGGAGGATGGACGAATCGTAAGAAATATCGGTGCTACTTTGCCACAGCGTTTCTGGTGCAGATGGAGAGGTGACGGGAGGAAGTTCTACAGTCGAAGGTATTGAAAGTTCAAGGTCGCTTGATACCTCAGGAACAGAAGACTCGGAGGATACCACAGATATCGAGCTTGTTGTAGGCGTGGATATAGTTATCTCAGGTTCTGGCGGACCAACCGGAGAAGGTTGAGGTAAAGTCTCGCTTTCCAGAAGCGATGCTGAAGATACAGTCGAGGTTCTTTCTGGAGACGGCGATCTGATTGGGACTGGGACGGGGACTGGGACAGGCTGTGGTAGATCTACATATGAAAGCGCACTGGATATGCGCGACAAAGGTGGCGATGGAGATGGCGAGATAACCATGGCAGGTGGCGTTGTGGGAACAACGTCCTTTTGGTATCTGCGCTCCGCTGTATCGTATTCCGTCGATACTTCTGTTGGTGTTGGACAAAGCTCAGCGGTGGTGTAGTCGCTTGAGGGTTCAGTCGGACATAGCTCTGCGGTCTCGTATTCTGTCGTCGACGGCTCTGTTGGACAAATTTCAACTGTCTCATACTCAGTCGAGCAGACCTCTGCAGTCACATAATCGGAGAGGGATGGAATAGTCGGCAACGAAGCGAACGAAAGGGCAGGGCTTGTTGCTGTCACATACTCCGAGACGGAAGCAGAAGGCGTTGCCTCCTCGATAGGTGCACCAGTACTCTCCGTTTCTCTTGTCTCCATGGGAGTAGAAATGTCCGGCAGAGTAGGTGTCTCGCTCTGACTTGCTGTGTAGCTATAACTCTCGAGGGTGCTGAAGGAGTACGGGCCATCTGTAGAGGACTGAGAACTCGAGTACGTGCTCGAATACGTGTACAATTCCGAGTTCTCCTTGTCCGAAGACTCCTCTGTTTCAGTGAGGTATCCAGAAGAGTATGATTGGGAGCTCGCAAAACCAGATCTCCTGCGTATCCCACCACAGCGAGTGAGTGAAGTACCCGAAGATGAAGGGGAAAATGAACGATTAGATGCCGGGCCGGTATGGGAGTCACCCAATAGAGAGGCAGATGCTGTCCGTCTTAGCGACAACGTGGAAGGTACGATGTTGGTCCCCGTGCCAGATGTGATTTCCACAATAGTTTCGTCTGTTACCAGCCCTGTTGTGATAGTTGAATCAAGCGTAGTCAAAGGATCACGGGTGAATGACGAAGAGGTGTAGAAACTCGTCGGAGGAGTCGTTACCGAATCACTGCGGGATGTTGCAGAGAAGAAGACATCGTCCGAAGTCGAAGTGGGTGTCTCGGAAGGATGACTTGCTCTAGATCTGATCGAGCCGGAGAGTTGATGAATGTCTGACATGTCTGGAATATCTTCGATACGAATGTAGTGCAGCGAGGTTGAGCCCGACCCTGTGTTTGAACGCGAGACCTGGCTGTCAACCGTATGCACTGTCCTGATGGATCCAACAGGTGAATCAGTATTCGAGCGGTCAGGTATACTGACAGAACGATTCAGAATTTCCCTATGTTCATACTTTCGTCAATACAATTTTGTGTATTAGGAAAGAATAGTCCTCACCAGATAGCATCAACCCATGCCGCACGCTCAGCGGGCGACTCAGCAGCGAGTCTCTCAATACCATCGCTATATAACAGATGGAATGGACACAGGAGCGATATGAGGTCCACATCCCCGTAACTTTGTTCTCTCGCTGCCTGAGTACCATAGTCATCTGCAACGCGAGGATCTGATGGCGAGCGCGTGGATTCGACTTCGATACAATTCAGCAAATCTAGTGTTGCAACTCCTCTACCTCCTCCAGGAGCGATCCATGTGAGAACAAGCATCCTCAAATACAAAATAGCCTGACATCGTTGCCATTTGTATGGTGGGGAGGCGTGGACGTTGAGATACCACAAGGAACCAATTCGCAGCGGCTACAGCAGGGAAACATGAGCGATCGATCTCAAAGTGATGTTCTCGAAAAGGAAACTTACTTTGGATGTTGCACCAACGTATCCACCCAACGCTTGAATGTCGAAGTCGGAAGCTAAAGATCCACTGGGACTGGGTTTGTCATTGTTGCTTTTCCTGGAGCGGTCCTCATCTTCGTCGGTAGGCCCGCGTATCCTTGGTGTCAAGTCGAGTTCACTACGCAGATGCTGGGAACCTTTACTACGTCCACTTCCTCCCGATGGGGGGGAGCCTGTAGAAGGCGATCTGTCTGTCTTGGCAGCAGTGGGCGTTTGCTCCCTCCAACGCTGCATGATATTACGAACTGCAGATAGCGGTGATCGTGGAGACGTTTGTGGCCGGCGAAAAGTGGTGGTCGTTTCTGTTTGTGCAGTAGTGCCGGAGCGCATCGTCATGAAAGAATGCGATAACGTATCAGTGCCAGTAAAAGGCTCCGTGGGCGTAAACGTGTCTGTCGTACGAGTAGCTCCCGAAACGAATGTAGAACTCTTGGTAGGCAAGGTTGAGCGTGAAGTCGTATACCCAGCAGTACCGGTATGAGACACCGTCGTTCTGCTGAAAGACGTGAGAGTGGGCATGGAATGGCTTTGCGCGGTAAGTGAACTTTGCTCCCACAGCTCCGAAGGTTCTGATGCCGAGCGACTATGAGCTCCGTCCGCAAGCGAGATGGCTCCAAGTCGTTGTTCCCAATAAGCAACTTTCTCCCCTATACGAGGTCCAACTGGTGATCTTGGTCCATGTAACAGTGGTCTTGGCGAATGAGGCGTTTCGGTAGCGGACCTCGTATGGACTGGCGCTCGAAGTATAGAAGAAGAATTGATTTGGTCAGGTTGTGCGAGCGAGGTTGGTCGGGAATTAAGGTCCTCGGTACGCTCGGGGATCGTACTGAGCCTTTTTTCAGGGTCAAGGCCGGCGATATCTGTATTCCAGTAACCTTCGGGTGAGGCAATTGATAAACGACTAGTGATAGCTCGAGAAACTTGTTGAGGAGTTGACCAAGATTGCATGGCCGACCCGATTTCTGCATTGAGTTGGGCGAAAGTAGTACTAAGATTGGAACCATCATGATTCCCCGTCTCTTCACGAAGGTGCTGTAGATCAGACGTGAAGTCGCCGTCATGTTCATACCGCGTCGTGGAAGGGGTAACTGTGGCTGCAAATTCAATACTTGAGTAATTGGCAACAAAGAATTTGAAGCAACGTACGCGATCGTGCCGGCGAACCAGAGGTCCGCATGGGCGTCTCCGTTCGTGACAGAGTCGAGAAAGTGGTGGTCCCAGGGGACTGAAACGGCGACGACAAGTCAGAGCCGGTCATATTTCTAGATATGCACGTAGATCAGGCCTCCCCATGGGCGTAGGAGACAAGAACGAACCCAACAGTTTGAAACCTTCATCGCATATATCAAACCTAATTCCAAAGTCCAACTTCACACGCGACGCGACCTCAAACGCGAACGTGACCGTGAATCTTTTGATCTCGTTTAACGCGCACGTCTGCTCAGGAAAGAAAATCATACATACTGTGACGCGTCTCTGAGCTTAGTTTATTATGCACCAAGTTCTCGTTCAGACTCACCGAACCGGTCTGTTCCTTTGAATGTTGATCAGTTTATAGTACATGATATACCGCCCTAAGTTATTGCTGGGAGCGTTTTGCCATACCAGCCGTTTCCACTTAAGGCAATGCTTAGTCAGCACAGACACATACATAAAGGCTCCTCGATGTCCCCTTGGCGTGAACCACTTTATCGTCGCTGCATGGTCTGACCATGCGGACTTTCCTCACTAACCTAGCGTGCCCCTCAAGGGGCAAGGTCACTCCGATGAAGCCTTCGACAGTGGCACCGTTACCAGTCGAGCTCATCGCGATGATCATGGGGTTCCTGCAGCATGATTCGCGTGCATTGGGGAAATGTTCCCTCGTTTGCAAGACCTGGTTCTCTCTGGCTCGACACAAGCTCTTCCGTTACATCCAAGTTCCGTACTTCGCAGCTTCTGGCAAGAACGGGTTCAAGCCCTTCATCAAGTTTCTGCAACAGAGCCCGAATGTTCGGCCACTCATCAAGAACCTGACTCTCAAAGCTTATTCAATGAGGCGTCTTAGTATGGTCTCTCATCGCTGGTGGCTACCGCGTAGACGGCCTGCGATCCTCGATCCATGCACCCTTCTCACCATCTGTTCCATGTTACCTGGCCTTTTAACGCTTAAGCTCGATCTCTTGCAATGGGACGAGCAATGGACCACTGGGAAGTGTTGGGGTCGCAAGGCCATAACGCCACCAAGGGCGGGGCAAGTCGTTAGTTCTCTGAAGGAGTTGAGCATTAGCGCTATGTATGCCCCTCACCTTGATTTCCTCCGATACTTCTCGTCCATCCAGCATTTACGTCTGTCAAAAGTGAGCGGTGCGGACGTGTCCTCATCACCTTCGACCGTGTCCATCAGCGCGATCTCTATGGAGCACATTCTGAAGATGGAGTCCTGGATTTCCTTGTTTTCGAGAAGCGGCGTAGAAGATAGCTGTCAATCGCTTGCCATCTCTTTGCTCGATTTGCGCAGTTTTATCCCTTCCTGCCCTCGTTCTGCTCTCGCTAAATGGCTTGACGTAGGAGGGATGGGTAGTCGTTTGCGTCACCTGACGCTCCAGCTCGATTTTGTATCTGCAGCTGCGTGTACGTCTTCTTCACCTCCTTCATGACATGTTTGCTAAATATTTTTCCAGGTTCCGAGATCACCCAAATTCCGTGGTCATCCCTTGGCCTTGACAGTTGCACCTCACTTCAGTCCTTAACCTTTATAATATCCATCGTTGAGTCGTACGCCTTTGGCGACACATTTTGGAACTGGGAGGCCGTGCTCTATGTCTTGGAGCATATTCCGGCATCCACTATCAACCAAATCACCCTTCATTTCGCCTGCTCGATGGCTGGATATGTGTCAAGTGAACAGTCCGTATTTACCCAGCTCCAGCGATTAGATTGGGGTCGATTCGCTACTACGTGCACTCGCTTCCCGCTCAATGCACGTACCTCTCTGAAGGTGTCGTGCCGAGGCCCTAACGACGTCCAGTCTGAATTGAGGATTCAAACACTGGTAGATGAAAAGCTGCGAGCACATTTGCCATCATGATCGCAGCAGAGCCACTTTGTCTGGTCTTCCTCCACATAGTATACGCATATAAACTAATTCATAGATGCCCATGCTACACCCATAGACTCGGATACAATGCTTGATATCCAGGATCATTACTCGCTATCTATATATATTTCTTGTATACTTCTTCCCTGCGAGCTGTAGCATTATGCTAAATATGGAAATCTGACAGAGGCCCTCAGACAACAACGACAAATACTGTAATAATGAGCGCGACTGGCCGGATTCTGAAGGCTCAAGGATGTTTTGCTTCCATGATTTACTCCATACCGGCTGCGCAATGAGCACTAGCTGTCCTTCGTACAAGATAGTTCGACGTCTCTTTTATCTATTCCTCTAATTCATTTGCCGATGTTTCCCCTCCATGCCTACAATAGACTCAGACATGTTTCAAATTCAGATATTCAAAGCTTCCAGTGACCTCCCGGCGCGCCACTCATTCATCCATATCTTGACTATGTCAACTCTTTGACGAAGGCTCTTCGTCTCCTCGCCTATCTCTACAAATTTAATTCCTAGCTTCGTAAGGATGTCCTCGAGCATGTCGGTGTACTTCGATGGATCCTTGAGTGAGCGGATGCCGTCATCAAACAACCATTCGGGTACCGGCTTCAAGACCACTGGCTGTAGGGTAAGCATACCTCGTCTTTAACTGTGTGTACCCTCACCAAAAAGTGATCTTCTGTATACAGGAAGTATCGTGCGAAAATCGTGATCTTCCAACAGTCTCTCTCCCGTCTCCTTAGCGATTTTGACCTTCGCACTGAACGCATAGACTATGGGATCCACGGCTGATCTATCGCTCAGCAGTACCAAACCCTCCGATGTGGACTTCGCATCGTGAAGTACTCGCGTTTCCGCTTCTATTTGCGCTTTCATGATTGCGGCTTGCATGTCGTATGTATGCGTATCGTTTCTTGTGAATCCAGTCGACCTCATAACTTTTCTTGCTACCTCTTTGATATATTTGGAACGGTCCAGGCAGAGATCTTCGACCAGAGCGTCGCATAGCGTTGTCTTTCCGCTAGAAGACGGACCCAGGACGAAAATTGCTGCCAGTGCATCGTTCTTTGCCGTGGAACTCGAATCCATCTTGCCTCTTGTCGAAAATCGATGTGAAGAGATAGTATTCGGCTTGATAACGTGCGTATCGGATTCCTGCATGTTCAGTTCGCGTGTGTTCTTTGTCGACGTAGTGGTGCTTACTTTGCAGTCCTCGACAATCTTCCCCACTCGCAATGATCGAGCGAATGTGAGCAGGAGATAGAAAGCTACAATTCTCCTCTTATCCAGCCTTCTGTGATAAGGTTCAATAGACGACCATTGAGCTTAGCGCTGTCGAGCTCAATTCGATGCTCTGCATCATTTTATCTTGTCTTATATGCGTATATGAGACAGCAGGATGCTGTTTCTAGGCGAATGCTTTCATGACCGATTGTATTCACTTTCTTAACGTTTCGCAGGCATTTCCACTCGTCTGGAGCCCAAACGCTGGCGGATTAAAAGCGAGGCGCCCTTGACCTTCATTGTACATAAGGTTCGGGACATGCTCCCACACTTGAACGTGTTAGGTCACGCTGGACATATCGTGCTGCGCAGTAGTTCGCAAAGATACTCAAATACCAGCAATCGCCTGCCACAGTTCATCTGTCTATTTCACAGGCCTTATCATGGCCACTGTCGTCCTCCGACATGGAACGTCTCCAACCGACGGCTCCTGGGTCTTTTCGAATGTAGCCATACCTCCTACAAATCGGCCAGGATATGGGAAGCATATCTCTGTCACTTCGGACAACATCTCCCTCTCTGTCATCCAATTCCCTCAAAATCGAATTATCCAGGGGGACGATCCATCAAAATTCATTCTTGTATCGTTCGCCCAGCTCAGATTCAAGCCTGAGCAGCTCAGTCAAGTTGAGATGGGGTCGGCAGCTGCAACTAGAGAATATGAAATTCGCTTGTTCAGAGAGGGCCTCGTCTTGAACGGCGTTCAATATCGTTTCTACGGGCATAGTAACTCACAGCTGGTAAGTGCTGCGTATGTGTGGAAGTTTCTTGGAATCTGACGATAATATCAGAGATCGCGTAGCTGCTTCTTACGTGAAGCACGGAATGACGAAGAACTGGATAGGAAAATCTACAGCTTTGGAGACTTTCAAAAGATCATGAATGTTGCCAAACGTCAGTAGGCTAGTTTATTCCATTTCATATCATGTGATTTGATCCATACATACAGGTGCTAAACGGATTGGTCTGCTCTTTTCTGAGGCTAAGATCGATTGGATACTAGAGCCCAAGTGGACGGCTGATATCGAGGATATCGTCGTCAATGGAGAGAACTTTTCGGATGGCTGTGGCCTGATTTCGCGCAAATTCGCAATACAATTGAGTCGCCACAAGAGGATCATCTTTCGCGGCAAGCCATATACGCCAACTGTCTTCCAAATTCGGTGCGTAACTACACCGCTCGTATTGTCATTACATTGTCTGACTTCACCTTCAGATATAGAGGCTACAAGGTTAGCTGCTTCTTTCGCTTTACGAGTTCTTCATGGCCTCATAGCTTCCACTCAAGGGTGTCCTTATGCTTTCGCTAGACTTGCAGCCGGAGCACGCTCATTTCCGCAAGAGTCAGAAGAAGTTCACTGCCACTCAAAACAACACGTTCTCCGTCGTCGGCCATTCCGTGCCATATGCCTTTGCTCGTCTGAATAACGATGTCGTCGTGCTTCTGGCGAGCCTAGGCATTACCACGGAGAAATTTGTTGAGAAGCAGCGTGCGTACCACCGCTGGGTTCGAGACACCTCTACCGAGTGGCAGGCTGCGTTTGACTTCTTATCTGCACTCGGACGTATTGAACTTGCAGAACGCTTGCTTCTAGAAGGCATCGATTCGGATGCCATACAGAAGGCAATTCGAGGATTACAAAAGTCAGAAGTTGCAAACTTTAGGAAAAATGAAGGAGGAAGATTTCGTGTTCGCACACTCATACCCAAATCCCGCTTTCTTTTCGGTGTTTGCGATCCTTATGGGGTTCTGCGTGAAGGAGAGGTTCATGTCAGAGTTATGCTTCCCCGCGAAGGTGCCACAACGCTCACCAACGTTGACGTACTGGTAGTACGGAATCCATGCTTGCACCCGGGTGATTGCGTCAAATTGCGAGCAGTCAACCATCCACGCTTATCGCATCTCGTTGATTGTATTGTGTTTGCTACGAAAGGCCGTCGTGCTGCACCTTCAATGATGTCAGGGGGCGATCTCGGTGAAGAAACTTTCTTGTCTGTTCTAACATTCTCTCTAATTGAGGGTTTACAGATGGGGACCAGTTCACCATCATCTGGGATCCTGATCTCGTCCCATCTACAGTTGCAGAGGTACGTTAGCAGTTCGCTACGTAACGGACCATGGACTGATTGATACAAGTCATACACATACCCTGCATCAAGGGAACACGTGAACACAAATATCACTCGTCAGGACTTAGCGAAGCATTTTGCATCATATAATAGGTAAAATCACCATTTGTAGATATATGAACATCTATTCATCGGCGGGTTCTTTAGCATGTCTTTGGCAAGAATTGTGGCTCTGCATAGCCGTTGGGCTCGTTATAGTTCGAAAGGCGCCATGTGCGATGAATGCCAGGAACTCAACGCGCTGCATTCGTCCGTTGTGGATGGCGCTTCTACTAGAATCCCCTCTCGACTGGAAAACATCCCGAAGAAAGAAGGTGACGAAGAGGAATATGTCCTTGATGCATTGCATCGCGAGGCTCAAGACTTTGCCGACGATTTTCTGAGTAACGATGCGTCTGCTTCCGGCCTGGCCATGGTGGATCATGAAACCGCAGAGCAGTTTCTCATAGCTCTCCTAACGACTGAGAAAATGACCCTTTCCGAATATGAAGTCTTTGTTCAGGCGGTTGCGATTTCGAGACTCCATCATATTGACTTAGTGCGCTACACTTCGCATATCGACTTCTCGGCCATGTCTATTGCTGAAAAGCATGCTGCTAGTGCAACGCTGGATCTGACTCCTGAACAAGCACCATACATCTGGAATAGGTAAGTACTAGTCCTTGGATTGACCTGTCTTCCATTGCTTATACATTCTCGTAGTCTCGTCAGATCCGATATCCTTCAGCCAAGAGATCTTGAAAGTCGAGATCTCGGGGGTCCTCTGCGTGTGCAAAGACTATATACATCATCCATCCAGGGCCGTGCAGGTTTCTTCGAATATTTGAAAGAAGCCATCGAAGATTACAATCGACGGCTTGTAATCTTGAGGGTGAGCCACTTCTTGATGACAATGTTTCCAGACACTTACTATCGTGTCAATCCGAAGACAGATGAGCGGTTCTCCGTTGGCATCTTTATGAGGGGACCCATTACTTGGAATGATGAGGTACGTCTCCTGGTTGAACTGGTCGCTGGAATACTCTGACGGGCTTCGATCCAGCCTCCCGTGGACAACAATGTACTAGTCTGTTTCTTCATGCCACGTGCAATGACTGTGTCATCAACGTACAAGCGATCAACGAAAGGCTATAAACTCCATTGCAGTGACAGCAGAATGGAGCTGTATAACCAACAGCGCGGTGATACATTCATATTCATTACACGTCCGCCCCCGAGATCGGGCGCGGACATTATTACAAGCATTGCGCTACAGAAGATATCCAGTCATGTGATGCGCGTCTGTATCTAACTCTCTCGTTTGCTCTTGCGAAGACTGATTATACTATTTATGACAACAGCAATGCGGCAGAGTAAACCGAACTCCAGTAGTTTCACTCGAAATTCACGTCGTCTCGAATCGTGATCGCATTGGACACCAAGCGTTTGACTTGCGATTCGAACAGTAAGCCTTGATTATTTCACGTCTTGTGTTTGACTTAGTGCGGTGTTAGCGTTCAGACGGAGGAAGTCTTGCGCCGTTTTGACCACCGACCTCACTCCTTCATTCCCTCGTCATTGCAAAGTGTGATATGGTCTGAACGTTCGCCTGAAGAGCAAGTGATCTTTCAAGGCAGTCGCGATCAGGCGGAGCTAGTTCTTAGAGATTCATCGGAAGATGATCTCATGGAATATATGCAGTTTGCAGTGGAACATCGGGCTGAGGAACACGTGTTCTGGATCTTCGACGCACTTCTTTCTCATCCTGAACCCATTGCCGAGGCACTCAGCCAGTGCATGGACCAGTATCCGCCGCTAGCGTTTTCCGTTCTCAAGAAACATCTAACAGACGATCACGTTGTATTGCCAGAATGGCTCAACCACTCTGTACCCTCTCTTATACGCAACATCATTAGGTCCTCGAATCAACTCGGTATCGCTTCCTTGGTAGCCTTGGAGAAAGTCTCAGTCAACCTAAGCGCACTCGACTTATCGCATTATATCTCACTACTCTGGACGGCTGCGTTGACTGTTCGCTCGCCAGAGTTGGTTCAGGAAGTATTCCTTGTAATGCATGAAAGTCATATTGCGCGGCATGTCAATGATATGACATACGTTTACGCTCATAAGCAAGCTCTGGGCGTTGTATTCGACCGTGCTGAGGAAGCCGCAGATGCATGTCCATGTGACGAGTTTGGCCGACCAAGGAGGCAACGCACAAAGCCAACTCGCGGCAGGTTACACCTTCCAAAAGCTTCCAACGATGAGGCCGACCACGGTACGAAGACTCTTGGCGGGTCCCCGGCACTCGTGGTGGCAGACATCCGCGTCGACGCACCAACACCAATTCGAATCCATTCCCATATTCGTCTACAGGTAGCCTCCTCACCCGAGCATTCGACTCTTCCGCCCTCTGTGGTTGATGCTATTGTCGTCAGAGCCTCCAAGGGCGAACTCTTCTTGACTCTACAGCAGCCACTTCCTCCTGAATATGCGGAAGTTGACTGGAAGTTGTATAGTGCTGGCAGTATCGCAACTTCGAAAGCTATGTTAGATGCTGTTCAGAAGTTAGCTATGGAAGGTTGGGAGAGCTGCCGATTCCACAAGATCATCACGGGGACAGAAACTCCAGAGCTGAATGGTATATCCTCTCAGACAATTCAAGACACCCACTCTTCAGAAATCTCAGACATTCCAGCTTCACTGAACAGGAGTCAACGGCGTGCAGTCATATCGGCTTCTACGGAGACGATGTCTTTGATATGGGGACCTCCTGGTAATATTCATTCTCATAGTGCGTTTTGCTAAGATTAATTGGGGCCTTGGATAGGCACTGGAAAAACTACAGTTGTTGTTCAGATTCTGTTGCGGTTCCTTCGCAGAAACCCTGATGTTCGCATACTGATGACCGCATCAACGCATAACGGTGACTTTCTTCCTATATCAAACCTCGCTCAATGCTAAGTCGAACTCCATTAGCCGTCGACAACGTACTAGAACGGTTTGTAGCAGAAAATGAAGCTAATCACCTTCTTGAAGACGAGCAAATACTACGAGCTGCAACGGAGAGTTCTAGGGTCAACAAGGCATTGCAAAAGTACACCATCGATGCGCGACTTGGAGGGAGTATCAACGAGGATCCGCGCCTTCTTCAGAAGGCTGAAAGACGAGTAAAACAAGCTCGAATTGTCTTTACTACGTGCAGCGGAGCAGGATTGGGTATTATTCGCAACATCGATTTTGACACAGTTCTGATTGACGAAGCCTCCCAAATCACGGAGCCTGTTGCGCTTATCCCTCTCGTCAAAGGTTGCAAGACTGCAGTCTTGGTTGGAGATCAGTATGTCCCCCCTCTTTATACCGTGATTAAAAAATCATGATGATCGTCTTTCAGCGAACAACTCCGACCAACGGTACGTCCTATGGGGAAAGCGTTGGAATTCGACAAGTCCCTATTCGAAAGACTATATACCGGCCCTCTCTATCCTATGATGTCCAGAACGATGCTTGACGTAAGCTTCAAATTGTCTGACTTTTGAAGGATCTTGAGACTAAAGTCGGCCTCATGACTTGCATCTTGCTAGGTCCAGTATCGCTTTTCGGCGGAGGTGGCACGATTTTGCTCAGATGAATTTTACAATGGAGACTTACAAACTGGAAATTCTCGACACGATGACATTCGCAACATTTTGGAGCCGTCCTCTTTCCCTTGGCCAACGCGGAATGATAGAATTTTTCCCGTTGTCTTCGTTCCGTGCAGCTCAGAAGAGGATCATGGACGATCGTCAAAGAGCAACAACGGACAGGCAAACCTCGTCAAGTATATCATCCATCTTCTTCGTACCTCACGAGAAGATGGGCAAGCAGTCCCTAGTTTGCATGACATGTCCGTCGCTGCCCTTACGCCTTATTCTCGTCAAGTCAAGCTTCTCTCAGAGATCTTACCTGCAAGCGTGGTAGTCAGTACAATCGATGGTTTTCAAGGCAGAGAAAGCGATGTGGTCGTCTTCTCAACTGTTCGATGCAACATGGAAGGCGACATTGGCTTCGTAGAGGATAATAGAAGATTGAATGTAGCGTGGACGAGACCCAAACTGGCTTTGATAATAGTTGGCGACCGAAGAACACTGTCGTCGAATCCTCTGTGGACCCGAGCATTAAATGCTTGCGAGGAGGTCAATATCCCACTGCCCGAGGTTGTTACCACATAGCGGAATACATCATCTCGCTTTTCTCACTCCGATTTCATGCGAAAGTACTGAAGTTTTGACTCAATGATGAACCAAAAGAGGTTCTGGGGCCAATCACAGCCTTGTATAGGTAGTCCCAGTGGGTCCACAGTTTGCAAGTTGATGTGTTCTACTCCATTTATAAGCTCTATGTTTTCGAATGTTTCGCTGTACTCGTCTAGGTAATCAGAGCTCTTCGGATGAATGTCCTTTACGGCTGTGCAGAGAATGTGTAGGAAATATGTCAAGGCGTATAGGATACTGACTGGGACCACGTACTCCGTTGCTCATCTTGTCTCTTTATATCCAATGACTAATCGTCCACTTTCATGGAAAGTGGCCAGTTTTTGCCGAAAATATTCCCCTTTCCACGGATTCCTGGGGATGAGAACCTCCATAAACCTGTCTTCGTCAAACCTCTCGGCATCGTTTTGCCTGACTTCTTCCAGAAAGACGATATTGAATTCTCCCAGATCAGGTAATCGGTTGAGATAATCACAGAGGACATTCCAAGGAACCTGGGCTGCTGCAATACGGAAGGTATCTTGGGAACAGTTGATATCGTTTCTAAGGATGAATGAGACTGTTTCAACAGTAGACGCAAGTTGGGAAAGAATTAAAAGAACGTCGTGCCACATTGATGACAATTGACATGATCCGCCTGTTTCGTCTCTTGGCTGCCAATGAAGTCCCAAATGAAGGACGATTTCTGCATTCTTGAGGTTTGTTAAAGAACCGATGCTAAAGTATAAATTAGCTGGATAAGAGGAGATTCAGCTTCACGCCTTCAATCAAATTTCCCATGCAGTACCTGAATAGCAAGGAAGAGGCTCGATACGAAGCGAGTGCAACGACGGACCAATCTTCCCTAGCATCTCGACCACCCGGCCTTGAGATGATGAGGTAAGGGCATTTATAATCAACGTTCGGATATAAACATGTCCGATAATGCTAAGAAGGAGGTTCAGAGCCGCCACACTCTCCTCAGCGTCCGACAGCTCAAGGCAAACAGTATGGAGTTCAGGAAGGATGCCACAGCGGTCGAACGGGGGTTCGTAGTAGCTGTCCCATTCAAGGCTGTTGATCCGAAGCGTGTTCAGATGGGGGAAAGACTTGAATGAGTCCAGAAATGCGACAAGCGTGCATTCCATAAGTGCAACGTGCGATGAGAAGGTCAATTTATGCAGTGAGGCAGAAGCAGGGGTGTGCTGAACACATGTCCCTAGGTCCATTTCCAACGTAACATAGCATAAGTTCAGGGACCTCAGGTTCTCGAAATTCTTCAACACAGACGAGATGACAGAGTACGGAAGATGCGTATATTCGTGGCCGTGGAAGTCCACTTCGTAGCACTGGCTACCAGTCAAGGTAATACTCAGAACGAAGTCCGCATACTTGGTCAAAGGCGTTGAGTTGACCAGGTCGGAGACATCCTGCGTTGTCCATTCCATCGACTTTGTCTTGAGGTGTAAATTCTGAAACAGCATGCGGCGACTAGCGGAGGTCCACGATGAGTGCACGAGTGAACATGCACTCAAGCTTCGTTTGTCATTTTGGAGGAGTTGGATAATATAATCAATGAGCTCTTGAGGCAAGGTGTCCTTCATCTGGACTCAGAATTTGATCAATGTTTTGAACAACATGTCGGGTGAATCCTACCAATCGAGGTGACATACTTATAAGGTTTATGCCGTAACCTCTCTACAGCTTCCATATGCGTCGCGTTCTGAGTAGGCTAGTTTCCAGTCTTTATTATACCCTGGGAACACGATTGTGCCTACGCGTAGAGCCCTTTTGAATGGCTGTAGACTGAAGAAAAATCGACAAATCGACGCGAAAATGAAATATCTGAATAAACAAGAGTAAACACCGTCACTTCTATCTGTCCTTATCTGTCCACCTCCGTCGACCTTAGATTACTAAGTTATTGCTACTCAGCTTTTCATTCTTGGTCTAAGACTAGATACCCCGCGCAACACATTTTTGGGAGCCAAAGTTGTTAGGGGCCGGCGTACATCTCACCTACAACCTTAGAATTGGGGGAACACATTTTTGGCTCATGATAATATGCTTCCCAAAGGCACTACAAGGTCAATGTGATTCCTTCTTTCCTTGTTATGGATGTCCTGTCGCACTATATCGTCAGTGAAAGTGGAAAATCCCTCAGATGAACGAGACGAACCAAATACATCCTCCACTCTTCCATGTTCTACACTGGACAGTGGGTCTTCTATGGTCACTTCGTCTGCACGATGAGGAGATCCGAGGAAAACATTCATGCATGGCGTCTTTTTAAGGTGTTCGAAGTCAGCATGTATAACTTCCCGACAAAACATGTCGAGATCGAGGTCATTCTGGAAAGATATTCAGTATGGACATGGCATATCTTCAATTCAGAACTGCGTACCTCATCATATCCTAAGAAGCATTTACGAGTAGGTGAGCGAACATATACTTGCAATGTTAGTATTGTACAAACCGAACGGTTGTTCAATCTCCTCCCCCGCGGCTGCGAATCCGAGGTATATGAAAGCAGCGATACCTACGCCAGGAATTGTATACCATTCAAAGAGGTCTACGAGTTGGAATGGGAGGAAGAAAAGGTATATCCAGACCGTACTGCACGAACCGTGGGTGAATAGCCAAGTATAGGATATAGAAGCAGTCACTCACTGTCTATGATAGAATGCGTAGACGAAGCACCTTCAGTTGATGATTGCTAAACAGCTCACTCTAGGACACGCACCTGATGTGGACCGAGAATACACTAGATATTCCTGTTAGGTCAGTGTCAATCTTGATGTCATAAGGAGCAACAACTTACAATGGTAGCGGTGTTGTCAATATTCTTTCCAAACCTGCACGCTTGGGAAGTTAGTGAGGAAAACTAGATAAAAATATAGTCTATATACCGGACAGACTGTCCTCTAAGTTATTGAGGCATCCAAACATGTTGGCTAGTGTATTTCCTGGAACGCATTGGCATGAAGTCATATTTGGGCCACGCCAAAAACAAAAACCACAACATACCAGGAACGGTATCTCTAGCCTCCATTACGCTGAGCCAGTGACTAAGACAACGAACTACCTGAAGCGGAACGTTCTCTCCTCCACCAGCGATTCGGGGACGATGCTTTGTGTGCGTGAAAGGAACGGCGGAGATACGACCTGTAGCATCCACAATAGTGAGTACATTGTCAGCAGAATATGCCATCTACACGAACCTGACTCTGCCCATCTTCTTTGAAAAGCTGCATCGTCTGCGTTCACAAAGGTATTATCCCCATTTTCATTGTTCTCGGTAGTTGTCCCGTTCTCTACATCATCACTCGCCCGACTTCTTCCAAACACTTTCCTTTTTATCTTTAAAAATGACCTGGCCACATATCCAAAGATGTTAGCAAATGGTATCAAATCACTCGACACTTTGCTCATCATTCCGTCATTCCTGGGTACATGACCAGGCAGCAACAGTCTGCCTTCCCCAATAGAACTGTCAGTAGATGAGGATGACATTGACGAAGACGAGCGATGGAGATGATGAGACATGGAGTGAGGAAACGTTCCGTAGGCATTAATGGGTGGTATCACAGGGTTCCGAGTTATCGTTGGTATGCAGTCAGATGGTATAGTTTGTTGGGTTGATGGGCCGGCTAATGGTGAGGTCCGTATTTCACTAGTTGCTGGTTCGCTAGGGATGATTGGGACCTTTGCTCGAAGACTTTGACTTGGAGTTAGTTTCATCTGATGTTGGCTGTGGTGCGTGTGCTGCATGTGAATGTGAATAAACACGTGAAGAGTTGGGTCGACGTAACGACATACACTATGGAGTGGTCGTACCAGGTGGTAAAGATCCTCGTAGTACAGGCCGACCTCACCTGAACAGATAAGTCGTGAAATCGGTTTCACTTGAGTTCATTCTGACATACCACGCAAATGATGCTTTAGAGCAACAGAAAAGCTATTGAGCCCACAGTCAGGCCGATTGCATGCTCAGTTGGCGATAAACTCACGCTTCAACCAGATGTAAGGCCATGCGCTTCTCCGCCATTATGCGTCGCACCTGTCGCGCTTTCTCAGGTTTCTTCCCGTGTGGGTCATCGGACGCGTCGCTACCGTCTTCATTGAAGGCTCGCAAAGGGACGTGGAACCAGATTAGGCGACCAAAAGTTCGAGATGTTCGCATGACATCCGACCAATATGACCGACCTTGCCAGTAACGTTCATACCTGCGAGCCTGTCAAGATGATCATCATTGACTTGAGTTACAGAAATGCACCTACCCAGAGCTTGCTCGGTATGATATAACGAAACCAATAACCACACCTGCGGGCGGTTATATAGTTATTACGTTTTCTGACGATTTTTCACATTTACTGTAGGGCGTTCGTACCGAGCAATGTTAACATGACATTTGGAATACCAAGCTTGAAGCGGGTGGTCAAGGACACGGAGACGACGGCTGTCGCAATTTCACTTTAAGCACACGCTACGTATGATGAAGTGTTGAGTACTTACCAGCGGCAAACGCAGTATGTAGCAAAACCGCTGGCCAGATGCGCCAGATCTATAGGTATGTCTGAGCGTCGATGCATCATAAGAAACGTGATGAGGGATGTGTGACTTACTACAGTCCCACGTCCAAACGTCCAGCTCAACAGGGTTTTCGTTGGCGCGATAGGAATCAGAACCTGTTGCGACGCTGCATTTGATGCAGGCAGGAGAACATATCCAGTCGAGGATCGTGGGTTCCTTCGGCCAGAACGAGACATAAGCAGGAAAACAGAGCTATAATGGAAGCGAGAGCAGAAAAATATTCCTAATAAGAAAGGTATGGATAAAAAGCAAGTATCTGAATAGTCTGTGGGTCCGGAAGGATGGACAGGACAGAAGAAACTTCAAAATCATGGATCGATATATTCACGACGCGCCTGTGGCGATTGCCGAGGAAAGGGTCACGTGGCCGCGTCAATGATTTGCTTTGTTCACCTCGCAATCTTCATCCTGCCTCGAGGCCTGACCTGCTCTCAATCTTACATGTCTTGTTCTTTCCGCAGAGCTTTATTTATTTCTCTTTTATTGTTAGACGTGTCCCTCTTCCATATTCAATACACGTTCCCCCCACCCCAGTATGAGGGACCGTACCGGACAAAACTTTGAAATTGAGGTAGCATTTGAATTTTGTATAAAGTCGTGAGAAAACGCCACAGCGCGTACAAATTGGTCTGCAATGTTTGAACATTCATTGGGCGCCTTACGGGCGTCATGCCGAGAGGGTATGAAAATAAGAAAAAATAATGCTATAAAGAGGGACTGAACCGGGAGGCTCAACGACAGCCATAAAGATTGACGTTGGATGGTCCATTCTTACAGGTAGACTACATGAACTTGCAAGCGTAACATTATGGTCAAACCATATACCAATGTTACGGCTCGCTAGGCAGCCCATCCTTCCTATTTCGGCTGTCCCTAGGCGCCTGGTAAGCTATCTCGGTTCCTCTCGGCCGGCATAAAACATTTCCAAAAATAGACAGTGCAGCTGAAAGTAGAGAGGTGTTATTCTGCGACTGCCTGCAGACCTGTTTGAGCCCCGATGAGCCTGGGGTTGTGTCTCTGTTTACTGGGGTGAGATGGCCAGATAAGGCAATGCAAGGTTGACTTCCACTCGGCAAGGAGCCTGCCGACCGTGACGCCCGCCAAAAAGTTCATAGACGCCCTAAATTCAAAAGTTCCCTCAATTTGTACGCACTGACACGATTTCTCACGGCCCCAAACCACATTTCTGCACCCTCACCAAATTCATAATATTGTCCGGCCAGGCCCGTCATACCCCAGCAGTGAGGCAGTCGGTTCCCAAATCAAGACGACTCACATCCACATTAGGCAAACGCTTGGAAAATAACGTCACGGCAAGCAACTCATCTTGTCAAGCAGTTGGAGTGTTCTTATCCCTTCCTGCCCGAGTTACTATAATTGTCCCTCCGTACATGTGGACTTTTATGTAAGGCGTCACATTTGCTTGCGAGATACGGTCTAAATTTTACTAGTCTCTAATTTAGAGTCTAAACCATCTTGTACAATTGGAACGGCCTCTCCAAAAACATCTAAAATAAAAATTAAAGCACCAAAACACGGCCTGGTGGTCTAGTAGTATGATTCCTTCTTAGGGCCGTTCGGCGTCTGGAGGAGGTCCCGGGTTCAATTCCCGGCCAGGCCCTTCATTTTATCCTGCATTTTCCATTGCAGGTCACGTATGAGACATCACTTGAGTATAGGCCTCGCAGCTCGCTGCATCCCTTACTTAGCATTGTAGCTCAACCGTACCCCGGACGAAGGGTTTGCAATCGCCGCCTTCTCGAGTTGCTTGCATACTGACGGTCATGCAGGTGATTTCATCAAAACAAAAACAACGTCGAGCTTTTCTAGATTGCGTTGTGAAGTTGTGAACGCGATCATCATCTCCATGATGCTTCGACTACTTCCTCTGGAGCTGCTGGAGATCATAGTCTCTTTTTTGCATGGAAGCAAGACGGATCTCAAAGCCTGTTCCCTTGTGCACTCGTCTTGGCTTGAGATCAGTCGCAAACGTCTCTTTAGTTCAATTCGCTGGACAGTATCGCTCTACGAGTGCTCAAACTGTTCCGACAGATTACTTCCTGCACTCTTAGGTTCCCTTTCCAAGTTTGTCACTTACGTGAAGCAACTCACTATCATAGGAAACGGACTCGATGACAACATGCCTAGACTGCCGATCTCTCTCCTCATCATCGTAGTACAGAAACTACCCGCACTGCGTATTCTGAGACTCGACAAGATCATCCTGCCGCTTGACTTTTTCCATGACGGGGCCGAGAACCTAGTGTTAAGATCTCTCCGCACGCTTATCATGGGCGGCGACGTGTTTTTGGATCTCGATGTCAACCATAAGACGACCCTAAACACCTTCACGCTTTTCCCAGCTCTTTTTGAGCTTCGGTTTGAAGACATTATATGGGTTCATTCAAATGAGTGGAGACCCAACCTGGACATACTACCGAACCTGCAAAAACTAGCATTTTCTTTTGGATCCTCCGACAACTCACCAGTCCCGTTCTTGGATATGGTCGCAGCGTTGGTTCCGAGTCATGGACTACGCGAGATTTATACAGAATATGTTCCTGCTGAGGGTTGTCAATGTGTTGCTGATATCCTCCAGAGATCTCGTGACAGCGTGAAGCATTTGATGCTACGGGTTGACGAGTTCGAACCTTGGACTCCTGGTACGTTTCTAGCATCGCCCCTTGTCATTAGATCCCGAGTCATTGTCTCTCCTAACGTACTTCATAGTAAAGTGGATGACCATCGGCCAACAACTTTCTCAATTGACTTCTCTTCAAACATTCTCAACTGTGGTCACACTCTGCCACTGGTATCTGCCTGAGGAGCTCGACCTTTCTTGGGACGATCCGCTTTCCCTGATTTCCCTCATTCCGATTTCTACGAAGAATGTTATTGTGGTGCTCGAGCACTATAAACAATTCGATGTAGACCCACTACCGTGGCATCGGATCGGGTCTGCGCTGCAGCATGTTTCGTCTCTGCGGCAGTTGGTCCTCATTGTGGGAGAAATATCGGTGAAAGAAGGAGATTACTACTGGGAGGAGCTCTCGGACGCTGTAGGACCAAGAGATCTGCGGCGTTTTGTGACTTTGGGCAGAAATACAAGCGATGAAGACTCGATGCCTATGTTAATCACGAAGAAATGGTGTTGATCTCCACTCAGCCATTCGGTATGATGAACAATTAACCTGATGGGTTCGCCTTCAGGATTGATATATATTCAACTGATCACGATTGACAGCGCCGAATGCTCGAAACTGCACCTGTACCTCTCTATTTCACTTCCACGTGTGGTTCGCCCCCTTCATGAATGCATCTGGTCAAGCATTCTGCCGGTTAGAAAGCTTGATCTTAATCAGTTTTCTTATAAAGTTGCGCTCTGCATGTTACGCTTCAAGTTTCAATTCTAGCATGTTTCCAAATTCTTCGCAGAAAGACCTCCAACAGTTGATTTGCTCATGTCTTCCAACGTTGAATGCTGGACTGTCTGAGTTGATTGAGTTCAGGTTATTTGCGTCGCCCAATCAGCACACCGTCAGGTGATGCAAATTTCAACCCCAAGCCAAGACACTGGATTTCTACCGGTACGTCGCAAAATACTCTGTGCGATTGGCTGGTCAATAGCGGGTCTATCTTCCAGCTCTGTAGTCTTGAGAAACGCGAATCGCACATGATTCCTGGTCTTCCCATACATTGGACAGGATGGCTGAGCGTTGCCCTAGTTTGAAGGATGCCGTGGCATCTTAAACCATTGTTTTTGGATACTGACTCATGTTCTGCTTCAAGATGAGGCCTGGTCAAATCCCTCCAGGCATATGCTATTTCTCCCCGTGGTGAGTCTACATCCCTCGGTGTTCCGCCATACGCCCAGTGTATTGACGCTACTCTAATAGACTTGACCTTCTTCTGTGACCTCCTGATACTTACACGTTCTTGGCTGTCTAGGATCAAGACCCTCATTCGCATGCATGGTTCCCTATGAGAATTAGGACCAAGGTACTCATCCAGTTTGTTTCCTGACGGGACTGTTGCGAACGTAAATCAACGCTTTTGTTCGATAGGTCCCATCGGGTCCCGCACTGTTCACCTCATACTTGATCGTGCCTCTCGTTAGAGATAGTATGGCTGTGGAACTTCACCTTTTCGATCTCACAACTGTCTCACTGCATTGGAGAATATGGTCATTCAGGTTTCAAAACCCTTTCACATTCCTTATTGATGGCAGAGCTTCCGGACCGTTACCACTTTATGGCGAGTATATAAGGCCCATGCATTGAAGCCAACTTGTTCAGAGCACTGTGGTTCGGTGACTTGCCCGTTACCATGTTGTCTCTTATTACAAGTTTAGTCTCTGTTCTATACATCGCTGCGTTGTCTCACGCTTCGCCTCTTGAACCTCGAGCTCCAGTATGGACCTTCACTGAACGAGGAAACTCTGGAATCGTGGCTCTGGAATCCATCATTGTTTCGCCTACTCTTGCCCTTTTCTTTGACAAAGCTTCAGACGATCCTCTTCAAATTAACAACCATTCTGCCTGGGGTGCTCTTTGGAACCTCGTGACCGACGAGGTTACTCCTCTGGATGTCGTTACGAACTCGTTCTGTGCAAGCGGTGCTCTCTTGAGTAATGGTAGCATGGTACGTTGGACCGCCTCGACTTTTACCTTTTAGACCTGATCCTATTATATTTTAGGTCAGTGTGGGTGGTGACCCGAATCTCTTCCCCGGAAACCCAGCGATCGAAGATGGTACTCAGGGCATCCGTATCTTCGAACCATGCGACGACCCTGCGGGAGTCGGCTGCACATTGTTCGAGGATCCGACGACCTTGCATCTGGCAGAAAACAGGTATTCCCGAAGCTGTCTTTGAATCTCTTCTCATCAACCTGAGACCTTCCATCTGCCCATTTTAGATGGTATCCTTCGGCGATCCGTATTCCAGATGGAAGTCTCATGATTGTAGGTGGCGCGCATCACAATCTAGTCTTCTACAACGATATCGAACAAGGCGCCGCTACTGTCGAGTTCTTCCCCCCTAAGTTTGGCGGTGTCCCTAGGCCATCCGAATTCCTCAAGAGGAGCTTGCCTGTAAATCTGTTCCCTCGGTAGGCTTAGCATCAAATATGGCATATCCCTCGATTCATTGATTAATGCTGTGCAGACAATTCCTCCTTCCTGACGGAAAGGTGTTCATGGTCGCGAACAACCAGTCTATTATTTACGACATTCAGACTGGCGATGAACGAATCTTACCTGACATCCCTAACGGCGTTCGCATCACGAACCCCTTCGATGGTTCCGCCATTCTGCTCCCCTTATCGCCTCCCAATTTCACTCCAGAGGTCCTCGTCTGCGGTGGCACCAACATCACTGACACCACCCCAGTGACCTCCATATCCAGTCAAACACCGGCTTCTGACCAGTGCAGCCGCATCACACTGACGGAAGAAGGTATCAAGAAGGGTTGGGTCGTCGAGAGGATGCTCGAGCCGCGCATTATGCCTGAGCTGCTGCACCTGCCGAACGGACAGGTACTCATTACCAATGGTGGTTCGACCGGAGTGGCTGCCATTGGCACGGTCTTCGACCCCGTTGGGAACTCGAATGCTGATAACCCGGCCTTTACACCCTCATTATATACGCCCACAGCTCCACGTGGTCGGAGAATCAGTAATGTGGGTATGCCGACATCTAACATTGCCAGATTGTATCATTCGAGGTTTGTATTAGTCATTCAAAGTTGCGATATTACTACTCATGAATAATGCGTTTGCGATTGCAGCGTCACCCTCACCCCTCAAGGCAATTTCCTTATCGCTGGGAGCAACCCGAACGACATGACCAACCTCACTGCCAGTGTGAAGTTCAAGAGCGAGTTCCGTGTTGAGACCCTCGACCCGCCCTTCATGTTTGTCGCACGACCCAGAATCTTGAATGTCCCGTCAAAGATTGGCTTTAGTCAACGGTTCACTGTACCCGTTAGCATTCCTACCAACCTCAGGGCCGCGAAGATCGAAGGTTAGTTGTTATTACGCTTTGCCAGCGATGTGAACTGAGTTCGATCTGCCCAGTTGCGCTCATGGATTTGGGCTTCTCAAGCCACGCTTTCCATTCAGGTGCCCGCCTTGTCTTCATGAACGCTCAACTATCAAGGGATCGTCGGTCGTTGACGATCACTGCTCCTCCAGACCGTAACGTCTATCCACCTGGTCCTGCATTCATCTTTTTGACGATAGATGATGTGACGAGCGAAGGTCAGAAGGTGATGGTAGGCAGTGGTGCACCTCCTCCTCAGACAGACTAAGGAATTTATGAAGTACCAATTGTAACTGTATTGCCGAACGATAGATCCCGTACCACTAGCGAAATGGATGTAATGTCCTGTCTTGTGACTTACAACTGCGATTGTTCAGTCTACAGGCTTGTACTCAATGATATCTGTTTCACGCAATCCCAGACCTTGACGGGTTCGGGGCCACAGTGTTTCCTGCAAGTTTGCGAAGTCATTTATGGTCAAAGCGTGTAGTTGAATGGTCAGGTGCTTACCCTAGCTCTCGGTACTCATCCAAGGTATGTTCCTTACTATTGATAAAACTCATCATCTATTGGATTGTGTCAGTTTGGAAGAGAGAATAGAGGGGTTCAGGGTTGACGGTCTTGGACGCTAGGGTACGGTGTAAAAATCGAAAGAATTTTCAACCACCGGTTTATAAACTGGCGATACCTTACAGTTTTTCACAGGCCGTTATTAACAGTTTATAAACGGGCATTTATACACAGTTTATAACTGGTGTAAAAGTATACAAAACTAGTGAATAATTGTGAAAACACCGTATTTTACCAGGAATCCCATGTCTGAGCTTGATGCATATTCAGGAGCAGCGTGCTTCTCTTTTGGTGACAAAATGGGTGTGGAAGCTTTGTCAGAGAGCATATCCGCCAACACTGGTGCACTGAGATTGATCTCCTCATCCAAATCGAGATGACTCGCAGTCCGCTCACGAGTCTCATTACTACCCCACTGTGAGCCTCCATCAATCTCATAGATTAAGGTTGCCTCCGAATCCTTCTGTGGGGGCGCTTCCAGGTCGTTGGTATCTGAATCATATGCATGTTCAGCTGGGCTTACATCTGGCTGTTGCTTTACGGCGTTGTGCACTCGTTTGGCTCGATCAAATATTTCCTCATCCATGTCCATCCAACGGACAACAGGGATCATCCGAGGTCCTTCTTCCTCAGCCTGTAGGCATTCAAGTCAGCATCAGGGATTGTATAGCAAGATTGCATACTGCACACCATGTAAAACTCCCACTGCCAGATTTGTACCGTATTCACCAGGCTACGTACTTGCTGACAATTGGTAAGAGCATCGTTGAACCAAGTAAAATTGGACGCCATTCATTCATCAGCCATTGAATTCACCATTACGGAAAAGATCTTGATAGCGAGCATTGCCAGAATACGAGCATGAGGATGGTCTTCCAGGTCCTTCCACCAGTCAAGAGGGCATCGACCATCAATGAACAAACATTATATTGGAGACTCGAGTAGACTAGCGTTCGGTAGAGAAAGGTGAAACCGGTTGTTCGTACATTCTTGTTCAAGTTGGTGAACGGAGAAACCATCTTGAATGAGCCTAAATTGGGTCTTCTGGCTCCCGGATTTTTACACAGTTATTCACAGCCACCCTGGACGCTCCGAATTTTAAACTGTTAATAACAGGTTATAAACACAGTTTATAAATGCCTGTTTCAAACTGACCATTTCTACACCGTACCCTATTGGACGCGAGTGCATCGGGAAAATCATGATAAACTCCTATAGCTAGATATTGATCACCAGGCCTTGTAACGCTCAGTTAAGACCTTATCAGTGAACAAAAAACTCATAACGTCCAATATATACGTTTATAATACTGGCATAGCTCTCCCGATGCGATCCATGACACGATCCTTGGACAATTGAGGTTGGATTCATGAACGAGTCCTCGATCGCTTCGGATAGTGGTCTTACTTTGAATTTGAACACCCCACGTTGTTCCTCAATGAATTCGTGTATGATCTGTCTATGAAGTCTTAATTCTGACCTGGAAGTTTAATAGAGCATGGACTTGAGTGCATTTGAATGCCCCGTGAAACGGTACGACTCGCCGAGACCAAGGAAGTGATGAGCATCCGATGTATGAGTGTCGACATGCAAGGTGACCAAGACAGTGCGATCATGCTATGTAGGTGTAGGCTTGGTACGCACATACGAACATCAGTGATATGCTTGAATGGAGGTCAAAACAAGGCACCCCATGTGTCTAGGAGGCTATTTTCATCGACTGTGAATGTTACAACGCATAGTTGAAAGTCTTCATTGTCTGTATTCGGACAACTTCAGCTGGTCGCTTAGGCAGAAAAACCGATACGTCTGAGTGTGCTGTCATTGAAATATCCGTACCATTTTGCGGAGTTTATATACTGTATCTGCGTTTATCATCAGCGTTGACAGCCCAACCAGATTGAACTTGCGCACCCAAAAATGTTGCAACTGAATAATAAAAATAGGGGGAAGATAAATGGTACGTACCATGTCATGGTCAAAGGCTTTCATTCCGGGGCAGACAACGAACATAATTAATCGCTTTTTAATGCATTTCTGTGGGCATAAAGAAAAGATTGGATGCACTTGCTTGCATCATGAGCATACACACAGTGAGAAATTACAGCCGGGACATTGACGCCATCCAAAGCTCTCCGTGGTTGGTATGGTTGGTGCGGCTACTGCGTTTCTGCAAAGATTTCTACACGGATCGAGTGACCTTCATTCGATCCAAATTTGAACGCAGGTATGATCGTCATAAATACACTGTAGCGGAGGAAGTCTGGATGATACTATGCACGCAAACGCGTCTGTGGCTGGCCGCGCGAGGATGCGCTGCGGAGTCTGAATCGTCCTCGGCTAAGCCCGAAAAGTCGAAAAGTGGTTGCAACTTGAATGGGCGCATTTAGAATCAGATCTAAGCTAGGATCGTCCATGGATCATCGTTAGAATCGCGATGAATCGTCGACTCTTAGCTCCCCTAATGGCTTGACGTGCGACCTACAGCAATGTTCATATAGATACGGCAAGATACGTCCTTCTCCGTAGTTGGATAAAAGCGGCTCTAGTACCTGTGGGGAGGAACATGATATATATCCACGCAAATGGCTGTTTCGCAAATCTACCTTAGAATTAGGTTATTTCCTACGCTCTACTTAGATCCCCTCACCAAGTTTGCCACTTACTTCAGCAGTTCATCATCGTGGAACACGGGCTCGATGAAGACATGCCTACACTGCCAATCCATCTCCTCGTTGTCATGGTATGTAGTAAGATGTGTATGTTAATCACAAAGCAATAGCGTTAATCTGCATTCGGGCGTTCGGTATGACGATCAATTATACCGATGGGTTCCCCTTCTTGTTTTACATGTGTTCAGCTGATCACTATTGACAGTGTCGACTGCTCAAAATTGCACTCCCACCCCTCTATTTCGCGTTTGATGCGTAGTTGGCGGTCTTCATGAATGCATTGGGTCAAGCATGCTGTCATTCAGGACCCATGCAACTCCGAACTCTAGCAATAGCTTGATGTTGATCGGGTGTCTGATACTCACGCTCTGCCTGTCACATTTCAACTTTCACTTCTAGCAGGATTACAGATTCATTGCGGAAAGACCTCTAACAGTTGTTCTGTTCATGTCTTCCGACGTTGAATGCTGGACTGTGTCAGACGGTGTCACAGTTGATTGATTCTGGGCCCTTTGCCTCACGCAAACAATGCACCGTCTGGTGGTACAAATGTCAACCCCGAATCAAGACACGGGATATACAGTGGTACGTTGCCAAATACACTGCACCATTGGTTAGTCAATAACATGTTCATCTTCCAGTTCTGTAGTCTTGAGAAACGTCTTCGCACATGATACCTTGTCTTCCCATACATCGGACATGATGACTGAACGTTGCCCTACTTTGGAGCATGCCGTGGCATCTTAAACAATTGTGTTTGGCTACTGACTCATGTTCTGCTCTAAGGCGAACGCTGGCCGAAGTACCCCAGGCATACGCTATTTGTTCTCGTGGTGAGTCTCCAAGCGTCGGTGTTCCACCACCCACTCAATGCATTGACGCTGCTCTAATAGACTTTGCCTTCGTCGGTGACCTCCTGATCCTTCCATGTTCTTGGCATTCGAGGATCGAGGCTCTCATTCGCATGCCTGGTTCTCTATGGGAATTAGGACGAGGTTACTCATCCAATTTCTTTCCCTTGCAACATTGTTTGCGAATGTAACTCAACGCTTTTGTTCGATAGGTCCCATCGGGTCCCGGATTGTCTACCCCACACTTGATCGTGCCTTTCGTAGACATAACATGGCGCTTGAACCCTCACTTTTTTGATCTCACAGCTGTTTCGCTCCATTGGAGAACATAGTGACTCATGTCTCAAAGGCCTCTCACGGTCCATGTTGACATTCTCATCGATACTCGGGACCGTTCTTGACAGTCCCACCACCACCTCCATTGCGGCACTTTTGCGAACTTCCGGACCGTTACCTCTTTATGTCGAGTATTTAAGGATCCATGCATTGAAGGTGGGTTGCTCAGAACACCGTGGTTCGGTGACTCAACCGTTACCATGTTGTCTCCTATCAAGACTTTGATATCTGTTTTCTGCATCACTGTGTTGTCTCGCGCTTCGCCTCTTGAACCTCGAGCTCCAGCATGGACCTTCACTGAGAAAGGAAACTCTGGAATCGTGGCTTTGGAATCCATCATTGTTTCGCCTACTCTTGCTCTTTTCTTTGACAGAGCTTCCGACGATCCTCTTCAAATCAACAATCATTCTGCTTGGGGTGCTCTCTGGAACCTCGCGACTGATGAGATTACTCCTCTGGACGTTGTTACGAACTCGTTCTGCGCAAGCGGTGCTCTCCTGAGTAACGGTACCATGGTATGTTGGTCCCCCTTGAAAATTACCTTTCAGACCCGACCATATTGTGCCATAGGTTAGTGTGGGTGGTGACCCGAATCTCTTCCCCGGAAACCCCGCAGTCGAGGATGGTACTCAGGGTATTCGTATCTTTGAACCGTGCGACGACCCTGCAGGAGTCGGCTGCACATTGTTCGAGGATCCGACAACTTTGCATCTCGCCGAAAAGAGGTATTCTCGGAGTTGTCGTTCAATCCTATCACGTCGTTCTGAAACTTCCCTCCCCCATTTTAGATGGTATCCTTCGGCGATCCGTATTCCAGATGGAAGTCTCATGATTGTAGGTGGCATCCATCAAGACACAGACTTCTACAACGATATCGAACGGGTCGCCGCTACTGTCGAATTCTTCCCCCCTAAATTCGGTGGTGTACCTAGGCCGTCCGAGTTCCTCAAGAGGAGCTTGCCCGCCAATTTGTTCCCTCGGTAGGCTTGCCATCTAAGATGGCATTTTTCTCAATTCATTGATTAACGCCACGCAGGCAATTCCTTCTTCCGGACGGAAAGGTGTTCATGGTCGCGAACAATCAGTCCATTATTTACGACATTCAGACTGGCGATGAACGAATCTTACCTGACATCCCTAACGGCGTTCGCATCACGAACCCCTTCGATGGTTCCGCCATTCTGCTCCCCTTATCTCCTCCCAACTTCACGCCAGAGGTACTCGTCTGCGGTGGCACCAACATCACTGACACCACTCCAAAGAACGCGATATCCAGTCAAACGCCGGCTTCTGATCAGTGCAGCCGTATCATCTTGACAGAAGAAGGCATCAAGAAGGGTTGGGTCGTCGAGAGGATGCTTGAGCCGCGTATTATGCCTGAGTTGGTACATCTTCCGAATGGACAGGTGCTAATTACCAATGGTGGTCTGACTGGAGTGGCTGCCATTGCCACTGTCTTCGATCCCGTTGGGAACTCGAACGCTGACAACCCAGTCTTCACACCTTCCTTGTATACGCCCTCTGCTCCACTCGGTCGGAGAATCAGTAATGTGGGTATGCCGATGTCTAACATTGCCAGATTGTATCATTCAAGGTTTGTATCAATCACTCAAAGTTGCGATATTACTACTCATGAATAATGCGTTTGCGATTGCAGCGTCACCCTCACTCCTCAAGGCAACTTCCTCATTGCCGGGAACAACCCAAACGGCAACACTAACCTTACTGTGAAGTTCAAGAGCGAATTCCGTGTAGAGACCCTCGACCCGCCCTTCATGTTCGTCGCCCGACCCAGAATCCTAACTGTCCCGTCGAAGATTGGCTTTGGTCAACGGTTCACTGTACCTGTCAGTGTCCCTACCAACCTCAGGGCTGCAAAAATCCAAGGTTAGTTGCCATTACGCTTTCTCAGCGATGTGAACTGAGTTCGATTTACTCAGTCGCACTCATGGATTTGGGTTTCTCGAGCCACGCTTTCCATTCAGGTGCCCGCCTTGTCTTCATGAATGCGCAACTATCGAGGGATCGTCGGTCGTTGACGATCACTGCTCCCCCGAACCGTAATGTCTATCCACCTGGTCCTGCATTCATCTTTTTGACGATAGATGATGTGACGAGCGAAGGTCAGAAGGTGATGGTAGGCAGTGGTGCACCTCCTCCTCAGACAGACTAGGAAGTTTATGAGGTATGGAACGTAACTGTATTGCTAAGTGACAAATCATGTATCACCGGCGAAATGGATATATATTCTGTTTTGTGATTTAAAACTGCGATTGTTCAGTCTACAGGCTTGTACTCAATGATATCTGTTTCACCACAATCCCAGACCTTCACGAGTTCGAAGCCAGAGTATTTCCTGCAAGTTGGTCAGGTCATTTATGGTCAGGACTTGTAGTCAAATGATCCGGTGCTTACCCTAGCTCTCGGTACTCATCTAAAGTACGTTCTTTACTATTGATGAAACTCATCATCTGTCGGACTGAATCAGTTTGGAAGAGAGAATAGCTCGAACACGTGGCTTACAGCAATGTCTAGATAATAAGGTAAGATACGTCCTTCTCCGTAGTTGGGTAGAAGTGGCTCTGGTGCCTGTGGAGAGGGACATGATATAAATCCATGCAAGAGGTTTGGCAAATCCACCTTAGAAGTGTCATTGGAATCTGGCTTTCCCGGCGCTGCTTCGCGAGACACATGTTGTATGACGAATTCCTCTGTGGTGACGTTGGCACGTTTGAAGCGGACGCAATGAAACACTACTCACGTATTAAAAGTCTTGACGTAGATTTCATAGCCTGCTTGATATTCGAGAATATGATATTTGTATCACCGTCGGACCAGTTATGTCTAGCAAGGTTCAAAGTTAGTCTTGGGGATTCAAGAAGAATACGTTAGCATCATACATCACGTTCTTCATCTGAAAATTATGTCAGTGTGTCATTCCAATATGACGCAAGACACGACTCACGAAGTAAAAATCACATCCGGAGACAGGGCTTCCCTTCAGGAAATCAATAGGAACAAACTCTACACGTTGTCCACAGAAGATATCCGACGCATTCTCTTGCCAAAGAGGCTTTGCTTGCTCGATTGTGTGTGGAAGGTCTTGAAGCACGATGTGCAACTGAGGGCATGCCTTCGCGAGGTGCATACTGACATGCCCTACACCTCCACCTAGATCGCAGACCTTGGTACCCAACGGTTGGGTTTTCCAGGGGAAGCCTTTCGTGCATGGTCAGAACTACGAACCATCGTTAAGCAGAGATTCTTAGACTCTTACCGTACAAAGTCGATTCGAAGGTCACAACGGAACTGAATCCAGTCATAGCTGAACCGAAGCGCTTAGCACGAGCAGGGTCTACCTTCTGATACCACTCCCATACAGGCCCTGGATACTTCATTGAGCGACTCCATGCCGTTAGATTATTGTCTGGGTCTGGATCTGTGATTGTTTCGTAGAGCGCTGTCGACGAATGCAGGATTTCGTCCGTGCTGCCGTCCGAGAATTCATGAATCCTGAACTGTCCTGAAAAAAACTTGTGATTCGACTCACCATAATCCGGTGAGGGAACTCATGGGACTGTACGAAAGTAGGGTGATACTAAGACGGTTGTTTGCAAAGACATTGTGTGAAACTGACGAAACATGCCAAAGAACAAGTTTCAGTGTCTAAAGGATGTAGAATAGCGATGTTTGAAGACCTTCTCTGAATATATGCTTTGTCGCGAGCAAACGAAGGACTCGGGAAAGATTGACTTGTCCTATGCCAGTTAACGCTGCAAGTTTGGAGACGTGGAGACCATCAATATTGTCGAGCAGATGGTCTGCCACTTTGGCATTGACGGCGACATTGAGACATGCTGAAGTAAGGAACTAGAGAATCGCGTCCTGCAGCGTATCTGGCAATGAGACAAAAAGGTGTGCTCACGTCCATGCCTCTCTATTCAACACGTACTATCCGAGTGAATATTACCCATGCAGAACAGACAATAACTTACGATAGTAATCGTGTGCTGTGGTGGTGCAACAAGAGCGGAAAGCTGGGCACAGGCACCTTGAATGACCAGGACAGCTTGCTGCAGTCCTTTAGGAGGGTGCTTTGAATCAAACGGATACTTTCGAACATCGTCCAAGCTCGGAAGCGGCTCATGAAGACGAACGTATTCAGCTTTCAAATCTGCAACGGAGGTAGAAATGAGAGATACTAGTTGATCCAGCTCAGTGAATGAAGTATCCATGGCCGTAAACGAAGAGTCAAGAAATAGAGGACACCTTCAGGATTTTATATACTAGGTCGGCCAAGAATGGTAACGTATGACTGTGTTGTACATCAGAAGTATGAATAATCCAATACCTCCGAGGACTTCGCACTATTGCATTCCGGCGTGGCGATCGAAGTCGAAATCGCAAACGGGGGTGATTAGAAGGAGAACGGACTCTAGGAACAAGCAGGAAACGTCAGCCCGGTATCATAACATTAGTATGCGAGCTTGAAGTGATCCGCAAGGATCGCAGGTCACCACGAGAGCAGTCATACTTCTGACAATACAAAGGATATCAATCACTCACGGGATACAACTCTGGAGTACCACACGCGTCCAGAAGTGACAATCATCCTAAGAAACTTCCTGTTGCGCCTTCAATATACCCTTATCCAACAACGTGGGCAAATGTTCCCTAACTATTGCCTCGAATTGTGCCAAAGACGCTAGCGAAAAGTTCACACGAGCACATGTCGCTACAGATCGCACGGTCTGCAAGTCTCTGATTTCTGAGAGCACTTCTGAGAGGTGCCTCCAGACATCATCACGAATGGTGCGAGTCATCCAGCTCCAAGTCCCGTCCAGATTAGAAGCCACTAGTCCAGAAGGCCCGAAACAGATGACAATCCTGACCGACAGTCCTCGACGAATGCGCGAATCGTCGACAAGATGTCAGTTATAGCCATCCACGGGAGGTGATTCGGTCATATCTGAGTTGCTAGCGTGATCGTGAATGTGAGGATTCGAGAGACGAGCAACTAGCGATGTAGAGATCCTGCCAGGAGCTCGTTTCTGCATTCAGAGAAGCAGTTATCAGCATCGACGGAGGCTATACCAGAAAGATGCAATATTACCCATTTTTTTTCAGGTATTGTCGGCCGCAGGCCATAACCAGCGTGAGGGAACGTATTCTGGACGCGGCAAAATCTCGAAATGACACTGCATGTTGTAGGAACTCGACGACAGGAAGATCATGCGACCCTGAGAAGATGTAGGAAAGGTTGAGAGATATGGGACCAAGTGATTCAACAGGTGTAGCCAATGTCTGGATATCGGTCTTCATACTCGGAAAAAACATAAGATCCAAGGAAAGATGCTTGACATCTCGTAAAACGCGTAGGACGTCGGGGAATAACGCTTGATAGTCGAAGCGGCTGCGAAAGAGGATGTCATAGATGCGCATTCTTCCAACTCAGCCTATTGATCAACCATGTCAATGTACTAAGGAATCCTGTTGCTTCCGACGTGAACAATGGCTTCATCAAGAAAACGCGATTCCAGATTGGGTAGTTGTCCAAGAATGAATGTAAGCGTTTGAAGTTTAGCCATAGGGCGAGGTTTCGGTGTATTCCAAGATAACTCCCTGTCTGCGTGAAAGGATCCCCTTATCGTCAACGCTTTGATGCATTGTCCAAAACTACTGTACCTCTAACGTTCAATGCCAACACAGAGGCCTCGACGTTTTTGCCGTCAAGCACAGTTACTGAGTGAAAGATGAGTCGTCTAGTCGTGGAGTTCCAAGCTCTAGAAACCAAGGAGCAAGAAAAAAGACTTGTTTGATGATGGTTCAGGTGTTCGACGATGATATCGAAGATGTCTTGCGGCAAGAGGTCCATTGCAAGCATCTTTGGATAGAGAAACTGTGAAAAAGTTCACGTTTCATGCCAGACAGCTGGCAATAAGTGACAGTGCGTATCAAACGCACCTTGCAAACAGGTCCAGACTCTGCTCCTAGCAGGTCGCGGATAATCTTGGATACAACCTTATAGTGAGTATTTTACAGATTTTGCGAACTCAACGACTTGAGTAATGAGACTCACTACGCCACGTTGAGCTAGTCTCCCACAGGTAGTGTAGACAGAGGTTCAACCTTCGTACCTCAGGCTAGTCTCCCTAACGCAGAGTAGACCGCAGAGACGCAAACCTTCGTGCCTCAGGATATCTCTGACGTCTAACCGTTGAACTCACTGTTACGCTAGGCGCCTGGGATGACTGTAATTTAGCCTGTCAAATTCGCATGTCTATGTAGTCTCCTCAGGATAAGATTTCTGTCTGACACTACAATCAGATATGCTAAGGTATACTAAGCTACCTTCTTCCTCGAATCAGCCAATTCACCTCTCGCCTTCACAAATTCGGCCATCCTCACAGCATCCTCCGACCCCATCTTCAAAAAACCCTCAATCACACCCTCCCTATCCGCCCTCGTCGACTCCTGGTTCATCTTAAACTTGCCCGCCATACTCACAATCTCAATCTCCACCCCAATAATCGCCTTCAAGAGCAACTCAACATAACTACTCGGCGCATCCGAGACCTGCCACGCTTTCTCTTTCTCTTTCTCCTTGTCATTATCGTTGTCCGAGTCATTGTCGTACCCCATGATCTGCGTCTCCGAATATTGCGAGAGGTCGCTAACTTGACGCATCAAGTATGCAGATGTGGTAGGGGCGTCGGCGCTGGTGTGGTCAAAGTAGATAGTCGCTTTGCCGTAGACTTGTACGGCAGCATAGTCCCATGTAGGTACCACTTTGCCTGTAGACGGCTTCGTCTCTTTATAAAATTTCGGCGTGACATAGTGATGAACAGGGGCGTTGAACAGCACCATCACATCCTTCTCCAATTTATTAGGTGTCCGCCGTGTCCCCCTTGTATCATTGTTCCCCTGATGGGATCCCTCCGCTCCTTCCCTAGTCAGACTTTCAATAATAGCCTTGGCCTGTGGGTTCGCGCGTGCCATATGTCCGCGTAAAGTCCCAAGTTCCGTATCGCTAGTTTCATCCTGAACATCTAAGAGCCATGGAATGTGGCTGGATTGGATGAATGGATAGGACGAGGATTCGATGGCTGTCGTGAATATGCCTAGTGGGTTGTTGCGAATGAAGGCACGGAGGGTTGGGATGTCGTATTCAGCATGGACCGCGCGCAAATACATGGTTTGTGACTGTGAGGTGTATGCTTATGGTAGGAATGTGCAAGTCAAAAGTCAAAAGTCAAGATGTAGTGGGATGACTCATTATAGTCAGCTGTACGTTATTATGAATATGTTCGGTGCAGGTTCGGTGTCTCACATAGAATATTCAGTATAGTCGCCGATAAGCCTGTAATAATGCCCCAAACACAAATCGTAGTCATCAGACTGAAGTGAAGCGTTTTCAAAGCTACGATTCCACGTATCAACTAAGAGAGAAGCTATCTATGGTAATGTTACAAATCCCTTGTCATGTCCAGAAGTAGAATAATAAAAAGAGACATTACGGAGGTAGTGGTGAATTCAGCAGCAGCCCACAAAAAAAAGAGAAGAACAGCTCGAGTTGCAAGGCAACGCCGTAAAACGGAATACACGATATTCGAATCTCGACCGGCGAACGAACGTGATCCGCCGGCACCAGGCACTGGAAGCAAGGAGAGGTAGGTAGGTAGGTAGGAAGTAGCAGAAGAGGAAGAGGACTAGCTACGGATTCAAGGGTCCCAGCTAGGCCACCCTGAGAGCGGGAGGCAGCCAGGAATACGAAATAAACAGTGAAACAGACGCACAAAAAAAAGATATGTGTATGATACCGGAGAAAGTATCCATGGAGATAGAAAGACAGATGTCGAGGAAAATACATGAGCGGAAAAAGAATAGGATGTCGCAGATAGGGGGATCCGATCTACAGTGCGGCGGCGGACTGAGAAAACTGGTGGTGTTGGTGTTGGTGTTGTGTCGGAGCGCTGTTGTGGGAGAAAGGAGAAAACAGCGTCGGCCTCGAGCGAGGGCGCGTCCGTAGCGTTTGATGATGACATCGACATCGCCGCTGAGAGGAAAAGAGCTTGACAGCTGCCAATTTGTAAACATCCCCTTTTAGTCGCGACGGATGCGCCAGTAAGCCAGAGTACAGGTGGTGGTGGACGGCGGAGGCCAGAGGATATGAGGGAGGGAGCGAGGGGAATCTTGATGGAGGATGGTATCAAGCGTGGCGAGGTAGGACGGACAGGAAGGAAGGTGGGTGAATAGTTGGGTGATGGTGATGAGGTGTATGTTACTGATGCAAGAGTGAATGAGATGGGTGAGGGAAATGATGCAGCATACAGATATAGACCAAAAAGAAAAATCGACACAAATAACTGGGAAATTATGGTCAGTTCTTTAGACCGGGGACGCAACAGGTGAACTTACAAGAAGAAACACGGAACCCTAACGTACGAAGGCAAAAACAAACTAGACGATACTATAGAATACCGGAATCCTTGAGGGCGTTCTGCAGTATCGTCTCCTTCACGGCCGCAAAAACAAGTCGGATATTGGTAGTGTCTGTGGCCTGTGTTAGACTACAGACAATATATTAGTCGGTGATGATTAAGCTAATAATAGACAACATACTGAGGATACACGCTCAACCGCGCTCGATTCGCTTGCATAAATCTCCAAAGAATGTACTTCGCCGCCTTGTTGATATCCGCACCTCCCGTGTACTCGGGGAAGTACCTCTCGAGTGGTACCTGCGATAATAAAAATCGAACCATGCATCTCAAGAATGCCAATGGTCGCTACTCACTTTTGGAAGCTTGTTCTTGAAGACGTCGATCTTGTTCAGGAACAGAATGATTGACGTCCGTAGGAACCATCTTGAGTTGATAACGGAGTCGAAGAGTACGAGCGACTCGGCCATACGATTCTGAGGCGCGAACGCGTTCCGCATTAGGTGATGATACAATGGTCAAATCAAAGAAAAGCCGTACCTGATTCCGCTCCTCCAGTAGAACCTGGTCGTATTCGCTCAACGCCGTACAGAAGATGATACTTGTCACGCTTTCGAAACAATGAATCCACTTCTTTCGTTCCGATCGTTGTCCCCCGACGTCGAACATGTGTATTCTGCACCCCCCGGAGGTCAACGTGGGTCACAGACAGAAACGATGAAGGCGACACATACGATAGCGGACCGAGAGTGAACCTCGTCTCAGTAATGCCGGTGCTCTTTTGTCGTGCGCGTAGGACGTCGGTCTCGGTGGGTACATAATCTGGCGTCCCTATTCGTAACGCTTCCGTGAAGAAGCTACGAGACCCAATGAGCAAGTGCAACCGACAAGCCTAAACGACGCAAACATACTAGCTTGCGCTATCCATAAGGTAGAATTCACTGCTGTGGTCCATAATCGTTGGGATAATGGGATCCTGCCATAGTTGGTGGATGGCCTGAGCCATGTCCTCCGGGAAATAATATGTTGGACCTGCTACGACCTCGTAATCCAATATCCGATCTGCGTTTGCCTAATTTCCGACGTTAGCGCATTACGCCTCGTAGACGTATTGTGGCGCACATACCCGGTTAGACGGGTTCCCGCAATCGACACCGATCTTGCGCATAGCGAGGAGGATATTCTTTGCTGATTCAAGAAGGTTGCGATAGATGGTGGTGCGGTAGGTCATAAGTTCGTCTCTCGTGAAGCCGCTTTGATGGATTATCTTCATTTGTTTGACGATCGTCGACTTTCCGGATTCGCCAGAGCCTGCAAATGAACGTCAGCTAATGCTGGGGAGATTATTGCAGCGAAAGAGGGGATCTTTGACGCGTCCTCTGGGGCCAGCCAAGTGTGTAGCGCCAGCATTGGTGAGAAGACGATCGGCGGGACCCGCATACAGGGGAGGGGTCGAAAATCAGGCTGCGAATGGATAAGAGAACGTACCTAGTAACAAGATTTTGCATTCCTTCTTAAACTTCCTAGAATCCTCCTCTATTTGTTTGTCGATCTCCTGGGAGCGTTGCTGTGCTTCTCTGTCCTGGGCAGAGACGCAGTTGCCCATGGCTGAAAGAGACTAGGACAGTAGTAGAATGTGGGAGAGCAAGGCAGAGATGGACGTGGCAACCAGTAATGCAAGTATTAATGGAAGCCAGTCGATGGCAGACGTCAGAGAACGGGAGGAGATGGAAAGGGAGAACGGTGACAAGATATCGCAGCAAGACGGGGAGAAAGGCGAGCAACGAGGAGCAGGGTGCGTGGGGGTCGTGTAGAACGTCGAGGAGGAGAGGGAGGAGAGCGTCGAAGGGAAAGAGGACAAAGTTGTTGGGCAGAGCGGGAATGTTCTGGTCGGACTGCGAGCGGCCTGCCTTGGGTCAGCCTCCAATAATCTATCTAATTTGTATCTAATTCGTCACGTTCCTGTCACGCTCCCCTCTTAGCTCCCGCGTCCGCCCAGACGTCACGCGTCACAGCGAGGAATATCCGAGGATGCCGGACAGGAAAATGGAGCGGCAGCAGAAATACAAGGGAATACAACGACAGCTGAAAGGAGGCGACGACAGACACCTTCGGCAGACGACAGGTCTACTCTGTGCTCGTCGCAGGCTGCTGTGCTTGACATGCTCTATCCGCGTCCTGTATCCTCTCTGTGACCTCTTGCGCCTATCTCCTCCGTCTATTCTCCTCGAGGCCACTGCAATATATCCTCTTCAATCCTTCTCCCCCAAATGACCCCATGCCGGACGCTCACCCACTCCGGTCCCGACTCCCCATGTATCCTCTTTTGGTTCTTTATGCACATCTGCCTTTGTCTTCCTCTCTTCTCTCCACCTTTCTCAATCTCTCCTCATTCGTACACCTTTCCTTGATCGTGGCTATCCTGCCGCGGCTGCTGCGGCTCGGAGTCTCTCCACTTACCTCGACGCGTTACTGGTACTGTGACCTTTCTCCAAGAGTCACCCTCTTCTACGTTCAAATGTCGTGTCTCATCTATGACATGCATGGCATCTTACCGTCGCACCCTCTGGTCCTGTCATACCCCTTCACCGCCCTCCGATATCCATCTACATCTGTTCCGTCCATCGTGGACAATCATAATCTATTTGCGGTAATTACGCCCATTTGAAAAGCGCCATAGCTCTTCAACGACGCAATCCATGATTGTGAACGATAAATGGCATCTGCTTATCAGTCGACTTACAGCCCTAAGCTATTTCATGCACCCTGTTGCTGATGTACATACATACCAATCTACATTACAATCTTCAATTCGTCATACAAAAGTCCGTAAAGTATACAGTCCGAACCCCCCGAAACGAACAACAAGGAAACAGAAGTCGAAAGCGTTCACCATCGACAAAGTAAAGACAAATTCAACCTCATACAGGACAGCAATCCCCCGGCCCCGAGAAAGAAGGGATAAATGAAGGCACCACAACACAAATAACGCCCCCTCCGATGACCATCACACAAGCTTCAAAGCTTCACACGGCCTAGCCCGACTCAAAACCAGCCGAACATGAACACCGTCGATATCGATCACCACCAGAAAAAGTCCGAATTCACGACGGCCAAACCAAGCAACATCACAGCCCAAACCACCCAAATGCCACCATCACCCAACTTGAACCTTCCCAACCTCGGGCTCAAAGCACTCGAGCCATTCAAATTCCCTGTCGGTTGAGCAGGAGGGAGCGGCGATTCAACGAAAGTCGACGTTGAAGTCGACGCAGGCACGATTGGCAACGAATTTGAAGCAGAACTGGATTGGCTTGATGGAAGTCGTGTTACGCCCCCTCCTGACGCTGGAGGTGGCGAGGGACTGGATGGTGGTGAAGTCGCTGATGTGGGCACGTTTCCGCCTGCATTTGAATTTGAAGATGGAGTAGTAGTAGGCGTTGGGGGATTGCTGATCGGAGTTGTGTTGGATGGCGATGGAAGGGGTGTGGCTGTTTGAGTTATCGTGGAGATGATAGTGGTAGGTACTGGTTGAAGTGTTGTAGTACTTTGCGAACTTGAAGGTGAGGGAGAAGGCGTACGAATGGATGAACTAATTGTCGACGGTGTGCCTGATTATCACAAAACCGACGGTCATATCCTTCAATTAGCATGTACTCGCCCTCTCTTGTGAGCAACTCACCTGAAGTAGTCGAAGTGCTCGAGGAGGGTAACGGAGAGACACTAATGGAGGAGCTCACTGTGATAATAGAAGTCCGATCAGTGACTGCACTCTACGTCAAAAGATGGAAACGGAGACGATAGAAACATATGAAAAGCACAGGAGACGTCAGATGTCAACCAAAGAGGGGACCGACGATCCCCGAGAGCTTGACAGTCGACGTCAGACCCTAAACGATATCAGTCCTCCATATTCGTGCTTCGCCACAAAACCGGGTAAAGGTAAAGGTGACCATGAAGACCACAGTGTCACGTTGCAATAAGTTCAGTGAGCCCAACGCGGACACGAATCGCAGGGCTGCGAGTCTGCAATCAAGGAAACTGAAAGATACCGCACGATATGTCTACAAGCGCAATGGTTTCGCATTGTCATGTCATATCAACTCTGTCAAAATTCGCATGGCGAGCAATATGGGGAACAGCATGGATGCATCAACCTGAGTTGTACCACTCCGAGTCCTGGCCATCAGAGCTCGGTACTTGCGGTCACCCCCCCAAAAAAACTCTGTACGAGCAGTGCACGCAGAAAATGATGTTTCGATCTTTGAGTGAGCTCCGAACAATGCACCAGGATCCAATTGAAATGCAAAGAGCAAAAAGATCAAGAATTAACAAGAGTGAACTGACAGGAAACATAAGACCCGAAACACGATCACGGAAATGACACTCACCAGCCGCTTCACAAACCTCCTGGAAAAACTGGACTCCGGTTGCCTCGTCCGAAGTTGTACAGTTACTCGACATGCACGCCTCCGCGACACGGAAGAACGAGTTAGAGTTGCAGACACAAACGAGGTCTCTAGGGAACATTGACATCGCATCAGCATTGTTGTTAAGCTAGCACGAATATAAGAATGTCCATCAAAATAGGGATCATGAATGAGACAACGACGACAGAACAGCGCTTCACAGAACTTGGCGTCTGAGTAACTCTCCATCCACCATGAACATTTCAATTTATCCAACCCAGGATCACCCTTCGCGCTTCACGCTTGCCTCACGACACTCCAAATTTAAAATAGAATTCAAATCGAAATGACGAACTTACAGATTTCTGCAACCCACTGTACTCGCAGCGCTTCCAGCACAGTTCGAGACACATGGAGGGAGACCTGACTGGGCTTTAGCAGAATGATCTCTAGACGCACTCCAGCTCCAGATGAAGAGCCAGATCATTAGGAGAAGCCACGACGGTTGAGATAAAAAACTTGTCATCGCAGGAGTCGTGAGTCGTTCAAGTGTCGTTCAAGTGGTATAGATCTATGAGAGCGCAGACAGAGGGGAAGACAGAGAGACGTAAGGCTTAAGGGGTCAATCGTGGTCGCGTTTAAGAGCGTGAACGGGCGTGTTCGTTTCGCAAATTCGTCGCTGGCAAATATGCAGAGGACAATGCCACCGAGAACGTGCCCAGAGCTTCTCGGAATCTACCAAAATAAGCATCATCAGCGAGCCAGGCCACCAGAATCACAAGGAATGCATGCCTTGCACAAGATGCGTCAAATGGTGAGACTGTTGGACGTTGAATTCAAGAAGAGGGAAGGGAGGGGGAACTCGCTGACCTTTTCCCAGCGACCAGCTAAGTACTCAGAGGGCGACATATATACGTATGTACAACATGCCCCGGATCCAGAGAAGGTCAGCAAGGTGCTTCGCAACTGATCCCGAACATCGCCAAAGAGACACAGAAACGGTCAGTGCTGACCAGAAGAATGCGAATCAGTTGATCCAGATGCCATATGTCTGTCATTCGCAAGAAGAGGTTGCATCATGCGGGGACCGGAGTCGCCCGACTCAGTCAGAGAAGCTGCCCTTCTCGCAAGTACCGAAGGAATAAAAGGGGCCTCGTGAGCATGGTAGACGGCGGGGAAGCGTAAATGCTGTTGGTATTTAGGGAACGTGTTCCGTACTCGAGAATCAGCTGACGGTTGCCACACTGCTACTCCATGTTCGTGTACGTGTATCAAATGATGATGCATGATGGTCAGAGCAATAACATATGCGCTGCTTACGCTCTGGAACTTGCCATAAAACCCTTCTCTCGTGGATAGCGGATGTCCAGGCAGCTGGATGCGAAGGCATGAAGAGTAAACACACTTCAGCCCAAGTTCAGCCGCGGTTTGAGGTTGAGAACATGATCGAAAGTGCCAAGTTTCTCAACCCACACAAGCGCTAACAAACCGATTATAATCGACCGAGGCGTTCTCTGTTAGACCTCTGTTCTTATGCAAATGCCAAGCGAAGCACAACAGCGAGATACGCGAATAGTCTTCGACGATTATCGAAGGTACAATAAGTGGTGTCAAGTCCATGCATGGGGTACTTTTATACGGGTACAATACGAAATCCTGGTATACCAATCATTCTCAACATACACTCTAAGTCCATTACTCCCTACGCAATAACGGCCCCTTCCCATTTAGAGAACGAAAGCAGCTCCAGCAACGACACCAACAAGAGCTACAACGGCACTAACGATGCCACCCTGGCTGAAGAGCGAAACAGCTCCGGAACCGTTTCCAGTGTTGGTAGCAGCCACACTGGCGCTGCTGAGAACGGAGGACAGGCTCGAGGATAGAGAGCTAGCACCGCCGGCAGCTCTAGACGACAGTGAAGAGGCTGCGGAGGATGCTCCGGAAGTGATAGAGGCTGCCACGGAAGAAGCTGACGAACCCGATGCAACGGATTGGGAGATAGAGCTGGCGGACGAGGCTAGTGAGCTACTGCCAGAGCTGGCCGCTATGGATCAACTAGGTCAGAATGGATGATCAATAGATTCGAGTAAGAAGTGAACGTACCGTTTCCGCACTGGGACTGCTGAGCAGCGGTCGCGGCAGATACATCATCAGGACAGTTGGTCTGCAAACATTGTAATGTAGCAGCCTGGAATGCCTGAGAGCTGCAAAGGCATTGAACGTCGGTACTACAGAGTGGGTGTCAGCAAAAGCAGTTTGAGTGGGTGTAAGATAGGTCATACATTGACTGGCAGTTGCCTTCACCGAGGGACTGCTGAATGCACTGCAAGGAACAGGCAGTGATACCACTGGGAAGACCAGCGGGGGCACTAGCAGTGCTTGACTGAGCGTTGACACAAATAGCGGCGGTAACGAGGACGGCGAAGGCGACTTTGAAGTTGGAGAACATGTTGGTAAGATCGTTGAAAGGGAGTGCTGAAGCGTGTGGGTATTTGTCGTAAGGGGGGAGAAGAGGGACAACCTGGGTTCAGGTAGAAGGCGGCGCACTGGGAGGCTTTATAGACCAGGCCTGTGGAGATGCGTGGGAAGTATGATGCGCGCCTACCACGACAGATCGACGTCAGTACTGCACTTCTCCATGCTGTAATTTAAGCTATACTTCTGGTCGATTTTGTCGCAATGGAGGGAAAATTCTGCGCCTGGAGCTGGTCAGTAGACCCTACTATAGATAAACATAACGGAAGAGCTCGCATGTTCGTCTATGCCACGCACATATTTTCATATGGCAATAGTCAACCAGTCACACCTAGACCTTCGCTGTTTCCCAGCTAATTCAACGAACCTTGATTACAAAGTTCATCAGCAACTAAACCCAAACGCCCCGAATCTTCTGTACCTGATTCTTACCAAAATTGTGAGAGCGGCGTGCATGGTAGAGAAAGTACCATTGCAGCGTCGATAAACGGCTTGAGAGAAGAAGTCTAGATAGCGGCACATGTATAGATGCGCGCGAGTGCATGGAGTGGTGCTGAAGCTCACCCGGGCAGAAGACCGATCACCTGGAAGGATTCAGAAGTACACCTGTCCAGTATCAATTGGTGATGACGCAAAGGACATTTCGTCTGCGCTTCCTTTTCGTGGGCTTTGCTCGCCCAACGAGACGAAAACAAGGTCTAAACGAGGACCTAGAGATGCCGGAATGTCAAAAAAAAGTACGTCGTGCATCATGGCTCAATGTATCACGTTAAAAAAAGTCCAGATTCAGCTGGGATAGCAAACCCTCACCGGCCTCACCAATGGTCAGCGAGCCACAACCGATTGGTACCATATGTGAGGCCTGGGTTCGGGGCACTCTACTACAGCGCCGCCTCTAGGGCGGCCAAATTCATGATGAAAGGGAGAGCGGCCCTATACGTCCGCATCGTCACCGCACAAGATACCGCGGCGTGTCATATCCTCGGGATTGTGGAACGAAGGAGTCTGCCCTACAGAGTTCAACGGATGTACGCGGAGGTAGGTCGATGACAGTATAACAAAAACTTATGACCATCAAACGAACTGTAGGAGCCACGGCCGAACGAGTACACCTATCGGTGATGTCACTATTTGGGTGACGCTATTCGATACTTGCCGGTGAATGAGGTGGGGCGAATCGGGTAGGCGTTAATGTAGGCAACAAAGAAGGCATAAAGGTATCCTTGTCCAATGATAATTGCAAATCAGCAGGCGGAATCGGACCATGTAAAAGGGCGGACAGATCTGTCATGAGCATCTACTAGGACTCCCAAATCATCTCGCACAACTTCAATTAGCCCTGACGCCGAAGACCCCTGGAGCGCAATTTTCCATGGCCAACATGAGGCCCGCCTTGTTAGACCCAACTATTGACGCCTACTATCAATGCAAACAGGAATCATGCATCACGCTCGAACAGGGCTACGACACAGTTGCGGCTTCGAACATACCTAGACATATTGATGCAGTACTTGGGTGCTTGAGAGACAGGGGTCTTATGAGTAGCAGCTGTGATTACCTGTAGTGCAAATGAAAGGTAGATGTGGAGGGTAAGCTTTACCAAATCTCTCTGCCATCGACTACATGATATCGGCACTGCTGAGGTGTCCACCACCCCTCCAAGCACGACAACTGCCAGCGGAAAGAACTGGTGTCCGCATATGGAATTATGGGATGACCAAGTGAGTAGGGTCGGCACAAATAGCTGATCGAACGTGACGCGAGGGTACTTACGACTATACCCCTAGTATCCAACTCCAATCATAGAAACAATGATGCAGGTTGTCTGATTCAACTGATAACCGTCAAAAAGTTATCTTTCCAAGTGACATGGCACACATCGCTGAGGAAAGACTTTCAAGAGCCCCCGTCAACCTTTTTGGTATGACTGACGAAGGCAAACGGGAGACGGAGCCAATCGTGGCCAATCGGTAAAGGTCATCAAGCGTGACACGAGGTTCCCAGTTAGGCAAGTGTGTAAGAAACCACGACAACAATATTAATCAACTCGCCGGGACTCGGTCTCAGTGCAACGGCTCCGATATATGACCGAGACTGAGAGTGTTTTTTGAGTAGAATCACCTGACGCATATAAGTTATGTCTATTGTCCCGGAGGATACATGCAGTGAGGCGTTCAATGAGTTAGTAAAGACTCAGAAGTCGACTGTTGCAAATGGTATTCGGACGATATCGTCCAACCTCACTACCATTTGATCCGACTATCAATGAGGTGAGAGCGCAACATCGTGCAGACGCAGGCCCTGGAATGAATAAATTCAATAATGACACTATTCAGTTGCAGGGATGGCCGGCAATTGCCGCTGTACATCAGTATTGTCTTTCCACGAGTCGACGTTAGCAACGTTGACAGCTCTCCAGATGCACACATTGTATCAACAAGACGATACCAGTTGACATCCACCTCTGAAGGGATACATCTTCAGCTGATGGTGCAAATGTAGGTATTTCACCTCTCTCACACCTCATACCTCATCGCAAACTGCAGCCTAGGCCTGTCTAGGCCTTCTAGATAATGGAACAACACCTGTAGCCAATAGGAGGCTGAGTAAGAATCCACCCTGCATAGGAAGTTCAAAAAAATGGCCCTTTGATGGACCTGACCGTCCAGGCTCAAGTGCAGTGGCATCAAGTCTTGTCTGGATGCTTCCTGGCTTACGGTGTATCGCGTTCCCATTGGTTGCGCCCATGCACATCTTAGTCCACAAATGTACTGTGTAGCTCATACCCGGGTTTGGAACTGTAAGCATTGTACATTTTCATTCTGCGAGATATACTGATCAATCAGTTTTTAAGCTTCATACGCATTTTTCTGCGCTCTGTGATATGACCCCGCTATTATCCCTTCCATTGTTATAAACATGGCTCCTCATCGCCGAGCCTCAACTCATGAAGTATGTCCAGTCTCTTGGCTAATAAACAACATGAGCATTCATAGGCGAGCACCATCAGGCCCAACTCACGAGCACAATAGTCACAAATCCGAACCCCCCTCTGTCCCTTTGACAGTTTTTACGGACTTTCATTCTCTGAGTGGAGTTCATGGTCATGGGGAAGAAGCGCAAAGATGAGCTTCTACTATCCCTTCCCCTCAAATCTATCTGCCAGCTCGTGACAATTTTATCTCACCCACATCATCCCCACCTCAATCACATACCGATGCTAGCGAGACCATCCATATTCGCTCTTTGATGTCAAATCTCAGTCTCCATGCTCCTCTCCCATTCCCTCAGGCATTTGACAATGACTCAGACTGCACAGCAAGGGCATGTGGACAAGATGCGCTCAGTGCAAGTGCTTCATCACCTTCAGGGTGGTATGACTCTGATTTTGGGTTGAGTGATTGGGACCATGGCGATAAGCATGCTTCGTTTGCTTATCATAGTCATAGCAAAACTCGAAGCAGTCCCCCCGAGCAAGAGAGTGCCGATGTCAGTAATCACGCATATCAAGATGATTTGCAACTACCTTCTGTACCTCCGGTGCACTTCATGCAACCCTATTCAGAAGTTGTTACAGGCGAACTCCATCATCTATTGAAGCAAGAAGGGTTATGGATGGAAGATTGCTTAGATTTTGACGATGTAGCAAATCAAAGGATGTGGGTCAAACATGCCGCGGATGGATTTGAGAAATTACCTTGGAAAGGTGAATGGGATGAGAGGTGGAGGAGAAAGCATGGACATGGTGAATTTACCTCTATTCTAGGCTTTCTTGCACTCATGGTCGTCATTGATTGTAGGTGTCTTTGGGATGCAGATGAGAGATATTGACAATGAAGCTATCACCACTACGGTCATTAGTGGGTACTTACATGACTTGCCAACCATAGTTGTTCAATCCATCAAGGAATTATATCGGACCGGTACATTTCTTCTACAAAGAATCATTCATTCCAAGGCTAAATGTAATACAGGTATTTATCAGCATGGGTTATTCTGTGCTCTACCTAGCCATTCACGTCTTCACTGCATAATCAAAAGTTTCAATCCTAATCATGCATCATCTTCATGTCCAATTGCTTATTCGTCAAACCTCCTGCATGAAACAATGCCCAATATATGTGCCCTTTTATTTGAGTTTATCTCTGCACTTCTATCAGCCTTGTTTCCGAGTTCTTTGCTTGAGGCACTTTGGAGGTGGTGCATCTTACCTAGCAGAAGGAATGATGTTGATGCGAGAATGAAGTATCGTGATGAGATTTCGCAACACGACGTGGCTGGTCGTGAATGAGTCAAAGGCTGGAATTCACTAGAACAGCTGTTGGCAAATACTGAAGAAACATCCATGATCCAGAGACTCAAATCGTGACCTTCTTCTCAGCTCTAGCCGTACTCTCTCTCCATCTTCAGATTTCAGCAGCAATTCTCATTAGGAAAAACCTGTCTTTCCATTTTGGTATCATTTGAGATGAAATAGAGAAATTTCTTACTCAAATAGAACTATTCCCAGGAATAGCGCAAATAGTTTAGTTCCTCTATTAAAAGTAAAAAATAGTAGCAAGTAGAGAAAATTCAGAACTAGTTTTGTCATATTGACACCCAATCTTTGCCATGCACTTGTCACTCAGTTCTCATTTCATGTATTGTGAAGTCACAAAATATATTGGACACTATCTATGACACAGCAACTATTCTACATGGTTACTAAACTAGAGCATGAGACAAACACTAAAGGCATCGGAAGTCCAGATTCTGAGTAGTCAGCATAGAGGTCTTCATCATCGAAATCTCTGCTCAGATCTTAAGCAGAGAGGCCACCACAGAAGCCGCCTGTAAGCCCCCCATGCAAACTGCCATGAAGGCCATTGCACAGGCTGCAACAGAAGCAGCCGGGACAAGAGAGGCCAGTGTAATATTCCTAGGGAATAGCAGCATGAGTATGAGATGGGGGATGTAGATCAAAATAACATATCTCTCGAACTTCGAGAATATACCCATACCAGTCAAACCCATTGTGCAAACTAACAGACAGTATAAGCACATGCGACAAGGCACAAATGTGAAAAAGGGAAAATAAGAGCTTACAAATAGCTTGCTTGATGTTCGCAGTCTCAAAGATGACAGTACCAGATCTCTTCAAATGGCTGTCGGCACCAATGTTGATATCTGAATGAATGATGTTTCCAGCAGATCAAAATAGATCCTTGAGATCAAAACCTTGTCAGGCCATGGCCATACTAATCTTACCTAGGATAGGGGTAGTACAAAAATGCGACTCATTCTCGCAATCCTGGGTACCACAGTGAGGACTGAACTGAAGATATGCTGATGACCGATGACGACGGCTCACCTCACGAATGAACACCAGTTGACCCAAAAGAGGTTGTTCTGAGAGCTCACGAATGGAATGCTAAGCACCTTCCCAGGAGGCTAGTATGAAAAACTTCAGCGAACAGGTCCTCATCAGCTCGTCATACCTGCCACATCAGTACAGCTCAACAACGTGATTTGCCAGGGTATGAATGAGTGCCTGAGCCATGAAGATGGGAGAGAAGGGTAGTAGACCTGCCTTCGAATACCGTTGCATAGGAAATGTCCGAGTCTTGCACCACATTGAGTGAAGGTACTTGCGAGCAAGCTTAAGCCATTCCCTGGTAGGTGACATGTCAGATGTCAAATTTAGTTTAGGGCAAGCATGTATTTGCCACTCTGAGACTTGTGCAAACTTCGACACATGTGTATGAGACGCCGTGACTACTTGGGTAGAAATAACCTGAGTGTCCACCAATAGATGAAATAGAAGCACATTTCTCTATTTTTTTCTTAATTGACATCAAAATAGGAAGTCAGATTTTCCCCGATGAGTACAGAATGTTGCAAAGTTGAAGCAATTTTCCTCTATTTTTCTACTTGGCTCACATTCATGCCAAATGTGGAGAACAGGTTTTTCCTGATGCTCTTGGAGATGTGTATTACTCGGATGCTTTTGCTGCTTCTAAGAATCGATCATCACATTGTCACGTAACTGCACCGTCAACTGCTTTATACCATCCCAACCAACTGCCCGATCACGTCCATCCTTCAAGTGCTGATCTTCATATTCCACAACAACATCTTGAACGAACCCTCAAGTCACTTGAAACCCCCCAAATCCAAGTGGTACAACTTATTCTCCTTCTTCTCCCACCTCGCTCATTATTCCTCTTGCTGTATCTGTTCTCGTTCTTCAGTCAAATCCCACTGAGTCCTGAGAATGAGTTGACATATGAAGATATAGTGAGAATCTTCACTCGACCACTCTTTGGAGGTTCAGAATCAGGAAGTCCAAATGAAAGGGAGAGGGCAGACAACGAGTGATCTGCAGTCCTAATGGTCTGGATGCTAGAACAGTAGAGAAGAATATTAGAAAGGTTTGAGTGTCTCGAGGAATGACAGGGACATGGCGACACTGAATGGGCAGAGTCAAATTCTTGGGGAAAGGGTTATCCTCCTCATATGGGCGAATGGCTTTCCCAGATAGCGAAACCTCCACAGGCCGACTCAGAATCTCCTATTACCAGTGCACAGAAAGAAAGTCGTGATGAATACGACAATGATACTAAGGTCATTGATATGCATTTATGCCTAGATTGGGGACAGATGGAGCCTCATCCTCAGATGTCACCCCGTCGTGAGGAGCTGCAGAGGCAGTTGGAAGCTGCATCATATACTGAGCAGCTGTCACAAGCACCCATAGTGAACAAGAGGTGAAGAGAGATGAAGAGAGATTGATTTCATGGAGGATCCTATATACTCTACAGGAACTCTGAGACGGATGAGACAAGTTGTACATTTCTATCGAATCTGAGGAGCAGAGTAGTCTTGACCTTTTGGATTTAGGCTGTAGCAAAGATATGTGCCAGTTTGCAACATATTGGCAATAGCAATTGGATAAATATGAGCCAAGTTGAGGTGAAAAGGAGTGCCTTCAGCAGGAGAAGCAACAATTTTGAGATGAAGAGCTCGAACGATTGAGTGTAGCAATGTGATTCACCAGCTGGTTGCGATTGAGGCAGAATTCTGCTAGTCATGGCTCAGTAGATGATGATGCACGTGGTCCTGGAAGGGCTGTGGTGGCAGATTCGGCATCGGATATGACTGTCATCATCAAGAGCAGAGGTTCCGAGGAGTCTTATGCCTGAATGAGGAGAATTCAGCCCTGGAGACTCGGAGTCCATCAGGAAAAATGCGAGGTAGTATACTGCAATATATACACTGTATGGTGCTTATACACAGAATGCACATCCCCCCTATATATAGCAGTTTATACCTATGAGTAGCCGCTATGCATTGCTATATGGTGGCATAAAGGCATATGTGCTGTATCCGTTCCTATACTATGAGGTGATATACAGCTACTGTACATAAGATAAAATATACACCTTTAGCTATCCCGACGGCCATCCAGTCACACCATAGATAATTCAAGAACAACTATATATTAACAATGATTATGATGTAATAGTCTATGGACAGCCTATTGTCTATTCATCTTCCTCCTCAGGCTCCCAATCCTCTGCATCACTCACTAGCTCATCCCCGTCAACCGACTTGTCATCCTCTTCATATTTCTCCTCTTCGTTCTCATCCTCATTGGCCTCTTCACCATCCTCCTCATCCTCATCCCGCCACTCTCTAGCATCCTCTCCCAACTCACCATCTTCAACGTCAACTTCCTCCTCTTCGACTTCCTCTTTGATGGTAATCTCACTTGCTCCCGCTTCCACCTCATTCTCCCTTTCAATGTCTCCGATCTCGTCAATATCTGAACTATACACACCCCATAGATTGAAGTATGGGTCACCTCCAGTATCCACCTCATCTTCATGAGAAGCGCTCTCCTCCATGTATAAGCGATACTCAGCTTCGAGTACATTCCTTGGGATACCCACCTTGGTGCTCTCATTGTCCACTTCTCCAATTGCAGGAGCAATACATGCTTGCCTAGGAATAGACCAGAAGAGTGTTAGACTGGCATGAAAGTGAGATGATGAAGTCAGTACCTAGCTTTGTTAAGTATATTGGCTGTCCGCTTCTCAAACAAGCCTGAATCACGCCAGATCTCTTCTTGACTCTTGATCATCTGTAAGTGCTCATAGTACGTCTTCTTCCATTGACTTTCTGTGAGCATTGTCCCGACGTATCGACCAGTGGACCATTCAGAAATTCTGAATGCAATCTAGAGGTATTAATGATGAGAAGCAGCTATTACCTTAGTGAAGAAACTTACCATCGTGCTCACAAATGCAACCGCAGAAGATGGCATGCGAATACCAAAGTACTCCTCAAATCGGATTCTGAGGGTTTGAAGCGAAGCAAACTAGGTACGAGAGAAAAAGAGATCTATGGATGGATGGTAGTAGCAGCCCTTGCGTCGACCAGGAGGATTGTGAAGTTGGTCATCCTAAAATACAAAGCCTCAGTCGCACGGGAAAGATGATAAGATGTGAAGAAGGTCACACAGGGTAAATGTAGGCATTATGGTTTGTGAGCAGTTCATAGTACTGTTCATTGTATCTCATGGCACCAGTCTTGAAACTGTAAGCCTGGGATACTACCTGACGTGTATTCGGCTTGAGGTTGCTGCGAAAGCTACTGGCACTATGAACGATCTATAAAACATCACAACGGATTGTTCAGTTTCGAAACCCAGCAGATAGAAATTACTTACCATTGAGTGCACCTCATTTGTGATACCAATTTGCACGTCTTCAATTTCGCAAGCCTTCACCCAAATTTTCAGAATCCAATCATTCATCATTGCACTTGTAGGAAAGGCACAATATACAACAAGATAGACCTTGAACAGTTCTGATGCAATGTTGATCACATCTGTGGTGTCTCTTGTGAAGTCTTTGCAGCGAGGACGGCCTTGATAATCCACAATCTTTTGTGCTTTCACAATAATAGACAGATCCATAGCTTCACCAAGTGAGGTGAAACTGCTTCGTGAGCGTGTTCATTTGTGGCCGATAAGTACCTCATCATCACCATCTGATGCAGCGCTGTCCATCTCAATTACCTCATTAGCAAAAGGATTACCATCGTCATTGTCAACGGCAACAGGTTCCAGGCTGGAACTGATTTGAAGAGGTTGAATATTCTCCTTGCCAGGTGGAAGAATCTGTGGCGTCAATTTTGTAGTTGCCTTCGCTGTAGGGACACCTACAATGATTAGTGATAGTAAGCAAGACCGATATTGGTAATTGATGTAACAAGGGAAGAGTACCTTTCAGAATCCGTATCAGTTTGACACCAGGTGCTGGTCGAAGAGAAGAAGACAACACCTTAGAAGGTGCTGTCCTTGAGTGAACCGCTTGTACGAAACCCGACGTCATGCTAGGAGAGCTGTTGGATTTGGATGTTTGACCAATAGTCTTCATTCTAGCCATCGGAGTTGTAGTCGAAGTTCCTTTTGTAGAAGCCAGAGCTGTGAAGGTATTAGAAAACTCAGAGAGTGAACGCGCAGAATGAACAAACCCGCACTTGCAAGTGGCAGCATTTTTGATGATGGAAGGGGTGTAGCTGTCACTACAGGAGGTCTTATCAGTCCAGCTATATTAGAGATATTCAACTTCTGTGATGTTCCACCTTCTTACTTGTCCTCTTTTATACATTTCTGACATCCCCTTCACCTAAGCTATCCATACATACCATCCCCATCCTCTAACTCTTCCTATTCATCCTTCCACCCAATGCCACTTCTACTTTGTAGTTTCTGCTTCACTTTGGGCGCTTTGCCTGTTTCCTAATAAGGAGCTGTGTTCCCACGGCTCCGCTTTTCCCTGTACTTCACTTTCCAGCATCTCTTTGCTGCTTACATCAAAGTACAGATTAGTACTAAGTTTCTATACCAATATATGCTGCTTACATCGAAGTACAGAACTTCTGTCAGCTACCAGGTTGATCTATTCCCTGGTTTTAACAAGCTACAGCTGACTTCGCCTTCGGCTTTGGCTTGACAGCCTTTTTTGCAACATTGATTGTTTTGCTAACAAACTGAAACGGTTGGCAATAAGAGCAAAAATGGTATGTACGTGACAGTAAGAGACTTACAGAGCCAACAACGGCTGCAGCTTTTGACACTTTTGGGGCGGGAACAGGCGGACATGCCCTCGCAGCCTGTGCAGCTTTCTCAAAGTCTTCAGTTTATTGTCAGCACACTTTGTGTATCGAAAATCAATCAAAAGGAGAGAAGAAACTCACTGAGCTGTTTGAGTTTCTCTGTGGGTTGGCAAGAACGAGAGGGGCGTTGAGTTTGAGCAGATGTAGACATCTTCGCAGCATCAGCCAGCGTTGACAAAAATGCAAATTGAGAAGATTTGCAAAGGCCATCTGTGGTCCTATACAGTCATTAACCAAATAGGAAACAGTGTGCCTGAAAAAAAGGGGGGTGTGCAAGGGGGAAAGTTGAGGTCATCAGAAAGGCTGAATTTGGAAGTAACTTGGGGTCTGAACATTGAACTCCAAAGTTGTGACTACCTATCATTCATTAGCATGCATCACTGACTGAAAGAGACAACCGTTCACCGGTGTGGCTTCTGCAAAAAGCATCTCAGGACTTCCACCGGTCTCAGGCTTCACGTTCAAAATGCTTTTATTTGTCAACATCGCTGGAACACTTGGCTCGCTACTCGCAGTCGCAACCTGCAATGAGCTCAAAATCAGCATCCTCCGCAGTATGCTCCCAATGCTACTCAAGCTAGTGAGCCTATGGCATGCTTGCAAGACTCCAACGTGGATGATACATCGACGCCAGATTGTGGCAATCATGCAACGCTTCCCACAGACCTAGATGCTACTGTTAACATCGCGCCATTGTCATACAAGCCATATGTCGAAGACGTACCTGATGAAGATGATCCTGTTCAGTTTGTACAGCAATATCCACATTGCGAAAGTGAAGTCTTGGGCAATGGCACTACCATCTTCGAGCAGTGGAAGACACAGCTAGAGGAAACTGGAGGGAGTCAGTGGACACCATTTGCCAGCTGGGAGGAGTGGGAGCTAGCTCAATGGCTGAGAAAATGTGTTGGTCACAATCAGATAGAGGAGTTTCTGAAATTACCAATCATGAGTAATGATTTGTACATGCAGTATTGTGAGACTTACCACGTCATCGTGCGAACAGATCCAGCAGTGCAGCCTTAGCATGTCAAGTAAATATACCTTCCTACAAAAGGTCGATCAGCTTCCGACAAGCCAAGATTGGATCTATGACAGTGTCACCATTACCGGTGATACACTTGGAGAGGACGGCGATGCATTAACAGAGCAGTTGGACTTGTGGAGGCGGAACCCGGTTGAGTGTATACAAGAGTTGATAGGAAACCCAGCTTTTCGTGAGGTGATGCAGTATAGTCCTGAACGGGTGTACGCATATCAGGAGGGTGATGTTCGCATCTTTGACGAAATGTGGACTGGTGAGTGGTGGTGGAACAAACAAGTGAGTTTGACTTGATATATCGGCAAAGTGTTGATCGAGTAACTTACCCGACGTCCATAGGCCAACCTGCCTGATCGAGCTACCATTGCACCTATTATACTTGCATCCGACAAGACCAAGCTTTCACAGTTCAAAGGCAACCAGACAGCTTGGCCTGTCTATTTATCCATTGGTAACATCGCTAAGGCCACACGACGTCAGGTCTCCGCTAGAGCGACAGTGCTGGTTGGTTACATACCAGTCTCGAAACTTCAATGCTTCTCATCCAAGGCGCGATCCGTGGCTGGCTATCGTCTGTTCCACCACTGCATGATGAAGATACTCGAGCCACTAGTCGAAGCTGGGAGAAATGGCATTAAGATGCTTTGTGTGGATGGTTGCATCCGTAAAGTCTACCCGATTGTAGCTGCCTATGTAGCTGACCATCCGGAACAATGCCTCATTGTGAACGTCAAGGAAAATCATTGTCCCAGAGGTTTAGTTGACCCCAAGCAGCATGGCGAGCCAGATGCATGTCTACTGCAAAACGTTGACGAGACATTGGATATTCTTTTGCGGCATGCAGAGGGATTGAACGAACCTCGCTTTGTTACACAGGGTCTTCACCCCGTGTACGAACCCTTCTGGAAGAACCTCCCTCACTGCAATATTTTCTCCTGTGTCACTCCCGACATCCTCCACCAACTCCACAAAGGCATCTTCAAAGACCACCTTGTCAGTTGGTGCGCGAAGCTTATTGGAGATGACGAGCTTGATAGACGATTCAAAGCCATGCCGGACATGCCAGGTCTGCGACACTTCAAGAAGGGGATTACCAGCGTGTCGCAGTGGACGGGAGCAGAACACAAGGAGATGCAAAAAGTATTTGTGGCGCTTCTATCTGGCGCCGTTTCCAACGAAGTTCTCACTGTTGTGCAAGCCGTCGTTGACTTCATTTACTATGCACAATTTCAGGTTCATACGACGACGACTCTACGAGGACTCCAGCATGCTCTTCAGACCTTTCACGACCACAAAGAGATCTTCCAGACTCTGGGTATCCGTGAACACTTCAACATTGCCAAGATACACTCGATGCTTCACTACCTAGAGGCTATCATACAACGGGGTTGCTTGGACAGTTTTAACACTGAACTATCCGAACGACTTCATATTGATTTCACCAAGGAGGGTTATCGTGCCGGGAACCATCGAGACTATATAGCCCATATGACAACCTGGCTGCGGCGACAGGAAGCTATGCATCTTCGTTCTGCTTTTCTTCAGTGGCTGGATCAGGATGCAGTTGGACTTTGTCAACCCTTGCCGGACACTCTTACAAATAGTGACACTGACTCGGAGCCCGGTGACATTGATCTAGATGGTCTCAATGCTGCGCCGGTTGAAAAAGTCGAGAAAGAGTTGCCTTTGGTGTCTCCCATTTCAGGCGTCACATATCGGATTGCGAAGAACTGCCCTAACCCATGCACAACCTTGCTTGAGCTTCAGGGAAAGTATGTTGCCACGGAGTTCTTACCAGTTTTTAGATCATATGTTCGCAGCAAGCTCCCCTGCAGCCCCTTCTTACCAACACACCTTACTCGCTACGAAGTCTACAAGCAAGTGAAGATCGAAAAACTGCCGAATGAATTTGTTGGAGACATTACACGATTTGACCGAATCCGCGCAGTTCCCATGACTGCTGCAAAGGGTCGCACACGTCCGGTACCTGCGCAATTTGCAACGGCACTTGTGATACATGACCGGGAGCTTTTTAAGGGACGGATTTCAGGTTCCCTTGAAGGTACTATGCATATTTGGTCTCATTTGCTCATCTCGACTGACTTTGTCTGTAATGTCAGGACTACGAGCAGCACGCGTTCGCGTGATTTTCAAGCTACCGCCCCAATTTGGTGATCTCCCACACCCATTGGCATATGTTGAGTGGTACACGGCATTCAATAGAGTGGATACTACCACAGGTATGTATACCGTCTCTCGTTCTACGCGAAACCGTGCGCCGAATGCATCCATAGTTGGAGTTGATCAGATCTACGGCGCATGTCACCTGGTTCCGAAATTTGGCTCGCAGATTGATAGAAAGTGGACGGTTGAGAATGTCCTGAATGCAGCCACTCAGTTCTTTGTCAATCCGTACCTTTCTATTCATACTTTTGCTAGTAGTGAGCTTTATACACGAGGAATAAACTAGCTTCATTCGTCACACTGGTGATCATGCAGTATGGAGCTTCAGAGTCAAGGTATGGATAGCCGCATACCCCTCATACTATGTATACCTCTGAGTATCATGTATATAGTGTTATGCATGGTATGGACTGGTATGTATTTCCATTGATGATATACATTAAAACCCTTTTTCCTGATGTCACACTAAGAGCACTGGTCAGACTGAGGCGGCAGTTGCAGGTGGGGCATTATTTCCTAAGAAAAATGAACACCACTATTCATTTCAGGTACATGCCCTTATGCTCAGAATCGAAAAATACAGAATCTCGCGAGCACATTTGTTCGAATTGTTGAATATCTATGCAAGATACTTACTCTCGCGCGAACTATAAGCGCCCGTCGTTACACCGCTCAGCTGTGTCGAACACACGCCCAACGCTGTACTTCACCTAAACATACCCTAGACCTAGACGACGGAAGCACCACCTTTCAGCATTTCGACTGCTTTCGATACACTCTCCAACGCCTTACAACCCATTTTCATTCACCTGTGACTCAGTTTTAAAGTTCGCTTTTAAGCGCCTCTATGATGTTTCTCCACGGAAACATAGGAGGAATTCCATATTGGGAGAACCAGCTGTCCGAATGCAGGTGACAGCCGCATCCATCCATCAAAGCCGACTGTCCGAGGCCGAAGACCTGCAAACCCCAGTCGATCTCTACGCGGACTCCAGTTGCAAGGCACCAAATGCCGAAATGGATATGGGTACTGAGACTCTTCTGTTCTGCTCAGCGGTCTACCTTCTCACTTCGGCGCCGTCTCACTCGCCAAAAAATCGCTTTACATCAACACTGCCCGTAAAACCTTCCACTCCCATGTGACGTCAGGATAAGGCCCATTGCAAACCCAGCGTGTCGTTGTAGGCTGGACATGAACGTTGAACTTAGGAACTCTGGGGATGACCTGGATATGTCATCGACGCGATGGGAAAAACTGTATTTGCATGGAAAGTTCATGGATGACTACATGGCTGACATAGCCTTGGACATAGCATATAAGCACTGAAGTGGGTCACTCCGTGTATCGTATTGTGCTATATATACCGGATTCTTCTGCATAGCCGTTGACTGGTACGTCTCTCCGAGTCCTCAGGCTTATCCCTCCTATTTGCACTAGTGACATCATGTCGATTCCATCCAAGACCACTGAATACTACATCTCCAAGGTCAGATTCAGGCTTAAACACATGTCGTACCGATCTGAGTCCTCACACCCTTGTCCATTTGTCGTGTGTAGCCCCAAGGGATTGATAATCTTATTTTAAGAGAAGCCCCTCTTGCGCCTTCCAAATCGACCGAAGTCCTCGTGAAGATCCATGCAGTTTCCCTGAATGTAAGTACATCGTCCTAGTGCTGACCGTCCTAAGCACTTAGAAAACGTTTGGCATCATTAACTATCTCAATGAACAGTATCGCGACATCGCAGCCGTTACCGGAAACTACCCCGGACTCAAAGATGAGCCAGTTCCATGCTCTGATATGGCAGGTGAAGTCATCGCCGTGGGGAGTGAAGTGAAAGGATGGAAGAAAGGCGATCGCGTTGCTTCGAACTTTGCTGTGGACCATGTTCATGGTGAGATTACGAAGGAGATCAAGGATACTTCGCTTGGAGGCGCTATTGATGGGACGCTCACCCGATACAAGAACTTCCCTGCACATGTGAGTCGCTGTTCTCCAGGTTATCGTCCGTATGTCTTGGGGAAGAGTGGTTGCTGATGAAACTGTTTTACCTCATGAAGGCTCTTGTTCGTGTCCCTGAACATCTGACTTATGAGGAGGCTGCTACCTTACCGTAAGTTGATCGGGAAAGTAGTAGAAGTCTTTATTGCAGAGGGTATCTAAGAACATTCCTCACTCAGATGTGCGGCTGTCACCGCTTGGAACGCCCTCCTTGGCCCAGTCCCCCTCAAGGGCGGTGATACAGTCCTGGTACAGGGTACCGGAGGAGTCTCCATGTACGTATTCGCCTCTCACCCTCAACACACTTTATCTCTCACCAACAGACGTTCCTTCATATATACTTACGTTCCTACTCCAGCTTCGCTTTGCAAATCGCCGCCGCCATGGGTGCAACGGTGATCGCCACCTCTTCATCCAACGTCAAACTGCAAATCGCAAAGAAATTGGGTGCTACTCATTTGATCAATTACAAGGAAACGCCTGACTGGGATCAAGAAGCCTTGAAACTCGTACGTTAAACCAATTCCTCTCCACCCCCACCCCACATCCTCACCCTCACCCTCATCTTCATCGTCGTTTCTGACTTGGCTTACTCCTCTACAGACGGGTGGAAGAGGTGTTGACCATATCGTCGAGATAGGCGGTCCAGGAACGCTCGACAAATCCATCTCTGCAGCTCGATATGGCGGATGGGTGCATAACATTGGTTTTCTTGCAGGTGTACGTTTGTTGTCCCGACCTCCATATCGTTATCCATTCTCAAGACTTTTGAGACACTCACATGTCCTGCGGTCTTTTTTTTTTTTGGTTAGGTGAATACTGACTTGAGCGGCTTGACGTTGAAAATGCTTCACAAAGCGATTGTCTACCGTTCAGTCCTCGTCGGTACTCGATATCAGTATGCGTCCTTTCCATCCATCCTTACTTCAAGATCAATCACTCGATACTTACATGATGTCACAGATTCGAAGACTTGAACCGCCTACTCGTGGCTCGTCAAATCCATCCCGTCATTGACAAAGTATTCTCATTCGAACAGGCCAAAGATGCGTATCAGCATTTGTTGAGTCAGAAACATGTCGGAAAGGTCGTTATCAAGGTTGCGAAGGATTAAATTAGTTGTGGGAGGTGAGCGATGCAATTTGAAACCCTGAAGTCATGGATGTGATTGAGTATGGTACGGTGAAGCTGTGTGGAAAGGAAAATAAGTTGCAAGAAGTCAAATGTAATGTGTACGATTATAATATATCGCACTGGTGCTTGTACCTTGACACGCGCATGAACAAATTCGGACTCTGCACGTTGATGAACTAGGTTCCGCATTATGACCCTGAAGGGAGGACCCAAGGAGTCCGGGATATATTACACTACACTATACTCAAAAAAAAAAAACGATACAATACAATCATCTCATCGCTCCATCACTCGGTATACACATCACTATCCTCGCTGCCCTTCGCATTCTCAATAAGCCTCCTCACCCTCTCATAAACCGCAAACACAATCGCCTGGCCGGGGGCCACACGCAACACTCGCGGCGTAATCCCCTTGTAGAACGACTTGACTCCTTCTTGACGCCACATTTCCCTCGCGATCGATGCTATTCGTTGGAATGCGGACGTTCCGGGTTCGTAGGTGGCTTTCTGGAGACCTATAGAGAAAGTAGATGAGTGAGACTTGATTTTCAGAATAAAGGGAGGGAGGATGGGGGAGGGGGGGCTACTTACGAGTCTTGATGGTATCGATCGGTGCGTTGGAGAAGGGACCCATGGCTCCGGATATGAGACCGATGAACATGTGTTGGTATGAAGGCAAGTCTTCAAGCTCAGGTTGCCATTTATGCGCCAACTTTTTCAACTCCTGGTACGCAGTGAAGTTCGCGCCTACACACAAAAAAGTATCAACCTCAGCCCGATGACGTCATCACAGTAACTAAAGAAAAATGTGAGACGCACCTTGATTGGTAGCCTGCCTAAGAGCAGTCAAACTGACACCTCGATAGAGCGCTCCGACACCTTCTTCACGAACGATGGTATAAACAGCATGTCCAGCGTTCCGGTATCTAGGCGTTTCTAGCGGATCGGCGAGAGAATGCATTTGCGCTTGAAGACGGATCTTGACGACTTCCATGGGTGTGACTACGGCCACGGCTTCTGTTGTACCAGCACCCAACCCAGCTATACATAAAGAAACGACTTAGAACATGGTAACTCAGAAGAAGGCAGATTTGATAGAACGTACCGAGGAAGATGTTCCCGACAGCCGTTTTGCCTGTCTCCTTATCCGCCAACCACCCTTTGTACGTCTCGAAACTCGCGAACCGGACGGCCATTTTGGGGACAATGCCTGAGAGGACGGCACCGAGACCTTTGTAGAGTGCGAGCGGTGTCTCTCGTTTTACTATCATGGCACCGGTGGCGATGAAACCTCTCGGTTTTGTCTATGGTAGCCCATGAGCCTCCGTTTGAAAAGGGAAAGAAGAACTGATGACCAAAAACATACCCCTGGTGCCAGACCAGACTTTGAGAGTTGCATTCGGACTTTGATTGTGTCTAGCGGTTGACATACTAGCTGAGCGGGACAACGAGAAAAGTCAGTACGAGATATATACGGAAAGAAGTCATTGATCTCGTTCGAGGGACGCGAGGCGAGCTCTCTGCGGGTGTGCTTGAGACAAGCAAAACGAATACAGTACTTACCGCTTCCATTGCACCTGCGGTACCGCCCGCAATCAACTGGGTCGCAAACCCAACAGGCTTCCTGTCTCCAGATCGTGACATGGTGATGCAAATGTCAATACAGAAAGTATAAAAAGAAGTTCAGGAGGGCTCCGGCTGTTGGTGTGGTATAGTTAAATAGCGTCAGAGGGAGCGCTGTCCGGTGATAACGAACGGTAGTTGCGAGCGGTCAAGGAGGAGAAGATCCGAGTAGGGTGGGAGGAGAGGGCAGGATGCATAGACTGGATAGAACTATAAGGGAGGCGCATTTGGGAGCGGTCGCGGTCTTGTGGCTAGTGTACTTGACGGTGTCCTTTCCGGGACACGTGAAATAGGGGTCTACGCTCAGGAGCAGTCTTCATCCGCTCTCCGCCCGCTTCCCCGCACACCCTTGGCCTCTCCTCCGTCGTATCCCGCTCTTACCCCGATCGCTCTTTGCTTTTCTACCACTACCATCACCGTAATCCTGACATTTCGTGGTATCCAGTCTCATCCAGTCGTGTGTTACCTTTCGCCTAGACTCCTGTTCGGAAGATACGGTCCTGACTGGATAATGAGATGTCCGCGATGGTCGAGGTGATGGCAAGAGATTCCTCCTGTTTTCCTTCCAGACGCTTTCCCCACACCCCGCTTACCTGGCGGCAACCCGTACCCGGCTTTTCGGAGTTACCGAGCGTTACAATGCTGATGCCTTGACTCGACTTGCATGGTGCTCGAGGGTGCTCGACTTTCATGCTGAACATACTTGAGGATATCTTTGGTCCTTCACGGGCTCGAAGACGCTTTGGGGATCCAACTCTAATTCAATTGAGTTGGGCGGGTCTTATATGCAGCCCAGCGGAAACGTTTATATGCCTACCACTCGCTGACGGTGGTGGTAATCCCTTTGCTACGAAAAGCCATATTACTGTACCTTCACTTCAAACCAATCGTACCCTCTTCTCCCGCGCTTCAAACTTCTGCCTTCATAATCACATTAATTGGCTGTTCCCTCCGATAAAGATATCAACTGTTCGTCTTCCTGGGAAAGAACCCATCCCTCTATCGATTAATCGAAGAGACCCAGCAGAGGCCTTAAGGACACCGGTGAGCCTATAGCCCCAATGTCCGCCAGTCAAGGGGTGCTCGATATTGTTAAATTTCGCCGCTCATATGTACTGTGGTTCTGTCCCAGCGCGCCGTTGATGTTGGTTCATCATTACACCATCGCTCTGTGCAATGAACTGAACTTCTATGGCATCTAACCTACGTCTCCGGTATGTGACTTCTTCCGCGAAGTGCTTGCACCGTGTGAGACCGTCGCTATTCGAATTACGAATCCGAGCGTATGCTTTCCTTGAAAGGCAATATCACTCAAGCTCTTGCAAAACATGCATAAACAATTCTTGTATTGCCTTGACACAGGGTTGCACAGGACGCGCTGCGTGCTTATTTTCAAGAGTACCTGGATCATTGCACAGTCAACTTTTCTCTCCAGTACTTACAGCCTTTACCATCCTATATCGAATCTAACTGTGCTAACTTACGCACTTATGCTGCGATCAAATGCTGCTCTTTGCTGTTCGCTAACTTCGACCTTTTCTTCTCGCATTGGAATTTCCTGTGAGTGGTATCTCAAAATCTATCGTCTTTAGACCATTTAAGTTTACAATGTTGTTGCACAGTAGTCGTGATATGTCTTTTGAACTTGACCTCATTCGTCATATTTACTGTGCCGCTAAATCAGGAACAAGCTCCTGCTTCAACGAAGACTGTATGAAACTTGCTTGCTTCGCTAGCTATTCTCGGTTATTGCGTCATATATGCGAGAAGAAACGCTATAATCAAGCAGCCATAACACTGGATAATTCTGCAGCGCAAGCCCGATAACTCTGTTTTCTTATGAATCTGGGTTGAGTGCCGGCGGCTGCGACCCCTACAAGGATTCACACGTCAATGTCGTTCTTGAGCATTACCGATCATCATCCTGTCAATGCGTAGATTTGGAAGCGAAGTAATTTTCCCCGACTATCGCAGGGCGCTGTATTCTGGAGGTAGGGGCCTTCACGCAGGTAGAACTTCTACTGCGAGTACATGAGTAAAATCGCTGACTCAACGAGGCATTGTTTCTTCCGGCCATAGGTAGTCTTTAAGAATGCTGTGCAAGGGCTAGAAGCCTCATCCGAGCATCGTTCTTACAAGGTGGTGATTGGGTTCATACCATGTCCAGAAATAGCTGCGCCCCATCAACGCGCCCACAGCCACGACGTTTGTATCCGATGCTTGCACGCATCTAAAGATCTTCTTTATTTCCTAGCTCTGCTCATTGTACTATCTCACCAAGGTCTTTCTTGCCGGCGAACCTTGCCTCCTCAGTACTGCCTTCACTGCGGGGCGCGCAGTATAACGGTTCGTTAAAGTTCATCATTCGCAAAGTTATACACTTGTCGTAACCTTTATAAAAGACCACTTGGAGGTCTGTCACTCTCATTCTTCGAACATACTAGGACTTCAGCCGGCTCTGAAAGAATTCTCTTAATCCGACTGGTACTCACTTGTTCTTTTCTCTTCGGGTTTTTGTTATGATCGACGTCAAGACGATTCCTCCCCCAGCCTATGCTGGTGCTGGAGGTTCTGGGCAGGAGGCTCAAGGATCACAACTTCAAGAACAACCTCAAGAACAACCTCAAGAACAACGAGAGATTCCTACTCCGAAGGTTCCCTCTCCGGGCAATGCTGTTGCGTCTTCGGAGGTAGAAGTTTCTTGCATCTTTTATCGTCCTTCATTGGTCTCATTCCTACAGAAGGCCTATCCTCCTCAGCCATACCCGCCTACTCCTGGAATGGCTCCACAATCAATGCCAGGTTTTTTGCCATTGACGGAGGCACAGCTTGCAGAAGTGCAACTTGGTAGTATGTTCCAGAATCAACGTGGGTTTCTCTTCTCTTTGTTTCCATGTCGGAGAAAATTAAATCACGAGTTCATCGAATGTTGTTGTATAGTGTTCGCAAGGTGTGCTCGTGGAGATCACGATATTGTCAGGAAACATGGAGCCCTGGGTATCATTTGCGCAGTCATCTTGTTCCCTATCGGTTTCACTTGTTTCTTGTACGTCGTCTTCTCTGACCTTATCATTCGTCTTTGTTTCGTCTTGCTGACGCTGAATTGCAGCCTTGATGTCGAGAAGAAATGTGCCCGCTGTGGAACGGTCATTGCTTGACCTGCATGATCTGTACCATTATGTTCCGCCGACTTAGATGTGTTATCTACCGTGACATTCGTGTGCTTGGATTTCAGAATGAAATTCGGCTGACCCGATCCTGCGCAACCGGAGCTAACATCAGTCCGATTGCTCATCGGGGAGGTCATGTTGTGAACGCATCATGGATTACTTTTTAGAAGTATGTAGTGTCGACAAACGGCATGACCTGCTACCTCTGCAGTATTCCTCTCTAACTTCTCTTAGACACCACAAGCACGCGAGACGGTCGAGAGAACTGAAAGAAATGAACAGGTCCAAATAGATTCATTAATCATCACTCATGCTCTCCCACGAAGGTGCAGGTTCTTCAGGTGTTTGTTCCACCCACAACTTCCCCACCACACTCTCCAGCTGTCTTTGCAGGTCTTCCGAAAACCCACGAACATTGCTGAGTACCAATTCTTCAAGAGGTACACCACGATGTTTGCGTGAGAGCAAGGCGGCGTAGAATGCTTCTCCAGAAGCCATTTCGTCAGACCCCCAGTCCGTGCGTGCGCCACGATATCTTAGCATCAGCATATGATGGCTAGATTGGTTTTCTCCGGTCTTCGTGGCAGAGTTCTCCAAGAACCGAACAGATTGAACTACAAGTTTCTTCACTTTAGGGAAAAGAAACTCTTCTGAAGAGTCATCGCTCAGTCCCAGGTTCGCACCGAGGGCGAATCGTGCGGGATACTGAAGGTAAAGGGTATCGACTGACGGAAACGTCTGTCCTTGAATACGAAGCCGCTTCACTTGTGTTGAGCAGGGAAGCCTATTCTCCATAACTGTTCTTGATTCGGGGATCATAGGCCAATGGGACATATCCAAGACCCTAATGGTCGAAGGCAGAAGGAGGCTCAGCAGGTATTCCATTGCATTCTGCTCGTCGTACTCAATGTTCTCGGTGTCAGATAACTTCATGGAGAACCACGGTTCAGGGAAACCGGTGCCAAATGTGCATGGGCGCAATGAATCTGAAGCGTAAGGAGGAAGTCTTCTATCCCATAAAGAGACAGTGATGGCCCGGGCGAACGGATCATCCATGTTGAGCGACGTAGTATAACATGGATTGGAGTGCCACTTTGAACTTCTTCTTTGAATAAGTCGAGAAAGAGAAGAGAACATCATATCTTGTTTTTCTCGTGTCGATGGAACTGATAATTGTAGGCGAACAAGAATGACATCTTGGGGAAGATACAGGCGCAGGAAGAGGAGATTTATGCTGTCAACGGAGGAGCTTAGAACAATGAGGGTGTGGAGGTTGGGAAGATTTATCATTGAATCTGAGGGGTTTGGCATGGTAGATGGTTCCTGATCATCACAAAGGACACCATTAATCTTCAGATATTTGAGCATAGGCATGCTACTCAATGTGAGCGCAAGCTCGAGTACAGTGAAACATGGTAATCCCTCATTTCTCCATTGGTTCTGAATGAGGGATAAATAGGTGAGAGTGGGCCGTAGTAAGGGTGTAATGACTGTGGATGGGTAGTTGTATGCTTCGAGGATTCGCAGAGACGGAAGATCTTCTCCTAGGAATGGCGGTAGCGTTGGCAACCCAGTGTAGGAATCCCGCGAGTCATTGTGCAGTGTGATCCTTTCTAGAGGTAGCCCTTTCACAGGCCCGGCTTCTATTAGGCTCTCTTCAACTCCCTCGGACCATTCGATCATAATCTCCTTGAACCGACGTACATGTTCAAATGCATCTTTGAACATCCAAGTAACCTGACACCTATTTTCCTTCCCATCATATATTGAAGCTCGTATACACAGAGTGATAGGTGCATTTTTTGACCGATGCAGAAAGGTAAGGGCACACTCATGGTTGTACAGTGCAATCCGAGTCCAGAGGCTTGGAGTAGTGAGAGCGATATTCCGCCAATGTCGGCACACATGAGTGACACGTAACCACCGGTAAGGACGATCATAGCCAGGTCCTGTAGAAAGCATGTATCCTCGTATCATCCACCTGTCGAAGACCCAATGATCCTTGACAAGTTGCCAGAAGATGTCTGCCAGTATCTCCGGAGGCAGCTTGGACACTGGGACCAAAGCGTTCAAATGGCCTTGGAAAACGCGAATAGCATCCCGACATCGCTCAATAGCATCGCATATATCTTTCCGAGAGTCGAGGTTAACGTCGCGCGCCTGCGGGACCGAGAGCGCATCTGGTTGTCTGAACAGTATCCTCTCATGTCACCTATCTTTTTTTCCAGACAGAACTATTGATGACTTACTGCATGGTTCACTCACACCTATTCAGGACGAAAAATTCAGATCGTGAAAAAGCTTGCATCTATAATTGCTCACCTTCCGAAAAAAAAATCTCAAAGATTATAGGTGAGATGACAGTGGAGGGAGGAAAAAACACCATGACTGGAGTAGGTGCATCATAGCTGCCTCATGGAAAAAGTGTGTTGATGCCGCCATCGCCGCCGCTACCTTCATTATAGGAACGTGTGCTTGTCCATGTCTACTGTCTCCCACTGATTGAGCAGTCGGAATCTCAACCAACCATGTCTGGCGCACCGTCTCTCAGTTCCTCCCGTCGATGCGAGGTTGCCGAGGAAACGCTGGCTGCTCTTGACCAGAGATCCTACCTGACATACGACATTTCGTCTCAATTAGCCTTCACCAAAGAAAACACCCGCTACTATGCTCCCGATGCCGAGCTAGGCCTTTGGTATTCTGCAACCTTATATGAATCACCTCAACCCACGAAGATCTCATTGTTGAGGATCTCCACTTTGGAGGGCGCTAAATTACTCGCCAACCAAGTTTCGTCTCAAGTACCCAAACCCAAGGTTGGCATACTCAATTTTGCATCCGCGAAGAATCCCGGAGGAGGGTTTCTAGATGGCTCCCAAGCTCAGGAAGAATCGATTGCTCGTTCCTCGAGCTTGTACCTGAGCCTTACCACTCCGATCGCCGAGCCCTATTACACGAATCACCGTCGTGATCCAAAGGGAGGATATTACTCGCATGCAATGATCTACTCTCCTCGTGTTGTCATCATTCGAGATGATGAAGGAGCGTGGGTAGAGCCTTTGGAAGTTGACATTGTCACAAGCCCTGCTGTCAACGCCGGTGTGGTGAGAAAATCATCGCAAGTCACGGCCGACGCAATCGAGGAAGTAATGAGGGAGAGGATGGCGAGAATTATGTATCTCTTCGAGAGACAAGGCATCCGTAACGTTGTTCTGGGGAGCTTTGGGACTGGCGCATTCCGTAACGACGTTGGGATGGTGGCTAGAATTTGGACCGACCTCCTGCTTGAGGATGGCGGCCGGTTCCATGGAGCTTTCGAAAACGTCATGTTTGCTGTACTGGGAGACGAAACATTCCAAAGATTCAAGGAGGTATTCTCATCCAAGGGGGTGTCATAGATGTTCCTACATGCCGACCTGCACTAATTGCGGCAACTAAGTAATTGCAGACGTCTGACCGCGTTCTCGCCAGTCTCTATCTTGTAGTTTTGTGTCAGAGATAATTGTCGTTTTTCGTGAACCAAATGACTTACTTTGTCTAGCACCAAGTACTGCAATGCTGGATACACTCAGAACAACCATCATGCACTCGCGTGACTGCTCATTGTGTTCCGGTGACGATTGAGTGGATATGGCTCTAAAATTTCACCAGAGGAACCAGGCGCTAACGTTTGCCGTCATGTCCTCTAACCGACTATGCTACCTTTCTCCATTTTCTCTTCGGATATCGCTACAGACGGGGTCACATTAAGTCATGTCCCATGTTTCTGTCGTTGACGATGTCTCTACAGACGAGAATGTGCCCAATCTCGCTGAACCACAATCTTACAATATTAACTGGATCCTTTTGCGCACATGGTCAAGAATGCACCAGACAGGGTGGTACCGTTATTGAAGAGATTGCACTCCCAGAGACATCTCAAACGGTACGCGTTAGTTGATAAAATTCATAGGACGCTGTACACCTCTTTCCGTACCATTACTAGCTTTCAGCGTTCCTCGAGAGCAGCCTTCCAAATATCTTAGTTGATATCGTTGCTGAGGCTCCGTTTTATGGGAGGTTTCGCCTTGATGAGGCTGTTAATGTGCGTGTTATCCTGCTTCACACATCAATTCTTCTCACAGTCTGGAGATGCGCCTTCCATATTTCACGCTTGTTGTACGGTTGTCTCAAACACATATACGAGTCCCTTGGTTAGAATCATGTCCAAGGTCTACGATGCGTCACTTGTCTGCTCTCCATTGCACCGAAGCTTTGGAAGATGAGATTCCTATGGAATTTTTCTGTGAGATAGTTCAAAGCTTAACGATAGCATTATCCGCCAGTATTCTATGTCTTCTACAGATTGTCTTGTGAGTATGTGCTAAACCCATGCACCGAGACACGCCGAGAGACCACCTTCATTCTGTACGACAACGTAGGTTTGCAACGTTATGTTTTATCAGAGCTTTCTTTCTGGGTCGCCATACCACTCATACTGCTCTCAACCTAGACGCGGAAGTTACAGGAATGAGGTTCCTGCGTTTAAATAGTGTGGCTTACATTGCGATCGAAATACATCATTAACCTTAGGTCTTGCGTCCTTTCATAACGTCATCAGCATGCACTGATATTTGTTCTAGACCGAAACGACCCTGGCGAACTTGAGCTTCAGCTGGGTCGGATGACAAGTCCTATTCACAAAAACATCTTTATTCAATAACAAATCTATTCACAAAGACAAAGCTTTGTATCCACCCTGGTCTTCTGACGAATACCTAGAGCCCAGAAGCGTCACTGACGATTGACTTGCACAGTTTCGCTTTTCACGGACGCAGACCATGACCTTGCCTCATTCGTATAGTCCTCATGCCCAGCTTTGAAGCCCACCCGCATTTCTACGTGGTGACCCCTGATCGTCGCACATGCGTCCAACCGAACTTCTAAAGAAGAACAGGGACGATAGCTGCATGGCTACACGACTCTCCGTTTTAAACCTCAAGAGTCCTAGAAGCCACTTACGCTTTCGTAGCCGTGACATTAGCATGCAGAATTCAAAGTTTGCTTCTGGATCCTACACCAAAACTGCCAAACGTATTCAATAGCATGCCTGATATCGATTTCAATAGCTCGCCTGCCCTTACTAGACATGAAGACTACTATTTCGAAGATGGGAATCTCATCATACTGGTACACTTGTTTTGAAAGACGTACTGTTGTGCGTATCTGACAGCGGACGTCGGACAGGTCGAAAACACACTTTTCAGGGTCTTCCGCTCGACTTTCACAAGACATTCCGCAACGTTCAGCGACCTCTTTGACCTTCCGCCTGCTAACTGCGAAGGCACCGTGGAGGGATCCGTGGACTGGAACCCAATAATTCTGTCCGGTATTTTGGTTGTCGATTTCGAACGACTACTATGGGTGTTGTATCCTCCGTATGTCAAATGTGGACATCGTAATACGTGACCAAGCTCACATATATTATAGATCGTATGGAATACACAAAGCTAGCACCATCGGGGAATGGTTGTCCATTCTAGATCTAGCCACTCGCTGGGAGTTCACGTCCGTCCGTGAACTGGCCATCCGTGAACTTCAAACCCTGCATGTCTCTCCAGTGGACTGTATAGCCATATGTCAGAAATATGACATCGCAAATAGCTGGACACTCGCAGCGTATGTATCCCTTTGCGAGCGGCCGGAACCACTCACAATGTCCGAGGCCAACCAAATTGGCTTGGAAACTGTTGTACGCATCGCTGAAATTCGAGAGCGATTACGTTCAACGAATAGTCTCACAAACTATCGCACTCCCACTTGTGCTGCTCTTCGGAGGACAGAGCACGTATCCGGCGCAGGATCGAAAACGACTGTTTCCGGAAGGCTGCAATGGGACATCGGGGAGAGCTTCCTGGATCAAGCACGTATCCCCCCTCCACGGGTTATGAGTAACAAAGGCTCTGCTATAAGACCTCTTCGACCTATGCCTGTGAGGTCCGTCCGTTTGGTCGCGGAAGCCTTTGGATTACCATTAGGATCATGCAATTGAATAGCCATTGATTCAGAGGATGGCTGGACTGTCTTCTTTTTGATATAGCTATGCAACCGTACGCCAATAATGTCATAACTGTCAGTTTTGAGTAGCATTGTGCATGGACAATGGTAGGCAAGGTTGATAGGCGAGAACGGAAGGTCCGGCGTTTGTGCGTTCGCATCAAAATAATCATCCTCACCTCCTCAACGTGCCAAACCCGCTCCTTATTGACACAATAGACCATTCCAGAGAACAACAGATTAGCGAGCGTATATAATATGGACGGCGTGGGTGTGAGATCTTCTGCCCTCTACCTCCATTCTCGAGTTTCTCCCTCCTCTCGGTTGTAATTCTATTGTGCTTTGATTCTGGTTGATGAACTCTTCGATGTACTCACCCTATGGCTCTTCATATCGACCCGCCTTCACCTCTCCGACCAGCGCTGTCCAAGGTGGTACCGCGGTTGAGAAAGTGAAAAGGCATCCACAATACTACTTACAAGGAGGAGATATACATTTTCTGGTGAGTTACCGATAGTGCCCATGTGTTCTAACTCTGAGAGGCCTTTGCGTCGTCACTGAGTAATGGGGACTGACTGTTGATGGTGTTTGCTGTCAGGTTGAACACTTCCTTTTCCGCGTACACAGATACTTCTTCGAGAGGGAATCTGCCGTTTTCAGGGAGAAACTAGCCACACCTGCGGCTGCTGGTCAACCGCCCAAGGGTTCTTCTGACACGAATCCTTATCCTTTGGAGGACGTTCGTGCCGATGATTTCTCGAGGTTCCTTTGGGTATTCTATAATCCGTACGATGTCAAACTCAACTGTCCACATCTTGAATGATTCTCATGAAGTATTTACAGAAAATACTCGCTCTACGATGCTGACCTCGACGACTGGTCCGTCATCCTCAAGCTCGCATTTGACTGGCGGTTTTCGGAGGTGAAGAAATTGGCTTGCAGAGAACTTGAAAAGATCTCCATTGAGCCAGTTACGAAGATCAAGCTCTATCAAGACTACGAGCTTGATAGAAAGCTTCTCATCCCTTCGTACCTCTTCCTTACTCAGAGAGAAGAACCTCTCACTTTGCATGAGGGTCGTCAGTTGGGGCTGGAAACTGCGCTTCTCATTGCAACTGCTCGTGAGTGTGCTCGAGGCAAGCCGTCCGTTAACGGAACACACAGCCCCAGTGCGGCGAAGATTCCGAATGAGGACTTGGAGGATATCATCCGCAGGGTCTTCGGGTTGTCTGGAGGTCCTCCATCGCCGTCACTTTCTCCAGTCGCTGTAGTTGGAAACCAACCTGCTCCATCAGCCTCTGCCGCAGCACGCACCGCATCTATTGCCGCATCTTCTGTTACTTCTGGTGCTGCTACCCCTGCAGGTTCGAAGTCAACGAAGACTACAACCAGGGGAACTAAAACTCCTTCCACGCCTCGCTCGGCAAGCCCTGCTCCTAGCTCAAAGAACCTCGGATCGTCTACGTCTTCCGAGAACAAGAAGGACGAGGACACAACTTCGACTGCACCGGTTGATGACCTTCTAGGAGGTCCATTGACTACGGCAGGCCAGCCTCCTGTTGACCAGGGCACTGCTGCGGGAGGCGAGGGCGCATCTGCACCGACAGGTCAAGATCTCTTGGTGACGCGCTCACCGTTTCTATCCCTGCTCACATATGAACTGACACCCGGTTCCGACATGCAGGGGATGCCGAGAAAAACAAGACAACGACTGACGCTAACGCTGCCGGGACTGGCGAGCCCACAACTTCTGGAGATGTCAAGCCCGATGACCCCGTTAGCACTAATGCTGGAGCAGGAGGAGCAGGAGGAACAGAGGGAGAAACACAACCTAACACCCCAGCAGCTGACGAGGCAGCATCCTGGGCACCACCGGGAAAAGGGAAGAACCGGGGAGGCAAGGGTAGAGGCAGAGGTTCCGCCTGAGCAATCTAACTCGTACGAAGTTAATGTACATGTCCCCGATGTCCACGACGAACATACATCACATCGAACTTCGTCTTTGTCACCATCCGACCTCAGTATGACTATCGCGGGAACAGAGCTAGATGACGGCACGACAGACGCGGGTGATACGTCAACTGTCGTCGAGGACTTCAACGTGCATGACATGTTGAGTCAAGGAGATGCCCCAGTTCACGTAAAATGTGAACAAGGCACCCGTTTCAAAGAGCCGATCCAGCATGAGGTAGAAGGGAACAGTGGTCAGGTTGCGCTTCAGCAAGGTAACAGTGACTCAGCCCAAGAAGCGGATGTCACAGAAGCCTTAGAAGATTATCCCGACACAACCTTGAGTATCAGTCATGAGATACAGACGACCGAGCACGATACCAAGAACGACGAAGAAAGTACGGTAGTCAAGACTGCAGATACACATTCAAACGGAGACGAATGGGACATGATTGAACCAGAAGAAGCGGATGTCACGGATGCCAGCGAGGAGCACAAAGAGGATGTTGAGGTTGGCCAAGAATCGGACAACTGTGAAGGAGATGCGAAAGATTTGACGGGCAATGATCAGCCAGACGAGTCTTTCCCTGAACAGAACGTGGTCGACCCTACAGAGAACATCCAACTTGACCATGAACGGGGCAATGAGCCCGATGTCGCAGTGACTAGAATTCCAGACGTTCTGCCGGTAGACACATCCTGCCACGATGTCCCAGCCGTCATGGTGACAGAAGGTGCCGAGGCCCAAAAGGATAGCGAAGCTGAACCTGTATCAGAGGTCACCCCTGCAATATCGGAAACACTCCAGAACGCAGTGGATGCAGCATCACAAGACGACCAGATACAGACAAATCAGACCAGAGAATTCATTGACAGCGCTCCCGAGTCTACAAGTGATTCTGTTGCTAATGAAAGCGACGGTACGGTTGTCACCAAATCCTCCTTGCAGGCCGATGGTCCTTCGGGAGAAGAGACCAGTGAGGCCGGGAGAGAGCTGTTTTCTACGGCCGTGAATGACAAGTCTGTTATTGAAATTCACGATGCCAGTCGGACGAAGGAAGTCGACAACGTCTCTTCTGACGCAGCGGAACAGCTAGCGGAGAAGTCGAATACTAAGGTTCTTTTCGCTGTCAAGCTCGAAATCACGGACGAACCAGCGGAGAAAGATTCAGCACTAGAAGTACCGACCAATGGTGCAGTACAAACACTAGATGCGATGGCGCCGGAACTAGGCATCGATGGCGGAGAGCAGCAGAAGGATGGCAGTAACGACGATCTACATGGAGGCTCCCCCAAAAAGATAGGGCTGGAGGCGGTTGATGAAGGGACGATCAAGGAGGTTCAAGCTGAGCAGCAGCAGTCACAGAGTGTTACCGAATCGTAGTTACTCACCCTAGCATTGGCCTATGTTGACGCATGAGCGACGCGCTAGCTCGCGCCGCACGCATCGAAAGGTTGTTGCAAGAGTGAGTCTTGCATGATATGACGAAGCTCAGGTTATAACATTATGTGCATTGACATATGTCCGTGACTTGGGTTGCACGGTTTGAATGGAACTACACGTCAATTAATCTTAATTATATGGTTCAATTAGGAGAGTATAATGTACCAAACAGTGTGGTAGGGAGCATAATTGCAATGACGATATCCCGGAAGATATTGGTCTTGTCATGAGGTGTCTTCCACCTCTTTTCGAACTGCAGTAGGGTACCATGAGACACAGACGAATATGTAAGCAGATCATAAGCCACAAACCTTTCTCCAGATCTCGTCTATCCCATTCCTCGCTACGCTGCCTCGCGCTCTCAGTATCCAATCGTTTCTTTCCAAACACGACTTCCCACCACCCTATGTTCTCCTTCGTTTCAAAGCCTCGCGCTGCAGCCCTGTCCAATTCAGGGTCCCTGGAGAACTTCTTCAGCCTTTCGAAATCTTTCTCCGGTACCGTTTCCCCCGACTTCAGTCGTTGGATCGTCGACTCTAAAAGAGCAATGTGAGTCTCGTAATGGATTTGCTGCTCTTCGTGAAGCTTTCGCTGGTTGAGAGCGTGTGTGCTTAGTGATGTTATTGCGGTAGCATAGATAATATGTGGAATGTATCTGGTCGTCATTCCGATGTGTTTGGAGGACGACTTGAACGTCACCTTTTGGTCACCTTTGAGCATGAATTATTGAAGTTAACGGCAAAATGTCCTTCCAACGAACCGATCGAGCGTCTATCCCGTAACCCGGGTAGTCAATGTCGGTTCGGTTCCGACCCTAATACTTGCCTCTCTTCGGCCCTTCTCGTTTCCGTCCTCCCTCCTTCGAGAACGACCACACGACGATGACAGCGGACAAAAAGCAGCCAGAAGAAGATCCACGAAGAATGGCTCTGCGCAAAATAGCAGAGTCAACTCTCGAGACTATTAAAAGCGGGTCATATCTCAATTACGACCTAGGTGGGAGTGTCGCATCTTCGAAACAAAATACTCGGTATTATGCTCCAGATTCACTTCTATCTACTTGGGCTTTATCGACGGCAGAGTCCTCTACAGGATCTGGACAACGTGCCAAAATGTCCTTGCTGGAGGTATCTACTTTGGAAGGAGCACGTTTGTTGGCTATGTCACATCCGCCTGGCTCGTCCAACGCGTCTCGCAAGATTGGCGTTTTGAATTTTGCATCTGCAAGGAAACCAGGAGGCGGTTTCCTGAACGGCGCTCAAGCTCAGGAAGAATCCATTGCCCGTTCATCCACTCTCTACCCAACTCTCATGACCCGAGTCGCGCAGTCATTTTATACGCTGCATAACAAAGATCAAAAGGGTGGTTACTATTCACATGCCATGATTTATTCTCCTGGCGTACTCGTCTTTCGTGATGACCAGGGTGGATGGGTAGAGCCATTAAAGATTGATGTACTCACTTGCGCCGCGGTGAACGCCGGAGTCGTTCGTCAGACACTCTTCGGACGCCTTGCTGCTGCAGCCGAGGAGGTAAAAATCGCGAGAGTGATGAAGGAGAGAATGGCTAGGATTCTTTTCTTGTTCGAAAGTCAGGGTGTTAAAGACATCGTGTTGGGGAGCTTCGGTACAGGAGTCTTCAGAAACGATGTTGACACCGTGGCGAAGATCTGGGGCGAGCTTTTGTTGGAGGACAACGCTCGCTTCTCGAAGAGCTTCGACCATGTTATGTTCGCTGTCTTGGGCAGGCAAACATTCGAAACCTTTGAGCAGGTCTTTGCTCAGTATCAAAACGCTCAAATGCAGTGAACCAGTCAGTGCCTTTACTCTAGAGCGGATGCTTCATCTCACCTCTGTCAGATTCCGTCTTCTGGGTGATATGCACTTTCGTCTCTGGGCTGCTCGCCCGCTTCTTTATCCCTCGTATTCGTTTTCACCGTTTCACACTGGCAGCATACTAAGACCGACAACTACAAGCAATTCGCTACAATTCGCCCCCGATGCGAGTGCTGGTGTCCATCTGTTGGTCCGTGATTGTATCAGGGTCCCGTTGTTACCCGTCTACGACACACTTTGGACCTGTTTCTTGACGGGTCCCGACATATCCAGCGTGTCAAACCTGCCCCTGACAGTCCATGGTCTCTTATCTACCCCTCCGAACCTGCGGTCAGCATCACTGGGACCTCGAACTTGTCAATGATGCCCGGGCATCTCCTCTGTTAATCATCCCTTGCCATTTCCCTATTTTCCCTCCTCATCTTCAAGTCCTCCCGTCCTACCCGTTGCACACGATTTTTGTTCCGACAGGCACGTCAATGTTCACATAAGTACCTGACGGCGTGCCTAGCAATATTTGGACTTTCAAATTAAGACATGCCATCTGTGTGTCTATTATTGTTGGATCTTTTTCTGTTCGCGGAAACTCTATGGTTAAATTTCGACCTATCATCTCACGTCCTTCCGATACCCGTTCTATTCACTTCGTTACGTTCGCGATTATCCCTCCTTGACCAAGGTAATCCAGTTCTTCACTGGGCTAAAACGTATGTGGAGCCCGCTAGCAGGTGGTGAGGATCCCATGCGAGAGTTCACAATTACCCACAAGCATGTTCTCACCACTTCCATATATATATATGCTCAGGGTCCTTGGCTCGGAAGGTACTTATGACAGGCAACCTGTCAATGACAGCATGACCGCGATGGATATACCGTATCCCATTTACACCGATTACCGCAATGTGACACCTTTCACCACATCGTGATACTTTTCGGCGGCTATACCTTCGTCTCGGGTCCCTGGCAAGAGTCTCAAGGAACCACGTATGCAGGTTTTGACGCTGCACAGAATAGACGGATGTCTTCCACATATGCCACCCCTTGGAGCTTTCCACTTTCCACAGTTGTCCATGCGCCTTTGAAACTTCTGAAGCCTCTGCAGTGGTTCAAGGCTCTTATTGTGATTGTGGCCGCCGCTTTCGAACGCAATCCTCTCTTCTGTTCGCCCCTTCACTTCGTAACTGCTTGGATGTTCCGTTCGTACATCGGAGTTCCCACAATACTGCAAGCCCGTGACGCCATCAAGCGAGACTTCTTGATCTGATCAAAGGCTTTGTGCAGAGTACCACACCTTCACCCTCTGGGCCTTCGGAGAATCCTCGTGAGTTGATAATGAAAGGCCCTCTGGGTCTTGTGCGTCTTGTGCTTTGCAGCTTTGGTTCCTGAAACTTTGCTTTAAGCCGGTCTTTGGCGGTCTTTTCGTTCCCCTCTGGATTTCACTTTTACTCGAATCGCTGCGCTGCTATTCATTCACACAGATCGATTGGTGGCTGATTGGTCGCATGCGGTCACCTAAAGTTCGTCGCCTCCGCGGTTCTCGCAGTCAGGGTTTGGATACAGCAAAATTAGTATCACGCAGTCCTGTGTGGTGGTTCTCATACGGCCCCCAGGTTGAGAGGCCTCAGGGCTCGAGGGCTGCGTCGGCGTGCGTTCATGTCTCAGTTGGTTTTCACCATAATAGAGTTCCATCATCAAGGACTAGTGGAAAGCACATTGCACACCCACATACAATAACCCTCACTGTGATTTCCAATCATGCTCGTATTGCTATCATTGACCATCAAATAACTGTAGATAACACTTCGGAATTGAACCTTGGACCTCCTCCTCCACCCTTCTAGGTCCTCTCATATCCGTACTTATCTGACTTCTGGGCGCGGCGTTCAGTCTTCGCATATTCATTCTTAGGCCGCTCTCGAATTTCTAAAGCTTCTTGCCTCTTCTTGCTTGGCCGTGGGCCATGGCCATGGCCAGGACGAGTTAGGTTTCACTTGTGATCGTCATTTAAATAGAACGGTGAGTAGTTTGGTTGCCGGTTCTAGCCGCTTTGCTCAAGTGTGTTGAAGTTTGGTGGTGGCGGTCACAGTTGTGAGGCTGTAAGACAAGGCAAGACAGCGGTCAAGCAGTTCATTGGCATTGGAACCTGCATTGAGGGTCTTCGCTGCGGTGCTGTTTGAATAGAGTCCCTGGACCTTACGGTGTTGGCCGCAAGCTAAGCAACAAGGATTCATACTGGAGTCCTAGTCCCTTTAATGAGTTATGACGATCTCCATTCTCAAAGTGATATGGAGCTTGTATTCAAAAATGCATAATTGGTCCAAGACCTTTGCAACGTCAGGTCGAAGGAGTAAGTTTAAGTTGAGGGATGAATGGGGATAAATATATGAGCCTCGAATTGACTTTTACGATGGTCTCGAACATGCCCCGAAGCGGATTCCCGCTTGAAGCTGGCCAGCTTCGGGGTGTTGATGGCAAGGCTGAAGCGATGGCGTAAGCGGTGTTTCGCCGCGTATATGTGTTTCATTAATGTGATATGTTGGCTTCGAATTATCTGTTTGAGACGAAGTCGTTGGTGCTTTTCCTTCAAGCAATGTGCAAACCTCGTAGCTTTGAGCCTGGTCATGAGGAAAGCGAAATGGGGTTGTTGAGCCATATGTATAGCCGGTTGCCCGATTGCGCCCGGGGGGTCGAACCCGAGTTTAGCGTGTGGGGTACATTCTGCATACCGTCGGGACAAGCTGGAAGAGACTTTACACGGCCAGTTCTCGAAGTTCTGAACTGTTTTCCAACTGAAAAAGGGTACCGATCTGGAGGAGACTCCGGGCCAGTGCTGGCAGCTGGACGATTCCAGTAGGTACATAAATGGGCATCAGCGGCCGAAGAAGGAATCAAAGATGTTGCGTGTGAACGGAAACGACGCCGCTTGGTACCATGATTCCAACAATTCCGCGCCTTTGGAAGCCACAGAAGGTTCACACTTTGGGGCCATGGACCCTGTCAGTTCCAAGAGATGGTTCTCTCGCTTGCGCTCATTCCTCTTAATTGTTCCGCTCTCACCGTTCACTTTCCGCTCAACCCTCCCCTCTCTCCTACTTCAACGTTCATCGTTGTTTGCCCTGCAGACCATCCCCCTTGCGTCCAACTTCTTGCTGGCATCCCCACTGACACGCTTCTGAACGTTGTCTACGTCAAGCTAACCGTCAAACACCCGCCACACCGACGCTTCTATTCCTACACGTCTAGCGCAATGAATCCCACAGAGCCAGCTGCAGAGACACGTTCCGAGATGATTGAACAGGTATGTCGTTCGTGTTGCTTAGCTTCTTCTATTCTCCACGTCGCGTCATGCATGGCGGGCACCCTCGTTATGGTGAACGCTTTGTCTGCGTTGGACAGCTTGATAACGTAGACGGAGAGCAACGGAGATGAGTGTTTGACAATACGCTGGTCTTTTTGTTTCCAGTGGGTCTAGTCAGTAGGCAACAGCCCCATTTATTGGGCTGTGAGGTCTGCATGAGTGTGTAACAGATGGAGACTTCGAGAGATAAATTTCAGCCAGTCGTATGCACTCATTCATGTTCCTTGCCTGTCTACGTGATGTTCACGCGACCTTTCCATATTTGCGCGCTACGACAATCATGTACTGACAATCGCTTTTTGTCCGCTCCTATAGATATTCGCAAGAGTAGAAGAAGAAAGTGCGCGCCGCGCACAACAAGAAGCTGAACAAGAGGAAGCTTCATCACATCAGGAAGCATACGAGGCGCAGGACAATGTTCCCAGCCCTGTAGCAACTGTTGCTGCTATTAAACAGCGGAGACGAGGGAGTGTCTCTGTCTCCAGGTTCGGTCAGGTGTGTACACATCTCACTTCTATCTCTTTCATTTGCCGTAAAGCTACGGCGTATGTACCCCAAAGTTCACTTTCCTACAACAATGTTGCTGGTTGAGTTAGGATTTTCCGTCATATAAGTCACAATTTCACGATATAGACTTCTTTGATGGTTGCCGCAATAACTATGCTCGAGAACTCTAGCGAGTGCAATACAGCATTCGTACGAGTTCGTAGCGCCGTGTCTCGATTGTTTTTGTGCGAACAGGGTAGAAGTACGAGAGAAAAGCTGCAAATAACTCTCGTACTTCTGCTTTCTGTAAAGTCTAGTTTCCCCTCGACCTAGAGCTCTTGCCATGAATTCCATTGGTGCACGCCGTGTTGGCCGAGCAATGATATTGATGACCCTCGGACACGGGGAGACGGAAATCTTCATTCTGAAGTGTATGTGGAAGGAGAAATCCAGTCGAACCAGTCTACATCTCGGGTTCGACGGCATGGCGTGCTTTGGGTGATAAGGAGTTCATATCTCTTCTCTATAATATTCATTACTCTCGTCGTCAGGCCGTTTCCGTGCAGAAGCTAACGTACATATCTCTTCGCAACAGCCCACGGAATTTTCGCCAGAACCTATAGTGGCAACCTCGACTTCTCCATCGACGCGGCCTTCACGGTCATCGTCCATCGTGATCCAAAAGGCGACTTTCTACTCCGTACAGCCACACCATGTAAGGTCTATCTCCGGCTCCAAGTACAGTCCAACATTACTGACCTGAAGTTGCTACTTATTCAGCATGGAAGCGCGGATTCGCTAGCGTCCGAGACCGCCGATGATCCAGCAAAGCTCATCGAAGATGTGCACCATTCGACACAGATGGCGACCATAGCGGGCCGCCAATCATTGTCGAAAGCAATCACACGCCGACTGTCACGCGCACGTACGCGCTCGAAAGATGTACTGGTCACCGCCGGTAACAATGTTGACGTCGTGATCGACGTCGCAGTGACCGAAGCCACTGTCGAGGTTCGCCATTCGGCGGACGAAGTCGAGATGTATGAACGGCCGCAGAGCAGTGCGGCGGTGTATAGCGGAAGCGGGACGACGTTGAAAAGCCCGAGGTCGAACCCTGGGTTGAGAAGTCCGGAGAAGGCGAGTTGGATGGCCAAGTGCCGTGATTTGACGACGAGGTGGAAACGCAGGAGTGTGGTTGCACACTCGTGATGGTTAGTGAGGCCTTGCAATCCTCTGATAGACGTTTTCTGGGCTGCTGCTGGTTTTGTTTTGGGTTTCTCGCGTCATTCATTGTCGTCGTCGTTGCTTGGATTCTCGTTGCATTCTTCTTCTTCCTCCTCGATTTTCTCCTGCTCTCATGCAATTGTATTACCTAGCCGTGGCTTCTTTCTGACTCTGTCCTCGCGTTCGCTTGCTTTGCCCTGTTGCTCCGTTGCTGTACCGTGTATGCATTACCCCCGACTCCTACACTATGACTGAATACTATGGATTTCTATGCTGCACAGTGACTGTGTTTCATTTTGATTGCTTTCGCTTAAGCGCAACTAAAGCGTAAGGCCGGGTGCTGTCCAGTGCTGTGAGATCGACCGCGCTGTGTTCTGATCGCCCATCTCGATGATTTTTATTGTTGTTCATTATCTCCTCATTGCCCCTTGCCAAACACAGTCACAGTCGTCCAGATGGCAAACAATTAACATGCGCCAAGATAGACAAAGATGTGGAACCATGTCTCGGACGTATACACCGGACTGTTGGGTCACAAACGCCACTCTCAGTTACTCGACGATATTAATACGTTTTCTGTGGACGGGTCATGGTACGGATTGGTTTCGCATTCCTCCCACAGACTCTGCTTGGCCTGGTCACTTGGAATCCTCACTAAAGCCTCACTATAGAGCGAGTCGTTACTATTGTGGTTGACCGGCCGAGTCGACAGGGGCCCCCTCAAGTGGAATAGTACTGAAACATTCTTCGACGTGACAGATCAACCACGCTGCCAGTTTTGAGAGTTCGCAGGGCGTCCGGGTACCCAAGAATATCGCTCAGCTTCGGAGTTATCCCGTCTTCCATTCTCTGCTTCATCTCTACGGGGTAGTCTGCTGGACAAAAGAGGTTTAAGCGAATAGGAGTTGTGGCTGGACGACAGTGATTCGCACAGGAGAGAGAGATCTCAGAGAAGAAGCAGCTACAGTAGCGTTGCCTGTTCCCAGAGGTTGATTACGTCCAGGTATGTCTTGGTCGCTATGAATCTGCGAATCCCCTCGTATTGTAAGCTGCCAGGATACCGTATCGTGGGCTACTTTGTGCCCAGGATACGGTGTATTTGGATACAGCTTTTGGTGCTTCCTGGGCTTCTGGGCGCGTCTTTGGGAGTCAAAACAGTTGATGTATGAAATCTTTTCTAGGACTTATAGCCCAGTGACTTGTGGCATCATCTCCATCATCAAATCCTGCATTCCCCTCACCTGCTAACTGACCGTTTGGCTTTCTTCGTCCCCCCCCATCATCACTCCTACTTCCACACTCGCTCCTTGTCTCGGTTCTGCTTCCACGTTCCCTTCCTCTTGTCCCCCTTTCTACAAACATACAGCTTTAAGAGTAGAAAGCTGGTATCTTCAACATGTCGAGAGACTTTGCGTCCAGTTTGCCTGCGATTGACCCTGATGTGAGTGTTTGTCGACTTGTCTACATGAGCATAGCCGTTGACATCTGTCGCTATCTGTCCCCCTCTCTCCCTGCCCCTCCCACTCCTCGCGTGTTCCTACACACCCACATGGAAACTCTCACTGCAGTTCCTCCCAGATTGGATCTACGAATCCGGTCCCGACCTGCCTCTTAGCGTGCAAGACATTCGGAGACTCTACCCTTCTGCTTCATCTTCGACATCGACCCCTACGTCTACATCATTCCCTGACGATGTCCATTCTGTCTCTTTTCCTGAATCTGTATCTTCACATTCATTGCGAGCGCCTTCGCCGGGCTTACAAAGTATCTGGGATGACTCCGATGACGACTCCGATGCCGATGATGAGCGGGACGATAACGAGGGGATCGATATTGCGGTACATGGCGATCATGAATACGATTCTCGGTTCGACTCCGATAGTGACGGTGATAGCTCGAGCACACTGAATGACTTACCGATGCAAACCATACAATCTATCCCCTCTATCCCTTCCCTCCCTTCAACTCGTGCTCATTCTGCATCTCCGTCAACGTCTCCCCTGCCTCGAACCATTCGCTCAACATCGACCTCACCTCATCCGAGGTCGCTTCCTTCACCTCCCCAAACTACCCGTACTTCCCCTACACCCTCCGCCTCTATTTGTAGATCAACATCAGCATCAATATCGACACCTTCTAAACCCTCAACCCCTTCTCCTTCTCCTTCCCCGTCACCATCACCATCACCATCTCATCGACATCCACCGCACCTCATCTCGATTTACACCTACTCACTGGCAAGTCCAAGCACCTCATCCCTTTCTCCCTCCCTGACATCCAACATCACCTCCGCTCTTACCTCCGCTCTCGACTCGGTTGATGAACAACTACTTTCGGCTCCCCTGGCTGTGTTTGCTAACATGTGTTATAAGGCTGCGATTAGGAGGGAAAGTAAGGGGATCGTTTCGAGGAGTTCTGGCGAGTTGGATAGGGTTAGTGAAGTAGACGAGGAAGATGAGGATGAGGATGAGGATCTCTATGAAATTCCATCTGCGCATGCGATTGGTGCGCGGGTTGAGCGGGTTGAGCGGAATAGTATTAGTAGGAGGGAGCAAGAAGGCGAAGAAGATGCTAGTGAGGAGAGTGAGGATGAGGATGAACCTGAACTCGTATCACCTGTGCAGGTCGCTGCTGGTTCTCCTCCCGTATGGGTTGGCCTTAGCAAACAGGGACACCAACCACACGAAGCGATTTCTGTACTGTCTCTGTCTCCGATGGCGTATGGTCCAGACGAGACTAAACATCTTCGTTTCGTAAGTCCCGCTTTCCTCACCCTTGCATCTCAACTTGTCTTAACTTACATCGTCTTTTTTGTTCTTTTTTTAGTCACCGGATTCTGCTGCTGCTGCAGAAGTCATCAGTCTCTTCCTTCAGACGCCTTACTCTGCTGGACACAAAGATTCCATAGGAGGGTTCCCTGTCCGTGAACATCAGCATCAACATCAGCATCATAATCAGCATCATCATAGGAGGGAGTTAAGTGAACGAGGGCCGGGGAGTACCGTCAAGGGCTTGCTCAGGGGTTTGCAAATGGGGTGGAGGGAGCGGATACAGGGATGAATGTTTTGGGCGTGTTGCATTGTATACGCTTGACGTTCCTTCCTCCCGCACGTCTCTGATCGAACCGCAATATGCATCTTTGCTTCGTGGGTCGTGAGCAGCCTTTCATTACCCATCCATTACCCCACACATACTTCCCACCAGGCACGCAGCACTATCCACCCTCCACATCATTGCTCTTGTATCGCTGCGCTAAGGACTAAAGATGCTCATAGCCACTGTTGTTGTACTGTTGTACTCGAGATGTCCGATCTCTATCTCTATCTCTCCATCTCTAAGCATGTCTCGCTACTCATGATCTGTCTCCCTATCTTTCTTTCCTAACCTCTCTCATTCCTCTCTGACTCCTTTCTCCCTTCCTCTCGCGTCTTTCGTTCGACTTCAACCTACCTCCTGCCCTGACTGTTGTGTTGTACTCTTGCTTCGTCCAGACTCCACTTTGGATTTGATTGATTCAGACTGATTTTGCTTTGCTGCACTGAAAACTAGATGTATAATTGTTTTAGTCGTAAACGTACATTCGATTTTTTTTTGGCGTTTGGCCCTCTGTGAGGATCGCCGTCATCCTTACCGTATATGATTCTCTTGTTACTTGTTGGATATTAGACTATCATCTGTGTAATGCATGTTGAATTTTGCTCCATGCTTGCTGTGATACTCGACCCTCAAGAGTCAGGCGAGACAAGGACTTTAAAATCTTCGAAAGCAATTCTATTCAACACAACTAGATTAGATCAAGCCCTCGACAACCAACATCGCAGCGGCAGTACATATTAGTGTGCAAAACCACAAATGAATCCTAAGCGTTCAGTGCTTTGAGATCCCTTACGTCCGGGTCAAGCACCCGTCTAAATCTCCTCCCAAACAACCCATACATCGCATCCCCAACATCCTTCATTCCCTTACTCTCGCCCTCAATCTTCGCGCTGTCCAACCCAACATAAAACATCCCTCGTATACCGGGCACTTTTATCCTCACAGCGTCGTTTTCCTTGCCGCCAACGATACTGCAAGCGTTCAAGGGGACGACTCGGCCTTGCGAGGAGATGTGTTTGGCTGATTGGATGACGAGGAGGGACTTTGCTGGCGGGCTCGTGGCGGGAGATGTTTTGGTGGAAGAGGAAGAGGGCGCATTTCTAAAGTTGGTCTTGACGGTTCGTACGGCCTCTGGGAGTGGGGTATCTTGAGGGATCTTTGGAGGAATGACATAGATACGTCGTACGAGACGCGAGCGAGTGGTTAGAAGCATATTCGCTATGAAGAACCCGACTGCTAGGTGACCACATGCGAATGGAAGCCGGTGCCAGAGAGGTCTCAACACATAACGTGGTTGTTGTGATTGTTCGTTTTCTGCAGTTGGAGCTGACTCCGAGGTTGACTTTGAGTCTTCGGTAGGAGAAGAGGGGTCTTCGAGTTGTGTCCAGTGTCTGAGCGTAAGCTCAAATGCGCTCACGCTTTGTACCATTAGACATTAGAGAGACACAGAGAGGAGAGACACGAGATAGGCATAGAAGAAGCAAGGAGGAATCAGACCGGGTTCTTAGACGCAACAAAGGAATAAGTCAAGTACGAACGATATGATGACATTGAGGCCTACCAAAGTGTAGGTATAACGAGACCACCAAGGAAGGTTGCGTTCATAAAATGGTGTGAGGTCGTTTAGAGATTGTGCGGATACACCTTGGCGGGATAGGGAGGGTGATGTTTTCTTGGCGCGTTGGAAGAATGTACGGATGAAGGATAGTTTGCGTAGGGCTTGCATGCTGCGGGAGGCAGAGGAAGGTAACCTTCGCAAAATAAAAGTTATGAAGGAGACTTGCCGTTTTAGGAATTCAAGCAAATAGGACCAAATTAATAGTGTTCTCGACTTTGCCCATCCTAGCATGGAAACCCTCCGGCCGTCATTATTTTTCACCGCTGAGGCTGGCACTACATTAGTTACTAGGTCGTTAAGGATGCGTTCCGTGCACGTAGGGCCGCAGACCGACGTCTTCTGCATTGACGATGATCGCAGTTCAAGGGTATATATTGTACTGATCAATGTTCAACTCTTGAAGAACGGAGTTCCTGCGATTTTGAGGGTGGGTGACCTTTCCTTCATTCGGAGAACAGCAATGCATGCTTATATGTATCCGTCTATCTAGACTCCTAATATTGCACTTGATTTAGTCAATACGAGGACCGATTCAGAGGGCTAAGGCATATCGCGCAACCTTTCATGTCTTTCTTGGCGACTCCTACACCAACAATATACTCTTGCAGCACAATATCTCGAATCCGTAGCCGTCCTTCCGGGGCGATCTTGGATTTTGTTTACGCCTGCTGCGTAACTAGGTCATGGTCTCCTCGTAATACCACGGAGTTGAAAAGCCTGACATGTGGAAAGTATCATCCTTAGGCGAACAGGGATGACGCCGATGATGCCAACAAAATGTTTGAATTATGTCACCGCATATTGTGCAAACTTGTGTGTTTGCACGCACGTGGAAGTGGAAGATGTTCATCGACTTGCATCGTTTTGAATCTCTCAATGACTTACCCTTCTAAAGAGTGATTTATAGCCTGGTTCATCAGCAACTGACTTGATCTCGGCTTTCTGTGTTAGCTGCGCTTACGCTCGCTATTCAGACATTCGCCATGCTGGTCATTCCTGTTCACACACTGTTATGCATACCAAGGCATAGGCATGTATTTGTCCTCCGTATCGACCCCCCTTTGTCTGACCCTCCTTCACGTTCTGCAGAGTGTTGGGTGATTATGTCTCTCCCGATTTCGTGGTAACGCATATTGGTCATGTTAGGAAGGTCGGAACTTCCTCGTACATTTTTACTCACCACGGCGCCCAGTGTCCCGCAATCTATGGCGTTGTATGAATCACGAGGACACGGATAGCACTATCCCCATATAATGGGGATCGTCGAGGTTTTACTCTCAATCACCCGCAACACCCTTTTCAACCACTCCCGCTGACATTAATTCGAACATGTCCAAACCGACGTCATCAACCGATAGCTCACCATTTCCAAGCGTCCGACGTGTGGTGACTGGCCACAGCTCTACCGCAAAGGCGATCATCCTGGACGATTCGGTCTTACCTTTTGTCTACTGGGAAGGTACGAGCGGGAGTGCTGTCCACGATGTATATCGAACCCACGAATCTCCTGCTATTCTTGGTACCGAGATCAATGGAGAGTGGGTAGATGAGATCAAGCTCAATGACGCATTGGTCAATCCAAATGGGTCTGCCATTCGGTCGATTGACATGTATCCCGGGATGTACGTGGTGAGTGGTTCATCTAGACTGAGTATTCGTCGTTCTCCGTTCGTCATGCTAAGGGTCATTATGTTAGAAACCTCATCGGACGTGGTCAATTGATCACGGTATCGTTGTGAAAGGCTCAGTCGTAATTGAGTTGGATGATGGTGAAAGACGAGTGATCAATGAGGGAGATGTTATTGTTCAACGTGGAACCATACATTCTTGGAAGAATGAGTCTTCAGAATGGAACAGGATCTTTTTCGTGATGCTTGGTGAGTGCCTCCTCATCATCAAGTTGGAAATTTCCTCGGCGGAGTTGTTGATGATTGGTCGGTTTAGGCGCAACGCCAATTGAGGTGAAGCCTGGCCAGAAGCTTGAAGAAGTATCTGCGAAGTGAATATGTATCACTGAGCAACGGAGGGGTTTTTACTAGCTCGAATGCTCAGGAGTAACCGATGTTGATAGTGTATTGGCAGTGGTGCTCACACATTCATGTTTGAATCCACAGAGTGCGCTTCGATCATTTTGTTTGTGCACCTTCTGGCTCTTATCAGTTTCCAAGTGGGAAACATCTGTTGCATGTCATCGGTTCTCGGTAGACCAAAGGGCCCTTGCTCACAATATTCTGGTCCACAGGTTGTGCGTCTGAGGTAAGTGTTGCTCAGCCTCGATGTGCATATGTCTGGACCTTACGAAGAAGTTGGTTTTTCAGTCTTACTCATAAGGGCGCTCGTTGCAAAGTATGTTTCTCTATTCCTGGAACACATGTTGACTTTTCGCCCCACGGATGTTCTGTTGGTACTCCGCCCAAGCGGGAGCATGTTAGTGATGATAAATTGCATACTAAGCCCATGTCGGTATAGACATGCATGCCTTATCAAAGTACTGAAAGCGACGCGTCAGCTGTTGATAAACAGTGTTCCAAACCTTGAAAGGGTACTCACGATCAGGGATCTGCTTGCGTATACCATTCACACGGAGCGATCGATCCTGGGTATATATTGCAGACTGGTGAGTGATTCTCGTCTCCTCAACTCTCACCTACTACTCACACACCTCAGATTGTCATAATATGAGCGTCACTAGACCAGCCCCCAAGATACCTTACTTGCCTGACGTTCGTCGTGTCGTCACCGGTCACGACTCCGAGGGAAAGGCAGCCGTGCTTTCTGACGAAGTCGCGAAACCGACCTTCTGGTCGCCTGAAAGTACCAGCCCTGTACACGATTACTACCGTACTGAGGAAACACCTGCAATAATCGATTCCGAAGTTGCGACTGGAGAGTGGGACGATGGCATTACGAGTAATCCTGCTCTCGTCAGTCCGAACGGATCTACGTTTCGAACAATTGACCTTGCACCTGGTCAGGTTGTGGTACGTTCATCTTCACTCTATATGGTGTGCTATTCTCTGATACAGAGAGACAACTTCAGCCGATGCATCGCACTCAGACAATCGATTATGGAATTGTTGTAAAGGGCAGCGTTGTCTTGGAGCTGGACAATGGTGATCGTCGCATATTGAAAGAGGGCGACGTCTTCATCCAGCGGGGTTCTGCTCATAGTTGGAGAAACGAAACTGACGATTGGGTCAGAACACACTTTGTCATGATAGGTAAAGCTGAACATGGAGTACCCCAACGTACGTGATTGTGTACTGACGATGTGTTCTTCCAGGAGCGAATCCTATTCATGTGAATGGCGAATCGTTACCAGCACATGCCGTTGGTCCTCAGAACCCGTCGAAATAACGACGTGCTATGCAGTGGTCTTTCGTGGATATTTTGTTGACTTTGGCTCTGAATTAAAATGAGAACGGGCGGACTAAGTGTAACTACCGACGGTAGGGGGTCCTGTGACGGCTTGTTGCTTCTCATCGTTCCCGCGACTGAGAGCTACCAGACGTTCATATGGCATGTTTCCAATTTACACCCAATGCACCTCTTCAGGTGTCTTCTGGGTGCTTCTATATATAGAGGCTATCTTCTCATTGCAAGTGCCCGAAGCCTCGAACCCAAGTTATGACGATCATGAGTTATGGTATGCAACTCGGTTGATCACCTGCTTACTTTTGCTTCCTGACGATTATCCGGACTCTCTCGTTTCATGATTCGTATTGCAGGCGTACATGGTGTTTCCGTCATACTCTCGGAAAAACCTTCGAGCACCAATTTTGACTCGCGGACCGCTGAACTATGGACGGACCGTCCATTCAGTGGAATTGTTGATCTCTCTCGCATTTTCTATTGTGATATATAGTGGTGAAGGTGCTCCAGGTTATCGAAGGCAGTCCAGAACATTTCATCTTTCATAGGCCATGCAGACCCTCATCGCTGCGTTCGCTTTGTTGGCCGTCCATTGTCTTCACGTGGTTGCCACGCCTCTCGCATCTGGAATATGCACAGTTTCTGCAAGTGGTTCCGACGATGCACCTGCATTTCTGAAGGCGGTGATGGACCCATCCTGTTCTTCCATTGTCATTCCTTCTTCCACGACTCTGAACATTGCTTCTCGCATGAATATGACAGGTCTACTCAATAAACACATCGTATGTCGTCTTGCTAGTCATCCTCTTTGTTACTGTTATTTTACCTTGAGATTAATGTCTGTTAATAGAGTGTTCAGGGTGCTATTCGCTTCAACCCGGATTTACCTTACTGGACTGGAAACGCGTTCTACTTCCCTTTTCAAGACCAGGTTGCTTTCTGGCTTTTGGGCGGAAACAACATTGTCCTTGACGGAGGAGGAACTTTAGATGGGGCTGGCCAAGCTTGGTATGATGCGTTGTAAGTGAACATAACATTTCTTGAACAAGTACAGACTCTCATGTATAGTTCACAGTGCGAAGAATAGCAGCCTGGCTCGACCAATCATTCTTACTGTCTATCAGGCGACAAACATCACCGTACAGAACCTTAGGATGATCAATTCACCCGAATGGGTGAATCTGGTATGTCACACCGCGCTTTCCCGGAAGCAAACGACATGTAGTGATAATCTTGTTACTTGTGCGTAGGTTAATGAGGGAAAGGCAGCGACTTACCGCAATATCACTATCTCCGCAGTCTCTACATCAAAGAATGCTGCGAAGAACACTGACGGTTGGGATATCTACCGAAGCGACAATGTCATCATCGTGGACTCAACTGTCAACAATGGTGACGATTGCGTGAGTTTCAAGCCTAGTGAGTACAATGGTTTTCCTGCGGGTTTGGATGAAACTAATGCTTGAATTCTCTTAGACTCAACAAATGTACTTGTTTCGAACTTGTCTTGCAATGGATCTCAGTACGTCAAAATCCTTGTTTGTGTAAATAGATATGGGGGTTCAATTTCAAACTAGTGGAATTTCTGTCGGCTCTCTGGGACAATACGCAGGAGAATATGACATCGTGGAAAACGTTACCGCCACGTTCGTACATGCAGTTGTGGATCATGTTATATCTCAAAATGGACTTCCTATTCTACTCTAGGAACATCCATATGTCCAATGCGCAGAATGGCGCCCGTATCAAAGCTTGGGCTGGCAAAGGCGTTGGCTCTGGTATCGTCCAGAACATTACATTTACAGGATTTGTAGAAACAAACGTTGACAACCCCGTGGTCATTGACCAGGTCAGCGCTGTTTCAAACGTCACATTGGGGTCTGGTATTCAATTTGTATTCAGTGTTACGAAACAGATGACAGCGATTGCGCCAAGTATCCGTCAAACACGTACATCCAAGACGTGTGGTTCGAGAAGTACGAACCATCATAGTCGAGAAGGTTCTTCATATAGTGATCTATGGCATATAACAGCATTTCAGGGACGTCTTCTGGCAAGGAAAAGGCCGTTGTAGCGGACTTGTCGTGTTCTCCTGACGGCCGATGCAGTAATGTGCATGTCGATGATTTGAAACTGACGTAAGAGATCTACATCTTTTTCTTGCGGATGTTCTTTGACGAGTCAATTAGCCCACCATCCAAATACAGTGCTGCATCATATTCTTGTCAAAACGTCGATCTTTCTGGCAATGATGCTAGCCTCTTCGGAACTTGTGCAACGACAGGATAGATCATCGGGGCTGCGTGTAACGACTGCTGTGAGAATGAGTCAATGAGTTTTGTTATTATCGAGCTTTAGTGATAACAGGAATGCATGCAGATCGGTCCTAAAGATGCCAGGTACCGGTTGATGCGTTAGTACGAGGACCTCCGCCACACGTTCATTCCAGCTGTAAAAGGTTCGAAATTTCATGTTCACTATCGTTGATCATACAACAGGCGTGATGAAAATCGTTTTGCGTGTAAGTACATCCCCATGTCCGCCTTCACGTCAATATCTAAGAATCCTTTTCGGGAGAAAATATGGCAACAACGACTGAACACACCTGGTCAGACGAACACCACGATACCGTGCTCCCGAGCAACCGGTGTAAATGCGCGATTAAGCGACGTTTCCTGCAGAAATAAAGGACTGGTCTTCAGCGCTAGTTTTGGGGGTTGTCTGCGTGGGTCAGGCTCATACCGGAATGCCTTGCTCTCTTCTCTTTTCAGCTAACGGATTCGACAGGTCTGGGATGTTGCTCGAAGGCGAGACCGAACTTTTGGAGATGATGATATCTTTAGCATGCATTTCGGGACGGCTCTGATTTGACTGTTATGTATTTGATAGCTATCGTAATGGAAAGCATAATATAGCTCAATAGTCCGTATAATAGTCGTAGTCTAGCAAACAACCTTGTTCAAACCTTCGGGCGCTATAGTCCTTTTACACGAACCACCAGCATCCTTCGCTCGCCAAGATCGGACTCCTTGCGCTAATTTACGTCTGTCGGAAAAGGCAGAAACACAACCACTGTTTGCGAACTTCAGATTCTTGCCTGAGGGAAAACGTACATTCGCTATTGCAGCACCTCTCGGATCTCGCGACCTATTTCTATCGCACTTAGTATCTGACGGAAAGCCCAAACAGTAGGATAAGTCTGGTGGTGTTGCAGATCTTTAAACATATTCCACTCTGTACTATTCTCGCAAATCCGAAGATCCATTAATCATTCCTTGCGCCATCCCTATGGCTTCGCATGACGGATCCGACTCGAACGCTTCGGAAGGTGGCGTACCTTTCGATCCCGAACTGCGAGCCCTCCTGGAGCAAATGCGGGACGCCCCAGAATCTATCGCCCCGGATCTCATGAAAATGCATATTTCTCGCGACGAATTGCGTATCGATATGGCCCACTTTCTCATGAAAGTTCTGCTTGATTCCATAACAGACGAGTACTGGGACGCCTTCCTCTCCAGCAAGCTCATCAATGTTCTATTCATCATCGCTACTGATCCCTTCACTTATGAGGATTGCAATCTCATCAAGAGGGCTATGGTTCGTCTTCATCTTGACATTTCTAGGCCATGCCGTAATCGTTGACGTGGATAGATGTATCCAACGAGCGTTCTCACTACTTTACTAAGATTCTGCGAGTACTTAGGCCAACATCTCCACCAACGCCGCCATCGGGAGCACACACACTATTTTCTACGTAGATGTGGGAAGCTGTTCATAACTTTATGGCACCAGCGTCTCTGCTTGCTGGAAACTGAGAATCGTGCACCGGGTGGAATGGATTACAAGAATCTCGTACAAATGCTCACTATTCAAGTCTCGCTACTCCAACGCGACGTGTAGTGTGTACAATCAAGCATTCTACCTTGCATATGTGACCTGATACTTATTTCAGTAAGGGGAAGCCATCACCGCCTATCGATGGCCATATCCATCTCTTGCTATGGCGTTGGAGCACTGTCTGCTTGGAGGACTCAGAGCTCTTGCTGACACATTTGAACTATGCTGTGAGAGACGCGGTCATGGTAGCTTCAGAACCAATCAATAGGGCCACTAGGGAAGTCCTCATTGATGCCGACTATGCCATGCCATTCTTGCAAAAAGTACATTCGTACTTAGCGCAAGACGAGGTGGTGGACGATCATTTAATGAGTTGTTTTTACATCCTCATGACATGCCTCAGCACTTGTGCTGAGCTTGTCAACCTCGCATGGAAATCTTCTTACGGCCGTTACAACTTCTTGGAGGTCGTCGCACTCGCCTGTCAGAGACAGTGGTGCCTTGGTACCCACAATGCGGCAGATGTGGTATTCGGCGGGTTGACAAGTATATGGTAGGCATTTGTATAACCGCCCGATGCTCATGGCTAAAGTCTTGCTATCACAGCCTTATGACAAATAACGCTCATGACGACGACGCGCACCTCTCAACCATGATTAGATCAGTCAGAGTGTTAGATATTCTACCAATGATTTGCCGTTTCGCCGCAACACGGCCATCCGAGCCCAACAACCACATGTCTGGTACGTTCCTTCATGACATCGGAGAATTGACTTCCAGAGTACTGAATCATTTAGAGATCGTCACACGATTGATCTACACCCAAGCGGGTTTGCAAACGCGACTGCAAGGTGATGTGTCGCGGACGGCGATGAAGTTTCGCGAAGACCAACGAGAACTTATGCGTAAGTCTTGGTCCCCAGCGATGGAAAGTTTCAAAGCCTCTCCTCCGGACCAGCAGGATCCTCGGTATCAAAGCTATCTATCCCTTCAGGAGATTGGGCGCACTCTCAATATGGATGAGAAATCAACTGAGACCCCTTACTTCCCTGGATATGATACATGCATCCAGAGCTGTCACTTTGCCGACTGCCTGTGCTCACACAAACGCCCTTTGCATGCCTTGAGAGTATGTAAAGGGTGTTGGAGGGTTTACTACTGTGGTCGCTCCTGTCAGATCGCGTAAGGTCTTCTTGCTATTGATTGATTTTTTTTTCTGACCCGAATGTTGACTTCCAGAGATTGGCGGGCAGGACATAGGGAAGATTGTTGAAAGCGTCTAGATGCTACTGTCAATTAATGGAGGAAGTTTTCGTCTTTCTGGGTATCAGTGTAGTTTCGAAAGGCCAGTGAACTGCATAACCTCTCGTGAACACTAATGCTTCTGTATTTTTGATACCAGTTATGGCTGTATTTTGGGATAATGTCGTTATTTAAGCCAGAGAATGGCCCAATGGGGAAATTTGAATGAATAAACAACGAATACTGAACTTTCACCTGCTTCGCCCAAGCTGAGCCCGAATTCTCTTCCGACGAACAAGTTCGGGGATACCATGACAATAGTCTTCTCAAAGTTTTGATAGACGTTATTACAACAGAATGTGCTCTGTATGGGGAATGTATAATGTTAAATGATGATTTAGCAAAGAAGAGACACCTGCGTCGCAGAGGAGTGTACGCTGCGCGTAATTTTAACATGGAACATTTCTCGATACCTAGCATCTACTGTTTATAATGTTCAATGAGCGAACGTACTTTGGTAGTTGTGTCTAAATGTGCCCGAGTCCCGTAAACCTCCGACAAGCTGGAGGCAGTTGCCTTCTTTGGCAGGTCATAGTCCAGATGAAGCAGATGCTTACCCTTTTCGGCTACTTTGAGATCTTTACGAAATTCAAATTATCTCGGAATTATTGCACCACCTGCATCTTTCTTCGTATACACTCAACGTCCAACTTTGATTCACCAACTGCGAAATGTCTGCACCTAGAATTCCAAGGTCTACACGACCGAAATGGATCGTGGCTCAGTGAGTACCGACAGAGTATTATGCTTCCAAAAAGATTTCACCCTAACGAATGCATAGCTTTATGGTTGGAAACACATATGTCAGCTCCACTCATTTATCGCTCGAAACTACCTTTCACATGACAGATGATAGCCCTACGCCGTTGACGACTGGCAGGCAGACATAGATCTGGCTAGTGATTACGGATTGTATGCTGCATTGCAATAATATTGCTCTTAGAAGGATTAACGTGTTTTATGACAACAGCGATGGGTTTGCTCTCAACGTAGGTCGAGAAGACTGGCAGCTGGCACGAGTCGCGGATTGTTTCGAAGCTGCCCGCCGGTCTTTGAAGCCTTTCAAACTATTCCTTAGTTTTGATATGGCGTGCGTCCCCTCCTTATAAGCCTGTGTTTAAATAAAATGACTCTTGAAAGCGTAGATCAATTCCATCCGGAGATCGAAAGGACGTCGCCCTAATCCTCGGTTATCTTGATCGATTTGCACGGCATCCGAATTACTTCGTCCATGCCAGTGGTATAGTGGTATCTACCTTTGCAGGTCAAGAGAGTTTCTTTGGATTTCCTTCACTGAACGAAGCGTGGTTGCATGTGAAACATGCCATAGAGCATTGCGTCAAGAAACCCGTAAGTCACGTCAGCCTAAGACGTCTTACCTAACTGTACGTTGAACGTAGGTCCATTTTATACCGTCCTTCTTCGTTGACCCTAGGCGGTATCCGTCTCTCACGTGTATGAACGGATACTTCCACGTATGTCTTGACTGGCTCTCTTTCTGAGTTCGGTTCCTTAAAACGCAACTGTTTCTGGAAACAGTGGAATGGTGGCTGGCCTCTCCATCTCGCCCCACAATCCCCGCGCCATGAAGTCCACCTTCCAAAACTTGACAGCGATCAGCCTCATATCGCTCATCTTGGACGAAGAACATACATGGCGGCTATATCTCCTTGGTTCTTCACGGTTCGAAAACTCACCGTCTAACTATAGGTGTATCTGATTCTGATCACCTATTCATAGCATTATGGAAGAGAAAGTTGGAACAAGAACGTGGGCACTACCAATCAATGAATTTTGGATCTAAATCTCATTCGCACGAATGCTTCAATCGCCTACAGTGGATCTATAGATCGGACGATCATCTCCTAATTCGCCGATGGGAATACTTACTCTCGATACGCGACGATGTTGATATTGTGCAATTCATCTCATGGAATGGTATGTTATCAATGTTTCTCTTGTGGAACCCACATATCTCACGTGTCCCTCGCTCGCCATTGGTTCCAGACTACGGAGAGTCGCATTACATCTCACCACCTCGTGGAGCGCAGCCCAATTCTCAGGCATGGGTTGACAATTGTCCCCATGACTCTTGGTTGTCGCTCAACTCTATGTTCATTCAAGCCTTCAGGAATTCCAGTATGTACCACAAGACCGATGCTGGCGGCGTATTCAATGATGTCCGACTCGGGCTTCGTCTCGGCACGGTTCCCAAAGAAACAGAGAACTACATATGGATGTGGGCTCGACCACATTCGAAGTACGCTATCGCGACGAACGATTCTATTAGGAAGCCAGATAATTGGGAACTTGTAAGTTACTCAGCTTTTGCGCTTAACTCTAGTCTGATAATCTGATGGCGAACTCGCGTTTTGTTCGCTTTCGTTTCACTCTTGCCTTCTACGTATACAGACGGATGACCTCTTCTGGGTCGTCACTGTGACTTCTTCTACACACCCCACTACACTCAAACTGTCAACCGGCGGATCAGATCCTCAGTCGGTGTTCTATCAGATACCGCCGTCGCACGAACAAGATGATGAAAGCCCACAGAGAGAGCAACGGCGGCGGCGGTTGTCGAAATTCTCACATCGGCTTGTCCCCGGCGAGAGTATGCGCGCTGAACTGATCAGAGAGGGTAGAATCGTAGCTGCTTGTGACCCGGGACCGGAGTTTAGGTTTGAAAGAGAACCTAGGACTTACAACTTCAATGCCTTTGTTTGTACGAACCTGGGAAACCAATAGTGTATTTATTGCCCAGCGCCCGGGAATAAACTGAAAATTTCCAGCTGGCATGAGTAATGCACACAACAGCGCTACGGTCCACGAATGCCACCGAAACGTCAGAATCATTTGTCATTATCGTCATGAGCACGAGAAACTAATACACTAATGTTACAACAGACAACATTTCGAGAACGTATCAGCGGACGTTGTGCTACGAGAGCGTGCTAGAATTACACTCCTGGGAGCCGCAGGAATTCCCAAGAGTTGCTGTACACTAGGCGAGACCTAGAACATATAGCGGGTGAGGGAGTTGCATATTTGAAACCGAAAGAAATTGAAAATTGTCCACGGGGATACGGGTCTTGAGTCGATGAGAGCGATGGAGGGCGTCGGGATGTGCATCGGAGGATCAGTAGAAGACTTGGCAGCTGTAATCGGTGTTTCCCTCCCTAGTGAAGGCGATAACGTGATCTGCAAGACAACGTCGTTCAGCATACGCGTTTGCGCACGAGCTCACAGGCGGATGAGGTACTTACCACCGAGCAGTCGTTCTGTGAAGCCGATTTCGGAGTAGGCGCTATAGGAAGGAAGAATGCATCAGTTAGGGAACGATGAAAATGAATAGGGAACCTACAAGTAGTAGATCCATTTCCTCTTGAACACCTCGATCTCCTCAGCGCTGTTTGGTCCATTCATAACGTCCGGATATTCCTTCTTCAAGGCTGATTGAAAGAAAGCTTAGAAAAGGGGCGGAAGATCTGAGCGTAGGGGAATAAACTCACAAGGAACAATGAAATCGTCGAAATTGGCAACGAAGCGTTTCCTCCATTCCCTCAGAGTGCGAGAGTAGTGAGGTCCGATGTTGCCTATGGAGTCAACCACGAGACGACCTTTAGATCCGTCCCTGATAGCAGTCATAAGGTGAGTGACAGTTGGTAGATGTCCGCCGGGGAAGATCTAAGTTGAAGAAGTTCAGCGCTTTGATGCAATGCACTCGACGCAATGACATACCCATTTGCGAATGAATTCTTGCTCCCGAATGTAACCATCGTAGCCTGAGGGCATCACTGTCAGTCACGACCATATCAGGTGTATCGGGTAGAACTCACGGGCTTCAGGAATGGTGATGACCTGTACAACACCAGCGCCGGTGTCTTTCTTAAGAGCCCAGTCGACTTGAGACCAATAAGTCTGTGTGAAACACAAGTCAGTCCGAGACGCTTCATAAATATGATGGACTCGTACCTCGATATATTCTCTGCCGACGTTCTCGATCATCTCCACGCAGACAAGTCTGTCGAACCTGCCCTCCCACTCCTTCGGCATGTTGCGATAGTCAAAGACGTGAATAGTAACACGCTGTTCGCCATTGCCGTAACCGAGGCCAGCTTTCCTGACACGTTCCTTGACATACTTCGCCTGCTGCACAGACAACGTGACGGTGTCAACTGTGGTTCCAGGAATAGTGCTAGTGATATGAACGGCGAGCGGACCCCATCCGGAGCCGATTTCGAGTACCTGAGATTAACGATGTCAATGACTTGTAAGGATAAGCGTAAATCGAATATAATACGTACACGGTGACCAGGACGAATATCAGCCTTCCTAATCAAGTACTCAAACTTCCGAACTTGAGCAGCATAGAGTGGATCAGAGAAGTCTGCATCGGCTTCGCCTGAGATAAGCTCTCGTCCGGCAGCCCTGAGTTTCGAGAACACGTCTTCATGCTCAGCGTCGGAGGAGAAGGCGGTAGGTGAAGACGATCGAGAAGAGTGTGATCGAGGTGACGACGGCGAGCTGGAACGAGTGCCAATTGCCCGAGTAGATCGTGACTTCTCAGACCGTACGTCTCCATCGTGATCTGTGAAGACAGCGCAGGAATAGGTCATGTCCTTCGACAAGAAACCTGAGCGGCTGTTAGTGTATTCTATACGAAAATCTTATACAGGGAAAACATACCCTGGAACATGTCGTTACTAATGTCATAGTGACAACTGATGTTACCCCTAGAGTTTGTCAGGTTACTGAGGAAGCGACTTGAGGCAAGCTTGCCCGAGATGGTGCCCACAACGGAAGCTAGCCTGGAATGGAGAGACGAGAGGCTTTCCTTATTGTGACAGAAGATCTGTGGATGGATGGAAAGATCAGTCAAGATCGAGAACGTTAAGCAGTGCAGAACAATAGAAGTGACATATAACACAAGCAGAAAAGGAAGTCATTCAAGATTGACGTCACAAGTTAGCATACAAGATCGATCGAATTTGTCTCGTAGAATGATCAGCATGGCAACGAAACTCTAATGAAGCATTGACGACCATGGAGTACTTACAGCAAAGACAGGAATGAGATCGTCGCAGTCAATGTCCCCGAACATGTACGCCTCCGAGAATCCGAGATCGGACATCAGGCACAACCGGAGCCAGAACGTTGGTCGCAGGACGCGGATTTCTGCTTGTACCTTCGCGGGAGAAGCAGACTCTGGGAACAGGTACGTCTTGTGAGGTGTAGAAATACGGAGCTGTCCATGTCGAATGTTTCGCAGTGTCCTGTCAAAAGAGGAGGGGATGAGGGTCAGCTCCAATATATAACAAAAGGCTTTGAGCTACGTACGAGACAACAGCAGCTTCAGCCAATCGACAGATAGGGCTGTCCCATGAATATGCTCCCAATTTGAACGCGCCTTCTGTCGCAGCCATGAATACTTTGTCCGCCAACCCTGCAAGAGACCATGGGTGTGTCGCGGGAGTGGAAAGAAGTTGGGTTGACATCGTTCCGAGGGGGGAGGGGAATGGAGAGGGCGAAGTAGAGGCTAGCTCGACGAATCGGGCTGGGGGAAGGGTGTCCTAGTAATTGAGCGATGCGATGCGCATCGTTTCAACAGTCAGGAAGACATCTTTATACCTTCTCAGCAGTGCCTTTTTTCCGACCCGTCCGCCAAATCCCTCACACCATCTACCTCCGAAGGACTAGAGAAAAAATGGGCTGACACGTGTAGTTACGTAACAGATGAGTACCAGAACCAAGAATCGACATGAACAAGTTCCCGGAAATTGGCAAAGTGTGCCATGACAAACAGGAAAACACGCCGGCATGTCGTCTGTCAGAAGCTACATGGGAATGGACAGTTCTCATCAATCTTCTCATCGAACGAGATCACCCGTGATCTCGTAATATCCCTCATGGCGTTGGTGGCTTGGCTGAACGGATGAGCGGCAACTCATCTCCGGCCGTTATCATGAAAATGGTTGAAGATATTCTTCTCTGTTCAGCCAGGCTTGTGGATCTGAACAGCTCGGATCCAGTAGCGTCGTGGCGCGGTGACCGAATACCCCATGCGTGTTATAACACATCTTCTCTTAGTGCGCAGCGAGGCATTCCAGACGTTACTGTTTAATGCAATCACCATAGGTTCTCGTAGATATGCTTCGAACGAGCGGTACTGACAACTTACTCTTAAGTCCCTTCACAGTCCCTGCGTTAAGTTTGAACTCAACAGAGAGAAGTATGATCGGTATTCAATATCATTTCATTTAGGCCACGATCGGTAGGTACGTACCTGTTTTGAGGATCAAACAGCCGGTCGTTGACGATTCTGACCAGGGCACTACGTATCGCTTCAGCTGATACCTTTCCATCCAGCAGCACTTCTGATGCGAATGGTGAGTACGCGATCGTGTTGGATCTTATACTGCTTCAGGTAAGAACGAAAGTATCGGCAGTCCACCAACCGATTCACGAGAGCAAGCTACGTCGAGTGCGGGCTATGTACATTTCTGATAAACAATTATTCGGTATAGTCAGCATCAGAACCAATTTAGAATGCACCCGAACGTTATCGGCGAGCACTCACCAAGACCAACTTTCACCCGGCACGTTCGACTGTGTTTCTGCATGAAGGGTTTACATTGACCATGATCGATTATCGATTACAAGTACTGTAGAACGCCGGAAGCTGCCGGGCAAGCAAGGTGGTGGTCAACATTGGGCGGGAAGAATAGTTCCGCTACGACACACCCACTCATGTTCTTTCAAGAAATCTCAAACGCCTAGCCGGTTGCTCCAACATCATCCAAACACATGACATCCATAACCCTCGAATCCATCTCTCGTGAAAGAGATGATATGATCTGCAATGCATACATTCAAATCAGCAAGGTCCATGAGAAGACGAATTAGGTGAGGCAAAGATGATGATATGATATAATATTAGCAATGCATTGGGTGTATTATGAGACCAACGAACGCATTGTGAGCTACTCACCGCCGAGAGATCGTGTAGCGAAACCTATTTCGCAATAGCAGCTGTTCCATGCGACAGTCGGAAAGATAGGTCAGGTCAATCGGCTCGGCTGTGATTCAAGACGTGATGCTCTGACGTACTAATAGAAAATCCATTTGCGTCTAAAGACCTCGATTTCTTTCTCCCCATTTGGGCCATCCATGACGTCGGGATACTCTCTCTTCAATGCTGTTTTCCAGGCGTCCCATTAGCACCCACAATCTCACGCCGGTTGACAGTGTCAAGGCAAAGAAAAGAAGGCAAATTGACTGACCTGGGACGATAGCACCATCAAACGCCCACTCGAAACGTCGCCTCCACTCTCTCAGCGTCCGCGCGTAATGCGGTCCGATGTTACTGATGGAATCCACGACCAGAGTATTTTTCGAACCAGCCGTTAGGCTGGCAACGAGGTGGTTTAACGTGGGAAGGTGTCCTCCAGGGAAAACTAGAAGGCCACAGGCGTGAGTATCATTGAAGATAGTCTGCCGTTATCAAAGGGAAGAAAGAAAGTCACGGATGAGGAATAGCGCAAGCACATTTGTGAAAGGAACGAAGAAGTGCATGTGGAAACAGGGCGGACGGAAGAAAACAACGTGGACAAGCTAACTCACTCTATCATCATCAAGTATCGCAGCCAAGCAGACGTAAGATCGCGGCCAATTTACAACGTCAAAACACAGCTCGACGTACCCATTTCTGAATGAAATCCAAACCGCGACAGTACGCGTCATACCCTGGGTACACAGACAGCACAACATCAGCTGTCAGTCAAGGCGGCGTTTCATACATCAACCCTCAAACAGCAAGGAACGAGGATGACGAAAACACGAGGCAAGGTGTAATCAATTATGGCAGGGATTTGCGCCACGGGTGGTGCCTTCAGATAGACCTAGATCGATCATGAACGAATGCCACGAGGATTAGAATCTGAAAATGAGGCATCTGGCCTAGCACGAGTCTGGTCATAAGCCAGGAACTAGCTTTGCCAGCATTTTCATCCCGCGATGCCGACGACATGCACCGCTTCGACACCATGCAGCAGCGGATGGAACTAGAATACCTGTCGTGGCGCTGTCGATGTAGATGCAACGGGATAAAAAAGGTAAGGAAAAACAACCATCACACAGGGCAGAAGAACGATAGATATCCAAAAACAATTAGCAATGCACCAGGGGTGTTTAACCTTGCCAGCGCGGAGGCTTATCACTAGGATAATGATCACCAATGACGAAAGATTACGAAGAAAGAATCCACGAGAGTATAGTAATGTGAAACTCTAATCCGAAAGGAGAATATACACGGGAATTTGACCACTCACGAGCTTCCGGGATTGTAATGCATTGGATGACGCCAGCCCCCGTGTGTCTCTTCAGGGCCCAGTCGATTTGAGCCCAATAAAGCTGTTGCGATGAGAAAACATAGGGTCAGGACGCTATCCACAATGACAAATGAAACGGAACGACAGAAATGACAGTATCAAAGCGTCTCCGTTGTAGACCACCGTCTCAAACGTAGCGGCCTACACGGTGGCTATCTGATACAGGTCCCGCACTGAGACAATTACTTTACGGCAAGCACATGCTTATATGCGTCGCAGACGGATCAAATGCGAACTGCTCAATAGCTTAACACAAGCAAAATGCAAGTAGAAACGCATATATACGGCAAATAGCACGAGCACAGACCAAATGGGAGATGTGTACTGGCGCAACGACAATCTTCTACTCACCTCAAGGTATTCCTTCCCGACGGCTTCGATCATTTCGATGCTTACCACTCGATCGAAGGAGTGCTCCCATTCAATGGGCATGGCTCTGTAATCCATTAGATGAACCCGCACCCGGTGCTTACCATCCCGGTCGACGTAACCATCTCCGTCGCCAGCGGAATACGAGGTCTCTAGTATGCGCTTCTGAACGAACTGCTGTTGTTGAAGAGATAGCGTTATGGTATCGACGGTGGTGTCCGGAATATTTTGAGCAATGCGTAGAGCTAGTGATCCCCAACCGGAACCTATCTCTAGGACCTGTAGGATGCAATTAATTTTAGCAGTTAATTAGAAGACGCAGACATAAGAAGGGTGAATTTGCACGTACTCGATGACCTGGGCGGATGTCGGCCTTCTTGATAATGTAGTCCAACTTCCTCACTTGAGCTTGGTATAGTTCATCCTCATCTTCCGCTTCTATTCCGCCTTGCAATTTATTGAACTTTGTAACGAGTTCGCCGGAAGTAGATGCTTTCTCTTCTTCATTTGGGAAAGACGTGGAAGTCACGAAGGTAGAGGTGGAAGCTTCAGCATCAAGAAGGGCACCTTGAGGGCCAGACGAAGATGTCGTAAAAGCGGAGGCATCGGCCAACGGAAATTCACCAGAGACGCTGGATAGCGCGAAAAGCGGAGGTGAAGGTGAAGCCGGAGAACCAAGTGATCCGGACGAGGCCGATGGGTATGCAAAGTCATGAACAGGCGGAGATGGATAAGAAAGCAAAGTATCAATGACCTCCATGGAAAATGCATTCTCCTTCGTCACTGCATTCCTCTGGTCGGAGCCCGTGGGCTTCTTCGTGTCTTGTGCCCTATCCACAGGGTAGAGATCCGCGTCGAGATCAGGAAAAATAGCACACGAATAAGTCATATCCTTCGAAAGGAATGCTAGAAGCAATGCAATCGAAATCAGCGCAAGGCCCAACCATTCATGAATTTATCCAGGTGCATATACACACGAAATTAAAGACTGGTATGAGACTGACCTATGAACATATCATTGCTAATATCGTAGTGTGCGCCGATATTACCTTGAGCATTACCAAGGGAGTTTAGGAAACGCGATTTGGCTATAACTCCAGATATCCGGATGAAGACAGAGGAAAATGGCGAGTTCAACGTGGCAAAAGCGTCGCGGTTGTTCAGAAAGAGCTAGATAAGATTATTTTAAATTTATAAACATTTAAGTGATTGAAAGTACGAACTCGAAACAACGCAGGCAAATTGTCGCAATCGACCTCGCTAAACATGTATGCTTCAGCGAATCCAAGATCCGACATGATCCCAAGACGAAGCCAGAATGTCGACTCCAAGACGCGTATCTCCACAATTTCTTCATTGTCATAGACAGTCTCTTTATGTGGAACATCCGTTGAGGGAAAAGTATACGTCCGAGTGGGAGTGACGACGGATAAGTGACCGTGGTCTATCTTCTTGAGAACGCTTTGCGACAAGTATCGTTAGATAACACACAAAAACAAAAACAAAAACCAAGAGATCTGAGCATACTTGATAACCGCTACTTCCGCCAAACGACAGACAGGATTAAGCGATTCATTTCCGCGCAAAAGATTGAACACGCCCTCCGTCGTCGCGTTCCAGGCTTTGTCTAGTAGGTATGGTATCCATGAATCAGGTCTCGAGGACGACAAGATACGCGAAGACATGGTTCCGCGCTAGATATGATTGCAAGCTGGATATGTTCTTTAGGTCGGCTGGAATGTAAGATGAGGAGGGATGACGGAGGGAAATAAATGGAGGAAACCGCCCCAAGGGAGAACCGAACTCATTCCCCGTGGTACGATGCATCGCGCCTCGGATGACGGACGTCGCGCCTTGCCAGGCAGTCCATAACGTCAATGACGGCGAACGCAGCAGTTGTTCGGGGGATGGAAGGCAGCAAACGTCGGTGATCGCAGGCGCTCATCTTCCCGCGATGTCCCCTGCCAAATCGGGTCGCCGGCGTCCAGAAATGGCAACGAGCGAATAAAATCTGCTTTAATGAACTTAGGCCTCTAGCAGTACTATCCTGTCCGAGTGCAATTAACGTGTAGCATGCGTAGGTTGTTGTAATCATAGATGTTTGATATGAACCTAGTAGGTTGTAGCCTTTCTACCAAGATGCAAACAAAAATCCCACATATCAAACAGTTTCTCCGATGTTGCTCATCACGCACCGCTGGACTAATTATGGTAGTCTAGCTACTCCATTGGCTTACCTTGCAAGCATTGCCCTCATGACGACCTTGGTCCCGCCAAATATGCCGTCATCACTCTCACAAAGATGTGGAGGGATAAGCTCATTTCGTCAGCCTCAGAAATAGCCACATATTAATCATTTCGTTGAACCATATGTCAGGCAACTAAATGACATGTAAGATAATAGCTTCCAGGTACATTCTTCACACAGAACGATAGTTGACACCGGGCTGTACGCCACCCGGACGTTGACAAGTAGTATGGTATGCAAAACTTTGAGCATTTCGCCGGACACTTGGTGAGGAGGTTGAAACAGATGCAGAAGGGCGCTGATCCCATGGACATGCTGAACGCAGCAATGGATAGCTGTGGCGGACATCGGCGTAGCCCAATACCTCACGAATATTCTACTTTCTGTCATCCTAGCTTGAAGGTTCTGTGGCTCAGGCACAACAAATCATTGTATGATTGTTTGAGCTGCCGGTTAGCTTACTTTCTTTGTCGTGATACATGAGAGTATTTTCGAAATTCTGAAGCCGTCGTAAATCACGACCAGTTTGAGAGACTACTTGTCACATGCGCGGTTGGCCTCGTATTCCAAGAGTCCGGCTCGGCCGCTAGCGTGCCGTTCGGAAAATGTGAGCGTAACCAAGTAATGATGTTGACGAAGGCCGCGACCTAGTCCTTTCAAAGAAATACCCGTCCAAAGCAGCGTATACTTACATCTTTCCCTACCTACCCCATACGTAACGAGTACATATCGAGGTTGGAGCTCGAACTTCAGTCAAGCATGGCAGCAGCCTCGGTCGTAGTTTTCCTCCGAGTGACCCCTTAGCAGGAATTGCTGAATCCCGCTGAATGCGTTTCCGTCGTCTCGGGCGACCGCATTGCATAACCTATTTTCTTTGTCGCACTGCAGGCGATCTAGACCGCTCAGGACAATTCCCGACGGTATCGAGCTGTGTTCAACTGAGACGGAGCGACGGCGCGAGCGGTTGTCTTGAAGACCTAAGGTGAAAATACACCATGTGAACGACCAGCTTAGCGTTGAAGGCTCATCGTATCGACGCTTCGGAGAAATCTTACTCACCAGTATGCAAACGAGGCGGATAATTCCCATATGCGGTGTTATTGCAATCCTATAGAGAAGGTTGGACCCGGATTCTATCCTAATTTGTGTAGCAAGCGACGGCAAGCTGTACGCTGCTGAATACTCAAAGTGCCATTTCTGATTGATTAAAGGCCGACCTACGGGTAGCAATAATCTAGGACAAGCCGAAGACAAATCAGTGGGAAAAGTGAATTGCAGTGACGGACCTGACAGGAACGAGTTTCATTGCATATGCAACTGCGCTGTATGAGTTACCATTAGCAATATTCCCAAAGGCACTAGTTACGGTGGTCTTGGGGGTGCGCCCAGAGCGCTCCGAAATGTAACGGAGAATCGACTATGCGTAGTGCGTATCCTAACGATGAGACGGCATACGTAGGTCTTGACCCAGATGGAAATCGGAAACAGTAGTCAACCATTAGTTAACATTGCTGTACTTTCAGAACGAGTCAGCTTTCATCTCGTCCCCTGCCGAAGAAAAAATACAAAGAGAAAGATACAACTTTCACCTCTGCTCCGTTCTAGTCATGTTTATGGATTGCACGCTTGATCATGAAGTCGTGCTGGCAAGGTGATATTCAGGTTCAAGTTTCTTGGAGCAAAAGGCGCCTTCGGAACATCACACCACGAGGGGAACCGGGTGCTGATGTAAGCCCTTGTGTTAAACCACCGTGACACCCTTCTTCACGCATAACATCAAGTTTGACATTGCTTGACATACAGAGCTTGTCATTAACGGAATACTGGAACAAAGTGTTTGAAAGGTTTGTATGCCAGGGGACCTGACTAGTCGCTATCGAAGTCCGTTCCAGTCAAAAATATCCAAGAGCCACTCATCCATACTTCCTACCATACGACTTGCACGGCCGTTGTTGACATCACGTCAGAGCAGAAGACTAATGTTTTCAAGGTTCACCAGGGCGTTTCTATTCATAGTTCTTGCTCTCGTAAGTCCTCCCGAATCTACTGCTAGTGATACTTCAGCGTTGCTAACGATGTTTTCGTAAAAATGCTGTGACTGATGTATCACGCGCCAAATAGTTTTTATTCGCTTCATTAGCGTTCTTGCATCCACCCTCTCGCGCCTACATTGATCCATGGACGGGAGACCTGTTCGGCGATGGTGGTGTGGAACGAGATCTCTACCGAATATCGTCACCTCCGTTGCAGCACAATCCCCCAGGTATTCCCATTAAAGACGCCATACCGGCAAGTGATGTGGTGTCAGGGGGTGTTATTATGGGCAAACTGGGAAATGCAACAGCGAAGTAGGTTCAGCAGCCCTACTCTGACCTCATACTAACAGTCTATGGTACAGGGTGGAACTAGGACGGGCAACATGGAAGCTTTTGTATGTTGCGTCCACCGAAACGCACTCCGCTCTTTGCTCACTGATTATTCCTATGCCAGGCATACCATGACTCTTCGCTTTCCTGAAGTACGATCTGAATTCCCAGATTTGACTTTGTGACAGAGCTGACATGCATTTTATGTTCCAGAATCCAACTGAAGATCAGCGCAATGCATTGTCGTCCTATTTTCACCTCTTCTCGCGATTATACCCATGCGGGGAATGTGCACATGAATTCCAACAGTTGTTGAAGAAGTATCCTCCACAGGTTAATTGCCCATTTCGTCAACGGTTCCTACCACCAGATTCACATATCTGTTCTAGACATCGTCTCGTCGTGCTGCGGCAACCTGGTATGTTTCTGCAAGTTGTATCAGACAATTCACGGGGTTATATTTATTACTGGCAGGTTATGTTTTGTTCATAACGAGGTCAACACAAGACTGCTGAAACCGCTATTTGACTGCGCCAATCTGGATGCAACTTATGACTGTGGATGTGGAGACGATCCTGTCACACCGACTTCTTCATCGTCTTCTGATACACAATCCACTTCCACGCCGGATACTGGGGTGGGCGTGTCTCATGATCCTATGGACCTCGAGATCGACCCAACGAAAGACCGAGTTACGGGGGTCGAGATGATCAAGGGTGGTAAGTGAAGACATGTGCCCTAGAGGCTGGAGATGTACATTATTAGAAGGTTGGCCGGTATTGTTATTTGTATCATACGGGACGGCTCCCACGTATACCTTGATTCAGTGCTCGATTTAATACTTTGGTCGGCTCTTGGACTGTTCGGGACACGATCCGCTGTGGCAAGATGTACCCGGTTTTGGGAGAGCTTAGCATTACGGCACCATAAGGTCAACAAACTGGACAAATACAAGCACCACATCAAAGACGAGGTACGTTTGGCTTGGTCCACATTGAGCGCCTTTCTTCCAGTCTGATCTTGTTCAGTAATCTTCAAATACTTTCTAATGCCATTTCCAAGAGGCATTCCTGTCAGCATCGTGTCTAGGAAAACGGAGTCATCCCTTTCCGAGTTCTGTCAGAGTGATCAGCAAGGCAACAATGAAATAATCACCCCAGCTTACCGGACAAGAAGCTGACTTAGGGTTATGATAACATGTTTGGAAGGACGAGAGCCAAATGAAGGTCATGGAGGAAGGTGTTGATATCTGCTGAGCGGGGGGTGCTATCATATGCCATTAGGTCATTACTTGCGGCCTGCAATGCAAGCCATCTGAGTATGCGGTTGTACTAAAACAAGTAAATCATTGGAGGATCTTGGACAACAAGGCCAAACAAAGGATTTGCATTTCAAGTTGAATTCGAATTTGAATGTTGACTGGCAAGAACCTAGTATACGAGTACATCCCGCCTATATAGTACACATAAAAATATACGTAGACAGACAAAAGAAATGAATCAAGTGATTTGTGGAGATATACGCACTTCACATGAGCCTCAACATGGCAGGCCCGTTCGTTGTCCTGACGTCCACTCGCCCCTTCCCAGCTCTCGGGGTGTCACCGTCCCCCAACCACACCACACTGCCATCTATAACATTCCGTGATTTCTTCATCTCAACATGCCTTTTCCCGCGACGGTTGTTATCTGGATCCTCGGCATTCTCATCAGCTTCCACTATTTGTCTTGCATTGGTCGATCTGACGCTGAAGTCGCCTTCAAACGATCGGTGCAGGTTGACACTCGCTAAGGAGTTTTTAGTACGGGCCTGTAGGTGAAGAGCGGAGTCGATCGGCTGTGTGGGAAATGTGATTGATAGAGGATCATTCGTCGTCTCCGCGACGACATCGAAGTTGCCACCCCTTCCATCATTAGATAGCAGGTAAATGGAGGACCCCAGGTGGCTGCGAGGGAAATGAATACCACAGAGGCAGAGATAACAGAGTGCCTCTCACCCATTCGTTGTCTTGATCCAAAGTCGAGTAGGGATAGAGTAGTCGAGATTGAACATAGTGACGGTAGCCTCGATGGGGTGGTTGGTTGTGATTAACTCGAGTGAACTAGAGGTCGTGAAGACGCCGTCAATTGCAGCATTGCTAGTCTGGAGGGTGGCATTCTCGGCAGAAAGTCCGCCCTAGCAATGGAATGAGCAACGTGTTCCAAACAGTGAAGAGTACAATACGGACCTTTGCAATGATGGCAGAATTCGTTGTCCTGAGCGACAAAGAGTCAAACAGCACAGTCGGGACTAGATCTGTCATTCTAATGAGGAAATCGTGCACGCTAGTCTCCAATGACTGTATGTGAAGCGGTTCTCGGGAGGATGAGCTTGGGATGCGAAGAGTGATTGCAAGGTGGAACTTAGCCCCTCTGTTAAGCCGAAGGCGTTGGGGTGTCTAAGGAGCAATTAAGAGGATCCTAGTGTGCTGGCAGACATGTACGTACAAATATACCAATGCCCCTCTGTCCCGGACCTTTTTCAAGCGAGCAGATAGTCAGAATGTTGAGATGCGTTGAGTCGAAAGGAGAAGCAACAATGTCAACGATCATGTCCGACTTGTTGTTAAGGTTGCGGTCGCTCATGACGGTGATCGTACCGGCGGACAGAGAACCTCGAGTGAATAGGTACAATGCATCCGCGGATAAAGGCAAGCCAAAGCTTGTCATGATGTAGCCATTTCCGACTCGTTCCCAGTCTTGAACGCTCTTGACACAACGCTCCTGCCGGCCATCCTCTGGCTTAGGACCTGAGGGTAGGTAATCTTCCAATTCCTGTTGAGGTTTGTCAACGTTAAACCACTGCGATGTAGAAAGAGATCCCGTTTAGGCACACAGAACCAAAATGCCACTAGGGTGAGACTCACCCTTCCGTGTCTCGAGAGACCAAACAACGAACTGATAAAGGTGCCAACAAGGAAATAAATCAACACAGCGAAGGCGAAAGCCTGCAAGAACCTCCGTCGCGCAGACTTTACACGTTCACGTCTAGTATGTAGTGGAAGCGTTGAAGGTTCGCCATAGAGAGGTTGATTTGCTTGGTAGGACGAATAACCAGGGTATGCAGGAGGAGGTGCTTGTGCCTGAGGCTCAGAGCGATCGACTGGTAACTGTGACGGTCGCACTTTACTTGGCGACGGGGGAGTATCGTCTGGCAAAATCATTGTGCGAAGCTAGTCAACCCCGTACGATAGAGCGTAGAGTCGGTGTGGGTCCCAACGACAAAACCAAACGTCAGCTTGTCGCCGAGTTTGACTATATCTCATTGTTTCACGTGGTCCGCAGCTTATGTTGGACGCCTATGCCTAGCTATGCGTACTGAACGATTGCTGCGCCATGGTCATCTGGTCGCGGCTTCATAAGGGAAAGCTGCGTAGAGATGACAGCGTGTTGGGGACGAATAATGAGTGGCTTCGGCACTATGAAGTGAGTCTGCGAAGGGAGACGAAGAGGAGGTAATAATCGGATACAATACAGTTACAGTCGAACCGATAGGCTCGGTTCGGTTAGAATTCCTCATCTGGCGCGTTTACCTCGCGGCCTCAATTCTTGTTTCCTACACCATTGTTGCGCCTACATATCGAATAGCGTATCAGAATGGTAAGAGCGAAATATTCTGTATGAGATTGTGCCAATTTGACGACGATACGTAGTTGCCCTTATCTCTCCTCAATGCCGCCCAAAATAAACCAATGGTGATGTCAACTTCCAAGTTATACACCCATTATACAACTTTCTCATCCGAAATCTGCAACAGTTAGTCGAGTTGAAGAATGGGGAGACCTTCAACGGACATCTTGTCAACTGTGACAACTTCATGAACATCACCTTGCGAGAAGTGTACCAAACGAACCCTGAAGGCGACAGGTTTTGGAAGCTGAAGGAATGTTACATCCGTGGAAGCACAGTAAGCTCGCATGCCCTATGCCACTTTGTGGACGTTAATGTCCGCGTTATAGATAAAGTATCTGCGTGTACCTGATCCACTACTAGACCTTGTCAAGGATGAACAGACCAGAGCAAGAGAAGCTGGTCGAAGTGCAAGAGGGGGTCCTGGTGGTGGCAGAGGTACCTATACTAACCATGTCGTATGGGCCAATACACTGACGCGTTTTTGTTATCTCAGGCAGAGGGGCGCCACCAAGAGGTACGTCCTGCCCAATAGTCGTTATGATCGATGTTCTCAATGCTTTCGTCCAGGGCGAGGTGCGGCGCGTGGTGGGCCAATACGTGGAGGGAGAGGGCGTGGACGTGGAGGTTGAAGACTACTTTGTATACTTCGTGCGTAGTTCGTATCTCATCCTCATCTTGTGGGTCTTCATTTTGCTTGTGATGTCAGGACCTGTGTATTATAGTATCATATGTTTCGAACAGATGCACCCACTCTTTGTGATGGCTCCCGAGGGACAGGAAATACTTCTTTTATCCTTAAGATTCGTCATATGACATTGCTGTTGCAAGCTGATACCATGAAGTCCGTGAGCGTGGTTCTCGCTGTCGTTCCACGCCGCTATCGCAGTACGTCTCTGAAATCCAATAAACCATCCGTGTATGATATTCCAAACCCAACTAGAACGTGGATATAAATACATAGATCCATGGATAAAGATTCAAGACAAGGTATACACTTTACGAATTAAGATCAAATCCAGGAATCTTGCACCACGTCGCGCAACACCTCAAACTCTAGGGTTGTCGTCTTACCATCAGTCGTGGGTTTTCGGACCCATTTTCCCTACATACAACTAAAATCAGAAACAATCATCTCATGAAGCACGAATCACATGCAATATAAAGAGTATCGCCTAAGCCAACCTGCCTCAGCCGAGAGTTTTCTCGCAGCATCCACTCCTTTGCTTCTTCATCGTTGAACCTGCTTCGTACCGCGAAAGACCCACGGCCCCAATGTACGCTCAGCTGGAGGCTACGAAGATTGTGTCCGTTTGCAATCGCGTTCTTGATATCATTCTGATCATTCGCCTTCAGAAACATTGAAAGGAGAGTCCTAATCACCACGTACATGATCCTTGCACCATGCAAGAGAGCAGGACACAGTTTCGAGGTTCGGGAACATGGTGCACAGACATTCGATATCCTGCAGAGTCAATTGAACGGAGTTCACATTGAAGTGCTTCAAAGTGTGTTTGTGGGTCTTCGCAAGATCTAGCAAGAACATTCGAGGCATCGACATGTCGCCTTGTGTCGAGAACGTGTGGAGCTTTAGTGTCTCCAGGGATGGTCTAGGAATTAAGCTTGCGATCCAAGGCCATAAATTGGGAGGACCCTGTAAGTCGACGGAACTCGTGCGAACCGTGAGCTCCCGCAACGAAGCTGCCGGTTGATCATCATTGAAGATCCTGCCAGCCCCAAGGTACTCCGTATCGAGCGAAACGAGATTCGGCAGCACGGACAAGATCTCCGGAATAGAATTACTCGGTGCACCCTTGAGTCGAAGGGTCTTGAGTCCTGGAAGATGGGAAAGGACTAAAACGAGGACGGTAGCAGAACCTGCACATCGCTAGAAAGACCTTCGTAAATGGATCAGGACGTACAATTTGGATGTTGGCGCGAAAGATCACTGACGCCCAATTCCAAATGGGTGAGCGAGCTGCCCAGTTGCTCCGACCAACCTTGAAGAACGCGAGCTTTGCCATGTAAGCACCATATCGCGATTTTGTGGAGACCAGTGAACTCGGTCAATTTTGACCACACTTCATCTGAAATACCGGCTGATGTACGTATGATCAGCTCGATGACACGAGGAAGACTTCGCAAGATCGAAAGGTACGCGAGGAAGTTGTCGTCGTTAATAGTATCATGAGCGTCGTCTACCCAAGTGAAGGAACGCAGGTTAATGCACATACGCAGGGCCTTCCTGCAGTCCGATATGAGCTTGGGTTCATAGAACCCCACTGTAGCTGCGGTCATAGTGCAATAGTAAGTCGTCGAAGCGTCTGTTGATGTGGAATATCTTACCTGTTTCTCGTACATATCGAACGTATTTGGCATATTCTGGCCTTCTTAGTAGCGTTTTTGAGGGATGAACGATTATGAAGGATTCATAGCCCTAACCAATATTAGTCGGCATCTAAGCATTCAAATCAATCCGTTTACCTGTCTCTTCGTCTTCACATCCAACGTTCGGTACAACAATGGAATTGCTGCTCGGTGAAAGACGGAGTTCACCAGCGCACATCGACCAAGATCCCTTCGATCGGCAAGCTGTTCAAGTATGGGGGTGATGATATCCGCTGGAAGACTGGATGTAACAGGCTCGTAAACCAATAAACCCATCTGAGTGGGAACGATGAGGGAAAGCGTTCAACATTGTGCGAATCCGACGCAGTGGTATTTATACCGTGCCTCGTTCTAGCGTCAGGTTGCAGCGTCGGCTTGCGGTTCACCTCATGACCTGCTGGTCATCCTTGTGTCTCTGATAACGCCCTCGTTGTGCGCTACAGGCTATCATTATTTCGTGATGTCAACAGGTCCCTAGCCATTTGTATGACAGAAAATTCCGCTCAGTCATACCTGTTTTTTTTTTAAAGATAGTCGGACTCTTTGTCCGGGATGACTCGCTCCGTAATCATCGCAGATCGCCAAGAAAAGGTCTGGAGTACGAAGCTTATACCACTGGGACTTTAACGATGTGTGTTAAGCCAGCGTTGTTAGTTGATGTTGAGATGAGCTGTCAATCACTGGATGTATTCATCGGTGCAATAGTCCTTAGGAAAGGTGTGTTCTACATGTTTCGTTTTGATCACTGATATTTCTCATGGGGTACTCGGCATACTCGGTCTCTTCGGGGACGACCTTCATGATGGAAGCGCAAGGCTCCAATCAAGCAAGTGCAAGCTGGATGTTTCAAAGATGTCCGAAGTAGATGGGATCGACGCAACTTCGTTAAATCATCGTGGCCCTCCGGTCAACCATAGACAATACTGAGTCCAAAAATAGAACATAGTGTACATCTCCAAACGTAAGTCTTAGAAGGATGAGGGATTCTGAGGCCTGATATCGGTGAACGAGCAAATGTTGGCATGGAGGGAGGACCAAAACTGCAACTTAGCATCGGAGCGCTGAACTCTTCCGTCAATTGTCAATTGATCCGGAATCAGCTTTTTGTTTGCCGACTTCATCTTCCAGCCACTAACTTTCCTTGTTACCTTCTAACATCTGGCATACATGTTCTACATTATTGGCTTGGGTCTCTGCGATGAAAAGGATATAACCGTCCGAGGGTTGGAGGTAGGGTTCGATCCGCACTCTCTAGTTCAAGTTGAAACAAACCAATGATTCTTTGTACAGGCAATAAAAGGATGTTCTCGAGTGTACCTTGAGGCTTATACAAGTATTCTGATGGTTCAGAAGGAGAGACTGGTGAGTTTTTAACCCTGTTGGGCCAGTTGTGTATTCACGGAGATCTCGTAAGGAAGCATTCTACGGAAAGGACCTGATCCTCGCTGATCGAGACATGGTGGAGACTGAAAGCGACGAGATCCTACGAGATGCAGACAAAAAAGACGTTGCCCTACTCGTCGTAGGTGATCCTTTCGGGTTTGTCCCCTCTAATGTCCCGAGATTCGCTGAATGCTGACCGGATCACTCAAGCGCAACGACACACACAGATATCATTCTCAGGGCACGGTCGTTGAAGATTCCTGTTAGAGTGGTGCATAACGCTTCTATCATGAATGCCATAGGCGCATGTGGATTGCAATTGTACAACTTTGGTCAGACTGTCTCTTTGGTCTTCTTCAGCGAAACTTGGAAACCCGATAGCTTCTACGATAGGATCAAGGAGAATGCAGACCTTGGGATGCATACGCTCGTCCTCCTTGATATCAAGGTAAAGGAGCAAAGTGAAGAAAATCTTGCAAGGTTTGCATACTTCGATTCCTCTGCGAGTTTGCCTCTGAAACTACATTATCTAGGGGTCGAAAAATCTACGAACCACCTCGGTACATGTCGATCACCCAAGCAGTCTCTCAGCTCATAGAAATTGAGGAGCTCCGAGAAGGCGGCATCTTGACTCCGGACAAAACGCTTGCGATCGCCATGTCTCGTGTCGGTGGCAGCGAAGGGCAGGAGCGCATTGTATCCGGTACACTCTCAGAGTTACTATCTCAACCCCCGGAGGTATTTGGAGAACCTTTACACAGCCTGGTGATAGTTGGTAGGCGACTACATCATCTCGAAGTGGAATATGCAGAGACGTTCGCTGTGAATCGTGAGAGTTGGAGGTCTACTGCTAGAGATGTATATGGCTGCGCCCTAGATTAATTCTATGTTCTATCGAGAAAGACTGAATAAAAAGGTAATTGCGTTACAGTAATGGGAATGTTTTCTGCTCGCGCGCTCTTGAGTTTTGTTTGCCAGATTAGATTGATCTTGCTCGAGCGTATCATGTTTAGATAACAAGACCGATATCTTTCCGATTGACTCGATAAACACCATTCCAATTACTGTGTTCTTCTGACTCGTCTGACCAGCATTCTATAGATATACACCTGCTTGCTGGCAGAGATACCATCTAACGAACCCCTCACCATGTCGACGATCTACATAGACGAAACTGCTGGCTCAGACGATACCGGCAAAGGCACCCAAGAACTCCCATACCAGTCCATCGCTTTTGCACTCTTTACTCATGGTGCTGATACCAAGGTTCTGATTCGCAAAGATTCCTCCGCCGCATACGAGGAGCCGACACAGTCTGCATTGAAAAAGGCGAAGAAGGGTGCTGATGGCCTAGAGAAGAAACGCAAAAGGGCTGAAGAGCTTGCTGAACGTGAGGCCAAGGAGAAACATGCAGAGAGGGAAAAGAGGGAGAAGCTCCTTGAGGAAAGCAAGAAGGTCGTCTTGCAGGAAGATGCATCACTCCCCAAAGCCACAAAGGTATACCAAATCATGATATCTATTATTCTTCCGAGGCCTGATTGAGGATTGTAGTCAAAACTTGGAAACCTTACGCCTCTGAGATCCCAGCGGGTTCGTGTATCTGGGTGGGTACACCGACTGCGTGATCAAAAGGGTATCATCTTCGTTGTCTTGAGGGACGGTACGGGTTACTTGCAGTGTGTTCTTTCTGGCACTGTGGTATGGATCCCTCTGCACGTTCTCACGTTTTCATATCTCAATGGTATCGCTAGGCACAAACATATGAAGCACTTACACTCACACTCGAATCTTCGCTTGAGCTTGTTGGGACCCTTCAGCCCGTACCAGAAGGCAAGACCGCTCCTGGTGGACATGAGCTCGTTGTTGACTACTGGAGAGTCCTGGGAGCTGCGCCAGGTGCTGAAGATGCCTTCAGCAGCCGATTGAACGAAGTATGTAATTTCACGCCATCTCTCCATAATCCTTACTTACTCTCGCTTTTCAGAAATCCGATCCATCCATTCTTGCTGATCTCAGGCATCTCGTCCTCCGTGGCGAGACAGCATCAGCCATACTCAAACTGCGTGCTGCACTTCTGTCATCGTTTAGAGGTTCTCTAGTCTCGCACGACCTCCTTGAGGTCACTCCACCTTGTCTAGTACAAACGCAAGTTGAGGGTGGCGCAACCTTGTTCACGCTCGATTACTATGGCCAGCCTGCTTTCCTTACACAGAGCTCTCAGCTATATTTGGAGACGTGTTTACCTTCGCTTGGCGACGTATTTTGTGTTCAGGAGAGTTTCCGGGCGGAGAACAGGTGAGCTAGTTGCGCTTGGTGCAAGTGGAACTATTGTTTTTGACTCCGCGATAAGCCACACGCGTCGTCATTTGAGTGAATACACTCACTTGGAGGCCGAGCTTGCTTTCATTACATTCGAGGATCTCATGAACCATATCGAGAGCATTGTAAGTTAGACCCTCGTCCGTCTAGTTTAGTTTGATCTGATGCATCATGTTCCCTAGATTTGCGAAACAATTGGCCGTCTTCTGCAAGATCCCTCCTCTGCTGCCCTGATCAAACAACTGAACCCCAACTTCCAAACCCCATCAAGGCCTTTCCTCCGTCTGTCTTACGTCGATGCGATCAAATGGCTCAACGAGCATGGTATTCAACACGAGGCCGAGGATGCTGAGGGCAATGTTATTAAAGACGAGCATGGCAACCCCAAGATGGTTGACCACGCTGTTGGAGATGATATCGCTGAAGCTGCGGAGAGGAGGATGACTGATATCCTTGGAACACCAGTCTTCTTGTACGGATTCCCTGCGGTGTTGAAAGCGTTCTACATGAAAAAGATGCCCAAGAAGGAGGGCGCGCCAGACGACAACCATGTCTTCACGGAAAGCTGTGACCTGCTTATGCCTGGCGTCGGCGAGATTGTCGGTGAGTATTTGTACTCGAAACCAGTGCATTTTGACCAACATATGTTAACCACTTGTCTAGGTGGATCCATGAGGATCGCTGATATGGAAGAACTCCTTGCTGCATACAAGCGGGAAGGCATCGACGCTTCTCCTTACTACTGGTTCACTGATCAGCGCAAGTATGGTACTTGCGAGCATGGCGGATATGGTCTTGGTGTAGAGGTATTTGTCTAATTGCAATTCTGCTCTGGATTTTCGCTGACTCTTGTATCGTTCAGCGTTTCCTTGCGTGGCTTGCTAACCGCTACACTGTACGGGAGTGCTCGCTATATCCTAGGTACGCCTTTCTTTCGCTCTCCAGCGAGTTATCATACTTACCGATGTACCGATCCTTCAGATGGCCCGGTCGCGCGACGCCTTAGAGTCTCTCCAACCATCGAATGAGGCATCCTTACGGTAATCACTGGAGGATGCTTATTGTTATTCTATTCCCCGCACATTTGTATGTCCACTTCAACTTATCGGCTAGAGAAGAGGTAGTAGATGTGATTGCGTGTCGTTATGTTATCGAATCAAAAGGTGTAAACCCCCACTGAACACATCAAATTGCCCCCTTTCATGATTGAAAGACGCTAAAGCACTAGTACAATCATCCAGAAATCCCTCTTGCATTGTTCGGCTAGAAAATAAATACATTGCACGAGGAATTTCATTCCTCCGAGCCATAGAGTGGTCACCGTGCGCGGCATGCTTCTCTATGCCCAGCTTTCCAATCACTGGAATGAATTTTAGGAATCGATTCGTTGCACAGCAAATATGAATGTGAAGACTCACGCTGTCTGACAGGGTTTACCGCAATAAAACACTCGCCAGCATCCCTTACATACTCGCATGGGATGCATGGGTCTTTTGTTTGAGCACAGGCAGTTGGGGAAATGACAACTTTGAACGCAGGTCTCGTAGCCTGGAAAATGAGGAATGGGCTCTGCCCTCCTGTCTAGTTGTAGAACACGACCAAGTCGAAGGAAAGAGTGTAGAAGGGTGTAACGTGGGTCAGCTCTATCAAACCTATGACCTTCTAAGGCTTCTATCGTCGGCCTCCAGACCTTGCCAACAACTTGTTGCAAGTTGTGACGAAAAGCAGCAGTTCGTCCCCCAGTTCCTTGAGTATATTCTTCCAACTGAAACTCTACGATTGCCGGCAGCCTGGTTGTCCAGAAGTGGTGTGTAGATGCTGTATCCGGCACACGCAATAGCGCAGAGCTGAACACGAGTGGTAAAAGGTCCAGGTTACGGGCTAATCGTATCGCATTTGGAGTTCCACAAGCATTTTGTGTCAACATGCTGGAGTCGTGAATCAGTATAAATAATTTTAAGTTTGAAATTGTCTACGTACAATATGATGTCTAGGCCTCGCTGTACTATTTCGGGTGTCCACACACTGTCTCCTAAGCAACGCTGTCTCTGACAGGCAAGTATGACGAGGTCGGAAAATGTGCATCGGCCGACATGAGATTCCAATGCAACCGTGGCCAAGTCTAGTTGCGTGCACATCGAAATGCATATTTTGATCACCAAGAGCGTTTCTGTGAGAATACGATCAATCATATCCTCATGACGAAGTCGGATTTGCATCGTCTGAAAGTATAAGCGAGAGACTCCATTATCCAGAAAAGTCTCTCGAAGCTGTTCCGCAAGTAATGGAAACCTGCCCATCTTCATCGTGTCCACTACGATTCTTGATATAGCGGACATGGTGTCCTTGTCGACTCCTCGGCGGAGACACCAGCATTGTATCACAAGCTGCAGAGATCCATTAATGAACGGGGTCAATGGACTACCAAAACAGCAGTAAATGAGTCATTGTTAATGCAAACTGTCTAACTTTGAACGTACTGAATCAGGGTGTGCAACAATGTGACCTGTGCGACAAGCGAACCAACCGTCTCTGGTAGTCCCGCCCAGCTTTTAGAATCCAACAAAGTATAACGCCGGCCCCATAGTGCAGAGAATACCGGAGCGAATCGTTTCAAGGCGTGTTCGGCATGTTCAAGGAAACAGCCCCCCGAGACGTATTGGGAGAGCTTCATGGTAAAGAACGCCAAGGTTTGCAAAACTCCCGTTGCGTAGAGCTGTACAGTTCGATGACGAAATATTACAAGATGGCGTCGTGCTGACTTACTTTCTCCCTTGCATCAACACAGTCATAGGTTGACGGACTAGCAGCGATAAGGAGCAATACCTTGATCAAGCTGCTGTCGATAAAAGTATTCCATTGGGCTTCAGCGGTATGGCTGGATACGATGTCCAATATCAAGTGGGTCAGGTCCACTCGGCGTCCATCGCCAGAAGCGTGCAGTGCCATAAGTTTGTCCCCAAACTCTCCGGGGTTATTCAGCAGTAAGTTGATAAGATCATGTTGATCCCTTGAAGTAAGTGAGGGTGGTTCATTGAAAGGATATGAATTGGTAGCCATGGATAGATCCTAAACTGGTCGATCAGTGGATTATATCGTAAACCATTGGGGAGAATTACGCAACCCGTTCCGCGATGGATTGGGTCCAACGGCTTGGATTGAGCTGTAGCGCATGCTCACGTTATGAAGCACACCCCGCTAGTAAAGCAAGATAACGAACGTAGATGAGTACTGAAAGAGTTTAGGGCACCAATACGACTCGAAGTATTGATGCAGGGATGCGGATTGTGGTGGTTGAGGTTAAGTGGTCGAAGTGGCATCTACTTAGGGCGTTCTTTGAAACGAGGCTGGTGACAACGCCATGCCGATAAGTAGAAATTGCTTCATGCCCGATTTGGACAAGATAGCATATACCACGGCCAAGACGATAGGCTCAGCCCCCAATTTCTAACAATACTTCAGCAATCAATATGAAGACCAAACATTGAAATACGAAACCGTTTTGCAAATTTTCAACTCGACCGAAATCTCTCCAGCATAAAGCGGTATGTTTTGGTCATCGCTAACGGCGTGAGTTGCAATATAAAGCTCCATGGGTCTCCTACAACCTGCATATAGTCACCCATTAGTGAACCGCCATCGAGAATAACGTCGATTCCTGGGAGGCCGCGACAGTCCTTTCCGAGGTCATCTGGCACGTAGGTCGCGTAACGTACATTCCTGCTCGGAAATATAGGAAACATGTCAGACTTTCGAGAGAGTGTGATCGAGAGGTCTCCACCGAAACGTAATTCCCGAATCACCTGCGCAGCTCTGTCAAGGGAGGCCTTGGGCGGGGCAACATGTAGCCCGACTTGTGGATCGAGACTTTGGTTCGTAGCCTGACACCTAATTGACGAAACTGAGCACCGGATTTAAAAGGCTCTGCGTGCGTGTACTGTTTCACAAACGTAAGCTCACCACATACATCCTGATAGAAGCTGAAGTACCCTCTGCCTAGAAATCGAGTCTAAGTACGATAAAAGAGACAATGAAAACACGAATAATTACCACAGAAATCTGGCAGCCAAAAGTCCAGTTGCGAACTAGCCCCAGGGTGTAACTTTGTTATGAGGAGTCCCTCGTGTCAAATTCCGCGGTCACAGTTCAGACGCTATACGGGGAGATTTACGGAGGAAGGGGAAAAAGGCAATCATGCAGCGCATAGAGTTATGAAACACGTACCGCAGTGAGAGGACAAAGTCGATCTTACACGAATATTCACTATCTACTTTCAAGGCATCACGGTGACCACTCTCTTGAGGCTGTGGATCCTCGAATACCTAGTATAATATGGCGGTATAACATAACAGTGAAACAAAGCTACGATCAAAAGTTGCATCCCAGTCGTAGCCAAGATTCAATTCAACGACGACCACGACATTTGCTCCTATGATCGCCATCTTCCCAATCACTAAGAAAACACATCAATGAAGGAACAGGAATGTCGAAAGCACGGTACATACCGCTTCTGACAACGCCGACTGCAGTAGGAGACAACCCAACAACCCTTACAAACGTGCCACGAGTGTTTGAATAATCCAGGTTCCTTACAAAGACAGTTCTCCCAATTACATCGCCGATGCAAGTGGTTCTCGGGCGGGCGTGAACTCATATAACTTCCATATAGCCTGGCTTCCGTTGACTCTTTGAACCCAAGCCTCTTACCGAAGTTCAACCATACCTCTAAATATTCGTATAGAGGCGAAGCTGGAAGCACATGGAGAGCACGAATTTCTTTCAGGGTTGGAAACCAGATCGTGCGAGCAATGGAGGTCAGGTCCTTAATGAACTGAGAGTCTGGATCTCGTCGTATGAAAAGTTGGCCTGTAGTACCGTAAGCCTCCAGTGGGTAACACATTGCATCTTGAAGAACGGGAACTCAGTGAAAGGGAGACAAAGGACAGATGATGACGGACCTAGACAGTTCTTGTTGTTCCTGGCCATAGCGCGAGGAAATATAGAAGCAAGCATGGGGAGAACTTTAAGTTTTTTGACCTTGCGCATGACAGCTTCAGCATGTGGACTCGAGGGGCTCTGAAGCAGTGAACTAGGTAAAGGATTGATTATCCGCGCCGATTTGATAATCAATTGAAGATAGCCCACCCTATTTCTATGAAGCCAGGGACTAAAATATCATAGTCCAGTTCCGGCATCCCTTGACACAGCTGGCGTTGGCAGGCTAGGCAAGAAGCTTCGAGGAGAGCCATCGTGTCTGTTGATTGTGCACGCTCATGTATGAGGCTGCTACAACAAAGATTGGCAGGGATAAGAAAATAAAATAAGTCGCGAAGAGTCAAGTTAATGATTCGGGGGGAGAGCAAAGCTTCTTGTATTGCGTTCGTTAGTTGTGGTACGCAATTAGTATCCACGATCGCCTCTCGTATGATTTTCAACCCGTCAGGGTCACGGCCTATGAGGTGAGCGGCCGCTTTGCCACATTGTTCGGATGCAAGATCATCTTTGGCGTGAACCCAGGCATATAAAACAATGTGAGCATAGTGTCCAGCTTTATGCAACTCCCTGCTGAGCACAGTCATCACGTTAGCAAGGTGGAAAGCCACAAATAAGAGCCTGTCGACGCACTACACCAGGTTCGTCACAAATGAAACATGTATTATATAGCGCGTAAGGCGAGCCTCCAGAGTATCCGACCGTACCTCTCCATGAGCTCGAAAACGGTTATCAGGATTCCAGAGGAAATCCCGCATTTTCCAGAGAGCTGGCCACGAATTGCAGATATGTTCAAGCCTTCGACGTATAAGGTCTACATCTTGGCCCGATTCGGCACGTTCAATGAAGCTCGTGGCGATCACATCCAACGAAAATAGAATTGAACCAACGAATTCCTGTACCATAAGACAGTTAGGCTCATGAAAATCATTCCGACAAGAATAATTCAGAAGATAATACCTGCGCCGGATACACGCGGGTGCCATGGCTCACATATGACCGAGGATCACATAGAATATTCACCAGAACATCGGACAGGCCGCTGGTTAGAAACGAATCGAAGTACGGCCGAAGATGATTATAGAAAAGGAAGAAATGCAGATCATCCGCGAATGCAAACTTGTCCTCGACGTTATCTTCTTGATGGAACTTGCTCAGTGTGCTCGCCACGGCAGTTGGTGTTGTGAAGATCGTTCCAAGCCAAGGTCGATACTCCCTTCTACCACCTGGAAGGTCGAAAAACATACCGACGGGTTCCGCCATAAGGAGAAATCGAAGGGAAAGTCTTGTTTTCAAGACTGCGAAGTGGCGTGGGTCAAGTTGAACTAGGCAGAATCACGCAGGTCACGGTCCCAAGTAGTGTCACAATGGTGACAACGTCGCGTACGCGCCGCCAGCTTTTAAGAGACAAAAGAAGAGCTAGAGGCTACACAGTAATCTCCTGAAGAATACACAAGGATACACAGTACGAATCTCCGTGGGATGGCCTGAAGCACTATGGCATTGAAGTAAGTTTGTTTACGAAACCAGTGAACTCTTGATGCTCCAAGTTAACGCCACCGGCATGAAGCGCACGATGATGAAGGCTGAAGGTAGTTTCGCAGTTCCGATAGACACGAAGGTCGATGTATTCATCTTGTGGGTTATATTTAATGCACAAGCCAAGAGCCGCTTTTGAAGGGAAGTTTCGGGACAGAGCATTCTAACGATGGCAGTTCTCAATTCAGTCTAGGCAGACAGGCAGAAAAACCAGATAGAGCCAGATATACAGGTTTATATCAATACCGAAGATCCACATTGGTGGAACGAAAGCGAGCTAGGTGACATACACAAGATCATAACACCGTCCGATAGCATAGCCAGCCAAAGAGAGACCTTCAGAGGTGTCGACACCTAGGATGACAGCCACACAAGTGATTCCCCCAAGATGAGCAGCGTCCAGATATCCGAGAGAGCTGGCCGTGCATATCCCAAGTCTGACGAAAGTTGCGATTAGATAAAGCCGTGTTCCTGAATGGCCGTTTGCATGTCGATGTGAATTAATGCTTTTAGTTTTGAGAGCCTTCCTGTATGCGGCGGCACCTAAGTTTGTGATTTTGCCAGTCGCTGAAAAGCCAAACTGCATCAATGGACGGATGATAAACGTAATAAAACGGACGGACCGTTGTTGGCAGCGTCGACTGCAGTATAGAACACGCCAGCATCCTTTGCATACACGAAGTGAATGTCCTGGTTTCGCCCTATGGCAGAGACAATCTTTCCGGTGACAATGCTTATGATAAGGGTACGCAGGAACCAATCTTGCCATATATGAATCATACAGTGGAGGTTCGGTAGATTCCTTGAACCCAAGTTGCTCGCCGAAAATCAACCATTCTCGGATCCATTGATGTTCAGGTGAGCTAGGTGATATTCGTAGTGCCCGCAGCTTGCGAAGAGTGGGGAGCCAAACCCTGCGCACAGCGCCTAGGAGAACCCGGGTATAAGTGACATTAGGAGCGCGCCGCATAAGGCTTCCTCCTATGCCGCTATATGTTGACATGATCGAACCAACCATATCTGGGACAATGGGATGAATGCTTGCCGAAGTAATTAAAAAAAATGCAGACTCATACGCATATGTGAAGTGTCATTGTTGACCAACGCGCGAGGATACACATGCGCGACCATACTGAGCAGTTCGAGATCAACGAATTTGGAGGACGCCACTATAACGTTCCGATGCTCGGGAGCCTCAAGCATCATTCTATGTGACCACCACTTTAACACAGCGTAACATCAATCAGGCAGGATACGCACCCAACATACATGAACGCGCACATCAAGATGTCCCGTTCGAAATCTGGGTTCCCACAACAGAGTTGGCGTTGGCATGCGTGTGATATAACCTCTAGAAAACTATCTTCGTTATCTGGCTCAGGCCGCTCCCGCGTTAGAGGTGCATAATGCATAGCCCCAAGACCAAACATGCCGAAAACTTCAAACAAAGGCATGTCTACGACTGTTTCATCCTTAAGTGCAGTCTTCAAAGCTTCGCGAAAAGGAGAGAAGCAATTTGTATCCAAAACGACTTCTTGAAATAACGTTTCACCGCTGGGGCCTTGGTCGATGAGTCGGATGGCTTCGTTCAGGACTTCTTTGGCAACCGAAGCATTCTTGCCGTTGAGCCAGCCATATAGCGCAAGATAAGCGTCATGTTCATTCTTCCGGGTTTGACCTCTGAGAGACAGGTCAATCGGTTCCAATGATAGAACGAGAATCCTACCTAAACCATCTCTCCAGTGGCGAATATTTGCTGATCATGCCCATAACTAGATGATCAAGTGGTATTGCATCTCGTCGTTCATCCATAAAAACCAGGAATCGCCGTTCTGGATCCCAGAAAAAGTCTCTTCTACTCCAAAGAGCGGACCACAATTCCGGAAGTTTGTTCATAACATCACGTATGCAGGGTATGAACATGCTCCTGTAAAAGCTGGACAGATCGTCCGCAAACACCGTCAAGGCAGATACAATTGAACCGATATATTGCTTCAAAGAATCAAGTACCAATGTATCAAGGTCAGCTCAGTTAACAAAAATACGAGCTCGTTTGGCCTACCTCCGCTGGAAGTACATTCCCGTAGCTGATGTACGAAGTGGGGTCTAAAAGGATTTTGAATAGGACGTTAGGAAGGTCGTTATCGATGCATTCAGCGCGTTGGCTTGTAGTAGCAGAAGTCTGAAGAAATATGTTCAGGTCATCCGCAAACATGAACCTCTGATGAACATCGGGCAGAGTGTCAAACTGATGGAACTGATCGAGGATGGCGGGCACTACTCTCATTGGCGCCGATTGCAGGGCTTGCAACCAGGTCTGGTCATCATAAGGAACCCCGCCCTCTGTTAGAAGTATTCGTGACATAGTAGATTGAGGTTTGTAGCAGAGAATAGGCAGTAAACGGTCTTCAGTACACGGACGAAGGAGAACAAAGAGCCTTGAAGCCACTGGCACTGAAGGCTTAAAATGTCACGCCGCGTCACAGTCATGTGTACTTCGTCACATTCGCGTTTTGCAAGGAGCGTGACGCGACCAGCTTTATTGAACCCGCGGAAAGTGCAGGCCCAGTCTCTGGCACACATATCGTACCAAAAGGCCTTGAAACATGTCAGTCATTGCCTGCAGCTGGAACTGGTGTCCAGAAGTATTCTCTAACGAAGTGGACTTCAAACGCCATTTCCGCCTGGTCCACCTTACATCGTTAACGTTCGTCAAAGGGAAAGACTGGGATGACTGGTTGAAAGCAGAGACAGGTCGCGCCGACAAGTCTGGTATGTCTTATATTCCCAAAAATTAATGACACAACTCATTCGTATCTAGATAGTCTCCTGGATGCGATTCCAACTCAAACTTTGACATCACTATCGGAACCTTCACATAGTTATGAAGTTGTCTCCCCTAGAGGGCTCTCGCCATCTCGTCAGAACCCGTCAATTTCTGCTTCTTCAATTCCAAACACTCCTGAGCCATCTCCACCGAGTCGGAAAAGAAGCTTCTCCGAGTTTAATGACCAGTCTTCACCTACCCCACCAATCGAGCCTATGAGTCCTTCTCCTTTGCTGTCCAACATGATCGCGGACGCAACAAACCCTCGCTCGACGCGCCTTTCTACCCCTGCTTCACCTGTAGTTTCTATTGCTGATGGACACCCTATCAGCCCGGGCAACCTGTCGCGCGAATCCTCCGTCTCTGCGCAAGACGTGGAGACACAACTACAATTACTATCTCCTGCTCAATCTTCAACTGATACACCTCCTGAACAAATAAATTCGGAAGGAGACCATTTACCCATCTCGACACATAACCAAAAAGAGGTCAATTTGTTCTCGAAACCTCAGCCCACCTCTCCTGCGAGACCTATGTCTCCGATCCGTTCGCTTCCACGCTCACCATCACCACCCAAAATCAGACGTAGCTCTCGAACACGTTCACAGACACCAGTGCCAGTTCCAGCCCCGGTCACCAACGGCCGTAGGACAAGGGCTAACAGCACCGCAGGCTCTGTAACGTCTAGGCCCAGTAGTCGCCGACGTACTCCAACAAGCAGACAGTCTTCGGTTGAGCCCGTTAATCCTCCTACCAAAAAGCGTAAGGTTGCGAGAATGCCTTTCGTTCCCGAACCGGCCATTGGTAATGTTACTAAATGTCACTCGTTTCAACCATCTAACGAAATTATCACAGAACGAATACCTGAAGAGCCCGAAAGTTTCATTAATCACCCTATTTTAGGTGAAGTTCAAGTGTTAGGGACACACTCAAATTCTTTCCGCATCAACAACGGCGAGGATGCAAGCCGATCCTCATCGCCCGAGGTTGACGAACTAGCAGACGACGCCCCACCTCAAGAACCATTCCTGGACACTACCTCGATAGGATATGACTACGGCTTCTCGCAATTGCCTTTACAGACACAAGCTCCTTATTTCAGTCAGAGCGACAGTCAAAGCCAGTGAAACACTATTTCTATACCGTGCGCCATGCGCATTTTGTGGCTCAAGATCTGAATGGGTTCGATTAAGCTTAGCACATAATGTTCAAACTTGGACATTTGTGTAATGGAGGGTACGAGGACATGAACCGTCTCCAGCGGTTGAATTCGGCGATGTCGATCTCGTCGACCCTGACAAAACGAAGTGTCACCCAGATCACCCGAAAGAACCAGAGACTGGTGTCTAGTGGTGGTACTCGCGATGTGCACGCATAAATGGCCTTCGTCGTTCAGCACGACGAGCATTGGTTGCAAAGGAAACTAACTTGGCCTGTGCACCTAGATATCCATCTATCATGCTCCTGGGCACTTGCGTCTGCGAGTAATCCCAACTCTCCAGACGTTGAATGACGATTTGATCCGTCTGCATGTCAAAGATCACCATGTACGTGGCACGACCGCCATCGGGACGAGGGAAGAAATCTCCATCACCCGAGCCTGTTGCTCCCTTGAAGGAGTATAGTTCGGTGATGCCCTGTTTGGTATTGGAGGGAAGCATCTCGAGGATGTCGAGTTCGCCACACCCCCCGTCTCCTCCCATACCACGACAGTTACACCCGTATTGGGCGGAATTGGTAACTTGGGAGTTTAGTGCCCAAATGGCGGGCATGTTCTGTGTACCGTTGGAAGGCATATCGAAGTCGACAACGAAGAGCTTGGAGTCTGCCCACCCATGGCTAGCAGTTCCTCTGCTAAAACCATCGCATGGGACATCCTTGCATTGCGTGGCGGTTACAATGTTCTAGTCCGACTGTTAGTCTCTGAGTTGACTGGCCAAAATTTCACGATGATCTTACCACTTCGTTGGTTCCGGATAAATGACCGGTGTAGGTTTCTTGGTTAGGAGCCGTTGTAGCATCGGTCCAATCCCCGTTTGCATAGGACTGGCTATTGCCGTTACAAGCTATGATACTAGGAATTTAATGGATGTTTGTTTCGATTATCTGTCTCGGCTTACCATCCCACTCTCCACTTTTATCGCCACCTTTGTTATTCATGAAAACAAGATTCTCAGGCTGAGATCCTACCGCCCAAGAACTCGTTCTCTTCCATGTTGCTGCCGACGCATTCCCCGGTTGGTAAACCGCGATATTGAAAACGTCAAATGGACCACGCAAGGCGAAAGTCAGCTCCTCGTTAAATGGCGCGAGGTTTCCACTGACTTCCTTCGGCGTGGTGACGCACGAAGGATTGGCAGGACAAGAGAGTCCTTCGCCCATGATCATCTTGGTAACTTGGTTATATGTACCTTGACCTCCGACATGAGAGTACTTGAGAGCGCTAAGAGCTCCAGAGATGGATGGAGCAACGAGGTTGTCGGGCGTGAGTGCTGCATCTACTGCAGCGAGGAGACCGATAGCAGCTATACATGTGGTCATGGAAATCATAGTTATCTTCAGGAGGTATGTGGTTTCTTGGGGCTTAGAGCAGGAGCCGAGACGGAAAGGAGTGTCGTGTTTAAAGAAAGCCGGAGTGCAGAGCTCAATGAAGACCTGCTGTCTACATGGTCGCACTGTTGCAAGCAAAGAGGAAACTCTTGAGGATGCGTGTATGAACTGAGATGAATGAAAACCAACCGACTTGGTGTTTATACGTTTCGAACGCTGTTGAGAACTACAGCCTCCGGATTATACAACATGATGCGACATGAACGATAACATTAGAACTCGAAAGCATGGAGCGAAAACCTCCTACTCTCTTGCGTTCCGTATCGTAATGTAAGGCACGCAAGCATAGGGTATAGAAATCGGCTCGAATCTAACAGCGGCATTAAGGTGAGTAACGTGTTTTACACCTGTTGAAAACTGGCTCTAACTGATCAGGACGAAAAGAAATGACAAGCAGGAAAGGGCCACCCGACTACTGCCCTGTATACTTGCAGTTTCTAGAGAAGGGCACATGGTACTAGTAAAAAGTTCTGGGTAGAAGCAAGAAGTCCAATGTTCATTCTGTCCGTAGTCCGTAACAGCGAACATACCTGAAACCAGATTCTGCGCACCAATCGATATCAGAATGCATAACCACTACAACTTCACAGCGTCCCAATGGACACTCTCCACGACCCCTGATAACCTCTCGACAAGTTCTTCGTTTACACATGAACATTGCCGAAGAGTCAGTTCCTCTAGCTTGAAACCGCTTTCTCTCCTCCGCTGTAAGGCTGCGATAAGCCTGTCTAGGTATATTGTAGGTTCTTCGACGTTGAAGCGACAACGCCATAAGATGAGATGCCGCAAACTTGGAAAAATGATAGTTATCGGCTCATTACTTTCGTTGGACTCGTCCGAGAACAACACCTCTGGAACGGTAACTGATGCCTGTTCAATGACCTGCAGTGTTTCCAAGCGAGTCGCAGAACCGAAAGATGTTCTCCATATATCTGCTGAGAACGTGATGAAGTCGCCGACAGTGATCTTGAGTACGTCCGAACATGGTAGGGTACGGAAGAGATATTGAAGCCATTCTTCGGCATCGTTTGCGTACATAGAGAATCCGACTGTCAATTTTGCCGATACGCGGTCGCCCAAAAGTTTCCTTTCGGTAGGCAGCGGTGATTCAGCGGTGAACTGGAATCGACCGCCGCGGTAGGCAGATACGTGGATTGAGTGAAACGGATTTCTGACGCCCTCAACTACGTTCTGGTTTATACAGTCCAATATCGGTCCTGCGGTATCAAGATAATACAGATCGTAAAAGATCAGGCAGAAATCGATATGGGAGGGTAAAATGAAGCTGGATAAGAGGGAGATGGCTGAAAAGCCGTTTGAGTGGCCTATGATGGAAATATCCTCGAGCTGGTGGAGTGAGATTCTCATGCTTGAAGGTAGGCACCCGTTGTAAATGCCCGTTGGCATAGCCACACCCTTTACAGCGTCGGTCAGACGCAAACGACGGAGCAAGGGCGTGCGTTGCAAGGCATCGCGCAGGTCGCTAATAGTCATCATGCAGTTCATTGATCCGACACTGGTCAATGCCAACGACTTGAGGGAAGGTCGAAGCAGTGGCAACACGTCTTTCGCGGTGAGGGTTGAAAGGGACAGCGTCTCCAACGCAGGCACTTGAAACCAAGCTGGAAGGGGTAGAGAGTAACTTCCTCGACCGTACACTGTTGCTGAGCGCAACTGCGGGGCAGGAGTGTCTGCGAAAGTTGAGGCTAGTTCTAGCTCTCTCATGTCAATTTCGATCTGCTTTATCCGGTGCGTCTCCGCCAAGACGGAATTCAGCATTTTGGTAAATTGCCAGAGTTCGTCTTTATAAATAAACATAGCGTATACGGTTAAGGATGCTTGTTTCGACCTTGCAAGCATCTCCCGGAGACAGGGCTCTCTCAAGAGAGCAACATGTCGCCATATTCGAGGTGTTGCAAGTGCCACCTCTCTCCAGTAGTGACAAACATGGGTCACGCGAATCCAGGCATAGAAAGGGACCATGCACGGTCGGCGTAATGGAGAGTGGAAGCTTTCATGAAAGTCGGAGACATATATTTCAATAGCCAAGGCGAGAAGTTCGGGGAGCAATAGGGAATTGATTGCAGAGGGCGCCACGCTCGGGGACAAGACGCTGGATCGCGTTTCTTGAAGTTGTACGTTGTTCATTGTCGAAGTCAGAGCAGCCAGAGACATCTTTCGTCAGCTGCTCCCGACTTATTCCCCACGGAAATTACAAGCTCTAAAGTGACCACATCAGCAACACCATCGACGTTAAACCGGAGTTAAGCATACTCAATATCCGTAAATTAGGACCTATTGAGCGATACCTGGGCTCCTGGTTGGCAGCAGCACAGTCGAAGTTCAGAACACAAGAGCAGAAGGGAATGAAAGAGTGAATTCAGACTCTGAACCACCTGAAGTGCTCGCGCAACGCAATTCAACGGATCGGGACGGTAGTAATGAATTATGACGCTATAAAGGGAAAATTCAATTACCCTTATAATCACAACCCTCGATAATTATTTGCCCGGCCGACTTTCTAACTTGCCTTTCTCTTTCGTGTCTGGCCATGAATCCTGCCATGCTTGCCCGCTCGACGGCCTTACGAGGGCTTGCCTTACGCTCAACGAGGACGTTTGCTTCAAAAGCCCCGCCAAGACCAAAAGCACCTTCCGCCAGCGAGGCAAGACCTGCATCGAGTTCGGCGTCGGAACCGCCACCTCCTCCTCCCCTAGCACCGAAACCAGTATCGACAGGTCCCTCATCATCGCTGCCTAGCTTGGATTTTGCACCTGTGGAGGAAAGTGAAAGAAAAGAACGCACAGGAGCGCGATCGTCAAAAGACTCCCTCTCGAGTATCGAGCGAAGGCGGAGGTTCTTGGGTAGGATCTCATTTGCGGTCCTATTGGTCGGTGCTGGCATTCAGACATGGTATCTGGGACGAGAATGGGATGAAGGAGAGTTGAAGGAGCTCCGGATAGTGAGTACCAATCTTTGATCTTTGTTTGCGGCTGATGATATTCATACGTACACAGAAACCGGAAGAAGCACCTAACACTAGATGGGGTCGAACCAAAACCCGCTTTGGCAGTATATTCAATGTACGTTGTATTGCTTGTGTTCTAGCTCACTGCCAACTCGTTGTACCCTGTAGTACTTCACAGAGCCAATATGGCCGGAATTGCTGCCCCCGCCACTCCCGGCTCCCATGCAGAAACCATACACCTTGCTTGTTTCCGTCGATGACCTGCTTGTTACCTCGACATGGGATGTGCGTGTATTTGCTTCGTTCATTGCTTGTGGACATGAGATCTCATGAATTCTGGTCCATTCCTTCAGCGGCATCATGGTTGGCGGACGGCAAAAAGACCAGGGGTGGATTATTTCTTAGGATATTTATCGCAATTTTACGAGATCGTTGTTTTCACGACTCAGTATCATTATGTGAGCATATACACGTCCGTGACGTGATTCACATCCTAACAATATTGTGACGCGACATAGACTGCAATGCCCATTATTGACAAGCTCGATCCTTATCAATTCTTCATTACATATAGACTATTCAGGGACGCTACTCGCTCCGTTAAAGGTCAACCTGTGAAGGTATGGAAATATGCTATAATTCGTTATTTTGACATGTACTGATTCTTCTGTCCTGATTTTATAGGACCTCACTTATCTCAACCGTGACCTCTCAAAAGTGATCATTCTTGATACACATTCTGAGCACGTCTCCACTCAACCTGAGAATGCCGTCATCCTGCCGAAATGGGCTGGCGACCCAAAGGATAAGGGCCTCGTTGCCATGATTCCATTCCTCGAATGTAAGAACGCGTTCCAGGTTGACATGGCGGATTCTAACGCTTCCTACATCATTCAGCTATTCCAATCTACAAGGCGCCCGATGTCCGACCCATCTTACAAGCTTACAGCGGCAAGGATATTCCTCTGGAATATGCTAAGAAGGAGTTGGAGGCTAAGCAGAAGCATATCGAAGAGTGGCAACAAAGTCACAAGCGCAGTGCCGGCACCTTCACGTTAAGCAGCTTGTTCGGTGGCACTCCTTCACCAGTACGTCGTTCTTTCATTTCTATACTTAAATAGGTCCTGGCGCACACGTCTAAATGACTTGCTTTGTAGGCACCGACCTCCCCGGTTCCTCTCACCTACCTTGAACAGAAGCGACAGGAGGCACAGATACAATATCGCGAGGAGCAAGCGTACATTGCCGCTAACAAGGAAAATTTTGATAGATTGATCAAGGAAGAGCAGGACGCTATGGCTCAACAGATGCCAGGAACGTTCTGGGGTGCTGCTGCTGCCATCATGGGAGGCGGTCCTCCTCCGCCCGCTCAAGGTCCTCAGGAGCAGGGTCAGCAACAGGCTCAGGGTCCAGCTCCAGGGGAGGTTCAGGTGCATGGTGCCCAACCGAAGGCTTAACTTACGATAGATGTCGTCGATGCTTCAGCTTAAGACATGAGAGCATTGACTGTCGGACCACGTATATCTCGTAATAATCTATCTAATCATCACCCCCTTCTCACCGACTCATGCATGTGCCAAAAGTAAGATGTGGTGAATGTTTGTTAGCTTTGAACTCGAGGTTGTCGCGTTTTCAATCATACTCGGTACGTTGGGACCCTCCCGACACTACGGTGCCGAGGTGCTTCACCAAACGGTGTTTCCAAGCAACTGGCCTATCTGCCCCGCGAAGATGGTGTGGGCTGCGCCTAGTGGTCAACATGTCAGTTTCTTTCGCCTCATTGCACGATAAATGGGAGGATACGTACTGGAAGGGTGATAGTTATTACTAAAACCGTATCCGCGTGAGTTAGCAAGTCGCGAACAATAGATTGAGGTAAGAACAGTGCCCACCCCCAGAAGTCACCGGTGTTTCCGTACGAAGTAGCATCGACGAAGCCATTTGCTGTAGGATTGTTCAGGATAGCCGTAAACGCTACATTTGAGTCCCACAACCAAGTTTGTACCTGCGGGAAAATGTAAAACGCATTGGTCTTTCGATCGTATTAAACAACAAGGAGGCAACAACGCACGCCAGAGTTCTGAGACTTGAAGTTTGAGACCCTAGTAGCGAGCTTGGAGTTGAACCCTGTGATGACAGTCTTCTCGGCGGCTTGCGCGGAGGCCCCTTGAGCCAGCATCTAAATTGAACATCATCAGGAGGATGAAATAAAAGAAAAATCGTGCGGATTGAGTACCAAAGGTGAGCGATCGACTGGTGGAACGTTGATGAACAGGAAGTTCCTTCCCCCAGCGTTGCTACGCGAAGATGAACGAATAAAGGGCAAAGACAGAAAAGAAAAGGCCAGAGCTTACTACTAGAGGGTGTATAAATGTCAGCATTAGTACACTGAATCCGTGAGAGTGGGTTCAAAATGTAATACTTACGACTTTCTGCACCAGAGCGAAATAAGCATCCAAGAGCGTGTCCGAAAACCTATCAAAACATGACGTTTCTAGTTCGCGAGCTAGTATTCCATGTCAAGAATAAGACTGGAGAACTCACGCATCCCTTGACCCAGATAGATAGTAGGAGTTACCAATATCATTGATTCCAATCCAGAACGAGAACAGCGCGTTATCGCTCGTCCAAGATGCATTAGCAGGTTTGCTAGCCACAGTGGTCAAGAACTCGTTTACTTGATCAGTCAAAGAAAGAACAGTGGGCTCGTAGGGTTGGACAAGGGTAGCGTCAATAGTAGCACCACCGTAGGCGTAGTTGTAAGTGAGGATGAGTGACTTGTTATAGGTAACAGTGTTCAAATCGATCCAGTTCGTTCCTCCGACTGCGGTATATCCCTGGATATTTACGAATTAGCATAAGAAAGATATGGATCCATTTAATTCGTACAGGGTAGGGTGGGTTACCGAGTGGGTTGCCTACGGATGGAGCAGCCCCGTCCGTTGTGAATCCAGTCTGAGTGTATGAATCGCCACTGCGAGCATGATAATTGTGGTATAAATACACGCTTCAACGGATATTTGCACGTCGACTTACAAGCTGAACCAGAAGTTGGGTTGATTGGTACCTGTAGGAGTCGAACCGCCAGTAGAGGTTGTGGTTGTGATGATAGAGGTGGTCGTTGTGGGCTGTGAAGGCGTCGTGGAAACGGTCCCCTGGATGCATTGGCTGTAATCTAAGAAAGGATTGAGGATGTTCGGGCCAATCAAGTTCATAGAGGGCTACTTACAATCATTAAGAACAGTACATGTCGTCCTGCGGGTAGATGTAAGCTGCCGAAATCCTCGTAAAGAACGTGTTATAAAGAAACTACCCCGCAACACAAGTGGTCCCGCCTGTCCAGCCAATATCTCCGCCTAGTGTTCTATAATGTCAACTCTTAGAATTCGCGTCAGAATCGTAGACATACATTGTGCCCAAACTGGTTGCTGAGCTACAACAACGCTTACAAGTGCAGAAAGCGACAGCACAGAGAGCCCGAGCTTGAACATACTGCAGCTTACTTCGAAATGAGGTCAAAGTACTCCCAGTCTTCGTCGACGTTGAGCTTATATAGCGAGGTTTGACACCTCATCCGCGGCCTTCTCCGAGAATTGAATGAACCTCGACTGAAGTTGAAAAAGTCAAACGGCTAAAACTCGGATACGACGAAGAATGAAGTGCATGACAAGGTCAAGTGTCCTTGCCATCTCATACATTCGCTCTCAAGATGTGCATCAGTAATAACTTTCACTGACAGTTTCGCGTAACGCGAACCGGTATTTTACCGTTCGGAAAGTGAACGCACTTGAGACCGGCGCGAACACAGTGTGGACGGAAGTTAGGTGTCCTCAGGTGCACCATTGAAGTCTGATGACTAGACAGGTTTCCGGTGCATCGTCCATAAGCTGAGGTTCAAGTGGAGTGCATGCAGAGCGTTAAAGATTCTAGATAGGTATTATCGTTCGGCCAGAACTTCGCAACGAATTGGAGTGCTAATGAAGCGGTAAGCAGTAGAGGTCAGATTGAAACTGTTTGTCAGGATATCACTGCATTACAGCGATGATGATAATTTTGGCGACTTACTACTATTACTTGGAAGGCCCGTGAGGTTCAAGGACAGAATACAAGGTGTCGGCCTCAAAGCTCGACTTAGCCTGAGTTGTAAAGTTAATATAGCAGGCATCGTAATACAGTTCCCAAACCTCCCCCTTCTCCGCTTTGCCGTTGCATTAACAAGACTGACATACAGTACCCACGCAACGTATGTATACGCAATTGTGAGAGACTCACCAACGTCATGAAGCTATCGTCATCGCAGATCGAACGTCGTCGAAGCCTTGGCTGTGGAAGTCCTGACACACACATATTATTTGTGTGTTGATAAAGCCGAGTTCCGCTTTTCCGTTATTACATACAGTTTTACACGCACGTACATGACCCCAGAAATTGTTGACACACCCTGTCTTCTCCGACACGCTGCAATAGTAGTCAATCGAAACATCTGTTGGGATTCTTCAGGATGCTTCCTGTGTAAGCTTGTGAAAGTCGGGAGACGACTGGCAGCGTATGTTCAGTGCTACTTGCTACTTGTTGCTTGCTCACGTCCAGCGAAGCTGTCAAGCAAGTTTTGGAAGCCCAGGTCGGGGGCTCAAGGAACAATCTACAGCAATCTACTCGGCAATATCGATGAGTCTGAAACAACAAAGCAGGGAAAGGAATTAAGCTTTATCTACGCGGCCACGTGGAGTGCGTGCTCATCATTCGCGAAAGATCAGACCCCTCTTATTCCCAACACGCGTTATCTTCCGCTATAAAAGCCCACCAGCTTCGCCATTTTCCACAGCGACTCTCCATCGTTTCGTCCACATCGTTTGCCTCACCGCCGTGCTCAGTCTCGTCCAAACCGTACTCACTACTCTTCCTCACGGAACCTGTGCATGTTCTCTAACCAACTAGGGAGCACTCACAACCCTCACCGCGGCAACAAGCACACCTGCGGAGACGCTATAATATTCTGTCATTAAAAACCCCTCTTTCAATTGTCGTTCTATAACCTCCAAATATCTATCGAAATGGCACCCTACAATGGAGTCAACTCGTCCGGACTGAACACCCCCGAGTCCGAGCTCGAGTCGCTCGTCCCTGTTCACCCGACTGCGGCACGTCGTCCGTACCCTATCGTCGTCCAGTCGGAGAACACCTCGTACTCTGACGAGTACATCACCTCCAAGTTCACCAACCGTGGTGCTGACGTCGTCGCTTCTGATGGTCAGTTCATCGTCAAGCCCACGTCTAAGCCCTACGAGTTCCAGACGGCTAGGAAGGTCTCCAAGACTGGGTAGGTCGTATTCTACTCATGCAAGCCTACCGCCCTTGACACAAGTTGATAATTGCAGCCTGATGCTTATTGGCATGGGAGGAAACAACGGTACTACGCTTTGTGCTACCGTCCTCGCCAACCGTCACAACATCTCCTGGCACACCAAGTCCGGCGTTCAGCAGCCCAACTACATCGGCTCAGTCCTCCGCGCCTCCACCGTTCGTCTGGGTACTGAGCCTGGTACCGGCAAAGATGTTCACATCCCTATCTCTGACGTCCTCCCTATGGTTCACCCTAATGACCTTGTACTCGGAGGGTGGGACATCTCCGGTCTCCCCATGGACAAAGCCATGCACCGCGCCGAGGTCCTGGACTGGGATCTCCAACGCCAGGTCGCTCCTCACATTGCTGCCTTGGGTTCTCCCCTTCCATCCATTTACTACCCCGACTTCATCGCTGCCAACCAGGAAGCTCGCGCTGACAACGTCATTCCTGGCAAGGACAAACAGAAGCACCTCGAGCGCATCCGCTCTGATATCCGCAAATTCAAAGCCGACAACCAGTTGGATCGAGTTGTTGTGTTTTGGACTGCCAACACGGAACGTTACAGCGAAATCATTCCTGGCGTGAACGACACGGCGGACAACATCCTCGCCGCTATCAAGTCTTCTCACTCCGAGGTGTCTCCTTCCACCGTCTTCGCCGTTGCCGCTATCCTCGAGGGCGAGCCCTTCGTCAACGGCGCTCCTCAGAACACCTTCGTGCCAGGTGTCATCGAACTTGCCGAGCGCCAGAAGTCGTTCATCGGTGGTGACGACCTCAAGTCTGGCCAGACCAAGCTCAAATCTGTCTTTGCCGAGTTCCTCGTCAATGCTGGTATCAAGCCTCTGTCCATTGCGTCGTACAACCATCTCGGTAATAATGATGGACACAACTTGTCTGCGGAGCCTCAGTTCAAGAGTAAGGAGATCTCGAAGAGCAGTGTTGTGGATGATATGGTCGCTGCGAACCGCCTTTTGTTCAAAAGTCCTGAGGAGGGCGCTGTTAAAGGGACCAAGGCTGCTAAGGGTGAACATCCTGATCACATCGTTGTGATCAAGTATGTTCCTGCCGTTGGTGACTCGAAGCGTGCGATCGACGAGTACTATTCGGAGATCTTCTGTGGTGGTCGGTCTACTATCAACATCTTCAACGAGTGCGAGGTAAGCTCTAATTATTGACTGACATCAGATATGAAGCTCATGGTTATCTTTTGCTATAGGACTCGCTTTTGGCAACGCCTCTCATCCTCGATTTGACCATACTCACGGAGTTGCTCACTCGTGTTCAGTACCGCGATGCTTCCACCCAGGCCGAGTTCTCTCCTTTGTACCCGGTCCTCTCCTTGCTGTCCTACATGCTCAAGGCTCCGCTCGTTAAGCCTGGTAAGTGTCTTCTGTCTCACTCGTTTGAGATTGCTTTTTGTCTTATGTGTCTGTCGTTGTAGGCACCGATGTCGTGAACAGCTTGAACCGCCAGCGCAATGCGCTCGAGTCGTTCTTGAAGGCTTGCATCGGTCTCGAGAGTAACAGCGATCTCTTGTTGGAGACTCGTATTTGGTGAACGGTTACTGTATGGTGAATGGTGAATAACAATGGCTTTTAGGGTGCCATTTTCCCTCGTGTCTGTCTTTTTGGTTTTGAAACTTTGAACGATTTGCGACGTTGGTAGAATGCGGGGGTTTTTCAACAAGCCCTTTCTTGCTGATGATCTCTGGACTGTAGAGTTTAGACATCTATTGTATCTTCTTGACTATTCAACTGGTCGTAGAACGTATCGTACTGAATATGTGTACTGTGGTTTGCTGGGGAAAACTACCTGCCTTTACACTTCCTTTGTTTGATTTGTAAAGATACTTTCTCGCGATGATGAGAACGAATTCAAGAATGCATTGATCCATTGTCCATTTCGCGGATTGCGTAGACGTCCTTCGTTGGGAAGGCCCTCGCGGGCGGGTTTCAAGTATAAGCGCCCAATGTCAATACTCGCTTGGCAGGCGTGAGGCACCTCAAGTTTACACTCTACTGGCACCATTCAATATATTGTGTTGCATTGACTACACAACATCGTCAATCCTTATACTGGTATTTATATCGCCGTTCTACGCTATGTTCCTGGCTAGTAACTAATTTGTGCGGCTTGCATTAGAGCTGTGACGCGGAATTCTTGGCAGGTGTCGTAGGATCGTGCTTAGGGCTATCCTACCAGATTTCCGGAAAGCCGTCACTACACATCTTAGCTATAGGATAACAATACCTTGATCGTTATCCAATATGGTCCTCGAAACCGCCTTTACCTTCTCCAAAAGGGTACTCCCTCCGCAATACTACCCCCACGCTGCAATATCAGGGTTGGCCCTACTGGTCACATACGCTTTTGCCCAAGGTCGTACAACGACCAGAGATCGAGACCTGCATGCTCGTACGGTTCTAGTGACAGTAAGCATTATACACACTTTGCCCTCCATTTACTGACATACAATAGTAGGGAGCCTTCACACCTCTCGGTTTGACACTCGTTACCGCACTTGCTTCTCGCGGTGCTCATGTCATTGCAATCTCTCCATATCCTTTGGAGCATTCCCAGCCTACACTCCTAATCCCTCTCCTTCGTTCCACTACGAAGAACGAGAATATCTATGCCGAGTACGCCGATCTCTGCTCACCGGAATCGATACGAGCCTTCTGCACCAAATTCCTCACGGAAGGTGACCAGAGACTTGACGCTATAGTCTTTGGTCACGAGTACCATGGGATTGGATCATTGTTTGATTCGAAAGTGTCAAGGGAACAACAACGCGACGCCGCCTCTCTAGCTTCGTTCCTGATCGTCACTCTCCTCCTCCCAGTATTGCTCGTTGCACCCGTTGAACGCGATATTCGCATCGTGACTATCATAAATCCATTCTACGCAGCAGCCTTGCCCTCGTTCTCCAACACACTCGCTTCTGCCTTCGCCACTACTGAATCTCAACAAACTACTAAGCCTGAATCGGTCTTTTTGGCTGAAGGTCGTCGAGCACTTCGTACTGCGGTTCTGACACGGCATTTGCAACGAGTGCTTGATGCATTGCCCAATCGTGGGCCTTCACTTGATGGTTCGAGTAATTCGAAGGATGCACCGAATGCCCATGCCCCGCCCACAAAGCCTCGTCATTCGAACATCATTTCCGTCTCCGTGTCTCCCGGTATCAGTCGAGCGGATACTATGGCACCGTTACTACATGCTGATAGAGAATCTACTTGGTCATTGCGAGGATTTCTCATGTAAATGCATCCTACTCTACTCTTTTTTTTTTTTTTTTTTCATTCATTGCTTACCCTCTCTTTTGCATGCATTCAGATACTTCTTGCTGTACCCACTGCTTTGGCTTTTCACAAAGTCCCCGATCGCAGCACTTCAATCTGTGCTTCACGCCCTATTCCTCCCGACTCCATTCAAACGCGCTCTCGCTCAAGTCTCTGCAGCCACCGATCCCTCTTCTTCCTCTGAATCAAACAAGCAAGGAGATATCGATGATAGATTACCCGAGGAAGTCCTCAAACCTGGTGCACTGTATAGGGAATGCTCGGTTGTGACGCTTGGAGTGCCTCCACTTCCTTCGAAGTTTATTGAAGCGATGGAAGATGCAGAAAGGAAACGGAAGGAGAAGGCGGGGAAGAAAGGGAAGATGGAAGAGGATGCGTTTCCGTTGGAGGATGATGGGGAGTTTGGTGGGGAGATGGTTGGGCGGACGGTGTGGGAGTGGTATGAGATGAAGTTGAAGGAGTGGGAGGCAAGGGAGAAGGCTAACAAGGCGGTTGAGAAGGAAAGTAAGGACACTGCTCAGCTTGCAGAATCCTCGAAGCCTTCTACTACTTCATAACTTATATGTCTGACCTTTGTTGCTGGATTTTTACATCCTCGTATTTGGACAATGCATTATTATACATCGAGATTAAGCGTATGTCGTTAGCCTTGGCTCTCTCACATCATATCGTTGCAGTAGTACTAATCGTCCTAGTCCTCGTCCCAATTACCAGCCTGTTGTGGTATTTTTGGTCCGCCCGCGGGCTTGCTCATAATGATACTGTCGACGCTGAGGACAGACGTGGCAGCCTCCGTCGCAAGCTTAATGGCCCACTGTTTGGCGGAGAACGAATCGAAGATTTTGTGTTCAGCAGCGTCGAGCGTGCCATCACTCTCCTCCTGTTGGCAGAGCTCCCGTCAGCCACGTGCGCAAAAGCAAACAAGAAAAATGCACAGACCTCGATGTCAACACCCCATGCCTCACCGCCCTCAGCCTCATGCTTCGCCCACAACCGGCTGACAATCTCATTACCTTCAGCACCACCCAATGCATTCTCGGCCAATGTCCTGGGAACGACCTCCAACGCACTAGCCCATCGCCTCACACCATGTTGTGACAAGCCCTTCAACCCACTTCCATAGATATCCACTCGCTTCGCCAACTCCAGCTCTGTAGCACCTGCTCCGGGGACCAACCTGCCATCCTTCAACAACGCCTTGATGACGCTCACGCCATCGTCCACTGCACGCTCGAGGTCATCCAGCTGATTACTCGTCGCACCACGCAGAACGATTGTTGCAGTACGGGTCTTCTCACCGGTAGACTCGGTTGGATCGAAGTCTTCGTCTTCCGGGTTGACTTGTCTGAGGACGGTAACTCGGTCACCACCAACTTCAATGCATTCGAAGATATCGACGTGGCCAACTTCTTCAGGTGTTGGTGCACCGAGACGGGCGAGTGGTGTGGCGTTGACAACTCGGCAGAGTCGACGGAGCTCGAACTTGGAGAGGACCTTGAGAACGGCGATGTTGAATCGGTTCAGATAGTGGAGAGCAAGTTCCCCAACGGTCGAACCAGCAATTACGACTCGAACACCGGAATCAGCGATCTCTTTGAATATCTAAAAGTACTATTCAGTGAATATACTGGAAAGAAAGACGAAGACAATTGCTGACTTTCTCCATGTGCTTCTCCTCGCCTGAGGTGAAATTCAGCATCTCATCTGCGCTTTTGATCAGGACAGTTCCCTTGGTCTCCGTTTGCGCAATGTCGAGACCACAAGTGTACACCGCAACCTTGGCTTTCTTGACCTTCTTGACTTGCCCTACGACGCTGAAGTCAGGGAAGAAGTCGTCAAGAGTAATGGTTGAACACGTACCTTCTGGCTCCCGGCCGAAAACCATACCCTTTACAACCTTGCTACCAGCCAGACTACCACCCATGATCTTCACCACACGTACATTGTCCACGTTGAAATTCTTGGGGTTCGCAGGCATAACCGCAAGAGCGGCTTCAGCAACGAGAGACGCGAGCAGGTCCTCGAAGCCGTACTGTTTTGATGCGATAGCGGGTTTCAAAGCCGTCGCAAGCGTCTCATAGGTTAATGGGGTTGGAAGAGTGCTTGAGGACAGCTCTGAGATGCTTAATTAGGACGTCACATTATATTCAACCAGCGGAGACGCACTTTCTAGTTCCTCCAAACCTTTCACGGACGCAAGCTCGTAACCCTTGATGATTTCGCTCGGATGCAGACCCATGATAAGCAGATGCTCTGCCTTTTTCAATAGCTCTCCTGCAAAGATAATAACCGTGTTGGTCGCGTCGCCCATCTAATCCGACATGATCAGCAGACGTTGTGCTGACTGGCAAACGCAAACGCACTTCGGACTCCTGAGCTTGAGATGCCATGACGAGAAGTTTCGCGGCGGGGTGCACGACTTCGATTTCACGAATGATTGTAGCGGCATCTGAGGTCACGAACAGTTTGCCCAAATGGTTGATGACAAGCTTATTCCGGCCTATCAAGAATCATATACGCGTCCAGCATGTTTCCTAGAAATGAACATGATAGTCACACACCATTGGGTCCAAAACTTGTCCTCACAAGATCGGATAACTCTGCGACTGCTTGAATGTTTCGCAGAACAGCATCCTCAAGCCCTGAAATATGCTGAAAGCGCAAGTCAAATATAATGAAGGTCAGTTTAAGCCACAAACATACCTTGTAGCCCTCCTTGAAGAGCTGGATATTGTTTGCTTTTGGGACTTTGAGCGACATTACGACTGTAAGGAGAGCAGGCTTGCGTTGAGGGCGCTAACACCTCGATATCCCTGTATGGCACCTTATGTAAGCGCTGGCTATTTGCCGCTGTGAAATTGAAAGAATCTGTCGCTGAGTCTTACCCTCATTCATGATCTTCACGTCGATATTTATTCTCCCTGCCGAGCGTGGCATATAAGACTCTTTGAAGCTAACTTTGAGCACCCTTCTCTGCCTCTCATTACATACATAAACAGAGGTCAGCACCCCTGCAGACCGTGCTCCGAAGTTGTCTATATTCTGCGCTATGATTGCATTGGCTACATACGAGGAAGGGAATATTCTAGAGACCAGGAAGTCCCTCGAAGTGCTCCCATATGATCTGCTACTCAACATCACGCAAAACCTCACGATTCAGGATGTATGCGCGCTCCAATTGGTGAGCACCTGCTTATACTCTATGTCCGGTCTATTATTGACCTCTTTGTAGACATGTAAATCACTCTATGATTTCAGCGTAACGCGTCCTGTATACAGACATCTTGCGTTGTGTCTTCTTCGACGTTGTCGCGCTCTTCCGCTGACTGGGTTTCAATGCCTTTCCGATCTATCGACGGAACAACTGATTTCAGCAGTCAAGAAAGCCACTCGTCTAGAGCTTGACTGGCTACAAAGAACTCCAAGACGATGCTTTAACTCTGCGTATGCTACTCGGAACGATGCTACACCGAACTGGTACACAATAATCAATGCGCCTGCTGACGAAGAAATCGACTGGCTTTCACCCGTAACAACCGATTACACTCTATGCGCCACAAAAAGTGGAAAGGTTATCTGCTGGGATATTCGCGCAAACACCTGTACTGCTCAATGGGACCCAGGCAATTCGTGGGAGTTGTGGAAGTGTCGCGTTCAGTTCGATACACGGACGGTGTATTTCACCATGGCAAAGCTGCTTTCCAAATTGTAAGTCGTCAGCTTCAACATGTAAATCAACGCTGACTGGCATTACAGGACCGACAGTCGAACCATGGAGTTCATTCTGATGAAGCTCGAGTTCCCTTCGGAAGCATGTTCTTCCAAGGAATCGGCCCAACCTGTCTTCACCAAACTGACGACCTTTCGAACGGCCGGCAGTGTCATCAATATCTTCCTTCTAGATCCCAGTTCTCGCCTCCTATCAGCGTTTATCTGGTTGCCAACTTCAAAATCAATAGGACTATTCGTGCTGCCGGATTGGGATTTACCTGAATATGTGTTTGTCGATACTACTGTTGAATGTGTAAGTCAGCCAGTTAAAACCTGAAGAGGTGTTGAAAGCTAACGTGGTTTATAGGCCTCTCATGCCAACTGGTCATGTATCTTATACAAGGATCACGTCGTGGTCCATACGGAAGACAGCGAAATGGCTGTCCAGCATTTCTACCCTCTGCCCATCCTCAAGCGTCACGCACAACCCGTTGAGAATGAGAAGATGTTCACACCAAGGGTCTCTGGACAGCTACCCCCAATATCCTCTGTTTCCGCTCGTTTCGTTTTCCCGTCCCCAGTCCCTCCTGCAGGAGACGTTAAAAGCGATGCATCTAGCTTTGCTCACAGCGATCATGCGATCGACATACCTTCGATAGAAACATCCGTCCCAAATCCTTTCCCCCCATCCACCTGGCTACCTGATAGCGCACATTTCGTTCGACAATGGTGGCCTACCCTTCCCATTGTGCCCAAGTTGAGTTGCACTGTCATACTTTTCGCCGATCACGATCAGGAGACACACAAGACGAAATACGTGTTAGCTCAACATTACTTCCGAGTTCCGTTGACTGGTGGATTGCCACGCACGCAGCCGCCATCTCCTGTAGCGACACTTCATGTTGCACCGAGGAACCAGGCTGGTCAAGCAGACGATCACTCTGATGGCTCATGGCATAGTGGGGCTTCATCTGCGAGTACCTTGATTGACGATAGTACCGACGTTGGAAATAAGTTAGACGAAACCGAGGAGCAAGAGGCCTCGATTCGGGTCTGGTATGTCAGCGAACCGTTCGAAGTGGCTTGCACTTTCGACCTGGAAGAAACTGATGAAGGCACCATCGGCGTCCATCCACGACCTCTCATGGCAGTGGATTTCGGGCACGCCTGCTGGGTCGAGTATATGCGCGATCAAGAGCTTGACGAGAACGAGGCTGCAGAGCCATTTCGAGAGAAACGCCGATTGCGACTGGTCTCTTTCCCTCCCATTATCTATGACGAAGACGAAGCTCTAGGCAAGGAAAGTTTTCTGAAGAAGAAATCCAACGAAACCGAAGGTGTTGTACGGACATTGGAGATCCCGCACGAGTTGGACCTGGATAAGGCGGATACGCTCAATATTGAGCAGTCGCATGGGACTGTGATTATCTCCACAAAGGACGGGAAAATATTCATTCTCTGCTACGAGTAATCACCACTTCTTCCCTTGCCTTCTTCCTTTTCTTTATTTACAGGCTGTCCTACAAGACAGAAGCACGCAGTTGGAGAAGATGGAGAAGATGAGAATTTACTGGTGTTTTCTATTCATATCTATTACACGAATCGCTCGACATTACAATGTAGTACCCAGACTCATCGCCGCGCCTAATACCTGCATGTATCCCTATCGTTGACCGTAGTTAATCTAATAAAATGGGTATATTCCTCGATTAATTAAAATGTCATCCTTAGAACCCACGAGTCTCGCCAATTGCGCAGACGTCAAAATCGCCGTCAGGTAAACCCAACTTCTTCGCTTCTTCCTTGAGCAGGCGAGGCGGTTCAAGGACTGCTTCAGAGGTCAAAACCCAGGTCCTGTGGAAAAGCATATCAATAAATGGGCGAGTTGTCGGGTCTGTCGACCATACATACCCCCAGTGCATACCCAGGGCTTTCTTCGCCTTAACATCTCTGAAAATGCGGACACTGTCGGAAGGATGCGCATGCAGGTTTGACCACATAACTCTAGGGGAATATGCTCTGGAACGACCGGTGAGCAGAAGAGCGCGTACAGGCAACGTTATTTTAACTGACCCAATGGGTATCAACGCCAAGTCGAACGGTCCGATTCTTTCTCCGATTTCAGCAAACGCAGGGCATACAGGCTGATCCTCCTCGTTCTCGCCATCCCGAACTGTCCTATAGCCTGTATCTCCAGCGAAATAGACTTTCTTAGGGGAGGACGTGCGAGCTTGATCGGATGGGACTTCTTCTACAGCCCAAGACGACCATAGAGAATGCCATCGGTCGAACATACCACGGTTAGCAGTATGTTGGCAGGGAGTGCAGGTGATCTTAAATGTTGATTTCACAGATGGAAGTTGGGAGTTGCCTGACTCGATCTTTGGTAATGTCGGGAGAGAGAGCGTGATATTACGATCACCCCACCAGTCGAGTACGTGAATATAGTCTTTGGGTATACCGAGGGAAGCTAGGTATGGTTGGTTTCCGAGGGGTGCGAAGACATGAGGGTTATCGCGTTTGTGCAGTTTCTCTATTGTGGGTGAGTCGGTACTGCAGTTGGTGGGGTGTTGATGAGTATATGAGCCGTGAGCAGCCACAAAAGAGCCTTACTGGTCATAGTGGTTGTGCTAAACATAAAATAATCAGATGTTTTCCAAGTCGGTCTCACACGGATCAAGGCCTTACTGAGAGAACAATGGCATCAATGCTCGGGAAGTCTTCTACGCGGCACGGAAGAGCTGCAAAACATTAGCAAATACCCCCGGTCCGTCAGACATTGAATGTGCGCCTACGGGTATATCTTTGGGGACCAAGCCATTTAAAGGGTGAGCAGCGATGAGAACAGGCTGGATCAAAAATGATTCGTGGACCTCTGCTAGCACCTTGTGGTGCAGGGAGCTCTACGAGGAAACATGCATGCCTGCGATTCCAGAGTTAACATATAACAGGAAAGTATACAAAATGAATGCGCATATACCCAAGCCATGTGGCCTTCACTGTGTCGGAACCCAGAGTAGCACCCCATGTCGGTACCTGAATAGGAATTTCCGCCGCAAGGGACTGCGAGGCATCTGGATCCGTCGTAAACCATTTGAAGAAAAACTGAACTTGTGTTTAGTTGTAATATCTTGGTGAGCCAAGAAATTAGTACACACCGATGTCCATTGTGCTGTCGTCTGAGGCCTGAAGATGAAAGGAAGTCAGAAGGAGGTAGGATGTGAATAGATGCGCTGGTACCTGAACGACGGCCACGGGTTTGTAAAAAGTGTCCCCTTGTCATTCAGGTGATGAGCAGGCCTCAATTTCCCTGTAGATTCCTTAGCGTCATGGTGGCTAGGGCCCGACACCACAACGTCGTAGCCTAACGGAGTCAAAGCCGTAGTCATTGCTTTGAAAGGCGAGAAGGTCGATGAATGGCGAGACAACGGAGTACTACCGGCAATAGAACGCAGGACTGTTCTGCGGATGACAAGTGCGGATGCCAGAGTGACTAGTCGAACTGTGGTAAACAGGACCTTTGTTGGTGTGGGTAGTGATCTTTATACCCACAATTGGAAAGCGTTCTGGACAAGCCGGGTGAGTTACGCCATCTAACGGCGAAGTTTGCAAGCTGACTTTGATGGAGAGGCACACCTTCAACCATTACAAAGCGTAGTAACGGTGTGGAGTATGGGCCGTTCGCTTCTGCGGCTGAGAATACGTGGGCTATATCTAAATCGCCGCGGCGGCGGCGGACACAAATGCATCCGCTCGGGAAATCGGATACACAAATGCGTAAGTATGCCGTCCTGCGTATCATATCGTGAGGATCTAATGGGTAACCATCACGTTTGAGAATGACAAGGTGGCGGACAGTGCTGTGGGTTGAATGAGGTCCGAATCGAATCAGGACTCGGAATTTGTTATATAAGTACCCTATACTGCAATGCGGTGTAGGCTCAGCCATTACATATGTAATTATATTTCAACTGACTTTGAAGCAGTGTGTGCAGCTCGCTATGTGATCTGAACATGGAAGAATGGCCAGCTTGAATGTTGAACAACGGTGGTTTGAACGAGGATGAAAAAGATAAATATCCTTGAAGCATCCAGAGCCTGAGAATGAAAGAACGAGCAAGAATATTGAAACTCCGCGCTGCTCATTCAAGCTTCAAGCTTCAAATCTACACCGCCAATCAGTGAGGGTAACCCCATAGATGCACTTGTCTTCATCTTTTCACTATCTCGTTCTATCCGATATATGGTCCTTTCTGACTTTTTACTATGCCCAAACGACCTCCGACCCCACCTGCACCGAAGGAGGCCGAATTCTTAATTGTAGTCTATCCGTTTCCTGCTCACGCTGATATGAACATTCTCGAGGACCAGAAAACCTTTGTGCGCTGGTTAGCATGCTGCACCGGAAAGGAGAACTTTGTGGCTCTTTACCACAAGCCTGCCGTGCGTCCATGTTGGCTGGCGTACAGCATGATCTAATGCGTTGCTTGAACAGTCACCCAACATGGTTATCATCGAAATTAGGTGCAAATTCACTAATTGGGATGGGTTACTTGGACTCCACAAGTGGTCTCAATTTTTACGAGATCCCGGTCCTGACGAGAGACAGAGAGAATCCAAGATATTCTACTGTGTTCTGCCTAATGGGCGACAAGTACAGAAGGAAGGTAGGACGAGGTATCAACACGTTTAATTGAGATCGCGGCTCATCGCACCTATCGTGAAGGGTGGAAGAAGCTTGATGTTAAGGAATCGTGGTTCCTGAACTGGGATCCAGCCAATGAGTGAGCACATTCCACAATGGTCCCATATCGCCTGATTTCACCACCTTCCTTAGTCCTCGAATCGTATTTCCGTACCCTTCCACGTCTTATTGCGACACTCCTTCTGAAAATAAGACGAGTAGGCCACTCTGTCGTCGACTTCCAGTTAAATTATTCCCTCCTTCGCCATCTGTTCAGCCTCCTCCTGGTAAGATCATACATCGGATGCTCTTCATCTCAACACCTCATCGCTCTTTAAAGTTGGTAGTGCGAAATGGCTAGCCATGCGGGACCGCGATGCGGCGTTGGCCAAAGCGAAACCTTCCAACGGTGCATGGAGTAAAGGCGCACCTGCGGCCATGGCTCAAGAGAAGAGAAACATCAAAGCGCCGGTACCTATGAGGTCTGGACCAGCGGGTGGTCCTTGTGAGTATACCGTAAACTCGATATCAAGTTATCACTCATGCGCACGAAAGGGGCTCGAGGACCACCTGGCCTCAGCCCAAATCTACCACCAGGACTATTAAACACAAATAGCGCACCGATCCGATCTCCAGTTTACTCCTCAAGCCCATCCAAAGATGTTGCTGATTGGTCTGCCGTGCCACCCGCACTTTCACGTGGTACCAGCGATGCGTCAAGCGATAGTGGCGCGCAGTCATTGCATCGCAATATAGCTGAACTCAACATCGAGGATGAGTTTGACATGGATGATGATAATGAAGAGGGTTTGCCCGTTATTTACGGCGCTGAAGAAATAACCAACGACCAGCTACCTGAGGAACCCCAAGAATCTCTTTGGGGTAATTATGAGGCGGAGGGTGATCCCGAGCCTCCTCCGGACGAGATTGTATGCACGATACATGGTACTACTTGTAAGAAGGGAATCTGCAGACAGTATGCGTCTCAGGCCAGAGAAGTTGAACGGACCAAGAGACAGGAAGAGCGTGAACAAGAGAGGAAGGCAAAGGAGGAATTGCGGAAGAGAAAGGGAAAGAATAAGGACAAATCTGGTAGGTGTCGTTAGACGTTCTGTCTAGTCACTCACGCTCATACATTTGCAGATGCAAAATCCAAGTTCCATATGGTTACCCGTCCACCTCCACCCCACGCCGACGCCTGGAGAAAGCCGAATGACCCTATTTCTCCTGCCCAAACTCCCGCCTCGCCAGATTCTGCAACTTCGCCTGCATCTGACTCCGTCTCACCTAGTTCCACGTCTGCGAATCCAATTCCACCACCTTCCGCTAGACCCGCACGGGGCAGAAAGATGAACAGTGCTGGTAATGTCAATACTCAATCATCACCCATTGTCGACAAGATACGTGGCGCTATTCGATCTGAGGCGAGCTCTTCGAATGGCGGCTGGGGTAATGTCTCAGCAACTCCTTGGGACTCTTTCCCTACTACTGCTGGTGCCAAACGTCCTCCTTCTGTGGCTGATAGCGGATGGGGAAAGGTTTCTGAAGGTCCTTGGGGCCCTGCTACTCGTCCCTCTAAGAAAGGTCCTGCTTCTGTTTCTGCGAGTTCCACTGGCGGCTGGGGCAAACCTGCCCATGGTCCTTGGGGCAACGGTTCAAGTCGTGCCCCATCTTCGAAAGGTCCTCCTCCCTCTGTCGTCAGCTCTAACAACGGCGACTGGGGTGAAGTCCCGAAAGGTCCTTGGGGAGGGAGCAGCAAGGCGCCCTCAGTTATCGACGATGATGCACGTACGATCGCTGGCGATGTGCAGAATGCTGAGGACGTAGATCCTTGGGCTGATGAAGGACCTAACAAAAGCTGGGCTGATCAAGTTCAAGATGAACTTGATGATACTCGTTCGGTTGCTGCTAGCTCTACTGGAGGTTAGGGAACTGTCTCCAACGGCCCCTGGTAGAGTGCTGAATGTCGTCTTACTCTGTCTTGGAATGGCGATATCTCGGTTCCGGACCCTGTTGGGAATGTATGAATACGATGTGATCTCTCTCCTTGTCTTGTTTCTTCGACCGCTTTATGCGTTGTACAACATAGATATCCCCAATCCACATTGCTATCATCTAGCTTTACTGTCGTTGTATCCTTTGGTTGTGTGTATCATAGATGTTTTGCTGTGTGATCATTATATGCGTACTTCTCTTCTGGCTTGACAGCGTTTCGTATACACTCTATAGATTTATCCGTGCTGACTACCTCGACTGGCGAACTGTTCATCAGTGGGGGCCCCACTCGCAGACTTCACAATGGTATTCACCTCTTGCCGCTGAGTTGTAGTAAGCGCATTGACTTTCAGGAATCCAATTACATGTACCAAACGAAGGATTTCACTGCTGACCCCGATCAAAGCCATTTGAAGCCAAAACCGTGTATGGAACTTCCAACCCCTTTTATAGACATGGCCAACAAACTTACACTCATGGAGTCCCCTTTCTCCGTGATGGCTCCCTCCTTACCTCTTGTTCTCCCACCATCAACTCAAGCAGATGGCTTTCGGAGAATGGCTTACCAGACCCCTGAAATTTCACCCGTTACAAGTCTCTGTCGTGACCTTTGTGGTCTATGGCCTGGTCTTCCTCTTGGTATTGGTTCATGACCAAACGCCGGATATCTCGACCGACCTAACTGGCCTGAACCTGGCTCAGGCGTATGAAGATCTTCATGAGGTATCTCTCTAGACGATTAGGAGACGTAACGTTGTCTGGACGTTGCACTAACACGTGTGTTAGTTAACGGCTCGCCCGCATCCCTATGCATCACACGCAAACGACGAAACTCGCTCCTTCATTTTGTCTCGCCTTCATAATATCACTGCCGGACGAGAATTTGTGCACTTAGCCGACGATCTCGTTTCCAACGCGTCATATGTCTCCGGTACAAGCCAAGGAACATACTTCGAGGGATCAAATATCCTCGTGAAGATAGACGGGAAAAGGCCGTCTCAGACTGATGGTGTGGTGTTCTCAGTGCACTTTGATTCAGTCCCAACAGCACCGGGTGCGACAGACAATTCAATGAGCGTTGCAACCCTCCTCCAATTGGTCGAACACTTCTCGCATCCGGAGGGACGACCGCGACGAAATGCCTTCTTTCTATTTAACAATGGCGAAGAGGATGGTCTGAATGGTGCACATGTCTTCTTCGAACATCCGTGGTCTAACTTCACGTCCACTTTTGTGAATCTCGAGGGTGCAGGCGCAGGGGGGTAAGTATCAATCTGCAGTACTCCTCGATAAGCATTTATCTCCAATCTAGTCGACCTCTCCTCTTTCAATCCACCTCACTGTGGCCAGTCTACGCATACGCTTCAGATTCCGTAGCACATCCGCTTGGAAATTCACTCACCGTAGACGCGTTTTCCCGTGGACTAGTACGCAGTCGCACAGATTTTCAGGTCTTTAAAGAAGGGATCAAGGGTAAGCATATTGGAGTTGGCTTCTTGCCCGTCAGACTGACTTTTTTGAACTTCCAGGTGAGAAGAATGGACTGTCCGGTGTCGACATTGCGTTTTATAAGAACCGTGCATTGTATCACACACCGTTCGACTCCATACCTGCTATGGGTAAAGGCGAGTCCAGACGATCTCTATGGATTATGATGAATACGATAAAGGGACTTGGTACATCTCTGCTTAACGACGACCAGCCTGACGATGGAGGCGATAGCGGCGTATATTTCGACTGTGAGTCAATTGTGTTGATTAATATGCGCTACACCTCACAAGCAGGGCTGTAGTATTAGGCTCATCTTTTGTCGTCTTTTCCCGCTCTGCGCTATTTGCGACAAACATTGTACTCCTCATTTTGGGACCTATATCTGTCGTCATTCTCTTGGCTTGGGTCATCGTCCTCTCTAAGATACATAGAAGTATGTCCACCAACATGTATCATATTGTCTTATCCCGCTAATATTGTTCAAGGCTCCGATGCACCAGAAGAAGACTTGTCGACTGCTTGGGCAAAAGTGAAGAAAGTGCTGATCACTGCTCTGGGTTGGGGGAGGTTCTGGATCGCTTTAGTCCTTTGCATCGCTGCACATGTGGGCCTTGTGGTTGGCTACGTCAAGCTCAACCCTTTCGTAAGTCGATGATCTAAGCATTTTCTCTCAGGCTATGCGCTGACCTTTCTTTAGGTTGTCCACGCTCACCCATATTGGGTTTTAGTGACTTCAATGTCCTTGACATTCCTATCGTTCGCATTCCCCTTATCATTGTTCCACTTTTTCCTTCCATCACCACCGACGTCTCAGAAGCTTGCTATCGTGCTTGAAATATTCTTTTTCACCTGGATTCTCCTTGTTTTCGCCACCATCGGTGTTCATCTGCTTGGATTAGGTGGCTTCTACTGGATCACCGCGTGGTACCTCTGCGCATGGATAGCTTCTCTGCTTGGTCTTGCCGAGGGTGCAGAGCGAGCAAGAAAGGGCGGGGAGGCAGGCGGAAAAGGCGAACTGGACCTTGTTGGTGAACGTCCGCCAACTCCGGTTGAAGAGCATCCAGATGGTGTTCGACATGTTCGCGGAGTCCTCTATCAGGTGCCCGAAGAACCTGATGAAGAGCAAGGCGATGGACATCATGAACCCGTTGAGACTGAACCCACCGACATTACACCGTTAATGAGTCAGCATCGAAGATATGAAAGGGGTCGAGAGTACATCGTTGGCGTTGATAATGAGCTAACACCTGTTGCCAGCACGAAGGCAAAGAATGTTGGCTTCGACGAGACTGGATGGTGGATCTTGCAATTCATAGCTTTGGTTCCATTCTCCGCCATTCTAATATTCCAGATCCTGATTTTAGTTCTCCATGCGTTGAGCGAAACACTGGTCGATGGAAGTAGTCCCATTGTTGGTAGGTTTTAGCTCCTGTTTCACCTCTAATGCATCAGCTAACTTGCACTCTCTTAGTATATTCAGCCGTATCCGCACTGTCTGTCCTAATTCTTATTGGTCTCGCACCCTTCGCGCACAAAATTCACCACCTATTCACCTTCGTCGTTGCCCTCGTTTTCATCGTCTCACTCGTATACTTGTGGACCACCTTCCCTTTCACACAAGAGGCGCCGTTGAAGCTCTTCTTCCAACAGAAACTCGAACTCGACATCCCATCCCTTAGGTCTTCGTTATATCAGAGCCTCTCACCCCAATCTGAGGACGTAAGTACTATCGTCCGCGCAGTGACTACATTGACGGGGCCTCGCCGTTACCTCGATAAGTCAGTCATTCCGGAACTGCGGTCGTCATGGGGAAAACATGTCGATTGTAATACAGACACTGTGTTACGACCAGGGTTGCTGGCATGCAGCTGGGAAAGCAACCTACTTCCATCACCTGGCGGAAATACGTCTACGTCCACCGCACCAACCTCTATATTATCGTCGCGTGGCGCAACTAAGCCTTCGGATTGGTTGTCCGCCTCCTTCGTACGTACAGGCCCTAGCACTGCGATAGCCACTGTACGAGGTACGAATACTCGCTCATGTCGTTTGAAATTCGACAAGCCGATTTCGCATTTCCACGTGCGAAATGGTGGACGGCTTCAGCCAGGATATGAGCTTCCGGATGAAGGCATTCAGGATCTCATTATGTGGAGTCGTACATGGAATAGCGAGTTTGTGGTGGATTTCGAATGGGCTGGTGCTGACGATGAATCTACGCCTTTCAGCGGGAGTGTTGCATGTGAATGGGTGGAGTATGCTACAGCGTCGGCTGGCAGTTCATATGCTACGACGAGTGGACAGATTCCGGCATTGGAAGAAGCCCTACATTTCCTGCCATTTTGGGCGACCATAACGAAGTGGACCTACGGACTGCTGGAGGCGGAAGCCAGGTTTTCCTTCTGAGTTTTGATGACACCTGATTCTATATCCTTGTATTATCATTATTGCATTCCTCTGTATTTTATTTGGGAAGACACGAACTTGTAGTTACCTCTGTATATACCAATACCCTAGGGTCGCGGAAGTTCCCTTCCTTCTCCGTCTATAAGGTGGTATCGCCGAACACCGTCGTCCCAGCCCCAAGGAACCTCTTCTTCCCAGTGTGTGACCACTATGCAAGCTTGTCCATCTTCGAGACCTCCTCCTCCTCGGAGATACTTCCGAGCAGCCTTGACCATGCGTTCATCCATGCCAGCCCAAGCTTCGTCCAGCAGGACCAGTGGTGGTCGATTGACCAATGCACGCATTAGCAAGACAACAGACTGCTCCCCAGGGGAAATATCGGCGAACTTCTGGTCAGCAAAGTCTTTCGCAGTAGCCATCTTGTTCCCTGCGTCAGCTGCGTCCGAGTTCCAAGCGGTCGGACCGAGACCTTCCAAGACATGCCACATTCTCGCAACCCTCCAACGTTCTAGTTCTCCGTTTTCCTCAAGCTCACTTCCATCTTCCGCAAGACCAACTCGTTTCCGTCCTCTCGGAACAAAATTGTTAGTGAACGCGGTACCAACGGCTTCCCATACGGACATCCCTCTTCTACGAGGAAACGCGTTATGCATCTCAGGCGAGACCCGACCAATGCGTGCGTGCAGGGATGGTGTGGGCCATTTGGCTCTCGGACGAGAGAAGAGATGGAGTTTGGAGGATTGGGTATAGGATTGTGGGTGCTCGCCAGTGAGCATGGCAAGTAAAGTTGTTTTACCTGCGCCGTTTGCCCCGAGAAGATGCCAACGGGAGTTGGCATGAATCGTCCATTGGATATTTTTCAGGACCTGGAATAATCGAAAGCATTTTGATTGAATGATTCGTTGCAGTGAGATACTGAAACATTGTATACCTTGCGGTCGCCATAGGCGACACTGATGTTCCTCAAGTCGACTAGAATCTCGTTTTTGTCAATCTCAATCGCAGGCATATGTCCCGAAGTCTGGGCGAACGAGGAATGGTGCGACTGCAACGCCGGCAAAAGCTCCTGTTTCAGTCCTGTTTGTACGGTGCCATCCTTGTGAACGATGGCTAAGTGTGTCGTCCAATCTGGAATTGGATCCTGTATGCGTGTTCCCATAATAATGTGAGGTGGCTCAGACGAATTGTGTAATGACTCTAATAGTGAAAAGACAAGTTGTCTCGTCTGTACGTCCAATCCAGCTGGTAGACATTTCGTGTAAGCAATGAACAATAGATTTCGGTCGAAAAGTAAATTTCATTTAGAATACGTACTGAGTGGTTCATCAAGAATAAGGAGCTCAGGCTGCTCAAGTAGAGCTTTGAGAATTCTAGCTTTGCGAGTCTGACCATTGCTCAATGCGATCATCGGTAGATCAAGAAGCCGTCTCAAATCCAGTCTGTCAATGACGTCCTCGAACAGAAGGCGACGTGTATGCTCCTTGACCTGATCGATCGGCGTCAACTGGGTTCCTTCCTTCGAATGCATATCTGGCAACGCCAGGTTATGGATTGGACGCGCTGTCTCTGGAAAGAACGTTTCGCGGAGTGTTCGTTTGTCCTCCTCTCTAACAGCACCATAACGCGCAGTGAAATCCACAAAACCTCCTCCGGCTCCTCGAGGCCGATGCGCGAAACTGACTAACGAGACCCGGTTGTAAGGATCAGCTCCGTTCAAGAAAGGGAAGAGACCGCCTGGAGGCGGTGGTGGTGGATGTATTTTTAGGTGTCCTAGAAGTGCTTGTAAGAGACTCGTTTTCCCGCTGGTTGCACCCACTGAGAGCACCGTCCAGGCATCTTGAGGTTGTATTGTCCACGATACATCACGAAAGAGAGGCTTTGAGCTGCTACCCGCACCAAGAGAGTAAATAGATGATCTGGGTATCTGAAGAATGGGTGCATCGGCTGGCTTTGAGTTGACTGAGAAGCGACGAAGGCCGCAGTCTGTGATGATACCGGTCGCGCCCGCACGATTTCTGCCTGCTAGGCGACAGAAATTTCTCATTGTAGAATGTTATTGCGACCTAGAGGGTTACATGGGTGCCCGACATCGGCCGCACACTTCGACCAGCGTTATAGAGAAATATAGAGAAGGAACATTCAAGAGATCTAGTAATGAGTTGTAGGTTAGCGCTCGACGTCAAAATGAATTTAGGCGAGGTTAAGTATCAAACGATATCTTTCACACCCTATCTTGTCGGTCGTTTCTACCGCTTGGATGTTTTTGTCATTGCTCGTTCAGTCTATTCGGCGCTCAGAGCATATTTAATAGTATCGGAAATGATATGGTGACAGGAACTCTACGTATCCTTTTCCATTTTCGGCTGACCCACGTCAGACAGAGATCGCCTGAGGTGACAGTATGTACAAGGTAGGTTGAACTTGAACCCCTCTCTACACCACCCAGTGTGGGAAACTGTGATGCACCAAATAGTGACGTTCTCTCCGGATGTTATACAGAAGATTCATGTTACGAAGCCGGCTCGGACCTGAGGTCACGGCTGATGCCCGTCTTCTTCCAAGTTGAAGCTTTGAAGGATAATGAAGTGAAGACTCTTACTGCTTTTATATTGTTCTCCTTGATAATGCAAAGGCTCTCGTGCATCCCGTTCGTCAGGATTATGAGTAGTCGTTCATAAACTATCACAAGCTCCAGTAGGAGGAGTACGGCAGTGTGACAACTCGTACCAGAGAATATGTTCGCGCAATGTTATTCATAGAATTTTACGCAAGCTGTCTTGTGGTCATTCTTGTCCTCTATATTGGCATGATTCACTGATCAGCTGGTCAGGTTCTCATGTCACGGAGAGCCGGATGCCGACGTGCATGTAATATATGACGCTGACCCAGTGGTAGATCATAGTCTCACATTCACAGGCCCCTCGTTACTCACTGTCATGACTGACAAGAAGCTACCCTCCTTTGACGAGCTGCCAAAATTCCACAACTTTTCTGGTTGTGCTTGGGACGTCTGGGGTAGAGACGATGAGTTGGGAACTGTCAACCTATTAACGGAGGACGTTGTAAAGAAAGCCGCGGAAGAAATCAAGTAAGCTGATCGTCGTGTTCGCAATGTAGTTATGACTCCTGTTTTAGGTTGGGCAAGACCGTCTGTTTGAACTGGTTCGTTGTCTCTAATCACTCATTATGTTCTTTGCTTAATTACTATGTAAATGATCTGAAGGCCTGTAAACTTTCCTGAGAAGGTGAGTCTTGCGGATAATGTACTAAAGCTCGTATTTTATTATCATCAGCCGTTCTACAATAGACAAACGCCCATTATTCATTCTTGGCGGAAGTCCGACAATGTCAATGACGACTCGATTTCTATCGTAAGCAGCTATCATTCAAGTATCGAAATTGTGGATCTCATATGGAAGTATGTTCCTCCAGAATACACAGTCTGGGTCTCAGTGGGATGGTTTGAAACATTACGGTATCGAAGAACACAAGGTCTTCTATAACAAGTAAGTTCGTTTAGGAAAACCTGTGAACTATTGACGATTGATGCTTCTGAACCCTAGCACTCCTTCAGAATCCTTGTACAGAGGACATCTCTCCATTCCTGACCCGGGGAAGATCGACCCACAATTAACGAAGTTGGGCATTCATAGTGAGTCACGTCAAATAATTATTTGTAGAACACAGTAGACAAAATCTCGACAGACTGGGCTCAGCATGGAATATGCGGGCGTGGTGTCTTCCTGGATCTGGTCAGCTATTACACATCTGGTGGGGTTCCGTTACCATACGATCCATGGACAACGCACGCAATAGCATTGAAAGATATTCAAGATTGTGCTAAAAAGCAGGGCGTTGAATTCAGACAAGGCGACATCCTCCTGCTTCGTATGGGCTTCATCCAGAGGTTCAATTCTGCAACTCCCGAGGAACGTCTCTCTTTTCACGGAAAGCCCGAGACCTTGTGAGTGTTATCTCACTTCTAACTTCCCGTATAATTTTATCCATTTATATCGAAACTTAAATCCAGCGCTGGCATCGAGCAATCTGAAGACATGAAACGGTTCCTTTGGTATGACAATCTTTGTAGTCTGTTTTCTTCGCCTATCATTGATATGTTGCGTCTTGCAGGAACAACCATTTCGCTGCCGTTGCATCCGACCAGCCCGCCTTGGAGGTACGTCTATGATTTTGTGGACAATAATCGGCCGAGTCGACGTGACCCTCGTCGTTGATAGCGTTGGCCGACGCCACAAGGAACGCCGCAACTTCATCAGGTGTGTATTTTATTCCTGCTTATGTTTGTATGTCTTCATTGCGCTATGTCTTCACAGACAATATTGGGGTGCGTGATCAAGGGTTTCTGTCACCGGAAGATCCTAATCTATTTCTTTTAGCTTGTTTGGTATGCCCATAGGTACGTCCGAGCTCCTAATATGGAGCGGAACATTCATTCACGATGACCAAAGGTGAATTCTTTGATCTGGAGGCCCTCTCCAAGTTCTGCTCTGAAACCGGGAGATATACATTTTTCTTCTCATCTTGGCCTCTCAACATGTACGTTTCCATCTTGATCGCCTGTTTAGTGCGGAAGTGTTTTGACCAAGTAACACAACAGCCTTGGTGGTGTAGCGAGCCCTCCAAATGCTGCCGTACGTTTCTACCTGACTTTAATCACAGTGCCGCTCATATGCTCTCTTTTCAGGCTTACTTCTGATTGGAACTGACTTGGTTGTCGTAAGAATGCTGACGAAGAATGTAACAGTATATTGCCATGAATATGTGTAGATAAATAAATGTATAAAGGGATGAGAAAGGCTGTAGTCTATGGATACAAGAGGATTTTTCAATCGATAGTTCGAGACAAGTCAGCACATACTGACGGGGGAAATCTAGCCTCTATGTATGCGCATATGGGTCAGTGTAGGGGAGGCTAGCGTTGCCAGAATCAGCGTGTGGGACCGAACAACCTCCGCAACGGGGACAAAAGCCTGAAACTTGTAGAGCGAAACTTGAGACCTGATGGCTGAGGCTTCGAACATAGCACGTATCGTGTACTGCCATCCGGAGAAACGACCCCATTATCCTGGTGTTAGAGCACTGCATTACGAATTCGAGCATTGAAATACGAGCCAGAATGTCAGAAGAGGTACTCGATATGTCCAGTTCAGGTCTTGACGCGACGATGACGATTGACTGGCATGTTAAAGTGATGGAGTGCATGCATTGTTACCAAATACAACTTCGTACTCGCCAGGTGGGCTTGTAGAAGATTCTCATGTGAGCATATGAGCCATTGGATATTGATTTTCAACGGCCCAGAATTCTCCGAACGTCATTCGCAACATAACTATAGCGTCCTGGAGTCCGTACAATTTTACGTAAGTTTGGGTCCATCGTCCCTCGAATTCACCAATCAAGCATAGATTTTTCTGGATGCACCGCTTCAGACGATCTCCCATGTAACGTTGGGGACAATGCCGTCTGAAAGAGGAGCGAACTTTTGAAACGCGACCGCAGATAGCCCAACGTTGAATTGCGGGCATTGTGCACAAAAATCAACAATGGGCGCAGTCAAATTGACACCGTTGTCTAGATGAAAGGGGAAGACGTCATTGGCAACGTTCAGAAGGGCGAGGTGGCTAACATACGAGAAATAGTGACCGAATGTTTGCATATGGGGTTACTAGAGACGGAAGATGATTAGCGTATAGCAGTGTAGACATCGAGCGGATATTTACTTGTTTGGGTTTGGGCCAGCTCCTCTGAGTGTGCGAATACAAGAATGAATCGAGATACCATGTGCAAGGATGTGCGATGGCGACTTACGGGAAAGAGTTGAAGACTTGACTAGAGACTGAGGCAACGGTCTGACTGCTCGTATTGGTGAAACCACAGGCTCCAAGTCCCGGCACGAAGTTGAACACTGCGTAAGTGAAGTATGAGTACATCGGAGAGACCAACACCAATTCGAGACGTACAAGTGCCGGTATGGGTCTGAGCGGCAGCTATAGAGCTCAGCAGTGCAGTAACGAAGAGTGAGGATACGGAAGGCATGATGTGTTGTAGGGATGCAGAATATAGAACTATACAAGGCCTGCAGACTTTGGACGCGGCAAGCTCACTTCTTATACCTGTGTAGTCTTCTTCGAACGGCAACGAAGGCCGACCCCTTCGATGAGCACCTCATGCTTTCAGGGTCAGATGCCTTAATAAACTATAGGCTTTCTAGGAGGTGCTGATCAGGTGTGCAGAACATATTGCAAACAGTCTATACAACACACATGTGAACGAAGTCAAAGAAGAGCGAGTTTCGGAGTTAAGTTACCGCGAAATACGTTTCGTTGTCATGAGTTTTGGTTATGACGGTAAGCAAACGTAGTCGAAGGCCATATAAGTGGTTCTTTGGAACCCCCGGTCTATTGTCCGACCCGAATTTGGCAATCGTACCTTCACGCTGTCTCGAGAACCACTGGCTATTTATTCCCTGTAAACGTTGGGCTCACGACTTCGAGCATGGATCCGCACGAAATGCCAGGAAAACGGGGCTTCAAAAACCTGGAATACATCATGTCTTTTCCGATCTTAACCGCCATCTGTAGGAGCTCTTGGACGAAAGTCCGAACTTGGCCTGTTTTCATCAATCGGGAAAGTGCTCTCGCTCATGCAGATGGGCGGATGACGGAGATGGGTGGGAACAGCAGGGCCTCACAATCGTGACCGGTCGACCATAAGATACATTTAATCTCATGCTCGTCAAGAAATTGCACAACAGTGATCATCCGACCTACAAGCTCTAACACTGCATCGAGGAGTTGCCACGGTGCCATCGGAAGGCAGATGACAGATATTTCCAGGTGGACAAAGGGAAGAAAGCAATCATAAGTATGACGGACGACTAACAACACGCTTGAAACGAAGTAAGCACAGATATCTTTACATGCGATGAAAAGATCACCTCACAGTTGTCTCCATGCCTTGAGTATAATTAACTGCAACATACGTTCGCCCCAGCATCATGATGAGGGGACGGGGAGAAGTGGAAAGTGTAAGTCCAGGACAGTATTGAAACTCCAAAATGACAGTATGCTATTATTTAAAGTAATATTACCGCTGCGCTCTATTAGCACCAAGATAAATAATACTCTGCATAACTGCTAAAACAACCCCAATTTGGTGCTTTCTCCCCATCCACGACGACGGCGACACGACCAGGAAACGCAAACTGCACTTCAACGTTTCAACGACAATCGGAAAGTGGTCAGTTTGGGCACAGATAGCGACGATCCTGTCGCCACCACCGTCGAATGCAACCAGTTGGCGAGGACACTTGTCATTGTATACCCTTTCACGACGACCGTACAGGAATTTATCACCCTCATTGAATCTTCCTTGAAATAACGTTCATTCCACCATGGCACGACGTCGTGGGGCTCCGTCTGTCAATTCATTGAGCCCTCCAGAGTCTGGCGCGCCAACTGCAGCACAGTCTCAAGGCTTCCTCAACTTTCCTCGTTCTGCCTCTCCGTCTGGTTTCACTGGCTTCCTCTCCAAGCCCACAAAGTGGTTTAACAGATCGGCCTCTAATGGCAGCATACCTGGCCGATCGTCTACTAGTTCAACGGAGCCCCGGTCGAGCACGAGCTCAACGACCAGAAAACCCAAGATTTCACACCCAACTGACCCTCGCCCGATCTTAGACAGTTTGCATCCAGATCCGGGTTATGGCAGCCAAGGTGCAAGCAGGTGTGTGTTGCATCATTTCGATGCCAATTCAAAATTTGATAATTTGACAGGTCTGTTCTCGATCTGTCTCTGGCGCGCACTGCAACGACGTTCGACAACTCTCATCCTGTACCGTCCGCTCGTGCACCTTCTTCACCATCCAACTCAGGTTTCTCCAGAGGTCTTGGCGATTTGCGTAATATCTCGCGTAAACCGTGGTCCAAGTCTGCTGATGATCTCGGAAAGATATCACATACTGCAAGCCCTATGCTGAGTCCGATTGACACGACGTTTGCGGGAAAGATTGAACAGTACCGCACGCATCGAAATGACAGTGTGGGCAGCAGTGATGCTCCTTCGCCATCGAGCTCACCGCCGGTGTCTCTGCTGCAAGGTGGAAAACACTTTCCGTTCCCTACTATATCCACGACTGAAAGTCTGTCGTCGTCGCCTCCGCCAAGGTTGGCTGCTTCAAGCTCAGGTTCTTCTCCTAGTTCACCTACGCTCACACCTTCCTCTGGCCCTGTCCACGCTCGATCTCATTCATTTACACCTCGCTTGCCATCAAAGTTGTCTGCACCCAAGCTGGGTGGCCTCGGCCCTCCAAGTCCCAAGCGAAAGGGATCAGCTTCATCAGAGCATACCCCTCCTTCTGAGGACCGCGCTACTCCTACCGGCTCGGGATCTTCTCGTTCTGCCTTCCCCTTCAACTTCAGTCCCTCCGTAGGCGACAAGCATTCTGCTTCGCCAGGTCTCCTTGCACCTCCCACGATTATTGAACCAGAAGACTCAAAGAACGAGAAACGCACTTCGCAGGTGGTATATCATTCCGGCTTCATCAACCGATTGACCGACTTCTCCCCCGCTGCTATGCACGCACGTGCGAATCACTCGTATATGACTGGCAGTGGAGCTCCTTCCCTTTCTAAAGGCTGGAAACCTTTCAAGTTGGTGCTGAAGGGCTCGAAGCTGTATTTTTACAAACCTCCAAGTGACCGAAGCACCGCAGTAAGGGATTTGTTTCCTACGGAATTGGTTGTCGTACTTGAAGAAGAGGGTATGGGTAAGGCTGAAGGTGCGAATGCGCCGGTAGATGTGGAGTTTGAAGAAGTTTTTCGTGGAGGCAAAGGCAAAGAGAGAGACGAAGGACGTAGAAGAAGAGCATTTTGGGGACGCGGTACACATCCGAATCTGGTTGTCGGAGACGCCATTGAAAGAGGATCGTTTGAAGCCCTCGTGCATGAAGCCGTCTGTGCTACCACGTTCATGAAAACGGATACGGCTACGTCCGAACCCTATGACCGCTATCGACCCGACTGGCAGGATTTCGCCTCCACTGTCTTGTTTTCTATACCCTCTATCGTTGGACGAGTTCAGTTCGAGACCGAATTCATCCGATGTTGCACCTTGCTTGTGGATGGTTCCGAAGACCAACACAAGGAAGAGGAGCGCGTTCGGGTTCGATGGCTTGCAGATCAATATCTCGATTATTATGGCTTACCTGCGGACGAGGAGTCATGGAAAGGGTGGTGGACTAAGGCTTTGCCCTCTGTTCCTTATATTCCTAATTCCCTCAAGAACATCACGCAATCCTCTTCGATGCAGGGTTTGTATACTGCATCGCCGAACCTGACCTCTTCTCCCAAGAAAAGGGTAACAGAGTTCTCTCCGAATCTAGGAGCATTCTCACCTAGGCCAGGCAGTGATGGACGTATAGTATCCCTGCTTGATGTGTTAAACGATAGTCGAGTAGACTCTACGAAACCGCTGTCGAAACCGAACGCGCAGTCGAATTCGTTACGAAACATCCTTCAGCGCACTGGCCTTTCGAGAGAAGTCTTAGTCGGGTTGGATGCGCAGATGGTGGCTCGAAGTCTATTCTTATTCAATCAACGTGCGCTTCAAGAGCATGTTCCCGAACGTATTACGGCAGATATTTGTCTGGGACAAGCATCGCGGGAAGCGTTGTCGTCAGAGGCCGCACAGGAAACTTCTTCGCCTTCTTCGTCTTCTATCCCGCTAAAATTATTCACCGGAAGCGAAGAGCAGCCGCACTGGCTGACAAAAGCAATCTTACTTCAAATTCTCATCTCCGATACACCCAGTCGAACGCCAAATTCGAGCTCCATGAATGGCCTTCGACTCTCTGAGGATCGTGGAGCATTGACAAGTCGGACACATTCCCGTTCGGAAGTTATTTCTGCTTGGGCTAGGATCGGTGAGATATGTCGACGGACGGGAGACGAGTGTTCATGGCGTGCGATATTTGCCGCTTTGTGCTCCCGACCAATCGCTCGTCTTGACAAGGTCTGGAAGCGCGTAGATGGAGACGCCACGAGAGCTGTACAGTCCTGGGTTCATGAGCATGACGGTAATGCACCCGTTGGGATTTCTGAGACTAAGACAATACCTTGGGCTTCTGAGAAGCTCTCTGCAATCCGAGCAGCATTAGATGATGCCAGTGCGGGGGAAAGCAATGAGTGGAAGGTTGCTTCTCTTGCTCGGACTAGGGAGACATTTGAAAGTTTGCGAGCAGATTTCCAGTCAGCGTCGAAATCGGCTTTACTGTTAACTAATGAGTCTGACGATGTTGAGGCCCTGGCCGTCCACTGCGAGTATCTTGCTGACGGAGGTGGTACCAGCGGATTTGCATTCAAATTCAACCGGTAAGCAATCTTTGTCGCGATGTTGATTCGTCCTGCTGAGGACATATCTGTAGCGTGGACCAATTTATGTCGCTTTCTCTGGCGGCTGAACCCCGCCGAAAAGGTTCATTCGAGCCCTATTTCTGGACAAGGCCTACTGCACACCAGGGGTTCCATCCTCTGACACCGTTACTGTTCCCAGAACCTCTGCCCAGCATCGCCTTCTTGGATAGATCATCGTTATCGCGTGGAAGGGTGGAGAGTAACGCCTCCATAGTGAATACCAAGGACATTCACTACCTGCGAGAGCTTATGCCTTTATCTGGACACTCGCGAGCTAACCCGGATGCGGCGAAAATGAACGGATTGGACCTTGGAGGCACTGTAATCGTGTTGTACAACGGAGAGCTCACTCTTCTTGTGCAGCCTGGAAATGATGCTCTTCCACCTTCACAGCCTGGTTCGCGAGCACCTTCTCGGCCGCCGAGCATGGATGCTTCGGCTGTAGAAAGGACGTTCAATCGTGCACCGTCTATTAGAGTGAAGCCGGGACCTTCTCAGAGTCTTGAGCGTAAGCCTAGTCAGCTCCGCCGTAACTCCTTGCCTTCGTTGTCGAAGAAACCCAGTTTCATCACTGCTGATGTATGCTCTGATCGACCCCTACGTGTAGTCGTCCAAGCCGGAACTCTCGATAAACTGGTCGATGTCTTGGTTGAAGGCCTGCATGGCATTTCGGTTTCTGTGGCTGACGATAATGGTGAGATGCCTCTCAACGGCAAGAAGACCAGGGAACTTCGCGTGGATATGGATGAGTACTCAACTGTTTGGTGGAGCACTTTCCGCAGTTTCGTCACCCCTCTCGTATTCTTCGAGGTAAGCCTGGAAAAAATGAACGTCGCTCGATTTTGACAAACGCTTTTTTTTTAGCTTCTGCGAAAGCGGTACTTAGCTGCTGGCGTTAATGCAGAAACACCTTGCGCCGACGACATCTCGTTAATAGTTCGAACCCGGTCTCAAATCTTCGATACTATGACTAGATGGGTTACTAGTGGCGGCGGAGCTCAGGATGCTCTTGACGACTCCGCATTGTACTCTTCCATCATGGAGTTCCTTAGACGACCTATCGCGCCTCCTTCAGATGATGCCGAAGAGTGTCTGAAGCACGGCCTTTCATTGTTGGATGACATGCGAAAGGAGCTGCTTGCAACAATCACTACTCAGACCTTCAGACCGTTGCAACGTTCAAGCCTTGCGACAGAGTCTGGGACGCGTCGATCGATCGCGTATTCATTTGGTTCAGAACCTCCAGATATTGACAAAGTCGACGCGGAAGAGCTTGTGAACAATCTGGATGCTATGGCTGGCGCTGCGTTCCGGAACGTGATCCAAGAGGTAGCTATTTCCATTGTCTGAGATTTGACACTTGCATTGAATGTAATTCCCTCAGGACCTTTTTATAACTGCCGATATCCTTGAGGTTCAGTCAGCAGATCGTACCGGATGGTTCCCAACTCGTGAGCCAACTTCGATATCAGATGAGGTCGAGATCCAGTGCATGCACTCATACCTCCATGATGTCGAACCTTCCGCTATGATTTCGGAGCTAGGACAAGACTCATTATATCGCTTGCTTCCTCCTGCCGCTAGAGGATGCGTCCGGGCTTTTGGTATCCTGCGCAAATGGTTAATCTCAAAGCTTGTAGGTCCAAAAATAAATCTCCGTACTCGACAGGCTAGGATGGAATTACTGCTTCAAGCCGTCGAAGTGTGTCGTTTGCGGAGTACGGAGATCAATTCTTCTACTCAACCTCTTGCAGAACGACCTTGCATCAGATCCTTTGTCGAAGCAGTTACCACTTCTGCCATTCTCAGTGTCGAGAGCCGCATGTACCATAGGGCTTGGCAACTAGTTGCTAGCGCTCGCTTTACTTCTTGTGACACAGTTGCATCCCTCCTATGTAGGCCTGTCTCCAAGACTGTACCTACCCGTGGCCCCTTGACCATGGACATTGGCTGGCTATTGGAAAAGATGCTTGAAGTCATCAGTATGCCCGATGTATTGGATGCCGCTTCCCAGGACGGCCTAAACCTAGTCAACTTTGACAAACGAAGGCAGGTCACACACTACCTATGTGATGTCCCTACTCAATTTCTTCTTTAGAACGCTTCAAGGTTTAATTACAACCGCCGTACCTCCCGGGTTGCCTTCCAAAGCTCACCACCGCTATGAAAGCTGTCGTCAAGACTTCGAGCGTTTGAACAACATTGAACAATCCGTAGCTTCAGTCTATTTTGACTTGCGGGTTATACGGGAAGATGCGCATCGCGAGGCAACTCAAGTCATGTCGACTGGTGCACCTCTGCCTCGACGGTCTCCTCGGCCTTTCCAGGCGCTGGTTCTCGCGCAGCAGGAAAAGAACAAGAAAGACAAAGCGTTGCGAGACAGGCTAAGTAGAGAAAAGCGGCAGGAGCAACAACGTCAAGACAGAAGAGAGGAATACCTCAACAAGGCGATGCACACTCGTCGACCTACCGCCTCTACCCCTAAGCAGCATCGCACCAAGAAGAGCATGTCGTCAGCTTTCTTGCAGTTCATGCGGCCTATCTCCAGTGCCTTCATCTCTGAGACTGCGACGTATACGGGCCCGAAACGTACTCCGGAAGAACTTGACTTCACGCCTTCTGGCAAGCCTTCTCACGTCCTGAATGTCGTGGATGCGCGAGTGTCGCAGTTCATCAACAGTGAACGATCTTTCACTTTCCAGGTTGATACAGAAGACGGTGGTCATTACCTCTTGCAGGCCATGGACAAAGGAGACATGAAGAAGTGGATGGATACCATCGACCGTGTGTCGAAAACAGCTGCCCAACGTCGACTCACGTATCTTGGCCATAATTCGAAGATGCAAATGTCAGAGCATCTGTTGAACCCTGGTTCAGTTTCTCGTGACCCTAGAGCAGGTGAGGAAAACGTGAAGCCACCTGTCGTATTATTGAGCTGAACCGAACCTTCACAGTGTTCGGTGTTGATCTAGACTTCTTGCTATGTCGCGAATCTCAGGGAGAAGAGGTTGAGCCCGGAACTGTTCCGTCTGTCATTGAGCGTCTTATAGCTGAAGTTGACACCAGGGGACTCACTGAGATCGGAATCTGTACGTTTGTCCTACTCGATGTGAAGTATATCACTGACGTTGCTTCTCAGACCGAGTCGCTGGTGCACATTCTGAGGTCAATGCATTAAAAGAGGCCCTGAATCGAGGTAAGATAATGATCCCTGTTCATTTATGGCTGTAGCTCAAGAGATGTCACTCACAGGGGAATGGCCTATCGACAAGTACACTGACATAAATGCTGTTTGTGACCTCATCAAGGCATGGTTCAGGGTCCTTCCCAGCGGTATGTTCCCATCCGAACATTACAGTGATATTATGGCTGCTGCAGGTACCTATATTTTGTGGCTCTCACAGACAATTACTAACGGATGTCTTAGCGAACGACTCCATGGACTTGGAGGCGAGGCTTTCTACTATCCGCCGTATTGTGCATACGCTTCCGGGCTCCCGCTTTGACTTGCTTAGACGTCTTATGGAACATTTGGACAGGTAATGTCTTTTTTTTTCCAGTGGCACAATTACAGCTGGCTAAGCAGGACATCGCTTGACAGGGTTACTGATTTCGAGGAGCAGAATCAGATGACCGCCGACTCACTTGCAACAGTTTTCAGTCCCAACCTACTACGGTCCTCGAACAACGACATAGGGTTCTTCTTTGCCAACATGAGTTCCGCTCATCGCGCAGTCAAGATGCTCATCACACATGTTAGTCGTTCAATCTCATGTTGTTGGCTTTAGCTGATCTCTCTCACTTGTGCCAGATCCATACCATCTTTGATGATGCTGAGCCCGAGGCGGACGCTGAGCGCGATGATTCATCAGATGTTGAACAATTTGAACAGTTCGACGAACCGATACCCGAAGAAGACGAAGAAGACGACGACATTCTTTCTGCTAGTCACGAAATGTCAGACGGTGATGATGAGACGTCGAGGCTAGCCTTGTCTCACGACTTTCACTCGTGATATGAGTGTGCTACATCCTCGTAGGTTTGACAATTCTATGTAGTATGGCGCGTGATGCTCGGACAATATGCTTTGTAGGTTTATCTATCGGACACACACTCATTTGGACATTCGTTCGCCTGCTCTCTTCCTCTTTCGCCCGGCGTTATTGTACGGTTGGCCTAATTCTACACCATATATCACTGTGTTACATATACCATGTAGTGTTTTAGATCGTCTTCCTCCAGGAATACCAACTAGTTTGTACCTGATACTTACATTCTATAAATAGGTGGAATTGCAGCCACCTTGATGTTATTAACATGAGACTTCATGCGTCAACACGTTCGCAGTACAACTGGGAAAACTAGGAAATCATATGTATAGTTTAGATATAGAGGATTTAATCTAGGCCGTTTTGACACTCCTATTCTTCATCGTTGCCAACAATTATGACAAATCGTGCTTCGGCATATGCACCAGCCTGTGCCATAGTAGCATTATTCGCGCATTCGAAACGATGTTCTATAGCTTCCCCGTCCTCTTCATCCTCCACGATCATAACCAAATGCGCGCTGACATCAATGTTCAAGTGATCAACAGATATTCAAGCGCAATAAGTGTTGCACTCTTACCTCTGTGCATCTTCGCGTTCTATGTTGAAGGTCTGACAAGCCATCGACAAGACTTTGCCGACTGAATGTTTGCCTTTGACTTTGAAAATGGACCGTCGGAAATCATCTAACTCTGGATCTTCTCCGAATTCAATGGTCACGAGGAAATTCGCATTCAGGTCTGCTTTTACATCGTCTTGAGCTGACAGACGAGGTCTTTTACGCGGACTTCTTTGCCTGCTATTTTCTGGGCCGGACATCAGACAAGGGTGATTTGTGACGACTGAGTTAAATACCTTCTGCTTGGTCTTTCGGAATCGACCCAAGTTCCTTTTTCACCTTGAGGGGTTGTCCGTCTACTTGTGCTGTATATTTCAGGGACGGCCATTAGTTGCACTTATAGCAGATGAAATAGGGACGTACACCGGTTTTGGTTCGCGGTCGAGTGTCCCTCCTGCAGGTCATTCATTTCATTTGAACGACGGAAAGATGGACTCTTGCGCTTGCCACGGGCCACTCCCGACTCGTGTTCAAAAGTATCATCTTTCTGCAAACCCTCCTCGTCTCCATTTTCGGCTTCCTGTGCCTCAGAAAGGATGCGGGGGCGGAAACGACGAACGGGCGTCTTTCCTTTTGACTGTGGTGAAGCTTGTTTTGATTGAGAGGATTCGTTTATGTGTCTCGATGGCCCTACATGGGCTGACGCCTTCAATACATCAGATTGTGACGAAGATGACAGAGTTATTGGATCCTGCGCATAACTCTCGGGCTGTCGTTCTCGATTAGAAGAGAGCACATCTTTCAGCACGGAATCTGGCATCTCTACATCTGCATTCTCTCCAGGTGCTGTTAGCGGAAGTCAGTGAAGGTTTTGTAGTTGTGAGTAAAGGCATTTCTCGCCTTCGGGTGCAGCTGCAGGTAGAACCTTCACGTAAACCCGTCCCAGTATGGAGCTTAGGGAGGCCCATGCACTTTCGTGGATCTCGACAAATGTGGTTTCGCAGCCCATCAGTTCATATGCTTGGAGAACGATTTTATCATTTACAGACAGCCCAAATAGCTGTTTGGCCAGCTTCAATGCTGCCTAATAGAGCGCAAGTTAAGATGTATATGATTTTTAGTAGCATGAAACGTACCTGATAGGTAGATGGCAAGAGCATAATAATGTTTCTGCGTTCGTGGCTGAGCACAATGAGGTCTGCCGTCGATTTCAAGTCAGGGTTCTTAATAGATGCGTATTTCATAGTTGCAAGTCTTCAAGTGCTTCGACAATCCCGAGATATAGAATATAAATGGACTCTTCGCAAAGTCAAGTCCAAATTTTGAAGAGCTTTGAAAGAGTTCTGCGCGTCGCATGTCGCGTGTAACTCATGTAGGCGCGTTGTATCAGGTGACCGCGTCAAGGCCATACCGTTACCGTGTCTCACTCAGGTCTCAACTCACCACGAATCATGTATTCAATGCAAGCCAAAGATAACAAACAGTCGGAATGGACAAAGGTGGCTGGCTGTGCATACAGGTAGCGGCAGTCTACCAGTCGGAAATATAACAGGCTTATTTGGCGTCTTTTAGTAGGATATCTAACCGAGGCCTGAGAATATGTCGCGTTCCTCGTTGCAACAGGTTGCAACCTCGTTGAATCGTTTGCAGTCTCTGTCCGCGATACACTAAACCCGCCATTCACTGCATAGAGTCTTGCAATGGCAGAACCACACATGCCATTCAGCGCCCTCGGTGAGGCGTTGCTCAGAGCATCTCCTGCCAAATTCTTCCGCTTGCTATTAGCAGTCCATGATCGCCAAGACTGGCTGAAGCAGACTGAGGCTATTTACATAATTCTCCCCACCATGACCTGGCAGCCGCCTCCTGCTGCCAATGATCCTCAGGCCGAAGCTCATATGGATCGTATGCTTCGTGAAGGACTCGCAGAAACCATCATGCAGGTTGTCGTGGACGAAGCTTCATTTATATGTGACTCACCTCCGAACACTCTTCGGGTACATACTCCGGCTTGAGTAGTACTTCTTCGATCATTCTAACTTTCTAAATTGAATTCTACAGGAGTGTGCAGACGGGGCAATATATGTTGTCCTCGAGACTTTGACGTACCTTGGTAACCAATTTCGATCGAAACCAGACGTGAAATCCATACGTCATATCATGGACCGAATACCCGATTTCTGGTCGATGATATGGACTCATCGTGACTCGCTGTTGGGTCCAGACTTGGGAGGAGACATTGAAAGTCTGGATTTTTCATTGAGCACTGTTATCTGCGCTATGATTGAGAAGGTCATGGCATTGCGTGGAATATTCGGAGACCAGTAAGTCTTTGCTTCAAGTTAGACTTGAGGATACGATTTCAACCATTTTTAGGATCAAGTTCATCGATACCGGTCTTGATATATATCTTTACTGTTGGACCACTTCAAAAGCGTCACGTCCCAACGGCGGCGGCCTCTACGAACACGTTCTCGTTGATCTATGTGAAGCGATGTTTTCGGATTACGTCAAGAGCAAAATACACGCCTCGCTCATCGAAACCGAGCTAGGTGTGGTATTTCTGCGAAAGGTGTACAAATTGCTACGAGAGCCTGATACGCTTGACCGACTTTTGCGTGATACTTTGTGTATTCTCGTGGCTTGCCTGACCGCTTCTGAGGCATTGCGCGATCTCGCGCTGAGTACAAACCACCTCGACCCCCTCTATGATACTGTACGTGCGTGGCATCGACAAATGTGTCTTGGGAATAGGTATACATTCCAAATGGCCGGAATAATACTCCTGATCGCTTGGTAAGGCATACCCTTGACTCGTGATGACCTTCACCGTAGCTGACATTCAATGTGCAGCAGAATTATTCGGAAAAGAGATGATAACCACCGAGTTTTCTTTCCGTCGGCCTGCAATGGCAATATTCTCTCCATGATCTCATATTATCTGCTAGATGTTCAGGCTGAAGATGAACGCAGTGAGTTATACACATTATCTTGGCCCGTGTCATCAGTCTTGACACGAATACACATAGAGAAGATGGCACTTCACATCATAGGCCTTCACATCGACCTTGCACTACTCGTAAAACAACCAGCCTCACAGAATTACAAGGACGCCTTTCATATCCTTAGGAAGATATGGCTTCCGACCCTTCAAGAACTCAGAGGACGCATCAACCCGGCTGGAGTCAAATCGGCAGACACGATAGAGCTATGGCAGTATCTGGGCCGTGCGTTTGGCCTACGAGAAAATGACGCTCCCGCGCAACTTTTCCCTGGGTTCACCTCGTGCACGAAAAGCTGTCGCTGGAAGGATTGCTTGTGCTCATGTAACAAACCCTGGCATCGTCTTCGTGTATGCAAAGGCTGTTGGAGAGCCCTGTACTGTAGTTCAAAATGCCAAACCAGGTCAAAGTCAATCCAGCGTCTTCAAAAGAATGACCTACTGACCTGAGAATCATTTTACCCACCGTTAGGGATTGGAAAGTCGGTGGACATAAGGAGGAATGCAAGCGATGGAGAAAGCTACCCGATGAGTGACCTTCCCACTGACATATCGCAGACTTGGCGATTTGTTCATGGCGCTGTACAACGAGGTAGGTATCAACAGTGGAAATTTCTGTTGCGAGATCAGATCCAGGACAGCAACTCTTGGATTTCAAGCTTCTGTCCTTGCTCGCTGTTTTCGAAGCATGGCTCAGGGCAACGATAAACATAAACTTACTAAGAGTACACAAATTTCAAATGAGGGATTAGAGACTATTTGAAACTACACGTGTATTCGAATATCTTTCCTGACTAGGAATGAGACGTTCCAAGAATAAACTGATCTTCGTTGTCATATCTCGAGATCTCAAGGGGCACTGAGAACAGTGTGCATGAACTGATCATAATTGATCTGTACCCAGCCGTCACGGTCGGTATCCAGCCTTTGGAAAGACTCCGTAAGGGTCTTGATCACGACGCAAGCGCGTACGAAACGATCAAAGGAGATTCCAGGTGGAGGCGCATGTGCTCCAGGGACAGGAGGGGCAGTGGCTTTCTCAACGTCTACCCCGAACGGGTAGTCAGATGAGCGACATGAAAGTACAGACATGGTAGCTAGGCCTTGACGTACCGTATTTCCTTTCGACCAGAGTGAGAAGCTGAGGAGAAAGGTTGTAGCCAAATTGTTTCAAGGCCTCGTGTAACTCCTTGCCGTCTATTGAGCCGGATTGATCGCGGTCGAAGTGCTTGAAAACACCTTGCCAATCCTAAGGTAGACGTGAGCATCACAAGTTCGCACAATGTGATCAGGCCAGGCTGACCTTGATGTATTTCCAAAGTCCAGCAAACTAGTGAAGATTCACGTATAAGAGTTAGCTTCAAGAAGATTTCTCGGGAACCCGCACCTCATTGAATCCAATGGTTCCGCTACGATCGGTATCCTGTGTCAGTATAATCAGAACACATGCGCATGGAAGATGGAAGAAGGGCATACGAAGATTGTCATCAACAATTTGACAGTATCAAGGTCGAATGCTGATGATAGCACTTAGCACAGCGAATTGCGAGCGACGAAATGCTTACGACTCCAATCTCCATTTATCAACGCCTTCTCTGTATCAATCCAGTGTGAGGAAGTATATCAAGCAGCTCAGAGCAATATCACTCACGAAGCTCATTCGCGGTGATGTGCCCTGATCGGTCCAAATCAACCGATGTGAACCACGACCAAAGTCTGTGCAATAGTCAGCGACAAGCACATCCCGAAAGATCCATGACTCACTGAGGGTCGGCTCCTGCAGGAGGAGCAGGGGGAGGACCTCCAGCAAAGCCTCCAGGACCACCATAAGCCGCAGCACCACCATAACCACCTCCAGGCGGTCCTCCATAACCGCCGCCAGGGGCTCCGCCATAACCTCCTCCGGGCGCACCATAACCGCCGCCAGGCGCACCGCCGTATCCGCCTCCTGGTGCGCCATACCCTCCAGCCGGTGCACCGTATCCTCCTTGACCTTGAGGGGCACCGTATCCGCCCCCTGGAGGTGCGCCATAACCGCCTTGGCCAGGCGGGGGAGCACCATATCCTCCTGGGGCGCCGTGAGCTGGTGGTGCGCCGTGCTAAAAGTACATACAAAAATCGAATCTAAGACAGAGCAAAGCACACGAGTAACTTACTTTTCCGTGCGACATCGTATATGAGAGTTAAGAGTTGGAGAGGACGTTAACGCTGAGTCCTGTCCTGAAGTATGATGGTGCGGAAGCAACAAGAAATTGTTCCCCCTATATGTACTCTTTGTTTAAAGCTGTTCGGCTGTGCTGTACGGAGTACTGGTTTGAGATAAGTAATAGGCCTGAATGGCCAGGGGCGAGAAGGGAAAATGACCATCGATTCCACTGATCATATGGCTCAGATCAACCGAGACTTTTGCTTTGTCCACGCAACGCCGCCCGTCAGCACAGGATAGATGGTGATAGATGGCAAGTCAAATTCCAGCCATGATAGTGTCAGCGGTTGCATTAGAGTGTAATGGTATAATGATACAAATGCGCTAAAGACAATAAATATCTCCTCTGTGCCGACAGACGTGTCAGCAGTCCCATGAATAGCAAAATACAGACAATGTCAAGAGTCATTCACTGCCTAAAAAACCCACAAGATTCCTACGGTATGAGCTCAAGCACTGGCGATGACCACCGGAGGCAGCGAATCAATTCCCTTTGGCTTCTTCTTAGCAGCCTGGTTCTGATTCACGTTACCCTTACCCTTCTTCGGCGTGACAACTGGCGAGGGGAAGAACATGACAGAGTTGTTAGGCGTGTCCGGAGCTGCCATGAAGGCTTCCGGAGTAGCATTAGCATCTGCGCTCATGGCCGCAGTAGGGCCCTTCGGCTTTGCTTTCTTCTTGCTCGCACTCGCCGCTGCAGCACTCTTGGTGATCTGTATCTGACCAATAGGTCCAATCTTAGTGTGTATAGGCGTCGGAGAATCGTCGGGAAGGACCACCGGTGGTGGTGACCCAGGCACAGGGATGGATGGCGGGTAGGGTATCGGATATCCGTTCGTTGACAGATCTGGCATGGGAGGTGCGGGTATACCAGATGGAGGTATCGAGGTGGTAGTGGAAGTTGAGAGTGACGATATACGCTGTTGGTAATAGGGCTTGAGGAGACCAATCTGGTTGTCGACATTCTTCGAGTCCATGGGGACGAAAGGTGGAGGTGGAGGGAAGGGTGGTGGAGGTTCTGTAGGTTTGGCACTGTTTGAAGATGCAAATACATTGTTAGTTGGCACCAATACGACGAAGTAACAAACGTACGCAGCAGGACCCGCGTCGGGTTTTTTCCTGCCCTTGAGCAACTTCTTCGGGATTGTAAGACTCGATAAGCCAAACTCGTCTGCAATACCCAACGCTCGAAGCCCCAAGAAATCTTCTCCGAACGAGTCTGCGAAGTTTCCCCTACAAAATACGATATAAGTGTCTCGTTATAGAACGGAGGGTGGCTTGACTTACATAACAAACTCGCCCTCCTCTTCTTCCTCCTCTTCCTTGAACAGAGCATCGTCGTCCCACGCCTCTACGGTGGTCTAGAAAAGAGTTAGTCGTGTGCTCGTTAGTGAAACTAGTCCTACGTACTGCTTCGCTATAGGCTGTGGCGAGTTTCTTCTCCAGCTCAGACAGACGAGTCCCATATCGGACGACATCATCCTTAACATATCGCTCAAGTTCCGAAACTCGAGTTGTGCCGCTCTCAAACAGGGTATGCAAGATGATTTCCTAGGAGTCTATGATGTCAGCGTGAAAAGCAGTTATGTTATCTGAAAGAAACAAACCTCTGCCGTCATCTTATTGGCGTACTTCTCAGAAAGGAAGTGAATAGTGCGACCGACGTTCAAGAGGTAATCGGAGGTAACACCAGCAAGTACGTCCAGCGCCGCTTTCGAGGTGCCTATAAACGGTCAACATCTGCAGCTACATCAGATGTGTAGTACATACCCTGGAAGCCAACATGTTCTAAGACCTTGGATCCCATCCAATGCAGGCAATCGTCTGCGTGCTCCTCTCCCATATCGACACCAGAGCCTTGCGGTTTCCACGGCCTCTCATCGAGAATTTCATCGATTTCCTCGGCAGGTGGTGGTGGCATTTCTAGCGACATCGCGGCGCCGGAGCCATCATCATTGCTTTCCTTCAACGCGGTGAACTTTGCATGAGTCGTCCGTACTTTCCGTAATGTCCTGATGTTGTTATTCATGTGGTAAAGGAGAGTCTTTGGACCCGCGGTATGACTCTTCGTTTTCTTCCTCTTCCTCTTCGGTGAACCAGAAGATATCCGATTGGCCTTAGGTAATGGTCGACGCTTAGGCTCGTCTGGAAGATGTTGCGAGGATGGATAGCGAAGAGTAGGGACGCCGTTACCAATCATTTCATCTGAGCGCATTGCTTGCCACCATAACTCAACAGGATCCAGCGGCTCAGGCGACTCCATTCGCGCACGTTTCCGCGGTCGGTGCTCTGAGAACCCATTTCTGCAGGAACCTGAGCAAGGTGCAATGATACCTAAGACCTGGCGACACTCACAGTTTCCGCTTCTCGCCCAATTGCCCATCCAAGGTTCTCGGAAATAAATCCCCGCTGTCAGTATCCAAGTCTGAAGGAACGATGTATTCACGCAGTCGATCTTCTAATCCGCTGTCGATGCTACCTTTGAGCACGCTGGCTTCCAGTTCGGCTAAGCGCGTATCAAGCTCCCGGTCAAGGTCCACAAAAGTTGCCATCCCCTTGGGTGTTCGGAGAATAGCATGTTCCTCGGGGAAGGGAATATCACGTCGAGTGTGCCTCTCACCATTAATGAAAGGCTTAACGGGACTGGGTGATCGCGTAACCACTGCACGACCACGACCTATCCCATTGATAGAGGTACCATTCACCTTCGGAGTTACACCACGCGACGGTGCGATGTCACCAGGTATGGTAGGATCTAATCGGTCTTTGCGGTCAGTGATATGCTGCAGCAACTTCTCAGCTTTGCCTCTAAGACGCGTGGCGCATTGCCGCAAGGGATGATTCTAGCACAGGAATGAGCACCGCGAGTGTACAGCGTGTAAGTCGTATCGTACCTCTGCCGCGTTGTACGTGAAGCAGTTTGACCAGATCAAGTCGAGGTCATCCTTGAACTCCCTCTTCGATTTGTATGCTTTCTGCTTCACCTTCTTTAGCATGGTTTGTAGGTCCATCGGGGTTGTGATAACTGTAACGCGATAAATATTGAGCAAAACGTGTTTGTAAGTACGGTGACGCACCATCATAGTAATCTGGTACGTCAGTCTTCGAGACGGGCTTTAGGAATGGTTCCGCGTCGTGGTTGTCCTTCAATAAACTTAGCATCGTTCTACACAATAGAAACGACGAACGCACAATGGTGATTGTCCGAAGGTCGAGTAATAGACCCTCCAAAGAGTCATAAAAAGCATCTGCAGCTTTGTTATCAAGACATTGTCGCTAGAACAGTGAACTTGAGCAATGGTAATCAAACCCGAATAATGATGCCACTCACGCGCGCTTCTTTGACGGTCGTAAGCAGTAGCCTAAGGTCAGGCTCCGGAGTGGACGATTTCGCCTGGATTTCAGTTAGTGTACGTAAGAGGTTCTGCGCATAGGTACATTTTAGCAACAAGTCCGAGGCTGGATGGCAAAGCTACCTACGTTCATCGTGCCATGGAACGGCTGAGGTATGCGGGGTATGTGAACACCAAGGTGGTGGCACGGTACAAGAGTGATTTAAACTCCGACTCGGTTCATGCGCAGGACACCTTCCCGACTCAAAGGCCACTCTTTGGCAACGTCCTTTGTATGCGGTCGGCAAAGAGTCTCGATAGCTAAATCATGTCTTTACATGTCTTCTGAACTGAAAATAAAGTCACCTACATTGTGTTGGAAGATTGTGTTGTTTGGTGTGAATAGGCCCCTTACCTTAGATTGCCGTTTTCGGCATTGAAGCGCTGGGTCTCAATTCATGGTGTCGCGGAGATGGGACAGAATGCGAGGATTTGCTCAGTTGGGTCGTATCCGGGACGTCTTTGATAATTCACTCCGTCATCTTGTTCAGTACTAATATCCATAGATATGGCCTTCTGTGTAGCCACTTCACATGCGGACGTGGTTGGGTGCGGCGTCGGTACGGATAGTAGCGGTTACGGGCCAAGCCATCCGACCGTCTTCCTTGCCCGCTCTTCCACATCCGAGCCGAGAGCTCGATAAGCATATAAGGTGGGCCTCGTTGTGCTAGAAGAACTTCTATCTTTTGCATTTAAACCATCTCTCACCAATCGACCGAGCCAATTTTCGAACCCTCCTGCTGCCTCGTGTAAACCGGCTTTTACACGCGCCACTCATCCTCGTGCCTTTGTTCACCAATCACATATAAACATCTTCAGTGACTGGTCACTGCCACAAACTCCTTTATATCCCCCACATTCTCCTGTAGTCTGCGACTCAGGATCTGCACTACCCATTCTAGTATCTTCACTTATTGCAATGGCCACCACCGCCGTTCTTTCTCCTACCATCCCTGCTCCTCCTGTGTACACTCCTATCGAGAAGTACCCTTCGAGCCCTATTCTCAGTTTCCCTCCCCCCATGCCACCCTCCACGTCTCGCAGTCTTCGTGAGCGATGCGGAGTCAACCTTCGGGTTTCGATCAACAGCAATAATGGCATTCTCGCTGGGGGTCCGTGGTCGCCCAAGATCCATGTCCAACCTCATCGTAGCAACCTCCCTCGTAGACGTAAAGTCACGAAACGTTTTGCTCTAAAGAACGTTGATGACGATGAGGTGACCAATGAGAAAGAGAAGGAAGTCATTATTGACCTTACGGCGGAAACGAGCGCTGAACCAACGGTTGTGGAACCGGAAGTTCAATCTCAGGAGAGCCATATCCAGGAGCTCATTCCGGGTCTTTATATTGCCTTCAGCGATGGCGACCCCAACGCTACCCAACCTGGTGCCACGGATGTGAAACCTTACACACACGTAGTAAACATCTCGTACCCGCCCATTACAGAGGAGGGTCACCCTGGAAGTTGCGAGAAGACCTTAATTGGTCGTACTCAAAACCTTCATATCATCCTTCCTGCTTCCAGCCGTCCTGATGGTGCACAAAGACCCGGATTGGGTCTCACCGACAGCCATCTTCGATCCATCCGTGATTTCATTGGAGAGGCTTTACCATATGCCATGGCCTCGCAGCCAGACCAATCGGCCATACGCGTTCTGATCACTACGCCCCCTGGTCGACCCACAGATGCCATGTGTGCAGCTGGGTGTTACCTAGCTTTCACTTCTGGCAAAGGCGTTGAGACTGTGTTACGTTATGTGGATGAAGAGGAGGATTTCTTGAGTATTTGGAAGGGTGAAGTCTCTGGTGATGAGTTGGATAGGACTGAGAAGATCGCGCGGGCGTGGTCTTGGTTGTCCCAGGTTCCAGCACACCAAACGTAGCCAGTCTACGTCTGTTGTCAATTTCCCCTGAACTGTAATAATATTCTTATTGTATCACTCATTTATGCCGATCCCAATGAAATATAGTCTTATTCAATGCGGAGAAGGAATAACGATACAAATGATGAAGCAAAAGCAAAGTGTTCACGAAAGTGCAGAGAACGAGATGTGAAGTAATGGTATATGGGTCAATTCCCGTTTATTAGAACATGCGTAAAGTCGCGTTCCGTTGTATTATCTCGTCCGAAGTGAGCTCCCGGCCCGTCCTCACGTACGCCAGTCGTAGTTCCTGAATAAAATGAATTCAGCATGTACTCGATAAGCTGTGCCACCAAAGAAGCCTAACCTCAGGTGAGTGCTTCGCGTATGCAGGCGTACACGAGATACATAACAGGTGATCACTTCCGCCTATCATCAGCGGAGTAGGCTGCGACACCGATAGAGAAGGGGTCGCAATGCGCAATTGGGGTTCTTCGGATAGGATTAATGAGTTGATTTTGCAGTATTTAGACCTCATGATACTCACGGGGCGTTGAAATGTTCCGGGAAATGATGGCGTCTAAGGGTGCAGTCTTCTTACCTCTCCGGTACGCGAGACACCTTAGTTCCTGAAGTACAGTCGTCGTTGGAGTTTGGGGCGAGACTTGCATTTGATTGAGAGACTCACTTCAAAGGAAAAGCTAGAATACAACTGTTGGATCACAATGCTCTGACATGTAAACGACTCCCCCGAATCCCCCTTGAGAATAATTGGCTGGAAGACCTGGATGTCGGGTACAGCGGCGGGGTCCACACGTTGTGGAGTTGGCGTTGTTGACGGGAGTACTGGCGGTGTAATGGTGACAGAAGATATGCTGGGTGCGCTGGTAATGATACTTGGTATCGACTCGACGCCGTGAGGTTGGAACAACGGGGGAAGCCCGAGGGCCTTGCGATCAACAGGGTTGGATGGTGTCTGCGGGCAAGGTTTCGGGGGACGACCAGTAGATCTATATGCATTGATGTAATCTTGCATACGAAGCTCCTAGGGTAAGGATTCTAGCTGCGCAACCAGCGCGGGAAGGGTTAATTAACGGTACCTCATAACTTTGTTCTTTCTCTCCTGGTTTAGAAACAACACTCATAAAGAATTCCCGCCGTCGCGGATCGGTAGTGACGATCGACATCACGGAAGCAAGTCAATACCAATGGGTTTGGCTGCAGGAGGGGCGCGTGGACGCGTCTTCGAGGTCGGAATTCAACGTGCCAGATGTACGCAGTAACGAGATGAAAACGGAAGGTGTTGTGGTTGCCAAAGTCTTTGAACGCGTCGCAGTAGTTACCCCTCTTCCGTGTCTTCTCGCCCTAGTGTTATATTGTAGAAGGAATAGTGTGGAGAATAAAAAGTGTATCGCCAGCACGCATACTGGCCAACAAGGAGCATCATGACAGAAGTCACTTGCAAGTCAAATCCAACTGTGATGCCACCCGAGCCTGCAACCAGTGCTGACTAATCAGCCATTTATGGAATTTCTATCAGCGGAGATATATCTGAGCTCCAATCTCTCCTTTCTGAGCTGCTTCTGAGCTCGAAATGCGCGCTTACGTGATACGCGTCGAACGCTGTCAGCCTTGGAATCGTTTGAACGCTCTTCTCCTTCCGCACCTCCTGCCGCCGATAACTCTTGGTCGACTAAATGCTCCGTCTTTGCTGAATTTTACTCATCGAACACGCTTTCTATCTCTGTACTATCTCTATAACATAGGGCGACAAACAAGCACAACAATGTCTGGTCTCAAGAACTCGCCATTTGGGAAGCGTCTTCGTGCATCTCAGCAAGAATTTGACGATGACGGCCATAGGAGGAACCGTCCTCGTACTGCAATACCATTTCTTGGTCTTGCATCCACATCTTCACCCTCTCTTGTGGATTCGTCGCGTCCCACAACATGCGAAAGCGGCCCCGAATCACCAGATGTGCGGAAAGAGTACGGTGACCGTTTTGTGCCATCCAGGGACGCGGGGGACATGCGCACAACCTATCATCTCATGGATACAGTTGCACCATCGACGCCGTCCAAGAGTAGGATCATTCCTACAGAATCCGACGCGTTGAAAGAACAAGCGAACGCGCTTTTCACTTCTATCCTACATACCGAGGTCACTCCTGCACCCTCTCAGCCACCACCTTCACCTACGCGATCGAGTGCTACGCTTGTTGCACCAACTACACCAACGCGACGCCGTCTGTTTGCGTTCAACTCGCCTTCACATTCGAACCCCGGCACTCCTACGCGTCGATTGGATACTCCAACAGATGAAGCGTATTCTATGAGTCCTGTGCGCGCAGAGAGTCGCGCACTTTTGGAATCACCGAGACGAAAACTGCGAAACGTCACCAAGACCCCATATCGCGTTCTGGATGCTCCAGAACTGGCAGACGATTTCTATCTCAACTTGGTGGATTGGTCGAGTACGAATGTGTTGGGTGTTGGGTTAGGAGCATGTGTCTATTTATGGACGGCTCATACAGCTGCTGTCTCGAAGCTTTGTGATCTGTCAAGTAGCAATGACACGGTTAGTTCAGTAGCTTGGGTACAAAAGGTGCGTGTTTGACATTGTTGCAACTTCGCTGAGTTACTAAACCACGTATTCAGGGAACCACTCTGGCGATCGGCACAGTTGCAGGGCGACTACATTTATACGATGCAGGCACTCTGACCAGACTGCGAAGTTACCAGCAAGCCCACACCAATCGTATAGGTGCGCTCTCGTGGAACGCACACATCCTCAGTTCCGGTTCAAGAGATCGCATGATTCACCATCGAGACGTCCGAGAATCACACATGCGACCATTCAAGCGGTCGAATGGGCATCGGCAGGAAGTCTGTGGTTTACGATGGAATGGCGACGGCAACTATCAGACTGCGCTGCTAGCGAGTGGCGGGAACGATAACAAAGTCTGTATATGGGACTTGAGAGGGTCTAAGAGACCGGGGGTGAGGCCGTTACCTACGGCGGGCATGAGCTCGACAGGTATGACCGCTACAGGAAGTTTGGTGACGGGGGACGAAGGGAACGACGTGCCACTATGGAAGTTCCACCAACATACTGCCGCAGTGAAGGCCTTAGCATGGGACCCTCATGTTTCTGGTGTTTTAGCATCGGGTGGTGGAACGGCTGACAAGCATATACGTTTCTGGAATGTCCTAAACGGAAATATGTTAAATGAGCTGGATACCGGTAGTCAGGTACGTAACTCTAACTCCTTCTGTCTCTAAGCCTCACATGCTGACCTTTCTTCGATAGGTTTGTAACTTGACATGGTCATTGACCTCACATGAGATCGTCTCCACGCATGGATTTTCGTCAACAACGGCCCAGAACCAAATATGTATATGGAAATACCCAACACTGGACATGGTTGCATCACTGACAGGACATACGCATCGTGTATTATACCTTGCAATGAGTCCTGATGGCGAGACGATAGTTACCGGCGCAGGAGACGAAACGCTTCGATTCTGGAACGCGTTCCCGAAGAAAGATCATCATGAAGATAAACGAGAAAGTCAACTCGACTATGGTCGTCTCATCCGATGATCCCTTTCCCATGTTTATCCCCCACCCCCTTCATCTTCATTCCACCCCCATTTGGTTTCACGGGCGTCGTCTTTCCGGTATCTCTGTCCAAATACCAATCCATACCTAGATTCCCCATCCTCGCACACAAGCCCCACAATGTTTTCACAATGGACTCCAATCTCCCCTAACCCATTACCCCATTAGCCCTCGATCTGCAACGCTACCATTTATATTCGCTGCTGCCATTGTCTGTCATCAATGTTCTCCTCGCCCATCTGCCACTACTATTACAAGTACAGATTCCCCTTGAACTACTACCACCGGTTACCACGAGTCCCGACTCCATTATCTTTATCATGTATTCTGTTCCGGATTTGTTGCTTCATGCCATCTTTTTACTTCACAATAGCTTGCTATGCTTTTTTTCTGATCGACTTATGTTGATAGTGTTGTTTTGTTTGCCACCTCTGTTCGTCTTCATTCGTTCTCTTTGTACATATCGTCATTCTCTTTTTTTTCGTTCATGTGCTACAATATCGATGCATGCGTTCTCAGCTGTCTTCTCACTATTTGCCCCCCTCCATCAACCCCCAAATCTTTACAGATTCGAATTCCTGCCGTATGAACGGTCTCTATATTCTGGCAAGTTTCTCCGGCTTCTCTATCTTCTTGCAGGTTCGTCAACATAATCAGATTCACGGATTCAGGCCCAGGGGTTGTCAATTTGAGGTCTGTCTACGAGACTAGGCGTTCATCCATCGGTGGCTGTCCAAGTGGGCCTAAACGTATGTAACCTTTTATATGCATTTTCGGCTAGGCGAGGGAGTAGGTTCGTACTATATCATCCTCGTTCGCGTCCTTAATTCTCATACTTGGCATCATGCTGCAGCATCGGTTTTCTGTACTAGTACACCAGTTATTGGCAATTGCGGCGGTGAGTAACTGCTATCGTCGAGAATGGAGCGTGCATTCCCAAATGTAGCAAGTCGTGTTTTGCCTCGCGGAAGATGAACCAGTCATCGGGACCCTTGGTATGGAGAACGGATCGATTTATACAGACTAATGAAGCATGTTCAGCAGATTTCCCCTGAATGTATGAATCAAAAGCTGCTGATATTTGCGATCCAGATGCATATGGTCGATGCCTAAACTCCCGAGCCCTATAACCTGAATGTACAGAACCCACTCTGCCAAGACCATTAAGAATGTCGCGCCCTGTGGAATTAACACCCGTGACACCAATTGTCTATCGGACAGGAACTCTGATTGGCAGGCGTGCATAATGTCAGCACAGGGGCAGGGCCGGTCAGGCATGGGTGGGCAGACGACAACAGCCAAACGTAAAGCATCCTATCTCCGCTTTGCAATGGGCGCGATTTCTCTGCTATGCTTCATCAGACCAAACCTCACCCTCGCATGCGGAGTGACAATTTCCAGAAGCATGGGTCATATGTGAGCTACTGCGTATGATGTACTCATTGTGACCAGCTGCCAAGTGGGTAAGATCGCACATCATCCGTTCGGTGTCTATTATTCCTAACTTTGGTTTCCAGGATAGCTACTGTCTTGATGGTCTCGCACGATTGTCTCCTCTTGAGGCCTTATGTCTTCACCGAACCGGTGCGTTTTGATTCCATCGAACATTCCCTGGAAGCGGATAACACCTTGCTAAAGGCCTACGGCGTTTAATGGTGGGCAGAAACTTGCTTTAAAAGCTACTATGCTTCATGCGACAGCTGCAACAGTTTCTTCGCACCCTCGATGGACATTCTCACTGTGGTCTCTATCTGCCTTGCTTGTAGCGTCATCTTGTATGCCTTCTATAAACGGATCACCAGGAGAATTTTGCTAAGCGAGGTTCCTGGACCTGAACCGGGATCATTTTGGTTAGGTGAATTGCAGCGAAACCTAATCTCTTACGATGATACTAATCTTAGTGAATAGGCAACCTCCCCCAAGTGCTTCAAAGTGAAGTTGGCGAGGTAGACTGGCGATGGCAGGAGCAATTCGGCGGAATTGTACACATGAAGGGTTCTTTCGGTGTTAGTGCTCCAGCTCCCCAGCTCTTGATAACACCGTCTGACCGATAAACCCAGGATGATCGTCTTTGGGTTTCCGATCCGAAGGCTTTGCAGTATATATATCAGACGTCAGGCTACAATTTCCCTAAACAGCCTGAACGCCGCGTTCTCAGCCGTCTGCTGTCTGGCGAAGGTATCTTATGGGCAGATGGTAGGTGATTGTCCATGTGATATCATCCATGTATTGCTGAGTACCGTTATAGGGGAGGTTCATAAACGGCACAGGAAGGCCATGCTACCAGCTTTTGGTCAAGCCGAAGCAAGAGCTCTAGTGCCCATCTTTAATCGCTGTGCTGCAGCAGTATGTATCGACTTTCACTTCATTAAGCCTTCACTGAACTCAAATTCAAATATAGATAACCCAAAAATGGAGAGATCGTTTGTTAGATACGCCTGAAGGAAGTGTTGATTTGAATGTGGCGCTGTGGTTGAGTAGTGCTGCATTGGACGCTATCGGCGAAGGTATGTTCCGCTAACCTTCATTTGAATTGGTAGAATATGACATTGATCATAGCTGGGTTCGATTACAAATTTGGATGTTTGGACGATCTTGACAATGATCTCCTGCGCGGTTACCGTAAACTCATGTGGGTGTTCCAAAACCTTAATCAGAATTAAGGGTGACAGTGTATCACAGGACACAAGGCGCACCGCCGCCGTCTGATGGTAGAATCCTCTTTTTGGAGATCTCACATTACATTCCTATGTGGATACTGGACTTCATTTACGACCATTTTCCCTCACCCTCGTTACAAGTTCTTCGAGATCATCGAGTAGTTGCCCGGAAGGTCGCACAAGAACTTATCGATGCACAGTCGGACACAGATCCGGCAGAGACGAACGGTAACAAAGATGTCATGAGCATACTTAGTAAGTGCTTATACCTGCTGCTTGCATTCAACCATAAAAACATTGGCGTAGTTCGGGCAAACAAATCCCTCAATGAAAAGATGCGGCTGACTGACGATGAGATAATTGACCAGATGAGGTATGGTATGATAATTTCTTGTTTCTTTGTCTGCTAATTAGTATGCTGTCCTAGAGTCATTCTTCTTGCTGGCCACGAGACCACAGGCAATACTCTCGCATGGGCTCTAATGGAACTTGCAAAGAATCCTTCTATACAAAATCGTCTTCGTTCTGAGGTGCATTCTATGCAAGCTGCTATACATGCTCGAGGAGATAGGGAGTTGACAGCGTCGGATTTTGAGTCGATGCCCTATACCACTGCAGTCGTGAAGGAGGTTCTACGAATGTACCCAGCTTCATTTCATCAACATCGTCAGGCTGCTAATAATGACGTGCTGCCGGTATCAAAACCAATAACCCTCAAGTCTGGCCGCATCGTGTCTGAAATTCCGATTCCAAGGGGCACGAAAGTGCTTTTATCTGTTACCGCTTACAACCGGTACGTTCCCACCAGTTTATCTTTTTTGCTTTAGATGTTGACATTCGACGACTTCAAGGAATAAGGACGTGTGGGGAGAAGACGCACATGTTTTCAATCCTGATAGATGGTTAGATGATGACACCACAAAGCGAGCAACGAATGCGGGTGTGTATAGCAACCTGTGAGTCCCCTGAACCGAACCTGTGAAGCTGCTGTACTAACCGTGAACAGGTTAACTTTCGCTGGCGGTGTCCGAGGTTGTATTGGATGGCGGTTTGCGTGAGTCCATAGCTGCTATATTCATGTTTAGACTCTGAACAGTCTCTATTTGAAAGGCTTAACGAACTTCACGCATTCCTCGCCGAGCTAGTTGCCAACTTTGAGTTTGCACGCACCCCGGAGCTTGACCGATTACACAAGGTGGCGTGCCTTGCAATGACCCCTAACCTAGACGGAGACCTGAGCAAAGGTGCCCAGATGCCATTGAGAGTATCCTTAGCTTCCCGTGAATAAAGTTTTACTAAAGCCACTTATAGTCTGTACATTACAACATGATGATTTCACGAGCCTAAACGACCACCTAGCAGTTTGATGAACCCGCTGAGCCCTGAGAAGTCTCCGTTGCATAGTGGTCCCATGCGTTCCTATTACAACATTGGTTGATGTGCCACATAATTCGCGAAGCGATGAGCAAGGACTCACTTTTCGCGTTGGTCACTTCCCAATAAGATATCCACCGGGGGCAGGGGCGTTTATGGGACTTGTGACAATGTCCGAGTGCTCTTTGCCTCGAGGCGACAGGACATTGAGCGGAATGTTCACTTGATTTCTAGCTTTTGCGTGGCCATTGGAATGGCGAATATGCCTACCGGTGAAGCTGATGAAGCGATTAGCGCGACCTCGCAGACTACGGAAGTGTTCTCACTGTCGCCATACTGCAAGAAATTCATGAGTGGGGCAAGCGCCAGAAATCATCATGTCACGGAAGGCCTTGCAAGCACAAACAACACTATATATGTCATGATGAACCCGGAACGGTTAGGCCGATTTATGCTCATCTGCGCACGAATCCACTCACGTCGTACAGACTAGGCACACGAAGTAATTAGTACATTGAATAGATGCAAGGTACAAGTCCACGTACAGGCAACATACTGTATTGTCTGGGAGACATTTCCATGTTAGACCATGCTGCGATAATGAGACCGACGTCCACTTACAAACCGTAGTAATCCTAGATAAATTGTTTGAGACACAAAGCGAGGAGTTACCACTAAGATACGCACCAGTCAAATCAATTGCCATACAGTCGAACACTACAGCTGGGAGGTATGCTGCCCAGACGATGGCGAAGTAATGAATACCTTGTTGGTAGAGCAACTGAGGATACGCTGCTACTCGCCGAGATTTGGTGTGGCCTTGCGAAGTCAAATGGTGATCAGCGCGAAACCTGCGTGTGCTCGGTCCGATGACGCCAAGGAGAAGGAGTTCCGTAGATAATATGATTACTATTTCACTTCAGCTTTACCTTGCCTCGGAGGTAGAGTGGTGATACTTACACACGGTTGAGACCATTATATGATCAGACTTATCCTGCCAAACAGTGGGTATTCGAGGAAATGCTCCAGGGGGCAGATAAGGCATTTATTTTGCAGGACTGTACGTGAGAACTTACAAGCAAAGGCTACGGCCCACATAACGGCTTGAGAGAGTGCCAAGGCACTTGTCACGACGATGTTTCCCCACATTGTGATTGTGGATGCATCAATGAGAGGGGAAAACGATCCGTAAACGGATCATGAACCTACATCCGCAAAGAGAGAACGGTGAAGGCTGTCCCTAGCGACACCAACGATAACATCTGTCGCATGAAGTTCGGTCAGTTCCAAAACCACATATATTGTGTATCAGTGAAAATCTGCCTACTTGAAAGGCTGTACCTAGATTCTGAGCACTTCACTTCAGCTCGATGAAGCGAGTGAAGAAAACAGGGAAGTTACTTACCCTGTTGAAGTTCGTGGGAAACATGTCGACGAATACAAGAGTAGCGGCCATAGCCACGAAACCGAGGTATCGGCAGCCAGCGTAGAGGGCTAACATCCCCCACCGACAGCACGTACGATGCTTGAAGATCTCCCAGTCCCTTGGGAGAAATACAAGAAAGTCCCAGCTACGTATTTACAACCTAAGTCAAGTAACAACATAGTGTAGACTCATGTTATCGTACGTACATGCTGCATCCGCTGATGAGGTGAGTGATCAACAATGAAATACCTGTGGAGAAGGTGAATCACCACTCTAGAATACCAACGAGAATTCCCAACTTACTGACTTGCTCCTGTATCGATTCAGGTGAGACATCCTTCCAGACGTTTAGTGACATGGCAAGAAGCTGGGCTGAACAGAATACGTAGACTGAAGGATAGATTATAGGACTCGCATGCAGATGTCAAAGGAAAGGAAGGAAGTTGCGTCGCCGTACGTATCAGATATATATCGTTATTGTCCAACAAACTCAACGTAACTGTCATGGGTCCCTTCAGGGTCCATCCTACTTATTTTCCTAGCCGGTATGAATGATGGTAGTAAGCGCCATGAGGTTTCGCAATTTCTCAGTCTAAACCAAATACTTACCTAGCTTCTCCCACCACACCTAACACCAAAGGTTCCAATGCGATGTATCTAAACTAAAAGTGGAAATGATCAAATGTTTGAGGTGCAACGAAAAGGCTATTACTTCTGTCTAACGATGCATTGCAAGAAGATGCCGTCTAAAACATTAGTGCATTGAATACATTGTCGAATACAGATCGACGGGCAATCATAGCGGCGCGGCGTTGAGCAAACTGGAAAATGGTCACATTAGAACAGAAACAAGATACCACACGTCGATCACAACGTCGGCTCTTCAAAATATAGCTCCGATCTTACCCAAGGGCGCATAGTAGGTTATTGTACACATGGAGAGCGAGATGATGGGGTAGAAAATACAGAAAACAAGTCCAATGAAAAGCCTAAAGCAATGCCAGTTGAAATGATGCTCATGGAGAGTCGGAAACAATGTGACTGACATAGAGGAATGCAAAAGAGGTAGAGAATGGGTTGCGCGGAACTTCCATGCCATCAAACGTCAGCATTCGGTCGGAAGATGTGCCTGAGATGTCGTTCAGGACTTGCGCTGAACGTCTGGAGACGGTAAGGAAACCGGTCATGCAAACGCCTGCATCACGCCCCGCGGATCGGTTAGCAAATGATGCAGTCCGATTGAGACTTGGTTAATTTCGCTTCAAGTCTTGCCCTTAAGGAACCGTCGCTCCAAATAAATGAGCTCCCACTAGCGGAAGAAACAAAAATCACCGAATGTCAGGAACAGTTGCATCCTTCTGCACAAGAAGTTACTTACTCGAATTGTAGGCTATTTCCCAGGGGAGTTTCGTCCAATGGCACACAAATATCAGAGGAATGGTTCGAAGAAGGCGCAAATAGCTGATCTGACCCAGTCTTCAATCGAAGTTGGACTGTTGGAACTCGTTTGGTGGGTTTACCCTGATAAGCTGATGGAAAATAGGGTACTACTGGCGCATTTGGTATAACGGTCGAGTCGTTTATAACCAGATGAGAGTCGATCCAGGTAGGTGGACTGTGTTCAAGAAGAGCTAGAGTGACCACCCATCTCCCTTTCTCGAAGCTCTTCCCGCCATGCGATTCCTTCCTCTCCAAGCTCAAAAACCTAAGTTGCCAAATGCGTCCTGCCAGTGGAATTCTTCAGCACATGCTTGGTACCGCTATCAACAGAAATACCAACCTCTTGCCAAGAACTCTACGTGGACTTGTTTTAGCACGCGCATCCGCTTCTGGAACGTCTTGATACGCATCCAGACGACGAAACCTCCCTCGTCCCCAGCCACATCTCGGACATGGACTTCGTCTGGAGGGACGGATGTATCCAGCAGGACTTGATCCGCCCCAGAAAGACGAGCGAATGTAGGTGATCGTCGCAACTGCTGAAACAATTCTGCGTCTGACGCATCCAGACAAGCTAATTGAATGTCTGATACGCTGGCATCCGTCAGCGGCTCCGCCATAGCCAGCAGCGTGGTGACCAATTCTGCCGTATTCGTTGCGTCCCTTTTGGACGGTGGTGGCCGTTTCACTATAGCCCAATAGATAGGTGTGTGACCTTCCACTGACTTTTCCTGTAGAATGTTGGATATCGAGAGGTTATGGGTTCTACAGACTTCGATGCAGCTCTGCAATACAGAAACCCATGCACCGCCTTCCTGTAGATTTGCTAAATCCCGCACTACATTGGTGACCGTTAACTTTACTTCCTTCGCTGCACGAGCAGCTTGACCAAATGGGAACCAAGAAGGTGCTTTGCCCTTCTTCTTGGCGGAGGAAGAACTCTCAGCAGGAGGAAAATATGGCGATAATGGAGGGTATAGAGGTGAGACCCGTTCTGGGGATTCCGGCGGCGAAGGGACGGGCTTCTGAGGTAAAGGTGCATTGAGATATGCCGAAAAGTGCCTGGTAGTCGCCTGGTTCTTTGTATCATTGGCCCAACGCTGAGGGTTAGTAGAGGAAGGTCCAGGTAGGAGATCATCATATGATGGAGGTGCATCCCCTGGAGTAGGATCATCAGGAAGTTCGACTTTATCAATAATCATCGTACGTGACTCGATTTGAGGGTTGGCGAGGTAAAGGAGCTCGCGAAGATAGATAGACCTCTAAGTTATAGGATTCATATCCTCCGTAAGCACTGCGCTTTCTTGCGCAGAGCCTTTTTGAAAGCTGCGATCAGAGTAGGGCTGTCACGTCGCCAAAGCTGTTCGGCATGCAGAATTGACGGTATGCACACTGCACAGGATATTATAAATTATCTAATCTAATCTTCGAGTGGCTATGCTCTTGATCTTATCTTGCTTCGCGCTTGAATCGTGCCAACTCTTCGATTCATCCATCTAAAAAGTCGCCCGAAGGTTTCGTTCACACCAAAAGTGCGCAGCTTGGAGCAATTTAAAGCAATCCTAACAATGTGCACTGGATGTTGCTGTATTTTTGTTACCGTGTAGCTTGGACTGATTGCACTATATTATAGTCAGTATACTTTCACATCGGGCACACAGCTTCTGAGGCTTGAGGAATCGTCCCCAACAACCATGTGTACATCGGTGAGCATGCCAAAACCTGTCGGAGACATAAAAATGCTGCTATGCTGCTTCAGATAGGTCGCTTGTGGGAAATTTACTTTCTTTTCGATGATCTCATGAATGCACGAGTATGTGGCAATGGTGTCGATGACGGGAATGGCAACTGAACTCTCCCAGATATATGTGCACTCCACGCAATTGCCACTGCTAGCGAGCGTATTGACACCCAGATATCTCATGGAATTCCGTTGGAGATCGGCGGTTGGGTTCTCGAGCGACAAGCCTGTTGAGGCCTGCTTCTCGGTCGGCTCCTCCTCCGACAATTCCCAGCTAGGGCCTCGAGGAGAAACACATGTCCTTGCTGTCTGCTGCGTTTGCGTGTCATGTACGCATCTTCTGGGCTATCGACTCACCTATCATTCACCGAAACACTTCCCGCTTGGTTGCCGCTCGACCTGGCCTTCAGATCTTGTGCTACGGTTGCTCGGCCTGTATGAAGACTTAACATGCGCGGATCGTTTCCAGAAACACTCCTTCACGAATTCCGCCGCTAATCCGCCCGTCCCTGTATTTCTGCTGAAGGAATTAAATGGGGGCGTGTTTGAGGATTATTACCCAACTCCCCGCAGTCCCGGCAGAATATTCCATCGAGTATCCGATACTCGGCTTACTTTGGTCTTTATAAGCTTCTCGCCAACGACACTGTAAGTTAGAACGAGTATAGAAAACCAATTCTACATAGGGCCTTTGCCGTGGTTATCGAACATCCAGTGTGCCTGAACGAAGGACTATCTGGACGCCTCAAGCTGCCACCCCTCAGGGATTGCGTAACTCCGTGATACCTTGTGTACGTGATATTCAATCCCCATTTTATGTTTGTTTGTCCTATTTCGAGTTGTGGCCTTCACTGTTGACCTCGGCCTCGCCCAATTAACGATGAGTTAGTGCTTCACGATTGATCAACTTGAAAGGCGTTTCTACAAGCCTTCGATCTGGTTTTGACCTTTCGTTCTCCTTTTCATCGTTACATTATCTTCCACTTTGCAGCCGCTATCCTAATTACGTGTCGGTGAATAGTCGGTATGCTGATTGACAAGGAAGAACTCTGCTGAACCTGAAGCAAACAGCGGAGTTGAGGCGAAACCGATGCCCGTTTTCTGATATTTATGTCGCGTTGCACATGTAGTGGTTTCTGTCGTTGTGCACCATGGGCAAGGAGTAACCAACATTAGTAGTTGAGTCTGTGATGGCTTCCTGAAGGGGAATCATCGGCGAAGAATTCACGAAGCTCTGTTCTCGCTTGTCACTTACGCCTTTCTACGCCTCGGAGAAGACGTGGACCTACAGCTTTAGGGTCTTGAATTGGTTAACTACTTTCACCTCTCCGTTTAAGACTCGTATCTACGCGTTACGAACGATACGTTGCGCTCGTCATCGATATGAGCGGACGGACATTTTTCGGATTACGACGCCTGAGTAGTATAAAGCTACGCTGTCGCAATCTTACTGATAAGACATACAAACTCCAGACAGCCTCTTTGTGCTCATCTGTCAGAGCAACTACCGTCACTCTACGTAACTTTTGAACTAACTGTCGTCCGAATATGTCTTACCGAATTTTGGTTGGCTCATACAGCGATCAGGTTTACACTTTATCTTTCGACCCTAACATTCCGTCATTATCGCTTGTGTCATCTGTAACTGTCGGACATCATCCGTCATGGCTCACACCTCACCCTAAAGACCTTTCTTTAGTTTTTGCAGGTGTCGAGCAGTCAGATGGCAAGATCGTTGCCCTGAAGTTTGACGAATCCGGGAAGGGTATCATTGTTGGAGAACTACCCAGCGGTGGTGCAGATCCATGCACTCTTCTCGCCACTGGAGATCAGCTACTTGTCGCCAACGTAAGTCGTTCATACCAGAATTACCATTCTCGTCTGCTCAACACATGCGTCATGCAGTATTCTTCTGGAACTCTGACTGCTATCCCCTTGTCATCAGATCCGCCCTTTTTGACGCCCTCCGGCAATTCGATACTGAGGTTCACGGGATCTGGACCTGACAGAGAGAGACAAGAAGCTTCTCATCCTCACCAGGTCATTCTGCACCCCGATCGAGATGAGCTTCTTGTTCCAGACTTAGGCAGTGACAAAACGCGGAGATTGGCAAGGGCCCAAGGTGGATCTTGGGAAGTTCGGGGAGAGCTCCAATACACTCCGGGTTCTGGCCCAAGACATATCGCGTTCTATAGTGCGTGCTTAAATACTGCCTTTGTTCATATGCGTATCAGCTGCTGACGTCGTTGATTATCAGAGGACATCATATACACTCTTTTGGAGCTCTCGAACGAAATTTCTGCCCATCGCTTCCCCCCTCTTCCTGAAATGCCAACTTTGATCACATCCGTGCCTACTATGAGGAAATTCCCTCCAGAACCAGCTCGCTCTCAAATGCTTGGTGCCGAAATCTTGATCCCGTCACCTAACAATTCATTCCCTCATCCATACATCTATGCCTCGAATCGCAATGATCCTTCTCCCGAGGGAGATACGATCTCAATATACTCCATCGCCGATCCTACTAAACTGGAGCCCGTCAATGAGGTGAAGTCAGGCCTCCGACATCTGCGAGGTATGTTGTTCGGCGGACCAAATGATAAATACTTGGTTGCGGGTGGAGCAAATGGCGGAGGAGTCAAAGTCTTCGAAAGGATAGATGGAGGTAAAGGGTTGAGGGAACTTGCAGCTGTCAATGTTCTTGCGCCTACTGGTTTCCTCTGGGTTTGAATTAGTGATATGCACCCAGTGCTAAGATGTATGTAACTTGGTCATGCTTCGTATGCCCTGCCTCCGTGGACCTCCGTTATTTTGAAGAATAGCTTCATACATACCGTACTTACTGACCTTATGACAAGGGACTTCGGACTGCATAAGTCGTCGGCTATAATCGGCCGATAGCTATGCTTGCTTTATTGGCGTCAGGAGCAACTCTGCGCTCCGCCGTCAGGTATAGCAACAAGTCAAATGGAGATGTCTACGTCTAGAGATCGCTTTCGGCCTGCCAGCTGTCTGAGTGGCTAATTGAAACTTACTGGCATAGACTAGTGGTTTCCCGAAGCATTCAATAGCCTTTTGCTTCCCTGCTACAATGGCGTTGCTACGTCTGGACTCACGGAAGTATTTACTCAGGTCTCGCCAGTTGATTCGGACGTGGGTGGTTCAAAGGCGTACAGAGTCATTTGTCTCATTAGCCATTGCAGCCTTACAACTTCGAGTAACGGGGTAGCAGATCAACTTCCTCTTGCTGGCGTTCGCGTCTTGGAATTGGGTCAAGTTGTCGCAGGACCATTTTGTGGACAATTGCTTGGGTATCTACCAAATCACTTGCAGAGCGGTTTATTTGCTGACTCGTGCGATCGCTAGCCATTTTGGTGCCGAAATCATCAAAGTCGAGCCTCCTAATGTTGGAGACCCTCTACGCGTTTGGAGAGAGCTGGACGTTGATGGTGTAAGCCCATGGTGGCGCAGCATCGCTCGCAACAAGAAAAGTGTCACTATAGACCTTCGCAAAGAGGAAGGACGAGAGTGAGTGGATTAGTTCTGGACGCACGTACGATGTGTTAAATGAATTTGTATTGGTTTCTCAGGCTCGTCAAGAAGCTTGCAGCTAAAAGTGATGTATTGCTCGAGAATTTCAAACCCGGAGGTGAGTATTACAGCATAGTCGTGTCTTCCTGATCCGCGATATTAAGTTACATTGTCTAGTTTTGGAGAAATGGAACCTTGGGCCAAAAGATCTCCACCCATTGAACCCCTCCCTCATATTTACTCGTGTGAGTGGATACGGTCAAAATGGTCCTTGGTCCTCCAGACCTGGGTATGCCTCCGTTTGTGAGGCACAGTCCGGATTTCGTTATATCAATGGCTTCCCGGACCCAGAGACAGGAATGCTTTCTGGACCTCCTGTCAGGCCGAACATAAGTCTCGGTGATTCTGTCGCAGGTCTACACGCTGCTTTCGGGACTGTGTGTGGCCTTCATCCGGCTTATAAAGTTCTCCTTCTTATACAAACTGTTCCCATTCAGGTGCTTGCTCTACTGTCCAGACAGGCGAAACAGGCGAAAGGTGAACCTGGCGGTCAAACAGTAGATGTCAGTATCCTGGAAAGGTATGTCATAACATCTGATAACACTGAGTTGAAATTCAGGTAGTTTGGCAGTATGATCAATCTCATGGAAGGCATCATTCCTGAGTATGATCGCAAGGGCAAGGTAAAGTCATTTCTGCTTCTAGGATTCATAGCATCGACCGATCGAATCAGATTCGTGGGCCCTCCGGTTCTTCGGTAACTGGCATTGTGCCCACCAATGCGTACCCGTGTCTTCCCTCACCCAGCTCCCCCAACAAGCCCTCCTACGTCGTAATCGGTGCGAATGCTGATTCCATGTATAATCGCATGATGCAAGCTATTGGCCGAGAAGACTTGATTGGGCCGAACTATGCCCAAAATCATCACCGTGTTGCTCGTCAAAAGGAGATCGAGGATGCCATCAGCGCATGGACAAGCTTACGAACGGCCGAAGATGTAGAAGAAATTCTTCGAGGCGTGAGTGTACCAGTTGGACAGGTCTTCAGCGCCAAAGAGATCGTCGAGAACGAACATGTTAATGCACGCGGCGTCATTGAGGATGTGTGGGTGGGCGACAAGGATAACGGATGGAATGTAAAGGTCGCCAAAGTTACCCCGGTACTGGAAGGCTGCGATACCAAAACGCGGTGGGCCGGCCCTGAGTTGGGGCAACATAACCGGGAAGTTCTGCTAGAAGAGCTAGGATTGAGCGAAGCTGAATTAGAGTCTTATCAACTGAAAGGCGTCGTCGGCAGGGAGTTCCACGACTAAACATCCATTCTCTGCTAGTATTCATTAGAGTCTGATCCCGCTTTGCTATTGATATCATTGTTGTAGATTATTCGTAACATCGTCAGCATCAATATGTGTGCAAAACGAGGGCCACCGGAGTACTACCATGGCATTAGATATGTCTCTGAAGGAGAGTCGGGTCGACCGAAGACAACCTCAGCCTGGGGGGCCTCATCCGCATGAAGGACCATCACGATATTAAAGAGGGTCTCGATCCTTGCAAGCGGGCCCCTGGCAGGATCCGGAGAGCAGCAAATTGCCTGCGGTGAATTGATTGAATCAGAGAAGACTCTCTGGCGTAGTACGTCGGGTTGTATTGCTTCTGTGAGTTTTTCATTGCTAAGTTCGGCTTTGAGCTCATTGCAGAGTACGCTGATCCGCTCCAGCCTGATAGGCGAGCCCGACAGCCAGGAAGGCTCATCAACCAGCTTGTTCAGCAGGAAGTGATTGGTGTGCACGAGGATGCCATCGTGGTTCTCCTCGAGATACACACTTCCGAGAGGGGATAATTCAAGCCCTCTCCCACCACGTGCATCTGCAATGAGGATGTGTTGGCTGGAGGCCGAGCCGCCGAGCTTCTCGATACCTGCAATCGCAGCATCGACAGAACTGCTCTCGAGGGCAAGCCGCAAGTGGACGTGGATAGGAAGTAATGTTGTGGAGGTGGGTCGAGCCCGGATGGCGTTCAAGCAAACACCGACGGACGATGAATTGAATCCAATCTTGCCGACGATACCTGGCTGCAGGATACACTAACTGAGTTTTTTTCTCGCTTCCGGAGACGCTGATGTTACCTCGGTGACCATCCAGATGTCCGGCTTCTGTGCCTGCTGAATATGAACCATAGCAAGATTTTGACCACAAGCCGTCATCCAATCCCAATTTTGGGCCAGGATTTGCTTGCTGGGTAAGTTCCAAGCCAACGCGGTACATCCGTCATTCCACAGCCCCAAGGCGATTTCGCTACGGGAGTTGAGCGCGACGATGTCGAGAAGACCAATGTCGCCCACGCCATCGGCAATACCTCGCATCTCTTCCAACAAGTGAGGTGCCAGTCCGCCAATCGTAACCTCGAACTCCTTCGCTATCTCTAGAACGTGCTGCCACGAAAATTTGCAGTTCCGTTGGAAGAGGTCTCTATAGAGATCGATCTGGTTTAGGATCTGCGGGCGCAGACTACGACCGTGGCTCAGGCCAATCTGTAGCGCATCGCAACGTTCGTGAACGAATTGTCTGAATAAGCGGCAATGATTTAATCCCAACCTCGTAAGACTCTCCCGTGAGCTCAAGTTGAGGCGGACGCCAGCCTGTCATGTCCAGGGCAATGCTACTGTCTTGAGGCTATCCTGTTGGAAACAAGAGACAGCAAGTAAGGGTAACTGGGGTGATCAGCAGGAGCTTGAAGACGTGAGATATGAACGCGACGGCCCGAAGGGTTCCGGAAGAACAACGATTTACCTGTCAGTATCAATCACCGGAAGGACCACGACTCCTAGTTATCATGGTCATGGAGGATAGCGTGATATGAATAGTTCCATAAATGCAAATGAGACTGTAAACGAAACCAAGCTTCGGATACGATGAGAACGGGATCAAGGATAGAGACTATTTGCCCCTTCTGTACAGCATATAGCATGGCTCAGAAGGCATGGGGATCAAGATGTTCCACGTTACAGTTGGATAAAGGTGTATAAATGTACCGAACAATTTGGCCTGGGGACGTCGCCATTGAGCTGGTCGTACATGTCCCCTGTAGCGAGAGACATGGCGACCAGTTGGCGGTAAAGAAAATGATGACTACTGTCTAGACGAATAGACAGTAGTTGGCGACTCTCAACAGAATTTGTTGGTAACGGAAGTAACGTCCATCGAAATGATTCCAAACGTAGGCGTCTGCGAGAATGAAAAGGACTGTCTGACGGCCGCGAATGGCCATCTGTCTCACGACACAAAGGCTTTCGTGATGGACAGAGGATCAGTCGTGCAATTGTTTTGAAGGTACGACCTTTCCGATTCGGATTCCTGTCGTCCATGAAGGACTGAGCTTCAGCTCGAAAACCTGCATACCTATGAACGCATATCGGTGAACGCATGCTTCAGATTGAGAGATCGACGTACCTGATGTCTTTCTATGAGACACGAAGCAACTTGCAAGGAAGTGAGAGTAAGTACAACATTGTCTCTGCCGTTTCCAGGCAAAAAAACACTGAGTATGATCGGGGAAAGAACGCGGCAAACCTCCCCGTTACGGTATGTTTTAGAACGGCGAATAAACTTGAAGTAACCGAATTTGCTTCCGTAGTCCGGGTCTATCAACGGGCGCTTCTTTCAGTGACCAACGTTGTCTTCAAGTTGAGCTGTTCCAATTCACGAACATCATTATTTCGAAATAATCCCAAATTCAAAGGCTCCTTTTAGCTCTTACGGTATCTCAACACAGATATCTTCCATTCATTTCTTTACATAGACTTTGTTAGAGACAAGATCTGCGATTCGGTCTCGCTTGGAACACTCATATCAACTAGCAAGCGCCATCAGTCTCTACTTTCCCTACTCCCTTCACCGTTCCCAGCTCGCTATCTCCTCTACGACCTTGCTGCCCCTCGGTACTGCTTGTTTTGTCTTCTGTATTGACATCTATACCCCTCTATCTGCGTGTCTCAACGCTCTCTCTCACCTGCCGACAGAATCACGCGCTGCACGAACAAAGTCGATCTTCTATTCTCCGAGAAGTCGCTCCAACCCACACCGTACCATACGCTATCTAGCCCTTCCGAGCTAGTCCTCAAGACCGCGCGACATAGTCATCGAATTGTTGTGATTTTAGTGTCTACGATAGTTCATGAGCACGGCATCCCCTTCTGCGTTTCTTCTATGGGCAATTCTGTCTGTTCTCGTGCGTGATCCAAGCCTCTTCAAGATGGTGTAGCGCTAATAATAGTCTCGCCTGGCTCTCCTGCGCTTGTTGCACAAAATATCCTTCCGTGATCTTTGCACCATCTGCTCATCCGTGCTGAAGTTCCTTGGTTTCCTTGTCTACCACCTATGGAGTTACGACAGATTCAACTGCCTTAGATGGTCTTCCGGTCGCCAGCCGGGGGCGTTCAAGCGTGTTATGACCGTACGTACTCATATGTCGCACCTACGCCCAGTTGAGCTGACAGAACCTACTATCTCTCGGCTACTATAGTATTCGTACCTAAGCTCTGTACCATTGTTGGTTCTGTATAGCATAGCGACAACTGTCATCAAATTTAAAGAAGGTTCGTCCTCTTCCTTCTGTCACGCGTTTTATCTGTCAATCTTGACGTGATACGTCAGGTTTCGTAGTGGCCGCAGACAACAAAAGTAAGTTCATTCTTCACGGCCCGTTTAATCCTCTGATGCTATATTCACCTCCCTCCCTGTTTAACTCGATTTGTCTTTTATCAATAGTTATTCCTAGACCTTTAGACTTCTATTCTCCACAGGCCCATAGCTGGATCATTCCGCTGAATTTTGTGTTCAGTATTGCGTGGTCCCTCGAACTGTGCGTCTGTTTCCCTTTTTCTGTGATCTGCAAGCAACCGTAATGAACTTCACATCGTTGTACTTCAGAGTGACTCACCTGGAAGGTCTGTCTGACATAACGTTATCCCGATTATGTTTTAACGAGTTGCGAACCGCTGTTCAAACAGAGCTCGCGTTCTGGTTATATCTCCTTCACCAGAAACCTCAAAAGGAAGAATGGTTCTCTAGCTGGGAATACCGTTTATGGTACCTTGGTCTGTATCAGTGACGTTACTTGGTTGGACTCTTGACTAATACTCGCGTTTCCAGGAAGCATGATTGGGATCATTGGTATGCCCCTTACTGCGCTGATCACCCGAAAAGATGTCAACACGGTATGTAGCTGTTTTCAGCAAATTGCACAGACTTTTTAATTCCGTCTATAGTGTGATGCGTACATCTTCCTAGTGGGCTCAGCCGGATCGACCATCACTACGATCTGCTTCTTATACGTGCTCTGGAGATTCCCAGGATTCATTCGACATGTCAAAGCGGAGGGCGCTGACCCATCTGTGGTAGTCAGGTTGGCAACGTTCTACCAGCTCAATGTATGTGATCTTCGTTCAGTCGATCCTGTGGAATGGCTATTGAACGCGATGAATGGGTTTGCAGCTGGCCCGCGTTGTTTTCAGGTTTCTTTTTACCATACCATTGCTCGTGATCGCGCTGGACGGGATCATCGATGGCCCACACAATATCAATAAGAACGTGTAAGTGCGGAACATTGCCATACCAGGGATATGATTAAAATGACACAATTTTATAGGTTTTGGGCTGGTATGTTTTTATTTCACTTCCCGAAACGTTAGTCATTCACAATCAATAGACTTCCTGCACATGATTGCTGGAATAGGGTGTTTCGTCTCTACATGTATTACGCTTCTCGTGAGTCTACTCCTATCGTGCACTGCACCAGTATATTTGACCTTCTGACACACAGATCTTCTTCCCTCGCTCAATCACCAGCGAAGCTGGCTATCGCCCCAAAGCACCCACACTTCCTAACTCCCCAAAAAGTGCACCCATTACACCGCCTTTCCTTATGTCTCCCCAGACCACACACATGCCTTCAACATCGCCTCATCCTACCATACCTATATCCACTCTACAACACGAGACAGAAGAGTGGGACGTCTATTCAATCTCGCCTTCCGACGCATCGCATTACCCAAATTCCGACCAAGTACCGCCATATCCTCATCAGCCTCAGTATATTCCTTCCACATTCCACCCTGCAGTACACCTACAAGGGCAGAGCCAAGGCATTCTATCTCAGTACCGCCCCCAGCCTCCAGACAGCACGGCATATCAGAGACATCCATTCCCACATTCCCTCTCAAGCCCGCACATTTTCTCACCGCCTGGGTCACCTCAGCAAATCAGGATACCTACACCTCAGTCGCCTCAGAGGGCAAGTTACAAACATCATAGTCGAAGAGTATCTGCTATGTCAACTCCGGACGGTGCAAGTGATGCTACGGTCGGTCTAGGCATCGGGACTCCGCAATTCGATGATAGAGGGCAACAAGGCACTGCTGCGCGTCCTCGACCTCTTTCCCAAGGGCCGCCTAGTTCTGTGACCGTGCGACCGCCATCCATGAATCTACATCCTTATGTACGTTTATTCTCACCGAAGCTGTACTCAATTGTGATTAACCTTCTCTCCGTAGGTCATGACCTTCACGTCTCCAATTGGTACGCACATGCATCTTTCTGGCCACCGTGCCCTACATGCTGATATGTATCGTGTTCTAGATCTTACCGATATACCCCCACGAGACCCATTCCCCCGTTCGATGTGATTCCCCCGTTTGTTCTAGTTATCCCTGGTGCCATTCTGTCGGATGCAACACCGTTTCCATGTATTCTTGGACTATTTATGGCTTTCCCGACATTCTACCCTTTCTTCTATTTCGCCACTGTCTCTTCGTATTTTGTGACCTTCTATAATCTTGGGTTTGGTCTCTGGTTTGTTTTGTATTGGTAGGCGGTAATTAGGGTATGGTTGTACTAGTGCTGTATTTGTAAGGACATGGACCCTGGATATACAAAAAAGGTCACATTAGTGTACCATTAGAGACATACGAATTCATAGAGATAGCAAATTGCGATCACCAGAAATCCTAAGAACCACATCTGAGCCGCGTTGGGCGTAAAACTTGTCCCTATGGTCAGCATTCCAGTCTTCGGAACATGAGTCCAGAAGAGGAGCCACTTACACCTTCCAAAAACATTGCCCGAGAGCAGATATAAGCGAACTTCTATGGATTTCTGCAAGTCTCATACGCTAACACGGTTCTCTCTGCAGTCACCCAGGCTCTTCGTGGATGTCTAGATGCAGTCGGTGTCTACCAACGTTCGACACCTAGATCGTACGAGTAATACGACAATCATGTTTATGGCCAGTATTCCAGTCTCTGAATAGGATGATGAGCACTCTGGTTTCGAAAAGATAGCTGGTAAGTAGCCAGATTTACGACGTTTGACACTTCATGTTACAATTGAATACCCTCTAACAACCTTTGCAAACGCGCACCGCATGAGCTCCCGCGTACGTGTGGAAAAGGGACATGTCTTCCACTCGTAATGATCGTCCTAATTCGCAACACTGGGATGAACACGCTGGGATTTCTCGGTCAGTTCAAACGTGCACGTCCAAATGATGACCAGTATCTTAGCAGTTTGTTTCGAAAAGTAGGATCCGGCGGCTTCATTCTTGGTAGATCGCTCAGCGTTAGATGCCAGAATTCATGGAGGAAACTCGTAGTGTGTTCAAACCCTAACTCGGATAGAGATCCAAGTCCTCCCGGAATACCTTCAAAACTGCGGCAAGACCCTCTGACGGCAAAGTCAAGGTCACTAGGTGTCTATTCGGCAGTGAATCTCGATAAACATATTGAGTGATTTTCACTCATCGGTCTTCGCTGCAAGCAGTATACCATATCGTATAATGGGTAATAGGTCATCTGAGGGGATCCCCTCGCCGCTTTCTGATTGGGATCGATCGCATCGAAGCATTTCGCTGGTGTTATGGGGATCAGAATAGCCTATTCCGTATGCAAATTATGCACTTTGGATCCGCGCCAAAGACTGTAACATTCCGTGAGTACTTTGACCATGGACTTGTATATATCAGAGCGAAGCTGTCTTTTACACGAATGCAACACCTTCTGTGGTAAATTCATCACACCCGCTCGGGCTACCTGGAGTGGAGGTGATGCTGAGAAGAGCCGTGATTATACAACCAAGGTATTCCTCGAGATCATCACCGGCCTTGTGCTCTTTCAATCCTCGCTCGAACCGCAGAACAAACAAACGCGGTAGAATCGGTTTCCAAAAATGCTTCTTCGCAGAATGTTTGTACATTCGTCGTCGAGTAGAGATATGGATACCTGCAGAAAGGTCCGTATGAAATCGGATCGTCGGCCTCAAATATCCAGCAATCAGTAGCTAAGTGTATGGCACGGGTACCCAAAAAGGGCGCTGGCTTTGCACTGGAGGGTATCAGTTGATGTGGAGAAACATATTATAAAACCGACATACTAATACTGGACGTGAAGCGTAATCGCGCAAAATATCTTCGATACATCCTGGCGAAGCCCGTTTGCATTCGCGATATCACGATTGTGACGAAGGCGCGTAAACCAGGAGAGTATTGAGCAATGGTAGCCCTCGGTATATCCGTCCACGAAATAGACTACAATCTTGGTGAGAGCTCAAAGAATAGAATAGCTCAATATGTTGTCGCTGAATAAAATTGCGTCTCTCGAGTAAAGTCTGTAAGTTCCCGGCGATATGGCAAGGAAAGAAGATAATCATTGCTCGTGTCATTTGCGAGCCCAACAACACTTCTCCTTTTTCACAGCATGGACGTACCTTGGACTCAGCGAACGTGGTTTTGGGTGAATCGTACGAGCTGACGTCCAATGCGAGTTCCCACAACAAATTAACAAATCAGGGCCCGGCAGCTTTGTCGCATACAACATGTTCCATTTGCTTTGGCTTTCAAAGCCGAACATGTGAGCGCAAATAGATCACAGGAGGATATATCGTTAGATCGTAAGGGACTGTCTTGGGCGTACAAAGTGCGCAGCCTGGCTTCAACTTCTGCAGGCCGATGAGTGGCCACATTGTACAGATCCTGAAAGTCCCATTTCAATTCATGGGTCAGCATTCCTGTCAAAATGTGATGTCTCTCGAGTAGCACGGGATCATCAATCGGGATGGCGTATGCGACAGATTATTGAGGTCGTTCAAACCGAATTGCGGCATTGGAGGCGGCATTGGAGGCATCGAAATCTTCAAAGCCTGAAATTCTCTTGCTTGAGACGAATATGATCACGTTGTCTTCTTGGCCTTCCGAGGTCGGGAAACATGTGCCGAGGTTTTTCTGGTTATGGGGCAGTCTTCCTAACTGGTATGAGAGGGGCACACTGTAGAAGCGCCATGGCGGCGCAGGATTAACTTCTGATGTTGAAGTCTGCCTGTCAAGTAGGAGAAGAATAATGGTCTCTCTCAGTGGTGCGGACTTGCGTTTCAACGTAGGTGCGGCTCTTGTTGGTAATCTGGATATGGTAAGTATGTAATGTTGGCGAACGTCCAGGACCTGGGGAGTTGTGATGGATTTTTAAGTGTGCTGCACATTGGATATCTGGCCTAGGTTGTGCAGCCTTACAAAGGTATAGCGTTCAACTGAGGGACAGGGAGAAAGGGCCACCCACGCTGCATACCGAACGTAAGCGGCAGACCACCGAGACATAAACGAAACGAGTCTATAAAACTACATACAGTACTGCTTCTTTTCTTCTCTACTTACGATCCTCATATCATAACAACAATAGTGCGACTGACGAGACAAATGCTAGAAGGGACCACGTTATACCAACAATGCTCCCACTTCAGGCGATTTTAACCTTGTGCGTAGCGGTCCTCTCAATAGGCTCGTTGAAGACGTTGATATCCCACTTGGGATCGTAAGTGACTGGAATATTGAATCGGGTATGTCTGTTCTTGCCGATGGCAAAGATCTTCTCGTAGTCCTCCTTCGAGAGAGTGATCTGCTGGAAGTTAGACTTGATACGCTCTGATGCAAAAAAAGGAGTTAAAGAAGAACATAGAGGACAAGAAGCGAGAGCTAACCCTCATGGACACTTTTGGGGATGACGGAGTAGCCTCGGTATACGCCCCAAGCAATCAGAACCTGAGCAGGAGTAGCACCGATCTTGTCGGCGACCTCCTTAACCTCGGGGTAATCGACAAGCTTAGTCTGCCCAATCACTAGATAATGAATGTGAGCAGTGAAAAGGAGGCATATTCGAAGAAAAATATGTACAGTTGTTACCGAGAGGGCTGTATGCGGTCAAGTGAATGTTGTGCTTCTTGGCGAATTCGACGAGATCATCCTGAGGAAGAAGCGGGTGTGCCTCAACCTGGTTCACAGTCTGGTTATGACGAAAACAATAAACGTGAGCGACAAGCATAAGGGCTTAGAAAGAATGAACACACCGGCCAGACACCAGTTGCATCAACGATACCCTGGATGTGCTCAATAGTGAAGTTAGAGACACCAATGGCCTTGACCTGCAGCATACGTATATCATCAGCGCCCCGAAATACAAGGCAAGAACGATGAACTGTATGTACTTTGCCGGTTTTGAGAAGCTCAATCACAGCCTTCCAGGTGTCCACCAAACTGGTCTCGGTGTCAATAGCAACCTCGTTCTTCTTCGTTGGGTGAGGAGGGAAGAACCCGCCTGGAGGGAAGGCAACAGGCCAGTGAATGACTACACTCAAATACGTCAGTGAAGGCATGTATATAATGAAGAACTGACGTACGGTAGAGATCGAGGTACTCGAGACCAAGAAGTTTCAATGTCTCATCGAGCTCCTTCTCGACATTCTCGGGCTTGTGGCTGCTGTTCCAGAGTTTCGAGGTGATGAAGAGCTCCTCCCGCTTGACCACAGAGGGGATGACCTTTTTCAATGCGCGACCAACCTGTAGCGTTCGAAATAAGCGCGTAAGTTGACTATATGCGTTCTGTATGCGGGGAATCACGTACCTCATCCTGATTCTCGTAGATCATGGCGAGATCGAGGTGCCTGTAGCCGTTACGGACAGCAATTTCAACCTGTGGGGGCCAAGATCAGCACAATCCTACTATATTCTCCAGTATCATATTAGACATACGGAATTCTCAACTTCGTTAGGCTTCGAAAGCCAGGTTCCGAGGCCAATCTGTGGCAGAGGTGCACCGCTGGACAAAGTAATAATCTTTCCGTGGGACATGGTGAGCGGATTTCTAGGGTAACTTGGGGAGATTGACTAGTTTCGAATAGGAGAAGATGGGGGAATCAAACAAGGTCCAGATAGCAATGCTTCGAATACCATCGACGCTCTTATAGTCGTCATTGACAGGGAAAGAGATTATTGCGGCCCGATTTGGGGCACGGTCCGGTATTCAAGCGCACGTCCCCATGACGTTGTCGGCGAAATTATTGCCGCCGCCCGAGCTCGAGCTTGCAAAGTAGCGAATTTATTGACATTCTGAGAGGACTTGAAGTATTGAGCAGGACATTGAATTGTCGACTTCAGTCTTCAAGCTTCAGATGTGATGCATTGATGGGGTGCATCACTAAGCACAATGAATGATTGTTGCTTAGAAAGAATCGAAGGTGTCTTGGTAAGGATCCATGGTACTTAGTTGCCTTACTTCCTAGACATTATAGGACGGCTCTTTGTGTCCAGAAGAGGTCGTCAGTGGGGAGCCTGCGAATTTCGTATAGATTTTGCCAGTAAGGAAAATTGGTGTTGTCCAACGGTCCACGACGTCACAGGGAAATACGTGAAGGTGACTCGGAGACTTGCAGAATTCGGATGCATGGAGTTGTATGACAGCATGTTGAACTTAGATCGAACCCTGTTAGGAATAGAAAAGCGTGAGTCTCTCTGAAACGGAATGGACGGAGATGTGACTATCGTGCCTCGTGATATCTCTGTCTAAACCGTGAATTTCGCGGTGAGGACTTGGCCATGGAGAAACAAGCAAGTTAGATCATGTAAATGTGGCAACGTTTCGTCAAATGCAAGTGTTCCTGTAAGAACTCCATGATAATTTCCAGTAAGAACGATGATACCGAGCGTTCGACTGGTACGGCGTCCTGCTTGCCGAATGTGAGACGTACAGCGATAAACGGTCTAGTGAAAGTGTAAGTGATGTAGCATGCTATTACTGGAAAGGCATATTCAAGTTGTCTTTAGGGCGTTCCATGATGTAAGTCTTGTACGTACAGTAAGGTGTAATTTCCGCGAGCTAGTGTCTATTCCTAGTGGCCAGAGTGCTGTTTGGGAATCCAACCGTCTGCATGACGGGACATGACATCACTGGTGAATGCGTGTAGTGAATTCGAACCTACTGGAAGCCTTCATGAGGTAGAGTCAAGTCCCTATCCTGAAGAAAAGAGCAGACTGTAGTTTGAATATATCATGGCTTCCACTGTGTATGTACAGCTACCATCCTCCCGACCTTTGAAAATGTGCGGAAAACGGACCCTGCTTATGGCACCTACGAGTCCTCGAGTATATGACTTGCCCACCCTTTCGGCCTTTCCATCAGCATTATTACAGGAATCTGTTTGGGGTCATGTTTAGATCGAGCCCTCCGTGTGATGACCGTCAGCGATACTTGACAGATGTTCATGGTAATGCGACGAGAGGCTAAGCGTACTAGGGAAGGCAAAGAATACTGCAGTAATGTTCCATCCCACAAGGCAGCATGAAGGAGTGAAAGAAACGCCGCCATGTCACCATCGTCTTCAAACGGCAAGTTCAACCAATTCGATCGCAGATCAATTGATCGTAAACTCGGCAAGCCCCGGTTTAAATTTAGATTTGCTCGTCGAGCTTGTCGTCGACGATTGCTGTGACGGCCACCATGCTACTCGAAAGCTTACGAAGTTTATTCAATATGACTTGAAGGAATGTGTTATACAAAGTCCGAGGGATTGTGAATTGTGATATGTGATAGCGAAATGGTGAGTTCATCGCATTTGTGTTGACGTTCATTCGACCTGCCAACATATGTCAGATAGCCTGCGGCAAGTCGACACTGCTTGGGGTCGACGAAACATATTCAGTTTCTCAAAAATGCCACTCAAATTAGCTGCAGGCTCTTTGAGTGGGCGTGGAGCATTCTTTTTGCAGGAAGTCTTACACAATCTCGAAATGCGACGCATACACCCTGTAAGTATGTGGTTCTAAGTCTGAGGAAGCCCTTTCTTGACACAATTGGGTTACATTTCCAGAAGCCTACGTGCATCTAGATATACTCTTCAGTTTCAACTTGACGCATCGTGATACGATCGCCTCTTCTCTGCCATAGGTGTGTCCACTGACGAATTTCGATTGACACAAGGTTTCATTGCACGACGATCGAATTTTCTCTGCCCTGTCAACCCATCGTATTGTGATGTACAGAAGCTCATAGTGATGTGCAATAGCACGTTCTCCGCCTTTGGGATCGCTCTTGTCGAGTCCAAGATCCACTCCGATTTGACACTTTCATGCATTTGGCATGTACAGGTCATCCACTTCGATGGTTCTCTGGTGATCCTGTCACTCTTGCTATTTCCCCCGAGGACTCTCCATTCTCTGGTCGATCATTGACCCGAGGGTTCTTTCCTGAAACGCATCTTGCAGACTCAGAAGCACTCCCGTTTGAGCGATGCATTGAAGACTCTTGCCATTCGGAATCATAATGCCAACAGAACTGAGCATTTGAACTCTGATTCGTATTGCTACATCATTTATCCTATTCGGGTCAAGTCTCTATATTCCTAGACCAAAAATAATATGCTGACATATTCTACACATTTAGCTCAACAGAAAATGCGAATCCAATTACTGGTAGAAGCGGCCAAGGTTCATTCGGGATTTTTACGCCGCCGTTGCTCGCGTTCTATCGTTGGCAGTTCCTGCGATTTTGCAGGACTCTGATAGTTCTAGCGTATTCAGAGCCGCCTGCTTCTTACCAAGGCGCCTCATGCACTGAACCAAGTATTCTTGCATTGGTCATCTAACGGATATACAATTCCGTCGCAGGCTAGACCGAGTGACGAGGTCAAAGTCGGCGCCTTTGCAGGACCTAAGTTCCCCGGCTAGACAGAAGGTCTTTCTGTGGCGTTCGCCATTGAATTCGAGAGACTAGAATTCTGCAATGCAAAAGCGCTGCAGGGCTGAAAAAGACGCTGCGGCCCAGCATGACTACAAAGCAATTGCGCCATTTGGAAGGAGGAAGTAGATTCACATGCTTGAAGACAGGGCAAAGAACCTTTCTTAGTCAAGGTCTTCTCGATACACACGTTTCGCGTTGTCAGCAGCCGCGCTCACTAGTCTGGTGGTAGGGTTTGAACCAACTTGGTGAGTTGTATGTGTCGCGCTGTGAAGGCTGGAGCTTATTGGAGCTGGACATCTTTATGGCAGCGAAGATCGCATGAATGTAGGCTCCATTCACGTCATGTATTATGAACCCGGAGTTTTTGCGTTCCGTTCATCGTTAGTGTTCTCTGTAAGGAATCTTCTACCGCGGTAGGTACATTCGTTTAGACATGAATGACATGTTTCCACGGATATAGTGCACCCGTCGGAGCGAGAGCTGTGTTGTGTTGCTTCGTTTGATATTGGCGTGTAATGCAATCTGTTCTACAGGATCGTCCTAACACTTGCTTCTCTTCAGCTTCTAAGCCTAATGATATCGAGGAATCGGGCAAATAACTATCTCCAATGCTAGACATATGTTCTATTGAATGTACCGAGGATGTGGCGACACCTATTCAAATCGTCTCCAGGGTACGTATCACGTCTGAACTCATCAAACAGAACTTTCTCATTTAGTGATGACTTTGTTGCGACACAAGGGCCTTTCGAAGCTTTGTCTTGTGGCTTGCTTCGCTCGGCAAACATGGATCGCCACAGAGGATCGTTCTGTGGGATTGTTCTGACTGCCCTTGTATTCAGTCCTGAGGACCGAGGTATTGGCGATACCTTGTTCGATCATCGGTCGGTCATGGATACCTGGGGAACGGTTAACATGATGGAGATCATAGGCCGGTCCAGCTGGATCGGTATTTCTGGCGCGATGGTTACACGTATAAAGGGACTGACATACAGGAGTTTCTGTGCCTGGGGAGCATCAAACCCTGACTACATCATACGGCAAAGCTGTGAGCATTCAATGTTGACAGGATTGCGCTTGGAGTGGTCAGCGGCACGACATGACTGCGCGTCCACCTGGATTCGTCTTCCATTTACTCACCCGAAGTACGTCGTGGAACCAGTGGAACAAGAGAGCTGCCTTTCATGGAACTTGGCTGCGCCTGCCGTTAGCCTATTTGCGGGTCTTGTTGTACGGTTTTGCGTGGAGAGAGCGGAATTCTGGATGCTCGGTGGAGGGTATTGCATTGGTGGAGTCACAGGACGGTTGGTAGCTTCTGATGGGTTGCTATCGGTGTCGTACAGAAGCTGACGGAGGGTGTGGTCAGGGCCAGTATCATGTGTTGAGCATGAGAAGATGGTCTACGCTGGGACTCCGGAGGAACCTGGTAAAGGAGGAGAGTCTTTGCGGAGGGTGCCGACGGACATCTGCGAAGAGTATAATTGTGTCACCAAGCAAGCGCAGGGGGGAAAAGACTTTGTGCGAAGTTGCCTAACAGAAGCATAGCAAACGTCGCGTGCATGGCAAAGTCGATTGACTGTCGATCTGTTCAGAATTTGACGAGATTCGAGAGATGTGGCGCTACAGGCGGTGCTAACCCAAATCCGGTATCTTCTCAGGATCCCGATGTTCGTCAGCTTCGTGGACCACTGCTCCTGCCAGTTTGTTCTCCTTACACTCTCATCTTCTCTCCTCTCGCATAGCCTCTTTATCTTTTGAATTGGGACCGGAAGCCTCGGAATTCTCTCTGGCGCTGCTACGGTCTATGATTAGCTCTCGTGCTCGTATATAAGGTCTCGCGTTTCTACTCTCTGGCTGCATCAACATCCAGTCTCCACGCCAACTATTATCTCTCTGCGTACACTATGGGCAACACCACATCTACACATGTCTGCCCCTCTGTCTCTGCCCCTGTCTCTCTCAAGCATGACTCTCAGCACAAAGTCATCCTCCGCAAGCGCTCGATGCCTCTCTCTGTTCTGACACTTGGCTGTGTACCTGCTCCATCATACTATGAAAGTTATTGTCCTTCATCTCAGGAGACCACCGTTGCCGACCGCGACGAGAAACTCAGCTTCGACCCTCCTCCGCTCTATGCCTATTCAACACACGACTCGGACCTCAATGTGGACAGCGCGTCAGCCGCATATAAGACCTTCCTCAAAACTTACCCCGAATATCATTCAACGTGGATTCTTGACTCGCTCAGAAGAAGCGACTTCGCAAGACTCGATCGGGCTGGCGAAACCTACGTAGATTACATGGGTGGCTCGCTCTATCCTGAGAGCCTCATCCGCGTCCATACCGAATTTCTTCAACAAAACATCCTTGGAAACACTCATTCCGTAAGCAATGCGTGAGTGTTTGTTCACATTAACTCGTTGTACGTACGGCTGACACATTTTCCCTCTTACAGATCTAGTCTCTCTTCCGCATGTGCCGACGAAGCCCGACAAGCAGTCCTTCAGTACTTCAAAGCCCCTGCAGGTTACACTGTTGTTTTTACAGCCAACGCTTCCGCTGCTCTCAAACTCATTGGCGAAGCGTTCCCGTTTCAAGAAGGAAGCAGCTACGTCCTTAGCGCGGACTCCCACAACAGCGTCCACGGAATCAGGAAGTTTGCCTCTCAGCGCGGCGCGCAGGTCACCTACATTGAATCTACTCCTCGAGGTGGCTTGGACCTTGCTGACGCTAAGGTAGGACTCTTTCCAAACTTGATTTTATATTCATTTACTGACAACTTCTGTTTTAGCACATCCTAGCAGACAACAAACCAAAGTCAAGACACGCCCAGCCTTCGCTCTTTGCCTTGACCGGACAGTCCAATGTTTCGAACTCCAAGAACCCGCTATCTCTCATCAAGTACGCCTCGGCATTGGGATATTCTACCCTCCTGGATGCCGCAGCCCTCGCGCCGACCTCAGTCTTCTCCTTGGCAGAGCACTCGGTAGATGCCATGGCTATCAGCTTCTACAAGATGTTTGGTTTCCCGACGGGTGTCGGAGCCCTCGTTGTAAAGGAGTCTTTCCTTGAACAACTCGAGCGTCCATGGTTCGCTGGCGGGACCGTGGATGTCGTCCAAGCTCCCGGTATGCTTTATACAATGGTCGGTGAGCCTCATGAACGCTTCGAGGTTTGTTTTCCTCTTTCTCATTGAAATTCAACCGCTAATTGTCGCCCATTGAATTTTGGAATATAGGATGGCACAATCAACTACTTGAACCTTCCCGCTGTGACAGAAGGCCTCCGATTCCTATCCGCATACCTCCCGTTCTTACCACTGCGTCTATCAACACTAACTCATCACCTCGTCTCTTCACTTTCCGAACTCCGACATGATGGCACAGGCACCCCCGTCGCACGGGTGCTTTCACGCGTCCCCTCTAACCGAGTGAAGACTGTGGGTGGACAGTCCGATTGTGGGTCAACCGTATCCCTCATTTTCCTATCTGTAAGTATCTATGCTACATTCACTTCCCGTGAATCACGCTAACTTTATTGTTTCGTTTTCGTTGTACAGCCCTCTGGCGAAATGCTCCCTCTTTCCTTCATAGAACATGCCGCGACCTCTCAAAATATCTCCCTCCGCACAGGTTGCATGTGCAATCCGGGTGGTGCCGCTGCCCTTCTCGACGTCCGAGATGACATGGCCCTTCTCTACCCCGGAGTCACCATGCGTGACTTTGAGCAACAGGTTGGGAGAGAGCTGGGTGTCGTCCGGATTAGTCTTGGGCTGGCCAGCAACTTCCAAGATGTGTGGAGGGTGATTCAGTTTGCGACTGACATGGGGAAGGAGGAAGTGAGGGCAGCTATGTGGAACGCTTGGGCGGAGGAAAAGATTGGGATGGCGTACTAGGACACCTTCGCGTCAGGCCGATTCAAAAGTTCGAGTCAGCAGACTCGGACAATATGCAACCCTTTCGTCTTCAAGCATATCTCGCTGTTCTTCAAGTTTGCCCCTTTCATACCATTACTATCACTCTCAACGGAACGGAACGGATCTGGATCTCTGAAGTTACGCACTACGCATTTATCGTTTGCTATTTATTCGTCTCTCTTTTACTTTATTCGTTTCTCCACAACCTGCATATGTACTCATATCCATGTCTCCAAGCCCCTCTCGAGCTCCCGGCGTTGTATCACTTCCTCCTTCCCCTCTCCTCGTCTCTCTCCACACTATATTCAAACTTAATAACATTCGCGCATCCCTTGTATCACTCGCTATTTCCTTACCCGCTTTGTCAATGAATCGAATTGTCGTCGAAGTCTTCTCACCGTCTACAGAAAGAATTACCGCGTGAACCGGAGGTGCCTATCCTGTTACACATTTGGACTTCTTCAGGGTCTATGATGAAAGATGTCAAGAATACACTACTCATGGCGGTATTGCCTCAGATCTCGAACGTCCTCGTTTTCCAGAAGTATGTCAATGCGACGAACCGATCACAGATGAATCGCCATCAGAGAAGGTGTACTTGGCACGCCTTGCTAATCCCAGCATTAAGTATGCAAGGTGTAGCGTGACACCTGGAAGTGGAGGTCCCTGAGCTGCTGCCGAAATAGGCGGAAACCAGTTTGTTTCAATCCAGACGAAAATGTTCAGGTAAAGGTGCATATATGCGTGTAGCGTGCACTCCAGAATGAAGAAAATCGTGAATCCCATTAAGTCATACTAGAATCACATACACAGAGAGAAAAAGAGATCGTAAGTATATGAACACACTATGCACAACAATGCATCAGACAGCAACAGCAGCTTTCTCGGCCACAACAGGTTGAGCTTCGTCCTTGAAACCCTCACGTTCGCCAGTTCCGATCATGTTGAGCTCCGTTTCCTTCTGATCGAGGTCGTAGAAACTATTGGAATGAATGTTAGTGAGATGGCGAGGAGAAAGCATCGATTCAATGTGACATACGTGACGAAGAAGAGAATGCCGACTACCCAGGCGACAATACCGAAGGAGCCAAATAGCCATGTGAAGCGCTCCTCAACGTTGACCGCCGTGAGAGCGAAGTTGATAGCGGAGGAGATGGCGTTCTGGAACTGCGAGAAGGCGGTGACAACGGACTTCATCCTTTTCGGTGCCTTAGTGAAGGCATACTCAATAGAGGTGATGCTGGCCTGAATGAACAACAACTGGTCAGTAACACGAATCGTGCAGGTTTCACAGGAAGACATACAAAGATCTCAGAAAGACCAACGAGAATGTAAGGACCAGAGACAACCCAGACGTTGATATCGGCTTGAAGAGGCTTTCCGTCCGCGCCTACACAAGCAGAAGGTTGGTTATCATGGCATGGCGATCTCAAGTAGAGGAAGTGTTCTAGAACGGCGGCGTAAAGCATAGCAAAACCGGCGACAATGAAACCAAGAGAGATCCGCTTGATGGGGGAGAAGTTGATCTTCCAACGACGCAAGAGGGGGTAGACACCATGGTCCAATATGGGAATCATGATCTATAATTGACGGGAAGTTCATTGATCGATGTTATACCAGACGGAGTAGACGGTCGAACATACAACGATAGAGATGGGGTTCAAGTTCTGAATCAGATCATTGGGTGTTCCATTGAGCCTCATAGAAGCAGCCATAGTACCCAAGTTACCATCGATCTGGGAATAGCCTGCAATGAATACTTAGTACCTGATTTGAAATAAACTAGATGCATTGACGTACATAGCCAGAAGAAGGGGAAGAACAAAAACACTTGGCATGCTTTGTATGTTCGGTAGACTTCATCGACGAAATCGCTATCCCAAGTTACGGTAGCAGGTCGTTTGCCCTTAGGAAACGAGCTTGGACGAGCAGGATCCCAGAACGTGGGCGCTTTCATGTTACGATATGTCTTGACAGGGTTGATAGACAAGGCAGGAACAAGACACATCTTCGTCACCCGGAAAACCTGAGAAACACGACATCAAACTGAATGCGAGCTAAACGCGAGACACTTCACTCACTTCCAGTAAAACCGACCCACGGGGTGGCGTCTTGACATAGATGCCCTTTCCAGCCAACAGAACAAGTGGAACCTAGAGCGCACAGATTCTCACTCAATATATCATCACGGGGAAAAGAGATTTTCGGATGCTTACGAGCGCGAAGATACAGGTGGGAACGAGGTAGGATTGCCAATAACCATGGTCACGAGCGATAAATGCAGCAGAGATAGCACCACATGAACCCAAATTAATCGCGGCGTAGAACCACATGTAGATTCTTTGAACGGTGATGGCAGGGTCGCGGATGATGACTTCGCCCGAGGGAAGTGTCTCCTTGCGAAGCTTACCAGTGTATTGCTCCGCAATCATTGGTGAGACGTTGGCCTTGATGCTGCCAGCGCCAAGACCCATGATGACGATGGCAACAATGAGGAGACCGAGGGCAACATCAGGGTGTTGGAGTGCCGGAGGAATGGAGGAGCACACGAGGACGATATGACCAACGCTAAAGGTACGGACGGTTAGTGCTTGAAAAGCCGAACAGGCGGCTATTTGAATCACTTACAGGCACACAAGGGAGAAAATCATGATTGTATTGTATCGACCCCATAGGGTGTCAGCCAAGATACCTCCAACGAAGGGAGTACAGTAGACCCAGAAGGTGTTGAACTAGCACGCCAAATCAGACTCATAGAATATGCTGTTCGACATATGAATGCTCACTGTTCGGATGGCGAAAGACTTCTGGACACCTTTGCCTAAAGCACCTGCGACACCAGAAGCACGATCGGCCTTAGGTACAGCACCAGTGGTCGAACCAGGCGGCAAAGGTGCACGAATATAGTTGTTGAACGAGTTCGTGGTACCATAGTAGGTCCATCTGATGTCGTGTGAGTATTTTATAGTCCAGGCGAATCCGGAGAACGACGCACCGTTCGGCAAACTCGACAATAACGACCAGGAAAGATGCGTAGGGCAGAGTGTCAGGGACATGTCTAAGGGTGTGGAGCTCGTGCTCGGTCACGCCCTCGGAGCCCTCAATGACCTTGTCACTGCTGTGGCTCTCATAGTCGGTCTTCTCATCGGCAATAGAGGAAACGTTGGTCAAGCGATGGTCCTCAGTCTTCTTCTCTGGCTCGAAGGTGGTCGCCATTGTAGTTTAACTATGCTGCCTACACGAAGAGAATCGGTAGGGGACGGTCTTGCTGGTCCTGCGAAAGAGGCAAACAACCCTCATTCCGTGTACACACTTCATTTTATACCACCTCGAAAAATGTAGCGGGACGATGAAATTGCATGATAGCGGTCCATGTGCAACCATGTCTTGGCGGGGCCTGGGGCGGCGTTTTCATGAAGATAGCGCGTTTGCCGCTGGTGTCGTAATGTGAACTGTGAACATTTGGTGGTCGCATTAGTTAGTACTCCGACCCGGGGATTGGAGTCCTTCAGGCACGTAAGGGGAAGCGAGAGGCTATTGCAGACGATTCCACGAGGTGCTCTTCCCAATTATGACAGCGTATGCACGATAGCCAAGAATGTCAAGAACATTATAATATGATGTGTTCACCTCGAAGTCTCGACCAAGACAGGCAAAGCTTTGCCCTGCAAGTGAGTGAGATCCGAGCCCTGGAGTGACCTCGTGTGGTCAATGGCGATAAGCTGAATTTCTTACAATAGCTGTAAGCATCCAATATTCATCCTTCTCCGGTAAACTCGAACATGCCCACCTGAGCCCGCCCAAAGCCAGCCGGATAGAAAAAAACTTCTGCATTGCCGTTTGCATTCGAGCGTACATGTGCACACGATCAAGCGCAATCGCAAAACGATCGAGCGAGGCGTGCCGTCCCTGCCGTGCCTGGCGAAGTGTGGGGAAGTAAAATTGCAAAAATGAAAGTCCCGCTCGAGCACAAGTTCGCTATGTCGACAACTTTCTGCCAACGCAGCCGGGAAGGCGAAGGAAATCTGGCGCTTTTTACGGCGCCCGCACGTGGAGAGACATTCACGTGTAGGCGCGTCGCGTCGCGAGTTCTGTAGAGTCGCAATATGGCGTTCTTGAAAGCGATCCGATACGTTTATAGCTCCTGAGAGGGTTTCTGAACTAATCAAAGGTTACACCAGAGACTTTGACGGTGAATCGGGTAATCTTCAACGAGAACACGGCGAAGCATAAGCAGTTGAGCTGCGGAGTTGGTGGAAGCCTCAGCACAACCAGCCTTTCAAGTAAAATAGTGTCACTGCAATGAAGGTGTCGCGGTACAACATGTAATAAAATGGCTGATAATTGTTAGCTGAAACTACCGTAACACGCAAATGACATTTGTACATGGTTCTTACCAAAATTTAGAGCTATTCGATGGAACGAATGCCACAAGAGTATCAGCATTCGCGTTGCAGCGAGCCTATCAATGACGTTTGAGCGTACTCAACCTGTAGCGATCCACTCAAAATCCTTTAGAGACCACTATGGTTAGATGGAGATATCCCAGAGCAATTATATGCAGAGGAACACAATGTGGTACAAAAAGAACCCACATTTAATATTTATGCCTGCAGCGACAAGCGCCCTCATACTAGCGCCCATAACTCAGCGCACATCAGTGTCGAACTGAACATTGACTACAACATAGACAGTACTAGGACTCTTTCCAAGACCCCCTTTTCTGATTTCTTGGTGCTGGGCCCAGATATTTAAAAGAGACACGGAGGACCTTCAATACACATTCACATGGACTCCATATTCTCGCAACTCAATGTTGCCCTCCGAGGGCCAACGGGTACACCGCAGTCGCCCACGGAGACCATAACTCGACTAAGCGACAGACTTGCTCAAGCAACTCAAATCGGAGACAGGAGGTCAACGGTTCTCACTCTCAAGGGCCTTTCAAGAGACTGGAAAGCAGAAGTCGGAGAACGCGCTCTTCCAGGCCTCGTTGATGTTCTATTGAACGACGCTGAATTAGACGAGGAGATCGGAAAGGCGGTTTTGGATACATTGTATGTCTTGTGCAATGTGAATGAAGAGGCTGAGTCAGGTCGCGGTCAATTGCACACCCATATACCACCGCAAGTAAACAAAGAACTTGGCTTCAAGCACACGGATGCATTGCTTGCGGACGAGAGAGTTACGCACAAGCTTTTTGCTTTACTAGCACACCAATCATTCTATCTGCGTCTTGGAGTCCTCGAGTTACTCCTCATTCTGTTACACAACCGACGCCAGGTGGTACAGGGCTATTTCTTGAAGGCTCCCGTAGGAGCGACTTCTGTTATTGCTGTTCTGGAAGAGCAGCGTGATCGACTGCGAGATGGTACGGTTATACCTTCATCGGTGTATGGTATAATGCCTCATCTAACGTTTAGTCTCTTCGTAGAGGCTCTTATCATGTTCCAAACATTGGTTCATCAAAGTCCGGATATCCAGAAAGTCCTTGCATTTGAAGGAGCTTTCGAGAGGCTGTTCGGTATCGTCAGAGCGGAGGGTGGATTGGAGGGTGGGCATGTTGTGCATGATGCCTTGGCATGCGTGGATGCTTTGTTGCGGTTCAACAGTTCCAATCAGGTGCATATCCACGGTCGTAACTATAACGTCACTCACACTCACTCTAACACATAGAGCTACTTTCGAGAGACGATGCTTCCACCGATGCTTCCGGCGCTTCTTCTCTTTCCGCCCTCACTGAAAGTGAGCGAAGAGGTCCCTCAAGCATTCGCGCTGCAATTTTGGGACACACCCCAGAAACCTGCAAATGCTAGTCTCATTGTGGGCATCATTGGTATGCTCGTAAACAGTAAAGGTGGTAGTGTAAGCCTGATTTCTTCCTCACAATTATTCTATCGCTGAGGTGTATATTTGTGATATAGGTCGAAGAGACGAGGACGTTCTCCAGGTGCTTGGTTGAACTCGGGCTTGCTAGTAATGCGCCAACATTCTTGAAGACGCAAGTACGTCAAGGTTCCTTCATGACTATCCTGCTGGTACTTATCCCTTGATGCTCTCACTTCATCTCCTAGGCTCTACGGTTGCTCCCGCCAAATCTCGGCATACCTCTCCCTTCAATAGTCGTCACACCGTATATGCCAGTGCCTGGAACTAATGACGAAGAATGGGACCGGCTAGAACCTGCGAGTGCTTTGGATGCACTTGTAGAGTTGGTCCTACATGGAGAATATAATGGTCTGTTTGGGGAGAGGAGAGCTAAAGATGGTATGGAGCTTAGAGCAGCTGCTCTTGGTGTCATTCAGGTATCCTTCCTATCTTTTCATGTGGAGTGTACTCGTATCTGATGCTGTTTTAGAATTTCGTCCAAAGGGATGAGATTCGTGAAGCCATTGTTCGCGCTATGCTTCCCGCAGATGGTAACACTATCCTCTGATTTCCATTTGCTCAATCTGATCGCACTTCTTTTATTGTAGGTTCGAATACACCACCACCAACCACACCACTCTTACACGCACTCACAGCGCCACCGCATTCACCCCTCGATATCGCCGCGGTTACATCTACCCATCTCTCCTGCCTTCTCTTTGCTCACCTTCTCCGATATGCACCACGTACAAAGACCCTCGCTCGATCCATCATTCCCCAGCCTAATTTCCCCAACACACAACCAGGTGGAGAATTCTTCGTACCTGCAGATGGCGGTGCCCCACCCCCTCCTCCTCCCGCACCAGAGGAAGAGGAGGAAGAACCAGAGAGTTTGCTTCAGACACTCAGCGAGCATCTCTCGTTAGCATTTTTGTCCAAAAATAGGGCAGATACGAGTGATCAAGAAGCGAGAGAGTGGGATCGGTTGATTGTGGGCTATTTAACCTTACTCATACAATGGTTGTATGACGATCCTGGGTCTGTGAGGGATTTCTTGCAGACGGGTGGTTTGGGCATGGTATGTATCCTTTTTTTCTCATGTCTCGGTTTTCGTCATCTTCAACAAGGTATTGACGAGAGCACAGTTAGTGGAACCTATCAACCAAATGGCCGACTCCGATCCTGTCATCCCAGGTCTCTGTGCACTACTACTCGGTATCTGCTATGAATTCAATCGAGAACCAGGAGAGATAACCCGGTAGGTCTTCATTATGCACTCTCTTTCTTCTGCGATGACTTAATCTACCCCCTTAGAGCAACTATACATCCAATTCTTACCCGTCTTGGCATAGACACCCTCATTGGACGTATAACTCACCTCCGTAATGATGATCGGTTCAAGGCTATCGGTCCAGATACTCTTGTCTTGCCATATCCGAATCAAGCTTCTGCTCTGCCCGGTGTACCAGGTGGTGGTAGCGCCGCCGCCGCTGCTGCCGGGGACGTGAAAAAGGAGACGGAAGCTGAGATCTGGTTCGACTGGGCATTTGTAGATTTCTGGAAGTCGAACTATTGTGAGTGCGAAGTCTTTCATATGTTTGGGGATAATCATTGATGAGAGAATGAATGCCTATAGATACGGTTGTGAAAGGAGTCGCGGTAGATCCGAATGAGGCTCCGCCAACGGCCAGTACGTGTCTGCTACAAATCTCCATGCGGTGTGAATCTTACATTATTCCAGGCCAAAATGCGGAAACAGAGATGCTGGTGGCGTCGTTGCGCGAGGTCATCCAGAAGCAATCAGATGAGATTCAAGACCTCAAACGACGGCTTAACGAGTTCACCGCATCTGCTGCAGCTGTTGATGTGAGTCTTCCCCCATTTTCGCTCCTCTCGTTATTGTCCCCATGTACATGTATTCATTCTACTTTTCTTTCATAGGTTCAACGAATAGCTCAACTCGAAGATGACCTCAAGTCAATGCGAGATGCATTTGAAGTTGCCGACGATCGACGCAAAGACGTCGAAAAAGAGCAAGAAGACTTGTTGGTGTTATTGGATGAAATGAATCTGAAACGGAGTAGAGATAAGCAGAGGATGAGGGAAGCGGGCTTAGCGGTTAGTGAAGATGAGGACGATGGACTGGACGATGACGAAGAATGACGTGTGGTAGTGTAGTTGCGTTTGAATACTTCTCATGGACTAATTGGATGTAAGTACCTTAGTTCTGGATTTCGCATTACTAGCCGCTAAAGGGCTGAGACTTGAAATATCAAGGGAAACTTAACATCAAGTACAGTAATAATGACGAAAGCCGAACCTAATGTACAGATAGGAAAAGCCTGCAGGATGAGCAAAGTCCATAAATGAAACCAAATACTACGTGTAGAGATCACTCGAATACACTCCCGTCCATACGGACACCCATGTTCTGCTTGACGTCCATGCCCAATAACTTCATCTTGCCAGCCTAAAGGAGTTTGGTCAGTATACGCCATGAACCGACAAAGCAGAGGGCAATCAGGGATTTAGATGCCCAAACGTACCTCAATCCGTTCTGCCTGAACCCTCCTGAGCTCCATGAGCTGCTCTCTACTCATGAACGTATCCTGTTCGGTCGCCTTACGCTTATGTGTACTCTGCAATGCGCGCAAGTCGGCATCGGGGTTGTACCCATCGTCTTGAGGGGGTACGAATGCACCAGAACGCAGCGCGTCCATTCGGCGTTCGTATGATGACATGTCGTAGAACTTTTCGTGTGGAAGTGTGGCTGCGAGAACAAAGTAATGAGTCGATGAATGATGACGTACGCGAAGAGAAAGAAACGGCTGAAGAACGACGCTTACCTGTATTGAAGTCTTCGACGAAACGTGCAAACTCCTTCTTAGTTTGTTCTTTGTTGATAGTTTCAGGGTTGATTTTGCGTTCTTCGACTAGCCAAGATCGGAATTCTTGCTCTTTATTGTACAAGCTAGAAGAAGCGTATTAGACATTTGGAATCTAGACATTCTTGACGCTAGCACTTACTCTGTTTCATTGATTAAGCCGTACTTGCCCCACTGGTGGCTTACAGCACCAAGCTTCTTCTTCTGAAAACCATGAAACAGGGTCAGCGTCACATAATATAAAGGCCAATGCAAGGAAGACAGTGGTGGAGCCGAGCAGACATATATACCTTCTCCCTTTTCTTCTCCTTCTTCCGTTCCTTCTTCTCCCTATCCCGGCTACGGCTTCGCTTTCTCTTCTGTTTGTCCTTCTTGCGTTTATGCCGTTTGTGGTCGGACGAACTAGACGATGAGCGACTCGACAGAGAAGCAGACCTTGAGCGAGACCTGCGTCTACGTTCTCTTGAGCGACTGCGTGGTCTTCTCTTTTCTTCTCCCATGTCTCGGGACCGAGAAGGAGAGCGAGACCTTCGTTGTACTGGACTTCGTGTGCGTGGACGTGAGCGGTCGTCTTCTCGATATTTGTATCGTTTCTGGCCTTCTACATCATATTCCCTTACTCTACGTCCATCCAAATCCCCACCTCTATCTCGCGAGCGGTCCCCTCTGTCATGATCATCTTTGAATGGACGGTCACGACTCCTGCTTCGGCTACGGCTCCTTCTGCGACCGGAGTAATAATCGTTTGCCCTGCTTGACATATAGTTCCTAACAATGTTTAGTTACTTGTTTTCAAAAGGAAAGCAAACGAGATATTACGGTAATGGTACCTGCACAGGACAAGCTTTGAATGAGTTGGCCGTAGTGATAGTGAATGTTAAGCGTGAACGTCGAGAGCAGGCCGTTGTCTCGGCGAATATCCCGCCGCCACGGCCCGGCGGTCGGACCTTACAATACATTGAACTGTAATGGCCGGCGCGTTAACGTCACTGATGCGCCGGGAACAGCAGGCAGGTCTGAGCCACTCGTTTCTTGCTTTCTTGCTGCACTCTCCTGCTGCATCATTTGGACCACCATCGTTAGCTTTACAACCTAGATTTAGCGTATATTCTACCTCTGGGGCATATTTATGACTGATCTACTAGTCTTGGGAGCTACCGGTGCATGCAACTTCATCTGTATATGACAACACGCATCTTATACGTTCTTTCCCGATTTTCTCCTACAGGCTTTACCGGTCGGCTTATAACTGAACACCTCTATAGCCATCCAGAACGATCTTCATTTACCCTGGGACTTGCAGGTCGCTCGCGTACGAAACTCACACAACTCAAGCAATCACTTGGTCTCGATGACAGCGTCAAACTATTCGAAGTCGATGTCACAAACAACGATCAACTGGAACAGGTCGTCAAGTCTGCGAAAGTGGTCATCAACACTATAGGTCCATTCTCAAAATGGGGCACTCCCGTCATTCGGTATGTTCAACATTCAGATTAAAGCCATGTCCCCCCGAAATATGATCTCGTGTCGCATTTCAGAATATGTGCATTGAATGGTATTCATTATGTCGACCTGAGTGGCGAGATAGATTGGATACGTGATATCATCGAAATGCAAGTACTACCAACTTCTTGTCTCGCTGAGGCAAGTATTGACATAGAATGAATTTCAGTTATGACTACCTTGCGACCAAGACACATACTATCATTATTCCGTCTTCGGGAATGGATGCGATACCATCTGACCTTGCCGTTCATCTGTCCAACAAGACTCTTAAAGCCCTTGTCAGCCCCGATACAAGTATCGACACCAGCATGAGCGCATACAGGATGCACGGGGGCATCTCTGGCGGTTCCATCTCGACAATGATCACAAATATCGAGGAGGTCCCGAGATGGAAACGGCGTGTCGCTATGTCCGACTTTGTACTTAGTAACGGTGCGTAATGTGTCCATTCCAATATTAGGGCGCACATACTGAATTTGCTCTCGGTGCTAATGTAATCTAAAACAGTCACAGGTGTCCCTCAACCAAAACCTCGCCTATCTTACACTCTTCCCTTTTCTAATCCCCCAGTGTATGGCGGTATAGTCCCCATGGGTCCCGCCAACCGTTCCATCATCCAGCGTACATGGGGTCTGCACCAATATGAAGCGTCGCAAAAACCGGGACAGAAGGTGTTGACTTATGGGCCACAATTCAAGTATGACGAGTTCATGATTACGAAGAGCAAGACAACTGGAGCCTTGATGTCGATTGGCTTGGTCTTTGGGATGTTGAGTCTGATGATCACTCCTGCAAGTTTCATTCTTGCGACCTCGGAACCAGAAATATTGCTGACGTGCTATTGTAGATTCGGTGGCTAGTCAAGAAGTTCGCTCCTCAGCCGGGCGAAGGACCTTCGCCGGAGTGCGTCCCAGCATACCTAGGTTTTGATTGGGTGTGATGCTGATCCGTATTTTTGGTGCAGACTGCAAAAGAATGGCTTCCTGGAATTGATCAACGTTACTTCATCTGTCCCAACCGCCACACAGCCGCAACGGCACGTTCGTACCACCATCAAAGGGCAAGGTGACCCAGGGTACTCACTCACCGCAGGTACGCTTTCCCCTTCTTCCTTCTCTGGTAATCATGCTCACTTATCCACGGTCTTCTACTTGAACAGTGATGATATCCGAAAGTGCACTCTCCATCCTCCTACACCACGACGAACTGCCCTCACTAGCACAAGAAGGCGGTATCTTGACTCCGATGTCTGCCCTTGGAGACGTCCTTGTGAGGAGGCTGGAAAAGAGTGGTCGATTCCAGTTTGAAAGTGAAATAATCATTGGAAAGGATGTGGAGGGTAGAAAGCGTCGGTGAGAGACGTAGCTCATACTCAAAGCGTGATTGAGCGGTGTGTACAACGACTAAGCGGCAATCGTGGATTCTGTATTTACCATTGCTATCCATCTACAGTCCTCTTCCCACCACTCGGACATTTATTTGACTGTTTTGTTAAGTTCATGCATCTTGCTTTACGATACCCCCTGACCCTGAGGGGCCCACGGAGAACTTCTTGATTTTATTCCATTAGGCTAGTGCTTTTGTAATTGTAACGCTTGCTCCTTTGTGATCGGTTGCTACCCGGGAGCCTTGCAACAGAGGCTGGGTTTCAAGTCGAAAGATTTCCGCGTTACGGGAGATAACAAGTATAGACCTTGCACGCCCATGTGGACTGGGCATTCATGGGTTAGGGGAGCGTGGCATATGGACTCCACCTGCGTTACTTCACTTCAATTTCAATGCTTTGCTAGTGGTTCGTATGTTGAGAGAACCAAATCCTCCGATTATTGCATTAATTCAGGTATTTAGGGCTTGATGGATCATTGCACTTGAACCGCAACTAAAACGTCGAAAGAAAGAGAAAGGGACGGCTGAAGCAAGAGGGGTTGTCAAACCGAGCATTGACGTTTGGACTGGGTGCTAACGGACAAGAGACTGAAGAGATGATGAAGGCACTGAAGGAAAGCGTATGTGCTAACCTGTATTATCGCTCTTGCATGACGTCCCGCGTGCATGGCCGTGGGTAAGTACATGCCCTTGTATTCCAGTTCGGCGACGGGATCCTCGTTCAATTCCTTGCAGAAAGGTCCTAGTGGAAGTCGGCTGATATCACCAGAAGCCCAAGTCCGACGTGTCCATTGCGCTAGCTAGCCAAGGGTTCATCAAGCAAACGTACCAATACCGATGTTCAGTCTGTTTCTCCGGCAGTACCTGCTCTAGTGGAAGGGGAATGTCCGACCACGCTGGCAAGAAGCCAGGAATGCGCAATTGAAGACCGTAGAGCCCGTTGCCTCGAGGATGAAACCGGGGTATTGGTAAGTAGAGTCATGTTAGGAGCCAAAACCCGCATATAGTAACCTGAAAGGAGAAGATCATGCTGTGATGCGTGATCATACTGGATGATATCCGAGTCGAATCCCCGGCAAGCTGTTATTACGAAAGCACTTAAGCCGAAGAGCTGAGAAAATGCTACACAGAAGACGACGGACCGTTAGAATTCAGTGGGTTGCGAGGCACGTACAAGCGTTAAGAAGTCTTGAGCTGAAACGCAGTGATGGTGGCTCGAATTCAAGACTGTTCACTAGTATCAGAGATATCTCCTTAGGTGAGCATGAGAGATGTGATCGCGGTCAGGTACTCATCTGATACACACGATTTCCGTATTTCCGTCGGATGTCTTGCGGGAGTATATGCATGGCCATCCTCAGAGATCGACCAACCACGAGAAGGCTTCAAGATAGTCAACGTGCTCGGGGAAACCACAAAAATCCTCGTGTCCGTTCTCAAAAGACCCATAAGACTCGAAGGGCCAAACTTCGTAAGCTGGTTTCATCATGAGTCACTGCATTGAGGAAAAAATCAGCTAGCGGTCAGCTATTTTGGGTGCAGAGTCGTTGCGCTCACCATGTCTGGGATGTTTCGTACAAAGGGATGTCCGAATCGGGACGTGCATCATCAGAAATTGAACTTCCCGATTAGGAACTTCTTGTAGATGGACGCCTTCCAAAAATGATCTCAAGGGGTCACAAACACTTATCCCGATTTGAGCATTCGTTTCTAACCGCAAGCTTCTTTGCGTGATCCCACAGTGTGCATACAGGTCGTATAAGTATTCCCTTGTTGCTGTACAATGGCCTTAGCATCAGTCCTACTCGGTACTGCTCACTCACCTTACAGCAACTGTCAACCGTTGCTATTGATTCCTCGTTGAAGAATAACTTCCGAGGCCTTCGTTCTTCTTAACAACTCTTCACTTTATAACCGTCTACCTCTTTATCCTATCACACTAAGATGCAACCTACATTCATCCTCACCCGTACTTTCGCCATCTGCGGCTTCCTCGTTGGCGGTGAGCACTGTTCACATCATCTGCGTCATACGTTTCTGATCATTTTTTTGTTTCATACAGCTATCTCTGTGGCCCATGCTGCGCCCGTACCATATGGATCCCCGAGGAGCGCAGTTGACGTGCGGAGTCCGGTGAGTTATACGATACTAAGGGTGTGCTTCTGAGATAACTCATCTGCTGGCAATGCAGACACCTTTGTTTCCCATCTCATTCTCCGACGTCGTAGCAGCTGTGAAGGGAACTGTTGAGAAACGAGGACCATTCATGGGCGCCTGTATCTTAGGATGTCGTCGTGATTCCGAATCGGAGGAGGTAGGCATGGATCTCTTTGCGTTTCGACGCAAGCTGACATTTGCACGTCTAGGTTGCTGCTTCTGAAGAGAAACGCGAGCCTACGCCTATGCCCATACCGGAACCAGGTACAAACTATGTTGGTGCCTGTGGCGCGGGTTGTCTTCGTGAGATAGCTGAAGAAGTCACTGCAATCGTCGAAGAGAAGAGAGAACCCGAACCTGAACCTGAACCGCAGCCCGAGCCTTACATGGGTGCTTGCGTGATGGGCTGCCGCCGATCCGTCGATGAACGTAGCGATATTGTGGTAGGTTGCTACTTTCTATTGAGTGTCACTGGAGGTTAATCATTGGTATTCAGAGCGAGACAATTGAACATTTCACACCAAGCGGAAGCACACCTCTTGACATTCTTGCGCGCGAGCCCCAAACCTGATCCTTCTATCCTCAATCCCACCCACCAACGGACACCTCACATTCTTTCCATGGATTATTCACCTTCAATCTCTTTCGAAGTGGTAACTATTACCACGCCACAGTCGTTACCTGCACACTTCTTATCTCGGCTGATCCATTGTATCCATTGCCTTCGCCCATTGTATTAACAGCGTCCAGTCTTCTTTTCTTAATCGTGACCTGCTTTTCTCTGTGCCTTGCCGTGCATACACGATGGGAATATGGTTACACTTCTTGGTTTTTATTGATATATTTTATTTCTTATCCCGACCTCGCCCCTGCTTTGCCTTGTTGTCAAAAGTGTTGTTTTCTGTCGCACCCCCGCTATCCCTCCGCAGTATATCGTAGTAGACTTCGTCCCCTTGTTACCCGACGTCCTTGGTATTTACTTGATAGATCCCCTGATGTGTACCTACATTTGAATATTTCGACCGTTGTTCATCCCGGTCAACCTTTTATACCGAGTGCCAGCATGTGTGAGTGTTGTGAAGCCGGCAACCAAAAGAATTGCCTCGATATGTTGCTATCAAACACGACCGTTTCAGCCAGGTGATTCGAGTCTACGCATCCAAGTCTCAGAACCAAACGGAGTAATAGGACAGACACGACGTTGGCAAGTGGTAGATGCCTCCACGATTTCATCATTGGTTTTGGATGCGCCACCGTGGTCTCCTACCCGAAATCGAGTGTGGCAAGTTCGACCGCGACAAGATACTAACGAGTGCCTGAGCGAACCTTGATGTTAGGCGTACTGGTACAGTATTACCCGACTAAAGATGAACATAAATACAACAGGTGTTTATGCGTTCAAACCAACTAACCTTTTCATCTTCGTTCAGCACTTCCTTTCTAAAGTCCTTCCTTTAGTATTTGTCGTCATGTCTATTACTGCAGTTGTCGTCCGGTTTATCTGTCTTGTTGCATTGGGACTCACCTGTGAGAGACTCTTCTCTACATGCGAGACTACTGCGTTGACGTTCATGTGAAACCGTAGTCGTCCCCATCACAATTGCGAGTCCTGCGCCGCTCAGAAAGGCTTGGAACATTCGTGAGGCCGACCAAGTGAGTGAACGATCGTCAATATAGCCCACCCACCTCACCATAATTTCACTCCTAGGTCCATGCTCTTACGCTGTTAGATACCCTCGTCCCAGAAACACCTCAGATACCTGAAATCAAACAAGGGTTCCATCAACAGCTTTTGAAACAAACACGCAAACTTCGAGGTATGCAGTCTAATTCTGCCTTGACGTCTGTCAATAACGTTGCTGATTGGTCAGAAGAGCGGTCTCAGCTTGGGGAGATAAAGAGGGAGCCTGAGCCTAAGCCTTACATGGGGGCCTGCGTCATGGGATGTTATCGGTCCATCGAAGAACAAACTGAGACTATGGTCAGCCTCCGGTTGCCATCCAAAGCGAATTGAATAATGACTGCCCTGATACGAATTATTGACTTAGATCACGCCCGAAGAGCCAGCGGCTGATGACAACAAGAAGAGGGCCTTGCCCCTGTGGATGTACAGTGTAAGTCAATTGTTGCCGATACAACGCAGTGACGCAGAACATTGAACCATACCTGCAGCAAAAGCGCGGAGTTGAGGTCATCCAAGATGTCGCAGCGTGAGAATATGTTCACAACGGTTCCCCTGGGTAGTCAGAAACAAGACTGCTCCAACCTCGAGGACCAATGACCTGGACCGACTGCTGGCATATGATACTGTTACCATTCGAGTAGTTATTTATTTTCAAGCAGAATTGAAGATCTGTATTGACACATTCATACGTAGCTGTGTGAAAGCGAGATGAATGAGACTGTCATGGAATTTTGACGGAATACACTCACACAAGATAGAGACAAAGCATTCAAGTGCATTACAGCACTGCTGAATAGCGTCTCGATAACTTCTGCGCGAGCTCGCTAATAGAAAGGCGTGATGCATGTGGCTTGACACCGATAGTAAGCCCCGAAAGACACCGGCAGCTTCTTGCTTTGCTAGTAGAGAGAGATTAGAATAGTTGTGACCATTCGTGGTGAAGGTCTTTTGGGTATCGGATGCATTGCACATAGATATATAGTACGAATAATGCAGAATGAAGAGAAGTTGGGCAAAACGCCTTTTAGTACTACTTCACCCAGAAAGGCAACTTTGATGGCAATGTTACACAACAGAGACCAAATAACATGACACACCCCTCACTTGGTATTTACAACATTTTCAGCCTACATAAAAATGTGGTATCTATATAAGGTATTTTCAATTAGCAGACTGTATATATTCTATAGGTCTCTTAAAAGTTAGAGTTTTATAAGAGTGTATATCTGAGAAAAAGTCAATTCAAACTCTAAATGTTCTGCTTATTTGTAGATGATATAAAAATGCCAAATTCTGCATAGTTTTTCTATTCTGAAATGAAATTTGAATAAAAAGTCTAATAATTGAAAATACCTTATATAGATACCACATTTTTATATAGGCTGAAAATGTTGTAAATACTTAGAGCCTTCAATTTCATTGTTTGAGTATTTGAACTAAATAGACTGGGACCTAAGTTGAAATGACTATAGTAGAAGTTGCAAGCCTAGAAAATACATACACACTGAAAGCATAATACTCTGATCACCTATCAAATATTAATATCAGAAGAATACAACTGCAACCAGTTTTGAAGTATCTATGCTAAGGTATCTCAAATAGTTGCAAGCTTGAATTGTTAGAGAGAAGAAAAGATTATTTACACAGTTTTCAAGTTTATCCACATGAAATAGTTTTTAGTATGTACTGGCAAGCCTGCCTTCTCATCTCTACAGAGTAGCTCCAGCTCTAACTGCCTTAGCCAGTGCATCCCAAGATGGCTTTATCACTACTCCTAGCTCACTATCACAATTTGCATGAGGGTATATTCCATTAAGCCTTAGAAAAAGGCCAAGAATATAGTTAGCAATGGCTATGACATCTGTCATATTCACTGCAGAGTAATAGTATGATTCAAACACTGAGAGTTCACATGTCCTACCTGCATTGTCCTTTTGCATCAATGCCAGGTCACAGACATCAGATGGCAGAAAATGGAGTTCCATGCCTATAACAAGATACCACAGCTTATGGCAATACTTTGCCAGCCACTGCAAACTCTGTAGGGTAACTCTGGTTTTACATAAGGTGGGCCCTATAGGAACAATATGAATGACATGAATGTCTCTCCATGCTTGGGCCATGCTCTTGATGCATTCATCATTCAAATCCACAGCAAATCTGTATACAATTTTGATATGCTTGAGATGCAGAGCAAAAAGTGGCTTCAAAGTAGCTGGCAGAATGGTATGGTGTTCTTCTGAATCCAGAGGAAGTAACTCTTGAGTTACGGACTGGCAAAGGCCTACCCTGAGTTGCTGAAGTTGCAATTGCTTCTTCAAAGCCTCATCTGAAAAAATTTGCCTTGCTATATAGCCCTACATAGTGTCAGTAGATAAAGTAGCTTTGTAGCAAGGGTACCCTCTACTGGGGCTATATAGCTACCACTAGTGGCTACATGTGCTACAGTAGCACTATGGTAGCACTCTGTAGCAATCATAGTAGCTCTATTTTGCCATCTTTTGCTAGTATTAAAAATACTCAAAATATAAAATATTCATTTTTCTCTTTTATATTTATATATCTGTTCTTATTTATTCAAGCTATTTCTAGCTCTATTTATTATTATTAAATTATATTATATTAATTATACTTTGCCACTCACAGGAATTGAACTCTCACTCTGCTACACTCAATCTAATTATATTCATGTGCTCTTACCACTCAGCCAAGATGTCTTTAGTATGCACTATATATATCATATATTAAGTTATATATCTGCAATATACTTATATTCTATATCTTAGAATGTATATCTTCATATTTCACTATGATAGTATCAGCAAATGAAAGATACAATGTAAGATCTCTTATTATTTTTATGATAATGCTACATAGCATACTATAGTCTATATAGCAGACACTGCAGGCTATGTAGTCTTCATAGCCTCTGTAGCATTAGGTAGTAGCTATAGTTGCTATGTAGAGTATATATATTGCCCTATGACTATATAGTACTATATAGAAGCCTATGCTGCTATATAGCAAAAAGTTTTTTCAGATGCTCAAAGAGTCGGAGAAGAGAGAAAGTGGTCATTTCAGTAAACACAGAGGTTATTGAAGACATGTCAACAAGTGTAGAAGATCGGACATTCTTCATAAACACTGCATGTGTATCAAGATCCTCATTGGTGATTTTTATTGTGAGTAAAGCAGGGAATGTACTCCGAGGGCATGCAAGTTTGAGGTAAAAATTGGCCTCTCATCTGATATGGAGATCAAGGGACATGAGATGAGGCAGTCACGCAAGGCAAGCCAATGTCTTGTTATCGGAAAGGCATAGAAGCTGTATCAATCGGAGCTGTCGAAGTGAGGGTAAAACACTGGATATGGCAAGTTGTATATCGCTGAATGCATCATCATCGTCGTTGTAGCTGAAGAATGTGACATTCAGTGCCTGCAACCCTGGGAAGAAGTGGGAAAATGATGAGAACACTTGAGCAGTGGCAGCTGCGATGTTGGCATCCATAGGTTCTTGAAAAAAAAACACATGTCAAAAGATTTGAGGTTGGATGATGCAAGGCAGAGCACGTTTCTGAAAGCACTCTGATTGTTGCCATTCCAATCCCAAGATAGCTTCTCTAGATTCAGCAGAAAAGCCGCATTGGACTGGTCAGGCCAGCCTCTTTCAGTACAACACATGAGGATGGCCTGAAATGCAGCAGGCGAGACATGGTATGTGACCTTAGATCCAACATTCCAACGTCCAAGGTCTAACCCTAGTTTCTTCACCCGATGTACATGCTTATGCACCGTGTTCCACTCAGACATTGTGCCCGGCAATTGTCGCAAATGCTGAGCAGAAAAAATAAGCATACTGCATAGTGCGGGAATGGACCTAACAGACTGACAAAAGTCACCAGAGTCTTGCCGTTGTGAATAGGCTGCCGCTCTTCAAACCACAATTCTGAGGGCAGGCATTTTAAGAGAGGGCTTAAATCTGGTAGGCTGTACCATAAAATGTCTGAAGCAGGTTCATGGAATGTCCTACAAGCTCTGGTAGCTGCAGCGAGCGTATTCAAAGGATGAGGGCCCGGTGCGACACAGAACCTGAATATGCGATGGAGGATTTCCGAGATTGTCAAGCAGTGATGCATCGTGCAACCTTGGCAATAATGTTATTTATCAGGTGCAGCGAACATTCACTTGTTCATACCTGCGCCGGTAGCAAGACCAATATCAAACGATGTGCTCCTCTATCGTGGATCTCGAACATTTGGATGGTCAGAGGCGCCACTGCATAACAGAGATGTGGAAATGCGTTGGAAAGAGCTTGAAATTGATCACCCTAGAGCGTCGAAAGTTAGACCATTCAGTGCTCGAGGTGAGTCGCTGTTCCGATCTCAAGTTCAAGATGTGAAGATCGGAAGATAAGAGACCTTAGCGTCTAACCTTGAACTGTACAGACAATATTCAATGTACGAGTTGGCGCCACAGGCGTTGAACTTTCGGAATCTCTCTCTTTTGTCACAGGGCTGTCCTGTGTATCTCAAAACTTGTACAGAGAGGATCTACGAGATGCTGCGGATACCTATGAATGACATACAGCTCTCTAAACTACGTCGTCGTGCAATATCAATGTGTATCATGGCATAGTCAACAGAAATGATTAGCTTCCTATGGTTGTGAGGGGCAAAAATTGGAAGCCGAAATTATCAATGCAAAGTCTTCTTCCCAAACCTCTAGTGTTGCCATATAGCTAGGAAACCGAGCAGTAAAGTTCAATTCCGAAAGCAAGCTACTGGATACGTCCAAAATATTTGGCGAGCCACTGCAGTGCTTATGTGGAGGCTCCGATGTTGCGCATGGTGGGGCAATCCCAAAGAGCAATGTGCAAAACATTGATATGTTGTGACACTCAGACTATGATCATGATCCATCGCAAGTTCAGATTCCATGATAATTGGTGTCAGGTTATGAAGGAAAGATAGAGATTTGAGTGTAGCCAGAAGAATAGGATGGTGTCCATCCGTGTGTGCTAGTAATGGAATCCGTTCATTTGATCCGCAGGAACCATCTTATGACATCATTCAGCATCAGGTGTTTCTGCAAAGTCCTGGTGAGCCCGGAGAATAATGAAGCAAATAGTGAGTCAAACTAACAGGTTCCGCTTCTTTTGACGAGGTGATTGTTCTGTACAAGTTCCATGAAGGTTGTTGCAGGTTAACACCGTCATCAGCGCGCGCAAGATCCTTTAGCACGATAGTTTCTCCTCGAGCTTTTCGGCCTGAGAAGAGCAATAACATCGGATCGTATATCAACGTCGAATTTCGCAAGGGGAAGATGCCGAACCAAGAGTGCCGCCGTTTAGTTATCGTATGTGGACGGTAAGTTCACGCAAGGAATGACAGTATGATTTAGGAGATAGAGTCTTGCACATCGAAGCCCAATTCATAGCAAGCATTCTTCCTAGCTTTTGGAGCTCCAGGAGAAAGCACGAAAATGGCAGGAACACCTAGGACATTGTGGGAGCAATACCTGTGCTCAACTACGCAAATTCAAAACTTCATCAGTTTCGGGGAGACAAGGTATACCACGTTCTTATCGTGCTTGCACCAAAAGCAAATATAGGTCATTCAACACTGTTTAGAAGACCTGTAACTCGGTGTTCTGGCTAACCGTTCCGAGCACAATGCAGTATGGCAGCCTGAAACTAGGATTGCCGAAATGTGACATGACCCCGTATCTAAGGGTCAGGCTCACCAGTGTCACTGACGCGCCACCACATTCTCCGGATTCGCGTTCCTCAGAACATATTTACGACAGTAAACTGAGATCGCGAAAGCGGAATCAGAGCGAGTCCTGGCTGTCTTGCACGTCTTCACGGCGACCACGAAGTGTATGCATAGCATGAGGGTCCATTACTACGTGGGACTCAAGTATCTGGTGCAAGAAATGCGGTGAGTACAATCTACCACACATGTAGAGCCTTGGCATGCCCCACATACCTCAAGGACGGTGATAAATAGTTGTCTGGACTTACGCCTGCGTTGAATATACAAAGCATCCCATGCTTCACACCTATAAAAAGCACAGAGCATCCAGTCAAAGACGAGCCTTGTCAATTTGACAGGGCAGATTCATAGAACATCGCGATTCGAACTTTGGGCGGTGGGGGTGAAGATGAGCTGTTTTGAGCGCTTAAATATACGATCAACTTTGCTTTCGACTTTTTATTCAGTTTCTTGCGTACTCAGTACTCTGCCTCTATAGTCTTTCCTCGCTCCGAGTATAGTTTGAGCGTCCCTCATTTGGACTGGGATCACTTCAACATAAGCTTATCTGCTCACCTGGTACCATTCATTCAGAATGCCTCCAGTCAGAACAACAAAGGCATCCTCTTCGCAGTCCGCGCGCCACCCGAAAGACATATCGAAACACAAACGTCCATTCAAAGGACAGAAACCAGACCATGATCCGAAACCTCAGCAGGGTCTGCCTGGAGTTCAAAAGATTAAATCCGCGTTGAGGCAGACGCGACGACTTTTGGCCAAGGTTGGTTCCCAAACCCATCTTAAGAGTACAGGAGGACTGAAATGAACCAGGAAAAACTGGGCGCAGATGTCAGGGTAGAAACAGAGCGGAGGCTCAAATCTCTCGAAAAGGATCTGGCTGAGGCAGAAAGGATAAGGAAGGAAAGGACGATGTCGAAGAGGTATCATAAGGTGAAATTCTTCGGTGAGTCCATGCTCTTAACCTTCACACGTCTTCTGCTTTTCTCATGTAATATCCCACAGAGAGACAAAAAGTTGAACGGAAGCTTAAACAGGTCAAGAAACAGTCGGAGGCAACTACTGACAAGACGGAGCGCAAACAGCTTCAAGTAGAGCTGTTTGAGCTTCGAGTGAATTTGAACTATATCATAGTACGTCTTTGGATCGTTCATAATTGTGGAAGGTAACTGACGGAATCACTGTTAGCACTATCCTAGGAACAAGAAATATGTTTCCCTCTTTCCTCCGGAGGTCCGGAAGCGTACAGAGGATGATTCTGCTGACTCCAAGGGCAAGGGAAAGGAGAAGGACGATGAGGGCTCTGAAGCCCAAGATCAAGCTGAGAAGGCGAAGACGGATCTTCGGAGGGAAGAGGTGAAGAAATGGATACGAGAACGCATGGAACGAGGCGAGATTAGTGCAGAGCCAGAGCTTGAGGAACATAGAACGCTAGATTCGCATAGAACAAACGAAACTCCGGATGGCGGGGATCATGCGAAGGAAGTCGCCAAGCTTGCTGGTGTACAGGAGGACGCGTTCTTTGGAGATGACAGTGATGGGGATGAGGACGGAGATGAAAACATGGAGGACGATTCATGACAGCCGTAATGAAGGGTGAGCTTTCTCCGTACAGTCTCGACTCTCCCAACGTATTTCAGAACTTTGTTCGTTATGGCGCAGAACAATGCACTGTGTGGGTTGATCTCGACTTAGCCTGGATTTAGCTCATTGCATTCCTTGATATCTCCTCTACCTCACAATAGGAGCTGTTGGCCGTTGCTTATCCGAACTCCATTGAATGCACGGGTGAATTTATTCAGGGACCAAGTTGCGACTCTCATATGGCCAGTGCATTCATAAGGTTCACCGGTCGCGTCCGAACGTCGCATCGACCTGAATTACGGTCACCATGCACTTGACGTTGGCTCTGTGGCATGTCACTGTGGCATGTATGTCTTCCAAAGGCCTCGACGTTCAGCGATATATGAGGAGTTCCGAACGTCGCTCTTCAGATGCTATGCTCTACGATCATGGCTATACGGAATGTTTTGTGAGGTGGAGGCTGGCCGCTCTTCACTTACTTCCGTCCTCGAGTCCAGAATCCGGGTCATTTGACTGCGAGATGTCCAAACGACGACTGTCGGAAGTTTCGAAAGGAGATTTAGTCCGGCGCTTCACAATGTACGATTGTTTGTGTTTGTTGAAGAAGGAACGTTTTAAGATGCATTTGTCTTTCCGCACTCCACTCTCGCGCGGATATCCATTAAAAAGATAGTCTATGGCAGTGACTTTCGCTTCAACGTTCTGCAGGTCCGTTGCGTACGCCTCATATTCGTGAAATACTTTCGTTTTGTACCTTTCTTTCTCCAGTGAGCTAGCGTTGTGCTTCACGCACGTCAGCGCATTCGAGTAGCGAACTCCGCCGCTCCAATTTCAGTGTACACTAGGAACGTATTTCCCGCTCCCCCAACCCCACAAATCTGCTGCCTGGAGATCACTAGCGTCGCGCCACTAAAACATTCCAAACCTGCCTACCTTGCAGCTTTCTCCCACACAGTCTCTCACATCTTATCACGTCAAGATCGGAGACCTAGACGCTGCACCCACCACGAGTTGAATTTCTGCGATTCTAAACCTTCTATCCTGCTCACAGCCCGACGTGTAAGCCACACCACTTGGCTGCTTTGGATATTTTGACACACGGTCAGTGTCATCGCCAACGTTTCCCTTAAAATTGTACTGACATATGCGCGTTTCCGAATATCATAAATACATAACAGGTCTCGTTCGAGCACCAAATACATTTTTTGACTGCGGCCTGTCAGAAGCTCAGCGGTTCTTAACTTTGGTCTACCTTACATATACAGCCACATCCGCCCTATCGATTGCAAGCCTAAAACTCCTCATAACATCTCCCCTATCGAACGCTTCTCGCCTTCTACGCCCATCTTCGCAACCAGATTTACCTTTTTGCTCCCATTCATTATACATGGAATCATCGAGCGTACTGTCCATCGCTACGCCTACAACCTTCACACAATCACTCTACGACGAGCTAGCCTCGTTGGTGAAGGGGCCTATCTTTCGCCCTATCGATCGCGAGTAAGTGTAAAGCATTATTCTGCTGTGCTAGGATGACATGTACGCGGCAATTGCTGTCGTGTCTGTCTGCTATGCATGACCGAACAACGGGGGCCGGCGGTAGAGGTTTTCAGAGGCGCGCTTGCCAGAGATAAAATAGCTGGAACGATCGACGCTGACTTTCCTACTTTTCAGGTTTCGAGAGCGCATCTCGACATTCAATGGCAAGATCAAGCCGCTGTCCAAGGTACTCGTATCGCCTTTAGATGCGCAAGATGTCAGCACCATCGTGCGCTTTTGCCTCAAGCATAACCTCTCACCTTCTGTGAAGGCTGGGGGGTATGCCATTGCTGGTTGGTCTGTCGCTGGAGACGTCGTCATCGACATGAGCATGATGCGTGAAATTGACATCGAGGCTCCTATCACCACGGAGGCTGGTGTTACTTGGACTAGTCTCAGGGACAAGCCCGCTGGGACCAGCAAGGGTAAAGATGTAGCTGGCGTCGTTCAGGTCAACGCCGGCAACATTCGCGAGAAATCACCTATCGCTGAAGCGACTCGTCCAGAGGCTATTCGCACGATTAGCCCGAAGCGTCCCAGGGAAGATAGTCCACCGCCACCCAACCCTCAACCAGGGCAAGTAGCGTCATCAGGGCAGATTATCCATCCATCCGCGGACGATGTTCATCTTCGTTCATATGATGCAGCCTCCGGAGTAGTCGGTTCCTTCTTGCGTGGACCACCTCTCCCGCGTGTAGAGGGTGACACTCCTCGTGAGCCACCTAAGAATCGACCCAGGCTTCATCCCCCTGGTCATGAGGCAGATATGCCCGTCCTGGAGTCCAGACAAGTTTCATCCGAATCCGCGACGTCTTCGAGTGGAGGTTCTACAACGGGTTCTGGGTCTGGACTTTCTACCTCTGGATCGTCTGCAGTACGGAGTTCGGGAACAGCTAGCACCTCACCCTTGGGTACACCAGGAGAGAGCGATAGCGGGGAGAAGAGTCGTTCACCCACGAACACCGATCCGTTCGGGTACATACCTGGCGTCTCTGCAACTCGCCCGTCCATGTTTGGCGGCGTCGAACCATTCAATCCTGGTCTTACACCTTCTTCCGCATCGGTATCCATGTTCTCCTCTGCTGCGTCTATGTTCCCTAGTATTGGGACCTGGCAGAACTCTGGAGTAACAGTGGGAGCCGGACCCGTACGAAGCTATGGACCTTCGGGAAGTCCGCCCGCTGTTCGAAGTTCATTTGGGTTCAGAAATCCCGCTTTTTCAGGAGGGTTTCCTTCGACGTCGGGGGCGTTCTCGTTGCCTACTTCACATCCCGTGGGTGGCGTGACTGCGGCCGATCCTATCCATAGTCATGCATATGTGACATTTGGCGCGGGAATGAGGCAGAAAGAGGTGGATCTATATACTGCAGAGAATCCGTTGGAGGGTATAAATCGGATGACTGGAGAAAATGAGCAAGGCCTTGTGCCGTATCACATCCCTTCGTAAGTCTGATCGGACTTGGCTAGGCTTTTTCGACACGAATAACTGATTTTTGTTTGCTTTCTGATTGAATACAGGTCTGCACACCCTGTTGGATCTTCCATCATGTTGTTGGCAGGGTTTGGCTTCCTCAGCCGAATGTATGGTCTGAGTATCGACAATGTGGTCGAAGTCGAAATGGTGCTCGCTGATGGCCGCATTGTAGTATTGGACAAGGATACCGATCCAGGTGAGCAGGAGTCCCATTCGTACCATTCATGCTTTGGGCTGAAGTTGAATAGATCTGTGGTGGGCCATACGAGGTGCTGGTCCAGCTTTCGGTATCGCCACCAGATACAAAGCCATGGCGTTCCCGATTCCGGTGGTATACGCAGGAAATCTTATCTAGTAAGAATAGATCCGACTATACCAATCGGTGGCTAGTTGGACTTAACCTTTGATTTCTAGCCGCTTCCATCGAGCCACCGCACCTTCTCTCATCAAGCACTTCAGAGACTGCATCAAAGGTTGTCCAAGGGAACTCTATGCCAACGTTCTTCTAACCACAGGTCCCGCCAACCAAGACTCGCTGATTGTCATCCAGTTGTGTTATGTCGGACCAAAGGAGAAAGGTCAAGAATACCTTCAGGCGATCTCGAGCTGGGATGGGGAACGGCCGCTATTGAATGAGGTGAATGAGAAGAGCTATTTGAATCAACAGGATAGTGTTGCTCAGGTTCTCAGGGGAAAGAGTGAGTGCTGTTCGAATGAGAAGCTAAATTTCAAAGTGTAGAATTTGACTTTTCTGATTTCTGTTGCTTCAATTAGGAGGGAGGCAGTGGTTCATGCGATCGTCTTTGATCCATTCGCTTCCTGATGAAGTCATCAACAAGACTGTTATGAAGTTTGGAGACACGCCTATAGGATGCAGTATGTATATCGGTTCTTCGGAGCGTGGAAAAGAAGCTGACTATATGCGCTTCATCGTTTTAGCCTGGATCTTCGAATTGTCCGGAGGTGCTATCGCAGATTATGAAGATACCTGTTTGCCCAAAGAACAACGTGAAGCAATTTGGACTGTGGCGGCGCTGCACCAGTGGGACATGGGTGTCGATGATCCGAGGTGTATCGAGTCGGCGGAAGAAGTAAGTGCCGTTACAAACTTTTGAAAGATACATGATGTTAACCATATGCGGTTGCTTCAGTGGATGGAGGATATTATTCGTCCTGTTTCTCTGGGTGGACCATTCCCAACTGTACGTCAGCCATATCTCATAACGTTCGCACTGTACTAAACCATGTTACTCACCAGTTCCTTGGACGACACGAACGGCCTGAGCGTACCATGGCATGCTACGGCAAGAATTGGGATCGTCTCGCAGAACTCAAGCGCAAGTATGATCCGCATCACTTGTTCAAGAATAATTTCTGGCCATTGAACAAGAGAGGCGAACCTGTTGAGCCAAGTTACAACGAGCCCCCTTCGCCATGATGTGATATGCACATTTGTCGAAATGTATATTATTGATTTTAGTGAACTGTATATAACGATCCGCGGTCTTCACAGAATCACATCGACTATCGGCCTGACGGTGCTTTAATCGATGAGCTGCATATATACACGCACCTCTTGCTGCCTCGTGAATATTGTTTCGGATGCGATTTCCTATTGTGCTGGGGCTTTATAAACAGAGATATATATCTCAAACACTTGCCTACTGCTTGTCTACATTGTCGCTGTCCGACTCCATTTCATGCACGATGACCCACTGGCACTCTCGGCGAACGTTCCATTAGGGCTCTTCATAATTCATGACCGAATCACCGGCATACATTCAAATGCACAGCCTAGCCTGCACGATAATAGAGCTTAATGGAGTATTTCGGGTGTGTAGTTGCCAATTCCCTGTTACAACCATGTCAATGGCTCGGAGACTTACCCATGGATTTCACTTCTGTCTCCAAGTTCCAAGGAGACCTTCGAGGGTGGAAGACAAGATAGCCAGCTGGCCCAGTTGGCCTGAGCTGGCCTGAGAGGCTGAGAGGCTGAGAGCAAGAGTATAAGAGGCCGAGATGCGGAATAGAGACCGGCTGCACATGATCCTCCCTCCTAGCTCCCCATTTCGGGCACAAGCACCGGACAACTCATCCTCGACCTTCATCGAAGGACTCAATTAAGACTCAATTATCGTGCGACCTCTTCTCTGTGTGCTTCTGGATTTCCAGCTTGTTCTGCCAGGATCATCGAGGCTCATCTCGCATTCAGGGATAGGCCAGCAGCGAGGCTCGCGGATTTGCGGATACAGAGCGCACCGCATTCACGTGTAGAGAGAGCGGCAGAAGGAGATTGCAGGCAGTCTGGAGCCGCAGTATCGTCGGAGGTGAGGTTAGTGGATTAAGCTCCTGCTCCGTCCGTAGTTCATGACATGAGTCTCAGCAGGCGGAAGAGGCAGAAATAGCGAGCAGCTGCTGGTTCACCGACCACTTCTCCTTCCGTCTTTCCCGCTCGCATATGTCTTTGGCTACCACGGCAACGCCGGAAATGGACTCGTCGACTGGGGACGAGGATACACGTTCTCGCCGCGTGGGCATTGCTGGGCCACCTCCGAATTTTCAGTTGCCCGCGGCCAATTCGGATGGCGGCTTTGTCCTATCCTCGTCCCAAGCTCCTCTTTCATCTCCACCACTACCACCTCGTTCACCTCTCAGACCCACAACACGACGTTTTACCGACTCATCTTCTGCATCTGCATCGTCATCTGTATCCACTCCTGGTGACACCGAAAGTGACATGACCTTGCTGCATTCTCGCAGCCTCAACACTTTTTCTAATCTACTCGACATACATTCTCGTTCTAGGCGACTGAGCACTCCAGATAAACCTCTACCTACAACGCCTTCGTCAATGTCCATCAACGATTCTGATTCTGTCCTGGCAACTTTGCGATCGGAGGCGTCCTCCCTCCTAGATACCCCTGCACCTATGTCCAAACGAACTCATGCTTTGTTAGAGCTGCTATCGTCTGAGAGGGCATTCGCATCGGATTTGGCCCTAATACGCAATGTCCATATACCGCTGGCACTGGGTTCGTACACCATTCGTCAACCTTTATTATTTGTTCTTTGTATTGATGTTATCGCCAGGTCAACCAGGACCCTTTCCGGACACACCTGTTACCCCGCCACCATCGTCCTCTGGTTCTTCGTCTTCACGAGCAGTATCTACAGCGTCCGATGCCTCCAGCAGTTCATCGCTTCCGCCTCCCATGACCCAAGATGACGTTAGAATCATCTTCAATAACGTTGCTGAGCTTGCTGAATTCTCGGGTGCCTTTTCGGAGAGGCTTGAGGAAGCATTAGGCAACGTATTGGAGGGTGGCAATGGCGATGACCATGTTGGAGCACTGTTCCTAGAAATGGTGCGTCGTTTAACACAATGCGATTTATGGCGTACTGATCGAGGGTTTTTAGATACCCGAAATTGAACCCATCTATACCTTGTATATAACCAAGCATCCCAGTGCGCTGGAGCACCTCTCTTCTCTTCCGCAAACAGCATCGTTCATGGCATACCTTTCATATACCCGAGACTACGCACAAAGTCTCTCCCACGCGTGGGACCTACAATCGCTACTTATCAAGCCCGTCCAACGACTCCTCAAGTATGCCCTTCTTCTCTCCGCCATCATTGATGAAACCCCAGATTCACATCCAGACAAACCCAACCTCAAGGAAGCACGATCAAAGATGGAGACGGTCGCACATGGGGTGAATGAAGGCCGGCGACGAAGGGAAGTTGTGAAAGAAGTGTTGACTGGGACCGCCTCCATGAAGAAGCCTGGCGAGCCTAAGCCGAAGAAGAAGGGTCTCAATATGGGCGTTTCGGCCGCAGCTAGCCTGGCACGTATGAAGACTATTCGATCAGCATCAGCCAAAGCCAAGGAGGGCGTTGATGGTCATGCCGAGGCAGCAGCTGTGGCCGAGATGAACCAGCAGTTGAAGTTGTACGACTCGGCTATCCGGGACTACGCCAAAGGGTCCGTTCGGTGGGCGGAGTCCGTCAATATCTTGATGGAAAACCTTCGTACTTGGTCAATCAGCTTTGGCCAAGTGCTCGGGATCAAGGTAGTTCCCGAAGCACCGGGCGAAGGGTCTTCGGAGGCCTTTAATGAGTTCATGTCCGTCATCGACAAGATGCTTATTCCTGCGAGCCAGGCGTTGTCGCAAATTATCGAGAAGAAGCTTCTGGTTCAGCTCGCCAAATTGAGAGAGACGACCGCAGCTCCAGAGCGCCTTCTCGAAGCCATGTATACCCTTGAGCCACTTCACTACGGTCTGCTGAATATCAATGTCTCCAAGACCCGCCCTTCACCACAACTTCTTGAAGCTTCCAAGTCCTACGTCGCCTTGCGTGGCCAACTGTACGCGGAACTTCCTCGATACTTACAACTCTTGCAGAAGGGGATTCATGCAACGGTTATGCAGTTGACCGAATGGCAGGCCCGGTTTTGGGGCGAGGTCCTTGATGGTTGGGTTGGGTTGTGGGATGCTCTCAAGATAGAAGGCGAAGCTCGCAGTGACGCCGAGGAGACAAAACGGGTCTGGGAGTTCCGTTTCTTGGATAACCAGAAGGACTTTGAAGGCTTGAATATCCTTCAGCTCCCGCGGCAGACGAAGAAGGAGAAGGACAGTGAATATGCTCAGAAGTCACGTTCACGCTCCAAGAGTCATTCGTTCGAAACCGCGTCCGCGATGAGTTCCAATGCGGCTCTTTCTATGCTGGCATCTTTGGAACCCATGCATGCATCACCCAAATCGCCAAACGCCATGATGGCACGAAGTACTCATTCGATTGAGTCTGGTCGACATGGGCTCAGTCGGCGTGATTCGAACGAAAGTCTGCGGTCAAAGAAGTCCGGCAAGTCCGGCAAATATTCATCTCACCAACATACCCCAAGTAGCACGTCGTTACGTTCGTATCAACAGGAGGATAAAAGTTCCATCTTTAGTTCGGTTCTGTCTGGTCGGTCCCCTACAAAGCCAGCATACAGTCGGACGAAGAGCATGCCGATCTCTTTGCCAATGCAACTCAGGCGAGCCAATTCACAGGGTCGGTTGCTTGATGCAGATTTCGGTGATGGGCCTGGTGCTAGCTCAAGCAGCCTTCTTTATGCCGAACCTATTGAAGAAACGGATGACCGAGGACGTTCTTCTCGGAAGCCTGGTTTGCGAAGACGACTTACGGACAGTCTACGGCCGAGTCCTGCACCGTCTTCTAGACACCGACGTTCACCATCCTTACCGGCGACTACATCGTCCCCATCATACAATCAGCTCACATTCAATCTCAGTTCCCAGACCTTGCCGACACTATATACGTGTCGTGTTGTACATGCCTGCGAACCTCCTCCGGGAGTTTCGTACTATGATCTGCCGTTTTTCACGCTTCGACCTGGAGATTTGTATGATGTCTTGCAAGAATGCGGTCATCCATCGACACACAAGGATTTGCCATTGTTTGTTGATGATGGAGAAGACTGTGTGCTTTTGGTTCGGAACAAGATGGGAATGTTGGGTTGGGTTTTGGCCAGTTTCTTGCTTCCGGCGGACTAGGTATCTTTCATATATATATTCTTTGCATATTTCTTTCTTTCATTGCTTGCTTGCCACGACAATGCTCCCATCTTTCTTTCACATTTGGTTCATCGTCATCTTTCCCTTTTTTTTTGTGGTTTTCTTTTTCTCCATGCTCATCTAACGTACCCTAGAAGCTATCGTCAATTCTGCTGGTTGTATTCTATAATTTGCGTCGGAAGTTTGTCTTGTAGTTGTGTTGTATCAACAAAATTAGCATCGTGTATCCCTCTCAGTCACTATGATGAATTCAATGCAATACGTTTTGTTTCACATGTGGAGAATACCTGCATTGTTTTCAAAACTTTCTGAAGGATGCAGTAGACGGCGCTGTTTACAGGGCTTGCCTTTTGTGTCTGTGCACTGCTGGGACGCCCGTTGCTGCTATCACGTCGTCGACTTCGACTTTACCAGTACCCAGCTTGACCACCTTCACTCCTAGGCCTGGCTTGCCCATAACAGACTGACTGGTCGTGGTATAGGTTCCTTAAACCCTCTTCCCTTCACGTAAACCTGGGAAAGGCTAGCGGGGTGCCATTCACACGCTATGGAAAGGAAACGTTCACCACCTAACGACATTGGCAACGGAATGAGCGAGGTCTCGTTCTCCACTGCTTCAGCAAGTTCAGCGGCCTCCTCTAGACGTACATATGCTCGTTCGCCGACATATCCTCCTCCAATGCGTCCCGCCTCACCTCCGGCCTCTGCCTACTTCTCTCATTTCACCGGTGACCACCATGGAGAACCACAACCGAATACCCCGGATGCCAGCGCGCATTTCGCATATAGTACTACCTTGCGACGACACCATGTAGAAGCACCTTTGGGTATTACCCACCCTCCTACATTCGGCGAACTACGTACTGTCGTCGCGGAGGAAGGAACAACAGGATTGTGGCAACGTGTAGTGCAGACAGTTAGAGGGCTTTTTCCCCTGGAAGTTTCTAGAGGGGAATATGAACGACTACCATCGCAAAAGGAGAGACAAATTACGCCTTCGGCACGTTTCGCTCATTGCAACATAGAGGTGTGTTGTGCTTCAATGCTCTCGTCAGTACATGCGTCTCGGTATTATCCACCGTATCCCCGATTCGTTCATGCAGGGCTAAAGAGCATGCATATAACATGCGCTTTCGTGCATTGTCTACTTGACTCGTGTCGGCTTTAGCTTACATGTGGTAACCTTGCAGGATACCCTGTCATATTTCCGGACGTCCCCTACCGATGGCCTGTCGTCTGTTTCTATTCCGTCCCTCCTGGCCGAACATGGGTACAATGAATTTTCCGTCTCGAGCCCTGAACCATTATTGCTCAAGTTCGCGAAGACTATTTATGAAAGCCCACTGATATTACTGCTATGCGGCAGTGCATTCGTTAGCGCTATAATGGGCAATATCGATGATGCAGTCAGTATCACAGTCGCCGTGCTGATCGTCCTCACTGGTGAGAGCTACGTTTTGGGCGGTCTATACGTTCCGAGTTGACGTGGTGCAGTTGGGTTCGTTCAGGAACATCGATCCGAGAAGAGCCTCGATGCCCTCAACAAGCTGGTTCCACACCATTGTCATCTCATACGGTGAGTAGTGCTCTACGTGCGTCCTTATAGAGCTGATGTGTTGTTTTCAGAGACGGAAAACTTGTTCATACTTTGGCGAATGAATTAGTTCCGGGGGATATTGTCACTTTCACAACCGGAGACAGGATACCCGCCGACGTGCGGTTAATATCTGCCGTTGATCTGGAGATCGACGAAAGCAGTTTGACTGGCGAAACTGATGCAAGAAAGAAGGATGTGGAAACATGTCAATCCTTTGGAAACGGATACGCGAATGGTCATGGTCAGACGAATGTTCCTGCGCAGGAACCTGTGGCACTCGCCGAGCGGACTTGCATTGCGTATATGGGAACGTTGGTTCGAAGTGGTCGAGGGTCCGGAGTCGTGATTGCGACTGGTACTCAGACTGAATTTGGTGTCATCTTTTCGATGATGCAGGATGTAAGTTGAAATGCATCCCCTTTATCTTCATCAATTGATAGCGCGATAACCTCCAGGTCGAAGAAAAGCGCACACCACTTCAACTGAGTATGGACGAGTTAGCTAAGAAGCTCTCCCTCTTCTCCTTTGGTGTCATTGGGGTCATATGTATCATTGGAGTCCTCCAGGACCGGTCATGGCTGGATATGTTCACTATTGGAGGTTCGCCTTCATGACTCTTGCGAGACTGAAACCATGCATTAATAGCTTTGATGCTGAAGCACAGTCTCACTCGCTGTTGCTGCTATCCCTGAAGGACTTCCGATTGTCACCACGGTGACGCTGGCTCTAGGCGTCCTTCGAATGTCGAAGCGAAAAGCTATCGTCAAGAAACTTCATTCAGTGGAGGCTTTGGGTTCTGTGTCAGTAATATGCTCTGATAAAACTGGTAAATATACCATCATATTCTGCCACTATCTAAGCACAGCTGACATCGAGCAGGAACTCTAACCAAGAATGAGCAGACTGTCACCGAAATATATGCAGTAGACGAAACTCTGCATCTTGACCCATCGAGTTCTACCCCACCGACCACAAGCTTGTCGCCTGCCATGGTCAAGACTTTGGAAGTCGGGTCGCTATGTAACAATGCTATCTGGCGGGAAGAAGACAATGGGTATGTTGGTCAGGCAACGGACGTTGCACTGCTCAATGTTCTCTCCGTGTTTGGTATGACTGACCAGCGGCATGTACGTGCTCTTTGACTTGATAATTTGAACACTGACCAAACTTCTCTCAAACACTCAGGATTTCCTTCGACAATCTGAGCTTTCATTCAACTCCGACAGAAAGCATATGGCGGTCTCTGGCCTTCATGGTGTTTCTCAAGTTTCACTTGCTGGTTCTGCCAAACGAGAAATGTTCTACATCAAGGGCTCAATTGACTCTATCCTCGACCGCTGTAAGTTCTATTACGTCTCCGACGATTCTACACCAGGATTGGATGCCAATATGCGCAATGTTATTCACTCGAAGGCCCACGCGACTGCGTCCAAAGGACTGCGAGTTCTCGCGATGGCGTATGGTTATGGATCAAACGAGTCCTCGAAGCCTTCTTCCAAAACCTCATCTGCACCCGGAACTCGTTCATCGACCCCTCTCAGTCCCGAAAAGGAGAAAACGAACCTAGTTTTTGTTGGCTTCGAGGCCATGCTCGACCCTCCTCGGAAAGGAGTTGCAGATGCTATAAACCTTTTACAGTCCGGTGGTGTCCAGGTCGTAATGATCACTGGTGATGCTGAGCAGACTGCCATGTCGATTGCCCGGGAACTTGGTCTACGTGTTGGACGTCCTGGATCTGATGGAACGAATAGTGCATGTCTCACTGGACAGGCCATGGATCGTATGTCGAAGGCTCAACTACGGGAACGGGTCGGATCTGTCAGTGTATTCGCACGGACGACACCGAAACATAAGATGGCGATTGTGGAGGCTTTCCAATCTCGAGGTGCAGTTGTTGCTATGACCGGTGACGGAGGTATGCCTTTACTTGTTGATACATATATGGGTGATGCTGAGTTTTGCTGCAGTGAACGATGCTCCTGCACTCAAGATGGCTGACATTGGCGTGTCCATGGGGAAGAGCGGAACTGATGTGGCGAAGGAAGCGGCCGATGTTATTCTCGTCGATGATAACTTCAGCACGATTCTGCCAGCTGTTGAAGAAGGTTTGCACACCTGCCCCTGCAGAACTTCTCGTTGCTCACGTACCTTTTCATCAGGCAAATCGATATTCCACAACATCCAAAACTTCCTATCCTTCCAACTTAGTACGGCCGTAGCTGCGTTGGCTCTAATCACACTCAGTACGTTCTTTGGCCTCAGCAATCCTCTGAATGCCATGCAGATTCTGTTTATCAATATCCTCATGGATGGTGAGTTCATTTGAATGTTGTTGGATGCTGAGTCTGACTGTTCTGTAGGTCCTCCAAGTCAGTCACTGGGCGTTGATCCTGTCGATCCAGCCATCATGCGAAGGCCCCCAAGGAGGAAGGACGAGCCCATTATCAGTCAACGCCTCTTATACCGAGTTTTATTCTCAGCGTCCATTATTGTCATCGGAACTCTTTTCATCTACACTTACGCTCTTTCCGATGATCATATGTCCAGACGAGAACAAACTATGGTGAGTAACGCAGAAAGCAGTTTAATGTGTGGAATCTAAATTCACCTGTTTGTAGACATTTACGTGCTTTGTCTTCCTCGACCTCGTATCTGCCTTGCAAAACCGAGGTTTAGGATGCGGCTTCACGCAAAACAAAATGCTGATTACCACAGTCTCCGTCTCCTTCTTAGTTCAGCTCAGCCTGATCTACGTCCCTTTCATGCAGGCTATATTCCAAACTGCCTCGTTGGACTCAGGGGATCTCTTCGCATTGCTCTCGCTGGCAGCGATATCCATGACGTTACATGAAGGTCGACGACGATACGAGCGTGCTCTCAATGCTGATCTCACATTTGCCCACGCCGCAGAGGAGATGGCGTAGCGTTCTCACTTATGTATCTCACGTTGAAGCTACTCGACAGTGTCACATTTAGACTATCTATATTATATCATTCAATGGAAGGCTTCGTTGGAAATCGGATCATCATAGGCCCCGTTCCGACCTCAAGGAACTATCGAAGAGCTGGTTGTGAAGGTGATATATGATTTCCTACTAATTTCATATGCTGGTTCGCCTAGCAAATAACCTTTGTCTCCTTAATCAGGGTTTCTCAGCTTGTACGTTCGCGCTCGAATATTTGATTTTCGTGTTAACAAATTATACAGGACGACCTCTCGCCATCTCTAATACACCATCCTTGACGCCTCTTCCAGGAGCGGCCGTTCAAAGGCTGAGGTTGATGGGGATGCAGCCGATGTTGATGAGTCCACCCTGAAGAATTACACATAACAATGTCAACATAATGGTCAATGTGAAGCACTTGACATGAACTTACAACGCTGTTGTTCTCACAACAAACGGGATTGGCACTACAGGAGGAACCAACACCACCTCCAATAACAGTGATGGGAGAGCAGTTGATACCCAACAACACGTTCGCTGGAACGTTCAAGACGATTCCGAGTAGGCCGAGGAGAGCGCTGCCCGACTCAGAGTCAGCCTGAAACAAAGGTGAGCAAAGCAACAGCGGGTTGAAAGAAGACGAATGCCTACAGATTCAACGGTATTACAGCATTGCACATTGCCTGTGTTGCACTGTCCAGGAGGCAATATGGGTGGAGTCTTTCCAGGCGCGGCGGCCACGAAGCTAGTCAAGAACAACGCAGGGAACAAGATGCGGGTGAACATGGCAGACAAACGTGAAGTCTCTAGCTATGATCTGACCTGAGTGCAAGGAACTCGTCTCCTTTTATACAGCGGTTTACATAGATAGGAGACTTGCTGTGGCGTTCTCTATGCTTGGAATCGTGTCCGTGAAACAGCAACGTTGTGCTTCTTTACATGGCTCGCACCCATTTGAGCAGGTATTTCGACTCAGTGAAGTGCCCAGCAGTCTTGGGATCAAAACAGACCTTGTGAGATGTTTTTACCGAACATCCCTGACGTCATTTGATGTAAAGATAGCATGTGGATGGTCTTCCATTCATCTTGCCGCGGTGGCGTTGTATGGGTGAGTAGTATTTGACCATTGCATGTTTGAGACATCTGACTCTAGAGCATGAGTAGCTCGATTCTCCTGTAGCACGGAATGCTGAATATCTTGGTATGTACTGGATGCTCCGTTGAATACGGTCATGCTTATGCACGTTCTTCAGGTTTGAGGCGCCAAAATGAGAAACCCAATTTCCCCTTTTGTTCGGAAGTTACCTAATTTAGTAACGCCTTTGAACACGCGACCTTGTTCCTAGGTTGCTCCAACAAACACTTTTTCCATTAACTTGATGCGGCGCAGATGTAAAATGGTAGATAATGGTACTAGGGGTACAAATGATGGGACGATCTCAATATGTTGAGATGCCAGATTATGTTGTAAGGATCAAGGAAGAGCGAATGCCATTAAGTAGTATGATAGGACTTGGCAAAGAAGTGTGCGGGCAATCGAACCGAGAATGCAGGGGCACGAAAGCAGGAGAACAGAGAGAGTAATTTGAGCAGCAAGAAGCCACGAGGGATGGAGGCATGGGTCATCAGAAATATGTTGGAATGCAAAAGTGTTTCCGCGGTCATGGTCAGGCAGCCGCTAGTGGCACACCATTACTGATTGAGCCGGATACCAGGGGCCTGCTTCGCTCCTTCATAGAGAAATTGAGTGATGATAGCATGTAGGAAGAAGGCTGAAAGCTCACAGGGTCTCGTTTATCCACAACATGCGCACATTCAATGCCACAGGCCTCAAGTTCAAACTCTAGTTGGGGAAGTGGAACAGGATCTCTTGACGTCTGCTGGGGCGAGCCATAGGCTTCCATGGCACGAATCTGGCGTGAGACAGAGAGCGGCAAAGCAGAGGTGAACGGTAAAGCCCCTGAGAAAATGTCGGCAATATGTTAGTGATAATACACAATGGAGAGGTTGGAAAATTGCGGCGTACAAGAGATGAAGAGAACAAGAAGGATGAGTCTCGAGATGTTCATGGAGATAGATTGCATTTTTGTTATCTTTTTGGAAGCCGAGTAAAGTAATTTTGAAGCGTAGACAGGTCGAAAAGAGAATAGCTTATTGAACGGCTACACTTACGAGAAGACGCAGAAGGGAATGGTATCGTTCGGGCTGGAGAACTTTCTGACCTCACCATAGTTTTATACCAACACGCCGAGGCGATTTTCTCACAGACCTAGGTTAAGCTAGCCGCTGCACCTGACGCAAGTTTGATCCTAGCGAGACTCTGGAACGCACATTGTCGGCAGACTGGGTGGAGAGGTCGGAGAAGTCTGTAGGAATGGGATCGGTATCTTCACAGTCGAACATCCAACAAACATGAGGTGACCTCTTAGTGGCAAGCCATACAAGGACGGTTGTCCAGGAGAAACAAGACAGCCCATTTTGGGCAAATGCTATGGATTTCCGGTTCCTGACACGCTGCTGAATGAATACGAAGAGATCACCGCCAACACTCGCCAATAGATGACATCAGGAAGATGCCCTCAGGCGCTGTAAAATTTCTGACACCATATGCCCCAAAGAGTAAGATCGTCGGCCGCCGAGTCGCCGAAGGAGCCATGGTGCGTACTTTCGGCGTCGTAGAGACGAGCCTAGTGTTAGACGAAATTGAAGTTCAACAGAACGACCGCCATGAAATACAACGGAAGGTGAACATGTGAGTTCTCGAGCACTATTCTATCCGCGATACTCATAGCGTCTGACTGATAGATACCTGGCTTTGAGAAGCAACATACCGAAGAAGGCAAAGCACCGTATAGAACCCTGAAGGCACTGTACAACGATGCCTGACATTCAGGCGTGTGTGGTGGCCATATCCTAAAAGTACAGCAGAAATACAAAGCGAGGAACAGGCATACACGTTCAAATCAGAAGAGAATGGCGTTAGCTTGTTTGATAACTTTGGCCACCCCTGCACTTGCATTGGAGGGGACTTCGAAAGGCTCCAGACCAAGCAGGCGGCGGCCCAGTCCTGAAGCAACATCGTCGACTGTCGCACGACCTTTGAAGCCGGCTTCACCTTCGCCTCCAGGGAAATCACTGCAAAAGACCGCGAACGACTTCAGTAAAGACATAGCTCAAGGAACGAGAGTCGGTACTAACGGAGGAGGATATCCGGCGATGAAGTTATCCCGCTGGTCGCGAAGGTAAGATGCACTATTGGTAGTTGTCAATAAGGTTCACACAAATGAATATACAGAAGTACGTACTTCTTAACAGTCAGTGGGGTGGCGGGTATATACAAGACGGACGAGTCGCCCTTTCCAATATGTTCAGCCTCGACGGCATGAACCAAATCACAGTGCCCTGATCAGAATCGCTATCAGCTAAGAAGATATACCGCAAGCACGCGGGAGATCCGTACAGTAGACCTGATCGCCCGGTTCCATCTGAGGCAACGAAATCATCGCCTTATCGATTCGCAGGTGAGGATGAGTCTCCTCGTTGAGCAATTGTGCTTTAGCCATTTGGCTTCCAGGGAAGTCGGTACCGTCTAAGTTCAGTTCCCAATCATCCGCAGTCAAAGAGACTTTGCCATCTACAATTCTGCCTGGCTTGGGTCGGAAGAAAGGTCGGAGGATGATATAGGCAGTGGAAAGGGAGAGGAAAGGAAGCAAACGTAGTGTGCCTTCTCGAGGACCAGTGGTCGACATGGAGGTCCATCCTTGCCATGGACGGAATACTGAGCATTGGTTCCTATGATGGTAAAATGATCAGCAATATCAACCAGAAAAATCAAATGATACTTACGGTGCATGGTATAGATCTTGTTTAGCATCGAGCCTCGGTGTGGCATCAAACGGGTCGTGTTCTTTCCAACGACCCTCCAGGATACGTGCGAAACAAGCACGGTAGCCAGGATCCTCCCACCTTTCAAGGCCTCCACCGTCAATATGAGGACCTAGAGTAAAGCTACTAGGACCAGGAGCACGGATACGGAGTCGATCAAAGTAGCTAATGGGAGTCGAGAAATCCGCCGGCGTAGAAGGATCAGAAGAGTGCCACAGAGTCAAAAGTGCACGTTGTGTGTTGATGAGAGCGGGGTGCGTTCTTGCTGCTACCTGAGCCTTTGAGTTGTATACCTCATAGAACACAATGTTTTCTGCCGGGGTTCCTAGTGCGGTTGCATTAATAAAGAGCGATAAATAATCTTCAAGAGATTCAGCAAGAGCGTACCCTTCACTTTATCTCCATTGGCGGCTGCGTAATCTCTGATCGCTTGCTTCCACGCTAAGGCTTCCTGCATCGAGACAGTGAGCACCATAGAAACTACCGTGTAGGACGGTACTGACATCCTTGAGAACACCACCCTTAACAATCACGGTACCTGTCTTCTTGATTGATTTCTTTTGCTCCTCAGACAATCCGTTGATGACATCGTCGTAGGGAATCTTCGGAATCACCTACCTCACCTTGCTTAGCTAATGAAATACAATCTAAATATGAGTCAAGTCCTACCCTACCACCTTCGGACGCAATCTCTTCGGTCGTGACTTTCAGCTCGTCTAAGACCTCTCTCCAGCTCTGAATTATACCGTCATGGTAAATCTCTTTCTTCAAATCAGAGAACCGTTGGGGAAGGGGAGGAGCTCCTGTTAAATCGAATACATCTGCAATAGTACCTTCTTTCTTCGGCGTACGACGAGCATGCAATATTTCTGGAGAAATCGTCCCCGTAGAGCCGGTGGACGGCGCCACTGCATACTCTCGCACGAAGAGAGTGCGATAAATTGCAGACGAGCTACGAGTAGCCAATGACCTAGGTGAAGAGAGGGTTGCACGCAGCATCTTGAATAAACGTTGAAGGAGTCAGGGTGTGTGTGAATGAGTCCGACTGGAAGACGGACTTGCTCTATGTGTTATATGGCACCATGGCTCGTCACCTGGATGCAGAATTCTGACAAATTCCTTGCTCGTGGGTGTACTGCCGTCTGCATGCAGTTCGAAGTGTTCGTGCGACGAGACTGGTCGAGACGCAAATAAAGAGAGATAAAGCCATCAATATCAATGCTGGGACTCTGTTTAGTCCGAAGATACACCGACATTACACCGAATCGCGCCCACGTGCTGGGAAAGTAACTTCAAAAGAACATTTCGAATGAGTCGCGACGAGGCGGCATTGCATACTACTCTTCGCTCTTCCGCTAGGTATATGGAGGCCACTGACTGCGATATTCTGTTTAGGATCATCGTTGTGACGCAGAATATGCATTTCTCGAGGTATAAAACTATACTCAGGAGCGGCGTGAATGTGCCAAGCACCTTTGTCCTTTTGGAACTTGCACTCATTCCTGGTTCTCATGATAGCATATTTAGTGCTAGCCAATTTGGGTTCATGGAGCGAACGTGCTTATTTGGTTAGCGTGACAGCCGGAACCTGTGGCCTCAGATACACCCGTGGTGTCAAACACTTGATCCTACTTCTGTTTCCGTGCTTTGTCGGGATACCACGTTCAATGCGGTCTCCCAGATGACCGTGGAAGGACACTTTCTACCTCCCGAATCTCCACAGAATCTGAGGTAATCATGACGGCGGGGTATGCTGTCTTTGCCTGCGACGTTCCAGCCAGCGTTGCTTTTGGTTACAAACCCCCACTTCCAACGACTATCAATCTGTGCTGGCAACGCCGGCCAGGCACCGCTATAGCCACTGGAAGATCACACCATTACAACTTCTAGGCTGCGGGCACTTCTTCCTTCCGCTCAGTTGACCAAGGGCGGCCAAATATCCGACAACGATGCCTCGTTACGTTATGTGAGGTAGGCCAAGTGACCCTCCGAGCTCACGCTACTCGAGATAGAATCTCGTGCCGTGTTCCTCTCTTCGCTGATGCTGCGACATATCCTGCAGATGTCTTGCGTAGGACTGACCGCTACATGCGCTGTGCATGATAACAGTATGGACCTGAAGAAGATGAACTGAAGTTCTTCGGAGGCGTGCTTGTGCGGCCAGTTATTTGAATGCGAGTAATTTTTTTCCCATCGTGAATCGTAAGCTTCCTTCGTCTTGCTCTGCTTTATACCTGACCCGCCCTCTGAACGTGCTACGTGACTTGCGTGAATGGCAAGGAGATTATAAGCGGCGTTCGGTGATAGTACACCGTATGGAGGTACCATTGGATGGAATTCCTGGAAGGCTGACTGAAGCACCAGGTGACGCCTCAGAATGCAATTTCCTGTGCATGCCATTTATGTCCTCGGAAATATACATCGTGTTACCCCGACAACACTTCTTCCCTCTTCATTTCATCCGGTCGCTTTTCTTCGTAGGCTAGCTTTGTGTCTTTGCAATCACGTGCTCTACAGACCAGCAATCATATCCTCTGGCTTTTCGGTTAATCGACCGGAAATGTTAACGGTTTGTCAGGTTTCACGACGCTAAAGGGTGGTGGTGCATCATTCAATAGATTGTGTAGGCTTACAAAGACTCTGGATTCTATTTCACTATATAGAGCTGCAGAAGTGTTTCCTTGTAGTCGACCGCAACCTCCGCTGGTAACAACATAAGTAGTTCCGGTACGAACATGGTCATTTGTTTGGTCTTGCTATACTACATCCCCATCATAATTACCTGATTTGGACTTCTGTTGCACCGATCGAGAATGACGGTGCTTCTTTTCTCTTTAACTCTCGATGACTTTGCTCTCAACTTTCAATGTATAACTGTTTGATATCGACGCTAAACCCTTTTTACTGAATATTTGAATATGCGCAACCTTTCCTTACTTGGAACTACGCACCACACTCATACTCCGACCTTGGGCGAGTCCATCTCTGCGGTGACATTCGATCTCGACGAAAGTGCATTGTTTACTGCCACCGAACATGTATCGAAAGATGGAGACGTGCAGGTGAAGGTTTGGAAAATCGAAGGAAATGATGGTTTAGGATCTGATGATGTGAGTACTTCCTGCATTCGATTTAAGATCTTGTAACTCGGGCTGCTTGACCCAGGCAATGTCTCGAATTGTTTCCGACTTCCTGCTTCGTCTGTTCGATTACAAATGAACGGTTTCACTCAATACTCATCAGGGATACTGTAGATTTTGTCCAATCACCTCGTCACCATATTCACTTCCTCAGCATACTTGAAGTCGAACCCCTGGTCTTCCCCTCATGAAGGTCCCGCGGAGCTTGTCTCCTTTAAAATCCTCCCTGACACTCGCACTCTTGCTTTTATCATGAGAGGAGGCGACATTGCTACAGCGAGTCTCTCTGAGGGGTTGATTGAGGTCGATATAGTAGGATCTATTGAAGCGGGAATCGCAGCCGCGTCGTGGAGCCCAGATGATTCCCTTGTTGTACTTGCGACAGGTACCTCATATCGATTGCGTTCTTTCTGAATGTACTAATCTGTTCATAGCTGATGAGAAACTCATCCTTATGACATCCACCTTTGACGTTGTCTCAGAGACAACTTTGCACCCAAGCGACTTCGGTGAAGGTGAGTGATTCAAAATTACTCCTCTAGTAGCATCTTGATAGGTTGAAATTTTGCAGATGCTCCTATTAACGTGGGATGGGGTTCCAAACAGACACAATTCCATGGATCTTTGGGCAAAGCTGCAGCACAAGCTCCTAAACCTACACTTGTCGGTGCAAGCCCTGATGATGACACCCTCCCACGGATTAGTTGGCGGGGCGATGGAGCCTACTTCGTTGTTTCAAGCCTGTCGCCTGTCCCAGCAGATCCGGAAAACCCTTTGAGGCATCGCACCCTCCGTGTATACTCGCACGCTGGTATTCTGCAGAACACATCTGAACCAACTCCCGGTTTCGAACATACTCTTTCATGGAGACCGTTAGGCAACTGGATCGTCGGGACTCAGCGATATGGGTTTGAAGGCGGTGGAATTGGCCGAGAAGGAAGGCACGATTTAGTCATGTTCGAGAGGAATGGTTTGAGGAGAGGCGAGTTTGGCATTGAGAAGATGCTGTGGAACGGGCAGGTTAGCAAAGATTCAGAGATGGCACTGAAATGGGGCTATCGAGTAAGAGAGGTAGGGTGGAGCTCTGACTCCAACATTCTGTCTATCTGGATAGAGAGGGACGAGGGAGACGTCGGTATGTGTTCCATGTTCTTGCGGACCTCTCAATCTAACTTTGAGTAGTTCAACTCTGGACCACGGGCAACTATCACTGGTGGGTAATCCTCAGGATGATCGCTTTTTTCCGAATTTCATTGATTTGCAAAGAAGGTACCTTAAACATGAGATTGCAGCTCCTCCTGATCACCATGGTAAAGCGGGTCGCTTCACAGCTGTCGTGTGGCACCCGGAAGATGCGCTGAAGCTAATCTTGACCACTCAATGTAAGCTATTTTTGCATTTTAACGAGTCAACTATGGTTTACAGTTGGTATCCGTATGTTTCTTTGCTGTAGCACGGGTTGTCCAAAGAACCTATGTGTGGGAGACATTCGCCTCCAGATGCAAACCATCAAATGATTCTGGTTCAGTGGCGGTTCTTGATGGAGGTACGCATATCGTCCTTATTTTAGGAGAATCGTTGATCTAAACTCTGTAACTAGCGTCCATTCTCTTGACTCCTTTCCGACCTCAAAATGTCCCACCTCCCATGTCTGCATATCAACTCGCACTCTCAAGCTCATCTTCGTCTTCGGGCAGTTCCAAAACTTCTCACACTGTGCCCATACATGTGTCATTCTCACCTAGGAAGGATGTCTTGACCGTGCTTCAAGAGTCTGGGTACCTTGAAGTCATCGATTTGCATACCAGGCTGGGTCCCGGCCGTGGCAAAGTTATGGATCATGCTCATCTCTGGGCAGGTGCCGTGGCCGTCAATGATTCCTCGACTGCCTATCGGCAAGTCATTCAATGGGCTCAAGAATGTGACGCGTCAGACATAATCCGCCTAGCAGCGTTAGGTTCGGACACGAACGACTTCATATCAGTCCTCACTCTTGCGGGGTCGGAAGTAAATGAACGCTACGATGTTGGCTTACCAGAGCGGAACGGCCGCCTTCTGTATACAGACCAGTCCTTGTCATGGCAGGGACCAGATGGGCAGATCTACGATTGTGAGTTATGTCGATTTCGTGGCAACTACCAAGCTGAAACCGCTGTTGTAGACGACATATCCGAGAAAACATTCCTGCCCTCCGCGAAGTTGCCAGATTTCTGTTCTGACGCCGAGTGCGTAAATGTGCATCCCGAAGGGCGCACTTCGGGTGCACTACAAGATCAGTCTGTTCTGTATGTCGGTCTATCGCAGGGTAACAAGCTATCAGTTGCCAATTCGCAAACGTCTCAGACACTCGCCTCTAACGTGAACTCGTTCTTTATTGCATCGGATTTCCTTATCTTTACGACCACTGCGCATGTTGCACAATTCGCACCTTTGGAAGCGCTGAAGTCTCTGCTGGAATCGCCTGATCCAAATTCTCCTATTCCAGAATGGGAGACGCGAAGAGTCGAACGAGGCTCTCGGATCGTCACTGCTGTTCCTACCACAATGAGTCTTGTGCTCCAAATGCCAAGAGGAAACCTTGAGACAATCTACCCGCGACCGTTAGTGATGAAGATCGTCAAGCAAGACTTCAATCAGTAAATATGAGATGCTGTTCTACCTTTTGAATCATAACTCATCATTCACTTTGGATTCATAGGAAGCAATACGCGAAGGCTTTCTCTGCCTGCAGACGCCACCGCGTTGACCTCAACGTCTTCTTGGAATACAACAGAGAGGCTTTTATGGCGGATCTGACCCTCTTCATAGATCAAGTTGACGACGTAGATAACATCAATCTATTCCTCACCAGCATTGGACAGGGCTCACTACCATCGGAGGTTGTGGCACACGTCTGTGACGGTATCCGTCTCGAGCTGGAGAAAAGGGATCTCAAGAAATACATCAGCTCAATACTGACTGCACACGTCATGAAGCGTCCTCCCGATCACGAATCTGCGCTTTCCTTGTTGTTGCGTCTGCGAGGTAGGCATTAGAAACTGTTCTTTACTTGTATCCCAGACTGACCGGGTGTGAGTAGATACCGAGCCCCAGTTGGTTGAAGACGCCGTAAAGTACATAATCTTTCTGGTTGATGCTGACAAGTTGTTTGATACCGCGCTTGGAATGTACGACTTCTCCTTGGTACTTATGGTTGCTCAAAACGCACAGAAGGTATGGCAAACTTTTGAAGCAGCGCTCATCGAATCTCATCGTTTCATACCTGCTAGGATCCAAGAGAATACCTCCCGTTCCTGCGTGAACTTCGAGCGTTGGACAAGTACTACCAGCATTTTCGGATCGACGACCATCTCAAACGATATGAGAAGGCTCTTAAGGATCTTAGTCAAGCAGGTCCCGAACGCTTTGATGAAGCCATGTCCTACGTGGAGAAACACCAATTGTATGACGCCGCATTGACAATCTGGCGGGATACAGATCATTACAAGGTTCGTGTCAGGCATTTCATCAAGGACGATAACCATTCTTAATCCAACCTTTGTATAGACTGTTTTGAGTATCTATGGCGACTGGCTCTTTGAACGTCGAGAATTTCGGGATGCAGCGTTTGGTAGGTGATCAAACACTGTGCAATTCACGTAGGTTAATGTTTTTCTCAGTCTTCAGACACGCCGGCAAGCCGGCTAAAGCGATGATTGCATACGAGAAGTCCCTGGATTGGCGAGAACTCTTTGAGATCGCTCTTGATGAAAAGGTTTCAGAAGAGGACCTCAATGCAACTGCTTATCGAGTAGCTGGCGAGTATTTCTCAACGTTTGTCTATACGTGAAATTGGACTGACATTCATTCAGAGGACTTGTCGTCCAAGAAACGCTATGCGGACGCAGCTCACGTACTTCTGGATTATGCCAAGGACATCCGTGAGGCTGTCATCTCCCTCGTTCAGGGCAATCACTTCTCAGAGGCTCGGCGTATAGTAAGCTTTGTGCTTTCCACTAATGTACTTTGGAATCTAATGCCGTATCCTAGATCGCCCTCCATTCGCTTCCTACACTATTGGAGGAAGTGATCTACCCAGCAGCTTTGGAAAGTCGAGTACAAATCGCTGAGGATCTCGGCGAGATGAAAGAGCAGCTGCGAAAGCAAGTTCAGCGGTTGAGGGAGTTGCGTGTCAAAAAGGCAGAAGAACCTGGTATGAGAATTTGTTTCTTGCAGGTGCTCAAAGTCTCACAATCGTTATTTTTAGATGCATTCTACGGTGTCGAAGACACGGATCTGCACAATGTTGACGTGATGACAGATATATCCATGGCCCCAACTGCGTTCACGCGTTATACTCAAGCGCCATCTTCCGTTTCTCGAACATCCAAGTAAGTTATTTTTACTTTTTGTAAACAAATTTTATCGACGCTCAACCTTTCTTCAGGCGCAGCTCTCGCTCGAAGAGGAAGATGGAACGCAAGATTGGTTCAGGCAGGAAGGGCACTGTCGACGAAGAGGAGTATCTTCTGAAATCCGTAACGAAGCTAGTTGGCCGATTCAACACTACGCAGGGTACGCTCTTTTGCAACCTCGTCTGCTTTGGATATAAACTGACTATCTGTTTCTTAGCTGAGGCGATTTCTCTGCTGCCTCATTTATTCCAATTCAGCGAGGAGCATCGTGAGGAAGGTCTCGCATTGCAGCAAGAATTGATGGAATTCGAGGAGGAGTTGAAACAGGCCGTTGAGGATATCTGGAAGAAGAAATCTGCGGAGGCGGAAGGTGCGGAACCTTTTGAGGACGGTTGGGCGGCCCGAATGCAGGAGTACGAGAAGCAAAGACAAATCGATCCGCTGGATAAAGTCGCTAGGCCGGATCTCATGAAACGCGATTGGAATCCAAAGCTATCTATCATTGGTAACAAAAGCAAGTAGCAGTTTACTTTCCACATTATTTGTATAAGATTTGTAGTGGTAGTTTTTAGACAGATTTCGCTAACGTTTTCAGAGGGTTCATTTCGCTCGTTGTAGTGTATATATGCAATACAACTGCGAAGAACTTCTCGATTATGGCCCCGACGCAAAGACATGATTCGCCTTCTGGTTGGTGCACCTCAAATTCGCCCTTCTTTCTCGTTACAGTAATAGACATGGGCAATACGATCGCTACGAGGCAAGCTACCTAGAGAGATTTCGACGACTATGCACCCGCAAGTAGCTTGACCGTCTCCACGGACGGAACGAAAAAATATTCTCCTCCTCGGGACGTCACGAAGAAGTCTTGCTTAAAAGCGGTGACATCCTCCGGCCTGGCAACACCACTGACTTGGAAGATTTTTCCCGTCTTATCGCTGACACGAATGGTAATTTCCTTGTTGGGGACAATGTCCTTGTCCGTCTGGTTTACGTCGGGGTCTCCGATAATAGCAGCATCGAACATATCTCCGGGTCCGCCGAGAATAGGGTCCTGACCTGTAACCGTTGTGAGATACCACCCTAGGATCAGCCGCGGTAACCGCACTCACCATGCCTGAATGGAATAACGCCGCTGGTAGGAAAGTAATCGTTACCGGCAAATCCGGTCGTCTGAAGGAAGAAACCATTCGTGATACTAGAACTGTAACAGACGAAGGCCAAACCACGCTCTGTGTCGAGAGGCGCTTCGGAGTACTGTATGCAAAGAGTTTTCAATGTCAGACCCAGACCGAAGTTACGAACATTCGATATCACGCACGTCTTTGCCGTAGGGCATGCCGGCACGTACGATAACAGCTGACTCCAAGTATTTCTTCGAGACGAATGGATCGAGGTTGCGTGGCGCGGTCTTACGAGTATGAGCGACGAAGGGGCAACCAATGTCACTAGGTCCTGTCTGGTTCGGGACGGTGTAGTCGAAATTATTCACTTGGTCCGGGTCAGCAGCGATGTCGGGGTTGTCTCGATAAGGGGACAAAGCGATCGGACATCCCTATGAACAATACTGTCAGTTGCATCCATAACATATTCACGCAAAACAGAGACATACGGATTTCCACCTTCCAATCATCCTTGCACCCCACAGGTCTGCACCCTCCTTGGGCGTAAGGTCCTGGCCAACCGTACCAGGGGGCCAGAAGTCCCTCCAGCGGTTAGCGTTCTGGGTAAGGTAGTCCTCAAAGCCTTTCACATCTTGCTCAAGTTTACGGAAGACCATAAGGCTACCATCCTTTGTCCAGTATGGACGTTTAGTGACGTTTGGATCAGTGCTATCGAAGACGGGATCGCCTTTGTAGCCCATGATAATCACACCGGGATCAACCTCAAGTTGGCCTTTACGAGGAATGGCAAGGCCGCTTGTAAAGAAGCGTTAACATCCGATACTTCGTGATGCAATGGAATATGTTACCGTATAGCAGGCTGAGAAACGCCATCCTCGTAGCCAAAATGCTCATGGCCCTTGTTCTTGCCCGTGCGTCGGTCTGCATTGATACTCCTGAACTTCCTTACAGCGCCACCGAACAGATCCTTGATATTAGTGAGAGCCTCAGATCGCTTCTGAGCATCTGAGAAGTAATGAAATCAGAATCGGAACTATGATGGAGGTGAAAGAGTAGAGTACTGGCTGCTGCAACGACGAAGACACCATGTACAGTTCCAGGGTCAAAAATCGGATCCCACTGGCGACCATCGCCAAGCACCCCCTTGTCTCTTCGCATAGAACCGCCATCGTAGCGTATGTCGCCAACGGCTTCAGGTCGACCCAACGCGGTCAGGCCGGAGCGACTGAAGGCAATCTGAGTCTGGAAAAGGTCAGCGATCTGGCCACGTTCCTTCGCATCGGAGATAGTCTCCAGGTGCCCGGCGACATCTTCAGAGGAAGTTGGCCGATAGTTCCGCAGAGCGGCCTTGAACTTGTCCTTGTCTTCAATCCAAAAGAAGAGAAAACATTCTGCAACCTGTGTGGAAAACGTGTTGGCCTTAGCAAGAAAATCCCACCTGGTGTTCTGACTGACCTTTGGAAAGAGAAGATACACGTCGCCCTGTATGTTTGCAGGATCTGGAATGGCTTGCTTGGCTATGGCAAAACGAGCCGGGGCCAAGCGAGATTCTGTCTTGCGTATGAGAGGGAGGACAGTGCGGCGCTTGAGATTCTTCAAGGACGGGGGTATTTCTGTCATGATGAAGAGATGAAGGACAGAAAGTACCTAAGAGCACTTTCGGGATGAAGTGCGAGAGATATACGACGCAAGCAAGCTATAAGAAGCCGCAACTGGATAAATTAATCAACGTCAAAGCGCGACGATGGGGATTCGGTTTGCTATTTACCAGAGAGGCATTGAATTCGCCACATCGAGTGACATTATTGAACTCTGTGAGTGACACTTCAGAGGCATGCTTACATCAAGAAACGGCATGAGAACATACCTCAGATTACATTTGCTTGACATATGGAATGGACGAAGGAATGCATGTCGCTGCACGTTCACCGCCCTGAGCTGAACAACAACTATGGACTGGTTCTGAAAACGAGTTGCGAGTAAGAAGTACGTCTTCGGCGGTGACACTTGGGTACCATGAATCAGGCTCACGGACTTCTGTACCTCCGACCTAAGGAAGGTATAGGGATATGTGTAAAAATAGGACACACTCAGATCCATGAGGGTACGGATGGCCATAAGTCTGGCAGTGTCCTATCCTTATGTGGACATAATCGACCACGACAAGGGCTTAACGGGAGTATCGAATGCAGTTTAGAAGCTGGACTAACGGAAGGGCAGATGAGACTATCATTTGTGGCAGATGATGTGGACCTCTTCTACCTCAACTTGCGGGGCGTCTAGGGACTGGAATCGGTACTTCCAGAAGCTCTACTTCCTGTAAGCAAAGTACGTGTGCATTTCAGGTGAATTGATCCACAATCGCTCTGCATCGATGCTATTCTTGAACGTTGAACATGCGTTGCCCAGCTGACCTCGTCATCCATTGTGCCTGTCTTAGCAAAGAACAGCCTGCAACACTCATGACTAGTTCCCCGAGTATCGGCTAGTGGAAAGTTCTATTGCGATCCGTCATCCCTAAACTTCACGCCCCGTCTCTACACACGAAATCTAAGAAGAAATAGAAGCACCCTTCGTCTACTGACTGTCGTTCGACTTGGTATGCATTTGTCCTATCCTGTCATTAAGGTTGGACTCGACCACGAATGCTGACTAGGCTTTGTTATAAAGGATACTCACTTTTGCAAATGAAAGGGTGATACGTTCGTCGATGTCACATTTCATTGAGTACTGCTCGGCATGGAATTGTTCATGGTCTGATATGCACATCCTTGCTACTTCTTTGTAGTGACTTCTCACCGATGCAACCGACACAGGGTCACCTTGCTACTTCGTTATGGAGCAGACATTTCTATATGTTGAAGTTGCTTGTACACTATAAACGGATCATTAAAGGTCATTGAGAACATCATCTCATCTGCCAAAAAATGTCTTTCCAGTCCGTTCCCCCCTCTGACGGCGAGTATCGTATCAAAGTCTTGGACTCAAACAAGTACGTCGAGTATGACCCCGGCAAGGGAACTTGGATCAAGCTCGCGGACCTCAACACTTCCAGCGACAAGCAAAAGGTATGACGATAACACGTTCAATTCGTTCACCTGCTGACGAGTCTATCTATGTAGTTCAACATAACACGTATTCAAGGCACCAACTGTTATGCGATTATCTCCTGCTTTGACGATAACGGTTTGTACCGTTATAAGACCTCGGAGACATACTGGGGTTATGGCTATGTACGAGGCAAGGACTCAGGCTCTGATCGCTGGACGTTCATTCAAGGCACCCAATCCGGCAAACAATTCGCCAAGTACGGGCTCCTTTATCATACTAATTATGTTTTCCGAATATACCGTGCTGATGACTATATAGAATCAAGCTAGACAGTGAGGATGACGTGTGGGATAGCGACTCATCTCTCAGCGATGGATGTGTGAGTAGTATGCCCTGGTGCATGTAAGAAGTCTCTGACTCGCATTGCTATAGGTCCATTTTTATAAGGATAAATCTGTACGTTCTTTATACTAGATCTAAGCGAAACACTGATGTGATATTTTGCAGGATCGTCCGAACCAGAGATTCGTCTTTCAATTAGTTGACAATCAGGACTCTCCCATCCCTCCCACTACTAACGTTCCGACCAATGAAAAAACATTTCAGAAGTCCTTCTTCTCACTCGACGTCCCGGGGGCCAAAAGTCTCGGTCCTTACGACATCATCGTCATTGGCTCCGGAATCGGAGGCGGAATAGTTTCCACGGATCTCTTTGATACCAACTCCATGCTAGGCAAGAATGCCAAGAATGTCCTCGTTATCGAGAAGGGCGACCTCGTCTTCCATTCTCACTGCCTGAACGCCGCTCGTCCTAGCGGTCTTGGAGAAGACCGCGGACAGCAAAACGATACGTTCTTTGCGGCCTTCCGTGATGATTACAACTTGAGTCCCCAAACGGTCAAGAAGGACTGGAAGGGTGGTCCTATGTATAACCTCGGCGGCAGGAGCGCTGCATGGGGTCTCTTCGCTCCTCGTATCCACGATGAGGTTCTTAGGAAAGAGTTCCCTACTACGGTCTACAACGATCTGTTGTGGACGTATTATATCGAGGCCGAGAAGCTCATGATGCTTTCCGAGCCGGAGACGAAGACAATTCATCAGAACCTCATGGAGCGTCTCAACATCGAAGCGCAGCCTGCCGTTCAATGGCAATGGGGACGTATCGCTAGCGAATTCCGCGATACACGAAACTTCGATTTCGCTGATGGTGCTTATAGTACTATTGATCGTTTGCTGGAGATCGCCATGAGTAAACCTGTTGATGCTAATGGCCGCCTCCGTGAACATGACAACTTCAAGATTCTGTTGAATACGGAGGTGCGGAAGTTGGGTTGGGACGCGTCCAATTCCAAACGCGTCAATGGTGTCTGGGTTCGCACTCGGGATGGGAAAGATGATTTCATCCCTCTGAGGACCGGTGGACAGGTTGTTGTCGCTGCTGGTACCGTCTACTCGCCTGCAATCCTTCTCAGGAGCGGGGTTGATCTCAAGTCTAACGGCGGTCTCCACGTTACCGACCACGATATCTTCTTCAGGGCACTTCCATTCGAGTACAACGACCCGAAGAATCGTGAGGTTGTTGGGGCGATGAAGCTTCAGACATACGTGCGCACGTCGAACAATGAGATCACTTTGGCGAATATGTCTCTCGATGCTTCGTCTTTCCTTCCTCGTCGGGATATTCAATTGAACGATTACCCCAAGTGGATCATCAGTTTCATTCGCCAGACGCCTCTCAATCAATCGAACATTGTCGAGATGGTCAATGACGAACCTGTTGTCACTATCAATCGTGTGAAACCCTTCAACATGCAGGACCCGACCATTCAGGAGTTGAAGCGTCTTACGTCCAATGCGACCGATGTTCTGCAGGTTCGTCATTTTTATCTTGATCGCGATGAGGAATGACACTGACATGAACTCATGCACCTGTAGAAAGCCCTGAAACTCACCTTCCTCGAAGATCCTGCTTTGCGTAATTCTGAATACTTCAAGACCCTTGAATTGGGCGGTGTGGCTCACGAGCTTGGTACGATCCCCATGCAAAGCCCCTCTACCACTTCATACTGTGTGGATACCAACCTTAAGCTCTCCGGTTACGAGGGCGTATATGTCAGCGATCTTTCCATATTCCCCATGTCTCCCGAAGTCAACCCGACTCTCACTCTCGCTGCACTGGCCCTTCGTCTCTCGCGTCAAATCCTCCACCCTCGTCTCATCATCTATAGCCCATCTGGCAATATCACAACCGAGTCTGCCGATCGTGATACTGTGTATGTGATTAACCAGACGGGAGTTAAGCAGAAGGTCTTCTTGGGCAATCGCGCTGGTGTTTACAATGACGGAAAAGACGGTACTGCCGTGCTGGGACCTGGAGATTCAGAGTCCTGGAAGAGACGGAGTGGAACTGCCGAGGCACTTTCGGTTTTCAAGTTGAGGTACAACAGTCCGACGGAGTTCAGCGACTCACCTTCGGTCATCCTCGCCAATCCTGGTCGAATTTGCCCTCTCCTCTGATTGTTGTCTATACGTGTACTTGACTAGAAACCATGAACTCTGAAGTGCTTTGTCGTCCAAGTGGCGATTGTAATAGATACTGCATGTACATTAGATTTCCGTAAATCTGGTAGCGTCCTACCCTTCTGAGGGTATATTCGACCACGACAAGGACTTGAACGGGAGTGTCGAACATAGTAGTCTTGAAGCTGGACTAAGGAGGTGCAGATGGGACTCTCACTGGTGGCGAATGATGTGCAACTCCCGAGATGATCCTGCCAACGCCACATTCCGTTTGACAATTTTTTTTGCCATGTCATGAGGGCATGAGTGGTCGAAATTGTGAAGATATACCACGAACGGTATCTCAGATCGAACCTACTCTTAGGGATTCGCTGGGCGTCTGGCAATGAGTCGGAGCCAGAAGATCTAGCGCAAGCACTTGTACGCACGTCCATGCAGTATACTATCTTCTACCACAACACAATCTTTCTAACTATCTGTACTGTGAATATGTTCGAAAAGAACGAAGTTGCGACGAAACAGTTTCTCGCTGCCACGCTGTCCTGAAGAGACCGAAGCCAACGATCTACTTAACATCCGTACTAAGAGCTGCAATTTCCTTCCCGTGAGCAGAGTACGTATGTATGTCAGGTAGCTTGATGGACAATGGCTCTGCATCGGTGCTATTCTTGAACATGCGTTGCCCAGCTGACCTCGTCATCCATTGTGCCTGTCTTAGCAAAGAACAGCCTGCAACACTCATGACTAGTTCCCCGAGTATCGGGTAGTGGAAAGTTCTATTGCGATCCGTCGCACCTAAATGTCACGCCCCGTTTCTAGGCACAAAATCTAGGAGCAGATGGAAGCACCCTTCGTCTATTGACTGTCGCACAACTTGGTATGCATTTGTCCTATACTGTCATTAAGGTTGGACTCGACAACGAATGCTGACTAGGCTTCGTGATAAATGATACTCACTTTTGCAAATGAAAGTGTGATACGCCCACCATTCATCGAATACTGCTCGGTATAGAAACGCTCATGGTCTGATATGCACATCCTTGCCACTTCGAAGGAATTCTTTGTAGTAACTTCTCACCGATACGTTCGGCACAGAGTCACCTCGCCGTTTCGTTATGGAAGAGAAATTTCTATATGTTGGAGTTGTTTGTACTCTAGATCTATAAAGGGATCATTGAGATTTGGATAGTCATTGAGAACATCATCTCATCTGCCGAAAAATGTCTTTCCAGTCCGTTCCCCCCTTCAACGGCGAGTACCGTATCAAAGTCTTGGACTCGAACAAGTACGTCGAGTATGACCCCGGCAAGGGAACTTGGATCAGGCTAGCAGACCTCAAGACGTCCAGCGACAAGCAAAAGGTATGTCGATTACATGTTCATTTCGTTCATGTACTGATGAATCTTTTTACGTAGTTCAACATAACACCTATCAAAGGCAGCAGCAACTCTTATTCGATTATCACCTGCTTTGATGATAACGGTTTATACCGTTATAAGACCTCGGAGACATACTGGGGTTATGGCTATGTACGAGGCAAGGACTCAGGCTCTGCTCGCTGGACGTTCATTCAAGGTACCCAATCCGGCAAACAATTCGTCAAGTACGGGCTTCTTTGTCATACCAAGTTTTTTTTTGGTTGAATTCACCATGCTGATGACTCTATAGAATCAAGCTAGACAGTGAGGATGACGTGTGGGATAGCGACCCATCTCTCAGCGATGGATGTGTGAGTAGTGTGCCTTGCGGTGAACGTAAGAAGTCTCTGATTCCCTTGCTATAGATTCATTTCTACAGGGATAAATCTGTACGTTCTTTACAACCTAGATCTAAAACGAAGCACCGACGTGGTATCTTGCAGGATCGTCCGAGCCAGAGATTCGTCCTTCAATTAGTTTGACAATCAGGACCCTCTGTGACAGTCCGACGGAGCTCAGCGATGTACCCTCAGTCATCGTCGCCAATCCTGGTCGAATTCGCCCTCTCCTCTGATTGTTGTCTATACGTGTACTTGGCTAGAAAACCTGAACTCTGAATTCCGAAGTGCTTTGTTGTCTGGGTGGTGATTGTAATATATACTGCATGTACATTGATTTTTGTCGTCGACAAATATGAGATCAAAGAAAGAGGCGTTTTCGTTTATATTTTCTCGATATGTCCATGACTTACAGCTATATGTGGAATGATGGGCCAGTACGGACTTAAAATCTCGGAAGGCTGATTGCAGCTTTCCAAGCCAGTCGCGAACGTTTGAGGAGCGTGCAAGCCTGATCCTTAGCGAATACCAAACTTGCCTAATGTGGATGTTGGATTAATAAGCGCTAAAGATATGCGCACGCTCAACTTGAAGCTCTTGGCTTTACGCTCGACGTTCAACTTTTATTCGTTTTTGTTTCTGCCGGCTTTTCCTCCTTGTTACCCTAAACATGTCTACAGCACACAGACCGACATGGGACCCGGCTCAGGCCAAAGATGTTAAGGGTGGCTCACGCCAATTCTCCGTGCGAGACATGGCCGCACATACGAAACTAAAGTTTCGGTAAGTCGACACGATTTTGGTCGTTATGATCAGCTTAATGAAGAATTATACAGTCAGCCAGGCCAGACTTCGACAGACGAGGTGAAGAAACGCGACTTGAGAGCCGAACTCATTGCAGCAGAGGCAGAAGCGCGTGACAGGAAGAGGAAGGCTGAGGGAAAGCCACCATTGGCAGTCGAGCACGGAACTGCAGGTGTCGTTGCAGACGATGAGTCGAATAAGCGACGGAAGCTGCTACAGGAAGCTTTGGAGATGGATAAGGATGAGGAGGAAAGTGAGGACGAGGAGAAGAATGGTGGTGAGAAAGAAGATGAGGATGAGTGCGTGTATTGACCCAATATGCATGTGGCTTTGCTGACTTTCTTGTAGGGAATCTGACGAGGATGACGATGAGGACGACACTGCGGAGCTACTACGTGAGCTAGAGAAGATCAAGCGCGAACGTGCAGAAGAAAAGGTCCGACAAGAGCGGGAAGAGTCAGCGACGACGGCCGCACAGAGAGAGGCTGAGATTGCAACAGCGAATCCTCTGCTGAACCTTGCTGCTGCATTAGGTCAGACGCCTCATGGTGTCAACACGACAGTACCAGGAACCTTTGCAGTGAAACGAAGGTGGGACGATGGTGCGTATATGCTGTCAGGTACTGAACTTTCATTCATTGATTTTTGTTTTACACAGACTTGATCTTCAAGAACCAAGCTATGAACAGCCGAGATAAAGACAAGTCAGGGCAGTTTGTCAACGATCTTCTACGGACGGAATTCCACAAGTATGTAATCTGGTAATTCTGTAGTGTCATGTACTGAACAAACCTTTCGTCTTTATACAGAAAGTTCATGGCTAAGTTTATCAAGGTATGTCTGACATTCCAGCGTACATTCCGCCACTCACACCATCTGCTTTTCTAGTAACATCTATTATTGCTGCCTGTATTATATGTATACCGCTTTCGTATAGATTCATTGTGACACGCAAATTGCAAACGGACACGTCTCTGTATGCCACAAACGAAGCAGACGCGACGTAAGCTCGCATTATGATCTATCCCACTCCCATCCTTCTGCTGCCCACTCTGGCATCTCAGTCTCAAAACACCCAAAACTGGTCGTATACCTCAACGCATGCAAGAAGATATACAACTTCTCAGGCTTCGGATCTGGGTGGATCGGCAGATAACACTCAGGGCAATAGTGCATTTCGGTCTTGGGCTGGGAAAGATCTGCCCTGGTGTCTGTTGTCAGGCCGCTCACATCCTCAGCAGTTTCTTCCGCGATCTTGATCTTCTCGAGAGCTTCCTCCACGCTCAGCTGCGGCGGTCCTTCTGGTACCGGTTCCGCTTCCTGTTCAATTGATGGCGACTGAACGTCTACAGGGGTGGGTGGGATGAGTTCGGGTGTTTGTGGTTCTGAGTCCTGAGGAGTTTCAGGAGTTGATATATCTACAAGGGCAGCAGGTCCGCCTCGTTTTCGTCGATTTTGGGGAGGTGGGGGAGTAAGAACGATGTGATGTGGGTGGAGTTTGCCTTTTGCTTTGAAGACGACGTCTCGCCATCGGCTCCAGTCTTCCTCCTCATCCTGATCCATGGGTACCTATCAGTGTCCTGCGTGTGAAAGCGCGACATACAAAACACTGACCTTCATATTTCGCAAGTTCGTTATTACGCGCACGGCTTCCGCGGATAAAGGTACCGGCGAGCCAAAACCAATATCTTGACCCGTTTCTCGTGGTAATGGTTTGGAGCTCGACGAGCTGCCTTCGGCTTCAGTATTTAGCGGGAGTGATGAAGTCGTGTCCTGCCCAGGGATTTGCTTTTTGTTCCCGTTATTCTGCAGCTCCGATGGAACTGTCGGTGCTTCTCGTTCATCGCTAGGCGTGACGTCGATTCCTCCTTTGCCAAGTTTCTCAGTCTATATTGTAAGTAAGTAAATCTTTCAATATGAATGTCAATAGAGGTAGGATACGCACCCATATTCTTGGACTTGAGTAAACAGGATCGTTTGCAATGGGGTGTCCAAGAAATTGCAGGTGAACTCTAAGCTGATGAGCTACAAAGGATAAATTACGTTTATTGCACCAGTGAGCATGAAGGTATGGTTTACTTACATCGTCCAGTAAACGGTCGGCCTGTCTGGTATGTCAGCAGAAATTGCGCGGGAGGGAGCTTTGAGACGTACAATGCACAACGCTGGTATCCGTATTTGCATCATAGTGTAATCTTTTGAAGACAGTCTTCGCTGGCTGAAGGCAAGCTTAAGCGGTAAAACCGATTGATTGAATACTTGACATACCTTCCCTTCAGGATGAACGATGTTCAGTCCTTGCTGACGGTCAATTGTCAGAAGTGGTTCTTCGCAGGTCACTTCTTCCCTTATTTGATTCAATTAACGTGATATAGGGAAGCTGAAAGTTGAGAATGACATACTCTGGAAACTCTCCTAGTACTCGGGCCAGATACTCCTTTTTCACATCTCCTGCAGCAAACTCTACAGCGAGCCTGTTCGCACATGTGGAGGATAGTGGGACAATCATCAGGCCGGACGTTAGCCGGTCGAGACGATTAACAACTGAACAAGGCATGCATTTTCAGAACTAACATGAAGGGAATGAAGTACATGAACGTACAGTAAGCCTTTTTGATGCCGTACTCCTCCCTTAAAACTTCAATCAGGCTGTTCTTGTGATATCTTCCGGCAGCGTGTACGGGCTAAATAGACAGAAGATTTTAGTACAAATTAGGGGGTGGAAAGGAGAAGACGGACGGACGATGCTCCCAGGTTTGTCTATTACAATAAATTCCCGCTCCTTGTCACGATGAATGATCTTCACGGGTTTTGAAGTCACTGGTGGTTCATGACGGTGGACAACGTTCCTACGATTGCATCAGTTTATGAAAGGTTTTGGGACCAGGACATGCATACTCTATTCGATCACCATTTCGGACGATGGTGTCAGGCTTCGCGACTTTGCCATTGATAGTAGTCACTCCGGATTCCAAAGCATATCTCTGTGTAGAATCAATGTCGCATGAGCTACCTCCAAATATAATTCAAGCGTTCCAAGTACGTAGTATTCCATAGAGCGATCCCGAAACTCCGTCGACACAACCTCTAAAATTTCTCGGCCAAGCCACCGCTCCTTCGCCATGGTTGTATACGGATACCAGTAAGGCGCGACTTTTCTGAGGCTTGGGGGTGAATTTGGCATCGTGCTCGAACTTGGTTGGGCCATTGAGTCCAGGATTAAGCTAGAAACGACTTTGCGAAACTGTTCCCTGGCAGACAGAGATATTAGAGGATAGATTACTCTCGAAGGTCGACTTTTAGCAGAGGCTTCGGTGGTATGAGCACAAGCTGAATGCATGAATCGTAGGATCATGCAAAGACGAAAATGGTAGTCTTCTTGACTCCAAACAGAAGTTATAGAAATTGAGCGCCTCCGAATCTACCGCTTCTCAATCCACAATGAAGCAGCGCCAGAAAGGAGAGTACTTGCTAAGGACAACGACACAATTTATTCTGTATACTAACCGTTCGAAAGACAGTCGTCTGTAGGCTGGCCTCTGCCAAACTTCTCAAGTCGAATATCTGCCATGTTATAACGTTTATTGAAGAAAAATCATGTGGACACAACAGCGAGTACATGTACAAAGCCAAACAATAGGTATACAATTCGAGAACGATTATGGCTTCCAAACCGGTTGTTTGGTCGACCTGCCAACCCTTGTTAGCCTTCTCATCCATTCCAGGCTCCGAGCGAAACTCACTGAACAAAGGAGCTACGTCTGGAGGAGCCACTGCTAGAACTGGGCCGCCTGGACTGCTCATGTTCATACTGCAAACCATCATCTCTGAAGCCGAGCAGGGCATTTTCGTCGTCAACTCGAGCGTACTGTCCAGTAGAGATAGTAATGACGGAAGACGGGGGTGGTGTAGAGAAGTCCAAGGATCGAGCCAGCGTTTCGTCAAAGCCTGGCATCTTGTCCCGAGCCTGAACGATATCGTTCAAAGTTCCAGATGGACTGATAGGCGGAGACGCGGCGATTGTTTCGAGGAGCGGTGCACGTGCGACCTCCGACTTACGACCTCGAGGAAGTGATGACTGACGAGGGGCTTCAACAGAGGAAGAACAGCGTTCGCTCAAGTTAGCTGAGGAAGGCTTGTCGAAATGTTCAAACCGAAGGTTCGAATCAAGCCCCTGGTATCTCTTGCTGCGCAAAACGGAGTCCGAGCGAACCCTGTGAAGCGTTCGCTGTTTGTCGCCGGTCGCAGGAGGATCGTTGACTGTAACTGGGGAGGTCATGAATGTGCCGGGTGTTGAACTTCTGCGAGTTCTCACAGTCGCAGACTGGGATTCTACAGACAAGCGAGAACTGCTAAGAAATGGTTTAAATTAATTCAAGTCACAGACGTAAAGAGAGCATGGCGCATACCGTTCGACGTAATAGTTGGGATGACGAGGTGCTTTCGTTGCACTCATCTTACGAGCCTTCTCACGATCGATTTCGACTTGTTGCAGGTGAATTTGAGATTTATCCTGACCTCCACGACTTCGGTTGATGTTGCTAGCAACTACCGGCATGGGTCCTATGAAGGCAGGTTTAGGCGGCTCTCCAGAAGTCGGTGGATTGTAGGTGATGGTCAAGATAGAGGGCTTGCCACGAACAGCATCAGCAAAAGACTTTGTAAACGTTGTACGTCTATTTTAACAAGCAGTTAGTAATTGCCCGAGACACCATAAACTTACAAACTTACCGTAGTTTTTCATCACGCATCCAGCCCAGGAAAACCTCTGCCGTCAAACCATAAGGAAATTGGGTTGGTGCTTGAGAGCGAGTCCGAGCACGGCCCCTAGGCTTCTCAGGAATGCGAGTAGTGTCCAGCAATCGGCGTAACGTGCGAATCGCAATTCTCATCTCTTCCGGGGGCTCGTAAAGATCAAACGCTTCATCGTGATTGATCAATCCTTGCCGCAAAGTGAGCTGATGAAATTCTTGTTCCTCAGGGCCTTCAAACTTGGTGGGTGAAACAGGCTCAACGTCCTTTCGATAAACATTGCGGAAGTGAAGAAGTTCCGAATCCGATTTGGAGTGAGAGTGGCGAGAAGCGATAACCAATGATCCAGGTTCGGCAAGAGAGTCAAAATCAAGAGAAGAAACACGAGATGTACTGGTCAAAGACGAAAGGGAACCGTCGATTGGAAGAGTCATTCCCCCGAAGACGAACTTGCCTTCTTCGTTGAGCGCGATGTTGACCAAGGTCCAATCTTGTTCGTTCAAGTGTTCGCCAAACGCGTTGAAGATAGTAGGATCTGCCGACATGAAAGGAAAGTCGACATTGAACATGATTGAATGACTTGATTCACTAGAGACAGCCGGAGAAACGATTGAAACAACAGACTCGATGTCCTGCGCCCCTGCGGAAGAGAGCTCGAATGAACTTGACGGTACGACAATGAAGTCCTCTTCGGAGCCTGAAGAACTAGAAAAACTAGCAGCCAGGATATCCATAACCGAAGAACTAGCTTGCGGCATGAAGGCTGAGGCGACGTCCTTGTGGATCACAAAGCTGAAAGATTCATCTAGGGCCAGATTGGCAATACCATTTGCGCCGAGCGTAGAAATCTCTTCGACCTGATTAGCTTGCGCAGCCTGCAACGATGTTTCCAGGAGGGGATCAAGCGAGAAGGAGTTCGCAATGGGCAGGGTCTCCCCAGGGGTCGCAGTACAGACATCTTCGACAGCTAGAGCATGAGGTGCGAATGGGGTTGGCTCCTGGGGGTTAGCCAAAGTATCCGAAGCGGGCTTGTCATGTTGCAGGTCAATGATGATAGCAGGTTCCTCAGGGGTGGTAGTAGGATGCTTGACATCCACGTCAGCAGAGTCTGAATGTTCGTTTTTGACGGAGACGACGTCGTCACCTACATCAAGGTAAACATTGCGCTCCTTAGGAAAACGCGGGAACGGCGTACCACTGTGCTCATCGTCACTATTCGTTACATTGCTGTCAACCATCTTAGGAAGAATATCGGCGGAAGGCAACAAAGGTGCAGCATCGATCAAGGTCGTATCGAGATCCTCAGACGACGAGACGATAATATGTTGGCAATCGACAATCTCGTCATTTTTCACGGCCGGGAGCACCTCCTCGGCAGAGTCTGGCTGTGGAGTGACATAGTCTTTTTTCAGGGAAAACGCCTCCGATAGTTCCATCTCTTCGGCACTTGTAGCAGGATGAAGAATAGGGCTTGATGCAACTTCATCGGAAGTCATAGTTGACGGATCCAGAGACGACTCGGAGAAATATTCATCAGGAGAAGTTACAGAAAGCGAACCTGATTGGCAGTTCGATGCGACATCCGCAACTAGAGAATCCATAGGATGAGAGCCAGTAGAAACGTGTTCCAGTGCGATTGATGCTTCCACCGGGATGAATTCGGCGGGGGGCGCTACGTCAACACTATCGGTGGGCTGCACAGGTGGGCTGGAGACCTCAGGACTTGAACTGGATGAGAAGAGAGTGTCCACGAAGGGAGGGCCATCAATGGGAATAACATCCTCTTCGACCCTATTGTCGACCGGTGCTTGGAACACATCAGAAACCGAGATTTGTTCAGCCTCAGGAGAAGCAGCGACAGTAAGAGCCTCCAGTAAATGTTCTTCAACCATCAGTGTAACTTCGACGCGTTCTAGACTAGAGGAGTTTTCCGCGACTACAGAGGCTGTCGAACGATCCGCGAATTCAATGTCCGACAGATCAGCTTCATCGTCGAACGGAGTGGCTGAAGGTACCATGACAATCGAATCAGAAAGTACCTCGGAGTCATGAACGCCGTCCACGATCGTGGAGGTTGTGTGTTGAAGAGGTAACACATGAACCGCTGTTGACGTATGAGCTTCAGATGGACGATGGATATCCTCAGACGGATTCGAAGCCACAGTCTCGACGAATACAATGGAGGCATGGACATCGAAGGTGTGCTGATCGGGGGTGTTCTGATGACCAGAGTTGATAGATAAGAGAAACGGTTCCTCGGGAGGAAGAAGATCACTATCGGTCATGTCTGAGGATGACAGAGGGATAGATTCAACCATAGCTGTATCTTCATTTCCACCATGGGTCTCCGACGGTGCAAACGTGACTGGAAAACGGGTTTCCACAGGGCCTTGTGTTTGTTCTTGACATACGTCATTTAAATCCGCTGGAGGAACAGGCGGAGCAGAACAATCCGAGTGCACACCACCCATCTTGTCAATGTGTTCCAGAGACCTTTGGATATCCAGACGGGCAGTTTCCACAGAAGTTGACCGAGGTCGGTTGAAAGAGCGACGAGCGAAGGACACAAAGCATGTAAGAAGAACAGACGTCAAAGCCACAAAGACATATAAAAGGACATGTTGTTTAGAAACATCGGCAAACGGGATCACAGAACGCCAAAAGGCTGCAGCGGCTTCGTTGAAGGGGTGACTGTAGATATCAATGGAGTTAAGGAGCTGGTCGGGTACAGTAGACAGAGTGAGGTCCAAATCCGTCGCGGATTCTGTGATGTATTCCGAGGCGGGTGGAAGAGCTATCAGGTCACGAAGAGGAAGTTCGAGAAAATGGGGAAGAACTGAGGATGAGAGGGTTCGAGTCCATTCTAGGACCGCGCCCTGCCTGAAGATGGAGAGCAGTGGCAGAACCGATGAAAGAGCGGCATAAAGGTAACGCAGAATCATCGCAAAGGTGTCGCAAGGTTCGTAAAAGGGGAGGAGGATGTGGGGAAAGAAGAGAAGGGATGTGGCCAGACGGCTCAGAACGCGTCCTTATGAACCTGTCACGGATCACCATCACGTGGAAGGCGTCACACGCGCGTTCTGGTACTGGTGTGACAAGGCAGCAGGGCTAGCTAATGAGTGGTGTGGTTTAACGTGGGGAACATGCGCATACACGCCAACTCCGCACCGAAGACAGGCATCTAAGACAGGTAAAGGGTCAAGCGAACCTATGAGGTTGTAGGGCAAAACCTATAAGACCTCGATCGCAACGAAAGGTGTATCACAGGCACCATTACTAGCACTCACTGACACGCATCATAGCTTTGAATGGATTAGGCGGGGGACAAAATCAAAAGCAGTCTGAGATACCTATTATTCCTTTGCCGGGCAGGAGTGGAAGTGAAGTGCCATCAAGGGAGATCCCAAACTATTCCATGGTTTCCTAGCATCATCTCGTTAGTTCATTATGTTCTTGAAACAACCCAAGTAAGAGACCAGACAAGCACCGAGCAAACAGAAAGATGGAAAGGAGAGACATCATGGCAGCTATGCAGTCTGAAGGATGTTTCAAATCAAGCATGGATGCTGTAAACGCCCGTCGCACAGCATTCCTTTGCCCATAACGTCAACCTTGCCGCTGTCTTTCCCCTCAACCACAACGACGAGGTCGACGACAAGCACATATCCCACGAAATGTCCGCACGGCGCCAGCCGTCAACAACATCCCTTTCAAAATTCGCCACTGGTCAAACCTTTGAGTTCGCCAACCGCTCGCTTGACTTCTGCAATGCTTTCTGGGGCTTGGGCGATGGCGGTGTCGACGTACTCTTTGCCCGCATGAGAGGGGCGATAAGGACGATAGACGAGCTGAAGAACTTTTGGAGAGAAAGGTATGTCGCTTTGCATTCTGTTGACGATATTCTCATACTCACATGGGAAGCCAGGGCATCAATCGAGGAACAGTACGCGAAGCGACTTTCCAACCTTGCCAAATCCACCCTCGGCAAGGATGAAATCGGGTATGAGTACTGATCGCTCGCGTCTTACAACATTATTCTCACTCTGTACTTCAGAGAACTTCGGGCTTCATTGGACACTCTACGTCTAGAGACGGATAAACAAGCATCATTCCATATGAATGTTGCGAATCAGATAAAGAATGATCTTGAGGGGCCAACCACCCAATTCCTGGCTAAACAACACCATCACAAGAAGACCTATCAAGCGGCGATTGAGAAGGAATTCAAGACGAAACAGACTCAGGAGGGTTACGTCAACAAAGCCCGAGAGAAATACGAAGCGGACTGTGTTCGTATCAACTCCTACACGGCTCAGTCCACTCTCATGCAAGGCAAAGACCTGGAGAAGATTCAAATCAAGCTCGAGCGTGCGCAGCAGACGGTGCATGCTAACGAGCGTGACTTCGCCAGCTTCTCCAGGGCCCTTCAGGATACAGTGGCGAAGTGGGAAATGGATTGGAAGACCTTCTGCGATAGCTGCCAAGACTTGGAGGAAGAACGAATAGATTTCATGAAAGACACGATGTGGGCGTACGCGAACGCTGTGTCAACAGTTTGCGTTTCTGATGACGAGGTACGTAGTTCAAAGCCGTCTTCAAAGCCTCTTCCACATGCTCATGCTTCGCCAGTCCTGTGAGAGGATGCGTCTTGCGCTCGAACAACTTGAAACTGAGAAAGACATGGAGAACTTTGTCCGTGATTACGGCACAGGCAACAGTATTCCTGACCCTCCCTCCTTTGTCAACTACGCTAACCCCGACGCTGTCCCACCATCATCTCAACGCCCTATCACCCGACCAGCTCAGTTCGTTAGAAGCTCTCAACGACAACGCTCAGCACCACAACCACCTCCCGAACCCGAAGAAGAACCCATCAACATAACAGGCGTGGGCGCTGGTGGTGGCCGTCGGGGCGATAGTATATCCGACTCGCAAACTGGCAGAGCACGCTCACAAAGTCGTGCAAGCACTCGCCAGGGTTATGGCCAACCAGCGTATCCTGAATCGTCCAATGGTCACCTTGTCAATGGCCATTCTTCGTCTTCGCAGGGCATGCCTGCCGGTAGTGGCAGCTCCGTTTCAATGCGAGCTCCTGATCCACAAGCGGAACCAATCAACCCCACCACTACGACGATGCTCAAAGTGGGCGATCGTGCGTATGAAGTGGATTTGACCAAGGATCCTCAAGCTCGTAATTCTTCTGTTCAGAACGGTGCTAATATCGGCCCTTCGAAAGTTGGTCAGGATGATGATCCGCTTGCTCGTCAGATGGAACAACTTCGAAACACTGCTGGTTCTTCAGCTTCCGGATCTGTTCGCCGTCAGCAGCAGCAAGTCCAACCAGAACCTCAAGGCAGTTCGTCTCGAAACGGTACTAACCTCTCACCACCTCCGGGCTCGCGCGGGGGAGGTCCACCTAACAGGGATTACAGACGTTCAGCTGAAATTGTTGTTGGCGCATTCCCACCCGGTGTCACTCCTTCAAGGCCTACATCACCCCGTGCACCTACGCCCGTGATGATGAACGCCCCTGCTTCTCAACCTGCTGTTGATGTACAGAATGTTCTTACCAATTACCATCAATCTTTACCGGGTGAAAGGAAGTCCATTAGTCGACCTGGTAGCAGAACAAGCTTCGTCGGTCAACCTGGTCAACCGCAAAATCGTCCTCTCAGTATTGAAGGTCATGCTGGTATTGGAGCTCAGGGGCGGAGCACGAGCCCCCAGCCATTTGCCTCACCTTCGAGGGGCGCTAGTCCTGCCGTGCAGCAGCAGCCTCAGCAACCACAAGCTGGACCTGCGAACAGGCGGAATAGCTATCGAGCACCTCCTCCAGGCAATGCTCCTGGTCCTAGTCCTACTTCCCAAAGGACGAACTCGATTTCCGTTCCTCAGATGCCAGCTCACCAGCAGCGTCCAACGAGTCCTAACACTGTTGGTATTGCACTCGCTCCGGACGGCCGTGTTGTCGAAGATTCGATGGCTGACATGTACAAGGCTCAGATACAGCAGCAGCAACAGCCGCAATATGCTCATCCTGGCTATAGATCTATTCAGCAACAACCGCCGCCTCCCGTCCAACAACCTCCCCCTGCCCCGCAGCCTCAGCAGAATCCTCAGCATCATCACGTACAACGCAATCCTAGCTATCCTCCTCCCACTCAACCGCCTTACGGTGCTCCGCCTCCCGCTCCTGCAGGATTCCCACCCAACTACGTTCAACAAGCCCCGCCTGCTATTGCGCCTCAACAGCAACCTCCGATCCAGAGTCAGCCGTACATTCAGCAGCGTGGTCCAGATCCTACTCAACAACAAGTACAATATCAACCTCCTGCGCATACATATCAACCTCAGTCTCTCGTCAACTACGGCGCTCCAAACAATGGAATGGTTCAACGAGCACCTTCGATGAATGCGGGTGGGTATTATGGGAACGGGCAGATAATACCTCAACAACAACAGCCACAGCAGATGGTTGGATATCCTCAGGGAAGAGCTCCTAGTCCTGCCAGGTCCCCTCAACCACAACGTCAGAGTCAACAACAGCAACAGCAACCTCCACCTACCGGACAATACACTGAAGATGGGAGGGGGGTATTGTTTTACGGTGAGTCCCACTCCTCGTTCATTTTTAAGCCGATTTTTATGAAATTCGTTTCCTTGTAGTGAAAGCTCTGTATGACTACCAGGCGACAATCGAGGAAGAGTTTGACTTCCAAGCTGGCGATATTATCGCTGTCACCGATACCCCAGAGGACGGATGGTGGAGTGGCGAGTTACTAGATGAGGCTCGAAGACAGCCTGGGAGAACGGTGTTCCCCAGTAACTTCGTTACTCTCTTCTAGATGGAATTTTGTTATCTTCTTATGGACCATGCTGTTGTATTCTTGCCTTAGCTTGGCCGCGTATTTTTCTTCGTATGTTGTGTGTTTCCTCGGACCGATTTCTCGGTTTTCTTTACTTGATAGCGCAGCACGCATGTGTGATGTTCTCTCATTTGATCTTGATCCTCTTGTGTGTCCTTAACATTGCTTCGTTGTGCTTTGATATACATGCCTTCCACGTCTGTACTGGGTCTACCCACTCCGATTACCCATCCTATGCGATACCTCAGAGTGTGATGTAGCGAGAATGAGATTAAAATCTGTCCAAGTACACGACCCCATTATGTAACATATGTCGAGGGAAGATGCAGCTGATCCTTCCACACATCTGGAAGTCTTACCACGGCACGCAAGAAACCTTCTGCGGTTGGTACGGATGCGATGCAGAGTGGCGAACATCTTGGCAACACGTCTTATTGCCTGTCCCTCAGGCAGACTTTTGATGGATGCTTACGTTTCTGGGCGCTGATTGGTCAACACACCCTGCAGAGTTTAAATCTGTCGTCAGACGGATGCATTGGCATGTTGCCAAAATGTCGTCCTGTCTGCATGGACTCTGCCTAGAAGGCAGACACATTCATGTTTGCCGTGCATATACATGATTTTTCCTGGCTTCCATGTACTTACTCTGAAATCACGGACTTCAAACGACCGTCTCTGAGTGTCAAGTCAACGCCGCTGTCCGATCCAGATTCTCCACGCTCGCCAGGTGGTGTTGGGTGAAATTTATATCTGCAGGGAAGCATGAGCACATTCGGCCTCGTAGCAGTGTTAGTTGTTTTGACGAGGACCGTGACGCAAATAGGTCGTTCGAACTTTGTGGATATCGCATATGCACCACGCGCAGCGAAATTGGTAGCCTGTATTGTGCGGCTGATGGCTGGTTGGTATATCGAGATAATATCGGTAGAGCGGTACCCTCCGTCGCTATCATTCCATACTGTTTTCTTGAGCTGATTTGATTGGGCGCCCGGCAGATGCAGAATGAACTGGATGACTTGGAGATGGCGGATGAATAGGGTTGGATAAAGGGTGCAGTGCAATTGTTGGGATTGTACTGGGAGGAGGATCAGTCCCGCGGACAATGAGGGACAGGAAGACCAAAGGGCAATGATAAGGAAGGAGGGACATCCACATGGGGCAGGGGAGGCAAAGGTAGCAGACGTGAACCCGATGAACTAGTGGCGAGTGCTGTTAGTGAGCTCGTTCTAATATTAGGATCAGAACCCGAAGCCGCAGCCGTAGGTAGTACAGCGAGACCGAAGGACAGGTCCTACTTTATACTCTTTTCAACACAGGCAGGCCGCTTGATGCTGATGCGGTTTCTGGAGTAAAGGGCCCCCTAGTATTGGTAGATAATGGTGAGGTGGATAGCGACAATACAACTGCCGTTATAGCCACGGTTGGATGGCGTCTGGCCTGAATGAGGAGACTAGTCTCGGTGGCAGAACTCATTATCGTCGTCTGTGTAGAATACGGAGATAGCGAAAGATTATGTCGGGAATAGCCAAGGAGGTAATACTCGATGATGTTGGACTTCTGTCAGTAGAAGGATATTCGGATGCATTGCACGATGCTGGTGACGTTAGGAGTGTGGTAAATAAGGTTGTCCAGGAAAAGCTGCTTAAAATCGACGCGATGAATAGCGCATTGCTTTCTGGGACTGCCGAGGGAGAAACAATCGTTATTAGAGTCGTTGGTATCGTCGTAGGGGCGGCTCTCGGTGCTCGAGACCACTAGATAATAAAAGGCCACGTCATTGCAGGGAATCTGTAGAACTCAGCTAAACAGTGCCCGAACGAGCCAACGAGCCAGATGCTGACCTGAGCATGGAATGTAAAGAGGTTTCTAGCATAGCTTAGACGATAGATCTCACCTTCCAGTTTCTTCTGTGCAGCGTTAGAGTAAAGTGCTTCGCGGGTTCCAATTTTTCCTGGGACCCACGAGTGAGAGAATATGTTGGAAATTGTGGTCAGTTGCTATCTATCAAACTCGGGAGGTAGCAGTCAGAACGATAACACAAAATTGCACAATTTGTCGGCGCTTGCGCACTCAGGCTGTGGCTGGTGGAACTAGCACGATGTTTTGCCCGAGGTCTTGTGCAGTTACTATACCCATGTAGTCCAAAACTACGTAGTCTGAGTGAGCAAAAGTGCATAATGAAACTGTACGCTCGCAGGCACTGCTGTTGAGAACAACTTACTTCGTCGGAGATGAAATCAATGTACAGCACAACAAGCGCCCGAAAAGAACCAAGTTGAATTGGAACGTCGTTCTTGGCAGAGGTGTTCTCTCGAGAACTCCTGCACTCGCTCATATGAAGTACTTTTTTTCACTTCCCCCAAATTTGGGGTACAGGATTTATGTGGTCATCAGGATTTGTGGAGGTTACATGTACCCAGACTCGGTGCGACTCAGTGTCGTCACGGCATAGTCGAATGATTGTACCCATAGGATGCGTGGAAACGTAATGTGCGACATACATATTTCTCATTGATGATGTCCGCAAATTTGACGGTAAGTGTGCTGAAGAAGCCTGCAACGAGGTTTATCAGTCCGCCGGGTGGCAGAAACATTGTCCAGCCTGGACCTTCTCTTCGTGCATCAGGTCAGTGTATTTACGCTGTATCCCTGGCGCCGAAACCTTTGTACTGAAACGGGGAAAATGTGGCATTCCCGTTGCCCTATTGTTCATTTTTCGACGCTATACCTCACACTGCCTTCCATCTCGTCCTCTCCAAAATCCCCATGGTAAGTCAGTCATGTAACTCCACATTCTGTACAATCTCTGACGTTATCGGCCTTATAACAGGATGATAGCGACTCAACTGTGCCGGGAGGCTTGTCAGTCCTCGACTGTGGAGAACTCATCGACAGAATTATTGACCACCTCTTCGACGACAAACCCGCTGTTCGCTCCTGCTCTCTCGTCTGCAAGTTGTGGGTACCTTCGAGCCAGTTTCACCTCTTCGCTGAACCTCCCGACCTCGAGGAAGATGCCGCGGTTAACGCTTTTCGTGACCGCGTCGTAGCTCCGACTTTCAAAACTCGGCTGCTCATCCAGTCCCTGCGAATTAAGTTCACACGGGAGGTCTCTTTGTTTACAGTGGCCGAACTCTTACAAAACCTGCCCTGCCTCCGTGAACGTCTTGTTCTCCGAAACATTCTCCTCCCTGAAATACAAACGGAACCGATCATGAAGCCCAGGGTGCGTTTCAAGATGAGATGTCTCAAGATCATGGACAAGTCCAGTAGTGTTTGCCCCTTCACCGTTTATCCACATGCAGTGGCCAGAATACTCCACTTGTTCTCCGAAATAGGAGAGTTGATCTGCCGTGAACCAGAAGAATTTATATGTAACGAAGAATTCCTAGAATCGATAGGTGGTCAATCGGCCTTGAAGACGTTCGAACAAACACCACCACCTTTCCCCGACGATATCCGTATACGTATCTTGCGGCTCACCTATATCACCACTTCCACCCTGATCAGCAAGCTTGCCGAATCACATAGGGATACATCTTGTTAAACTGGACTTGGTACTTCGGAGTTGGACTCAAATGGAACCGGCAGGCCTTTTGTTGCGAGTATGTCCTAACCTGACAAAGGTGACACTCAGTCTTCTTTACTTAGGACGGTTTGATTTCGATGCACTAGACGATGGTGAGTAAATTGAACTGCTCTGACATTTCACATCCCATGATGACGAATCTATAGAGGCGTGGAGTAATATTCCGGTAGCTCCCCCATGGGAGCTCATTAATTTTTCCTGTTGCAAAAAGCTTGAAAACCTAGATCTCACTGTGCCCTCAATAATCTCACTCGCTGACGTGCCAGCCGTCCTCCTCTCGGCGCCGTATTCATTCTTAGAATATGCGCAAACCTATCTTGAATGTCAGCGAGGGTTTGATCCTTGTGACACTCTTATCCGGCTTATATCGACTCTACCCGAAGGCGTGCTCACTATCATGGTCCGTAGTTATGTTATGCACCCACGTGTCAAAAATCCTCTGGAGAGAATGGAATGGGAGTGTCTCGATGAAACCCTGCAGAAGTTTCGTTCCTTGTGCAGCTTTAAACTCTGCTTTCGTCAGCAATACCCTGCCTTGATGCCAGATGGAGGACCTGACCTGGACTCTGGAGCTGAGACCGGTGTCTTTTTTGATGTCAGATCGCTTGCAGAACAAAGCCTGCCTTTGTTGCGAAATAGGAAGCCGGGCGTGTTGCGGGTAATTAATGGTATGGGTTACTCAACGAGCTAGACGGAGGATGTTATCGATAGTGCATGCGGCAGGCCTTTTTATTTTGTTTAAATCAAGACATGTTTTCGTTGCCTCAAAGTGCCTGAAGTACGTTGTCTTCGACATGCAATTCCGGTATTCTCACTATCCCTTCATCCTAATGAGATGCAGATTTTCAGAGTTTTACAGACCGAGTTGCTGGAAAAGGTGTCCTAGCAAGCCATCATCTCCGAAGGTGCTGTAGAATTACAAATGTATGTCGTATACTGTCTGCATCAACTATAAAGATATTGTTGTACATGACATTAAGCGTGAACCGTTTCTACCTTACGAAATCCTGTTATAAGCTTCCCGCTTGATAGCATGGCTCCCAAGGAAGTCTAAGGGTTGCATAGCCCTAGTAATCCGTTTGCGGGAGTTATGGTCTACAGACGGCCTTCAAGAACACCTACGTCCGGCAGTCGCATATGAGGCCAGAAAGCAATTGCCATATTACACGTTGGCTACTGATGCTTTGTCGGAGGAACATCGCTGGTGAGTGCGGAATCGTCAACTGATGAACGGGTCGAACGTCTGACAAAGGGGTCCTCGCGAGCGTTTTCGAAAGCGGCTGAGAGCGCATGTCGTCTTGTTGAGTAGGTTTGGGCTACGAAGCCTGCGATGGTCTGCGAAATATAACATTAACAGAGAAGCCAACGGACGTAGAACTCGTCGCGTAGAAGGCATTTACCAGTACAACACCACCCAAAATCAAACGGTCCTTCCATCGCTCGTCGATTCCACCGTTCAAGTCTGCCCTGCGCCCTTGTTTCGCCCTCCACATCGCGGTACTCAAGTCATGATAATCATGGACGCCGCCTGACGATGCAGGATCATCCGGGTCTGAACCCGTCGCTCGGCCTTTGCCCCGAAGTACGTCATAGGCAGCACCGATAGACTGGAACCTTGCTTGAGCGATGGCTGGAGATACCATACGGTTGACAGGAGAATCAGGATGGTAAATCCTGACGAGATCATAGTCTGAGAAACAGGATATGCGCGTCATCAATATCGATAATGCGGTAGAGTAGAGAGGATTGATAGGTATGTTCAATTCTAAACCCTGATGAAACGAAAGACAAAAAGCTTCGAGAGGTGTTCCTGCAATTCACCTACAGGGCTTTGGGACCAAACCCGAGCCTTAGCTAGTGTAGTGTCTGCACTAAGCAAACTGTCTAGAATTAGAGTCTTCTTTCTGCATACACAGTTGAAAGTCACTTGTTCTGCTCCAATCGTCTGTATGGATGCGTCGCTGAGGTGCGGAACGGGAGACGTTCAACTCCTCTTCGACAAGTCTGGGTATACGATCGTTCTGCTGCTTGGAGCAGTGCTATTGCACAGTGTCAAGTTCATTCAGATAGACACTCAATTTCCGTCTTTGCTTTTCGTTTCATCGAGGTTTGTCCAAGAATTGAGCAGCCCTATCAAATGAAGGTGGAAACACAATCTCGAATTGTATCTGGACGTACATCGTGCCTTCACATCCCCCTTTGAAGCATTACGAGGCAGGTGGAAGATTTGATGAGGGGTGGGATTAGGGTGACCAGGGAAAGGGTATGGATTCGCGCTGGTTGACGCGTGTCTGTATTGCGGTATCTGAATCACGACCTGCGGTTTTATGCGGCGCCGTACTAGTGAGATGACCGTGCTATATCCCGAGTTATTAGTCTCGTGTTAGACCGATTCATCAGCAAACATATACCAGTTCATTCTCTTCATAGGACTCATTTCAGTGTAGTCTTTGGACACACATAGCAGAAGGAGAATTCAAGCGAGAGACTAATAATGGATTAGAAAGTTGGTCACTTATACCGTGATTACAACATGTTCGGAGCCCATGTGCCTGAGGGGTTCGGGGCTGCTGAAAAAGGCAATGTTCGGAACCGATCTCCGGCATTTCACCGGTGCATATTTACAACTCATTTGTTCAAGCCAAGTTTCGAGCTCTAAGTACGTATTATCGCATGTTTCTGTCTTTAGGCTCATATCTAGAGGTTGCATATAATTCTCTCTGCCAACATGCATTCTACACGCCGCGCTCTGAAGCCTGTGCTAACCTTTTACGGAGACATAGCTGACTGTCCGAGAGCGCTAGATCAGGTAAACAGGCGCCTAAAGGCGCCAAGAATTAGATCTCAGATTGTGATCTGTCCTCGCGTTGACAATCACAAGCCACTCATAAGCCCAGGCAATGTATTGTTCGAGCTCTCCCAGTCTCCTAGTCTCCTACCACCACCTGTTCTTTATCGGTCCCTGCTAGGGAACCTGATCTCGTATAAAGAGTAAACACCTCCTCCTTTCATCTGATTTCTACCAGAGACTTCAATCATGCGACGTGGATTCGACATCTACGAACACCCGTCGTTCACTTTTGAGAATCCTTCGAGAAAGGAACAGGCAACGATTTGCGCTGTTGTCAGCGCAGCTGTGGCAGTCATCTCAACCGTTGCTGCGATCAGCCTGCGTGCTGTGCCAAACCCGTATGTCTTATTCGCCGCGATCATCTAAAGCCTCATAATTGATCGTTTCGAACCTCTGCCTGGTCTCTAGATTTGCTGCACTGGGGGTATGACCTCACAACAGTGAGACCCTGAATATCTTTGTTAAGGTTCCCCCAATGAAACTTTCGGTCAGTAGAATAGCGAACTAATCCATATTCGCATTCTAACTTTTGATTCGCTCTCGCAGTCATCCGCGATCATCCCGCCTTTCTCCCGCTGCCACTCACACTCCCTGTCAATCATTTCCCCGTCTATCTGTGCTGTCGTTTCTCAATCTCTCCTCAACATATGATCTATCACGACCATCTCTCTGTGTTCTGCGTTTCATCCCTCCATCGTCACTCGCTCACCTACGTCTCTGTCACTCTCACAACATGTGTATCATATTCATTTACTTCCCCATCTCTCTGATCCTGGATCCGTTGTAGTATTTTCTTTAGGGTGCATCGATTGTAGTCTACTGCATGCACTTTGTCTCCTCGCTAGCCATTCGCTTTTACAGATTTTAGAGTTATCCTTATTAGAGTTCGTGGTCAATTATTATGTAAAACAAGATGAATAGGGAATGCATGTGCAAGCGAAAGCGAGGAGCAACATAAACAAAGTGCAACTGACTAACTTAATAAACGTAGAAGGTATCCAGCTCTAATCCCATGCGCCCGAAGGGTATCTGCACTAAAGGGAGAAATAAAAACTCCAAACCGAAGATGAACAAAACCCGACCTCTTCCCTCATGGCAACGGCGGCGTCCCCCTGTTCACCACGACCAACGCGTTACTTGGTCTCTCCAATACCTCCTCTCGCTTCGAATCCTCAAACTCTCCAACATTCCGAGTCAACAAAGCTAACTGCGGTTCGCCATTAGCCTCCCTGGATTTTCTTCCTGTTGTTGAGAAGGCTGTGATTGATATTGCGAAGGCCACGATTGTCGAAGGATAGGTTGGGCAGCTCCAGGTGGTAAAGCCTGAGCTTGCTGCAGTTGCATATACGGTTCATGAGGGTGCTGATAAGCGCCCCCAGAATCATATCGCCCCCCACTCGACGAACGAGTACCCGCAGTAGAAGAAGTAGGTTGAGGGATGAAATATGCGCTCGGAGGGTTTGGAGTATTGGGAGTTTCAGGAGGATAAGTATACGGTGCATTCGAGTTCGAAAAAGGTAAAGATAGAGGTGGGGTGGACAATAGAGGAGTACTTGAGCTTCCAGTCGTAGACCTCGAGTGTCCAGGACTTAGCTTCAGGCTAGGACTTGAAGCGTGTCCATAGTATCTTGGGCTCTGTCCTTGACCCTGTGAACCAGACGATGAAAGACGATGACGTTGTCCTTGATCTTGCGAGCCACTCGATACTGGTCGCTGCTGCGCCTTCTGCCCGAATTCTTGTACCTGACCTTGACTATGGCTACGAAAGGGTACGTCCTGGTACCCGAGACTTGCATACGAGTCCCGCACTGTCAACGGAAAGGAGCTAAATGTGGCTGAAGGTTCTCGAGAGGGATGTGAACTATCTCTTCCTATTAACCCATACTCGTACGGTTTTGGTTTTGGTTCGTAGACCGGTGAAGGGGGAGGACTGTTATAGGACATGCCGTGGGCTGGATTAGTGTTGCGACCGAAGATACGATGACGTTTTCGCCTATAAGCCATGTATGAGTGTTAGGATGTATCATGACGAAATAGACAATTTACCAGACGATCCATCCAATGACGACAAGGCCGAAGAACCCGAAGAATCCTCCAAGTACACCGCCAACAACGGGTGCCGTTACATTTCGCGGCCCATCATCTGATGCACCAGTCACGTTGTAATGCGTCGTAGCAGGTGCAGGACTAGGCACTACAATTGCCGTAGGCCCGAATGTAGAAGTGATCGTCAAGACGGTGAGGTAGACACCTCCATCCGACATGGTCGTTGTCCCTTGTGATACATAAGTCAAAGGTGCTGGTGTGACTGTAGTCGTGATAAGGATATCCGTTGATGGATATCCTATGCTAGAAGTCAATGAGGACTTGGACGAAGGAGGCGGTGGAAGAGATCCTGCAGGCGAAGGCGGTGGAGGTGATCTTGACGAGGGAGCCACTGCGCTGCTCGACCCAATATATTCGTTGTCTTCGCAAGGTGCGAAGAGGGTCGCAATGGGTACAGTAGTTGTGACTTTGAAAGTTACTGCGGCTGGTACTTGGACTGTACGTTCGCCGCCGCCTGTCCAAGGAAGGTACCCATATCAGTATGAACTCCCCTTCGAAATATCTGATATGTCCTTTTGCACGCATTCGGTCTCTTCTCGCCAGGTATACCTTTTTATTGGACAAGCCAAGGACAAGCACACACTTGGAGAAAACAGCGCTTTTATCGCAACAGCGGTCTCATAAGCCCGCAAATGTGCCAAGGCGTTGAATAATCCGTGACCAATCGACAAGAGCATAAGACGCTATGCACCCGTCACAAAAAGGACTGAAACTTTGGTGCTAATGGATGTGTACGATCGTCCCCTTCCCGAGGAATGTAGTGGAGAGCGTCACGGGAATAGACCCGGCACAATCGCGGAGCCAACAGCACCAAAAGTGGCACCGAAGAAGACCGAAAGAACTCGACAACTGTACAATGAAGAAACTCACCGTCAACCGTGCTGACCGAAGTAACATCCACCGGTACACATCCATTATGGCCACCGGGCCCCGACAGCGAGAAACACGACTGGGAGACCAAAGTAAGCGTAGTCACACTCGGTGGTAAGACAGTGACGCTGTCGGAAACTGTCTGGACGACAGTCGTAGTTACGACGTCGGCATACTGGGTCTCTGTCGGTGTCGGGGCACACGCCATCGTCACATAGACCGTAGAATACAGCCAAGAAAGTCAATCAGGTTGGTGAGCAGGACAAGGAGGCTTAATGAGCGCTTCGTTAAGGGGGAGCTAGTCCGAGCTGGGTGGAAATTGGCTGTACAACCCCTCGGCCTGGTGTCACCTCGTGTAAGTTGGCGGGCCTTTCGACTGTCATCCTTTGTTCGACGGAGAGGCAACTGGGCGGCATGTTATGAGATTGTTTCAAGTATGCTGACCCAGAGAATCGTGAAAGAAGAGAAACGGTAGCTTTATGCATCTCAGATGATGGCGGAAGCCAAGTATCGCTTTGCTGGCGCTTTCGCCACTTGCTGCTTTTCCACCACCTCGCCAACTTGAAGTAGCACTTTCTCCTCTTTGTTATCCTCTTTCATTGTTTACATTCTGCTATGTGGTCAGTTCTCTATTTATCCTCACACTTCTTGAGAGCATCTGGTCAAGGAAAGGTGGCAATCATCCGTGTCCGGTCAAATCGGAGGGCGCCGAAGATGATGCTACATCACCTGGAACTGCTGCTCTTAACTTATTCACCAAACTCTTTGTATTGACTGATGTTCTCGTTAGCAAGCATATTCTCAACGCTCAAGTAGCCATCCGCGCACCATGCTGCAAGCAATGGTTTGACTGCTCAGAGTGCCACGCGGAAACGCAGGACCATCGTCTAGGAAAGACAAATGAAATGGCATTCTTGTGCAAGAAATGCAAGAAGGCGTTCCGGAAGGACATGACCACTTTCGAGGAGAGTGACGAGTACTGTCCACATTGCGATAACCATTTTGTGCGTGCACCAGTCTTTACCGCCCAATCGTCCGTCCTGATTCCTCGCTTCGCTTCGCACAAGGTTCTTGAAGCAAAGACACCACAGGCAGTCCTTGGAGTGGAAGGAGATGATCCACGGATAAACTCAAGGTTCGGTCGTTCATCTTTCATCCAGGGTATACCCTCTTCACTGATATTTGCAGGCTTCTCAAAGATGAACGTGCCAAGCAAGACCCTTCACGTTCCATCTTTGCTCAGGATACCACTGATCGACTGGGATAGAAATCTTGGTCTAGGGTCTTGTACTGTTCTTTGCTTTCGTCTTGTCCATACTGCTATACCCATCAATTGCATTGCCGTGAGTCTAGATTATATCGCAGGCTCTCCTAAGGTCCATTCAAGCCACCGAATAATTGACAAGCTGCACTAGACCAAGGAGTTCAGCCGTATCAGCCATTGGATCTTTGGTGCCGCCATGATCATCTTCCAAACCCTGTCGCTTCCCATCTGACTATGATCGAGACTGATACGAAAATATATTACAGCACTACTTCTTATAGCGTCATTTAATCGAGTCGGCTTTCACATGCTTTCCAAGGATCCCGCCAGCTCTCTATATGCATGTTGCCAGGAATCCAAGGTTTGCTTCGCGCGTAGAGGAATGTCGGACATCAGAATGTGGAATAGTCTAGTGAAGGGTCGAGATGGATGTTTCAAAGAAGACATTCGTCTGTCCTTTCGATCATCATTCAGCCATAGGCCGGAAGACGTCCAGAAATCGTGGTTTCTGCGTTGAGTCCCTGAGCTTCATAGTCCAGCCAGTCAACAAACGCGTATTCCTGCCCATTCGGTGGTCCACTGAACGATAATGTGGACCGTTTCAGCGCCTTCAGCCGCATTCCCAACGATCCCATTCTGAAGCCACCCATGCACAAAACACGACAGGATGGCCGCCATAGGGAGCTACTTCTACCAGGGTCCTGCCTTGGTTCTGCCTTCTAAGCGTATCAGGTTTCACCTCAAGCATCTCAAAGAAGAACTGTTGAACTCTGCCATCTCAATCATTTGGACCCTTAGAGCCCTTGACACTCTTCATGATGTGACACACTCAAGCCCATGATCATCTATTTATTGACAAGAGTGCTTTCTTCGACAATGTGATTAGATTGACCCTGAGCAGGTCGATGTATATAACACTGCGGTATCTAGCAATCTTGTCCTCAGTTCCACCATACACTGAACGAAGTCTCAACGACACATTTGAAGTATCCTCCGCAGCGTTTAACATGCAACTCAAACTCAAACACCTCTATATCATCTTGATACCTGCCGTCCTCGGCATTGGTATATATTCTGAGTGGATATCTATCATGCATGAGTATTCTCACATGAAGTTTTTACAGGTTCTTTGTTCGCTCAGGCGACACCTCTCGATGAGATCGAGCGTGGACCTGTCAGTGCTTCCAAGCCTTTCGGTGACACGCTGCTTGCTATGTGTACTTATGAGGTCGGTTAATTTACAGCTTGGGGTCGCTGTGTCCGAAGCGTGTCCAGCGTGCAAGGATAGAAATTCCACAATGGAAGTTTCGGGGGTACGGTCTCATTCCAGAAACAGAAGGAGCAAAATATCACAATTGCATTGATGCGCTGTCGGGTCTATAATTTCCGACTACAGAAGTCTTTATTTACGCTCATTGGACCTTGGCTTGAACGTGGTACCCGTATAGCTACGAAAATACTTGCATAGACACTTGTGTTGACGATCCTCGCGCACACCTACAAATCATGCCGATAGCCGTAGCCTTCGTCGAGGCAAAATTGGCGGGAAGAACGTCGAACGCAACTTAGATGGTATCAGAGATTCATGAATGACATATTCCATCTGAACATAGTAATCTTCCTTCAGTTTGGGTCCAGAGTCATACAGTGCTATAGGTTATCTTGAATGCCCACGCAGGTAGCGGCACTTGGTCCAAATCATCCTCATCAACTTCAACACTGAAAACCCCATTTATCATTGACCAAGTGAGATTACGACCGCTGCCGCCAAGCAATTCAACTCGATCATTCTGAGTGACCGGGATTGGAGCGGTTGTGCGCAAAGTACCTCCTTCTGGCCTCGAGATGGCAATGACATAGAAAGCATCCGGCTTGGTCGTAAACCGGACGTCCGTCGAGTTTTCCGAGGTGTCAGCGGGTTGGATGAACCATGGACGAGTACTGTATATTGACTCGCCAGCAACTTTCAACCATTGTCCAACTTGCCGAAGTGGTTCAGTCTCTTCCGGAATGACAGTGCCATCTGCCTTTGGACCCTATAAAATACTCTCACAAACAGATTCAACAAGGTATGTGTGGGAAAGAAACGCACGATACTGAGATTGGAGGGATGATGTTTGAATAAGTATGATGTCCGGTAGCATTTTGTATATCACGGTTGACTCACTCTAGCAAGAAGTTTCCGCCTTTCGAAACAATGCTACGGAGAAATCAGCAGATGTCGAACATCATCAAGTTTATAGAACATACTCGATGAGCTCCATTATAATGCTAGATGCGTTCTGGTATGCATCCGGAGGACTGAACCAAAGGCAGTCTAATTCAGCCTAGAAGTGAAACTGGATGGTACAGGGTATGCGCACGTATCAGAGTTGTAACCGTAGCTGAATGGGTCCATGCCGGCACTACTCTCCCATTTCTGTGACTGCAGGCCGAAAGGAAGAATCAAGTAACGTCTCAGGTAGGATGTATACTGAACGCACCAACGCAGCGGGGAACGTCGCGTATTCGGGAGTCACGAAGTCGGATTGATTAGCACCACAGCGATTGTTCATGACTACTTGTCTGTTCTGGGATGCAGCATAGTTATACCAGGAGGCAGCTATGAACGATCCTCAGGCACCAAAAATGAGAGTTACCATTCAAGACCGTACCCAATTGTGGGAAGGCAGTGGGACCACCTATATCGCACCATAAGATGTCTGTGTCGTATCCATGAAGTATCGTTTGGATCTGAGGTTTCTGGACTGCAGATCAATGTCATGAGCGCAATTCAGACGAGAAGGCAGCAATGTACTGCTCACGCTCTTCGATATAATCATCCACGGGTATGTACCCAATGTAGGGATCGCAACAGGATCCGTTGAACGCATTCAGAGCCCCTCCTCCCGGCCAGCTACCGAAACCATAGGGTGCATATGCCGGGTTGAACCATTCTACATAGTCATGACTTTAATCATAAAAAACCTTAGACGAACGAGGTCTTACCTGGTAAACTGAAGTATGTCTGTGATAGAATAATTATGTATGAATATAGAAGTCAACGCAAAATGCAAGTCTCTTACGCCACGATGGAGCTCCGGATGTCTAATCTTCGCGCTGGCAAATAATTCTTTGAGGAAGTCCCGCCTATGCAAACATTGAATGAGTCGTCTCCTAAATTGTATGCTAGACTTACTTTGGACCGAATAAAAGAGAATTCCGATCCGAAGAGTTGCCTGTATCAAACTACAGATGTGTCCGAGGTGACGTTCATACGAGACTCTAGCAAGTGGATTACATCCTTACCAGTGCGAATCCATCATGATGCTTTGTAACAAAGACGAAATACTTCGCTCCGGCATCAGCGAACAGGTCTGTCCAATCATCGGGGCTCCATGCAGAAGCCGAGAAGTTGGCAATGAAGTCATCATAGACAATATCCGCGCCATATGTTTGAAGGTGATGTACCCAGGTAGGCGAACCGTTGTTCGGCGCTGGTGATAGTCAAACAAATGTACCAAGTCGGTAACAACCTTGCTTACGGTTATGCAGTTGCCAGTTGTACCTTGTTTTGTTCAGCCCTGATTCGGTGGAATAGCGGCTCTCGATAAACATACCATTCAGCATATTGTTGACCACTCGGAGCCCAAGCTGGTACGCTGTACACGCCCTATTCAGACGACGGCATGGTTCAGCAAAAGGGCGGTAGCAGAAGGTATAGTTATACCCAATGAACCTACAAATGGACTCAGTCAATGGACGTATGGTGACGAAGAGAAACGTACGAAAATACCAAACTTTGCATCTTCGTACTATATATTTACGTCGTTCAACAACTTAAAAGCTCCAATATTGACCATCAGGTACTCACCCAATCGGGAGCTTCATGAGTCCTCAGACTTTCATCGCTATTGTTCCACTCCGGTATCCCCGCAATTATCTCAAACTCTTGGCCTTCCGTTTCGAGCAAAACGGCCGTACTGTTCTTCTCTGAACGCAAGTGAACTGTCACCTGAACTTTCGTACCAGCCTCGACTTTGTGATTGTTCTGAATGCTAATAGGGATAACGACTTGGTCATTACTCCGCAGTCTGATGACCTTCCCAGGGATGACAGTTTTAATTTCGTCATTGGATGATGTCAAATATAAAGAATGCGTGGAGGTTAACCATGAAGAATTGGTAGGAGCAGAGAGAGGAGAGAGGTTGGCCAAGGTAACCTCGATTTGTTGAATCTTCTCTGAGCTCGCGTCTTTCGCATCGACCCATTTGGTAGTTGAACGAACATTCCGGACGGACAATCTTGGACTGTCAACGGAGCCTGATGGGGTACCGGAAACAAGTGAGATGGCAAAAAAGTTGATGTAGCTCGTGTTAGCCGGAAGAGTGATAGACTTGAGTGGTTTGTCATTTGGAATCCGAGCCGATATATACGAGATACTTGTGATGTTGTGGTCCACTGTCTTGTTCCCATCAAGAGTGGCGTTTGCATAATGGAACGGTCTTCAGAATAATCAATCCCCATCGTAGAGTTACAATTTCCGGGCGAAAGAAATAGGTAGCACCTACGTATGGATAGGCCCGTCAAACGGATTGTTAGACCACCAAGGTCCAACAAGTATGTCGTTCGAGGTACTAGTCCCATCGTCAAACTCGTAGACAAGTTCTCCGATGCGCGCAGCAGCCGAACCTGACACTGGCCAGACAGAAGTAGCCAGTGCATGGAAAGAATGGTATCTCGCTCCATTTGTCTGCAGCGTGATAACTTGCGAGTCACTGCGGATTGCGTCATACGCAGATGGGTTGTGGAAAGGTGGAAGATTGAACTATGAGCCAAATATGAGATGAGTGAATAATTTGACAATGAATTTAAGATGCCAGTGTATCTAAATGCGCACTTTGATGCCGTTGTACGTGAACGTTGTGGCGTTTGGTAACCATTCGACAGGGTATGCACGTCCGCTTCCATCAAAATCGGCAAACGTATCATTGAGTCCTGGAGATGCAGCCTTGATGTTGAAGAAATCTTTAAGATCTAGGCCTATTATCCGAACACCGGTAAGTACCTCATTTCCCATAGGAAAGGCATACGCGTTCGGGAAAATTAGCGTTATAACGAGTGCTGCGAAGAGAATAGAGGTGAGTCCGGCCATACTGCCAAACCTCTAATTACTCATGCTCTCGACGTAGACTTAAATAGCCCTCGACGAGCCTACGTCTCTTGCATTTACCATAAGGAAGCAAGGTCAACTGATAACATTGAACATGATACGCTACGTACCCAGCTGTTTACATGCGTGTTCCATTCCAGGAAGAAGGGGGTATACGGCATCTGGGTGATACCTGTGACCAAGACGACGCGCGGACAGAAGAAGGTCTTATGGTCATTTGGTCTTCGCAGAGTCGCGTTCTTCGCGGAGAAGATCATATGATCATGAATGCTCGAGAGCAACACTGTCGTAGCTACTGTAGCTGAACAGTGGAAATGCATCATAAAGCATCACGTTCATACATAGGCTCAACGACGCCACATATTCCTGTCGCTAAGTGAGTAACACGGAATGCACGTTGCCCATGGCACTCACCTTAGGTCCCTAAGACGTATGTCAGCTCGGGGGGCTCCACCGGATCAGCAAAGATCGTCCTTATACTTATTTCCAACTAGCAGACCATGTCAGATGGCTCACGCCAAGTTGTCTGGCGGCCCGTCACACTGGAGTGGTACATGTATCTACTACAGTTTTGGTTCTTCATGATTCTGAAAGAGGTACGCGGGATGTAGGCTCGCTTCCAGCCTCTAGATGTTCTCGGAAGACAATCGGGGTTTGTACATAAGTATAATAATATGTGATGAAAATTTGAAAATCTGCTTAAGCGGTGCTATAGTGTAGTGGTTATCACTCGGGATTTTGACCAGTTTATTTGTACGAAGTTCCCGGAACCCAGGTTCGAACCCTGGTAGCACCTATGCTGTAGTTGGCCCCCGTATTTTACTTTTAGTTCATCTTCCTCAACACATTTTCCACCATAAATCTGGTAGGTACACATCTTCGGATTACAATGTATGCAGGGGGGAAAACTTGAAAAGGGTCCACGTATCAGAGATTTACCACCATGCACTGAACTTTATCACAGGCCTAGTACGATGAGCGGGGAGGAGGTTGCAGAGTGTGGATTCATCTAAGTACCAATGACACTACATGACAAATAACACGAGAGCACATACAGAATATGTCGAATGAAGGAATGGCTCCGAGGTAAGACCCGGCACATTTCTACAACAGTGTCCAGCAACTCCCTGAATGCGTCCATTCCAGAACGCAATATCGGCAACAAAGGAAAAACCACCATGTAGCAAGCACAGGAACAAGCAAAGCAAAGCATGTTGAAGAGAAAAAATAGGGTATTATGAACATGTCAATCAATATCCAGGTGGTGAATAGATATAGATATGAAGGTAAATGGTTCACGTGTTCGATAGTTCGCAGGCCATTCTAGTACCCCCTTCAATGCCTCCTTCGTATCGCTCCTAAGCTGGAAGCGGATTAGAGAACAAACGCAGCGAGGACAAGCGGGATGACACTCAGAGCGCCAAACACGACGCGTTGCTCGATGGCGTCGCTGGTGTTGCCTGACGCGCTAGTTGACGGGTTAGGTGCGCCAGAAGACGTGGTCGAAGACGACGTGTTGGTGGAGGTACTCGAATTCGTGTCCTGTGAGTCAGTTCCATTGAGACGAATAGCATTTCGCTACAACGAAGAAAAAAAGAAAACCAAATCGTCAGTGAACTGCTCTTTGCAAGTTGTAGGAGGAATGAATGCGATACTTACGACGAAGCCATCTAATGTCTCGGTCGAGCTATCATTGATATTAATACCACCAACACCACCTTGAGCACACGTGTGAAAGTCGAAGAACCAAATGGTGGTATTCACGAGGTCCGGGGTGATGGGCACAGACTGGATGGTGATCGCAGTGCCATTCACTGTATCCCGAAACCCAGAGTTGAAACCATTGATAGTGCTATCGGTCAGAGAGGCAGGGATGCAGGGGCTGGAGAACGTCGATTGTGTGGCAGTATGGTTGCCTTCCGTAACTGTCAAGAAGGAGTCAGCATTGAGTGGAGAAGAAGTGGAAAGTAAACGTACAGTTGAACACGACGATGTCATTCAACTTGGCAAAGACTTGTGCAGGATTGAAGACAGCAGTGGCATTGTCTGTGGTGTTACCACCGACTTGAATGAACACATTTTTGGCCGAAACAGTAGCAACAGCGGTCAACTACATTCATGAGGACGAACGACGCGTAAGCCGAGCAATAACTTCTCGTGAGAAGGCGGTTGAAAAGGGCAGGCAATATCAACCACTCACAAGAGCAACGACAGTGGAGCATACACGCATATTAGCTTGCGCTTCAAAACTGACAGAGAAAGTGAAGTAGAGTGTTCTACGCGTCGAACGCGATGGCAAGTGGGATGGGAAGAGGGGAAGGAGGGAAGAGGGGGCAACGAAGAGCGAGCGAGTCGAAGACAAGGACCGCACGCTTCCTTGCCATCGAAGCTAAGGTTTTATTGATTACTCGTTGCCCAATGGGAGCGTGGGCGACCATGCTATAACTAGCAGATAACGAACTTGACGTTTTTCTTCGGCTAAGAGCGACAGGCCTAGGGTGGATCTTAGACGTCATAGTGCCTGTTCTTGATGCGCACTATCATCGTCCTAAAGGCCCAACAATTCGACGAACAAATGTTCTTGAAGAAAAAAACCTGGGAAATACAGAAAACACTCAGAAGAAAAGTTTTGAGATTTTCTTGAAGACAGATGCAGCGAACAAGAAGACATGCAGCAGAGAAGACACGTCCAAAATAAAGACAGGTGTCATTACCGAAGATCGCCTCGCCATTTATGGCAAGTGTAGAGTCTATAAAACAGCGGTATGAAGCTTTGAGGACTCGTTGAGCAGGGTGATGGCGTTTCCGCGTTGAAGTCAAAGAACATGAGGAAGGCCCGACAGGAATGACAATCACAAAACTTGAACGACATTAGTCCATCATGCATCATCACGGAAGTCATACAGTTGGAGATAAGCAGGAACTCACCACAAAGAACGTCCTCGACATCCCCCCGCCTGATGATACAATGAATTCGATATTCTGCTACAACTACAATACAATAAGGTATCCATCCAATCGAGGTTCCAAGGCTCAAGAAAAGGAAGACGAAAAATGGTCACGAATACACAGTCGAATCCTGTAGCCGCCAACGCTGCAAAGGTCCCCACCACCACATAGACGTTGGCCGATGACCTTCTCGCGCAGGCGGGTCTATTTCGGGTTCTTCTTCCACCTCCTTCCCACTTGTCCGCCTTCGTCTCCGATGCGAACTCGGGTTCTCGTTTTCGCGTACTTCAACGTCCTCGTTCTCCCTCCGATGTGCACATTCGTCGCGTAATGTGTCGCCTTCTTCAATATCACTCATGGACACGCCATCTCGAAGGTCCGCACCAGCTTGCCGGATGCCGTAGCTGCCTAAACCCCAGCCTACGACGGGAGGTTCGCCGCCGGCAGGTTGAATATCCGCCTCTCGTCCGTAGACTTGTTGAATACGCTCGACATGCTCTACAGCTTGCTCGCGCGCAGCCGTCAGATGGGCATGTCTAAGCAATGCATACCAACTATGCAGGACTCGCCCGACGGATGTGTTAAATATCCGGGGAATGCCTTTCGACTGAACGCTCGCAAGAGTCGACCCACTCGTCGACTCTTGACTAGGTCTTCTGTTTCGTGAACGGGGCCCTGGCTGCGAGTTTCCCTCACCAGAGTGAACGTGTCCTTCATCCGACGTATTCCCCTCCACTTCAAGAGCAGCCATCCTTGCTTTTCGATCGTATCCAAGCGCGCCGGCCACACCTTTCCAAAATGTATCCACCTTCTCCTTCCTCTCTCGCCTCTTCGCTAATCTCGCTCTCCGTTTCCTCCTCCTCTTCTCTTCCCTTCTCAATATCTCTTCGACTTCACCCACACCCATGCCCGCTCCCACCCACCACCACCAACCCAAAAAGCTTTGCCACAATATTACGGCCCACATGAGACCAGGCATCCAAACGTACTGATCTTTGCTAGGGATATAGATAAAAGTGATTGCAGTAGACGCTAGCGCCAGAGTGAGTGCACCAGCTCCGAATGCCGCTGTCCCGCCATCTGTTCGCCAAGCTTGCTTTCGGTTAACGAAAAGACCCCAGATGAAGAGCGCTGCTGTGAAAAGTAGGGAGAGTGTGGCGTTGCAGATGTTTTGAACAGCAGAGGATATACTGGAGAGCCTGGTGTTGGACGAATCATGAAGGGGAAGAAGTTGCATGACTGAGGCTACGACTGCGAGTGGGCCGAGAAGGGTGAAAATAAGACGACGTTCAAGACTAGACGGGAAGAGGAGGGTCAGGAATTGAATGTGTGTGATCTGGAGATATGCCAAGCCCGACGCCAAGCGTTTAGTTTGACTCCCTGTACGATGTAGAGGAAAAATAAAAAGCGCACATACCTGAATCAACGCAGACGTCGTTGCATTCATCAGCAACCAAGCGGCCAATTCCCCAGTACTCCATTCATCCATCTCCTCCAATGGGGGTATATCCACAGCGATGTACGTCAACATGTAAGGCCAACCCCTACTCTCCCTCGTGGCGGTCATCAATATAACTTGAAGAGTAGCTATATGAGCTATCAACAAAGTGAAGACGGCGGATATTTGGAGTGCAAAATTGACTGGGGCAAGAGGCCAGTGGTATTGTGCGGTGAAGATGAGATGGATGAAAAGGACGGCGGTAAGGGTGAGGACTATGCCTGTTACGAGGATTTGGATTGGTAGAGAACTGGCAAAAGAGGGGCGATACCGTAGGATTGGGTCTACGGAATAGCTCCTGTGCACAATGCCCATAATATATGCAGTTAGGTTCTGCGAAGCCAGTACGGGCAGAGATATGAAGGTACTTGCCTGTCATCGTTCTCGTAGAGCGATGTGTTGGAAACCTGGTCCGAAATATTCACATCCTGTGCGCTCACGTAGAAAATCAAGCACAACAGAATGAGAAAGATCCATCGTCTGTGCATGTCCTCCGCAACGTGGAGTAGCACTCGGCAATATGATGGATATCAGAGATCCCCAGGACAGAGAGTAACAGAGTCAGAAACCTCTAGAAAATGGTATTCCCAGGTGGACGATAGCGCAGAGAAGGAGGCAGGTCCCCAGAGAAGGAAAATTCAAGCACGAGCAGAGCAGTCGGGAGCAGGTCGATCCCGCAGGCGCCCATAGTCTGAGTGCACCGGCGTCTACGGTGATATTCACCGGAGAAAAACCCAATTTGGCATGTCTATAGGTCTACGCCTTCACTCTTATTTCTGAAAGGCAATTCTGCCACTCTCGATCCAGGTCCGCAGCATGCTACGCTCATATAAATAGGCCATTCAATTATAATCATAGTAGATGGAAGTATTACGGCCTGATACAATAATTAACGCAGGATAGAATCCCAATGCCCAAAATTAACGTCAAGACTCCCTCGCAGCCAACCCACCGACCAAATCCGTCAATCCTAGTTCCCTCTCAATCTAAGGGGCAACATGTCAATAAAAATAGTCCCACTCCAAGTGGCGGGTACAACTCACCTGATGCTTGAGTTCGGCATCTTCACGACCTGCGGAAGATCCAAAGACCGCGTCGATCTCTTCAAGCGAGACATTAGCTGTTTCGGGAACGGAGTACGTCGACCAGAAGTACCCTAGGAAACAGGCAGATGCGAATATGATAAAGGTCCCACTGCATTGAGTGTCAGCTGAAAGACTCGCCATGAGGAAAAGGTAACTAGTTACGTACGAAGGCGATAAGTCCATTAGGACAGGTGTAACGAGACCAATAAGGACTTTTGAAGGAATGTTTAGAATTTGGGAAGGACGGCTGTGGGAAATTGGTGATAAGAACGTACAATTGTTGATCCAATTCGATGCTGTGGACAGAGAGACACCCTTGCTTCGAACTGACAATGGGAAGACCTCGCTTGGTAAGATCCAGCCAATGGGGCCGTAACTCATCCCATATGCAGCCGTGAATACGTAGACACAACTATTGGGTCAAGTTAGATCAAGTTTCTCCAAGGTTGTTATCGGACTTACCAAACACATGTCCATGCAGCCATCGTATGATGAGGCCAGTCGAGCTCAAATTGTCTCACCAATAGCGCAATGGTGATGTGGGAGATACTCATCACCGCACTACCCCCTATTTGCATAGTTGGCAATATGTACCGATACATGGATAGTGAAAGGCTTACATCTCAACAGCGGCCTTCGCCCTTATTGATAATCGGTATCAGCATGCGTGAATGGTCATAGCAGGATCTCTTACCAAACCTGTCGATATACAAGATGACAGGAAAGACAGCGAAGAACTGGACGATACCAATCCCACCAGCGACCATCAGTGTTACTGTGTCCCCTTGTAAGCCCAATTCACGCATCAACGTTGGTCCATAGTACAATAGCGCATTGATGCCACTCCATTCTGCTCGAACATCAGCAACTGGGCGAAACGCAAGGGAATAACCCGACGATACCGACGTTGGAAGACCATCATCAGTACACCGATGAGTGTTCTTGGTCGGTACTTCTTGCTGAAGAGTTGCCCCCAAGTTTGCGCTTCCCCACGGATGCCACCCGCTTTGACATCGCCAATACTCTGTTCTACTAAGGCTGCTTCGACGCGCATCTCTAGGAGTTCGATCTATGAAGATAAACAAGATGCGAAACACCTGGAGAACGTAAGCCATACCTGGAGCAAAGGATCAGTATCTGCTTCCATCGATGATCGCAGACGAAGCCTAGCCAATGCTTGCAGGGCTTCTTCACTTCGACCTTGTGCCACCAACAATCTTGGAGATGGGGGGAGGGATATACTGCCAAATCCAAGAAGAACGCCAGGTATGATTTGAATACCTAAAGGTATCCGCCATGATGCTGACCCAGGCACTGTCACAACTCTAATGAGCTTCCATAAAGACTTTGAAGGATGAACCCATACAGTCACGGGTAAAGAACCCAGTCCAGAAACCCAAGACCGCTCCGAGAACTATGGAGAATTGCTCCAATGCCATTAGGGAGCCACGCACTTCCGGCGGACTGATCTCAGCCATGTAGAGTGGCGAGAGCATGCTGAAAGGTTGCATATCAGTTTCGTGTTCAATTCGCAATGGTGAGATAATACGACCAGAAGTGAGAAACCTTACCTCAAAGCGCCTACACCTAAACCCCCGATGGCACGACCAATGATCAAATGAGGAATGCTTTGGGCAAAGAATTGCAGAGCAGACCCTGCACAAAAGACAACTTGAACCCCATAGAAAGTCAACTGAGTACTTCATCGTCATTGCGAAGGGAAACGACTGTGACTTACCGCATGCAAGCATGATAGCCTGTCGCCTAGAGAAACGATCAGCGAATATTCCTGCGATTAGAGCGCCAATAAGCGAGCCCAATTCAAGCATAGCAGCTGGATCGTGAGTGACAGTAAATCGGGTTCTGTTGCAAGCGTTGTAATGTTTCAGACGTACTCATTAAACCCTTCTCCAAAGGACTTATGGGCCAACGGGTGACAAAGTCCTTCATAACGAGAACGTTGGCAATGACGCCTTGGTCATAGCCGAAAGTCAGACCGCCTAACGACGCAAAGACTGCACAACCTAATGCGTAGTAATTATGGAAAAGTCCAGTGAGACCTTTTGGACCATATGAGTAGGTGTAGGAATGTCCGTGAGGATGCACAATCAAGGTTCCGCCATGGCTAGTAGAATGAAGAGAGTCTGTAGTAGGTAGCTGGGTATTTGAAAGTACGTCTGTAGGAGAATATTGCTCATGGGCTTGAGGTTCTGATGATAGTGCTACATATCCATGGTTCCGGTTATCTGTATGGTTGGTCTGAGTATCATCGAAGGTCTTTAGCGACATACACCTTTCAACGCAAGCGCAGTGTAAGTGACATACCATTCGACGGGTAGTATTTTCACTTTCACAATCCTTTAGCAATTATCACGTTGGTATATGACCGATGATTTCACAGAATGGCCAGGTATATCTGTTTCACAACCAGTCTTACGCATGTGGGTGCTTGGAGGTGAAGGTCCGTAAATGGGCGCTCCGTGCTTTAGAAATTGGCGTTTAACTTAATCTTATCTTATCAACACCCTTAACTAGTCCACCTTCGTCATGCGAATCGTTTTCTCTCAAATCCAATACCACTCGCTGCTCGCTCTTGCAGGAACCTTCTGGGATAGTCAAGCAGATAATTCAGGTATGTCGAATCATCTACACTGACTGGACCTACCATTTACTGTCATTTAGCGAAGCTAGAAACGAAGTTGTTTTCTCTGAACGCCCTGGAATTGATGCATAGAAGCGTGCGGATTCTACCGATATGCAAAGTCCAGAACTAGTCAGCACGATAGCAGCTGGTGCACACCTTGCAGGATCAAGCCGAACTGAGGCAACGTCTGATCTGAAGAGTGTTCTAACATCAAGGCTAACTCAGTACGAACAAACCCTTGGTCGTTCGCCAACTGATAGATCAGACAAGACGTTGGAAGAAGTGCAGCTAGAAACCGCCTCCGAAGCCCTTCATGTGGTCTCTCTCGTTCAAATTCTCATAAATAGGCCTAACGACAAACCGAATGAAACGCAGGAAACGAGCACAGAAGCCACTCCACAGGATGGGTATATGATCGGCACACGGGACTTAGCGTACATGCGGACTCTCCTTTCTATCACTGTCAAATGGGGTCTTGAACCGTTACTACAACGGGTCACAGCAGGCATTCCGAGTACGATGCCAGTTGGAGCACGAAAGTCTGGCGTACAAGTCATTGACCTGACGACAGTCCCTGAAAACTACAAGCTTCTTGTGTCGTTGATTGATCAACTCCTTGGGATTATATTGCCTAGTGGCGTCTCGGGCCCTATTCCTTCGACGCATATCAGCGTGCTTATTTTGGACAACTACTTACCAGATTTGTTCAAACCTTGCATAACTCTCGGCTGGTTACCGAAATCTCAAGCCACTGAATCCGTCATGCCTGTCGATCACTTGCGCTCAGTAGTCATTCATCTCATCTCCATGTCAGTAGCATGTACTACTTGCACGCCGTCAGTATTGAACTTTAATATACAGCTTGCCTGTATCAAAATCCATCAATGCATTGACCTGTGTTCTAACCGATTCCTCTATGCTACCGTACGTTCGGAAGACCTGCAGCTTCTTGCTAGGCAGGCAACTACTCCGGCCTCATGGTGTCCAAGGGTTATTCATAGGCATCTTTGGAGAGGAGGAAGAATCCGGTGAAACGGCGCCGTTGGAAAAGCTCGAACACGTTTCTCGTCTCCTTCAAGCGGTTCCCAAAGGTATCCAGGAAGCGGTAAGTAAATCCTCCTTTCGTTATATAACACGTGTCAAGTGTTCAAACCGACATGTATTGTGCTACCTAGGATTATTATAAGAACATCACCTCTCAAGTGGTCGCGGTTCTGTCTTCTGTGGATCAGACTATGCCTTCCGCGCACAAGCGTGCGGCTGCGTTCACATTGTCGCGATTTCTGGGCTCCGAAGCGAACCAAAAGTCGAACATAGCTTCTCGCATTCTACTTCCAATGCTTCAGCGACCATTTCTACAGGTCACTCGTCAATCGTCAGAATTCATACAAGACTCTACGAGTCAAGAGTTCTCTCCTTCAAAGGCCCTGTCCACGATACAGACACTACTAATCAACACTGACCCTTCTCCGACTCTCATTTCCAGTCTCCTGACCCCGATTATTCCGTCCTTGTACTCGCTGCTGAGCACGCTCGAAGAGCACAGGACGTCAGACCCAGCTCTGAAGATGACTGTAAGTGGGCTCCTCAGTACTTGGGGGAGACTTGTGGGAACCGAAGAGGGCATTGCCTCTATTTGGCTCGTCATTGAAGGGGAAGGAGGATATTGGAAGGTTGACGTCGCGGGAGAAGTCACTAGAATCGAAGAAAGGTATGTTTCCTGAATGAAGGTTTTGGGTCAGATATCCGGCTGAGAAGAGCTGATAGTGAAAACCGTCTGCATTCGTTATCACTCTTCACCCCTGAAGACGTGCGGAAGGCGGAGGAAGCTGGAGAATTCGACGCCGATGCGAACATATTGCACTTACGGCCTGATCCTGTACATTTTGTACGGTATCTAAAGTCGATAGACCGTCCAGATGTTACCAGTGATATATTCGTCAAATTGCTGGAAGCATATCGAGGGAGCAAAGGCACGTCGGATAGTGACCCTATGAGGTGTGTCGGCTTTTCCTACAATGTGCAGGACATTGAGCTCACAGGCCTCATAGAACGCTTTTGTACTTGCAAATAGTCATGCAGATCCAATCCCAGCTTTCATCAGATGACTCCTCTATGAACATATTGAAGAAACCAGGTCACATTCTCACATTCATCAAACACGCATTGGAGACAGCCACAGCTGCACCCGTTGCAACTTCTGCTATGCGTCAACCGAAATTGAAATCTTCTGGAGTGCGGATGGAGGACCTTCGGATAGTTGAAGAGGAGGAGCCAGAAATTGAAGAAGCCGATAGTGACAACGAGGCCGAGGCTGCCAGTGATGTTGAGTCGGGGGAAGATGATATGACTGCCACAGCTGTGAACTTGCTCCTTTCCATATTGGAAGGTAAGTTGCTGTTCCACGTTAGTATTTTCTCATCTGATTGACATCGCAATAGCGAATCCTGACCTCTCCATACAAACAACGCCAATCCTGGATGAGATGTTCGACTTACTAGATCGTCTGGCAAAAACTGGCCCTGAAAACATCAAGCCTCTAGCTAGAGAGGCGAGGATGGTCCTGATAGCCAGATTAGCTTCTTCTTCGACTCCTTCAGCCAGTGCGAAGTCAAGGCGGACACCTGCCGAAGAGTCGGCTCAGGAGACGTACCAGAAGGCGTTAAAGCTTCTTCAAGATCCGCTACTGCCCGTGAGAGCCCATGGACTTCTGCTTCTTCGCCAATTAGTATCGTCTCGTTCGACAAAAGAGGGAAAGTTGGAACCGCCTGCCATAGATCGTGCACTTATTCCCGGAATACTGTCGATATTTCTGCAATCATTGCAGGATGATGACTCTTACATCTTTTTGAACGCAGTACAGGGGCTCTCTGCGATGGTAGATGGATTCGGCAAGGACACTCTGAAGGGCTTGCTGGATTTGTATGCCCAGGGCTTGGAGGGGGTGGGCGGAACTGCCATGACCAAACATGATGTGGATCAGCGTACTCGAATCGGAGAAGCTTTGGGCCAGGTTATCAGACGGTGCGCAGATGCGCTTCCGGTATACGGTAGGGTTTGTTCCACGAACTGTCTTCATCACTACTAAGCTCTCTGCCTCATGTAGCTGACGTCTTGGTTCCTCCGCTATTCAGGATCGTCCGGACATCTTATCTCCCTACTATTCTACGAACATCTGCTCTGTCTCTTCTTGCGCAGTGCGCCAATACGAACACCTTGGCATTGCTACCGTACACAACTGAGCTAATCGAAGCGATGATTGATCTACTACAAATCGAATCCGTCCCCGTGAAACCTTCGGCTCCTCATGCAGGACCCGAAAAGCAATTTGATATGCCTGCAGAGAAGGAAACGAGCAAAGCGACTGTGGATACACAACCAACCGCTGCCAACTCCAAGTTTCCCCCTTTGCGGCGTGCTGCTCTGTACTTCCTCTCAATGCTTACAAGGGCATATATTGAACAAATGTCGGATGTTTGCACTCGCGTGACGTATATCTTACCAGCGCCGCTGGTACGCCGAGCGAAGCTTACTGTGGGGTATGTTGCTGTTACGGATGAAGATTCAGTCGTCAGGGTCATGGCAAAGGAGGTCTTGGAAGGCTTCGATGGAATCGACGAAGGCATGCTGGGAATTTGAAGAGTATGTCGCTCCATAATCCTTTAGTGTCTGAGTCACTAATGTGATTTTTGGTTCCGATAAGCTGGTCTGGATATATTACAATTACAAAACCTATGTCGCGAACGAACGAATAAGAAGTCCGGAAAGGAATACAAACTGCTGTGTGCATTCAGACAAGAAGCATCGCCTTACTCTTCTACCGGCTGCCACTTCTCGACAATGCCCAAGTTTATCTTCATGAACAACTCTTCTCTCCACGAAATGGAGGGAACAGAGTTCGCCTGTGAATTTGAAAACGTGATGGGAAGCATTCTGGTTATAATTGGGCGGCGTTCCCCAGGCAGAAAGACATTCAAGAATACCACTCCTGCCCCATAACTCCACCAGTCTGTCTGCAACGATCGTTCTTCGTATTGTCTGCGTTTGTTTAGGAGTTCTTCATAACCTTCGAATCTTCGGCGCATGAAGTCCAAATTACACTCCATGACTCTTTCGATCTCGAAGGCCAGCGGAGCCGGCTGTCCAGCTCTATACCGAACACTGAGATGCAGACCCCAATCACGCTGACGCTGAGGATGACTTGGAAGGTCCAAAGATGAAACCAAAGCGTCCGAGAGTGTCGGCATGTGTTTGTGTATCCAAGACGTAAGAAGGGGATATAAATCTTTAGTACCCTTCTGGTCTGCATTCGGCAAAGAACTGAGAAGAGATATTGCTTCCTGATGTCTCTTGCAGTCTGGTTTGTGATTCTCCCAGTCATTTCGCTGATGTTCCAGCGACTAGTCATGGACACAGTCAACTCATAACTCTCAACGAGAATCTCCTGTGACAACGCACACAGTACCGTGCACATCTACACCCGGAACAGAGGGGCAAGCGAGTGTCCTGCGCAGTCCGTTGATTCATACAGTCCACCCAAGCACATTGGTCGTAAGAATGCAGTTTGGAACCCAGCCCGAAGTTGGGGGATAACTAAGAATAACACCATGTAAGTTAAGGAAACACTATAACACGACAGAGAAAACCAGAAACTTGGTTGCTATACCTTCGGTTTGTCCTGTTCAGCGGCTCCAGACTCATGAGATACGGTGTGGGATTTCATGGTAGTGGTCAGGAAAGTGAACAAACAGGAGTGATCGAGCCTTAGGTCAAAACCCCTGAGATGAGAGCTGACGTAGTAATATTCAATCATGATTACTGTACACGATATAGACGCATCTTAACCAGGTTTAAGCATCCAATATGCAGATAAGTACACAAGCAGGATGAGTATGGACTGAGACCTTTAAAACTGGAGCGACCGTTCTAGACTAGCCGAAGGGAAGACTTAGGCTGAAATGTGTCTAGAATCAACGGTTGCTCCCGCGGCGGTGGTATAGACCAGCAGCCTAAACGAGGCAAGGATGCCGGGGGTGTACGTAGATGGCACGACAGCGTACAAACCATGTTGCAAGAGGAACTGAGGGGTCACCACTCCAGAAATGGCATCAGCATAAGGCCCCGAGGTCGCAACCTGCGAACCCAAGGTTCCATGTTCAGTTAAGCGGAAGACTGTTACGTTGATAGGCACTTCTGCATTGCCGTCCACAAGTTGTAAGCGTATCCTACATGAAAAAAATATTAACGCAACTGGCGTCTTCAGGAGGAGGGTTGCTTACTTTACATGGCTTTGGGATGAGAGCTTCATCTCGTAGATGGGATTGTTCACGTAACGGTTGAAGGAGGGACTGCCGGCAGCAGTCTCGGATGTCCTGAAAACATGTCGTAGGATGCTAGCACCAGCGCTGGAGATCGGAACATACCATGAACCTCGTATCACTTTGCTGAACATGCCAGCACCTTCTTGAGGAATGGGATCGATCTCAAATGGTTGAGTGCCTGAAATATCGACGGTGAATGGGCCCAATGATTGAGGGTTGAATGATGAGACAATCAAAGTATAGTCCCCAGCTGGCAGATCCGAAGTTATCAGTCATTCATCCGATATCGGGGTGAGCATCGGCTGAGAAATCGCACCTGAAAGATCCTTCGAGACAAAGGCAAACCCATAGGAATAAGAACCAGAAGACGCAACGACGGCGTTCTGTGTCAGTCTGCGAACGAGTAAGGAAGGTAAATAGCTTGTCATTATATTTCATACTCACTCTGCAATTCGCTCGCCATTCGACCAGGCCACGACGATATTGAGTGGAACATGTCGATCGCTCCGCGCTGTGATCTTGAGTCGCGTCTTTCCGGACCTGATTCGCAGATGATATTGAGGGTTAAGCATGAATGTCGGATGAGTCGGATTTCCACCAGCAGTCTTGTTCGTAAAGGCACCAGCGATCTATTCAATATATATAGTAAATAACGCACATGCACGAGATGAACAAGTCGAAATGTACCTTCTTCACATAGGGTAGTGAGATCGCATCTCGTACCCATGATGCAGACGTCGATGAATATATGGTGACGGTGAATCCAACATCGTCGTAATCACCATCGTATGAGGCAACAACCAATAGCTCTGGAGACAGCGATGAGCAACGAGCCTTAACCTAGATTTGACGTGAGTAGATGGCAGGTGCACTACAACAGTCGCCTCACCAGAATGTGGGTGCTGTTGGTATAGGAGCCCTATATCACTATGTTAGCGAATACAATTCCGTCGAAGTGGAACGGGCATCTACTTTGAGATGTAACGAGTTCAAATCCGAACTCGTTGTATCTTGCACCGTTAGCGAAACATACTCTGACTTCCGTCTCGAATCCGTTATGTGCCTTGTGAGCAACACCCAAATTTCTTCCTCTTCCAACGAACTAGTTTCTACCCTGAATGTTGCTCTAAAAATTTGTGCTATGACACGCTCATTCAGGGGCTGGCCTACAATACAGATAAAAACACACTCACGTTGATCTCCTGCTTCCTCACGTTTCCACTTTCTATCAAAAATATGAGCTGAGACCTTGCTGTTCACGATTGACTAGAGCTTACCCATGATAAGCTAGTTTGTGTTCAAAGGTCCCTGAGTCCCAGCTAAGATAGATACCGTCAAATACATTGCAGATTATATCCCAAGATAGATCGTAAGAGCCTATTGAAGCACGTCAGCGCAATTTTCGAAGCTGACACGATAAACATACGAGGCCTCTCTACCGGTGAATCCAACAGCGATAAACGAGTAAAGTCTTGTTCTACATCTTCGCTCGATGTATGGTGTACACGAGAGTCAAGGATAGTCATCCGCCGACCTTGTTCATCATCTCTCACATCTAACATTCCTTTGTGAGTACCTTTTCAAGTAACGGTGGAGAAAGACTGACCAATAACAGCATAACAATGCGCTGGAAGCAACTCCATTGGGAACACTCCAAGCTCTGGAAGCCGTTCTCCAGTTCCAACAGTCAGGACACATCGTCCTAGGTCAGGTTAATGTGTTCAAGTCGTCGATATGAGATAAGGCCCACACAAATACCTTCTGTAAAGCCTGTGTTTATTCGATCCCATGTACTCTCCCGTTCAAAGTAAGCGCTGTCCAGATAGGTCAGTATTTACTGTGACGGAACCAGATGTTGTACAATACCCCTTCACTTCGATGTGCTCGGGTATCCACCCAGTCAGAACACTAGATATTTGTTAGAATGAGGGCGATCCAGAGAGTTTCAAAAACGCACTGTAAATCTGTGCTCGAATTCCTGAGAACAATCATCAACGAAATAGTAAACAACGATTTCTGCACCACTCAACGTACGATCCTGGGAAGTCATATCCTCCTACAAGTTTCATATACTGAAGAATTTATCTTAGCTATCTGTAGGGAAAACTTGGGGTTAGAAGACGTACCGCTTTCTCGACCAGAGAGGGCCATAAGACCGACTTCGGACCAGTTGAGAGACACATCAAGGTTCCATCAGGATAGCACGGTAGCTGATTGTCGATCTCTTGAGAAGATCCATCAGTATAGCCGTCTATTCTCTTGGCGCAAAATAATAACTAACCAACCTAAATAAAAACAGTACGTATTAAGCATCAGATGTTGAGCTATAGAGAGACCACTTACTCGTCGGTATGTGCCATTAAACATGGCTTTGAGGTGGTATCTGTCTGGTTCATCCGGAAACTGAAGCAGTGAAGAGGATCCAAGCTGAGTAACGCGATCAGTGCCTGCATTTCTCAAAACAAGAGTGTTTCTCACTTTGGATCCAAACCGACGATCATGTTCGATGCATATAGCTACGGATGCACAGACAGAACAGTCAGAAACCATGTGTTGAATCACATCTTTTGATTCGAGTTTGCTATTGTTATCGTGAATATGCTCCGGCCTTCTCCATTTAGCGTTATTCTGAACTTGCTCTGGAGAAAGGGGTGGCTGGGTAATGCCGGTGCTGATTCCTGAAGTGGGCTGCCTGGTGGACTGAATTAACGGAGGTCACTTACCTTGGAACTATAGGCTCGCTCCAGAGCGGGATGCGTGTTCCATTTACATTAGAAGAGTGTCGCAGAACGGCAAACTGTTCCTCTACAGTTTCCAATTCTGCTCAGAACAAGGCAAGGCGATGAAAGAAGCTGTCTTACGTTCAGAGAAACGATCGGCTATGACCGGTGCGACATCTCGCTTCACCTGCTTAATCTTCTCTGCACGTTCCAATGCCTTTCCTGCATGAGTTTTACATTCCGCACGGATGGCTGTGCTATTACTCGTGCGACTGAGGTGCAGGAAGTCCTGAGCGACTTGAATGTACAAACGGAAAGCACGATCGAGGTCGCGGTCCAATTCCGCTCTCGCAGCTTTAGAGTACTGTGTCTGACATAGTGCTGTATTATTTCCCATCCCTATTAAGCACATTGAGCTCACCTCCAGATGCTTTAAAGTATGGTCAGCGCTCATGGTGTCGCTGGGGTGTCATTGGCACTAGGGCGCCTACAATTTAGTCCAACATTCAGCATGAGGAGGTTAAATTGAATCAATCTTGAAGCTCTTACCGTCTATCCGACCCAAGATACAAATTTGCACTGGTCCTAGGAGGTTGTGCGAACTTGAATCTAATCGCCTGCTCAATTGGGCAGGTCTGGATCATTATGGGCGCCTATATTGTAATGGTGTGCAAATACATGCAAACAACGCGGCGGTGGCGGATACTACGCGAGAACAATTGGGTTCGTCGGCTGTCTTTTTGTTCTCTTGCCATTGTTCTTCAGCTCGAACAACATGTTGCGCCGCCAGCATTTGCTATTTCTTGAATGTGAACAACGACATTGCCTTCCTAGGCTCTGCACAACACTTACCTTACGACCGCCATGACTTCAGAGACACCCATCTTTCATTTTCGACACTCGCCAGACGATCGCTATCCTAACTTCTTCTCCAGAGATCCTAACCTCTCTATAGCTATTCCACCGCAAGACTTTCCAGTTGAAACCTCACGCTTTTCACCCGAATCGCCACCGCTTCCGCCTGTTCCTTCGCGTGCTGGATCGATGTGGACGAATGCGACTACAATGAGGTCGCCCACGCCCAAAGCAAAGGACGTGGAAGCAAACAGACCTCGGTCTCCCCAGAGATCACCATCTAGCCCAAGTTCTAGATTTCGCGCACGCTTTACGAAGTTATTCTTTGATGTCAGGACACTTATGAAGGACAGGGACGCGGAACTGGTCCCTATTCAGCCCGCGCATCTACCTCCCTGGCAGCCGCTTAACGTAGAGAAACGATCCTGTTGTCAAGATTGCCTATGCCATCGCCCGAAGGAACGGTCACGACGCTACAAGCTGCTCATTTGCTTACTGGTGATCATTATCCTATATCTTCTGGGCAATGTGTCATTCCTCAACGCTCGCGTCATTAAATTGTCTTCTTCGTCCACGTCGACAGACAAACGTACCGCTTCGACATCGAAGACGTTATCTGCAGACGCTCAGGAGTGTCTGTCGCAGTATAACGTCAATGCGCCTTCTGATCCATCTGGCTACCCTTGCTCATCATGTCTTCCTGTATTGCAAAGCGTTCCCTCCGACTTCTCAGACGGAAATGCCACGGATACTGAGCAAATCCAGAACGCTACTCAATTCTGTGGTTTACGTGCATTCTTTGAGAGTATGGATAATGATGGACAGGCAGCATTGCAGAACGGGCAGTGGGTGGAGAACATGAGATTCTGTGCTTGGGGTGGCGTTTCGTGCGACGGAGCAGGTCGAGTTGGCGCATTGTAAGTAATCATTGACGATGTTCCGCGAATTTGATACTAATTCGTTGTCTTCTGAAGGACGCTGAGCTTCCCTGCCGTTCCCGCTACTTTGCCCAACGAGATTGGTGCACTGACTGGTCTCACAAGCTTGCACGTTATCGGCAACAGTAATATACCTGGTATGTAAAATGTATGTGCATAGTACGATCATAGCTAATGTTGCATTCACAGGTGGTTCTCTTCCCAGTTCATTCACCTCGCTGAAATCAATGACGTTGCTTCACCTGGAGTCGACTGCAATTACTGCGTTACCCGATAACGTATTCTCATCGCTCGATCAAGTAACCACTGTGGAATTGGTCAAGAACGGCCAGATGGGCAATGATTTGCCTTCTAGCGTTACTAGCCTGCCCCTCCAGAACTTGTAAGCTGATCTAGATAGGTTGTCGTGAAGCGGACATCGGTACTAACACGACTTCTCAGAATCGTCAACGGACAGAACCTCAATAATCCCCTCCAAACTCTTTCGTCAAGCTCTTCTTTGCAAAGGTCCCTACAGTTGCTGTTCGTCTTTCTTTCCTTATATTCGATCGCTTTACTGACCTTCGTCTTTGCAGTGACCTCTCCTCCACATCTCTCTCGGGCAGCATTCCATCTTCCATATCCTCGTTTTCCGCTCTAGTCGAACTTCACCTCGACTCCAATAATCTCACAAACCCTCTTCCTTCATCTTTCCCATCCTCATTGGGCGCCTTGACGTTGTCGAACAACTCGGGGCTTTCAGGCTCCGTACAGGGATCATTCTGCTCTCTGGGGAAGTTGCAGAATTGTGAGATGACTGGAACAGGGTTGACGGCCGCTGGCGGCTGTGGAGTTTGTAGATTCTCTTGAATCTTTGAAGAACTTTCCTTTCTATGCTCCTTGAACCCTTCACTGTATTTCGTTCTGACCTTCCACTGTTGTTTTATGCTCGTTACGCTCCGGACGATGATACCTTTGTAGCAAATAGCTTTTCCCATCACGAAGTATTTATGCCCTCATGACTACATATACAATATCGTAAATAGTCGGTTGCTTGCCTAGTGGACAGCGAATATTTCACCAGTCAATATACATACAATATTCAATACTTACTTTACTCCTTCCCATGTTCAAAGCTACGTACTTTCCTAAAACGGAAGCTGTGTACATCTCCGGTGATGCTGGCAGCAACGCTCAAGCACTAACAAACTCTCTACCACCAAAACCCACTCTCACTTCACTTCACCATCATGACAGACTTCCTGGCGCGCGAGAGCGAGCTCCTTGGCGACGAGTTCTCCACTCCGACAGCGACTGGAGGCTCATTCGCCACTGCGGGCGGAGACATTGACTTCGACAGTGCCGCTGCTGCGTTTCCTGACATCTCGCTGGATGGGACTGGCGACATTCCACCCCCTATCGCGTCGATTCCCAGTACGAATAGCTCGAGTGGGTTCTCTTTTGAGGATTTTGGAACGCCACCGAGTGAGAGGACGACGGAGGTGAAGGTTACTGGTAATGAGGAGATTGAGAAGTTTGAGAGTGATTTCCCGGAGATCGAGGTTCCTCAGGTGAGTCCGTTGTGTACTGCCTGATACCTGAACCCAGGAGTTGTAAAACGTTTATTTGAAAACAGACTCAGCAGACGTTCTCGCCACCTGCACCACTCTTCGGTGCTACCACCCAAACATTCGCACCTCAGCCACAACCTTCTGCGCTGGTTTCGTCGACACCTATTTTCAACCAGCCGATAGATGAAGATGAGCCCGAAGCTATCAAGTGAGTATATATATACGCGTTCTGACTAGCTCTCCTGTTGGTTCTGACAAACGGTGCTTCTTAGGCAATGGCGCGAGAAACAGGCTGCTGAAATCAAGGCAAGGGACGAAGCTTCGCAAGCCAGGCGGGAGGAGACTGTTGCTAAAGCTGAACGAGCAATTGATCAATTCTACGAGGAGTACTCTGGCAAGAAGGAAAGGAACATTCGGGAGAACAAGTACGTTGCATTCGACCTTCTTCGTCTACGTGATAGAGTAGGAAGAATGTATTGGTGCCCGTGCGTGTACATATCGTTTACTCAATATATTTGTTTTGATCATCTATGCGACTGCCACTGATTACTTGTGGAGTGTGCCATCGTTATAGAGAATACTAGACGAGGGGGGGTAATTGTAGCAGGAGGAACTTCGTACAGAATACCAGAACAGCAGAATGGGGTGAGAGAAGATTTATTTTTTCGTAGATACGATACACGGACAGTCCTACGAAATAAACAAACGGGAATTACTAGAAACCGTAAGAGATTGACAGAAACGACTTGTCTGACAACCCTCAGAAACACGGAAGACAGACCATTGGAGGGGTTGCGCATGAAACACTCGCATTCACAACGCGAATCTGCGACGTACTACCCGAGTCTCCCAGGACTTCCACAATCGAACGGCCACAAAAGCAGTAAAACCAGACGTGAATCGCACAGAAAAAAACGGAGAGAATAAAAAGCGAGTTAGCAGACTTCACAGACGGCGTCGACGATCACATTCCAAGTTGGAACTCGATGATTTTTTATTGACGACAGGGAGGGAGGTTTGACGATGGGCCCAGAAACGTCCTAGGCTGGAGCATAAGACAAGTGAGAAGGGACAAACGGACGAAGGACGAGTTGACGAAGACACTGGTAGAGCCGCAGGGGGAATAATGTGGCAAACTTGTTGGCCAGAGGAGATTGAAGGATTGCTGGCAGATCTCACATCGTCGAACCATGATCGTAGGGATTGATGTGAAGGACAAGCAAAGCCGATAACCAGGGAAGTGGAGCAAGCAGAGAAGTGTGCGCCAAAGTCGATGAATCTTCTATGGACGACGCCGACAAAGGCACGCGGGGAACGCAGAACGTTACGCGAAAGACTCGGAATGTGCAACGCCTATGACAAAAGTGCACATTCAGACCTTGATGAGTGAGCGACGTACCTAGATCAACTCTCCGATACGCCCTCCATGCCATCTACTCTTATTCCAGTGAACCACATCACTCTGGTTTGAGACGGAAAGGCTTGCATGCAGGCGACATTGACGACGGTCGCAAGGTACAGTTCATTCTTCCCATCAACGTCGATGAGCGGAGTGAAGCACGGCCTCGCGGGAGAGAGATCTCGCAAATTAAGCAAATTAAGCAGGTCAGTATCTCAACATGGGAACATAAAAGACCATGTCAGACGTACCAACTTGTGAATATAAGAGCCAACGCCGTCATCCGTCTTGAGGGAGCCAAAGGTTCAGATCCAAGAGCGGTGAAAAGAATCGCTCGGATGACAGACAACGAGGGGGGGAAGTGAGTAAGAACAAATAGAAAAGTGAATCAACGTGTTCGCAAAAGATACAAGCTCCCCGTGAAGCGATACAGACGACGACATGTGAGAATACTGCAGCAAGCAAAATGGCGTATTCGTGAGCCAGGCACAGGGTGTATGCGTTGATGAGTGGTATCCATCGACGCGCAGGGGTCTCGAGAATGCAGTCGAGTTGTCGAATGCGGCGGGAAATGCGAATACCACATGCAGGACGACGAAGAACGGCAGGTGGTCAAAGCCTTCTTGCAAAATCGTCGAGCTGAAGAAGAACATCGTCTGGACAACGCTGCGGGAAGAATTTCTTCACAAGCTTAGCATCAATTGAACCGCAGAGTCGACGAGAACAAGGTGGCATCGTTGAAAAGGGCGGGAAATGCAGGTAGGCGGGTGAGGACGTGGAAAGTCGACACAAGACAGGCGAAACCGTCGACTTTGCACGAAGTCTTGCGTAGCCGTTGATGGACGTGACGAATCCTCACAAATGTGGTATCAGTCGAACCGCACAGACGAGGAGAATTCGACTGTAACATCGGTGTCGAGGGGGAATGCAAAGTCGAGGGAAGTCTGTCTAGAGGACGATGGTGAAAGGTGGAAAGAGGAGATGAAGGGAAGGACAAGGCGGACGAGAGATGCAAGAGTCGACCGGTCTCAGCCGGACACCTGTCAACGGGAAAAAGCACTCAATATGCAAGTGACGTTTGCTAGAAACAACGACGCACCTTCTAATTCAGGTACAAGCCTGGCTTCCAGCCAATCGGACGAGAGAATAGCTCCGAACGAATGACCGGCCACTCTTTTCCTCAGGAAAATAATCAGTTTGAAGGCGGTTGAGGGAGGCCTTGAGATGAGGAAACTGACCCGGTCTGCAGCGCCAGCATTCAAGGTACCTCGTCAATGCGAATTCCGAGGCCAAACGATTGCGAGAGTCTGCAATTGCAGGCGACTCGTCTGTATATAACGGAAGTGCATGAAAACGGGAGGGAAAACTCAAACGTGTTCACCCTCGAGGACATGTCATTTGGTTCTCGTCTTCAGATGGCTGGCCGTCTACAAATGCAAACATGTGTTAGAAGCAGTAGAGAATGAGAGGAATGCATACACCCGTCACTCACCATGGCGCGAATGACGCCAGATATCTACAAGTTATATGGACACCAGACGGCTCGGAGGCTTGAGGAAACAGACCACGGATCTCCGAGTTCCCCGAGGAAATCACAAACGACAAAGCAGATCGCATGCTATGCTGACCAGCCGCTGGTAATAAGAATCTGCATGACTATAGGCAGGGTTGGAAAGCAATCTGAATTGACAACGAATATGAGAGCCATGCGCAAAGTTCCGTACCGACTCGGACCGCAGAAAACACTTGAGGAATATTCATAAAGCTCCATGGGATATCCTGCATGTCACCGGAAGATGCGAGTTCGAAATGCTTGAATTGGAAAAGCCTTGACCACAGGGGGGCAACTATTGAAGTCGACGGAAGAAAAAAATCGAAGAATGCGAGTGAAGTCATTTCGGCGATATAGGCATTACTCTCGGCAGGGGAAAATGCATGCATAAGAGAATCCGGCCGGCCCATGGAAAGAATGAGTCAAGTCTGAGTCTTAGGCGGGAGCATCTGGCGCTGGGAATGAAAACGCAAGTTAGCTGATGGTTGTTTCAGCGACAAATATCTACTAGACTCACAAACCTTCAAACACATCTTTTAATCGTTTGCCGTTTCTCCCACGCAGTGAATAGTATCACTCAAATCGCAAGGCCAACACATGTGTGGCTGTAGTTGAATTCGAACAGTCACCCTCGGAAACCAACATGGCGGGTATGGCAGATAATCTGGGAGGCGAATCGGCGGGAAAATAAAAGAAGTGGAGAGGTGTCGACCTGTGTCGACTCGAGGATGCGCAAAGGGCGTGATATACGCCAAAGGGAAAAGCTGTCAAATGGAGAATAGACCGTCAGCATCACCATCCTGACTCGATTCCAAATTGGGCGACATGCCTTCCAAACCGACCTCAACGGCTACCGGTTGCCGTTCAACTGGGAATTCGAAGTTTACAACAGCTTGCTCTCGACCGAGGCAGACCATTGATTTCTGTCCGGGTTGAAACATTGACACCTCGGCTCTGTTGCAGTGACAGCGTAAGAATTTGAGGAGTTGTTACAGGACGCCGTCTGCAAGCTCAACGATAAAGTCAGGAATTCATGCACAGAAAAACCAAGTCCTGACGAACTCACTCCGAGTCTTTCAGATCCATAGGGCCAAGGACTTGGGCAGAAGGTGGGGAGAAAAATTCATTCACGAACTTACCGTCAAGTGTTTTTACTTACAAACTCCCGATGGCTGTGTTGATCTCTTCTAGATCATCCTGCTACATTGCTTGATCGGCATCTTACCTGCCAAATTAGAGCTGACTGGCGACTCGGATGAGCCTTTGCTTTCTTCGGTAAGCCTGCCAACATGCACATTACCCTGCCAAAGCTTGGGCAGACTTTGCCAGTCTGCTCAAAGACACAGTGCTGTTTGCCCAGATGTGCTCTCGACAGAATGTCATTCTGTGAGAACAGGTCTGGGTGATCAGCATGGCAACTAATCGGAATTTGATTCCTAATGCAGAAGCTATGATCCTAAATCTGGCAAGGTACCATCTCAATCAGGTCATTCCGCCGCATTGTTCAAACTATATTTGAAATTACACTAGGCTTTGCTCAATCCGGGCCTCATCCTCTGCCGTGATCACAGCCTTGCTGCAAATCCACCCTCCCTTCTTCCGCCGTGTCGTTGCAGGGTTCATTCGCCTCCCACGGTAATGTCCTGCATCAAATCTAACCTTCCTCTTCGGAACGGGCTTGATGGTGCCATTTTTCACACCCTCATCATAATCACTCTTGATGTCCGCAAATTCCTCATCACTCAGCTTCCGAAAATAACAGGTTCCACTATGGACTGCAAGCACCAAGGTCCACAAGTCATCTGCAGACAAGGAACCTGGGTCTCGGATGGGACCAGGGACTGGCCATCCCTCAAGAAAGACCTGGTACCTGAAGACGGTCTTCAGGAAGTGCTTCCATGAGACGCAGGCAGTGCTGGAGACTTCGGCAACATGCCCTAGCAACAAATCAAGATGACAACAAACTTCCGAGCAGAAGGCAGCTTACATAAGTTTGCCTTGAGGTATTTTCGGACAAATGTCTTCTGTTGTGCACGTTGCATCACTGATGTAAAGTCTGAGTAAAGCAACATCACCTGCATCGGAAAAACTAAGAGTGACTTACGAGGAAAATTCTGGCCAGTATAAGACTCAATACAGAGTTTGAAAGTGAATCAGTACAGTTTATATATGAGCTTAGACTTTGCACATTGTCATGGTCAAATCAGAAGCAAGGATCTCAGATCTCAATATTTGCATTTGTGACATCTCACCGAGCAATGAGTTTGAACCATCGCTGATGTCTCATTATTTCTGGGGCCCTTCCGGTATCAATGACACACTATAAGTAATATGCAGTACTACCGAGTGGTTCACTAATAAAGAAATCTAATAGTATAGAGATCCTGAAAGATATGTCCGTATGCAAAACATAAGGTTGAGCGAAATAGAGTACACACCTACTAGTTACGGTGAGCATCAATATGATACCGCCACTTTGCACTGACTCGCTGTAGTGTATTGCATGAGATCACATGATGCTTACCCGGCATGAGGAAACTCTCACAGTCAATCTGCATATAATAGCCAGCTCAAGCGGATATTGGCGGTGAGTTCTATGAAACCAAAGGAAGCTTCCGAAAAGAGAAACAGATTGGTTAGAGTCTACCAATGACCATCGGCAAGAAGTTGACCTGGCAACACTGATGCTGTCAAAGTGTGCATCATGACGATAACTTGAGAGACATATGCGTATGACGCACCTAATGAATGGAATCCTCCAAATTCTGTTCGTGATTGGTTCAAACACCTGCAATCAGCCTTCGGGGATTGAAACTCCTGTGCTGGATTTTTTCAAAAGGTGGCCTATCGTTCCGCAAATAGCTGCAAATGACCTGAGCAGCGTGTTGAATTACGCTACCCCCATCTACACTATCCCTTACTTGCACAATCTAGTATGAGTCTGTTCCACTTCAGACATCCATCAGACTCGTGTTTCCACAGAATTTGGTGTTTATTGATAGCGACCGGTAAGAACAATATCTCATGATATTTCATTATTCTTACGGGTATTGCTCAAGTCGCAATAATGCACAGTGCATACTTTCTCGCTATTTTTAGAATAGGAAGTTGTGGAGAGGGAGATGTGAAGAGACGCATCGAGAAGTGTTCGCCTGGACCCTATCCCTGTTACACTCATGATTTCAGAGAATTCGGAGGTCAGTAGTTATCTGCAGGTACGTGTCGCTTCTATCGTTCCAAAGTTCTGTCCTCGGCTTTACGGAATCTTGCCTTGTTTCTAGTTTATGAGCCCCGTTTCGCACCGGGTGCTTCCAATGAAGCAGTTGGAGGGAAACCAAGTTTGGAAGAGGTGAGCAGTTACAGTATGTTCGACTGACATCCCTATTTGATTTCTCAAAATGGAGTGTCCGGAGAAATATATTCTGTTTATCTAGTTATCGTCCCCTTGCATCTCGGGCTGATGACACGATAACTGATATGTCAAGAAAAGTTCAGGTTCACAGGCCAAGTATTACCCATGACGACGAAAGTTGGACAAGAATGGAGAATCCGGATCATCTACTCAAACTGCTCCAATGTCATCATTTTATGGATGGAATCCACTCACCCGAGGATCTGGGGCTGGTGAGTGGACTGCGACACTCGCAAATGGATTCTAACATGACAGTGCTCAAAATTTTCTTCAATAAGCCTGGTGTATGCTCGTCACATTCAGAAATGGGTGACTCATGAAAGTAGTCAACTACTTTCACGAGACGTTGACAACCAAATTTTTATCCGTGACTGGGTTGACGTTGTCCCGGCGAGCACTCACCTTTGTTCAAGGACAACTTTCTCATCGATACCGGGTGAGTTGGTTTCTTTCCCTCGCGTTGCACGAACAATGCCATGCTCATCTGACGTCAAGTCTCAATCAGCCCTCTCGTTTAGATGCAGAGACCATCCTTGTTCCTCCTCTGAACCCAAAGCTTACTTTTCAGACGATCATGACCTCAAGACTGTTATTTTCGACCATACTAAGGCATAGAACCTTGATTTCATTCTTGCCAAAGTAATTGCAACATCGTGAGTTGCCGTTTTCTCAAAGGCTCATTGCACCTACTCAACCCAATATACTAACTGCATATTCGATTGTTGCCACGGAGCTCTGAATGGGAGCACACGGTAATCATCTCTCATACTCAATGTCAGGCTTTCCAGATGGTGTCGTAGAACACACTTCGAGTAGAAACTTGTTTCTGGGTGACGTCAACTCGGGCAAGTCGGACTCGATTACGGGTATGTACTATTTCATGCATGCTCTCGACACCCAAGCGTTTACTCACGGATTATATTCTCAATATTCTTATCATGGCTACTGCTCGTACGTCGCACCCCTTGGTAAATCCGCCGTGATTTCTCGGCTGCTCTATGAGCAACGATCTCAATTCAGCTCTCTGTAGTTCCAACCAACTATATCGGTGCAGCCGTGGTGCTTTATGCTCATTTCAAGTTGCAAGTCACGTCAAACTGACGTGAAGGAAAATCCCTGCATGTACTTCAGTCATACTCTCGACACTGTCAAGTACCTTCACTTATTGAAGTCCATTTTTGCTGCAAGCGGCAGCTTTTTGTTTTAATACCCTCGCCATCAAGGCAACAGGCTTCCAATTTACTCGTGTTCGCCATCGTCGACTTGAGATCCAGACAGCGGCGCCCGTAGTTCAAGTTGGTCTATCAGCTTGAAATAACCTGGGCACTGCGTTGAATTATGTTACCTCCATCTACGGCATCCCTACTTGCACAATCTGGTATGAGTCCGTTCCGCTTCAGACGTCCATCAGACTCATATTCTCACAAAATTTTGGTTTTTGTTGATAGCAACTGGTAGGAACGATATCTCGCGATGTCTCGCCACTATTCTTACGGGTGGTACAAGTTTTACTCCAGTCGCAATAACGCATGATGCATACTTTCTCGCTATTCTTGAAATAGGAACTCGGCAACAGGGAAATATGTAAAAGCGCATGGACGAGTGTTCACCTGGACCCTGTTCCTGTAACGGAGACATGCTTGTTTGATTTCAGAGAATTCAGAGGTCCGTAGTGTCTGCAGATACGCGTCGCTTCTATCATCCCAAATATTCTTACGGAATCTTGTCTTGTTTTTAGTTATGAGCCCTGTTTCGCGCTTGGTGCTTCTAATGAAGCGGTCGGAGGAATGCAAGTTTGGACGAAGTGAGCAGTTGTTTTCGACCGGCATGCCCATTTGATCTCTCAAAATAGGCTGCCGAAGGAAATATATTCTATCTGTCTGGTTAATGTGCCCTCTTGCATCTCGAGCTGACGGCAATTCGTAGATCAGGAAGAATTCGAGTTCACAGGCCAAGTATCACCCATGACGACGAAAGTTGGAGGGAAATTTTCTTAAACATTCTCGCCTAAGAACGTGTAGAATATCCGAGGTGACCAATGAAACCAAACCAAACTTGCGACTCTTTCACGCCGCCCACTCACGCATTTACGTTTGGAATATCGGAGGATGTTGACCGATGCGGAGGTGCGTGGGAAGCAAGGTGAGAGCCTACGTAGGCTACGCCGGAGGTATAAGTTGGGATGAGATTGGGACTGATTGAGTCAGGGACTCTCCCCTTGTGAGTCTTTCCTCCCCTCCCCTTCCCCTCTGAGTGCTGTCTTGCGATGTTCGAGCTTACGATAAGGCATATCGTGTAATTGACATGATTCCTTCCATTGTGGCGATTGGAGGACTATTGCGTTATTACGGTATGTTTCATGTCAGTATTGTGTTGCGACATTCTACTGACCAGGAATAACAAATTCTAGAGAGTCGTGAACGGTTAGTAATGTCTGTTGTTATATTTCTCTTCCTCGTCTAGGATTAATACTCACCTCACTTTATACTAGGTCCGTCTTTCGATGGCAAATGATTTCGGTACGTCTGATATATTCTTCCCTCCTATTCGCTGCTAACGAGGCATTGATTCTCAGCCTGAGACTCAAAACATTTTTTGATTCATTTTTAGAATATACGCTGCTATATTGATTCGCGCAAGGTAGACCCCACAGAGCAGTAGAGTAGAAGGGACGAGTACGTAGATGGATTGAGTGACGCCGCGATGGGTCGATCGACTGCTGCAGGGAGAACGCAGTAGCACAACGTTCATCAGGCATAGATGGCGTGCCCACGTCTGCTTGATGAGTGAGCGAGAGTTGGTTGTGGAGACGATGGCAGATGACGGCGGGCATCCATTGTTGACGGAGAGGCGTTGGTGATGTGAGTCTGGCCAAGTGAAGTGTGAAGTGAGCGCATTTGATGTCCACAAGCGAAAGCGTGCCAACGAGCAAGCAGGGACATGTGGTGGAGAAATGGAGGCCAGTGGCACGGAGAGGCTAGAGGTCAAGATATTTGTCGGATGTCGATTCAACATCCACGAACGGCGGGAAGGTAACTCTTCGCTGTTGTCTACGGAAAGTGAGCTGTCTGTACATTAGACGGGTGCTTTTGAAGTCTTGAACCTCGTTTGATGATGAGGGTCGAGCGAAGCGGTGAGTCCACAGAACTGGATGCAGTATTAGACCTCGTGGACAGCAAGAACGAGGCTTGAAGTTTGAAGCCGAAGCCTCTATTGGATGCTATATCTGTGGGGGTACACAGAAAGGGCATGGCGTGATAACGCGCCTCGACAAGCAAATAAGGATGGTGGGGCACGTAGACTCGTTGCATCGAGAGGCTGGAGGTCAAAGCATCTGTCAGAAGTCAGAGTTGCTGATACCAGTGGCTGGACGGCATATGCTACCTGTGAACGAGATTGCACTGATTGACAGCGCGACAACACTTCCCTGAACCTCGCGAGGTCAGTGGTGCCTGCACCAGTCCTGGCGATCGTCTTGCTCTGAGAGTTTTGCAGTTCAATGATGTCGCAGATACGTGATCACGTCGTGCCTTGCGATAGGTTGTCGGCAAGTTTTGAAGGAACTCTTCTTCATGTTCCCTAAAATAAGAAAAAAACCGATAACATTAGTTCGTACTCTATCCTCCCACACGTTGTTGCTCGTGCTGTCGAAGCGGAAAGTGGACGGGGGCGGACACGGCTAACGAGTATCTAAGGCAAGCTGTGTCTACAATAGCTAGCCTGCGTTGCGTCGATAACAGTGACGCCGTGCAAAAATCAAATACGTTTGGACGAGTTGAGAGCTATCGCTAGGATCAACTAGGGCAGAAGTTGAAACGGTCTATGATCATTTGAAAGGAAAACAATGTACATGTAGGGGCAGATAGAAATAAACTGATAAATGACAAGAGTTTATTCACGCACCAAGAATGCAACAAGGGGTGCATCTGAAGATCTGAAGCATGAAGAGAATGTCGCGACTGACGACATTCTGTAGAGAAGGCTTGAACAGGCGTTGAGTGAAGAGAGAAGGTGCATGACGTGAAGAATGAAGCTGAAGAAGCGCTGAGGCGCGTGTTAATATGGGCAAGCAACGCAGCAGTGGCGGATACTACGCGAGGACAATTGGGTTCGTCGGCTGTCTTTTTGTTCTCGCCATTGTTCTTCAGCTCGAACAACATGTTGCGCCGCCAGCATTTGCTATTTCTTGAATGTGAACAACGACATTGCCTTCCTAGGCTCTACACAACACACACCTTGCGACCGCCATGACTTCAGAGACACCCATCTTTCATTTTCGACACTCCAGATGATCGCTACCCAAACTTTCTGTCCAGAGATCCTAACCTCTCTATAGCTATCCCACCGCAAGATTTTCCAGTTGAGACCTCACGATTTTCACCCGAATCGCCACCGCTTCTGCCTATTCCTTCGCGTGCTGGGTCGATGTGGACGATTGCGACTACAATGAGGTCCCCCACGCCCAAAGCAAAGGACGTGGAAGCAAACAGACCTCAGTCCCCGCAGAAGTCGCCATCTAGCCCAAGTTCTAGATTTTGCGCACGCTTTACGAAGTTATTCTTTGATGTCAGGACACTTATGAAGGACAGGGACGTGGAACTGGTCCCTATTCAGCCCGCGCATCTACCTCCCTGGCAGCCGCTTAACGTAGAGAAACGATCCTGTTGTCAAGATTGCCTATGCCATCGCCCGAAGAAACGGTCACGACGCCACAAGCTGCTCCTTTGCTTACTGGTGATCATTATCCTATATCTTCTGGGCAATGTGTCATTCCTCAATGCCCGCGTCATTAAATTATCTTCTTCGTCCACGTCGACAGACAAACCGACCGCTTCAACATCGAAGACGCTATCTGCAGACGCTCAGGAGTGTCTGTCACAGTATAACGTCAACGCGCCTTCTGATCCGTCTAGCTATCCTTGCTCATCATGTCTTCCTGTACTGCAAAGTGTCCCCTCCGATTTCTCAGACGGAAATGCGACAGACGCCGAGCAAATCCAGAATGCTATTCAATTCTGCGGTTTGCATGCATTCTTCGAGACTATGGATAATGATGGACAGACGGCATTGCGGAATGGGCAGTGGGTGGAGAACGTGAGATTCTGTGCTTGGAGTGGCATTTCATGCAACGGAGCAGGTCGAGTTGGCGCATTGTAAGTACTCATCGGCGGTGTTTCTCGAATTTGATACTAATGAGTCTTTTTTTGTTTTGTTTGAAGGACCCTGAATTTCCCTGCCGTTCCCGCTGCCTTGCCCAATGAGATTGGTGCACTGGCTGGTCTTACAAGCTTGCACATCATCGGCAACGGTGATATACCTGGTATGTAATCTGTGTATGCATAGTGCGATGATAGCTAATGTTGCATTCGCAGGTGGTTCTCTACCCAGTTCATTCACCTCGTTAAAAGCAATGACCTTGCTTCATTTGGAGTCGACTGCAATTACTGCGTTACCCAATAATTTATTCTCGTCGCTCAATCAAGTAACTACCGTGGAATTGGTTAAGAACGGCCAGATGGGCAATGATTTGCCTTCTAGCATTACTAGCCTTCCTCTCCAGAACCTGTAAGCTGATCTAAAGAGGCCACATGATGCGGATATCGTTATTAATACGCTGTCTCAGAATCGTCAACGGACAGAACCTCAATAATCCCCTCCAAACTCTTTCGTCAAGCTCTTCATTGCAAAGGTCCCTACAGCTGCTGTTCGTCTTTCTTTCCTTATATTCGATCGCTTTATTGCTTTACTGACCTTGGTCTTTGCAGTGACCTCTCCTCCACATCTCTCTCGGGCAGCATTCCATCTTCCATATCCTCGTTTTCCGCTCTAGTCGAACTTCACCTCGACTCCAATAATCTCACAAACCCTCTTCCTTCATCTTTCCCATCCTCATTGGGCGCCTTGACGTTGTCGAACAACTCAGGGCTTTCAGGCTCCGTACAGGGATCATTCTGCTCTCTAGGGAAGTTGCAGAATTGTGAGATGACTGGAACAGGGTTGACGGCCGCTGGCGGCTGTGGAGTTTGTAGATTCTCTTGAATCTTTGAAGGACTGTTCCTTTCTATGCTCCTTAACCCTTTCACTGTATTTCGTTCTGACCTTGCACTGCTGTTTTATGCTCGTTACGCTCCGGACGATGATACCTTTGTCGCAAATAGCTTTTCCCATCACGAAGTATTTATGCCCTCATGACTACATATACAATATCGTAAATAGGCGATTGGCTCCTAGTGGACAGCGAATATTTCACCAGTCAATATACATACAATATTCAATACTTACTTTACTCCTTCCTATGTTCAAAGCTACGTAATTTCCTAAAACGGAAGCTGTGTACATCTCCGGTGATGCTGGCAGCAACGCTCAAGCACTAACAAGCTCTCTACCACCAAAACCGACTCTCACTTCACTTCACCATCATGACAGACTTCCTGGCGCGCGAGAGCGAGCTCCTGGGCGACGAGTTCTCCACTCCGACAGCGACTGGAGGCTCATTCGCCACTGCGGGCGGAGACATTGACTTTGACAGTGCCGCTGCTGCGTTTCCTGACATCTCGCTGGATGGGACTGGCGACATTCCACCCCCTATCGCGTCGATTCCCAGTACGAATAGCTCGAGCGGGTTCTCCTTTGAGGATTTTGGAACCCCGCCGAGTGAGAGGACGACGGAGGTGAAGGTGACGGGTAATGATGAGATTGAGAAGTTCGAGAGTGATTTCCCGGAGATCGAGGTTCCTCAGGTGAGTCGTTGTCGTGTAGTTGATACTTGAACGTATATATTCAACTAGATCTTGTTGTTGTCAAACTTCTATTTGAAAGCAGACTCAGCAGACGTTCTCGCCACCCGCCCAACTGTTCGGTGCTACCACCCAAACATTCGCACCTCAGCCACAACCTTCTGCGCTGGTTTCGTCGACACCTATTTTCAACCAGCCGATAGATGAAGATGAGCCCGAGGCTATCAAGTGAGTATATATATATACGCGTTCTGACTGGCTCTCCTGTTGGTTCTGACAAAGGGTGCTTCTTAGGCAATGGCGCGAGAAACAGGCTGCTGAGATCAAGGCGAGGGACGAAGCTTCGCAAGTCAAGCGGGAGGAGACTATTGCTAAAGCTGAACGAGCGATTGATCAATTCTACGAGGAGTACTCTGGCAAGAAGGAAAGGAACATTCGGGAAAACAAGTGATAGAGTAGGAAGAATGTATTGGTGTACATAGCGTTTACTCAATATATTTGTTTTGATCATCTATGCGACTGCCACTGATTACTTGTGGAGTGTGCCATCGTTATAGAGAATACTAGACGAGGGGGGGTAATTGTAGCAGGAGGAACTTCGTACAGAATACCAGAACAGCAGAATGGGGTGAGAGAAGATTTATTTTTTGTAGATACAATACACGGACAGTGCTACGAAACAAACGAACAGGAATTACTAAAAACCGTAAGAGATTGACAGAAACGACTTGTCTGACAACCCTCAGAAACACGGAAGACAGACCATTGGAGGGGGTTGCGCATGAAACACTCGCATTCACAACGCGAATCTGCGACGTACTACCCGAGTCTCCCAGGACTTCCACAATCGAACGGCCACAAAAGCAGTAAAACCAGACGTGAATCGCACAGAAAAAAAACGGAGAGAATAAAAAGCGAGTTAGCAGACTTCACAGACGGCGTCGACGATCACATTCCAAGTTGGAACTCGATGATTTTTTATTGACGACAGGGAGGGAGGTTTGACGATGGCCCAGAGACGTCCTAGGCTGGAGCATAAGACAAGTGAGAAGGGACAAACGGACGAAGGACGAGTTGACGAAGACACTGGTAGAGCCGCAGGGGGAATAATGTGGCAAACTTGTTGGCCAGAGGAGATTGAAGGATTGCTGGCAGATCTCACATCGTCGAACCATGATCGTAGGGATTGATGTGAAGGACAAGCAAAGCCGATAACCAGGGAAGTGGAGCAAGCAGAGAAGTGTGCGCCAAAGTCGATGAATCTTCTATGGACGACGCCGACAAAGGCACGCGGGGAACGCAGAACGTTACGCGAAAGACTCGGAATGTGCAACGCCTATGACAAAAGTGCACATTCAGACCTTGATGAGTGAGCGACGTACCTAGATCAACTCTCCGATACGCCCTCCATGCCATCTACTCTTATTCCAGTGAACCACATCACTCTGGTTTGAGACGGAAAGGCTTGCATGCAGGCGACATTGACGACGGTCGCAAGGTACAGTTCATTCTTCCCATCAACGTCGATGAGCGGAGTGAAGCACGGCCTCGCGGGAGAGAGATCTCGCAAATTAAGCAAATTCAGCAGGTCAGTATCTCAACATGGGAACATAAAAGACCACGTCAGACGTACCAACTTGCGAATATAAGAGCCAACGCCGTCATCCATCTTGAGGGAGCCAAAGGTTCAGATCCAAGAGCGGTGAAAAGAATCGCTCGGATGACAGACAACGAGGGGGGGAAGTGAGTAAGAACAAATAGAAAAGTGAATCAACGTGTTCGCAAAAGATACAAGCTCTCCGTGAAGCGATACAGACGACGACATGTGAGAATACTGCAGCAAGCAAAATGGCGTATTCGTGAGCCAGGCACAGGGTGTATGCGTTGATGAGTGGTATCCATCGACGCGCAGAGGTCTCGAGAATGCAGTCGAGTCATCAAATGCGGCGGGAAATCAGAATTCGACATGCAGGATGACGAAGAACGGCAGGTGGTCAAAGGTTTCTTGCAAAATCGTCGAGCTGAAGAAGAAAATTGTCTGGACAACGCTGCGGGAAGAATTTCTCCACAAGCTTAGCATCAATCGAACCGCAGAGTCGACGAGAACAAGGTGGCATCATTGAAAAGGGCGGGAAATGCAGGTAGGCGGGTGAGGACGTGGAAAGTCGACGCAAGACAGGCGAAACGGTCGACTTTGCACAAAGTCTTGCGTAGCCGTTGATGGACGTGACGAATCCTCACAAATGTGGTATCAGTCGAACCGCACAGATGAGGAGAATTCGACTGTAACATCGGTGTCGAGGGGGAATGCAAAGTCGGGGGAAGTTTGTCGAGAGGATGATGGGGAAAGGTGGAAAGAGGAGATGAAGGGGAGGACAAGGCGAACGAGGAATGCGAGAGTTGACCGGCCTCAGCCGGACACCTGTCAACGGGAAAAAGCACTCAATACGCAAGTGACATTTGCTAGAAACGACGACGCACCTTCTAATTCAGGTACAAGCTTGGCTTCCAGCCAATCGGACGAGAGAATACCTCTGAACGAATGACCAGCCAGTCTTTTCCTTAGGAAAAGAATCGATTTGAAGACAGCTGAGGGCAACTTGCGATTAGGAAACTAGCTCGGTCTGCAACATTCGAGCTACCGTGTCGATACGAATTCCGAATTCAAGTCGAATGTCCAAAAGATTGCGAGAGTCTGTAATCGCAGGCTACTCATCTGTATTTGACAGAAGTGCATGAAAACGGGGAAGGAGAAGGGAAAAATAAAACATGTTCACCCTCAAGGACATGTCATTTAGTTCTCGTCTTCAGATGGCTGGCCGTCTACAGATGCAAGCATGCGTTAGAAGGAGTAGAAAATGAGAGGGATGCATACACCCGTCACTCACCATGGGGACACCAGACAGCTCGGAGGCCTGAAGAAACACACCATGGATCTCCGAGTTCCCCAAGGAAATCACAAACAACAAACCAGCTACGCTGACCAGCCGTTGTTAATAAGAATCCACATGAAGCAGGGTTTGAAAGCAACCTGAAATGACATTAAATATGAGAGCCAGGCGCAAAGTTCCGTACCGCAGGAACGACCTGAGGAACAAACCGCCACGGAATATCCTGCACGTCACCGGAAGAGAAGACGCGAGTTCGAAGTGCTTGAATTGGAAAAGCTTGGCCGCAGGGCGCAACCATTGAAGTCGACGGAAAAAAAAATTGAATGCAAGTTGAGTCATGTCGGCGATATAGGCGTTACTCTCGGCAGGGGAAAATGCATGAAATGCATGCATAAGAGAATCTGGCCAGCCCGCGGAAAAAATGAGTCAAATTTGAGTCTCAGGCGGGAGCATCTGAGTCGATCTGACGCTGGGAATGAAAACGCAAGTTAGCTGATGGTTGTTTCAGCGACAAACATCTACTAGACTCACAAACCTTCGAACACATCCTTTAATCGTTTGTCGTTTCTGCCACGCAGCGAATAGTATCACTCAAATCGCAAGGCCAACACATGTGTAGCTGTAGTTGAATTCGAACACCCGAAACCAACATGGCGGGTATGCCAGATAATCTGGGAGGTGAATCGGCGGGAAAATAAAAGAAGTGGAGAGGTGTCGACCTGTGTCGACTCGAGGATGCGCAAAGGGCGCGATATACGCCAAAGGGAAAAGCTGTCAAATGGAGAATAAACCGTCAGCATCACCATCCTAATTCCATTCCAAATTCAGTGACCTACCTTCCAAACCGACCTCAACGGCTACCGGTTGCCGTTCAACCGGGAATTCGAAGTTTGCAACAGCTCGACCGAGGCAGACCATTGATTTCTTGACACCTCGGCTCTGTTGCAGTGAAAGCGTACGAATTGGAGGAATTTATAGAGGATGCTGTCTGAAAGCTCAATGATAAAGTCAGGAATTCACGCATGAAAAAATACAAGTTCTGATGAACTCACTCTTCCAGGTCCATTGAATCAAGGACTTGAGCAAAAGGTGGGGGGAAAGAATCCTTCGTGAACCTGCCGACAAGAGTTTTTACTTACAAACTCCCGATGGCTGTGTTGATCTCTTCTAGATCATCCTGCGACGTTGCTTGATCGGCATCTTACCTGCCAAATTAGACCTGACTGGCGACTCGGATGAGCCTTTGCTTTCTTCGGTAAGCCTGCCCACATGCATGTTACCCTGCCAAAGCTTGGGCAGACTTTGCCAGTCTGCTCAAAGACACAGTGCTGTTTGCCCAGATGTGCTCTCGACAGAATGTCATTCTGTGAGAACAGGTCTGGGTGATCGGCATGGCAGCTAAGCGGAATTTGATTCCTAATACAGAAGCCATGATCCTAAATCTGGCAAGGTACCATCTCAATCAGGTCATTCCACTGCATTGTTCAAACTATATTTGAAATTACACTAGGCTTTGCTCAATCCGGGCCTCATCCTCTGCCATGATCACAGCCTTGCTACAAATCCACCCTCCCTTCTTCCGCTGTGTTGTCACAGGGTTCATTCTCCGCCCACGGTAATGTCCTGCATCAAATCTAACCTTCCTCTTCGGAACAGGCTTGATGGTGCCATTTTTCACACCCTCATCATAATCACTCTTGATGTCCGCAAATTCCTCATCACTCAGCTTCCAAAAATAACAGGTTCCACTATGGACTGCAAGCACCAAGGTCCACAAGTCATCTGCAGACAAGGAACCTGGGTCTCGGATGGGACCAGGGACTGGCCATCCCTCAAGAAAGACCTGGTACCTGAAGACGGTCACTTCAGGAAGTGCTTCCATGAGACACAGGTAGTGCCTGAGACTCCGGCAACATGGCCTGATGACAAATCAAGATGATGAGAATTTCCGAGCTGATGGCAACTTACATAAGTTTGCCTTGAGGTATTTTCGAACAAATGTCTTCTGCTATGCACGTTGCATCACTGATATGAAGTCTGAGTAAAGGAACACTGTCGGAATATAGAAGAGTGTCTTACAAGAGGAATTCTAGCCAGTATGAGACTTAGTGCAGAGTTTGAAGGTAAATAAGTGCAGTTTATATATGAATTTAGACTTTGAGGCTTGTTGCGGTCAAACTCAGAAGCAAAGATCTCAGATCTCAGACTGCGCATTCAAAAATCTCACTGGGTGATGGGGTTGGAGTCATCGCTTATGTCCTATGATTTCCGGGGCCCTTCCAATATCAACAACACGCTATGGGTAATATTCAGTGTTACCGCTAAGAACTGATTAAAGAGGTTCACCAATGAAGAAACCTATTAATATAGAAATCTGGGAAGATATGTCAGTATGCAAAACATAAGGTTGAGCAAAATGGAATACACACCTACTAGCTACGGTGAGCATCAATGCGATACCACTGCATTGCATTGACTCGCTGTAGTGCTTTGCATGTGTGAGATCGCATGATGCTTACCTATATGATGACACCATCACAGTCAATCGCATATAGCCAGCTCAAGCGTATATGGGCGGCGAGTGTTGTGAAACCAAAGAAAGCTTCCAAAGATATTAACAAATTGGTTGAAATTCGGCAAACACCCTACAACAGATGGTCAACAAAGCCAACGATGGACAGCAGTTCGCAGATGTTTGGACTTGTCCAGATGAAATTAAGGACCAGAATCTAGCGCTTTTCAGAAATATGCATGAGATCATCACAGCTAGCACTCATCTTCACTTGCAGAAAATGTTTGAATGGATATCGAGTGAGTTCGAATTGTTTCTTTCACTTGTGCGAATCACATCCTAATCCTCTTGACATTGATTCGTGGGCACTACTATTAGCAATGCCAAGTAACCCTCTGTAATTTCGATGCAGAGACCATCCTTGTTCCTCCTCCAGATTCGAACCGTACTTCTCAGAAGACCATGGCTTCAACACTGTTATTTTTGACTATACTAAGGCCTAGAACATTGATTCCATTCTCGACAAAGTCTCATTGCACCTTACTCAACCTACTATAATATTCATCTCGTCGCTGCATGTTCAGTTGTTGCCTCAGAACTGTGAATGAGAGAATGGGATAATCATCTCTCATACTCGATGTCGGGCTTTTCAGATGGCGGTGCAAAACATTTCGAGTTGTTTCATGGTCACAAAAACGTATTCCCGAGTGACGTCAACTTGAACAACTCGGACTCAATTACGGGTACGTATTTCATACATCTCGACACCCGCCGTGCATTTACTCACAGAATCTATTCTCAATGTTCCTTCCATGGCTACGATCCATACGTCGCACTCCTTAGTAAATCCGTCATGGTTCTCAGCTGCTCTACAAGAATGATCTTGATTCAGCTGTCTGTAGTTCCAACCAACTATATCGGCTCATTCTATGTCGCACAAAGAAGTTTTGAGGTCACGTCAAACTGAAGCGGAGGAAACTCGATGCACGTACTTCAGTCATGCTCTTGACACTAAGTATCTTGGTTCATTGGAATCTCTTTTCAGAGCGAGTGGTGTTTTTTTACACCCGCCAAGCCAACAGGATTCCAATTTACTCACGTTCGCCATCATTGGGGTCCAGATGGTGGCATCCATAGGTCAGGTTGGTATATCAAATGACCTGAGCAGCGTGTTGAATTACGCTACCTCCATCTATATTATCCCTTACTCGCACAATCTAGTACGAGTCTGTTCCACTTCAGACATCCATCAGACTCGTGTTCCCACAGAATTTGGTGTTTCTTGATAGCGACCGGTAAGAACAATATCTCATGATATCTCATTATTCTTATGGGTATTGCTCAAGTTGCAATAACGCACAGTGCGTACTTTCTCACTATTTTTAGAATAGGAAGTTGTGGAGAGGGAGATGTGAAGAGAACGCATCGACAAGTGTTCACCTGGACCCTATCCCTGTTACACTCATGATTTCAAAGAATTCGGAGGTCAGTAGTTATCTGCAGGTACGCGTCGCTTCTATCATTCTAAAGTTCTGTCCTCGGCTTTACGGAATCTTGCCTTGTTTCTAGTTTATGAGCCCCGTTTCGCACCGGGTGCTTCCAATGAAGCAGTTGGAGGGAAACCGAGTTTGGAAGAGGTGAGCAGTTACAGTATGTTCGACTGACATCCCTAACATTCACGAGTTCACGAGACGTTGACAACCAAATTTTTATCCGTGACTCGGTTGACGTTGTCCCGGCGAGCACTCCCCTTCGTTCAAGGACAACTTTCTCATCGATACCGGGTGAGTTGGTTTCTTTCCCTCACGTTGCACGAACAATGCCATGCTCATCTGACATCAAGTCTCAAACAGCCCTCTCGTTTAGATGCAGAGACCATCCTTGTTCCTCCTCTGAACCCAAAGCTTACTTTTCAGATGATCATGACCTCAAGACTGTTATTTTCGACCATACTAAGGCCTAGAACCTTGATTTCATTCTCGCCAAAGTAATTGCAACATCGTGAGTTGCCGTTTTCTCAAAGTCTCATTGCACCTACTCAACCCAATATACTAACTGCATATTCGATTGTTGCCACGGAGCTCTGAATGGGAGCACACGGTAATCGTCTCTCATACTCAATGTCAGGCTTTCCAGATGGTGTCGTAGAACATACTTCGAGTAGAAACTTGTTTCTGCGTGACGTCAACTCGGGCAAGTCGGACTCGATTATGGGTATGTACTATTTCATGCATGCTCTCGACACCCAAGCGTTTACTCACGGATTATATTCTCAATATTCTTATCATGGCTACGGCTCGTACGTCGCACCCCTTGGTAAATCCGCCGTGATTTCTCGGCTGCTCTATGAGCAACGATCTCAATTCAGCTCTCTGTAGTTCCAACCAACTATATCGGTGCAGCCGTGGTGCTTTATGCTCATTTCAAGTTGCAAGTCACGTCAAACTGACGTGAAGGAAATTCCCTGCATGTACTTCAGTCATACTCTCGACACTGTCAAGTACCTTCACTTATTGAAGTCCATTTTTGCTGCAAGCGGCAGCTTTTTGTTTTAATACCCTCGCCATCAAGGCAACAGGCTTCCAATTTACTCGTGTTCGCCATCGTCGACTTGAGATCCAGACAGCGGCGCCGTAGTTCAAGTTGGTCTATCAGCTTGAAATAACCTGGGCACTGCGTTGAATTATGTTACCTCCATCTACGGCATCCCTACTTGCACAATCTGGTATGAGTCCGTTCCGCTTCAGACGTCCATCAGACTCATATTCTCACAAAATTTTGGTTTTTGTTGATAGCAACTGGTAGGAACGATATCTCGCGATGTCTCGCCACTATTCTTACGGGTGGTACAAGTTTTACTCCAGTCGCAATAACGCATGATGCATACTTTCTCGCTATTCTTGAAATAGGAACTCGGCGACAGGGAAATATGTAAAAGCGCATGGACGAGTGTTCACCTGGACCCTGTTCCTGTAACGGAGACATGCTTGTTTGATTTCAGAGAATTCAGAGGTCCGTAGTGTCTGCAGATACGCGTCGCTTCTATCATCCCAAATATTCTTACGGAATCTTGTCTTGTTTTTAGTTATAAGCCCTGTTTCGCGCTTGGTGCTTCTAATGAAGCGGTCGGAGGAATGCAAGTTTGGACGAAGTGAGCAGTTGTTTTCGACCGGCATGCCCATTTGATCTCTCAAAATAGGCTGCCGAAGGAAATATATTCTATCTGTCTGGTTAATGTGCCCTCTTGCATCTCGAGCTGACGGCAATTCGTAGATCAGGAAGAATTCAAGTTCACAGGCCAAGTATCACCCATGACGACGAAAGTTGGAGGGAAATTTTCTTAAACATTCTCGCCTAAGAACGTGTAGAATATCCGAGGTGACCAATGAAACCAAACCAAACTTGCGACTCTTTCACGCCGCCCACTCACGCATTTACGTTTGGAATATCGGAGGATGTTGACCGATGCGGAGGTGCGTGGGAAGCAAGGTGAGAGCCTACGTAGGCTACGCCGGAGGTATAAGTTGGGATGAGATTGGGACTGATTGAGTCAGGGACTCTCCCCTTGTGAGTCTTTCCTCCCCTCCCCTTCCCCTCTGAGTGCTGTCTTGCGATGTTCGAGCTTACGATAAGGCATATCGTGTAATTGACATGATTCCTTCCATTGTGGCGATTGGAGGACTATCGCGTTATTACGGTATGTTTCATGTCAGTATTGTGTTGCGACATTCTACTGACCAGGAATAACAAATTCTAGAGAGTCGTGAACGGTTAGTAATGTCTGTTGTTATATTTCTCTTCCTCGTCTAGGATTAATACTCACCTCACTTTATACTAGGTCCGTCTTTCGATGGCAAATGATTTCGGTACGTCTGATATATTCTTCCCTCCTATTCGCTGCTAACGAGGCATTGATTCTCAGCCTGAGATTCAAAACATTTTTTAATTCATTTTAGAATATACACTGCTAAGTTGATTCACACACCGTAGACCTTAAAGAGCAGTAGAATAGAAGAGACGAGTATGTAGATGGACTGAGTGACGCCGCGATGGGTCGATCGACCGCTGTAGGCGTTGGGAGCATACAGTAGCACAACGTTCATCAGGTGTAGATGGCGTGCCCACGTCTGCGTTGATGAGTGAGCGAGAGTTGGTTGTGGAGACGATGGCAGATGACGGCGGGCATCCATTGTTGACGGAGAGGCGTTGGTGATGTGAGTCTGGCCAAGTGAAGTGTGAAGTGAGCGCATTTGATGTCCACAAGCGAAAGCATGCCAACGAGCAAGCAGGGACATGTGGTGGAGAAATGGAGGCCAGTGGCACGGAGAGGCTAGAGGTCAAGATATTTGTCGGATGTCGATTCAACATCCACGAACGGCGGGAAGGTAACTCTTCGCTGTTGTCTACGGAAAGTGAGCTGTCTGTACATTAGACGGGTGCTTTTGAAGTCTTGAACCTCGTTTGATGATGAGGGTCGAGCGAAGCGGTGAGTCCACAGAACTGGATGCAGTATTAGACCTCGTGGACAGCAAGAACGAGGCTTGAAGTTTGAAGCCGAAGCCTCTATTGGATGCTATATCTGTGGGGGTACACAGAAAGGGCATGGCGTGATAACGCGCCTCGACAAGCAAATAAGGATGGTGGGGCACGTAGACTCGTTGCATCGAGAGGCTGGAGGTCAAAGCATCTGTCAGAAGTCAGAGTTGCTGATACCAGTGGCTGGACGGCATATGCTATCTGTGAACGAGATTGCACTGATTGACGGCGCGACAACACTTCCCTGAACCTCGCGAGGTCAGTGGTGCCTGCACCAGTCCTGGCGATCGTCTTGCTCTGAGAGTTTTGCAGTTCAATGATGTCGCAGATACGTGATCACGTCGTGCCTTGCGATAGGTTGTCGGCAAGTTTTGAAGGAACTCTTCTTCATGTTCCCTAAAATAAGAAAAAAACCGATAACATTAGTTCGTACTCTATCCTCCCACACGTTGTTGCTCGTGCTGTCGAAGCGGAAAGTGGACGGGGGCGGACACGGCTAACGAGTATCTAAGGCAAGCTGTGTCTACAATAGCTAGCCTGCGTTGCGTCGATAACAGTGACGCCGTGCAAAAATCAAATACGTTTGGACGAGTTGAGAGCTATCGCTAGGATCAACTAGGGCAGAAGTTGAAACGGTCTATGATCATTTGAAAGGAAAACAATGTACATGTAGGGGCAGATAGAAATAAACTGATAAATGACAAGAGTTTATTCACGCACCAAGAATGCAACAAGGGGTGCATCTGAAGATCTGAAGCATGAAGAGAATGTCGCGACTGACGACATTCTGTAGAGAAGGCTTGAACAGGCGTTGAGTGAAGAGAGAAGGTGCATGACGTGAAGAATGAAGCTGAAGAAGCGCTGAGGCGCGTGTTAATGCATGCAAGCAACGCAGCAGTGGCGGAGACTACGCGAGGACAATTGGGTTCGTCGGCTGTCTTTTTGTTCTCGCCATTGTTCTTCAGCTCGAACAACATGTTGCGCCGCCAGCATTTGCTACTTCTTGAACGTGAACAACGACGTTGCCTTCCTAGGCTCTACACAACACCTAACTTACGACCGCCATGACTTCAGACATACCCATCTTTCATTTTCGACACTCCAGATGATCGCTACCCAAACTTTCTGTCCAGAGATCCTAACCTCTCTATAGCTATCCCACCGCAAGACTTTCCAGTTGAGACCTCACGATTTTCACCCGAATCGCCACCGCTTCTGCCTATTCCTTCGCGTGCTGGGTCGATGTGGACGACTGCGACTACAATGAGGTCCCCCACGCCCAAAGCAAAGGACGTGGAAGCAAACAGACCTCAGTCCCCGCAGAAGTCGCCATCTAGCCCAAGTTCTATATTTTGCGCACGCTTTACGAAGTTATTCTTTGATGTCAGGACACTTATGAAGGACAGGGACGTGGAACTGGTCCCTATTCAGCCCGCGCATCTACCTCCCTGGCAGCCGCTTAACGTAGAGAAACGATCCTGTTGTCAAGATTGCCTATGCCATCGCCCGAAGGAACGGTCACGACGCTACAAGCTGCTCATTTGCTTACTGGTGATCATTATCCTATATCTTCTGGGCAATGTGTCATTCCTCAACGCTCGCGTCATTAAATTGTCTTCTTCGTCCACGTCGACAGACAAACGTACCGCTTCGACATCGAAGACGTTATCTGCAGACGCTCAGGAGTGTCTGTCGCAGTATAACGTCAATGCGCCTTCTGATCCATCTGGCTACCCTTGCTCATCATGTCTTCCTGTATTGCAAAGCGTTCCCTCCGACTTCTCAGACGGAAATGCCACGGATACTGAGCAAATCCAGAACGCTATCCAATTCTGCGGTTTGCGTGCATTCTTCGAGACTATGGATAATGATGGACAGACGGCGTTGCGGAACGGGCAGTGGGTGGAGAACGTGAGATTCTGTGCTTGGAGTGGCGTTTCATGCGACGGAGCCGGTCGGGTTGGCGCATTGTAAGTACTTATCGGCGATGTTCCTCGAATTTGATACTAATGGGTCGTTTTTTGAAGGACCTTGAGTTTCCCTGCCGTTCCCGCTACTTTGCCCAACGAAATTGGTGCACTGAATGGTCTCACGAGCTTGCATATTATCGGCAACGGTAATATACCTGGTATGTAATCTGTGTATGCATAGTGCGATGATAGCTAATGTTGCATTCGCAGGTGGTTCTCTACCCAGTTCATTCACCTCGTTAAAAGCAATGACCTTGCTTCATTTGGAGTCGACTGCAATTACTGCCTTACCCGATAACTTATTCTCGTCGCTCGATCAAGTAACCACTTTGGAATTGGTTAAGAACGGCCAGATGGGCGATGATTTGCCCTCCAGCATCACTAGCCTGCCCCTCCAGAACTTGTAAGCTGATCTAGATAGGTTGTCGTGAAGCGGACATCGGTACTAACACGACGTCTCAGGATCATCAACGGACAGAACCTCAATAATCCCCTCCAAACTCTTTCGTCAAGCTCTTCATTGCAAAGGTACCTACAGCTGCTGTTCGTCTTTCTTTCCTTATATTCGATCGCTTTATTGCTTTACTGACCTTGGTCTTTGCAGTGACCTCTCCTCCACATCTCTCTCGGGCATCATTCCATCTTCCATATACTCATTTTCCTCTCTCCTCGAACTTCATCTCGACTCCAATAATCTCACAAACCCTCTTCCTTCATCTTTCCCATCCTCATTGGCCGCCTTGACGTTGTCGAACAACTCAGGGCTTTCAGGATCTGTACAAGGATCGTTCTGCTCTTTAGGGAAGTTGCAGAATTGTGAGATGAGCGGGACAGGGTTGACGGCCGCTGGCGGCTGTGGAGTTTGTAGATTCTCTTGAATCTTTGAAGGACTGTTCCTTTCTATGCTCCTTAACCCTTTCACTGTATTTCGTTCTGACCTTGCACTGCTGTTTTATGCTCGTTACGCTCCGGACGATGATACCTTTGTAGCAAATAGCTTTTCCCATCACGAAGTATTTATGCCCACATGACTACATATACAATACCGTAGATAGTCTGTTGCTTGCCTAGTGGACAGTGAACATCTCACCATTCAATATATACAGTATTCAACACTTTACTCCTTCCTATGTTCAAAGCTACGTACTTTCCTAAAACGGAAGCTGTGTGCTAAGTGTACACCACCGCTGATGCTGGCAGCAACGCTCAAGCACTAACAAGCTCTCTACCACCAAAACCGACTCTTACTTCACTTCACCAGCATGACAGACTTCCTGGCGCGCGAGAGTGAGCTCCTTGGCGACGAGTTCTCCACTCCAACAGCGACTGGAGGCTCATTCGCCACTGCGGGCGGAGACATTGACTTCGACAGTGCCGCTGCTGCGTTTCCTGACATCTCGCTGGATGGGACTGGCGACATTCCACCCCCTATCGCGTCGATTCCCAGTACGAATAGCTCGAGTGGGTTCTCTTTTGAGGATTTTGGAACCCCGCCGAGTGAGAGGACGACGGAGGTGAAGGTGACGGGTAACGATGAGATTGAGAAGTTTGAGAGTGATTTCCCGGAGATCGAGGTTCCTCAGGTGAGTCCGTTGTTGTGTACTACTTGATACTTGAACGTATATATTCACCTAAATGTTGTTGTGAAACTTCTACTTGAAAGCAGACTCAGCAGACGTTCTCGCCACCTGCACAACTCTTCGGTACTACCACCCAAACCTTCGCACCTCAGCCACAACCTTCTGCGCTGGTTTCGTCGACACCTATTTTCAACCAGCCTATAGATGAAAATGAGCCCGAGGCTATCAAGTGAGTATATATATACGCGTTCAGACTGGCGCTCTTGTTGGTTCTAACGAGGGGTGCTTAGGCAATGGCGCGAGAAACAGGCTGCTGAAATCAAGGCAAGGGACGAAGCTTCGCAAGTCAAGCGGGAGGAGACTGTTGCTAAAGCTGAACGAGCGATTGATCAATTCTACGAGGAGTACTCTGGCAAGAAGGAAAGGAACATTCGGGAGAACAAGTACGTGTATTCGACCAGGATCCTCTACGTGATAGAGTAGAAACTAATGCTATATGCTATCGCGTTTTCTCGTTTTAGGGAACATGAAGAGGAGTTCCTTCAAAGCCTCACCGACAACCTATCGCAAGGCACGACGTGGTCACGTATCTGCGACATCATTGAACTGCAAAACTCTCAGAGCAAGACGATTGCTAGGGCTGGTGCAGGCACCACTGACCTTGCGAGGTTCAGGGAAGTGTTGTTGCGACTCAAGAGGGAGGGCGAGTCGGCACCTGGTGCCGCTGGTTATTAGATTTTCAGAGTACTTTACATGCGTTAGTAATTGGTTGGTGACCGGTCGGAATGTTTGTTCCCGTTCTTTCGCGAAGTTACATATATTTATAATTTTCGGACTTATCCATTGCTACGAGTTGGCGGAGAGCATAATGGCTCATACGCATTGAATTTGGAAAGTGTGTGCCCCGTATCTGTCTCAGTCATTGTATTTTTGAAGTAACTGAGTCAATAAAAAGGCAGGACGTTCATATAGGTCGATGTCAATACCAACATTTACATCTTGAGCACTCACCCAGGAACAGTGGAGAAGGCACGAAGCCGCTGTCCGGGTCGAGTGACTTGACCATATCACACGTATCAATTTCATAAAATATATGGCTCACTATGACTTCTCGTTCCTTGTGAAAGGCAGTAACCTCCGTGTTATTGAAATCCACCCACAGCTCTGCCGATCTCATCTACGCGTTTTCTAAACGCCTGCCATCGTGAGTTTCCAGCAGAGACCAAGATGGAATGATCGGTAACGTTCTCAGTCGGTACGTTTAAACGCAGGAAAGGGTTCGCTACTGAACGTCTGTAGGCAGTATGCAGGGCCTTAAATATCTAACAACGGTGTTTCAGTAAAAGATAAGCTTAATTGAGCACGAGGACGTACAGCGACAACGTCAGCATCACGAACTATGGAGTCGGAAAGCTCCAATGCGATGATTATCTTGACTTTTAAGGGAGTCATGTACCCATAGACAGCGACATCTTCCACGTAGAGTAGACCCAAGTAACAATCCGTTGATTTGGACGCCGTTGCCGCTTGTACTAGTAGTAAAAGCACCACCTCCTCAATACGCCAATCTTGGGAGATAAGAAGGGTGAAGACTGACTTCGTTCGTCTATGACATCTAAACTGGTATGTGCGATGTAATGATATTTGAGCTCATCCTGACGTGGTTGTTCGAATGTTCGAATGAGGATTGGGTGGTTCTGAGGAGAGACAAAGGCGACGGCGTTCAGACGTAGTTGAGGAGCCATTAATTGTTTTGCATTTCACCAAACTGCAATTGGGGTGCAGGTGGTGGTTGTATGAAAGAATCGTTTCTGCGCTGTTCGAGAGATGATCGGCCCGGCGCTTCGGAACCGCAACTTCAGATCTTCAAACTTGACTCCGGCATTGACTTGCATTGCAACGTACTTTCCTTTCTCCTTCTTTGTTCTTCGCCCACGAACTTCGAGGAGCTAATATTCACTAACTAGGTTATAGATTATTCTGAAAATAGACAATGGCTTCAAAGGCAAAGAAAGTTTTAATGCTTCATGGGTGAGAGCTTTAGTTAGCGTTCACTTCATTCTAACAAGTGACTGTCACCGATATGTAGATACGCCCAAAGTGCTGCTATCCTGAGCAAACGAGTGCGTATCATCACAGGATGCTCTCCATGATCTCCACCAGACATCAGATTCTTCCGCTCTGTCTGGCGCCCGTCATTAGTTTCCTATATCGATCCTCATTCTGCCGTTCTAGCTGGGTGCCGTGCGCAAAGCATGCGGCAAAGACATAGATTTTGGTCCGTTCCATCTGTACTCCACCTCCTGGAACTCAGACATATCTTGTGCTCTTATTCTATCAATAGTATTCCTTGACGCTCCGCATGTGTTATCACCTGCAGACATGGCATCAACATTCAATTCGCCGCAAGAGCTCGGCGCAGCCGAAGCATCCGAAAACGACCCAGCTCTTCTTCCTCGTGCATGGTGGCACGTAGACTCAGAGCGAAAGCGTACGGATGGTCTCGAAGCGACTCTCGTCTATCTAAGAGACGTTCTAAAGAAAGATCACTATGAGGTTGGAAATTCACTCTACTTCCTATGTGGATGTCAAGATTGACCTTTCTTCATATTTAGGGTGTATTTGGTTTCAGGTGTCTTCTACTCATTCATATTACAGTTCCAACTGAATTGAACATTTCCGATATAGTCAGGGAGCGTCCATGGCGGCACTCCTTGCAGCACTCGTGCGCTTATGACCTTCTACCTAGCTGAAACTTCTGTTCACTAAGGTCAATAATCGTCACAGCTGGAGAGGCCTCAAGTATTCCCTGATTTCCTCGTAGACGGACAGCCGCCACATCCACCTTTGTGAGTATACCAACTTTGTACATTTTGTCTAGGTACTGAATACTTAATTTTCGTCGTCATAGGACGTTCTGTGTTGCTGTCGCTGGATTCAAACCTATCGGTCCTCTTAGCGAAGCCATTTTCCAGTCATCCTATTCGACACCAACCCTTCACGTTCTGGGTCGAATGGATGTGATCGTGGTGGAAGAGCGGGCCAAGACTCTATTAGACGTATCAGCGAACAAGCGAGTCGAGTGGCATGACGGAGGTACATTCTTGACTTTACAAAGATTGAATCACAGGGTTTTCACTGATTCGATTCGTTTTGTTATAGGACACTTTGTACCATCGAAGGCTAACTGGCGGGCATTCTTCCGAGATTACCTTCGGAATCCGACCGGGGACGTGCCTTCGCCAGGTCCCGCTAGTAATTCGCAACCTCCCTCTGGAGTTGCAACTCCCGTTACCCTCGCGTACTGAGCAAGGGATCTTCATAGACTGTTACATTGCATCTAGAAATTCCGTGTATATTCAATGTTACTAACCAAATAGACAGGAGCGATAGGCCTGCACTGCGAAGGATACAATCTAATTGGTGAACAACAAATCCTAGCCACACTAATGAACAGAGGAGACATCAACGAAGCGCAATAATAAAGGTAGCGGAGCAAGATGGGAGAGCATGTGAACTCAGCAAAGACTGGGGAAAATCAGATACTGACACGAACTATGCGCCGTTCGGTGCCGTCGAAATCTGCGTTGAATGTCCCGCGGGCTCAACCTTCAATTTCACAGGCTTAAGGAGCAACGCTTCCGGAGGCATACTGTTCACCACATTGCTGAGCTTGGCTAACGCCTCACTCGAAGTTGGACGAGCGACGGGGTCATCAAGGACTAGCTCAGCTAGGATCTTGTCAATAGCTGGAATAGTCGACTGTGGAATTCGAATCAACCTCGCGAATCACAAGAAGCCATTGAAACGCCTGTAACGTACCCTGAAAGTGATGAAACCATATCCAAGTTGCCACACATCTAGTTTGAACGGATTGTACGGCCTCCCAGACTCGACTTCAGGTGGGAGCGGTCTGCCCCATTTGTCTGTGATGGTAATGGTGCCACCACTAGGAGGACCTACCGAGACTCGCGCCTGCACAGGACATTCGGGCGGAAAGTCCACTGCAACCTCAAAATCGATGAGATACACTCGAGGTCGGGATATAGCCACTGTCATGGTCCGTAAGGACTCTGGATACCAGTGTAGCAAGAAATTCGACTTGTCTGCATCCTGGTGAGCAATACGTTGAGCATCCAAGCTCCAACTCAAAGACAGTGAACCTACACGGTGCGCGATACCCAAATCATGAATGAATGCAAGGCCCTGGAAAACAGGTCAACTACTATGGTCCATGAAATAAAGACGATCGATCTTACTTCCAGTGCCTGGAGTACCATGTCAAGTACATCTCCTACTGAATTCCTTGGCCAGGAACCAAAGGCTTCTTCCATACATCCGGCTGTGCGAGGGAAGATGCCGAATGTAATGTCTTCGTAGTGGAAGACTCGAAGCATGGGGAGAGTGTGATTGCTGCTTAACAGGCTAAGAGGGCCTGCGGCGATCCTTTTGAGAAATTTCAGCTGTTCATGTCCATCTTGATTGACGATGATGACCCGAATGGCGACATCGTGACCATCCGCAGTGCGGGCAATTCTCAAAATGGGATTCTATTGAGGATGTGAGTTTCTGAAAGTCGCAAACGCAAACTTGCAACGTACGATATATTGAAACCACGTAAGTTCTTCAGCGGCACCGAGGCCTCTATTCACCCCACGGCTTGGCGTTACATACGCAAACCCGCTAGCTAGCGGGTAACTCCTTTGGGGAGAATCCAGGAACTGGTTTTCGGTATGAGTCCACTGTTCCAATCCGTGCTTTCGAAGCACTGGATCCAACGATTCCCAAATCGCCTCGCATTCTGGGGTGTCTCCTGGGTCCCTCCAATCGCTGAGATTGAGAGGTAGCTAATCAAAAATTCATTTAATTCGTTTAGAATAAACTTTGAAAGAAACGGAAGAAACCTTTTTCCGTAAACTCTTGAAGTCCCTGCGCTGTGAGGGCGGCGACGATCTCAATCAGATACAATGCTATATCAACATATCACTGTACTTACAGAAATCCATGTGGGGGCAAGCGTCGTAGTGAGCTTCACTGAGAAAGGCATGGACGTGACCTTAACGAGCTATGAGGTTATGTTGAAGAGAATCCGATGTGCGCCACGTTGATGTACACTTGCAAATCCAGAACTCTCACACCATTCCCTATTCATTTTGCACCATAGAACAATATCACAATCATAGCATTTTTGGGGTACCATGAAATAGTTCAGCTGAAATGCATTGGTCGCACAGGTTAAGTCGAGTCGTTGCCACCAATGAGACACATCCATTCCCATAAGGGAAATGGTGTACAGACCGTAGGATAACATGTACAAATAACCTGCGCGCGCTTACTACCGTTGTCTGAACTTGTAGCTCAATATGCGGCGTGCCAAGATCAGGCCAATGTGTGATAAGAATGAAGGGGACCCAGTATACAACAAGGATGTCGAGTCTTCAGGGATCTCCAGGCAATTTGAAGCGAGGGGGGATCAATAGCGAATCCGGCGACATGTTGTTCACGAGCTTGCTAAGTTTCATCAATGCCTCATTTGCACTCAAACGCATAGCCGGATCTGATAGTTTCATATCTTCTAAGACTTCATCTATCGCCGGAATTGTCGTCTGCGCAATACCAAGTCATTAGTATCGAATCCAACGATGAGAGCACATGGTCGGCGAACCTCGAAACTCCAGTGCGTAAACGTCGTACCCAACTGCCAGACGTCGAGTTTGAATGGGCAGTACGGCTTGCCAGCCACGACCTCCGGTGGAACTGGCCTGCGATACTCAGTTGATGGATACCATTTGCAAATAGGATTCCCGATCGAGACACGGTCTTCCACAGGACAATCTGAGGCGAACTCTACTGAAAACTCAAAATCGATGATGTACACTCGGGGTCTGCTTGTGGGGACCACCATAGTACTGAGGGATTCGGGATGCCACTGAATAAGTAAATTCGGCCGAAACATATCCTGGACAGCATTATTAGTGACATTGTTTGATATATCACATATGATCGCGACCCACCCGATGCGCAATATTCAACTCATGCAGGAAAGAAAGTCCCTGAGAAGTTTCAGGTAATTTTTAGAGATCTGAATATGGATAACGGTATGGTGAACTTACCTCCAGCGCTTGAAGTATCATATCAAGAATGTCTCCTACCGAGTTTTTTGCCCAGTAACCAAAAGCTTCGGTGAGGCAACCGCCCGCTCTAGGAAAGACCCCGAATACAATGTCCTCAAAACAAAACTCTCTCAGTAGAGGTAGACAGTGGTTGTTGCTCAGAAGACTAAGGGGACCAGTTGCAACTCTTTTCAAAAGGGCTGAATGTTCGTGACCTTCATCTTGAATTACGACGACACGGACTATGACAGCATGTCCCTCTGCTGTCTGAGCCGCACGACTGAGAGTATTCTACATAAACGGATAAACATATTTAGTAGAGCAACAATATGGCGAATCAAATACTCTGACCTGATACTCGAAAGCACTAAGTTCTTCCATGGTTTCCAGACCATCGGAGATGACACGTGTTGGAGTTACGTACGCAAACCCACTTGAAAGTACATACTTGGTTGGAGACAAGAGGATGCTGAAATATGAACGTTTCCATGACGTTAAGCCTGCATCGCGCAAAATGCCAGCCACTTCGCGCCACAGGTCTTCCTCTTCCATCTTAAGCATATCCGGACGTCTCCATGTAAAGATGGTTTGGGGCAACTATGGACTCGAAAATGAGCATTCGAGCGATTTTGGGGAGTGAAAGTGAAGACCGCACTTTTGCTCTAAGGCGCCTTCGTTTTGTGGACGGTACTGACAGTGTCAAGGCGTAGTAAATGGCGAAAGTCAAGGAAAGTGTTGTTGCGATAGATCCCGCGAAAAGCGCGAGACGAGATGGAGCCATTGCAATACGGGTATAAAAAGAGCGCGAGAGGTGAGTAGTGCTAGTGAGCAGAGGGCCCGTTCTTGCAAGTTGAACATTGAACAATTCTGATTCCCGATTCTGACCATTTCCGATCACGCATGTTGCCGAGTGATCACGTAGGTTTGTTTGAACGTTCAACCTACATGCCCGCAATAAGTATTACACAAGACTGGGCGGCGCTCCAGCTGAGAGACTATTTCCCTATCTTGTAAGTGGGCTGCCACTACTTACGCCCTAGAATTGGAGAGACGCTTCCAGACTCTGCACGGTTGGGACTATGCTGCCGCAACTTGCGATTAGCACTATAGCGTGACTGGTGTCGATTTTCGGTAACACTCCAGACTCTTCCATCTCTCTCGCACCCTCAATTACCTCTGACTTCTCTTCCGCAATGATAACATCTGTCTTCCTTCCCGGTCCTGAATAGTATGTCTTGCGCAACGTCTTTCCATATAACGCTAAAGGCTTTTGATTATCAGATCACCGTCGGATGCTCCGGAAGTCCTTCCTGCGAATGCTCGTATACGGCGTTCATTGTTCGCTGCGCAGTCATTGTTCCAAATTAAGGACTTTGGTGAGATGTTCCGAGCTTAACCTGCTGTCTGATGGACACCGTTGCACATAGCCACTGCCATTTCTAGGATGGCGCCAGCAGGATCCAACTCACAGTGACTCGGATTAAAATCTCTTAATACGCTAGTTTGGTCTGATTCTCTCACATCTCAGCAACGTGTGCCCGTTCAACCGAATAAGACGCCAGCCGCAGAGTGGATAAAATGACAACCTTAGATTTCTCTGATGTCCCAACACACACTCCCAGCATTTGTAAGTAAAGAAGTGAAATGGTACGAATGACTTTCCTTTCAGCATTTCCCATTCTGAAAGTAGCACTAGTCGTCCGGTTTCAGCCCTTTATCTGGATACTACGAGGATACGACGGTACCAGTGTCCAGTCAGAGTAGAGGCCGTCCCTTTTCAAGTGCAGGATCGGTGAGATGGTGGCTTCTTCTTACACTCGCCTTCCTCCATCCCCTGACCCAATTGTAGGGTAATTACTTATTTTACGTCGGTAACCAGCCATACGTTGGGAGGTTCCTGGAGCCTCTTGAGAGCGTTTCGGAGGTATGTCCTATCATCCATCGTATACATTTAAGAGCTGAATTTTGTTTTTGAACAGATGAAGTGGGTACTTCGATTCGGCAATGGAAAGACAGCCGCAGTTCCCAAGAGGCTGTTGTCTCAAACAAAGTGAGTACTGAGTTCGTATGCATCTTCAGGCGGCACATCGATTAATACGACAATCAGCTATCCTCTCTCTCCGGTCCCTCCCCCAAAGGGTAGCGTCTAGTGAATGATAGATGCGTTGAGACATTGATCTCATCTTCAATATAATTGTACGTTAAAACAATGTTCAGTTTCCCGGTATTCAACCTTTTCAATGTCTAAATCCCTTTGCAATGTATCCTTCCGAGACACGATACCCATACTTGACACCCTTTCACTCGCTTCAAGGTAATCTACCCATGATATTGACTTACGATCTCGTAGAGGCGACCTATAAATTGATGAATTACCTCGACCTCTGAGTCAGGCGGTCGGGCTGACTGGTAGCTAAAGCGAATGTTAGTTTGCACCTCACGAAAATTTGGGCTGCCTACGGAAGAGAGTGATAGAAAGTTGGGGTGTGTTTTGGAGAAACAGGGATACAAAATGGACATCTTAAGGCATGTAGACTCTACAGTCGTTGCGGATCTCCAGGAAATTTGACGTAAGGAGGAAGCAACAAAGTTTCCGGTGGCATGTTGTTCAGGAGCTTGCTAAGTTTCGTTAATGCCTCATTCGCACCCAAACGCATAGTCGGATCGGATAGTTTCATATCTTCCAAGACTTCATCTATCTCCGGAATCGTCGTCTACATAATATGGGGTTGTTATTAGTAGCAAACCTAATGATGAGAGCGAATGGCCGACGAACCACAAAACTCCGATGCCTAAACACTGCTCCCAGTTGCCAGACGTCCAATTTAAACGGACAGTACGGCTTTCCAGATTCCACTTCTGGTGGAGCAGGTCTGCTGTAGCCAGTTGACAGATACCATTTGCACAGTGGATACCCGACCAAGATGCGGTCTTCCGCTGGGCAATCCGGAGGGAATTCTACTGCGAACTCAAAGTCAATGATATACACTCGGGGATTGTTTACCGGGGTATAACAACTGGGACACAGAGCCGCATTACGAAGGAGACAACCTAATAAACACCAGGATTGAACAAATACAGCAATCCACAACGAAAACATGAACGGAGTGCGATAACAAAGACGATGGAACAAGATGGGAAAGCAGATGGACACAGATAGCAACAGGAACTACGAGTCGTGCCGTTCCGTTGAATGTTCCTCGGGCTCAATATTCACTTTTACGGGCTCAACGAGCAAGACTTCTGGTGGAAGACTATGAACCACCTTGCTCAGTTTGCATAACGCCTCACTTGCACCAGGACGAGCGACGGGATCACCAAGGACTAGTTCAGCTAAGACTTCATCAATGGCTGGAACAGTCGACTATGGAAACTAAATGAGTCTCACAGATCACAGTGAGGCGATTGTGACATACCCTGAAAGTGATGAAGCTATATCCCAACTGCCACACGTCTAGTTTGAACGGACTGTATGGCATCCCTGAATCGACTTCAGGTGGGACTGGTCGACCCCATCCGTCTGCAATGTTAATGCTACCACCACTAGGAGGACCTACCGAGACTCGCGCCTCCATAGGGAGTTCCGATGGGAACTCCACTGCGACTTCGAAATCGATGAGATACACTCGAGGTCGGGATATAGTCACCGACATGGTCCGTAAGGACTCTGGATGCCACTGAACCAGGAAGTTCGACTTGTCTGCATCCTGGAGACCTATGCAGTAAGGATTCAACATTCAAGACACTGATCAAATTTAGGGAACTTACGCGATGTGCGATACCCACATCGTGAAGGAATGCAAGACCCTGCAAATACATCAATTACAGCTCATGAACTAAAAACAATCGAGCTTACTTCCAAGGCCTGGAGTATCATGTCAAGTACATCTCCCACTGAATTCTTCGGCCAATAGCCATATGCTTCGTACATACATCCGGCTGTGCGAGGGAAGATGCCGAAAGTGATATCTTCATATTCGAAGACTCGAAGCATAGGGAGGGTGTGATTGTTGCTTAGCAGGCTAGAAGGGCCGGCGGCGACTTTCTTAAGGATCTTGAGCTGTTCATGTCCATCGTTATTGACGATAATTACCCGAATGGCGACATCGTGACCATCCTTAGTACGGGCCATCCTCAATACGGGATTCTATCAAAAGCATGAGTTGTGAGCAATTGAATAAGAAAAGCTCTGCCTGACGATATATTGAAACCAGGTGAGTTGTCTTGCAGTGCCAGGACCACCGCCGTTGTCTACTCCACGATTTGGTAGGGCGTACGCAAACCCACTGGCAAGCGGGTAACTGATCTGAGGAGAAACTAGGACCTGGTCATCGTAATGAGTCCACTGTTCCAGTCCATGATCTTGGAGCACTGGATCCAAAGATGCCCAAATTGCTTCGCATTCTGGAGTGTCTCCCGGTGCCCTCCATTCACTTAGATCGTGAGGTAGCTGAAGTACAATTCATGAGCTTAGTGAGTGCATGCTTTGGATGCATGAGAAGAAACCTTCTGTCGTAATACACTCAAATCCTGTGCGTGGCGCGATAGTACTCTTCTCCTCGACTGGAAGCGATAGTATACAAGTACGCTTACAGCAATCGCTGTGGCCGCGACTGTGGATGCGATCCTGACGGGGGGAGCCATGCAGGTTATGAGTTGGTGCTGAAGAGAATCTCTGCCACGTAACACGTAAACTTGAAGTTAGGAGATGTGCGACCATATAGGCGCAGTTTGTACTTTCCTATTTTGTATCTGTCAGATGCCGTTGAAAGCCCCCGGCGCTATCGCCACATTGAAACAGCTCCATGAGACTTCTACTTTGTCAACACTACGACCTTAGTACATCTGTCCCCGTGCATCGAAACATTTCAAATATTCGGTTCTGCACACTCATGGCTCTGGATCCAGTTGGTGGCAGCTTGGAGTCCACGTCGTGCAAAGCGTACTTTCGCACCAGCGTCCTAGGTACGTCCACTAGTCACTTCACTCCGATTATGTGGGAAATTCGGCCGATTCATTTGAACGGCTGGCTCACCACATCATATTCTGATGATCTTTTATTATCGTACCTGCTCATCGCAGACATATCTACGGGTTTTCCGCCACCTTGGCGATATCGATATCGCCATGTTCAAAACCCTGAAGGCAGTGTTTATTCATCTTCTTGCATTATACTAGATTTGGCGGGCTCCCTTACATGCTTTGTTCCGCCCGCCCTCATGGTGAAGACTACTTTTGCTTAGAGGGTCAATGTCTATCGCGGTCTCTGGAGCGTACAGAGGGCTTGTTGCAACACAGGCACTTTGCCATTTCGAGAGGGTTCTAATAAAAGCACTATATGGCGAACGGGCTTATGAATATGCGTTGTACATTCTCATGCGACTTGGTTATCCTTGTACAGGGTCCATGATGCCTCTTTACGTCTCCTAGGATTGCGTCACCTTCGGGGATCTATTCTCATGCTCTAGCATGGAGCATTTTTGTGCGGCGGAGAATCGGATCTTTGGTGCATTATAGAGGACTGGATACAATGCATTCGCTCAGTCAATCCCTTCCAACATTTCCTCCCTATACCGTTATACCGCTGCAATATACAATACAATGGTAAGTACGTGAAGTACGCTCAATACGACACAATACTTATGACCACACTTACTCAGCCCGCCATCTGGAGGAACTATACGGTATGCCTGTGCCCATGCGTCCCTTCTTGTCCTCATATTTTGATATGGCTGAGCGCCTCAATTGTTTTGTCCATAGGGAAATTATGAATTCATCCGACGTGGGCAACGGTATGTGGGCAAGTTTGAGGAATATATCGAAAGCAACAAACCCGTACGTCTATGTTATCGACCCCTCTATCATACTGAATCCGTTTACAACAGTCGGGGGCGCGAGTCAAATTAAGCTTTGCTGACGGTACTATTACCTGGGTTGCAACAAGGGGTGTGAAACAAACATCGTATGTCCGCATTGATCATCTATGATGATTTTGTCACTGAAGCTGGATTCGTAGTCTGGAAGTGAGCGCCACCGCTCCGTCTGTCTGAAATGCGATTCTGCCATCGTAGTCACTTGTAACATCCATTCACTTTATGTTCTTACGTTCTCTCGATGCTTTGGAAATATTCTTTCTCAGTTAGGACTCTCATCGATATTGTTTTGATACTTGGGCTGGAAGATTTTATCCCATCTGTCTGAGTGATCTTATTGCCCGGTGGGTTGTTTCAGCAATGTTGAGGCTTGTTGAGGGATACTTCCTGTTAGTATTTTGCCCGTGGGGCGATGAGAACTCGCTCTTCAAACTGATACAGAAAAAGTTGGGTCGTTTGTCACGAGGCGTTTAGTTTGATGTGCCTTCGCCAGGCCCAGTTCCTAGGAACTCGAAATTGCCCTCGAAAGCTGTGACTCTCGCTCCGTTACGCCCGCCAATGAGGTTGTCCAAGAAACTGCACAGGGAAATATTCTAGTCCTCTGGTCGTGTCAGAATGATACCTTGCATTCAGAGATGCCCTTCGTGTGATATACAGCGGCATCACTCAAATAGACGATAACTTCATCATACCTTATGCAGCAAGTTAAATACAAGAGAGTGCGTGTATGTCGTACTGCTGACATATGACAACGGAGCGAACCACAAGAGGACAAATATCAACACAAAAGATGCCCAGAAGGCCACAAGGAGGACGACAGCAAGATGCGTTAGAAAGCAAGAGGAGAGAGGGTGCAAAGAAATCAAAAGGAGGAGCTTCAGATATCAGCATGAACTACGCATTGTGCGGTTCCGTTGAATATTGTTTGGGCTCAATATCGAATTTCACGGGCTCAATGAGCAATGCTTCTGGCGGAATGCCGTTCACCACCTTGCCCAGTTTAGTTAACGCCTCACTCGCATTAGGACGAGCGACGGGATCATCAAGGACTAGTTCAGCTAAGACCTCATCAATGGCTGGAACGGTCGACTTTGGAAACCAAATGAGTCTCACAAATCAGCGAGGCGATTGCGATTGCGATTGCGACATACCCTGAAAGTGATGAAACTATATCCCAGCTGCCACACATCCAGTTTGAATGGACTATATGGCATCCCTGAATCGACTTCAGGTGGCACCGCTCTACCCCATCCGTCTGCAATGTTAATGGTACCACCACTGGGAGGACCTATCGAGACTCGCGCTTCTATGGGAAGTTCTGACGGAAATTCTACTGCAACCTCAAAATCGATGAGATACACTCGAGGTCGGGATATAGCCACTGTCATGGTCCGTAAGGACTCTGGATGCCATTGAACCAGGAAATTCGACTTGTCTGCATCCTGTTGAGCTAGTGAGTATCTCAAGTCCAATTCAAAGATAGAGAACTTACACGATGCGCGATGCCCAAGTCATGAATGAATGCGAGACCCTGTAAAATAGGTGAGTTGCGAGTGTTCGATCAGAGGTGACCGAGCTTACTTCCAAAGCCTGGAGTATCATGTTAAGTACGTCTCCCACTGAATTCTTCGGCCATGAATCAAACGCCTCTTCCATACATCCGGCTGTGCGAGGGAAGATGCCGAAGGTAATGTCTTCATATTCGAAGACTCGAAGCATAGGGAGAGTGTGATTGTTGCTTAGCAGGCTAGAAGGACTGGCGGCGACCTTTCTGAGAATATTGAGCTGTTCATGTCCATCTTTATTGACGGTAATGACCCGAATGGCGACATCGTGGCCATCTTTAGTGCGGGCCATTCTCAAAACGGGATTCTATCAACGACATGAGTTTCTAACAGTCACGTAAGCAATTTTGCAACATACAATATATTGAAACCACGTAAGTTTCTTAGCTGTACCAGGGCCGGAATCCAGCATACGACTTGGTATCACGTAGGCAAACCCGGTAGCTAGTGGATAACTATTTTGCGGTGATTTCAGGAACTGAATTTCGGTGTGAGCCCACTGTTCCAGTCCGTGATTTCGAAGCACTTGGTCCAACGATTCCCAAATCGCCTCGCATTCTGGCACATCTCCTGGGTTCCTCCAATCACTGAGCTTGACAGGTAACTGATCGCAAAAAAACTGTTGAGCTAATTTATCATAATTTTTGAAAGTAAAAGGAGAAACCTTCTGCCGTAAGCTGCTAGAGTCCTTGGGTTGTGAAGGTGGCGACGATCTTCCACCTGATAGGACACAGTAATATATCACGGTACTCAGGACAATTGCTGTGGAGGCAACCGTCGTAGTGACCTTGACTGAGAAAGGCATGGATGCGACGTTGACGAGCTATGAATTTAGGTTGGCTGAGAATCCGGCTGCCACGCTTGAAGTTGGTACTAGGAATTTTTGATCGTACTATGTGCGATCGCAAACGATGATTTTCCTATTTTGTGCATCATATCAGACGCCCCTGCAGTGCCTCGTTGAAACGTCTTGCTTCTTGAAGACGTCCACAGCTCCTTCAGTAGTATGTACTCTCATGATACATTTTCCCATTACTACCCTGACATACATATTGTCTTTCTCATGGCTCTGGATCCGATGTAGGCTTCTTGCGGCCGCCTTGTAAAGCGCTTTGCTCCAGCGTCCTAGGTTTCTAGTCATTTCAACAATGTTATCGGGAATCGCAAGCAATCCCTGAACACATGGCTCCGGATATCATGCTTCTATGATACTAGGTGTGTTGCGACATACTAGCTTCTACTAATTACTCGCTGTCTTGGCAAGATCGATATGTTCAAACCCTGAAGGCGGTGCTTCCTCAAAGCCTCAAGGCCGTATGTTTTGCACAATACCAGAATGAGCTGGCTCTTCCTACCTACTGCAGTCGGCCCGAATCTTGCTCACTGGGCATCGGGCTAATGCACGCCTGGCCTCAAACCTAATTTGGGCACTATGTTCGTTACCGACACCAATTGGTGTCAGAGATGCCAATGTTATATGCATTGGCCGAAAGAATCTTTTTTGCTTTGCATTAGGGAGCTGCTCTATGCATCCGTCATAGAATTTATACAAAGCGTAAGCTCGCAATCATACAGAAATGCCATTTGACCACTCTTGTACAGCGTGAATGATGGTCTAGTTGGTTTCGAGTCATTCAGGTCATTGAGGCCACCTTTGTGGATATATGTTCTCATGCTATCAGTGGGAATGCAAGTCTTCTTTGCATCATAAAAGAGCGAAGGGCCCTGGATCGGCTCACTCATTCTTTTCCTCATCGCCCTCATCGCCTTCATTGCCTGCCCTCCCCGTTATTAAAGCTCATACGATGGTTAGTACGCTGATGTTCCCTGTACACCGCACGATGCTTACGCTATAACTCAGGCACCTTCCATCTGGAAAAACTACACAGTATGCCAACGGGTTCCGAGTCGTGGTGAAATTCGTCATGGTTTATTCTTGCTTATAGGGGAACTACTACTTCGTGTACAACTGCACCACCTATGTGGGACGCTATGGTGGATATGTTGAGAGTCAAACAGCTGTACGTCTAAATGGCTACCTTCTTGTGTTTTACACTAAATATGACTACACCAGGGGCCACGCGTTAAATTGGTTTTCGCTGATAATACCATCGCCTGGTTACCAACGACAAGTGTGACACGGACTGAGTGCGTTTGTGTTGGTCCTTTTTCCATGGCCATCTAACTCAAGCTTAAATTGTAGCGCGGCGGTGAGCGCCACTGGTCCAAACTAACCTGGATCACCCCTGATTTCCCCGGTCTCATCCTTGCTCGTGACATCCGCGTACTACTATCCGTGTAAATTTCTTCAATTGTTCGTGACATATGTTTTGTATCTGTATGCTCGGTGTCTGGAATTTGAAGGTAGATTATGTGAGAAAACTTTATTCTTGTCTTATCATGCCATGGAGTTCCTCAGGCGACTCCTCGTGTGAGACAAGAAAAGGAACAGGAAGTGGCAAGACAACACATGCAAATACTATATAATCCCAGCCAGTGATTCTTGTCATCTTCGAAAGATGCTCAGTTGATGCTCAGCATTGGAACGGGAATGGTACCGGTTCCGTTGCAGCCAAGGTATCCGGTCGTCAGAAATACCTAGATCGCTCTAATGTTTTGTAGAATTCTGAGGGCGGAATATATCTACGAATTGAGATACAATTGTGTCCCGAAGCGGATTCAAATTGACAGAAAATCCGGTATAAATTCGGCCCTGAGAGCTGGGTCCCACGAAACTGAAATATCGTCGCAAAGTGAATGGTAGCAAACAATGAAAAGCAAAACAACATAAAGCAAGCTAACACGGCAAACTTGCAGGAAAATGAGATACTAAGTACGTGACAGCTCCGTTGATGTCTGCGCTGAACGTCATTGAGACTCGACATTCAGTTTCACAGGCTCAATAAGCAAGGCTTCCGGTGGAATACTATAAACCACCTTGCTCAGCTTGGCTAACGCCTCGCTTGCAGCAGGACGAGCGACGGGATCATCAAGGATGAGCCCAGCGAAGACCTGATCGATAGCAGGAATGGTGGACTGTAGAATTTGGATGAATGCTGTAAGTATACATGATACAAAGCAGCAACTGCAACGTACTCTAAAGGTGACGAAGCTATAGCCAAATTGCCATACGTCCAGCTTGAAAGGACTGTACGGTTGTCCAGACTGCACTTCGGGCGGGAGCGGTCTACTCCAACCTGATTCGACGATTGTACCACCTGCCGGTGGTCCCACAGAGACCCGAGCTTCGGGTAGAGAATCAGATGGATATTCCACCGCAACTTCGAAGTCAATAATGTACACCCGAGGTCGCGAAAGAGCTATGGTCATGGTGCGCAAAGATTCGGGATGCCATTGAACCAGAAAATTCGATTTGTCCGCATCCTAAACATGCGTATAAGCGTGCTTCAAATGCGGGTTGCATACTGTAAAGTATACTGCTCACTTACACGATGTGCGATTCCTTGCTCATGAAGAAACGCGAGACCCTATGGGATGCATCAATTGTAGCTCATCGACTAGTTTAGGAAAGGACGTACCTCCAATGCCTGCATGACCATATCGACAATGTCACCCACGGAGTTTTTCGGCCAATAGCCATATGCATCATCCAAACAACCACCAACTAGAGGGAATATGCCGAAGGTAATATCCTCGAGTTCAAAAGTTTTGAACATGGGGAGGCAATGGTTGTTGCTGAGCAAACTGTGAGGACTACAGGCGACCTTCTTGAGGATCTTCAGTTGTTCGTGACCCTTGTCCTTGACAGTAATAACACGAATGGCGACGTCGTGACCCTCTTTCATACGTACAACTCGTAAGATAGGATTCTACTAATAACGTGAGCACAGAAATACGGCAAAAAAGGTTAAAATGATGACTAACGATGTACTGAAATCCAATGAGGCTTCTTGCAGTGCCTGGACCAGGGCCCATCCCACGACTAGCTGTAATGTATGCAAAACCGCTAGCCATACGAGAATCGTTAGGTGCCCTCATGAGTTGGAGTCCAGTATGAGACCATTGCTCGAGTTCATTTTCAGAGAGTACTTTGTCTAGGTATTCCCAGATTTCTTCACAATCCTTTGTAGCACCTGGCAACTGCCATTGAGAAAGACTTTTCGGCAACTACAGCTGATATTAATAACAAGTCACAGGAAGAAGAATAAAGAGTCAGACCTTGTCTCGTAATTTTTTAGGTGAGCATGCCGATTGTGGAAATAACCAGCCTGACCTCACGCAACATATAAGTGCAGTCAGGACGATCACCGTGGATGTAATCACTGGTCCTGCGGCTGTCTGGGTGGATGAAACCATGAAGACCAAGCCGACCTGAATGCCTTAGTGGTGTAAAGTATGTCTAAGATGCCGAGTCAACCGGTTCTTGCGTATACGTGACTCAGTAAAGATGACTCTAGTACTAGTACTGTAGTAGTAACGGCAGTGTGGCTGTCAGACTTCAACAAGCCGAAGTTCACACCTTCCTTTTCAGTGTGCTATAGGCGCTGTTCAGCTTCCACGCCTCGAATGCAATGATCGAATTCTCTACTCAAGCCTCAATGTATTTTATGTCAGTTTTACAGTTTCCCTTTGCTGAAACACACCCCCTGCAGTGATTATCAATAGGATCGAGCCATGGCTGTTTCTGATGGCATGTCATTGACTCATTATTGTGCCCTCTAGCTGCAGACTGTATTGCTGGCGTACCTTCTCGATCGAGTCAGTGCAACTGCATGTGAGAATCGGGAATGGTATCCTAGGCCGGGTATGTTCGGGGCTGTATCTCAAAAGTGTAATGTACTTATTGTGAGTCTATTTTCCCACTTTTGACTACCTTGGCAGAATCGATAACCTGTTCAAACCCTGAGGGCGGTGCTCCCTTGATCCATCTACACCAGGCCAAATGGAGTAGCTCTTGTAATACGCTACAGTCGGTCTGTTATCATCCATCTACCAGTGCACTGACCACTGACTTCCATGATATGTTCGGTCTTCATTCCTACCATTCTGCATGGTCAGACATAGGAGAGGTAGTAAATGAAGTATGGTACAAAGTCCTCCACAGATATTCTGCTATTCCAGTGTCCTCCATGCCAAAATCGGCATTTCATCTATGCCTCTACCAATGTGGCAAATTTGGACCTTTTTGTTGATTTTCTGATGCTCACTGACATCGAGTCATCCAAGAGCCCCTTCATCAAATGTGTAATTATTCTGATGCTATCCTATGCTTGTGATAGCCAGGTGGAGCTCTAGAGTATAAAGGAAGCGCAGATGCAAGTGTTCAACCAACTGCCTTCACTAAGCCCCATTCATTACAACCCATTCGTGTACAATTGCATTGTTGTATCAAAATGGTAGGCGCATTTTTGCATCCATCCATGCATGCGACACTTATGGTCAACTTCTCAGCCTGGTCCCATTGTGTGGAAGAAGTACACTGTAAAATATCTTCCTAACCACCCGATGCCACACTATATTCACTTTCCATCATTCGCAGGGAAATTATAGATTCATGCATAACTTTAGCCTCTATGTCGGTCGATATGATGCATATAATGAGACCACGGTGAGCTCACACTTGTGTTGGTTCAGAACTATCAGGCTGAAATGCTTGTTGCAGAATGGTCCCCAGATTAGGTTGATATTCGCAGATGCAACTAAGTACTGGGTCCCAGCAGATCCCAATATAATTCAAAGGACCAAGTACGTTTGTTCTCAATCATGCTTTGCCGCATTTCATACTTGAAGGCTTACCATATCACCAGCAAGGCTATGTCATCTACGGCTCCAAGCTTCTGAAGGATGACTCACCTATCATGATGTCTCACAAATGTCTCAATCTTCGACTTTGTTCTGCCTATGTACAAGCAAAGCCTGCAATTATTTACAGAGACTAGTAATCAATATTCACAAACATTTACTCCGCTCAGAAGTCGAGTACTTATGTTGGGTTGAATATTAGCAATGCATGATGCACTATTCAACAATATTGTGATCTTAGTATTTTTTTAGAATTAAGTTCAAGATATCATGAAATAGTTGCACTGAAATGCATCGGACGGTCATCGGTGAGACGTCAGTATCCATTCCCACAAAGGAAGTTGTATACAGACCATAGGATAACATAGACAAACAACCGACCGTGGCTCAGTGCGTAGGACTTATTAGTAGAGTCGTCTAGCATGCTTTGTCATTGATCATTTAGTAGCCGATATGAATATCAGGCCAATGTATACCCCCTTTCTCCCTTGTCACACAACAAGGTTTTCAAGTATTCAGGGATCTCCAGGCACTTTGAAGCAAGGATGAATCAATAGGGATTCCGGTGACAAGCCGTTCACAACGTCGCTAAGTTTCATTAAGGCCTCATTCGCACTCAAACGTTCAGCTGGATCAGAGCTTTTCATATTTGCCAGAGTCGTACAGTAGGACAATGTATGTCAATAAAATCACCGAGTGATTCTTGTCATGTTCAAAAGATGTTCAGCGTCGGGGCGGAAACAGTACCGTTGCAGCCAACGCTTATCGTTGTCAGAAATACATAGATTGCTTCAAAGCTTCGTCGAATCCCAAGAGCGGAATATGTTTACGAATGGATGTGACAGTGTCTGAAGCGCAGTGAGACGATGAAGAAACTCCGATATAAATCCGGCCCCGAATACTGGGCCTCGCGAAACTGAAATATTGTTGCATTGAGAACGTACTGTAGCAAACATAGAAAAGCAAAAGAAGACGATAAAGCAAGCCAACACAGCAAACTTACAGGAAATTGAGATACTACGAGACATCTTCAAGCACAGTATGGTTCCATTGACGTCTGCGATGAACTTCCTGTGGGCTCGAGATTCACTTTGATAGGCTCAATGAGCAATGCCTCCGGCAGAATACTATGAACCACCTTGCTCAGCTTGGTTAATGCCTCACTTGCACTAGGACGAACGACGGGATCATCAATGACTAGTTCGGCGAAGACCTGATCAATAGCAGGAATAGTGGACTATGTAGTTCAAATGAGTGCCGTAAACATCCAGAATCCAAGGTGGTGACTGCAACGTACTCTAAGGGTGATGAGACTATAACCGAATTGCCATACATCCAGCTTGAAAGGGCTATATGGCTTTCCAGACTGCACCTCGGGAGGCAGCTCCCGATTCCATCCTGACACTGGGATCGTGCCACCCACTGGCGGGCCCATGGACATACAGGCTTCTTTGGGAGATCCCGGAGGGAATTCGACGGAAACTTCGAAGTCAATGATATATACCCGAGGTCGAGAGCGAGCCACAGTCATGGTGCGCAAGGATTCGGGATGCCACTGCACCAGAAAGTTCGACTTGTCTGCATCCTGAACGAAAACATGAGCAAAACAGGACCTTAACACTGAATAGATAATCGCTTACGACTTACACGGTGGGCAATTCCTTGCTCATGAAGAAATGCAAGACCCTACAAACCGGATCCATAATGGCTTGTTGAGTGACAACTCACAACAATACGTACCTCCAAGGCTTGCATCACCATGTCAATGATGTCGCCTACAGAATTTCTCGCCCAATAGCCATACGCATCATCCAAACAGCCACCAACTAGAGGGAAAATGCCGAAGGTAATATCTTCAAACTCAAAGTCTCGAAGCATAGGAAGACTGTGATTGTTACTGAGTAAACTCAAGCAGCCAGAAGCAACTTTCTTCAGAATTCTGAGCTGCTCATGTCCCTGATCTTTGACAGCGACCACGCGAATAGCGACATCATGGCCTTCGGTAGTACGTGCAATTCGGAAAATGGGGTTCTACTCAAGTTGCGTTAGATTATTCACCACTGGAAGATTAAAATGGCAGAGACGAACGATATATTGAACACATGTGAGGCCTTCTACAGTACCAGGACCGGTGCCGGTCTCACGAGTTGGTGTAACGTAGGCATATCCGCTGGCCATACGCAAACCATCATCTGGAGTGTGCAGTAATTGGAGACCGCTATGAACCCATTGCTTCAGTCCGTTGTCTGAAAGTGCTGAATCCAAATGCTCCCAAATTTCTTCGCATTCAGGCGTACCTGGCAGTCGCCATTCAATGAGATTCTGAGGTAACTAAAAGTGGCATCGTCAGTAAACCATGTAAATACGCCACAAAGAAAAATCAGACGTTATCTCGAATCTTGTTGGCTCTCCGTTTCTGTTGAATACGCAGCCAACGTGACCTAATACAGTATACCAGCGCAGTCAGGGCAACCGTTGTCGATGCAGTCACAGCGGGGATCCTGATCGACGACGACATATGGGCAAACTTGAATACGGACTGGGATGAAACGTGAAATGGACCAATTGGTTCGGTATGAGTAGTGGCGACTTGACTTCGCGTGACTATGGTCTCTCGCCACGTATCATTTCGCCCGTCATAGTGGTATATGCTTTAGCCCTATGGGAAAGTGTTGGCGTAGTTTCAACACCTTCCTTTTTCGTGTACTGCATCAGCCGCTGTGAACTTTAAGGTTCCACGCCACAATCGTGTTCACTGTCAGTGTCGCATGTGAACTTCTTTTCACTAGAATGTTGTAAGCTCGACGTCTGTAATGCAGACCAGAAAGTACTCGAACCGTATGTAGCTCTTCCAAACTGATATTTTTTAGGACCATCGATGCGGGAATGCCAGCAAGTAGAAGCAACTTTCCTAGCGTACTAGGCCGTCTACGCTAGCAAGCATGACTCTCAATCACGATGAGCGGAAATTGTACATACACATGCCATGGCTTTCGAGTCATTACTCTATCACAGTGTGTGAAAACTCTGTTTGCTACACTGCGTACATGCTGAGGGGCCAACCTTTGATAGAAAAATGATCGCCTCCACAACCTTGTTTGGTTCCCTTTGCAGGTACATCTTCCCATTCAATGGAGCGATTTCCGAATGCTGAGGGCGATTCCTTCTAGATTCTTTGACTCTATGCCGAATTGGTCTTGTTCTTGTATCATACTACAAATGATCCGTCTCATTCCTCTACCGTTCTGTCGACACTCGGAATAATCGCCTGCCTGCATCTGGACGACTTAGTCACTCGTGTCCTTACGCATCGTTCTTGAGGTCTTAAACAAGATATCTGCTTTATAATAATGCCGAGCAGACTCCATGAGGCGTTACAGGCACTCGATGCCTCACTGCCTTGGTGAATTAGGTTTGTTGTACCCCTGTTGATATCTTGTCCTTTTACTCACTTCGAGTCATCCAGTCGCCTTGTCGTAGGTGAATATTCTCATGGTATCGCATGTTTTCTGATGTGCGATATTCCTGCGCCGGCCTCGGGTGAATCTTCAGTATAAAGGGCCAAGGTTGGCTTTGATACGCTTCACTCCTCCAATTGTTACCTCATAACATTCGGTTCAAGCCTAGTCTCATAGCACAATGGTGTGTACTTGTTCTTATATGAGCTATAATGACACGACGCTGATATCTCATATCCTCAGCCTGCCTGGAAGCAATATACCGTATTGCTCTCAATTTCATTGAGCTATCGTGCGCCACATGACTGACCGTTCACCACTCGCAGGGAAACTATAGCTTCATGCATAATTTCAGTATCTACGTCGGCCGGTATGATGGATACAACGAGACAACAGTAAGTTGTCGCCTTTGACTATTCAAGACCGCTGTGCTAACAATACTGTACCTTTCGCAGCGCGGGGCCAAAGTCAGACTAGCGTTCGCTGATGGAAACAAGTTGTGGTTTCCAGCAGACCCGAACCTTCTCCATCAGACAAAGTACGTTTACGTCGTTCCATGTCATACAATGCTGAACGTGTCGGGCATTAGCGATGCACTGACCGTCTCTCCGGGACGCTGAAGCCTGTTACTTTCTGGCGTCTCTTACTATCTGTATTACCCTTGTACTTATCCACGAAACATGGTTACTATTGTTCAGTTCATTTCATCTGTTGTCACATTGTGAGACTTTCATTCCTCACTCGAACGGTAAAGGCGACAAGCAAAAGGCAACATAGAGAGTGTAGGTCAACAAAAGCAAATAGCGATTGCAGCCAATATCATCCTTTTTAAGATGCTATATAAAGTCTGTACTAAGAGGAGCAACAATGCAACTTTGCGATCACTATGGATCCCCAGGGAATTTGAAATGAGGAGGAATCATTAACGAAGCCGGCGACATGTTGTTCACGAGCTTGCTAAGTTTCATCAATGCCTCATTTGCACTCAAACGCATAGCCGGATCAGATAGTTTCATATCTTCCAAGACTTCATCTATCGCCGGAATCGTCGTCTAGATAATATGAGGTTGTTATTAGTAGCAACTCTAATGATGAAAACGTATGGCCAACAAACCGCGAAACTCCAATCCGTAAACACTGCCCCCAATTGCCAGACATCCAGCTTGAACGGACAGTACGGCTTGCCACATTCCACTTCGGGTGGAGCAGGTCTGCTGTACCCAGTTGACGGATACCATTTGCACAGTGGATACCCGACCGAGACACGGTCTTCCGTAGGACAGTCCGGAGGGAATTCTACTGCAAACTCAAAATCAATGATATACACTCGGGGTCTACTTATCGGAACCGTCATGGTGCGGAGGGACTCGGGGTGCCATTGAACCAGTAGATTTGAGAGAAACATGTCCTGAGTGGCAATGTCAGCCAAAGTTCAGCATGATGAAGATAGCGGTGTCTCACTCGATGTGCAATATGCAGGTCGTGGAGAAAAACAAGACCCTGTAAAAGTATGAGATGTTATAAATGTGATACTGAAGGATATCTATAGATATATAGGAGAGACATACCTCCAATGTTTGCAGGATCATGTCGAGAACGTCCCCTACTGAGTTCTCCGCCCAGGCGCCAAATGCCTCGTCAACACAACCACCAGCCTTGGGGAAAACGCCCAATACAATGTCTTCAAAAAATATTTCTCGAAACATGGGGAGACAGTGATTGCTACTAATAAGACTGAGGGGCCCGGCGGCGATTTTTCTCAACAAAGCCAGATGTTGTTGGCCTTCATTTTGGATCGCGATGACACGGACTACTACAGCGACTCCATCGGCCGTCTGAGCCGTACGACTGAGAGCGTTCTTTACGAGCATAAGCATATAGAAAGTATACCGAAATTGACGCTTTTACCATGCATTGGAACACGCCAAGTCTCTCTGGAGAACCTGAGTGTTGGGGGACGTCGCGAGTTGGGGTGGCGTACGCAAATCCAGCGGAGAGAATGTACTTTGATGGCGACACGAGACAACTAAAAGAAGCACAAATCCACGGTATTAGACCCGCATCGCGCAGAACACTAGTCAGATTGTTCCAGAGGTCGTCCTCTTTCAGTTGCACTAAATCTGGACGTCTCCAAGTGTAAATACCCCTAGGCAACTACGATCTCGATTGAGAACTTTTATAACGATAGGAAAATTGAGACCCTATACCTTCTCGCGGAGACCTTTGCGTTTCTGGGCTGGTTTCAACAGTGTCAAGCCATGGTAAACAGCAATGGCTGCGGAGAAAGTCGCTACGACGCATCCAGTGACAAGCGCAAGGTGGGATGGAGCCATTATGTGTGTTATCTAAAGAGGGGATGGTTGGTAGTTGAAGTAACTGTCGGTCAGGGTTGTGCGGTTGAGAACTCCCGGGTTCCTAGCAAAGTTGAACATCGAACAATATTATTCTTTCCGATTGCGGACATCAATATGATCGCCGATCACGTAAATGGCCGGTCCCGGTAGCGGGAATAGTTGGGTTGTACCCACCTGCCTCCGTAACAACGTTGTTCACTATGACACTCTCTGCAAACCGTATGGTCGGTGGTCTTGCTGCTACTTATACCATAGAAGGCGAAGTTAGTTGGCATGCGGGCACCACCAAACTGCTTTCGAGCCATTGGAATACGCACTGACCCGGGCCGTTCTGATTAGATCGACATCTTTGCCCTTTACAGCTCCCTGCAGGAGGACTCATCTAGAGGCTTTCCATTTATCGCTCATAGTTTGTGATTATCAGATCGCAGACGGAGACTTCGGAAGGTCCTCTTGTGAATTACGCGTTCTATAGCTCATTGTTCACCACCTGAGCATTGTTCCATATCGAGGACTCGGTGAGAAGTTTCGAGCCCAATGTGCCATTTGGTCGAAAACACCTGCAGTCATATCATGCTTTTGGCACCGGAATAGCAGGACTGAACTCATAGTGACTCGTCTTTTAGCGTGGCTCCTCTAGTTATCCTAATCTTCCCACATTCCCATAACATGTGGCTTCTAATCGGGCGAGGCGTTAGCTCCAGGGTATATAACACGGGGCGTAACAGCTAGTCTCTTTTTCAGTAACCCACTTCTTCCCCTGCCAATCTTCAAGAGCAATGGTTTACACACTCCTCTTGTCAAAGATGACGCAACGCTGAACTATACTCATTCTAGACATCCGGTTGGACCCCCATGTTCGGCGAGTACCTCGATACAACGGTTGCGGTCTCTGACCGGAACCGTGGACCTGCTGTTTCCAGCAGTGCTCAGGTAAACCCACTGCCAGCTTGCGATATTATTTCTGCTCACACGACTGCAGGGAAATTATCGGCTCAATGGCACGACATACGTTGGGAAATATATGACACATAATGAGAGTGTCGATGGTGTACGTTTTATTTCCAACACAACGTAACGTTTTTGCGCTGCTGATTCTACAGTTGAACAGTTGAAGTACATCCTTCGATACGGAGATAATCAAAGAGCCGCATTGCTCGTGGAATCCTTAACTAAGACGAAGTGAGTGCCAAATCTTCGCGCCTTCGTGGGCGATTAACTGACCCGATTTTACTATGAGTGATCCTATTTCTCCCACTGCTCCTCCCTTGGGCTCTTATTAGACGTGCATCCCTTTGATACATTTTCTTCGTAGTTGATGTTAAGTTCCTTCAGAGTCTTCTCAATATCGCAGAATTTTCTTGTTGAAATGTTACATTCCTGTACTTTTATCGTGTATCGATCTACGAGAATTGTTGTCCTAACCATTTATGCTCATTTCTTGATATCCTATTGACTTCTCTCGGCTCCCATAAGTCTCGCATTACATCGTAAATTTCTTTACTTCCATGTGTGATTACTTTAACAACCCAATATACTAGTCCTTTAGAGCTCTCATAGCAGGATTCTTTGCAGCATTCATGCGCTTATGACCTTTTACTTCACTGAGACCTCTGCTCATTAAGGTCAATCATCGCCACAGCTGGAGAGGCCTCAAGCCTTCCCTGATCTCCTTGTAAATAGACAGCCACCATATCCGCCTTTGTGAGTATACCAAGTCTGTTCGTTTTGTCCAGATAACAGATAGCTAATCTTCGGTCGTGATAGGACATCCTTTGTTGCTGTCGCTAGATTAAAACCTGCCGGTCCTCTTCGTGAAGCCATTTTTCAGTCATCCTATTCGACACCAACCCTTCACGTTCTGGTCGAACGGATGTCATAGTGGTGAAAGAGCGACCTAAGACTCTATTGGACATATCGGCGAACAAGTGAGTTGAATGTCATGACGGAAGTATATTCTTCATTCCACAAAGATTGAATCGCTGATTTGATTCATTTTGTAATAGGACGTTTTGTACCATCGAAGGCAGACTGGAGGGCATTCTTCCGAGATTACCTTCGGAATCCGACTGGGGACGTGCCTTCGCCAGGTCCCGTTAGTAATTCGCAACCTCCTTCTGGAGTTGTGACTCCCGTTACGCCCGCATACTGAGTGGCGGCATTGTTCAAGACACTGTCTGTTCTCCATAGACTATTACCTCTCATCTAGAAATGCCTTGTATATCAAATGGCATCAATCAGGGCTCTAATAGATAAGAGTGGTATCGTATCTTATGCAATAAGCTGAACCCGGAAGATTGTAGGTGCGTCGAATTATTGGGGTATAACAACGTTCGAGACACAGAGCCCGCGTTGTGAAGGAGACAACCTAATAAATACCAGTGGTAAATAAATACAGCAATCCACAACGAAAACATCGACGGAGTGCGATAACAAAGGCAAACGGAGCAAGATGGGGAAGCAGATGAACACAGATAGAAAACACGAACTATGAGTCGTGCATTTCCGTTGGATGTTCTTCAGGCTCAATATTGAATTTCACAGGCTCAATGAGCAAGGCTTCTGGCGGAGTACTGTGAACCACCTTACTCAGTTTGGTTAACGCTTCACTCGCACTAGGACGAGCGACGGGATCATCAAGGACCAGTTCAGCTAAGACCTCATCAATGGCTGGGACAGTCGACTGTGGAAAACAAATGAGTCTCACAGATCTCACTGAGGGGATTGTGACATACCCTGAAAGTGATGAAGCTATATCCCAACTGCCACACATCCAGTTTGAACGGACTATATGGCATCCCTGAATCGACTTCAGGTGGGACTGGTCGACCCCATCCGTCTGCAATGTTGATGGTGCCACCGCTAGGAGGACCTACCGAGACCCGCGCCTCCACAGGGAGTTCTGATGGGAACTCCACCGCAACCTCAAAATCGATGAGATACACTCGAGGTCGGGATATAGCCACCATCATGGTCCGTAAGGACTCTGGGTGCCATTGAACTAGGAAATTCGACTTGTCCGCATCCTGTTGAGCTACGTGAGTATCTGAAATCCAATTCGAAGACAGAGAACTTACACGATGCGCGATGCCCAAATCATGAATGAATGCCAGACCCTGTAAAATAGGTGAATTGCGAATTTTCAATCAGAGGTGACCGAACTTACTTCCAAAGCCTGGAGTATCATGTCAAGTACGTCTCCCACTGAATTCTTCGGCCAGGAGTCAAAGGCTTGGTACATGCATCCGGCCGTGCGAGGGAAGATACCGAATGTAATGTCTTCATATTCGAAAACTCGAAGCATAGGGAGACTGTGATTGTTGCTTAACAGGCTAAGAGGGCCTGCGGCGACCTTATTGAGAATTTTCAGCTGTTCATGTCCATCTTTATTGACGGCGATGACACGAATGGCGACGTCGTGACCTTCCGTGGTACGAGCAATCCTCAACACGGGATTCTATCGACGATATTAGTATCTAGCTGCCACATAGCCAAATTTGAAACATACGATATACTGAAACCATGTGAGTTTCTGAGCTGTACCAGGGCCGCTTTTCAACCCGCGACTCGGTGCTACGTAAGCAAATCCACTAGCTAGCGGGTAGTTAGTCTGCGGTGATTCCAGTATCTGCATGTCGGTATGAGTCCACTGTTTCAGTCCGTAGTTCTGAAGCACTGGATCCAATGATTCCCAAATCGCCTCGCCGTCTTCCACCTCTCCCGGGTCCCTCCAATCACTGAGATTGAGAGGGAGCTAATTGGGAAAACCAATGAGCTCGTTCAGTAAAACTTTGAAGGCAACAAAAAAAACCTTCTGCCGTAACCTGCTCGAAACCCTGCGCTGTGACTCGGACAGTCGCGATGACTTTCCATTAAATCGAACACAATAGTATATCACCATACTCAGAGCGATTGCTGTGGAGGCGACCGTCGTAGTGACCTTCACCGAGAAAGACATAAACGCAATATAGACAAGCTATGAGGTTATGTTATTTTAAAGAGAAGCCGCACGCCACGTTAGTCACCTTGGTAAGTTTATATGATCTTGCATGCCATCAGAAGTCTACAACCACTGGCATCACAAATTTCCTATCTTGGGCATTATATTTAGACGCCACTGGTGCGTGAAGATCCAGCTGGTTAAACAGCTTCTGCATGCATGCATCACACTTTATCCATTGCAAACCTAGTATATCTACCGCATCTCAGCATCCCAGAGCCATGGACAACTTGTCCATGGCTCCGGATACGATGTAGGCTTCTTGCGGCCCCCGTGCAAAGCGCTTTGATACAGCGTCCTAGGTATCTAGTCATTTCAACAATGGTTAGTAGTGGGAATTGCAAGTAATCCCTGAACGCGTGGCTCACAGTATCATGCTTCTGTGATCCTAGGTATCTTGCGACGTGCTAGCGTTGACCTGCTTATCGCAGAAATATCTACGAATTACCTGCTACTTTGGCACGATCGATATGTTCAAAACCCTGAAGGCGGTGCTTCTTCATGTTCTGCACAATGCCAGAATGAGCTCTCTCTTCTGACATGCTGCAATCGGCCCGAAATTAGCTCACTGGGCATCAGCGTAACGCATGCCTGGGCGCAACCTCGGTCGTGCTTTGATTTGGGCACTGTATTCGTTAGCACAACCTCTGGCGCCAACTGGTGTCGTTAGATGCTAATGTCCCCTGCATTGGCATGACCTTCGTGCAAAAGGAATTTCTCTCTGCTTTAAGAGGGCCTTCAGTACGTCCTCCATGCAATCAATGTAAGCTCAGTTATAAATATATACGACTTGATCACTTTTGTACAGTGTGCATGACATTTAACTGGTTTCGAGTCATTCAGAAGGTTAAGGCCTTTTTCTTGGACATATGTTCTCATGCTATCGTTTACCCGTGTATGAGGTGGGAATTCAAGTCCTTTATGAATTATAAAAGAGCGAAGAAACCTGGATGGGTTCGCTCATTCTTCACTACTCGCGCTCATCGCCTCCCCTCCTCATCGTCAAAGCTCATATCACAATGGTCAGTATTCTGATGTACACCGTATACCACACTTTGCTTATGCCATGACCCACCCAGGCTCCCCCTTGGAAAAAGTATACGGTATGACAATGTGTTCTGAGCCGTAGCGGGATTTGTCACAGTTTACACATTCCCTTAGGGAAACTATTCATTCACCCGCAACGGCGTCACCTATGTGGGTTCGTATGGTGGTTTTCATGAGAGCGCAACACGTGTATGTTCATATCGCCGGATTCTTGCGTCCCACACTGAATATTAATACAATAGGGGGGCGCACGAGTTAGATTTATCTTCGCTGATGGTACCGACTTGTGGGTGCCGACGAGATATGTGAAGGAAACTAAGTGCGTTTATGTTGGTTTTTATTTGCGATAGCCATGCAACTCAAGTGTGATTCGTAGCCTGCCAGTCAGCGCCACTGGGCCGCCACACTAACTCGGATTACCTCACTATGCCTGCTACTTCTGATTCGAGTCATCTTTGACTGTTTTAATGAACCTTGTACTGATCCACCAAATATGATTACTACGATTCACCTTGTTTCATTTTTTTCTCCTCATTTTTGCACCTCTCTCGCTCTTACTGAAACCGCACAACGAAGTGCTAGCCGTATTTGGGTAGTTGATTACCGTAACTAGAAATAACTTGAACAGAAAAATGCAGGATGACACAAAACCTTTCAAATTGTTATATCAAGCGTGTAGTAGAAGGTACGGCATGCAACCTTGCGATCGCTATGGATCTCCAGGGAATTTGAAGTGAGGAGGAATCATTAAGGAAGCCGGCGACATGTTGTTCACGAGCTCGCTAAGTCTTTTCAATGCCTCATTCGCACTCAAACGCATAGCCGGATCAGATAGTTTCATATCTTCCAAGACCTCATCAATCGCCGGAATCGTCGTCTAGATAATACGAGGATGTCATTAGTAGCAACTCTGATGATAAGAGCGAATGGCCGACGAACTGCGAAACTCCAATCCGTAAACACTACTCCCAATTGCCAAACATCGAGCTTGAACGGACAATATGGCTTGCCACATTCCACTTCTGGTGGAGCAGGTCTGCTGTACCCGGTTGACGGATACCATTTGCATAGTGGATACCCGACCGAGACACGGTCTTCCGCGGGACAGTCCGGAGGGAACTCAACCGCGAACTCAAAATCAATGATGTACACTCGTGGTCTACTAATCGGAACCGTCATGGTGCGGAGGGACTCTGGGTGCCATTGAATGAGTATATTTGAGAGGAACATGTCCTGAGTGGCAATGTCAACGAAACTCCGGGATGTGATGAACAAAATGGCCTCTCACTCGATGTGCGATATTCAAGTCATGCAGAAAAATAAGCCCCTGTAAAGAGTATGGCATGACCCTGGAATGGATCTATTGATATATAAGACAAACGTACCTCCAACGTTTGCAGGATCATGTCGAGAACGTCTCCGACTGAATTCTCTGCCCAGGCTCCAAATGCTTCGTCCATGCAACCGCCAGTCTTGGGGAAAACGCCAAATACAACATCCTCAAAAGATATTTCTCGAAACATGGGAAGACAGTGATTGCTACTAGTAAGACTGAGGGGCCCGGCGGCGATTTTTCTTAATAAAGCCAGGTGTTCGTGGCCTTCATTTCGTACCGCGATGACGCGAACTACTACAGCGAGTCCATCTGCCGTCTGTGCCATACGGCTGAGAGTATTCTAAGCAATAATGAGCGTTAAGAAACTGAAATGGAAGGAAACGTCTTTACCTGATATTGGAATACGCTGAGTTCTTCTAGAGATCCTGGGTCATCGGGGACGTCACTGGTACGAGTTGCGGTGGCATACGCAAACCCGCCGGAAAGAATATACTTTGATGGCGACAAAAGATAGCTAAGGTAAGTATAAATCCATGGGGTTAGGCCGGCATTGCACAGAACATCAGTCAGACTGTTCCAGAGGTCCTCCTCTTTCAATTGTACCAAATCTGGACGTCTCCAAGTGTAGATGGTTTGGGGCAACTACAATGTCTCAACATTAACTTGAAATTTTTGAACAACGACAACGAGCGTTGAGATTCTGTACCTTTTTCCGGAGGCGTTTTCGTTTCTGGGCTGGTTTTAATTCTGTCAAGCCATAATAAATGGCAACAGTTGCGGAGAGGGTCGCTACGACGCATCCGACGGCAAGCGCAAGTCGGGATGGAGCCATGAATATGTGTATGTAGACTGAGGGAGGTCGAGCTGGGCTGAGGAGCACGTCGGTCAGGGTTGTGGTACTTGTGGGCCAGTTCTCGACAAAGTTGAACATTGAACAAAAGTTCCGATTCTGAACATGATCTCCGATCACGCAGGTAGCCGGGCCATGTGATGTACAGCCCCATCCGAGTCCAAGACTTAAGCTTACAGGCCGAATGGCCTGCACCAACACACCAGTGTCAATCTTCAGGCTACTTACTATAAAGCGCATTCCCGAACACTGCACCTTGACATCGTCTATAGTCGCTATGTCACCGCGTAGTGGGTTGTATTCCAATTTGGCTGCGATTTACTATGCTACAAAAAGGAGGATACTTACACTAACTGGCATATGTAACGTCAAAATCACTAGAACCTCCCGAGTGATCCAGGCCTGCTTCTGCGATGATCAGGGCGACAACGTCGTTGCCCTTTCCAGTTCTCCGCAGCGGGACTCGTACAGAGCCTTTCCGTTTATCATTCAAAGTTTGTGATTATCAGATCACAGTCGGAGGTTTTTGAAAGTCTTCTTGTGAATTACGCGCCCCACAGTTCATTGTTCACCACCAGGGCATTGTTCCGTATCAAGGATTCGGTGAGAAGTTCCGAACTCAATGTCTCATCTGACCGAGAATCCTGCAGTCATCCATGCTTTTTGGGAGTAGGATAAGAGGACTGAACTCATAGTGAGTCATTTTGCTCGCTCCTCTAGTTTATCGTGATCTTCCCACATCCCCACAACATGTGGCTTCTGATCAGAGAGCGAGGCGTTAGCTCCAGAACATATAAAACGGGGCGTAACAACTAGTGTCTTTTTGAATCACTCAGCTCATTCCGTTTTCCTTTTCGAATCTTGAAGAGCAATGGTTTATACATTCCCCTTGTCAGGCACGACGCACCGCTAAAGTATGTTTATTCTAGACATCCGGTTGGTCCCCCAGTTTCGGCGAGTACATCGACACAACGGTCGCAGTCTCTGACCAGAGCCGTGGACCTGCGGTTTCCAAGAGTGCTGTGGTAAGCTACTACCAGCTCGTGACATTATCCTTGCCAGTACTACCTCACACGATTACAGGGAAATTATGTGCTCAATGGCACGATATACGTTGGGCAGTATGTGACACATAAGGAAAGCGTTGATGGAGTACGTCTTAATATCAACATAATATATGCTTTCACGCTACTTACACTAGAGTTGAATAGCTGAGGTATGTCCTTCAATATGGAAACAGGAAACGAGCTGCCATTCCCATAGCGTCAATATCCAAGACCAAGTGAGACCCCAACCGATGCATTTTCTTGGGCAGTAGGCTGACCCGATTTCACTCTTAGCGACCCGATTTCAGACACTCCTCCTCCCAGGGGCTCCTATTAGATAGGCCTTGGGATATTATTTTTGTGATCGATATCGAGTTACCTCAAGTTTTTAGGTGTCGTATACTCTCTTTGTTTGAAAGTTGCATTCCTGTATTTTTACTGCGCGCCGATGTACCAGAGTTATGTATTGACCTATCCATTTACTAACATTCATTCACGAATATCCCATTTGACTTCCCGAAGGTTGGCCAGGCGTCGATGACGTCGTATATTTCTTTAATTCTATATAGGATTCACACCCATTCAAGTGTACTCTCCCCCAGAGATCTCGTAGCGCCCTCGCAACCTTGTACCTGTCCACAGCCCAGCCTTATCATTCGGATGAAAGTCATTTATTCGGAGGGAAAAACGATGCACATTTACTAGGATTCAAGCCAGACAAATATGTAAGACGACACTTTCAATGACAGGTCCGCTCGACAAAACATCAAGTGAGGAAGCCCGTCAACGTCGCAGATTTCTCAACATTGCACGAAGCAATCGTAACAGTGTGCGTATCTCAATGTGGCTAGATTCAAAAACGGGCACAACAAGATTTGTGTTGGAGCTACTTCGTATGAAAAGGCTAATAAAGGATGGGCGGAAGAAGAGCGGTTGTGTACCTTCGGTGCAAGTTGCTGCTTTATCGATAATCCTGCCAAATCGACATTTAAGAATCATCGCAGAAGGACATGCCAAGGTCCCAGATAAAGGAGGTCATCTGAGGAAACTGTCTTCCGCACGTAAAGGCTAATATTGAGCATCTTCAATGCACTGAACCGGTACAAATTGAACGTTGCATCCAACGTTCAAAACTCCCAATTTGGTGGGTCTCGATCAACGGTTCACGGGCCGCGCGCCATCAAGATCGCTCAAGAATCTCAAGAGCGTCCCACATGTACACCAAACAACTTGGTCACGGTTGAGCCAGCCAGAACGTCGAGGTTCAGTGTCTGCTGCTCTCCTGTCCGATGCATCGAAAGAAATACTTTTCGTATCGTGGTCACGCTTGTATTGGACGATAAGGCTCTGATAAATTACAAATTCGAATGGAAGTCATTACAGGGACCGATAGCAATGTGCCAACTAATCTTCAGTGAGTTTTCGAATACCATCACCTTGTCCTGATTGACCCCTGACATTCTGTTCCTCGATGATAGGAAAACATATTGCTGAGGGCCCTCTCAGTTCTAAGCGCCATTTGTCATGCAACTCTTAGGACACAAAATGATAATCAGATCGTAACGAAGGGCTCCGGAAGTCCCAGGCAGGATTCTTGTGAAGATTAACCCAAGAAAATCATCGTCGTCTCCATTCCATTGTTCTGTATAACGTTCATCACAGGAAACGCCGAACCTGGTGCCTCATCTAATTCGGGCCCGGTCACTCAGAGTCATTAAACGCAAGTTTCCTAACGCTGGACATGATTGGATTTTGTACATATGCTCACCCCGTAGAAACGTGAGTACTTCATTGACTAATCTGATGGTCTCTCATGCATCCGGTATTCATTCTAGAGAGCAAGCCCATCTGAGAATGTTGCAACAACCGCCTACTTCTTCCGACGTTTTTTTAGCCCGCTCAGTCGTTACACGCTAGTTCGTGTCATAATGGTACCAATGTCTCAGTTTTCTTTCCCCTCTTCGATCCTCATAGTGACAGCGTCTACGATCTAGTCGTCCGGTTTCAACATCCTCTACGGCAGCTCTCGCGCCACATCCTGGGAGGTAAATACTCTCAGTGGCGTTTCCCGTCCCGATGCTTGGTGACTCACTCGCAAGCACAATCCACACCCTTTTTATCCAAAAAAAAAAAACTTTACTCCAGGGCAACTACCGGTTTTACGTTGATACTACCCCATATGTCGGCCGATACTTGGGATCCGTGAAGACTGACGGCGAGGTTCGTTACTCAAACCAGGCTAATGAAAAGTTATGCTACTCATGTTCTCCTTGGGCAGCCAAAATTCAACCTTCAATTCGCCGATGGCACCACGCTTTCAGTCCCTGCACGGTTTTGCTCGAAAACGTCGTATGTAGAGCACCGGCGTCTAATCATGCTATACTACTGATATACGCCACATTTCAGAAATTCAGTTTCTTCCACTCGCCCGCCACGGCTATGATAGTGTGATACCTTCATCCGTCACGGGGATCCACTTTTCCGATGTTTTCGGTCTGTTGTCGTATGCAGGTTTCAACGCTGGAATGCTTGATCCTTGATGGTGCATTCACCTTTGGTAGAGGTAGTTGCAGCAACACCAGAACAGGACATGAAAACAAGTCTAGGGAATGTCTCTGACGTTGTTGTATATTATTCTGATGGATAGAAGGCTGGTCTTTGTCCCGCATGCCCCACCGGAGATTGATGCTGCGCGTCGTACTCGTGTCCTGTCACTGATGATAAGTACAACAGCTTGTACTAGTACCGGCTCCCTGCAACATGTCACGACAACCCGGTCGGCACTTTGATTTTCGATGAACCGAACGTCAGTTGTCGTGAAGGAGCTGACTGCCTTGGTAGTCGGTATCGGCATCCGGTTCTGTGCGTTCTTAACTTGCTTCATATTTCTTTTCGGTCATTGTTGACTTGATTCAGTAGGATTCGCGATACCTTTCCCTGAACCCAGATACGCCTCTGACGTATTCGTTCACTAGATCTGCACATCATAGAAAATCTGTGACCCGTACAATGTACTTCTCTTCCTGGAATGGTACTGACGATCATTGTTCCGAGATTGCCGTTACAGTCCATGAGGTCTCCCATTAATTACAGACTGCAAGCTCATCCCTGACCTGGTTAGGCTTTCCTACCACCACACTGGACTTGAATAGACCCTCTGGCGCGCTCCGGCGGGTCCGGGTCGCGCTTCTGCGAACCTGCAGGATTCAATGATGGAAGCATTCCATGTGTTCTGGTGCGAAGCATATTCGGTATGTCACCTTTAACGGCGTTCGCCCCATTTCGTCCGTGGGATCTCACGACGTTCATCCATCCCTCCTTTGCAGGCCCATATGGTGTGAAATATTTACGTTGAGACAGACTTCCTACCCGCGTAGGTGAAATATGCCGAAATGAATCATGGACAGTTCATGACAGTCTGAAGCTAGAAGCCAAGCGCTCTTGCTTCGAACAATTTGTTGATACTCCGGTCAAGGGGTCGGGAGTATTGGCAAAATGGAGGTTTCCAGTATCATTGAATCACAGTTCTTATCGATTTCATCTCCGTATAGGTTCCTAGTGGGAGCGAGGGCAAATCCATGAGCGCGCTCGATTAACTTTCCCGACTGTTACTTGTGTCCTGACCTGTTTGGCAAGTTTTGGCTTGCATTGCTAGTTAGATATTTTAAACTGACACTAGGCAAGGTTGCGACCGTTGAGTCTAATCCATGCGAATGAGGCAGAAGAAGTTGACTTCTGTTTGAAGGGCATCAGAGCACCTCGAGACTTCGAGAACCTGAAGTCATCTTCGCATGGGAGAAGCAAGGGAGAAGTTCAACGGTCGCAGCCCGTTGAGATGTAGAGTATGCTGGGCAGTCGGAGACGTAAGAGGGTGAATGAAAGCTAGGGGACAGTATTTAGAGCATATACGATGTGCGATCATAGGGAAGTAATCTTCCCCTCAAACTTTCAGAGGCAGCCAAGCTTGAGAAAAACATATCAACGGAGAGTAAGCCCGATATGGTTGAAGTCTTACATAATCGCAGTATGTGGGACCGACTTAGACGCCTAAGGTCTCTGACTTTGCACTGACCTCTGCAGCCGCTCACCTCTTCCCCTTTGCGCGTTGGCCCATGAATTCACCGGCCTTCAGCGCGTCGTCGACAAACATCATGACCTCCTGGACACCCCAGCCAGCTGCTTTACAGGACATCCTCCAAACGATCCATGAATCAACCGATTCGCAGAATACTCAAGTTCAGCGCGCAATTACTCATGTATGTAATATTTCAAAGTTCGAGTTCATTCCATCCAATTCACCGTTCATCTTCACACAGAAACTGAACTCTTTTACACGCGCGCCGGACTACATAGCCTATCTTGCATACATCTTGGCCTGTTTGACCCAAGAGGAGGAACGAATTCGAACCATTGCAGGCTATCTCCTCAAGAATAACGCTCCTCTCATTCACAGGGCCTCTCCAGATGTTGTTGCGTTTGTCAAAACGGGAGTACTTCAGGCGTTCAATGATTCTGCCACCATGATTCGTAATGCTGCTGGACAGGACATTGTCGCCTTCTTGGGCATACTCGAACCGAGGAATTGGCCGGAGTGTCTTCAGCACTTAGTAAATGCATTGGATTCGAGTAGTTTGGACCAACAAGAGGTAAGCCCTTTGTCTCAGTTTTTGACGCGAGAATCCCTTCGTCGAAGCCGATGAATGAAAGGGGGTGGTGGCGATTGTCAATGAGCGCGCTTTTGGCGGCCATACCCTGCCCATAAGATGAAGTTGGTCATCGTTTTCGAAGGCACCGCGTGCTTGCCTTCTGAGCAGTGTCTGTGGTCGACAAATGCGCATGCTTTGCGCCCCCATTGCCCTGTTCCTGGACTCCTCTTCAGTCATGACGTTTGATTCCGAGGTTCATCGGTAGCTCTAAGTTATGTCTCAGTGGACGGAACCGTGTCTCATCAATGAATCTCCCTCGATCGTAATTTAACTCATCTCGATCTGTGATTAGGCTGCTTTCAATGTCCTCGAGAAAGCTTGCGAAGACTATCCTCGCAAACTCGATGTCGAAATCAATGGCACTTGGCCGTTGGAATACATGATTCCCAAGTTCCTTCAACTCTCCGAACACCCTTCATCCAAAATGCGTTCACATGCGATCGCCTGTCTCTCGTACTTCGTACCCATCGGGTCCCAAGCGTTGTTTGCACACATCGATACCTTTATTGCGTCTCTTTTCAAACGGGCTTCGGATGAAGACCCTTCTGTGCGCCGACACGTCTGTCAAGCACTTGTCTTACTCCTTGCGTCTCGCCCGGAGAAGCTTATGCCCGAAATGGCTAATGTTGCAGAGTACATGCTATACTCCACCAAGGACAAACACGAGAATGTCGCTCTGGAAGCTTCGGAATTCTGGCTCACGTTTGCCGAGGATCCGGAGTTGGCACCCTACCTCCAACCGCTTCTGCCGAAGGTGGCTCCCGTGTTGCTGGACTGTATGGTATACGGCGAAGATGACCTTCTTTGGCTCGAAGGCGATCTCGAAGATGCTGCCGTACCTGATCGGGAGGAAGACATTAAACCCCGACATTATGGTGGTAAGACGCATGCTTACGAACGTGATACCAACGGCGATGGCACAGTTGCCAAGACTCGTACTGGTGCCTACGGCGAGGAGCTCCAGGATGAAGAAGATGAAGAGTTTGATGACGATGATGACTCAGACTTCGCGGAGGAGATGTCAACCGAATGGAACCTGCGTAAATGTGCAGCTGCTGCACTTGATGTGCTTGCCGTCCGATTTGGGAATGAGTTGTTGACTGTGCTGCTCGACCCTCTCAAGGTCAAACTTTGGAATGAGGATTGGTTGCAGAGAGAAAGCGCCGTCTTAGCTTTGGGTGCAATGGCTGAAGGTATGTGCCGATGTCCATTGTCTTACCCAATGTACTGAGTTGCTTTAGGTTGCATTGATGCCATTGAGCCTCATCTTCCGACTTTGATTCCATATCTGATAGCGCAGCTGAATGATACTAAGGTTCGTCTTGCTCTTGATTACTTCTATGAATCTGTTTAATCATATTTCTTATGACAGCCTCTCGTGCGTTCCATAACATGTTGGACACTGGGCAGATACGCGGGCTGGTGTACTCAGCCAATCTCAGAAGAACACAGGAACATGTTCTTCATCCCCACTTTGGAAGGCGTACGTTCATTCATCTGCTTGCTCCAGGACTGCGTCTGATTCGTTTGTTCGTTCAATAGCTTTTGCGTATGGTCCTCGACAACAACAAGCGCGTTCAAGAAGCGGGGTGTAGTGCATTCGCCACGCTCGAAGAAGACGCGGGTCTTGAACTGATTCCTTACTTGGAGCCTGTCCTACGGAACCTCGTTGTCGCCTTCGACAAATATCAGCACAAGAATATGCTCATATTGTACGATGCGGTTGGTACACTTGCTGATTCCGTGGGCCCCGCATTGCAAAATCCAACCTACGTGGACATTTTAATACCACCTCTGTTGAAAAAGTGGTCGATTCTCAAGGACGATGATGACGATCTTGTTCCTTTATTAGAGGTCAGTCGTCACTTGATTCCGAGCAGTCTGTCATAACTTACGAATACTGACTGCTCTCATTTTCAATAGTGTCTTGCTTCGGTTACCATTGCTATGGGACCTGCCTTCCTACCCTATTCCGGGCCGATCTTCGAACGATGTGTCACAATCGTGCACACTTCACTTTTGCAATACCAAGCTTACCAGCAGAATCCAGAAATGGATGAGCCAGATCGCGCATTCCTGGTCGTTGCATTAGACTTGCTGTCCGGCCTAACGCAAGGTCTTGGAATGAGTTTGGAGCCCCACATCACCCGCAGTCAACCCAATTTGCTCGAGCTGGTAGCAGTGTGCCTCAAACATCCCCAGGCACCGGTTAGGCAGTCAGCGTATGCCCTTGTGGGCGATCTGGCGATGAACAGTTTCATACTTTTGCGTCCCCATATGCCCAGCATCATGCAGGAATTAATCGCACAACTGGACCCAGAACCGAAATTCGAGTTTATTAGTGCATGCAATAATGCGGCTTGGTCGGTTGGCGAAGTCGCCTTGCGTTATGGGCGAGGTGAGTGATCATCGACAGAGTTGATTCTGCCTCACGTGCTGACGACTTTGTTTGTATTTCTAGATGATCCTGAGTTCAGACAATGGGTCCACCCCCTGATTTCACGTCTGATTCCAATCCTTTTGCATCCCAAGGCTCCTCGTAGCCTCCATGAGAACGCCGCCGTGTCCATAGGTCGCATAGGATTGATGCATCCTGACCTAGTAGCGCCTTTACTCCCTGACTTCGCCCAAGCGTGGTGCCAAGCTTTGTACGAAATCCGCGATAACGAAGAGAAAGATTCTGCTTTCCGTGGGCTGTGCACTCTCGTCCAGGCCAACCCGGCTGGTATTGCCAAGGTTAGCTATCTTGCTTGGTTGCTTTCTCAGGTCGTTTACTGACCAATTGTTTTCCACAGAGTTTACTTTGGTTCTGCAACGCCATCGTCAAATGGAATCATCCCTCGCAAGAGCTTAATGCTATGTTCCAAGCTCTATTGATCAGCTTCAAACAACATGATGCTGCGGGATGGGCTGCCCAGGTTTCGCAATTCCCGGCTGCAATCCAAGAGCGACTCGCCCAACGATATGGCGTATAGAAGCCGAATGCAATATCTCTATCATGACCAACGGTGTAACATGGCTATCGTATAATTGCAAGTGTATCAATTCCCCTCATATCTCTGTGCTCTCCATGCTATTGTCTTCGTCGTCAGACATTCATCTTCTCCCTGTTTTTTTTTTTGGAACCCCTTTTAGTAGTGTAGTATTTCGCATCACTCGTTCATTACTTTTGCTTGTTTGATTGTTCGCTTCTTTGATTTGGCAATAAATGTCTCTATGCGACTTGACTCCAAAGCCGATCAGTTTGTGCTTGGCGCTTTACTCACATTCACTTCAACTCGGGTAGGGCAATATTATCAGCTTTGGGATCTTCAATGTTGGTCATATAGATGGCAAGTTGTCCGAGGTACCTACGACAACTGCATCAATGATACAGACGGGCGTTCTCAAAGTTCTCAACGACTTGACAAAGGCCAGCGTCCAGAAGGATAAGAGGGCCGTGCACCACCACGACACCTCTACCGCATCAATGCTCAGTACGAGTACTCAACCGCGTTCAACGCACGAGGAAATTTCTCTTGTAAGGTGGTTACGTTAAACTAGCGGACTCTTGTGGACCCTCAAAGCGGCGTATGTGGGGGGTCATCATTACGTTCATCGTTCGACACTCAATCTGGACCGACAATCGCTATATCATCGCAATCAACAATTCTTGTCAAAATATGCTGCTATTCATTGAAGATCAGTTCGGAATACATGCTGCACGAAACTCAAGTTGAAGTCATCCTGAAGTCAGGTCTCACTAGGCTCGACTTCACGTGTCGCGCCCAATACTAGCCACCCAATTCTCGAGCTTCTCGTTAACTTCTTCTAATACGAGATCGTTGACTTCGAACTCTGATGTCATGCTCGCATCATCGTCACCTCCGTGCACAGAATGGGGTTTCGAAGGTCCTCTTGATGAGACGCCAGACACTTCAACTATGGCGTCATGTTCTTCCTTCAGTAGTTGATGAGGCCACGTAAACTTTCTCCATTGCTCCGAGAAACGCACCACATGCTTCTGGAGCGTAAACAGCGCAATAGAAAGACGGGCTCGATTCTCCAGGTCCATGACACTGTGTGCTATCGGGATGATAGGCAGGCTATCCACAACACAAACATCGACTCGCCCATGAGATGTGAGGAAGAATGCCATAACATGCACGAATCCTGCCTTCAGGTAGGTGCAAAATAGTGTCGCCCATGTGGGCCACGCCGCTGGTTCACTGGCGCCAACGTCCTCTTGCGTTAAAGCGAAGCCAACCATTCGCAGATGCGGACCCATCACAGTCTTCAGATCGTCCAGCTCGTCCTTCGATATACCAAAGCCATCCGGGTCAAAATTAGTCGTTCGTAGACCTAGTACAACTGCTGGACTAGAAATTGTCAACGGTAATTGAGCAGCGCGTTTGACAGTCGGCCATGTGTCTGGGGGATTGTTTTGCACCACAAGAGCGAAATCAGCCGCAATACTGGAGGTGACGTCCGACGATTGCGATGATAATTCTGAAGGATATCGTGTCTTAGGTTTCCTGTAGAGGGACTTCAGAAGATAGAATGAAAGCAATCCGGCAATAAGCTCACCAACGGATTGAATAGTCAGAAAAGCTGGAGAAAATGTTCGCGATGAAAAGATTCACTTCCTCCCAAGATGTCGCATGCATACTAAGGAGATCATAGAGTCTGTTTAGGTGTGGCCTGGAATCGTTGTCCAACGTATCCCGATCCAGATCCAAGATGTCCCAAGTAAAAAAGGATCTCGGGACATACGTTGGGTGGAAGAAGTCTGGACCTAGGAAAGTAGGGTCGGCGCGACGACTAGATAGCGCCTCATCGGACAAAGGCTCTAACAAATGACGCAGTGGATGCAACACTATCTTAGAAAGCATCAACACAGCGCGATTGACTATGACATAGCTCCCTTTCTTTCGGGTTGGATTGATCGCGACAATTTCGTCCTCGATTGGCTGGAGTGTCAGATAAGTATGGAGGAATCGAAGAGAAATCTGAAGCGTTTCTTACAACCCACTCCTCTGGAACGGCCAGTCGCGGAGCCCTCCAGAACTCACGCATCGTCAGAATGAATTGAGGCATGCGAGAAGTTTGCGGCACGTGTGTATCAATACTACGCAGAAACTTCGGAGAATGCGTATACCTCCCGGATATATCGCGAAATGTCAGTAACGTGTCATAGAAAGCGTTCGCTCTACTCACAGGCTCGTTGACGTCTTCTTCACTGGAAATCCGCCGGACTGCTGGAGCAGTTGCTCAAGCTCTCGAACGCGGGCTCGGATCACAAACAATGCGATGGTTATTCGCCATCAAATAAGAAAGTGTTGTCCGGAGAAATCTTGTGCATCCTGTAAACATCCAGTTCCTTTTCCTCAAGGGCAACCCAATGTTGGGCAACAAGTGCTTGACAAAACTTCCACTTTGCCGGATCATCGGTAGGAGTAGTTTCAACAGGGAAGTGTGCGAATATCTGAATGCGTGTGCGCGACCAATGGAGACCGTAAAGTACGCAGTGCTCCGGTAATTCTGAGTCGGTCTTCTCTGAATCCGCCGTCTCTTTCTCACGATGCAATTTGACTAAGTGCACCAATGTTGGGTGCAGGATCTCCATCATCTCTTTACGTATGTCATCATTGAAAGCGGAACAGCCGCCTATGAGACACATATCAGTGTCTCTCCCTTCGAGGGGGAAAAAATAGAGAACACTACGCACCGGCAACTATCAAAGGATAAGAATGCTCCTCTGTCAAACATCCTTCAGGGAGACAATCAGTTCCCCTAGAGGTGTACGTCAGATCTTTATGTTAGACGTGATTCAATGAAGTCGGTTGACCAGGACGTACTTCAAGAAAGCAATGCTAGTGTCAAAAAGTAAAGATATGGCGACTTTCATGAATTTCTCAAATAGATAGTCGACGCCTCCTTCATATGGCCCAGGTGCCCTCATGAGTCGTAGAACTGACGCCGAGTACGCTGTGTTGTCGACTATAGTGTTGACTGGCAGAGCAGCGCGTTCGTCTTCATTCAATCTGGCATATTCTGAAGGATCTCCCCAAGCGATATGAAACACTCGTGGTTCCTCGTCGGGATTCTTTTCCAACCATTTCGACGAGTGGTACCTGCCGACCTGTTCAACGAGATCGAGGACGAGCTTAAGCGTGCTCTGCTCAATGTCGTCTATGCCTGCAGCGAGGATTTCCCTACTTAGACTGAGCGTATGAGTTTGTCCCTGTTACACGTTAGCACGGGAGTCCAATGATTTGACCTCGAAGCTTACCAGAGAAAGCTCGGATGGGACCAGCATGGGCTTGATTGCCTGAAAATCGAACCAATCCCATGAATCAGAAACCATGCGCACGACCAGCTTCTTATTCTCCTTATTGACGACATCCTTCAATGGCATGGACTGGTGAACAATACCAGGCAAATGGCCGCGATCTAAACCTTCTGGGGTTATGCAAGTCCAACTACCATGCGAAATCAATTCTAGATTGCGAGATTCATAGTGGGTGTTAGTGTACGTGTAGTAATCTGATGCGGCGATAAGTTTATGATCTACTTAGAGTCTCACGTTGTCACTCACCACGTCCATGGAAGAACCACATGCTCTGCGAGTTTGTGAGACTCAGACTGATAGAAGCAAGGTATGTGGAGGACTGAATGGCTACCTGCGCCTGTCCATAAGTTGCAGGCCGGATGACGTACAGTTGGCTGAGTTTGATTCATATCGACGAAGAACCGGTAAGGCATCGATATCCTTTGATAAAAGAGCGGTTGTGCAGATTTGTTTTCGTGACTGACACTTGTAGGAAAAGCTCCGCTCGAGCTCTAAACGATAAACGCTACTGCAGAAATTCGCTGTTCTCCGTACGGACATCCACGTTACCGTGCCAGGCCTTGTCATATAAGAGCTCCATATTCAGATACGCAAGCTTCATGTATAGCCATACCTCCTATAAGGCGAAGTCCACGAGATAAGATGCGAGAAAATATGAACTTCAAGAAGTTGCTCAGCCGAATGTAGAACTTTGATCAAGAATGTGTCGCAGTAGACGCCGACACCACAGTACTCTGTCATTTCCCTACGTCCGAAGTTCCTTACAACACTCTGCATCGTCTCAGGCTTGATTTATTTTGTATTTCTACAACCGACTCCTCGTTTTGAATCTCTGAATAATTCACCGCGAGTTCCTTTCCTAATCTCTATCTGGTCTTGTGGTCTTGGTGCTACGTCGGCGCAATGTTCTCAGCTTGGAGCAATCTCAAGCTATTACTCTGTCTGACTTTGGGTTTTGCTGTGCTTCCCTTCGGAGTAATTGCAGCGGGAGATGCAAAGCTGGCAAATAGGACTATTGAAAGAGTACGTGTGTTGTCTACTCCAGGTTGTTCCGGAGGTGGTGGGAGGTCTATGTGGAGGGAACAAGTGTTGAGCTGTACCTCTGTTTTCTGTTTTCGGGTTACAACCAGACTTTGCTTGAACTACTTCCCGTCCCTGCTGTCTCTCATGTGTGTTACTGATACCATGGTTACAGACCGTATCCCTCCGCACACACTCGATATACCCACCATACATCGACCAAGACCTACAGAATCGGTGAGTCCACTTCATCGGATGAATGATTCTTCTGTAACCTAACATCAATGCCTGATATTGTAGATGGTGGGACTTTGGAGCTGATGCATATATCGTATGTTCTCATATAGACACTCTACATATTCCGGCGACCTAAAACCACCTTTGTAGAACACGAATAAGCATATCCGACTAACAAGGGCACGTCCTTCACAAATGGTGCGTCCACTTTCTTGGCCTTTGTTGCCTCTGTTCTTATCATTAAGGTCTCCAGGGCTGGCTGTGGTCCCGACTTCCACTAACATCCGCCAACTTCATTGTTGAAGTCGAATTCAAGGTTTGTGCTATCCTTACTCTGCACAGGGATTTGTGGTTACCTTAGATCTGCTTTAGATCTCTGGAGACACCGGTCACTTATTCGGTGATGGACTTGCGATTTGGTTGACAACGACTCGAGCGCAACCTGGACCTGTATTCGGAAGCGTTGGTGCGTATAGCTGTTATCTGACTAAGATATTCCGTTATTAATTCGTGAACCTGTGATGCAGATAATTTTGAAGGACTGGGCGTCTTTCTTGATACGTATGTAGCTTTCCCTTGCAATGTAGTATCACAAATCCTGAGCGCATTCCGGTATACCAGATACGCAAACTCGCGACATGGCTACGCGTTCCCTCGTGTAGTAGGCATGCTCGGAGATGGCAAGACTTCGTACGACCTCGAGAACGACGGCGAGGCGACTAAAATTGGTGCCTGCGGTGTGAGTACTATGTCCATATCCTGGTGGAGATGATGCTGAAGTAGGAACCTCGTGCGATTAGGCAAATTACAGGCGGACGAATGTTGCGACAAAGCTGAAGATTACCTACATCAAAGACGCGTATCTTGACGTGAGTGAAGCAGTTCTCAGCTTTAGTGCCTAGAAACTGACTCGATGTGTGGCGTTCAACAGGTCAAGATTCAATATAAGGCCTGTGAGTTCCCCGAATGACCTAATCACGTCTATTTTCTCCTTATTGATGCAATTTCTTGCAGGGGATGAATGGTCAGACTGCTTCACCGTACCCAACGTGGAACTACCTCTAGCTCCTTTCCTTGGGTTCTCTGCTTTGACCGGAGATGTCTTCGATAACCACGAGTGCGTCGTTCATTCCAATTTTGTCAGTTTTGTAGTTCACACGTTTTGCAGTATCATCTCCATTACGACCTACTCCGCAATTCTTTCCTCACCGGACGCCCCTCGAGACAAGATTGGTGTCGGCATCGGCTCGTCGTCCCGACTTGCCGGATCCTCATCGTACTTCTGGACTCTCGTCAAGTTTGCGCTCTTTGTTGGTGTATGCGCTGGCGCGTTCTATGGTTACAGGACATATTCGTCGAGACAGGGTGGCGCCGGGTTGGGAATGGGAGGGCAGAGATTTGGGAACAACTTCGGTGGCTTATATGACTCGAAACGATTCTAAGTAATCTTTTTGGGGCTCCTGTGCATACTCTGGATATCCGAGTACCTTTATAAGGCCGCATGGTCACGAGGATTAAGAGGATCGTATTTATTATAACTTTGGTGGGCATGCTTTCAATTTGATTTTCCTATATCCAATGGAACAACAAGCTGCCTATAGTCTTGTAACCTGCGCTTCTCTTCCTCCCTCCACCCGTGGGCCCTCTACTTATGCTCAGAGCCTCAGTTGAGGGTCTAGGACAACGCTTGTTTCTAGTTTTTCTGAGATAGATTCCGTCAGTGATCAAGCACGGTCAGTCTTCATATGGAATGCACAGTAGTTCGTGATAGCAACGAGGCATTGAAACCTGCCGTGAAGTCTGTATTGACAGACCTCCATGTAATCGCCTCTGAAGCGTTAGCATTATTCTATACAAGCATATGAACACAGGCGACGGATCTGTCAAATTCTGCCCATAGTTGTCCCATTGACAAGCAGATGAGATCCTAGCCCGGCCCTACGCATTCTGCACCGTAGAAGCATTTTCTCTGCATGTATGCTAGTCTGTAGGAGTTCAAGGGTACATTTCCCATGAATTGAATGGTACGTGGAAGGTCCAACAGGGAGGACGAACGAAGCACTCGCCAATGCACCTCTCCTCCTTCGGAGACAGTCAAAGAGTCGAACGTTCAATGATCATATATTATGGTCTTCAGGATGGCGTACACGCGAAATTCGAATCCAGGCATAAAGACGATTTACATTGATAAGTTGGCAAGATTCTGACGTGATAATCTCTTGAATGAAGCGGAGTAATCTACCAGGAATACATTTAGTATCTTACGCCTTGCAAGCGAATAATGGTAGGAGACATAATTATAAGTTATCAAAGCCAAATATGAGACATACTGACATCCTCCGGTTCCAATTATCATGCAGCGAGCACGTCCACGTCCAACCCTACGATTCCACAAGACAACTTCGCCATGATCGCATGCTGCCACCCTTTGGGCACTGGCTTGAGTGCTTCGCTAGTTTCAAATGTTACCGGCAGGCCCCTCACTGTGATACACTCTCCCTCAGGCGTGACCAGAGCGATGAAAATGATTCCCGCATCATACGTCGACGGCCTAACCCTCTTCACGTCTTCGCCTAACCGCTTGCGGTATGCCAACAAAGGTTCATACCTAGCAGGCTCATTCCGAATTGCACGTTCCAGGTCGAAAGGAGATACCATTTGGACCTCCATACACGACGCAACGTCAGTACTACCAGCATTTCCTCCCTTGTATGATACCATAACTTGTAAAGCCCTCTTCTCGTGGGCAGTAGGGTTTGTGGAAATGTCCAGAATGGCAAGGAGGGCGTCAATGAGGGTAGGCCAATGGCGTTGGATCCATCGGCAGAAATATTGGTAGACACATTCGCCATTAAATTGGGCATTGACGATATCTCGCTCGTGCGCCATCTCCTTGCATGCCTTCTGATGATTGGGCCAGTCGTTTTTCTGGCATTCTTTGGACTACTGCATTGTCAACTTTTGTCTCAGTATAGTAAAATAAAGAGGAAAACCTACACAGTAATGCATTACTTTACACCGACTACAGGCACGTAAACGTGCTCCCATCGTCTCTCGACTCTCACCACATAGTCGATAGCTGCACTGGTCATAAGACCGATCAATGTTCTTGTTTGGAGCCATTTCGATGTCAATTAGTGGAAAACGACAATTCGGAATCAAACTTGGAGACTACTCCAAAACACAAAACGAGCTTTCAGATACTGCAGCTCAAGCTCGATGGAATTAGGAGACAAGTGTTACAATGAGTGTTGTTTGAACTCACAGCCCGCCGCCAGCCTCTGATCGGGCGGGTACCCAGAAATAGCAACTCCTGTAGAATCGAACCGCAAATTGAAGCACCGTCCGCAATTGCTCGAGTACAACGAGTGAGAATACATTTGCTTTTGACTTTCTACCTGCGCCTCAAGATCATCACGGGAGACGAACAAACCCGTCTTCCAGGTCGACCTTTCGAGGCGCATTACATTGCTACCACATCCACCTACAACCGAAAAAGAGAGAGATAAGAGGGAAAAAGAGGAACCGCCAGAGCTACAAGGGACTTGCTGAACCAGAACAAAGGAATGACTGAGTAGGATAATAAAGCGCGAGCAAAAAAGGGGGGCTTGGTTAAAGAGAGGGGAGGGGAGGAGCCAGACGAGAAGGGGGGAAAAAGTGGCCGAAAGATATAACGTGAATCCGCCGATAAACCGACAGGTGAAGGGAATGAAGAAAATAATATATGATGCATATGGTGAGAGGGAGAGAGAGGAAAGGCCAAACCGCTGTGTAGATTAACCGCACTCTATAACATCGGAAAAGTAATGAGACAATAGGGTTGCTTGATAACCAACTTGAGATGAGAGAGAAGAGAGAACCAACACCGAGGCAGAAGTCGAGAATATTCTTTTGTAACAAGGGAGGGACAAATGAGTTTAGTAATATCTGGGATATCAGGGTATGAGATGCATAGGGGAGGTATCATTGTTATAGGCCATCCGGTGGTATCGGGAGGATGCCTCCTTCATTCCTGTAGTCCAATGCTGGTAGAACCACGACGAAAGTCAGTGTCTGTTTCACATTGTGGCTGAGGGCAATATAAACGTACTATTTCTCCAGACGGTGTTTCCCCACCAGCTAACGGTCAATCCACCTTTTGGCACCTAACAAACGACATCCATCAGCAACCCCGCAACACACTTCTCGTCATCACATCTAACGAGAAACGCACCTCGAATGCGAAGAAAATAACCAAGAGCGAGACAAGAGTCCCGCTATCCAATGCCGCACTCGTGACATAATTGAACTTGCTCCACCACGCAAAGTTCTTCCGTCTCAAGAGGTACTGGAAGATGAAGCCCACAAGGAAAGCGCTGGAAAAGTTGATCCCGGTCGCAGGCGGGATGAACGTGACAGCGTTGAGGAACACGGGGACACTGATGAACTTGTTCCAACCGTTCGGGTACTTTCGTTGCCAATACCAAAAAGGTATCGGCAGGAACGCGCCGACTATCAGAGCGTACAACTGGGAATGGTATATCGAGGTCACGCCGAATTGCCGACTGGGTCCGATGAGACCCCTGGAAAAGAGGGTACATGTCAGTGGGTGACAAATGACTTGAGAAGGGTGACGATTATAGAAACAAAGACGTACCAGACAGCGGAAGCAGTGTAGTATACTTGGTTCACAGGACATGTCAAAAAACTCCGCTGCTGAGGTGTGCAGATATCCGGGATATATTTGAACATAACCTCCTTCACGCCGACTTGGACAAAGCCCGCTAGCAGGGTCGCCGTAATTTGAACTGATTATTGTACGACGTGAGCGTGCGAGTAACAGAAAAGTAATCGCATTCAAACATACCGATGAACGTTGCTCGGGGTGGAACCTTGATGTAGTGGCCCAGCTTAAGATCCTGCGCGAAAGACGTTGCTTCCGAGAGCGTCTGAATCACAAACGCCTTGAAGATCTAGACCATAGAGGTAAGCCTCAACCCTGCAAAGCGATGATGAGGACAACATACCATGTTCGCAATCGGCTTCCCTGGCAAAGCCACACCGGGAATGATTTGAGCAAGCAAATTTGTCGACAGCTATAATAAGATTTCAGGACGTCAGCAATCATCGAAGTTACAAGAAGGCAGAGTGAACATACAGTTTCACTGGTCATCGCATAGATGAACCCACTAGGTACGACATACAACCCCACGATTCCCATCGCAAGCAAGAGACCCCAGATCGGTAAGCCCGTGTGCCATACCTTCCGAATCGCAAGCGAGAAATCAGCTGTTGACACGATATCGGTTGGACGAAGGAAATCCTACCTCGATCGCAACCACACAAAGCGAGAAGAAAACAAAGAAAACTGCCCAGTACCACCAATTCGGCACCTCCGGATACACTCTCATCAACTTCGCGTGGATATCATCCTTTTCCCAGTCATCTCCACGTTCATCCTCCTCGCTGTCACTCACCAATTTCTTCCCCAACATCCGTCTGGCCCAGTTCAACTTGATCTTGTTAAAGCCCAAGCCTCTCCAGATCGCTTTCCCATGATATAAGAACGTATGGACAACGACGCAGGACGAGAGGGCAAACGCTACGAGATAGGTTATGGCATACGAAGCGGGTAAGTAGAGCGGGGAGTAGTTATCAAAAGCGACGGGGTCGAACGTGCTGTCTTCGCGAAGCACCCGGGTGATGTTGTAGGGGTTGCCCAGTCGGTCGTAGGGCCCGTTTGCGAGCATGGGGAAGTACGCAAGTTTCCATACCTGCGACAATGGTTAAAATGAGTATACGACGATGTCAACGAGTGACGTACATTGGTGTAGTAGAGCGCTGGAGCCAATACCCAGTAGAACAGGACGAAACCAAGGAAAGTGTGTACCTGAGCCCACCAAGGCACCACAAGCGGGTTGCTGTTCCAAGTGATTTGGGTCCAATCAAAAGTAAAGACGCTGAAACCGAGACCGTTGTAAACGCCAAACACCTGGTTAAGCACCTGGTGCCTTGGCGCGATCCAGCAAACCCAATTGAAGAAGGACAGCGCAGTGAACAGGTAGCCTACACAAAATCCATGAGTGCGTGGAAAGAGAGCATAAGGAAGAGGACATGCCAGGCAGGAAGAACCAGAAGAACGCAGCCACGCTGACGTACAGGAAATACCTGTACCTAGTCAACCCGCCCCGATCGGCATCTTCCTCCGCATGGAAGGTGTTCAGCAGAGTACAGAGCACCAAATTCTCCGGCCACAGCATACTTGCCGGCCAGATTAGGAATCGTCTTGTCAAGCCTGCCAATCCGAAACCAGTCATTTGCGTCGCAAGCACCAAGACCGCGCTAAATGAATACCCGAAGTCCTCTGCCCCGTAATTCTTCTGGGCAACAGAGACTGCGAGGAGTGCATACGGAAACGTTGTTCCAACATTGGTCATCATGAACACCAGCGCGTGCTCTTTAATGTTCCACGGGCCCGGGTTTAGTGAGAAAGAGTAGGGTCCGTTACCAAATGTCAACCATTTTGGTACGACGTATGTCGTTATCGGTAACGAGAACGCAAGAAACTTGCCCATCGGATAGGCAAGCAGCAACAAGACGGAAGGGACGATGGTAGGTGCGGGTTGCCGGAAGTTGAAGAAGACATTGGCAGCAGAGGAGGTGAGCGTAAGGAACAAGCCGATTACCCACATTCGGAACGTGAGCACTGGCATCTCGGGGTCGTCGATGCTAGACACTGCAGCGCGCACTTCTGGGTACGGGCTGTCCTCTTCTTCGATCGCGTCAAAGTCAAACTCCATTCTAATCGGCAATGATCAGTATGAGGAACATGGGTTTGACGATTCGGGAATCAAATGAAGGTGGCAAAGGCTACAATAATATAACTGGAGAGGCAAAGAAGCAACGGAATGTAGTGAAGCAAAGACATGCGTGCATAGGGATTTCATATTCGTTCCCAGATGGTATAGGAACGGGGGACAAGAAAGACATAGAATAAAGCGACACAAAAGAAAGAACATACTTGATCGAGCCATCACGACTGTCTAAAGACGGGAAGCTAGTCGCAGAAGACGGAGGTCTGAGTTTGACAGACACAGTCTCTTCTAGCGGCTCTTCGCGAGTGGTCGGCAGCGAGACGTGCACTTCTCTCGAGCTGCTCATACCGGACCTACGACTGCCACGACTGCCATCGCCGGTGAGCACGCTTGCGCTGTAGGTCAGCCGTTTGAGACGGTATGGATCGTCAGCACCCTGGGAATCTGTAGAAGGCGGAGACTCGACTGTGGGAGATTGAGGGTATTGATACGCATGGCGGGCGTGCAAGCCAGAGGGACCTGCTGTTGGGGTATCCAAGACACTTTGGTGGAATGTTGCGGCCGGATGGAATGCTTGTGGAGGATATATGACGTTTGAGGGCTGCGAGTACTGCGAATGTTGCGAAGGAGTTGTAACGGCGGTAGGTGGGCGAGCAAAGGCAAATACATCCTCTGCATCAGACTCTTCCTCATACTCATCTCCCTCGTCTATTGAGTATGTGTACTGGGGGTCGCGATCGAAGTAGTCTGCAGTATCTAGTCTTGCGGTGTTCGGTCGTCCGGAGGTGGAGGGCCTGCCGCCTGCTGAAGTGGTGGGTCTTGTCATGACGGGAGCATGTAAGGTTGGACGCAGTGAAGAGACCAAGTAAGTCCCAGGGAAGGAATGCGCAGCAGGCGGGGAGAAAAGAAAAGGGAGGAGGGTGGGAGAGGGAGGGAAGAGAGAGCAGATGGCTGTAGCGACCAAGTCCGACCAAGTCCTCCCACATTGGCGTCTGTCCACAGGCACATCATTAATATTCCTTTCCGCCAGGCACCCCGCTCTCTTCTTGTCACAACCACCCTCATCGTCGTCGACATCCTCGGGCACGATACCAACAGCATCGACAATTAGGTCGTCGCCCATAACAGCTCGTTGTGGGTGCATTTTCAGTGCGTTTTAATAACGATCGAGATCGTGTTTAAAGTGCTAAGCACTGCCTGTAGATCATTGTGTATCCACTTGATATACTCTATGTTTTCGGTTTTTTACATTTTGTGTGCAAGAAGAACGAATGAATGCTAGGGCAGTTAAGCGTCCTCCTCCCAACGCTGACGAGGCAGAATTACTGGATGGCAATTCGACCTCTGCAATTGGCCATTCGATATCGTGTGCTTGGCATCGTAAATCGGACACGGCGGCCATATCAGTCATTCCGATCCATTCTACCGACACCTTGCAACATGGAGTTTACCGCCCTCACTTCCTTACCGCGAATCCACACACGTTCTCTTCAAAGTCTTGTCAGGATCCCGCATATACTCAAGCGTTTATACGGACCTGATCACAGATCGGTTTGAACAGCTTGAACACAGATAAGGTTAACGATTACAGCAAGCTTCGCAAGCCGATCCCGCCTCCTCAACAAGGCTAGCTCAACACGACTCTCATCGCCCTGAACTTCTACGAGGAACAGGCGACTAGAATATTGAAGTTCCCCTGTGGCTTTGATACTCGAGGCGTACATCGGCGGATTCGCACTAGGCGCAGGTCGCCCTGAGCTGACAGCGCCTCCGGTGACTCGCCGCAGGAAATGAAGAGATTCGGTCATCGGTCTCGACCCCTGACACGAACTTGCAGCGCGATGTGACAGGTACGCAGAAGACCCATCATAGTATGTTTTCATTACATGCAGTGCTTCGGCGGAAATACGTACAACCTCCAAGACGATGAGCACTATTCCAGTACTAAATGGAATATTTTCCACTCGACCACAAAGCTATATTGCGGGTTTGGACTGAATAATGCGTGCGCTTTATGCCGCCGAATTGATTTAACGAACTGATCTCAAGACTACCCCGCAAACATGCCAGCTTCAACTATGCACCGGACATGCACATACTCGTTATATCAGCTGTGCGCCGACCTCAAGCCCTGTGTGTTCAAGATGCGAAGGAACTCTCGAATAAAACGCCAACGATCCCCGCTTTCTTCTACTTTCTGCTCAGATCAGGGTTCCTAGAAGGATAAGATAGGGACAAAAGGCGCTCGGACCGTGAGGAGATTCAAGGACAGAACGACCTGGTGGTAGGGGTCGAGGAAGAGAGGGTCGAGAGGGGAGGAGCGAAAGGTCCTACAGTTGGACGTAGTGGTTATGGAGCGTTCGGTGACCAGCTGACTATTCAGGCAGGCCATATGGTTGGAGAGAAACGCAGTTGGTTGAGGTGGGGAGGCAATGGAGATTGCACCTTTTTCGCAAGGGCATGACAATGATTTGACGGCCGCTGCCCTGCCGGTGTTGTGCCGATTCTAATGATGGGTGAAATTACTCCACGGGGGTGGTATATATTCTTGTTGTCATTTGAACCCGAATATCGATGCAACAACTGTCACAGAAATCCTGTTCTCGTCTTCCCCACTAGTGTCCGCAATCTGGTCTTTTGTGTTCATTTCTGCAAGTCTGCTTGCCTTTGCGTCGAGCCTGGGTGGCACATTTCGCCTTTATATGGGTCATCCCTCCCTCCCTTAATAGACCCGTCATCATTGGTCTGCGTACCGGAGACAGCTGTGGGCGTCTACTACGACACATTCTTGAAATTCTGCATTCGGAGCATGTCGTTTATAACTTCCTCTCCAAATTATATCGCATCTTATCTACGGACTTCATCTTACCTCTTAACTGTGAATAAACATGAAATCTTTGCATCTGGACGTGAAGTTCGCCTACAGGACCTGGTCTAGCCGGCAACGTGGAACGCATATACTACTATAGTACACAATTACAAAACTCTACACCAAGTCTGTCTATTGCCAAGACGAGCAAGGGTTCTTCCATGTGTTCCGGCGAAACAGTCTACACCACCGCTCTTTCGTCAAAGGATACAGGTATCTTACCGGTTCTTCGTTAATAAAAATCAAACTCAGTCAAGCACGATGTTTAATTGTACGTATCCAGCTTGCAGCTTGACGATAGGTGCATATTTCATTCAGTCCTCTTACCCCCCAGATACAGTTTGCTTATATCCATATGTGCCCCTCCAATTTCACCAAACATGAAACTCTTCCGTAGACGTGGTGAGTGGCAACATTAGGCTCTCGTTAGATCATAATCTAACGTATTGATACACTAGATTTTCACACATACGATAGCACCCACTATGGATATCGCAATTTAGATTCAGTTTCACATGGTATTTGGACTTGCATTACCCCAGAAAATTTGCATCGCGGTCGTTTGCCCGGTATCGTTCACATGTCCATGCCATTGGAAGATGTCACCAATGAAGAGAACGAGAATCTGGTGACACGCATCCTTGCTGATTCATGGGATTTATTAGATTTCCAGGCAATCAAGGCCATGCTGATCCCATCCGATCTCTCTCTGGTAAGCAGTGAACTCAAGTAATTGGATCCTTGTACTGACTCGGACGTCGAACAGGGAGAAACTCATATACTCCGTCTAAGTAAGGACACCCCCACTGCAGGCATAGGCGACATTGAGCAGAGCACGCTTAAGCTCGTCCTCGATCTCGTTGAACAGGTCGCAAGGTATCACTCGTCGGAATGGTTGGATGAGAATCCCGACAAGGATCCACGAGTATTCCATCTTGCTTGGGGAGATCCTGCAGAATTTGCCAGATTAGACCAGGGCATGCGTACTGCCATGCCACTAAAGTCTATAGTCGATAACAAAGCGCACTCGGCGTCGGTTTTACGACTCATGAGGGCACCGGGGCCGTATGAGGGAGGTGTCGACTACCTATTCGAGAGATTCATGAAAGTCGCCGTGTCCCTGCTCTTCGACACCAGTATTGCCTTCTTGAAGTATGTCTGGACTAGCCCAGTCCATATCAATCCCGTTTAACAGAATGATCTGATATAGTTCTCTAGGGAAAACGATTGTCTACCTGAAGGACGTTCGTCAGATCATTGCTCTTATCCTTTGATAGTTGCCGGTGCGTAATGTTTGCAGTTCTCTAAAGTGAGGGAGGCTGATATGTGTTTCATAGGCGGATGTTTCGCTTTCAATGATGACGTATGTAAAGAGATGATAGAAATTCTCCACCCAACCTTGGTGCACTTAGTCCAATTCCATCGACGCAACAAGACGGTGGACTCAGAATTACCTGAACACTGCGTGCTCTATGGTCTTCATTGGTCGCGCACACGCATTCAGATATTCGCACACTTCCCTACTGAAACTGCTGCAAATGTTGACCCCGCAAAGTGGAAGTTCTGTCAAGCACTTGTTGCGCAACATTGGGTTGCTCTTGAGGAAAAGGAGCTCGCTGTTTACAGGGCTGTGCCGATTTCCCCAGACAATACGTTCTTATATCGATGGCGACTCACCGTCACGTTATTTACGATTCGAGCCCGCGTTCGGGGGCTCGAGCAGCTCCTTCAACAGTCCGGTGGCTTGCCAATCAAGAGGACGTCATTGGACCTGTGAGTAGAGTGAACGCTTTCCTGATGCATAGCTGAAGCTTGGCTATATTTGGCAGGCACGTACATTCTCCGGAGCCTCTGCTTAGTATCCATACGCATGTGCCGCAGACATCTCACATGCCTCAATTCATTCGAACAATGCGTGGATTCTGGAGGGCATCGCGACTGGCCGTCCCAGAGGAATGGATTGTAAGAAACGTTTTCACAACTACCCGTTGTTTTGTGCTTATCGAATACTGCAGCCGATCGAGGACGAAATGGTAGCGATCAACCCGACGCGAAAGAAAGGGAGCTGTATCATAGTCAACCGCGCTGTGTTGATGCTTTCTAAGATCGTATTGCATCCTCTCCGTCGTGTATTGGAGCCTCTGTCTGACAAGGCGCTCTCAAGCCGTCACGCCGACCCTGCCTTCCTAGGTCCGGACTTCTTCCACCCAATATATGTGCAGAGGTCCTTTTTCGATTGGGCACATTTGGAGGTGGACCCGGATAGATTGGACAATGATTCCAAGCCGCACCTAACAAGACTCTATGATCTGCTCAGTATTGCGTGCAACATCTTGGGAGGAAGTCAATCTGCCAGTGTTCATTCGCGAACGCTTTTGCGAACTTCTCCGAATATTCGATCCGTTGGTGAGCTCCTTGCTGGATTGCCTTCATCATATTTTCTCAAGACCTTCTGTAGGAATCCGAAAACACGATATCCTTCAACAGTGCCGTGGAGGTCGACAGACATCACCTTTAGTATTGCCGCTGATTTTGCTCTTGTGGTGCAAAATAATCACCCGATCACATGGCCGACTGTCAAACGCGCCGCTCAATTACCCTTGACAGTTTCTAGTCCAGCAGTTGTACTCGGTCTACGGACAACTGGTTTCGACCTAGATGGCTCAGGTATATCGAGGGAGGAGCTTCATGATCTGAAGCTTGTGATGGATCCGCATCTGCCCATGGTTGGCTTCACTTTAAGGCAGGACGACGTTGGTGCTAGTGAACCGGCAGCGTGGCCCGGATGGGCGACACGGTTTTGCATCTACCTGAAGGCAGGATTCGTGCATATTGTGGCGTTCTTCCTCGCGTCTCATGGACGGGTCGATGTCTGCATTGTGGACAGCCTGCCGATTGTCCCGATAGCGAATAGTACTGTGGACCTGGAGAATCGAGCCCGTCTCGCCATCGCGTTGTTCACGCCCCAGAGGCATGTTGTATGCTTTTCGGAGCAATGGCGGAAGTTTACTTGATGTCATCAACTTGTGCAGGAAGAACACGGCGCCATAGTCGAGGTGACCGGCATTTGTTCAAAAGGCCATTCTGTACATGGAGATGTCGATGATGCGAGCCTAAAGTCCGAGTGCGAAGTCGGTGATCTCGTATTAGAAGAAATAAACGAGAAACTAGAAAATTGGGTTGACTAGTATTGGGCGCGACGCGTGCAGCCGAGCCTTGTAAAATCCGACTTCATGATGACTCAAGTTGAATTTTCGTGCAACATGTGTTCCGAACTCATCTTCAATGAATAGTGGCATATCTGAATAACAAATGTCAGTGGTGAGGACGTAGCAAAAGTTGCCTGCCCAGATTGAATATTGAGCGTTGAACCATGAACGTAGTGACAACGCTTACAAAGTGGCGGCAGCTTTGGGGTCAGCAAGAGTACATTGATAGCATAATGACACCGCCGCACCAGAGAAGCTAACTTGCTCATTGAATACTGAAGCGGTGGAGGCCTAGTGCTATACACTTGGATTTCCTACTCTTAGGCTCGATACTAGTCTTACTTAACTCACCTAGAACGTCACAACATGTTCTAGCCTGATTCAGTTGCATTATAAGGTTAGTCAAGGTGACAAGAATGACATATTCGAGTTATGTACATCATGGTCGACAGTATATCACTAGTAGTTTACTGGTACAACTTACAGGACGTCTTGTAGGACTGACATTGATAATCATTTGTGAAGCACTAGAGCAAGCAAAATTAAGACAGTGGTCAGAATACATTCGAGAACAGGGTCACCATGAGAAGATAGATGCTATAGCCTTGGTATGCTTATTGTCTAAGTGGGGACGGCACAGCGGGCGCATTAGCAGGCGTTTGTGGCCCACTGTCAGCTGGCGTGTCAGGTCGGCTAGTAGATCGAGGTGATTTTCCCTTACTGTCCTTCGGAGGCGTATTGGGCCTGATTTGCACCATGTGTTTATTGCAAATTTTTGCCCAAGTGCCGCACAACTTTTCGTCGAAGTATTCGGCTAGGCGTACCGAGTGTGCACGAGCAGTGATCAGGGCCACAGTGAGTTGCCATCGGTGTGGCGCATTGCCCTTATCATCTTCCTCTCCCACATGCGCGAGAGTGTACTCCCCCATCAACACCTGTGCGAAGCGCCAGCCTGGTCCGCCCTCGTCATCGGTGGGGTCCCAGTATGGAAAATGTGCATATAGCTTTACAGACCCTTCATCCAAGTAGGTTCCGTAGATTATCAATTCGCGAGAAAGCTGTGGTCGCACCGCGGCCCTTCGGTGCTGTTCCTCATATATGAGGATCAACATGACCATGATAGGATAAATCGCAGCTTGCATCTGTGCCCGGAAGTTGGGTTGATTTGGGCTGGGATTCGCACCCGCACCAGTATGACTTTGTTTAGCCTCCCCGACCGCGAAAACGGGTTGTGCAAGAATGTCAGGAAGCGGAGCAGCTGGGATACGAACAGCGGCAAAGTCTGGCTTCCCTTTCGAGTCATCTGAGGACATCTTGAGCTCACGGAATGTGTCCACAATACGGTCACTAGCCAAGTGTAAGCTCCGAAGCCCTAAATAGTCCCATTGTGTGATACTCACCTTGAGACATCACAATTGGGAAGTTGAAATATGAACCTAAGCCGCGACCCAACAACATGTCGAACTGACATTTCAGATAATGATGATTTTGGATCTGCGGTGATAAGCAGTATCGATCCCCATGGCTCTCGATCTAATAATCTTTGACGTCGAGACGCCTGCGTAGGAGTTTCCCCTGCTAAAGTGGCCGACGGCCTGAGGGTAATGGGTATGTAGTGTTTATCCGTTGTCTGGCCTGTCTTGCTGCGTGATCGAGCGTTACGATCAACACGTGTCACTTCATATGTCAATGAGAAGGGGTGTTCTAAGGCTTCCAAGTTTGACTTCACATGTTCAACGGCGACACCGTTAATGAGGTCAATCACGCTTTCCATATTTCCGATGTTCAAACTGGCATCATTGAAACCTGCCTGCGTAACCCGAATGAGCCATATTTCAAATGGAAACCAAATAAACTCACATCTGCTTTAGGTATCCATATCTTTATCCTTTGGAACTCTGGGTTCAAAGAGAAGCCACCTTTGATCATTACAATAGACTTTCCTTCCTTGGCAGGACGTTGTGGGTAATCAAAATGCTCGCCAACAGCCTGAGAGATCATCACAGTCATCATGTTGAAATACTGGGCTTGGAGCGTCAGTTCCGCTAAGATGTCTTTGACGAGGTGTTCCTTCTCCTCCAATGGTGTCAACGAGGCTGATGAGCGATCCACATTCCATCCACCGTTGTACGCTGTCCATCCCACAAGTTCGGATTTTGTATCCGTCATTTGACTAAGCGATATACTATTGAGGCTTTGTGCTCTGGATGGAGTGGCAACGACGCACCTGGGAGGTCCTTTGACTTCCAACCGTGACTCGCAGAGTCCTAGCTGGTTTATGCGGTCACTAAGCAATACGGGGGTTGAGGTCATGTCGCGACAAGATTATCCTTGGGGTTCAAGGGAGTTACGATGATATGAAGAGAAGAAGCGTTGAATTGGAGTATTTGAAGGCTGAAATTGACGATGCTCAAAGGCAAATGCGAATACCTATTGAATATAGAGAGCGAGAGGAAATTCTGCTTTTATAGGTGAAAAACAGTGGTAGCCGCCTATACCTTCGCACTGAATTGCAGAAACATCTCTGCTGCCGAAGAACAAGGAAATCGTATCCATGCAAGGTCATGTGTATCATCCATAGATGTAAAGATTAGAGTTTGCCTTGCGATGGCGGAGAAGACATGGGTCTCCCGGGCATTGGTTCATGTTCCTGTTCAGGGCATGAACGTTATTGTTCCAATCTCGGAATAAACGACATGGAGACTGGAAATTTTCTCATCATTACGATAACACAGTGTTTGAAAGAGAATCCTCACATTTGTCTTTCTGTGACTGAAGAAATCGGGAGAGAAGGTACTATCGGAGAGGCTGCCTTAGCTATCCGGATGGAGTGATGAAGCAATATGAGTACGTGCCTATTACATGCCCTCAATGTAACGATATTGCTCTTTGAGAGCGAATAGACTGCTCTCCAAGCTGGGTTGTCCTGCGCAAGAGAGTACTGTACATTTTTGAACGGTTCACCGATGCTTGTGACCTGTGACCTCACCTGGCGAAATGTTGAATTCGTCAGGTCATCAGAGAAGGTGTGACTCCAAAGAAAAAATCATCTGATATTTAACCTACCTTTCAGCAACTGGTTCTGAGTGTCAACCACAGCCTATAGCAGGTCAGCAAGAGAAAGTATGAGGCGAAGAATGTCACTGTAAAGGTGCGAGCCTTTGGGCGCCTAATGTCATCCTCCAAAAGCATTTGTTTTCATGGAAAGTGACCTGTGACATGTGCCAAATTTCGCCACGCCCAATGCCCCTGTGACGCGTGACCGGCGAACCGTTCGAAAATGTACAGTACTTTGGGAGCAAGTACTCGAGCTTACCCTGTCGATCGATCGTCTGCGGCGATCGGACCGAACGGAAGAACAGGCATTTCTGCATATCATGATGCTCATGGCCGTCATGCCCTTACAGTAAGTTTATGGCCTATCATCCAGGGATGCTGCAGGGATGTTTCTGACACAGCTGTTCTTTTTTTTTTGTTTTGGTATAGTTCAAACAATTACAGGAACTGCCGACAGCGTCATTCAACTCCGTGTTCGTATGACACTCAATTGTACCTCATCCCGCCATCTTCTGTTGACGAATGTAAGGGTCCTTTTCAGTCCTCCGTCTCGCTGACGGCTATTATTCCGGCGTTGTAGATTATACATACTGGCGCCTTTCTCTGAAGGGCTCTGCATTCCTGAGACCTTCTCCTGGTACGTTGCCCCGGTCTTGTGGACACGCCCCAGCGCTTCATGATCAATATAAGCCGGTTCACGCTCGCCCAATCGACCCCAGTAATCCACACTTTACCTGTATTCCCTAAACTCACCGAGTATGTGGTTCTTCCGTGGACGTGGTCAGTGGCAACCTGGAACTCTTAGTAGATCATAAACTTATCGATGCATTAGATTATCACACTTACAACAGTACCCGCTATGAATCTCGCAATCTAGGTTCAGCTTCGCATGGTACTTGGACTTGCATTACCCCAGAAAATCTGGACCGCGGCCACTTGCCTGGAATCGTTCACAAGTCCATGCCATTGAAAGACATATTCAATAGGAAGAATAAGAGGCTGGTGACGCGCGTCGTCGATGATTCGTGGGATTGGATAGATTTCCAGGCAATCAAACCCATGCTGGTACCATCTAACCTTTCTCTGGTAAGCTTTGAGGTCAAATCATCGGACTATTGTGCTGATGTCGAACAGGGAGAAACCCATACGCTCCGTCTGAGTAGGGAAAACCCCACTACAGGCATAGACGACATTGAGCAGAGCACGCTTAAGCTCGTTCTTGATCTTGTTGAACAGGTTGCCAGGTATCACTCATCGAAATGGTTGGAAAAGAATCCCAACGAAGAACCACGAGTATTTCATATTACTTGGGGAGATCCTTCAGACTTTGCCACATTAGACCAGGACGAACACATTGCACTGCCAGTGAACTCTATAATTGATAATGTAGCCCACGCGGCGTCTGTTCTACGACTTATGAGGGCGCCGGGGCCGTATGAAGGAGGCGTCGACTACATGTTCGAGAAATTCGTGAAAGTCGCCGTATCCCTACTCTTTGACACCAATATTGTTTTCTTGAAGTATGTCTGGATTGACCGAGTTCATGTGAAATAATGGTCTGACGTACTCTTCTAGGGGAACTGATTGCCTGCCCGAAGGACGCTTGACGGAGGATCGCTCTTATCCTCTGATAGTTGCGGGTGCGTAAGATTTGTAATTCTTTTCGAAGAGGGAAGGGCTGATATCTATTTCACAGGCGGGTGTTTTGCTTTCAATGACGACGTACGTAAAGAGATGATAGAAATTCTCCACCCAACCTTGGTGCACTTAGTCCAGTTCCATCGACGCAACAAGACGGCGGACTCAGAATTACCTGAACACTGTGTGCTCTACGCTCTCCATTGGTCGCGCACACGTATTCAGATATTCGCACACTTCCCTGTTGAAACTGCTCCCGGCGATGACCCCGCGAAGTGGAAGTTTTGTCAAGCACTTGTTGCCCAACATTGGGTTTCTCTTGAGGAAAAGGAAATTGATGCTTACAGGAATGAATTGATTTCTCCGGACGACACGTTCTTATGTCGGTGGCGACTGACTTTGGCACTGTCTGCTATCCGAGCCCGCATCCGAGAGCTCGAGCAACTGCTTCAGCAATCCGGTGGATTGCCAGTGAAGACGCCCGCGAACCTGTGAGTGTGGGACAAATTTTTCTCTGATGCTCAACTGATGCTTGGTGATACATGGCAGGCATGTGCATTCTCCGAAGCCTCCACGTGGTGCCCATACGTGTGTGCCGCAGACTTCTCGCGTGCCTCAGTTCATTCTGATGATGCGCGAGTTCTGGAGGGCGCAGCGACTGGCCGTACCAGAGGAGTGGATTGTAAGACAGGCTTCATGTTTCTCTAGGATTTTTCTATACTTATCTAACACTCCAGCCTATCGAGGACGAAATTGTGGCAATCAACCCGACCCAAAAGAAAGGGAGTTATATCATAGTCAACCGCGCAGTGTTGATGCTTTCTAAGATAATGTTGCATCCTCTACGTCATTTGCTGGATGCTCTATCCGACGAGGAGCTCTCCAGCCGTCATTCCGACCCTACCTTCCTAGGTCCAGACTTCTTTCACCCAATCTATGTACCAAGGTCCTTTTTCAAGTGGAAAATATTGGATCTGGACCCGGATACGTTAGACAATGATTCTAGGCCGCACTTAAACAGATTCTACGATCTGCTCAGTATGCACGCAACATCTTGGGAAGAGGCGAATCTGTTCGTTGCGAGCGTTTTCTCCAGCTTTTCTAACTATTCGATCCGTTGGTGAGTTATTGCTGGATTGCCTTCATTCAGTCTTCTGAAGTCACTCTACAGGAAACCTAAGACAAGATATTCCTCAGTATTATCATTGCAATCGACAGATGCCACCTTGAGTCTCGCCACTGATTTTGCTCTTGTGGTGCAAAACAATCCGCCGGTTACATGGCCGACTGTCAAACGTGCTGCTCAATCACCCTTGACAATCTCTAGTCCGGCCGTTGTACTCGGTCTACGAACGACCAACTTTGACCTAGATGGCTCAGGTATATCGAAAGAAGAGCTGGACGATCTGAAGGTTGTGATGGGTCCGCATCTGCGAATGGTTGACTTCGCTTTAACTCAGGACGATGCTCGTGCTAGCGAACCGGAGGCATGGCCAGCTTGGGCAACATTATTTTGCATCTACCTCAAGGCAGGATTCGTGCATATTTTGGCGTTCTCCCTCGCTTCGCATGAACGAGTCGAGTTTTGCGTTGTGGACAGTCTACCTATCATCCCGGTAGCAAAGAGTATTGCTGACCTGGAGAATCGCGCCCGTCTTGCCGTCGCATTGTTTACGCTCGAGAAGCATGTGGTGCGCTTCTCAGAGCGATGGGGGAAGTTTGTTTGGTCTCGTCACCTCCTCAAGGAAGAACATGACGCCATAATTGAGGTGACTGGTGTCTTCTCCGGGCCACCTTCGAAACGTAATTCGGTGCACGGGGATGGTGGAAATGATGGAAATGTGAATGACGAAGTCAAAGCTGATGATAACATATTAGAGAAGGTGAACGAACAACTTGAGAATTGGGCTGCTGATACTGGTCACGAGGCGTGAAGCCGAATGAAATTCACTACTAGTAAGACCTGACTGACGAATCAACTTGATTTTGTACAACATGTATGCCTAAATGATTTTCAATAAACGGCCCTGCTCTTCAGGCGAAACGTTAAGGGTATATACATCAGTGAATCCGGGGGATTGTTGGTAGTAAGGTAGCATGTGTCTATCAACCTTGTGAACACGCGCTCGCCGGGAACGATTTCTGCTCTGGCTGGACGAAGCACCACTATGTAGTAGCTTGTTGTTGACCGTTGAGGACCAGCAATATTAGATGCATAAAATCATCGCAGTCGTATCGGTCTAATGAATAATGGCTGTCATCCTATTGGTGTTTTCACACGTCTCCATTCACTCTCATGACGATTCAAGAAAATCGAGCAGTTACAGAGTCGCAAGGATAAGGGACTGTATTTGCGGGACTTGGACATTACTTAAGTTAGTATGCAAGTACGGTGTTCTCCTTAGATGTCTGGCAGGTCGAACCCTCATGTCGCTGTAAGAATAAGTGGGCAGCCGTGTTTGTCCCGAGAAGAGCGTGGGTGCCTGAAACGAATGTCAAAGTTATTCTCATGCGTGATACGTACACTCAGACTCAGGCTTAAGGAACCAAGGTTGGAATTTATCAGATGAATTATCATAGCGTCCGTAATGCATACTAAATATATCAAGGCGATCATGCAGGAAGCTCGAACTTCTGCCCTTGCAACACTCTAGTTGAGACAAAAACGCGTTAGCAGCGAAATATGACAGAATGAAGCAAATAAACGTACTTTGTGAAGTACACGTAGAAGAAATCGAGGTACAATCCAGTCTGTACAATGCCCGCAATGACAGCAATGGGGTCTACGGTACCTTCTGTGAAGTACCTGTAGTAATGGGCCTGGTATTAGCAAGCTGCTGCAAAACCGACCTGTTGAAGTCAGAAGCAACGCACCTGTAGATCCAATTGGGAATGTACAATGCCCTATATGCGCCCAATGCCGCCAAATAGTGCGTCGTGATGGTTTCCGCCTCTCCCGTCCTCTGAAGCATGAACAACTGCGGCAAGATAGCAAGCGACTCCAGAAAGATCGAGAACGACCAGAGAACTTCAGTGAACGAGAATTTGTAGTTGAACAAGAGGGCGAGGATGACACAAGGACCAACGAGGTACTCTATCCGGAAGGTGTCAATGGAAGGGTCGTGTGTTGGGCGGTACTTGAACTTCATGAGGTAGAGGATATACACGCTACTCGAGATAAAGAATATCTTCATCACTGAGTTATACAGCGACACATAGTCGTAGAAGAGATCGAGGTAGCGGGTCACGAAGACGGTGACGTAGAGAGCTTGGGTTTTGAACGAGATACCTGCGTGGTCATAATGAGAATTAGCACTCTAAACCTCGAACGTAGACAACGTCAAATACGGTGAATGTTGGCTACTACTCACCTCGACATGACCGCGTCGTCTGAATCTTGTGCAACAGAATCAATATGGACGCCAAATGCGACAGGTCACCTTCAAGCAACTCTCGTTAACGCACGCCTTCGTGCATAGACAGTCACACCGGACATACCGAACAACCGAAAGAGATTCATGGTTCAACAAGACGGTGGTGGTGCGCAGCCAGGACGAATGGAACGTGGAATCCTGAAAACGAGTACTTTCGTGTTGCCCTGCTCCTGCACGTCACAAACCGACGTGGTAGGTCGTGGGAAAGTGAATATATGCTCGTCTATATTTGGGAGGTATTTTCGTATCTGAGTTTGGCATCTTTCCCACGCGCCACCATCACTTACACTCAGCTCTTTGTCTTCCGCTCGCCACTTTCAAAACACTCATCATCTATATTCTCTCTGCATGGACGTACTCACTATACCATAGACAGGTCGATATTCTTACCCAGGACAAACCTCCGGAAATACGAAATCGCAGCTTTTGTGCGAACTACAAATTCTGTGAGTGGCGTTCCAATGTTTATCACACTTTCATGTGGCATACGTAATGGATGTACTGTCCGAGCATCTTCTTGGAGAAGCTACATCCGTTCACAGCCTATGAAGTGAATAGCAGAGCAAAGATGTTCTAGTAAAAGGGTCGACTCTGTGGAAATCCGGACGCGTTCTTCCTCCCTTGGTCTCTGAGCCGCCAGTGTTCGTCGCCCGACGAGTCGTTTCACGAGCTCCTCGCGACTCGCCTTAAGGCCGAACCAACATCGTTTATTCTCGATAACATCTTCCGGCTCATCAAATGGCTTGCGGACCGATAGTCCCAAGGTCTGCACGCAAAGGCCGAGCCGACAGTGGCCCGACGCGTCTTTGTTCATGCCTATTCGTTAGGTGTGGGGGAAGGCGTCGCTTTGGCCGTACGTTCAAGTCAAGCCAGGGCGGAGCGAAGCTTTTGTTTCTGCCACTTCGTTCTTGGTGGTCTCAGACGTGGTTATTTCTCTTTTGGACGTTACAATTTCAGTCCCAAGTCGGACTGGGCATGCGGCAATAAACATGAAGACTGGAAACTCATGTCTTTGCGCGTGGTTCCGCATGTACAACGGCTGGCACGGATTCCGTTTGGGATGAAGAGATGCTGTTTGCACCTTCCACAGAGATATGAGATCATATGCAACCGGGCTTTCGCCCACCTGAGCTCACCTCTCTTATAAACTTGTATTCGCCCCGGTTTACTGACATATTCAATTCTTCAGCCTTAAATCTAGATGGCCTCTGTTTTAGTGTCCATCGCTGGGTGGACATTTCTGCCAGATTTCGCCACCCGTCAACTGCTCCCCTACTTCCACCGTGCCTACCAACGTATCTTCAAACGACCACCTCCAGCACCTCAAACGCCGCTATACTTTCAACATTACCGCTATGTCTACACTTTTGTCGTCCTCTCTTATCTCTTTTACAACTTTCGCGAAGCGGCGTTATCGATGTCACCGAATTACTACGAAATCCTTGGAGTCAGTCCAAGCAGCGATGATGCGACACTGAAGAGCGCTTTCAGGTCGTTCGCAAAAAAGTTCCATCCAGATCGGGTGGGGCAGAATGGAGAGGCATTGTTCATGGAGGTCAGAGATGCTTTTGAGGCGTTGAAGAACCCTGTGACCAGGTTCGCGTATGATAGGTGGGAGATATTCTTGTATGTATTGGATTTTGTATATAGAATATTGACACTATTCTTTCCCTCTTTGCGCCATCTCGATCTCTGATATGAACGTAGATTCGGACCCGACGCTTTGAGCTGGAAAAACTGCACGACATTACGAGAATATATCCGCCATGGGTTGATGCAATCAACTGGATTCCATATAGCCAGCCTTTGCACATTATTGCTGTTCTCGTCCGTAGGCAAGCCGAGTCCAATAGCCTTTGTAAGTTTCTTCCTCTCAGATTTACATTTGGCTTTTGCTGAATGGAGTTCACTGTAGTGGCGTTATCTCCTGTTCGCATTCATGTTTGTCTACGAACTCCTATTTCTCCTCAGCCCTTCCCCTTCCCCTCCCTCATCCACCGCCGCTTCTTCATTATCCTCCATCTCTTCATTTCTTTTCTCAGACTCCTCGTCCCGTTCAGCTACAAAGAACAGTATCCTCTCACTCCTTTGGCCCAATCGAGTTGCCTATCAACACGTCCGCTTTCTTCACTCTCTTAGCATCCTATTAAGTGTGGCATTCTCGAGGGTGGCGCCCGTACTCTTTCCGTCCCAATTGGGTGGGGAGTATGTGGATCCAAAGGTGTTGAAGAGTGAGTTGGGGAAAGTGTTTGCAACTTCTCAGATTGTTCTCGCCGAAGGTATGTTTTGTTATCCCTTCCACCCCTTTTTCTGTGCCTAGTTCACTAATTCAGTTCTTCTCGACACTCAGCAACCAAAATGGTCGACATCGAACTCCACTCTGTTCACGGCGCACCAACAGGTGTCCCACCCACCGCCGGGACCTTCCCATCTCCACCTCCCCTTCCCGAACCCGCAGATTCCGTCATGAACCTTATTACGATTGAACTAGAGAACATGATCATAGAAGGGAAGTTACTCAAGGAAGAAGGACCTATGAAGAGTGCCGTCGAGAGTGCTTTGGAAAGACGAAAGTGGCATGGAGAAGCGCTTGACAATGATGTTGTTGAGCGCGAGAGAAATACAGGGTTTGTATCACCTACAAGGGCTGGACCTAGTACGCCTCGGAGGATGCTTGGGTCAATTGGGTCAGCGTTTGGGCTGGGAGGTGCTAGCCGTGGGTCTCCTGGGGTGAAGGCTCCGCCGGAAGGGTATGTTAGGGGGAGGTCATTGTCTTGTTGAATATTTTGTTTTCTCGCTGCTGGCTGTGGATTTCATCCTCGTCATCTTTTCTGTTGTCGTTTGTACACATAGAGTTGCGGATCCTCACTTTTCTCACATATCCACATACCATCTCGCAGTTGTAATATATCAGGTACTTACTTTGTGTACGTCGTTGTTGTTGTCCACCAAATGTACGATGCATCCTATTACATTCCGACGAAGAAATTAATGCAAGTATACGAAACGCAAGCAATGGATACGAGTCACTAGTCCTATGATCAAACGAATAGATGGATAGATAGTAATACATATTGCGGCGCGAGCTCGAAGAAAGAAAGGAAAGAAATATGCAAGGGAATCCGGACTCCAAATTGATTGACCGTTGGGGAAGGAAACGCGAAAGCAAGGAAAGGGAGACGCCAATTAGTGAAGAGTGCTACACTGGAAAAATAAAACATGAAGGGATGAAGGGACGAAATCTATGATGAATGCATTGGTCCAATAGAAAGAATGCGAAGAATGCGAAATGCGAATGCATGAGGGGTGGATAGGAATGAATATATGATACTGTACCTAAGATGAGTTGGATAGCATGAGCAAGGTCTGAATGGGTCCAGATACGCCTGTCCTCGAATATTGCACACACACGCACACACATTAATGCCCCCACCCCAATACCTACCCACTCAACGAAGAAAGAAATCCCGGGACACCGCAAAAAAAAAAAAAAGGCGAAAACAGCACTACATGCTAAACCGACTCGAACTCCTCTTCTCATCCTCCCCACTCGACGAAGGCGATGGCGGAGGTTGACCATCCTTATCCAATAGAGCTTGCAACGAAGAGGCCGTCGAGTTAATCTTCTTGTCGGTATGCGCGTATGAATCTGAAGAGGCTTGTTTGAGTGGTTCACCAGACTCACGGGGTTCGCTAATGAGGACGCTTGGGGGTCGTTCGGGTGTGAAAGGGGCTTTGAATATACGATGTTGAGTGTATGCTAATGGTGGGCTGGAAGTAGGAGAAAGGAAAACATGGTGAGCGTGTGGTGTATAACGACGAAAGGGAAAGGAGAGCATACATTAATGCAAGGGAAACTGCCAAGATGATAATGGTTGATATTGGTGGATGCCAGCCTCGAGTGAAAAGGTCCTATGGAAGTAAAGCGTAGGTAAACTTAGCGCACGTTGTGTTGATATTGAGTGACCCTTACAACAAGATGGGAATTATTGCGATCGAAAAGGAACCGAAGGCCGGTACTCATGCCTTTCTGCTTATTGATAACCAGGTCTACACCAAGTCCAATCAAAAATGTTCCTACGGATGCCGAAGACACAAGCTGAAAGAGCTTCTGTCAGCCAGAAATACGTAGATAGTCTGTATCGGAGGACCCACGATTGCTAGTCTCTGCCTCACAACGACCAAAACGAAGCCAATTACAGCGCACACGGTAGCAATTATCCAATTCACGAAGAACGATGGTACCAGAAGGCCATCACGGAACAGTACGATACGTACTCCAATGGAGAAACCGGCCGAAAGAGCAAGGAACGTAATTCCAGCTAATCGACCAAGGTTAAATAGACCGATAAAGAATCCGAGTCCAAACGCTCCCATGACGAGGCAGGTTAGCAAAAGATCGGAAATGCCTGAGGGTCCCAAGGTGTTGACAAATGCTGCCCAGACTAAGCCAGAACATTGAATCAGCAAAACTTGCGAAGCGGCACAGGACGCGTGGGAGAAGTCGCGCGATTACTTACCACAGACAACACAAGCGATACCGAGAGAAGCAGCAGTGGTAAGACGCCAAAATCGGATGCCAGTAAGAGCGAGAGGGACCCCAACCACGAATGACCATACCAACCAGATGAGGGCAGACGCATTGAGGTCAACACCGCTACCGTCAGATGCAGAACCTTGGGGAACAGGTTCCATTGTTGAAGGATCAATGGCGTACATTGTTCCGTTCTCTGCGGTAATGACAGGGTCGGAGCGCGCGGAGAGATGGGAAGGCAACCATGGTTGACCTATGGGGGATGCGGATGTGGTCGTAACGAGGAGAAGACAGGATGTTAAGACGAGCAATTGGAGGCGAGCTAAGGCCGCCATAACTTCGGGAAACAGCCTGCACGGTCAGGGTAATGACGTGAGTGTCCTGAATGTTCAGGACAACGCTTGGAGACAACGAAGTTGTCAAGATAGACACGACAGCAAGTAATCCAAGCTTGCTTGAGCCGTAAGATCTATAAGATTTAACGAACTCGTTAGTCGTGAAACCAGGAGGAGCGGTATAGACAAAAGAGCGTCGGGGACTCTACAAGAGCCAAGAACCAGAAAAAAGGAGCGGACGTCTCGCAAGACGAAGAGGATGGCGATAGGATAAATGCCAATGGCGAAGATCAGAAGCCTACAGTTTACGGTAATTGCATCTTTAGCCACGAGGAATATTAGTGGATTATATTACATTTGCCAGGCCGAGCGCGCGGATCGCGATCTTCTTTGATCTCCTCAACGCAAAGCCGCAGCCGGTCGTGCTGGCAACGCGCCCCTCCACGTGAGTATACGTCGCGTACACGTGACCGCGTCGAGTCGCGAGTTCGACTCCCTTGAGCGCGTCTCGTGTTTCCTCCTCCTCGACCAATATCACCTTGGTCAAGTATGGATATCTCTGCAGCGGAAAGATTTTGTGCTATTCTTCGACATCTTGGAGGTCCCAATATCCAGGAGGATGATATTGCATGGGCGAACGATCTCCCAGCGGGCAGGTCCCTGTTGCAATGGATGTCTGACCAAATGTTGGAAGACTCCTCGGCAGGGCATTCTGCAAAGTATGACAACGAGTTATTTGCAAAGGTCTCTTTGAGGCCAATTACTCTAGAGTACGAAGAGCGGCGCATGTAGGTGTCTGTTGGACCTGTTGTCTAGTAACCGTCAATGATCGATCTCACGAATGTCACACAGCTATGATACAATTCAGAAAGATTCGCCGCCTGTCCAAGCGACACTCCATGATACCTATGTTGTTCCATCGATTCTGCAGTAAGTATGTACGAGAAGTATAGTCAGAACGTCACTTACCTATACAGGAAGCGATCGAAGACGACAGAGACTGAGGTCAAGCTTCTAGAGCTTGAGGAAGCCCAGCTAAAATACCGACTCAAGCATGCGAAGTAGGATCAGATGTATTGATGCTTGCAGAAGTTCTGCTAAACTATGGTTTTAGAACGGCTATTGACCGTCTTCAGCAAACCGCGAAAAGTCTTCAGACCGCCATCAGACAACTTAACGATGACCTTAGAAATTACCATGAAAGCTTGAGTGAACTATCGAATACGGCGAGTACTAACAACAGGTGTATACATATAGCGTATACTCTAACTGATCTGCATTTTCTATAGGCTGATGAGACAATCCCAAAATCGGTCTTGTCTGCACACCAGTTGTTGAGTGCAAGGACACACAGAGGTAGGAACCTAGCACTTCTCATTCTTTTCGTTTCTGACGTGCCGAATAACTCAGGACAATTGTCTTTCCCTAACAATGTAGACAGTCTTCAATCCGCGTTTGACAACCTCTCAACATTGCACGCCAGCATCGTTGATATTGCCGAAACTAACCTCCGACAAATCGACGGAGCCCAAAGAAACCTGCCTAGTTTGGAAGAGGTCGAACGTGAAGCTTCGCGTGTTAACTCTGCATTATCCAAACTCAAAGACAAACATGGCCATCACGAAGAGGAATTTCGGACTGAAGTGACTTATACTGAAAACCTGAAAGCTCTTTGTGACAAGCTGGAAAATGCCACTGATCCAGAAACCGTCCTGTCAGAACTACTTCGAAGCGACGATATGCACGTTGCTGCCGATTTGGTTGATCCGTTCGACCTTGACATCCGAAACCGTCTGGAAACCGGTTGGAAATTGGACCAAATGGCTTTGCTCATTGCGAAGGAGCAACTTTTGGACGAGGTATGTCTATGGTCATCCTTTTTTCCTTATATGCCGCTATCTGACGCAAATTGTCTAGGCCCAACAACTTTTCGATGAAACACTTATCCCACCACTCCGCGCCTTGCATGAAATTGTGTGTGCAACAAATGCAGCAAACTTCGAAGCCGAAGCTCTGATTGGAGCGCTCCTCGAAGAATTGGAGGAAACAGTCGATGACGTTGAAGATGCCAAACACAAACGACGGACAATGTCCTCTGTTCCCGGGGAGGAGAACCCACTTGTTTACGAGGCATTGACAAAAGTCTTGAAAGATAACAGAGGTTGGTAGCAAGTTCAGTCGGACCTGCGCTCTACGCTAACCGCAATGCAGATTTACGCCCACCAGATGCTCCTCCTCTTGTTCTCTTGGACGGCGAGGATCTCACACAAGAATTGAAGGCTGTAGAGACAAGGCTAGCTGCCTCTACACGAGCTGAGACAAAGTGGACTAGCGAACTACCTGATAAACTCTCTGTTCTGTAAGTAATCTGCCGACCCATTCACTCTCTGTTCCAAGAACTTACATTCATTGTGTGTAGGTCCAACCTACATGCACCTCTTCTTTCGACGATATACGCGAACTCACCTGTCAATACCTCCAAACCCTTTGAAGCCTCGCTAGAGCTGAACCAATTGGAACGCGAAGCACGGAGAGAAGCTGAGAAGCTAAGTAATGCTATCATTAAACTTCAGAAGGTACGTTCGAGATTCAATATTAATACTTTCGCAGTTAGCTAATCATAAACGTTGGTGCAGGAGGCTGAGTTGACCGATAGGTCGAAGCGGAAGTTGAATGCCTTTGTGGACAAGTGGGGTGCGCGATGATGATCGTCGTATAGAAAGCTCCCCGTTCCGCCCGCATGGATAAACAGATCACAACCGTAATGTTGACATCAGGAAAGAGAGTATAATTCACGTTGAGATCGAAACGTCATTCTACATTACTACTATGGCCTTTCTACTTCCATCGGCAATTGATTCACGGGAACAACAATCCTGGTAGAATTCGATCATCTTTACAGAGCGATCGAAATCTCCGTCGCCGGTGTCCCTGTCGACCTCCAACTCAACTCCTTGTATTGTTTCCAACTCGATGGCAAACATGAGAGTTTTGGGTTTGCCTCGAGGTATGTCGGCACGCACTTTGATATTTTGGTCGCCCCGAGCTTCACTCTCCTTCATCCGTCGCAGTCTGTGCTCACAGATAGAACCTCCATCCATCCTTAGAAAATATGCAGACGGTGGCACCTTTGTATAGTCCAAGTCAAGTTCGGCATACGCCTGTTTGCACGTGTTGAATGCTTCAGAAAACCCATTGTTATACATTAGGCGCAAGTGGTAGAGGACGAATCGTTTGATAAATTTCCATTCGCGCTTGGACATCTCGGGAACCTTCTCAGCTGCATAATATGAGATAGATGACAATACAATCAGAAAAAGCATGATACACGGAACGAAGCGATCTGACCTGCCCGTAACTGTTGAAGTTCTTTGCAGTACTTTTCATGACCATTCTTCCAGCCAACTCTCTGACATTCAGTGCTGCAATAGATAGAATTCAGACATCCCGTGCAACGCTTGAATTCGCCATGTATGTCGCTCTTCCCGCACTGGTTCATTTCAGTCAGCGCGATGGCATCGCTAAATACGTTACACACCTGAGCGCACGTTGCATATGTTTGTAATGGGTTTTGTTTAGTTATTTGCTGCGTTGCTATCGAAATAAAATTGCCCCATTCCATCATCTTTTCCCAGGCATGGCGAAACTCTTCACTATTCCTTGAAGAAACGTCCAAATTCTTCGACTTCTTCATGTACTTCTTCACCGCCTGCAGAATGGAAGGATATATTAAGTATGGGCCAATGACCTCTTTCAAGAGCGTCCGAGGACTATCCTCAAGCTGGTCATTGTCGAGCCGCCGAGGCATTCGAGCTAGTAATCGGTCACCATTGAAGAGGATAGCAAGAATATCGGAATCGACGAGTTGTAGAATATACGGAACTGTATCCAAAGTCTTGGAAAAGTTCTTTATGGAGACACAGCACCACTGAAACATCGCGATATCAGGCCCAGCGGGAGACGTCGAAGCAGTGATCGCGGCAGTCATGGCCCTGGTGATACTTGAAATAACGTTTTGGGAAAGCAAAGCAACTCGAGTAGAGAAACCTTCCGAGGAAGTGTCGCAGACATGCAGTGCCCATCTGAGATGGTCGAAGTCGATTTGTCTCTTATTCATGGCAGTTGCAACGTGCAGAAGAGTGATGCGGGCCAGCTCGTCGGGCTTCTGACCCAAGATGTTTACAGCCGTTTCCGGGCCTTGGTGGGAGATGAATGCATCAACTAGCATAGTCGTTTCCGCACTTGAATCGTCACCAACGTTGGGAAGAAAACGAGGATCCTCCACCTCCCGGACCCACAACCGCCAAACTAGACCGAAGAGCTCGTCGTGATGACGCAAGCCATCACGTAATTCAGATGGGGTATCTGGCTCAACGCAAGCACGTATGAAGGTTACAATGGTAGCCTTGCATACGATACGATCTTTTATCGTGGACGATTCATTGGCGATGCATGAAGACTCCAATACGGTCAACCATCGAGTAATCCGCTTCAAGCGTTCTACGAAACCCGTTATCGTGCCCTGAGAAGGATCCTTCCGTAGGCGTACTATGATTTCAGCGAGGCAATCATAAAAGTCTAGAAAATGGATCTGTTCCTCCGTCAGGCCAGACTTCTCGGCAGCTTTAAGTCTGGCTGAGCTCCATTGGGAATCGAAAACTGACAAAACGAGTTCATGGTCAGATTGCACAAGTTGCCCGTCGCAGATCTGGGTTGCTATAGATTGCAGAGCAGCAGAAAGCTTCGGAGTGGCCACCGGTTCTGCGGCAAGATTAATCAATCGCTGAGGGATGCAGAAACATTAGACATGAGATATCGCAAATAGACAGAACATTACATTAAATTCCGAATCACCCATAGGTGCTTGGTAGTGCCGGAAGGGATGGAGTCAGACTTCAATTAAGAGTGGCCGTCTCAGTGAAAGGAAGCAAAGCAGCCAATGTTCCGGATCAATATACAGACGTTGATAATCTTTATACCTCGCAGACGCGGAACCTTCCGATACGCAATTGGAATACATTGTGAATGTTGGTATAAAGACAACGATTAAAATGCAAGGGGTCTCTCAACTACAATGTGGGACAATCAATGGTGATCGAGGAGACGGACAAATGAATTTGTGCTCACGGGAACACGCCCTTATACTGATACGGAAGTTGAGGCAAATTCCTTCATACGCATTTAGACATTCCATTGTTGACACTTGATAAGTAACGTACTGTAGTAGGACAGTTATGTTTTGTACTTTGGATCCTTACCGTTCTAACTTTCCGTCTCCACACCGTATCATATTCGATGAGCTAAGTTGCAGTGAGTGAGAAGCCAATATCCGCTAACAAAACGCGTTTATGGGCATGTAGAACGAGAAGTCGTCGAGTGACGATCCAAAGAATATTATCCGCCTTTAGACGACCAGTTCACGTTCGGTCTCGCGAATGTTGTGAGGTGCAGGGGGTAGGCTCCATCGTGGGATTAAGACTGGATTCTAGGCTGGGAACATTCACAGTATAATCCATCAGTCAGAAGTACCATTAATCGAAGGTAGGCTTAGTTTCGTCTCTATAGGGAAGAGATTTCCCAATAAGCCCCAACTTGTTCAATGTTGTGCTACACAATGCTACTCACACAAAAGTCCCTCAAAGTACATACTGATGCACTGTTTCTTGGTCAGCGTGATGGCAGTGAAAGCGATCAGGCCTCAAGATGAAGGATACAGAAAAGGCGAACCGGACAGCCACAAGAAATAAACAGCTAGACATTCCAAGGGCTGTGGTCAATAACAGGACTAAAACAGGAGATACATGAAGGGGACGTACGACAGAGCGCCCCCCAACGTAAGAATGACCGGATGTACATATCGTCTGATTATAGACTACCTAGTTAACCCAACAGATTCGAAGATCCAAGCACGGTTCAAGGCACCAGTGAAAGGTGTTACAGTATTCTAAAGTAGAATATTTTTTGATCAATCGACTGTTGTCGAAAGTGAAACATCTACGTACCTGAGATATGGCAGTCGTAGGAGACGTGAAGCACTTGAGGTTGACAGGCACATCATAGATACTACAGCGACAATTCAGCTTTGGAAAGGGACAAATAGAGATTAGATGAAGATCGTGACGTACTAGACACCACAAGAAGTGGATTGAAACATCTACTGGGAGAGCTGGGAGGGATTGAGGGACACATCCGAACCCTGTGAATCGCACCCAGCAGCCAGACGATACCATAAAGTGAAGAGAGACCCACACCGATCTGGGCGGGGCTGCTTATGGGCTGGGGTTCTCCTGTGGGGGGCGCGAACAAATCCACAGACCACTGCCAGAGCTATTTGAGGATGCTTTGATCAACCGAAGTGGACGATAGGTGTGCTAACCTCCTCGTTCGTAGTGAGCGGCCGGTTGTCTGGACAGTGGCCTATAGGCCTACGGAATGTTCGGACCTCAAAAACTGAACGAAGTGCAGTCACACACCTGGTTTCTAGAAGCTGGTATCTGCATCCTGAATTCGATACTTTCCGGGGGAAGAGAAAGAGTTAGTAAATAGAATTGAGCCGTGAAGAGAGGGTAAATATAAGATAATCCTTACCAGGCTTCGCCGCAACAATGTTGAGGAGCCAGCACTGAGTACTGAGGAGAGCGATTCGGGCGAAGGTCTTTCCAATCATCCTGATGCGAGGGAAGATGTACAGATGGCCCACTGGATACCCCTGTGCCGCACTGAGAGTACCTACCATCGGCGGAAGTTTATACTAGAAAGGTAGTCACACGCCAGTTCAACTTCTAGTAAGAACGAAACGGTGGGACGTAGGGCACCCTTTTCAAACTGCGGTATGTACGTTGAGCAAATTCCCTGGGAGCAAGGCTGGTCTCAGGCGGGGCTCGATGGCTGCTACATCAGAATATCCCAATGTGAATCTACAGCAGCTGAAGACCTCGTATCTGTCAGGGTGCGCATGATATGATAGGACCTGCCTGTTATCCCTGGAGCATCTCGTGAGTTTCAATTGCTTGCCCAAAGCTCATGACACCTCCGATCACAGCCGGCTGACTGGACACGAGAGAGACACGGTCATTTATAGAGATTTTCGCACAGAAAGAAGCCTGCAAGTACAGCATGCCCAATAGGGGGGATGGTGAACATAGCATCCGATTCATATAATATTACTCTCACTTTTTGATACGACCCCAAGTTCTAATCTACGCCGCGGACGGTACATTTTAATCTGACAAACTGCTTCGTGGGGTATCGTATTTTGTTCCGGCGGCCTTTAAACTGCCTAACTAACTCAAGTCAGCATTTTTCTCCAAATAATGTCTAGTGAAGTTCAACCTTACACAACGGTGAAGGTTCGAAGCCCCATGCATCTTCAAAATTGAATGTCATCAGATCCGGCCTAGTCCTTCCGGTGTCGAATAGGACTTATGAGGTGAGTGCACTGGCGGAGGGGTGAGGGACATCAAGAATTGAGAAGGATCAGGGACCGGGCAGGGGAAGTTTGATGTGGATGCTTAGGGACGGGCCAAAGATTGTCTGTCATGAGTCTGTAGAGTGATCCTTGACAAGCGTGGAACACGCATGGTAGCATCTCGAGGAAATGACACAATGGAAGTTGAACAAGGCGTGATCATGAGCTCTTTCGAAATGGGTCGGTTGAGTTGATGTTGGAGAGTGTAACGTTTCTGAACCGCAGGACCTGTCAGTTCATTGAGCACCGGTGATGATAATGATAGTCTGGTAATTAAATTAACCACTCTAAACACTCGTGTACTGTCAATGCAGCATCAGTCAAAGACGCAGCCACAAAATACAGACAACTTACCTGTTCATCGCATGCTTAGTATACATGTACAGCTCGGAATCGAATAAGGACTTCATACCATCGCCGTTGAGAGATGTTCGCTTTCAACCCGAAGAATAGCGGACAGAAAGTCGGGGAATAAGGTAACCGAGGGAGAGAGAATTACATTGATATGTGAGGTGAGAGATACACAGCAGTATTATGGCAATCGCTATATCAACCAACAGTGCGTTTCACCGCAAGTATCGTACCGGTATAGTCAGACGAGGGGCTGTAGTGGGTACTAGATGGAGGGTCAGGGGATGAGACTCGAGGATGGGACATCATATTTCACAAGCAAAGAGCGACAGCAGGCACAAAGAGCCCAAGATATATGGAGCCTCGAAGCGAAGGGTAAGAACGAAAAGGAAATCACAAAGAAAAGAAAGAAAGAAAAAGAGAAAGGAGCACAAAATAAAAAAGCTGGCATATAGACGAAAGTCAAGTTTATAAAGAGGAAAGACAACCAATAGCCCAAAAGTCCGCATAAGCATTCGATGTAGCCCTCAATGACGAGAAGTCAAAGGTTAGGGTATGAGGACGACATCTCGTGCATGCGTAGCGGATTCCGAACCAACTTCTTTTCCATCCTCTCGTGAAGGAGAGGTATTTTGGCGAGATTAGGATGACCATCGTCCGCGGTATGTAGTGTTTCGAGAGCGAGGAGAGGAGACGGAGAGATATCGAGGAAATGAGCAATGACAACCAGGTGTGGCGATGGCATAACGTGATGGTATGCACATCTTGCACATACATATGCCATACGTTACGAGCGTAGCAAAAGTCGACAGAGCGCAAAGAGGGGTATCCAAATAGCAAATAAAAAGTGTCGAAGCGAGACGTGAGTGAACGCGTCAGAACATGATATAGGTTTGCCATTTATTACAGCGCATCTTCGACCTTGACAGGCTCCGCGACTTGCTCACCACCGTCGACTGCGAGATGGTCGAAACTAACTCCGCTGTCCTGCTCAACTGCACTCAATGGAGCAGCAGAGTTCGGACCATTTCCGCTGGCTGAACGCCTCATGGAACCGCCCTGAGGACCGGATCGCGGAGGGTTTGCGCAACGATCCTTGCCGTGTGCGATACGCAAATTGGCGTAGTCAGGCTTGTTCTTAATGCCCTCGATAGCTTTGATAGCGTTAGAGATGTTCGTGAAGTTCACGAATGCACAGTTCCTACAAAGAAGGTTGTTGAATCAGCATATAATACAGATGGGCACATGATAGGCAAATACGTACTTCTCCTTCAAGAAGTTAACAAGCTCGATGTCACCGTATTCGCCAAAGTCTCTCTTCAACTTCTCATCGTTGAAAGAGTCAAAGTCTTCAATGTTCCCGACGTACACATTACGAGTCGCTCCTGCATGCACCGAAAGGGCCAGAGCAGGAGGGAGCGGTCCGGAGTTCTTACCCCAGCCGATCTTCAACCGCCTGTTGTTCAAAGTCAAGCCCTGATACGATGCTACCTGGAAGAAAGTCAAGGCGGCCGCAGGATCAACAAAGGTAACAAACTAAAATAATCCATCAATCAATAAGTGTATCACAAACGCAAATCTTGCCCGCATATACTCACAGCAATGTGTTTATCCTGCATATACCTCAAGCTCTGCAACACACCACCACGAATAGCATTGCACAAATCCTCAGCGGTTGTCTCAGGGTGAATGTTACCCAAGTACACAGTCCTGTTCAGTGCCTGTGTACCTGCCAACCCGCTCAAAGCCTCAGCACCGAATGGCAGATACGGCGTCATAGGAGATGCTGCGAAACCACCTCCGAACCCGCCGAGTTGTTGAGTCTGAATAGGCGTCAAGGAAGCTGCTGATTGCGCAACGAGGGACTGTGCGGCTGCTGCCTGAGCAGCTTGGGCAGCGGCTTGTTGAGATTTAGGGATATATGCGCAACGATCTTTGCCAAAGTTGACACGCTTGCCTGCCCATGCAGGCTCAGACGGGAGAGCACCAACAACCTACAAAAAGGTGAGAACGGAGATGAAATGGTAACCATCAAGTAAACTAACCTTGATAGCAGTGGAAATGCTCAAGAAATGCACGAAACCAATGTTCTTATCGCGGACAATCTTCACTTGGTCAATAAGACCAAACCTGCTCAAATCATCTCGGAGTTGCTCTTCTGTCGTGTTCTCATCAAGTCCACCAAGGTAGACATTCCTGCTCGCATTATTCTGTTGAATCGCAAGAGCGACCTGGCTGGGTACAGGCGAAGGCTTGCCCCAACCAATCTTAAGCTCTTGGCCGTGAAGCGAGAGCTTCTTGATCACAGCATCTGCATGGAAGGCAGCGGCAGTGGCGCCATCCAAGAATGACAAGAAAACACAGGACTTCTCAGGAAGTACTCGAATCGACTCAAGAGGGCCGAAATGAACGAGGTTTAAAAGTTCGTCGACAGATGCAGTAGCGGGGAGATTGCCGACATAGACGGTACGTCCCGTAGCATTTCCTTGAGCACTCATCGCTGCGCTCAAAGCGGCCGGTGAATATGGTGACACCTGTGGTTGAGGAATCGTTAAAGACGGTAGGCGTTGCTGGGGGGAATTATTCTACGGAATCAACAAGCCTGCACGGAAATGACAAAGTGAGATTGGCAAATTCCCTTACCTGGCCGAAGTTGCCCATCTGACCGTTGTAAGGGAAGCCGTTCAAAACACCCATGCCCGGAATACCCATGCCGAGCATATTGTATCCTCCAAATCCACCATAAGCATTACCGTTTGCGCTAGCTGGTGTCTGTTGGTTCTGAGGTGTAAAGGGACCACCAGTGTTGGGGCTCATTTGGGATTGCATGCCATTGGGAGATGCCTGGGTGTTAATGTTTAACGAAGGCGTAGAGTAGAGGGGATTGCCAGTAGCAAAGGTATTCGGCGGAGAGTTGTTGTTGAAGCCAGACTGGGAGATGCTGGCTTGAGGGCCGTAACCGTAGTTAGCGAAGGCATCACGAACAGCGTTTGCGCCAGCGCCTGCGAGACCGTTTGCACCATTTGCGCCAACAAAAGATGTGGGAGACCAACGGGCCTTTTTGGCATCAGGGCCACCAACGGAATCCATAGACCTCTATATGACAAGTGGTGAGTATATGGCACAGAAAGAAGTTTGTGGCTGTCGGCAGATAGATCGTGATGTGGGGGAAAGCGAATGCATATCATAAGCACATGAGGCGAGCGTCCACAACGAAAGTGAAACGGTTGCCACGCCACCCTCGGAGTGAGTATATCGAAAAGAAGCACAGGTGCTGATGATTGTCGCCATAATACTACTGCCACGTCGAAGGCCGAGATCGAGTACCAAGCACAACGCTCTGGAAGAAAGAACGGAGAGACATACCTTCATCATGTCTATATCAAGCCCGTACTGTTGATACTGGGTAGCAAAAGCTGCCTGGGAGTCGTCCATGTCGAAGCGAGTGATGATGGGAATGAGTAAATGAGCGGAGGAAGATACAGGCAACGGAGGACAAGAGACAGACAGAGGGATCACAAAAAGGATAGAAAAGACAAGTTAGAACGAGTGTGATGAGAGGATGGGGGATAAGGAATGTGGGCGAGTTGGCTGCGAAAAAAAGAAGGGAGACGCACAGAGAAGAGAGGGTAGAGTGCGTAGATATAGGGAGATTATTTAAAGAGGCAAAATAATCTCTTGGAATTCACGAATCACGCTGCAAGCCCTTGTGTGCGAATGCGAAACGAAAGGAAGACCCGTTATTGGAATGAGGCCCGGAAGTGGAAGCCGGACGCTACGAAACGGGAGGTGCAGCGACCAAGAGACGGTGAAGAGCAAGAGAGGAAGGGGGCGTCGACAGCGGGGAGCTGTAAAAAGCCAACGACGACAACAGCGGCGACGATGGCGACGACGACGGCGACGACGAGCAAGAGAGAAAATGAGCCCAATAGCCAGCGCACCGCAACATCAGCTCGTTATTGCAATCTTTCCCACGCTCTTAGGGCACGGACCACCCGCTATCTCCGTTCCGCAACCATTTGTAGTCTTGATTCCATCAAGTTTCATGTCGAACACGACAAGGAAGATGTCTTGAAGCCCCTAGAAGTCGACATGGGCCATCGAGCAGCAGACGGACATGTAGACACTGCCAGTAGTCCCACTACGGCGGATAGTGCGGTCACATAAACGCCCATGTCAAGGGGCCATTCACACCCATAATACAAGGCAGACAACTAGGGAACTATATCATGCAGTATGAATAAGTACACGCTAGGTAGAGAATATGATCGCAATGCATGAAATAAAGATGACAAGAAATGCGAGTGAACAGCAAGGAGGAAACGACACCAAAAACACACAGAACTATGAATACGAATAATATGGCAACACAAGGTAGAAATCGAAGGATACAGAGCAGTCATATCTATGAGAGAAGTTCGAGTAGCTTGTCACTATCCGTCGACTTGCTCGCAATCCGTGTACAGCGTTCCTCATCCTTATCGAGACCAGCTCCCTTCAACATCGTGGCGAACAACTGGAACGCTTTCGGCGCATCAATGGCAATATCATCCAGAATCTCAGCCGTGGGCGTAAAGCCCTCCTCAAATGTCGCAGGTGAACACAAGTTCTTGCTGAAAGCACGGTGGAAAAGATCAGCAACCAATTGAGAGTCCGCTTCTTTCGACTCGATGGCTCCAGTGACCAACTTGTCGATGAGCAGATGTCTGTGCTCAACAGGCAGTTTCGTGAAGTAAACTTCGGCTTCGTCAAGATCTCGGATGCTGAAGAACTCCTTGGAGTCCTCATCGATCTTCTTCTTGGCCTCAGCCTCAGACATTGAGGGTGTACCAGACTCAGCGTGCTCGTCTTCCGAATTGGCTGCAGACCCAGTTGGGGTATCCTTGCTCTCGTCCTTCGGTACCGACCTAGGAAGTAGATTGAGCTTTCTGCGTTGCAGGGGTGCTTCGGGGGCGCCTGCATGGCCAAGGTCGATGCTAGCCTTACGACTAGGTGGTCGACTTGACTTGCCGGTGGATGGAAGTGTCTCGCTCGCAAGCTCTGGGTTTTGACTGAGCATTGAGAACATATTGACCGAGCCCGTCCGTGATATTGTACTATCCCGGGGACCAGGCTTGCCCTCCTTCTTGTTGAAGACGCTGCTGGGACCGAAGGACATTGATGCGGTCTTACTGATCTTGCCGAAGTTTGATAGATCGCCAGCCTTCGGTGGCGCTCGGGGAACTGCTGTGCCAGTGACCACCCAGCCGTCAGGGCCAACTGTCTGGTCTCGGTCACCCCCACGTCTTGAGCCGCCGCGAGACATACTGAGAGTGCGCTGGTATGAGTCCTTATCGGAAGCAGCCTTCTCTTTGGCAGCCTGCATGAATAGTGTCAGTAATAAACAGACGGAACACAGCATGATTGATTACTCACGGCCTCGTGGACGGCAGCGATCGTAGTAGGAGCGGCCGCTTGACTACGGGGAATCCATTTGCGTTCACGCATCTCGATAACATCCTGCAACATCATGAATAAAACAAAGCTTAAGATCCAAGTCCATGTCACTTACCTGCAACATGAATTGCATACGAGAGTTGACATGAGGGCTCTTAACCAATTCCTTCATGCGAGTGAAGTAAACATCCATATGGGCGCGAGCCTTGGGGGTATCCAGCAACTGACCGACAGTGGTCATGAGCTTGCAAAGCGACTCGATCTCCTCTTCTTCTGGGTTGTCAACGTTGCTCAGAAGTTTCTTGATACACTCGTGCATGATACGCTCCGTGAGCATCTGCAGCTTAAACAGTTCACCAATGAACTTGACCAAACCCAGACCCTGACGCTTTGCCTTCTGCGCAGCATAGTATTCCTCAGAGTACAGCGCAATCTCACCATCCTTCTCGTCGTGGGCCGCGGCCTTCGCAGCCTGGTCCTCCGTAGCTTTCGTCGCGGCAGCAGCAGCGGTAGCCTCCTTCGCAATCCACCCTCGTTCGAAGTCCTCTTGACACCGGTTGAGGAGGTATTTACGGAACAGTTGACCACCAGCAATGGGCTTGCCTTCAGCATTGCGGATACCGTCGTCTTGCACCTTGTTGCTGATCTGCTCCATCATCTTGCGACAGAGACGGGCGTACATCTCGGACCACGTAGCCTCATCCGTTGCTTTCTCGAACACGAGCTTGATGACCTGGATAAGTGTCCGGCCATCCTTCTCGGCCTCAGACTTATTCGCCCATTGAATGATTTGGTCTGAGATGGAGTCGAACCTCTCCATAGTCAACTTGTTGAGCAACGACTTGACCTTGCGCTCAACAACCTCCGGTGAGTTCTCGTCGACAGCTTGTGGCTTCTTGATAATACTGGCTGGTGTCCATCGGTTGGCGGACGCCTCCAGAGGCGCAACAGGCTCCAGAGGTTGAGCGGATGGGTGCATAGATTGGAACGCAGACTGGCTGACACTGGACTTATCACCCCCTCGTTTCTCACCTCGCCTGCTACGAGTACGCTGGCCCATAGGTGTTCCGCCAGGTCCACCTTGACTCGATGAGCGAACCATAGGTACCTGACGTCCGAAAGGCATGCCGGGTGGACCGGACACTGACGTTGAGCGGGCCACGTTGAAACGCTCCTCGCTCGTCATCTTGTTAGCAGGCGTCGAGAATTGGCCCATGGTGAAGCCGCTTCCTGCGCCAGGCTTGCCACCGAATCCGATCCCAAGGCCAACAGACGCCGTTCGTGGAGCAGGAGGCCCCATGCCACCCACAGAAGGTTGACGGCGACCAGAAGACGTGCGGGTCATTGGGAACTGTGGCTGATCTTGAGGATTGATACCAAGAACGTCGAGAGGAGGGAGGTTGTCTGGCTTGTCCTTGCAGATAGCCATGAACTGTAGGAGGAACTCACGATCGTAGCTATCAAGGCCAGTTAACAAAGAGAACAAAAAGAGTCAAAGGGTCAATGTGCCACTTACCGGAATTTGCCCTCTTTGGCGTTCACATTCAACTCGACCTTTGGACTCAGGATCCCATCCGGATAAGGCACGCTCTGCAGGTCGTCGATGATACGAGCAGTAGCCAGAGCAGACGGCAGAGGGGCCGCAACAGCTCCCTTTGCACTCGAAAGGTCGAGAGGACCAGGACGTGGTCGCGCAGGCGTCGTACTGCTGACGGCAGTATCAATACGTAGCAATGCCTTGTCCGCTGACTTAGCCTTCGCCGCCTCCTTCGACTCCTCTTCTACTTCGCCCTCTTCAGCCTCAGGGATAGGCTCAGGCTTCGATTCGGCGACAGCGCGCTCCTTCGCAGCCTGCTCGGCCTTCTCCTTCTCCTCTGCCTCCTTCCGTAGCCGTTCCTGTTCCTCTGCCTCTTTACGAACACGCTCGCGTTCCTCTTCCTCCTTGCGCAATCGTTCCTTCTCCTCCTCTTCCTTGCGCAGCCGCTCCTTCTCTTCCTCTTCCTTGCGTATCCGCTCCTTCTCAGCTTCCTCCTCCTTGCGTTTTCGCTCAGCCTCTTCCTCCTGCGCCCGCTTTTTCCTCTCCTCCTCCTCACGCTGCTTCCTCACCTTCTCCTCGGCTTCCTTCTTTGCCTTCGCCTCTTCCTCCTTCTTGCGCTCCTCCTCTGCTAACCGCTTTCTCCTCTGTTCATCACTCTCTAACCGCACTGCAGGACGAGCTGGTGATGCTGGAGAGGGCGGAATACTCGACCGCTTCGCGTTCTCCTTTAGTTTCTCGATCCCAACTTCGTGTCCAGATACATCCTTAATAACCACGCCGGATGATCGTTTCGGCACGAAAGCAGGTACGTCTGTCCTCATGCTTCGCGACCCAGCTGCGCCGGGGCCAGATGAAGACGAAGGAGTAGCGGGAGGCGAGGTGATATTGCTCAGGCTGGCAGTATGGATGTGCGGTGACGGGGTATTATGCGGCGGGTGCCCCGGTGCAGGGACCGCAGGAGACATCGTCGGTGTACCAGGCGGGTGAAGTTGTGGTGGAGGATTTCGAGGTGAAACTGGCATACCAGGGTGAGCGGGAGGTCCACCTCCAGGTGATTGTTGAGGCATCATGCCCCATTGAGGATGTGCGTGTGCGTAGTAGTACTGAGGATCCATAGCGTAGGGGGTCGCCTGCAAACAACCATTAGTGTCCAGATAAGAAACCGAAAAAGTCAAACTGCGCACATAATACCCCCACGGTGCAGGTGACATGGCTGTCGGCTGACCAGACGGCGGACCCATGCGCGGACTAGGCATTGCTGGAGGTAATGGTGGTCCTCCTTGCGGACCTTGCGGTGCTGCTCGGCCATTGACATTCACACCCGTCGGTGCAACATTCGGTGGTTGGCGGGAGTACACTACAGGTGACCGAGGAGGTCCCTGCCCTGTACCACTGGTTCCATTTTGTTGAGGTCTCAGACCACTCGGGACGAATGTTGAGAACTGCTGACCAAACTGCGGTGGATGTTGGTGTTGAGGTTGCGCATGCGGCTGCGTCGGTGCCGATGGATGCGGCAAAGGCGATGGCCGTGATGGAGGAGAAGTCATATCGGAAGTCGACGGAGATGAGGATGAAGAGGGAGGGGCATTCTGGAACAGCTTTTTGACGTCGAATTTGCTCTTGTTCGGCTTGATGGAGACGGCAGGTGTCGATGATGACGATGATGCCTGTCCTGACGTTGACGAAGAGGCAGCATGGGGTTTGCCGTTTACAGGAGCGGCAGAGGTAGGTGTCGCGGGCACTGTTCCAAACGACTTTACACCTTCGGTTTTGATAGGTGGTACCGAAGCGGGTGAGGAAGAAATAGGTGCAGAAACATCATCTATAGAACCAAAAGTGACAGCAGAGCCTAGGAAAAGATCAGAATTAGTCAGCTGCATGTTAGAGTGGAAGACAGAACTGAGACATAAAGCCGCATATCGCAGTAGGAAAGCGTGCGACACGCATGCAATGCGGCAGCATCATGGCAAGCGTTACTACCCACCCCGAAGACGTCTACAGAACAATTGAAAGCTGAAATTTGAGGCAAATGCCAGCAAGCTCAATGGAACTGAAGAAATTTCAGGCAAAGCAGGTTGTCTACCAATGCTGTCAGCATCGCCGGGTTCCACGCAATGTGACAACCGGGCGGCCAATCCTTGTGACCCGAATACAATGGCTCAGGGTGGTCCACAATCCGACACAGTCTGACACAGATTCAACAGACCACAGTGTGGAGGAATGGCAGCTCGTGCGCAGTAGCAAATCCCCCCGCCCAGAATTGAAGAGAGATAAATTTGAAGATTACTCACCAGCCTTTACAGTATTCGTAGGACTTCGAGCTGCTCCGACACCCTCCTTGAACGATACACCTTGGCCAAGCGCACTCGGACGTCGTGAATGAGTGGCAGAAGCGGGCGGTGTTGCATTAGGAGCTGGCGATTGCGATCTAGGCGTGGGTGCTGAAGAAGTGCTTGACGGCGGGCCCCTTGACCAAGCAGACTTTTGAGGAAGCTGGGGCGCAATCTTGGATGCAGTAGCAGTGGACGATTTGCTCATTCTGGGACAGTAGATTAGCAAGCGGTCGGTGTTGTTGTCGAGAGAGCGACACACGAATTATTGCGATGGCGAGGCGATGGATTTGATAACTTGAGTCGCGTGAAGGGTCGGTCGTGAAAGATGACCTGCCTGCAGGCGAACGAATGGTCGCGATGAGGGTTTGGAAGAGAAAATAGAGGTCGGACGCTGGAAGAAACAGCAATCCGCAATGTCCTGGTCGTGGACGAGAGCAACAAGCAGAGCCCTCCGCCAACGAAAAATCAGCCCCCCTCGGAGTCCCCCGAAACCGCCCAGGCCTAATCCGGCACCGCACATTGACATCACTCATCACCGGATTAAATCTCTCTATTTCAGAAATAACCAGCCTGCGAACGCGAGGATATATTTACAATGTTCATTCTAGATACAAGTACACCCAGGTAAATGTGCTCAGGTACAGGTAAACTGAATATCACTATAGCTTCGACTTGCTCTCTCTGAGCTGCGCACTCTGCATAATCTCATCTGAAAGGAATGAAATCAAATTCATGAATTCGAAAGCAAACCAACGGTATACTCACAGTTAAGGCGATACAGGCTGTCCTCGGGGACCGCAACCGTGTGCGTATGGATATTCGATGCGTCCACCATTCCCCGCACTACCTCCTTAATTGTTCTCGCTCCAATGAGCCGCATGTTCATCTCGAACTCATCCTACGTACAAATCAGGGGCTATGATGCATTCCAGAACATGGTGGAAACTTACGTGAAGAATGGTCAGGGCCGCATCCACTCCCTCCTGGCCATAGGACGAGAATGCGTAAAGGAAGGGTCGACCGATGCCAACTATGACCTGTCAGCACTGTCAGTATTACATACGAGCGTCAACTTACCTGCAGTAGCCCCAAGAGCAACCGCCTTGAGAACATCGGTGGCACGTCGAACACCACCGTCCACGAACAGCTGGAATTTCTCATTTGGGAAGCTCAACCCCCGTTTCTCGCCAAGTTTCTCAACCACTTCGATGAGGATCTCCACACCAGATTTTGCAAAGTCCAGTTGGCGACCGCCGTGATTTGACAATACGACACCGGCCATGCCCTGGTCATACGCCTCTAGCGCATCCTATACGTTTTGTGAACAGAGGAATCACGACAAGCTACTTGACTACTTACTTCCCAACATTGGACACCCTTGAGAATGAGGGGCACTGCAATCAAGTCTTGCTCAGGCAGGAAATATCAGTGAGGTCGTTACACTTACTCTTCGTAATGCTCTTGAACCATTTCAGGTCGCTCCATTGCAAACCTGGATCAATGAACGACTAACAAACAGTCAGGTTCTGGAGAGGTGCCTACACATAATCAATGCCCACTTACGCTGATAGCACGAGCAGCGCCTTGCGAGCGGTCTACTTCGCCTTGTTTATCATTCTTGCTCACTTCTGCTGGGTCCTCAGCTTCAAATTTCATGCGCATGTCCTACAAAAGATCATTAGTAATATATCCTTTTAAAAAATTATAAATGATTCCTGTCGTGCAATATATGCACATACCTTTTCTCGACGGCCAAGTTGCGGTGCATCAACAGTGATGAACAATCCCTTGATTCCACGCAGTTCAGCATGTTGAACCAGGCGTTTTGTGATTGCTCGATCCTTGTTGACGTATCTGACCAACGGAAAGGACCTCGTTATTTCATTTGACAAGTGTAGCATATAGTTGAACTTACAACTGAAGGAATTGCACTTGACCAGGTTGCGCGTTGTCTACGATTTCGTCGAATGCACATGATGCTAATGTGGGTATCTGATATATGCGTCAGGATAGCATCCGTGTTCGCATTTTTGTGCCACGAACCATCTGGATAATGTTGTGCTTCGCGGCAGCTCTAGTAAGGTTCAGTTCACCATCCGGGTGTCCAAGTTTACCCAAAGCAGTTGCAGTCTAGATCGCACAACTGTCAACTAAGCACACCAACAAAGTCCATCATGACTTACGATATATATAGGCATGCTGGTACGGTGACCAAGTATCGAAGTAGAGAAATCGACGTGGGTAACATCTCTTAGAATGCGCGGTCTGAACCATATCCTACGAAATCATCCTTGAATTTGGCGAAAAGAAGGGAAAGAAGCATAGAGAACGAACCGGTGGTAAGCAGCGTGGTTCTCACGGAGTGTGATTTCGTCATCTGCAGCTGAGCTATAGTATGCCCATGCCTTCTCTGGCATTACACGTCTGGCGATAGCCTCAAAATCGTAATGTGGTTACTTAAGGAACTAGATTGAATGCACGATGGCTTACCTCGAAATCATGCAAGTTGAGAATCTCAGATAATGGTGGTCGTGATTTGAATCGTTCCAGTCGTGCTTTCTCCTCGTCGGTAATCTTAACTTCCACTTTCTGAACTGTACCAAGGTCGACAGGTCCCAGACTGGCCATCGTGATCTGAATTAAATTCATACACTCCACAAAACAAGTGATTGGCTTACTGCTTCTCCGGAGGAAGGTTGTCAGTGATCGCGTTCGGCGGGTGGATCGGGTCATATTCCGCACTAGACAAACGAACTGAGAATGGACCGGAATTAAAACGCAAGAGCCTCACGTTGCGTCCTTTCCAGCATATTTCAAGATAATCTTGCTTCCACCTGACATCAAACAAGAATTAAAGAGCGCATATAATCTATGTGGAGAAACATACCTGGGTGGTCTGCGCATTCATGCCTATGTGAGTGAAAGCTTGAATAATTATCCTACGCTAACCCACCATCTAAGAACTCCGTGACATCATAAACGTTGCCTATAATAATCGAAAGTCAGTGAACCGACAACAATAGTAGTGCGAGCATGGATTAAGTATCGGGTTAATTGGAGCTTGAAGGACCGCGACGTCAACGACTAGCAACATATATTGAACTCACCATGAACGATAATCCAACAGCTCTCCCTCGAGTTATGCTTCGCAACTTCCTGTCCGGAAAGAGGTGCTTTGACCGTTGCACCCATGTTTCAACACAAAACCGTCGGAAGTTACAGACCAAGAAGAGAAGCGTATGGGTGCGCTGGTGAAAGCGTTCGATATCGTTAACGTTATGTTGTGCATGGTATAGATCCCGTGGAACTCACCTGGTGTGGATATTCCTTGCCGCGCATTGGTGGGGACCATCCGGGCCGCTCATCCGATGTCGACAAACAACTTTCGACGGAGTACGGACGTCCGTTCGATATTATTCTTAACATCGAGCGGCGCGCCGTAGAGGGGGAGCAAGAGAAATAATGGTCATGATTGGATGCATTTGTCTACGTGATACATCATGATATGTTGTTGCTAATAAAGACAGAAGAAAACCCAAAAGATTACGAGAGAAAGAAAGATACATAGGTGAGCGGGATCCGGTCTACTAGTGATGCAAGAAAAACCAAAATACACAGCTTCCGACACTGTACTCCCTAATCGAAGGAAGCAGCTTTAGACGAGTTGGAAAGCCTTTCCACCGGCTCTGGCATCGAGCTCAATGACATCCTTGAGACCTAATATAATAGTCTGGTAAGTCCAAGCCCGAACAACGTTGAATCCAACGTACCCATGACTTCGAAGAACGCTTTGGGGTCCATGCCCTTGGCAGACGTAAAGTCCGTACCCGTCTTCTTTAAGGATTGCATGGCAGCACGAATACCATGGACAGCAGCGACGCAAGATACCAATGAGAAGACTGAGGGCAGGTGATATCACTCGGTCAGCAAGAGCGACGAAGGTAAAACGGACACAGAAGACTAACTGATAATCTTAGCACCCATCTCCTCAGCCTCCTTGCATGTGAAGGAAGGAGTGAGACCACCAGAAATAACATTGACGAGGACCTAAGATGAAGCGCAAGTCAATACAACTGACCACGATACCAATAGATAAAAGGAAGACATACAGGCTTAGGCGCAAGTGCAGCAACGGTCTCCTTCAAGAGCTCTGCAGTCTTGACACCCTCGATAAAGCAAACATCGGCACCAGCATCTGCCGCAAGCTTCAGACGAGTGACAGCCTCCTCCATACCAAGGACTTGAGCAGAATCTGTACGGCCAATGATGACGAAATCAGAGCCTCCGGGGATGGAATCTCTAGCGATGACTGCTGCTCGGATACGAGTAATAAACTCCTCTCGTGAAACCACTTGCTTGCCGAGAAGATGACCGCAACGCTTCGTTTGGACTTGGTCTTCAATGTGAAGAGCAGCGACACCGGCGCGCGCGTATTGGGTGACGGTTCGTGCTACCATCGCTGGGCCACCGAAGCTTTGGCGAATATTAGCATAAGAAAGAGCTTCGCGATAACGTCTCTAAGCAACTTACCCTGTGTCGGCATCAGCAATGACAGGTGTAGTGGGGTCTAGGCTACAGACCATTTGGGCGCTCTACATGAAGAAAGAAGACCTTAAGTGATCGCTCGTATCTTGGCAATGTCAAAAGGACTAACCTGTACAAAGTCGTTCAGAGTAGCAATGGCAAGATCAGGCATGCCAAGGCGGGAAGCTGTGGTAGCAGCACCACTGTCAAAGCGTCATAAGCAAATCATGACAAGTATGTAGGAACGTAGCAGTTTTACCTTTGGTACAAGCAATCGAAGCCGGCTTCGAGTGCGCATCTTGCGCTAATACCATCACAGATACCAGGCGCAACCTATCACTTCGTCAGTGCGAGGTAGGACAACCATAGACAATGATGCACATACCACAATCCCAGGTCGTGCGAGCAATTGACGGAGACGAGTAGCAGGGTTATGTGACAGAGGGCCCTCAAGGAAGTTCTTTGGGTCTAGGCGAGCATTGTAGTAGACATTGGGCTTGGGCTCCTCCTGGCTCTCGATAGGAGAGTCTGGTGGAGTGTCAGCGGAGTGGTGAGGGATATTGATCGTTTGAGAAGCAGGGATAGCTTCGGGAGCAGAACCATAGAGATCGAGGCCTGGCATTTTTAATATTGAGAAATAATGATATAGAAGGTGGAGGAAGCGGGAGGTGAAGCGTCGAACTCGACTTGAAGACTTTGTGGCGTCTTTGAGGGCCATGTTATAAAGAAACTGGAGAGGCGAGACGAAAATATCTCGGGGAGGAAAAGTGACAGGTCACCGGAGACGTCGGAACAAAGTGAGAGTAGAAAAGGCATACGATAGCTACCGGTATACATGGCTGCGGCGTTGAACAGTAGCCAAGAGCAACACGGGTGGACGATGCACGTCGGGGTGGGTCCCGACTAGGAGTTGATGCGGCGTTAGAGGAAATCCGCCCACTTGTTTAGTCATTTTTCCAGCAAGATAGCGAGCTTCTCGAAAGCGAAGATCTTGCTTAGTATGCAAGCTATCAGCATTGAAAGGCTTGGCGAGAACACGAAGGAAAACTCACCGTCCTGTGGAACGATTCATGATCGACTGGGGTTGACAAGTTCCATTTCGTGAGCAAATTAAAAATGAACAGACTTCTTTTGCTCGTAGAAGGCATTCATATTCCCATAGCTTTGATCCGGTATGCGAAAGAAAATGATCTGCTGCTGCAAAATCGCTGACCTTCTGCTGTATACTGTCACCGCGGGATGATTCAATTTAAATAACGTTTTCGGGTCCAAAGTTGTTTTGAAAGCCAAGCAAACCGTCTCGTACTTACGGTATATAGATGCCCCAAATACGCCAGATGTACACGAGTTCCAGTGACGATACGAGTCTTTCGAAGCCTGCCAAGCATAAGATAGATGCTCTCCTCGCGAAGAGGGCTATGTTTGGATGTCATTGGTCACCGCTCGGCCACACACTCAGGAAAAAGGTGAGGCACAGAGTAATATGGTGGTCTAGGCTTCGAGGTACAACATGGATCTACAGAATTGCCAAGCATTATTGCATGAGTTGCAGGCAATCCTAGAACCATCTGAGCTAGTCTGAGCTCCGAGTATGCAAGGCGTGCAATCGCGTGACATCGAAGATCAAGCATAAGGGCAGAAAAGGTCGGCAGAGTCCTTCAGCATTAATTATCCTCACGTAGTCGCCAATAACCAAGTAAGCTGTAAGTCTTTGTCTGGAATATTAGATGCGTCACGGTAAAGCCAAGAAAAAGACCCTACAAGCCAGGATGTCAACGGCTTTGTGGTGTCTGACTTTGTTACAGTTTGATCTCTGGCCGTTTTTGGCAGCATGATCGATCAAAGCTGCTCTTCAGTTGCTTCAAAGTGCAGCCGTCTCAAATCAAAGTGACTGGCCCTAGTATGTATCACTCCCGTAGGTCTCATTTTGTCTGGTTCAGCCGACTTAATGGGAGTTAACGACAGGCTATGGTTTTTAGGAAGCTGTTATAGACTACTTTCGATCCTGATGGGAAACAATGCCAAGAACATGCCAGCATGGAGGCTGGCTTCTCAAGCGATCCGAAGAACTGGGCACATGTTGCTATTCTTTATGTATCGTAAGATCTCAAGAAAGGATAAGGCGGTTTCTCGATGCTGCTCCGCGGCGGCGTACGTTCTCAGTCAAGAAATCGACACGTCACTCTATCCAGTCGAGTGTTATGGCCACGAAGCCCTCCAGCTTGGAAGAACCATGGCGAAGACAAGCTTGCGCCAGTCTCGAACTTCAGTTTTTTTTGGCTATCTTGTCTTTTGTGTCTTTCTATGTGCCTATCCACCAGTCAATGGTGCGACAAATCTCAGAAGCTATTCCACAGTTCTCATGGATCGGAGTTAGAGGGGTATCCTTGAAGGCAGGCGCATGGACTTGTGGACGGGAAGCCGACTTCCAAACATTTTTTTCTGACAGGTATCCAAAGTCTAGACTCGTTCTGTATTCGGCGTTCGCAACTGTGGACAGACACCCGCTTTCCGCCTCTGACGGAAGGGCAGCCTGCTCCTCGGGTGTTACTGCGGCCATTTCCACAGGAATCGTACATCCACTTCCGCCATTTACACCTCTATTGCATGGCTGATCCTTCTCGATCACATCAGCGAACGTAACTGCACTCGACTATCCGGTCTAACCCCGACGATGTACACACCATTGTCGTTCGCTAACGGTCGTTTGGAATTGGCAGGGCATCCGCAGAGGTGTTCCTTTCAGGCCCGTATCTCATGGTCAAAATGTATTGTCTAAGCACTGTCAATACCGTTGGCACTCCGGTAGTTCCGCGCTTCACAGTTGAAAAGACCTCAAAGTGGTGCCGGGAAAGTGCACACTTTGCTGTCGCCTTGACCATTCCTAGTCTCTATCATTGATTCGTACCAATATGTCGGACGTTAAAGTACTTACTGGTCCCGAAGTCGCAGCACATAGCAGCAGAGATAGCTGCTGGATCATTGTTCACGGTACGTTTTTCTTTGGCGTCGTTCGACCTTCGCGTCTCAACACAACGAATAGGCAAAGTGTACGATGTAACAGATTTTCTTGACGGTATTTTACTCAATCAATTCATTTAACGTTTTGTTACGAAATAACGTCGCTCACCAGAACATCCCGGCGGTAGCAAGATCATTTTGAAGTATGCGGGCAAAGACGCAACGTAAGCCTAAACGTGTTGTTACACTCTTTCAACTTTTAAGTCACCCTCGTATCACAGGGAAGCATATGAGCCCATCCACCCACCCGATGCTATCACCACGAACCTTCCCGTACAGAAACAGTATGTATTCTCCACTCCTCCGACATACACTTCGCTAACATGGTCATAACAGTCTGGGTGCGATTGACATCACCACGGTAGCCAAGGTCGTGAAGGAGGTGACCGATGAGGAGAAGCACCGGCAAGCTCTCCTAGACGCAAGGCCACCTCTCGACAACGTCATCAACCTGCATGACTTCGAGGTTTGGACCTCATCTAGGCGACGGTTTATCTTTAGACTGACGATTTATGTTGATCCTAGATTGTTGCGAAAGGTGTTCTGCCTGAGAAAGCTTGGGTGAGCTTCGTCCTCTTGATCTTCTTATCATCCTCCGTATTCAACTGGACATGGTAGGCATACTACTCTTCTGCGTCTGACGACGAGATTACGATACGAGAAAACAGACTTGCATACCAAAGGTACGTCTTGTCCCTTAGTCTAATCGTCCTACTGTCGACTGAACTCAATCACGTAGGGTCTGGTTCCGACCACGAATCCTGAGGGACGTCTCCTCCGTTGACTGGTCAACAACAATCCTCGGCCAAAAGTCTAGCCTACCTGTCTACATTGTAAGTTTGATACACAGGTTCCCTCCATCCAATCTTCAACTAATGTATCTCACAATCAGTCTGCAACTGCTCTCGGTAAACTTGGCCATCCTGATGGCGAGTTGTGCTTGACGAGGGCTGCCGCGAACCACGGCGTAATCCAAATGGTACGCAAATTCGACTCTAACAGTGCGATGAAGTTACTCACGTCAGTCGCCGGTCTCTTGATAGATCGCTACTCTTGCATCATGCTCATTCGACGATATTGTTAACGCTGCTGCTCCTGGTCAAAACTTCTTTTTGCAATTGTGAGTGCTCTACTCGATAGAGCTGAATATTTCACATGCTGGCACCTATTCTGACATCTTTGTTGTCAGATATGTCAACCGCGATCGTGAAATCACGAGGAAGTATGTCCAACACGCAGAAGCACGCGGCGTCAAGGGTCTCTTCATCACCGTCGACGCGCCCCAACTCGGTCGACGTGAGAAGGACATGCGAATGAAACACGTCGGCGACGATGCGGGGGCTGAAGTCCAGAAGGGTCAATCAGACGTGAAGAAAGACCAAGGTGTCGCACGGGCAATTAGCGTATGTCTCATTTCATCATCACATCTCCTCTTGTCACGGTGGACCCTAGACAATTATCAACATATTGCCCTGAACTGAACCTTGTTGTTTTGACAGTCCTTCATCGATCCGAGCTTGTCGTGGAAAGACATTCCTTGGTTCCGAAGCATCACAAAGAGTACGTTGACACTGATGATCATCTTGTTTTCCCTTGTATTTGGATGCTTATTGTCTTCCATTCCAGTGCCTATCATTCTGAAGGGTATTGCAACGGCCGAAGATGCTATCCTAGCCTATGAAGCCGGTGTCCAAGGAATTGTTCTCTCCAACCACGGCGGCCGACAACTCGACACCGCCCGTTCCGGAATCGAAGTCCTCCTCGAAGTCACCGCAGCTCTCCGTTTGCGAGGTTACTTGCCTGACCCTAAGTTCGAGATCTACGTTGACGGCGGTGTGCGACGTGCCAGCGACGTCCTCAAAGCCATTGCCCTTGGAGCCAAAGCCGTTGGCGTTGGAAGACCGTTCCTTTACGCATTCTGTAGTTACGGTCAGGCAGGTGTGGAGAAGGCTATCCAGATCTTCCGAGAAGAGTTCGAGATGAACATGCGTCTCTTGGGTGCGAGGACGTTAGATGAGCTCGTTCCCGAAATGGTCGATGCGACAGCCCTGACGCAACATACTGTCTTGTCGCCGCAGGATAACCTCTATCATGCAGCGTGTAAGTTCCGGTTCATCTTATACCTGTCTCCGTGTATGACAGTTATGTTGCATGTGCTGATCTGAACTATCTTTTTGATAGATCAACCGCTCGCCTTTGCGAAGTTCAAGGAGAGCAGGCTGTAATGAAAGACGATTTGTGTGGAATCATAGTATCCGTATGACTTGTACTTCGAGCGTATATGTTTCCCTTGCATGTATTGTCTGCCTCTGTTTCCGTCCCCTGGCTCCTTGTATATTACACACATCTTACCTCTATTCCATTGCTTGGTTCACTCGCTATTCGAGTCAGGGATGGGGCATCTGAAATTTATCAACAGACTGTGATGTCGATTGTCGTTAGTGATGAATGATATAATTAAATTAGGAGGCGCGTACGGTGCGACGTGATATGAATACAGTGAGAGTAAGGTGAAATGCAATGATATGCACGGCATACTTATACGTAGCAGCCTATGCTCATCTGAACGAGGCGATAAAGGCTACAACGCTCGCGAGGGAACAAGCTCCCACTCCAACGGAGACGAAAATACTGACGCCTAGAGGCAAACGTGCCCATGAGAAACATACTACAGACGTCAGCGCAAGTGAAAATCCAATATGAGCCAACCACATGCAAAGCGTATGGCAGTTCTCTAGTAAATGGATTGGCGGCTGTGGCCTTCGAAACCAGCCCACAGTCTCCAGATGTGGGTTGGACGTAAAGATGGGTATGTCCCGGGGAGAATCAACTTGTCCAGTTTCAATCTTGATCTCCGCCCTTGTAGCCTCTTTGAGTCGGTATCTGATCAGAAAAAAAGCAGCAAAGAAAGAAAGGATAGCTTGACCATGCATAAGTACTTTCAGGTGTGACGATAATGCGCTCATACCGGCATAAACGTGCACGAGGAGTGCTCCAGCTAATGTGGCGTTGGTTATGGCTTCGCTAAGCTGCAAGTTACCACGATTATCAAGGTCCGGAGTGGTAAGACCAAGGAGCTGCGCCTCCGTGGCTGCAAAGAATGTCGTCTTGCGGCCCGACGTTGTGGATGAGTTCATCGGAAATGAATTCATAATGGATGCACACACAATAACGCTAATCAGCTGCAGACGGTCCATCCAAGACTGCACGAGTTCTTTTATAGCTTTCCTCCTTTTCTCTGCATCTTCTTCATCCTGGTCCTCTTGTGTCCCTAAATTAAATCGAAACAATTGACATGCACAAGCCCATAGCACAAGGCATGGACGCACATTTCCGTTTGGTTTGATCGGGAGGTGGTTCAGATGCAATACGACTCATATCGATGGTTTGTGCCTTAAGTAATATCCCTGTCTGTGTACGGGAAAGCGGGATAGGCTCCGCAGCCATACGATGCTCATCGAGAAAGCGTGTGTGTCCTTTCCAAAGAATGGGACTATCAGGGTCAAGTTTGGAAACAATAGACGTACGTAACTCACCGTTCATGATGTGAGGAACGACGATGGTGATGGTGGTGGCGAGAGCATGGGAATAGCAGTAGTCATTCTGAGTCGCTGGACGTTATAAGTATCGAAACATTCGATTGAACGCCAAGGTGGCTACCCCTCAAATTGATGCCCCACAAGCCGACGAGCCTCGCACAGGGCCAATATATAATAGGAAGAAGCGACCACCAAATGCATACGAAGCTAACGAATAGAAAGGTCGAAGAAATGGCATCTAAAGCGTTCAGAGGCAGAGTAAAGCATTTGAGGAGGCCTAACTACCGAACCGAACGCGATCGAGAAGTGCACGTGGAGAATGCGTGACTTGCTTACGACGCGTACCGGGCGCTTTGTGGATCCTGCTTCCTGCCAACTCGGATGCTAGTAAGAACTGTAGGATATCGATTTATCAAACAGAAGGTTCACCGTATTCTCACTGTACAGATGAGGGTCATTCAAGCAAACAATTGGCCATCGTACAACTGCGGTTGAGCCGCAGTTCGAACTGTCCTGATACAGATCGAGAAGCACAGTAACGTCCTGTGTTGATCTTTCCGAGTCAATAACTTGTTGCAATAGCATGGTGGTGAGAAATATTGCCGGTTCAGGCTGATCTCCTGTAGTGGTGTTCACAAAGATCGAGGACAGTTCCTATTACAGATCCTGATATGCCAGGCCCACAGATGCCAGGGGAACCTCCATCGGACCTGCTATTGTTTGACTTGCACCGGCCCCTTCCAGTTTCGCCCTGAACCTTCTCCCGCCCGTCGAAATGGTATAAATATCTGTTCCCTCTAAGCTGCTACCGCTCTGTTACCTACTTTTCAACTTCCTTTCGTTTTACCCTCGTCATGGCCCACCCTTTAAGTCGTTACCGCCTCCGCCTTCTTAATGATTTTATTCGCATCGCTTTTGTTCCATTTCTTATTTTTTTGTTCATTCTCTCCGTGCTTCACGTTCGTCCTGGGTTTCTCCTCCTTCCATTCTACCTTCCGTTCGTCTTTTCCTGTGCATTAGTCCGAAATTTCTACTCGGATTATCACCGCCGTCAGGATGCCTACGCACGAGGAGCCAAGTTACCACCACAGGTTGTCGGAAGGTGGCCTGGGAACCTTGATGTCCTCATCCAAAGGCGTAGGGCGGCTCAATCTGACTACCTCGCTGAATTCTACCACGAGCTCTTCCAAAAATACGAATCAACGACGTTGAACCTCAAGCTTCTTTGGATCGACATGGTACGTACTTCGTGTTTCATGTCTCGTTTTATCTCACGAAGCAGCGTGCACTGGTTGCTCAGTACATCACCATGGACCAAGAGCACATCAAGTACATTACTGCAACGGGATTCGATCGCTTCTGGAAGGGACGACTCATCAAAGAGATGGTGTAAGTGTTCTTATGGAAACCTGCTCAAATTTTGTGGCTACATAGACTAACAGGCGGATTTTAGCGAACCTTTCCTCGGCGCTGGGATCTTCAATCGCGATGACGAGGTATGCTTTTGGAATTTCCATGACGACCGATTGTGCTCACACCCTAACGTTACCCGTCTCCAACAGGAATGGAAGGCGGTATGGAATTCTTCCTAAATAAACTCTCTTCGGCTTTAAGCTTACTCAGGAACGAAACAGCATCGGTCCCTCGCTCGTCCTTTCTTCTCCCGCGATCGTGCAACAGACTTCGAGCTCTTCGAACGATACACTAACACTACACTTACCATAATCTCTTCCTTATCCGCCTCGGGCAAGGCTGTCGAAGTGCAGGACCTTTTCAGCCGCTTCACTCTCGATGCCGCAGCAGCGGCACTCTTTGGGACAGAACTGGACAGCTTGCGTTGCGCTCTCCCCGTCCCAGGTCAAAGTGCCGGCACCCGAATGAAGATAGTAACGACGGACAAGTTTGGTTCCTTCGCTCAAGCGTTTGAAGCATGCCAAGATGTCTATATGGGGCGAATCACCAAGGGTTACTTCTGGCCTATCACGCAAATCACTCATGACGACATGACGCCTCATGTGAAAATCATTGAGCAATGCATCCATCCGATGGCTGCTCGTGCAGTTGAGCGCAAGGCCGAACGCAAACGTGTTGGTATGACTTCGGCCGAGAAGCAAGATGTATTCCTTGACCACCTTGCAGAGCACACGGAAGGTGAGCGGTAAATTCCTTTGTGATTGTGAAGGCAGCATACTCAACTTCTACCGCTTCATATCGTAGACCCGAAACATATTCAAGATCAGCTCCTGAACATTCTCCTCGCCGGGCGTGACACAACTTCGTGTCTTCTCACGTTCATTACGTATTTCATGGCTTTATATCCAGACGTAGTTCGTCGAATGCGCGCAGACATTATGGAACATGTCGGCTCTGGCGTTCCTACATCTGAAAACATTAAAGCACTTCGTTACGGTCAGTACAGCCACCTTCCTATGCACGAGGTTAGCATGTCATGTTTACGTCTCTTCAACATTTTCATGCACAGTTCGAGCCGTTATCAATGAAACCCTTCGCCTATTTCCTCCTGTGCCTCACAACATTCGCGAGACCAGACACGAACCGGTCGTCTTCCCTAAGACTGATGGTACCTTTGGGTCGCCACAAGATAACGACTCGATCTACATGCCTGCAAACACGCCTATCATGTTCATTCGCTTCTTGACTCAACGCAACCAAGCTCTCTGGGGTTCGGATGCCGAGCAATTCGATCCCGATCGTTGGCTGGACGATCGGTTGGCACGGTTTCTCCAAAATCCGATGATGTATACGCCCTTTAATTCGGGACCGAGGGTCGTGAGTAGCTCTTCTGTTCGCGACTGTAGTGCACGTTTCGGAATTAATCTGGTGTGCGTTTAATAGTGTATTGGGCAGAACTACGCATTGAACCAAGCGACGTATTTCCTCGTCCGCTTGCTGCAACGCTTCGACTCGTTCACTCTGGCACCTGAATGTCAACCTGAAGGGTCCTTACCACCACAAGGGTGGAAACACGGACGAGGTCGACAAGCAATTGAGCAAATTGTACCTACCGCTGCGGTCTCCACTTACGTGAAGGTATGTTCTACCACATCACATCACGTGCCTTCTTATTCTCTAATACACTACTTCTTCCGCTAGGGAGGACTCTGGGTCCGATTCCACTCTTCAGAGAAAGACATATAAGGAGTAGGCCGACTACGTGCCACTTACGAATCTTCATGATTGCCAAATATTTGATTTTTAATATTGATGATTGCTACGGTTCGTTTTTAATGAATGGCTTCTGATTCTGGACGGTCGTTACCTCTGTATTTCGTAGATTGCCCTACTTTATCGCTATCACCTTATATACCCACCTGTGGAATTGTAGTTATATCTAGGCTCAGGGCATTCTGTCAGATGTACTGTGTCGACGTTCACTCGGCCCGCTCAGGCCCATCGTACTTCTGGTCTTACAATTATAACTATACCCACGCTGTTTCTATTTCTTTCATTAGGTATACCCACTTTCTGACTTGACGTAAGTATGCCAATATCTTACGTACTTCGTTCGGCATACGTAGGAAAGACATTGATAGATTGCATACTATGCAACTCTGTCGTCCTTATGATCTCGCTCCATAACATCTACAATATGCCCAACGAATGGTGGAAGGCGAACGCCATGAGACTCTGACTATCCATGTAGCAATTGTGGTGCAGAGTACAAAGAAATGTTCTTCATGCCTGGAGAATGTCCTGAGCTTTTACGGTACCCTACAGCTCAACACTGGTGCTTGATAACTGAGCTCCCCACCCTTCAATTCAAGTAATCTTCCTCGTGAATTATACGTTTAGATTTGTATCGTCGTATTCCGACGATATGCACAGCCCTAGACCAGGCAAGGCTGCCCCATCTGAGGTAGAGTCAGATACAGGAGTACCAGCTGTTGGACTTGAGTGATGTCGTCAACCCCCGGTGCGACACGAGCCTATTGCTGTATTTCTGGTCTTACTCCGATGTACCCCTTTACGGAACCCCATCGTGGGGCTGTCACCGTTGTCATTTCGAGCAATGTTGTTCGGATAGACATCTTGAACACGAATGATCATTAAGGAGAAGACAATTACAGGAACACCCACGAAGCCCACTATATGCACAAGGAATGGATTACGATGACAAGACTAAGAAATGATATGGTACATTGGAAACTATGCATAGGGTCATGACAGGTCATAAATTGTTCCTACGACTGAGGGAGGGTATCACGAAATATACGTTTGCGCAGAAGAACCCGAGCAACGAGTTGCTACTATGAGCTCCTCGTTCGAGACCGGATTGCCCGCTTCCTGGAACGAATTTGTTCCCTTAGTTCGTGTCTGTATGCTTTATCCTGTTTCCGCAGGGCCGCGTAAGCATTCCGGCGTCCTCGTTCAGCATCCAAAGCACGCTGAGTCGCAAGCCGCGATGCTTCAAGACGAGAGCGCATGATTAAGATTTCACCAACATTATGGAGTTTCTGGAGGAAAAGGTGATCGATCAGCACGCATGGAAACAGAATTAGAAGAATGCGAACTAACCATCAAGCGGCTTGAAATGTCTTGAAACTTTGTGTCGTATTGTCCTAGCTTGTCAAGTATGCGGTCGATGTTCCGAGACCCAATAGAACCTTGAGATATGAGCAAAGCCAGGTGAAGATAGTTTACGATATTCCTGGGCCGGATGTGAACACGGGTGACAAATGACACGAAAGACAATATCTGCACCTTTGCAAAGATGAGATCACAGATCTATAGTGACGCAACCATTTCCAAGATCGTTCGTCGTCCGGAAGCCGCACCAGAAATGGGACACCTTCCAGCAGCACAGAGCGAAGGTGAAAGAGTACACCATTTAGCCCTCTGCAAAGGAGAGCGGAATCGTAATTCAGCGGCATACAGGACATAACGCGCTGAAAAGGGAGTGAGCATCAGTGGCCTATAGGCGCGTGTTGAACGATGCTATATACTGACACGTTGGACAGGAAATGTGATATTGGCACATTTCTGTAACTGCGACAACACATCCCGTAATGCCTGAGCCATATCACCATCCAAGTCTTGAAGATGTTCCTCGGAAAAGCTGCCTCCCTTGGTTAGTCTGCTAGTGTTCCTCGGGTGGTCTGCTTCTTCTTGGTTCGCTTGGACTCGCGAAGGCCGAGTTGGCGGGAACACTGTTGCCCAGTGCACCTGAGCGGAAGAAGCGTCATTATAAGGGACAGAAGTGACTGGTGTGTTGGCAACGGGCCATGGGTTGTAGTCTCCAAAAGGGATGGTGTCAGAGATCTCTGGGAGATCGGCACAAGCTTGACGCGGACATCCAGGTGTAGGAAATGAAGATGCTTTTGATGCATCGACCTTGGCATAACCAAGAACGCTGAAAGCAGGAGATGTAACCGATAGAGAATCTATACGACCAGTAGCCTGTCCGCTCCTCGTATCATCTCGCAGAAGATCAGCCAATGCAGATCCGTTGAAGGGAGCAGCCGTAGGAAATAGGGGAGTTCGCAAAAGCGCATATTCAGAGGGTCGAGACAGTGGACTAGCAGCGTAAGATGGACGCTTAGAAGCTGATGGCAAGTCTTGACGATGATCCAGGGGTGAAGGTCGGGCATGAGTTGAGGGCGCCGTGGTCGTGCCCTCCCTCTCACGAGCCCGCCTTTCCAATTGAGCGACCAGGCGAGATTTTTCACTCACCAAACCTAAGGCTGTAGCTGGTGGTGCGTACAAGAAGGGCAAGCCACCAGCTGTAGCAGGCTTAGGTTGTGGCGCAGATAAGTGTGGGATCACGACGAATTGAGGAGCACCCGTTGCATCAGTGATTCTTGATTGCTTGTTAGAGAGAATATAGAGATGGATAGATATGTGGCGTACGGTAATTGCGCTTGACTTTTGTCCGACATGGTGAAGTCATCGCCACGCGCTGAGTACACTTGGATGTTGGAGGACCAGTAGTGGTCTTCCGAAGGGTAGGTCATCAGAGTGAACGAGTCATCGGTAGAGTAATTCATTGAGCAAGGGAAGGATGGTAAGGGAGGCATGTAAAGAGGAGAGAGGGGAATGTCTGTCAAGCTCGTACAGTTACTGACAGCTGACGTGAGACCCAAGGAGAGCTCAGGCAGTACATCCATTTCAAGCAAGTGCTCTCTGCCATTCTCGAAGTTGTGTGCACTGCTTCCGCTCGTACAGCCTGAATGGGGAGAGGGAAGCGTGGAAGGCTGTGCAGGGTCACGACAGAGTTCATCGGAAACAATCTTTCCTTTCTCGGGAAATATGAGAAGAATTCCAGTGAGTGGCTGAGCATCGCAGAGGGTCTCCGAGCTGGACGTGCTGGACGTGGAAGGTGGTCGGAGGAACTCGTTAGAGGAAAAAGGCGCAAAGGCGTCAATGAGCAAGGGGCTGATGATGTGCTTGATTGGATCATGAGTAGTCATCGTGGTGGACCGTAGCGTAGGAATGGACAGGACCTGATTAAGCGTAAGCACCAAGGATGAACCAGCTGCGTCGATCAACGAGCAGGGGATGAGCTTGCGCGGGTGGATATGATGTGGACATTGTCCCTTCAGTGCTGCCTATAAATCCTGTCGTTGTGGGTCCATGATGGTCGTAGTTGCAGCAGGCCCGGATTGGGCAGCCAGCAAACAATAAGACTGTCGAGATGAATACAAAGTGGTCGTCACAAACACGAGCGTGCATTTGTCTTTCGGGGCCCGCATCCGAGACATCAGTATAATTCGGGCCTAAACAGATGAACAAGGCGCACTTGTTTTGTCTTGCAGCAGTCCGCCGTTGCTGTCGCCAAGGATGGTGATGCTCAAGCAATTCAGTTCACAAGTCTAGACGCATGAGTGTGCAGACGCGAACGGAAAACATATCACGAGTGGTGCGATGTTATCTTGACTTAGAGCATAGCGTGTGATCAAGCACATATCCAGTTGAAGCTGTGGTCCGAGAACAAAAGACATAGGTGGAGACCATCAGTAACATTCCTCATGAAGGGATGGTCATACAGATTTTCTCGGTGCATGCGGACACACGTATGTGTCCATCTGAACGATAAGGTGTGAGGCTGGCAGGCGAATAGGATGTAAAATGACATACGGAGGAATAAATGCAGGCCACATACCCATAGCAGCAAGAACACCCGACATCGATAAGAGTAGACAGATTTCATTACTCAATCCCGCGAGAGACCGTTTACCACAAAGCACACGAGGTATAACGGAAATGAATCTGTCACCATTTTGTTCGAACTCAAAGAAGGTTTCCTGCGACGAACAGTCTCTTCAGAAAACGACGGATTGAGCGGAGTCCCTGGGGTCTTTCAAAAATACATCCTGGGCAATCTCGAGATCTGGCTGCTCAGTATCGATTTGTTCTTTTCCTATTCATATGATCAATGGTGTGTTAGAACGGACTTGCACTACTAAAGAATTGGTTTACCTAAGTCACTTGCTTGCATTAGGTGCTCGCAGAACAAGATGGCCAACATGAAAGTCTCAATCCTGGTGATAAACCCCAACTCTTCTGACTCAATGACATGCGCTCTGAAGAATCTATTGAGCGATCTGTTGCATCCAAACCTGTCCTTGGATTTCTACACGGCACCCCCACAGGCACCTCCATCCATAGATGACAGAGAAACATCCGACATATCCGCCTCCATTACGATGCAAAGTATGCTCCCGTTCCTAGATCCTTCGTATACGAACCCAGAGGATGCCGATTATCACCATCCTTACACGGCTTACCTCATTGCTTGCTACTCTCCACATCCACTCACAAACATGCTTCGCGAGAGAACCTCCGCGCCAGTTCTCAACATATTTGAAGCATCGCTACTTCACGCAAGGGCGCTCGCGCTGCCGTTTGGGATTGTCACAACCGGAAGATACTGGGAACCAGTTCTATCCAAAGCAACTCGAGACTACTTCTCTCAAAGCAACCCCGAATATGATTTAGGGAACGCTCGAGATTTTGTTGGCGTGCGGAGCACCAATTTGACGGCGATACAGTTGCATACGGCCCCAAAAGCAGAAGTAGACCAGCGCATCATATATGCTAGCGCGGACTTGGTGAGGGAAGGAGCACGAGTGATAATCCTGGGATGCGCTGCAATGAGTGGTATGGAAGCGACCGTGCGACTGGGGGCGCAGAATGAGGGGCAAAACGTAAGGATCATCGATGGGGTCCGTGCCGGGATAGTCTTGTTGGAAGGATTGATTCGAGCACGCCATGATTAGAAAAAACATTGACAATAAAATGAGTGATGAGGCTTTGCAACTATCTTCTTGCTTTGTCTGGCAGAGGCATACTCAGAAGTCTTCGAGCCGGTACACGTCGTATGCAACCTCTTCATACGGATGAACCTTGTTTATCGCCTGAGCAACGATGCGATGAAATTTCGCAGTAGTACTCACCCTCTTTAGCTCCTCAATTGCATTCTTTATCTCAGTGTTCTCGCCCTTGTCAGTAACAAGCACTTCAACCCTATGTTCCTCAACCTGCTCTAAAGCTCCTCTGGAGCCGATTGCAGGATTAGCTTCGGGCCCCGGCCTGAACAGGCCATGCCCTCCAGTGAAAAAAGCGCATTCCTCGTATTGACCAATCCTTCCGACCGTTTTTGGGTATTTCTTGAATAGTTGGCTGAGGATAGTGCTTGTTGAAGCCACAGGTGAGAAGAAAACGAGCTTGAAGCGAGGCATTATTCTCCAAGAAATCGGCCGAGCCCTTAGATAATTTCCCTGATAGTAACAAAACTGTTGCGAAGTTGCCTTGCTCTCAGATGTACAGTAGGTGGTGGTGGTGAAAGCGAAAGCAACAGAGCACGCGGCGGTGACGACCCCGAGTACTCTGTATGGAAAGAGAACTGGCCACCCGCCGAACTTCACTTGTCACCATCTCCTACCACTGTCTGAAGCTTCTTCTCTGCACGAAATATCGTGACGACGCTGCTTAGACTACTATAACGTACTAAAGATGAACTTGTCACTCTATACTGTTGCTGCACTCATCATCGTCGACACGGATGGTCACCGTGTTTTGGCGAAATACTACCACCCTGCCGGCGACCCAAATCCTACACCAAAGCGACTTACGACGTTGAAAGAACAACGTGCATTTGAGAAAGGCTTATTCCAAAAGACGAAGAAGGCAGGCGGTATGTCGGATGGTGGCTGGAACATACATGCACCAGCGTATTCATGTCGATTGCAGGAGATATAACACTTTATGACGGCTACCTCGCCGTATACAAACACTCCCTCGACCTTATCTGCTACATCATTGGCGACCCTTCAGAGAATGAGCTGATGCTTCTCTCTGCATTGGCTTCGTTCTCGGATGCTGCCAACATGCTTCTCCGCAATCAGCTAGAGAAGCGGTCAGTATTGGAGAACTTGGACTTGGTGCTGCTATGTTTGGACGAGACTATTGATGACGGGTGAGTACATATACCTTGAAATCTTCTTGCGAATGGTGGCCAGTTGCCGGTGCACTCGTACGGTACCTTGACGTGTCCAACCGGCGTTTCTCTTTTACCACGTCTCATTATAAATGTTCCTCACAAACGCGATTTTCTAGTGTCATCGTAGAAACCGATTCAACGACCATTGCTTCACGCGTGAGCCGACCAAAAGCAGACACGACGGAGATCGTCATCAACGAGCAAACTCTCATGAACGCGTACCAGACAGTGAAAGAGAAGATGCAGCAGCGTATAGGACAGTTGTAGGATTCCCCGGTTATTTTGTAATTTTATTCGCTTTCCTTTGACCTCCTTCGCAACTTCTGATCATGGCGAACATATGCTCACTGGACTGCATTCCAATAAGCATCTGACAACTACACTACGCACAAGGAGAACATCGCAACAACCTTAGTTCCATGCCTTTTGAGCGAAGACCCCTAAGACAGCGTTCCCTAAGACATCACTGTAGGGCTGAGCATCCGCTGCAGTAAATGTCTTTGTCGTTTGCAGGCTGTTGAGAATCTCCAGAAGTTGACTCTGGATGAAGTCCACAAAGACAAGGTCAATCGGGGTGTCGTCTGACACCGCAGGTGGATCAGAAGCAATGAAGTCCGGAACAGAAAAGAATGGCTATAAGTTTAATATATGTTAGCATGGGACTCATTGTGCTGCAAGTGAAAAGAACACACCAAAGGAGCGTGGAGGACATCGTCACCAACGCCAGGACATGACTGTGTCGAAGACCGTCGTCAGGAATCATAACTACACTGCGGTGAATTGGAACGCACGTCGTGAGTAACATATCCGAGGGTTGCATTGCCCGCGGCACGTCTCTCAATCCCATTGCGCTTGTCCATCTCCTCAAGCCATCGGCGATAGATCATCTCAACTTCACCTCTTGCATATAATTCTCTCTCCCAAGCTTCACGCGCTTCACGCTTCCTATTCTCAGAGCCGGCATTGTTGAGGGTAGGAAGGACCTTGTTAGCAACGCCTGCGGTGATGTTGGGGATGAAAAGGAAAGCATCTGCGAAGGGCGAGGCGGTGAGTTGGTCATTCTTGGTGAAGGGACCTTGCAAGACATCGAAACGTAAAGAGCCAGAATTGGTAATCATGAGGTTGGGGATGGATGCACGAGTGTTATTGACCGTAAGAGCCACTGGCATCGCCTGCAGGAACAATGGGTGAAACACTATTTCATTGACAACATCTTAAAACACGTACCTCTGAACCATACAAAGTTAACAGCGAGTTATTGGATGGGAAAGGTACGCTGTACAGCAACACTTAGTTAGGCCACTCTAACAGACTAGTAGAACAAAAGGACGCCGTACCGATTGGTAGTGAAGTCCGTAGGTGCAGTTCCAAAAGTGAAGTCCAGATCAAAGTTCTTCGCAAGCTGGTTAAGACCCTTGGTAATCGATTTTCCCAGAGACGTATCAAAAGATGAGTTCTTTCTACCTGTGTGGAACTGATGATGTCACAATCCGTCAGATTCACAAGGCGAAGTACAATAATGCAACCGGACTTACCTCGTATGTGACACGATTAGGGTCTAAGTAACGTCTAGAGAAGGTAATGTTCTTCTTGCTGCCTTTCTTGTCTAGCTTCGCACTGAGCCAGCCAACAGTCTCCATGTAACGCCCGCTCTCTAAAGATATAGACCGACCGTCGAGTTGTACTGACAGGGAGTTAGTAGTTAAATATAGCAGTATAAGCCCCAGACAGATGTTCACTAACCGCAGTCACGGATGTGTGTATGACCTTTTGAGACCCAGATTATATCAGACAAAATACTCCAAAACTCGTATCGAGAAGGGACACTTACCACCAAGGATAAGAATGGGCGTCGTAGGGTGTACTGCGCGTACAGCGTTGAATACGAGAGGCCAGTTGTCTCTTTGTACCGGCATGTGCCTGCAAAACAGGAAATTGAAGACTGGTGTCTCAGAAAACGAGGCGAATAAAACTAACCCAACGAGCAAGAAGAAGTCAGGTTCCTCTTGGATAGCTTCGTGGAACTGAATAGACAGTAAGAAGAGGCCCAGGGAGCATGAAATAAAATCATACCCAGGATTCTTTGACCATATCTGCAACCTTTTGGACAGTTGTGTTCTTGTCATTGCCGGTGAAGTCGAAGAGGACACCCAGTGAGGTAACTTTGCGGCCTCTACAAACACTTAACATTGTAGGTTCCTAGAATTGACGAGTAGATGACAACATACTTCCTGGTCTTGAACTTTGCGAAACGATTGCCAACTGGAACGTTCACGATCTGGTTGTGCTCATTGAGAAGCGTGATGTTGACATTCGAAGAGAGGTAACGTCCTTTCAGCTTGGGAGCGAAATTCTGGTGCCTGAAACAATTCAGAAAGTTGAACCATTAACAAATTACATGAACTTACATGTCCAAGGCGTTGGCGTAAATGTAAAGTTCATGACTGAAGACAAATTAGCTCATGTTTTCGCTGTAGACTTAACAAATTAGACATACTTTCCAATGGCCATGACATCGTAAGGTAACTGAGTCAAGAATTTGTTGGACTACATGGTGTGTGCTCAGTTGCTGTATGACAAGAGGTAATGAAAGATAGGTATCTACATCATGTGCATCAATTCCTCCGGGTGGAAAGCCATCAGAAAGGCCAGTCCCTGCAACGATGAATAGATGTGGTCAAACGACTATATTAACAAGCTGGTTCAGGTTACGAACCGTCATGCAAATCCCCAGAATCCACAAGCAAGAGATCGACATCCTTCTTCTGTTGGATTTGATCGAGATGTCAAACGAATTGTGATCTTCGACTCCTCACAGTACGTACCAGAGCAATCTCTTTCATATGAGAAACGAAGGACGCGAAATCTCCCAGGTCGCCGCTATATTGACGCGTTGTAAGTCAGTAAAGCAATTATATACATCTTATTCTTCGACAACGAACCTATAATTTGGCTCAGGGGATGAGTGTTTCTGATGACCAAGTAGCCAACCATGACTGTCAGTAGTATGGATGATATTCAGGTCTCCCCAGTCGAGCTGTCGCGTCGGCGCAGTCAAGGTCGTAGATGGGAATGCGCGTTTGGAGTGGGAATGGGAATGATCGTGGTCATCTCCCGGACACGCCCAAGCGAGAGCGACAAAGTGTACGAACGAAACTAGCTTGAGCAGCTTCATGATCTTCGTCGCGGTCAGGCCTCTCCAGGATGGGGAGAAGGGACACTTAAAAAGACATCGACACCACCTGACATGATTTATATAGCACGGCGAATAATCATTCAGGAATCGCATGTGCCCGCATAATTTTGGCAGTTTGATGGGATTCCGAGATATGTCGAAGACAACATGAGGGTGGTTGTCGCTGATAAGGTTCCTGAATAACTCGCCACCGGGCGGACGTCGACGCTTAGTGTGTTTTTAGACCTTCCTCTACGGGTTGAAGGTACCCATGGCCATGGAGACATAAGGGACATCTGCCTTCTAGCCTTCAGCTTTAGACAGCAGGTGGACATACGACATCACTCCAGGATGGGAATTATTCCTTAGCGAGATGTTCAGCCCACACACGTTCGTGAAGAGCACAGAACAAGCAAAAACCGGAGGGCTCGAAGAGCCGTCCGAAGCCTTGGGCAAATGTCACAAGCGGAATTATGCCCGAACTACACTGCGATGGAGCAGGTTTAGAGTGAGTTTGCGATTCTGTTTAGGTGATGACGGTGAGGAATGAAGTGCTATAGGCACGAGTCAAGACAATGATCGAGGTTCACCCATTCTCGATCACTCTGAGTCTGGATAGGTTTTGCCAAGACATACAGTTTCGTATTGCATACAATAACAACATACAGAGCATAGCAACAAAGTGACAAAGAGCAACGTTCTAAACCATACCATTGACCTGACCAGCCTACCATCTGCGTATGAGGGTAGGCGAGACCTCAAATGTGAATGCACCAGATAAATTAGGCTGCAACGGCCATATCGTAAGTCGCAGTCAGCTTCGTTCACTCCAAAGAATATGTTGAATATTAACGACGTACCAAGTCAGACATCGCAACCTCCCTGGTGGGGTTCACCTCCAGTCCTAAGCCTTCATCGTCTTCAGAAATAGTATGGACGAATGGAGCATAGACAGGGGGGAGAACTCTCCAGCTAGGGTCACCTTCCTGGACTGGCCACGGCCTTGAGTTCCCAGCGACATGAGCCTGAGCATAAGCATCAATACGAAGTTCCTGGCAAAATCATGTCAACACGTTTGCATGTCCTCAGCTATGAAATATCAACAACGTACCTCGAGACTGTATGACCTGTAACCAGGCGTGCAAGTGATAGTTTGCATAATCTCAGTCCTTACTTGCGACCGGTCCTCCACGGGTGAGACGACAGAATGTGATCCACGCGATGGCCGAGTTTTCCTCAAACGCGAACCGGTGGAAACAACAGATCGAGAAGTCTCATTCACGATGGCCATGTCTTCTTCCTGAATGGGCGGGTATTGCGAGACAGCCATTCGTTCCCCGTTCTTGTTGGCAATAGCAGTCTTCTTTAGAGCCACCGAAGCCCGCTCCGGTAAAGGTTCATGAGGAAGTATAGTCGAGGTCAAACGAGGCGCAGCCGGTGCGTCCACGTCGGTGTACGTGACCTGAGTTGTGAAGGTGTCCTTGCCTGCGAACAAGTCCGAGTCAATCGGAGACAAGTCCGGCGTAGTTGAAGTGAAGGATGGAGACTCTTGAGGAATCTGAAGGAACGGTGGGTCCACAAACATATTCGTTGCCCGAGCTGGAGAGTTGTCAAGAGGTAGGATGTAGAATCAGAATCGAGAAATAGGTGTTTTTAAGGTATCCATTTAACCTCGGCGTCGGCCACACTGGCGATTCCTTCATTGTATAGGCCACAGTGACAACGGTTAAAGATGGAAACGTGATCGAGTGTTTTGAGCCTTTGTATTACCAAAAGAGAGGCGAGCCACACAGACACTGTTCTGCCATCGCATGCAGACTTGCTCGTGCATCCAGAGACAGGCGAGACACGTTGCATAAGCATGTCTATACCCACTTGGGCCTAGGGGTATCATCTCAGTATTGACTCCCGCAAATGGTTACACAAAGGAATTAGCTCACACTGGCAACTATCGATCGATCTTTGTAGCAACCCAGAATTCGGCCTGATACAACCACTTCATCATTGCTAGTCGATCCGCGGTATACTCACATTCCACCGTTCGCCTCTTCCTCTTCTCTAAAGCAGCCTGACTCAATTTGGAGACAACTTTGCCGTTAAAATCTTCATCGTGCGCGGCTTCTTCTCCATTGATATTGAAACCGACCATTTGGGCCAACTTCAAAACCTCATCCAAACTCAACTCTAGCCTTGTTCGTCCACCACTTGTCCACAGAAGGGGCCCCAAGTTGATCCAAGTTGCACCAGAATTCAGCAACTTGTGAATGTGAGATAGCGTCGAGATGATGTTCAGTGAGGTGTCAACGAAGAACAACGTCGCCACGAAGTCGTATGTCTCCCCTCTATGCTCAAGGAAGTCATCTTCGATAAGACGAAGGTTTGGTTTAAAGCGGGGAAGGACGTCTGGGAAGCTGATACCTCTAAAGAGATCTTCGTTGTGACGGGTATGAGAGAACCAGTTGGCGTACGGGTATATGGTATGTTGGTTGGAAGTCTGAGTAGTTTGCGGAGAGAACAAGAAATGCATGCCAAGGGTCATGAAATATGAGAATTCGATTGCAGTTGTGTTGAATCCTATGATGGGTTAATGCCAACTAAACCAAACAAGTGAGGACGTTCATACCAAGTTCACTAATTTCCCAAGCCAATCGGCCAAGTCCAGAGCCCGGTACAAGTACCTTCATGCTCGCTCGCCGTTCTACAGGCACATCTCTAAGCACACTCAGGATAGGCTCGCATATCCTATCCCGTTCTCGTCGACCTTCATCACTCCAGTCACGTACAAAATGTTTCAGTGACTCCTGTACTCGGCTCAGATCCGTTGGGACATACGGGCCCTTGTGGTATTGTTGTGAAGCAAACTCAGCATGTGCGAGATCAACGATACCACGCGTCACCTTTGCGTTCAGTTTCGTGACGTCTTCGGCTCGCTTCAGTTTCTCTGGATACCCTAGCTTGTAGCCAATATTTTTGTGAACCCAGCCTAATCTTGAGTACGAAGCCCTCATGGTCTCTATCTCTTCAAGTGAGGCAGATAAGTATTGGTCATATGACGAAATTGCTTTGGGTAGTGAGAATGGACCGAGACTTGATACGGAGCTGGACAATCGCGACCAGTGGGTCGAGCGGGCCAGAGGAAATCTCGAGAGCATGTTTCGAAAAGATACTTTGGCATGATCAGTTTCGAGGACAACGTAGAAGACGAGGATAATGAAGAATGGAAGGAGACAGGCGAGGATGGCCTTGGATGTGGAAAGTTCTGTATTCGAACTTTTCATGAGCGCATCCGCTGTGAATTTGAAAAATCGTTAGTCCGACGTAGAGTCCGTACAAAGAATGGAAAGTCAACGGCACGGATATTGGACTCTGCACAAGGCGGCAGGAAGGCGGGATGCACGATTCCGAGAAAGTCGGGATTGCCTAGAACGGAGGAAGCCGCCCTTGTCTTTGATGCCGCGAACGACGCTCTCCAGCAACATATAGAGCGTGTTGTTTGCAAGCCTCTTCAGCATTCCTTGCTCATCTACGAACATACTTCACTGGTCCCGACATCCACGACTATTGCGAAGAATGACTTCTTTGTATACCGAAGCCTGGCTTGCCGGTTCCGACGGACACCAATTCTACACACGCACATATGCTGCACCTGCACCTGGCCCGAAAGCCGTCATACTTTTCGTGCATGGCTTTGCGGAGCATGTCAGACGTTACGAGCATGTGCACATAGATTATCCCAAGCGAGGGATCACTTTGTTCTCGTTTGACCAGAGAGGATTCGGGCGAACCGCATTGGATAAGGAGCACAAGAGTAAGGATGCAGCTTACGGGAAGACCAGTTGGAAGTGGCAGTTAGGCGATATTGAATGGTGGGTGAAGTACTTGACTAAGGAGTACCCAGACAAGCCGTTGTTCCTGATGGGTCACTCGATGGTGAGTACTTCCAACACCGCTATTTAGACAGATGCATAATTAATCTGCTTTTATTTAGGGTGGAGGACTGTCTCTTGCGTTCCCGACGCGCACGGAACCTCCTCCTTCTCAGAACACAGTCAAGTTGCTTCGCGGCGTGATCGCTTCAAGCCCCCTTATCCGTCAGACTACTCCTGCACCGAAGGTCATGCGCTGGGCAGGAGGGAAGCTAGCGAACCTTTTCCCATTCAAGACCTTCCCTGCTGACGTTCCAGCCGATGTAAGGTTTCTTGAACCGAACAGAAGTGTAGTCTGACATATTTGAACTCAACATGTAGTATCTCTCACGGAATGAAGCCGCGAACGAAGCCAACTTGAAGGACCCTCTGATTAAGCGAATTGGCACCCTGAGAGGGTTGGATGATATGTTAAGCGGTGTATGTTCTTCATATTACCTCAGGAGGCCCTTAAAAGTCTAATATTGATCGCAAGGGTGAGCACTTAGTTGAGGACGACTACCAACGTTGGCCCAAGGATTTGCCGGTAAGTATCGCTTGTGTTAGTCTTTTCGCATTCAGCTGTAATGAAACCATGCGCCTCCCATTAGGTCCTGTTCGTGCAGGGGACGGGTGACAAGGTATGCTCTGCACTTTATAACGCTTCCTAAATGTCACCTGGTGCTTATTACGATTACCGTATAGGTAACCTCGTACAAAGCGACGGAAGAGTTCTACAACAAGATACCCGTTCAAGACAAGAAGATATCCTTATACCCTGTGAGATCCTCTTTACATTCCTTTCTTCCGATGAGGAGATGCACTGACTGTGGGTGGTTCTGTAGGATGCATACCACGAACTCGTGCATGAAATTGATGGAATACCCGCCAAGTTGTTTGAGGAATGTGTTTCATGGATCGAAACTCATTTATCCTCATCTGAAGGGGCTGAATCTGACGAAGCGGTATCCGGACCCGCTTCCAAGTTGTAGAATGTACAACATTTGTACTCTTTGCTTCATATAAGACTGGATTGAGATATGGATATGTATTGCAGTTTGGAAATGGGAAAAACACAAATTCATTCAAAAGGTGCTACCAGGGTTCGAACCTGGGTTCCGGGAACACGTGCATAAATCAAAATCCCGAGTGATAACCACTACACTATAGCACCGCTATTTTGCTACTCAAGCATAAATCCTTAATACAGGAGTGAACCAGGAGACATTATTAAAGAACTCTGAGGCAAGTGAAGTGAGGCTGTTTGAGATAATCTTTCTTCTGGAGCATCCTCGAAGTTCATTCTACTGACGCCGCAAGGTCCTCATGTTAGTCCCCCATCTGAGAAGATCATCCACACACCGCTATCTCGCCGTTGCTTAACCCGAGCTTCATCGTTCAGACAAGGGCTGACCGACGATCTCTCTTTCGCGCCCAAGAGTTGCTCGTCGATCCTTGGCGTGCTGTTGCGCCCTATGGTCTGGTTGCCTTCCCGAGTGTCCTTCAAGAAGTGGTCAAGAGTTGGTCATTATATCAAGGTTCACCTCAACTTCTTCCGTGTTCATGTCCTGTTCTTGTGAGTAAGATTCAATGTTTTCGGGATTTGAGGGAACATTCATGGCGCTTTACTTCCATTTAGTACTTTCACGCCTTTGATCTTCTCTGCTATCTTATACGCCAGCAATGGACAACACCCTTTGTCCTATACCGATGCCCTTTTCAACTCCGTTAGCGCTATAACGGTCTGCGGCCTTGCGACTGTTGATCTCAGTGGCTTGACACCATGGCAGCAATTTCTGCTATTTTTCCAGATGTCTATAGGGAATCCGGTGCGTGACGAACGTGCGCCATTAAGCTCTGAATCTTATCATGAAGAACTGTAGGTGATTGTATCTTGGGTTATGGTTTACATCCGCAGACACTTCTTCAAGCAGAAGTTCACCAATATCGTCCAAGCAGAGCTATCCCGTCGAGCAGCAGAAAAGCTCCACGCTCCCGTGGAAGTCAAAGTGGTGCCTTGGTGGAAACGTACATTGTACCTTCTTATTGGACGTTCCCCGACACGCGATTCCGACCATAGTGAACGTCCTGGGAGTGCCACCCCTCCTCGAGTTCGGCCAGATATGATTCGCAGAATGGACGATGCGCCAAAGTTGGTGAACCCCAGCGGATGGATCAGTGAAGGCGCGAGGCCCAACACTAGTCGCGAGCCCAACCCTCCTCCCAATGTTGTGGTGCAACACCCTGATACTCCTTCAGAGTCGGGGGAGTCCTCTCACCCCCAATACTTTGACAGGATCCCCTCAATTAGTGTATCAGAAGAGACTGAATCTGCGAAAGATGACGAGTTGAATGGGGGTAAACACCGAGACTCACAAGAGAGTTCGAGTGATAGCAAGTACGTCGGTTTTCACTGAGTCTTTCACCCTATCATTTGATATTAAACGCTCTTATTAGAATTACTCACAGGTTGTCCGCTTCATCGAACGGTGGATCGGAACCCCGCGTCAGCCCAAGCACCTCGGATGACAGTCTTGCCCCTCAACAGGCTCGTCGCGGGATGATCAACCGAACACTCACATTACCGCGTACACAAACGGTCGAGTTTGCGCCAACACCTAGGCGAAGGCCTATCTCTCACGAAAGGGATCGTGGGGATCGACTCCCTTCAATTAACGATTCACACCAGATTCGAAGTATGGAACGTTTCCCTACCTTACCCGATCGACGTAAGTTTCTTTTTAGCTACCGCTACGTATCTGCGATAGAGCGCGGTACGATAATCTTCTTTGCTGGTAACTTCAGGATCTATGTCACGACCTACCATGTCTATTCCCTACACAACTGCCTCTCGCGCTCCCACGCAGGCCCGTACTAAGCATCGAGGATTCGGTGGTTTCCCCATGCCTCTCGAAATCCTTTCTGCCATCTTCCATTGGCTCTTCCCTAGACTCGAACGCCAACTAACACGAACGGTTACAATACCGCGGACCCAGACCATTGCCTCTCAGGCTGGTCCTGGTGCTCCACCTGGAGCCAGACTTGTGCCTTACATTTCATTCGAGGCTGTTGTGGGCAGGAACTCCAGGTTCCATCAACTCACAAAGGAACAGCTTGATGAGTTAGGTGGCGTGGAGTATCGTAGTCTCACTGCACTTCTATGGATAGTCGGCGCAGTAAGTGCTGTATGTTTGTCTATGTGGAGAGTCGTCTGGTTGACCGCTGGGTCTTAGTATCATATAGCTCTACAACTTATTGCTTTCACGGTGATCGCACCGTACATGTCCATGTCACGATGGCAAGATGCCTTTAGACCTCCTACATTACTTAGAAATCTTTCTCCTGTTTGGTATGTCTTGCGCTTATAATGTAGGGTCATTCTTCGTTAAGGTTTTGCTGACCCATCACTTCAGGTTCTCTCTCTTCCAGGTTATATCATCATATACCAACACTGGCATGTCCTTAGAAGACAGGTCTATGCTTCCATTTCAACGAGCATACCCGATGATCATCTTTATGATTATACTTATCTTAGCTGGAAATACTGCATTCGTGAGTTCACTGAACGATACCACATCCCGCGTACATTGACTTATTTTCTCCAGCCAATATTGTGAGTGAAATCTCGAGGAATTCGCTCCTTTTGTATGCACTGACAGTTCTTGTTGCATGTTCTAAGTTTACGATTCACGATGTAAGTAGCCGGGCTCTAACGATATGGTGTCAATCCACTAATCCCCAGATGTAGATGGGTTCTATCGAAATTAGTATCGAAACAATCTAGACTTAACGAAACACTTCAGTTCCTACTCGACCATCCACGACGTTGCTTCGTATATCTTTTCCCTTCGCATCAAACATGGTTCCTCCTCACTGTCTTAGTCGTTCTCAAGTGAGCTCACCTTTGACTCACTCCACATAATCTCATTTCACAACTTCGCAATAGCGCGACGGATTGGTTCTTTTTCTTGGTATTGGACCTCGGCACTCAAGTTATTCAAGCCATACCTGTCGGTCTTAGAATTCTTCTGGGCTTGTTGCAGGCCGCTGCTGTGAGAGCTGCCGGTTTCGCATCTGTTCCTCTTGCTGCTTTGGCTCCTGGTGTCAAGTGAGTACTCGATGGATGGAAGATGTGATTTGCATGCTGAGCGTTGAACGAATAGGGTTCTCTACGTGATCATGATGTATATCAGCGTATGTAAGTAATACTCAACTTTTATATTCAGAGTTTCTTCACTTACGACGTTCTGACCTGCAGACCCGATCGCAATGAGGTAGGGCTCTCAAACATGTTATTTACTGCTGCAAATCTTGAACTTTCTCTATCATAGTGTTCGTTCTACGAATGTCTACGAAGAGAAGTCACTTGGTGTCTTCGACGATGAAAGCTCCTTGAGCGAAGAAGGCTTCAATGCCACTGGCAATCGTGCCACTGTTTGGAGTCGATACCTGACGATGCATATGCGGAAGCAGCTTTCTTTCGGTACGTGGAGTTATTAGCTGGTTTCGACCCACTACCTAATCCTTTCACATAGATATGTGGTGGCTTGCAGTCGCCTTGTTTCTAGTGTGCATCATTGAGGTATGGTTTCGTTGTCAATCTTCTGATCTTCTTCGCTGAAGATATGCTCACTAGCGTGACGGGCTCGATGATGAAGCTAACAACAACTGGTTTACCATTTTTACCATTCGTAAGCACCCCTGTCATCATTCTTCAATCCTCGATCAACACATCTGACTCATCACCAGTCTTCGAACTTGTATCTGCGTACGGAACCGTTGGACTGTCCTTAGGAGTACCATACGTAAGTCCCTTCATTCTCCGCAAGCACTCCTTTTCTGAGCAATTTACAGGCCAACTACTCCTTTTCCGGCGCACTCCGACCGCTATCCAAACTGATCATCTGTCTCGTAATGTTACGTGGCCGTCACCGTGGTCTTCCTGTCGCAATCGATCGCGCCATCATGCTACCTTTCGAGTTTCAAGAAACTGCGGACGAGCCTGTGTTACCTGACGAAACCGAGGAGAATGGTGAACCTCTGCAGAATGGAGAAGCTATTCCAAATGGTGACATGGCGCGCGAGAAATCTGCCCCGCCGGACCTTCCGCAACGTTATCCTCGACATACATGGACTTTGGATACACAGGAAATGCGCGATATGCCATTATCACGTCGGACTAATACCGTTACCATAGAGGAACCTTAGAGTACTTGCAGTTCATTCTGAGTACAGCCAACATGTTGTTCTTGTCTCCATGTTTTATACGTATATCATCTTGTATCTTCTTGAATCTGCCATAGATTAATTCTGTAGACTACTTCTTGACTTCTTGACACAGTAACCATTTGCATTATACCGAAGAGTGAGAACACGAGAACCGAGCCAGATAATACAAGGTCGTATTCTACATCCTATCACTTAAAGAATAAAATTAACGAACAGTCCCCAAGTGAGCGGTGTGAAGGCACATAAATGGACCCTATAAGTACAATTATACAATATAAAGAAATCATGGAGGAACAACGTCCTCGTACGCCGGCGGAGATTCTCCCAATTCGGTCTCCTGACCCGTCATAAGGCGTTCGAACTGGTTATAGGCAGGAGAGAAGGGTACGGGGGAGGTATGACCAGATGGATGATCTGACGAGTAACTCGAGGCGGATTGGACTGAAGCGTGACGACCGAGCTGCCAGCGATGTGGATGAGTGGTCTGTGTTGAATGCGTACTCGTCAGACTAGGATGTGGGTGCAACAATGCACCGGATGTGAGTGATGCGGTAGATGAGTGCCCGTTGGGCAAAATAGGGAGCGAAGGGCTAGTACAGCCAATCGAGGTATGGAGTCTGTTGCTTCGGTCACACAGATAATGAGCGTCGGAAGCAGATGCAAGGTTGCCTGAATATGGTGGTAGGGAGGTGTACGCTGGACTGCATAGGCACTACAAGTAAAGACGTAAGTCATTGTACCAATCGCAAAAACTGTTATGCGACGTACTGAAAGAATGTGGATGGGCGTCTGCACCACGATGTCAAACATCTTCCGCCTCCCACTAGTAGGATCCACATCCCTCTCATCCCCTCTCTGGACTCTGAAGATCACCTTCAACAAGTGTGAAATCAAGATATTGCTCCTCTTGTTTTTGTTCGTGAAATGCAACTGAGTGCAACTCTTTGGCAGAGCGACCTCGGTTTGAAGTTGCCAGGGACCGGGACCAAGGAAGTGAGAAGCTACCTCTGACGGGTCGTCGTCTGGACCAACGAGTTCATGAAGAGGTGAGTTCCTGAATGAGTCAAGATCATCGAACGGGAGTGGAAGGAGCGGAATTTCTTTGTGGGCTGGTGCAAGGTTAAGAAGGGATATTCGATTGATACAGTCTGTCCGCGCGACGCGTTTAAAGTGGGTGAGGTACTCGACGCGCTCTATACACGAAACCATGAGCCATGGACGATCTGAAGTGGCGCATATAAGCACGCTTACCTTCAATGACGACTGATAACTTGTATACCTTCATCTTCGTCCACGGTGCAAAAGTCAAACTGACGGGTATAGTGCCCCCAATATAAAAGCTTCTCCCCGAAATTGATATGAGGTATTGCATCTGGTCATCCCACTGTCTTTCCACAATAACACTCTCTGTATCCTCTGTATCGTCTTCACCGGGACACGCAACGACAGTGACTTCCTGAGTAGCGGAAAGTTTCGATTTGAATGTTCCTGGACGGTGGACGACAGCTTTGAGATGCCAGACGACCGAGCCGTATTCGCAAGATATTGAGGGTGAGGATGTCACGGGTATCGCAAAAGATATTGGGTATGTGTAAACTCCTATCAAGACCTGCCTGTCAGGAATATTAGCACGTCTAGAGAGGGACTGAGACGGACCTGATTTGTACTCCTTCCAACCGTCTCCATACTGCTTCTTATCCTCCGCATCCAATCCAAGCACCTCGCCCACGATTCCAAATGCCGATCTATGGTGATCCGGCTCCTTCGCAGATCCGTTGGGAACAACCTCTGACGTTCTCCTTCTATCCGGACTCATTCGTCTTCCTCTACTCTGATCTCTTGTCTGAGTTCTTGAAGGCGTTGGATCCCGAATAGGTGTCACTTCCCTTACAGGTGTCATATCCCTCACCGGCGTAACCTCTCTATCATGCCTATTTCGCACAGTCGTAGGTGTTGCCAAATCACTCTCATTATGGCTCACACTCCTCACCCTATCTTTCACTGCATCGAGAAAAGCCGTAGAGACGTTTGCGAGATTGAATCTTTTGGAATTTCTGCCGCGAGCATGGGAGTCTTCATTGTTGAGAGTAGAATTAGAACCGTTTCGGACGACGGTGGGGGATGTGGGGCGGGAAGATAATGTGCGTGAGGGTGAATATGTTCCAGGATCGGTGTTCACGGATCGACCTGTGCTGGAACCCAGTACAAACTCAGCAGAGTTGTCGTAAGGGTAGGGGCTTAGCTGGTCTGATTCTGTGGGGGACTGGACTCTAAGCGAATCAGAGTCCGGATGTAGAGATGAGGAACGGCGGTGTGTGACTGGAAGAACGTTAATATATGCACATTTGAAAGCAGCAAAAAAAGACACATACGGCTCGATTCAGAATCAGAAATCATGTTCGTCCTAAGCATCCTAGGCAACCCATCAATCGTCTGTACAGAACTCTCCTGAAGCTCATCCACGGTGTCCATAGGTGACGGACGAGACAGGGACGTTCTTCGACTTAACGAATGCCCTGGAGTAGATGCTGGCGACTCCCTTGGGGAGTACGGCGGAGTAGGATATTGAATATCGCGGTGAACAACGTAATCTGACTGGTAAGTCGTTTGGTCTACGCTCATATGTCTTGCAGGTGGACGTCCTCGCGTAGCGCTTCTTGTCAACCCACGTCCTCTGCGTTCCCACTCTGGTTGTGTGCGACTGGGATTTTGCGATTGGGTGATTGAGGGTCGGTTGTCATGATGATTGAGCGAAGAGTCTTCTGAATGTTCTTCGTCTTCATGATCAAGAGCAATGCCAGGTCCAACGGAGAGGGTTCGACGATGTGAGGATGACGATGCGGAGGTTGCGTCGAAGTAAACGTAAGCTTGTGAGTATATTTTGTGTTCTTCTGATATGTCTATTCGTCTAGCACCGACGCCTATTCATAGTGATGTCAGTCTTCAGAATTTGAACAATGATTGGTTTCAGGAGTTGTAGACCACGTAAAGGGCTCAAATGGGTGGAACATCGAGACATGTGCTTCGTGGGGCAACACTTTACGCTTGACCCTCCATCGGGGATCCCGTGTCTATGATAAGAGGCTCGGTCAATCTCGATCAGAGAGAAGGAGATTCCAGAAGCCGACGGTTCCCACCCCGCGCGAAGACATCCATTTAGACCTCGTCCCCCGCAACGAATTGGCAAGAAGATTGTACCCATTCAATACGATACCACCCAACCCCGAACATGAAAGAGTTATCAATAGACGCCCATACCTTCAGGCCAGGAGGTGTTCGTCTTACAAACGAGTTCCACCTCTATACTGGTAATCTTTGTCGGTTTGACAAGGTTCAGAACGAGCAGACCGCGCAACATAGCGGGCGGTTCGCTGACGGGATGTCTGAACCTTCCTGTTGCATCTCCAGCACGTAAAAAGACCACCGATTCCGCAAGTCGAATGTCAAGAGAGTTCTTGTGTCTGAGTGCCATCTACTCGCTAGATCTAGCCTGGGCACCTAGGGTATGTCGTTGTCGTCGTCGTCGTGGTGATTGTGGCAGCCGTAGCTCTGATACGGAGATAAAGGGACGAGGGAAAGAGTAAGGAGGAAAACAGAAAATCGAGTGCAAGTACCGCATGATTTCATCTCAGTCTGAGTCCGCATCTCTTTTTCTGGCTGTGCTTACTGTGCCTGATCATACAAGGTGTCATGGGACCGGCCTCCATAATAAGCAACAAAGACCCCTGGCACCTTGAATACTGACCTTTGTCGAAAGGTTCATTCGTTCTTTCGATCTTCTCTGCTTCTTGTGCGTATAATTGTAAGCAACTGTCCAGTGCGTTTGTTTTGTCGTATGAACTTCATATGCCGAATTGATAAGGATCCATGTTGTTTTTTTACCATAGTAACCAGCCCGTATGGATTGGTTCGGATGGAACTTGGCGCGATATAAGTGTTTAGAGGAGAGTATCCCCGACCACATGCAAAAATTCTCTACGCAACTTCACGTTCGATATTGAGCTAGACCTTGTCCTTCGTGGCATCCAGATCTTGCATCATTCCAACTGCGTATGCACGTTCTTCGTGCGACGGTCCCGACCGCACTGCCTAGGTTCTTGTGTTGCTAGCCAAGGCTTCGGTAATATTGCAGGTTGCCTTGGCTTAATTAAACGTGGGCGGATTTGAGTTCATGATACAAATAGTCTTCAACGTAAATGGGTGACTTCCATTGCCCCGCACTAATCCAGCGCTCTGACCCTTATCCCGTGGGCCACCTAGTGTACAGGGTATCCAGCGACTTACAATCTACAAGCAAAACATACATCAAACCAATCACACGCTAGTACGACAAAAGTGATCCATTCAAACATTCCAAGCCTCTTAGGGCTGATTCGGCTGATTCGAATCCTTTGCATCAGCCTTGGCCTTCTGCTGCTGTCCACGTCCTGCACCCTCTAAAGTGCGCATGAGGGCCTCCGGTGAGCATGCACGGGCGACTTTTCTCTTGATCTCTTGTAGTGTATCCTCCGCAAACTGCCAACTCCTACGGCGTGTCACACTCCCTCCCTCGCCACTGTCGCCCTTGTATGCATTCTTGATAACTGTCACTTCCACCTACAAGATGCGTAAGTTTGTTAGCACCTTGCTTACTGATCTACATTCCACGACAGTAACGTACATCTTCACCAGGACCTCTTCGCTTCTCGATGACTTTATCAGATCCTTCTCTCCATTCCGTGACATCTTCCTCGTGTTCTTCAAGATGGTTCCCCTCTCCTTCTTCGGGACGGTTCTGCTCTCTGGTATCAACGTGTTCTGCCTGTGACTCGCTCATCTCGACTGCACTTGTCCAATAATCGGAATCCTAGTTAGCGATCGCTACTCCGGGATATGACGTCGTCTTCGTTTCCTGTACCCAAGTAGGTTGTATCGTGTGAGAGAGGGGTTGGGGGTGGATGAATATTCTTCAAAATGGCCCGAATTTATTGAATGAGACCGGGAGGAGCTAAAGCAAGAGCACTCTACCTCGAGTTTTATAGGCTGTACCTGGAGCGCAAGGCGCAGGGAAGTTATGTGACGAAGACTAAATATAGATAGGGGCATGCTGACATGAGGCTATTGAACGTTGAACGCTCGCGGCTAAGTATGGAAATGCTATTTACAAGTATATTTTGTGAAGGTGTCGGCTCCCTTATCGATGGAACATCATACTTGAGTGTGTGAAGTTACACTGTAGCTAGCAAGCAGATGTGACATACAAGCAAAGTGAGTGCCAGGTCATTGGTCGGTTCACTTTCTCATGCAACGCATTGACCGATGAATAGATAATTCAGGTATCTTGTATAGAATTATATGTAGGCTGCAGAAATTGGTCTAGCCATGTCACACAATATACCTAGAGCTAGGTGCGAGGAACGTAGGCATAGGCAATAATGAAAAGCGAAGAAGAACGGACCAATCTTTTATATCATTCCAGAGCAGGAAGTCTCCTCTTGACCTACTGTGATTCGTAGTGTCTCCGAGGCTTGCTGCCTGAACTGGCAATTTACGGCCAAGACTGGTCGATTTCTGAGTGGGCTCGCGTAGTGCACACGAACATTCACTTCAGTTGTCAGATTTGTTTCCATCCTAGTAATCATCGAGGCATCAATTAGTGTGGAAGTAGCGTGCCAAAGTAGAGACATTCGCACAACTGGCATTGCGTGTTGCTCTTTGAGTTTTGCGAGAGATGCTTTCACGCTCTTGATGGAGTTCTCCCTCGCAGTGATAAGCCGCTTAGCTTTCTTGACATCCAATGTATCGCGTAATGAGCTGTAGTCCTGCGTTTTCTTGAGCTTCAAGTCCTCTGCCGGTGGCGGGACACCTTCAGCTGGAGAAGACAGGTCAACGGTTCTGAGTTGCGCCAACTCCTCGCGAAGAGTTATCAGTATGCTGTCAAGTGTAGTGAGGGTGATGATGGAGTCTTCGATTTCTTCTTTCAGCGCAAATGAACGACAGACTTCGCGAGCGCAGGTTTCCATGTGCTCGAACCTGATAGGTCCAAGCATCTCGCCGCCATACCTGCAGACGACGACACCATGAAGATACACGAAACAAATGCATGAAGTTATTATGACGGGACGAAAACAAGTATTCATACCATCGACTGACGACCACAACAGCATCTAGTACCCCTTCGGCTTGCATCACCTTCAGAACGCGTCCACCAGCGTACTTCTCGCCATCATCATCGCTTCCTGAGGTCACCTCGAAATCGTCAGGTCCTCCCAAGCCTGTCTTGTTAGCCTTCAAGGCCATGCATCTCCAAGCAGCGATCTCGTGCGTTGCTCTCCTCTTCGCATGGATGACGTCCTTGAGATACGCGACTGCTTTTCGGGCTTCATCAGGAGATGTGGCTCGAAAGATGTTACCGATAAAAATGGACCCGCGATCTCTGATTTCTTGCGAGGTCGCTAGGGATCGTGGTGGAGGCCTGGAGGACTTGATGAACGAATCCAGGTTGGAAGACATTCGCGAGAGAGAGCTTCAGCTTCAGCACTGTAAGCAGTAGCAACGGTCCATTGTAAGGACCGAAATGGAGAGTTAAAATGGAATGCCGGACGCCAAGGAGAATAATTCCCGGTGTGTGATCGAGAACAATTGCTGGTCTAGAACAATGAGGGGAAAGGTTCCCACGATTACAAAACTTCTAGGGTGACTACAATGCATGCCTTTCGGAGTCCATAGATATCCCAAAGCGGCAGAAACGGCAGCGTCGGTGAAACAAAGGCACCAAAAGAGGTGTCCATTGCCCCAAGTTGCAGGACAACCATATCCACCATATCCACTGGGTTCCATTCCTGCCACGGTGCTCCCTCTCCTCCACCATCGACCAAGAGGACGACAATCTAAACGATGGCCGACAATATCGGCGACCTCATTGATCAGACTGCCAACCTGCGGACGCTGGCGCCCGCAGCAGTGGGGACGCAGGTCGGGCTTATGTCTGTCGTTTCAGTGCGTGGCCTCTTGTTTCGCGCATGTGTGCATGGAAAATGACTATCATAAATGGTTTCATAGGCCATTACCATCCTGGTCTTCAACATTTTACGTCCGAGAAACAAGGTATGTGCCCGTGTTTTCGTGCCGTTGCAGCGTGGTGGACCAATCAGAGGACGACCGATGCATAATGTCCGCAGGGACCTCGTCTCAATAGTGGGGGGATCTGGCGAAATACGGGCATTGGGTGTCTCAGTTACAACTAGTCTGGCAGCTTTCTCAAATGGATAGCAGATTTAAAATGGCATGCAGGAAGGTGCTATACCGTCCTTTGACTTCGGTGGGAGCCGCGCGTGTATAGGTCTATACCCGTCTGATCGTCTCTCACATGGGGGCGGCCATCATGCTTGACGGAGGATGGACAGGCATCGCCATTATTCTATGCCTAGCGATGTCACCCTGAACAGGCAATATAGCGTGGATGCCTGCAGGTCCCTTTTGGCTCTGCGCTATACTGACTGGGAGCATGCTGATTTTGGGGGCCTGTTTGGCCTGTTATCGGGAAACCAACATGACTTAAGAACCCGTCCAACATACCTGGTTGGCTTAATCTCATACGAATTGGAGCCATCACGCTGCAGCGGTCATATAATTCTTCACTCTGCTCGATCTCACATCTTTGCATTAGATTGTTTATGAACCGAAAGTCAAATACCATGTGGGCAACAAACAACCGCCGCGGATATCAGACTCTATCTTTGGCTGGGTGTCCCCTCTTTTACACACCAAGGAGCCAGTACTGGTCGAAAAGATTGGGCTCGATGCTGCAGTCTTCCTTCGATTCCTCCGCATGATGCGATGGCTGTTTACCTGCATTGCCGCTCTCGCATGCGCTGTTCTTATCCCCATCAACGTCACGTACAACCTCCAAAAAGTTCCCAAGGAAGGTCGCGACGCGCTCTCTATGCTTACAATCCGCGACGTCCAGGGTAACCGACTTTTTGTTCACGTCGCTGTCTCATATGTGATTACATTTCTGGTCATGGGCTTTGTCTGGATGAACTGGCGAGCAGTGATCATTCTGAGAAGAAGCTGGTTCCGGTCTCCGGAATACATTCAGTCGTTCTACGCTCGGACGCTGATGCTGAACGATGTTCCGAAAAAGTACCAATCTGATGAAGGCATTCGGGCTATCTTCAACTCTGTGAATGCGCCTTATCCAACCACGTCGGTGCACATCGGGCGTTCTGTCGGCAGGCTACCGGAGTTGATTGAGTATCACAACGATGCTGTGCGGGAGCTCGAGCAAGCTTTGGTCAAGTACCTGAAACACGGCAAGATTGGCAAGGTACGGCCTACGATTCGCGTAGGAGGGTTCATGTGTTTTGGGGGTGAAAAGAAGGATGCTATTGATTACTACACGTAGGTCTTCATGTTTTCGGTTATGTTTTTTGTCAGGATTCAATGATTATATTTTCCAGCGCGAAACTTCAGAGAACGGAACGCGCAGTGGAGGAATTTCGCAATCAGATTGACAATCGCAAGGCTGAGAACTACGGTTTTGCTTCAATGGCAGCTGTTCCTTATGCCCACATCGTTGCAAACCTGCTCAGGAACAAGCGTGTGAAGGGTGCCAATGTTTCGCTGGCACCTAACCCGAAGGACATTGTAAGTGTTTGCGAATCCGACGCTATATCTAGGTGATAACAACGGTCCTGTAGATCTGGGAAAACTTGAACAAGCCTAAGGCTGAGATCAATGGCAAGAAATTGACAGGCTGGATCTTCCTCGTCCTCGTCTGCTTCTTCAACACCGTTCCGCTTTTCATCATCTCGATCCTGGCCAACTTAGCTTCTGTAAGTTACTATCTGGCTCCTTAGTTCAACTCCTTTCCATTAACTGTCACGCATTGCTTTTATCAGATCACGACTTATGTACCATTCCTTCAAGCCTGGTCAGATGCGTCCCCCGAAACCTTCACAATCGTCTCTGGTGTTTTGCCCCCTGCTGTATCTGCTCTCTTTGGTTTCTTCTTGCCTATCGTTATGCGTTGGTTATCTCAGTACCAAGGTGCTACCACTCATTCGCGATTGGACCGTGCTGTCATTGCTCGATATTTTGCTTTCTTGGTTATTTCGCAACTGGTTATCTTCACTCTCATTGGTGTCATCTTCAGTGAGTGTATCTCTTGCTTTCAATGTGGGACATCGAGTGCTGAAGCATCGGCGGTGTAGATTCCGTGAAGGAAATTGTTAGCGAGATTGGGAAACATAAGAACATCCACGAGATCCTCGATAACATCGACAGTACGTATTTCTTTGCCCCTGAGCCTTCTCTTGTTCTAAATACCATATGTAACAGAACTTCCTGGTATCATCAACCGAACATATATCGACCAGGCGTCATATTGGTTGACCTACTTCCCGTACGTCTTTATCTTGTCACTTTCTCCAATATCGCTGAACACTCCATCATAGGCTTCGAGGTTTCCTCGTCTTGTTCGATCTGGCCCAAATCATCAATCTCGTATGGATCTTCATCAAGACTCAGTACGTTAGCTTCATACGTTCCCTGCAGAAACTTGCTCACTGTAGAATTGTTCAGTCTTTTCGGTCGAACGCCTCGTGATATCCGTGAATGGACGCAACCTCCCGAGTTCCAATACGCCGTATATTAGTGAGTCTCAAGAACCATTTCAATACGCGTCATTCCTTACTGACGTCTTTGGTCTCGACAGTTCTAACATTGTAAGTATTGTTGGTATGTCAGCCGGTGTCTCGAGTCCTCATAAAGATTTTCTAGCTTTTTATGGGTACGGTCGGCATCGTCTTTTCGCCGTTAGCTCCCCTAGTCGCGGTGGCAGCTGCTGTCGTTCTCTGGGTCAGCTCTTGGGTCTACAAATACCAACTTATGTTCGTTTTCGTATCCCAAGTTGAGACGGGAGGGGTGAGTACCGTCAATCGACTGCTATGTGTAACTTGTTCCTGAAGTACACCCCAGCGTCTTTGGAACGTTATCATCAACCGACTGCTCGTCTCTGTTGTACTAATGCAGCTACTCATGATACTGAGTACGTTGTCCCACTAATTTTCGTCAATCTGGCTTGTTAATAGTAAATTTTGTAGCAATCGGTCTTCAGCACGGCTTCGAATCGCTCTACTGGCTATCCACTCTTCCGCCTATCCTGCTCATCGTCGGGTTCAAGCTCTACCTCATGCGAACTTTCAATGCTGAATTCCGATTCTACGTTCCCACTCAAGAAGAACTTCGCTTGGCCCAAGTCCATTCCCAACGTGCCGATAACATGGGAAACCGTCTTGAGAAGCGTTTCGGCCACCCAGCGTTACATGCTGAGTTGTTTACGCCTATGGTGCACGCCAATATGACTGCGTTGCTGCCTCAGGTGTACAATGGCAAGATTGGAAATGCACAAACGAAGTTGGACGAGTTTGGTGGAACAAAGATGGATGCGAGGGTTGTTGCTGGTGGTATCAAGATTGCTGGTATTGAACAGGTCAGTTGGGAACAGCTCTTCCCACCTTCAATTCATCTTTCCAGCGCTGATGCATCTATCACTTTGTAGAGCGACCTCGAATATGATCCTGCACTGTACCAGCGCGATCGTGGAGAATTGGATTGGGATACTCGATCGGTGTCCTCTGCCAACCTTTTAGCCATGGACAACAAGTCTCAATTCTACGCCAGCTCCACCACCTTGACAGGTCGAGCATCGCCAGCTCCTGCGAAGGCAGCGTATGATCGTTATCTTGCTCAAGGGCCACAGCCTGAGATCGAGATGACTCGGTTTGATGGTGACCAACAGCCTTTGCTCACGGCGCAGCAGGTGCCGGGGTACTTCGATCCCATGAACCACAGTACCGCGAGCTTGCCCTACAGTACAGCACCGTCATTAGGCGGCTTGCCAGAAGTTCCACCGATGGTACCTCAGGTTCCTGCACAGTATCAACAGCAGTATAGGGAGGCACCTGTTCATCGACCTTACCCGAGTCGAGAGATATCGTCGTCGCCTGGACCGTATCAAGGGTACTCGCAGTATCCAGCACAACGGTCATCGCCTGAACGAGGATCTGAGGTCAACATGGCTGGGCGAGGGGCGTACAGAGGCCCTAGGGTATGATCATGTTTCATTCACTTGATATATGAGGTGAACGATCCCTTCATAATTTGCATATTTTGGTTGGGAAAATCGGACTGCTGTGTATTGCTTGATCGTTGACTTGTTTTTTTTTTTTTCATATCTTTTCGTTACTGGTGCTTTCTTTATTGGTTATTGCAATTGTTATCTAGTCATGTGTACATCTCACTCGCTCACGTACTCACCCTCGTACTCACTCTCACTTACTCACTGGGCCGTTGCTGGCGCATCTTTCTTTTCTGACGTATTTGCTTTTTGTGGGCGGGCGCATGGGAAGCCTAGAAATTCTTTGGAGGTGTAACAATCGGACTCAGTACAGTAACTTAGTATGCAAGGTTATGGCCTTACTTTATGTTTCGTCTTTTAGTATGCAGGTTCTAGCACTCTCAGTTAAATTGACAATATGTATGACGACGGATGGCAAAACTGATCAATGCGATTCGATCGCTGATTCAATCGACGCGTCGAGCTGATTCTTCCATGAGCTCCTCCTTCGTCATCTACATCCACTGTCTCGCTTGGCATCTCATTGAAGAAAATAACCAGTATCTCACGTGTAACATCGGGTTCACACTTTTCCACGGGAAACATTCAAGCTCAGGCGACAATGACTTCAATATACTATTGTTTGACATATGCATCTAATGATCGTGGCGGTCGGAAAGCGAATAACCGCGTTCGAACTGCAAGTATACTGTAAATGCAATTGACCTTTCTGTTTGGAAATTCCTCTTCGCGTCTCATACCGTAAGTATCACTATTACCATTGGGATGCAAGCCCGCAGTAGCCACACCGCTAACGGCCAGTCACCGTCATAGTCTAAATGGCCTTCAAGGCGTTCTACGAGGTACCGCAGTAATACGTCACTTGCAACTCCCTGTCATGGTAAGTACTTCGGATACTTTTCAGGGCCATTCTCGTTGTTTCCCAACCGTTTGCCGGATGTTATTTTAATGCTCTCCAGCGATGATGAAGCGGAGATAGCTTTTTAACTGATGGGAAGTTGTCAAACTACCGCCGCATCGTCATCATCTCCTCGAACCGCAGTAGTCAGTCTGCCTCATTTACTCTCGAACTCTCCAGCCTCATCGTCATTATATCAGACTCTGCCATGCAGTGTATGGTGGGTAAGAGACTTATCCAGAAGATCAATGAACTCCCAAGGAATGTGGATGCAATGTGGAAACCTCGTTGGAGAGAGATCAGGGAAGGTGTGCGCTCCGGGGTGATCTCGGTGCGATATAGCAGATAGACGGCCACCAAAAAAATAGATGGTCGGCGCATCAAACGACATGCTTTCAGTCTAATTCGGAGTGCACAGGCCGTGACGAATTCCACACCTCGCTGTGCAGTCGTTTACGGCCAAGATGTCCGTACTGTGGAGCATATAGTCTTCTCCATAAGCTCTCACCTTCACGACTTTTCACGACCCCGTAACGTCTGAAGATATGAAAACCTACCTCCTCCCTCGACGCGAAGCATACCTTCCGTTAGTCGCTGGTTACGCGTCGCACCCGCATAATCGTCGGACCCTCTATAATGCTCTAATCATCGTATTCTCGATTGGTCTTAACCTCTTCTTCGTCGTCTCATATTACAATCGTCCGCAGCCACCTCCTCCACTACGCCAGAATCCATTAGATCACTATCAAGGCCTGTGAGTATAATACATGTCAGACTCCAAACAGTTCGTTCTGCGTTCTCACCGTACATGATACGTGCCCTTTCCATAGAAACACCTTCCCCTTAGTGAACCAAGATACACTTTCAAAATCCCTTTCATCTCGAACGTTCAATCCCGAGGAACATGCAGTCGTCACAACTCTATACACCGACGCATTTGCGCCAGCTGTAGCCACACTTGGTCATAGTCTACGCAAAGCGAATACTTCAGCACGTCTCATCCTATTATACCTCCCCGAGAAGGTTTCACCTTCCGCACTCTGCGTCGCGACATCATCGGGATTCGTAGCTCAACCAGTGGCACGTATACCACCGCCCAATAACGGCGAAGGCGCACATCCACATTTCCTCGACCAGTTCACAAAGCTGACTCTGTGGAAACTCGATCAGCAGGGGATCAAGAGTCTCGTGTACCTAGATGCGGACACACTCGTACGAAGAAACTTTGACGAGCTATTCACTTTCCCGTTCAACTTTGGTGCCGTTCCGGACGTGTACCTCGATGACAACGGTTTCATCCTGGGTTTCAACGCAGGAGTCCTCTTCCTGCGTCCCTCCACCACTGTCTTCAACCAAATGGTCTCCCAGATCGCCACCGCCGACTTCCCTCACCTCGAAGCGGAACAATCGTTCCTCAACCACTACTTCGGCGCCGAAGCCGTCCGCCTACCTTATGCCTACAATGGCAACCTAGCGATTAAGCAACGTGCACCGGAGATGTGGAATCGTACAGCGCATGAACGGAGAATTGTCCATTTCACGTTGGCGAAGCCATTTTTGATGGGTGATTATGAGAGAGTTCCATGGTACGAGTTAGAGGAGAGGGTGGTGGAGGTAGCGGGGTATGAGGATGGAGCGTATAAGGAGGAAACAATGTGGTGGGGAGAGATGTTCAAGGAGATGAAACATACTTATGCGAAACAGTTGCATAAGTGTTTCCGACATTCGAGTTCGCGATTTAGTGCGTCTTCTACTTCATAGCCGTGATCGACTAATGGTGGCTTGTCTGCTGCGCCTCTTCTCCTTCGGCAGAGTCACTCATTCTTTGTATGATGGAAAAATGCTTCATGATATGATTTGTATTCCAGTCTCGACCTCTTGCTTTATCCTGCCACCTTCTTCACATCCGCAATATCCCTCTTCACATACTTTCATTTGTAGATTATTCTCAAGAATTAACTTATTCATTCACAACTTACAAGCATGCTTTTTCTCCTTGTATCATGATGTATACCATACAGCTTTCTTATGTAGATCAATTTTGGGTTTCTGTGTTATCACACTTGACAATGAGACAAGTACTGAGAAGGGGGCCATAATTGGGATATCAGTTACTGACATCACTTGGTGCTATTAGATACAATGGTGAATCTTGCAGCTTCAGCTTCAGAATTCATAACATATTTGTACCAGAGAATATGGGTACACTGGAAATCTCTTGAGCTTGTTCATTCCATGCTACTGATATGCTCAATATACTAAATATGATTCACTATAATCTGTGTATATAAGTTAGTAGTAGAATATTCTTAACATTAGACTAGACAATGGGCAGTTATTGTGAGCAGACAGACTCTCTAACTTGAAGTTCTGCATAAGCTCTTATCAATATAAGCCTCATCAATATCTTATCCAGTTCATATCCCAATATCAGTCACTATAGCAGTATTTAAAAGCTCACAAGGTTTTTTTTCTTCTAAAAGTTTGACTCTTTAAATGCAAATAAAACATTCTCAAGTTGCAACACTATATCTAAAACAAGCTTGTGGTGAAAGTTATTTTACTGTTTCTATATTATATATTGTTATACACTAGATGTAATTTTGACTAAAACAACTCTATCCATAAAACTTTGCTATCTCTAAAATATACTACAATAGGTGTGAACTAAATTGAACTTATATTCTAATAAATTTATCTCTATGCTGCTTTATTTAGATGTTAATTAATGCCAAATTTATCTATACAAATGCTGTTATAGTAATCAAAGAAATTAATAGATAAACAACTACATATTAGATATACAAAGTTATTTATAGTTAATTACAAGAGGTCTAATATATAAATAGAATAAGAAAAATAGTTAGTCAAAAATCAGACTAAACTCTTACAATTAGAGTAGATATAAGATAAACACAATATTCTTATGCTCTGCAAAAGAAAATCTACTGCAAATAATACATTGTGAAGAAAAGTTGTGATATATATTATATAATCTTTGTAATCTGTTTGTACTGTGATATGTAAAATATTATTCAAATCTGAGAATCTTTATTGATATAATCTAGTATATTTTACATTCTTATTACTTATACAAAAATAATAATGTATCTTATAATAATTAGATACTTTGCTAGTAGAATATTTTATTATACAATCTATTTAACTTGTATTATATTTTCTTTATTTTGATTTAATTATAAAGTTTAAGTTCAGGTCTCACTAAATGTAAATCAAAATAAGATATATTGGAAGTTAGATTATCTATACTAACTATTGGGAGTTAGTTTAGATAGTATCTACATATTTATAGATAAGAATCTGAACTCAATATTTTATACTATCTTTATAATGCTATATGTTATTTACTGAGTATATTGAGACTAACAGTAAGACTGTATTTATTTCTCAAAAGATTGACCAAATCTGTCTATTGTACAAATATCATGATACTCATTTCCATGATATAAAATGCCTTTCTCTGCCAATCTAGGATGTAGCTCAAACAGTGAAAAATATTTAGATATTTGAGTAAGACTAACAAGCTTGAGACTAGCTTTCTCCATAGCTAATAAGCCTGACTCAAGTTGTTGACAGAATTCTTTAGTTCCAGGTGGATCATCAATATTTACAGTCAATGGCATCTTTGAATTCACAGATAAAAATGATGCTAAAATGAATAAAAGATTTTCTTCATCTGCCCAAAAACTTAGATACTGTAAGCATGAATTGTGCTGAGTATCAATAGCTAGTGAATTAGTTAGAAAATTCATTCTTCTTCCAGACAACATAATGTGACATTTTGACAATGATGATCTAGAGCTTGACAAAATTTGATTAATTGCTGTCACCTCTTCAGTTCTCAACTGATGTTCTTTGTTCTCCAATGTGATATGAAGAAGTTCAAGGCTAGAGATATAGCCACTCTCAAATAACCACTGCAATAGTGGAAGATCTGAGTCAAATAGTTCCAGTGATTTTAGACAAGGTCTAAGCTGCTTTTTGCCTGTATGAGCTGTGGCAATACTTGAAATAGCAGAAGTTATATCATATCCATAAAGAACTAGATGCTGCAATTTAGAACATGATTGCAACAATCTTTGAAGCTGCCTAATTGAAAGATTGCCACCAATCAGACATAGAGTATGCATTGGCAGAAGAGCCAGCCCTCTAAAGAAGTCTACATGAATCCAAGCCAGATCAAGTAACACTATCTTGAGATGAGTGATATTATCAAATCTAGTAGAAAAGAGTGGCATGGACCAACCACCACTATCCTCATCATCATCAAGTGCAAAGTCAATGACAAGACTCTCTAAATAGGCAGAGTAATTCTTATGATAATGTGTAAATGTTTTCCATAGCATCTTGGCTTGTTGAGGATCTCTCTGAGCACCCAGTTCAATGTGCCTGTAGAGAAAAGGCAGTGCATATGAATGCCAGGCATGACAAGTGAGACAACATGCAGCTAAAGTATTCTGCTATACATGCAGAACATATATCAAATTTTTGCATCTTTGATATCAGAAATGCATATTCAACTCACTCTATCTTGCCAAGAGTCCCACTTGAAATCAATTGCATGCACCCAATATATGACATGAAACTGTGTCTCCAAGGGCAGCAGTGGAAGCTGCTGTTCTTCTCTACTCTTCACCGACATGATCAAATGTCCACAGAAAGTAGCTCAATACAACAAGGTGAAGTGGGTAGGCGGAAAAGAGACGACGGTATGCGCGGCCGATCGACCCCACCCTCTTTATATATATCTCATTGACAACCCTAGGACGCTCATGATATGCACATCTGACATGCACCGCTGTGCATTCACAGCCCTGGAGTCGTCCACACAGATGCAGAGTATTAGGGTTCAATCAAGCGCAGAACACTATCCTGAGGGTGGGGAGCGAGAGGTACACGAGGACACGGCGTGCTGGCAAAGACGCAGGAGAAGGCACACGTGAAGCGAGAAGTTGTCTGAAGGCAATGACGGTCCATTTACGGAGAGCTTTGGTGACACCTACAGCCCTCGACGGTGAGATCGACAGCGACGATAGTACAGAAATAATGTCTATTCTTTCGCCTTCCTCTCCAATTTGGAGTCCGAAGAGCACGGTAGTACGCTACGTCCAGGAAGCCAGCGTCTGAGAATAAAGTGCATGCCATCCTCATGCCAGAGAAGGTGCATTCGGGGCGCTAACGAACCAACACCCAAGCTGATCCTGCGCAGAAGAGGCGGCCGTAACCTACGAAAGAGAACCAAGAGAACCCAAATACGCAGAATTAAGGGATATGGCTAGGGAAGGAGGCTGAGAGGGAAGCGATGAGAGCGAGAATAAAGTGCATTGGTATACGAGTAGCCTGAGATCCTCCCTCTATCATCACAGGTGGATTCTCATCTCCACATGCATTCAACATTGTTAATCCCTGTAATACATGTGTCTATCGCTTACACGTCGGTCGTATTGTTTAAAAGCCGGGGCATTGGCGAGGGCGTGGTGAATGTGATGGCCGCAAAGGAAAGCCCCAATGATCAACACGAAGGGAAGAGTCATTGAATGGCCATAAAACTGGTACAAGTGGAGAAACGAGGAAAAGACCCTTCATCTGAGAGACAGAGAAGCATGAAGATACGAGCTCCTGAGCGAGAGTCGTCCAAAAACGTTAAACTGAGAGCACTGAGCTAGCGTTGTCCGTCGGTAGCCGTCTATAGATAGCAGACAAAGTCGAAACGTTGAACCAGGGCTCCTGAGATGTCGAGCCATTGGACATATCGAGAGAAGCGAAACAGCGGCGATAGATAGAAGGCCAGTACGAATCCACATGAAGAAGAAAGGAAATCATCCCTGGGACCAGCTTGCAGGAGATCCTGATGGGGTACTTACCTGTAGACCCAACGACAAGGATTAGATGCTCAGCGTAGAAGAAGGGCATACTCACCGGGGTGTAGAACACTCGAATGTGAGACCAGGTAGTCCGTCCTGCGGGTTGAATGAATGAAGTTTGTCCCTTGGGGCGACACAACTGGACGCATGAAAAGTACACGGACAGAGGTTGAATTCAAGGCGTTTGGGGCGCAAGGGGAAAGAGACGTTTGAGATATTGGAGTGGAGTTGGTAGGGCTTCTATCTGAAGGGTCTTTATGGTGCTCAGAGGAGCTGGTTTGAACGACCCAGTAGAGATGCATGTAGGACAGAGTGAGGAAAGAGGCCCAGTCTCGGATATCTAGATTATATAACCGCCCGACTATTCACGTATTCACATATTCAACGTCTAACTTAATCGTCTGTCGATGTTTTCAACTCTTCGGATTTTGATACTTTTGGTGGAAGACAAGTACGACGCCACGGGTCAGCATCGTAACCCACCGCGCGAGGATCATTCCAGGTACAATGAGGTTTTCGTATTCTGACGATTTTTTTCTGTTTAACCTAGGTCGGTAGCGAACGTTGCAACGCATAATGCATAATGCATAACGGTCTGCGTGTCGATATCGCAGAACATTTCAAACACAAGCTCGCAGCACAGTTGCTCGATCGTGCTCCTGCGTCGATTGGTTCCGTTTGTATCAAGTCCCAGACCATGCCAACCGATCGCAACTCAGAGCATTTCTTCTCGCAACATGTCTCTGGTCATGGGTACGTTATTCGATAGACTTCCGTGTGGCGGATGTCGATGCCGTCCCTGAGCACTAGAATGGACTGTATCCCTCAATTTCGCTAGCCCTTGCTGCTACCACTAGCGACGCCTGACATATACGCCCTCGATCTCTCTCCTACGACATCGTCATCAAGTTAGCATTTCTCATAGGCAACTTTGCAGACTCCCAAGTTCCCCAGAATGCACTGTATTGGCATATCGAGTAGTGCAGGTACCGGTGCGTTCTTGTCTCAGAAACCTTATGCAGAATCTGGGGGCTCTACGTACGATGTACAGTATGCGGACGAGGGATGTCGGGTAATCCTACTCTAGCTTCATTCGTACGCATATGACGTTACACGTAGGGTCTCTTATGCTCGACAGCCTCTCGCAAAAAGTCAGAGCTCGCCTTTCTGCACTTGTCGTCCGTGTTTCCCAGACGCTAGTAGTCGGGAGATAGACGATAAAACCAATGGTTTTGTCAAGTGATACGTTTTGAATTTGAACCTCTTCGGTATAGTTTCGTTCTCTGATCCTGCAAGTGTTACCATTTCTTCTTTCATAGGTTTCTCGCGGCAGCCTTCAGGCAGCGATTCGATTTCCACGCGCTACGTATGCTGTCTTTTGATTAAAGACTTTGCCCGTTCAAGCCATGGTCATTTGGCGATGCTTCCCTTATCGCCACCGACTCTCCATGATTTTCAGGTCCAAAACGCCCACATTCGAGCTCAACACTATCAATTTTGAAGCTTTTGAACCGCGTTCAGCACAAGTGGTACACCTGTCTGTACTATGTGTCACACCTACTGCCTCCCAACGTCAATGCGAATTACCATGAAAGTATACCGAACCGAGCTTCTAGCTCACACTATCGCCAATGATACCGCAAAATGTCGGAATCTCCAACATGTAACTTATACCTGGAGCCCCTGCCTCCTTCCTTTAATATTGCCTTGATGACATTCCTTTCATTACCGAGGTTAGACACTGGGGACCTAGCGAGTCACTTGCCTACGATGCGGTGACGAAACCGGGTTGCGCATGCGAATTCTTTGACGAAATGGGGGACGTGATAGAATCCTGTCCGGGGTAAAACGAAGCTCCTTCCAATGTTACCGTGCGCTACCATCCATCGGCTTGACCTCATAGGCGATGAGCGATGAGTGCTATAACGCGTATGATTGCCCGGTAGGATTTGGGTTTGCAGACCCACATCGACGTTTCCCTGCCTCCCTCCCTCCCTTCCTCTTTCTCTTCAACAAACCTCACAACGTTGATTGATATCAGGACCAGCTGGACGTCAGTTCAAATCGAACGAGCGAACGTCACACAATCATTCAAGCACGGAGCATAGCCAAAAAAACGTCCTTATTTTCCGTTTTCCGTTTTCCATTTTCCGTTTTCCGCTTTTCGTTTTCTGAAACTCTGCATGCAATGCACCGTCTCCTCACCCCCAGGATTCAATGCCACTCCGAGTTCCGCGTTCCGCCATCATCATTGCGTTACCCTTCCTCAACATTCGCCTCAGCAAGTTTGAGCCGTCAACTTGAACTTGAAGACGCTGCCCCGTCCCTCCCCTCCCATGTCGCCACCTTGGATACACGCACAGTTCCCGTGAATGTATCACTGGCAAATCGATTCCGCTCACACCCTGCGTATTAATAATAGGTTAAGATTCTAGCTTCTACAAGTCCCAGGTGACAGATCTCTAGGCCGTCGCTCGGTTCCTATCAGTCATCTCTAGCACCCCGCCTAATGGACGTGCATGTATGCACTTTCGAATTCTGCAAAATTTATTAATTCACGATTGGAACGAGGTTGAAAGGATATAATCAGGAATCCTCCGATGAACGGACGAGTTGGAGAAGGATAGATATGATGTAAGACCCCGGGGAACAGGATTTTCCAGCTCAAGCTTCCAAGTCTGTGATTCTAAATTACTGCACCTTTGAACAAAGTTACTGAGCGAGATGCGATATGCGTATATGAATAAAAGGAATAAAAACGAGTACGTGAGTATAGTATGATACAAATTTCTAAAAGCTACAGCGATGATTTAAACCCATTCTACGACGAGTTATTGCCACGTACTCATCATACACACGTCCGAAAGCGGATCCCACCACCCTCATGTCCTTGTCCCAATCTTCTCATCCAACATCCAACACCTCGACAACTCCCTCTCCCTCACCTTCTTCATCCCCTTAAACGTCTCTCCCCACCACATCGTCTCATTCCGAAACCTGCCCCCCTCCCAACCCGCCACCTTCCTCACATGCGCCTCCAAATCATCCCACCTCACCGCCGCATACCTCTTCCCCAAAAACGGTTTCACCAACGTAAAATGCACGACCCTAAACTCGTCCCACCCTCCCTGCCACACCTCCGGCGTCCTCCGCTTAATAGCCAAGTTCGCATTATACGCATAGGGCAAACGCACGGCCTCGATCCCAAAATAGTGATTCAAAAACGACTGTTCTGCGTCTACGGGAGGGAAACGGGCATAAGGCAATTGCTTGAGCATGCGTGTGAATAATGCCGAGGAGGGACGGACGAATAACATCCCTGCGTTGAACGCTAGGGTGTATCCTCTGTAATTATAAAACACGTCGGGCACTGCGGCGAAATTGAACGGCAACCCGAATAGTTCGTCAAAGTTTTTCTTCACTAGCGTGTCCGCATCGAGGTAGACGAGACTTTGGATCCCCACTTGGTCCAACGTCCATAGTCTCAGTTTCGTGAATTGGTCGAGGAAGTGGATGTAGACCCCTTGACCGTCGTGGGGTGGTGCGATCCTTTCGACGGGATGTGGTTCGAACCCGCTGGCTGTGGCGATACAGAGGGCGCGAGGGGAGACTTGGGATGGGAGGTAGAGTACGATGAGACGGGCGCTGGTATTTACTTGTTGCAGAGAGTGTCCGAGGGTGGCGACTGCTGGTGCGAATGTATCATCGTACAACGTCGTCACGACCGCATGCGCAGAGGTATTTGAGACTCTAGTCGAGACAGAGACGTCTAATAGCGGTTGGTGATTCCTACGAAGAAAGTCATTAGGTGAGTATATGCAGGTGACTCGCGGATACACTCACAAGCCTTGATAATTGTCTAACGGGTTCGTCCAGTTTCTAGTATGCGCCCTCACGAGGAAGAACACGTTAAATGCGAAAGAGGTGATAATGAGGAGGAGGAAGGCGGCAAGGAAGAGGTAACGTCGTTTGGGACGCTTGAGTGGCTCGGCGGAGGTGGGACTCGTAGCCAATGGGACGTACTCCCTGCGTCGGGTGTGAAAGAGAGGCATCGCAGGTAAGGGAACGATGCCAAGGGAGAGGGGAGAACGTATATGTCAGACGTCGAGTGGTAGACTAGCAGTAAGGGGCGGCGGAAAGGGGTGCAGTCCATTCCTGTGCTCTCAAGTCTATTCCGCCGCGAACAGCATATCCGCCGTACGGGGGTCATCGCGAATGACGTACCCGAGGACATGAAGAGGTTCGAGAAATGCTCTGCGTTGCGATCGGTCGGCAGGGTCTGGACACCCGGGAGTTGACACATATGGAACCAATCATCGTAGGAGCACGATCGAGTGTACACGTCCAACTGCCCTGCAGTCACTGCGCTCGAACTGTTCTGCGATATCGACTGCATGGACCGTTACGCCTTTAAGGACGACGTTCGCTACCGACCTGCCAGTGGGTCACAGTAGAAACCGGTTAACGTCAGAATATGAAAGCACAAACACCTGAAATGATCCTCACGCGGTAGGTCACTAACTGGCGCATATCGTACTTGTCTTCAATCGAAAGTCTCAAAGTCCAAAAAGCTGAAAACATCTGGATGGTGCGTATAAGTTGGGCGTTGAATACATGAATCGTCGGGCGGTTATATAATTTAGATATGATACTTACGACATCCGAGAATGGCTCACTCTGTTCTATACGCGTCTCTCGCCGCGTCGCTCAAACCAGCTCCTCTGAACACCATAACGGCCCTTCAAATAGAAGCCCTACCAACAGCGCTCCAATATCTCCGCCGTTTCTTTCCCCTTGCGCCCTAGACTCCTTGAATTCAACTTCAGTTTCCGGTTTCCGTGTGCTTTTCATGCGCCCGGTTATGTTGATCTCAAAGGATAAACACTATGTTATTCAGCTTGTTAACTCTCCCAGGCACGGTTCAAGTCAAGACGGACTGCCTGGTCTCGCGTTCGCGAGTGCTCCATACGCCTGGTCAGCATGCTTTTGGAGCAAATGTTATCATTGGGTCTACAGGTAAATACCCCGTCAGGGTCTTCTGCAACGCTTATATCTCACGCGTCATTTTGTTTCCTCTTCATGCAGATTCATACTGGCTTTCCATCTATTGCCGCCGTCTTGATCGTCTCCATATGTCCAAGGGTTCGACATCTCAAGAGCCTTGGTTCAATGCTTCCACCTTGTCCGCTATTTTTCGACGGCTACCGACGGACAACACAGGCTCTTGGGCGACTCTCGCTCAAGAGCTCATATCTTCGTGCTTCTCTGTCTCTCAGATGAAGGGTCTTTTCCTCGTTTCTACACCTGTACTACTTTTATGGCCATTCAATTACTTCTCCCTTCGTGCCGATCATCGGGGCTTTCGTCTGCGGCCATCCCATTCACTACACCCTCGCCAATGTCCCGGCTTCCAAACAATATGACTGACATGTAGGCGATAGACACATGTATCGCAGGGCTGCACAAACAATGTTGAAGGCATTGGGAGATGAGGCCTGAGGATCGAGCTGTGACGATAAAGGGAGGATCTCAGGCTGGCTCGTACGTCAATGCATGTTATCCTCGCTCTCATCGCTTCCTCTCAGCCCCCTCCCCTAGCCATATCCCTTGATTCTGTGTATTTGGGTTCTGTTGGTTCTCTTTCGGGGATACGGCCGCATCTTCTGCGCAGGCTCCGATCGGCCTAGGTATTGGTTCGTCAGCGCCTCGAATGCACCTTCTCTGGCATGAGGACGGCGTGCACTTTCTATCAGGACGCTGGCTTAAACCGCCTGGACGTAGCATGCTGCCATACTCTCCGGGCTCTAGATTGGAGTGGACGCCGATGGAATATTCAACATGTATGTACAATCGTCGCTCTCGACCTCACCGTCACGAGCTGTAGGTGTCACCATAGCTCTCCCTAAATCAACTGTTATTGCCGACAAACAACTGCGCGCTTCATGGGTGCCTTCTCCTGCGTCTTGCCAGCATAACAGCTTTCTCCGCTTGACTGAACCCTCATACCGCGCATCTGTGATTGAATCACTCCTAGGATGTGAATGCGCAGCGGTGCATGTCAGATGTGCATATCATAGGCATCCTAGGGTTGTCAATAAGATATATATATAAAGAGGGTGAGGTTGATCGGCCGCGCGTACCGTCTCTTTTCCACCTACCTACTTAACCTTGTTGTTTCGAACTGCTTTCTGTGAATCTTTGATCATATCATTGAAGAGTAGAGAAGAACAGCAGCTTCCACTATTGCCCTTGGAGATACAGTTCCAGGTCATATATTGGGTGCATGCAATGAATCTTAGAGGAGATACTTTGCAAGATAGAGTGAGTTGGATATGTGTTTCTGACATGGAAAATGCAAAAGTTTGATATGTGTTCTGCATATATAGCAGAATGCTTTAGCTGCATGTTGTCTCACTTGTCATGCCTGGCATTCATATGCACTGGCTTTTCTCTATAGGCACATTGCACTGAATGCTCACTGGAGGAGTCTTCAACAAGCTAGGAAGCTATGAAAAACTTTTACACATTATCATAAGAAATACTCTGCATATTTAAAGAGCCTTATTATCACATTGGTATCTGAAAAACAGAATAATTATGATCAAAGAGGCTGGTCCATGTCACACTTTCCTACTAGGCTTGATAATATCACTCATCTTACTATACAGAATTTTGATGTGGCCTGAGTTTATTCAGACTTCTTCAGAGGCCTGGGTCTTTTGTCAATGCATACTTTAATGCTAGAAAATGCCATACTTTCAATGAAGCATCTTCAAACACTGCTACAATTATGTTCTTAATTGCAGCATATAGCACTTTATAAAATTGGCATATCTTCTACAATTCCAAGCATTTCTGCAACTACTGCAAGTAAAAGACATCTTAGATCTGGCTTAAAATTACTACAACTAGAAGACTCAGATCTATCACTATTGCAGTAGTTATTTGATAGTGGCTACATATGTAGTCTTGAACTTCTTTATATCTGCCTCAATAACAGTGATGATGAAGCTACAACTAGACATGTATCTGCAATCAATCAAATTTTGTCAAGTGCTGAATCAACTTTATCAAAATGCTGCATTGATTTGTCAAAAAATGCTAAAGGTAAGAATTATATTACATCTATTTTCTAATTCTATTCTGATTATTCTAATAGCTATCAATTTGAAGCAGAATTTATGCTTAGAAAATCTAAGTCTATAGAGAGATGAACAAATACTTTTATTTTTACTAGCATCACTTTCATCTCTAAATTCAAAAATGCCTATTACCATAAATCTTGATTCACCATCTAGTAATGAAGAAGTCTGTCAACAACTTGAGTCAAGTTTATCAGCAATGAATAAAACTAGTCTTAAATATGTTAGCCTGTTAAATGCAAGCAAAATAGTTAACTGGTTTTAGCTATTTTCTAGACTAGCAGAGAAAGACATTTTATATATTAGATATAAGTATTATAATATTTGTAAAATAGATAGATTTGATGAAGTTTATTAAAATCTATAACTAGAATAAAGATAGTTTCACTTTTAGTCACAATATACTAAGCAAATAATATATGACATACTATAAAGATAATACAAAGTATTTTATGTATAAGATATTAGCTATACTAAGCTATAATTACTATATCTATTTGCTATTAATAGTACAAATATTATCTAAACTACTTATCAATAGTTTGTCTAGATAAGCTAGATTCTATTAATATCAAAAATCATATATTGCTCTATACTAAGTAAGATAGTTAGAATAGAAATAGAAGATATATAAAATAAGATAAATATATTATATAATAAAATATTTAACTCCAAAGTATCTGCTCTTTTTCAAATAGAACTTTTTACTAGATATTAACTGAATTATTTTAAAATGAAAAAGGAAGAAAATAATATTAATAATGGCCTATCTTTATTGTAGCATTCTTTGATACTTTTATTATGGCCAAAAGACAGACTTTATTTATAATTTGTTGCTCAGAGAATATGAGAGAAAGACTTTCTTTTATAGTTTTTCACTAGCAAAGGAGAATATAGAATATTGGCTATTTTCTGCCTTTCTTTTTTTAACTTTTGTATAGCAGAAAAATTTAGTTTATATCCAGTGAGATAATGTTGATAAAGTTTAGATCAAATATTATAACTTCAATAAATACAGTCTCACTATCAGTCTTAATGTACTTATCAAATAACATATAATATATTATAAAGATAGTAGAAAATAATCTATTTATAAGATATTAGCTTTTTAGAGGCTAAGCTATTATTGTTATATATATATTTGCTCTTAATAGTATAAATAGTATATAAACTAACTGCCATTGGTTAGTCTAGATGAAGCAGCCTGAAAACTCTATCCTATGATATTACACCTTATATCTATATACATCAGCTTTTTTAACTTTTAAGCAGGTTTTTTCTGGGTTTTCTAAGTAGAAAAGTCTATCACTATAATTTAAAAAAAGAAAGATATTTAATATTATTTTCTTACTCTCACATACTAGAACAATTGAATATAGACCATTTTTTAAAGAAATAACAAAGTATAAAGAAAATCTGCATCAACTTGTCATACTTCAAACTATTAAGATACAAAGTTGTTTGGTATTTTACAGTAATAGACTCTTACATATTAAAATCTAAGAAGATCTCAATAAAAAGCATTTGAATAAGCTTAACAAGACCAAGTTTTATATTTCAATATATTAGGCAGGCTTTTCTATAGTGTCTATTTGTAATCACAGAAATTGGTAGGCAAGAGCTTAAAAGTGCACATCTTCTTAGCTTTATTACTCAGCTTCTGAAATTAAATATAGGTCTATATTGCCTTGTACTAAATTGCTTACTTGTACAATGTGAACTTACTACTGAAAATCTTTATGAACAAATGCTTACAATGAATATCACAGCATCTTGCTAATTGATGAGATCATACTTCAAATTTATTCCTTGTAAATATAATCACAAGATTATACTCAATGGAACTGCTGGCAATCAGATTCATATTCAAATTCTTTAGCAGCAATCTACTTTATATTCTAAAAATGACATCAGTAATTTCAACATATAGTCCACATATTATTGTATTGCTGCATAGTATAGGTTAGAGAAAGACACATTACAGGCTAATATAATCCATTTTTATTCAGTACATCCAAACAGTAGCAACAGTGGTTTGTTATAACGAATGAACAATTCGAGATGGTATGAATGAACCCAGACCCTAGAATAGAAATCGGTAGCTAGCGATGTTGAGCACTTGAAGATGAATGCGAAGGTAATCGTGAATGAAGGTCGTGAATGTGAGGGGGCAGGGCAGTCGGTCTCTATGATACATTGCTGTTGGTACCGGACAATGCAGAAGCCATCTATATGGAAGGCATTGATATATCTTGCAAAACATCAAGAAAATGCCACACGCAGCCGAACTACCGGTGTTGACGGGGCCCTCTTGGACCATACGGCCCAACCTGTCCATATGAATGACCTCGACCTTGCATGAGGTCTACGGAATTCGGCGCAGAGGATCACATGAAGTCAGCAAGTGCCCTCTCACGTCTGTCAAAGTAGAAAACGGAACATACCGATGGGAGATGTAAAGTTATGCACAAATGGATGTACACTTCCCGAGCGGTAGTTATGTCTGAACAAATTCTGCTCTGTCAAGTTGACGACCGTCACGCCGCCTTCCACAGTTCCACCGGTGGACAATCTCCGATTTGGAGCAAAAGTCATCACGGTCCCGGTCAAACTCGCTTCAGGATCAAGGGCCGCCTTGGAAGGTGACGGCGGTTCGGCACTGAGACGAGACATACTGAGTGCTTCCTGACCTCGATAGTCACTGAGAGATGTGACGTCCTTCATGACAGGAGACTGTGGAGTTGTAGAGTCGATTGGGTCAGAAGGTCGACTTATACGGAACTCGCGTTGTGATTTTGCTTGTCGAGAAGCTTGCTTCGCCTCAATCTCCCCCTGAATTGAGCGAGGGAAGAATATCTAACAGATATACGGAAGTCGTCATGAGCAAAGATGGCACAGAGACACTCCATTTCGGGTATACGTACCACCAGCGTGATACCTGACGAAATCACACAGCCTATGCCAGAAATGATGGCAAGAAAGTCGGTCCAGAAACTAGCGGTGATTGATTAGTATCGTTAGAAAATAACAAACACTCTGCGGGATTGACTCACTTGCTCTCATTGATGTGGTGGTGAGAGCGGACTCCGTCAACACCGAGAATTATGAGAGGGGCCACCATGAGGAAACGGAAGATGACACGAAGCGCCTAACGAACATCGGTGTCAAATAGGAACTTGTTTGAACTGCGACAAAATAACTCACGTTCAATTCGTAGAATGTTGTCAAACGGACGACGGTGTTCATGTCAACGCCTTCGCGTTTCTGAATTGCGAAAAAGTATGAGATCGCAACGCTGGCGTCTACAGTGAAATGGAGCATACCAAATTATTCAGGAACTTCGGGAAAGACCACCTAACAAGACATGTGTCAAGCTGTGCAGTGAACGGCTTTGGGATACCGACTCACAGAATCGGAGTGAACCAGATGGTCAATGAGAGGCTGCCGAGACCGCCAGCGAGGAACGAAAAGGCTTCGCACTGCATTAATGGCAATACGTCAGTGGTAGAAACAACATCATGATAGTGGGTCTACGTGCATACCTTCAGAGGATCTGAACGGGTGAAAATTGTAACGAGCGGCATGTAGATTATAGCTACGCAAGAGCCAACAATCCAAGTTTTGAAATACAAACTGCGGAACCAGTCTCTCTGGACGGACCCTGCATTGACGAGAAACAGCCAGAAGCATAACTCTGAGTGGATGGCGGGCGCTGTTAATCAAGGGCCTCGTGATTGATCGAAGAGTCCATACAGTACCTTCTAGATGTGTAACCCTGCGACAAAGAATCAGCGCTATACTCAGGGCAAGGTTTGATTATCGCTTACATCTCGAGAGACCAGCCAATAGAAAAAACAAGTTGAAGAGGGAATATGGCACGCTTGTGAGCCTCGGGCCACAGCTGCCAAGGCGTTGGTATAACTGCGAATGGAAGATGTTGACTTAGTGTTTACACAGGGACGTGAACACTTACTGCCCGCCCCCGGCACAAAGCTGTACCCTGCTTGATACTTGATGATTGAGAAGCCCATTGCAAATGCTCCTATACACGGTATTGTTACGAGGTACGTGTACTGGTTCAGACCGTCAGTCTAATGGTATGTACTGCAAGTTGACCACTCACGGTCATGATGCGTTTGAACGCCCCAGAGTGGGGGCCATTGTTCCACCTTCAAAATCCCATTAATCACTAATCACCCGTGGAGTAGAAACTCTCATTACTTCAAGCATCTGAACCTATCGAAGTTCCATAGGTGAAATACGAGAAATGCGCCTAGCTATGACACGATCGGCAACCCTGATTGAGAATACATACTGAGGCGTACTCACCACCGTACAGAGGATGGACCATGTCAAGTACGTCGCAGCAGAAGTGTGGGCCATTGTTCGAGAGCAGGTTGAGAAAGGGATGAAGAGCTTAAAAGCTCGCGAAGCAAGTGCTCAACGATCGGCAAGGAAGTGACAAAAGCTTGACGTTCGAGTGTCTGAAGGGTATATAAACAAAACCATTCATAGTGGGCACCACGCATCACCAATGATTGAATTGATCAGAGGAAGCACATGCTACACATTACATTCGGAATATTGAAACCCGTTTGGGTTGGCTCTGCTCTGTTGACCTTGGCTGAATTTCAGACCGACGGTATGATGAGACTTTGATGGGAAAAGAGCACACCGGAAGTTTAATAAATGACAACCCGAGCCCTGCGACATATGACAAGGAACATATGCATTCTTGAATGCCGAGGTTAAAACACCTTCAGCTGTTCGACGTCTTATTTGTTTGGAGGGTCGGACAGAAGCGTCTCACAAGAAGCTTCTGAGTTCAGAACATCTCAACGACAACAAGATCCTACAATTGTGGTCTCGACGATCTGGCCCCTTGTCGTTGCCAGCCGGTTTTACCAAGGTGTCCCGTTTACCGTTGTCACCGGACAATCAAGGCAAGGCAAGGCAGTGAGAACTTCGACGCTCGACTTCTCGCATCCAGTGTGGACCTCGCATCCCCGAAAAATGCATTCAAAGGGTTCATCGGATTCCAACCCATGAATACATGGGGTTGTGCATGGAAGCGAGATGGGGCAAAACAAGCAAGGTCTGGACAATATTAACCACTGCCTTGTGGCCGATCAGTCAAGCAAAGATCATCGGCGATCTCCGCTCCGAACTTCCTTGCAAACCGCCATGTCGCATTTCATTCCTTCCGACGAAGACAAGGACGACCTGTTACTTTCCTGCCGTTACGGAGACACTGAAGACATCCAATCGTTTGTACAGAAATACGGCGCAAGTTCGCTCAATGACTTCCGAGACGATAATGGAAACACCGTGCTCCATATGGTATGCGCAAATGGACATACAGGTATGTTTTTTCTGTTTCATAATGTTATCCTTGACGAACTGACTTCTGAAAGGTGCTATCCAGATGCCTTAGACTATCTTCTATCAGTTGTCTCTTCATCGCTTTTGTCGGTCCAAAATGATGCAGGGTCTACGGCGCTCCATTGGGCCGCACTCAACTCGCATCTTACCATCGTGCAACGCCTTGTACAGCACCCTGGAGGACCAGGCAAGGACCTGATAGACATCAAGAACGCTGCCGGGCGAACACCGCTGGGCGAAGCGGAGATCATCGGATGGGAGGAAGGCGCGAAGTGGTTAGTCGAGGTCATGAACTTGGACTCGGAAGGTTCGAAAGGGGAGGAAGACCAAGTCGTGGGTCCAAGTCAGGACATCGAAGTTGAAATTCAGGATGCCGAGGGTCAGGTGGCCAAGATGACGATAGGGCCTCAGGCTGTTTCGGAACCTGTGGGGAAGTCATAGCCTCAATTCGTCTAGCAGGGTGGGCAAGCTTGCTTCATATCTGCTTCCCTGCATTCTTTGAACCTTGTCCGCAGATGAATATTTACTTCGCCGGCTGAAGCGCTGACGCGGTGTACTCTATCGAGTCAGAATTATTACAGCAGATCTACATTGCATGATATCATGGTATCTGCCATGCCTATCTGTGTTAGGTGTATTTTAATAATGTATCAGAAGCTTCTATTGGGCTCAACTAACTGTTGGAACTGGTTATTGCGTTCCATCTTCTTCTTTTCTCGTGTTTTACGCTGTGATAGATGTGTTGTAGCGAGCGATAATGTACTATATATTGGAAAAGAAGACGAAAGATCGACGGCTGCCTACGTGCGCCCTGAGATTGAGTGCAGTCTCTCCGGCGACACAATGAATTCCTTTCAACTTCTGTTGTTTTTTATTGCACCTGCACTAGATACAGCCATCCAATGACACTCAATAATTTCCCAGTTGTGCATCAAACCTTCCTGCTCCGAGGCAAGCATATATTTCCTGAACAGCAACACAAGCTCCAGATACCCGGACATCCCAACTGATGCTAAATGACACTTCCAGGGACATCTCAAATCAATGTATTGTCGGAACCTAACCACAGAATATATTACAAAGAGATAATCCATCAGACGAACACTCAACCCGCTGGTTAACTCTACCCCAACTGCAACGCAGCACGGAAAGTGCGAAGAAAACCAAACGTCCTCGAGACCGGCAAAAACGGAAGGTTCTACAGGCGATATTCTCGGTAAAACGGGCAAGTGCGATTGTCATCGACTGGATTTGAAAGGTGTGGCATGTGTAAACATGCGAGACTCGAGTTAGAAACTATAAAATACACTGCGCGCGCCCCTTTGGCTGAAAACTGCCACGCGTGCTTGCGGAAATTGCAATTCCGTACTTAACTTGTTGGCAAATTGAGGATCTCATACATGTCGCGAAAAGTATCATTTCTCAGTAGCACCATTATTTATGCTGGAGTTCAGCATTCTGTGACTACGGCTCCTCATCCACACTTTACCTTGTGAATAAATGGATCTATTTTTGTAGTCTACATGTTAGCATCTCCATCAATGTAAATAGCACGAGACAGGGCACCGCTGCGGTCGATAATCGCCCATCGACCTCTGTCCTCTACTCGACCAACAGCACATTGGATGCAGTTGAGGTCCACAACATCCAGTCGACCTTCCTGCGTGTAATAATGGATATCGAGACCACTCACTTCATCCAGTTTTGCATCCTTGACATTCGGATGAGCGCGAGGACTATTGGCTTCCGTGATTCTTCCAAGTCAGGACCCGGAAGAGAATGAGTGAGTTCAAAACACACAACGTGTTCGAGTCGTCCATAGAAAGTCTCTCCCGCCATTTCGATCGGGGCGGTGCGAGATCGTGCATTTCTGTCGACAAGTAGTTGGTACTGTAGATGCAGGATGTATTTAGCTCGATGATTTCGAATCCAAGCGGAGGGAGAAGGCTTACACGGATATAGGTGGTCTCGCGATGATCTTCGGTGGTAGGCTGGTACATGGCTGCCGTATGGACACGGTCACCATCCTCGAAGATTTGTACAGTACCCCATTCATCGACTTTCCATGGTGTCGCTTTACGGATATCAGCAGGTGATGCAGTATCAAAGCGAGTTGACAGCACTGAAACAATCTTGTTTCATGTCGCGGGTGCCAATTCCACTTCTGCACGATGAGGTGCATGAAGCGTGCACGTATCATCTATAAAGGTTCAAATGAGTCCCATTTGACATAGGAGAGAAAGGGAATTTACTGACACCCCAGTACGCGGACTCCGGTTTCCTTCCACTTCGGTAAGAGCTTGAGTTCATCTCGAATTTCGAACTTCATCTTGATATGGGTCAGACGCGCGGCATCAACAACGTAGTGGTTCAGGCTAGAGTACGGAAATCTACAGCTCTTGACTGCAGGTAGTAATGAGCCACAGTAGCGCTCCATGGGAAATGCCCAGTATGCCCAGATGGGCCCGCACGTCAAGATATGGTCGGGGATATGCAGAAGAGCATGTATTGTCAGTGGGCAAGCTGAGAGTCATTGAGCGTCGTGCTGGTAATAGATGCTGAATGTGACACAATGTTAGCACATGAGGATTTACACATATGAACAACTGAGGCTTACTTTTCATATGTTCTCACCCATTGTGCCAGACCACTGCGAAGTGCATCAACTTCACTCCATGTTATTTCAAATTGCAGACAGGCATTGAGAAGTTTGATGAGCTCAATGAAATGCCTGTAGTACTTGCTCTTCTTGAAGTGCCGTTGGAGGAGAACTGGTCCAATATAGAGTGTCCAGAATGATCGGGTGTCTGCTGTCCAGGATGTCTTATCACTTGCGACATTGGGTGGCCGTGGTTCAAAGTAGGAGGGGATAGTTGCGCCAGACTTCTCGCTTGCATCGCCAATTGCTTCCCACACCTTTTTATTGATTTCATATTCTTCGCAGCCTTCATTGAGACCTTTGTAATTGCCCATTCATAGGAGTAAGAGGTTTTTGATGACATTCTCCCAAATAAGGTGCATGAAGTCATAAGGGAAGGAATGAGGAAATGAAAGGGAAGAGAGAACACTGAGAATTGGAACACCTTTGATACCATACTCTCATGCGAGATATTCAGATTGTGCCTCTGTGGTTGCTGCAGAAACCTCACGTGCTTGGCGAAGGAAGTCCTCATGTGTTCGTAAGGGCAGGTTGGTAGGATCATAAGCTTGGATGATGCTGCCATCTGCTCTAGCTACCTCAGGATGACATGATCGGTCTAAAGAAACATAGAGAGTCTGCTGGTGGGAATTTGGCACTTGGATCCCCTTAATTGAACACATCCGACAAGGGGAAAATCCATTGTGGCCTTTCATCTTCATGAGCATTGCTACGGCAGGGATATCTCCAAAGATGAGGACAAGATATGCCCGGAGGGCAAAGTACTCCTTGGACATAGTGTCAAATGCATGGATCCCGATCTCGAGATGAAGAAGCTCCTGTACGAGCGGCCATAAGAATGAGTCAAAGTCATGTAGTTTCTTTGGGCCCGGAATAACATCCAAAGAGAGGATGTTGTCAAGATGAAAATGGGTCTCTGATGGAAGGTTGTAGTTGAAAATGATGAGAGGCCATGCAGTCTTGTTGCGCCATCGGAAAGGTCCAAAACTGTCACTAGTGAGTCCTAATGCAACATCGCGACAATCCTCGAAGAACTTATGATTGAGGATGCGGCCATCAACAGTGACCTTCTGATCGAGAAGACAGCGATAGGAGTGACCGTCCATAATATCGGTGAATTTGCCAGGTTCATGCACATGTGCTGTGGCTCGATATTGCATCTTCTCAGCCATAGTAGCATTTGACAAGAAGGACTGCAGGCATGGAATCAAAGGCAGGTAGATGAATGTATGGCATGGCCTGCCTTTGGCATTAAAGTGAGGTTCATTGCAATATGAGCAGTGCGAGAGTGTTGCAAGAGGACCGACAAAACAACAACATGAATTTATGCAGCAATCGTAAACCTCAGGCTTGAAACCTGATAATACCACAACACAACTTTGACAAGCTTGCCATCCTGGAATATCTGATTCTGGAAATGCACCAGGAAGCTTCGCAAATGTCTTCAATGATAGATGTTCATCTGTCTTGAGTGCAAAGGCACGCAAGTATGCTAGGTCACTTGGTGTCAGATCATCCTCTGTATTTTGTATCAGTGAGTACACATTCACCAGCAAAGAAATGCGAAGCCTAACTCACTTGAAGCTCTGTTAGCTGTTCTGAAACTCTCAGAGATTTTATCCCAGACAGAAATTGCTTTGTAGTACTCATCCTCCAACCTCTCAGCCTCTGATCGCAAGTCAACCTCATCCAACTCGTCAAGAGCCTGAACGTCTACAGCTTGATGCCCACTGACTTCAACAAATTCCTCATCCTCAATCTCCTCAATTGTCACATGAGGATGCCAGCTGGCATGAGCTGCAATATCTGCCATAGCACTGGCAACATCGTCTTCACAGATTGCATTAGATAGCTCTATGACAGCAGGCACATTGTCTATTGCATTCTCAAATATACCATGTTGACTGTTCAAGCCAACATCAATGTCAGCCAGTGCGATGTCATTTCATGGGTGCTGTGCTGTTGCAGAGGTACTAGCTGAAGCAACACTTTCTTGCAACACCGCGTCAAGTGCTAAACATGCTCGCTTGACTCTCGTTCCTCCACTGACAACATCATGCCAGTTGGAGTCTGTCGGTGCAGAAGCCCGCACCATAGTGGGAGCCATCCCAGAGAGATGTTGGGATTGTTGGTGAGTGCTGAGTGACTTCCCGCAGCCACAGTGGCACTTTGATTTGTTCATCATGTTGAAGTGCAGTGACGGCAAGCAGTATGCAGGGTATTGAAAAGAGAGTTAAATCCTGATATATGCAGCTGCGAAATGTGCAAAACAAGTATAGAGAATGAAATGATTGACTTCACTCGTAGCGGCAAAGTTGGGTATGACTCAATGCGGTCTTGCAAATTGCGATCAGGTGAGTCCAACGCATCGAACGAATACGAGAAAACTGCACATTGATTGCTGAATGCAATTGCACCCCTATCTCTTGGTGACGTCGAGCTATATAGGATCGGATCGGACTTGGTGGATTCCATTACCACATCGATATCCTCCCACTCTGGATCCCTTCTTGCCAACAACTGTTACAGTTCCTGTTCTTAAATTATTGAGCTATTCCTCCAAATGGTGTGATATTGACTTACTCACCCATTCAATATCAACAGCTAATAGCTGTACTGCTACAGGTGAAGACCCACACCATGAAGGCTGCTCTTGAGAGCAACCTCACAGCATTACAGATCACTAATGAACAGACAGCACAGGGTGAGCAAACATACATCAATTGATAGTGCAGAGATCACACATACCGGTGTTCATCATCTCAGAGCGCAATGAAGCCGTGAAAGAACTCGATGCGACCAGAGTGCAAATCGATCAACTCATGGCCTCCCTTGTCGCTGCTCAAGCCGCTGCCAACTTAGCAACTGCTGAAGCTGCCACTGCACAGGCTGCTCAAGTCACCGTGCAAGCTGAAGTTGCTCAACCTCAACCTGCTCAACCTGACCCTGCAAAACCTCAAGGCATGAATGGTCGAGCTTCAGCACCTTGGGGTGTTCAAGCACCTGTAGCTGTAGATGCTGCCCCTCGCGTCCAACAGCCTCTGGGTCCAATGGCTCCTCAGGTCCATGGGAGTGCTGGCGATAACGTTCCTGACACCAGCATTCCATGCCCTCCTCTACCCTACAATGTTGAACAAGAGATGGGTTGTGATCGCGCGAGTTTCAAAGTGATTCAAGTGAGTCTTGCTGCTGTGTATTCATGGAGTGAGTTGACTGATGTGTAATGGCGAGACTATCAGGGAGGCGAGGCTTAGAACTTAGAATGGAAAACTGAGCAGAGAAGCGGGGGTGAGATTATTGGTGTTGGAAAGATGAAAGACGTACAGTGAGGTGCGAGAGCTTATAAACAACCAGTGGGGCACTCCATGCCCATAGACTATGAATGATGAAAGACAAGAGAAATGGAAGTAAATGATGAAGTTAAGAAGTTACCTAAAAGAGAAATGCACAAACGTAGATAAGATAATGGCTGTAGGATAACTACTCAGAACCTGAACGAAGACTGGCCATGATTGGTGTATGTAATGTTAACCATTACATCACCTCCCTCTTGAGGGCGAGCATGACCGCTCTGTTCATTGGCAAGACACCTACAGGTCTAAATGCTGTGGAGGACGTGAGACACAACTGGCACGAGTCGTGGTCTGCGATGGGGGAACATAATGCTCATGCAGGTTTAGACGAGGAGGAGCAGGTGGAGAGGCAGGGCATGCGGCAGTGGGAGGGATGACAGGCACGGACGACGCGAGGAGAGGCTCAGAGGAGGCAATGGATGGGGCGACGAACAGGGCATGGCTCAGCTCTGGAGGAGGAATCTGTGGGAGAGAAGGCTCTGTAGAGATATGTTCAAGTGTATTAGTAGCATCATGGAATGTAGGAATGGCATGGCTGAGAAGGAGTTGATGAGGATGAGAAAATTGGGGGTGTCAATGGTGGAAGCATTCAATGAGCTCATCGTAGGAAGAGGAAATGTCAGTGAGCGAGACCCAAGAGTCTTCTTCAGTCGGTAAGTTGTGCCAACATATGAGATATTCATAACGGTGGCTGACTTTATGCGATGCAAGGACTTGATAGATCGATGTCGGGGAGTCTGTGGTAGGCTGAATAATAAGAGGGTCAGGGTCGGCATGAAGGTGGAACTCAGATGGGTCTGAATAAGGTTCGAGGAGGAAAATGTGAAAGATGGGGTGCAGATGCGACATAGAGGAGGGAAGTCGAAGCTGATAGGTGGATGAAGTGATGGCTCATTTGACTGGAAAGGGGCCAAGATGACAATGGTTGAGCTTGTCCGAGGGCTGAGTGGTCTTGACATTTTGACGCAAGAGCCAAACAAGTTGATCCAGCTGGTATTGGAGAGAGTCAGTGACTCATCGATTGTAATAATGAGCCTGACAGTTTTGGGCATCCTTGAGTTCAGCGCGGAGTTCTTTGTGGATGTGGCTGAGATGTTGAACAAGGTCAGAGGCAGCGGGAACAGTGGAACATTCAGAGACTTGGGGCTGGAAAGTTGGGTGGTAGGCATAGTTGGCGAAGAATGGAGTTTGCTTAGTAGAGGAGTTCACGTTGTTGTTAAATGCGAACTCGGCTAGAGGCAGATAGTCTATCCAGTCATCCTGTTGATATGAACAGTATGCTCGAAGATACATTTCGAGCGTCTGGTTTGTACGCTCAGTAAGACTGTCAGACTGGGGGTGGTAAGCAGTGGAAGTCTGGGTATCTATCTTAAGCAAGGCGGTGAGTTCTTTCCAGAAATGCGAGATGAAAACAGACCCCCGATCTGAGACTATTGAGTCTGGCAGGCCGTAATAGTGGAAAATATGGTCAATGAACAGCCACGCCAGACCAGGCACATTGATCATCTCATTACAAGGAATGAAGTGAGCTGTGCAGGTGAGCTGACAGCATACAACTCAAATCGAGTCATAGCCATGCGAGTGAGGTAGCTTGACAATCCAATCCATGGACAAGGACCTCCAGGGACGGAATGGGATATCAAGAGGCTGCAAGAGGCTGTAAGGCTTGTGTCTCAGAGCTTTGATACATACACAAACATTGCATGCCCAAACGTAGCGGCAGATGTAAGTGTCCATACCTGGCCAGGAGAAATCTCAGGAGACAAGGGTGTGAGTTCTCATTCTTCCCGGATGATCAGAAAGAAGCGAGTCATGATGAGAATAGAGAATGTCAGAATGAAGGGAAGAAGGGACAAAGATGCGACCTTTATGAAAGATGACATTATCTTCCATAATGAAATCTGGGCTTCCACGCCTTTGAGCATCGCACCATTCAGTATCGGAATTATAAGCTCATTTAAACTTGTCAATGAGCTCAGAATTATCCAATCCAACAGAAGTAATGGCAGAAAGCGTGAGTCGAGCAGGATTTGAAGTAGCGGATGAAGTGTCTTGTGCCAAATTAGTGGGTGGCGAACCAAAGAGGCATTCTGTATGCTGAGAAGTCAGTAACACCTTTTCTTGGAGCCGAAGGATGTCATCTCCCTCTCAAGGCACATAGTCAGGGTGACAAGAAGGGGAATCAGCAGGATTTTTAATGCCAGGAGCATAATCCAAGTGAAAATTGAACTCGCTGAGGAACATGGACCAACGTGCCTGTCGAGGATTAAGAATGCACGAAGACATGAAATACTCAAGGTTTTTATGATCAGAAACCATGGCCATAGGAGTGGCAGTCCCGATAAGCCAGGCTCGCATGTGATGGAATGAGTCAACAATTGCGAGAAGCTCCTTGTTGTAGACTTCATAATTGATTTCAGCCAGTGAAAGCTTACGAGAGTAGTAAGCAACTGGATGAAGAAATCCGTGACCATCAGACTGATGAAGGATAGCTGCAATAGCAAAATCTGATGCATCAGTAGACAACATTAAGGGAAGAAGTGGGTTGAAATGATGAAGAAGGGGAGAAGAAGTGAAGACACATTTGAGCTTTTGAAAAGCTGCAAGCGCGTCGGGTGTAAGAACAAACCCTTTGCTCATAGCATCTTTCCTGATCAGAACATTGAGAGGAAGGACAATCTGAGCATAGTCATCAATGAAATGACAATAAAAGTTAGTAAAGCTAAGGAAAGACTGAATGTCTTTTATGGATTGGGGAGCCAGCCATGAAGCAATAGCATTGAGCTTACCGGGACTCATCTTGATGCCATCAGCATTGAGCAGGTACCCCAAATATTCAACTTCGGACTGGTCAAAGGAGCACTTCTTCACATTGGCATAGAGTCCAGCTTTTTGAAGACACTCGAGCACCATAGCAATATGACAGTCATGTTCTTCTTGAGTGCAGAAAAAGATGAGTATGTCATCCAAGTAGATGACACAGATGATGTCGAGTAAGTCACATAGTGTGTCCTGAATAAAACCTTGAAAAATGGCAGGAGCATTAGTCAGGCCAAATGGCATAACCGTGTATTCAAAAAGACTGAGGGGTGTCTGAAAAGCAGTTTTCCACTCGTCCCCTTCTCAGATGCGAATCAGGTTAAACGCATTCTTGAGATCAAGAAGTGTGAAAACCTTACATCCTTGGACTCGGTCCAAGAGGTCATCGATGAGCGGAAGCAGATAACGATTCTTTTTAGTAATGGAATTCAAACCTCAGTAGTTGATGCAAAGACGTAATTCCCCAGTCTTCTTTTTTACGAAGAGTATGAGAGAACCGGCCTGAGATGTTGAATGATGAATGAACCCTTTCTTGAGGTTGGATTCAATATAGGCAAAAAGTGCTTCACGCTCGGGCTGTGAGAGGTGGTACATTGGACCAAAGGGAGGAGTCTTCCCCTCTTCAATGTCAATGACCGCATCAAAGCCTTCACAATGAGGCAGCAGATTGTCAACTTCAGTAGGTGAGAATACAGATGAGAAAGAATGGTACTTCTCTGGGACAGAATGAAGCACATCATTCTCATCAGACGGAGGAGGTTCTGGAGGTGGAGGGTTGGAAACTGGATTAGGAGACAAAGAATTAGAGTCAGTATGCATGGAGGCCAGAGTATAGCCTCTGGTCCCTTTCAGATAGTAATAAAGAATAGTACATTCACCATTCTTAGTGAGTTTGCGATAACGTGTAGAATTGACAAAAGCAACATCAATACTAGGCAGATCTGGAGATGGTTCTTGCAAAAGAGAAGACGCGAGGTGAGAAAAGAGAGATCTGAACATGGAAACAAGACTACCAGTTTGACCGGAGCCAATACCAGACAAAAGAGCTGGGAACAAGGGTGACTTGAAACAAAGAGACAGATAAGGTGAGCTGGCATTCTCTGAAGGAATACCGGTTCAGCTGGGACATGACCGATGAGCAGGAACAAGAACCTTGCCGTTAAGACTGAAGCCTAGTCCGACAGAGGTAGCAGACAAGGAGTGGAGATACGAAGGGACATGAGCTTGGGCAAGACCGAAGCCTTTACCAAGAGCAGGGATAAAAGATGAAGAGTTGGATCCACAGCATGAAAGAGACAATCGAGGGTGGTCCCAGTCAATAGTGGGATTATGGCGTCGAAGCCAATCAAGATCAAGGATAATAGGAAAGGAGACTTGAACGATACCAAGTGATATAACTTCAGAGTGATTCTGAAGTGAAAGGGAAGTAAGTACATCATGCGAGACCAAGCCGAAAGCAATTGGTCTATCATCCATGGTAGTGACAGGCACTGGCTCATCCTTAAGATGATGAGGCAGTGAATGTCGATTAGCAAAGTCAGAAGAAATACAAGAAGCGGTGGTGCCAGAATCAATAAGTGTATATGTGCACAAAGGTTTTCGATGAGGAAAAGAAAGAATAACAGAGACAAAGAAATGTCCAGAACTCCAGAGGCTATTATGAATATGAGCAGAATGAATATAAACCAAAGCATTCACAGGCAACTTCAGACTCCATGTATCATTGTCCATTCATACAAAAGAGCCATTAGCCCCCGAAGCGGATGCCTGAGTCCCTAAGTCATCCGGGGGCTCTGGAATGAAGGAACCCCCGGCTAGGCTTTTCCCACAGAGGGAGAAGCCTGGCCTTTGCCCTTCTTGGGCTTGGTGGTTTTATTTGGACACTCAGAAGCTTGATGCTTACCTTTGCCGCAATAGAAGCAAAGACCCTCCTTTTGATGACAGTCTTTCTCCTCAGTGGTAAGAGGACCATGCCGAATGGAGTTGACCTCCATAGGAACAATGCCAGAGTTGGATGCCATAGAAGACATCGAAGACTGAGGGGCTTGATTAACATTGAACGCGGGAGGATGCTCACGCTTGCGACGGATAGCAGGACCCAAGTTATAGTGAGACTCGAAATGATGTTCCTGGGTGTGCTGGAAAATACAGTTATCTATAGCGATAGAAAGATGACGGGCTTGTCACGACAGAAGACCCAAGCATTCTTGACATCTTCCTTGAGACCTCGATGGAAATAATGAATTTTAAGTGGTTCATTAATGTCGAGGTATTCGAGAGCTTCCTGGAAATGAGCAGAGTATTCAGCGGCAGAGTGGGTCTGAGTCATTGTCTCGACCTTGTCCATCATGCATTCAACAAGGTCAGGACTCTCGAAGCGGTTTTTAAAAGCCTTAAGATAAGCTTTGAAGTCTCCCAGAACAGGGTCCTGGGACAGCTCGAGAGAGTGGTGCCAGAGCATGGGCTCACCATCCTTATAATAGCTGGTCATAAAAGTGATCTTTTTGGCATCTGTAGGGATGGACGCCTCGCCAAGGGTGATGTTCGTGTGAACCTCCCGAAGAAAACTGATGACAGAGCTAGCCTTGCCATCGAAGACCCTCAGTTTGGCCGGTCGTATAGCAGGCGGCCATTCTTGAGAGACTGGATGAGGAGCCGGCTGAGTAGGAGCCAGCTGAGCAGGAGCCGGCTGGGGCTGGAAATGAGCGAAATGATTCGCTATGCCTAAGACGGCATTGCCAAGGTGTTCAGTGCATTGACCAAGGCCAACGATGGCCTCGAACAATGCGCATTCACAAGCGGCTTGGTTAGGAAGTGGCTGAGGCATTGATGAAGATGTCCCGACAGGCGGCTGAGGAACAGGGCCAGCCTGTGGACACAGAGCGAATTGAGGAGGGATGCCCCCGTAGAACTGACCATTCTTGCCTTGAGCATAAGGAGGGACAGGAGTCAGGTCAGGGGCTGGGGTGTTCATTTCAGAGAGAAGGGAATCAGTGGACATATCAGAAATAGAAGACATACCAAGAACTTTGATGATCTGTCAGGTGTGAGAAGAAAAGCGTCGAAGTGACTGTATATCTGGTCTCCTGGCTAATGGCTATTCAACAATATGGACAACAGAGATGCGGTGATAGTGAGCAGGTTTGACACTGACGATGCGAGTTTTTTGTGTATATCGGTCTTTCCAAACTGTAACAGCGAGACTACCAGGGAGGTGAGGCTTAGAACTTAGAATGGAAAACTGTGCAGAGAAGTGGGGGTGAGATTACTGGTGTTGGAAAGATGAAAGACGTACAGTGAGGTGCGAGAGCTTATAAATGACCAGTGGGGCATTTCATGCCCATAGACTATGAATGATAAAAGACAAGAGAAATGGAAGTAAATAATGAAGTTAAGAAGTTACCTAAAAGAGAAATGCATGAATGTAGATAAGATAATGGCTGTAGAATAACTACTCAGAACCTGAACGAAGACTGGCCATGGTTGGTGTATGTAATGTTAACCATTACATGATGCCAGTGATCTTCATATGGCAGCGAACGGTACGGGACCTGACGAAGATGGTTGGTCTTGAGTGGAAGAAAGGGTGGCCTCGTCAAGATGCTGAGAAGCTGCATCTATTGTTCACCGCAGTAAGTACTACACCATTCATGACCAGAGTCACATAATCACTCACCATTATATTTCATCACAAGGCTCGCAAGGCCCACCCATTCCTCCGACGGTTTGAAAACAATTGGCCAGTAGCAGACTTAGCCAAGCAGTATAACTGCAATTGTCGCAGGGAGGAGGTCAAACAAGGAAACATTCCTAGGCGGACTTGCAGGCAACAGGGCAGTGGGCAAGCTGCTCGCATTCATCCGATTCGTATTTGAACATCAATGCATTTGCCTGATTTGGACTTCCCACGGTAAACATTATAATTAGTCTTGTATACCGGCAATAATGTATAGCTAGTAGTGCTTGTTTATAAGCACCAGTATCAATAGACTAATGTCCCATATCTCCACTCAGTGGTTACTTCCAGTAGAAATACAGAATGTTACGAGTATAATGAACACAAATTGCACAATGAAGTGCTGTGTTATGCTACCTAAAGTATCACTATCTTTGAAGAGGACTAGCAGAAAGCCACCTTAGCACTGAGAACTCAGAGTGTTGAACTTGAGAAAAATTGGGTGAACTTCGCGAGATCGACGGATGACCGCCCAACCCCGGAACTGCTGGTAAGCCAGAAAATACCGTTGAACATTCCCATATTCACTCGATGTCTCCATCCGTTTACCACCAGTTTCGAGCTGGCGGTTTTCCCGATTTCTCAGATGCACAGTGATAGATCCTAGCTGAGTATGTTCTGAGGAAACGAGAACGTCGGGAGGCGCCTTATATAGGGCGCAAATGAAGCAGTTTAGGGCAGGCTCGCTTAGAGCACTGAGGCCGCATCTCTTTGAAGTTGAACTTTCTGCATCGTCTTTGAGCTCGTTGCTCAAAGCATTACTGCGACAGTGCGATCACTGGAATCTATCTTGCGTTGCAACTACGAATTGTGACCGAAGGATTGACATACTTAAACGGATGTTGCTGCATAATGACGTCGAAATATCTTAGCAGATTCAAGTAACGCCGAGGCATCGGGAGAAGTATGCCAGTATTATAAAGGTATGTATTGGACGTTGTGAGTTTTTTGTCTGCTGATAAGGTCTTACCTGAACGTTATAAGGCCTGGTCATCAATATCTAGCCATAGCATGATTTTCCTGATGCGATTAGCATGCATCGGGTCGCTTACCAGTCATCTTTCAGTCGAGTCTGGGTCAGTTGCAAGGCAAGTTAATGTGTTGTTCATGCCTTGATGTTTTCATTTCAACAAATTTTTTTCTCGTTTCTTTCAGGTCTCGCGACATATACTCTGATCTCGGTGGCTATAAGGGACTATTGGATCGACTGTCATTCTCTTTGTAGATGGCAGCAGAGACTGCTGGAATCGACATGAACCATTGGGCGTAATCTATCCACTGGCCAAGGAAGGACAACTTCCAGGTTGCTTGCCTGTAGGTATGTCTGCTTCTGACCTCAATCGCCGTTTCGTCCGATGTTGCCTTCAAGTGATTAGGCTTCCTTCCCGTCCATTGTAGGCTCCATTTGTGCATCATGCAAACAGGTACGTGACTATTTCTCATCCTCCATCTAGATATCTTGACGGCTTTCTCGACCGCGCGTTCTCACAGGCATCGATGCATTCCGAATGCGTGTTGGAGGCGTCTGGAGGCCACGAGGTTTATCGATATGCATGAGGTCCAACTGCCTTTAAATCCTTCTGCCTTCGACTCACACGTCCATTTCGAACCTTTGCCCATTGAACCTTGAGCTTATTCGACATCCATAAAGCACCGCGGTCATCTACAGTCATGGATGAGTCTTTCGAAGTAGGTATTCATTTCTTTCGCAACATTCTGCTTCTAACAGTTCATTTTATCAGACCTTGATCAATCAGGCCGCAGAGCCTGTACCTAATGCAAACCTGCAGCTAGTTCTGATGAAGATTTGCGTACAAATCTATGCGGGCGAGCTTACGCAGTCTGACTTGGACATATTTTTCTCCGTGTTTGACTCGCAATGGAGTTTGGCGAAACTCTCTGCCGCAGAGAAATCTGGAGTTACTGTGGATCAGCTGGCGTTCATTGATTTTCTCGCCTGTCTGGGTGCAGTAGTGGTCCGATTAACAGTGGCTCCTTCCCTGGGGGTGACAAATAGCATACTCGATCGCTGGTCACGAATAACGAGATGGCTGATCGTGTTGGAATCCTCTTGCGTTACCAATACGTCCTCGTCTGTCTTCGGACTAAAGACGCGTCTCATTTGCAAGGACATGATCATAGCGGTCCTCTTCGCCTGTGCCCGTAACGATCCCCCGCCCGCGATCTTATCCGCGCTGATCGACAGCGAACAACTCTTGTCGTTGGTATGGCGGTTGTGGACCCAGGAAATAGAAGATCGTCGATTTTTTGAAGAATCCACTGTTGCTGCGTATCCTAGGGTGACCTGTGTGCTTGACGCGTTTTGCGAGACGAAGATGAATGAAGACGATATGATAGCTGCAGTGGGTGGAAATTGCGACGATATCGCTCGCATCATTCTCTCGCATGCCAAATTAGCTCTCAGCCAGAAGAAGGTCAATTTCTACCATCTCAACTGTACCCTGCGCGTCGCGACTTCGTTTTCTTTCAAGTTCATTTCGCGTTTCGCGTTACTTTCGCACGGGGCCTTGACAACTGTCGTCAATGCTATGGCGGAGGCGGTAGCATCTCGCAGTATGCTCACGGCCACGACGATTCGCTTCTGCTACCATTACATTCACCTTTTCACTCTCACTTCGGACCCTGTTCCATTCGTGGCTGAAATCGTTGACGCGCATATCCTATCCCACCTCATCAATGGTGATCGCTGGCTGGCCAGCTCACCTTCGTTGTGGGATGACGAGCTTGAGGCCACACCGGAAGAGATTTTATCCGACATCATCACTCCGTTCTTGATATATCCCTCTGTTCTGCAGGCAGTTGAGAAGTATACTAAGAAGGCCGGAAAGCGTGCGAAGCCCTCATCCGAGAATACCAAAGAATTTCGCGTCGCTTGGGATCACTTCACTGATTGGATCGAGACTCTTCTGCAAGCAAAGAAGGCCATTAACGAGCACAATCCTGCACGTGCGTATGAAACATGCCACATGGTTCGTAATCTTGTCTCGTTGGCTCCATTACGTCAATTCGATTAACTGTATCACCAGTGCGGTAAACCCGACGTACAAGGTGAATTCAAGCGTTGCAAGGGATGTATGGTGCTCATCTACTGCAGTCCCCAATGTCAAAAACGTGACTGGAAGAAGCATGGCCAGGGATGCAAGGACGTTCAACAGTTACGGGAGGGTAAGTCAAATCCAGTCGTACGTATAACTGGTGGATTGATGAGATGCGTGCGCTCTAGAAAAGAGAGTCACAGAGACTCCCAAACGCGATTGGCGATTCATTAAACGATTCATAATCTACCACCTATCTTTACTAGATGGCGACGAAGACGTATCCCGCAAATTTGATACATGCAAGAATGAGTATGTCGAGATCACTTTGGACTTCACAGAAGAACCTGGCGTATGCTACCACTTTTCTGACGGAGACGAACCGTCTTGCAAATGCGGTGAACTTCGGAGAGAAGCGGCCAAAGCTCGATGTGATCAAACCATTAGGATTTGTGCCATTTTACCGCGGGGAGAACATCCAGAAGTTCTCATGCTGGCCATCGAGTTGGAAGCTCTTCGCAAGGCTTCGGAAACGTACGGGATGTCTAGCGATGAAGATTTTGGGAAGGTCGTGGAAACGATTGAACACGATGGTTGCTGTGTCTAAAGTATGTGCGTATGAGCCTTTCTTCCATGCTATAAAGCTCATTTGGGCCCTTGTTCGACGAAGGTCAGACAGATAGTGAAGAATATCACGCATGGTGCTGAACCGCTTGTGAAGGCTATTATGTATTATGTTTGTGTACTCAAGGTTCCGTGTGCTATAGTGCGTTGATCGCTACTGCCTATTCCCATTCTATACAAGCATGTTGTGAACACCTATGCTGAATGGGCGAGGCTGACTTCGGTAGAGTCAGTTTCAAGCTTTTTTAGGTCGCCGCTGATCTCTTTAGATGCGCTTCGCATTGGTTTTCTGGATGGAGTGCATCTCTTCATCGACACGATGAAATGTCACACGACAGGCCTTGGATGCTGTAGGAGAATTTCTTTTATCTTTTTTTTTCATGAATGTCGTAAGCCATCGGGGTGGTAGAAAGTGCTCTATCGCAGCCAAGATATATAGGTCCAATATAGGACCATCAGTTACTGCCTCGTTCCATCAGCCCATGCTCAAGGATATGGCCTCTTCGACAAACATGACGGGAAAGGGACGTATAGCTCATAGTCGCCCAAGCTCACTCCTTTGCCCTCATCCTTAGGAATTGCTCGACCACATTGCACAAACAATTTGCGACCCTCCCGTTCCAACATCGTTTCGAGCCTTAGAAGACTACTTTCCGGAGGCACCACCCAAAGATGATGATTTTCAACCAACAGTGGGACCTCGATAAGCTGGCTCACACAGAAACGCATGGGGTGACTCGTAATCAACTCGACTTCAGGGGCTCTTTTGACTGTTTGCACGCCATCGTTTCTCTTCGGCTTCACCATTCTCTGCCGAATATACTCAACTTAGTGCTTGGTCGTTTCCCTCTTATTCGCACTCTGTATGATGTCATGTGGTCCTGTGTTCCAACCCAGGCTTTGCGAAGCCGCAGAGAGGACCATCTGCATTGCCGCGGATCTTCGCCCTCATGGTATTCACCAGTTAGTGGCGTTTAGCGAGAGTGGTGGCTTCGCCTCGCATTGTGGGCACAGCGAAATAAACCTCGATGTGAATGATCAGCATGGAAGCACCGAAGCCCAACATCCCAAGATGTGAATCCGAGCAGTGATACCTCATGGTCAGACCTCACAACGGTTGACGTTACACGTTCCCTATCATCTTTTCGTGGCCGTATTATACAGTCTCTTGGAGCTGAAAGTTTGAGTCTCTGGATCGTTGGGAAAGGTTTGTGACGATTTACGATACCAATGAATGACGAAGGATTGCGGTGTAGTTTCAGTCTTCGGCGGCCACTTTACATACCGATATGTACCTCATTGCATGTCGTCATGCTGCGTTTGTAAACGATGAACTAATGTCTGCCGAGAATATATGGTATACATGAACCCAGAGCTATGAACCGTGACTATAAATTATGTCGACTGCACATGATCGCCCTCGCCCTTACGAGTGAGCAATCATAACTGCTTCGTGCTTGAAAGCAGCTGCAGCCTCTGAATCAGAGTCCCTATCGGCTCTCCACTCTCTAGCCTCAAGCAAACTAGCCAAGTCACTGAACCCTATGGCGCACCCCTGATGTCCCTGAGGGTATGCGTAAAACGCCTCGCGATGAGTGAAGATGGTTTCTAGGTAATCGCCTCCGGTGGTGGAGAAGCGACCGGTTTGAAGTTGTCGTTGGGTATATTGCAGAAGGCTGCAAGCGCTGGGTGCTTGAAAAGGTGGATAAGGGGAGGGCGGATAGGTCTGGGATGAAGCCTCGACGTCTGCGTTTGCTTTTGAGGATACCGATGGGCTTGGCTGTGAGGTATAAGCTTTAGGACCTTTGAACAATGGTCCCGATGAGGCATTTACGTACACTGTAAGTCGAGTCCTCCGAGTCGGAGCCGTCGGACATGACGGCGTCGTGCGCCTTGTATGTTTGGAGTGATTTTTCGTTTCCCTTTCTCCAAGAAAAAGCGTCAATGTTACTGATTTCCAATATTGATTAACATACAAAGGGACTCACAAAGTTGCCGCCAGAAAGGGCCCGTCCATCTAGGGACATAGCTCCAAGGAGGTATGCGATCTGGTCATCCATGTCCATATTGTTGTTCGACTACCCCTCGGGTTAACGACCTGTCATCAGTAGAGATTTTAAAGACTCACAGTCATAGCTTGGAAGCTGGAGGTGCTGGCCGATACGTTCACTACCAGGCAATCAAAAGGCTACCGTTGCAGGATGGGAGCTAGGGATAAGAAGCAAGCAGACTAGTCACCGTCGTAGAGACCTTTGTTCCATATTATATCCCACTGCGGCGACTCCAAAGCACGCCGTTTACCGTCGGCAACCTCATTGCACCTAAACCTCGAGGACGCAAGCCATTATTGTGAGACGGTGAGACAATTGCGGTAATCACGAGGTCATTATCGGATGAGAAACCGGCGAGTTGTGAAGATCTGATACACGAGGCATACTACTGCAGTACAAAGGCCGAATAGACTACTTTCAGATATCTGCAAAGAACGCTGCCTGGCAAAGGAGGGGTCGCGCGAAGAGCTTTCATTTCCAGTTATTTGATCTGTCGACGATCTGGCTTCCCACTCCTGCGTGACGTCCATTGAAGCCTTCTTCAATGATTTGCGGCAAGAAAGAAGTCGATCAGCCGACTTCTCGGAGATCGCACTGTCTAGGCTGAACATATAAGTCAGTAAGGGTTCACGAGAGCACAAACTGTAAGAGCAAAGGAAACCTCAGAGAGAAGATATCGAGCGCATTGCTGCACTCAAAGTCATTCGAGAGCGTCGTGAGCGAGTCACAACCTCTTGTCAGAATAAGTAAGTGATACACATGAATCATCACAGGAGCGAAAGCCAGAAACGAAAGCAACCATTAAGCAAGCAGCAGCTCACCTGATATCGCTCTGCAAACCATGCAGTCTATTATTATTAACGTGAGTGATAGGTCCTCATAGTCGGCTCGTCAAGTTTTTGACGGTCTGCTCTCCCGGCAGATTAGCAGAGTCAGATACATTCAGAAATGGATGGATATGCGTAGAAATGATGAATACACTGATGTTCAACGATGGAAGTCCTTTGTAAAGAAGCGTTGACGCGTTGGCGGCAAATGGCCGCGTGCGTCTAGGCTTCTAGCTCACTCTCGAAGACAGTCAGTGGTTCGTCTTTTTCGTGGTGGCAATTCAAACAGTAGTCTTTCCTTTCCACCTTCATCCACATCTTCGAAGGCTTGACTACGTATACCTCTTCGTTTGTGGTTTGAACCTTCGGGCTCGAGGTATGCTCGATGTGAACGCGCAAAGTCACTGGCGCAGAGCAGGATGTGTATATTGAGTCTAACGTTTCCCTTGTGATGTTCCTTGTAGGATTCAAACCTCCTATTCATCTGGGAGGGATTGTCTTCTTGACCAAAATTGGCTCTATCACACAAACGTACAGCGGTATTACGGAGCAAGGCCATTCAGGCGATATGTATTCCACATGCTCTGAGGGGATGTATTTTATCTTCATCTCGAGCACTGACATTATCCCATGCAGTGCATTCTGTTCAAGGCTCCTCGAAGATACACGGGGCCCTTTTACGTAGGACTTTCGTGTGCCCTCTTCCCTTACGCCCACGGAAAGATCAACGATGTGACAAACCTGTTCATTGCGTTCGAGTTCTCTGTCTGCATGTGTCTCCGATTTATGGCGTCGGCCCTGTTAGCCTGGCACTCATAAGGATACAAACGCTTACTGTTATTCATGTCCTGAAACTTTCTACTGAAACGTTCTACTGTACCTTCGAGCCACGGACCAGACATGTTACATAAAAGTTGATACTTTCGCCAGGTGCAGTTCCTGATCATGTTGCTCCCCAACCTGGCCTTAGACGTTGTATACTTATGAGCATCGTTACCTAGTCTGCTCACGAAAACTTCTGCTGTGCCGCGACCTCTCGACATCCGGTTCAGCCTTCTCAGTTAACCGTGCTTGACCATGAGCGCCTATGTGATTGGAACATTCCGGAGCCTATGAGCGCCTGAAAATCTGCTTACGTCAGCCATGGAGAAGGAGAAAAAGTGGAAGCAAAGGGCTACGTTTCTCTCATCCTCTCTTCCGTACGTTCACGTACTTCGCCCTACCCTTTTCATCCCATTTCTATAGTGATGTTCGCTGTTGCTCGTTCCTTGCGGACCGCTGCCAGTCGCAGCGGCCACTATGCTGGTCTGCCCCGGTCCATGATTGCGAGGAATATGAACTCAAAAGTCACCGGTTAGCGCACGCCAGACTCGTCATAAAGATTCGAAGGTATTGACAATGGTTGTAGGCCCCGTCGTGGGTATTGATTTGGGTACCACCAACTCATGTGTCGCCGTTATGGAGGGTCAGAGTGCGAGGGTGATTGAGAACGCGGAGGGTCAGCGAACAACCCCATCCGTAGTCGCTTTCACCAAGCATGGCGAACGTTTGGTTGGATTGCCCGCCAAGCGACAGGCTGTTGTTAACTCCGCAAACACTGTCTTCGCCTTCAAGCGTCTTATTGGTCGTCAGTTCAGGGATTCCGAGGTGCAGGAAGACACGACACACTGGTGAGTAGCTTCAACCAATCATTTCCATTTAACTTGTTCTCACCAATGACGTAGGCCTTTCAAGGTTGTTGCTAAGCCTGACGGACGACCAGCGGTCGAGGTCGATAATGCTGGCAAAAGACAAGTCTTCGTGAGTAGACCATCCATGTACTCTCTGATCCTGTTAATCTTTCCCGTAGTCCCCGGAGGAGCTTTCTTCAATGGTTCTCGTCAAAATGAGGTCAACTGCCGAACAATTCCTGAATAAGAAGGTCAAGTGAGTAACTCCTCAATTGGCATGTCTGCACAAATCTGAATCATAGCGGTTAGCCACGCCGTCGTCACCGTCCCTGCCTACTTCAACGACGCTCAACGTCAAGCCACTAAGGATGCTGGTCAAATCGCTGGTCTCGACGTTCTCCGTGTCATTAACGAACCTACTGCCGCTGCTCTTGCATACGGTCTTGACCGTGCCGACTCGTCAGTAATTGCCGTCTACGATCTCGGAGGTGGTACCTTTGATATCTCCATTTTGGAGATGCAGAAGGGTGTCTTTGAGGTCAAGTCAACCAACGGTGACACCCACCTTGGTGGTGAAGATTTCGATATCGTCCTTGTGAACCACCTCCTGAACGAGTTCAAGAAAGAGCACGGCCTTGACCTAACCAAGGATGCCATGGCCATCCAACGTATTCGTGAGGCCGCTGAGAAGGCGAAGATTGAGCTCTCATCGGCCACTCAGACCGAGATCAACTTGCCTTTCATCACCGCGGACGCCAGCGGACCCAAGCATATCAACAACAAGATTTCTCGTTCACAACTCGAGTCGTTGACTTCCCCTCTTATCCAGCGCACCATTGAACCTTGCAAGAAAGCTTTGTCTGATGCTGGCATCAAGGCTAGCGAGGTCAACGAGGTCATCCTTGTCGGTGGTATGACTCGTATGCCCCGCGTCGTCGATACCGTTAAGTCTGTCTTCGGTCGTGAGCCTTCGAAGGGTGTGAACCCTGATGAGGCCGTCGCTATTGGCGCTGCCATTCAGGGTGGTGTCTTGGCTGGTCATGTCACTGATATTCTCTTGCTTGATGTTACTCCCTTATCCATGGGTATGTACATATTGCTCTCATAAGTTGTATCTTGCGCCTGACGTCGTTTATAGGTATTGAGACTCTGGGCGGCATCATGACCAAGCTCATCCCCCGTAACACCACCATCCCGACGAAGAAGACCCAAACGTTCTCCACTGCCGCTGACGGTCAGACTGCCATCGAGGTCAAGATCTACCAGGGTGAGCGTGAGCTCGTCCGTGACAACAAGCTCCTCGGCAACTTCAACCTCGTCGGCATTCCTCCCGCACCCAAGGGTGTCCCTCAGATCGAGATCACCTTCGACATCGATGCCGGTACGTAGTATAACAAGCCTGGTCTAGTATACGTTCACTGACGATTTTACTTAGACGGTATCGTTCACGTCACTGCCAAGGATAAGGCTACGAACAAGGATCAGTCGATGACCATTGCTTCGTCGTCTGGTTTGAGCGACAAGGACATCGAGCGCATGGTTTCCGAGTCGGAGCAATATGCCGAGACCGACAAGGCTCGCCGCATGGTCATCGAGGAGGCCAACAAGGCTGACTCTGTTTGCGCCGATACCGAGAAGGCTATGACCGAGTTCAAGGACCAACTCGACGCCACTGAGAAGGAGAAGGTCACTAAGCTCGTCGCTGAGCTCCGTGAGATCGCTGTCAAGGGCCAGGCTGGCGACGCTTCCATCACTGCTGACACCATCCGCGAGAAGGTCGCCGAGACTCAGCAAGCCTCCCTCGGTCTCTTCCAGAAGGTCTACGAGAAGCGCAACGCTGAGAACGCTGCCAGCGAGGCTGCCGAGGAAAAGAAGGAGGAGAAGAAGGATTAAGTTCCCAACCTTCCCTCTCGATTTTCCTCTCGTCCGCCGTCTCCCTCACAACCGCCCGCTTCGAAACCTTCCTATCCATCCCTGATCTACAGCCTCGTCTCCGTGATCTCCTGCTTCAGATGTGTCCCCTCGTACTCCGTTTTATCGCGATCATCATGGACGTGCTTTTGGCGATAACGCCATCCTCGCCACATAGACCAGCTCATCCGCAAAAGTAATTGTCACGAACATATTCTATACGGTACTTTACGATCATTGCTGTTTACATCTTTATACTCATACATATACATGCATCCCCATCGCACACCCCACCCCTCAGCATTCCCTTGTCTTATTACTTACGATCCACCTCTTCGTTTCGCTGCTTCTGATGTCGTTCTTGCTTTCTATGTCTCACCTACGATGTGTTTTCAGTAGTGTAATGGAATGACAAAAGCTTTGGAAGCATGCGGTTTTTTGTGCCTGAACGATGCGACTCAGTAATGCATGTTATAATACTGGCTAGAGCAAAGGAAGTCGCGAAGACGAATAACTTTGATTGAACTGCCACAGTCGATGAGTCGAGGGCCGAGACGCTTGTGGGGAAGTCGCCTGTGATTCTTGGGGTGTGTCTACCCCGGATTCTACGGCGTCGGCATATTCACCCGTTCAACAGACCTTTATAGCTAGCCCCAAGGCTTGCGATGCAAAGGTAGTCAACATTCTTCTACCTACATATTGTAACATATCCTAAACCATGTCGACACCCAAGATTGGAGGCGAATACGGCGAGATTCGTGCCAATATCGACGTTGACAAGTTGAACGCATATATAGACAGGCATGTCGACGCTGTCGCTGCACCGGTAGCCGTGAAGCAGTTCAAGGTGCGTAGCGATTAAGGATGCGTAGTTCAAAGTTGTCTAACTGTGTATCTATAGTTTGGACAGGTACGATCAAAATGTCCTTGGTTATGCGAGCTGGCTGACTGACTGAACGTCACTGGCATAGTCGAACCCCACATACTTCCTTACAGACGCAAAGTAAGTTCTATTGAGTATGCTGTTCACCACTTCTCATAACGCATAATTTACATTCTAGGTCGAAGAAATGGGTTCTTCGGAAGAAACCAGGAGGCCAACTACTTTCTTCCACCGCTCATCAGATCGAGCGCGAGTATACAATGCTCCACGCTCTTCACAAGCACAATATCAACCCATCTACTAAACCAGAACAGCGAGTACCTGTTCCGGAACCTGTAACTCTATGTGAGGATAAGGAAGTGATCGGCACTCCGTTTTATATAATGGAGTTCGTGGATGGAAGGATATTCACGAACGCTAGGATGCCAGAAGTGGATAAGAAGACGAGGAGGGAGTGGTATGTGTATTTATTTCATATCTTTAACGCCATAATTAATGGATTCCGCGTTAGCTGGCTGGCTGCTATTAAGGCTTTAGCAGCCCTTTCCTCTCTCGACCCTGCTGCTCTGGGACTGAGCAGCTTCGGACCCAACTCTGACTACTTCCCTCGTCAAATAAAATCTCTCACACGGGTGTCCCTAGCCCAATCTCAAGCTGTCGACATTGAGACCAACAAAGCAGTTGGCAAGATCCCATACTTTGACGAGCTGATTAAATGGTATAAAGAGCATTTACCCGACGAGAACAAAACGGGGTTGAGGATCGTACACGGGGATTACAAGTTGGACAATCTGATCTTCCATCCTACGGAAAATCGAGTTATTGGGATACTGGACTGGGAACTGTGCACGCTTGGAAGTCCGGTATGTCTGTTTCATTCTGTGGCTCGCTTTTGTATTTGACAGCAGGCCCTCGGTTATAGTTAGCAGACTTGGCGAACTTGACACAACCGTGGTCTCTAGACCGTTCAATGTTCCCTGCAGCCTTCCCGCCAGAGAAATTCCCCCAACTTGTCCCATTCAAGAATGATCCTGATGCACCCATCACGCTCGAAGAACTTGAACGCGAATATTGCCGACTTACGAACCAGCCATACCCTATTACGGAGATGGTATTTGCCAGGAGTTGGATGCTGTTTCGCGTACGTATTTCTTTCGTTGCTCGTGAGTTTAGGTGTCTACATATCGACTGATACTCCGGATTGTTACAGTTGTCGATCATCTCGCAAGGTATAGCCGCACGTTATGCCCGACGGCAGGCAAGTTCGGAGCGGGCATTTATTCACGCACAGTTATTCCCTATCGTTGGGAAAATGGCCTTGGTCACTCTTCAGGACGGTGGGGAGTCGATCCAAGAGAAGCCAAAGCTGTGATCCACTTTTATCTACTTGAATGTTTGGGACGTTACATGATGTACATTATTGCGTGGCATGTATGGTGTCTACAGGTATTGAGGTTATGAGAAGTACTAGGAAAACAGGGCGATGCAGTACGACAGCGACCAGCCAAGACAGCGAAGTACTAATCCCAGAATGAACATGAACGATCAAGCGAGGTTAAAAACAACCGCCCCAGAAATAAGACAAACACCAAGACAAGCACTCCCAAAGATACCCACACTCCTAGGAAGTGACGTCCATAGAAACGCCAAGATCCCCACACAAGCGAGCACGAAACCGCATACAGCCATCACAGTAGACAAGCTGTGACACCGTGTCAACAGCTTCACAGGAGGATCCAACTCTGTCCCACTAGTATCCTGATCCTCAGAGCCTTTGCCACCCTCCGGACCCTCCAAACCAGATTTTCTGCGACGAGGGGAAACGAATGCAAAAGGATGTACACGATCGATACAAACACGTCCTTGGAAACTATTGAATATATCGCTCCAATTCGGGAGGAAATCCAAGGAATGCTCGGCTGCTGCTGCGAGATTGTGTAAAGAGTTAGTTGTATGCGTCCGAGAGAGGTGAGGGGGCAAAGAAGTGTTTGAAATGTTAGCCGTATCCGCGATCTTGGTTCTGCCGGAGCGAGTTGGAACAATGTTATTCGTGAGGTGAGCAGGGATGGGGTTGCTACGCGCACGGTGCACTTTCACTTGTGCCTTTTCTTTCTCGGACGTGGTATGGAGGGGGAGGTTGGCTGTTGAAGGATGCGCGCTCCCTGTCGACACTTCAATCTCGTGTTCATGCTGTTTGGCATCGAGAAGTTTAAACCGGATGAGAATGAACGATCCTGTAAACGACGTAATAGCTGATCGAGATAAAGACATGTCAGGAGAGTATTTCAAGAGGGAATATTAACAAAGAGGACCTACCTGAACAGACGTGAAATATGAGAGCACCCGAGAAACTTGCCATCATGAGCTGGAGTGAGTTATCCCACTCAAAGACATCCTTAACCCCTAGTTGCGCGATGTTGGAGCTGAAACCCAGCAACAAACCGTCAATGGACGCGAAGAAGGTAGTCTATGATCACAATTCAGATGGTCAACCATAAGTCAGAACCAATATGGCAAGTCGTATATGAGTAGTACGCACGATGATGCTGATGAGTTGTAGTCTATCAAGCCAGACTTGCACAATCTCCATGACCGCCTTCCTCGTCGCATCATCTTCATCGAGAGGCGACGCGGCACTAATAGAGACTTCCGGTCGATGTCGACGTTTGCTACCCATTAGAAGTGAACCTTCACAAGCACACTATATACCTTCATTGTCCTCATATACGGTAGGAATCTTAAATGGACGTACTCATCAGTATGCGCTCCACGTTCGGGGGTACGAGGACACGTATGCTTCAGCAGATCCTGGCGGTAGCTAGGGAAGAAGCACCATAGAAGAATAATGGAAATTAGGCTTTTGAGCAACGACCTCCTCGAGGCCCGCCAACACCTTCTCTTTAGAGTCCATATATACCTTGTTTGCAAGCGCCACGCTGACTTGGTTTCATACCCACACTCTTCGTAACTTGGCCGCACGGTTCAACCTAAGGACATGTGGTCCTTGCGCGACAGGGAATGCGAGACAATCAGAGCGGGTAAAGATTAGTCGAAAGCCAGAAAGACAGAATGAATCGGGATTGGCTCAAATTCATCGGATGATTAAGCGCCGATATATATGTCGCGGCATCTCGAAGAGAAGTTGAATTCGACAGCATTATGATTCACACGTTTCAAGGATGACCCTCATTCACATGCCTAGTGGATGGAAAAGAGGCCAGATGACAGTATTCATTCAGAAGAAATATTAACAGAGCGAGCACATAAGAGATGACTTCAGCATTAGAAATTGTGCCGTAGAAAGTACCTGCAAGAGAACAGATGACATTAGCATCATCTACGGTACGACGTGGAAAGCGAAGATATGTGGAAACAAGGCTTCAGCACGAATATACATCCACACAACGCCGATTCATATAACCGGGTGTCAGGGCTTGACTTCTATTGGTTGCATCACAAGACAGAAGAAATAAAGCAGCAACTGACCGACTACGTGCAGAGAGGGAGGTATCGAGATAGCAGGGTATATGGAGGGGTGAAACGAACAGTAACGTGTCATCGTTCTGTAGGCATAGGTTGAAAGCGCGTGTAATAGTTCTTCGTATACGCCTCGACCATTTCTTGCGTTGATTCGGGTAGGTCTTCCACGAATTGGGCTACGCGAAATTGATAGTATCATATTGACACTTGAGATGTATTGTACTGACCTGGAGATCCTGCGAATAGAGACATGGCTGGAATAACGGTATTCGGTGGCACGATTGTACCATCCGCAATCTTTGCACAGTCCTTTATGATCGTGAACTTGCCCTGCACAAAAGAATAATCCAAATAAGAAACAGCCAAGGCTTAACGCGAAAGATAAGACGCACAATAACACAGTTCTTTCCTATGTCAACATGGTTACCGATGGTAGCAGCCTCTACAACTGTATTGCTCCCGATGTGAACGTGGTCCCCGATTTTCATTGGGTAGTAGTTGAAGTTGCCCCGGTACGTCTTATACGGCGGTCTGCCCCAATGTCTCACATAAGTTTTCCAACACAAGAACTAGAGGGTATGCGCCCGCACCTCATAACACATCCTTCACCAACGAGACAATAGCGTCCTAGGGAAATGACTACGGCATGTCCTGGACCAGTCCGACGCAAGTCACCACGAATTATCGCGCCACTCGCGATGATAGTCTTCCCTCCTAGAATTATATTCTGAGGTCCAGCAATCGTGGCACGCCTGGAGACCTTGTTGCCTGTGTCCTACATCTTCCGGATGAATAGTCGTTCAAAATTCTTAAAAGGGATTCTGTAGAGAAACTTACTGTTTCGATGTACTCTGCGCGAGCATAATATATTGGATTATCCATGGCAGCTTTGAGGACAAGTGAATAATATTCTGAAGGGAATCGAAAGCGGTGATAAGCCTTTAGCCTCAACATCTTATCTAATCTGATTCTCATTCAACTCGCCAACACCCTCCAACACCGCTCATCATGGTCAGACGACCACCGTTACGACTCCAGCTCGTACCTCAGTTTCTACGATCATGTTCTTCAAGGATAACACGCAGAGTGGTATTCGAAAGGCACCAGCTTACAGGTATACGGCAAGAATCCTTCCCAAGTCGTCATCTTCCGAAAATAATGCCAGAACTGTCGACTGTAACGGAGAAAGACGAACCAGTACCGCGTACCCAATCACCGAACCATCCTGAAGAGTTGGTTTACCATGGTTTACTCCGTAATAATATTCGTGCTATGAAGCTGTGGACGTCATCTTCCCTAATGAGCTGCGTCGTCCTCACGCCGGTGCTGCTCTTTATGGAGATAATCCCCCCGATCGGAGTGCTTGCCATGGCTGGTACTTTCTTAACTGCATACGGCGCAGCTGCCTCAATGGTATCATGGTGTGGGGGACCATATGTGTTCACTCTTCGTTGGCTCCCCACCAATTACGCACATGATCAAAATGGTACCGGTACCAAGGAGCCACAAGTAGTCGAAATCACCACGATGTCCCTTACTCTAAACCAACGCATAACCCGCGTTTACGATACCGCGTTCTTATTGCCAACCATAAGACCCTTTGCTACATGGGAATTGGCCGAGTTCTTCAGGTTGTCACCTCATGAAGTAGAAGCCAGAAAGGCAAAAGGAGTACTGCCTGGGAAAGAAGTCATTGCGGAGACCTTGGATAAGAAAGGTGTCGTTATTGGGAAGTGGGTAGTACATTGGAACGAGAATGGGAGCGGAGCTTGTGAGGAGCAAGGCAGAGTTTCGAGGTGAGTGTTACAAGATGTTTTCCTTGTCACCTTGAGAGTTCATGTAACTATCACCTGTGGGTTATTAGGTACTTCAAAGTACACGAGGAGTTGCTTCCACGGCCTGTTCGGTGGGGAGGCAGTTAAAGGCACAAGGAGCAATTTGATTCGTGTCATGCATCAGGCACACCGTTATCGGAAGTCCTTAGAAATCGGCATTCGGCCTTTTATTTCCCTTACAAACAACCGCTGGAAGTGACCGAAGGTCGTTCTTCATGTGTGCGATGTTGACCTACAAGACCCAAGCAACCCGGTCGTATGCTTCTCAAGACCGTACCATTATTGCTTGAAGTCCTTTCGAAACGCATCACACTTCCTCGTTGCAATCAGCCTTTGATGGTCATTTTCTTACACGACGTTCTCGTGACACTCTACTTAAGTGGGAACTGTGGGATGTCAAAGTCATGTTGTATAATGTATTGGCGTTCTCCGACCGACCAGGCCCTGATTTGCCGATGTTACTTTGCCCAATGACCTCATTCGGAATTTTGTTCTATGAGTGCGTCCGATTCGGTGCTAGGTTCTCGATGCTGTTATGTGTTGCTTTCTGCGTGAATTGTCATTCATTTTCAATCAGGGCACAGTCGTATTTTCTCTATAAGTTCCGAGACGAATCGAGGGCACGAATTCGCTAGCGTAAATGTGCATGACGAACGGACTTGGCAGCTTCTGGCTTGGCTGAACCATCAACGAAATCCCTCGAAATACTTGAAGAAAGAACTAGCCAACAGGCGCCCACCCCTCGATCATGGCCAGCGTGCTTCTCTTGCGACAGCGACCACCACTCCGGCTCAGCTACCTGCTGCAAGCATGTTCCGTTCGACCTACATTGCTTATATCCAGTCGATTGCTATATGAGAACGGCTGTATTCGAGGCTTTCATTCCACCGTTTTACGCCAAAATTCCAATGGAACAAAACCATCACCGTCAGAGCCGGCTGTGACAAAAGGACCGCAGCCTCTTCCGCAAAAACAACTTGAACACCATACGGAAGCGCAAGTATACCATGGTCCTCTGACGAATACATTCCGTCGTTTGAAATTATTCTCGTTATCCTCCCTAACACTCTGCTTCCTATTCACCCCCGTTCTCTTCATGATCGAAACGACCTCTGCCGTTCCATTGGTCGCTCGATTCGCGCTCGCAGGCGTTGCATTGACCACGAGCGGCGTGTCTACCGCGTTAGTTGGATGGTGTGGAAAACCATACGTCTCCACCCTTCGATGGCTCCCCGCAGATCCTCTGACATTGCAAGATGGTACCAAAGGACCAGAAATTGTCGAGATGACCACCTTGACCTTGAGTCTCAAGGAGCGCATTACGCGTGTATATGATACCGCGTTCTTGGTGCCCACCAATAGGCCGTTCGCAAAGTGGGAGTTGGCGGAGGTTTTCAAGCTAGCCCCTGCTGAGATCGAGGCTGAGAAAGAAGAGAAGGTTTTACCGAGGGAGGAGACTGTTGCTGAGACAATGGACAAGAAGGGTAATGTGCTTGGGAGGTGGGTTGTGCATTGGGATGAGAATGGAGTAGGGACCTGCCGGGAACATGGTCAGGTTACCAGGTAAGTTTGTTTTTGTTACTTCAATACAGAAGTGTATTCATTATGGTGTTCTTCAGGTATTTCAACGTGCATGAAGAGCTACTTCCGCAGCCTATTCGTTAAACACTTTGCTGGGTCGCTTATCCTAGGGTGCTTCGATGTATTGCATATGCTGTCTGACTTTCGCTGCCACGTCTTCGCCCCACCGGTAGGCCAGTAGTCACCGTGTATACAGTTTGTGGACCTCACAACCGTTGTGTTGCTTCCATATGCGTCGATTAGACTGTTGCGAACATTTTTATCGGAGAATATCACTGCCCGTCATGTCTGGTGCATTTTCAGTACTCAGTTGAACGAGCGGAGTATGCCTGAATTTTCTGACTGGTTTAAAGCACTATCGCCTACTCCAGCGAGACTACGTCTGGAACATCTGGATAACCGGGGAACGAAATGGCCCGTCGACTGAAGTGCATCATATCAGGTAACGTACTTTGCCGTATTTGCGTCGTCTTTCAAATCTGATGTCAGGCTGTCAGTGTTCCGACGACAGAGGTCTGCGCTATTTTGTCATTCCATTCTGAATTTCTCGCGTTACTAGCATTCTATGCGAAGGCACAGTGTGATCTTGACATCCGACTGTTGATTTTGGTGATGACGGACGAGAAGGCATCGGTCATTACGGTATGAAACGCGGTTCTTGTCATGAAGCATCTTAGCTTACAGCTTCTAGTCATCTAAGTAAAGTGCTGGACAGTGAGTAGATAGTTTGTAACAGACCGCGCATCCCACTAACGACTTGCGACAAACTAGCTTTCCCTTATACCATACCTTCTCACTGTCATTCACACTTCTTACAACCTTCTTCAGACCCATTCGCCATCATGCGTTTTGCCATGCACTTGCCCTAGGCGCCGTCTCCCCTGCCTTCGGAGCGGCCATCCCTCACGATGGATCAGCTGCAGATAGGTGCACCTCTTTCAATACCCCTCTCTTCCAGCACAACCGGCAGAACCCATACTAATTATTTTCTTCGCGGTCATGACAGGAGATCCTCGCGCTTCGATAAACGCGGATTAGCCAAGGATTTCGAGTTGAATTTTTCAGACATAAATGCTCGAGGTCATGCGGCACAGCAGACGTCGTCTCATTCTGCTCCCAAGTTCACACCATTGTTTCCTATAATCAATGCGCGGTATGTAAGACCACGTGTAAGAAAGAGTGCCTGCACTTACCTGACATCTTTCAATAGAGGGTTTACTGCCCCGTTCGACCATGGACCTGTTTTTCGCCCGGGTGAACAGCCGTGGGTCAGACCAAACCTAAACATCCCACTGGCAGCGCCGAAGCCTCTCAAGGAACCCGTGGATCCAGTTGGAGGGACAAACATAGATCCTGTCCACGTACTGTATGAGATATATTCAACTACCTGTGGCATCTTTTACCCCTAACACTAACGATCGCCTCGGTACAGACGATGAAAACATAAACACTCGTTCTGTTCATGCCAGAGATTGTTTGATTTCGTTAGAAACATCTTGTCCGTGGTGCTTGGCACGCGCATAAATACAGCCTCATGGTTGAAATCTTTGGAATTGTACCGTTCGCTGCTGACACTTCGTTTCAATTGTAAACGTTGACTTTTATTTCGAAACAGATGCGGGGCATATGGACGTTCTTCTACGTCTTTCTAGGTTCTGATAATATTATACATTCCACGATAAGAGGTAGGTATCGCCTGCAACTTGCTACTGGGTGGACTGGGAACCGGGAGCTCTTTCGCGCCTGTCCGATATGACATCCCAATACTCGCCCAACAACCACTTCTCGTGTACCGCCAGTACCTGTGCAAGCCTCTACCATCAACTTTGTTGCACCCGCTTGATTTTCAAATACAAGTTAGCATGAAACATGCACTCCAAAATCCATGGAAAACAACGGCGAGACGGCTGTGAAGAGTCCGCGCTATAAAACTGCATCATTGCGACGAGCACGCCCCAGCCCACAGCTCCCGGTCATCTCCTGGTAAAGTGCTGGACAGTAAGTCGACTCCTCATAACATCAATTATGCGTCTGCCTAACCTAGGTGTTCAGCTTTGCCTGACTTCTGTAGTTCTATACCATCAGTGCAATTTACGACTTTAAATTATACGTATACGTCTTTACTTTATAATGCGTTTCGCTACCCTCGGTGTTTTCGTGCTCGCCGTCGCATCACCTGCTCTTGGTGCCGCCATTCCTCGTGGTGCAGACATTGCTCTCAAGTGAGTTCTTTATATGGGTTGCGGGACAACTCCTTAACCTTCAACTTCATGGCAGCAGTGCATTGTCAGGTCTGCAGGGACGTGGAATAGCTAAATTCTTCGACTTTACGTCGTCCCTCCCGTCGACTACAGCTAGCGCCTCTGAACAACCTGCCGCGACGACGACTACATCTCAATCTGCCCCTCTGTTCACTCCGTTGTACCCTCTCATCATTGCATGGTACGTAAACAAGTTCAACGAGTGCATATGGTCGTGCTTAATATTCCTTTCGTGAAGAATTGTGGTGACTTAGATACAATGCTCATGCAGCTTCCTGTTCTTGCTGGCGTGCAGTGAAAGCTTATGAACATCAGAGGAGCAATAATGTCAGTTATACAGATGGCATTGAATCACTTGTTTTATGTTACTGTCGGTTGTGCATGTCGTATAAATCATTGCGTGATGAAATACATTGAAGGCTAAGACTTCACACCGAGGTTTATGACAGTGTAGAGTTATGAAGCACATTGTAAGACTAGGCTTTCACATAGTGACTATAGCCCAGCCTATTGTTGGTCCTCAGGTGCGCGTAATGCCCAACCTTTCCAATTGGCTTTGAGGCTCTGACCGTTCCTTTCGTAAAGCTTGACTCCCCAGGTGATAGCATAATGCTGAAGCACGAGTTCGAGTTCTTCGATCTCGTCGAGCATCTCGAGTTGCGAGATCCTGGAGAGTCCCAGGAAGGTACTAATGTGTCAGAAACGATCACTTTGAAGGTGGTCAGACATACCGCTCGAGTTCTTGATGGCTGATATATGTCCTTCGAATCTCGCGAAGTGTCAGGGCATGAGATGCATCGAACCCATGTCGTAGGAATCTTTGCAGTAGCGAATCGAATGTCGGATAAGACTCCGCACCTGGTAGGTCAACGTTTCTTGCCTGCAGGTACACAAATTAGCAAGAGGTTCCTTCGTCGTTCTAGATCAATTACCCTGAGATTATTTAGCATGACTTTTCCGAAAGGATCATTCAGCCCAAACATCTCGTAAACTATTGCACCTAATACGGCACCATCGTCACCCGCTGAGAAGTAGTCGACAAACCACTGGATCAGTGCTTCCGATTCTGCAGGTCGCATGTAAACCAGTACGCATTCGAACAGCAAGAGGGTGGGTAGGTTAGGGGAGAGTAAACCCGCGCCGGCATCTGAGTTCAGAGCATTGCCGAGTGCCTGACCAGGAGGCAAGCGTAGATCCAGTGGAATGAGATGGTAAGCTGGTGCATGTAAGGCAGTCCCACCATGCGCTGTACGAGACACATTAGTTGAAGAAGCAGACATCATACGCTGTATAGTGTTGACCTAATTTCACATCCTCAGGCCTACCCAGCAGTAGACTCAGGTCCTTGTTCTTTCGGATCGACATGGCCTTCTTGGTTGTAATTTCCGGGAAATCAATTTCAACATAAGACGCTAAAAGGTCCTTGCGGGGAGTATTCTGCCTACATGGCATCAAATCTGAGAAATGGCATTTAAATTTGGAAGCATAATACAAGGCAAACGCACGGCGATACGCCAGAACCTCGTATCACTTCCAGCACCAAGACTAACGATTTGGCATTTCTTGCCCTCGGCATGCGAGAGATCGAGCCACTGGTCGACTAGGGCATCGATGGCTTCCGAGCGCACATATGTTCCTACGTTAATGAGAGGAGGTCGTGGGGGTTGGAATTGAGATCCACGGCCCAGGAGATGTTTTATGAACGGATCGGTGAAGTACTGTTTCTGGACGGCTGAGAATCGGGCAAGTGCAGCGTCTGAATCGGTTTGACGGATCGCAGCATCGCCATCAGGCTGGATAGATGACTGCAATCTACCACCAAACGGTGCTGGTTTAGCATGCATACCGTAAAGACAAACGTTTGAGAAGGTGGTGGTCAAAGGAGATCAAATGGAGGGTGAGCGCTACTCTCCGAATTTGTATGATAATTGTAGTCATGCGCCGATCGTTGAGTTGGCCTTTCTTCTCGACCACCTTCATCGCTTTGCGTACCTTTCCTCAGCGTCGACCAGTCTCTCATTGAGACAAGAGAGTGACACAGGATGGGGTCAATGCCTCTGGTCCCACCATTATTCCCTGCGGGCAAGGAACCATTGCCTCCAGGGTTCACAGAGGAAGATCGGCAAAACATGCAGCAGGCGAAGAAGTACCAGGACTACATGACCATGGGTATGGAGTCTTGTCTTGCGAAGACAGTGATTGCTGGAGCTGGTGGTGAGTTGATTCTGTCCATTTTTCAATCACTGTGTGGGACATCTTTTTAGATGACGCGATACCATAGGTTTTGCCATCGGTGCTTTCTTCTCTCTAATGTCCGCATCATTTGCATATGAGGACCCACTATTACGGGCACAGGCACAGGCTCTGAATACACGACAGAAGGCGTCAGAGATATTCAAGGAGATGGGTCGAGGTATGTGGCGAAGTGGGAAAGGGTTCGGCAAAGTCGGAGCACTCTTTGCTGGCATCGAATGCGTGATCGAATCAGTAAGTTGTTACTTTCTCTATTCTCATCAAGACGACTTACTAACCCCCCGTAGTATCGAGCCAAAAATGACATGGTGAATCCAGTCGCAGCAGGATTCGTCGCGGGAGGTGTTCTAGCTCGAAATGGTGGACCAAAAGCTGTGGTCGGCGGTGGTCTCGCCTTTGCTGCATTCTCTGCCGTGATAGACCTCTTCCTACGGCGAGAGACTTCCGAGTGAGTCGAATGCATTCTCTTCTTGGTAGCCTGGCTGACTTTGTTATAGCGAGGACTGAGGGAAAATATACACTAATGCATTTAGACTACTCTAATCTTTTGGATACCATACATCTGTGCTATAATCCCATGCTTTGACCGCGATCTCAGACACAATCTGAAGGACGTACGTTCCTCATCAAGGGCGGGAAGGGGACGCATTTTCCCCGCCAGATTTGCCCATGGCATTGGCTGTACCTCTGAACGGTGCGTTGTATCGCTGCCTTCTATTTATATTCCTGCGGACTGTGTTGCTGCCACGCGTGGCTCTTGTCTATCTAAGCTCGTTGGTATCTCTTAGCTTTCCTCAACCTCATTTAACTCGTCATTCCTGGAAAATGAGAAGCTGCAGGACCTCACGCTGCAACATGTTGGTAAGCCAACGCAGAGCCTTTGATCACACGTACACGTAACTATATCCTTTTCCGGCCCATATCTCGTGCTTCAAGCAAAACATTACACCGCCATCTGGATACCGACGGATTAGGAATCCGAAATCGCGACCATTGATTTATGCACCCAGACCTTTACCGGGGAGGCCAACTCAACGCAATGTGATGGTAGCCATCATTCGGCTATACCTCATCTTCCAAGGGCCTATCGACTCTCGTCTTTAAGCTGGGATCAATGTCATACCTATGAGTGCGCGAAGCTACGTACAATAGAAGTTACAAGTGCATAATGCTGGACAAGAGACTTCCTCGCGTTGTTATGCTCTTGTATAATTGCTTCAGCATAGCTTGTAAGTATTGTGGGGTATGCTACTTTAGCGGTGACCGGAGAATGTGCACTGCAAGCCGGCGCTAAAGAATGTTTCCAAGATTCGCTTTCACTGTCCAGTCATCTACTGTACTGCGGTCTACTGCAAGTACCAAGACCACCTCTGACATGATCACAGCTTGTTTCAGGATGTAAACACATCTCCGAATAAACATTTAACTTTGAACAGGGAAGGCGACGAAAAGAATATCCAGTCTTATCACCACAGTTCTCTGCGTCAGCATTGTATTCTACACTTCTTGGTGGCTTTTCGAGTGTTCGATAGCTCACCTCGTCCTTATAAGTCCGATCCATGTCCTGATTTTCCAAGCATATCCCTCCCCCGATAGTTCTATTTACAGAGCTCTCCCTCTGTGGATACACAACTATAGCCCACATGACCATGATTCACGCGTTGCCTCTGTAGAAGTTCCCATCTGGTAGCTGCCTTATCACTCTGGTCCAAACGTCCGACTACTATCAGACATCCTCGTCGTGGTCAGTATTTAAATATACTGATAAATGTGAGTACTAATGCATGCACGAAGAACACTATAGGATGAGTCCCTACCCAGGTTCGCCGGAGAAGACCCGAGATAGCCTGTAACAAGCAATAATGGTTAATGACAGAGAGTGAGCTCATTATGACTTTGCAGACTTCCTAAGCTTGCGGTTAAGCCTTGGATACGACCGTCGCCTCAACCATTGGTTCTGCGAAATGCTTTCGTGGTTGACCCCACTTCGTCCTCTTTACTGCCTGAATTACAAGACGTCTCCATAGTCAAAGGACATGTTCAGTCGATCAAGCCCTCAAGCGAAAGATTTATTCACAGTTTGTTTGAGAGGAGGGGTAATGAACAACCACCTACCGTTGTAGATCTGAAGGGAAAGTATTTATGTCCGTATGTGTCGCCCTCTTGAGGCTTTTTCTTAATAATGCAGCTCACTGATGATGAGCATCTGGATATGTAGCGGCTTGATCGACAGTCATGTACATGCCACAGCTGTTCCAGGCGTGAAAACTATGTCGGAGCTCGTCCAGACCCCCGATGAGTTGATTCACCTCAGGTCTACCTACGTGTTACGAGGTTCGTCTTTGCTTTACTTACTGCCATGCTTTAGCTCATGTCAACTCCAGAGATGCTTCTTAGAGGCTTCACCACTGTCAGGGATACTGGAAAGTCCCGTCCGATTTTTACTTATGCTTCGTTCTCGTCTAACTTCAGATCAGGCGGCGGAAGTAAAGCACTTGCCAATGCCATCTCAGAAGGTCTTATACTAGGCCCAAGGCTCATACAGTGCGGAAAGGCTCTCTCACAAACCGGTAAGTTCTCTGCAAAGGCATCCGATGATCGTTCTCATGTTTGACGAGAATACAGGCGGCCACTCAGACTTTGGACCTGTGGGGTCCAGCACGGGCTGTTGCGCAGGACATTCGCAGTCATTGGGTCGAACTTGTGATGGTGTGCCGCAGGTCCTGAAAGCTACACGTGAAGAGCTTAAGAGCGGTGCAGACTTTATCAAGATCATGTGTGGAGGTGGGGTAGCTTCTCCGACAGTGAGTCACAGCTGGCAATCCCACCAGCCAAAACTGAAAGTGAATTCAGGACTCCGTAGAGAGTGTACAGTTCACCGCAGAGGAGATACAGGCGATCACTACGACGTGTCGTCAAATGGGGGGTATTCACAGTAAGTGAAGTAGAACGACGTTGAATCTTGTTGATGATCTACTGGTATGCAGCAACTGCTCATGCTTACACTGATTCTTCCGTACGGCATGCCATTGACAATGGCGTGCTGGGAATCGAACATGGAAACCTGATCTCTCGTGAGACTGCTGCATTGTAAGCTACATTCATAGTAATGTTTAGCCAGTGAATACACTGGAATGTTTTAGGATGGCACAGAAGGGAATCTTTTTAACTCCTACTCTGTCTTGCTACGGTATCATGGTTCGACCGCCTTTCGAAGATTTTCTTCCTCCCGACGGAAAGGTGAAGAACGAACAAGTCATGGAGAAGGGCTTAGATGCGTTGCTCATCGCGGATGAGGCCGGGGTCGTTATATGCTAGTGGGTTCTATGAAGATAACAACATCTGCTCTTTGACATCCATTTTTGGTAGCGGCTCTGATTTACTGACGTCAATGCAAGCCTTACAAACGGAGGAGGTCGGTCTTCGTCACCTTCCTTCGTGGAGACGCGTTCAATGTATTTAAACTACGTGCAGTTCACTGTCCGTGCATCCGTCCTTTCTTCCCCAAAAGTGCTCCAGCATGCGACGAGCAATGCAAGTGAGTGTCATGATTCATTATCTCCAGAGTATCGCTTGACGGGTCGCCAATACAGGCAAAATGCTCCGCGACAACAAAATAGGAAGGATACAACCGGGAAGTTACGCAGATATCCTGGTTTTGGACGCGAATCCTCTCGACGACGTCACCATCTTAGATTGGCCTGAAGATCACCTCTACGCCGTTATCAAAGAGGGAAGAGTGGTGTCCAGCAGGTTGGAAAAGCTTCCTGCGGATACATTATTGTCAGGATAGCCTGGCGGGAACGAGATGGTATGAATGTTACCGTCCTTTAAAGTATTGGAACCATCGCAAATTTGCATCGTGCGGATTCTTTCAAGATGGCGGGATAGCGACACCGCCTGCTTAACTGTATCGTCGAACGCGATTGCGTCCAACTTATCACACAATCTGTGAAACTGGTCTCGATTCATCTGCGCAAATCACTCTTTACTAACGTTGTGAAAAGTGATGTAGAGCACAAAATGCCGTCAATATCAACCACTGGTCTGTCCAAAGTTCAAAGTATATGTGCAGAAATTCCAGTGCAGCCTGAGAGACATTGGCTGTGCCAGGAACGAGTATACAATATGGTCCAGTCGGCTAAAGTTGATTGTGATAAAGATCCATTGAACGACACTCAGAAGTACATACCCTTCATCAAGCTGAAAGCATTCTTAAAACTCATCCGCGTATCAAACTCATGCCGGACATAGAGTAAAACATTCCTCTGTTCCATTATTGTTTGCATTACTACAATGACAACATGAAAGAACGACATGTATGGCTATGTCCCGGGTCAGGAATACCATCACTCGACTGAACCACGAATAGTAGGACTTAGGCAGCAAATGGTTTGGGAAGTCTAATGTCACGAGACAAGCAGTAAGTTAGGTGGGTGAACAAGGGCAGCCCAGGAAAAAGTTCATACCGGCCGCTGGTTGTGAAGAATGGCGACAGGTTGTAGCATTCCGGGGGAAGTACACTTGTTGCTATCGAGCAGTGAGTGTTGATGATACGCTTTGCCAAATCACTGGATCGGGAAAAAAGGGGGTCAGACTGTATGAACGGAACAGTTGAGAACCTGATCAACTTACAGCCCCGACAAGCCTTCCTCCCTCGCCTCCAATCCCGGAAGACTGTTGAAGTTTCATCGAGGGTTAGTGGAAGCAATTGACTTTATGCATATTCGAACGTACCCATCCGGGAACAAACGAGAAGAAGGACGCGGAGGTTTGTTGACGCAATCTGCAGGGATCGTAGCAGGATCGCCAGAACAGTGAGCGTTAAAGATACGCTTCGCAACAGCACTGACGGAGCGGAGAGTCACGATTAGATTATAAAATATAGATGGGAACTGCGATGCTCACAGTTCAGTGTTCCTAGATCGGAGCTCGAGGAACGGGTATCTGACGGAGAGACGTAATGGGTTTATGCTCTCGGTATATCACCAACTTCGACATGTAACTCACCCGTTAAACGTAGTAGGAGGTTTGGCAGGTCGGTTGAAGCAGTCCGCAGGAAGCGTAGCAGGATCACCAGAGCATCGGAGGTTCACGATACGCCTCTCAAGCTCTCTCTTGAAAGCCGCTATACGCAGACTGCATAAAGGTTTAGCGATGAACACCATCATACGAGGCCGTTACTTACCCATTCGGCAAGGTCGGAGCAGGTTTACCAAATTGACTGCAGTAGGCTGGTTTGGGCGTGCTGGGGTCTCCAGAGCACTCCGGGATGACAATACGCCTCTCAAGGTCCCTCTTGAATGCAGCGATACGCAATCTGAATAGCGCATTAACAAATGAATTCAGTAGTGGTGCGAAATTACGATTTACCCATTCGGCAAGGTAGGAGGTGGCTTGCCAAACTGACTGCAGAAATCGGGCTTTGGGGTGTTGGGGTCTCCAGAACATTCAGGGATGACGATACGCTTGGTAAAAGAGGGATCGTCTTCATGATTGAACCAAGCGATTTCGTTCCTGACGGCCAATTCATTATTGACTTACCACTTCAACTCAAAGTGCGTGAAGAGGCTTACAAGGTCGGAGGTTTGAATCTGTTGGGGCCTGTTATAGCGCTGCGCTTCATGACGTTCCTACCAAAGTCAAGATTAGGTTAATACAAAGTCGTAATAATAATAAAAAGAAAGCTGCTGACATCTCATCGTATCCTTCAGACATGGAAAGTGCAGGGAGAACTGCGCCTGAAAGGAGGATTGCTGCGAAGACCGCAGAGATGGACTTGGTGAACATCGTGATAAAAGAAGTCGTTAAAAAATATGTCGTAAAGGAAGCAAGTAGCAAAGAAAAATGAGATAGGCTGGGAAAGAACCTCCATCAACAACATTCACCACATGAAGTCGTGCGGAAGACACGTACCTGCCAGCACCTAACTCGATGGAAAATAGAACGAAGAGGAAGTGACCAGGACTAGAACCAGTCTGATACCTAATCCTAGTGCTCATCCCAACCTCTTATACCAGAGGCCTAGCGCCATGTAACACGATATCCCGCGACCAGCATGGCGACGAACAGGATATTGGGGTCAGCAATATCGTTTCCCGCAGATGGACATGATGCCGACATTGCCTTTTAGTCCATGTTTAGAATATCCCTTCGCGTACGTTGCAATGTGGCTGGACAAACATCAACGATCAACTTGTGATGAGTCTATACCCTGACGCCTTGCCATATTGTCTCAGTGTATTGTATACAGGTTTGCAACGGCATTGAACCTCGGAATGCTTTTTGCAACTCTGACATCGAGAGTCCAATGTCAATAGGATGAATGAGTCGAGAATGCGGTTACACCGAAGCCTCGGATCGCTCTGAACCTATATATTCTGTGGGTCGTGATGGACGGTGGTTGAGCTGAAAGTGTCCAAGCGAACGCGTCGGAAAACTGAATGGGGTCAGACATTTGGTCGGACATAGTGCCTTTCAGTCGTATGCCGGTCGGGCGTGAACGCTTGCTTCACAAGGAGATGCGAACCCGCCATGTCAGCTCCATTGAGGCAGTACCATCAATATGTCGAACGCAAAATCTTGGTGGCTCTAGAGCGTCGTGAACAACACCAGACGGCCTGTAGAATGAACGTGGAGCAGCGTCACGACATAACTACCGCCAGACCGGGCTGCAATCAGATACTATTATCAACAACAGAGCGGCATTCATTCTACCCTGTGGGGTTGCAAAGAGTAAGCAATGTTTCAAATAGCACATAGATGCGACGCGTGAGGTTATTCTGAATCATCAGAGTAAGGTTGACAAACAGCGACCATACCTCGATCGAGAACATCCAACAGCAACTCTCTACCTGCAGATTGCGTACATGATCTTATCGTCAAGCATGTTACTTAGAATCAGACCGTCGAAAGGGATCATTGAGGAATGAACATGTCCGCCTCTAGCAGATGGTGGAGGTTTCACACGAATTCGCAGATCTCTGCACGGCCATGCATATTGATCGGTTCATCATGCCATCAGTGCGAACGCCGATTTGGTTACGGACCTAGTTCAATCAAAGTTCATGTCTCTTTGCCTCCACCCTTTCTCGCTCATTCGACTCAGTCTCCGGTCTGTTCGAAGCTCAAGCCACCAAACATTCATCAGAAGGGGACCTCTTTATTCCACAATGCTGTCTTCAGATACCGTTTCTCTTGCTCCGGCGGCAGTGAATCCAGCTGAGCAGCAAGAATCAGATACTCTAACTTCGCTGGTCATGCAAATCGTGGTTCGTCGTGATCTACTAGATGTCAGTTGAATCACAATGGCTGTCCGACAATGAACCTGCCGTTGATCCACTCTACTTGCGATCGTGATTGACACTGATATATCCTTCACGTAGGCAGAAGGCTGGGGTGTTGGTCCGCTAATGGCACAAGTAGCGCATGCCACCGCTGCTGTAAGCACCAAGATGTTGGATGGGACTTATTCACGGAAGATTTTGTTATGCTATCAGGTACTGCATGAGACCCGGGGTCTGCCTGAAACTCAAGCGTATCTGGAAGATCTGAAGAATATGAGAAAGGTGAATATGATCCTTCATTCTGCGATCATACATTCTAACGGATTCCTTCAGGCCGTTCTGCAAGTATGTGTTCTGTTGATCTAACACCTCCACGAATGATGACAGAAATGGCACCGTATTCAAAAGACGACAAACCAAGCCAGCCTACAAAAGCTCAGCGACCTGTTATCGGCCAGTACACCACCAGTCCCTCACCATCTTTGGATCGAACAGCCGGAGAATGTGCCAACATGCATCGCAATCGCACCCAATCGCAGAGACACTAGGATTAAGAAGGCACTCGACAAGTCCAGCAGCCGCCTTTGGAAAGGCTAAACCACGCAAACCTGATATCTTGATACCAATATGACAACACGCTGCTCTGCTGACACAACAAAACAAAATTCTTAATTGCTACAACAGGGCTATCGTACACTTGCAGGTAATTGCGATCCAACATCGACTGTAAAGAATGTCCTAGGAACTTGAAGCGGATCCAGACAAAAGGGACCTAGTACATCTCAAGACTCATCCCATCGTGAATCTCATAATCGGCGAGTGTGATGTGATCCTTGTAAATTGTATACCTGTGGCGGAAGAAAAGGAGTCAACGGAAGAATGAAAGTGCAATAATCGCAAGCGTACCATTTCTTCAACTGGATCTTGCGGTAATCGGTGCCAATCTGAGCGGCGATGAGCTTCTTGAGATCGCCCACCGTATCGTCCGGACTACATTTTACGCGGACTATACGTTACAGAGTGGTGAGTAGAGAACCAGCGGAGCAGTCAAATGTTTCTCATACCTTTGCGGCCCAAACGATCATTTGCAATAACCTATATTCAATGTCCATCGCAAGATAGTCCAACCACAATAAGTAAATTGAGGATATCGTAACGAAGAACGGAGTGCGGTGAAGGCACGGTCAGCGAGCAGCGTTTATAGCAGGACAAGATACGTACCTCAATCAAAGCCATTTCGTGAGTCTATATAGTAAAATAAGAAATTCGTTGGTAGAGCTCTAGGCGTGAAGAAGAGGGTTTCGTTGAAGTCGCAATTGGTCAAGACCAGTCAAGACTCAATAAGCAGTTGAATGGAACCGATCGACAGCGGAGCCCGGACCGGTGCACTGAGCAGTGAGGAGTGCGCGCATCCATCCTTCCTCAATATTTTATTAAACCTCTGACTTAGGTCACTTTGCCGGAGTGGTTAACGGGATCGCCTGCTATTCTATAGCTGTGAGCGGTTGTGCTTTGCACGCGAGTGTTCGAATCGCTCAGGTGACGCTTTTTTGCATCTTCCTCTTACTGTAGAACATCGTTTGTGCATGGACACGCAGCGCACTCATCTGCTGGCTTAACAACCAAACTTATCATGAAGTGCAACAGTTGTAAGTTAGGCTTGAGCATTTCTGACGAAGCCAGCTTACATTGAAAACGTGCTTGACGAATGCCAAAATATAGGACCTTTCACAATCGATACACCTACATGCTAATGATACACTTTTCTTAAATGCACAGATTCCACTCTTCATCCATGTTGTTTGCTCAAGGGATTGCTCTGCCAGCACGAATGGCCTTCGCGGCTTCGCTTTGTGCTTCATCCCGGAGGTATCGACCATAGATCTCAGCATAATGTTCCTTGTCCTACGGTCCAGGTATCAATAACATTAATCAGCAAATAGTATGGTGCGAGACATCCTTACACTTTGGGTCTTAAGAACGCTCTCCCTAGTCTCCAACCTCTCTGCATATCGCTTCCAAGTCTCCCCAGCAGCGTCTCTTGTGAAGCCACGGTTCTCCCGGATAATATAGTCCCTAACAATCCAGGGCGCAACGGCGACATCTACGAGGCTGAACTCGTCACCGAGGAAGTATGGTCCTTTAATCTTCTCCGAAAAAGTAGCCAGTCCTTTTAGGAGTTCCTCAAGAGCTGCTTTCTGCTTGTCCGCTTCCTGTGCTTGAATGAGACGCATGGTTGCTGGCACAATGGACTTGTTGATAAACCAGATGCGAACATAGGCACGAGTGTATGGGTCACTGGGCAGGAGGTTGGGCTTATAGGAGGGATAGGCATCCTCGAGGAACTCGCAGAGAATGAGTGACTCGTACAGGGCTTTGCCTTGGTATTCAATGGCAGGTACGAGGCCCTTAGGATTGATGTCTGCATAGAAGGATGACGTCAGATTCGCCACAACCGACTACCATCTCGTCAAAGATACCGAGGAAATGTTTCTCTTTCTTGTAAGGGTTGACCTCCTTGTATTGGTATGGGATGCTGCGTTCTTCCAGTGTAATCCAGGTTCTCTGGACAAACGGGCAAAACTAGTCGGGTGACACGGTCCCAAACTTAACTTCAACATTTCTTGCAAATGTCAGAAAGGCAAGGAACATACCCATCCGGCATGAAATATAAGTTCTTGTGGCTCCTGATGCTTAGCTACGGTCTCCGCAGCTTTACCAGTAGCATGAGGAAAGATGTTCTGGTCAGGGATACTGCTCATTGTGGACAGTACTTGGTGATTAAGTCTTGCGGGTGCAAATGTCTTGGCGGGAGGAATTGATCTGTAACACTGGATAAAGGTGGTTAAAAGTGTGCGACTATATACGGTCTTCGGATTTCGCTTGATAATCCTGCGGAGCAGACGCAATTGTGACGACATATCGTACGGATCCAAGAGTGGGATGCTTACATTCATGAAGAGAAGCCACCATGAGAACATTAAGCGTCAGCTTACTTGCAGGACATCGTTTCGGATACACGAATTACTCATCAGAAGGTTAAACAATTGCCATTAGGCATCAAGATGGAACTTGAACTTGGACAGCGCTGTTGTAGTCATTGCGAAATACAATGAGAATCGCAAACATGCAGTGCTACACATTACATCTCGTGCACCAAGAATGCTATATAACTATGGTAGCACCAAGACGACTGCGGCAAACTGTGCAGCGTCACTCGGATGCATCTCTACCTTGGGCACTTCAACGCTCTTCCGAGCGACATCTACTGACGTTCGAACAGACTGCTCGGGTCGACCATCCCATCTAACATCAACAACCTCCACAATCTCCCCTTCCCCTTCGACATCGTGAGCTTGTCCATGAGCAGATGGTGGTGGTGGCCTACGATTCATCACCTTGATCTTCGGGACCTTAACCCAGCCGCATTCTATTGGAATGAGGTTCCACTTGATGATCTCCTCGCCGCCTGGTAGAAGAATTGGCAATCGCCCGTTCCGGATTCCCGCGACTACAAAACCATCCGTTACGGCATCGGGTTCCAGTTGTAGGATGATATTAGCCGATTTAGTCGGATGGCCATTGCGAATAGTCAGCTGAAGAGGAATGGTCTGGTGGAGTTTTGCCGTATTGGGAACGTTGAGGAGAGCAATTAGTCCGTCCGATGGCGGTTTCAGTGGAGGGAGCGAGAAGCGAGTTTTGGCAAGGGAGCCTTTCTGATTATTCGGAAGTAATCTAAGACGTTGGGTCAGACGCAATTCAGTCATGGGTGTGCAAGTAGGATTACCTTCGCCAAGAAACCTCATAGGTTCCTGGTCCTGGAATGTATCCACCTCCCAAAGGTTCGTCTAAGCGCGCGAGTGAGATCCGGCATTGGTCACAGAACTCGTCACCAGTATGCCACTCTAAGTTCTAATGAGTTTGGTTGGGGAACTGAATGAAGACAGTGACGTACCAGTTAGAAATTCGTCTTCGTCTTGATCAACCGTACTTTCATTAACTTTGGCATAAGTGCCATCCTGCGAATTATTAGTAACATGGTAAACCCGATTCTGCTGTGCGCGTACCTCGCGCAAGAGCTTAAGACCCTCAACAAAGATTCCAGACGGTCCAACAGATGTCATGGTCGTGACGACATGCGCTTCACCTGCATCGTCCCAGTAATCGCCTTCGAATGTATCGAGGTCTCCAAGTCCTGGAGAGGGCTTGGTCGATCTCCGATAAGTGACGTGATGCGTGGCTGTAATAGGATCGACCGTAGGCACAACCAATGTCCGTAATGTCTCTCCTGTGTCCGCCACTTGTGAAGGACTCTGAGGCGTAACAGGCGTTGTGGGCGAAACCGAAGCCATCGATCGGGACTGCACAGAAATGTCTATGACTCTATCTCCTACGGCACCGGAACAAGCCAGATAGAGCGTCTTGTTCATATTGACCCCAGGAGGGAGTACGCCAAATTCAACGCCTTTGATCAGAGAGGACGACCTTTCTTCGTCAACGCTGATGAAGTTATCTGTGCACGCGGTAAGAAAAGAGGCAAGTAGAAAACACTGAGGACTCGCCAGCTTCTTCGATCTCAGTAGGCTGCAGTAAGATATCGACGACAATATCCAGTTCTCGATCATCCGCGTTCGTCACATCGATGACAATGGGGAACTCTTCACCAAGGTATGCAGGTCCTTCGCTGGATAGCGACACTTTTACAACATGTGGGCGATGTCGAACACTGTAGTGGACCGTGAGTATTTGATAGGATATTAACTCATCAAGACGTACACCACGAATGAATAATTGTCTCTGTGCACAGGAATGAACCTCACGGGACTAAGAGAGCCTAGCCACCGAGGATACGGAATTGTCCCAGAACGTCTACTGTTCGGGTGCAAGGGGAGGTCGATGTTCCAGTTACCCTCCTTCAGAGTCAAAACCAGCTTGGAAACCTGAAAGAGAGGGTCTTTCTCAGCAACGCCTAAATAAAACGAACTAGGCACACTTTACCGTCATGTTACTCGGCACACTAGATGTCAAATTACCACATAGAATGAGTGTATCTCCAGGCCTCCACCGCAAATTGGCTTTGATATCCTTGTCCTTATCTTCATTGTCACTGGAGGATGTCGAAAGGTCTCCTAGATCAATTTTCTGCAATGAGGAAACGTCTGCATCCGATTCCGGTGCCGTGTGTTGGACGGTGATTGAAGGAAGATCCCCCGAAAATTGAACCAACAAGGAGGTGAATGGAAGGGAAGCAAGAGAAATGATCTCCGGAGCGGTGAGTGTGATTTGGAATGCCGCTGCCTGGTCGACATTGACATGGGACTTCCAGAAAACGGCGGAAGTATCAACTAGTACATGCATCATTCTCAGAAGGTGTAAGAACGTCAATTTCAAGGTGAAGACATACGTAGGGGACCAGACTCAGTGAGGTCAACGGTCAAAACCTGGTCGGAAGAAGGCACAGTACTCTAGAGGTCATGTGCATGAGAATGTGAAGCAGCAAAGAGGCAAGAGAAGTTACGCACCTTAAGGACGGCGAGAAGGTCCTCTTCTAAGCTTTCCGGGTCATCCTGGTCATCCTGAGGACCTGCAATTGTGTCGGACAATAGATTTGAGCGACCGATAAAATGCGATACGAACCATGCCCAATAATCTCCAGTAACAGCTGTACACTCAATTCCATATCTCCAAGGTGTTGTGCACATCTATACCACGTCGATAGGAGGGGACGCAATAGAGCGTCCCACTGCTCGCGTCTGTATGTCTTAGCTATTCGCTCGAAGAAACTTGAGACGAGATATCAGTCTTTCAATTTGCGCATTCTACCAAACGTCGCGTACCGAACTGCCATCTCAAACTTCCCAGACTCGTAGTATGTCTGTGCAATAAGATAGGCGATCCACAAAGTTAACCGTCCTTGACTTTGGCTGCTCGATGTACTGTACTTCTTGAACAACTCATATGCCCTAGTATACAGCTAAGACGATTCAGTGAACTGATGGAGAAGTGCGACAATAGGAAGGATATACCTCAAGCACGATGCTCAGATGGTCAACCTTCCTCTCATTCACAAATCCTGGGGAGGCATGATGTGAAGACTAAAGCCGAGTTCAAAGTCATCAGAAGTCGACAGCGGATTTTCTGACTAGGCATACCTCATTCTCAAGGGCTCGCAAATATCGGTCTCTTCGATTTTCAGTACATCTGGCAGCCATGTAATAGTAGAAGCCTGGGTGTTGTAGGGCCTGAGTCGGGTTCAGTCCTAATGCACGCATTGCTTCAACTTCCAAAGAACCTCGCTGAGTCTCCTGAGTTTGACTAGCCACACCCGGACTTGGAAGGTGCGTAGGTATCTTGAGAGTCGAACGAGTGCCTTGTTCCAATAGTTCTGCGAATACACGATGTCTGAATCACGTCTGCGTTAGCAAAGTACCACGAACGCCAAGATAAAACGTACTGTCTCGCCAACCAACTCCAGAACTCGAACGTTTCCTCGCCGATGCCCCAGCCTCGGGAAAGATCAGAGAACAGCCGCATGTGTGAACTGTGGTGGGCCAGCGCCATCGCATGTTCGTTATTGTACAGGTACAGCTTGCATATCTACGTATAGGGCTGGTCAGGAGCGATCCTGACGTAGTAGGCAGGAACACGTACCCACCTTCACGCTGATGCAATCTGCAAGTACTTTAGCTTCAGCCCACCTTTTCGTCCTCGGAGGTAAAATAGCCGTGGAACCAAGCATAATATGAAGTGCTGAATAGGCATCATGATAGTGCCTGTCAGGCGAGTTTCAGTTAAACACGCCAAGTCTGTCTTTATAGCTACTTACTTCAGTGCTATGTCATCTTCGCCTCTGAACTCGGCGAAACAAGCCATTTTGTACTCATAACGCACAGTCCATCCTTCTGGGCGTAATGGTCTTTGGGCACTGGTAGAACCGATGGTCGTGAGCGGCAGCTGATATGACACATTGGCCTGACTGTGACGGTTGCGTTTACGCCTAACACGCTTTGAATGATTCGTGTAGTATTCAATTGCAGGCTCATACAACGCTTCTTGGAGACTACGACAGAAATATGCATGTGTTCTCGAAAAATTAGTGACCGACAAGGCTACAAACTTACCTGCGGACAAAGTCGCCAATTTCGGCGGATGTTACTGGGCTCAAGACAAAAAGTGCAGCGCGAGGATCAAGTCCACTTTGCCGTCGAATAAACGTTAGTCGAGCATCCAGCGCAGGGTCATCTACAGGCGCGAATGTCATTCATTTACTCACACCGAGACGAAGATGGTGCACACCTAGCATTTTCCTACTGGCCATCAGCACTACAGTGAGCTTGATAGATCGCTCATTCGTACTCTTCTTACGTTGAGCTATTTCTGCAGCAAGTTCACTATCCTTCCGACGCTCCTCAGCTTCGCGTTCCCGGTCACGCTCGGGATCATGGGTATCAAGAGGCGTCCGACTAGATGTATGTGGATGTTCATATATGCGCTTGAACAGCACAAACACAGAGGGAACTAGAGTGGTATGTTTACGAATCCATATTGGAGCGATGAGTCCGTCAGGGTAAAGAGGTGATGAAGGTGTTAACGGTGATAACGGTGAATGTGGTGTATGAAATTGCTGATCCTCAGCTGGTGCGATCTTACGTGGAGGAAACCGCACTTCCTGCATTCAGAATTATAACAAACAACGGTCATTCGACACAGAAGATTCCACAAGTGCGACGGCTAACGCACCGGATCCACTAGAATGACCTGAAATGTTTTCGACTTGTCAGGTTGCCAGATGGCCACCTTTCGTTGCGACGTTAAGGCCTCACGTAACCGGATAGCTAGTGCCACGAACGGATCCTGTTGTTTCGGGGACGGGGATTGAGGGGTGGCTGAGGACGAGGGAACGTCTAACCCAGCGACAAACATGACTGGGGCCAGCTGAGCCAGCAGCTCTGGTGGATACGAGTTCATATTGCACCCAAGATATGTCTGGAATTCGTGGGTGTCCCTCACAGTCAACAAGAAGGGAGAACAACTTCGTAGGTCGAAGTCCGAAGTCAGTCAACTTGAACAAACTGTACATGGATTTTAAAATTGGCGTTTCGGAGATAACGCCGATGGTGAAGCGGTTATCATGCTTGCCTTCCAAGCAAGCGGCAGGGGTTCGACTCCCCTTCGGCGTATTTCTGGTCAAAATGGTCTATTTTTGCTCACCTATTTATAGCCGTCATACCGGTGGCTCAATGCACATTGAGGCTTAAACGTTGAACATCCGAACTACCATGTCTGTGAAAGATACTGTACACACCCAGGTTATCTATAATGGTGCGCTATTTTGTTAAGGAAGTGTCTTTTTGTGCTAATCCAGCTGCAGCTGCTAGGAAATGGTTCACCATTATCCCACTCATCGTGTGTCCCATAAACTTCCTCATCGACGCACCCTTCGGTCGGTTTACACCAAAGGAGCATAGTATCTTTTTATTGGATGGTACGTCTCTGAATCTGTACCCCATGAGCTTCTCAACTAATCCTTGACACAGGCGTGAAGTCGTGGATTGCCATGGAGCTAGTCGCCCCGCTCACTTTCTCCTACGCGTTCTTGCATTCACCACTTTCAGTGGCTCACCCAGGTGCCCCGCCTCCTTTGAGCTTGACCCATCCTCCAACTCTACTGTCTACGCTCTTCCTCATCCACTACCTCAACCGTGCGATCATCAACCCCCTGCGCACGCCGTCACGGTCGAAATCCCACATAGTCGTCCCTCTCGCTGCCGTTGGCTTCAATCTTGTGAATGGGTGGCTTATGGGAACTTACCTCTCTTCCTCTTTCGCGTCAACTTACCTGCAAGATGCGTTCCAACGTCCCACCTTCTGGCTCGGCATCGGTCTGTGGGCGTTAGGTCTAGGAGGGAACATCCTGCATGATGAGGTACTCCTTAACATCCGCCGGAAAGCAAAAGCCAAGGGCAAAGCCAAAGCAACAGATGACGATAATGGGAAGAACAAGCAAGAGCATTATGCCATTCCCGACGGCTACCTCTACAAGTACCTCTCGTACCCGAATTACTTTTGTGAATGGATGGAATGGCTTGGTTTCGCTTTGGCAGCGGCACCTTTACCTTCTTTCGTATCATTTAGCTCATTCTTAGAGACAGTCATGCCACCCTATATCTTCCTCCTGTCTGAGGTATTCTTAATGATACCCAGAGCATACAAGGGACACAAATGGTATCATTCACGTTTCCCCGACTACCCCAAAGAGCGGAAGGCAGTTGTACCCTTTTTGTTCTAGCTGAAGAAATAGTAGTCCGTCTATACCACTGCATTGCAGACTGTAACCATCCAGTATATTAGTAGCGTCTGGTATCTGTAAGACCGAGTCAGATCCCTCATAGCCCTCCACTATGGTGCCGAGCCTGTCGACGAGGCAAGATGACGCAACTACTTGTGGCCGCCGTATCGAGCCTTGCGACCAAGGTCGAATGGAATATACTTGTACTTGATCATATGCCTACATCCAAATGGTAAGTACTCGCCCAGATATACGTGTAGTAAGACGTACTGTATCTGTCGTCGCATGGTTAGGATGAAAAGGACGAAAAAATACATGACGAGGATTGGCCAGTAGACTGGGACATCGAAGGCTTCGGAGAACGTGCAGAATAAGGCAACAAGGGTTGCTCGTGTTGAAGAGAGCCTAAATCAAAAGAACGGCATGAATATGCAAGCTAAATGCAAACGAAGAGTGCGACGTGCCAGAATTGCCACTCGGGCAGCCTTCGTACGAAGGGACGGAATTCGTCATCTCGTGCGGAAGGTAATGATCCCATCTCCTCTCCGCCACCCTCAATTTCATCGGCAAGAAGATCTTCTTGTAGTGAAGGATCGAAACGCGGTTGGAGGAATGCCAATAGTAGATTCAAAAGGTATATGGCATGTGCATCTTAGAAAGTATGAAGATGAATAACGGGTATGAACCAGAACCACCGGATGTACTCACAACATACTACAGAGACGATTTATGTTGGCCATTGAGACAATGTGAAGGAGGATAATGAGCAAGTTTCACGAACCAATATACCACTAATGCCGCCACAATGTAAGTACGAAAATATGGTCAAAGGTTTGTGTGCATACTGACCCCCTGTGCAAAAACTATCCTCAACAAGAATAGACATAACAGCCCAGCAGTTCCAAGCCAACGATAGAGTACAAAAGGCGTTATTCTGTCAAGAAGAGCTTGATACTGGCGCATAGTTTTGTAGTATTGATTCGAGATTGGCTGGAACGGTCCAGCAGCAGGTTCTGACGAGGACATCATCGTAGCAGAATAGGGGAGTCTTGACCAGTAAAGCCTAGGATAATCGTGACCGTTAACGTAGAAACCAAGGAGGAGGAGGAGTGAGAGTTTTGGAAAGCGAGGTCAACGTCTTTCCAAACGCTTCACTCCTTGCCATATTGCTGTGCTGCCACGCTCTTGTTCCTAGCTGAGATGGAAGCGGAGTCTGAGTCGAAAGCATTATCGTTGCAGACAATTGGCAGACAGCAGCGGACTTACTGCGGAGTGTGAACTATCGGGACTATTGGAGGACGGCGGCCCGTGTCTTATGCTCTTGAATCTCATCGTCTGAGCAAATCGAAATGGACAGCTGCTTTTGTCTTTCCCACTCGCAAACTAGTCCTTGGACTTTGAGCACCATCTGATTGGTGAGGCTCTTAACTGACCATGACAAGTCCTCCAGCGATAGAATACATACAATCGCATGTGCTTGAGCAATTGTCTCAACACCGATCACGTTTTCCTGCTAGTCAATCCGTCCCACCTCTATTCATCGCTGTTCAAGGGCCTCAGGGAAGTGGAAAGACTTATCTGACTACCCTCCTACAAAGATCGCTTTCTGCCCCACCTCACAGCCTTTCTGTGGTTGTCCTTTCAATTGATGATCTTTACCTGCCTCACGATCAGCTTAACGCGCTTGCACAGGCGAATCCGAAGAATGCGTTGTTGCGAGGTAGAGGGCAGCCTGGAACTCATGACGTTGAGCTCGGAACGCGTATCCTCACTCGGCTGAAAGGCATCAATGAGGATGGCTCTAGCAGCATGGTCGAAATTCCTATCTTCGATAAGAGCTTGTTCAACGGAGAAGGCGATCGTCTGCCTGAAGGTACCACTGTTCGTAGACCTGTAGATGTAGTCCTTTTTGAGGGTTGGTGCGTCGGTTTTCATCCGACCACCCAGGAGGAAATCGATCGACGCTGGGAATCGCCTGTGCAGGGTCTCGGTCCCGACTTTTTCCCAAGTCGAGGCTTCCGTAAAGAGGATATCGTGGACATAAATGAACGGTTGAAGACATATTCTCACTGGTGGTCTTTCTTCAACGCTTTCATTCAGGTCAGTCCTAGCATGCCCCCTCGCCGAAGCATCTATCAAGTTATGTTTCCTCAGATAAAGCCATTAGAGTCTCATCCTTACGTTCACATCTACAAGTGGAGACTACAGCAAGAGCATAACATGAAGGCCGCGAATGGCGGCCGAGGAATGACAGATGCTCAAGTCGAAGCGTACGTTTAGAGTAATGAACAAGGGTGTTTCGAATCACGGACTTATTTCTATAGATTCATCGACCGCTATATTCCTGGTTATGTCTTCTTCGGAGATGGGGTAACGAAGGGTGAACTTCAGAGTGACGGGTCTAGACATCCTCCGCCATGGATCGGAAATGGACTTTGCATACAAATCGACGAGAATAGGGATATAGTGGATGTAAGCAGGTTCTGAATTGATGACAGAAGCTAGAGAGACATTTGCCCATTTACCGTCTACTTGAACTGATATCAAGCTACTGCTTGCCTTGCCACCGGTGCAAACGGAGGTCACATTTCGCGTTTCTTCCGGAAATCGTGTGTATTTGCTTCTCCTAGTGCGCGCACTTCGATCCTTCATTACAGATCATCACCCAGCCCTCGATGTGCCACAATATTCATGAGCATTCTTCGAGACGTCTGTCGACAAGTTCATACAGAGCCGAACACCCGATGTCGGATGATATTCATCAAGTCATGTTACGGAAGTCCAAGACATTCAACTTCTGCCATCCAGCCTCGGACCTGGTTGTCGTACCCAAAGTGTTCCCTCAATACAGACCTCAAGGAATGACATCCATCTTTATTACAAGGCAACCACGGATGTTTACGACGTGTAAGAATGCAATCTTGACATCGTCAGCCCGATGAAGCCTCTTGCAATCCTCACATTCCTTGTAGCGACGGTGAACCTGATCGTTTTCCTTGCATCCTTGCATCCCTAACTTTCTATACAGTATGAACACTAGACCAATATTCGTAACTCGTTTATCTTCTCTATTAGAGCCCTATTCGCCCTCCGCTCTGCTTCGACCACTGCAAGTTCTGGTCTCACGGAACCTACCTAATGTGCTGCAGAAGGGACTCTCTGACACTCTGTACGTTTTCGATATTCCACCCTTGCTGTGAGTGGCTGCGATGTCACAAGATTGATGAGCTTTGCGACCAAGTGGGGGGTATGTATGTTGTTCCTCGTGTGATTTGTTTTCTGTTGATGACTTACTACTGTTATTCGCTTCTTATTCGCCAGATGCGCGTTCGTGTAGGGTCTTGAGAGCTTCTAGTCCTGTCAGGCCTCCGAGTCGGATACATCGGTTGTGAAATGCGTTGGATACCTCGCTACCAGGAATACGATCTCTTGCCTATACAGGGTCATCTGAACCATGATTTGAGTGGGGAAACAAACTAAATTGACGGATTAATGAGCAGTACGTCCTGGATGACATCGCGCATTTGTCGGTGCCGTATACTGATGTCTGTCTGTCAATAACTTCATGCCTTTACCATGCCAGAGATACATACTCATGCCCACAATAAGTAACCGGCGCTAGACGCCCGGTGTGTCATGTCGCATTGATTTGCGGAGTGTGCAATACACTGCATACTCAATGGATGGTCCTACAAATGTATATACAGTATACTAGAGACCTACTCTACCCATATAAAATGTTAAAATTATCTGTGTCCACCATCAACAGCCAGGACAGCCTGAACTATGTTTGGCATCCAGCTGATGTGCCTGTTCACATCTTGTATAAGTAATTCATCCTTCAATCCAATTGAATGTGTTTGGGATGGGCTCAATTCAGCCCTGCATAATCTAAGGCACCCTATAAATACCCTAAAACACTCCAAGCTGCTGTCCATTACATATGGAATGAGTTACCTATAAAAGAGTGAACAGGCACATCAGCTGGATGCCAAACATAGTTCAGGCTGTCCTGGCTGTTGATGGTGGACACAGATAATTTTAACATTTTATATGGGTAGAGTAGGTCTCTAGTATACTGTATATACATTTGTAGGACCATCCATTGAGTATGCAGTGTATTGCACACTCCGCAAATCAATGCGACATGACACACCAGGCGTCTAGCGCCGGTTACTTATTGTGGGCATGAGTATATGGTAATCCCGATGCCTAAAATTCCTGCTCTGGACAACATTGATCAACTCCGGCCTTGACTTTGGAAATCATCTACACTCGAAAAGGGACCGTTGTCTTATGATGGTCCTCGGTATTCCGCTTCCACTGTTCCGCCTCGGGTCTGGTTGTTGTGCCTGAAGTGTTCCCTTAGTCAATGGAAAGAATATTTGAAGTATCTCGGCCCCTTCTAATATATAACAGTGCAGTCTTGACTCCCTCACTCACTTGCAATACTCTCCTCATTGATATCAACGGTGAGCCTTTCATATTAGTGACTTGATTCTCTTCCCAAACTTATCCCTTCATTGTAGTTACGAAATCAATATTTGCAATGCGTTTCTCCCTCTCTGTCATCTCCCTGGGAGTTCTATTCACCCTTGGTTCTGCCTCGACCGTCCCGGATTCAAGTCTTACGAAGCGTACCACCGGTTGTGCCGTGGAACAGGCTCTCTGTACCACTACGGGCCTCTTTCCCTGTTGCCCGGGGTTGCGTTGCAAAGCTCTTGTTGAAATATGCGACGCAGTTGGGGTGCGTTGTTCCTTGTGTGATTTAGACCCAGTCGATGACTTACGAGTGCTATTTGATTCCCATTTGCTAGATCTGCGGTCCTTAGAAGATGTTCCCGCTGAGAGTTTTTGACACCTGACAGAATTTGTCTCGTATGGTTTTTTTTGGGATCTGGGTTGGGTACATGGGATGTAGATCATGTTGCAATAATATGATTTCTTGCCTCTCAGGGTCATCTGAACTATGATTTGGGTCGGGAAATGAGCAAAATCTTCGGATCGATGAGCAGCACTGGATAAGTAAGGTATCTAACAGCTACTGGGGTAACAATGTGAACATGACAGAAGCAAAGCAAACGAAAGTGATATAAATACGGGTGTCCGGTTCACGGGGTAAATGGACAACAAAAGTAGCAGGGGAGTTTTGAAAACGTAAGAGCTCATGAGGAGTCATAGAAAACACTCAGGTATCGCGAAGTAGTAGGGTATGCCTGAAAATGTAGATTTAAGCCAATGTGACTATGAGGATGGAGTAGAAAAGCAACTCACCGCCACCTAGTAGCGGTCATACTTGCGGTATCCGCAGCAACGACATGCTACAGCACTCAGCAGTATGACACTCATCCATGTACATGCCACCGCTGCTACAACCATCCAAACTCCATTACCCCAACCAACAGTAACGATGCCTGAAGTGAGGTCGCTCACTCGATCCTTTGCCACGATCGTCAACGCCAGATCGGCAGCGAGGACAACGCTGGAGACGATCGCCGTGACAATGGTAATTAACAGAGATAGGATGGACATGCAATGTGATGCGAGGAATAGCGAAGTGAACATGCCGATGAACGCTAATCCTGCGCATACGGGATGAAGGATGAGTAGGACAGTCAGTCCTTTAAGGACAGTATCCGCTAGCTCAGGATGTCCTGTCAAGGCAAGCAAGTCCTGGGGTATGTTGTACCCAAGATGAGCTGGTGTGCAACGGCCGTCATTGCCGAAAACGGTCGGTAGATTCAGTTCGCTGCTGGCGCAGAAACCCCATACACCAAAACGAATGTCGGTAGCGATGGAAGTTGGCGGTTGGGTGGGCTGAGTGCCGAAATCAAAGACGAATAGGTATATGGCCTTGATGATTGGTATTGAAAGAGCGACGAGGAGGAATAAGACAAATGAAGCCAGGAGAAATAGGAAAGCCCATATGGAGGTTCCGCGATAACGAGAGAGAGGGCGACCTCCATGGTGGTGATGATGGTGAGACATGATTGTTTGTTCACCTACACTCACCAGGGACCTGACGCTTTGTCGACGTGGACCTGGGTATCAGAGGATGGACGTATTTTTTTGTTTGGCAGCAGCCTTTATGATGAACGTCGGTGAGTGCTGCCCGCTCGCGTCCGTCCTATAGTACTGCGCTCGCTGTTAAAGCAAACGTTCCAGCAATGGTTACGAAGTCTCCCACAGTTGTTTTCCAGGGCGGTGAATTTATACCCTCATCCGCTTCCGCACCGCATCCGTCCTCGATTCAGGCTTCCTATATACCTTTTCATGTCGTTGCCGCTCTCTTCAGGCTAGCTTGGCATCCCAGATCTTTCAAGCGACTAAATCCGTGCGACCCGGAGGAAGAGGGGGACAGATGAAATGGGCCAATATCTAACGCCCAACTTGAATGTTGAGTTGACTTGAAATGGTCGACTTTGAAATGACACCCACGGTCGATCGCAATGTGGCACTGTAACCGGCTTATCGTGGATACAAATACGTGCTCGTTTTATAACATTTCGTTGAGCATTGTGTGAGTAGTTTCAGTAACGTGGAACACAATTGCTAATCACTGTATTCAGTGTCGTTGACGCAGGTGGCAGTGCATCATGAATACCTGCTTGGCGTCGGAGAAATAACGACTCCGTCGAGGTCTTTGGGTCATCTGAGGCTGATTCTTTGCTGCGCTGTCCCTGCGTACCTGCCGTTAGTTAGCAGGTCCAGCTCACTCGGGCAACGTGCAATAATGGATGTCACGAAAGGATCATATGGTCGACTGTTCTTCTCGAGTTTATCAGTTATTGCCGTCAGTCTACAAGGTGTTCGAGTCTCCTTGAAATCTGCAATATCCGATGGTACATAAGTGTTCCATCTATTGCCTCGATATTTGCAATCTTTTCAGGATATTGTACTGGCCAATCCGAATTGCGGCGACGTGCTTTGATAACAATCTACCCGAGTCTTGTATATATCGGATGCCATATTCCTAAAACTGTTGCTTTCTCACCCGTTGAAGCTCCGGCTTATGACGATTGCACAAATCAACAAAGACCTTGGTCAATACTGGGGCCAACTAACTGACGTAGGAGTTGCTTTGAATGACGACCCAACTCTCTCTCCTGCATGAGGTCTTCCTGGACTATCGCCTTGCCTCTGCACTTTCCTGCTTGACGAATCAAGGGTGCCTGAATATTTCCTCACGAAGTATTTGGTGATGAAGAACACACAATCGAAAAGTACCTCTTCTCCGACAGCATTTTCATTGGCATTTCAGGCGCAGGGGCTGAGCACTTACACTGGCAAACCGCTATTCCCGGCCAAATCTTGTCCCCGTTTAGTTATGCATAGTCCACGATTATGGGTTGACTCTGGCATAGCTGGCTTCTATTCAGGACAATCGAGTCGCTGATTACATGCAACAACACTTAGATTCTCCCGGTCGCTCGTCTCCTGTGAATAGCATACGATGTGACTAATGTGGCGCGGATTCACAACAGAGGCATGGTCTTACCCCAGTTCCAACGTGAACGAGCCTTCGAAGACCGCTTTGTTATTCGCCTATCACATTACATGCCTTATAAGTATATGAAATGACTATTTTCAAACCTGCCTATGTTAGCAATGTTACCTAGGTGAGTTTTATGCCGGACTAGCAGAATAGTTACCAACGCCTTGTCTTATATCTTAGAAATTTTAGCATTCACGAAAGTGGTCGAATTCCTCGGGCCGACAGGTTCAGGACTGTAGATGGTCGGGCGACGAGGAGCATAGCACTTACGTCGATGCTTGGGCATTTCATCACAGTTTTAGGCTCGCGAACCTATCAAGCAGATCATTCTTGGGACATCTCGAAGTTCACTGGGTTATTCGATTTTATACAATTTCGATGCGCCATCTGATGAGCACATTGATTCTTGTCATAACATACAGAGACTTTACTGCATTTGGCAATAGAGAGGTGAAGCGCTGCACAGCCATGTCATCGTGTTTTACGAAGTCAGACCAGTGTCACCTTGACGCTGATTAGTATTATTTCGGGCTTGGCTGAAGGAAGCACTCATGCTTATAATTTCTGTCTTGAACGTTATACGTCTCTCGTGGGCAGGAGATTGATACTTCACTGTCTCCGGCGCGGTCGAAATGCCTGTCAATACTCTGACTAGCGAGGCCGGGATCAAGATTGGCCCAATTCTCTTGGAGACTCTTGTGAAGCATTACTTTGAACGCACGTTGAAGCACAGCTCTTCAGGCGGGAAGGGTTTGACCCAGCTAAGGCAGGATGAACTGTTGTACGACGAAGCGTTCAATATAGTGAAGGTGAGCCTCCCGATCTTTCTTGCGGGAATGTCATGTCTGACGTCTTGCGTGCTTGGACAGGCCTTTTTGGAGGCATCTACGAAGTAGGCAATTACCTCCATCCTGCTGTTATTGCAGGGTCTGATAGTACATGATAGACATCCTGTTGAAGAGCTGCAGCGGTTCTCTAACATGCGTACTCTTTCTCCGCCTTGGGTCCTTGTCGTGAAAGTCTGTGTACCAATGTCATGCTGTGATGAAGCAGCAACGTTCCTAATCAAGGCGTTCGGCGGGGAGGAGATCACCAAACGGCTTGTCGGAGGTACCAAATGGTGGCAAGTTCGTGGTGTGAATGGGTAAGTCTTGTGTTGCTTCGTTTGATATCTCCTCTGATTAGAGTTCAGGGTCGACGCGGAATGGATCGCTGCCAAGAAAGACTGGGACATGGCTGAGAAGCGCTTCAAGGCCCACGAGAAAGAACGCTCCGGCACAAGTGATGCACACAGGTCTGAAGGTCCTGAGGAAGGTGTCCATTCAGATGCTTCAGGTCATTACCAGCCAGAGATGGACGAAATGAGATGCATTCTGTATGCCCACGGAGGTAGAACGCTTCTTCCGCAAAAAAAGAATCAATTGCATTTATTAACGTATCATGTTTCTATGCAGGCGGGTACTACTTTGGAAGCGTGGATCAAGAGAGGTGGGTTCGAATGAAGAGCTCGTATGTTTTTGGCTCATACAGGTGGTCCACAGATACAGCATTCAGCGACATGCACGCAAGATCAAAGGTCGCGTTTTCGGTATGATCATATTTCTTCTTGTGCAAGTATGAGCTCTCGTCCCCTAATGCACTTTTCTAGCGATCAACTACCGCTTGGCTCCCCAATATCCGTTTCCTTGTGCTCTCCAGGACCTCTTAGCCGCATGTAGGGACTTCATTTTCGCTTTGATAATAGAAGCTGACAGTATCTAGATTTGTTCCTCATACGACCACCAGAAGGGTCCTCCCACCGCCCTGTCAAGCCTGCACATATCGTTGTTGCAGGAGACTCTGCCGGCGGAGGACTATGTCTCGCTTTATTGCAAGTTCTGCGCGATACTGGCCTACCTCTGCCAGCCGGAGGGGTCCTAATATCTCCATGGTGTGATCTGACACATTCATTCCCTAGTGTACACCTCAATACTGCAACAGTGCGTCTATCTGTATCACCACATTTTGAGTTCGGTGTTGATCATAAACTTAGGATGTTATACCACCGTACGGATTGTCATTATACAAGCCCAGTCCGCTTTGGCCGCCGCCTCCAGACGAATTGGTTACAACAGTACAGGAAACTGTACGATCGCGAATACGACACGCTGTTGGTCTCAGCACGAAAGACCGTGAGCCGAGCTTGAAGTCACCAAATCTTTCCCATGACTCTGCCCATTCTGCGCAACGCAACTCTTATGAGCCGTCGTCACCTCGCGCCTCGCTACATTATGATGTACGACTTCCACAAACCGGTCAAACGCTACATCTTGGCTCTGCGGCTGAGCTGCCTGCTCCGGACTCCGTTTTCCGAAACCAGTCGGTCTCTTGTCAGACCGAGGATGGAAAGATCCTTACCATAGATGACCAAATCCACCTATATGCGCCGAACTATCTCCTTGCCCACCCGCTTATCAGTCCTGTCGTTTCGTACCTCGGCGGTTTGCCTCCATTGTTTATCATTGCGAGCGACAAGGAGGTACTTCGAGACGAGATCATATATCTGTACGTCAGATTCCAGCATTGTTACTCCGTGGTACGAATCTCCTCATTCGACTTTTGAAGTGCCCACAAGGCAGCATATCCTGATAAATACCCAATCAAGGAGGAAGCTCGGGCGATATACCCTGCGCTCGTTGGTATAGAAGAGAGATATGGTCCAACCCAAGTGCATCTACAAATCTTCGACGGTATGTTCTGGGTGCACTTTTACCTGGAAGCCGTAGCTCATTTTCTGTAGATACGGCACACATACTTCCAGTCCTGTTCTCCTTCACAACCCCCGCCAAGTACTGCTATCGAGCCGTTGCTACCTTCATCAAATTTGTCACCGGCATGTTGCCTCCATCGATACCTGAGGCAGATAGCCTCGATGATATTCCGATGGTACATTCTCCATTGAGTACCCCTCCAAGAGAGGCCAGCCCCGCCAGTACTCCGCCAATACCCAGCGTACAATCTGAACCATCATTATCGAGTGAAGCCCCTCGTCAGCGTAGTCTAACTATGCGTGTTCTGGCAGAGGATGAACATAGGGCAGGAAGGGTATCACTTCGCAGAGCTTTCAGTGCTCGCTTTACGAAGGCCTCGGGCAGCTACTTCCAGCAGTCGAAACCGAGACAGGCCCCGAACGGCAATCGATATGGCTCGGAAGACGTCGCTGGCCCCAGGTTCCTCGGTTCTACGGACTCAGAGATTGGAAGAGAGGGGTCGCGTACGGCAGGCGAGCCTTCCGTATATGCGAACGGTTTGGTAAGCATGTTTCTCTTGATAAAAAAATTTGGACTTATCCTGACGAGTTTATAGCAAACTATTATACGAGAAAGAGTATCGACTCGAGGCGTTATTCGCCCTCTGGAACCAGAGAGCGAACTACCCGCTTTCAGCCTTCCTCAAGAATTGATTGGAGTCATTTCGGAACTAGCGATGCGGAGGTACCTTGACGGGCGAGTGAAATTTGACAAGAAGTTCAGCAGCACTACGAAGTCTATCGCTAAGCATCGCCGACGCAATTTGGAGCTGGCGAAGAAGAATGCTGTGAAGAACATGACCCAGCTGCAGACATATATAGAAGAGGGAAAGATTCATCAAGGCGCTTGCGAGAGGCTCAGGGGTGTCAAGGAGGGCACGCTTGACAGCTGGAGCTGGGCGTGGGCATTGGATGCAGATGAACACCCTCCTCCCAGCAGCATTGTGTCGCGTAGAGACACGACTGAGGCTGTCGAATTGGCTAGGATTGCTGACCAATCGGTCCTCGTCGAAGAGCACATGTTATCTGGGAACAACCTCTGGTCGATGATAGTCAACTTCCTAACTGTGGTACCAGACAAGAAGCATCACCATCATCACCTGCATCTCCATCGCCATAAGCACGGGCATAATGAGGATGGCAAAGAGAAGCACGACGATCGACATTCCAAGAGAGAGAGATTCATGTCAATGTTCGCCCACTTCTCTAAGGAGCAGAAGAGAGCTTCCTATTCAAATGCAAACTCGCCCGTAGAGGAACATAGACAACGTTGAACACGGACGATTGGGATGAATCTTTGGGCTTCGTATTCTTTGCCTGCGACGATGTAGAAATTAGACTGACACCATATTCTGGACCTTGTTGCACACCCATTAGTACCGTAGTATCACCAGTCTCCGTTATTGATCACCTTCTTAAGGATATGCCCCTGAGGTGGTGTTGTTTCCGTCTACGTCACTGTGACGCTTCGTATGAGTGAAGGCGGCACTGGCAGGCCATATACCCCTGTCTATCGCCACTTGTCGTCAACTGTCTCAGCGATTGCGCATTTCCATACAACCCTCACAGTCAAAACACAGGATTAAATCATAATGGTTGATACTTGCACTTGTCAGAATAATTGCAGGTGAGTCTTATGGACCGAGCTTGCCATCGCACCGTGCTCAGCTGGTTTCTACAGCGCATGTGGCCCTTCTGGTACAGGATGTGCTTGTCCCAAGGATAAATGCGAATGCGCAGACTGCCCTAACAATGCAACTAAGGCCCATGCCGAGAGCGTACGTTTCCATATCAATACCTCCACAGTCACTTAGTTGATAATATGGATTGAATAGTGTGCTTGTGGTGGAAGCGGTCAGGGGTGCGCTTGTGGAAAGGATTGCAGCTGTGGTAAGGCTTGCACCTGCTCAGGAGACTGCACCTGTGGAGGAAAGGCTTAGCAGGCCTTAGGGCTTGATCGTGGACGTTTCAGCATCTATAATTCCGAAGCGCATGTGTACGATAGTCAGCAGACCATGTATGTGTTTTACTGTATTGAACCAACTCATTAGCCAGTCAAGAGAGTGTCAGTAGTGATGACGTTATAAGTCTGTTATACCACTGCACCGCGGCGGAAGATCTGCTGGCTAAGTCTGAAATAATCTCGATCCAGTTTGCACTGGCGAAATTATTCCTGCGTCCTGTAAAGCAGCGAAGAAGTCGAATAACATCAAATCCTGCAGAAACAAGAAGTTTATCAGATCCTAGAGTTTAAACACTGGCGAGACCGTTGCTTACACATCCTTTGGCAGCAATGAAGCTCAAGGAAACAGGAAGGAACTCAGTCACACCTGAGACAGTGGAATTGTACGCGAGTTCACCAACTATAACCTTTCTCAGGTACCTGGTGTGTATCAGACCAACCGAGGATACTCACTTGGAACTACCATGTCAGGCGTCTCTGCATACACAGCGATTCTTCCCGAACTGAAGCCAAAAGGCACGCCAGGTGGGCTAACAAACACAAATGAGCCAGGGAATCGGGAGAACGCTGATCCGCATACTAACTGACCTTCGGTACTGATCCCGATAGTTCGTGCGGCCAGAGCTTTGAGGATACAAGAAGATACTCTCCGAACACGTCGCATTGTCAGACTTAACAACCTGAGTGGCGAACCAATCCATGAAGATAGATTTGTTCACTAACGCCTCATTCTTCTGAGTCGCTGGCAGAGTTCGTCCATATCCCCACCGCGCAAGTGGAGTCGGATTAATGAAAGGTGTTCGACCATCATGAGCCACCTTGTAATCGGCAATGAAAGGATCTGCCACCAGAGCGATCTGATCCAAGGTAATGATATCAGCATAAGTGGTATTCAAGAGGAGTTGTAAGCTCGGAGCGGTAACATTCGCTGGTTTAGTAGTGTTCCACATATTAGAGAAATTGATTTCTGTCCTATTCGTGCCCAGGAAAGTCTCCATCTTGTTGATGAAGTCATTGAAAAGGGCATTAGCAGTTCCTGGACGTGGCGGGTTTGAGAGGAAACTTTGACCAAAATCATCAATTGGAAACAGGATCGTTTTGGGAAATGATGTGAACTGTATATCCCGATGAGTGTTGGTAGTAAGACAATGTCCGCGGACAACACCTACAGATGTGAAGTTTTGGTACCACCAGTGTCCAGCAGTCGCCCAAGACTTCGCATCTCTCGCAAAGATGCCACCGGTGTCCAGCTCCGGCGAGAGGGGCATCACATCATCCAGAGGGACAGCCCCATGGGAGGGCCTGTTTCCGAAGACCCCATTAGCCCCAGAAGGTCCTCGCATGGAGCCTCCAGTATCTGATCCGATTGCATGGTCAAGCCAAGAATATGCACCCATGCTAGTACCAGAGCCAGTGGAAGAACTAGAACCATCTTGGTATCCATCACCACGCGCATTGTACGGTGCATGAAGGTCCACCCAATCAGCCGTAGCAACTTCGCCATTCGCGAATTGTGAAGTTTTTGTTTTGCCAACGAGCACCATGCCGCCGTCTAAAAGACGCTGTACGGCAGGCGCTGTTTTGTTTTTGGGCGGATAAAGCTCGTAAAATGCCCTGTTGCCACATCCGGTCCGAAGACCTTGCACATCGTAGATGTCTTTAACGGCAAGACGTTTACCTGCTAGAGGCTTTTGTGCGGTGGGAGTGAAATAGAGCCTTGAGGGAACAGCAATGCTCTCTGTGGCGGCGCCGCCGATGTGAGCAGAGAGTTCTTGGAATCCGTCATGCCCGTCTGATATCGTTCCGTACAGAAAGGCCTGATTCTCATCATTGTATAAGCGTAAAGCTTAACTGAGGTCAGAATAGAAGCCGCAATGCTGGAAACGAATAAACCTGCCTTGAAACACGTTTCCGGAGATGGCGTCAACAAAATACGGACCTGGTGCGAGCTTCTCCGAGACTCGTGTACCTGAAGTGTATTGTTTGGAAGTCAGGACAATCTGAGTACCTAAGCTCTTTGCCACATTAGGCAAGGAGATTGAAGGAGGACTTCGAGAGGTGCCGTTAAACGAGACGAAGAGTCCTAGACAGACCGTCAACAATGGATGAAGATCGTGGTACTTTCGCCAATGGAACTTTACCTGTGAGGAAATATCTGCTCCAGACATCATCCAGCGTTTCCCATGTGTGCAACGTTTTCTCGAGGCTATTTTCATCTAGATGAGCAGTCTCAGTAGTAAGAGCTGAGAATGGTATTAGCGCTCCCGCGAACGTCCGTCCTATAGACTGTATCAACTTCTGTGTCTTGATGTCTCCAATGAGCTGAAGCTGGGAAACAGGCGAAGGAGGAACGAAGTAAGAAACGCCGCCTAATACCAGCGTCCTTCCTGTCAACTGAAATGTAACTTGAGCTCCGCCGACCAGAGTCAAAGCAAAAGCGAGCCCAATATATAGACGACCAAGAACGTCCATAGCGCTTCGAGTGAAGGGATGTGACATTCCCCAAATCTCTTCACTGTGCGTTTCATTGTTAACTTATACAGCCTGTACTGATAACGAAAATAGGTCACCTCTTCCGGAAGCGAGAACACAGTGCCTGCGACATTCAGTCACCAGGATACTCGTGCTTGGCGGATATGGAACGGCATGGTCATATCGATGGTGACGCTTGATCAGACATAAGCGTTAGGATTTAGCATATACGCATACAGCGTATCTGGTGCTGAATTGCAGCCTGAGAATTCGTCAGGGTAGCTTGTTCCATTAAGATATCCGGCTGATTGACAGCATCTATGATACCATGATTTCATCAGCGTTATGCTAAATAATGATGATGTTTACCACGCACGGTCAACAGGGCGGCAAGCAATCGAAAGACGCACATTCAAACCGCAATGTCATTAGTAGTATTTTTTTTTCTTTTACCGCGCTATCTTGCAAAACGTCTTATCTGGAACCCATCACGAGGGACGTTCAGTCATAAACCCATTGTTCCAGATATTCTGGGATATCTCGTAAGCAACGCATGGGAGGCAAGACAACTACATGCTGCTAGAAGGGAGATAAGCCGTCAACATCCATCTCATCACCTGACCGCGACTTCGTCAACGCATGACCAATGCGTCGGGGGCCTTCAAGTCGCATTTCTGCGCGACTGCACAGATGTGTTGAGAACGCATCGCGGGAAAAAGATAGGTCAACTCGTTCGGAAATGCTTCCCATCGTAGACAGCTGGTTGGTCCGACCAAAATTAAGCCTTGCAGCGTGTAGTTAGCGAGGCTTTCAGAAGGTCAACAACAAAGAACCTGAGACGCATCCAACTCACCACGGTGACAAGTGGAACCGAAGCAACCGCCACTGCTCTGTGGGATGGTCAAATATTGAATCAAAGAGCCACACCTTTGCATCATGCCTGCACGAGTAGAAATGAGAGGCACAGTTCTTTGTTCTGGACTTACATTTATAGGCGAATGAAGATGAGAGTCTGCTTCACGCATACCACACACCTGTTTCTGCCATTCAACTTACATTGTACCATGAGTTTAACCATCGCTGCCATTGCAAGCATTTCGCTCATTGCCTATGCATGTCTGGTGCCAGGTATGTACCACATAAGCATGTATAGCGCCTCAGCGAACCCTTACAGAAGTTTCAACAGCACCTGTTCTAGTATATGACAGAGAGAAGAGCCGAGGTATCAGAGAGTCGGAGCAAACCTATCCAGACGAGCTTGACGATATAGAGAGGTTACGCTACCCCGCGATAACTCGAACCATGGCAGGGTCGATTCCGTTGGCTGCACAGCTGGCGTGGAAGTAGTTCTCGTTCGATACACAAATAAACAATGTATCCAGGTTTCATTCTTGTTAACGTACAATAGCAGATGAAAGAACAAGATTTGTTGAAAGCCTAAGTCAAGCCAGCGTGTAAAACGGAAAGAGCATTTAGCAATAAGCCTTGGGCGAATAGAGACGGATATCGAGAAAAGCTCGGTCATAGTTTCAATATTCGATGCATGAGAGAACAAATGTAAAGGATCCACTGAAAGAGAGAAGCTAGCTCCAGAGAAACAACATTTTTAACGGCAGTCGCCGAGCGTCGCGTTGCCTCGTGGATTGCAACTGCAACTTGAACCTTTTTCCAAAACAGGTTGTCCCTTTTACTCTCACTTAGGAAAAGTCACCAATCTCTTCTTCTTCGTCCTAACCATGACCTTGTCTTTCGTTTGTTCTCAGTTAGGATCGCTAAGGCGACGGGCCGGCGAACGTATAAGAATGACAATTGCCAAGTGAGAATGACGGGCAAGCTCGTTGAACGAAACCGCCGTCATATTTGCTGCTATTCTACCATAGCTGAAGCCCAAGACTTCAAAGTCTCTCCCTAAACCTTATACTGTCTTACCTCGCCCTGCAACCGTTTCTGATATGTATTCTCATACGCTCGCGGTTATCGCGATTACCATTCTTTCATGCTCGTTCGCTTTAGGTGAGTAAATGTCATCGCATCTTTCATAGGCGGTTTATCCATTCTCTTCATAATCCAGTTTCTTCGTCACCGATTGATGAAGTGAATGCTAACATTCTCGCGATGAAAAACAATCTCGGATGCACGTCACCAAATGGATGCCAGCGGGTAAGCGTCACGCCCATTCTCCACAGCCGGCATGTTCTGATAGCTCCCTCCCTAAAGAATGCAACAATAGATGATGCTGTAACGTCCGGGGTTTTGGCTGCGATTCCGCCGCGAACGGCGCCGGTAGTCGTTGCTGCTCTTGCAGGTGGTCTGGTAGCGTCACTGCTATGAGCTGAGTCTTGGACATTGATATTTACTTCACCATGAACTATATAACTGGGCACACGCTGCACATTCATAAATTATTCCATAATCCTCGTTCTTTCATCAGACCCGTTCAAATTCCATTGTCTCGCATATACAGATAGCTTTGTCAATTTTACATGTCATACTCTTGTCAGTTGACCTCGGTGAGATCGTATGCTAGATGGCCTCATGCCTTGAAAAAATCACCGTACGAAATGTTGGATGGTTTTCCAAGTTCTTTGTGATCTTTCTGGTTGGTGTCAAACGCGATCTACGATCGGCATCAGAACTCCGATCGCGTTTAGATCAGAGAGTCGAGTCATTCTCGAACTTACTTCGACCATCCGACAGTTGCTATCCTGGGATGCTAAGACGATAGCTTGAGGACTAAGGAACAACATAATCATACCTTAGGCAAGTCAAGGAACACAATACATTCAATTGACTCTATCAGAAGTGGATTCTGATGTCGACGTATAGGGACCACACTCATTTCGGTGAGAAAGAAATAACATAACGCACTGGGATGTCGGCGTACGGAGCCATCAACACGGGACGAAAGTCCAAAGATCCGTTACCCTCTACGATATGGCACACCAAAACGAAGGGTTCACAAGCAGTTGTGCCTCAGTCAAGTTACTTGACAATTCACCACGTTACCCTCGCGTCAGCTCAGAACCTTCCAGGTTTAGTGTTCTATCTGCACGAGTCCTTCGCAGAAGAACTTGAACGAGGGCGCACATACCCACAGGAAATTTTGCAAGGCGAACTCTACGCTCAAAACGCGTTTGAAGCCTATTTCTTCGCTGCGGACGTCCTGGTTGCCGTTATAGGACAAGATGTTACGGTTCCCGAGGGGAAGACAGACGGAAGCACGATAATTAAGACCATTGAGGAAGCGAGGGGCGGACGCGCCTGGAAAGACTGTATAGCAGGAGCTTACTATGTGAGGATCTCGTGTTTCCCCTTGTCCGAAGAACCAAGAACTGGGGCTAATTTGTGTGTGAAACGAAATCAGGTGAAACCAAACTACCCCGGCCGTTCATCTCATGTACAAACCCTAAGTCCTACTCAGCCCTCTATCGCCATGACCATCTGATCCTCGCTCACCTATCTGCTGTTTTCTTACCGACAGATCTGCAACGCAGGCTTCCTCGTTCCAGCCTCACAGCGTAGTCGCGGATTCGGAGCCGTCCTGGCACGTTCTTACCTGTACTATGGTCCCCGTTTAGGATTCGAAGCGAGTGTGTTCAACCTTGTATATGTTAACAACGTTGCCAGCGTAAAGTGAGTTTGCTTGTTCTAGATCTTGTCCTTATCGGTGTGGATGCGGGATGTTAGGGTGAGGGTGCGAGGGTGATTGGCGAACTGACTTGTTCTGTCTTTAGACTCTGGGACGCATTGAACTTCAGCAAGGTTGGGAGAATTCCGAGGGCTGGAAGGCTGAGAACTGCTGATGGTATGGGCGAGGAATATGTCGATGCATGGGTCATCTACAAACAGTTCGACAAGGCTGTAGACGGAACAAACTAAACAAACATTTCTCCTTGCACAATGCTCGGCTACCTTGAAAGGAGAACTGACCTATTGTTCGCTCAAATCATGTTGATGTTGATGAACAGGTACGTCCGTCAGCTGAAGTATTTCGGCCCACGGTGCACCCCGAGTTTCCAACAGAAAATTTGCACTTCTTGCAAGTTCTTGAGAATGGAAGACAGTAGGCGACTCAGTGGCCGAGGCCGGAATAAAATAACGACGAACTACATCTGATCCAGGGATGGTGCGACTTCGTCTCCATGACCAAGTCGAAACCTTTGACCATAAAGGTTGCCCTTCTGCCATTCACGTAAAATTGATCTCCAATGGGACAATCACTGTTCGGACAACAAGGCCGGCGGAGCGGAGGTCTCCCAACCCAAACAAGACGCTACAAATGAGTTCATTTCCGAAACTTCTAGTACCTACAAGTGAATCTACGCGAGGGAAAGACTAATGACAGGAAAGGGCAAAAGGTACACACCAAGGGGCGTATCGAGGTTCCGAGGTTCCGAAGTTTCTAAATTGTTCTACTTATTGCTCTATAGCTCGGCTTCGGGTAGGGTCGGTTCTCCGTGAGCCTGTGGTCGTGGTCGTGGCGTTTTACGTGGTAGTCATGAGTGTGTATACAAATGCACTGCAATACAACGGTTGGTTCCACGTATTCATGCTGGCTCGCCGACCTGCTGCCACGACTATGGAACATGTTTTGAGATACCGGCAATGAATGTCAGATAGGCAACACCCTCGACGGACAGGAATGAGGAGAAAGAAGGTAAGTAAGTTGCCGTAGAGTCTTTCATGTCGTTAATGCGTGGACTCGAGGTGCACGAGTAAAACTCCAGAAGACTGAAGATCGATGAAACGCGGATATAGACCATCATGAAGCGATAGATGAACCACTATTCCTCTAGCCCGAGGATAGCTATGGAAGACGATTCTCTCCCCCATAGAAGGCGTTCTTAGTCGCAGACCGGTGGAGTGTTGACTGAATCTCCAGGTCCCGCGAGCATTTTCACGATCGAACACGTTGTCTGGCAGAAGATACGACTAGCAGATAGCAGAAGCGACAAGTAACTACCCGCGAGTCACGCAGATGGAGAACGACGACCTTAATAAAAGTCAATCAAACATGTGTTGGGGGACCCATAAAGACGACGCTTGTCTTGATGTAGAATGGTCCCTCCAAGTCCCCGACCATGCGCCTTTCAATTGTGATTTTGGAGCGAGCTTCCGGAGTCTGATGGATGCGTGCTGTACCGAAGTCCTCCGATCAACGGGCAGAAAACAGGAGTCTGAATGCCTCCGCGAGCCTTGGACGCAGATGTTCAGCGAGGCGGCGTTGAGTACGTTGAGGTCGAGAGAATTGAGTATAGCCTCTTTGAAATGGACGGAGATACTGTTGATGGGCATGGACAGAACCCCGAAAGAAAACAACGTGGTGGAGGCCATAGACGAAGTGTGTCCGAGTCCAAGCTGCAGCGACTATCTATTCGTTCCTAAGCCATTCATGGGCATCTCGGGTGAAGTCAAATGCATCATGCACTACGATGATCAGTCTGCCAACAAGAGATAGCAAGAGGCACAAAGGTATTCATTTAGATGAAAAGGACTAAGAGCAACAAATGCCATGGCAAAGCAATGCTTGTGTCCTAGAAGCAAAAGTTCACTTGTAATCTTTTTAGTACAACAGAAAGCTGTCAGTTCCAATGATGGTGGTAAAGAGCCACGTACCAAAGAGACCGTGATACCACCACGCAATGAGCGGTCCGACATCTTGAGGACCGTGGAGGTACACATGGAAAGAATCTTTGTTCTGCAAAGAAGAGACTTTCTATATGTACGCAGTAAAGATCCCGAGCGACTCTCCTCGGCGGTGATAAACGCGAAGTTATCACCATCACAGCCTACCGAAGCTAGGAAGTGGCCAGTATTCCAATGTCAATGAAATAGCAGCATTCGAATAACAGGTAAGGCTCAACGCTGGCTGTAGATGTTGAAGGTTGAAATTGGACATGAATGGATGTCCAAATGTCAATATGACATGCCCATTCCATGCGTAGTCGGACACGCTTTCGACATCGTCCTGTTGTCCTTGTCCTCGTCCTAGTTCACGGCATAGGCACCTGCGTGCGGAGTATCCTTAGAACGTGAATGACAAAAAGGCGAAATGACCAGACGGGGCGCCGCAAGATGAAGGAGTAACAAAGCACGTTGTCCTCATACATACGTAGCCGCCATACGGTATGATGAAGCCACCCTGTCATAAATGTCGTCCGTACCTGCACAAAGCACAAAGAGAGCGCCGCATTCAGCTGGATCAGCCCATGACGGGAAAAGACTCTCAATGCTGTGTATGAGAGAAATGCAAAGATGGATCGTCTGATCAACAACGTGTGAGAGTCTTCGGGCCTGAGGCATTCAGATAACGCAAACGAACCACCTGAGCTCGAGCCATGTATGTTCTTTACCTTGTTCGGGTCTGCACATCCTTATGAGGATGGCCTTGAGGTGGCGGCACCAGGTGGAGACAATGCCGCAGATCAGAAGGGTGAGACTTTAACCCTTCCCCCAATCGGCATTGTGTGAATGCGATGTCGAGTTAACTTTCCCATCTGCTACGGTGTGGAGGAGTCATTTTCCATAATCGATTCGCGAACTCCTCTGCGGTGATGATGATAGAACCCTTGACAACTGCAACAAAGATGAAAGAGGCTGTTATCCTTGTATTAGACGAAGAGTCGGCATTCACGGTCTGCGGTAACCCACAAAGTAGAGTAACTAACAGTTGGCGGTGAGACAGTGTGAACCCGGGCGCACTAAGAGCAGTAAGGAAGTTCGCGGCATGCAGTCCTTGGCAGATGCGAAACACGAAAACTGCATGTCGAGAGAATGACGAGCTTCTCGCTAATCTCTTCGAAGTCGACTGGTATCTTGACGCAGAAACAAGGCCTTCTGTTCCCAAGTCTTTGACAGTACGATAGTATACGTACAATATTTAGAAAACGTGGGTATATGCGGGCCAATTCTGTGATAAAACCATCATTTACTATGAAGCGGTTGCTCACTACCACAGTCTGATAGATATCCAGGAAAGAGCATAGCAAAATAAGCCTGTATGTTGGGGTGGTAGTAACGGATTGTCTCAGAGTTCGTACTGTACGGCGGCCCGTAGCTATAGCACTGAGTAGTAGGGTCCTTAACTTTTACTAGTTTAGGACGCCACCAAAAAAAAAAAAAAAAGAGCAAAAGTAAATTGACGTCAGACCTATACTGTACATTTCACAAAACACGCATAAATCATAAGGAACAACGCACACAAACTTTAGCCTTTGGGGGTACCGGTCATCCCGAACAAATCACACCCGCTCAATGTCTAAATTTCTGATGTCACGACCACAACACGACGACCGCTCGCCCACCAACGATCCATCAACCAGGCCAATTTCATGGATTGGGAGGTACTTACTGTATACGTATCACGGGCCCTCGGTCCACAAAAGCGTCAGGTTGTATTGCATGCATATCAAACATATCAAACGATCATGACGAAAGAAAAAGATGGTGGCTCACCCTGCAACATTCGAAAACATATAAAGCACACATCGCACACATCATATCAGACGGTTTCCCGGTTTCCTAGTTTTCCTAGTAGAATGCACGTGTTCGACTGTAACGTACAGGGTACCCCGGTAGTGGTACTCCTTTGGCCCCTTTGACACTGGACAAGCGTTCACGAAGATGGCCCATCACGCATCAGCCATGAGGTTTTTTGGATAAGCGTTATACAGCAAATTATACTCACATGTACAGGGGCAAAAAAAAAAATGGGATGAGGGCGCTCTGAGTTTGACTGTCAAGTATCATTGGAATTCAGGGTCTCTTCACTGTGTCGTGACGAGTAATACTTAGTCTGAGATTTGAGACTGGAACTGGCGTTTACGTGTTTGAGCAAAGGAACTGTAACGGGCGTAACGCCACCGTCGGAGGATCATGGAAGAAAGAAGGGCAAGGGCACCTGAACCAACTTCGGCGAGGAGACTCGGAGACCATGTTTCAACGAGGATAATACGCCCGCTCAATCTTCGCCCCCAAGTAAAACCCAGTCCGCCGCCGAAGGAGTGAATCGTGCCATTGATGCCAGCTGCCAAACTCGTAGCTAGGCGTCTTGAGAAGCATAAAGTTTGTCCGTTTGTCGTGCGTGCATCACCGGATGACAATACAGTAGATGATGGTGATAGTGTTCAACTTGTTGCTTGTTCGTTTTACGTCTTTGTCCTATACAAATATGCGTATATGTTTTTCGAAGTTAGTTCGAATCATCGAATACAATGTGGGTAGCCTTCTTCCTTGTGGCGTTTCCCTATTGCGGACTGCGGAGAAGAAGCAAGGGGATCTGCAGGGAGAGAACAAGAAAGCAACGTGGGTCGTCATGCAGGGTCCGGTCGGAGACAGGAGGAGTGCGTGGAAAATATGGCCAATCCATCGGGTTAAAAGGGTCCTCGGTCCTGAGTCCTAAGTACGAGTTGCCAACTTGCCACCAGTAGTGTACATCGCTGTCAGAAAGGTGGAATGATTGGGAAGGGCACCCCTGCAGGGACGTATGTGACGCATGAAACGTTCCCCGTACTTCGAGGAGCGTCAGAACGACACAAAGCAAAGAATCCCCGATTGTCCGTCGCAAGTAGATCGGAGGAAGTGTTGACCTGTGTACAACAACGATATGTTCGTGAGTGTAACAAGACATCCGCTTGAAAGAAAAACAAAGGAGAACGATCTTACCTTGAAACTCGAAAGTAGGGCGAGTTGGTTTGGCTTTGAAGGAGGGCTAAGGGGAAGGGAGGGTGAGAGAGATGTTTCATAAGTCATATTTTATTCATTTCTTCTTCTTCTGCCTATATAATGAGCCTACACGACATTTACTTACGGATGGATGGGATGGAAAATTACTCGTTGTATGGTATACACATGAAGAATGAAATGATAAAGGAAAAGAAAATGCAATGCAAAACAGAGCCGGAACACGGGAAGAAGTGAAGTGACTAAAAGAAAAAGTGTACGTGCAAGTGGGAGTGACAGACTATGAAACAGTTAATATGCAGCAAGTCAACAAAAAAAAAGACAACAACCAAATCATCTCTCAATCAAAAAATCAATACTGGCGACGGGCATGCGCAAAAAAAGGAGAAAAGTAGCAATAGAAAAAGAACCCCCATGTATATTCCCCAATGAAAGAAAAAAGATGGAAGCAAAGGGCTCGAGTTATTTGGTAGGTATCGAGGATAGTCGAGGGTATAGATATAAAGCATGAGAGGTCAGGTCCATTCAGCCCAAGGTCGATGAGGAAGATGTCGGGGTCGAGTCGTCGTCGTCGTCGTCGAGAGAGTGAAGTCATGTGTGAGTGTCGGTGTCGTCTTCGAGACGTGTAAAAAGAAAACAAAGAGCGTGTGTGCGTGCCAAACAAAAATAATGTCAAGATCCCCAATCGCCCGGTTAACAAGAGAAAGAAAACCCGGGACAATGAGTGGACAGGCCTAAAACAGATAGACATCGCGAAGCAGTTGCATCGGTCTACCTCCCGTTGGTCTGAGAGCGATTGGGCTGGAATCTACCAATCACAAGGTCCCGCGAAAGCGAGGAACTCGAGTTTGGCTTTCATCATCTGCACATCCGTCGCATCGTCCATTAAGACGTACTTCTCCGACGAGACACGTCTCGACGGCTTCGAGATCGACATCGGAATCGACCGCGGTTCTGACGAGATCGGATACGGCTCAGACTGGACGATCTTCGCGCAATGGTCTTCATGCCCTGGCGGCGTCGGCGGTGACCCTGACGACGCCGGAGATGTCGAGTTCGATCGATACGCCTCGGGAGTGTCAGGCGTTCCAGGTGAAGTGGGCGCGTACATTGTTGTAGTTGTAGTTGTATTAGGTGGTGGAGGTAACGGGGCGGTGGAAATGGGGTGATGATGTACTGTGGCGGAGGGAGAAGGTTTGGGCGGCGAATTCGATGGCGCGCGACCGCTAACGAACGACGGTGGTTGCGTAGGTGCGCTATTACCGTTACCGTACGGAGTCGTGGAAGGCATGGGGGAAGTGGTAGGTGAAGGTATGGTGTACGTTGGGTATGGTGGAGGTCCACGGAAATCTTTGCGCACCTTCGCTTCGAATTCCCGTAGCAGTGCTGGCTCCACATTCAACTGCCACTCGAGATAACTGCACATCTCGCGTTCCATCTGGTTGATCTCGCGCAGCGCGAACATCCCTTGCCCTACGATGGACCACGACTTGTTGGAGTAGGTGTCGTCGCACATCACCTTGGAGGCGAGCATGAAAGCGGAGATGAACAGGCGATGACCGGATGAGCCGCGAGCAGCAGGGAACCGCGCTTTTAGACGTTGGAGGAGATAGAGAGCGGCAAACGTTACAGAGGAATGCAATCTTGTTCGGTGGAGAGCGTAAGCGATGAACAAGGCTAGAGGAGGCGAAGGGGTGCCGGGGTTTGCAGTGGATGGTTGTGGGAGCTCGGGGCATGCGAACAAATGGGTGACGAAATGTGCACATGTTTTTGCGACGTCTTCGTGGCCGTAATAAGGGTCGGACTGTGGGGAAAGGAATAAATGAGAATGGAGAGGCAATGAATGAGAACGCAGGCGCTACGTCAGAGGGCAGACTTACCATCTGGGAACGCTGGGGCTCGGGGGCATGGGAAGAAGCGGACGACTGGGAATGCGACGGGGGTTGTGGTGGACGAGCATGGTGCTGTAGCCTGTTGTTGGCCCTACGGTAGCTGGGAGAGGGATGGCGAACAGAGGAGGAGGGACCAAGGGTAGCCATTGATGGGGAGGGATGTTCTGTAGGGAGGGAAGGGAGCGTATAAGTAAGGGAGACAGCAGGCCGGTAATAGAAAGCGGACGAGAAAAAGGAAGAGTCGAGGCTTCTTTGGAGGGAGGAAGGGGGATGGCCTGCCTCCAGGGCGTTGAAATAAATCCGAACGCGTGCACAAGCGCGTGCACCCTGCTTTGTGCCACTCCATATCCCGTGGAAAATATCTCATCAGAACACAACAGGCACCCTCCCAGCCCCGCCCTTTCACACGCCACGGCTACTCACCTCGTTCCTTTTGGGGCAGACTTGTGCTCGCAACGTGTACAGGCGCAACCGATTCAGCGATCCTCGAGGCAATACCAAGTAGCGGACTGGGGGGTCGTCGCGTCGGGAGAGGGAAATGACCCCCACCCCCTCCGGCTCTCACCAGTATATATGTAGCCCACAGGACAAAGGCGCTGTCAAACAGAAGACGCGGTCTCTCGATCCGTGGTCAATCGCGTGTGGCGACTGCGCTCGTCTGGCACAGGCTTGTCAAATGCCTTGCAAATGCCCTTTCTCGGTCACGGTCTTTCTTCCTCCCTTGGGCTCTCCGGCTCCGGACATCGGCTTCATTATTCGCTGGCGTCTATTCCACACGCCGCCGTCCCCCGCGTCCATTCCAACATCGGACCCAACTGCGACGGTCCTGCAATAATATATCCACCGCCTTCGTCGTTCTTTACTACCTCCTCAAACTCAGTGCTGTCTGTCTGATTGATACGTCTGGTTTCCGACTATTCCCTTTCAACGTTCATCAATGTCTGATGCGGCCCTGCGCCTTCGTGACATACTCGTCAACCACTTCAAAATACGTATTGTTCCATTCTTTGTGGAGTCCCGTTTGATCTGCACCAACAAAACGCTATTATGAACGCTATTATGAAAAAAGTGTTGCTTTTAATGGTCTGGTCCTTGCGTAACAAAGAGTCATACCCAAACAAAGCCCTTGCCATTGTTCCTCTTTCCGAAAGCGGCTCAATCTACTTGATGTAACTTAGCCCAATTAGCGACCCCTTTGACGTGGTAACAACTGGCACTGCTACTTGACTTGGCCCTCCTAGCCATCTAAGCCATCCATTTGGCCCTCTGTAAGATGTCAACAGTCACCTGCCCTCCCAAGAGAATGCATCGATGCATCTGTCAGATCCGCTTCTCCCATGAGCCGTGCATGGCTCATGATGATGATTCACTGGCCATAGCTATACAATCCCGATTCAGTCTTTCTATAGTTCAGATCTCCTCTTGCCAATCGCGCTCCATCCGCCGCCCACGCCACACGTATGGGGATGGGGATTCGGATGGGGGAGGGGGGCCGGTCTCCCTGAGTCGACTTTTAAAGTACAAGTCCCCCTCCCGACGGGGAATGCGACAGCTACATTATACATGCATCAATACCGCTCTAATCCTTCAAGTGCCCTCTTTCCTTCTGTCACGGACTGCCAGACTCCATACTACTTACTATTGGAGGCTCGACTTGGATTGATCTTGATCTGTGCCTGCGATGGGACTTGTTGTCATTTATGGTGTTCTCGGATCATTGCTCGAGCACTTACTTCTTCGTTGTTCCTCTCGTACGGTCTTGGTCACTGCAGCGAGTCTTCTTCGAGATGCCAACTATGTGTTCAAAACCTCATTCACTCTGACGATGTGTTCCCTAACTCTCACTCTGAAGCTTTGAACTCTACTACGAATGATCGAATGCTCATCGGCGTCACGATGTTCGTACTAGGCAGCTCCGACTGTCTACTGCCCAACTGGCTACTGTACCTAATGCAACCACTTATGTGATGATGCGCAATGAGCTCGCTGTGTCGCGTTTCAAATGGGCACAACCCCGATTCGCATCGATCAGGATCAAGATTACTTTCCTGTCCTCTGCATATGCATGATATGACCACTAGATCTTCTACTGACCCACCCAGCGCAGAGGTTTCACACTATGTTTCGGTGTCCCCATTCGTTCTCGAGCCTCAGGATCGTACGATGTTATCCTTCTTAAGACGTCGTAACGATCATTCCATAACATGCAACACCCAAGTTACAATTACGACCGACGTTTGAGCTGTCCACTGTCGACTCAAACAACGTACGTATCGACATCTATCTCACCATCGAAGTCGACGTCCAACACGACGTACACATTATTCGAACGCACACATCAAAGTCGCGTTTTACCCGTACGGAACTCATGAACGGAGCCCGATATGATCCCTTCCCCTACTTCCAAGCACCTCCGAGCACCTCCCCTCCCGACATCAAAAGCCACTGATGCACTTCTAACCCGGACTTCAGGCCTCCGGAAAGGATGGTGCGCAATATGTTTGATGAGTTTTGCGGTGACGTTTCTAGGTTCTTCTTCATCTCGCTTTGTTACTGGTCGATTCTCTTCTAGCTTCTTCTTGCATCAAAGGTACTCGAAGATGGTAATGATAAAATGTCGTGACGCAATGCCCAAATCTTCCGAAACACATTTTTCACTCAGGTGTATTTAAACAAGTTACCATCTGCACGGCAATAACCTCGGTGACCTGGCCACGATGCGTACACATTGGTCATTCAAAAAGAATGGCTTCTTAATCACCGACGTCTTCCCATACCACACCCACACACCCCGTTTTCTCATGTGCTTTTTGACACTTTCCTCGAATCCTGACTTGCCACACACATGCTTTTCAGTTTTCAAATTACAATTCGACTCTTAACTCCGATCATTGACACTTTCCTCGAGTCCTATTCACCGTGCCTTTCAGCCTGTATTACAATCGACTGTCTCCCCCGATCAGGGTTCCATGCAATGGATCTTCCAGTGAACCACTCAAGTCCCGAGCGTGCGCGTGCGCGTGAGGTTCGTTCACAAAATTAGTTGAGAGCGCGGCCGGGCATGTCATAAGGTGAGAACTTGCAACTGTCTCTCGAGGCCTGGGACAGTGCTAGACAGTGAACTCGTTCTGATCTTAGTGATTACCGACTTACCATCTGTCTATTACAATGCAGGTATCCTCTTTTTTCCCTGTCTTCGTATCCCAGGGTTTGAAAGGTCGGGGTGGGTTCTCGAGTAGGCTGAGATGCTGTCGCTGTCACTGTCGCGCCCGAATGTAGACTGCAGATTTCACCTGTCGTCAAGTCTAGATGGTTTTATATATACAGTCTGGTCCGAAGATTTCAAGAAGTTTGACTGATATTTCAGTGTGTCCACTGAGTCAAACCTTCCTTTTCATCCGTTTCGTCATGATGCACGCCGCCACATACAGTACATATCATATACATACATTCCAAACACCACTGTTACATTGCGTGCTAACGTCGCAAGCATACATGCATATTTATAACCATTCCTCCACTCCACCCGTCTCCAACATTGAACACCTTCGTTCTTCTTGTCTTGTCCTCTAACTCCTTCAAGTTCTTGTTCCTGATCGTACAAAAACCATTCCAAGCACAATAGCGACGCCCACAAAGAAACCAGACTCGTACCCAAAAGCCCAGAACCTTAACCCCTTCATACAGAAAGTGATTTCATCTTTCGGGCCGATCCTATCACGATAGGCCGCTCACCTCCCATTTCCGTCAAATACACCCTCCGCACTCGGCCAACTTTACGGCTCGGAAAGGAAATACCGACCGGCATACGGGGGCACAGCCTCGCGACCCCCCCAATTGGTATGCTCTTACCCACTCCCCCATGATCATGACGAATCGTAACGTCAAACTCTTGAACCTTCGCACTGCAAACTATAAAACTTCTTTTCAATTCCGAGTCCGTCGACTGCGCAACTTGAAGTTAAAGCTTCAGTTTGTTTTCCATAGGCCCCAGGGGCCCACACCCATGCCCTCTTCCAATGATTTCATTCATGCCCGAAGGTCCGAAATCTCAAACCTATGTACGGGTGCTTCTATCGCATACGTGTCCTGTCGATACCGCAGGTCAAATCGGGTCTATTGCTCATTCATTGCTCATGGTGAAAACTTCGAGTGCCTGATATGTACGCTAATATTAATTCACACCTTTGTGATTCTGGTGAATCAGAACGGACCTACTGTTGAAAAATTTGCTATCTTACTTACCTTCTTTGGCTCACTTGACTCGGGTGCTTGAACGTTCAAGGAAGCAAATTCATAGATGTTACAAGATTTCGATCACACATTAACTTATTTGCAGGATATTAGGCCAAGGCGTAGTACGAAACTTCTTCGAGTTCCTTTACTATTACTCCTAAATCATTGATCCCGATAAGTACACTCAACTCTTATGATAGGTTCAACATGGCGCTTCGATAGACACATACTGCGCTCTCGAGTCTCGAGTCTCATCGTACAGACTTAACTTACCTCCACCGCCTCTGTTGAAGCTTCAAGTAAACTTAAGGTTCGACTGTTCGAACCTGGCGTATGCTAAGCCCGAGCCCGGACGTGCCTTGGAGACTTTGGATTTGATTAACTGAGGCCCTGGGGTTTCTGGAGCCAAAACTGGAATGCCCTCGGAGCATCCATAAATGTCCTGTCAAAGTGTGTTCCGGCCCCTCCGGCGGCGTACTTATGTCCCTGTAGCAAAGTTTGACAGGTGCTGTGACGTTCTTGGTCAGTTGAACCTGTCTGGGCTCTCGCTTATACATGGTCTACTGAACGCCTCTTCGCTTCTTACCTGCATGCTTATGAATTCATGAATACGCAAGCAGTGCTCCTCTTGACTTGATACTTGCTCTGGAGCTCAAGTCCCTCAAGGTGATTTACGGCGACCGATGGTGAACCAGTGTATGAACACGTATTGCAGGGTGTTCGGAAACCCATTGTATGTTTCTCCACGATAATTTGCTTGGGCGTCGCTGACGCGTCAGCTGGTCGGATATGCATATCCGCTCGTTGCTGCGTAGAAGTCACAGGATGAAGGTCTCCGCCCTCGTGCCTACTACACAAAGAGCGGACATTGGTGTGGATTGGAGCGTACCGTATGCGCTCCGTTTGACTTCAGACTGAGCGTGTTCAGCACGTTCCGATTTTTCTTACGTTGTCTCATCAAGGGATTGGCCTACGAAACGCTTGGAGCAGCGATCTGATGCGAATTCCGAGTCTGTTGCGTATACAGGGCGTCCCATTCGGATACCAAACTCAGGGCCTTCCGGGTGGACGCTCGAGACGAGGTTCATGTCCATTCATGTTCCCCCATCTGGTTCGATATTTCGGTATGATATCGATATTTGAGTTCCTATTGTTCGCGTTCCATACTCATCAATCGAAAAGATATCTCAGGGAAGAGCCATAGCGCTGTTCAGGAAGATATGATGGTGTACTGTAATGCTAATACACCCATCCTAGGACGCGAGCGCTACTCCTCGAAGAATAAGTTTGGAGTGTCGATCAGCACAAACTAACGGTACTCTTGGTATTCTTTGATCATCGTGCTTTGTTTGTCTTCAAACTCAGGGTCCTATCCTTGGCTTGCGGTGGTCCATGGCTGTGATCCTTTCCTAGGATCCGAGTACAATGGATTCCCCGAGTTCGTAGAACTCGCTCTTTGAGCTGCTTATACCATCATTCATCAAGATCAGACTTCAGGAAGCCTAGGAAACGCCTCGACGCTGGGGCGATTACAGCTCACAGTTAGTTGGCATTGAGCCACTAATCAGGTTTCAGACGTCACATTGCGTTAGACCTCCATACTGCAGATCATACCCAATACTGAACTTTTTTAGTTTCTCCCTTTGCTACTCGAAGATCCTCTACGAAAGTGCGTTAGTCTGGCTTGGTGACGTCAACGGTCAACTTCGGGGGTTCCATGGTGCGCTATCTGTGGAAGTTTTATCTCTGCTCTTTCAGATCCACATATCGCTCGCACCATCATTGATAAATCCCGTCGGACTTACTCGGGCGTTTGCCCTGAGACTCGTAGAGCCTCACCAACGAATCCATTGTTCGCATTCAGTTGCAGCCAAGGTTACAACTCTGTCTTTCGCCTTCAGGCTCTTTGTTACTAGTTTTGCCTGCCTGCCGTGAACGGGGTCCCGTCCGGCTCGACTAGTCGTGAATATAGGGCAAGGTATTGTTCACACACTCTGGGGACAGCCATGCCCAAGATATCACATCCGTTTGTTCCCCTGCCGAGATCACGCAGCCGCGATCAAGATCCCTAACAAAAGGTTCTTTTCGACGTTTCTGTGTTCCACATATCTGGTCCGCACTTTCCCCGATACGGTATACTGTCCTGAACTGATCAGTAGCGCGAAGCTTATTTCCCAAAAAAGGTCACCTCTCAAGACTCGGAGGCGGATTCACCAACAACCGTGATCACGGTGCCTGTAAAAGTCGATGCCTGACGCGGGCAGCTCGCATCGACGAGAACCTGTCTGGGTTATCTCCACTCTCATACTTATAAGTAGCATCAGGTCGAATCATGTGGTTTCTACGACCGCTCGTCCGTTGACTGTTTCTGGCTGCAGATCGAACCATGTTCCAAGCTAATGAGCCATTTCACATAGAGTTGGATTCGAGGGAGCTACATAAGGTTCTTTCATTCAGCACGGCAAAGATCTCAATAACATCGATGAGCTCGCAAGTCCATCTTAGGCCGTGTCTCCCCGAATTCCTTTGTGGCGCACGTTCTCGCGCCACATTTGGCGAGTCTACTGACTGGCGTACAGGAACGAAGATCATAATATATCGATGGCTTCTCAGCTATATGCTTCGGCCGTTGCATGTTTCTGCTATCTTACTCCATGTGACGTTGGGTGTCCTAACGAGATTGACCCGTATTTGCGATCGCACCTGAGACATTGTGAGTCAGGATGATTATTTTGAGACCTAGTTGGGACCTCGCCGCGCAGAACCCTTGTTTCAGCTTCGAAGTGAACCCATGTTGAGTGCATGTGCACCAACGATATTGCAATATCCACCTACACTTCGGGTATTCGTCTACATATGAGGCGATGAAGTTTTGAGGTGTCTCGCGTCGAAGTGCAACTAGGGTTGGATGAACGATCACGATTCGCTGCGCAGCACCATTATCACGAAGAACATTGAAGGCTCCATTGAACTCTCCATAGCTGATATTCAAGCTGAATGTGTTAAGGACACCGGACGTGCTGCTGGTTGAAGAGGTGCTTGAATAGCCACAAGGTACGCAAATCTAGGGAGCATTTAGGCCAGAACAATGCGTGATGGGGATCAGCTGTCCACCTTTGTCGTCATTCTTTATTTCATTGCAACACCAAGTAGAGTATGAAGTCGATGACTCGACTTGACTGTCGAGGGCCAATGTAACTCAAGGCTACTGGCCGTCGCTGGTTGGGTGTGGCGATTGTTGAGATGTCGTTCCTAGGAGTCCTTAACATTGAATCATTATTATTGTATAACTTGCGGCACTGGTTCAGTATCTCAAGCTAGTCGCCTTCTTTCTGCTGACGCTCCTGATGAGGAAGTTGACCTTGCATATAAATAACCAAGGGTTGGCGGCGATTGAAAGGCGTTATGGTTCACCAGAAAATGGCACGGCGAACCCTGGCAACACGCGACCTTCGCGCCATGGAGGACCGTCAATAATTATGGCCCCATTCATAGACCGAACCGGCGGCAGATATCTTGTTCGAGAAACGGCCGCATTACTTCGGAAGTCCTCCGAAGGTTGCTTCCGCTTCCGAAAGTCAAGGTAACAGTTCTAGCGGGAAACGCTGTGAAGTTCACCGGCATCTTAGTCTCCTGCGCAGAGGTCTAGTTGATCGGCCAGGGAACCTCACCTGTCACTGGTCTTGAGCTTGAGAGCGCAAATGAAAGGACACACCGAGAACCAATGAAGATCCGAGCAGATTCAGTTGTGATCGCACATAATGAAATTCGTGAGAATGAACGTGTTTAGGGCACTTGACCTACCTCGATCACACAGCCTGAGTGGAGAAGCATAGCGTGCTGCGCTTGAAACACGGTGCCGGAGAACGTGAGATGTGTTTGTTGCTCTATGGGAGTTTACGCCAGGCAAACAGGGAGTATCGGAATGCGACGTCAGAAAGTGTAGAAGTGTCTGACAGGAAAAGGAGAAGCTCTCTCAGTGACTCTCGATCAGACGGGTGCCACCTTTGTCTACTGATAGCCAAACACGGTCACCGTCCTTCACATCCTTGAACTATGTGAATAAAAATTTAGTAAGGCGTCAAGTAACTCGAGCAAGACTAGCAATTGGATGACGAACCGTTAGTTCCCTCGTACGGTGTAGACTCTCGATCTCATCTACACGATCTCGTACGGCCTCCAACACTTCATCAAAGTCAGGCTCTTCGACAACCTCTCTAGCAGCGTTTAGGATGAGCAAAGAGTCTGGTGTAACGTCATGGTTGATCTAAAACATCAGGCGCAGTTTAGACATGCGTATGAAAGCCCTGAAGAGCATTGGAAACCCACATCAATGGCAATGATATTGGCTCTATCCAGCTCTGCAGATCAACATATTCAGTATATGTTCATGACTCTTTGAGTGCAACCCTGAACATACCCTCCAAGAAGTCCGGTCTTGTCATGATTTGACGACATTTGTACTGAGCAAAGATTCGAGGACGGATCATCTATCCAATGAGTGCATTACTCACGTAAGGAATCCTGGGCAACCCTATGTTCTCTAAGTCTTCGATGGTCTTCTCGCCCGCAGCAATGGCATCTTTAATCTCCTGCTCCTCTTGTTGCCGCATCTTAACAAATTCGCGTAGAAGGAGCCAAGAACACGAGCTCCATTTTTGCTACCAATCAAGGGACGAGGAGCTAAATATTTCCTGTGATCCATGGAAGTGCATTGAGTACGTACCTCATCCATGACATCGTCATCGTGATCCTGGATCAGACCAATCTGACTCAGTAGCCACGCTTTCTCAACCTGTAACAAGTGCTTTGCGGTGGGCATCATTTCCTTGGCTTTGCATGTTTTACCAAGGTATGATAGACGACCGCCCATGATGTTAACGACCTCCTTGAAAGCATCTATTTCCTCCACTTCACGGTGAGCGTTCATACGCATGCGCAGTGAGGCTTGTAAAGCTTCACGATGATTGAGGTCATAAACAGAAACGACCTAAAAACGCTCGTGAAGCGCACAGACGATACGTAAGCAAGCAGGAGACGTACATGCATCCTACTTGCACTCTTCCCTGTCAAACTGTGAATCAATACACTTTGTGACCAGGTGATCAAACACGCTCACGCATAACAAAGAACGGCCAGAAATCGTCCCTGGATTGTGAGAGTATCGGTGAGGTTATTGATGGTACTGATGTCATTTGTGTACGTACGAACTGAAGACAAAGGTGAGAATACCTGCAGGATAAAGAGTCATCTACGTCAGAGCAAGCACCCCGAAAAAAACGCATCAGACCACGCCTACCGCTTGCTGCCCATGCTTCACCACGCTGCTGTAATTGAAGCAGCATGTTGCGCCCACCATCGTCATTCTTGAAGAAATGAACGTTGTTGATAATCAATACCAAGGGCTTCCCAGTTCGCTTAGCGTATCGCAAGGCGACCTTCTCCAATTTGTTCATCGCTTTCGCATAAAGTATCTCAGTTGACTCAACTCGGTGATTAACCCAAACCCGTACCTCGCTCAATATCCAGTGCAGGTCCACCTGTGTTCACCGTTATAACGACCAGCAATGACCAATTCGGGACACATACCTTCGCGTGGGTCGCGACGCTGGAACAGGCCGGTCTGCGAATCTTCGTTGTATTCGTAGTTTAACGCTTTCCCCAAACGCAACCGGAATACTTCCAAGTCCGGATGGGCGTCGCATATAGCCACACCTTCAGCTTGACATTGTTGCATGGCATCAAAGATCATAGTTGTCTTCCCAGTACCCTTAGCAATTCGCACATGATTAGTGATCGGAAACGAACAAAATCAAAATTATATTACATACCTTAGGACCGAGTAACATAAAATAATGCCCCGTTTCCGCACCATGAACAATTCGGTCGACTAAGTCCTGCTCTTTTCGCCGTAGGTGTTGAGTCCAAGGACCATCCATGTCCCAGTCGAGTTCTTCGGGGGTATTAGGATCCCGCTGTTTGCCATGGCTAGCAAGCTCAAGTGCAGGATCATAACCGGCAGCGAAAGCAAGTTCAATCTGTCAATAAAAATATTCAGCTACCAATGTCACGCGAGTATATGACAACGTTGCATCAGAGAACGCTAATCGTTACCTTGTCAAGGACATTCTTCTTGTACCACGCGAGATAGGCTACACCGCCAAAGAAGACTGGATGATGAAGCGTTAGTGGCCAGACGGTAAGCTAAATGCTAGCGTCAAGTAGACTAGACTTCTCCAGAAAACATAACTCACTCATTCCCAACCCAATCACGGTTGTAAGGGCAGCATCAAGAGCACTAGAACCAGTCGTGAACGGATTGCTTGGGGTCTGGAGTCCACCAACTTGGTATCCTTGTGACGCATGCGGCGGTGCTTCATGACTATCTTCACATTCCTCAACTCTCTGAGTCGATTTTTGCTCCGATACGGGAGGTCGCGGTGTCTGCGAATAATTGCGAGTGCACGACTTCGGTTCGATCGTCCGCAACGCGGCATTGCTTGATTTGGTGTTAGTTCGAGTAATGTATAGGTGAGAGTTTGAAGCGAGAGGTTTTATTTGACTACTTGAGCCTGCCAGCAGGCGTTTCGAAGTTATACGAGCGGAATACATGCAGGTTTGAGTGCAGAGTTGTTCGCGAGCCATCATATCATAAGCCGAGTTTATAGTATGAAATATGAAACGGAGCCGTCGGTGGCATGCTTGGCGGCATGTCTGAGTTACAACTGGATTTAACAGCATTGCATTTTGGTACAAGCGACCTCCGAACCAAGTTCTTACGAATTTGCAATGCCTTGCTTCACAGAAATCGCAACTATTGGATGATCCCGAAGGGCTCAATCCAATCGTGTTTGAACCTGGAGTACTTCATATTTCGATACAACGAAAACGAGCGCTGCGGTCAATATCCGACGGAACGAATGCTCCAGAAGCTACATGTTTATTCCCATGAGCAGCGGGCGTATCGACGACTAAGACACTATCAAGAGCTTGCTCGCCGTTGAACACGGGTCGAATACGACGCGGAATGGATGATAAATAGGCGCTCGTCGAGCGGCGACAATATCCGTGACATGCGTGACAGGTAACGACTGTAACATTCGACTCCGTCCTTGGGCCAGAGGTTGCTCAACACCAACTCGAACATCTCCTTTTCTTCCTTACCTTTCCCTCTTCATTCTTGCAGCAAGCATGGCGTACGGACTTACAATTGGAACGGAGCGTGCGACTGCTCTGCAGGTGCGGTCATTTAGACTTTTATTGCGTATTCATACTGAACCAATGTTAGAATGCTATCCAAGATGAGCTGACGAAACGGGGGTATAGTCCTGACGCAGGTGAGTTTTTCCGTCTCTTATTGGCAATGCAAACTGTACTCAAGCTATTTCTAGATCCCGTTATGGCGGAATATATCACTATTATGATAATCAACAATAAGACTGCTGGTACGTACTACCTTTTATACAACAAGAAGTCGCCTGCTGACACCCACATAGCTCAGATCTCAAGCGAGCTGGAAGACTGTAAGCCCCATTTGCGCTTTTATGCTCGCTCTTTGACTGATTTTTGGCGGTAAAGTGATTGGTTCTGATTTTGGTACGTCTCAAGATACAAATGTCGTCCTACCGTGACCCTCATACTCCCTCAGATCCTAGCTTTGTTGATTGGCTATTTGCCGAAGTTGAAAAGTCAGCACCAGAAGAAGAAGCTCCTGCACCACCAGAACCAATACCCTTGATTTCTACTCCCTCACGAGAAGCTCCCCCACATGTCCAAAGTGATCTCGCAAGGAGGACCCCGCAAGCTCCGAGAGCCCCTCTGTACCAGCAAGCCATCTCTCAATTACCTTTAATATCACCAAACGATAGGAAACGAACACGGTCTACGTCTCCTGGCCATGCAGCAAAAGTTCGACGGACGGACCTCCCAACTGGCCCGCGAGCTATGTACCGGGATGGTCACGAGCCGATCGCTGGAGGTTCGAGAAGCTTACTCGACAGAGTTGGTCCGCGGAATGCGTCTCATGGCAACTTCCCGAGGGAAAACCAAGCTCGCATTGACACCATTCAGGCGCGAATTGATAACATAACTAACGCCCCCTCACCGGACATGGCGGCGATGATGATGAACGCAGGTTTCCCAATGAATGGCATGCCGCCCATGGACATGAATGCAATGGCAAGCATGACGAATCCGTTGATGTTGCAGGAGATGATGATGAACCAAATGGCGCTCATGTCGCAAATGGCAGGAGCTTTAGGTATGATGAGCCCTGGAGCACCATTCATGAACGGTGGCTTTCCTATGCAGCCCGCCATGGGCGGAGATGCTACTGCGTTCGCTGCAGGCCCGAATGGACAGCAGATGGGTGGTATGGATAGAGGAAGAGGAAGGGGAAGAGGTGGCGCAGTCGGACGAGGTCGTGGAAGAGGAGGTCAGCCATCGGGTGGCTTCGCTCCCTCAAATGGCACTGAAACGACTGGTGCTGCACTGGCACCACTGACTACAGCAGAACCGACCGCTGCGCCAGTTGCAGCACCCACGCCGACTCCCGCCACATTCACACCTGCGACCGCTGCCGCACCCGCGATTACTCCCTCACAATCACGTTCTGGATTTGTTCCACCCGAGCGACCTCAGTCACCGACATTGTGCAAGTTCGGCTTGAAATGCACGAACCCTCTTTGCCGCTGGTCCCACCCTTCGCCTGTCGCCACGCCTGAGAGTGGCGTTGTTTTGAGTAACGAGCCTTGCGAGAATGGGAAAAACTGCAAAGATAAAGACTGTGTAAAGGCACATGTCAGTCCAGCTGTTTTAAAGCCAGCAGGTAGAGTAAACTTTTCTCTTCAAGTCGTTCATTTACTGATATCTCTTAACCCAGCCCCTGAACATCTAAAGCCAGCTCATTACACCCCTCCCGGTCCACACCAGACGGCTTGTCGTTTTGGCACAGCTTGTACACGGCCCAACTGCCCATATCAACACCCACCCCGACCTAGTGCTCAGCCCTGTCGTTTCGGAGCTGGTTGTACTCGAGCCAATTGTACGTTCCAGCATCCAGAAGGACGAGTCCTACCCACCAGTTTCCATCGCGGCCTTTCGACCACTGGCGGACTTGTTACGGTATCGACGCCCGAGACTGGAACCATTGGTGCACCGAGCCCTCATAAGAGTGTGAAGTTCACTAGGACTCCGAGCTCTGGCGGAACCTCTGCTGCAGAGTTAGAGAAGCGAGTTAAGGAGATGGAGGAGAAGAAGAGTCAAGCGGAGGCTGCTGTCGCTCAGGCGGAAGCTGCAGCTGCAGCCGCGGGCAAGAAAGATGATGAAAACAAGCCTGTCTCGATTACCGCATGAAATGGCATGAGCAATATGTTTGCTCTATCACTCGACTTGCACCCTTCCAAGATGAAGATGAAGAAGTCTTCTCGTTGATGTCGAAAATGTGGACTTTCACTTTCTAGTAGATTGGTCCCTGTGTATGTGTACTTTATTTTGCTGGTATTTACCTCTTTACCTTTACGTCTTCCATACCTATCTCGTAGTCACAGTACGCTCGACTCAGGTCCACTTGGCTGCTGGTGCGAAATACAGTGACTCTGGTCTTGTCGGCGCTGTACAACATTTCTGAATACGTGAGGAGTGAAAGGACTCAACATGAACTATTCACCGTTGCAACCACCTTGCTGAAGGATCAGTGACAGAACTTATCATTTCTGTTATTACGGTGTAAACTACAAGACTTGCCTTTCTTGGTTTCCTACCATGAATCACGATGGTTGCGATGGCATGCCGTTCGTCAAGTATCGAATTTTCAAGTTCGTGTCCTGGTCTCTTAAGTCTCTCACCCATACATCCGTAGAGATGCGAGCAGTCCTTACTGGTTTTCTGACTTTCCTAGCAAGCAAACTCTGACCAACACCAAGCCGACACGGTTGCCGTCAATGATTATGGACCAGGGTGAAAGATACAAAGGACTAAGATTCGATGGGTATATACTACATTGTATGCTCACAGATCCTCTAGGATACTATGCATATAACGCGGTGCCTTTATGGCACAATTTTTCAGGACCGAAGGCGTTTGTTTGGAACAAACCCTTCTTCTTCGCGCCCCCGTTTTGTACCGCGCGTTGGCAGTTCAGGTTCTTCCGCATCCAACCAAAATAATCTAGTACGTTAAGCCAGTTAGCAGGGTCGAGCCGTATAGCATGAATCAAGACGTACTCTGGCTCTGCTTGTTCTTCGGCCTCGTACACGCTTTCATAATCCTCCTCATCGCCACCAGAATCATCCGGATTATCGTGCAGCCGCGAGTCTGTCTTCCATTGCTTCATAAATACTTCCTCCACGATCGTGCGAACCGTCGCAAGAACACCCATGCCCTTTTCAATACGGAGCCACCGGTCCATGACCAAGTTCTGCAGTTCACCAAGTTCTCCCATGGCCTCGTCGAAGTTGGCACGTGTATTTTGTAACTTGGTTGCCGCCAGCATGTCGTTGTATAGATCTCGCCTACTCACTGCTGTTGATGCTACTTCAAATCCATCCGTCGGTCCGACCGTTTCCTCGCCGGGTTCGTCCTTAAACACATCCGAAGATCGGGAACTTAAATCGGCGATGGGTGCGCCTTCAGTTGGGACAATCTGTGTCGCAAGAATCTCCGTCGCAAGCGGCTCGGTAGGTAGTACGTCGTGATCGACAGTCGGCCTTTGACGACGAGGGCGTGGCCCAGCAATGAATTGTCTGAACGAAGGGGCTCGCGGTGCCCCTTGTCGTGAAGGACCAGGTTGTGCAGCAGCAGGACGTAAAGCCGCTATACGTGCTGGCTCAGGGCCTCCATTTCGTATGACTCTCGGCGTTCCTGAAGTAGTAGGCACCACGTTATCATTTTGATCTTGGCGATGTTGGACGGTAGCAATGGACTCTCGAATGAGTGTTTCCGGTGAAGGAGCATATCTTCCCTTTGACTTCGATCGAGCTCGAGGTAAGGGCTGAGCAGGAGGTGAAGGTGAAAGTGGAATTGGCACTGGAACCGCTGGAGGGGATGGAGGATGGTCTTTTGGTCCGGTGAGAGTCGGAACTGCTGACGGCTGTTCTTTTGATACTTCAGGTTGAGTGTCTACATATGGTTTCCTCAATCGGTGAATAATAATTGAGAGTTCAAGGAATACTAACCTTTCACCGGGGCTGGGGCGGCAGAGGGTTCATTTGAAGCTCGTGTGTCTGACACGTCTTCTGTTGGAAGTGGAGGGGAGTTACTAGCTAGTTCGCGAGGGCTATGGGATTCGTTAGTGGGAGTATCTTTGGCCACGGTCTCTTTATCGTTCCCGCCACCTACAAGTCATGAATTCATGAGGTCGTTCCAACATAACGTACAACTCACTATGATCTCCACTTCTTTGAGGTGGTTCGGGTTTGTTCGACTTGCGCTCACTTTTCCGTTTGGCATCGGTGATCCTAACAATTGGTAAACGTCGCAATATTTCTGATGAAATCTGGATGATTTACGGTGGGACTCCATCTGGATATTTCTCTAGCAAGGCTTTGATAATGGCAATAGTCTTCAAATTCGCCTTTATGTTGGCTTGCTATCAGATGGTATTAGGCTGTTGTCAGCTCAACCGTTTGCAATCGCGATGATTACACTTACGCGTGCATAACGCTGGATTTCCGGGCGAGAAAGCTTGCTAAGTTGAGCACGATCCATTTTGTGCAGGATGGTGGGTGAAGGAAGCAGGTAGATTGAGCAAAGGTGTAAGTTAGTGAAAGGGGAGTGGAAACAAAGAACGCGGTGTGGCACACAAAGGACTCCGTATTGTCCTCACGCCACTCGTAGGCCCACGCGACTTCGGCAACAAGAAACCTACCGTTGACTGTTATTCGAGGGACAACAAGGACGCGATGGTCACTACACACTGATATCTTAGCAAGATGATAAACTCTGTCAAAAGGGCGTCATCAATAGTTGGATGCATTCACTAGGGTAGCATTAATGCCTTGACTACAGCAGTACAACATGGCAGAGCACCATGGGTTTAGTATACCGCTCTCCAGGCATAATGACTGCAATACCTTTGGAAACTCGTGCAGTTGTTCCTAAGGCATCATGGAATTCGGAAGAAATGCTGATATCGTTGAGTCGCAGGAGTTACCGAGCCCGTGAGGAAAGGATACTACATTGAAATTTACCTTCTAGACAATCACATAGCCAACGTCGGTGAGTTCTCGTATCAGATCACAACACAACCGCAGAACAAGGATTAACGAATACTGGTGTTGTACAAACGTCCAGGTTACCGTTTAAATGACTCGGACGTGTAAGGTTTAACTTCAAGTTGAACGTCGGATGGTCAACTTAGAAGTTAGAAGTCGAACATGGCTAGGATTTCCCTGATTCTCCCTGATTGTTTTTTTATTTCTTAGAAAGATTCTGCCGGTGCGATGGCCGAGCGGTCCAAGGCGTGTGACTCAAGCGAAAGCTTGCCTACTGAGTGGGTCTTCTCATCTGGGTATCCAGGCGTGGGTTCAAATCCCACTCGCACCACTTTTGCTTTTAACATCTTGTGAAGTTATGAAGAAATTTGAACTGCACTTCCTTTCCGTTCGAAGGGGTAACAATGCTTTAGCTACGACTACCCCCTCTCAAAGAACCATAATCGTTTTATGGTCCAAACAGATTATTGTTCTAGAAAGGTTAGCCGTCGCGTAAGGGATGGCCCATGCACGCTCTTTGTTCTTTGTGGCCAGTGGCGTAACCCGTTTTCGGCCGTAACATTCATCTCCCCTTCCTCCAACTGACATCTCTATATCTAACATTAACTATGGATGCTACATCACTCTCACAGTTACCATACAGGAAACTACAGAAGCTGGCAAAAGTGAGTTCTGACTTCGACTCGTTTGATTAATCATTTCAATTCACACCGGTCGGTGTAGGAGCGTGGCCATCGGGCTAATCTAAAGACAGAAAAACTCATTAAACTATTGCTCGAATCCGCGGTCAAGTAGGTATTTCGAAAGAAATAATTGACATTTTCTAACGGCCCATGAATGTAGTAGCTCAGAGCAGACAGCGCCTCATCTCGAACAACCTCCTCAGAATGCACTTCCACCTACCATCCCTCCATCTGGCGTCTTTGATATAGCACCTATTCTCGACCCTGACTTCAGTGCTAGCCGCCCCAACAGCGTAAAGAGTCGGGCAGTCAGAAGTCATTTCGCTCCAGAACGTAGGTCCTGGTCTATTTGAGGTCCTGGCACGTTAACGAAACATTCTCATTACCAGCTGAACTACCAGATGTCAGACAGCCAAACTTTAACGATGCAGAACGTCCACGGACTCCCGCGAGTTCCGCAAGAGATGGCTGCGACTCTTTGACTGACTATTCAGAAGCCTTTCCGCCCCAACCCCTTCACGAAGAACCCCAGGCGGCCACACCCGCTGATCATGCCGAGACACGAAACATCAGTGGGATCCTCCAAGCGAGTGATACCCACTGTGTCTCGCCTATGACGCAGGTTCCTCGTGATTCGGAGAGTCTACGGGTCAAACAGGAATTATTGTCGCCGACAATCCCGTCTGGCATAGAATCAGATTCTGAATCAGAGTACGAGTTAGACTCAGCAAAACAGAAGAGGTTTTCGAAGCACGCAACAGGAATGGCATCGCACGAGGAGCTGGAGCGAGCCACGATGACTATGGAGATTTACTCTCTTCACAACCAAAGCATTCGCGAGAGGTTGGAGTTTTGCGCCACTCGACATCAAACCCAGCAGAAGCAAATAAAGGATGCTATAAAATTCATTCGTTCAGAGAAGGCCAGGATCCAGCGCATGCGGACTTATGTCTACAGTTGGAAGAATATTCCTCCCGAGTGGACAGACCGAAATATATACGATGTGGATGTCAAAGCTAGGCAGACATCCAATGGAGTCTTTCAAGAAGTCTGGTCTGACCTGGAGGACAGTGACGAGTATGTCATTTCGTGTTTTAAGTATTAAACTTCTACTTACCATCGCCCTTCGTTCAGGCCCGGCTTGCTCGTCATGCGTGCGACAGACGTTCATGCGGTTCGACTGTCGCAAGGTCCAGAGGAAACACAGTCCCCCCGCAGAGAACAGCAGAGCCTAAAGAGGCCACGCACTGTCGATTCAGAAGATGTTCATGAAGAAGAGAGTATCAGTGCGAGGAAGCGACATCGGTCAGCTGCGCCTAGTCGTTCACTATCTGAGACTAGAACTCAGCTGAACCCTTACCAGCGGGCTCTCTCAGTGATACGCGAACATGATGTTCCTGACGAATCGTCAACACATGACATTGTCACTCCAGAGGAGGAAGAAGATATGGAAGAAGAGGCTACTGTGGAGGAGATCATCAGCGTCCCCATGCACGGTTCTCGCAGTTCTCCCGGACCACAACGTACCGTCTCTCCCAAGGTTCAGGATCAAGCCAATGGCATGGCCAACGGCTTCACTGCCATGGTGCTCCCCCGACGCTCGAGGTATTTCCAACACTCGAACGTCTTTGATCCTGAATAGATACCTACAGTCTTATATATTCTCACTCTGGATTCGATGAATTGTTGTACTTATAACCTTTATTACGTATAGTATTCTGCGATCGGTGCTACAAAATCATTAATCGTGCAAGTTAAGTCGATGAGGTACAATCTCTTGTCAATGCCAAGTCAAGTGTTACAGGGCGCTTCCATAATTGATCGTGCTAACTTCGGCCGTCACTGCAAATGTTTCTTACTATCATGCTCCTCCAGATACGAGAGCCTCAAGCTAAGCTCATGATATGTTCATAATGGTTGGTACGGGCATGATGGAAGTTGGTCGGAGAGACCGTTCGAGCTGGAATCTGGGTCAAGGTAGTTCGACGGGAAATCGTTTGCCAGAGGAATCACATTTTTATACCTGCTACTGTGAGAGCCTTTTTAACTCTCGACACGAGTTTTCTCCGCTCCCACAAGTCGCATCCAACTTTCAGGATGGTAGCCAACACCAATTCCAAGATCGTGATCATCGGAGCGGGCTGCTTCGGATTGTCAACCGCATACCATCTTCTGCGGCGAGGGTTCACCTCTGTAACTGTCCTTGACAGATCACCGGTTCTTCCGGCACCTGATGCTGCAAGCACGGATTTGAACAAGAGTGAGTAGACTATTGACATCTTCCGTTTTTCTCAGATAGTTCATTCCATATCAGTTGTTCGGAGCGCATATGCAGATATCTTCTATAGCAAACTGGCACGCGAAGCCATAGCTGAGTGGAAAGACTTTGAAGAATGGAAGGATACATACCACGAGTAAGTGTTGGTATACAGAGTATGTTGCCAGCTGAATCTATCTCCGTCTCCAGATCTGGTGTTGTAGTGATAGGCTGGGGACAGGAAACATATGCCGACAAGGCCTACGAGAATGATGTTGCACTAGGTGCTCGTATCGAGACGCTGGCTGAGCCCGCTGCTATACGCGCACGCTTCCCTGCGGACGTAAAGACAGCATCGTTCGAGGGAATGTCAGGCTACTTGAATCGGGATGGTGGATGGGCATTTGCTGCACAAGGTATCCAGCTACTGCTCTCGAAGGTCAACGCGTTAGGTGGAACCGTTGTCCCCTCAAAAAGCGTAGTCAAGCTGCTTCAGCGAGAGGGTAAGACACACGGGGTCGAATGTGCTGACGGATCTTCGTATGAAGCCGACTTGGTTGTAATTGCTTCTGGATCCTGGACCGCCTCTGCTTTTCCTGACCTTGACCTTGGAGCCAAGTGTCTTGCAACCGGGTGCGCGTTTCTCATACTAAACGTGCATTTTCACTGCTGACCTATGCGTCACAGTCAAAGTGTAGTAATGGTACAACTGTCACCCGAAGAAGGAGAGAAGTACCGGAAGTGTCCCGTCTTCCTCGACTTACACTCAGGATTCTACATATTCCCTGTAAGTGTTGTTGCCATGTCTTATGCATAAAATTCTGAGTTCTGTTGCGAAGCCTAATGTCGACAATCTTGTAAAAATGGCAATCCATACTGGAGGGCATACATACACACAGACTCCTCTGGGAAACCCTGACCATGCCCCAATATCGACACCTAGAACCGCTCTTTCACATGGTGATCAAGGGCTTCGCATACCCAAAGAAGTCATCCAGAATCTCAGGGACAACTTGCGCGCAGTGTACCCGGAGCTTGCAGAGAAGCCATTCAGTCAGACGCGTTTGTGTTGGTGAGTATGAATGTCCATCTTATTCCAAGTTCGTTTGATAGCCTATTGGGACTTGCAGGTACACGGACTCTCCGGACGAAGACTGGATCATTAGTGTGCACCCGAAAGACTCTGGACTCGTCCTCGCAACTTCGGGAAGTGGTCATGCATACAAGGTGATCGCTCATTGAAGTCAATTCATGCGGTGAAGTTCTGACGATTGCTGCAGTTCCTGCCTAACATTGGACGTCTCGTAGTAGACCTTATTCAAGGCAAGATGGAACCCAGTCTCGTCCAGAAGTTCGCTTTGGATCGTCAGATGGTAGTGCATGACATCTTCAGGCCAGGACAGACAGCAAGGGAGCTCGATGTCGATGAACTTTGCACACCGGAGGACCTCTTGCCATAGTACTTCGAAGGAGGAACGTAGAACATGTAATGAATTCAAACAATGTGTATCTCTACATTACTACTCTATGTGAGTACAAATACAGCAGGGGGATATCAATTACGAATACTTTTCGTAGATGCAGTGTCTATAGATCAAAAGTGAATGAAAGCTTAGGCTCGTCTCCCGACGAACTCTCGCCAGGAGCGAACCTCAGAAGGAATCTTGCCTTCTGTATATTTTCGGAGACCTCCTTGAGGGATTTTCTTTGCCAATGCCTCAACGAATAGTAGAGCGCATCGAGCGTTATTGAGAAGCGGAAGGCCGAAGTCAACGGCATTTCTAGGGCATACATTCTGTCAGTAACCTTCCACACAGTATGAGAGTGCAAGATTATTCACCGTCGAGCCACGTAATCCTCATCCAAGAAGTCCTTGCCTCGGGATTTGGCCAAGTTAATGACACAATCGATATCGTACTCATCGAATACTTCCCGGAGCTTTCGCTTATCTCTGGTAGGGAAGAAGATACGCTTCGCACTAACGTAGGGAATATCGTTTAAGAACTCTTCAACCTCCGGTGATGAACAGTAGAGTTTGAAGCCTAGGTTGGTCAAGATCTGTGCAATAGTCTTCATCTCAGGTTTGGTGATATCACCACCGATAAGCACTCCGGAGTTAGGTCGAGGAACTTTGAATCCTGTTGTACTGAGGAGGGCCGCCCAGTAAGCTTCATGGACATCTTTACCGAAGCTTGCGACTTCTCCGGTGCTAGCCATCTCTTTAGGAAGAATGACATCAGGGTCTGCTTACACATTGCAGTAGTAGATATGCGCACCAACACCAAGGAACGGATCAGCACCGGCCAAACGGGTCCATGAGAATTGCGACACTTTGATAGCGGTATAATCCCGTTTTTCAGCCATTGCGTCAACAGGGTCCGGAACGTTCTGGTCGACGATAGCAGCGGTCGCAGCATCGATGAAATTGTGACCCAGAACCTTCGACACGAATGGGAAGGATCGAGAAGCACGAAGGTTGCACTCAATGACTTTCAGTTCAGGCTCTGTGTTAGGGCTATCCGCGGGCTTGCGAATGACTTGCATGTTGAATGGTCCAGAAATCTCGAAAGCAAAAGCAACCTTCTCGGCAATCTGCTTGAGACGGATCATGTCATCGTCTGTGAGCGAGAATGGGGGCAGGACAAGGGTTGCGTCTCCGGAGTGAACACCGGCGTTCTCAACGTGCTCCGAGATTGCGTGAAGAAGAAGTTTGCCTTTGTGCGCGACAGCATCGACATCAATCTCTTGAGCATTGTCAATGAACTTGCTGATGACCACCGGATGAAGCGGAGAAACGTCTGCAGCTGCTGAGAGGTTGTATTCCAAGTCAGCTTCGGCGTAGACGACGTTCATCGCAGCACCAGAAAGCACGTAAGAGGGACGAATGAGAACGGGGTAGCTGGCAATATACTCTGTGAGCAGGAAGAAATTGTGTGGAGCAGTTAAAGCACTCACCCAACTCGCTTAGCGAACTTCTTCGCAGCGCCTACGGAGGTGACCTCAGTCCATTCAGGTTGATCAACGCCAATGCTATCCAAGGTTTTAGAGAACTTGTGACGATCCTCTGCACTGTCGATTTTCTGTGGATCGGTTCCAAGAACGCTGACGCCATTTTGCTTGAGACGGAGAGCAATGTTCTGCGGTAGTTGACCTAGAAGAATATTATTCGTCGCCCGCGAACCTAAACTGTGAAGGAATCATGCTTACCACCGACGCTAACGATAACACCCTGAGCCTGCTCGAGTTCATAGATATCCATAACCCGCTCATAGCCCAATTCCTCGAAATAGAGTCGGTCAGCCTCATCGAAATCGGTAGAGACAGTTTCCGGGTTGTAGTTGATCATGATTGTCCTCTTGCCCATTTCCCTGAGTTTCCTAGCACAAGTAACCGCACACCAATCGAATTCAACACTGCTTCCAATACGATAGACGCCGCTTCCCAAGACCATGGTACCGTGCTCGTCAAAGTCGACATCGTGTTCAGAAGCATTGTAGGTGGTATAGAGGTAGTTGGTGTGAGCAGGGAATTCAGCGGCAAGTGTGTCGATCCGTTTGACGAAGGGAGTAATGCCGAAGGATTTACGGTGAGCACGGACGACGTCTTCAGTGGAGGAAACGAGATCGGCGATGTGCGAGTCAGAGAAACCCATTTGTTTGGCATGCTTCATGAGTTGATGGTCGATTTCTGAGACATTACCGGCTGCCTTAAGCGCGTAAACCGTCTGGACAATGTTGTCAATCTTATACAAGAACCACTGTAAAGGAAACGTTAGCACTAGGCTGTATCAAAACAGTTATTTACGTTACCTTGTCGATCTTGGTTAAATCGTGCAACTGGTCGACTGTGTAATTCTTGTTGAACATCGCGTAAGCAATAGCGAACAACCTCATATCCGTAGGCTTGCTGAGAGCGGTATCCAGGTCCTCAGGCTCGATATACGCCTCGAAACCTTTCCACCTAGGGTCAACTTGGCGGATAGCCTTCTGCAAACTTTCCTCGAAGGTACGTCCAATAGCCATGACTTCACCGACAGACTTCATCGCAGAGCCGACTTCACGGTTGACCTGAGACGAGAACTTGGCCAAATCCCACTTCGGAATCTTCGTGACGATATAATCAAGAGAAGGCTCGAAACATGCTGTCGTTGTCTTCGTAACCGCATTGGGAAGCTCAGGAAGGGTATGGCCAAGGGCGATCTTGGCAGCGGTATAAGCCAAGGGGTATCCGGTAGCCTTAGACGCAAGCGCACTACGTAAAAAAGAAAAAAATCAGGCATGAACGTGAATAGACAAAAAGTATCATCTTACCTTGAACGACTCAGACGAGCATTAACCTCGATAACGCAGTACTCCCTAGAAGTCGGATTGAGAGCGTATTGGATGTTACACTCGCCAATAACACCAAGATGCCTGATAACCTTGAGAGCAGCCGATCGCAACATATGGTACTCGTCATCCGGAAGTGTTTGAGAAGGCGCCACGACAATTGAGTCACCAGTATGTGTGCCAAGAGGGTCAAAATTCTCCATGTTGCAGCAAATAATCGTGTTCTGCACGTGAAGAAGAGTCAGGACATTGAACAAAAATAGCTGATATATAACGAAACGTACGTCAGCGGCGTCACGAACGACCTCATATTCGAGTTCTTTCCAGCCTCTCATGCTCTTTTCAATAAGAACCTGAGGACTCAGACTCAGACTCTTTGCCGAGAGGTCACGAAGTTCATCCGGGTTGTTTGCGAAACCTGAGCCAAGACCACCGAGAGTGAATGCCGATCGTAGAATGACAGGGTATCCAATCTTCTCTGCCGCGTGGAGTGCATCGTTGACTGACGAAACAGCAGTAGATTGAGCAGCGGGAATGTCGATTTCTGAATGACGTCAAAGTAAGCACAGAGAAGATATACAACCGATCACAATAGAACGTCTTCGCTACCAACGCCTAAAACCCATATCACATTACTTCACCGCAGAGTGTAGCCACCGGCTGTAACTTTCGGCGGCGAGGGTTCGGCAGGAGGTTTCGAATACACTCTGATAGTAGAGAACTCACCCTTGAGAGCCTGTACGAACAAATCACGATCTTCCGAAACCTCCAAAGTCCTTATAGGTGTGCCCAAAACTTGGACGCCAAGACGCTCGAGTACACCCATACGGTCCAATTCAATACCGACGTTCAAGGCACTCTGACCACCGAATGTAAGTAAAATACCATCAGGCCGTTCCTTTTCCAAGACATAGGCGACATAATCCGGCGTGATAGGCAAGAAGTAGACTTCCGATGCAAGTTCATGTGAAGTTTGCCAAGTAGCGATGTTGGGGTTAATGAGGACCGCGTCGACCCCTTCTTCGCGAAGAGCCTTCAGTGCTTGAGAACCAGAGTAATCGAACTCTCCCGCTTGACCGATACTGAGACCACCACTGCCAACGATCAAGACCTTCTTTACGTCAGGGCGGGGTATCTTGGGCAGCACCTTTGCAGAGATTTTCCGCGCCAGCTCGGAAGGTGAATTGAGAACATGATCACCATCTTCTCCCCCATCTTTACCGTAAGAACCGACAGCAGCACGCGCAATGGCACGGACAGGCTTGGTAGGTACAGGTGCAAACCTAGGCCGCGAGATATGAAGTTGGCGAGCAAACCGTTGTGATCGGTTGGTTTCCAGACATCGTCGGAGAGTTATACTCGCCTGCAGTCGCAGGAGGCCCATCCCTAGAGTGAGCACAAGCTCTGAGGGATGCGAGGTGGTACACTGCAAATTGTGTGCGAGGTTCGAAGTCTGACTCGTTCTCGACTCTTTAAATCATCCAACAGCGCCCGTAAGTTCTTGCAATCCCTATTTGGCAGGTATAGTGTTCAAACACAGATACGGCGAACCTCATAATGAGGTTACCTCGCCACATGTTGAAAAGTATGAAGCAAAAGAGCCAGTGAGCGAATGAGTCGTGCGGAATGGTGCGTCTGCGCCTGACCAGCGATGCGTTTGTGATATGAGTTGCAAGAGAAACGCACGAGATCGTCAGAGCACCGAGACTAGTAAGTAGGCAGAACACGAGAGTTGAAAGGAGGATGGAGAGAAGGTTCAGACAGTACCAAAAGTTAATGAAACTACGAGGGACAGAAGACGATATTCAATGGGGTATTTGGATGTATCAGTAAGTAGTGTCGCACTTCAAGCTTCAAGTCTGTGTTGAATTTCGTGCCTGGCGCTAGCATCCAGTACTATAATTCCATACTCAAGAATACGCATACTTACACAAGTTTTGTCCGCATGTCTATGTTTCAAACCACAGAGCACAACACAGTCATGCAAAAATACAGTGGATTGTTCTATTGATAACACTGTTAAGAGTACAATAAATAAGACATTCTACATCTACTTAATGTTCAACGGCTAAGTGTCCAATGTACAATGTATCTAAGATTCAACAAACTATGCATCAAAAAGCCCAACAATTACATCTTGCATCTTGCCGTCGCGAATAGCCTACAAAGACACATGGTAAGCATCGAGTCTTCGCTAAGATCCCAAGTAATAAGACATACCTCATAGATAAGAGAAATGTTCTGACCGAGCGACACCTCTTCCACGCCCGGACCCTGCTCGAACCGATGAAGGTTCTCCGACCCATGCATCTTCACGCCGAGTGTCACCCGCACGTACTCATACACTGGTCTGGTGCGACCCAAGTACAGAGAAGCAGGAGCAACACCCTTCGCGCCACCCAAATACTCCACCCTCAGCCGCTCCAATAGCATCGTGCACTGCTTCGCCACCTCCGTACGGAATTCCGCGATCTTCGCCAACGCCGGTACCAATGCAGGATCCGCAGAGCAGAACTCCACGATAGGCGTCACGCCTGCTCCTGACACCTTGTGCATCCGAGGGCCGGCGTCCATGGTGCTCGTGGTTTCGAGTGTCCTGTCCATCGCTCGTGATACGAGTGTGAAGAGCTTGTCCAGTTGGTGGGCAGAGAGGTAGGGATGGAAGAAGTGGGAGAGTTGCAGGCGGGTGATGGCATCGATACCTGCTTGAAGCTCAATCTGGAGTGCGCGCAGGTCAAGGGCCTGGCAAAGCACATAGAGGTAGCTTGCTATGAGCATTGAAAGCACTTCCAGAGAGGTGATGGTCGCACGGGCGGAGATCAATGCCAGAGAGCTGTCAGAAACAATGGGTACTATGCTTTCAACAACAATAGATGAACACTCACTTGACAGCCTGGTTGTGCATCTCCGCAGATTGCACATGGGTTGACACCGGGTTTGCGAGGAACCCAAGTTCACCGACGTAAGCCGCAGTGTGAATGTCGATGCCCTTCGCATGGTAGTTGAGCGATGGGTCCGTGGCAGCCAAGCTTGGAGGCAGACCGCGGTTCATTGCCGGGTTCATCAACTCCGTTGATTGCGAGAAGAGGAGCTTGCCAATGTGGTGCAATGCGAGGCGGGTCTTCTCCATTGCGTTCGTGATCGCCATAGCCTGGAAGTTACCGCCGTGGTGAACCTCAGCCGTCTCGCCGTCAATGAGCGGGTTGTCAGTAGCTGAACAGAGCTATTTAGCAATGCCACGATTGTGTGAGACGAAACCACTCACTCGAGTTGCACTCGATCGTGACTGCAGACAACGCTGAGAGGATATCCTCGATTTGGGGACCCAAGAACTGTGCCGAAGTTCGCAGAGGGTATCGATCCTGTCGGAGCTCACCCATGTCATCCGAAATGTGCTTCTCCTCTTCAACAGTCACAGCGAACTGTGTGTCCATGAGCAAGGCATGAATGTTCTGTGCCGTCTCGACCTGGCCAGGATGTGGACGAGCGATCGCATGAATGAAAGGATGGAAGGAGCCCTGAGCGCCGAACATGGCTTCTGTGCACATGGCCGTGCAGACTTGAGCAAGGAGTGCGAGGTGGACGACGTCATTCAAGGCAAGAGCGGCCACCGATGAGGAGAAAGCAGTACCATTGAGAATGCCGAGGTGTTCCTTTGAAGAAAGAGGAATGGGATGGAGGCCGTGGGCTGCAAGCGCCTGGTTGGAGGGAACAATATTGCGCCCGCCGAACACTGCAGGTCCGTCAAAGACGCGAATGGAGGGGTTACCAATGAGAGTACCGGCAATGTAAGAGAGTGGTGACAGGTCTGTAGCACAGCCAGATATTAGACAGATGTTACCGTTAAATAAAACAAAATTGTAGATACCTCCTGATGCGGAAATACTGCCTCGAAGAGGAACAAGAGGAGTGATATTTTCGCTGAGCAGGTCAGCCATCTTCTCGATCAGTTCCCACCTGACGCCGGAGTGACCACGAATAAGGGAGTTGATACGAACAAGGATAGCACCGCGAACCCAGGACTCAGGCATACTGCTCGTTGCTAGGGGATCCGACAAAGGCAGCGCTGCAGAAGCTGATGCAGTATCAGAAGGAAGAATACCAGTTTGCTGATGTTGGAGCAATGCGTGTCCGAGAGTGATTGGATCATTGGTACGAGTATCGGCTGAGGATTATAGTCATTAGTAAACAGCTCGAAATACAGACAAGGCAGTCGATTGTTAGGAAGAAAACATGCAAAAGAAGGGAGATAATGTGGCCCAAAAAGGGCAAGAAATTGGAGGCAACAAGTTCCAGCAGGTCAAGCTACGCGCAGAGAACAGTTGATCTACGTCAAACCCTGTCGGGCTTATTGAAGGCTTTCCTCGAAAGCGCATGTCTAAGGCAAATGAAAGTCCAATAGACTTTCACAAATGCATCATCGACACTAATCACCTGTGGTTATAAAGGAGCCGGCTCTCTTCGTTGAAGAGGGTATTACATACCCGTATACGATGGTCAGACCAGCTCCCACAGCAGGACGAATCTATGACCCAGGTATATGCCGGTGAGAGATGAAGAACGGATCATAGAAAGCACCAGACGTCGGAAATGATGTCTCAACGTCGTGAATACTTTCACAGCCGACGAGACTTCGACCTTCGCCCAAAGCGTGCATATATGCAGGCCATGCGAGATATATAAATCCCTGAATGGAGCATATTCACCGCCAGCGTCTACAAACAGACACAGAAATCGGAACACTGATTCCTCGCTGCACTCCAGTCAAAAAATCCTGTCGAGGTGTGCGTGCGGTGTATAGCTGTACACAGTCACAGAAATGAACAACAAAGCGGGGACACTCACCACTTCCACCGAAACCTGTGCTGACGCCATAAACACTTCGTTCCGAGTTGACCTTGGCTACAATTACTGAGCGACTCTTGTCAACTCGTTCTCGGAGTTGCTTTGAGTCGTCAAGCGTAACTGCGGCACCAAAGCGGGCCGCCGCTGTCACGGCAGGTATAGAAAGATTATGACCATCTACAACAATAGGTTTCCCAGACCTGGAAGAATAGACGTCACTTTGAAGGACAACATGAAGAGGGCAGCCGTGACGCACTTGTAACCTTCAAGCTCGCGATGAGCTTGAACAAACTTTGAAAGCAAAGTCGGCTGCGTCTCCTGAATAGGTTCAGAGACGACTTCTCCGTTCGCAATATGCCCATTCGCAACAGGCATAAGCGTAGACTTGCAACTGGAGGATAGGAGACTGGCACGGTGAGAGTCGGTGCGAGAGGGCATGGTTCGGTGAGTGGTATGAATCGGAAAGGAAAGGGGAGGAGATGATGAAATTTGGGCACATCCTGGCCTGCTTTTAAAGTCGTTGAGCGGGTATGACAACAGACTTATTCGTGGAGGGGTCGAAAGGAAGATATGATTGAGTTCCGCACTTTACTACTTCTAATTTCGGCCTGAATTAAGTAATTGTCGGCCGTGCCGATGGTCCGACTCCCCATATTCAGCAAGCCATCACCGAAACTCAACGGGCACACTGGCCTCGTAGACTCGAACTTCCATAAAGTCTTCTTCCAAAAAATGGTTTGCACCATCCTGGAGTCTACAAGATACTTCGAGCCAACATTGTGGTTCGTTATCATGGAATCTGGAGGAAGTTTCTTGCAGAATGCTCCTCTACAGTAAGATCCGTCCGGCCGGGTGTCGGTAAGTATTACGGCCAAGTGCATCATGAACGCATAGGTATTCGAGCAGGTTTTTACGTTTCTCAGGAACAGCATCCCCTCGACCTGTCAATGTCTGTCAACTCGGCATGGACAGGCTCTGAGGGGGCTGAGAGAAGCTTTCGAGTCAATCGGCTTTGAATACAGCCATTTCCTTCAGCTGGCAGGCTTCGAATTTTCACACAACTGATGCTCGGAAAGCACTTACAGCCACACCTGGGTGCTACAAGGCTTCTTTGAAGGTGATCTCGCTTTGGCTGAAACGCAGTTTGTAGAACAAGCTTGCAGCTTTGCAAGATCATGGTACTTACTGCGATTCAATCATCCGCCTACATGTCGCGCTGGTCGTTGACATGGCGGATGTGCAACGAGCGTGATTGCATCCGCAATGATCATCTAGCTAACTGAGGAGACTTTGCATCTGCGCCGTTGCGACTTGCTGATCACTGTTGCTACGTACCTTGATCCAGTCCTCGACCTTGTACTCCTGGAAATCACTCTCCAGGCTTGTATCGCCTCCACGATCCTTGCGGCTGCAAGTCCGGAGGATCAGTGGCGTACTCGGTTTCCTGCTTCCAAAGTCAGTAAAATGAATGTGGCTCTGGTATGTTGTTCTCATTTCTTGAGCTTGCAACAACGTTCATCGTATGCCTAACATATGAGAGTTGTGGAAAGTTCATTTTCTTGTGGCTCTGCGTCTTTAAGGGAAGCCTTTGTCGCAGTATTACGTTGTGCGGACTTATTACAAGGATCATGAGCGCGGGGGCTCAGTTTTTCGCTTGCAGTGTGTGTGTTTTCCCCCCAAACCCGCTGTTACCCGACAACCGCTTCTTCCATATGCAACTCATCGTACACGTTCCATCATTACCTGTACTTAGCATATAATGTTTCAATAACGTGGTATGTTGAAGCTCTTCAATCAAAGTATCCCATATCAGTTGACATGTCCTGTATTCAATATTACTGGCCAGGTCACTCCGGAATACGCACCCGCTTATCTACCGACGAAGATCAAACGTACGAACTCTTCCGCGGGCGGGTTTGACGTTATGTTCTCGAAATCCAGCTGAGTCAAGGGCGGGAATATGTACGTGATGCCTTGGTCACTCTCTGTTTTTCACACGAACGTCTCATGGTACCCCGACTTGAGAGCATGAGGGAGTCTAGTTTTCCTGAGGTATCCGGGAGCTTTACCATGTATTTTCCCTTCCATATAGTTCCGGGACGGTCTGCTGATACGAGCCCGAGAGTCCGTATCATACGGATTACAAATAGTGGCCATTTGTATAGTGAATGAAAAGATATCTTTGTGATCATCGCAGGTGTTGTGGACTGTCCGCAAAGATGTCAACAGTACAGCGGAGCCGCAGCGTTACCGCGATTCGTTAGATACATTATCGTAGTACTGCCACTCGCCCATCTGCATCAGTCATTTTCTAATTTTCATATACTACGTTTGGTCCCCAGCAACAGTCAATGTCGCCTGTATGTCTGTCTCGCTGTCGTCATTATGTCAAAACATGTTGAATCAGAGGACTTTCCCGATCAAGCGTTGACACTGGCAAGCGCTGTTGTTAGGTAAGCAGAATTTGTGCTACTTCGCTTGCGAGGCGATCTGCAGTTTCAGCCACAACCACGACCTTTTCTAGTTTCATTTACAATGGTGCGTACTTAGCTCTTGTACAGTGCTATGCTGTAAAACTGACTTGAGGGTGTGTGCGGTTGCACAGGGGAAAGCGAAGAAGACTCGTAAATTCGCTACTGTCAAGCGGTTATTGAATCCAAATGATATCAGGCTGTCCGTCGCGTTTGTTCTACATATGGAAACGAAACTCATACAGTGATGGTTGTGTGTATAGGAAAGAGAACCAGGTCAAGCAACAGAAGAAGGAAGAAGAGGCTAAGCAAAAGGCTACACGGAGGGTGTGCGTTGATTCAAATTTTCTGATTCTGTCCACAATGAAGTGCTGAAATTTTGTTCCTTCAGCACCCAGGTCGCATCCTCTATGTTCTTGCAACATAACGATGCTCTGGTACCGCCTTACCGCGTACTTATCGATACCAACTTTATCAATTTTAGTCTCCAAAACAAGTTGGAACTTATCAGTGGCATGATGGATTGTCTGTACGCCAAATGTATGTGCCCAACTTGTTGGACTGGTGACCACCTTGATCCGACCCTTGGCTGACCGGGTACTTGTTTAATGAACTGTTGGGGTTCTCTTGACTATCAGGCATACCATGTGTGACGGACTGCGTCATGGCGGAATTGGAGAAATTGGGGCATCGGTATCGGGTCGCCTTGAGGTACGTCCATCTAATTTGTCTTCACGTAATGGGGCCTCGAACGCTCACATTCCAATCTTCTACCTTGAATTTTATCAGGGTCGCTCGTGATCCTCGGTTTGAACGGCTCCCGTGTTCGCATTCCGGCACTTATGCAGATGACTGCTTGGTGCAGAGGGTCACGTCGCACCGATGCTACATTGTCGCAACCTGCGATCGTGAGCTCCGAAGACGGATACGCAAGATTCCTGGTGTGCCATTAATGTACATTGTCAAAAGGCGTTATGCCATTGAGAGGTTACCCGATCAGGGCGCACCGGTGTGACCTCTCATTTTCTAGCTTTGAAAAACTCGGAGTCCCGCTTGTTCCAGCTGGTCCATCTCGCTTTAGAGTTCAACCATACTTTTGATGTATTTTGCTGTGGATCATCATTTCTGTAGCTTTGCTGGTGAGTTGGATTGTTCGCAGCGTTGCTTGAGCGACGTGTTAAGCTGATGCATCTCTTGCTCAGGTACTTGCAGGATTTGTTACAATCTAATATGACTCTTTTTCCGTCGTATTCATCAGTGCTGGCATCATGATCGGCCTCTATGGTAGTCAAACTGACAGATCTGTCGCAAGAAGCACCGACCATCTCATGACCTCACTGTAATACAGATGGATAGGATCTCCGTCGCCCAACCTTCTGCTGTCTGGTGCCTAGTACGTCCGTATGTCGTACAACGTTCCATGGGCCTTGTTCCGTGCCGTCCACAGATATTGGTTTCTAGTGTTCTAACCCATATAGAGCATGTCCTCGTTAAAGAATCATCCGGAAGAAATGCAGTATTCATATCTCCTTCCTCTCGCTGATCTAGGCAAGTTCGTCCGCTTCAAACCCCTTGCAATGCTGTCATACTTCGAGGCCCATGACTAACAAATAGACTTTGTGTGTCCTATCGTAGACACGCATTCTCATGCAACCCACCCCTTCTCCATCTGGTGCACTTGTTATTACCATAGAACCCGGCTCTGACCTCAGCCCCCAACGAGTATTGGATCAGAAAGGAACCTCCACCTTCCACAGTTCTACCATCTCTATCTAATCCGTTATCCTCGAACACGGATATGCTCCGTCCAGGTCTCAGGTGCGTTCGAGGGTTGAATTCAAGTGATTGGTTCGGATCTTGCAATGGTATTTTGGAGGAGTACTGATGCGCCGAAGAATCTTGAGGAATGGTTCGAGGCTCATGACGAAAGGTGATTTCAATCATGCAGAGGACCGTAGCGGTCTTCTTGAGCTTGCTTGGTTGCTGACAATATGTAGCTCATAATTTACTTCTCCTAAATTCCATTCTTCGTCGTCATACTACAGACCGGCCCCAAGGTGAAATGTTTTCGAGCAGGTAGGCCACAGAACAAATAGAAATACACAACGCGCACGTGACCGTAACGCGTTATGTCGCGCCGCCAGCGCGTCTTTCTTCCCTTCAAATATTCACGACGACAACTTCCACTTTTCTGTTAGGATTCCGTACATCTTCTATACTGTCACTAACAATTGAAGGAAGATATTTATCATGGTATTGTCCGACGATTCTGTTCCAGATGCATATCCATATGCGTGGAGCTCGAGCTCAAAGTTAACATTGAGTGAATTCTTGACGAAAGTAAGTATATCCGTTCTAGTACGCTTTCCTCGAAGGTATTGAGACAATGCCTGTAGTACAAACCGTCTATGGTCCAAGATGATGGTACCAAGCCGGTGAGCCAGGACTTTCTTACCGTTCATTGCACCAGTTTTAAGTCAATGCATGCAGTGGCTTTGGGTCCAGAAAGCCGACAACGTGGAGAAAGTCGACAGAACGGCGGCCATCGAAGAAGCAAATGAGATATGTGAGTGGACTCTGGTGATTTGCATTCCAGTGGCTCATATGGCATTCTTAGTGAAAGAGACAACAGAGAAGGTCGAAAATATCAAGGTAAATACATCGAGATTATGTCAAACGATGCACATAATCATTTACATTGTACTAGAACGATGATTCTATACCCACTCGTGCAAACAAGAAGAAGGGCATCAAGAGTAAGAAAGAACTTCGGGAAGAGGTAATGACTACTTCGTTCATCCACTGAATACCAGAGACTCATTACTACAATAACGTTCAGGCGCAACAAGAAGCTACGGAAAAACTTAAGGACGTTTCCGAGCGACATGGCTTCGTCTCCGGGAAATGGTTCTCTTTGTCTCATATACCAAGTGTGCCTTTGCTGACTGAAGACCAGGTTGATATTTGCACCTGCGGATAAAGTAGACCTTATATGGTCCACGGTTGCCAGTGCGTAACATGTGGGTTCCACGACGCTCCTAATCATGAATTTAATACCGCAGCTTCTCTCATTGAGGGACCATTATCCAAGACAAGTGCAACTCTCACAAAGGTTGCAACTTCGCCCAAGAACGAGCAGCCTAATCATCAACACTTGCTATGTCTATATTTACCCAACGTCTATGATAAAGATAGTGTGACGGAGGTAGGCTCATAAACAGTTTGTTATTCACTCATGATAAATAACGAGTAATTTTCCATCCGTTAGGTTATGAAGATTCTATTGCGGAATCATGGACTGAACCTTAGTGGGGTAAAGTCTAATCTGTACACAGAAATGGGTTTGTGGTGACTCAGATCCATATCGGAGTTTAATGCTAACTGCGGTCTCTTATTATACTCAAGGTTTGGACAGTAAACATCCAAGCGGAATTCAATCAACGGTATGCGTGTCCTCCTCGTTTTCGTCCTGTGACTTATACTTATCGCGTGAAGGTTTGGCGCAACAACTCGTTGATGAAAGATACCGAAATAAAGGTGCGTGTTCAACGTAGTCTTGCCTTCAGCCTACTGATGAGCTCCCAACAGGAGCTGAAAGATGCTTTCTATGCCGAACTCAGTACAGCCAAATCCGCCCAAACGGAGAGGCCTGCTGCAGAAAAGACTACGGAAAAGCCACGCTCAAGTGCAGCAGCCTCGATACCAAAGCCTAAGCTGAAGAAGAAAGCTGTTGATGACGATCCTTTCGCTTCTGACGACGATGCTACGAAACCCCAGGCATCTGAGAAGAAGGAAGAAGCGAAGCCGACTTCAAAAGGAAAGAAGAAATTTGTTCCAAAGAAAAAGGCCAAGAATGACGACGATTTCGAGTCTGACCACGATGAAGACTCGGAAACGAACGGTGAGAAACAGCGTGTCGAAGAACTAAAGGCCAAGAAGGCGGCAGCGGCAGAGAGGACTAAGAAGGCTAGCTCAGCATCCAAGAGGCGCAAGAGTGACGAGGATGAGGACGATGCTGAGGACGAAAGCGAGCCCCCCAAGAAGAAGCGAGGTGGTAGAAAGTAGGGTGCTGGTTTTGACTCATGCTTATAGTGTCTCGGTGATTGCTTCCGCTGTATCTCATGTCCGTTCTGATGCGCCCGTGAATGTATACGTCCGCACCTCTCATCAATAGCATGGTGCGTTGTTGATACAAAGTCTTCACTCCCTGCTTATGCATCGATTTCCGCTCCATGTACAGGCAATATGTTATAGTATACGCGGCATATATGGCTACCAGCTCCCACACATCTGCCTACGCCGTCCTTTGTGGCTGGTTTTTATCCGGCTACCTGCCATCGTGGCTCATGCCGACATGAATGAGCATTCAATACAACATACCTCAAGGCATGGCTGGCGCATATACGGAGCAGCGTCCACGTTATCACAAGGTAACGTGCACTTCATTTAGCGTATAAGGTTTGACCGTGGTCCTGCCCATTTCATCACCGATGCCGGTATTTGTTATATAGCACACTCAGGACCGACATTGACGCGTATATTGGGAATGTGGGCCTCCCATCACTGGTGCCCTTCATAGACCTCCTGTTATGTTGAGCTCGGCTGTGGTTATTTCTCTGCCCCGATTCATGACATTGAGGTCTAAGGGCGGTACGTTCATTTGTCCGTGCGACTTCAAGCCAATGAATTGATGTCTACAATTTCCTTTGTCCCAGACGGGTCTTAAGGTCAGCCGTAGGATGCTTTGAAACCAACGCCACAACTACCATGTCTTCGACATCATCGACGGTTGGCACGCAACAAATCTGGAGACCATGGAGTATCCCTCTCGACGACATGCTAATGCGCCGCAAGCTCTGTGGCGTACTGAACAAAATTACAGATTCTAACTTCGAATCTATGTCCGACCGGATCGTTCCTCTCGCGGTGTCCGTTGAGAGGAGTGAGAATTCAGAGCTCTTGGACACATTCGTTCGAATGATTTTCCAGCGGGGCCTTTCGGACACAAGGTTTACTGATGTCTATGTGAACCTATGTCAAAAGATCGTTGATGAGCTGGAGGGCGAGCGGAGTCAGTGGCGCAGGGTGGACTTATTCCACATTGGTAATCCTATGGTGTGCTTCGAGACGTCTCTCCGAGTTCTGTCACAGTACGAGTTTGATCGTATCGTGGACAGCGGAGATCTGGAGACTCTTCTTATCTTCAGCAAGTTCGTCGGTGGCCTGTTCACAGAAGGTGTCCTGTATGTGAGCGACGTGCAGAGCATACTTGACGATCTCTTCGCTCGTGCTAGATATAGCAATGGCCACTCTGTGGCTATTCGGCGGTTTTTATCGCCAGTACTGGATGCGTTCAACGCGTCCCAATTCCTGGACCTCCTCGCAATTTTCCCGCGTGTGGAAAATATCTTACAGGAGGGTAAAATATCGTCAATGACACGATATATTATGATGGTTCGCACAAGTTCTCTTTTCCTCGAGAAGTCAACTAAACTTTCTTAACTCTCTAGCACCTGCACGATGAAATCTTGTATCCACAGCCTCAAGATGCCTTCTCATCCTCTCGTCAGAGGATAGAGGTGTATGGCCTTGATGTAGATGACAGTGACTTGGAATCTGCAGACGATTTACAAGAAGACTTAGCTCGCATTCTCCGCGCATGTGACGAGCAGGCCCGATACACCATCTTTCGGCGAGACTTCATTCGGGGAGTGCGGTTCTTCCAAGAGTTGAGAGTTGATGATCGCCACCTCTTCGTCTCAAGTCTGCTGTCAATAGTCTTTTCGTCTGGTGGCTTTGATGATGCTGCCTTCATTGCGGGATTATTTTCGAGAGATGCTATTCGAGACCTATGTCGATATGGGGACGCATTTATTGAAGGCTTTGGACCTTCCATGGCCGATTTAGAAGATATCTGCCTTGATGTTCCAGACGCGTATCCTATGATGGCACTCATGGTCCATTCATCCGCACTTAGCACGTCTGTCGTGACAGACCTAGCCTCATTGATACGACCCACCACTTCTAGCAGTTCCAATCCCCGCGAGAGATTCCTGGAAGCCTATTCGTTTGCAGCTTTGAAGTCGGAGTCTGCTGTTCAAAGCTCCGTGGAGGAGGAGGCTGATGATTGAAGTTGAATAGTTATATAGAAAAGTCTTCACACTTAATGTCAATTAGGGGATGTAAACACTCTTGTATCCGTTGGAATTAGACTAGTTCACAGATTTAGGAATGTACAGTAGATTAATCACAGATACGTATGCTAGAGATCGTAACTGTGTACTGATCAAGTTGAACTACCTCTAACCCTGCGTCTTTTGGTTTCGGCAGCTGGCCTGTCTCCATCTTCACCAGTTGTCTCGACTGTGCGACTGCGTTTCGTCCCCTTGGCTGCCGCCCCCCTTTTGCCTTTCTTCCGTTTAGCGGGGCCATCTTCTTCGGAACTTTCTCGCTCGTTTTCGTTCGGCTTATAAGCAGCGGCATCGGCACCTAAACGCCTGCTGCGTCGAACCTTAGGTCTACTCTCCACACTGGCTGAAGCACTTGCAACAGCAGATAGTTGACTAGGTTCTTCTGCAGCTTTGTCCACCTTCTTTGGCCGGCCCCTCTTGCGCTTTGGGGGAGGAGCTTCTTCATTGTCTGATAATGCCTTGGTTGAGCCAGAGGCTGATCTAGAGGCGCTCCGTTTGCCAGATTTTTGGCTGCCAAAAGCCCTTGAACTGGCCACGGTGGAGATAGATTCAGCCTGTGAGGGTGGGACCTTCATTGGGGAGTGGCTGGAACCTGCGAGTCGATGTACAGCTGACCCGGACAAGCCTGACGTCGGCAATGCACGACCGTCAATAGATACACGATGCTTGCGTTTGGGCTTTCGGGTTTGGCGATAATGCTCCCCTGGCTGAGGAAGATAGAATATCTCCTCCTCTCGTAAGAGATCCACACCAACCAGCTGCCGTAAAGCGCCAATCAGGTATGAGTTGAAGCCCAAACCCTCAACGCCCCTAACAAGCGTGTTGACGTTTTCAACTACTGCAATTCCATGATCCACGATTTGCTCTTCTTCCATCAGCTCAGCATTACTCAGAGAACAACCAGGGACCACGAAGAATATCCGGGGCCCCTTCTCCTCACGAGGCAAGCTGATTTTGTGGAAACGGCAATTGGACCGAGTAACAGGCGAGCTTGAGGGAATCACAATGTCAGAGGGCGTTGGAACCACTAAAGCGTTAGAAGCACCGGCTGTAGGAGCGGTGGGAAGAGTCTCAGGTTTCTCATGTAACGGTTGAGGTTGTGATGGCGGAGATGGTGAGGGATGTGACGGTGGCGGAGGCTGGGGACGCTGCACAGGCTGTAGCTTGAGTAGCGATGGTGGTCGACCGTGTTGGTGGTGGAGAACACCGTTAGTATGTATGAAGGGTAGCGGGAGTGTAGATGTCGCGCGGTCTGTTGTTGGCGAAGGCTGGCTAGGAACCGATACGGTATCTTGCAAGCTAGAAGCCACAGACGAAGCACGAGAGGTTCCTCGGCTCCTTGCAAAGCCTTTCGTTGACGGTCCCATTCGAAACTCGGAACTGTCATCGGCGATGCTGGAAGTAACTGAAGCACCATCGTCTGGCATTTCTGAAGCCCTGCCCTTGCCCTTTGATGTAACAGATTTGATCTCCTCGTCCTTGCCCCTGGTAGACATGGAGCGAGTTAGTCGAGGCGGGCCAGCGGGAGGACTTCGTCGTTTCCGCTTCAACGGACGAGACGACTCGGAAACAGCGTCCCCATGTTCTTCAGGTTCCTTCGTTGCCTGTTCAGTACTCGCTACTGATTCAGTATCATCCACCCGTGTGAGCTGGTCAACAATAGTAGCATCCTGTTCAACATCGGACCTGGAAGGAAAATATGAAGATGGTAAGTCTAACTGTGTAGCAGTGATCAAAATATTGACATACTCTGGATATGCGAGCTCATTCTCTGCTGATGGTCCCTCATCATCGCGGGTATTCCCTTCTGCGGTTTCAGCAACGACCTGACCTTCTGTGCCCGAGACTTCGAAAGAGTCTTGACCTATATCTTGGTTAGGCAGTGGTGATAAGTCCACAGATGTGAGTTCGTGACTCCTTTCGATGTAATCAGGGTCAACATCGCCATCAGCATCGACGTCGTCATGATGTACATCACGAGTGTCGTCGGGTCTGCTCGATGCAATGCTTTCATCGTCTTGGAAGTCCTCCACGTGCATAGATTTGGTCCCGGCATCCAAGACTCCCTGATCTGTATCCTCTGCAACGACATCCGTCTTATCCTGAGCACTATCTTGTACCTGAGACTCAAGTGGAATCTCTTGAGGCGCTGTGGCGTCGTTATCTATTTGTACATCCTGCTGCAGTTCGGAAGAGGCGGGAGAGGCATCACCTTCTGTAAGCGGAGTAAATAAGCCACTGGGACTGCGACCGGTATTACGCTTTATAAGCGTAGCCGCGAGACGTTCACGCAGAGAAGCTCCCGATGAACCAGCATAATCCGGCTGACCACCATTAAAGTCTGAAGAAGGACTGGCTGGACTTGGTGTTCCCACTTCGCTAATAGGATCAGGAACGGCAGGATCCGCGGATACGGGCATGGGAATTCCCGACTCCAGCAGATGTAGTTCTTCGTGAGGAGAGGCCGAGGAGGGTTTCAGGTGTTCGTCAGGAGGACCCTTCTCTTCGATCTGTTCAGAAGAAACGGTCACCGCAGGAATGCCGGTCGTAGCAGACTCCAATTCCAGTTTTCCATGAGTTTCGTTTGCCTGCAGCAAAGTCATGAGATACATACAAAACGAAGACTGATTGTAAGCTAGACTTACCTCAACTGATGCCTGACCTGCGTCCGCTGCCGCATTGACATCGAGCGACGCAATTGACCCACGTGCTGAAAGTGAAGAAGCTCTCGCTTTTGCAAGGTCCTCCCTAGACGGGCTAGGAGTATGAACGAAACGATATCTGCGTCGCCGAGGACGTTCATCTTCACTCTCCGCGTCGGCGACGACATACTTCAAGCCGGAGCTATGTGAAGTGATATCACGGATTGCGGACTCTGCGTCCAAGGGTTCAGTTGCAACGCTAGAGATGATATCGGGTTGTACTGGGCCAGGACTGGGTGTCAGAGACGTCACGATAAAGTCAGGCTCCTGCATTACACTGTCAGAACATACAAGAGTGATGACAACGCAGTTATCTCACCTCAGTCCGCCTTCCCTCCGTAACAGCCTCCTCTACGGAGAAGTCAGTAGGGGTGATAGGTCGGGTACCAACGTCGGTCACTACATCGATAGCGGCCACGATCTCGTCGACAATTTGCTGCTCTTCCATCTCCATCACAACGTACGGAGCGCCCTGCTCAGGGATAAACTCAGGCATGAAGAACATTCCGTGCACCTCGTTCTCGTCTTCTGTCTCTTGTGTCGTTACGTCGGGTGCAAGAACTTCTTCGACAAGGTTCATGGCTTCAGATTCTTGTTCTTGAGTCTCGAGAGATACCTCAGCAGATGATTCAACCTGGATGGACTCTTCTACCGGTACTGGGCTGGTCTCATAAGACGAAGCGATTGAAGATGGTTCCTGATATAGTGCGTAAGAAATGGCGAAGAAAAAAGTCAAGAAATGGCTACTAACCTCAGTTCGCCTGCCTTCTGTCATCGGCTCTTCCACAGTGAAGTCCCAAGGTACCGGAAGCATGTCGCCACCAGCATCGGTCATGATGTCGAAACTAACGACATCAGGTATGTTATCGAGTCTGTCATTCTCTGACAGGACTTCGGTAACAACGTAGTTCAGCTGCGCCTGAAACTCTTCGGGAGCAGGTCCTGGTGCCTCAGCTTGACTTCGTAATTGCTCTACGAATTCACTTTCGGCATGAAGTATTTCATCGGTCGCCAACTCGATTTGCTCCTCAAGCGATCGAGTATCGGGCCCCGGGAGTTCTTGTACATCTTCAGCAGCAACAACCACTTCCGGTGCGTTTGTGGCATTTGTGAAACTGGCAAGGAACCCGAGCACATCGGCCTGATCAGGCAGACTATCATCGACAACTCCAGACTCGGCTTGAGCTTCAGCGAAGCCAACATTCATGGATGTGTCAGCATCGAATGAAGCCTCTGCCACGCCCCTGTTTTCGACGTCGACGAATTCGTCATGCATCGTATACATCTCTTCAAGTTCTGCATATATCGCAGCTTCGTCCATCGGGGGCGCTGATGCGTCATCTTATCAATGAATCAGTTAGAAACCGAGTTGGATGGTCATTATAAGCATGAAGACATACCGTGATGAGGTGGTAATTGCTCGCCAGTTGCAACATCGGGTGAAACTGGAAGAGGCTCCTGATTAATCTTACCGTCATCTTGCAATTTCGCAGATGCGGCGTCGAGAACGTCATTCGGATCGACGTATGAATCGTCGCTGGGCATGTCGACATGGTCATGGTGAATGTCGAGATCACTCGTACCCAGCGGTATAGGACCAACATCGTTGTCCTCCTCGTCATCGTCACTAATTTCGAGAATCTCCTGCTCTTCTCGTTGTTGTTCATCTTCAGGAGTCTTGAGGTGTCCTGACCGTGAAGCCATCCGGCCTGAAGAGAACGCAGGAGGATAGTTCCAGTCAACATGGCCACTTGGTGAAACTCGAGGCTCAGAAGGCCGTTCGTGCTTACTTCGGTTAGGAGAAGAAGCACTGCCCCGCATGAATGAAGTTGCAGACTTCTCCAAGACATCTTCGGTTTCGGCGACCTCTGCGTACCCAACTTCAGCTTCTTCATCTTCATCCAGCTGAGCATAGATGTTGTCCAAGGCCGAAGCGTCAAAGTCTTCTTCGTGAATGGGTGAACCAGAACGAGCCCGCCTGCTGACTTGAGTTATTTCTGCATCTGCCTCAACTTCTTCTTCGTCGACGTCGATCACTTCATGTTCATGAGACTCGGTGCCAGCAGGAGTGACAGTCTCCTCTTCCCTGAGAGGTGTGAGAACCTGAGGGGTCAAATGGAAAGGCGTAAGCTTAGATGGATCGTCACGAAGTTCGCCACCAGCGTAGAAGTCTTCTGCGTAAGTCCGAGGGCCATCCCAAGCGTCAGGAATTTCAACATCTCGAGGCTGTCTCGGCGAAAATTCTGTAGTCAAAAGTCTAAGCATATAATGCAAATCTAGTCGAAATCGTTCCCACCTTCGTTCTCTTCGTCAGGGCCTTCTATCTCTTCTTCAAGATCTACTGCATCTGCTTCAGTAGGCAGCAAATGTATGCTACCAACTTGAGAAGCATTGGGAGGGAGGTCTCCTCCAGAGTAGAAGTCTTCTGCATAAGTACTCGGGCCTTGCCATGCATCAGGGATTTCCACTTCTCCTTCACCAGGCTTTCCTTGAGGGGGCTCTAGAGGGACATTAGTATCAACCAACTCACGAAATGCGCATCTGATATCGTACCAAGATCTTCCACCTCGCCCTCGACTTCGTCTTCTTCGTACTCATCCTCTACTTCACCCCGCTGGATGCGATAACCTAAGTCTTGATCAATGGGAGGCCGTGGTGGGCTGCTCCGAAGCTCGTCCTCTTCATACTCTTCATCGTAGCCTTCACCTTCACCTTCATCCTCGTTCTCGAGTCCTTGAGGAACGGGGCGCACAGGGGCACGAGGTTCAGGTTCTTCCTCATCTGAAAGTATTTCGATCACCTCCGCTTCATGCACGCCGGTTTCCTCCATAATGTCAGAGCCTTCTTCTTCACTTCCTGCATCTTGGTCATATGGGCCTGGGCCGTCTCCATTCGCGTGATCCCAGCGAGCCTCTGACCACCCTAAACGTTGCTGTTGTTGTTGTTCTTCCTCATATTCCTCCTCTTCGGAGCCATAGTCCTCGCCTGAGACTTCGGACACTTCTTCTTCGTAGTCCTGAGCTCGTTCCTTGCCCTTCGCGGCACGACGCGCCTTCACTTCAGCAAATGAATCTTCGGCGGCCCCGTCTTCGTAAGTCGACACATCACCTGGCGCAGGTTGTTCTTCCGCATGTTCTGTCGCAGGAGGAGGTTCTTCACGACCCAAAGCTCGTTTGAGCTGGCTCGTGAGATCTCCAATCCACGCGTTGAACTGTGTCGCGGTGAATTTGTCATACGGATTGTATATCGGCGCACGTAGGGACGCTGGTGTAGGTACAGGGTACCGTGGATTTGTACGCCAAGTAGACATCGTTCAAGGAGACGATGTCAAGAATGGGCGGAGCGGTAGTCTTTGTGGCAGCAGAAAGAGTAGATGAACGAGTATTACAGGAGCCACTCGCCACGTGCGTGATCGTGTCACATGCGCGTCGCGTGCTTATAGCCAGCCCAAAGGCAGTCATATTGTTCGCTGCATCTCCTACAAAGGAGACTACAATACACGTACCTTCTTAGGCTTGCATAATTGAGGGCTTCCTCCGTACTTTGTGGGTGGGAAATAATTGACAGTCGTGAAATACGTCAAGTAATTCCCAAAGTGGAAGCTTAGTCAGCCTTCAACGGGCGTTTAGTAGATGTTTATTTGAATTTCCAGCTGGCACTTTCGCGTCGCGACTTGCTGCGAGCAAGACCTTTCGTTCAAAAGTATCTGTAAGTGAAAAAGTCTACACTCGACACTGAAGTCTGAAAAGAACGCCTCATTATCTCTGAGCTGTCAGATTCGTGGATGTTTAGGACGTGTGTTAGCCGCTTCACAGGAATCCGACGTCCTCAAAAAGTTGTTCAGAATATCTTCTCGAGAAATACCTCTAGAACAATTGAAGCTTACCTTCGTGCCATGAGACCTTTGGACTTTGAAGCCGGTCCAATGGTTTGGATTGACTGCGAAATGACCGGATTGGATCCCAAGCAAAACCAAATAATTGAGATCGCAGTAAGTTGTGAGGTAGACCAGGGTGTCATGTGTGGTCTCTTACTCATTATACTTTGCAAGCATAGGTCCTTATCACAAACGGCAATTTGGAGTTAGTCGATGAGGGTATTCAATATGTGATCAAGACTGATAAAGCTGTCTTGGACAAGTAAGTACAAGTTGCGCCGGAAGCATTGAACTAAGTTGTGAAGATACTTCCAGGATGGACGAGTGGTGTACTAAGCAACATGAATCAGTAAGCTGCTGCGGTATCGTATGCAATGGCACGTTGGTGGGCTGACCTGCTGCAACATAGTCTGGATTGACTCAAGCATGCATAGTTTCTCCGCACACCAAGGAATTTGTAGCCCAAGAAGTCCTTAATTATATCAGGAAGTGGATACCTAAACAACGTACAGGCGTTCTCGCCGGGAACTCAGTTCATGCGGATCGAGCATTCCTTGTCGAAGAGATGCCGGAAGTTGTTGATTGGCTTCACTACCGGTCAGTGCTACTTTCTTTCCATGTTTGCACATCTTGAACATCGTGACTTGCTACAATAATAGCATCGTTGGTATGTAGCGCCTATCTTCTCCATGTTAGCGGATGTCAATCTGAGAACATCGACCTCTAAAAAGATGTCTCGTCCATCAAGGTATATTGCAGACAATTGCGATCATCGGTTGGTCCACTCATGCCAATTATGCTCCCAGGAGCTTGCACGCAGATGGTACCCAACAATTAGAAGAGAGAAGCTTGAGGCTGGTGAGATCAGTCATCGGTATGTCCGTTCTTGAACCCATGTGGCGCGGGCGGTCTTTAACTGTATTGGCAGAGCATTGGACGACATTCGAGCCTCAATACGAGGTACCGTGATTTTCGGTTCAAGTGAGATTGCTTCTCACGTCTTCTTTTCGTTCTCAGAACTTGAATGGTACCGTAGCAATATCTTTATTCCTCCACCCAAATCGTAGAAGCTCCAGACCGCCGCTCTGTGGCCGACGTGCCCGACTCCGAATCGGTAGCACATGGGGTTCTGCATCTGTCAAAGCACATTTTATGACAGCATTACTGCTATTCGCTGATCTGCAGGACATACATTGTACCAAGTTCGACTTTACAATCGGAGGACGGTGTCAAGAGTTACAGCTAGTGCCTTGTGGAAATGGACGCGTGGCAATGCCTGCACCTTCTACTTAACGTCTTCTATTTCGACCCCTTTATCGCAGAGACAAAGCGAGACGTTGGTGTCTTCTCAAGGGCTGCCGAAAAATGGCGCAGATGGCGTCTGCATCTAAAGCATTTATCACGGCTATTCCGGTGCAAGACCGGAGTGGTACTCAACCGGCTCTCTGTTCACAAATCGTGCTAACATATCCGGTGAACAGTGCGTGGGTTAAACTCATCCCAGAGGTGTCTCAAAGTGTACAGTTGGCTTGTCTCATGCTTCAATGGCGGATGTTGTGGTGTATGACCAGGTAGGGCCTCAAGCAGATCCAGGCTCCACAAGCTACACGATACATTGAATCGCGTCATCGATGCTTTCCCCATGGTTCTTCGTTTAGGGCTTGTGATATGGGTGAATTTCGGTATCGTCAGAGCGGCGATCATTGACACACCGGGAGTCAAGAGAATAGTATGAACTATGGAATCCCGGTTGACTGAATGCACGGTGAGTATGTGGGCTTGATATTGTGCCGTTTGCATTCTCATCCGCTGTCAATGGTCGCTGGTGCAAGATACTGTTCAACAGACGTGCAAAATTTGACACCCTCGAAGAAATAGCGGATCGCACTAAAACCCATTTTACCCATGGATTTGATAGACTGACGCCATGTCAGAGTCGTCGATGCTTTAAGGATGTTCGCGAACGAAGGTCAATGGTGACCTCACCGAGGGAAGTCTTCGACCTGCTTGACGAAATGCATATGCCATAGATTCCGAGGATGTTCCCCATGGAGGGCGTAAGCGGGGCATTCCCCGCAAAGAGGGCTCTGCGGAGATGCGTATGATGTCGTCAAACGCTACAATACACTCTACTGACCTGCCTGAAGCAGTCAGGTGTGCTGAGGTCTTGTCCACGTCCCTGAAATAGCGAAGTTATCAGATAATTAACCGTGGTAAAACCGAACACTAGTCGGGTACGTAATATTTTAATTGCTATTTAGGTCCCGAGACGAGTGATCGAAGTCAATCTCTCAGATCAGACAGATTTGGTTATGATCTCCCGACCGAAAGTTCTCATTCCAAGAACAGCTTGAGTGGTTTGCAGCATTGGGAACGAACGGCCTGTCAAATGGTGGTGAGCTTTTCTTGAAATGGACATGATCGCAAATTACCATGGACCTATCAGGCTTTACGAATGGTTCGCAATGTACCTCGAGAAGATCCATACTAACTTGTCAAGCGTTACATGTGGAGTAAAGTCAAAATGATGCGATGAGGGAACCAATATCTACCTCACGTCGACCGACAAGGCCTTTTTTTCTTTCAGCTTGCGTCGGAAGGCACATATTGCCCGTTAAAGGCGCTTCGACTCACCGGAGGATTCAAAGCGTCAAACGCAGTAGCTTCGCACAACATCCAATACCGCTCAAATCATGACAGCCATGGTAAACAAATATCGCACCCAGTCTGGTCAAGAGCAGGCTAGAATGCTTGTGTGGCCTCCGGCGCTCTCTGATGTCGGTTTCAGCGCAGCTGTTGTGGCGGCCAGGTAACCTGCTGGGATTGGCTCTATCTTAATGAATCGAGAGGCGGTGCTCTTCGTCTTCTGTGAGAGATGACGCCGGAGGATTGACTCCATTGGTCGGTGGATGACTCACTGCAGAGTTTGACAAAATAACACCGTTTCGTGCGGTGTACATATGTCGGTCCATGGAACTGAAGTTGACTTCAGGTCCTGAAATTGTGGCGCAAACTGATCAAGAATTAGTTGAAGCCGTCGACAATGGGGGTACCCGCCATTTGTTCCGCATGCGAATGTGCGTAGCCCATTGTGCGAAGCACTATCATGACAAAACAGCCATGCCCCACAATGATCACAAGCGAGATTGCAATGGGAGGATTTGGTAGCTCCAGAATGACCGAGAGGTTTGCTAGACAATGATTCTGGACTGTTAAAACAGCGGAACTCACGCCTCCACAGAAAGTGTCACTTCAAAGACTGTAAGTGGACATCTATTGCCGGAATTTGACGCGAGACAATCTGCTGGGTGGGTACGCATCCATGGTACAGCACACGGCTCCACGCCGGCATGGACACGCCACTGTACCTGAACAATGGGACTTGTTCCTTTGGCGGAAAAGATGAGTTTGTCCCATTGCGTTGGGTATAGACCTTACGGGATAAGCATACTCTGCTGTTACAGGATATGTTACTCAAGCAAAGTGACGAGTGGTCAGCGTTTCACATCAATCTGTCGAGATTCGGCAACAAGTGGCTGCACGGCAGAGACATACGCACAAAGTGACTCGCCGCAGAGGCAATTATCTGGCGCAGCAGTAACCCAGAAAGTAAATGGCGCATCAAATTCAAAGGCTCGGAAGGTAGGAAGTTACGCAGAATCCAGTCCTTGGGAAGGACGGCTTCGCAACAAAGAATCATGCACCGATGCGTGGGATCTTTGATAGACATATCGACAACTCAAAAGGTGCTAAAGTGTCAACGAACCTTCCGACGTTTCATGCGATGTACGTCCATTCTGCCCATTAACATTTTCTTCGCCGTTGGTTGCAAATTGCATCGAGGCAAGAGGTCTGGATGTCGGTATAGACTAAGCGTCCGAAGCCGTGTGGACGTCGGTGTGTATCGCCACAATAGGTCGGCGTTTAGAAATGGAAATGTGATCTTGGATCGATACACTTTGATGGGTGCCTGCAGTGGGACAAGGTTGGACACGGTGCGTTCGAATCTCCCATGCTGGATACGCCCGTTTGGGTGCGCGATAAGCTGTGTGAAACATTTCCGCTGCCTGTCTTCTGCATGTCATTTCCTCCACCTCCTCCTTGGGGCCAGAAGCGCGGTTTCCCAGACGAACCGGATTCCCGGAGAATGTATTCGCAATCTCTTCGGATTCACCCCGCTTTTAAAAGACCTCGGGGTATCCTAGGATCCTTGCTCAGTTACTCATTCAATCCAGCCCTGTCCAGCTCCTACCGAGCGCAGAGGTTCCTCCAGTTTAATTTGCCTCTCTTACCCTCAGAGCGGCTTGAGCAACCCCGCCTCGTCTGATCTCAGTGACCTGGTCTACATTGACTTCGCCGACGCCGACTGCTACGTACTTCACGCTTCAAACCCCGACGCCATTATACGACATGCCTTCACCACATATCATTGATGACCCCGAGAAAGGGACTATGGAGCAAGTAGAGCAATCAGCACCGGTCGCTCTACCTACTCCGAGAACGAATGTATCACGCGATGCCCAGGTTGTCGACCTCACCCGCAAAGTACAAGACCCTGAGAAGAAGCCAGCCGATCTTTCAATAGTCCCATTAGTCCAAACATCCAAGCCTGCTGCTGTGAAGAAGCCTCGAAAAGTCAGCAGGTGGATACGCTTTCAACTTTGGTTCAACACTTACCGGTAAGCTCTAATATCTATATCTTGATGACATTGGACCTTGCTAAGGCTTGATGTTGTGTACAGAAAATTCTACTCTATCGTCGTGGCTGTAAACGGTGTTGGTCTTCTTCTTGCTGCTCTGAACATTTGGACATATCCTCGGCATTACACGGGTGCTTTTGTCCTCGGCAATTTACTATTCGCCATCCTTATGCGCAACGAACTCTTTGGACGTGTACTTTACCTCTTTGTCAACACATGTTTTGCTAAGGTACGCGTCCGAACATGAGGTGCAACTCTAAGATGCTAACATGAGGTTTTCATATAGTGGACGCCTCTCTGGTATCGTCTGGGATGGACGTCTGCTTTGCAGCATCTAGGCGGAATCCATTCTGGCTGCGCGACTTCAGGCTTCGCCTGGCTCATCTTCCGTGTTACTTTAATCTTCATCGACCACAAGGACAACCACGATGCTGTCCTTATTATGGGCGTTATCACCAATCTCGCCGTCGCCATCAGTATCTTGAGTGCCTTTCCTTGGGTGCGCAACACGCACCATAAGTACGTGTGTTTTGGTATCTTCAACGTTGCACTTGTCTCACGCTAGGGTTTACAGCGTCTTCGAACGGCATCATCGCTTCATTGGATGGTGAGTACTATTGCTATTTATAGGTTCGGTAGCGCTCCGGTTGCTCATAGCCGTTTCGTTTTTAGGCTTGGCCTTCTCTCAAGTGAGTAATTTCTTCCTCAGTTGGTTTGCATGAAGCAAGTATCGGCTTCGCACACGGAGTCGATTTCTCCTCGCACGCTGTATACCGCAGCAAGTCATTGTATCCGAGGATGCCTCCACTGTTGCCACTGTTCTGGATACTTACTGATACCCTTTGCCTCTGCTAGCATGGGTGTTCGTGGTCCTCGGTGACAGTTACGACCTCGACACACACTCTTGGAACCCCAATGGTATCAGGGTCATCCGTCAGCAAGACTTTTGGTTCGCATTTGGAATGACTGTCTTGTGAGTGCTGCTGCGGATCCTCTTTCACTCTCACGCGGGGCAAAGTACTGATATATTGCCGGCGACAGTATTCTCATCCCGTGGTTCACTGTTCGTGAGGTCAAAGTGGACATTGAAGTTGTACGTATTATCTACAGCCTCGTTGATTGTGCCGATACTTACGGGGATATGCAACAACAGCCTTCGCCAAAGGTTGCGATTGTGCGTTTCGAGCGAGGAATGCAACAAGGGCTACTTGCCCGTATTTCTCGGTCGTCGATCATGGAATACCATGCCTTCGGTATCATCTCGTGAGTTCTTGACGATCCTCTGCTATTCATTCGAAGCTGTAACTGAATGATTATCTGATAAGCGAGGGAACTCATGCGAAATACCACTACCTAATCTGTGGTGTGCAGGGCGACTTCACACGCAGTCTCGTCAATGACCCGCCAACTCATCTTTGGACGCGTCAGTTGAAGGTAGGCCGATATTTCAAAAGATGCATTTATAGTTACTGAATCATCATTACTAGTTTGCCGGCGTCTCGAACACTTCGACCCTGTACAAGAGAGGTATTCGTGTTTGCACAGGCACAGGGTTAGGCGCAGCGCTCTCTACGTGTCTCCAGAGCCCTGATTGGTAAGTAATTCCTCATCATCGTCCTCGAGCCGGTCATCGAGCCGGCCCCCCTTGGCCTTTTCTTCCCGCGCTGTCCTCAACGGCATTGCGCGTGTAAACTGGTTTTACAGGTTTACTGACCGAGCATATTGATCTCAGGTATCTCATTTGGATCGGCTCGGACCAGGAAAAGACATTCGGACCAACCATTTCCGGTCTCATTCAACGACATCTTGGACCAGAACGTGTGTGTCTTTGGGATTCTAAGGCGCGCGGTGAGTAATACTCTCACGGGGGTATTCAACTTGCGTCCTCATTACAGAACTTGCGTCACAGGTGGCAGGCCAGATGTCATGAAGCTCGTAAAAGAGGCTTATGCGACTTGGCAAGCTGAGGTTGTCTTCATCACGTCAAATTACCAAGGTAACAAGGAAATCATGGAGGGATGCAAGGAGGCAGGGATTCCAGCATTCGTACGTCATTCTTCATCCTTATTTTTATAGTAGCCCGTTGACACCATACGGTAGGGCACGCTATGGGATTTCTGAACACAATCATTGTTATGGGTGGGGACACAAACTGATAGAACTTGTTGTCAACATTGGTCCGTTATTACTTACTTTTAGCAATTTATTACTACTACTATCGCATATATCTTATTCACAAATGGCTTTCGGACGTTGTTCTCAGCTTTCCGTTATATTATGGGCAGCTTGCCTTTTGTACTTCGCTTGCTTTGACACAGCGTAGCCAAGTAATGAAATAGCATTTTTTTTCAAAGGGGATGCATCGAGGTTTCGTGCTTGCTGTTATTTCGATGCCTCATTGGTGTATGTCTGTAACTTTTATCAAGTGCAATTCATCTCAGAATAGTTTGATCAAGTCGAAGTAGTTCTACAGTTGTAATGTCGTTATCGAACATGGATACAATTCCTTTTCGAGCTCCCTCACTGATAGCCGCTCTTGGTTCAAATAAGTTCTTGACCGAATCAAGCCGCGTTCTACTGCTTCAAGAGAATCGCCTTCAAGTGCTCGAAATAAGTGCAAGTACTATGTGTGTAGTGTCTGCGCTCGGGATCGTGCTGAACAACGAGGTACCACCGTTAGTTATAAACCTCACGAGCATGTATTGTCCGGAAATTGAATCTCCTTAGCTTAGGTATCGAGATCCTACCTGGAGATGCTAGTGCATGGCTGCCAGAAGGTTCAAATGAGAGACCATTCCTCTTCGAGGAAAGGAACCTAGGTATACCGAGCAAGGTTCTATACCGGGCATATTTAGAGGCAGTCCACATCTTCGCCGAAGCACGAAGAACATGGCATCCTATAAGCGAGTCAAATAAGACTGCTCTCATCCATTCCTCATCAGTCATCCTGTTGGCGAATCCCGCACATCAGACTGCGTTGAACGCCAGGAAACGATTCGTCTTGTCGAAGTCTCTCCATGCCGAGGTTGACCTTTGTTTCAACACTGCATTGCTTTCTCTCCCCGATGCTTCGAAGCAATCCATCGTTTGGCATCACCGCCGCTGGTTACTTCGTAGACTGCGGAATCCTACCTCCCCCTTACTAGAGGCGCATGAGGACACGCTCGATGTCATCAATTTCAGCGTTGAAGACCTCCGCCAAGAGTTTTCAATCGCATCTCGCGCCAGTGAAGTATATCCCCGCAATTACTTCGCATGGACTCATAGATACTTATGCATGCATTCCCTGCTCTCCACGTTGCGCCATCAGCCTTCTTCCTCCCTTTTACCTTCTCATCATGATCTGAACGCTTTACTCATGGAAGAGTGTGGTTGGATCAAGACCTGGATCGACCGCCATATTTCTGACTATACGGCTATGCAATATGCGTGTCAGATATTCTCTATAGCGGCTGGAATGGGGAAAAATAACTTGTCATGGGCTTCACCTCCTCCCGACATGTCTCCTGACGCGCTGTTAGACATCCAGGGCTTGAGGACACATGCTCAATCTCTTCTACACACCTACCCGGAACGCGAATCGTTATGGATGTATTTTCGGGACACTTTCCAGATGACAGGATCCCCGCAAGAGCGTTTGGATGCTAGAAGCGTTGTCTGGGGTCTCGTAGATTTCATTCGAGAGCTGTTGGATACCAGTGCCGCGGACTCGGGACAGGGCACATCGGCACTCGACAAATACGACTCCATTAACCTCCACGTCTGCCGGTTCCTGGCCTGGCTGGCACGGCAGGTATGTGGATGTTCAAATATTTCACGATGCTCCATTTATATTGAATTCAAATTGTGTAGTCTCATGCGATAGACATGCGCCCTCAAAATCCACTCGATATTCTCAGAGGGCGCTGCGACTACAATGCTCTCCTAGACACTCTCCTGACTCCCTTACCACAACGAAGATCGACGGACATCATACCCCAAATGAAATGACAATTCCCTGTGTATACAGTACAGAAGAGTACAGAGCGCTGTGAAGATGGAACATGGTACAATAGACTGTGGACCCCCATGTACAAACCACTGAAGAAAACTTAAGTTTTGGTGTAATGTATGCACAAAGCCGCTAGTGTAAGAATTGCTAGGAGCATAGAATAAAAACTTAAAGCGACCCTAAGTCAGTTGAGAGTGAGATCCTGGTTCCGGGCAGGCACGAGACAGCGAGAAAAACAAACGATCATTAGGGTTCAGGTTCCAACAGATGTCTGTACACGGACGAGAAAGGTCAGAAGTTAGTGCGTGTATTGAAACAAAGATGGGGATACTGACACTCCGAGCAGTTGATTCATCTTGAACATACTCATCTTGTCGACGTGGAAGATACCCTTCAGAGGTTCGTCACACAGAATCTCCCGCTTGTCCTCTGGGTTTTGGAGATCATGTGCCTTGATGTAGACCCACATCTGCTTCACGACCTGTGGACGAGACAGTTTGTCCACTGACAAGAGGGAGGCCAAGGGTTCACTACACCAAAGTCAGCCAATCTCGACGCGACGACAGAAGTAAAGAATATACCTGAGAGCATATTCCTTGTTCAAGCCTCCACCCCTCTTCTTCTTCTCTCCCTCAATCTCGTTCCCGTCAGAATCTACCGCCTCTGCACTCTTGACTTTCTTTGCGCGTTTCGCAGTAGCTTTCTTTGGTTTCGACGTTCCGGCCCTTGAGGTACGTGAACGACTGTTGAGCTCCTGATCAAGCTGCTTTGCGATTTCTGCGTCTGTGAGCTCGGCTTTCTTCTTAGGTCGTTTGGCCTTTTTTGCTGCGGCCGGGGCCTTGGCCACTTCCTCGTCCAATTCATCAGCGTCTTCGCGTTTCCGTTTACTTGCTGCCACATCCGCCTCATTCCCCTCTTCATCTCCCTGGGCAGCCTGCGACACCTCTTCATATACAGACGATATAATTGCGTCAATGGCCGCCTTGTTGTCTCGTACGAGGTCAGCTGTTAACGAGGAATCTTCATCAATAAGGCGCTTTCTGACACGTTTTGCACTAATTGTAGTAAGGTCAATTCCAGGAGATGTTAAAATAGCTCTAATGCGAGGCTCTAGACTCGACGCAGAGAACGACATGGTTGTAGAAAGAGATGGTGAGAATGTGTTTAGGAGTTCGCGAGCAACCTTTGCCAGAACATTGAGCGCTTAGCCAAAGTGATTGCAGAACTTGCGGTTCATTAGCGCCCTTTGTGGCTAGTAGAATCCTCAGCAAGGCTTGGGCTTGGCCCTATCTTGCGACGGAACCAAGACTCACACGCCGTATGACATTCAAATATATATGACATCTACAACTACACAGCCCTGTCATCGCAAAATGCCCCAATTGTTGCGTGCAGGATCTCCCGGTGGTGGGTATAATCCTCCCGCGGCAGGCTGACCTCCTGGCTGCTGTTGCCGCTGTTGCTCTTCCTGTTCTCTGCGCATCCGTTCTACCCACCGTCCACGAATAAATAGCAGTGTAGAAACAGCGATGCAGAGTATGACCAATAACATCGTTTCCGCGAATTCGTCGACCTCTTCCTCACCACGATGACCGCCTCTCATGGCCCCCTCGAAATAATCTTCGGGCCCAAAATCGCTATCGCGATCGTTTTCTGCATGTCGCCTATCTCTCGCCCACTGTGGTTGAATATTTAATCAAGGGTGTCAAGGACAGGTTATAAGGATCTTTCGTTGCACTCACCTGTACAGGGTCATCTTCGCCTGCATGGTCCTGACCACGGCGGCGGTTGAACTCCTCGCGGGCTTTTCCGATGTACCAATGTCCATCGTTGTTATCATCAGATGAAGTATCGTGACCTGGAGAACCTTCGCGATGATCGCTGCGTCGACCGTCTTCAATTTCACGACCTGAACTATCAGTGTAATACGATTGACCTGAACATATATAGCAATGTTAACAAACCGAACCATACTCTCTATCTACCACATACCGCTCTCAGCATCGTTTCCCCAAAAGTCAAGCCCGTTAGATCCTCCGAGCAATGTGTGCCATAGACTCCGAGCGTGCAATTTGATTAGCGACATAACCACTGGCAGGTAAGCCTCTTGATTCGTCTCCATAGCCTGATCATAATGACGTTTCGCAAGGTGGAAGTCTTGTGGGACACCCTTGCCGTTCTCATACATGTAACCCAGGTTCCACATTGCGAGTGCGCTCATTTGCGTATCAGCAGCAGACTGATAGTAGCCTACAGCCTTTTCATAGCGGATACTCTCGGGTTCGTCTGGCACACCTAGCCCATGATAATAATAGTCTCCAACTTTGACCAACGAGTCGACATTCCGCTGGGCCGCGGAACGTATCCATTGAGTTAGGGCCAAACGTGCAGTGTCATTTGACGGAGAGATGGGTGAGAACCTGGTGAATCGCAAGACGCTCTTGTCTGTGAAATCGTTTCATAAACAAGACTGCAAGCCAAAACAGAGTGAATATCCGACCTTGATCCAAAACGAAAGCCAGATTATTTTGTGCAACTTCGTATCCTCTCTCGGAGGCAATCCACCACCGAAGCATGGCCATTTCTCTCCCTCTATCAGTGCCCAACCGCCATTGGCTTTCTGCATCCCTCAAAAGATCTTCATCCCATGAGCCCCGCTCGGCAACAAGCTTATAGAAGGAAACAGCTATGGCACAGGAGCTGCCGGCGATATTCCGTGGGATTAAAGGGTTCTTAGTTTGCCTAGCTTGCAGTTCTGCCAAATAGTAATATGGCTCGAAAGGTGAACCTAATCGGACAGCCTGTTCAAAATACACAGTCGCCAATTTCACCTCTCCGACCGCTAGAGAATTGGAATTACAAGGCTATACGTCATGAGAAAAGAGTTGAACACTCACACCAGTGATATTTGCCGAGATGTACATGGGCTTCCGCGAGTTCCTGGGTGGCGGCCGCACCAAAATGAGTCAGGGCCTTTTTGATGTCCTTCTTGCCATCCACTAGCCCGTCGCGGCAGATAATACCAAGACCATTATGACTCTCCTTGTCACCATAGTCAGCACCACGTTCAAACCACATCCGGGCTAGCACCGGATCTTGTTTGACGCCTTCACCTCTGAGGTACATTCGCCCAAGGTAGCCTGCTGCGAGGGCTGCGTATCCCGCTGTGGGCGGAAGATCTTCTTTACTGGCATGCTGAATATGTCGGGGATTGGCAGGGTCCGCAGGCCAAACCTGACGCGCAATACCGAGGAAATAATGGCGCGCACGGTGGAAGTCGCGAGGAACAGGGCTTGCCCCATCACCGCCCGACGCGATACCACCGGGGGAACCGTAGATACTTCCTTGGTAGAAAATCTTTCCAAGACGAAATGCAAAGTCAACTTCACCTCTGTCGGCATTGAACTACGTCATACATGTCAATGAATGATTGTTGATATAATATTGACAGACATACTAAGTAGTATTCCAGCAGGTCTTCCCAGGTCTCCCCGGCGGCCCGAGCATTGGCAGTCTTGATCACGGCTCGCCCAGCATTCATGCCAGTGGATGCCACACTGGCACCTGGACCGTACACGCCACCCTCCAAGTCGGACAAGCGAGGCGAAGCAAGAGGTAGCGTCCTACCGCCAGGCGGTCCTGATAGGAATTTTGCCACAGCTAGAGTATACTTATTTAGCTGAAACCCATTGGAGCGCAATGAGTAACTAACCTTGCTCAGCAGCATCTTCATACCAAGTCAGCGCATTCATACAATCCTCTGCGACACCTATGCCACTCCAATACCTATATCCAAGGGCCATTTGTGCACCTCTGTGACCTCCATGTGCCGCAAAGGTAAGGTATAGTTGAGCTTTCGCTTGGTCAACAGGCAGTATGTCGTGGTATCCTGTAGCGTAGAAGAAACCGAGAACGGCTTGAGATGTCGCATTCCCCGTGATTTGGGCATGCTCAGAGAAAGCGCTGTAACTCAGTGAAGGGTCGTGAGGAAAGTAGGAATTCGGTGGAAGCTGTACAACGTGTCCTTAGACCAGATGTCAACACTCGATTGGAAAGTACGTACCAGAGAGATGTGAGCGAGAGTGTACAATGCATCCGTATGGCCAAGCTCAGACGCATGCTGCAAAAGGTCAATCACCTTGACGGCCTTTCCTCGCAACTCCTCATCTCGTCTCCTTCCAGCTATTCCTTCTTTATTGATGTAGTTTGTGACAAACTGAGGCAACCATGATTGATTTCTCAGCCGAATGGCTATTCGCATGGCACTCGCAATAGGACCTTGGCCTTGAATATTTGGTAGAAAAGAGGAGAGAAGGGAATTTGGTGAAGTAAGGCTGGAGAATCCCCCAGGTTGTCGGTCGTGTGCTTGTGTTGGAGGGAGGCTGCTTAAATGTGAGAGCGTGGCCATAGCTCGCTCGTACGCTCGGGCAGCTACAGAGTACTTGGTTCAAACTTCATACATAAGGAACTATGAGTATTCACCTTCGACTGCAGGGTCCATGACCTGGTCTGGTTTGTTATCATGAATGAAGACATCCTGCCATACACATTAGCCGGTGCGTCAGAACATGACCAACTGGTACACACCTCAGCACTGGCTGCTGCATTTGAAGCAGCGGCCAGCGCAATAAGGCCAAAAGCAATGAAGCTAGCCTTTCTTGCCTTGTGTTTCCGCCTCTGCGACATAGTGAACGTGTAGTGTCGAGTTCAAGTTCACAACTTGAATGGTCGAGGACACGATCTCCGAGCGAGATGCCACGTACCGCAGATCTAATCTTACTTGAAAGTGCCGCCTTCGGCAGTAATACCTTACTTGGAGTTTAGCTTGGTACTATCGTATAGGATTATTGTACTAGACGTGCACATAAATCTGAATGTTCTCAAGAGAGAGTTGTGTTCAGGCTATTGCGAGGAGAACGGGTCGAAATTATGAATACTGGAGAAAAGTTACCTTTTTGTCTCACTTACAATAAGCGAATCTAAGTTGTCTTTGCGACAATCTGACTTACAACGCCAAAACCCAAGTTTACTTTTGTAACTTTTGTAAGGGGTAAGCGAATCGCTTGAATTATGTAAATTCTGAACCTTACCTTGAACGCCGACACTGATGCAACTGCAGTTCCCTTCAACAGACTCTTTCTTCAAACCGAGGTGTATGGCGGTAAGTTGCTTTGCTCATCTTGTTGTCAATGCCACTGATAATGTAACAGAATGATGACAGTGCTCTAGTAGACGTTCGCGACGCATACTCCAGGCTAACTCATCCTCAGCTCGTCCTCTTTTGTTCTGTCCGCTCCTTGCCCATCTCAGGATCTCCTGAGGACTTGGCGCTACGATTGGCTCACCATGATCTCAATATCTACCCGTTTCCTTCAGCTCCCAAAGGAACTTCTGTCAATGGGACATCACATCCAGGACCTACGAAACCACGAACACGACAAGTGAAAGCCCCTGATCTACCTGTCGAGATACTCGCCGAAATCATGGACCACATCGGAGACTGGGAGCTGGCGAAGGCAGTCGGCGTCCCAACATCAACACCACAACCTGTAACGTGGACCCGAGCTAGTCAAGCCGACCATGCCATCTTGACCGGATATCTGCCTCTGCTGCGAGCTGCAGATCCATCATCGCATCCTCCTACGAAGGTCGGAGCGATAGTGGCGGTTCGTTTTGGTTATGTCAATGTGCTTGATTATCTCCTTACACATCATGCTTCCCTCTTCCGTTCACTCTTTGAAGATGGCACCATACCTCTTATTGCTTCACATCATGGCCGAGTTTCCGTTCTCTCATGGTGGAAAAATGCTCAAGAACAACATCCAGATATCCTCCCACCTCTTTCAGCGGATGAGACAGCGGAGGCAATTGATGGGGCTTCTCGAAATGGCCAGGTAGCATCATTGGATTGGTGGCTACTTTCTGGACTTCCTCTGCATTATACCGAGATCGCTCTAGAAATGGCTAGCGCTAAAAGGCATATAGATGTCTTGGAGTGGTGGAAAGAACAGAATAAAAAACGACATCTTCCATTGAAGATAGGTCGTGTCATGGACATGGCTAGCATAGCTGGCCATGTCGATGTATTGGAATGGTGGGCGAGATCACAACTTGATTTCAAGTATGATCGACAGGCTATGTATCACGCAAGCTGTCATAGCAAGGTATGTATCTCCTGCAAGTAGTTGTTTCATCGTCTCATTGTGATTTAATCTCCAGGTTGATGTGCTTCAATGGTGGCAGCAAAGTGGACTACAACTTATCTTCGATCACGATTGCTTGGTCGGTGCTACTCGGCATAACCGACCGGATGCTCTCGAATGGTGGGACAAGAGCCAATTGCCTATCCAATACCGAATGTGCGATATCGAGGAGGCACTGGAAGATGCCATAGGCGGAGGTGAAGCCGCGAGAGAGTGGTGGAAGAAGAAAGGTGTGGACTTTAATGCCAATGATACGGAGTGGATGAAATATCAGAATCTCAACTGACTCTCGGCATCGTGCACGGTAAATACTATTTTCGATTTCTTTAGCTAGATGTTTTCAGTTTGCCATCATTGTTCTGTCATGTCAATTTCCACCTGCCTTCTGCTCGTTCGCATCATGTTGCATACCATTCGTCCGCATTGTATACTAGACTCATCATTGCTACCGTATAACATTTCTGAACATTGCACACTTTCCCAGTTACGTCGGCCGCGTAGATACAACAATACGGCGAGCCTTTCGACGTGTTCCGGATACCCTATATGACTTTCTAGTGACGCGAAATGCCCTCTTCTACCGTAGACCGCTCACATACGGCCGCGATCCTACGTAAGTTATGCGCTGGTAAAGAGACCGACATACTATAAACTACCTTCTAGACTTGAAGTCTAGACGTCCATTGTTTGCACTTGTTGTCCAAGGCCTTCGATAACTACACAACCACTTTCGTCATAACGAATCCGCTAACTCCTTGTCCGTGACCATCATCATCCTCTGAGAATTTCAACTACCTCTAGCGAATAGACTTTTACTTTGTCGTTAGAATTGGTCTAGACATGCCTGACCTGAACAGTCTCCCTCCGGAGTTGCTACTGAACATCCTCCAATACCTTCCGGTGCAATGTCTAAATGGAATGATGAAGCTTTCAAGAGAATGGCGGACCTTCTTTACGGCGAACGAGGCGGCGATATATAGGAATGCCGCACTTGTACATCATTTTGTACCATCCATCGACATCTCACTTGAAGACGCCAAGTGTCTTTATGCTGGGCATCTCCTCGAGAATGTAGGCAATTGGCGTTCATTCTGTAAGTTTTGGGTCAACGTATTAACGGTTTCCGTTATTAACTATCCAGACTTATAGGCTGCCACCTCTTTCTGTTGCAAAGAAACTGGGCTGGCCGTGGCACAGCAACAATCAAGACGTTCAACTCCCCGACCCGTAACGTACACCGCTTAAAGGTTGACGAACGAAACGGTATTCTACTCACTACACATTCACAAGGAGGATTAAGAGTTTCTGATCTTGAAACGGACAACATCTTGTGGGGCCTTCCTGAAGTGTGTGCTGTTGCTCGAATGTACATACCGCATGCTAACAACCTTGCAGACATATGTTCGCAGTTGGGCGCACTGTGAATACAGCAATGGTTTTCTGATCTTCGACCGCTTTGGCGAATTCAAAGAAGTGTGGCGTCTTAAGAATGAATATGACGAAGTCGCGGCAGAAATGGTCTCGAATGCTCCTGACGTTATTCAACGCCAGGTTGGAGATCTCGTCACCGCAAGTCATCCGACGACTGATGGTCGTGGCCATTTCAAACCCTGGGCTCTACTGAATACGCCGGAGTGGGGTCGAGCCTTTCGTTTCGTGTATCCGACATTGCTTGTTGCATCCATGACCAAGTCGTATTTATATGACGTGGTATACGGCCGGTTGGTTCAGACCATCGAGCATAGTCCTGATGGGAACATTGAGGATATCAACTACGTTGAGCTGAACGACCAATACGTATTCATCTGCACTGCGGACCATTTACGAATATACAGTCGTAAAAATGGGCAAAGCGTTCTTCGAATACCCTCACTCGACTTGCCGTCTGCTGGTTGTTTCAGTCTTGACCACAGCGTCTTCGATTTTGATGGCAAACCATACAAACCCACCATTATCCCTGTTTCTCTACATCCAGCGACACCGGAACGAAGTTTACGACGTTCAGAATTTATAGGGGGTACGTCACTTTTTTTTTGAATCGTCTATGCGCTTTCTCCGGCCTTACCTGAATGAGCAGTCCATGTTTGCGGGCCCCACCTGGTAGGCCTACTGAGCCATAACAGTGTGGTTTTCGTTCGAGACTACGAAACTGCAATAACTTCTGGTGTACCCTTGAGTAACCTCACGCTCGAGATAACACTGCGCCATCCGAATGAGTCCATTGGAGAGTCCGTTTATGTGGCTTACGAACATGGTCATGTTGGAGTTGTGACTGTGCGTTCTTTCACTACTCTTCATCACACTGGCGCTCATAAGTTCCAATAATCGATGCGTAGACGTCCGGAGTGTTCGTGTTCACTGTTGAGCCAGAATATCATGGTCTCAGCAAGATCCCTTCCCAAACACTGGAACCAGATACGAATACTTCAGGTCCTGATACCAAGCTTATCAAGCTCGATCAGACCGCTTTCCCTCACCTAGTTGCATGTCGCATTTTGCCCTTCGGCGATGATCACCTACTCCGAAGGGTGTCCTGTCTACAAATGTCGGATTCGAAACTCTACTTTACGTATGATCCTCAGGCTATACGGAAGAACGAGAGCGCGAAACGACGCGCAGACGATGAAGTTGAGAATACGGAACCACAGGCTGGACCGTCTACCAGCAGGTCTCCAAGATCCATCGTACCAGTTGCACAACAGCAGGCCCAAGCAGGTCCACCAGAAGATGATATGATCGAATGGAATAATACGGAATATATGACTCTTGACGAACCCCCTGTCATCGTGCCTCTGGATGACGAAGACATAGATGAGGAGGTTGATAGTGACACTATTGATTATGAGATGGAGATGGAGGATGACACGGACGAGGACGAGGACGAGGACGATGATAATGCTGTTCCCTGGCTTCATGTTCCAGCCCTCAGAGCTAGTGGTGAGTTTGGAGTTTTAGGCGTTGTTTTTCGAGCGACGACAGCTTATAGTCCTTTCCACTTTCCTTTAGTCGTAGTATGCGTCGATTTCAGCCCATGACATGATGGATGTATAGTGTACAACAAGATACAGCGAGATAATACAAATTCGATGCCGCACTGTTCTCAGGTTACCCAGAGCAGACGTGTATGGTGAGATGCTAGTTTGTTTCACCCTCTGGTAGGGGCACAAGTTGAAAGCGAATTCCTGTAAGTAGTTTAGTTCACTGAGTGAGTGCTCCATTGCTTATTATGACACATGAAGAGATACTCGCCAATGTGAGACATGAAACGATTTAGGTTCTTCTCCTTCGAGCCATGCTCGAGCAGGCCATGATCCTTGAGCAGTTCTTTCAGCATTTTGGCTATTCATCGCATTCTACAAGTCAATACTAAAATGATATAGTAAGCTCGATTGACATACGGCTGTATGCGAAAAGCGAGTTCAAGTTTGCTGGATACAATGCACTCTTTGTGCCATCGGGTTTCAAGACCACTTGCAAGGTGTCGTTCAGGTTATCGGTCTCCAGAGTCGAATTCGCCCTCCGCGACTCTCTGGTACAGGTTCGGTTTCAGTCACATCTACCGAAGCATGAAGATGTTTCACTCACGAATTTTGCAGCGCGTGGCGGACCTCGATCAATTGCTTCCGACTGCCCTCGACTTGCTCTTCAAGAGAAAGTGGAACGTGGTCTTTCATTTGCAAGCTGACCTGTTCTTTGACTTGCAGTGCTGTTTCCTTTCTTATCTGGTCATTAATGAATGATCTACGTATGTTCCATTAGCCCCATGTTCTAAAACCGCTTGACATGACTTACTGGAGGTCCAGCGCGAATTTGTCCTTCATTTCGTTCTGGATCATTGACTTGATCTCGTTGACACGAACCTCTTGCTTTCTATCTTGCTTTTGGATTTGTTGTCTCAAGCCGTGGATCTGCACTGAAGCATGTTGCTATCTCGCGTGTTTTGCCTGAGCGACACCCTAATTTCCTGCATCTAAGAAAGCACTACATACCATTGTCGGTCCTAACGTGGATATTTTGTCCGACTGTTCGTTTAGGGTTTTGAACGTATGTCCCCTTCCACCAATGATTTGGATTTTGTTCAACGCAATTCTTGCAGGAAACTACTTACAATGTCCCCAGCGTGGTTTTCATCGTGCCGAGCAACTCTCTCAGTTCAGCTGTGTCCGGTTGTGGACCAGACCTCGACACGGTAGCCATAGACATGTTTTCAACAAAACTCAAAGCGGAGGAGATTGTGGTGCAAGATTGGGATTCCGCAACAATTTCTGAAGATTATAAGGCGTATCACGCAACGTGTTGTCGTCGTGCTGACAGCGCGTGTTCAAACTTCCCCACACCCAAATGCAGCAGTGGTGTTTCCTTTCGCGGTCTCGACCTAGCGCCGCGCCAGGTTAGAAGTGACATCCGTGAAAGGCATACCCATGTTCTACGCGGAGGTATGTGATAGTGTTCTATGCGGAGGTACTGAGTGATAAGCACATCTTATACAGGCACCCAATCTCTCATCTCGGGCACCACGTTCTTGCCTCTACCCTTCGTCAAGAAGTCAAGGATGTCCTTCAACGCTACAATTTCCATCTTCTTTTTGGTATCACCTGTACCTGCACCCATGTGCGGAAGTAATGTGACACTGGGTAGGTCCAAGAGTCGCGGGTTTATGTTGGGTTCACGAGGGAAGACATCGAGTCCTGCACCAGCAAGCTACAAAGCATATCAGTGATACATGCTCTTGCCTAGAATCCTGTTATTCAATGACTTACATGTCCGTCTTCGAGAGCCCTGATCATGGCATCTTCATCTATGACGCCGCCTCTTGCGGTATTCACAATGATAGCTCCCTTCTTCAACGCCCTGATCATCTTCTCATCCACGTATCGTTCTGTGTCTTTCGACAGAGGTATATGAACGCTCAACACATCTGCCATCCCAAGCATCTCCTGAAGTCTATCTTTCTCAAAGAATTCACACCAATCCGGTACATCCATAACTTTTCTGCGGTTGTGGTAGACAATTCTCATTGAAAAGGTGTGGGCTAGTTCTGCCAGTCGCAGACCGATACCACCTAGGCCGAGGATTGCAAGAGTACGGCCTGTCACGTCATGGGCGTTGCTTGGAGAAAGCCTTGACTTCCACAATCCGTCTCTGAGGTCGCGTTCTGCCTTCGAAAATTGTCTCAACGTAGAGATGATGAGGAATAGAGCTGTGGTCGCGGTGGCGTCGTTTACGGCCCCAGGTACGCGAGATACCAATATTCCTGCATCATACCAGTGAGGGCTTAACATTACGACGTCTTTTGCAAGTTGATTATAACTTTACCTCGCTTTTTGCAAGCAGCAACATCAACCGGATCGTACCCTGCCGCCATCTGAGCAATCCATTTTACGCTTGGAGACAGCCCATTGATCAATTCTTCGTTGAAAATGCCAATTTTTGCTGCGGAGAAGTTACGTCTGAAGATTGCTACTATGCCATCGTATTTTCCGCCGGGCTTCCAACCTTCCAAGAAGTCGGCTCTGTTCGGAGAGTCCATGTGCTACAGATATCACGATGGTGAGAAATTATGGCATTTACTTTTGTCAACAGGTCGCGCTCACGATGAGTTCTGCGATGCCTCGAAACATGTCCTCGCACTCCTTCCAAGCATATTCAACTTCTCCTATAGAATGGTCAGTATAGGGTAGATACATAACTAGATAAGTCTCTTCACCGCAAATCATCACGCGAGTCATCCTCGTGATGTCCCTCTACAGCCAGGATGCAGCTTTCCCGAGAGCGAAATCAAGAAGTTTGGTGAGGCAATCCACGATCGGAGATAACAATGCCACTTGTACTCTATCTCCACTATCGCACTATCGCACCCTTGATATTGACGCGAGGTGACTCGATACGTGTCTATTTCAGATGCAATGATAAAATGATAATACAGATATTTGGATTATACCCCTTCACTTCCCGAGACTATGAGGGATGTCATTCTCTACACCAACTCAGGGACAATATCATTGCCTTTGCCTTTTGTGAGGAAATCACTGAGGTTCGTCAAGGCACGGATCTCCATCTTCTTCTGCGAGTCACATGTCTCCGTGCCCATATGTGGGAGAAGAGTCGCATTCGGGAAGTCAAAGAACCGAGGGTTGATTTTGGGCTCGTCGGGGTACACATCGAGACCGATTGCTCCGAGCTGCAAGAAATCAATGCGAAGATACTTGTTAGGTCAGATGATAGAGTGCGTAGAGCGAGAATACGTACGTGACCATCCTCCAATGCACGGATCATAGCCTCCTCATCAATAACCTTCCCTCTCGCGGTGTTGACGATGACTGCACCCTTCTTCAGCTTGCGAATCATCGACTCGCCCACAAGGCCCTCAGTATCTTTCCGCAGTGGGACATGTACACTCAAGACATCTGTCTGAGCCAACATCTCGTCCAACTTCTCAGCGGGAAAGTACTCACACCATTCCGGTGTGTCCTCTACTTTTCCACGATTATGGTAGACAATGCGCATGGGAAAGGCATGTGCTAGTTCTGCGAGACGCATACCAATACCACCAAGGCCGAGAATAGCTAGTGTCCGACCTGTTAAATCGTGCGCGTTGCCGGACTCTAGTTGTGACTTCCAGAGACCTGCTCGTGCATCACGTTCGGCTTTGGAGTACTGTCGGAGAGCGGAAATCATGAGATAGAGAGCAGTCGTCGCTGTTGCGTCATCGACGGCACCAGGTGTATTTGATACAATGATCCCTGAACAGTAAAGGACAAAGGTTTCATACACGAGATCAAAGATACTGTAAACGCTGTGATCCCACCTTTCTCTTTGCAAGCAGCAACGTCGATTTGGTCATAGCCAGCACCATTATGGGCTATCCATTTGAGACCCGCAGCCGCAAGGGCATCGACGATCTCCTTGTCGAAGATACCAATATGATCTGCAGAGACGTTATGGCGATACGTGCCAACGATGCCTGCATACTTTCCCCCTGGCTTCAAGTTCTCCAGGAAGTGTGCCCTACTAGGGGAGTCCATGACCTGTGAGGTATGATATATAATTAACTCTGATACAACCATATCAAATCACGGTATACTTACCACAACATCTGCTAGACCATGGAACATTTGTTCACATTCCTTATGAGCCCACACGAGGTTTCCTACAAGGACATGATGGAATCAGTATGACTTGCTCAACTTGTTTGTCCCCTCATTCACCTACCGCAGATCATGACTCGGGGCATGTTGGCAATGGTGATAAGGTCAATGATAGAGAAGTGGAAGACGAAGGGAAACTTCTGAACTTCTGCTCGTGCGCCTGGAGGTGTTCATGGTGAGGGCTTTAAGTAGGCCTGATTGGCAGGACGGGCATCCGGACCGTAGGTACGATATTGAATTCATTAACAATTAGCCGCCCCTCAAAAGGTCTCTCACCAAAAAGACGTCAAGTGACGTTGTTGAACCCATGTCAACTATGTCGGATGCTCGAGTAAATCCGTAGGTGCTGGGAGCGGGAAGGGGGAGGCAGGGGAGAGGTGGAAGGATGCGTGAGTACCAAATGGATCGTTAATACGCTCGTAGGAGGGAAAACCCATTTTGTAATGTGAGCCCTCAACAAACGCATTCCATATAACAGACTATTCTACCACAGAAAGACTACTAACATCCTCCACGAACGTCGGAAAACGAAGCCAAAAAATTCATGAAGTCACAAAATTGTTGTAACGAACCATCTCCAAGCGCAGCGGCTCAATCAAGGTCGTTAATATTCTCGAATGATCGCCTGCTTGATCATGACCTTGTCTGCAATGGCTCCGCGGTAACAGAAGGGGTTGAAACCGGGAAGGGAGCTGCTACAGGATGATCACGAAGCCACTGTTCGATGCCCGCACGGAATCTGTCAGGATCCAAGGCAGCCATTCGACTTTATTCCACAATGCGATATGATATTAGTCGTGATATTTTTATTTTTATTTGCAACGCGAACAATCCTTCTCACCGAGCTAATTATGGGTCCCTTGGCACCTCCTCTGCGCGTGCTTGAATTGTGTTGTGACGAATCCATTCGGCAACGCTGGACTTGGAGGGACGGAGCTGAACGTGCGGAAGACGGTGCAGTCGCTGCTGTTGGAGAGCTGGAAAGTGGTTCAGGAAGGGAACTCGGATCAATGATCTGAGCTGATCCATATTCCTGAATCCTGAAGGAAGGATGATGTGACTACATACTCAGTCAATGAATATTGATGAAAAAGCCAATAAGAAGTACCGTAACACATACCGTTCCAAATTGGATGCCGAAGACGGTCCTAGTGGGTTAGCAAAGGCAGGAACCACGAAGCCAGCGAGGGCGACAGTAGCAGAACCGATGGCAATGGAACGTATATTGGAGCCAATAAAGAACAGTGGATGTAGTCTTGAATGAACAGGAGTGTAGTAGAATAAGAAATACGAATAGAAGTCAAGCTAAGAAGTCAAGACGATCACTATGTGGTCACTCACTGTCCGGCACTTTACTTCAGAGACCAGGAGATGAGGGCTGGGTGGCATATAGCCATGACATTCGGCACGCTGCTTCACAGCGTGCCGTTTTGCTCGTCAGTAAGACGTGCAGAGTTATGGTCGGATAATTTTCTGAGTTAAAAACATATCAGTTGAGCGACTGAATAAGTTGGAGAGTGCTAGAACGCGATGTTGCCAACATGAACAGCATATGCGGAAGGAGGTATAGTAGCTTCTCGCAAGTACTGGTTGACCACAGCACCTGCCATATTTGGCTAGCTTACTAATAATGTGATTCATTCTCCGCCACAGCCTCAAAGCGTGGAGCCGTCCGCTTGGGCGCTTACCTCTCATGTCGCAAACCACCACCTCCACCAGACGAGAACAACTTTCAATGTTTCCACCAACAGACTCAACACTATCAACAATGCAGCACGCCAGACAACACAGAGGGCGCCGCGTAAGGCGGGTGGGTACTCCATTGTCCTCTATACAGCACATCAAACAAGGTCCTTCAGAGGAGGCCAAACGGCAGCATATCAAGAGGCTTCGCATGAAGAAACAACGTGCCCAACATGCTCAACGCTCACATCGCCCCCGTACTAATTCACCGCGCACCAGTGGAAAGTCGCCGAAGAACTCACTGCGCATTCAGAAGCCGATTCGAGACCGATGGGCAGCGATAGCGGAGGAAACGCAGCGGATTGTGCTCGGAGATGGCCAGTACGTTGAAGAGCGCATTGTTCCCGCCGTTTCTTCTGCTGTTGCTCAATCATATACACAAGGGTCTTCTTTCGTTGATCCTTTGATTAGCTCGTTGAAGGCGTTACAGATGCAACCGGCGCATATAGCGCACAATATCTTTTCACAGATTCAGCTTAGTCGTCAGGGCACGATATTCTTCCCCCACTATTCCGATTCACTCGCTAACTGGGCCACCGCCCAGAAGCGGGCCCTTCCAACCCTTTCCCAAACGAATATCAAGTTCGTTCACGACTCAACTCTCTTAGCCGCCCGACAACTTGCACAATCTATGTCATCGAACACTTCCAGGATCGGAGTCCTCTCCTTCGCATCCCCGAAGAAACCTGGAGGAGGATTTCTTCATGGTGGGGATGAACAGGAGGAAACTATCGCTCGCCTTTCATCACTCGTTGCGAGTCTGACTTCACCCGCCGCCCAAGACTTTTACAAGGAACACAAGAAGCATTGGAGTGAGGACGGTAGTGGTCTGCATGACCACTCTATGCTTTATTCTCCAGGTGTTGTTGTTTTCAGAGCAGATGGTGATGACGAAGAGATTAATCTAGGTGACCCCGTTGGCGGTGCATTCATTTCCCCTTATCAAATCGACGTCGTTTCTGCTGTCCCGGTCAACGCCGCGGCGGTTCGTGCCAAACATATCATCTTACCATCCGAACGCCAATTTTTCGAAGACGGCATTCGTGGTGCCATGAAGGAACGTATGGCTCGCATTTTAAGGGTCTTCGAGGAGAAGGGAGACAAGGTTCTGGTTTTGGGAGCCTTCGGATGTGGATCAAGTCAGAATGATGTGGAAGTGATAGCGAGTCTATGGGCAGAACTCCTGGTATGTGGTGATAACGAACAACATGCTCGGTTCAGGGACGTTTTCGAGCGTGTTGTTTTCGCTGTTCCGGGCAAGCTTTTCACCCCATTCCGTAGAGCTTTTGACATGCGTGTTTTTGAACAGGAAGTGGCCTCTGCTGCAAGCGATTAGTGATACTTTTTCATTTTCTAACTGCTTTTACGTTTCTAATATATGTATGCTCATAAATTTGAAGTTGTATTTCTACAGGACAGTATGTAGCTCTAGGATACCCTTTGCTGATACGATGGTCAACTTATCAATATGTATGCTTTCTACTCCCAATAACGGCGATACCAGACTTTTCCTACAACAATGCATCCAGTATTCAATCACAAGTTTTAACAAGGTAGCTCCGGTTAAACGGCTGTAATAGAAGAGCACAGTTGGTACAGAGTGTTATAAATTGTACACGCTAGAAATATATTCGGTTGAGCTAGAGAAAACTCCAGTATGAAACTCATCAGAGAAAGTGTCCAACATCTCCCTGAAGCCTCCTAGTACTAGTAGAGATAACGGAATCCCTTCTTCCTTTCCAAGGCCTCTTCGAACGTGAGACCCTCCAATCTGGCCGCTTCTTCGATTCTCTCTCGTCTTGCGCCTGTGAGGTTGGCAAGTTCATTGCTCTCCAGCTCCTTATTCTCTCGAATCAACATGTAACGGATCACTGCAAGAGACGCGCTAGGTTACTGCTACGCCACGGCCAACAGCGGTGTGCACTCACCGAGAGCCAGGAAAGAGGCGAACGCCAATGATGCTATACCGATGAACATAGAGGGGTGATAATCCGGACCCCATTCTGCTTTCCAAGCGTATGAACCGATGCTGCCAATGACGTGCTCAGAACAATCATTGGGGATTTATAAAAAATGCGCCAGTGATACACACAGATTACCCAGGTTACCGAACCCGTTCACGATACCGATACTGGCGGATCGCTTTGCAGGAGGACGAGGTATAGCATTTGAGACCCACACGAGAGTGAGAGCGAAACCTGTAACACCACCACCCACAATATCAGATCAGAAAACTGATGGAGATCATGAGCACGATGGAGCTGACCTGAATATCCAGTAGCCATGAGGAACATTGCAACATAGCGGCCACCTACTGACATCGTCGTGACACCGATGATGTACCCCAGGATCACACCCCACCACCAAATATTGATGTGGAAGAACCGTTCACCGGTACGATCTGTTAAGTTGACAATTGAGCTGGGAGAAAGAGGTGCCGAGGTACGAACCGGCATGCCATGCATTCGCGCAACAAACAATGGTGGCAAATATCCATGGCGGTGCAGCCAACAGAAGACTGATAGTTGTGGAGAACCCAAGAGTGGCAGTTAATCTAGACAAAAGAGATTTTAGATGTAGTTGTGAGCATGACTACTAGGTGACACCGCGTACGTTGGGAAAAAGTTCACAAAACTCAGACCCAAGAGTTGCGAGCAAGCCATGACAGCAAAAATAGGGACTTTGGGGTCTTTCAACGCTTGAACCAGTCCGGTGAATGCGCTGTTGATCCATGTAAATCGGCTGTGAACAATCAGGAAAGTTGGAAACGCGTACGATTCCTTGGGGGTGTCTTCGTCTGCTTCTCCCGCGTCTTCTGCAAGACGAACTTGAGCAAGACGTCTTTGTGCAGGCGACAACCAGCGAGTGTTGTGCGGCTGAAAGAACATCAGTCACTATCCTTACCTGTTTTCACAACACTCACATAGTCAGGAAGTAAATATCTGAATAACACGCAGAGGTCAGTACTGCGACAAAACTCCAGCAGCAAAGAAAAAGTACCCACATAGCGAGGAGACCGATGCAAATTGTGATAGCACCCTGACAAAAAACCTCGTCAATCGCCAAATAAAAAGGACAAGAGAGGATGCCTATACCTCAATGTAGAACAGCCTTCGTTGAATGCGATATGAGTACATGTGTTGTAGTCTGGACGCTGAGATAGCATCTACGCACCACCTCCAAGCTCGTATGCCTCTTTTCCCCTCCATATGAGCGAGTACGCCAGCAGCAATCAACTGTACTTGTGTTATCTTTGGTAGGAAGGTGAAAGAATATGCATTGCTCACGCTGCCAAATGCATTCGAAACCAACAGACCGCCGTAAAGGATGGCGGACCGGAATGCGAGTTCCTATAGCCATTCATTGAGCATAAAACAATTCCTTGGGGTTTCAACGGTACCTACTTTGCGAGTGTACCACCGAGATAACAAGTATATTGCACCGGGGTAGAATGCAGCCTAAAGTCCAGTAAGTCGGTTTGCATGCGCGTGAAAGTTTGGCCTTACTTCTGGCAGTCCTACGAAAACGCGCGCAGCGAGAATACCAGCATAGTTGCGGGCCTCCTATGAAGCGACAGATTTGAGTTAGCACTACTGGGACACCTCTCGAGAAGATACATACACCAGTAAGTGCGCTGGTTAGACCCCATAGTACCACACAAAAGGGGATGTAATATGACGGCCTACAAGGGTACACCGTGAGTTGAATCCTGGGATCTATATGACATCACATACCGCGAGATGCGATTCAAGATGATATTCGATGGGATCTGAGCTGGAACGTAGGACGCGTACAGGATAGCCAAAACGGTGGAATATTGAATGTCTTTATGTAATCTAAATTCAGAAGACGATGATGTGACACAACGATCGACTAGCTTACCATCCAAGCCAAGGTCACTTTGTAGACCTTTTAGTCTAGCAGCAGTAACTGCTGTCCGCTATCCAAGGTCATCCTAATGAACATGCTTATATTTTGAGGTAATGAATAACTCACGTCAATATAATTCATTATGAAGACAAGGACGATTGTAGGTAGTAGTCGCAAATCGAGCATCCTGACTAAGTGCTTTTCATCCAATGCACGACGTTCTGGCGCGAGCAATTCCCCGTCGCTATCTTCCACTTTAGGGTCGTGTTCGACATGTTTAACGTCGACACTAAGCTTCTCGTCTTCTCTGGAGCTGTCGTCGCCTTTCGATTGATACGCCATAGTATGTGCGATGACGGAAAATAACCAGGTACGCGAAGCAACAGTGAAGTTGGCCTGGGTCGAAGACGAGAGCAGGAACGTTCCTGCCTCGCCTCCAACCTATAAGCTTCTAGATAATGCACTGTGCTTAAATTACCCTCAGACCGACGCGGGCAACGAAATGCCACAAATGACAGCGATCCAACCTTCGGAGCACATATTTTGATATTGGGGCACGGAGGAGCAGCGCTTAGAGTGGTCAGGAAGTGGACACGGGTTGTCCGCATGATCCTGCGTGGAGGGGAATCACATCGTTTTGGTAGCTTCCATGGAGGCCATTCCTCTGCCGTGACAAAGGTGTACAGGCTACCGTCAAGGGTATACTCTGAAGCTATCCACACAGTAGCAAGCGGTGCCTTCTAGTGACGCAATGAAAGACCTAACAGCAGCAAAAGCTAACTCAGGCTGCAAAGAAGAATGAGTATTTCCGAATGCATGAGAGTATGTTGTCTAAACATACGTGCTCAACGAAACCTTGGTGTGCACCAAGTACGCATGCAGAACGTTGTTTCCACATTCTGAACATGGTATTCGATTGAAGGAGCAATACGCTACTGTGGTATCTCATGGTCCAAGTTTAACGGCGAACTGGAAAGGGTTTGCATAAGTGATGAAGCTTCGAAGCTTGAAGTGCAACCGTGGGAAAGGCAATCCTCAGGTATTCAAGGAGCCATCGTAACCGTAAGGCGTCGACTCTCACTCTGCTTTATTATGTCGCATTTCCCTTTGGCCATGGACTTGGCGTATAGATGGCTGTTTTTATTTCATTTGATTGTTTGCCAATCCCCTTGTCTGCTGACGTTCACGGCTACGTACTTGAGCTCCATCGTGACTACCAGGAATTCTCCGTCGCCTTCACGGACCGCCTCAGTGAGGTGAATGATGCTGAGGCGATTGCTCGTCTAGATGTCTTACCCGTCAGAGTTGTAGCTGAGTAAAGTTATTGGCTACTCATATCTGAGTATGTTCACATATACTTCTGTGATTTTGCGGCCTTCATTGAGTTCAACGCGGTGAAGCAGGGCAAATCATTTCTTTATGCGAACATACTTGACGTTGGGGACTTTCCAGAATATTACATTTCGCCCCAGACGCGAAACTTCGCACTCTATAGCACGAGAAGTTACATCACATGTAGCTGAAGTTTCCCCTACGGTGCGGTGAACATCCAGCTTGTGGCCCGCTGCATACGTCGTCGGTAACCATGCGGCATTATAAGACCATGACACCATCGAAATGGCTCGCTATCCACTTTGCGTCGATATGAATGCCTTGAACAATGTGCTACTTGTCTTTCTCGCTGTATATATTCATGGAATACTTTCCTATACAGTTCCCCCAGGATCTGCAGGCTTCTATCATGGAAATTCGTCCGCAGCTGTAACACTCGATACTCATTCGCTGTTCTTGGATGATAAGAGATTGTTTGTCTTCAGCGGAGAAGTTCATCCATGGCGAATCCCCAGTGGTCGTGCCGTTTGGCGCGATGTATTTCAGAAGATGAAGGTCTGTCTTGCTTGTTATGTCCAACACGTCTAGTAGTCATCTGTTTAGGCTGCCGGATTCAATTCTGTCTCTGTGTATCATCATTGGGGTGTTTCCGAAGGCAAACAAGGAGAGTTAGACTTCAATGACTTTCGGTCACATACAGATGTCTATGAAGTTGCAACGGAAGTTGGTATTTTGGTCGTGGCCAGACCTGGTGTGAGTCAACGGTTATTTGTATTGAATCATGGGTAAAAGTAACATTACGTCGCTCCAGCCGTACATCAATGTAAGCAGTTCCCAGGTTATTTTGGCTACATTCTCTGATCTTTTCATATCTATAGGCAGAAACAAGTGAGTCGTGAGAGTGGAGACCTTCTGTGTCGGCATCTTTACGCGTATTTTCAGCTGCTGGAGGATTCCCTGGTTGGCTTACAAACAACCCTGCCAAAGCTCGCACAAACCAGACGGGATTCACGGAGGCATGGACACCGTACATTGAATCCGTTGCCCAGTTCGTGGAGCCATTCCAGGTAAGCTCGAGGACTTCAATGGTGGGCGCAATGCTCATGGTCCTGCTTTATCCTGATAGTATCCTGACGGACCAGTTATTGCTGTTCAATCTGAGAATGAGTTCTTCCAGTCGTCAGCTTCAAACCCGGGCCGCTCCGAAAGCATGCAGGAAATCGAGGATACATTGCGTGCCAATGGCGTTACGAAGGTTCCCTTGTGAGCTCGTTGTTTATATAACATTGATCCTCGAGGAGGTGCTAAAGCGGCACTCAGGACTCATAACGATGCTCAGCCGAACGGAAGATTTGCGCAAGGTCTCGGCGCTGTAGACCTTTACATGTGGGATGCTTATCCTCAGGGCTTCCTATGTTCTAACCCGACAAGCTGGCCAGAGGTCAATGCGAACCTAGATACAGCTCATCAGGTAAGTTATTGCATATGAGATGCCGAAGAGTTCCTTGACCTGTCCCTGCTTTAGGCGTTTGTACCGGACCAACCATGGGCATCAGGCGAGTTTCAAGGAGGATCCTTCGATCCTTGGGGTGGCGTAGGTTTTCTACCACGCGCTGGCCGCTTCCGAGTTGAGCTGATTTTTTATAAGTCTGGATATGACCAATGTTTCTTGTTGACGAATGAACAATTTGCAAGTGTACGTCAAGGTGTTGCATTATCTTCTCTGTATTTGATCTTTGACTATTAAATAGGTACAATACAAGGTTTCTACTTTCCATAAGTTGGGTGCCTTTTGCGAATACTCATCTTACCCCTGCAGAATAACTATGCCGCGCAGACCACATACCTGAACTTATACATGACGTATGGCGGTACGAATTGGGGCAATTTGGCTGAACCTACCGTATACACTTCGTACGTTGTTAGCGTACCTTTCAGAGGTTCATCGCTGACAATCTCACAAGCTATGACTATGGTGCACCTATTCGCGAAGATAGAACACTGTCGCCGAAGTACTCCGAGATTAAGCTTCAAGCCACGTTCTTGCATGCCTCTCCAGACTTTCTTGTGGCTACTCGCTTCGGCAACGGTACAGTCGGTTCTGGAACTGCATTTTCTGACAATACACGGATATACACTACCGCTCTGAGCGCACCTAGCGGAACGCACTTTTATGTGATCAGACAAACCAGCGTCAGGTACGTTACGATTGACTCAGCCTTGAGATGTAATTCACGGCCGAACTTATATAGGCTTCTCGACTCGACTCAATTCACTATTCGAGTGAATACGACGGAAGGCGAAGTTACCATCCCTCAATTTGGTGATACTGCAACACTGGATGGTCGCGAAAGCCAAGTTCTTGTTTCTGAATATACATTTGGCTCTCACAAGTTGAAGTACTCGACGGCAGAAGTATGTGTCGCACATACAGCAGGTTATCTTCAACCTGACATTTTGTTTATTCAGGTCTTTACGTGGGCTACCATTGGAGACGTTGACTACCTGGTTCTCTACGCAAATGAGGGACATTCTATCGAGACCGTCATCTCGGGAGTGGGAAACTCTGCACCAATAATCTCTGGCTCTTCTTCTATCACGGCGCGGTCAGGTTCAAATGGTACAGCCATTATCACCGGTAGTCCCTCTGGCATTTCCACGGTTACAATCGGAAGGGCCACAGTTATCGTCGCAGACAAACATACCGCACTCTCATTCTGGAATGTTCATCTCCCTACTCCGAACGCAACCCTCTATGATCGTGCTCCAGACGTCCCCTCAGTCCTCGTCATCGGTCCATACCTCGTCCGCAATGCCACTCTGGAGAATTCTAATTCTCGTCTAGTCCTACATGGTGACTTAAATGGTACGACTACGATGGATGTGGTTGCTCCTCCATCTGTGAAAACTGTCACATGGAATGGTAATCAAGTGGATGTTCAGAAGTCCAATATAGGAACGCTCAGAGGTAGCCTTCGATTCACGTTGAACGAACCAACACTACCTAATTTGAAGGAGGCAACATGGTTCTGCACGGACTCCTTACCTGAGATAAAAGATGGATTTGACGACAGTGATTGGGTGACTGCGAACAAAACAACCACAGTTCGACCGTATCAACCATTCGGTGGGAAGGTGAGAACCACCTAAATATCGTGACGAAAATGAAACTGACAATTCTTTAGTTTGTTCTATACTCGGACGAATATGGGTTCCACCAAGGTATCATATACTGCTGAATGGTATCATGAATTGCAATAAATGACATCTTCTAGGTAACACCATTACCCGCGGCCACTTCACGGGCAAGAACGTAACTGGCGTACGGCTTTCTGTCCAAGGGTGAGAACAATAATCTTATGATGAGATCATGCTCATGCTCTTGCGCAGCGGCTTCAATTTTGGCTATAGTGCATGGATCAACAGCAAGTTCCTTGGTTCCAGTCAAGGGACGAACCAATACTCGGCCGGCGGTGGGATCGACCTAACGAACAGTACATGGACATTCGATTCAGCCGATCTCAATGACGGAGATAATGTATTGACTGTGGTAGTCGACCCTACTGGTAAGCTTTCCTTGCGCTCTCACCTGTCGTGTTTCTGAGGATCCTATTTAGGTTTGGAAGAGGACTATGATGGAGACGACACACATAAAGTATGTGTTCATATACCTCTTCAATTTACGTTCCCTAACGATAACGATAAGACTCCGCGCGGCATTCGAGGCTACGAGTTATTTGGCGGTGGCGACTTTACCGTATGGAAGCTACAAGGCAATCTCGGTGGGGAAGACTATCCAGACAAGGTTCGTGGCCCTCTCAATGAAGGTGGATTATTTGTCGAACGCCAAGGTATCGTTGTCTATCTGGGCTACAATCAACATATCGTATCTAACCTTGCGGAAAGGTGCACATTTGCCTGGCTTCTCCACGAACTCATGGACACGATCCACGACATCTGCTCCATGCACACCATACACAGGACTCACCTCTGCAGGCATTAAAGCTTATCGCACGACCTTCAGCCTGGATATCCCTGCAGGAAGCGATATACCTATCGCCCTTCAATTCGAACGAACGCCGACTAGTAGCTATCGCACCGTGATATACATCAATGGATGGCAATTTGGTAGATTCAACTCCAGAGACGGCCCTCAGACAGTATTTCCGGTACGTTGCCTCTCATTCAAATATTCACCTATTTTTGACGACCTTGTGCTTATGGACCTCGAAGTTACCCGAAGGTATTCTGAACCACCAGGGATCGAACGAACTATTGATTACGGTCTGGTCACTTGGTGAGTACAGTGAGATCTTTTCGGGTGTGCCTGATACTCATGATGTTGGACAGATGGCGGAGGAGCAAAGGTTGCAGATCTGGGGCTTGTCGCTACTGCTGTTGTGAGCTCAAGCAAGGAGTTTATCAGAGGTCTTGTGAGGTCACCCAGCTTCTCTGAGCTGCGAGGTTGAGGTACAATTTGTCCCGACTTGCGGTCGATTCTATAAGTAGTTGTTGAAAGCTTTCATGTACGAGGGCTTGCTTCCATGTTGCAAAACGACAAGGCTAGATATGATTCATGGTGATTTTGCGCCAATCGGGGAGCTCAAATTCATCAACATGAAGTCGCGTGAGAGAGAATGAAGAGCTGACCTTCCTATCACCTCGACGTCCATATGCAGAGTCCTCAGTTCGGTCCAAGACCCGACTATTTGAAGGAGGGAACAAAGGACAATTACCTGATCAGCTGTAACGGGTCTGTCATGATGAATTCAAGGAACGGATAGCATATCTATCTAGTCCTTTGATTCGGGTAGTGGTGGACAGCCTAGTCGCCCACCATTGCATTTCAACCATGTCCCTCTACCTCTGCGTTGATTCCGGTGGCTCGAAAACATCTGCAGTCATCTGCAACGCTGCGGGAGAAATCCAAGGTCGATCGTTGGACGGACCGTCCAACTTTGCCTACCTGGGCTTGGACAATTTCATTGGTACGATCAAGATCGCCGTTAGCAATGCATTGAAGACTTGCGGCTCCCCTCCATCCATTGACCCTGTTGAACTACCACCTTCGAGACCGCTCTTTGCTGCAGCATGGTTCGGAGTCTCAGGCGTTGATAGCCAGGCTGCTATTGACAAGATCACACCGGTCCTCTCAACGTTACTGGGCATCACGGATAGATCTCGACTTATCGTGTGCAACGATGCCCATCTTCTTGCGGCCCCGCTACGTATGCATAATGATGTGCATTATGCTGTGACAGTTATCGGAGGCACTGGAAGTATTATGGTCAGTTTTACTGAAGGCGAAGGCGGAAGTTTGAAGGAATTAGGAAGGGTTGGTGGTTGGGGATGGATCCTGGGCGATGAAGGAGGAGGATTTCATGTTGGACGCGAAGCTATTCGTCAAGCCCTCAGGCAAGCTGATATTGCTTCAGTGCAAGGCCCTCTACCACCCTCGACGAACGGCGAGAAGACGCTAACGGAAGGAATCCTCGAACATTTTGGCGTTTCGGACGTTTACGAACTATTGACGGTCGTTCACCTCCCCGATCCCGAGCCTAGTATTCCCATCCTTGAGAATAACCTTCCACCATACGCACTCATCCCTCGCGAGAAACGACTTTCACAACTAGCTCCGCTGGTGTTCACATCCGCGTTTGAGGACAAGGACCCACTAGCAATCAACGTGCTTCGTACGACATCTAGCGCCATAGCTGACCAGCTTTGCATCCTGCTCAATCCAAAAGCACCGCGAGGAGTAAATGCTGATGACGCAGTTGCGTGTTTTGGTGGTTCACTCGTTGGAGTTCCGAAGTACAGGGAGCTGGTACTCGATCAACTGAAGGAAAGAGGGCACGTCTTTAAACATATCGAGTTCGTAGAGGATGCGGCAGCGACCGGTGCGAGAGGATTAGCGTTGGCGATAGGTGCTGCCAACATTTCGTAACGTGGAAGGCGAACTGACTGTCGGGAAGAGAAGAGGTTTAGGGAGTTCCGTGCGTATTTCTATCTGCTATTTGAGTTGTTGCGTTGAGACCTGTTATGTATGTATTGTATGTACGATATCTGTTCCGGTCATACCCAGCTCGCGCACATAATATATTGAAGTTATGTTGATCATAGGCTCTTGAGGTTCTTGCAGTGTTAATTGAGCTTCGATACCTAAGAACGCGAAGCTGTTGCATGCAAATGAATTTGATTACTCGAAAGATTAGATAGAGTAGTAGCGCCCTGCCTTAAAGTAGTATTTTAATGGTTTACCTGCCCTAAACCAGCCTTTACAAAACTTTGCACGCGATGTTTCTAGTTTTCTTCGTGCGGCGACACGGCCATAATTTTCCCCATGTTGCTCATGACTGCCCCTGGTTTCTTCCAGCAAACATACGCGGTCGTTCGAGTGTCAGGCCGTGTCAAGACAGATGCGGACGTCTCAGTACCCTATCGTCGTCTCTTCTAGACTTCTGGTCGATGGAGGAGACGATGGGTCGGTGGTTCCCTACATACTTTCACTTGTCGGTGTTTGGTTCTGGTGTGTAGCTCTTCTGTACCCTATCTATACCCAGAATAGAATGTTTATTTTTATAACTGTGATGTCGTGAGCTGATCATTGAAGGGTGTTTGTATCATGGTCTTCCCGCGGAGCTCTTGTTCTGGTGTCTAGCTTTACTCTTGCACTGCAGGTCCTCCATCTCCATACAAAGGATCTTTATTGATCCATCCTAGCTTCTGAATCCGGGCATCTGCATCTTCCCCTTCCTTGCCATAACACATATCCCACTTCGCCGCTCCCACAGGATACGATCCGACCATCTCAAACCCCTCGGCTCCCTCTTCCAACAACCTATGCCCTACGCCTGCAGGTACCAAGATTGTATCACCTTTCTCTACCATCATTTCGACTCGACCTGGATTCTGTTCCCCTCCAAAGCACAATGTCGCTCTACCCTTGAAGACAACAAGCAGCTCATGCGTTGTTGAGTGGAAATGTGTGATTGGGTACATAGGGTACCTCCATTGCGGTTCGAAGACACCTACGGATTTAATGTAGTCTTCGATTTTGGAGGGGGTCAACTGGGTTTGGTCGAATGCTTGGTGGTAGACGATGAGTGGCTTCTTTTGGATGGAAGTGTTGGGTATCAGGCCGTGCCGGGGGATCTGGTAACGAGCTATTCGTGTGGAAGAGAGTGGTTTCAAGAGCGACATGGTTCCGTGTTAGGAGTTACAATACGATGTTTGTGCAGTCACCATTGTGCATGGATGTTGATTTTATATTCCCCTTTCCCCCTGATGATGATACTGTCGGAGCTCGACGTCATATTCATCGCTAGGATTGGGAACACTTTACACTCGATTCTTGCCACTACTTGTTTTCAGCTAAACACTGATTCGACGTTCTGCATCCTCACCAGCGGAATATATACTTTCGGTCTGCCTGTATATGCATGGCTTTCATGAGAACGTCCGGGAATTCGAAAGTACGAGCTGGCTCCCGTTGATTAAAGCGTTTACAGACCAAGCGTGCGAAATACGAATTTGTCCATTTGACATTTTAGTTCCGCCACACACAACCACGGATCCGCATTCAGCTTGCACCGTGATTACACGGTCATCCTCAACTATACCCTCTCGCGTTCTCTGTAGCTTCATGAATTGACACCAGACTTGCTATTCACATATACCCAACATACAGTCAATGACTCCGCATCTCAAAAGAGCTGCACCTCCCGAACTGTCAATTGATACCGAAACCGTCGGGAGGGCTTCAAAGAGACAAAAGCTCGTACACAGCCGACTCATTAGCTCGCCCACACGCGAAGAAAGGCTTGCCAGCTCTGATGCACTTTCTACACCGAGTCCATCACCAGAAACAGATGTATCGGATACTTGTGAGTATATGAAATCTCGCTGAGTGTTGGCATTAGCTCATCGTGGAGAATGTTTGTTTTGGTTTCGCTATAGCGGACATATTACCTGTAGCTGTCGTTCGTTCACAGTGGCCCGGGCTCTTGGACTTGCGTTCCTTGGTAGTATTGTAAGTTACAAAACTCAACTTCCGATGTGACATTCAGCTTCAATTTAATGCTTATGCGCTATAGTGGAGATTCATATAGTTCCGAAGATTCAGAACTTGAAACATCTGTTTGGGTAGGCCTCGGTCCCTTGTCGACCTCCGGGAATTCGCCTTAACTCAGACTTGTCCTTAGGTCACACATTTCGTCAATTCTCTTTTGGAGCGAGCCAAAATCAAGAACCAAGTTAACAGTAGTCATACGAAGAGGAAGTTGAAGACTCGGAATTATGCAAAGCCCGGTGATACAGCGCGAGAAGACCTCCCTGTGCAGCTATCCCGGTTCTTTTCAGATCATTCAAAAGCCGAGACGGGGAAAAGTTCTCAGTTACCTAAAGAGAGTTTGTATGGTCAGTATTGGAGATAAGAAAAGAAAGAAAAGATACAGAGACTGATAGCGCCTATTTCGCAGTACTTTGGTTTGGCATTAATGACTGCGGGTATGATCTATCCCTACTTTCCAGAGTTTGCATTTCTGACTCACTTTTTCTTTGTGAATATCTAGTGCTGAAGACGACGACGAACGTGAAGAGACCGTCGACCTCGTCTTTGACGCCATGCACGATCTCTACGTCAAAGCCGACGCTCGGAACTTCCTCCTCATAGACATCCCTCCCGTACATCGTTCGCCCCTGGCTGAGACCTACAGCGAGTTCCAGTCTTCCATATGGGAAGACCGAATTGAAGACTGGAATGAACGTCTGAGAGAACAGGCGGTGGAATTCGCAACAAGCGGCTCCCAAGCAACGGTGTTTTTGTATTCTTCGAATCATATATTGACGAAGATCTTAGATAAGCCGCTCGAGTATGGGCTTAGCCCGTCGCCGGAGCCGGGTTTGAGTTATTCGAGGGAGGGTTCAAGTCCGAGTGGGTCGAGTTCTCCTAGGACGCCTGTTGAGGAGGGCGATGATGATGATGATGATGGGTACAGAGGTGGACTCCAAGGTAGCAAATTCTTGGGTGAGTGGAATACTAGTGAGGAAGATGGGAGTCCGATATGGGCAGATGAATTACATATGACGAGTGCCGTTCATGGGTTGCTCGCTCAAGACTTGATCGAAGCCCTACTCTCCTGCAGCTGAACGTGATTATCAGGGAGATTTGGACTATTTGTCTTCTAGGAGAATCTGATGTATTTTAGTGTTGATTTATATTTCCTTCAATAAAGAGCAATCGATATCATCCCAAGTTCGTAGCGGTCAACTTCATGCATCAGCTGTTTCTATTTCTACACACCTTGCATCGTTAGTAATTAATTACAAGCACGAGAGAAAAGGATGACGGAGAAGAACATTCAGAACAAGCAAGAAGGAAACACCAGATGAAGCACAAACCCCTACCCCAGCGCGACTTTCTACTGCCCCAATGTAAGTTGCTCATGGACTCTCTTGGACAAGCGCGAGGATCATACTGCAATCGAACCGAGTCAGTATAAGGTGGTATATATATATAGATAGTACGGAGGACTCGCCGATAGAGGTAGTAGAAGAAACTCAGGAGATAGAAACCCAACTTGATGAATATCTCCTTTTTGTGTGGTTCGAGTGTACGGAAGATTTCTGTCGCGTCATATACGTGATTCTGGTTCATGATCCTACAGAAACACAGGAGTCAATTCTTCATATTCATACCACACCTTTCCCCGTGATAGAGACAAGGCATATGAAATCCAAAAAAGGGTAGTAGAAAAGACGTACTTGCGGACGTTGAATGCCAATAGTGGAGCATTAAGCAAGAACGCGATGAATTGGCCGGATATGAGGAAGAGTACGGTGAGGAATGCGTGTGCTGTGTGCTCTGGAAGCACAAACTAATTGTACAAGGTTGGTGGGTTGGAGGAACAACAAGACAGAAGAGAAGGGAGTACAGACTTGGTTCAGCTTGTTACAGAGGTCGACGGGGTTGATGTAATCTGACTCCAAGTCCGAGAACATGATCATCTAGTATGTGGTATACCAAACCAAAAGAGACACAGGTGTATAGAGAGAGGGAGAGTCTATTAGAATAGCTAATATATTTCGTTCTCATTGAAAGGTACGTACAAAGAATACCGCCGTGAACAGCAGACCTGCAGCCATAAGCACGGCAAATAGGAAAAGCCAACCTAAAAACGAGAGCCATTCAGATTTTGAATCTTTGACAATGGGATACAAAGGAATCGGACCTGCATAACCCATGATTAATGAGGGCTTAGTAGAAAGGGATGGGAGAAGAGGATGGAGGCTATCAAGAAAGCGTGCTGGAGGTACAAGACGCTGGCTGGCGTGTTGCCTTCGCGTGACTTCATCGCGATCGGGTATTGATCGGCGCTCAAGAATGCGTTCAAGTTTTGTTCAAGTTCAAGATATATCGTTGAAGCAACCCATGATGTACGCTGTGTATCTGCATAACAGAGGTCGTGTACGAACTACGCGAAAGACTCCATCTGTAGATGATTATGACTTCTAACAGATCTTGCGGTATGCCATTCACAGCAAGAGCTCAGTCTAGAGTTTCTCTACCGAATCTTGACTCGGAATCGTACAACGCAAGACCAATATCGTATCCAATCTCGAAGCTACTATCTTCGTCCTTCTGTCTCACCACTCTTACTACCCTCCTTTGTTGTTTGAGCTTCAAGTTCAGAACCTGATCGAACCTCAGAACTCCCCTCAAGCTCATCAACAGGACTGCTGATAGTCAATTCACTGTTATTAACGTTTAGGACACCATCGCTATGGTGTGACCCTTCCTCATTCATACTAGCCCCATCCTCATCGCCTTTGCGCTCCGGAATGTTTGATGTCTTTGCCGTTTTCCCTACTCGAGTCAAGACCATTCAGATACTACATAGTTACCAGAATACTTGGACGTTTTTACCTTTCCGCAACCTGACGATAGGCCTACGTATCGTGCCTTCAGTTTCCACGCCCATGGTGTTTAAGTAGATGCGAAGAGATGACGAGTTGGCAGTGAATGACCTGGTGACGAAGAGATACGTGTAAGATGACACGAAATCAATCTGTGAGCTTGAGGATAATAGGTACTGTAGACGCTGGAGGGTATCAAGCCAGATCACTATACTTATTCGCCAACAACAACAATGATTTCTCAAATGTCTGAGATTTTGAAAGGGATGTATAAAAGTCGTGAAAGATACGTGAGAAATCTTGAAAAGCATTGACATCGCCATTGCTAAGGTATGAGTAGATGAGTAAAATGATCTGTCCATCCCATCAGTTCAAATCCTTTCCCCCTCATTCCTCTGTCCATGCGTGAAGCCAATCGTAGAGCACAATCTGTTAGCCACCATCTTCTGGTCCCAGTAACGGGGTGGGATGATAGCAACGATGATGATGCTCTACTCGCTATCCGCTATGAGGGCGACGATCATTCTGAATGAATGAGAAGCATGTGAGTCAACGGAGAAGAGGATGGAGGTGAGTCCGGAGGGGGAAAAGGAGGATGGGACGTACCGGTACAGGTAATAGAAGAAACTGAGCAAGTAGAATCCAAGCTTGATGAAACTCTCCTTTTTGTGCGTAGGCAACGTCCGGAAGATTTCTGTTGCATCATACATGTGATTCCCACTCCGAATCCTAACAAAGGTGGCGAACACCATAAGAGTATCAGTTATATGATTAGTTCTCGACAAGTGTATAGAGGAGATGACGCACTTGTTAACGTTGAAAGCAAGCAAAGGCGCGTTCAATAAGAACGCTATCCATTGTCCGCTTAATAGGAACAGAACCGCGAGGAACGCATGTGCTGTATGTTCTGGAAGAACGAACTAGAATGGGTTGATGGTGTTATGAGGCAAACAGTGTCGACGAGGTAGAAAATAAAAGGCTGACTTGATTGAGCTTATTGCAAAGGTCTATCGGGTTAATATAATCGCATTCCAAATCCGAGAACATGATGATCTATAGGGCACGAAACGCGCACAATAATGATACGGTCGTCAGTCCAACAAGGATTCCAACAACCTCAACACCAAGAGAATAACGCACGAAGAACACCATCGTAAACAAGAGCCCAGCCGCCATAAGTACCGCAAAGAGGAACAACCACCCTATTCACAATTTCGACTGCAGTAAGTCTCGCCATAGAACTATGATGTAGGAAAAGCCACGTAGGTTACACACCTGCACCGCCCATGTTGAATCGTCGAGGAAAGAGAAATAGATAAAAATGAAGTAAGATTAGACTGAGAGATGGCTCTGCTGGCAGGCAGAGAGGTGTAATTGTACAAAGCTGGTTGGGAAAGCTGACACCACCAAACTCGCGCGAGGCGGCTGGAAACTCGTTGACGTCCTGTCACACTACTACGCGTGTCACATCATGTCACAGATTTCGCGCACTCTGTTATTTAAACTGAGCGTTGAGCATCGATAAAGGTGAATTCTAGAATTGCAGTACGACTGAGACAACTAGACCAGGGCCTATGGTATTTTACAAACAAACAACAAGCGAACCGACAGATAGCCAAGAAGCGGAGGAGGGAGCAATTGACAGTGATAATACGACGCGACGCGAGAGATATGATAATATAAGTTGACCTTTCTTGGCCAATAGTCCGAGAGGCAGGGAGTGCAACTGAGTGCCTCACTCAGTCGACATCCATTCGTGAGCCACCTTCACCTCGTCGACCCCTGCCTCGTCCTCCTCCCCGACGACCCCTACCGCCTCGACCCCTTCCACCCTGTGACCTCTGTGTGTACTCGGTTGGGTCTGTACCTGGCGGTGCAACCAAGATGGTAGCACGAGAACCCTTCGCCAAGAGTTCATCTGACCGCAGTTTCCTGTGTGTAATAGAGATGTTCAGCATCAACACGTTGGACAAGTCCACAACAGGACTTACGAGCCGGCCTTGGACGATGAGTCATCTGCCATCAGCGCATCCACACTATCATCTTGTGTCGATACGCCGAGACGGCCAATCAGATTCGCATTAACACCACCAATGATTTTGACTGCGAGGAAACGTCCATCGGCCGGTTGGCCATGGAACTTCGCCACCGCCGCTTGGGCGTCCTTTTCATTCTTGAATGTGACACGGACGACTACAGGGTCGCCATTTTGTGTCACCTTGGAATCCGTTATCGGTCCACACCGTTGGAAGATAGCCTACATCACGAATAAATCTTACGTACTCGACAAAAAATGAGACAGAACAGATGCACGCACCTTGACGTCTTCGGCAGTCGTCCCAGCCGCGAGTTCACCAACCTGCACGACGTTTCCTCTCGAGCTTGCGCCCTTGATCGAGAGACCCTTCTCGCCATTGGCTTCTCGTAAGGCCCGCTCCGCCTGCGACATATTCAACTTTGGCACCGCAGGCTTGTCGGTTATCCGCGCGCTGAGCGAATTTTGCGCCCCATACATATCATGTTTCCAAGTGCCGTTAACATCACCCTTGGGCGGTCGCGAATTGCGATTCTGGAAAGATTGTGCAACGGTAAAAAGTCGGATAGGGTATGTCAGAGAGAGAGATATAGAGAATGGAGACAAAGACGCGTTCAAGTTAGCGTATGATCGAATGTTGAGGTACCCATGTCAAGAGGGAAAGAGAGGGATGCGGTTGGTAAGGACATTGTCAAGGAACTTGAGAAGAGGGGAGAGGTTGGCGCACGTATGGTGAGGATCCTCCCGCACGATTGCTTTTGCTGTTGCTGCGAACGGGGCCTACAGTGGTCCCGGGAAGACTCATGCGTTCAAGTAGGGATGTCATGTTCGGTAATGCGAATGAGTGATAGTCGGAGAACTAAGGGAAGGGTGAAAGGGAGCGAGGAGATGATGGTCGAGGAGATGGTGGTGAAGGTCCAAGTTGGCGAACAGGAGTGGCCAGACCTGTCGGCGGTTTCGTAAGCATCCATAACGGGTATTTCTCCGTTTCAGCCCAAGTTCGGATTGGTCTTACTCTGGACATCTCTGAATAAAAACATGCCTTGTCGAGACTCGAAAGGCTTGATTCGTTCATAAATGAACGGGAAGTTGGCCTGGTCCAGTCTGTCTGACGTAGAGTAGTCAGACACGCAAACTTCCGTGCTTCAGGATAATATCTGCGTAATGCATGCCTACTCGAGTACTTAGTAAGTAACTTTATTCTAGTCCACGAGAAGAATGTCTGCCTGAGCCGTGTTTTTTTGTTGTTTTGCGATGCTTTGCCAACAGGACAAACGGACTAGTAGTGACTGCCATGCGGCCAGCGTACCAGATCGACACGAAAACCGTCTCAAAACAGCGAAGTTAGGCAGGGATGACCAAAACAAATGAGAATAAGTATTCCCAGCAACTACACTACTGATACATGCGCTAATGAACAACAAAAGAAGCACCCAGAGGAGGACGGCAAATAAACAAACAAATAAAAAGATTGACTAAAGCTTGGCCTTGAACTCTGGTGACGACAATATCTCTTTCTTCGCCAGCTCTCTCAACTCTCGTCGGAGGATCTTCCCAGCGGCACTGAATATAACGACTCATTAGAACCTGTATGCATGATGACAAGACGCATCATATCTCACCTCTTGGGTATAGCATCAATCACAATCACGCCTTGATGGATATTCAACATTAGCTCGATTGTTCGAGGACTGAACACTGTCAAATGAAGCAAAACGACTCACCTCCTCGAAGGTATTTGTGCCTTGCAACTCGGGACTGTATCCACTTCTGGACCTCTTTGCCAAATTGACGAGCTGCGTCACCCCTGATAGCTTTCGCGTGTACGACGTACGCCCTACAACGTTAATAAATAGCAACGTCAAATCTTATTCAACGAGAACGAATTCAAGCAACTTACCGCGGAAGCTCAGTCGCGTCCTTCTCCGAGTTGATACCAATCACAGCGACATCGACAATCTGGGGATGCGTCAAGAGGATGGCTTCAAGCTCTGCTGGAGGTACTTGGAAGCCCTGCAAAAAGCGACTTGTCAACAAAGTGAACAGGACTTATGCAAACGCAGAAACGAACCTTGTACTTGATCAACTCCTTCCTCCGGTCAACAATGTACCAATACCCATCCTTATCCCTGACTGCAATATCTCCAGTCTTGAACCACCCATCTGGTGTGATCGCGTTCGTCGTTGCCTCCTCATTGTTCAAATAGCCCTGATCAAACAATCAAACAAGTACTGTGTCAGTTCCCTTTGATGATAAGGACTGACAAGCTTAGACAAACCTTCATGACGCTAGGCCCACGAACCCACAACTCTCCAGACTCGCCGTCCTCCACGTCGTTCACATCATCATTCACGAGTCGCGCTTCCAAGTTGGGTAGAAGGAGACCGACACTCTTGGGTCGTTTGATCGCCTCTTCCATCGGACAGAGATGCGTTGTTGGAGAAGTTTCCGTTAAACCATAACCTATGAAGAGATGAATTAGAATGAGTACAACGGATGGGGAGAAGTCAAAGACACCTGCCTTGGTTAATGAGCGTACTTGCACCTACGGACTTGAGTTTCTCCCGAGTAGCCTGGGCAAGTTCGCCGCTGAGTGGTGCTGCACCCGAGGTCAGGTACTTGAGGGATTTCATGTTGAATTTCGTCGTCGCTGTCTCAAAGAGTAAACAAACGCTGAAGATATCGCGTAGGTACTTGAGCTTACCTGGATGGTGTATAATAGCCAGGCAAATTGGAGGAACGATCAGCGCGATCGTGACCTTATATTTCTCCGTGTTTCGGCAAAACTCGACTGGGTCGAATTTGGACATGATGACGACTTGGACACCGAGGAGGAATTGGAAGAGAAGTAGCTTTACGGAGCCTGATAGTGCGCAAGTTGGTATGTTAAGCACGAGTAGAGATCAGAAGAGGCGCACCGTAGATATGGTAGAACGGCAAAACACCAAGCATGACATCCTCTCCGGGGACGGTTTTGGGGTAAAGAGCTCGCACGATGTTAATGACCGCGACGATGTTAAAATGCGTCGTCTGGAGGATTGCTCAGGACACAACAACATCTTCAAAATTACACAGACATTACCTCGACACCTTTCGGCTTGCCCGTAGTCCCCGAGGAATAACACAAGTATGCCGTCTCATTCGATTGCTTCCCCGGGAACTTCTCCTCCTCATTCAAGCTTCCCTTTCCCAATAAATCTGACAGCTTCACGAACCCAGCCGGCAACTGCTCACTGCTCGGAATTCCAAAATCAGCAAGGATGATCCTCCTTCTGGCTTGCGACAGATCGAGTCCCAGATACTTGAACATCTCCAACGCGGTCGATAACAGCGCTGGTTGAACGAACACCGCTTTGGCGCCGCTGTCTTTCCATTGATGTTCAAGTTCACCTGCAGTGTAACTGCTGTTTGCGAGTGTGGTACGAAGACCTGGGGCAAGAGAACCGAAGACCATCACGGGCCAGGCAATACTGTTAGGGCTGAATATCATGATGGTCTCTCCTCTGTCGAGAGTGACGCCGCCGAGCTTGGAGAACTCTTGACGAAGTCCATAGCCCAATGAGAGGGAAAGCTTCTTGAGCTCAGCCCTCGTGAGCGTAAGTCCCGTTGCAGCATCTGTGAAAGCGGGCAACGATGATGGGTGATTCGAGTAGGTCGTCGCGAAGAGGTGTGTGAAGATGGACTCTTCTCGTGTCTCGACCGGGGGAAGGGTGGACTTGTAGATTCTCATAACGACCTGTCGAATGTCGGGGAAAGAGAAGGTGAATATGAAGGAGGGACAGCTATTAGCGTTAACTGACCTTGGAGTATATGAAGGTATCTAGTCCGCCGGGACCGGCAATCGTCAACCCGCACGGCCGACCTATCGAATTCTGTCCACGAAATCATTTCTTGTGGCTGGTAATAAAGCGATCACCACAATGATCGGTCATCGACCCCATGCTAGTACAATGACCGACCCCGCATTCTCTTGTAAACACTGCATGGGGATTGGTCCCCCGCTTTTCAGCTTGTTCATTCTGCAGGGCGGAATAGAAAACACGGAGTGACGAAGACGATACGAACGGTTATTCACGAGGGATGTGAAAGAACTGGGAGACGGACTTGTCAGAAGATCTCTACTAACCCCAATTCGCCAAGCGACCGTGATCGACGTGCCTGCTGGGGTAAATCAAATAGCACTATCGTTCTCCCACGCCATTGCCCCCCTGAACGGAGGCAACCAACAGTCAAGAACAAATACTTTCGGATTTGCTAAAGGCTTGACAAAGACGATTTCGGCGTGAAACTACCGACAAACCTGGCGGGCATTGCCAATTCTTGGTACAGCAAGATGACTGTAACAGACGTCGTACATCATTTGAAGCCCTCATTGCGCGCAGGGGAGCCAACAAGCGGGACAAGGGATGATGGCATGTCCAACAAGAGCAGAGAAAGTACCTTAGATGGTTGTTCGACCAATCCTCGAGCAGGATTTTTGCCAGAGATGAATACCCACCAGAAACACAGACCGCTTCGCATGAGTCTACACCCATTACAGAGTGTTGATCAGGTGCGAAGGTCCATTCTTTGTGGCTATATATGCCGTGCTTGGCACACTATGCAAAATATTCAATCGTTCGGTGAAGGATCAACACCTTTCGAAAATAACGAAAAATTTATGTAGCTGCGTCGAATCCTAGTATGACGGAGAAAGAAACGTACGATATCACCAGTCCACAGTGCGTGTTATAGCGCAAAAAAACTGCGCAAAGGACGCGAGCTGCACATGATTTCGTATCAAGACCCGCATTCGGATGTTCCTAATGGAAAATTCAGAAAATAATGCCAGTGATCCAGAGGCTGCTTCCAGGAGAAGCCAGCGTTGGACTCACACGTCAAGAGCGAGCGGGAGCGTAATGAATAAAAGTCATGTAGGGATTATAGTCTATGGACCCAAGTCTTCTAGGATACAGTCAATACAAGTTACACTTCTCCAAACACCAAACGCACGAATAAAAATCATCAAGTCCCCCCCAAAAAAGCAAGAACGCGAAACTGCCGTTAGTCCGATTTCTACGAAACCAGACTCAACTATTCTCTTCATTTCCCCTGTTATTCTGCGTCCACATCTCCCACACCTTCCTGCATACATTCTGGGCGAGAATGAGTGGCTCTTGCGTAAAGGCTTTCTCGACTATCCGGGTAAAGAGCTGGCGTTGTTGACCGTTCTCGATGGACTCCCATGTCTTAGCGAGTACCCTCCCTGTAGGCCCGAGAACCTTCTCGAAAGGCGGTTCAATGGGAGGCGGTAGGTGTATCAAGAGGGACTGTGAGCTAAGGGACGAAAAAATGGTATCAGATAACAGGATTGCGCTATCAAACAGCAGAATGCACTTACACATAATCGGGAAAAGGTGGCGGCGGCGGAAGGGAAGAATCATCATGTTGGTGCGTATGCGTAGCAGTGTGTAGAGGATCATGAGCCGTGAAAGCCTCCCCTGCCATAGGCGGCGGACGATCCAGTTGTGATTGTGCTTGTGACTGTTGTTTCCTCTCATACGAAGCCCAATCCGAAATCACCTTGTCCTTATATTGTTGCCATTCCGCCTGATGTTCCAAATCCTGCATCATCAGATCTAGCCTCTCCTGTGCACCCCACCGACTCTTACTCATCCAGAGATACCAGCCCTCCTGCCAGAATCGCAAATCCTTCTTAGGTCCGTACGCCCGTCCGGGCCCACGAGCATGAGAACCTTCTTCATGCGATTCATTAGGATCTTCGTGTACCCAAGGAAAGAATCGGAGAGCCTTTTGACCTTCGGGTGGAAGTGGATACTTGGCGTCGACAGTCTTGATTTCAGCATGGTCTTCGTCAAAGGTAGCGATGGTCCGTTTGACTTCATGGTCAAAGACTCGTCGAACGCAGACTGTGCGACACCAGGGTTCTGTCTGGTTTATACGTCCGCCGATGGTCTGTGAACAGTAGGTGAAACACCGTTCGTCCACTTTCGGGGAACCTCTCCCTATAAAAATTCCAATACGTCAGTAAGTAGGCATTCTAACCGCTGACAGGGAGACTGCTGAAGACTTACCTGGGGGCGGACGTAAGATCCTGATCGACGGCAACTTATTCGCGAGCAGAGGTCCTACTCCGGATGAGGGACCTGCCTCCTGTGAGGATCGAGACGACATCGTAGGTGATTGTGACCGAAACGAATAGTTCTAGGTAAAATAAGCGGAGAGACGGGCGGTGGTGAATGAAGGAACGTAAGACTCGATGTAAGCGCAGTGCAAGCGTGCATAATACAGGAGGCGCTCACTACAGTCTCTTCTCGGCAGGGTGCCGAGCGGACATTGAATTATGACATGTATATAAGGGTTGCCTAATCGAGGCGTTCCTTGCTTTCGTCACTGCAAATCAATCCAATCCGGCGAAGAGGAATATACTCGGGTGTGTTTGTTCGCAAATCGATTTGCTCACAGACGTAGTTATCCTGTTGCGCATATAATCGTTTGCCGCAATATGTAAGCTGAGACTGTTGCGTAGGGACCAAAAGCATACGAAAGAATATATTCAATTGAGCATCTCACACAATCGTACAACTCGCAACGAAGCTACAGCTTTGCTCGTGCATCAATGTTGACCTCAGTTTTGGCCCGATCGCGCAACTCTCGTCTGAGCATTTTGCCTGCAGCACTTCTTGGAATGGCGTCAATGACGACCACACCTGCACAAAGGGATGTTTCAACATTCATGTGCAAAAAACTATTTGAATTCAGCACGTACCTCCACGCAAATATTTGTGCCTCGCCACCCGACCCTCGACCCAACTTTGCACTTCCTTCGATAAAGCAGCAGGATCAGTCTGGCTTGTCGGCTTGCGGACAATATACGCCCTAGGCAGTTCCGTCGCTTGATCTTCAGAGTAAACACCTACAACACCTGCGTCTGCTATGTCGGGGTGCTGAATGAGGAGGTCTTCGAGTTCAGCTGGAGCGACTTGGAAGCCCTATAGATCGACAGATTTATACACTACGTCAGGTATGGTGGAACATGAGACTGACCTTGTACTTGATGAGCTCCTTCAGCCGATCGAGGACGTAGTAGAACCCATCTTCATCCATTGTCACAATATCACCCATCCTTAACCATCCGTCTTCCGTTATCGAACCTGCTGTCGCTTCTGGATTGTTCAGGTAACCCTATACAGCGCTTAGGCGTCAACATTCCCAGTTCGACAGACCTTGGAAAGTAGTCAAATACGAAGACAGACAGACCTTCATGACTGATGGACCGCGAACCCAAAGCTCTCCAGGCGTCCCAATAGGTGCCTCCTCACCATTCTCGAGCACGATCCGAGCTTCGAGGTTCGGTAGCAATCTACCTATTGAACCAGCTTTATGGAACCAGTCTTCGTAGTGGACGACGTGTGTGGCAGGCGAAGTTTCCGTGCACCCATAGCCTGTATACCGAGGAATAGTAAGAAAATAAGGGAACAAGAGGAAGGAAAGTTTGTGATGTACCTTGAGTCAAGTATGGCGTGGATCCAAGCGAAGCCAATCGTTTGCGTACTTCATGAAGGAGAGAAACTGGAAGTGGTGCGGCACTGCACGTTACCCATCGTAACGACTTCATGTTGAACTTCGCCACCGCTATCAAGGCCGAACTCCTGAGATTCGTATCACAGTGGAAAGATTGGGGACAGTATCTCACCTGGGTGTCGAGCAAATGCTAAATGCATAGGGGGGACTATGAGTAGAAGAGTAACCTTGTACTGTTCAATAAGCTGGAAGAACTCGATAGGGTCGAACTTGGGAACGATCAGAATGGCGGCTCCGCCGAAGAACATGTTCATCAGGATGTTGACCGCACCTGAAAGACATGCGATGAGAAGCCTTTTCAATGAGGGAATGAAGAGTGAATACAACTCACCATAGACATGATAGAAAGGCAGGACACCAAGACACATATCATTGGTGTCTGTAGGTGGCAATATCGCCTCAAGCATGGGCATCATCGCAGTCATATTTCGATGCATAGTCTATATTCTATACTTGAGCTTGTGGCCACATAAATAGTTTATCTCAATTGGAATAAACGAACCTGGACACCCTTGGGCTTTCCAGTCGTTCCCGACGAGTAGCAAAGCAAAGCAGTCTCATCAGCCTTCTCGCCAGAAGCCTCCTCCTCCTCTTTCCAACTGCCCACACCCAACAAGTCTTCCAAATGCAAGAATTGTCCAAGAGCTCCTTCACGGTTGACCTGATCATAATCCGCGATGATGATTCGGCGTCTTGCATCGCTTGCGGACACATCGAGACTCTTGAACATCTCCAAGATAACAGGCAACAACGCAGGGTGAACTAAAACAGCCTTAGCATCACTGTCATTCCATTGGAACGCGAGCTCCCTAGCCGTATAAGCACTGTTCGCTAACGTTGGTACGAGACCTGCAGCAATAGACCCGAACATCATGATCGGCCATGAAAGGCTGTTAGGACTGAACAACATGACGACATCTCCTCTCTTCAAGGATATTCCTCCAACCTTTGGAAAGTAATCTCGAATCCCATATGCGAATGAGAGTGATAGTTGCTTCAGCTGTCCTCGAGAGATCGCTTGACCTGTGGACGCCTCCACGAACGCCCGAGCGTCTGCAGGGTATTTGTCGAAGGTCGTCTGGAAGAGGTACGTGAAGATGGATTCCTGAGTCACTTCAACCGGCGGGTATGGGGACGGGTAGACTTTCATGGCTGAAAGAGAAGTTTGTCACTTTCAGGGGGGATGAGGGATGATCGAGGAGGTACGCCAAGCTGAAATACCCATGTCAACAAGCCCGGTGACACACGTAAGTATGAAATAAGGTCCGTGATGCAAAGTTGAATTTGACTGCAGCCACCGTGTCGTAACTGTTGTTGGGTGCAGTGCGGTTGGTGAACGGCTGAGCAAGACCGAGAGACATGCAAATACACGGAGAGCGATTGTTAGAAGTCAGCTTCGTTATTCGGTTTAGCGTAAGTCAAGACAGTGCTGCGTCGTAGAACCGAGCCGGGGTGAACTGTCATAGATCTACTGTCGTTCTGTAGAAGCAAAGCTTCGTAAGGCATCCTTTTAAATGCACTTAGTCAATGGGAGAGCAAACCGTCATGGAGCATATGATTCAGGAGCAAGCACCATGTAACCGAGATTTTGAGCACTACTCTAGATCTTCACGGTACTACAGCATATTGCTTTCCCACGAATACTAAGTTTTGGGAGGTTCCCCATTCTAGGGATGTTTTAGGGAGCATTAACGTCTTAACACGGGACTTGCATTCACTGTTGCTTCTCTTACTGCAGCAATCTTCCAGAGCGATTGTCTCAGGTTATTCTAAACTTTGCTGCTCTAGCCGCTTGCTTTTACCCGGGGTCATTATTTGCTTATATTAGAGAGCCTCGGACCATGGGAACGCATTCTCAAAAGTTCCACCCATCACTGCATCTAAGTGTCTGCCAGCTCATCTCAAAGCCTTGGAGAAGCTATGTGGCGTTCTGGGAATATACGTCTTCAAACGGAATCTGACGCGTTTTGAAACCACTACACCTCTGTGGAGAGGTGGCTCGTCTCCATCGTCTCCACTGACACTATAGTCGTCCATAATACGCTGTGATACTCATGGCTAGGATCCCAAACCTTTCGCCCTCCCCGCTCGTCCCCAGCATTTTTCTTTAGGCAATGGCAATTCCAGCAGAGTGCCCAAACTGCAATCAGACAAACTCAAATGTATGGCTTGTGTTCCATGTTTCTGTGGTATTCGTCAAGCGCCAATCATGTTCTGTAACAGAATCAGCAACCTTCGAACCATCGCAATTCGTCCCCAAATCTCGGGGTGATAACAGGTGTTTTAGGCGGATTGGCTCTTATTGCGATACTTGTCTTTGTGATTGTCCCGCTCGTACGACGCAGGAAGGGGCGACAGGCGCGAAAGGTGGGGGACGTCGAGAGTTCGCCCACCAGCGAGCGCAGACCCACTCTGTTCTCATACATTTCTCGCGGTCCTTCATCTCTTCGCCATCACAGAAAGACTACCTCCGGTCCGGATCAATTGTTGCCCTTACTGCCGCCGCTCTCGACCTTCACATGGTCGGATCTGCGCTCTCAAAATACCAGCGTGGACAGCAAGGCTTCTTTGGATGATGAAGATGGGATGGAGAAGGTCGAAATATACTCCTTTCCAACAGACAATGCCACCACGTCTCACCAAAGCAGAAGTGGCTGGGCACAAGGAGGTCGCTCCGTGAAAACCGGAGAGCGCCCTGCTCGCAGCGCCTGGTCAGCTCACGTATCAGCCTCAGGTTTGCCATCTCCCCAACGGAGTCCTACTCCCCCAGGACTGCCGTCCGAGTCATCCCTTCCTGCTGACCAGGATAAATCCGCTCAAGCACCTTCCGCTTCCGCTAAGCCAAATACATCCCTTGTTCTATCCCCAAGACCCTTACCCTTCGTAGAAGCTTTCACCCTGACCGTTTCTGGTATAGAACCTCTAATGGAACATCCTGTCAAGACAAATAAGAGGTCATCGCGACCGGCCTCCATCCAACTTCCCTCTCCACCTGCTTCTCCACCAGTCTCACAGTCGTCCCAACCTGGCTCTTTTTCTCGATCCCGATCGGTTCGATCTCAATCGAATGCGACACTACCGCAGTCGGACGTGCGGTTCAATAGGTTCCGTCCGCCACTCTCGAGTAACCAATCTGCACCGACATCGCTCCCGTTCAGGCCTCCGACTAGCAGCCACTCCTCATCGTTGCCGTACTCCCCTTCTCCCGTTGTACCAGCCACTCCAGGGCAATCTACAACTCAATCACCGCCACTGACCGGCGCATTCCGCAACGACTTGTTGCGTTCAGGATCCTCATCTTCCGGTGCTGGTAATGATAGTCCTTCACGCTATCCTGCGGTGACACCTAGTGACAGCACTCTACCCACTTCGATCTCTCGTAGACGGTCGGGAAGCACTGCATCGGAAAGACCTCCTCCACGTGTACCACTTGAGTCGAGGTTAAGGCCCTCGGACATGTTCAGACGTGCTAGTCTGTCTGCCAACGCACCTGTAATTCCCGGACAGCGGTCGTTGACATCTGATGCCAGTTCCGTGATGAGCTTGCCAATCGGAGGTGGAGATGGCGCTCCAGAACCATCGGCGTCACGAGCATACCTCCGTATGTCGGGTTCACATCATACCACACCTCAGTATGAAACGACATCTACGTCTTACGGCGGTCAGGGTGGTTCCCTGCCCTACTTTGATCCTACGACTCAGAGGGACCAGTCGTATAATATTCAACCTTCCTCCTCTTCGCATACCAATTATAATCAAACTTACACTTCCACTTCAGGAAGTAGCAATCCTGGCATTCGCCCTCTACCCATACCTCCAGTCATCCCTTCTTCCTCATCCTCGTCCTCATCCTCTGCACATCCTCTTCCACAATCCATTCTTACCCGAGACAACTCTCAAACCCGCAAAATGAACTCAAAATCTGCACAACCCAATCTAGTCAAACGAAAAGACAGTTCAGCACTCCGTCCTCTCCCTACGTCGCCCTTCCTCCACTCCCCACCTACGAGTCCACCTCTGCGTCCCGTCGTACCGAGTACGAGGAGTCGTGGAGGAAGCATAAGCAGTCTCAATGTGATGAATCCTCATCCGTACTCCAATAGGAGTCGTGCAGGGAGCGTTGTCACGTTGGGTGAACCGCGTTTTGAGAGTGTCAAGGAGGGTGTGGAAGATAGGTTGAGCGAGGAAGGTTCTTCGGATGCTGATAGTAGGAGGTCTACGAGGGCGGTCTTACCTCCTCTCAAGCCTTTACCTGCTTTGCAGTTCAGCGAGTTTGCCCCGGGAAAGTGATAGGTGCTCGAAACATCCTCAAGTCATTGATATTGCAATCATTGGACGCATGACTCTGCATTCATACGATCATCTTTGTTCCAAAGTACATGCCCTGCATTTTCTTGTTATTGCGTATTCAACACTTCATCGTCCTTCATCCTTTATCCTTTATCTTTCATGGTCTGTTCGGTGTCTCGATGGCTGTATCATTTTATTGTATTTTTTGGTCCCGTGAATCCTCATCTATGTATCACCTCCAGACATGGTTGTACAACTCGCACTTTTAGAGCTTCAATTCTTGTATTCCTTCCTTATAGCCTTTTGTATTATGTCTACGTCGCATTGTTCCTTACGTCTTCCCAAAAGTATGCCACTATATATTTGCTGCGGACTACTTGTTCATTGTCAGTGAAGAGACTTGTTTTCCAGAGGATCAACAAGGAATGCTTCATCTCAACTCTGGCATCCACTCTTACGTTCCAACCCTTCTAGATACTGGTACATATCATCGATAGTTCGGAACCGAGATCCTTTTTAATAAGTCCGAAATATCTTAGTATATATGTCCAAAGTCGAATATTTGGAAACGAACAAATTTATCCAAACTTCATACGCAAGGAACCCTTGGAACCACTCGACCCATTTCCAAGTTCCTTCCACCAAGCATTCTTCGTCTCCAGATTACTTGATCCATGCCCAATAGAGCTTTTACCAGTATGTCTAGTGACCGTCGAAAGACCAGAAGAGACACCTTTTCGACCTCCACCGGGAAATTGCTTGGTGTTGTGTGAGCTAGTTTTAGACGCTGGACGGTCCTCGTCTTCACTACCTGATTCGTGGTCAGACGATGGCGTACGTTTTCGTTTCTTCCCTGAGGAGATTGTAGAGGAGAGTGGAGGGTGACCTTTGTCCCATACTTTTCGGTGTATACGATATACGGCCATTGTGGCTCTTGCATCAGTTACCTGTTCAAACCGGGGATTGAGTAAAAGGTTCAAAGATAATGTGTGTTTAACAGCACGTACAGATGAGTGCTCTCCGGACTGAATTACGATGTTAAGTTCTTGCTGAACCAGATGCCGTAGAGCGGGTCTTGATGATCTCGTGAGTTTGTGTTTCTTGGCTTCTAGTTGTGTATCTCGGGTTTGGTGTCGTGGATGTGACAGTAGGAGAGCCTACGTAACCTATTATTCAGCCTCAAAATCAAGACAGAGGGAAACCAGGAATACCTTTAAGTCGTTGTGTACCGCATGGCCCACTAATATCCGGTCTTTCAATAATTGAGCCACCTTCTCTTGCACTTCGACAAAAGGTTTTGCTGTTCATCGTGTGTCAAGACAAGCTAATTATACAGAATCACACATACAACTCACCATTAATCATATCAGTTGGTCGAATACCGCTGAACTCTGTTCTGTAGTCTACAACGCGTTCGCGCTGCAGAACGAATTCATCCATGATCACGGCTCCGTGGTAGTTGACCAGACTGACACGCGCCAACGAGGATTCTGCTCCGTTGATGCCGACACCAACCATCTCACAATCTACGGCGAGATATTTCCCTGGTCTGCCCAGCAATACTGAGTACGAATAGTAGAGAAACCAACGAGGTATACGCACTGTTGCTGGATCGTGGTGTACTCCAATTCACCCACAACCATTCTCCGCAGAGAAGCTAACGACTCGCCATTCTTTATCGCGTCCGGAAGAGACGATATGGATACAGAGGCCACAGAAGTGGATGCAACCATCTGCTTTCCACGAATAAAGGACATCTCCGCAGAAGCAGAAATACTTTGTGTCACTGTTGCATCCGGTGAGGCACTGGTATGATCAACCTTGCGCTTTTTGCGTACATGCGCAGTCATAGAACTGGACTTTGCAGACTTTGTCGGTAATTCCTATCAACGAAGGTTAGCGATATAAGTTTGTAGCACTATTTAAGAGGTATAGATTCACACTTTCTGCAAAGCCAACCAATTTGATGAGGGCTTCGAAGGTCCTGCCTTATCGCTAGGCGCCATGCTGGGCAGAAGGTCTTCTCCAAGATCAAGGAGGCCTGAGTGGTGAACAGGGTATTTAAACAGGGTATCTATGGGGCTGAACGACTTTGATATGAAAGATCGAAAGTGTGAGGCAAGGTTAGGGTTCCCGATATGAATGCTTCACGTGCCGATCAGTCGGAATCGCGCAAGCGTGTTCGCAGTCGGCGGAATCATTTCGAGGGTCCAGTGGCATGTCCAAGAACTGCTTTTTCTGTTTATTGTCTTCAATACACACTTCATCATGGACTTGAGAACGGTGAACGAGCTGCTGGCTGGTAGCGTTGGCGGGGCTGCGCAAGTACTCGTCGGGCAACCTCTCGACACGATCAAGACGCGTGCTCAAGTTGCTCCTAGTACATCCATTCCTCGTCATTTATGTGGTTTAACGCGTGCTCAATCCGTTTCTTATTGGATTTAGAGGGGATGTTTGTAGGTACTCTTCGAGTGGTCTCATTGGCTCTTACAACCATATGTTTGATTGCAGAAAGGTCCCATGGATATTCTGATACAGACTGTCCGCAAGGAGGGCTTCTTCGCTCTTTATAAAGGTTCTGCCCATCCTATACTATGGACTGCGTCTCTGACACTATTTTTAAGGAATGGCCAGCCCTTTGATTGGCATTGCTGGTGTTAATTCATTACTCTTTGCCGCATACGGCACATCCAAACGAATCATATCTCCATTCCCTCAACTATCACTGAAAGAAATAGCTGCTGCTGGCGCTATGGCAGGTGCAGCTAACGCTATTCTTGCTAGTCCAGGTAGACTGCGATTTCGGTGTCATCGCCTCAGCACGGCTTTACTTATTCTCTACAGTGGAAATGTTCAAGGTCCGCATGCAGGGTCAGTATGGCTCCAAGGACGATAAACGTCTGCGTGCAGTTGTTCGCGAAATGTGGTCAAATTGGGGCTTTCGTAACGGCATTATGCGCGGTTATTGGGTATGTCCCGTTCAATTCTCATGAGTTGTTGTCAGTTAACATGTTCCCTCGTAGGTAACAGTAGCCCGAGAGATTCCCGCTTACGCTGGGTGTGTATCATAGCAATCTCTTATGTTCCACACCGACCGACTAAGGAAACATTTTGTAGATTTTATACAGGTAGGTTTAGTAATTTAAGCTGTTTGCCGTTGCTCAGAACACGTCTTTCCCGTTGTGAAGCGTTCGAATTCTCAAAACGCAAATTTGCTTCAAAGTATGGCCAACAACTACCTGTGTGGGCATTGCTTACAAGTGGGGCCACTGGTGGGGTACGTTCTTCGCCGCAACCTCCTCCCCATTTTGCCCGTTAACTAGCGTCTTCCCCTTTTTGAAGATCGCCTACTGGTTGGCTTGTTACCCGCTAGGTAATATCTTGAACCCTACTTTGTGTATTTGGGGAAATTCTCAATTCTTGCAGACGTCGTCAAGTCCCGCATTCAATTACGTCCTGAACCGCCCAAAGGCACACCTGTGCAATACATCGCTCGCGAAATCAAGACTATTCTGGTAGAGTCTGGAGTGTGAGTCTTGCGTCTTTTTGTGACTGTGAAGACCGTAAAGTTGATCGATCCTATAGAGCTGGTCTATTCAGGGGTCTTTCGCCATCTCGTAAGTAGTGTCCTACTATTCTGAATTGTACTAACTGATTAAAACCTGCATTCGATTTCCCCAGTTATCCGAAGGTAACTCACTCGTATCAATGCCGTGTCTCTATTGCCTGACTATTCCCTCTCAGTATACCTGCTGCTGCCAGCACGTTTGCCGCTTTCGAGATTACGAGAGGTTAGCGTAATTTCCCCCCCTCTGCAATTCTCTAGCATTGACTCAATGACACATGCAGAGTATCTACAGGAATTCACTGGAGTATAATGCATTGCGTTCTTGGCCACATATCTTGTTGAGGAAGAAAGACTTATCCGCCATTACGAGCGATGGACCTTTGTGGGAGAAGGCCGTTCACCACACTGTCGAGAGTGAGTAGTGAATATTCGCAGGAAGTTGCACCTAGTCCTGAGGAGAATGCACATATGCGTGCAAGACCTTTTGAACCAACTTCCGGTCAAATTAAGGATATTCGGCGCTGGCTTTATCATGATCTTTGTCTCAATCGTCAGAACTCAGCGTCCGGAAAGAGCTGCTCCGATAGAACTGGATACGCTCGAAATCGTCATGGCGTGCCTTCCAAGAGTATACCTGAGACAGGAAGTGTGCGCAGAGACGACACGTAGTCTCGGAATTGCCTGACGCTGGCAGAACAAATAGCTACTAGTACATGTACGACTTCAGTATTGACGGTGTGATCACAAGCACGATGCTCGGGCTCAAGAACACGGAGCAATAGGATCAACAAGTGGCCTCAACATCGTAAACAATCTTCGCTGCTCCCCTGCGGATCGAACACGGGTAAGAGGCATGTTCATTATTCAACATAAAAGTAACTTACTGTCTCTCTATGCCCTGTCGAAATCAGATATGTGTGAGAGCGCTGTAAGTGTATGTGACCCGTTGACCAGAGAAAGATGCTCACATCCTGAATCCAACTAATATGTGCCTTCATCTCAGTGAGACCGCACATGAGAACGACCTTGAAATCCTGGGTATAGTACACGCCGTTCGTTCCAAGTTGCTTGACTCTTGTAACGGCCGACGTATCTGCAGTGACTGTACACAAAGTCGAGAAAAGATCTATGAATGCATGCATCAGTACTACGACGTGAATGTCAGCGGAACATAATCGCACCAGGCTCCAAATCAGTCCAGTGAGGTTTGGGCTCGTTGCCCCTGTAGGACACGATGTTGACCGTTATGTTATTAAGGGATGAGGGTTCGACAGCCTCCAGGTTGAGTGCAATGCTACGCTCTTCGCTTTCCCGGATGCGAGATCCCTGCGTAAAGATAGAAAGTTAGTGTTTATTTTAGCGCACACCATTAAGGTCGGATAAACCTTCTGTAAGAATATCGAAAACGCGTTAGGCACTACGACTTTTCCGGACGGGCGGGTGTAGGCCTGAACACTACGATGACGGTGTTCGGGATTATTAGAATCGTAATGAGTATGATGGGGCAGGACCCCTGCTAATCCCCCCAAAGGTCTTATGCCAAGAGTGGTCAATTTCGGGCATGGGGGTTTGGGCCGTTTTGACCACTTTTCGGGCATCCGGCCTGTAGGGTTTCCAAATGTTGTCAGTTTTCGGGCCTGCCGCGCATAAGACATCCTAGGCGCTTAACGGGTGCTCTCCATTCCGCTGCCCATTTTCGGCGGTTGTGCCAATCAAAACCACTTTTCCTACATAGTTTTGGCGTTTCCAGGAGGATCCCCATCATTTTTTCCCTTCGATACCCAATCATAGCCCCACGACGTCACGAAGAGCATCAGAGACCCTCGAAATTCGGGCATCCCACCTCAAAGTTTACCGCAGAACCTTCACATTTCGGGCATCAATGGCACATAGGATCGGAGGTCAAAGTGTTGAAATTTCGGGCATCCGGCCTGAGAGACCCCTCAGCAAAGTCGCAAAATTCGGGCGTGCCAGCCTAAGACCTTGAGGGTGATTAACAGGGGTCCTGATGGGGCGAGCCATAAGCCATTTTCGTCACCCTAACGGTTACGAAGTGTTCGAGGAAAAAAGAAACAGCCCCTTCAGCTACGGCTTTGTTGCTAGTCGCCTATGATATTAGAATATGAAAATCGTAACCAAACTCCCGCAACGTACGTATAATTATCTGGTCGGCATATGTCTAATCCCTCCTCCTTCAGCAATTCCCGTAAGCTAGAGAATAGATACGGACTTGCGGCGAAACCGCCAACCAGGAATGCCGCCTAAGCCGAAGATCAGCATATCATGTCAAAGGTGCTTTGATGCCTTCTCACCCCCACTTTGCCTGAAGCGGACTCTAGCTGCTTCCGCACAGCATCGATGATACCTTCGACGGATGGGTTGAAGAGTTTCGCAATTGAAGCTCTATTAAACATTTCAAAGCCATTCGATTACCCAAATACTGCATGCGTCCTACGTACCCTTCGAGAGTAAGGTGACCGCTACGGATATCGAACTCTGGGTCCTTGTCTCGGTTCGAGCCGAATTTGATAGTTGACTTCTCGCTTGGATTTCTAAAGGTTAACTTGGTGGTTTTCTCAAATTGTTCCAGCATAGTGGCGATGTCCTCTTCATTTCCGTAACGAGAGTTGAGTAATTTCGCTAGCGATTAAGAATTGAGATGAGTGCGCTGGGGTTATCCAGAAAAAAAAAACACGTACCCTGCAGGAATTCGAGCGCCCGCACATTAATCCTCGTTGATCCCTGAAGGATACCTAAGTAACATCCAGTCGATGTAACAACTAAGCATGCAAAGATGTAAGCAACATACAGTCTGGGGAAGTTATTTCCTCGACAGAGATCGGTGCTGTCGTCGAGACCGTGTAGGTGGACAAGTCCACCGTTCCTCCGCCGGCGTCGATGATAATGATATTAGCACCATCCTTCAACATGATGCTGAGTAATGTACGTCAATTCTGCTAAAAAGAACTTGCCTTTATAACATCTGAAGCCAACCCGTTATCAAGGCAATAGTGAAAGCTGGCTTCACCCTCCGTCACGAAGTGCACTTGTCCATGGCCAGTGGCATTATCCGGGATCAGACCGGCAAGCACAGCGGCACGTCGCATTCCACTTTGTTGCAAACCTTCCCAACCATTGGGATGGCTTAGGACAAAATCGATGCTACCTTGTACGGAGTCCCAGAGACTCTGGCCGTTTGCATGCGTCTCGACGATGAAAGTTCGGGCACAAGTAAACAAGTATGACAAGAAATCGCTAAATATATCCAGGACGGTCCTGCCATGAGGCAAAGGATAAAGAGTGTCCGCAGACTCTACACCCATTGTACGGGGACGGAGGTGTAGCTTGAACCTATCAGTGAATATAGCATTACCATATGAGTTTGTTATTATGGACAGGTGGTCGTGAAGTTCGCACCATTGCACGAAGACCAAGTTCAAGTCCTCCGCCTCGAGCTTCATCAGCGGCGCAGCCGCCTCGGCGCCGGCTGCATGCACCTTACCGTCCTGTGTATAGTACAAAATAGACGGAATCTTGAAATCGCCATTTTCCTGTCCTGGGAAACTGAACGGAATGATTCATACATGATCGATCATATGTACACTATGTGCGTACCGAGTAACGGCTTGTACTTTGGGAATTACTCCAGGATCGAGGATGGCATAGCCGATCCCGGAGAACGTAGTCCCAACGTCGAAGGCAAAGACGAGCTTACGGAGAGGGCCTGCGAACGGTTTCGTGGGAGCCATGAGATTGAAGAGAGGGAGGAATTCAGGAGGGTTGTTTATGTCCCAAGTTTGAGTATGAGAGTCGGCTGAGGATTGGATAAACCGAGGAGATAGGGCTTGTCGTATATGTAGCTGTCCGTTGAAATGCTGCAAGCATCCAGAATGGTTGAAACCTATCGAGTACCCCAGGGTTTGTGCAACATGCGGGCTGAATGACAGCAACGATCGATAGAATTCAACTTAGCATAAGATGGTGCCAATTCTCTAGCCCAAACGGCAAGAGTCAGTCTAACCATTACTGCTGCATGAGGCGTCGTGAGAAAGACGCACTCGACAACGTTGATAGACAGCGGGTTCTTGTCCAAAAGCGCAATTAATGAGGCAGGCAAGAAGGTGAGCGACGAACGAGCCTTCCGATGGAAGACATAATTAAGAAGGATCCTTTGTAGAATCATACCCTTTCAGGTTTATATCAAGCAAGGAAACCGGCCCACAGCTCGAGACCGAGGATCACAATGCTTCGTCCGAGGAGGAGTTCACGAGCAGGGTTCCAAGACCCTTAACCCTCGTCTCCAGAACACTTTTCTGCTGAAGCAGCCAACCCAACCATCTTTTATGTTTTTACGAGCTCTGTGCAATTACTTCGTTGCCTCCGCAATGGGTCATGATGCTATGATCGTGGATGATACCCCGCAGACGATCTTGGAGCGAGATGTGCAAAAGGGGGACTCGAATGCCTTGAAGGAGGAACTGCGGTGTGCGCGTGAGGAAGTGCAACACTTGCAAACGAAAGTTCGGCAAGAGCAGTCGAGAGGAGTTCGTTACCGTACCCGAGCCGAGGAGCTGGAGTTCAACGTTGGCAAACGGGATGCCAGAATTCTGGACTTAGAGAAACAGCTTCAGGGATATAATCGCGTTATCGCCAAGGCGAGGGAAGTAGAGACGCGAGGGAAGCAGATGGAGACAGAATTGGATACCTTGCGAAAGCAGCTGAACGACAACAACGCACTTCTGAAAACCAGGACGTCGGAATTGCAGGACGCACAGACGTATCTTTCCAGCACCGATGACCTATCCCATGCCGATGTTCAACGAAAACTGAACACATTGAATTCCGAAATATCGCAAATCGCGCCAAGAATCGCCGACTGCCTTCAATTCACTGGTGGTCAGGGCGGTAACGACGAAATCGATCTTGCAGGTCGAAGAGCGACAGTGTTTCTTGGAACAGCGCTGGTGGAGTTGTTAAAGAGAGTAGACCACCAGGAGGATTCTCTCGCCGTCCAGATGGCCTTGCAAGCTTGTTTCGTCGATTATTGCGCCTGGCTGAGCCGCAGGAGTACTTGGGATCCAACGGCCATCGATGACGTCAACACAGTTCTGGAAAGCACTTATAGTCGCATTGTACAACACGGTAAGCGACAGGAAGGGCGTTTTAGGAGATATGTCACTGACAATTTATGCTGAACAGAAACCCAATCAGTCGCCGGACGGTGGCGCACTTTGGCACGACGTCACATTGGCAGTTCCTTGGGAGAACTTGAGGCTAAGTTCAGGGATGTGCTTTTGCATCGCATTGCCGATGTTTTCATCGTTTCGGGGTCCCCTGGGAGGCCTATGGAGATCCTGGAGACAGTGAAGGCGTTCTCGACACAAGTGACCGACATTGTTCGGTTGGCAGTGGACTTGCGAGTGGCAACCGGAGAAAACATCGTGTCCAGTGATTTCGAAGTCTTCGTGCCCAGCACAGGCAAACCATTCGAAACAACAATGATGAGGAATGCATACTCGGGAAAGCGTTACAACGCGCAGGAGGACGAAGCTCGCATGACACCTGTATTGTGTACCGTTCAGTTAGGACTCAGGCGATGTGAAAGGCAGCATGCACGTCATCGCGAGGATGCGGCTCAGGTATTCAAGGCGACGGTCGTTGTGAAGAGTGAAGTCGCACTGCATACTATCTGTGCAGAACTTCTGCAGCAGTGAATCGGAGGCAACGAAACGCTTTAGTGAGCCGGGGTTTACTTCAGTCTTGTGTTAGCCACACTAGATAGCCTGTTGCAGTTGTTTCGAGACTTGACTAGGCGAGTGCTCGTTGTAACGTCTGTAGACCTAGTAGTAAACAATCATCATTGCTTCAGCCACCGTAGAGGAAGACAGCCGTTTGATGAAACAAAATCAAGCGTACCAATCACGTGTAAACCACGTGACCGACGCGCCGCGATTAGTTCCGCTCTGTTCCGCTGCCCTTCTAGAAGTTCTACTTGCGAACATTCACTTTAGATGCCTATGTACTCACGATTTCGCGCAAATGTCTACCGCCATTGCAGACAGTTCGCATTCACCGGGCGTTATTTCTGATCCATCCTTCGATTCACTCAAGGATGTCTACGGTGAAATTTACTGTTTGTGCTGCTATCCGGCTTGCTGAAAGTTTGAACTAGATCGGGTGAAAGTACGATGGGAGTCTGGTGAATACCCACCGGACAGTTGTCCTCCTCTGGATATCCTCATTTTCTCCATCCTCCACATCATCCAAGGAGGCATACTCGCTACGCTAATAGAAGAACTAATATTGCTTCTATGCAGTGTAGAAGATACGCGACAGCGAACGATCGCGCACGCACAAGAATTGCTACACAAATATGAAGCAGTTTTTAGCAAATATGAGCGGCGAGACCTTTACGCAATAGTGACAGGAACCACCTTGCGCAGACTGTTTATCAATGCGCTCGATCGACTTGCTGCAATGGTGAGCCTTAATTTTACAGCTGCGCGCGATGCTCTACTAATGGACCGTAGGATATCCTGGAGCTTTTGCGTTCCTCCATCTCTGAAGGCACCAAAGGAAGAAAAGAAATCGCGGATACAATTGCGGGACGATTATCGCTCTACTTCCCGGATTATCTCGGTATCCAGGACCAACCGTCAATGACGCATCCACACGCTAGTGCGTTCTGGCACTACTTCCATGTCGACCGTTCATCTTCCGAGAAGCACGAAATATGTGAGACCGCTAAGACTACAATCGACGCTGTGGTTAATATGTCTCAACTCTTGGGAACCTCAGCCACGGAGGCAAGGTGCGCTCACTGCTGAGATATCTCCGTGTAATACAATTGAAGACAAACATCCTTGCAGGTTAACTTCAGAGCTGGATGCTCAGCCACATGATTTACCTTCACAGATATCCTTGACAGAGGCCATCGAACAGTTTGTACACGGGGTCCGCAGAGATATGGAAATGGTAGAACATATGTGGGATCGTTTAAATTCGGGTTGACAATGGACATTAGGACGTGGAGTAACTTGAAATTTCAACAGGGTCTGAATTGCAAATTTGGAATATTAATAAGGCGGAATGGCCGAGCGGTCTAAGGCGCTAGAATCAGGTTTATCAGAATCTAGTCAGAAATGGCGTGGGTTCGAATCCCACTTCCGTCATTTTCTTTTTTGTCAGATTCGCATTTTCTGTACTTACGAGCGAAATAACTTTTGTTCCAACTTATACGACGCAAGACTTCCCTACGGCCTCAACGAAAGCTTAACATATACGGGCTTGATTTCTTTGTCTGACGCATACTGCTGTCTGGCAGGCAAGTTTGGCTTTCAAGCTAATTTGCTGACATGGGCATTCACGGCCTTACGACATACCTGCATGAAAACAAGGCAGTCATAGCGAAATACCTTCACTTCACTCCGGCTACTTCTAACACTGTCACTCCTTTTGTTATCGATGGTTGGTCGTGAGTTTTCTTCGTTAAGCCGCTACCAACCTCGCTTATGCTATGACTACAGATTCATTTACGAGATTATAGGGTTGTCAGGCCTCCCATGGGTATATGGCGGTGAATACGGAGACCTTTCTCGCATCGTGGAAAGGACTGTACGTGCCTGGCTTCAAGTCGGTTTGCGTCTGTACTTCGTCTTCGATGGTAAGTGGTGAATTACTCACATGTTGTATGAAGAACTGCCTTCATATCATTTTACATAGGGCCTTACCCCTTGGTGAAGTTCCCAACTCTCACATCTCGTGCCACGAAGACTACTATCCAAGGATCGAAGCTCTTCTTCGTCACGTCACCAGCTGCACGTTCGAAACCTCGTTTCCTACGCGAGATCGAGATCATACCGCCGAGCGCATACACCGCATGTATTGAGACGTTAAAAGACATCGTCGCATCTCTAGGGGACAAGCCATCGTTGGAGATCCACTTCGCGGATGAAGAAGGCGATCCATATGCTGTCGAGCTTGCTGGTCGCTTAGGTGGCTATGTACTGGGAAAAGATTCCGATTTCGTGGTGTTAAACGTAGAGGGCTACAAAGGCTATATCCCACTGGACGAAATGGTGTGGACCAGTTTGTCTCAGGATAAAGACTTGCAGGACACTGCAGACGATGATGACGGATTTCAGACTGTCGTTAATACCAAGGCAAAGAAGAAGTCTATATCCAAGAGGGCCAAGTCGGGCAATGGGATTGTACCCCCACAGAATACCGATGATATCGAGCTCTCAGTTACGGTATATTCACCCGCAGTTGTTGCATCGCAGCTTCGCATACCCGTATCTCTGTTGCCTCTGTTGGGTGCGCTGGTCGGCAATGACTTCACCGGTTCCAAGGATCCCTCATCTACCACCGTGCAGGAGAGCAATCTTCAAAGGTTGTTCTTCGAACGCCAGCTGACGCTTTCTCAGCGAATAACTCGAGTGGCCAACACTCTCCATAATATCTTGGAGGCCGCATTGTCACCATCTGCGAGGGGAAAACAAAAACTTCAGGTCAATAGCGTCATGCAATTGATTGAGCGTGCCATCACCACGCTGCTGATACGCTCTTCAGACATGATGCCTACCAGTGAGCAGGAAAGGATCATGGATCGTATTGTTGAAGCAACGCTTCAGTATGCTATACCGCGATATGAGGGTGAGCTCCATGGTGCGGACGGCCTTTGGGCATCGCCTGTCTGTGCCTTGCACGAAGAAGAAGCATGCCCCCTCATCCGATATCTTTCACCGCCACCACTCCTTGATATATTTCCTATTTCGCATGAAGAAAGTCGGAAACAGAAACACCAGGAGGCTGTTCGAAATATCTATGTTTCGGCATACCGTGCTGGCCGATTGGACCCTCGCCTGCTGGATACTATGAACAGTGGGACGTTCTGGTATCGCCAGATGTTGGAGCACCCGGACACCGAAACAGTGAACGTAAGTATAGGACGTCCGATACAACAGATTTCTTATGCTCTTTTGGATGACGCACTTGGACTACCGGAGAAGCCAGAAGAGGAAGAAGAGGAAGAGGAAGATGACGACGAGGTGATTGACGTTGTAGAAGAATCGGACGAAGACTATCTCGCTCCTCTGCGTGGTGCTTTGCAAGAACTGGATACGCCTGCCGACTCTGATGACGAAATGGCAACAGAGCCTCCAACTTCCCTATCGTCACATGCAAAATCTTCCCGTCCTTCCAGACCAAAGGTTATTCAGGAGCATATCCGGCGAGGAGTGCGTCTGGCTGATGAGGAAGTATCGGTCCCAGCACTGTCGGAGGTGCTTGCATACCACGATCTAGATCACATAGATCACCTTCCGTTACAACTGGCTTCAGAGGACGATCGATTGACGTTCTTTCTACGAGTTCTGCAGTCGGATGCGCCTCCGGTTCGAGGTTTACATCCAGAAGATACTCTCGTCGTGTTAGCTCTTAGATGGGTGGTATCGCGCCTACATGCTCGTGCACAAGCGTCAGCTGGTAGCAAAGAACGAGTGAAGGAACGATGGACAAAGCCAGAAGCCCGAGCCTTCCTAGCTTCCTTCTCACCACCGGGGAGTTCTCCTGAGGACAGTGAGGACCTACCCATGGAAAATCGCAATATTCAGCTCGTTGCGCAGATCTCTGCGGCTTTCGCTGCAATCGAGCGACTCAGCCAATTGCTCCTGCTGTCTGAACGATTCCAGACTCCAGTCTTACGTTTCTCTGGGAAGTTGTTCCATTCATACTTGACTGGTTTCATACCCATACCTCCGAAGGCGGTCCCATCGGATCTTTGGGACGCCTCGGTTGAGGGCTTGGAACATGCTTTTGGGGAACCCATGGGGAAGAAGAAAAAGGGTGCAAAGGGTGCTCCCGTGAGCGGTCCCCCTCAACCCAGTAAGAAGCAACAGAGAGGTGCCGTTACCGGTGGTATGTTTGGTTTGCTCGGGGATATTGAGGCGTGAACTTGTTTTCGGGATCCAAGTTTCGCGACTGGTCTCTCGATGCTTTGTCGGGTTTACGTTCATTGTAGATTCTCTCGCGTTTTGAAGCCCCACCAATCATACCAAACTGTAAGTGTTTCTTCCGACACGAATCCCTTGCGTTGTTAGAAGAAGCCTTGCACAATCACGACTCATGAGTTTCATTTTTAGTTTCGTGTCCTGTAGCGAGTATATATTATTCATTTGTATGCACTACATTCTGTATTTTATAAGATGTAGCGATGGCTATTTACATAATTTTCGATGTTCTGTCGAAGTAGAGTTAGGTTGATCGAAATCAACCTTGAGTCATAGTCACCCTTTCCTTCCTGACCGTCATCTCCTCGTATCCTTCACAGCTCGTGTGCTGTGTGGTCTTGGGCCCAAAACTATAAAATCGACTTTCAATAGCTTCTCTCGGCATATCATCCAGGTGCCTTGTGCTCCGAGAGTGTCGGAAAACAGATTTATCTGGAAGCTTGAAAACTTTCTTCCTCAACTTCAAAGTCGCGCATCCTCCTATGTCGATCCTTTCATGCCTTTCGTCAACTTTGAAGGCGAGGCTTTTTGCTTCACAGACCGCCGCAAAGTCCTCAAGATTCTGTCGAGTTTCTCAACTCCGGGCTTCACTACCAACTCATCGGAGTACGCTTTTAGCGGCTTCGCGATCGTTCAGAACGTATGTTTCAGCATCTAACGCGTGGATAAATTGCTCAAACATGATTAAGATAGACATGCTAAGCAAATACGGCGTCCTCATTCCATCCTGATTGTCAACAAGCTACGGACGAAACCTGTGGTAGACGCTATCCAAGCTCTTCTCGAGTAAGTGTTAAATGCCTTGCTATGCAGCTTGAATATCTTTTCTGATGATGCCTACAGATATATTCGATCAAAGTATCCCGATGTTACAATATACCATGAAGACAGGCCAGATATCCCGGAGGGTGTGAAGATGTGGCGTCCAGGTACGACTTTATACAGGATGTTCATTATGACTGAATCCGACGCCTCGAATAGGGCCTGGCTCAGACCCTATCGACCTGGTTGTAACACTGGGTGGGGACGGTACAATACTACATGCATCTTCGTTGTTCAAAGTTGGCGCGGTGCCGCCAGTCCTCAGTTTCTCTATGGGCACTTTAGGGTTTCTCCTGCCGTTTCGTGAGTCTGAATGTATACCATTGTAACTGCTAGCTCACATCATTCCCATAGACATTGATGACTTCGCCAAGGCCATTGATAGCGCGTTCGAAGGCAAGGCCGTAGTACTACATCGCATGCGTTTGTCATGCAGTTTCCAAGACAGGGATGGGGAGAGCATTGGGAGCAAAAGCGAAGGTCGGTAATGTATGAAAAGTTCCCGCTTATGATCCGCTATAACGAGGCTTGGTTGAATGTCTCGACTTCTGCAGAATGGCAAGTGATGAATGAGGTCGCTCTACATCGTGGCTCAAGTCCACACTTGAATACCATCGACGTCTTTGTGGATGGACAACATTTGACAGAGGCGGTGGTACGTGGCTTCATAATCGTTAGAAGTATACTTCTCAATCACATCTCAGTCAGATGGCTTGATTGTCGCAACCCCGACAGGATCGACAGCATATTCCCTATCAGCGGGAGGCCCCATAGTCCACCCAGGATTAAGCGCAATTGTCCTGACGCCAATATGTCCACGAAGTTTATCTTTCCGACCATTAGTGTTCCCGTCATCGTCATCTATCACTCTCCGGGTACGTCCTATACATACTGTACTGAGCAGTGCCAAGCTGATTCTCTGTGGACGTGGCTTGATAGATTGGGGACCGTAGTCGCGCTTCGGCAGGGCTGTCGATGGATGGTCAAGTATCGCACGTCTTAAGTCCGGGAGAGTCTGTAACGGTTCAAGCTTCGCTATATCCGATACCTTGTATCAATCGGTCATCTATCGCGGATCCTGATGAAAGTCGACAAGGTGTTGGTCCTGGAAAGGAAGACGATTGGGTGCGAGATATCAACAATCTGTTGCAGTATAACGCCACGTTCCGAAGTAAAGCGTTGTTGCGACATAGTCGCACCTAGGCACAGTGTAGTTACTTATGTGAGTAAGCTGATTGTGTAACAGCGTTATGGTGACTGATACTTGTGCGAAGTCGTTTACAGCTTCTGTCATGTTCATGTACCCTAGCCGCATCTTTGGCAATACGAAACAACGATGGATAGCTCCTGTTTCTTTGTTTGTTTACCTCCGAAAAATCATCTACAATTATCGGCTCGGGATCCAACAGGAGTGTCTAGGTGGGTTTTTGAGTTCCTAATACTAGGCGTTTCGTCTTAACCCACACGCACATGTCCTCAGAGCTCTGCATGTAAACCAGTGAGGATCCAACAGGATTGTGTTGTGGGTCCGATCTGTGGCAACTCCTGGCTTCATCTCATACTTTCACCTGATATTCGTGACGGATTCATCTTCCCGAGACTTACGCTGCGTTTCCAAGTATGAAATGGTCAACGTTCCAGTCAAATCTAGAAATATTACAGTGTACGACTATGGTATTGAATAAGAATACGGCTCCAAAATCCTTCTTCCACCGATGGGTATGCTGATCCAGGCTTGTCGACGGGTATACTGAATCAGTTGTCTGATTCTGTCTGTTTACGTATCCACACATTCCGGACTCATATGCCTCTCTATCCAGCTCAATGCCCGCGTTCGTAAACCTGGAGAACTCTCCCTCGATGCTGAACATGGTGGAGTCCTTGATCTCGACCGTGGTAGAGCTCGTGAGGGAGATGAGGGAGATGAACGTTGTGAGAGATACTCTTGCTGCTCCTTGTTGTCGTCGGCATAGGGATACTCCGGTGGTGTGTCATCAGGACTGTGAACAACAACCTGTGGATGCACCATGATATCCACTACTTCATATTGCTGCAATCGAGCAATCAATGATTTCCATGCCATTGGGCCAATGCCAACGGGTCGTTTTTCTTGTTTGAATGCGACTTGGACGGAGAATGAGATATATTGAGGGTCAACTCCGTCTAGCTCGTCGGTGAAGACCTCTTTAGCATATGCAATGGCTTGCTATAGGTAGAACATGAATAGCTAGTCCCGTGCGAGCAGCATCTCACGAACCTCATATGTGGCGGCTGGAGTGACATACACCAGTTTATCGTTTAGACGGTATGTGATAAGGTCGGGGACACTGGACGACTGTGATGTAGTGGTCATGGTTTGGATGTGCGGTGGTGGTTTGAAGAAGTTGGGGCGACCCATTGTTGACACTATTGGCACACGGATGCAACATTATATATCATGCCATGGTCACCTTTTGTGGCGGTTCACAGGCGCCAAGAACCGCCTTCATGGCTGTCCTAACATTATGTTTGGTTTATCTAGATTCTACCGCCCGCGTACTTCGCGAAAGACTCGTGACAACGCTGGCAGTATTGCTAGGTGCTTCTTTATTGCTGTAGATTCTACGTACAGCATTCGGCGACCTGCTTCCTCTGCGATCGGGTCCAACTCTCCTTTAGACTACTTACCGGCAGATGTTGCGGACTATTTTCAGCATCCCACTTCAAGTTGGCTTGGTCACCATGGTTACATTGTGCGATTGGGTGCCGTTTCAACAGGTGAGTATATAGTCGATGTACGCTACTTGCTGCCATGACGTTCGTTATTGTTTAGGCCTCCGTCCACCACGGATGAACTCGAGTTATGCTAGTAACATCGCCTTCACAGTGGACCGGTACTGTCAAACCAGCTTTGGGTCCTGATACAAGGCTCTGAGCGAGCTTATTTTGTCAACTGGCGGATTTTTTGGCCAGAAATATATTCAGTGAAAAGGCATGCGGTGCCGTTCGACATGCGAAGGATTAAATACTAGCAGAGACGGGCTGCTCCGCTTTGTAGCGTTCTGCCTATATGCTCATTCTGCGACCTGACACATGTCATATTCATGTCGCCGGGCTGCAGCTGTCTTCGGTGTCCTAGAGACTTCTCTTCGGATCCGGTCATGTTTGCACAAGAGTTCCCTGTTTGTTTTGCATGGAATGCCATATAATACATGATAATGTGTTAGTTATGCTGATTAGACAGTCCACATTCGATACTGGTATGTCCAATGGTTCCTCCCTGCAAGATTCAGGCCCCGGCAGGGCAGGTTTGGGTCTCCGATCCTGATAAGGCAAGCGTTGAGCTTCCTGGGATGAGAACTGACTGATCCCACGTTGTATTGTGACTAAAAGCCGCAGGTTTCCTGCCTGCCTGCCTAGAGATGTGTTCTAACTCGTGTTTCACTCGTGTTTGAAGTCGTCGATAGTATTCATACCATCTTCTATACTGCGTGGATCGTTCATCGTTCCTTCATATCCGCTCTATCATTTCAGTTCATCGTCAACTAACTTCTTATACTATTTCATAGATATGGCCAAGACTCGGAAAGCCAACAATTCTGGCGGTGGAGGCATGCAGAAGAAAGAACAGAAACAGGCTAAGACTCCCAGCACTCCGGACGTACCAGAAGGGTCAGAAAACGCTGACTCCACGATCAACCCTGCGCCCGAATCTGCCTACGATGTTGTAGATGCTGCAGATCTTGCGGAAATCGGGGATGAAAACCCTCATACCAACGCCGATCCTCCCCATCGCCCATCCCAGACCGAGACCGAACATGCTATTCGCCCTCTTCCCTTGACACCGCCTCCGGATCTCGCACGTAACGTAGACGGTCAAGCTGCGGGTAGGACTGACCGCGTAGTGACTACAGTTCAGAAGAAATCGTCGACTGCGAAGGATCTACAAGCTGTCGATGAGCTTCTTGAGACGATGAAACGCACGTTCAGCGCAATGGGGGCTACATTTGATGTCTTGGGAAAACAGACGTTGAAGATTGCCGAGTTGGGACCGGCGATCGGTGCCTCCCAACAGGTATGTTGCTGTGTCGACTCAACTGAGGGGAAGACATTGACGATGTCCTCCGTTATTCGTTGGCGATGTAGATAAGTATTGCATCGAAGCAATTGGAAGATCATGTCAAACGCCAAGAACAAAGAATGGAAGATGTCCGGGACGAGCTGAAAGAGACGTTCTCAGACGCTGCACTGACTAAGAAGATGCAAGAAGCTATATCCAGCATAGCCAAAGATATTGTTCATCGTGAAATAGCGGAGAGGGTTCGCAAACAGGTATGATTTCTGCTAGACTTTTGCAATTTTTCGGGACCATGTTGATCCATTTGACTCCAACCAACTGTCGCTGTGTTTTCCGTGTTCGCAGCTTCAGGAACAAGTTCCACAGGAGAAGCGCGACCAAATCATAACCTACAAGAGGAAGATTTTGGAAGTCCAGACTAGCCTCCATAACTCGTACGTCTTCGTGAAATCTTCTGCCTGCAAGCTCCGAAATCCATATGACTTGTGCATACTTATACAGCGAAGCTCGGAGACACAATGCACTTATCAAGTCAAACTCTTTGAATGAGCCATTGAAGGCTCTGTTGAGGCCTTTCGGTACTCCTTCGACTTCGCCCACAACTGGACCGCAAACCGCAACTCCAAGTTCCGGCGCCGCCTCAGCCGCCTCAAGTGTCTCCCCGACGTCTGCCAAACAGCCCACGACCACGTCACCCACAGACACTAAGGCTACCAGGGCGATCAAGAAAAATCTGACCATCGCTGAGAAAGCAGGACGTGACAAGGCTGAAAATACAGCAGTGGCTGCGTCCTCAGTCAGCACAGGCGCTGGAGTCGCGAAGCCTAATCGGCCGACAGTCGTCACGGATTTGGTACCGCCAACCCCTTCACCACTGTTCCCGAGAGACTTGACAGGACTGATGAGGCTTGGGCCTCACGAGACACTCACGTTGATGCAGGAGTACGGACTTGCACCCGTCCGTCATGCTGCAACGCCTGTGGCTCAGGAAGGCAAAGCTTCTGATGTCAATTTGGAGCCTGAGAATCAGCTGTCTAGGGAGGATAACATCAATCGTTTCTTGAATCATATTGGGGTGAGTGCGAATAATCCTTGTATGTGCCAGGGCGTGTTGAAGTCTTTGTCTCATAGGTCGGTTTCCAAGTCGTTGCTTCTCCAACTGTTGGGAAAACACCGTCGCCATCTTTTGTGACGGTGATGTCTAATTGACTCTTGTGTATTATCATCATCATAGAGTTTCTTCGTCTTACGGTTCTTGTACTCACACCAAATACGTTTTCCCATCCATGGGTGTAGTATCTGTATTTTAGTGTATCTGTATCATTTCTTGGCGTATGCACGAAGCATCGACATCCTCTTGATAGAACTTCTTGGCCTTGTAATTATATTCTCGTTGAACTTCATCTGCCACGAATACCGTACATGAAGTTGGTTGATATTTTAATAACCTAGTTTGGTAGGTGAATTAGCAAATTAAGAACTGGCCATCCATTGCTGCTCGGACGGAAGGTGTGTATTATACAGGGGAACGACTGTCTTCGCCTATAGAGGCTGAAGGTGAGCCCAGGCGTGTATATAATGACGCATTATTCCTTAGTACATATATCTCGATGAACTTTTGTCGTTCCTCTATCGATGTATTCTCTCCCGAACGCGTTTCCAAGCACATTTCAATAGGCTGCTTCTGCTATGTTGGCTTCTCTAGGTCATGTATCCTTATGCTCCTTGCTCAGCTGTACACGTCAGTGATCGATCCAAAATATTTGGACAGCGGTTCGCCTCGCCGGACTCGTTCGAGGGGAGTGAAAATACGACTTACAAGGTCGTTGAGAACGATCCTTTGTTGATCTAATTCAAGATCGAACATGTACGTTTACATCGCACCTTGCATTCACCGCTCAACCATCCTAGAGACCGTGCTCAGATAAGTAGTTGAATAAACTTGGACATTGATTTAATCACCGCGATAGATGGACACCGCCAATTCCGACGTACCTCGGGTGAAGTACCACAAGAACCACTCGCACATCTGTCCTGAAGTGACTGGAAATCTAGACAGCGAAGGCGTACAGGCTCTCAAGCCTGATGCCCGAGATGAATATCATGAGGACGCTAGGAAGTAATACAACAGCGAAGACAAGGCCTCAAGGAAAGCGTTTCACATACAGAGAATTGTCTTGGTATGTTGTGAGCTATGACTTGTACATGAGGCGCTTGTGAGTGAACAACCGGTGGAGGACAGGAATTGTGCATCGTTCATCCGTGGGCAGTCGGCGGAGAATGTCTTGGAAGTGCTTAAATACGGAATACAAGTATTCGAGCGAGCCGAGATGACCATCTTGAAACTGACATTGAAATGCAAAGAAATTATCCGCGGTCATCGGTGGTCCAATGCTCCAAGCAGCGCGCGAACAATAGGACCAATGCTTGTGGTTTCACAGATAAGCCAGTTTTAAGCCAACCCGTCAAGCTGGAATGAAATCGAACTCTCTCAGTTAGCCTCCGTAGCTGAGGGTTGGGTACGTCGGTAGATTGAGGCATTTCATTTGATCAAACTAGAGTCCGATAGTGAAATGTCAAAGTGTCGATCCGATGTTGAAGGAGGCATCGAGGGAGAAGCCGACCTGGTAGACATGTCAGTCACATCGATCACAGCAAAACCCAAGGATCCAAGTACCATGCTTTGATCGCATAGATTTTGCTGAGCCTAGTATTTGAAGGCGTCAGAACGCGATGCTTCGTGACATCTTCGAAGGGCGGCAAGACAGAGCCAAAGGTCTTCTGATTTGCGCCGTTACAAGGACGTAGAACGCCGATCCGATCGACTCAGAGTGTATACCGTATAGCCTACATAGACATCGTTCCCACTGAATGATCTGGAAGCGGTGCAGAAGAAGCTTGGGGACCTGAAGACTGTGGGTTGATGCACAGAATTAATCGACGTACTTATTTTCTCAGGTAGGCAATGCACTAAAGCGCTCTTATGAGACTTCCTGGAGCTCTTTGCAATAGGATCACAGTCTGAGTTTAAGCACAACTTAGAAGGTCGGGTGAAGGTCATCAAGCCAGTAAATATCAAACATTGTGGCGTCTAATCAAGGTGTATATTTCCCCACGTGGCGAAGTCCAAGGGGCTGCTGTCACTGCGGTATTGAAGAAACTGCCAACCATCAGCATCATGTGTACACTGTACAGATTTAGGATCCTTTGCTACACTATTGTCGCGAAGGTACTTCACAGGACTTGATTTGAAGTATGTTTTTTGTTTGATTTGCTCATCAATCATGGTCAAATTCAATCTTCTTCGTATAAGTATGGCTGTCAGACTCCTATCCACATTGAAGTCTTTCTGAGCGCTGTTGAAGTGGAAAGCTTTCGAGTGGTGTACTTGAAGCCTCTCCACTTCAATTGCGCTCAGGCGTCGAATTCTCGTGGTTTTTGAATCTTCTCCTCTCGTCAGCCTTGAGGACAAAGAATGGAGAGGAGCCAGCCGTGACATCATTGTACGCTGCCAACTTACTGCCAAGCTATCTACAGTACCCTCTTACCCACATACCTGAGCCATAGCTTCTGACCTCCTTACCCTCGTCCTCACAGGTTTCTTCCTCGCGATGTCTTCGGAGAAGGCGTCTCTTCCCATGATGGCAGTCGCCAATCTTAACCGTGATGCGGATTCACGAATATTCAACTGGAAGCAATTCCTGAAATTCTTCCTTACTTTGGCGATAGTGTATATTTGGGGGTCCATATACCCCCTCAGCAGCCTCATTGGTATCAGGAGAGATGTCACACCGCCGCTGGGTATCCCAAAGAAGATACAGAAACATTGGGGTCAATATGCACCGTGGTTCCCAGTCGAGAAGTACAAGCGGCCTCCGAAAGGATGCGAAATCACTCAAGTGAACATTGTATGTCTTCACTGTACTCTCACTTGGTTTTGGTCTGACGCACATTTTGTGTAGCTTCAAAGACATGGCGCACGATACCCAAATTCATACGACTCTTATGACGAGTCGATCAAGCGTCTCATGGAAGCGGACAAGTTCGTCGATAGTAAACTGGATTTCCTCAGTGAGTACGAATACGACCTCGAGGAAGAAGAGCTGCTGCCGTTTGGTGCCTCGCAGTGCGTTATCTCGGCATTCAGTGTTCTAACATATCTCTTACATAGTCCTCATTGTTGTAGGTCCTTCGGATCCGGAGAGACAGTATTCCGACGATACTCCCATCTCGTCAATGCAAAGAATATACCCTTTGTGAGATCCTCGGGAAAGTCGCGCGCTATTCATAGCGCCACCAATTGGACTGTTGGTACGCCACTTAAATGCCTGCGCTTTACCACGCCATCTGAACACAGACATGACCCTGGTATAGGTTTTGCAGCGGCCTCACATCATCGATACAACCCCATCCTTTCCGTCGTCGTTCCCGAAGAACAAAACAATACCCTGAACAATGACTGTCCGAATGCCGGAGACGGCACGAAGCAAAAACGAGCATGGCTCAAAGTCTTCGCACCTCCCATCGCCAAACGTCTGGAAAAGGCTGCTCCAGGGGCGAAGGTCTCGAACGACGACGTCTTCAACTTGATGGCGATGTGTTCGTTTGAGACTTTGGCGAAGGAAAGGGGGAGTGAGTTCTGTCAATTGTTTAAGGATCGCGAGTTTAAGATGTTTGGGTATCATGGGGATGTTGAGAAGTTTTACAAGACTGGGTGAGTAACATCTGTGCCCAATATGCGCTGAAATCTTCACTTTTCGTGACTATATACTGATTAATTTGCCCTACAATCAGATATGGCGAGCCTCTCGGCCCTGTTCAAGGTGTTGGTTATGTCAACGAACTCCTCGCTCGACTCACGGGTCGACCTGTGCAAGATCACACTCAATATAACTCATCACTCCCCTTTCCTCTCGGACGATCGCTCTATGTTGATTTCACTCATGAAAATCTCATGGTAGCCGTATACAGTGCTATGGGATTATTCAACATCAGTGATAACCCGTTGAGCACCAAGAAGATGGAGAAGGAGAGCAACCGAGTATGGATCGCGAGTAAGATGGTGCCGTTTTCGAGTAGGATGGTGGTGGAGAGGTTGACTTGTAGTGGTAGGAAGAAGATGCATGGGCCAAAGCTGGTGGATTTTGACGACGAGGATTGGGAGGACGAGCACGAGCACGAGCACGAGGAGAGTGAAGGAGGTGGAAGACAAGCGGGAGAGCATGTCCGGGTACTCGTGAACGACGCTGTTCAACCGCTCGATTTCTGCCATGCGGGGAAGGGTGGAATTTGCAGTCTTGATGCCTTCGTCGAGAGTCAGGACTATGCGCGAAGAAGTGGCGATGGTGATTTCGAGAAGTGCTACAATTGATTGATTGGTTTCTTTGTTCCTTTAGTAGTTGGGTACGTCTTTCATTTTTGTCGAGTGCTCTGGGGATTGTCTGACATTTCTCAAGTCGGTTGCACTGGTTTTTTATTATTTTTTTAGGGTCGCGCTTTAGGATTTCCGTATCGTGTACGTGGAACGACACGATTAATTTATGGTTGTTGCCCTTTCGCTCGATTCCTCCGTCACCTCTCTCTGGTGTCAATTTGCATATTCCAATGTCCTTTCTTCGCTGAAGTCTGTCATGCTCTGTCTGGTATTCACGCTTGCCCCTAGGATTGTCTCAAACGCGAATAGGTGTTTGAAACTATTTGGTTTATTTGTGCTGCGCATCCTAATATATAAAATACTTCGTTGCAAATATGGAATGGCATATTTGAGCTTTACTGAGAGATCAGCGCACAAGCCTCATAGGATCGGCAGACCAATGTGTTTCAAGGGTGCATATGTTCGAGCATAAGTATATACATAATACGAGCGCTGAAATCAGTGAACCTTCTGAGATCGGGATCGATGATATCATAACGTGAGGATCAGCGTATAAACGTTTCATCCTCTTCTCGAATATCCTCGACAGCTGGATGTTTTTGGATCACACCCAGTGGCCTATGACAAAGACTGTGATGCTGCGTGTAACATAAATGCGAGCAAGTTGCGAGATTGAGCAGACAATTTAAACTTCGACCGTTGTCTCCTTGACTGGACACTACTACACACGTCTAAACCGAAACATTGACCTTCCAGATGACGAAATTTGTAGTGACAGGTGCTACCGGAGCTCTTGGCTCACGCATATTCAAGAATCTCATACGTCTCGTACCTGGTATGTCTGCGACTCCTATAAACGGTTTCCGTTGTCCTGAATTCTCTTCGGATAGCTAGCGACATCATTATGTCACTATACAATCCATCGGGCGCGACGGAAGATATCAAAAGCTCCGGGGTTGAAGTCCGCCGAGGTGACTTTGGCAATCCATCCACACTCGATAGTGCGTTCGCAGGCACAGACAAGCTGCTCATTGTTTCATATCCTTCCATCGCACATGAACTCCGAGTGAAGAACCACATTGCTGCGATTGATGCCGCCAAACGTGTCAGAGTCAAGCACATTTATTATACTTCGCTCGCTTTCGCAAGTGACAGTGTTGCTACAGTCATGCAGGCGCACATTGACACGGAGGCGTATTTAAAGCAAAGCGGCTTGACGTATACCATCATCAGAGAAGGAATCTACAGTGAAAGCTGGCCATTGTACTTCGGGTACTTTGACCCAAGCGAGGGAAAGGACGAAGTTCTCATTCCCTATAGCGATGGCAAGATTGCCTGGGTATGTCGTGACGACCTTGGCGAAGGTACGGCGAAGATCCTCGCTGCGGTGAGTCTCCCGCTGATGTATCCTTACTCGCTAGAATGATGACATCACTCACTACCTAGGAGTCGGGCTATGAGAACACAACTGTCCTACTCTCCGGTGACAAACCCATCACCCTTTTAGAGTTCGCTCAAATCGCATCTCGGATCCTGAACCGCGACATCAAACTCAGGGTGGTCTCTGAGGATGAGTACTTCAAAAACAACCTGGGCAAGCAATCCGAGGAGCTTCTGCGTGCGTGGGCGACAACGTATAAAGCCCTTGCGAGAGGTGAACTGGAGAAAGTTGATCCGTTGCTGAAGAATTTACTTGGGAGAGAGCTAAGGCCAGTCGAAGTGACTCTGAAGGAGATGTTGGATGCCCAGGTGGGTGACGGTGGAAAGGAAGCAACAGCAAGATATGCCAAGTAAGAATGTTGCCTGTTAGATCTAATGTCATCTGGTTTTATTGCATGAGTCTTCCGACCTATATGGGGCCGAAAACCTGAATGTTGGAAAGTGAATTGGAGGATACAACCTATCGAGCACTATATAAATATCAACATAATCATTAGCATTGCAAGGTCGTAACAAGTCGTGAAAATCGTGAGAATACAATAGAGACACAAGGAAAAGGAACCAGAGCAATAATGAATGCTACCTTCCAATCACTTGGGAGGACCGTGTGGAACTCCTACGTGGGGGCATGACAGCAGGTTCGTGGGCCGGAGATGAGATAGGATTCACTAGTGCCGAAGTTCGTCGATCTGACCGACCACGGTGCCTCTGGTGGTCAGGAACGTAACTGTGTCGCTTGAGGTTGTTTGATGAGCGACGAAGGTTTGATACGGGAGGGCGATCCGACAATTGCGTAGAAGGTTGATCACTAGCCGGATGAGAAAGAGGTCGAGACAACCACATATGGGCGGGATCTGGCACAGAAGGCCGCGTCGGACGTTGGGAGGATGAAAGGGCGATGGATGGTCTAGAGCTTGAGAGATTGCCACTAGCCATAAGATTTGGCGAGAACTGAGTCGGCGAAGTTGTATAACGGGCGAAAGGGGTTACAGAACCTGTAGGTGGTGAGGCCAGTGACTGCGATGGCGACGGTGCCAGCGGTGTAGGCATAACAAGTCTATCAAGTCGCAGCTTCCTTGCATTAGCTGCTTGCTTTCGCTCAGGTTCGTCCGGATATCTAGAGTACATCTCGGCGTCCGGTATGCGAGGCTGATATTGAGCGGAATCGCGGTGATGAGACGAACGAGCAGGCTTCAATGGATTATTTGACTGCTGAGCATTACTACTGCGGCGTTCGACTTCATCTTCCTCAAGCAATTGGCCCAATTGTCCAGTATTCTCCGCAATGATTGCTTCCTGACTTCTTATTGCATGCGACTGTGGTCTACTTGGCACCAAGCTCGGTGCTTGAGCCGTCACAACACCATTCGCAACAACCCTCCGATCGCCTCCAAGATGGACACGAGAATGGTGCGACTGTGACGAAGGCAAAGTTAACACTGAAGATAGTGCTTCGCCAGAATGCGATGCATCCGAACGGTAGGGAAAGACGCGAGCGAGGAAAGAGTCCGGATGTGATGATTCCGTGGGTGGAGACGACGCAAGAGAGGTAGAGGAAACGGTTTGTGATAGAGCGTGTGGAACAGGCATGCTGTGATGGGTGTTCGAGGGAAGACGACTTGGAGATGAATGGGATGAAATATAGGCTGAAGCAGGAGTAGAGGTCGTTGGGACATAATGAGGGTCAGGCTGAGCGTCTGGAGGAGAGGCTTGCACCTTCCTGTGCTGTGAGGGAAATCCTCGACTTGCTCGATAAGAACGAATGGCGGATGGTGGAGGCGGGTCTTCGAAATCAAAAGCATAGTCATAATCACCAAGACGGGTAGGTTTATGATACGGAGACCTGTCTTTCTTCGAAGGAACTCGTTGATCAGCTAAGGGCAAGGGTTCAAATTCGGGCTCGAGATCGGCATGGGACTGGGATAACCGGTTGTAGACATTTCTCCACCACGATGTCCGTTGGGAGCGGCGACGGTTTTGTTTTGGTACACCGTCCGCGTCATTCGTACTCAGCAGATCATACGCGGGACCGTGGGTAGAGCGTTCTACGTGAAAGGATGTCATCAGTTTGACACGAAATTTGATAGAGAACGATACGCACCTCGGCGACTATACTCATACCCCCTCTTAGCCAACTCCTTCTCGATTTGCTCCTCAAGCCCGCCACTCCTTTCCTTCCTCCCGGCATAACCCATACTGTATGCATACCTGTCACCGAGTCCAAGCCATTGTCTCTCCTCGCCTACATGAACCACTTTGTCAACATCCACCGAAACAGCCAAATCCTTGTTTCGTTCCCTTTTGCTTCCCGTCTCGCCCTTTTCTTCTCTATCTCTGCTTCTACTTTTCTCACCCTTTTCCTTTTCATGCTTCTGAGGGAGCTTACCCTCAATTGCGAACCGTGTTCTCCCAAATACATCTTCCAAAGCCGCCTCACGCCTTGCTTGGGTATCGGTCTCTTTCCCTCGCGCTCGGCGTGCCAAGTAGATCGTACCTACCCAAAGTTCTCGGAGTGTTTCCTTGAAGTTCATGGCATGCATGAGAGAACGCCATCGGGAAGTTCGGTCTGGCGGGGTTCGGTACGGTTTGTAGGTGAAGGCTCGGATGTGGAGGAACGCAAAGATCCTACGAGAAGTATAAAAGTGGTCAATAATGACCAAAATGATGGGAACAGGTTTCGTACGTCATTTCGAGTGTTTCAAGGATGGCGCCGAGTCCAATATTGATATTGTCTGCGGTCATATACGTGGTCTGTCCAGACATGTTTAACCTTCAAACTTTTACGATATTCTACTATAAAAGACGCACATCTTTGACTACGCCCAACATCGTAAGGAAAGACAGCCCGGTTGCCTGCCAGAATGTCAAGAAGACTGCAATGTGTATCACATCATCAGTACAGAATGTTTTCGGAACAAGGATGTCAGTGGATGCAACTAAACACATACCAACAGCTTTGATAGCAAACAGTTTGAGTATCGGTTTCTGCGGTTTCAGATACCCCGATACGGGAACGTAGAGTTGTACCAAGCAATACATTGCAATCGTAACAGAGATGGAGACAATGACCGTAATCTGGAAGAGCAACCAATGTTAGGAGATAAGCAGTTACCACCATCCACGATGAAAAGACAGAGGATAGACTAACATATATATGGCCCCATCCGGGGCTCCAAGAATCTTCACAATATAGGCCAGAGTAATCCAAGATCACCGCGGCTAAGGTCGTCCTATAACATGGCTGAGCAGTTTGTTCTAGGGGGTGTGCAAGAGGTCACATACGTCGGACGGATAACACAGTATTGCAAGACACCCCATTTCATAAGCTGAAGGAAATAAAGGCCGTCCTAATCCATACACACCATCAGCTCTGTGCGACATGGAAGGAGAGAGTGGAACGGGTATCTCACTTGAGGTTTCCATCGGACGAAACCGAGAGGAAGCACCCATTTCCTAGGTTTCTGTCCTTTCCTGCGAGCTTCTCTGTCGTTCTCTCGCGAGAGACCTTCCTGTGTGTGGATGAAATATGAGTAAATGCGCGTTATCGGTTGAAAGGGAACCTCAGGGAAATCAGCTTCGTCGAGGGGCGATGCACTGAGGGAAATATAAAAGGCGTTATGAGCTCACCTTCCGAAAAATCTCTTTCTGTTCAGCAGGATCCGGAGATAAGTAGGTGAGCAGGAGATAGAAAAATGATGTCAGCACGGTGGACTCGTAACAATCTCTGAGAAGGAGAAGAGGTGTTGAGTGGTTCTAGAATGCCAGGGTTCACAGTTAAAATGCATTCGAGATGAATATTACAGTGTCGCGTACCCAGAACAAGTAAGAAGCGAAACTGATCATTGCATATATGGGTACCATGAACAAGATTCGGACGATATCTGAGGAAAAAAAAACGTAAATGTTCACTTGGAACAGGTTTAGAAGAAGCACCATGACTTTACTTACATCGCTGCTCGCGTTTCTAAGGTGGGTATACTCAAGAGTAAACGAGAGCTATGGGTGCAAGATTATAGAGCAACATACATTGGTGTACCATTGCAGATGTTTATTGATTAACCAGAACGAGGCTACCGTGGCTATGGTAGTAAAGCAACCTGTGATGATCCATCCTACCTAAACCACCGGAGACATTGATATGATCGGTACTGTTCTTGCTAATCTATGAGGGATTATGTATCGAACATACATGATGTGCTACGAATAATCAAAGGTTACTGCTTGATAGAAACCACGTAGCGTGAGGTTAGGACGGACCTTGGAAAACGAGATTCCCGTGTTGGATGAGCGGAGGGCCTTCTTGTGGAGCCTTCTCTGCATGACAAGTTCCGTTTACAATGTTGGCCATAGGGCAGTGTATGACGTATATCAAACAGGAAGTACTAGTATAACCAAGCTAGGAATGACAGTGAATACGTTCGTAATAGGTCGTCAGAGGTCGTCAGAGTGAAGGAAGAGCATTCAAAGCAATGAAGTATATGGACAGATAGAGCCAAGCCTAGGCGTACTGCAAACGAGGGAGGAAGGTATCGCAGGGTATATAATACAGCAAAGATACACTTGCTGCACTTGCAGAGGACCCAAGGCCAGGGCAGAGCAAGAGTTAAGCTTCTACAGCAGTTGAAGCTTTGAAGGCAAGCCTGTCACTCGAGTCTCGGTCTGGATAAATCGATAACCCCTTATCAACATATTATCTAATTATTTTTGCACGTGACACACGTGATGTCGCGTCGTGTAAATAGAGATAAATATTGCAGTCGCGTTCGAAATGTCGTTGGAAATCGTCTGTTCTCCTGTTACTTGCTTGTTCGATTGACTTTGACTTTGCTGCCGGACATACCTCATGCTCCTAGACACTGTTTGCGATGACGAAGTCGGAAGTGTTTCGAAACTCTAAGCGGACACGGTCACAACTCACTTTGCCAGACTTCAGCTTCGATCTTGGCCGCTCTCCTCTTAAAGATGCTCGAGTTGCTCTGCGGCATAACGTCGTTTCTGCATCTGTTACGGAGGATGTGATACCAATGGCCGATGGTGAAGATGGGAGACGGCTATCTTTGTCGAGGACACCACCGAAGCGACCTGGGTCACCGTTGAAGGATACCGTCGCGCAGTGCGAAAGAGAGCTGAAACGGATGAAGTGGGATTCTCCTCAGGACCGGAGTGTGGACTCGTCACAAGTATTGGAACGACATAGCGTCGATCCATCTTTGCGGCCTTCGACGTCACGTAAACCTGCCTCCATGTCCTCGATAGCTTCGCCCAAAGCGGGATCCAACTCAACACCTACTAGCGTCAGGCGTGCTCAATCCGTGCCACCGCAGAGCTCTACTCCAAAGCCTTTGATTCCATATATTGACCTTAGACGAATGTCGCCCTCGCCATGGAGGTCTCCTGCGAAGAAGAAACTCAGGATCGCTTCTGTACCCCCGATGGATTCTATACCTGATTCTACCGAAGCCACTGGAGGCCCTTCTCCTATTCACGACCTACGTTTGATGACAAAACCTTCATCTACAGAGCATCCGGTTGAGGTAGCGATCGCAGTCGAAATGGATGCGGACATGTCTCTTTCTAATGAGACAACGCTAACTGGGACACCAGTGTTAGAAGACAAGATTTTGTCCAAATCGCCTAAATCTCTTCGCATTGATGCACCCCAACGGAAGCCTGCATCTACGAATGAAGACGATCCGATGGGCTCGTCGCCATTATCCTCCCCACCGTCCTCCTCGACCCCTCCAGAACACGATACCGATCCGAAATGTGCCATGCAGATAATTCCTCCACCGTCCACAGACACACCTGCGCGTCCCCCGCCTCCTGCTTTACCACGTTCACCAACAGAATCAATCACGCGGTCGCAACCATCTCTATTACAACAAGGATCTAGTAATTCTGAGCGAATAGTGGAGTCCCTCAGGAATTCGGTAGAGACACTGACTGCTGGTATTCGCTCGGAGTCAAGGCCGAAGATTTCTACTTCTTCAATTGCGTCTTCGTCTTCGTCCAGTCGTCTACCAAGGCCTAGCGCTGCACCTCCCCCGGCACCCCTTCCCGTAGCGTCTTCGTCAAAAGCGAAGTTCGAATCACCTCAGGACGGTAATCCCACGCCTGAAGAAGCGAAGGCATCATCAAGGTCTGAACCTTCGAAAGCGCAACCGAAAAAGCAATCCCGTATCAGAGCTATGAAGCCTAAAGCCGTTGCCACTGGAACTACTTCAATTCCGTTAGGTGGACGTATGACGCGGTCAGCATCGCTGAGACAGCAGGAGAATAAGAAGAAAGAGGAAACAGCCACTCCTATTGCAGATACATCTAAGACGCCAGTAAGACCAGCGTCGAGGGCTAGTACGAGTGTGTCTTGCTTTTCGGCTTATTTCGTTCATATGCTAAGGTCTATTAAAATTGGTCCATAGATCTTTCACGTCCGACTTCACGAGCAGGGCCTTCCTCTGCTGGAGACATGCTCGTACCTCTCAAAGACGAACCTCCCGCTTCTGCAAATACTCCAGGGAGGACCCTAGGTCGAAAGCGCTCCAAATCCTTTGCCTATGCTCAACCGACGTCGAGCTCAGCAGCGAAGTCCAACCCCAATTCTCCTGTCAAACCCCGGAATGTCACCGGTACCCTCGCCGGTGCAAGGTTGCCTACACTTAATCGTGACCGCTTTTCAGTTCCTCCTCCCGCATCCTCACTGTCGAATCTGTCAATGGCTTTAGAGAAGTTGAACGCACCGCCACCCTCGAGGCCGAATACGAGTATGGGATTCAACAGAGCGATGAGTGCGGCACCTGGTATGATGAACGACGGGGACGAATGTTCCGAAGACGGGTTGAGAGGAAAGCGAAGATCGACTATCGGAAATGCAAAGGGAAAGGCGAAGGATGACAGTCACCTCTCATCTTCCACGTCGACTACAAATTCCAGTTCCTGGTCTTCCCTGAGTGGAAAACCAGCATCCTCCATTGCAGCCCTAGGCTCAAATCCAAGACAGAAAACACCTGCCCCATTGGGACGATCAGCTACGGTCGGGTCGTTTGGCGCACCTGGAACAGCATCCGCAGCACCCCAGCGACATTCAGAGCTCATGCTACCACCTCCTGTACCTAAGGCGGCATCTTCGAAGCCTCCTTCCGAGGTAGGCCAATCTGCGAAGAGAATCAATCTATCGTCAGGTATCATCGCAGGGAGGCCGAAAGGCAAGATCGCATTTGGTTCAAGCAGCCGCCAAAGTCATGCATCATCTTCAGTCGCTGGTTCAAGTACTAGTGCTGGTACTGGCCCGAGTTCCAGTGCAGGGACAGGTGTGATGCCAAAACCGCGAATATTTGGTGTAGGTTCATTTGCTAGCGGTCTTGGCAAACGGATAGGAAATCGTGTCGTACATAGGGCAAGTAAGCCCAGCCCTCTGCCTATGGTTGAAGGAAGTCCTGTTAAGGGTGGGTCTCGCGCGATAGACGCTATGGATGAAGATGCAGAAGAACAAGAACAAGGCCGAAGTGTCGGTATGTTTGATTTCGGTGAACCAGAGGGGAGTAGGATGGAAGTAGATGAAGCAGTCTCTTTGGAGGATCTTCGAGCGAATGGGACACGTACTCCAACGAATGACCTAGAAACCTCCGATTCAATGCCTTTCCCTGATGGTTCCGAATCCGAGAAAGTCGATAAGGAGAAAGGCAAAGAAAAAGCGCCTAGCTCATGGAGGCATAACGCCTCTCGTCGGGCATCCTTGGCTTCTCAGCTCCTTTCTCAATCCCTCTCTTCCCTTCCACAGACACCTCCACGGTCTGCTGCTTCGGGTGGCAAGGGGAAGGGTCGTGCCGCGGGTAGCTTCCCTCCATCGTCTTCTCAAGTCGCTGGAATGAAGACCGCTCCTGGCGTTCTGGGTCGAACCTCAGATGTTGGTGCGCATGTTTCTGCCCACGGCAAGGCAGGTGTTGGTGCAGCCGTTGAGGGTACATCTGGAGGTCTAGCTGCTCCCAATGGTGCTACTGTGGGTTCGTTGAAGGTGCTGAGAGATTGTACTATATTTGTGGATGTGAGGACGGATGATGGGGATGATGCTGGTGGACTGTTCGTGGATATGTTGAGAGGCATGGGTGCCAAGGTATGTTTTCGAAACGGTGACTTAATTGGTTACGGTACTGAGCGGAACATGCGTAGATTCTGTCCCGGGTAGGGCAAACTTGCACCCACATCGTGTACAAAAACGGGTTGATGAGCACCATCACAAAATACAGGTACGCATATTACCCCTGTGAAGTTTTCTCGATCAGACAGAATTTGGTCTAGATTACACCAGGATCCCAAGCCTCACGTAGTCGGTATCGCATGGGTTGTGGAATGTGTCGAGAAGCGGGCTCGCGTCGATGAGACAAAGTTCCTGGTCAACCTTGATCTTGTCAATGTTGCCGGAACGAACAAGGTACGGTGTTTATTCTCCAGGCCATGTATTCACTTGACTGGAGTATTGTTCTTCACACAGCGTCGACGTTCGATGCTCCCTAAGCACCTCTTCAACTCGCCCGTCGCTCCTTCTACGGTCTCACCTGCCTTCTCCAATCACGCTGAGGGCAATAGTCGTACAGAGGACAGGTCATCATCGCGTATGTCTTATCGTCTTGTAGCCAATTCTCACTGTCATAGAACCGCTTCTGACTATACCCTGAACAGCATTGACTGGCTCGGACGACAACAGCCCAAGGGCAAACACTTCACTAGACGACCTCCCTCCTCTGGAAAGGGCCCGGAGACGAAAGAGTACATTGCTCAATCACGGTATCACGAGAACATAATGATTTGCATCTGTTACACTTCTTTTTCAGTACATTGTACTATCCCCCTCAATCATGCAATTTTCAACTCGGTATTCAATATTCAATCCCCATTATTCACATTCCTCAAACCTATATATATCCTGACGCATTTAATGTTATTCGTTCTGGTTTATGCAATTGTTCATATTCGCCATCCACTATTACCTTACTATTGCCTCCTCGTCCTTTCAGCACGGTGTCTTTCATGGTCCACACTTTGTAAAATCGACGCACTGTGCCCGATTTGGCAGGGCGCATCAATGCATCAAGATTGATGGGTGTTGGCAAAGATTCTGAACCGCAAACTCTTCGGAGTACCAAGTAAGTACTTGGCTTCCACTTAGGTCGTTAGAAAGCTATTCAGGTGGCCCGCGGCGTTCATTGTCTTAAATCCGGGACATTTGTGACGGCCACGTCATTTCACAACACACCGCCTGCATTCTACTTCTAACATCTACGGGTTCTGTGACGACAATCATGGATCTCTCTTCTCAACTTATGGCGGCTTTGGATCAAGTTCTTGCAATTCTGGAAGAAATCCAAGACCCAAAGAACCTATGCAGTAGGTGAGACGGGCCATTCTGTCACATTCTCCATGTCTCATGCGGTTCCCTTACAGACGGACCAATCCTTTTGATGCTGCAAAGGTTGGTTTCTCAATGTTTATCTCCTCTTTCAGAGATGACTCACTTACACGTATGGCCATATTTAAAAAGCTTTCTATTTTAGATCGCAAGATATCCTCCGTCGTGGTATCAACCTCGAATCTGCCTAACATCCTACTCCCTGTCTACCGCCTTCCGCCAGAAATCCTAGCACATATATTTTACCTACTCACCCCCCACCATCAATATATGGATTCCATACCTAAATCCCGCGACGTTTACACGTGGACAAGAGTGACGGCTGTCAGCCGTTTCTGGCGGAGTACTGCGCTGTTGTTTCCGCACTTATGGACCAATATCCGATTAGGAACAAGTATAAAGGAAGCGGCGCGGTGTTTCCTCCATCGATCAAGGCGCACGCCTCTTCATTTCTTCATATCGTCCTGGCCTGAGAATTGGCAGTATAATGTCATCGACATCCTTCGATCGTATTCCCATCGTGTCGAAACCTTGCACGTCTATGACTTATCGGACATTCCTCGAGAAGTTATTGCATCTATGAAATATCTCAAGACACTGAGCTGCCACCAGGAAAGCTTGTCACTCCTGAAGTCCGATGGGGAGTTGGATTACAATGTGCCAAAGCTTACATGCTTGCGTATGCAAGAAATAGTTCTCGCTCCCTCGATACTCAGACGCTGCAGGAATCTGACACATCTTTCGCTTGCTGAATGGTCTGGATCCGGCCAGAAACAAAGCCAAATGCCGCATCTGGTGGACACACTCCAGAGGTGTCCACTCTTGGAAGAGTTGAACCTTCAGGGGTTCAAGCTTCGGAACGACTGCACTTACGCTGCGGAGCTCCGAGGAAGGGCTCCAATAATAAATCTTGGACAGCTTCAAAGGCTGTCTTTGCTGAAATGCAACCGAGACGCCATTCGTTTTCTCTTCGCTACCACTATCCTGCCGCAAAATGTTGCTGTCCTAATCCAGGATCCGGGGAGGGACAAGGACAGGCCGGACGGCGACTCGATGGAAGGCATGTTCCCAGATACGACTCAATTTGTCGCTCTACAGCTTGCCGCTCGGAACATCCGGTTGCTCAGCAGCACAGGCTCTGCATTTGCTCTTCACTTCAGTCAAGTGGGAACTCATAAGCGAGTATTATGGGACACCCTATCTAAATTAGGTCGTTTGGAGTCCATGCGAAGTCTCGAGGAGCTCTACATCGATGGCATAATGGATATAGACAAGACTGCTGATATGCAAAAATTGTCCTGGATCCCATCGCATGCCAAACTCCGAGTTCTATCCATATCTGATACGCCTACACCACACAGTGGTGACTTCAGACTCAAATGGCTGACAGTCTTCTTGAACAAGATTAAGGCCCCTGACGATAATGGTGCCATCCGCTTGAGCTTCCCTGCACTTCATGAGCTACGTGTTTTCTTGTGTTCTGACGATATCACCCAAGAGGGTCTGCGAGGGCTCGTGGCGGTCAATTCTGGACGACGCGATCATGTAAAGTTGAAACTTATTATTAGCTACCGGCACCTCGACCCGAATCGCGTCAACACTGAGGCCTCTGTGGTGAAGTTAAAGGAAACACTGGAGACAATGGGAGGATATAGGGAGTATGTTGACATTTGTGGAATGAATGACAAAGAGGAGTGGCGGCGAAGTCAAAGCCTTATGCTACCGGAGGTCTGTTGCAGGACGCTACATCAGCATTGGCCGTCGTGGGTGTAGATGTTCACTAATCCTAATCATTACTGACTGACTATGGCATAACGTCGTGTGTATCTTACTTACCCTGATCAATACTATACAGTACTCAGAATCTTCTGACAACCTTCGACTTCGAATATGATCGCGTATATGGAACTGTGTCAATAATGGCGTCTAATCATCCAACTCGAAACCGAAATCCACGACGATCACTTCATTCCATCTACCCTACTCTATCGTGCTCTATTTCCATACTTATCTAGGCGTATCGGCTACAGTCGAAAGCCTGTTGATATGTTTTCCGAAGTGCGAATGGTCGCCAAGGGCATATCAGAAGTTGTAGACGTACGACGGCAGGATTTCACCCACTGAACTTGGCGCAACGGAGATATCGTATAACTCAGTCCAAAGTCGTCATGATATTTTGTCTGTCTTCGACCCCTTATTCAGAACAGTTTCACGGTGCCGACCGGTGACGAGCCGCATTCTACGTTCGTTCAGGACGCGTCGAAGCCCGCTTCGTCGACTGCAGCTCGAAGTTCAAATGATCGTCCTGTCAATCCTTGTCTTCTGTTCGTTCGAGTGTAATCCTTGTGCCTGCTCTTATTTCGTCAGCTCTCCCCTCCATTTCCAGCGGAAAATCCACGTTGTAGACATATCTCGACCTACGCTGAGTTGACGGTTCCGAAAGGAGCGTCTGGAACGGAGGCCAGGGAATGCTTTGGCGTATGATCAATCACCTTTTGGCCATATAAGCAGGCTCTCCATCGCTAGCCGCACACTCCGAGGAACGACACTGCGCGGATCCACGTACGTACGCTCATTCAATTCGCCTATCGTTCAGACATGCTACCGCCAACCGTACGTACGACCTGGTATCGTCTCTAGTAAGTTACATATAATTAACTGAAGTTGGCATGTTGAACAGAAGACTCAGATCCTTGTAATCGGAGGCGGTCCCGCCGGATCATACTCGTCTGCTGCCTTGGCAAGAGAGGGCTTCAATGTCGTTCTTCTCGAGATGGCTCATTTTCCCAGGTATTTGACTCTACTTATTCAGGCCTTATACCAGACATGCCAATGAGCGCATATGCAGATATCACGTCGGTGAATCTCTTATTCCTTCCGTGAGACACTACCTCCGCTTCATCGATGCAGAAAGCAAAGTCGCCAACTTTGGCTTCGTCCGCAAGGTATGACACTCCCTCCCCTCACATTACGTCCCTGCCCACATTCTGTTGATGAAAGCCCGGGTCTGCAATCAAGTTCAACCAATATATGCAAGAAGGCTGTAAGTCGGTCCAGAAGCTATCAGCGTGCAACAAACTCACTTTATGGCCGTGTTTTTCAGATACCGACTTCGTAGCCTTAGGCGCTTCGAACTCAGCCTGGAACGTGACTCGCGCTCATTTCGACGACATACTCCTACGCCACGCTCAGGCATCTGGCGTGGACGTCTTCGAGGGTGTCCGTATTACTGCCATCCAGTTTGTTGATGGCCGGTTCGAAGGTGACGAACCTAACGCATTGAAGGAGGACTGGGAAAAGTTGGGAAAGCCAGTCAGTGCCACTTACGTGACGGATGGCGGTGAAAAGGGCGAGATTCAGTTTGATTACTTGGTGGATGCTAGTGGTAGGGCGGGCGTGATGAGCACAAAGTACGTGTGGTCTTGTTTGTGATTCCAGGATATGTTGGTCTTGAATTTGTACTGATTGTCTTGTAAGGTATCTGAAGAATCGCCGTTACAACGATTCGCTCAAGAATGTTGCGATCTGGGGCTACTGGCGTGGCACGGGCATGTACGGTCGCGGTACCGAACGGGAGAATGCGCCCTTCTTCGAGGCTTTGAGTGGTAAGCATACTTCCTGGATCACAATCTATATCATCTTGTGGTCGGCGCTTCGCTTGTCTATGGTTCCCCTTGTACATTTGTGCCTATTGATTTTATGGCGCATATAGCTAGTCATCTCGTCTTGCTGTGCCGTCCAATCGCTGAATTTTCTTTGTAGACGAAAGCGGTTGGGCATGGTTCATTCCATTGCACAACGGTCTGACCTCTGTAGGAATTGTCATGGATCAAAAGCAACTCGGCGTCCGCTCACGAGCGTGCTCGAGTTCGTCTAGAACGCCAATACCCTTCCCATCCCTTCCCTCATTTGCAGCCTTCTCATCTACTTCAAATACCGAAGAATCCGAGCAAACCCAACGGAAGACATCATCACTTGCAGAGAGATACCTTACATTCCTTCACCTCGCACCCGGCGTACTGGAGCTGATCGGCGAAGAGGGTAAATTGGTCGAAGTTCGCGAGGACTATGAACGTACTGGTCCGTCTGCGTCCGGGTCATCTGGACCGACCAAGGAGAAAGCGGGACAAACCCAAAGTAAGGAGATCCCGATTGCGCGAAGTGCGAGCGATTTCAGTTACTCTGCGGGAAGGTACGCAGGTAATGGGTGGAGGGTCATTGGGGATGCTGGTGGTAAGTCTGTTTCCACTGCTTTGATTCCTTGAAACATTCTAACTCTTTCTGACGTGCTCGCTAATGTGCTCTTTTAACAGCATTCATTGACCCATTCTTCTCCTCGGGTGTCCATCTTGCATGTACCGGCGCCCTTGCTGCCGCTGCCTCCATCGCTGCCTCCTTGAGGGGTGATTGCTCGGAACGTGAGGCAGCGGAATGGTGCCATCGTCGGATTGCTATAAGCTACACCAGGTGAGTCCGTAATACACCTTGTCTTTTCGTTACGCCCTCTGCATTCTGGCTTTGCGAAGTGATGATCCCGATTCAAATACTATGTGATCGATTTAAGGAAGTGATCTCCATATGACACCCTATTCATCTGATCTAGAGCCGGATGGCGACACTCCCAGCCGCTTAAAGGAGTTTACAGTAGCTGACGACCGTGTTTCAATTTATAGGTTCCTTGTCGTTGTCTTGAGTGCATACAAACAGATTCGCGCTCAGAGTTCGAACGTGCTCGCCGATATTGGCCATAGGAACTTCGATAGGGCGTTTGCGTTCTTGAGACCAGGTATGCATACCACTCTTTCTCTTGTATACTTGCAACAGCACTCTCATCCTCTATTCACGTTTTCATTGGGGTTGTAGTAATCCAGGGAGGAGCAGAAATGGGTGCCAAACTTTCTGAAGACGAAGTTCAACGCGCACTTGACTTCTGCGTCAACCTATTCAGCCCTACGACTCCTGAACAACACGCAGCGGTGCATGAGAAACTGAAGTCTCTTCGTTCGACACCAGAAGACTCCGTTCAAACTCCTGCGACTCCTCCGCATGCTACCCATCGTCCTGTTCGCCCTCCTCCTTTACGTTCACTCTCTACTGCGATCTCCCAAAGCCGCCGACGGTCTATTCAAATCGTGACTTCAGTTTCGGGTGATGGGATACGTGAGGAAGATGAGGATCTTTCAGCAGAAAGGCTCTTGGATGTTCGTGCGCCGATCATTAGCCCCCAAAGTCTGACGAAGTTCTTGCGGACGACATTCCGCGCTAGGTCTAATACCATGCCTGCACCTTCGTTGCCGCCCTTGTCCTCCCCTCTTCCGTCTCCCGTTGCTACGTCCTTTGATCCGGGCGTGTACTCTAAGCCAGCCTCGGGAGTGAGGAAGAGTAGGCAGAGGAGTGGGACTGTCTCGACGACGACAAGCAGGACGACAACTACCACGCCTTCCCTATCGCTCTCTTCTTCGATTTCGGGGACCACTACATCGTCATTGACATCTTCGGGCCCACCTTCTCCTCTCGGTATTATTCCCTCAGATCTGAATTTGGATTCAGACGATGAGGTGTATCACTCTTCTCGGGAGACTCCAACATCTGATGATGGCGAGTCGAAAGGGGAAGAAGATAGCGAGGTGAAGATGGTTTTGGACAAGGTGAATGCACGAAGGGTGATACATGCCGAGCATGGGGAAGGTTTGAATAGTCTTGAGCAAGAGGCTGTTGCTGGGTTTGTGGTGAGACTTGTGAGGGGAAACTTGGGCTTGACTCGTGCTCAAGTTTAGAGTTGGTATTATGTGGAGTCAGTGCAGGAGGTGAAGAATTTTTTTGTGGGGAAGAAGCTGTCATCGAAGTGGTTTTGGTATGGTGCACGTGAGGTTCTGAAACTGAGTTGCTCGTACTAGGTTATATGCATTTGTATGTTGTCTGCAGCTAGTTCTCGTTTCTCAGATTTCCAAAGCATCGAAGGTTGTGTGTATTGTTATTTGTAAATATTGTCTTTAGATGACATTGCCTGTATTTACGCCTCTGTATCTGAATTTTATTGTCACGCGTTGATCACAATGTTCACATCCGGCCCAGTTGTATGTAACAGTCCACATGATTATTTTAACTGAGGAGAATAGGAGGCGAAGCTAATAGCAGCAACGTATTAGTTCGTCGAATGGAATGGCAGTTGGAACTTAAAGCATCCCGATGCAGCAGTACGCCGTCGCACGATCAGATACAATTGATGCGCCCTTCCTAATATGGCAACCAATCATGGTCCGTCCACAGAAACTTCAAAACCTCCAAAGATCCTCGATTATACTGTATATGGTCTCTGCAGAACGTATGTATGCTGAGAAGACAATTATCTCAATGTTAATTTTACCACTGATAAGTTCGATAGCGCAAGTTGTTTCCCAAACGAAATGTGATATGACGACACACGCACATTCTGCACCCCAGTTGCTCCAGGTTGCGGCAACGAAATTCCTCCATCCTACCTCCTTCCATCAAGATTCTTCAACAGACTGGGTTGAAGCAACGTTTAATATAGAGCCTGGCTTCGAAAGAGACCCATCTCATTCGTTGGCACGAGGTGTGCACGAGTACCTGTCGCTGGAATGTAACTTCCCGAGAGGCCTGCAGTCGCCTTAAAAGCGCGCTCGTACATCAGCTCTCTTCTCATCTCATCTCCGTTTCCTGCAGTACTTCCTCGAGTACTGCTTATCCGCCTGATCGCGATCTGATTGTTCATTGTGCGTCCTACCCTGTACCTGCTTCAAGTTGACTAGATACTAGCTTTCCATAACAGACACCCCTCGACATATCGAGTCTGTTGCTGCGTTGGAGATGGCTGCTAATATTTGGAATTGGTTCAGCATTGGCGGGCATATCCAATCCGCAGTGGATAACTTGCCGCATGTCAGCGAGGACCAACCCAATGACACTCCTGTCGGACTACGTCCTAGTCCCCTAGACCTTTCCGATGCAAAGGGTAACGTTTCAACCCCACTGCCGTCTGGTCTCGCTACTGGTCATACCCTTGCTCATATCATGGATAACTTCCAAGGTGGGCCATACCCGGATGGTATTGGGAGTTCAAAGGTCGAGTTGAACGTAAACGGAAGCGGCTCTCCCATGAACCAATTCTCGGCCCCTGCCAGCGAGATCTAGCGATGGACGCTTCAACGTGGCCCTCTCAACTTCAGCATACGGGCCACCTGGTACGTTTTTCGGACGTCCGGTACTCACTTTTGACTCACCGAATCTTTGGTCTTGATGGTACACCTATAGGTCACCCTACTCGTGGCAGGGGAAATAACACCTATGCCAACCAACCATCTACCATCCAATCTTCAATGCACACCTCCACTCAACATCTAGGGCCTGTCGCACCTCTGGAAATGTCCGCCAACCGGTGGACACCAGTCAGTATCAGCAAGACGGGGCAAGCTATTGATGAGAACTCGCCGGAGATCGTCGAGCGTAAGGTCAAGTCGTTGCTCAACAAGTTGACTATGGAGAGATTCGACTCCATCTCAGACCAAATCATTCAATGGGCGAATAAACCCGAGGCTGAGAAAGATGGCCGGACACTTATCCAGGTTATCAACCTGGTGTTTGAGAAAGCCACAGGTGAGGCTAGATGGTCAGAGATGTATGCCCGTCTCTGTCGCAAGATGATGGAGCAGATCAGCAACAAGGTGCAAGCCGAGGGTATCCGCAATGCCGAAGGCAGGCCCATTGCTGGTGGTCAACTATTCCGTAAATACCTCATCAACCGGTGTCAAAAAGACTTCGAACGAGGGTGCGTTACGAAGGAGGCTACCGCTGCCAGCGATGGCCGGGATGGTGAAAGTGCCTTGAACCCTGATGAGTATTACTCCGCGCAGAAGGCAAAGCGTCAGTATGTTGGTTTGGTCAGGTTCATCTGTGGACTGTTTGAGATGCAGATGCTCACGGAGCGTATCATGCACGAGTGTATCAAGAAACTTCTGAGCAACCTTGACAGCCCGGAAGAAGGGGAAATCGAGTCGCTTTGCGAGCTCATGACCGCTGTTGGTCAGTTTCTGGATACCCCCAAGGCTCGCGTCCATATGGAGGGTTACTTCACTCGCATGGAGGAATTGGTCAAGAGCCCTCATGTCGACTATCGTACGAAATTCATGTTGCAGGTAAATGGCGTGGACTTCAATCTTAGGGTTTGGTTTATTATTGATGTTGCAGGATGTTATCGAGTTGCGTGAACGCAGATGGATTTCCCGTAGCCGAGTGGTTTCTCCTACTACGATCGCCGCCGTCCGCGAGGCCGTGAGTAATCAATCATTCTGTGTTCTGTCTGTCTACTTCTGACACTATTCGTGCAGGCTGCCAAGGAGAAGTATGCTTCCCACAAGGCCTCATACCAGCGCGCTCTCAGAATGACTCGCGCGGGTTCAAGACGTGGGGGTGACAGAGACCAAACAGTTGACCCTGATAGCTGGATAGTTACTGGTCCAGCGGCTCCTCGAGCAACACCGAAGGCTGACTATGTACCAAACTTTGCCGGTATCGGCAAGACCGCGTCGATGTCCTTTGGTTCCGGCAGCGTCAAGAAGGGCAAGCCTAGTAACCGGGATAGTACAATATCACGGACGGGCTTGGTCATTATCTCCTCGATGTCCGGTCAATATCTACAGCCTGCGAAGGAGAACTTTTCATCGAGCAGTAAGTCGCGTCGACCACTTGTGAGGCTAACATTGACCTTGGCCACACAGGCACACAGGAAGCACTCACGAAATGCAGGAAGCGCATGCTCGTTTCTCGACCAATATCGAAGGACGGGAGCAACTATATCCTAACTGCATCTGCGGCCGACTTGGATGCCGAACAAGTTGAACCTGATGCACCTTCGATGTTGAGGACCGAGGCCAAGACAATGATCGAGGGGGACTCCAAGGAGTTCTTCAGTCTCCGAAACCCTGACCAGGGTGAAGTTTACTTCGCGAGGCTGCCTGTTGAGCACCGACATCTACTCGTCGACAAGTTGGTCACTAGGGCCATCAAGTTGAAAGATGCGGATGCTCAATTGGTTGCTAATCTTTTCCACCGTGCTTGCAGTAAAAACTTGTGTTCACCTGCGGCATTTGAGAAGGGTTTTATACCCACAGCTCGGAAACTGGATGATGCAACAAAGGCGTTCCGGTTATTCGCCATTATGTTCAACGGAGCTGGTCTCGATACCGATGCGGAACGACGCGCGAGGATTGCGAGCGTGTCGGTTGGTAACGAGGAAGTATTTGCCATTCTTTTGTTGTTGTCTATGCCTCAACCCCGTTGAATCTAGTCTGTCACAGGCAGTGTAGACAGAAACGCAACCTTCGTACCTCAGGATATCTCTGTCTGACGTTGAATCCCCATTTCCTCGTGTCATGATACCTTTGCCGTTTTCACTGCCAGAGCCATATATATATGTATATATCGACCGTTCCAATATGATTGAATGCGATCCGTGTTGGGGTTGAATAGAAAATCTTGACCAGAGTTGCAAAACCTCTGAATAGGGCTCCACAATATTTGGTTTTCAGTTCGCAGTCCTCCCTTCGGGAACGTAATGCACTCAACATTCTGGTGAAGCGATTATGCAGGGGCTGCTTTGCTTCAAGTCTTAAGTGCATTAGCGGAACACTATGTCGATATGGCCAACGGTACTATCCTAGTAATGATATCATGTTTATTGTGAGAGTGGATTCCAGAGCTATAAAGAGCCCAAGGACGCCGGAGTCATATCCCACATATACTCATGAATACTGTGTTGTTTTCTTCGAACCAAGCTGGTTTGAGAAAAACAACACGGTGTTCAAAGGTTAGAGTCCTAACCAAGTCTCAAGAGACTGGCGGTTGGGGGTGTCATGGGTTCTATCGAGAGAAAGCGTCAGCAATGCACGAACTGCAGATACAACTGCGGGAGACTTTCATACGGTTTGACTGAACTGGATTACAAAAATCGAGGCATGAAATCACGCCGATATGATGCGTCCGCACACCGATATCAACAATTCGATCAAATGAACTTTGTTAAAATTTTTGTAACTGTTAGCGTATCAGGCTGTTGCATCATGTAAAGTTTTAAAACGTTTGCTGACGACTCACGCAGACTAATTCTGGACGCTTGTTCAGCTGATGCTTCAAGTTCCCGACAGTGTCCCGGAAAAGTGTAGCAGCTCATTCGGAGAGGTGGATTCCCGAGTTCGTCCGCTGAGCAGCCTCCCTGAAGCAAGGCAGAGCAGAGCGTCCAGAGTGCGCTTCCCAGCAGCGCGTAAGGCAGAATGAAATGGAGACAGGCACAGAACGGTTATCCACAGTGCATGATGATCGAGTAAAACCGGACGTATTTGGCGTCTTGGCTCAGGGGTGCAGTGGCACCGAAAGAAGGCTGTCCGGGAGTGGCTCTTGGACTGTAGGCCGCATTTTCCATATCAATATGAGCCGTTAAGCTGTGCTGTATAAGGCTCGGGTCGTCGAGACAGACAGTCGCAAAGAACAGAAGGTCCGAACCAGCGCTGCAGGATCAAAGTGGCTGACAGCGCCTGCAGGCCTCGAAAAGCAGCCTGTGAACTTGGAGCCAGCCGACTGCCCGACTGTAGCACACACTCTTGGATTTGACTCTGTTGCGCTCATCATCTTCACTCTTCCACAGCTGCCCCTCTTTTCTAACGATATAGGATCCTGATTTCTGTCTGATCTTTGCTTCTCTGTTGGCTTTTGTTATCTTTTCGTTGTCTTGGTAGCCTATTGTGACGCAAATGGCAATGGACCCACTATCGCTGGGGAGTGAATCGCCTCCTGCGAGGCAGTCAATGTTTGGAAGTTTCCTGCGCGGCCGTCCACGAGGCACTTCTCAATCTCATCCTTCACCTCCTCCCGACATCGCCAACAACAACACTAACAGTCGAGACTCCCCTTCGCCATCGGGCTTCCATCCCCCAGCCCTGACAGATTCCAACGCAGGCCATAGACGCCGCCCCGCTGCTTCCATCTCGCCACATTTACAGGCCTCTCATTCCACCAACAACGCCACGGCCTCTGTTGCAGGTCCTTTTTCTCACATGTTACGACGGAGACGTTCAGCTGGCGCACTCGCCTCAACTGCCACTCCACAGGTCCCAGCTGTAGCCGTCGCAAGAACCACCGTGGGTACCTCGTCAACCAACGTCAATGGCAACCAGCACCCTATACCTCTTGTCAATGGATCGGTGGTCTCTCATCGTATTCGACTTGTTCCCCACCTTGACTCACGTCGTTCCTTGCGTTTCGACCCGATTTGTCGAGATGTGCGCGAGGGCGACGCCCCTTTGCGTATAGGTCGGTTCACGGACCGTTCCGGTATGGGGCTTGCTGCAGCCAATGCCAATGGGTCAAATAAACTTGCTTTCAAGAGCAAGGTCGTTAGCCGTGCGCATGCGGAGATCTGGGTCGAGTCTGGGGGGAAGTTCTTCATAAAGGACACAAAGTCGAGCAGTGGTACATTCCTGAACCACGTCAGGTTGTCCGCTGCCAATTCGGAGAGTCGTCCGAATGAGTTGAAAGATGGCGATTTGTTGCAGTTGGGTGTGGATTACCAGGGCGGAACCGAGGATATTTACAAGTGCGTCAAAATCAAGATAGAGGTGAATAGGGAGTGGCAAGCCCAAAACAATCCTTTCAAGTGGGTTGTCTTTCATTTCACGTTATCGATTGCATGGAGTTGACGTATATGTTATTAGTGCGAACGCCTTGAAACAACTGAAAGCCATTGCTATCGCAGCAAACCCTACCGGTAACCCAAAGAAGACGGTGTCGGCCAAATCTGCACTGCCAGATTGCTGCATCTGTGAGTAGTCTATTGTTGGTTATCGTTCGACCTCTCATGGCTCGCGATGTTCAGGTTTATTCGCCGAGACTATCAATCAGGCCCTATTTATTGCGCCATGCTCGCACACCTTTCACTACAAATGCATTCGACCGTTACTCGAGACACACCACCCCGCCTTCTCTTGTCCCCTCTGCCGGACATTTGCCAATCTAGAGGATGACGTCGAAGTTGAAGTCATCGAGCAAGAAAGCTTGCTCGAAGCCGCGTCCGTGATTGCTGCACTCAATGAGGAAAACGCACGCTCTGCAGTGGACCGCGTGGATCCTGGCGCAGAGACAGAGGTTGAAGCAGAACCAGGCAGAGCACCTCGAAGACGTTCTGTAGTCCCACCTCTTCCGAACAATGTGGTCGACCTTACCGAGGACCGAGATGCGGAAATGGTGGATCTGGCGTTACCGTCGCTGCCAGAGAATGAGCCTGATATGATGGGTCAGGATGACGACTTGGATGTGGACAATGACAGTGTGGAATACGTTCCTCCGGCGGCATCATCGGCGGCTGCGGCTCCTGCGAATCGATCGGCGGAGTACCTTTCTGAGGGTGAGGGCAGTGGTGTTGGTATGCATGATGCTGAGGGGGGTTCGAGTGAGGGAAGTGGACGAGGTTCTGCAGAAGTTATAAACGGCAAGAGGAAGCGGTGACGGCATTATAATAAACGGACTTTCTCGTCTTTTTCAATCTCGACTCGGATTTGTTTGCTCATCTTCTGGTGCCTTTTACTACACACAGGTTGGTTCCTAGAAACCTTGTTGTCATGACTGTACCATATCTCCACAACTTCTCGACTGTCTGTTCTTTCACTTTCTTCAGCTGTTTCTCATCATTTTCTTTTGTCATTTATACTGTAATGCTTGTAATTTTTCTCCTTCGAATCGGATACGATTAAGTATTTTTGTTGTTGTACGTTCCATACCAGACCGTTCTGGTGCAAAGAGGGATCGAACCCAGAGCCGAACGCAATAACAGGGCTCTGATTGGCGGAGATGGCTCATGTGAAAGGAGGTGGCCGATCGGGTCCGATTCTCCCGAGCGTCTCCGCCTATGACCGTGCAGGAGTTGGTGAATGCAGGGCAGAGTGAAGTCCTCCACCACTACGTCCATGCAGTCCCTCGTCGCCCGCTCTGCTCTCCTTCGCTCGACGCCAGCGCGCGCGTCGTCCTTGCGCACCTTCGCATCGTCGGCGGCGAGGTCACAGGCTGTTCCAACAGAGAAACCTGTCAAACCAAAGGAGTTCAAGATCTATCGTTGGGTATGTCTCCTTTCACTTTTGCTTCATTTGCGACAGTATTCACGATGGTTTTGTGTTCTCTCTGACATGTTAGAACCCCGATGAACCAGCAAAGAAACCCACTTTGCAGAGCTATAATATCGACTTGAACCAATGCGGTCCTATGGTAATGTTATGCCGCACTAGTTCCGTTTGTCCTCCTAACTTCCAATCTACTCTCGGTGTAGATCTTGGATGCACTCATCAAGATCAAGAACGAGATGGACCCGACTTTGACGTTCCGACGTTCTTGCCGTGAGGGCATTTGCGGCTCATGTGCCATGAACATCAACGGACAAAATACACTTGCTTGCCTATGCAGAATCGACAGAGAGTCTCCCAAGGATACCAAGATTTACCCTCTCCCTCACAGCAAGTCGTCTTCTGCTCTATGTAGTTATGTAGTTGGGCGTGAAACTGACTGTTTTCGTGTGCGATAGTGTATATTGTCAAGGACCTCGTGCCTGATTTGACACACTTTTACAAGCAATACAAGTCCATTGAGCCTTTCCTCAAGAACGACAACCCACCCTCAGACCGCGAGTTCTTGCAGTCACCGGAAGACCGACGCAAGCTTGATGGGTGCGTTGCATTTCCTACTGCTCAAACATGACATCATTCCGAATCTGGCTTGTGACTAGAATGTACGAGTGCATTCTTTGTGCATGCTGCTCAACGTCTTGCCCGAGTTATTGGTGGAACCAAGATGAATACCTCGGTCCAGCAACACTCATGGCAGCCTACCGATGGATAGCGGACTCTCGGGACGGTTACGGCGCTCAGCGTAAGGAGAAGCTTCAAAACGAGCTCAGCTTGTACCGTTGCCACACCATCTTCAATTGCGCACGAACATGTCCAAAGGGTCTTAACCCGGCTATGGCGATTGCCAAGCTCAAGCTGGAGCTTGCTGCTGATTAGAGCTTTGCGGCTTTGCATGTGGCGGCAGAGGGTATGATGGTGGACGTTGCCTGATGCTGCTTTTTGGTAGGAAGCGAGTCGAGTCTGGTCTTGGATCCCTGCACGCTTTTTCTGTACAGCTACGTAGTTTGTTGTCTTTCCCAGGAAAATCATAATTCACGTCGTTAGTCTTGTATGGGTGGATGCGCACGTTGCCTTTCATGCAGGTTGTGAGCAGACTTTGTCATTGGCCAGCAACCAGGCTTTGCACTCTCTTCCAATGCACCCATTATCAGCATGTCATTTGGGCTGCCGGAAGACATCGCTCGCCGATGCATGAGCTCATGCATGCTTTCAACTTGCATAGACCAGCAGGCATCGAGACCACAAAGCCGGTACGTTATCCATGTCAGACTTCCTCGGGCACGGCCCTGAACCGACTATAAACAAGAACCCAAAAAGGGCCTTCAAGTTTCTTGTAGTCACCAGACAGCTTTTTGATTTTCTTTCTCTCGCCTCTGCTCGCGCTTGCTGATCAGCTTTGACTTGTAAGTTCAAGTAAATCTACGCATCCACGCCACCGTCCCACCATTGGATTGGAATATGCCGTAGCACATGCTCTCCGTTCCTCTTGACCTTCCCTCCTGAGATGGGAAATGCCTCCTCGCAACACAACTCCTCTCCCACGTGGTTGCCCATAGTTGCCCATATGCCCGCATTCTACGATCACATGAGTGTCGGAAGGTTCGTGCCCATGGGACCAACGGAAATTTACAGTTCACGCTCACCAAGCTGTTCGGATCGTTCACTGTCCGATGCCAAAAAAACTCAACTGCCGATAGGGTCTCGTGAGTAAGCGTGCGCGCCCTCGCAGTGGGCGCACATGCATGTTGCTAATGCTGACTTTCTTGCATACAGTATGGAGACGCTGTCACGTCGGCGAGACGTGATGTTCTTGATATTCTTTTCCCATTCTCTTCTGGGACAGAACTCTGTGAAAATGTTCCTATGGGTCCCGAAGTAGAACGTTTGCTAGCATAGTACATATATCGTAGTATGCGTGAAGGATGCTGAGCATAGTTTTCCATTCCTCAACCTCCCCATAGCGCATCTTCGCGGTCAAAGGTAGGAACAGGCACCGTTATGATGCTTTCGTCCTCCTTGGTCACCATCTCGCTATGCCTCTGGCTCGCGCTCGCTGCACACGCTCGCCTTACCACTGGGAACGACAGTCTTGCTGCTCGTGCACCTTCTGGAACCAAGAACGTCATCATTCAGATGTTCGAGTGGACTTGGGACAGTGTCGCAGCCGAATGTACCAATTTTATCGGACCTGCTGGATATGGGTTTGTTCAAGGTCCGTACTCCTCAACTCTGTCTTAGGCCTATACTTTGGATTCTGACTTGATTTGGTTGCGTTCGTAAAGTCAGCCCGCCTCAGGAACATGTTCAGGGTTCGCAATGGTGGACGGACTATCAACCAGTGTCTTACACTCTGACGTCCAAACGAGGGAATCGTTCGCAGTTTGCTAATATGATTACTACATGCCATGCTGCTGGCGTGAAAGTCATCGTTGGTTCGTTTATTTTTTCTTTCCCTTATTCCTCCTTATCTCACCTCATTCTTTCGTCCGTTTAGATACCATATTCAACCATATGTCTGGTGCCGATTCTGGCACAGGCGTCGCAGGATCCTCGTTCACGCATTACAATTACCCGGGGATCTACCAAACCCAGGACTTTCATCATTGTGGCCTTGAGCCTGGCGATGATATTGTCAATTACGGTAATAGAGTCGAAGTTCAGACTTGCGAGTTGGTCAACTTGGCTGAGTACGTTCAAATCGCTTGACCCATCTGCAATTACTTTGACAGAAGTGAATTTTTATCAATATAGTCTGGCGACTGATACGGAATATGTTCGAGGTCGATTAGCTGCCTATGCCAATGACTTGCTGTCTCTTGGTGCTGATGGCCTGCGTCTCGATGCTGCTAAACGTGAGTGTCTTTCAGTTTGTTTAGAAGATCCTTATGTTGAATGTAATCCTCAATCAGATATACCTGCCACGGATCTCTCCAACATTGTCTCGCGTTTGTCCGGTTCTCCCTATCTCACTCAGGAAGTCATCTTCGGGGCTGGAGAACCTATCAGTCCTAGTGAATATACTGGGATAGGTGACGTTCAAGAGTATGTTTCAGCTTTTATATATTCTCGGAGTTTGTTTAACATTAAGCCTACATCTAGGTTTAGATATACATCTGCGTTGAAGGATGCATTCCTCGGTGGGGGCATCTCGAGTCTTCAGAGCTTCGACAATCGTGGTACGTCAGTTTCTTTGTATACACCATAGTTTAGATACCAAACAACGGCTATAGGCTGGGTCTCTGGGTCTCAAGCCAATGTCTTCGTCACGAATCATGATACAGAGCGTGTAAGTTCCTTTCTACACTGTCCAATCATTCATGTCCAATCGACCCTCTGTGATAGAACGGAGACTCTCTCAACAATAATTCTCCCTCAAACACCTACGTCACTGCTATGATCTTTTCACTCGCTTACCCCTACGGAACACCCACTATCCTCTCCAGTTACAGCGGCTTCACCAATACCGACGCAGGTGCACCTAACGGTGGTGTTGGGACGTGCTCAGGAACGGGAGGAAGTAATGGTTGGTTATGTCAACATCGCTGGGTTGCGATCTCTGGCATGGTTGGATTCCACAACAACGTAGGAACCGCTGCTCTAAACAATTGGGTCTCGCCGCAATCTCAGCAAATCGCTTTCGGAAGAGGTAAGCGAGACTGGGTTATGTATTCTATGCCTCATCTGATGGGGTTGTATTCAGGTTCTCTAGGGTTCGTTGCTATTAACAATGCTGACTCTGCTTGGACGAGTACCTTTAGTACATCCCTTCCGAATGGTTCGTACTGTGACGTTATCAGTGGGCAGAGCTCGTCTGGCACATGTACAGGAAACTCGTGAGTAAATGAGCAAATTCTGCCATTTATTGGCTTGCAATTGATCTGGCTTTGTGTCCGTAGCTTCACCGTCTCCAGTGGTACTTTCTCCACCACCGTGCCCGCACGGAGCGCGATAGCCATTCATACGGGTGCTACTGGGAATGGCTCTAACAATGGTGGAAATGGAACTGGAAGCGTCACAGTTAATTTTGCCGTCACTGCTACGACTACGTTCGGAGAGGTACGCCTTCAGCCTTCTCTCTCACTTCGTTGAAAAGGTTCTTCAACTCGCCATAGAATATTTTCCTCGTGGGTAGTCTCTCGCAGTTGGGCTCTTGGAACCCATCTTCCGCTGTGAGCACCTCATGTTAATACCCTATTACTTGAACAATACCTCACCTTGTTTCAGATTGCGCTATCGTCTGCGAACTATCCTACTTGGACGGCCTCTGTCAGCTTACCCCCTAGTACAAGCTTTGAATACAAGTTCATTCGCAAAGAGGTTGATGGAAGTGTATGTGTCTCGTTCCTTCTCGTCTTTCATGTTCCGTTCTGAGGCTAAATGTTGATGATCACGCAGATCGTTTGGGAATCTGACCCTAACTTACAAGATACCACTCCCGCTTCCGGTTCGCAGACTGTCAGCACGTCATGGAGATAGCGTAGGACTTTCGTAAAGTCCAGCCATAGTTTGCGTGATTGTAGAGGAAAAGAATTATGTACACTGTTTGAGTGTCGATTATGATATAGCTCCCGAATCCACTTTTAAAATGATTCGCAAACTTGATATCCTTACTGAGGTAGTAGCGCTGGGCATGCTAGCTAAATTCTGATATAACTGGATCCGCCAATGTACAGAACAACCCGATGCAATATAATGAACTTTTGGGGAAGGAGAATATGACCTTGCGACGTGATTCATGATCACGGACCTCCCGAGAGAGTAAGGATTTTAGCTACAGCTTGTTCTGCGGCTGACATGAGCATGCCGTGGGGGTTACCCATGGGTAAAGATGGGATGATTGATGCATCCACGATGAACTAAGGTGAAATACGAATAAGAAGAAATAATAAGATAATGGGCGGAGACTGACCAAATTGTTCGTGTTGAATACCTTGGCGTTCTGGTCGACGACGGCGTTTGAGGCGCTCGTGCCAATCTTGTTCGATCCAACCCAGTGGTTAGAGTTCATCGATGCTACATCGTATTCATCGACTGCAGGAACAAGAACATGAACTCGTGAGAGGTAAAACTTGACAAAAATCATCCAGATGCTTACCGTATTGTTCGATAGTCATTTGCGTGTCAGGCGTGATCATCGTAAGGCCAGAAACTGTAAGACGTGGTTTAGAATGACATTCAAAAATAGCACATAGAAGCATAGTACCATCATTCATGTTTGCGACAACATCCTTGAGTGCCTGGATGAGCACGGTCTTGTCAACAGGGTCGGCAAACCACGGGTTCACAAGTGGTCTTGCACGGAGCGCTGCATCAATACCAACACGTCCGCGAGAGGTAATACCAGTCGAGCTATCATCGTAACAATCAGTCTATGCCTCGAAAAACAACCAGAAGAAGAAACATACAGATACATGGTGATGGTGAATATGTTACTGGCGTTGTACGGCAACGTAGTATTGATCGACGCAGCACCTGGCCGAACGGTTCCTTGAGCATAACGAGTCTTGCCATCAGACGCCCCATAGGCACGCCAGAAGTTGGCTCTAAAGTCAAGGCCCATGATCAGCATTTAACATATCAAGGTCGGGATCGGCCATGGAAGCTCACTTTGGTGAAGCACCGGCGAAGACGCCGGTGAAGTTGCTCAAATACTGGTTAGCATCAGCCGTCCGAGGGCTACTCCACACGTTAGCCCAGTTCTCGTACGCATCGATGCTCGGATGCGTAAACACCAACTATAGCATACACCCATCAGCATACTCAATGTATAAGCAGAAAAGAACTCACGTTAATCGAAGGGTTATCCTGAACGTTCATACCAACTGGCAGGTTGATGAACTGGCTCGATGGAGGCAAGTTCTTCGCCGCATCAGCGTTCCCCTGGACCAGCGAGAGCATATCCGAGGGTCCAATACCACTTTGGAATAAAATCCTGGGCGAGCCGAAAGAGCCTGCGGAAAGGATGACACGACCATTGGGTGTCAAAGGAATGATTCCGTTTCCGCCGATAAGAGTGTTATTGGTTTGAACACCAGTGATTTGAGAACCATTACGGACGACATTGGAGACGAGCGTGTAATCCATGTATGCGAAGTTAGACCGGGCTTTGGCTGTGCGAAGGTACGAAGCGACAGGACCACCACGTTTGCCGTCAACGAACTGTGAATACAGATCCATAAACTTCAATGGCATCACATCAGCGTGGAAGAACCTACGTCGAAAGCGCTGTACCCGAATGCATGGTCCTTGAAGTCAGGATTGTCATTGAGAGTGATCTGGTTGTAACCCTGGTTTTTTAAGAGCTGCCAAGCAACGTCATAAGCTTGAGTGAGGTAACGCTTCCCATCCATAGAAGGATGATCGGTACTTGGAAGTCGAGCCTTGAGTTTGCTGGTGTAGGGTTGGTGGTTGGTCCAGCTACTGGGCCAACCGGCATCTGTTGAGAAATCGGATGTAGCGGGATACCAGTATAATCTGTAAATCAAAAGGTGTTCAGCAACCAAAAGAACTAGTGAAGTAGAGACTGAGTACTTACGCTCCGTTGATGGAAGTGCCACCGCCAAGTAAACATCCCGCGAAGACTGTAATGTCTGCCATGCTCCCTATCAGCTCTATGCTCACGCTTCCTCCGTTGCACCAAACTCACCTTTACACCAGTACCAAGGGTTACTATCGGAGAACATCGACTCAAAGAGACCCGGAACGTCGAACTTGGTCAACTTTTAAACGACAAAAAAAACTCTTCAGTATACATAGATTCCCCACCCGAGCGCATGAGCATACCTTCGCATTTGTGGTCCAGGGCGCATAATACGTCCCTCCGGTCTCAGCAGTACTAGGACCACCTCGCTCGATCAAAAGAACCTTCTTTCCAGCTTCAGATAAACGATCTGCTGCTATGATACCACCAGGTCCAGCACCAACAATGATATAGTCGTAAGGAGTGGGCTAAAAGACAACGTTCAATGTCTCTTGAAAATCACAACAATATGAAGTATATGCACGCACAACGATGGTAGGCCCTGTAGGTGGTGCCGTCGTCGTGGGGCCGCCAGGGGTGGTAGTTGGCGGTGGAGTACCGCCATCACCGTTCAGGTAGTTCTCATAGTTTGCGCTGTGGGCCGAGGAGAAGTCGATACCAAAGAAACCGACTAAACGTGGAAAACGACTCTCTCAGAAATTGGCTTGCATTGACATGAAATGATGAGAAATGGTGCTTACAGTCAGTGTGTTCATCGAAAGTGCTTTGGGGATTGGAAGGTTGGTCGACAGCGATGTCCGAGTATGCCCACGCGACTGCTGCACCGGAGGTAAGGGGGATACCTCCTCCGCCAGCCCAGGCTGTAATCGAGCGAAGAGTAAGTTACGGAGCATGGGATGCAAACGAGGAATTCTGTCCTTACTTGTACAGTTTTGGCACCTATACACCCATTTCCAGTGTGTGGAATTGACAGACGATGACGGGAGTGTCGTCAAGGTCGGACCAACGTACTGCCTACAGGGAGAAATGAGAAGAAGCGGCGCCTAGAAACAGTAAATGACTTGCGTAGGCAGGTCGTAGGTTCTGGAATAACATCCGCGATAAGTAATCACAGGTAATGATAAAAACTTGGTCAACTCACGTCGTGTAACGTGTCGAAAAGACAATATCACCATTATTAGGCCATGCCACAAGTAGCAAACTTTGCAACATAGCGCCTCCAAGAGAGAATCCAACCCATTTCGCGTCAATTGGGGCAACAATCTCTCCGATGAATTCGGTGGGCGCTGGTCCAGAAGCAGGTAAAGGTGGAAAGACGAGACCATAGGTGACTGAGTGTACGGGATCTGTCACGCCAACAAATTGGAAACCATTGCCTGGATCTGTGTAGGGGGCAGCGGTCTGTGCGAAGGCTACACGACCGAGAATGTCAGTGAACCTGCAAAGAGCGTTTGATGATGATGGACGCCGTACCTAAGCCTGCAAGAGGCAAGAGAGCCAGAAGAGCCCAGCGAAGCATCATGAAACGCGACAAACGAACGCTTCGTCGTTAGCTCGCCGACAAGCTGTACGTCCGTATTTTATGGAAAGTAGGTAGCGCTTGAGCGAGAAACATCCGAGCTGTATCATCACGCCTTTGGAGACGAGCAACTGCGCGGTCTGCCCTCGTGAGCCAATCATGGGCTATGCGTTATTGATTGGTATGAATTGTGGGCCAAGGTACAACATATCGTCAGGGCAGATACGCGACAAGTAGCGGAGACAACGCGTGTCGGATAGAAGTCGGAAGCGCGATAACTCTCGTGATCTGGTGGCGATCGAGTACTTGCAAGACGTCGATACACGCAAAACACCGAGTTTTATACGCCAGTGTCAAGCACAGGTATATTTGCCCATGGTCACCTTCGAGGAACGATGTGAGTTTCTTATAGTGATGCATTGTTTCCCGCACCCGCATGCTCTTCAACCATAGTGGTGACCGATATACCGCCGTCAGATAATCCGAAGCAAGTGAGGATTGACTATCAGCAGAGTAAACCTCTCCTCCACACTTCGAACGAGCAAGAATCTGGAGAAGAAGCGTGATGTCGTCCACAAATAGGCGGAGAAGAGTGTTCCCCACGGGCCCCCAGGTCTCGTGCCATAGTTGTCGCTGGTTGGATAAGGTGAATCCTGGTGAATCATAGTCCCATCCAGTAACCAAGGCCACGTTGACGGATGCAATATGCCTTCAGCCTTGATGAACGCCATATCATCAAGGTCTTCATCGGAGTCTCCGAGGATTAACAAGACAGCCAAAGATAGACGACGGTCATTTTAGCATGTCAGAGGGTACTGAATTGAAGTATTGGTGCCGGCATGCTCTGGAGTCGTTGCTAGTAGAACACCTTTGTTGTGACCGGAGACTCCTGCAGTCTTCGATTGTGGTCTACTTTTATGCTTGGATGATGAATTGAAAATATCGAATTCGGATAAAGTAAGATTGCTGCGGGGAAAAGATGGAAGGTACGATTGGAAAATCGCAGCTGATGATTCCTTTAGTTCTCGTTTAGCTTCTCGCCGGAGTGCTTCTCTAATCTCGATCGTCGGTGTCGGACTTGTGATACTTCGATAGACCGACGTGCTTAAACGAGAGTAGTCAGGCAATTTTACACGATGGGAGAGATAGAGACTGGAGGTTAGTATTGTAGTTCCGTTTTGCATAATCTTTGAATTATTAATGTCGCGACACGCAGTAGAGTGAGACCGATTCGTAGAAACTCAAATAGAAGGAATCTCGTGAATTTAAGACAGAAAGCACAAGGAAGGAGACCATGCGCCCGATTGTTGGTATGAACCACTCGGTCGAGAGTATTAACGATTGAATACGAGAGCCTTGGCGAGTGTTGTAGTAGGTCCCAAAAGGGAAGTTTGTTTGGCTACACCCTCTGAAGTTAACAAGGACAAATATAATCAAATAGGTCTGATGCTATACTCCTTGAACAATGCGATATCAATCCACTCAGTACGTATATATCCATCAGGTACTTGCAGACAGCGATTTCTGTATGGCATCTCAGGATATAGACATCTAGTTGAAGTACAGTGTCATACGACGCCTACACCATTAATGATTCACAGATTATACCGCTCACTCTAGAGCACACGCTTTGCCGTGTATGTAATGCAGTCTGTAGCATTGCAACTGGGTTGGTTTTCAACCTTCAGGTTCTCCAAAGAGCCAATACATGTGTCTTATCTATTGGCTGTTCAATAGTTGCTTGTTGTACAGTCCTAACAACCCATTGCAAGCCGAGGACATGGCCCGCCTCACCCGCGAATTTATTCACCGAGCATGTGCACTCACTTCTATTCATTTCTGGAGAGATTCGGATGTAAGGGGATTTGTTGCGCGTAGCGTTAATCATGAACCCGACGTAGTTCCCATTGGCTGTTCAATATTTCAACGCGTAGCGATCAAGCTAGACATGTTCTGTCGTTTAGCGCTAGTCAGCAGCCACGTCAGTCACCGTCCACCACGTCTCAGAAGCTGGCTCGAAGACTACGTTACCTGTCTTTCGACCTCTCATCATTTCCAGAAGAAGTGTCATAGAATATGAAGGCAGGGGGAATCTCACGACCTGCAACTACCAAGTAACATGAGCACCACTTATGGACGTCAATCTCAATTGCAGCACGTTTTATCATTTGGGCGTCTGGTCGCATCTGATCACGGGGTTCTTTTTTTTGAGCACGGTGGATGAAAAACGATCCCTAAGAAGGGGATCGTAAAGGCTGAGCATCCTTCGCAGTCCTATACTTGTCCTATCTGTGTGTATAATGTTGATAAATCGCACGCATAACATCCTTTGTGTCATCTTTTCGGTACGTTGTCCATATTTTAATCCCTACTAAATAATCAATTCACGCCAAAGCCGGCGGGATTAACATCAGATTGTTTGGAGGTCGCGTTCATTTGTAAGTACGTAGTCCACATTTGCTCCACGGATGCCTTGGAAATATAGTTCACCCCATGCACCGTCAGCAGTCTCTGCATGCACGAGCGGCTCAACGCGTCTGACGGAACTCAACCCTAGATCAAGTGGTCTGATCGTGAGTGATATTTTCAGTGTGGAAAAACGACATCGCTGATATAGTACTTTCAAGGCACCATGTCCAAGGTGTCGCCATGAACCTCCGAGGGACACCGGTGCCAAACAAACTACGCCTCCAACACCTGCTGTAATTTGATGCCGCACGCCCGGCTTTAATTGGGCCTTACAGTATTTACCACAACACTAACTTGTGCCTTTACACGCTTACTGATCGTTGTCCCCTGTGAGACCGGAGCGTATTGATTATGTCGAAGTTGTGATATTGAGATCGATCTTGTGGGTTCCGCATCCTCTGGCGGTGCTGAGAAGGTGCGCAGTACTACGAATAATATTGTTCTCTGCATATACAGTCCAAGAAAGAGCTTAGTCCTTTCAATTGCACTGACGGCATGCGTCGGCATGCTATCATTTCAGCTGCGTTGAATTGGCCTTTGGTATACCAGTGCACTAAAGTTTGGCACTGTCATTGATAAGCAAGGTCTACGCAGTTGCTTCCCTAGAACCGTGCTCATATAAAGGGCGATATGCAACAATGGTCAAAGCATTCACCACCAAACATTAGCCACCATGTCTATTCCTACTCAACAGAAAGCCCTGCTCTTGCCGTCCAAGGGAGCTGATTTTACGTTGGGGACCGTCGAGGTACCGAAACCAGAAGCCGGAGAAGTTCTCGTCCGCGTCGAAGCCGCTGGTCTGAACCCCTTGGATTATAAGATTCAAGAGTTAGGCTTCTTCATCTCCGAATTCCCTGCCATCTTAGGTTGCGATGCCTCTGGCGTCGTTGCTGCCGTTGGTAATGGCGTTACTGCTTTGGCAATCGGAGACAAAGTGTACGTACTAGTATTTTGTCATTTGCAGTCCTGAAGCTATGTAGTACTTATTTTCATACAGATTGTTTGAGACAAACCCCGGTTATCGGAATGCTGCTTTTCAGCAGTTCACAATCATTAAGGCATCTCTCACTTCGAAGGTGATTCATCTTGTAGGGTCTCAATGTTCCTAATGACTGAAGCCTTCACTTTTGGAATCAGATTCCTGCAAAAATCTCGTTCGATGAAGCCGCTACCCTCCCGTGCTGCCTCATGACTGCAGCGAACGGTTTGTATACAGGCTTTGTTCCTCATCTCCTGAGGGGAGGCGCCAGCCTGACGCCTTTCTGGGCAGAGGGTGGACGCGGGAAATATGCTGGGCAGCCAATTGTCATCTTTGGGGGCGCTGCTTCCGTAGGACAGTATGGTAAGTCAGATTATCAAGTAGCTTTCGAGTTGACTTAATTCTGACTCTGGGCTTACACAGCTATCCAACTTGCTCGCATTTCGGGATTTTCTCCCATTATCACCACTGCATCTTTGCGCAACGCAGAGCGTCTCAAATCCATTGGAGCAACTCATGTCATCGATCGTGGCCTCTCCCAGGCCGACATTATCGCGAAAGTAAAAGAGATCACCGCAAAGCCTGTCCATGTAGTCTATGATGCTGTCGGCATTCCAGAGACTCAAAACACAGGTTACGACATTATTGCACCTGGAGGAACCCTTCTTGTCGTCTTACCACCGGCTGTTGATCAGGAGAAAATAACTTCAGACAAACACCTCTTCATGGTCATGGGGAGTGTAGACCTGCCCGAGTACGAAGAGTCCGGTGCAGGATTGTTTCGAGTTCTACCGGAGCTATTGGCCTCGGGACAAATTAAGGTCAGCATTCTTCGGTCATGCACTATCCTTTCACAGTATATCTGATGGGGCCATGACGGTTCTTTCAGCCCAATGTTCCGGGATATATTCCCGGCGGTCTTTCTGGTATAACTGAGGGACTGGAAAAGTTGAAGAGGAACGAAGTTAGTGCGAAGAAGCTTGTTGTTCGTCCTTCCGAGACGATCTGAAGTGACTACTGAGAGCCCGGCCAAACTAGATGTTGATCACTTTGGCTGTGTTCTATCATGGTTTTGCTTAACAGGTACTCCCGGCTGTATTGATTCGAAATGTTTACCATTCACTTCATATATGCGTGATCTTGGAAGTCAAGTGATGACCCTTAAATGAGAACAAATGGGGATGTAGGTAGGGTACCATGCGCTTCTCCGATTTCTCCTGTGCGTGCGTAGGTGGCCACTTGCAACGTTGTGAAGGACAGGGAATAAATCGTCGAGCAGGCCAATTGACAGTGACAAACAATTCGCCCTTCTTTCGTCATCAGTGTCATGGTACCATTGTCAACGGTACTTGCCGTGGTAGCCTAAATAACAGTTGTTAGTCTGGAAATCTAAAGTATAACACCAATGAAAGACATTACCTATGTCTAGTTGCAGTGAAGATGTAAGTTAAGAACAGTACAAGCAGTCCGCTTTAGGCTGTAGATAGTGCTATAGATGATAGTAATGTTTCAATAATTACAGCACTGAGTGGAGATTTTATCCTACGACTGGCACCAGCCAGCCTCATCTGTCCGCACAGAGGATCGGACATCAGTCTCCATATGGCACTTCTGGTCGATGAAAATATACATGCTCAGCCAAAATTTCGGCCTTAGTTAATATCGTACCTGAGGGATATTTTCTGACGATATCCGTCCGCACGCCATATATAGGCTCTGTTAGGATACGCTAAGTTCAGTGGTAGAAGAGGCCTACACTACTACTTGTTAATGATTTACGGATAATACTGCTCAGTCCTACCTCACACACTTTATTGTACAGTCCGAGCAACCCATGGCACGCCGAGGACATAGCGCGCTCCACCTGCAAACTTATTCACGGGGCTTGTGTTCCCACTTCTCTTGATTCTGGAGAGGCTGGAATGAAGAAGGGTTTGTTGCGCGTTGCGCTGATCATGAGCCCGACGTAGTTCCCATTGGCTGTTCAATATTTCAATGCGCAACGATCAAGTTAGACATGTTCTGTCGAATACCTGTGGTTGATCAGTGTCCTTATTCCATATTGAATGGGGGATGCTCCATACTATATATAAGAGACATTGTTGAGTATTTTGGGAGCGAGCCGAGAGTGCGTGATCCAGGCCAAAGTTGGCAAGTGGTTGTTATCTGGGGATTCGAGCGCCTGAATTGGTGTTCTTGCTTTGCCCGGCTGACTGCAGTCGACTCGCACCGGTTTTCTCTTGTCAGGACTCACTCTCGCCAGGGGTGAGCCCGCATACCCTCTGCTGACCTGCGACCATCTTCATACGTCCAGTGCATACAGGACACGTTCTTTCGTTTAATTTCTCCTTTCTCTGGTTCCGTGAGCTGCTGCAAATAACCGACCCGGTTCTCCCGTCTCTTCCAAGTTCATACTTCCCAAGTTTGGACGGTCTAGTCACTTCGAATACCTTGTCTCTGTTTTGAAGTGCCCTGTTGTGAAGAAACGGGAACAATCGTTTTGCATTTACACGACACATAATCTCTGCAACCTCATCGCGCGCTTTGCGGCAAGACTACTACTCCCGCCTCATCATATATACCCATGTCTACTTCCTCGTCTCCTACTCCTGCCGCTTCTGCCGGCGCTGGTCCGAGTGGTCAAAACACTAGACCGTCGCTGGAGAATGGAGATGAGAAGAACAGGTGCGTCTTGCTTCACAACATCGGCGTACGCGTCCTCTAATCCTCCACTTCTGAACTAGTGTGGTGATCAAGGTCGGGATGGTGGGGGATTCTCAAATCGGGAAGACAAGTCTGATGGTGAAGTACGTAGAGGGCAGCTTCGATGAGGATTATATTCAGACGCTGGGTGCGTCTTGAGTTCACTGTGACTACACCCCGTTGCATTATTCATATCATCTCACATGTAGGCGTCAACTTCATGGAGAAAACCATCTCTGTACGGCGGACGACGATCACATTCTCGATATGGGATCTTGGTGGCCAACGAGAATTCGTGAACATGCTGCCTCTTGTCTGCAACGACGCCGTCGCTATACTCTTCATGTTCGATCTCTCTCGGAAGTCCACTCTGAATTCCGTGAAGGAATGGTATCGACAAGCCCGTGGGTTCAACAAGGTATGTCATCATCTTCTGAACTCTACGTTCGAATTCCCCAGGTTCCAGATCTGTGTTGTTGCGAAGGCTCATGTGAACAATTACGTACTGTTCATAGACTGCCATACCGTTCCTGATCGGCACCAAATTCGACACTTTCTCCACGTTTCCCCGCGATGAGCAAGAAGAGATCACGAAACAGGTCGGTCCAAGCTTTGCCTACTGTATTTTTTCCCTTTTCGCTAAAATCCTAACGATCGATCTTCAGGCAAAGCGTTTCGCGAAGGCGATGCACGCCTCACTTATTTTCTGCTCAACATCTGCGTCGATAAATGTGCAGAAGATCTTCAAAATCGTCCTCGCGAAAGCGTTCGACCTGAAATGTGTCATCCCAGAAATCGAAGGTGTCGGCGAGCCAATATTGATATACGTGGACGTATGATTTGCAGTCCAGCCGATCTAACTGACGCTTTTGCATCTCACTGGAGAGGGCGGTGAATGTGCAGCAGAAGTTTAGGGATGAACACATACATATAGAGAGGTGGTGTTATGAGGGGTTAGAGTAAGTGAAAGGACTTGCAAGGTAGTTTGTTTCACTGGACAATTAGCTTGTTAGGACGTGTATTAATTTGTCGGCTTGGAACAGACCTCTAACCATCCAACTATGCATACGGGGCCTTCGTTGGCTTGCCGTTGTATTTTATAGTTTGGCCATTTGGTCTGAAGGAACCCGTTTGGCGTGCCTGCTGTAGCATGTAGGTGGCTTGTCGGATTCCAAAGAGCCAGTGGCGGATGGACTCCGAGTGTCATATATTGAATGAACTATTCTACCCTTTATATATTTCCACCATACATTCTTTTCTTCACCCACGCTTCTTCCTTCCCCTAGCACGCATTCCCCGTCATCCTGGCCCTGATCATACCATCTCGACTTCTATTCCCCACCCTCCGATTCCCCGTTTCTCAGTTGCTTCTCAATATCCTTCGTCTACCCTGTTGTCGTTTGCCCCACTTGCTGCATATCATCCTCGCTCACCATACTCTCGTCGTTTCGCATACCTATTATAATCCCTTATATCGTTTCGCTCGCTCGCGCAATTACGCTATGTGGTTATGTACTCGCTGGAAAAAACTCTCCATCCCCTCAGCTTGATTTCCTGTCAGATTAGTCCGAGTCCTTGTAGGAATTTGCTGCTTTTATATACTGTACATGAAATTTCAGAGATACTTGGAGTTGGACCCAGGCCCTCAAAGGACTGATTCCTGATCCGAAGATCAAGCAGAGTTCAAATCTGATGCAAGTGACCTCCAACCACCATGAGTCCATGACTTATCGCAAAAGCTTACACCTGCTCAGTGCTTTCTACCGAGTCCGTCGTTCCGCGTGGCATCGTTCTGACCTGACCTCCACAGAGCGCTGCTGCCCGAGGAGTTAATCAATTCTCAATGTGCTCTCGATCTCTTTCGAGGCTGCCCTTGGGAATTGTTATGGTTTGTTCAGGCGTGGTACGTATGGTCCCTGCAGCACACATGCCATACGCGATCTTGAAATGTACTTTGTTACATTTTCGGTCTCGTGCTCGGATTTGTTACATTTCGATCTCGTGCGTATCTTTGGTTCAAATGGTCAGTGCGGAATTAGATATCCTGAGGCACGAAGATTGCGTCTCCATCTACTCTGCCTCAAGGAGACTGCAGTATGCGAAATCGGCTGTCGCGGAATGGCTACATTTCTCATTGAGAAGCCCTCATACAGTTGCATTGCTCGCAGGAACGCCACTCTGTGCCTCCGAGGCGAAAGGGGCCGTTGTAATCAAAGACTATTTGGAATGATTTGGAATTTAAATCCTAGCAGGCACAACGCCTAGGACGGAGGGTTCGGGTAGGCTTCTGCGTCGCTGCCCGAAAGCTCAGGTCTCTCACCGTCCTGTCCCCGATATCGACGTTCACAGGTCTTCAACACCCACGCAGAAGGTTACGCATTGATAGGGACTTACCGCATGATGCATGGAGTGCTTCTATCTAGCTTTCGAAGGTGATCAAACATCTGGAATTAACCACGTATGTTTCTCTATCTGTACACCTCAGAGTCGGACCGTACGGTATGCTGAATCCTCTGTCTGTTTCTCTTTTGGACAGTAACATGATTGCACCTCCTAAGGATGCATTTGTCTTGGCGTGAATACCCTTGAGGACAGTTATCCTTTCGAACGACATAACGAAAACAGCTAAGCATATGTTCGGCGACGATCTCTATATGCTTCCATGTGCTGTTCTGCCAGAGAAGTCCAGACCATATGGAATACCCTGAATCACCCTAGCTTCAGGAGAGTCATCTGTCGTTGTCATGCACGATTCGTGTATCGACCATTGCAAAGAGACATCGAGACGTCCAAGAACCTTGGGCGCTGTCGTTGTCTGACCGAGATAGAACCGTTCGGGGAACGATACGAAATGCGGCTGACCATGAAGGTACAAAAGGGACATCATCTTGCGAACATGAAAGTCCCCACTGGTCCCTTGAGCTACACTTCTCTTCAACGAATTAGCTCCTCGAGTCCTCATTCCAACCATGGCACTCTCATACAGCATCAGACGCGTGTTTCTACTCGTCGCTGCAGGCTTGACGGCGTTGCTTGCTGTTAGCGCTACACAGGTCATGCGTCGTCCTGATAACTTCGAGGACGCTCCCCGCAAATTCGCTGTTGGTAACGCGAAGCCTCAGATCGTCCACAAACGTGCCGCCGGTGCTAAGGTCCAGGCCGCGTACTTCACTAACTGGTATGTGCCATCGTATTCACATCTATTTTTGGTGCGCTCAACTCGGCTCTGTAGGGGTATTTATGGCGCAAACTTCCGTATGACGGTCAATCAGCTTTCGCGAAGCTATATGTTGACCCTTGGTTTATCCTAGAACCTACTGACATTGACCCCTCCACCTTGACGCAAATTCTTTACGCTTTCGCCGATGTATCCCCGGATACAGGTTCTATCTCCCTTACTGATAGTTACGCAGATGAACAGGTTTGTGTTGATATCGGAGGTTCTCTTAGCCATATTGACCTTTGGTTCAGAAACATTTTCCCGGCGATTCTTGGGACGAACCTGGAAACAACCTTTACGGTTGTCTGAAACAGGTTCGTCACTTCTAATCTGGTGTCTTTCATCGTCGTTAGGACTCACGTTCCCACTTGTTCAAACAAATAGCTCTACCTCTTGAAGATGAAGAATAGGAATCTCAAGATCACACTCTCCGTCGGTGGCTGGACATACTCACAATCCGGTCACTTCAACTTCGTCACAGATGCCGGCAAACGGACCACTTTCGTCAACAGTGCTGTTCAGCTCATCAAGGACTACGGTTTCGACGGTCTCGATCTTGACTTTGAATATCCAAGCAATGCTGCGCAAGGCCAGGGCTTTGCTGATCTCCTCACTAGCCTTCGTACTGCCTTTGACAATCTTGCAAAGTCAAACGGTGACACTACACCCTACCTCCTCACAGTACGTTTTTCCAACGGTTCTTGCCTTGGTGTCGTAGACAGTCTTCTTACGATGGTATAGGCTGCCGTCTCTGCAGGAGCTGAAAACTACGCCAACTTGGTCATCCCTCAGATGGACAAAGCCTTGGACTACTGGAATTTGATGGTAACATGATTTGCCCCCGTCTCTACATTCGAAGTCCCTAACGCCTATCGTCAGGCTTATGATTACGCTGGTTCATGGTTGACTTTCGTAAGTTTCTCTTTGAGTTTTGCAATGATGAACTAAATGCCGATGCTTCGATAGGCTGATAATCAAGGTATATCATAGTAAAACTGACATCCTTTGAAGAAATGCTCACTCACCATGCAACAGCTAACCTGTTCGGAGGCTCGCGAACTGGAGTTTCCACTGACCAAGCTATCAAGTTCTATCTTGCACGTGGTGCTACCGCTAGCAAGATTACTATGGGTAAGATGTTCTGGTATATTATTACATGTTTATTAACAGAAATAATCTAGGTATTCCCCTCTATGGTCGTGCATTCGAGGCTACAGCAGGTCTCGGTCAGCCGTATAACGGTGTAAGCACTTCATACACATCCTGTACTGCCCAGAAGCTGAAACATCTTTCAGATCGGGCCTGGTACCATCGAAGCAGGCGTCTACTCTTACACCGCCCTTCCCCTAGCTGGTGCTCAAGTAAGTATCGATGGACGATGTCTGGACGAAGAATTAATCAATGCCTGTGATTTGTTATCCAGGTTTTCGAGAACATGACGGACGTTACCAGTTACTCCTACGACTCCGCTAAGAAAGAACTTGTCTCCTACGACACCCCTCACATTGCTACCACCAAGGCTCAGTATGTAGCCACGAACAATCTTGCCGGTTCAATGTTCTGGGATGTAAGTGAGCTAAGAGCACTTTGCAGGACTATATTCACCCCGGCATCATCATAGCTTTCCACTGATAAGAAGGGCTCTGACTCTCTCGTGGGCACCACTGCTGGTGTCTATGGAAGCCTCGATCAGACCCAGGTATGTTTTCCTGTTTTTCGATGTCTTCATTTAACCTGACCTTTGTGGCGCTACAGAATCACATCCAGTATGTTTATCCAGCGGACGATGACGATGTTTGTCTGACGTTTTTTCTACAGCTTCCCCAACAGCAAGTGGGATAACATCCGCAGCAACATGGGTTCGGGCGGATCCGGCACCACGACCTCTGCCCCAGGCTCACCCACCCCTACTGGCGGGACTGGCAAATGCGCTAATGTCGGCGCGTGGAGCTCAGCTGTAAGATTACCTCGATGAAATTGTCGAACGCCGAACTCACTCTGAATCGATAGTCTATATACACTGGTGGCCAGAGTGCTGTCTTCAGTGAGTAACTCTTGTCTGCTTCTTGTCCCGTGAGATATTGATGACCGCTGCAGATGGTCACCTGTGGACTGCCAAATGGTGGACACAAGGCGATACTCCTGGAGGTTCAGGTGCGAATGCCTTTTAGACAACCTCCAATTCCTACCGTATTGACCCTTATTATTAGCTGATGTTTGGGTTGACAATGGCGCATGCTGAACGGCTAGCTATTCAGACGAGATGGCTTCTTGAGCCAGCATGGTATACCCTACGACTACGATTTTCCTTTCATTTAGGGATTAGGCATGTACATATAGCAGATGGTTACCCGCATGACGACGATGTATTATTATCAACACCCGGCACCTAAGTTTCTACACGAGCATGGGTATGCAGATGGACTACACAAAAACATGAAAGCAAGAACAGTACATTGATGCACATCGAAAAGACCCTAAAGATACAAAGAAGAGCAGAAGATGACAGAGTTAGGTCGTTCGAGCATCTCGGACGCTTTATCGAACTTTTCCTGTAGTTCGGTGTTTCCGATGACTTTTGCTGCTTGGCTCATTTGCCGAATGAGCTCTTGCAATCGTCGGAAGACACGAATGAGACTGCCCTCGAATTGGTCAGTGAGCTATAAAGATCACGAATACACGTCAGTTATGATACGACTGATTACATGTCTGTCAGAGCGCACCTTGCAGATCTCTGAAAAAGATGCACCCCTGCACCATTGAACGACAGCATCCATGAGTTCGACCTTGAATGATTGTACATATTCGTCTTCGACAACAGGAAGCTTTGATTCCTTCGAAACCCTCGCGATCCTGCGCGCAATTTCTTGCATGACTCGTAGTGGTGCCGCGAGTTCTTCCTTGAGTTTGGTAACTTGTTCACTCTACGTATAATCAGAAAGATGAGAAACGTGCGCAACGTTAAGCACAAGATCCACGCATACCTTTTCAGAGAAAACGAAACAACTCAATAGTCCCGCACATTGCTCCGGCGTTAGCGGGTTGAATACACCATTGAAGATTAGTTCAGTGAGCAACAATTCATCGCCTGTGCTAATCTCGCAAGCTACACGTCCCTTGACATCGACGATGTCGTCGCTCGTTGTGAATTGCAGACGACGTAGAACTCGCTTTCGGGCTTTCAACTCTTCCATTTGCAGGACATCGTTCGTGGCTTGGATCCTCTTCCTCAGCTCACGTATGCGGTTCTGGCTCTCTTGTTTCCGTACATACAACGAGTACAGCTCCGGAAGGCGAGGATCTTTGTGAAGTGGACTCGAAAAGAGTTTGCTTTCCATAAGCTCGATTTTCTGAAAACCGTTGTTAGACAGGAGAATGGATGCAGATGGAAGATGACGCACCTTCACTAAGGCCTTGAACTTGTCATCCGTAATTTTCATGTTCTGAATCGGATCCAGCAAACCGATACCTTCCGGGAACCGTCTCTGCACCTCCAACACGCTCTTCCAAACCTGTTCCCTTGCCTGCGAAGACCGAATATCCTTGGGCAAGGCAACTCGCAGAAGACTGATAGCATCGATCGTTGACAGAAGAACAGGAACTACCAAGGGTGTGCCTTTCTGTCCTGAAGGGCATGGTTGCACGTCTCCCGGAGTTGGTGTCGTAGCATTTCTATCCTTCGGTACGTTGGAGCCTACCGCGCAGTTGAGCAAAACATCGACCACATACTGCTCGTGAGGAGATATTTCGTCGGGAATGGGTACTGGCCGATTCTACATAATCTTGATGTTCAGCAAGAAACTTATATAGTTAAGGCTCAGACTCACCTTTGGAGGTACACGCTTTTGATAGTTAATGATCACACCCCACCCGAAGTCGAGTTTCTGGTATTTGACCTTCACTAATCGACCTGATTGGAGGAACGGAAGGCTGTAGCTTGGATGTGTGATGACTTCCTTGAAGTCAGAAGCCATCTGATCCAACTGCTGCCTATAGTCGTAGTACTCTGCGACAAGAGGTTCGTCGGGAATGACAACCGATTTCCTCTTCTCCTCTTCCCGTCGTAGTTCTGATAATGAAGGTCAGCATAGAATAAAATCGCGCAAAGGATGCCAATAGACTTACCATCTTCGAGCATAGGGACTCCAGCGCTACTCTGGAATTGGAAGAAACACCTCTCAAGCATATACTCCGGGCTGATCCCTTCCACCTTCAACAGATTGAGTACCATGTTGTACCCAAGGTGGAAGGCAGAATCTAACCTATCCGCCTCTCCCTTGATCATTCCCTTGGCGGCGGCGGGTTCCAATTTCTCGTCAACCATCATGATAACGACTCCTCTGTCATCCAAACCACGACGACCAGCACGACCGGACATCTGAATGTACTCGCCGGAGGACAAATTCCTGAATTCCCGGCCATCGAACTTGCGCACAGTGGTGAAGACGACAGTCTTCGCAGGCATGTTCAGGCCGATGGAGAAGGTCTCTGTAGCGAAGAGGACTTTAATGAGACCCTCTTGGAAGAGAATCTCAATGACTTCTTTGAGAATGGGGAGTAGACCACCGTGATGAATACCGATACCACGTTTGAGAAGGGGAAGAAGATTGGTTATCTGAGGAAGCTGGCGGTCATCGGAAGCAAGGTTGTCGATGGCGTTGTTGAAGATGCTGGTGATCATGTCTTGTTCTTCCGTCGCGTTAAACTCGAACTTGGACATGGCTAAAGCGAGAGCTTCACATTCACGTTTGCTGAATGCGAAGACAATGACAGGGTTGTAATTCTTTTGCATGATCATCTTGACAATCTTCTGGATATCGGATGGACCTGAGGGTGTTTACATTTAATGAGATTCTCTGCACTTATGTTCAGATCTTTGAGAAGTACCTTTTTTGTCCCCTCCACCCTTCTTCGACTTGCCCTTACGTCCCTTCCCACTCCTAGGGTCTGCAGGATCATCGCCTTGTTTATCTTGCAACGAACCCATCGCCTTGCTGAAGTTGTCTTCCCGGAACTCGCCCTTCTCGTTAACAACCAAGTAGATACCTTCGCCGCCTGCAGGGAACAGGTAATGCTGAAGTGGCGTAGGCCGAAAATCAGTGTAGACGACGTGACAAGGCTGTTCGTGGGACTTGCATATCCATTCCGCAAATTGCATAGCGTTAGGGATAGTGGCAGACAAGAAAACGTATCGGACACTGTGAGGCAGAAGGATAATCGTCTCCTCCCATACAACGCCACGCTCTTTGTCGCGCATGTAGTGAATTTCGTCAAAAATGACCCATGCGACTTCACGCATGATTTCTGAGCCTCGGTAAAGCATAGATCGTAGAATCTGAAACAAGGTAAGTAAAGCAACTAGAACATTAAGGCTGTGGCGTACCTCAGTAGTCATCACCAGACACGTCGCAGACGGATTAATCGTGACGTCTCCAGTCATTAAACCAACATCTCCGAATGCGGCGAGCATTTCACGGTACTTCTGATTGCTCAGAGCCTACGCACGAGAATACATCTCAATATTCTATGACACATGATAGACATATATCTAACTACTGGCCTTTATTGGACTTGTGTAGATGACTCGCTGTTTGTTTTGAAGACATTGGGCAATAGCGTATTCGGCTACGACAGTCTTACCCGCAGATGTATGCGCGGAAACGAGGACACTTTCGTTACGTTGTATAGCATATACAGAGACTTGTTGGAAGGGGTCCAAAGTAAAGTTGTATTCTCGTACAGGCTTTGCTGGAGGTACATGTTGCGAAATCGGGATGTAAGGATATCCAGGTGGCACAGCTACTTGATGGCGAACCTGCGAAGTAATTATTAGTCGATATTCGCATCGACTAGTCAAGACACGCTTGTACGAACCTGGTGGCGAAGTTCAAGACGAGCACCAGCATCGACCGTAATCGGAGTAAGACCGGCAATGACAGGAAATTCTCGCTTTGCCTCAATTTCTACTTCATCCACAACGACAGGTTGCGGGGAGGCAACCCTTGGCTTTTTGGGCACTGACGGTCCAGCATCCACTTCCATAGATGAACTAGATTTGTCAGGTTGTGCGGGTGAAGCATCATCAGCCTTCCTTTTCTTAGGGAATTCATCCTCGTCTTTAGGTTGCTCGGCGTCCATATGGGCATTATCGTATGTCTCCTCGATCTCAGCATCCTGAGGGGCCTCGTCGAGGAAAGAGAACAGATCCGCAGAGCTCATGGTGTTCGATCAATCGTCCCTGGTAGCTGCGAAAGAGTCTCGTAGCTGAACAGGGTTCGACGTGTGTCAGGAAATCAGGCACAAGCCTTCCAAGTTGAAGCAGAGAAAAGAGAAAAGCAGAAAGAACGAAGAGCGTAAAGAGCAGACTGGTATTGGTAAAGAAATGCTTTCCGCTGAGGAAGTTGCGAAATTAAGACGCACGTGGAATAGGCGCGCATATATTTTCTCGGCAATTAGCGCCTCTCTATACTTGAGATTCGACCATGATATGTATAGCCCTTTCAGCTTGTCGTGTCATTTCGGGGTCTCTTATCCTCTTGTATCTCTGGCTTGACTCTGGCTCTATACGAATGGTTCAAACAAGTGGAGTCTCGCGGATGTAAGATTCACATTTATGCTGATGTGACTTCATAACTTTTGCAGGAAATACCAAGGTACACTCTGGGTCCAAAGGGAGAGCATTAAAATAGTGTGTCCGAGGAGCTGGAATTCAGCCCGGGCTCCTGTGGATTGATTCTGCTGTGGACAGATTTGACACGCTATTTTTGGTGTCTGCCTATTTCCCCATCTTCGCCACCCTCACATACTGGTCCTATGTTTTGTACAGGAACTTGGCTATAATCATGACCTGTTCTTATGGCCGTTCTCGGTTGTTCCGTATGACACCATGTACACACCGCACAAGTCGTGTTCATGGTTCAATGTTCTTCATTGACTCCAACAGATAGCGTGTGTATATACTACTGATACAGTGCGTCTTGTGTCAGGGTGTTCTCATGCCTACGCTATTGGCTTCCGTCATTGAATTGGCGATAGGGTCAATCTGGAACCTGAACACCTTCTCGGGGAGTTGTGACTGTGAAGACCTGTCTGTCATGTGAAGATCCATGGAGGTTTCCACCGTGCTCTCTCAGGCAACTGCGAAGTCTCATGATCCTGTCTGCGAGGGTCCCGTTGATTGAGATCAGTCAACATTTCAGCGATTGTCAAACCTTGCAGCTTATGGGGTGAGTATTGCTCACTGCATTTCGGCAGGAACTGACTGTCACCTGCAGCTATTAGTGTCTTGCGTGGCCTGGGCGTGCCGTTATGTCGGACACAACTATGTCTTGAATACACTCCCTGGTATGGTATCCCTCCGTCATTCCTTGACGGTGACTATTCAGAAGCGTCATTCAGACGTTCGGTGCCCGAACTTCTAGCTTACAGCCATCTCAGTCCAGATTGTTCCGGCCATTTTCGACTTCTATCTAGGAGGGAGCTTGCAAGGGGCCGCAGCCTGCCCGCATAGCATAATCTTCTTGTGTGACCTCCTGACCAGAATCGAAGTTGCGACAAATCGTTGCATGATGAGTGGCTGCTGAATCATACCTCACGTGATATGCATAATAGAGCAAGTCTCTCAAGTTCTATGATGACACTGAGCCTTCCGAGGCAGTCATAGTATTTATATAGCCCGCTGAGTTCCCAGGTCCTTGTTCGCCTTACTCTCCGCCTTATCGCACCACTCTACTTTGACCCAACCAGCTTTGAATCCAGAGTTCAGCCATGCCATCTGTAACAGCTTTGAAGAGCAAGGACGGCGCTGTCTACACCACTTCGACTGGTGCGCCAGTTGCTGAACCATATGCCGTCCAGAAGATTGGTCAGATTGGCCCGCTCCTCTTGCAAGGTACGTCAATCATCAGTGCTTCTTACTAGTCGTGACTTACTGTTTCTCCGACAGACTTCCACCACATCGATCTATTGGCTCACTTCGACAGAGAGCGAATCCCCGAGCGTGTTGTGAGTAGCCCCTATTCAGGATAATAGAGAAATTGTAGAGAACGTAGGACTGATCTAACCCTATTCAGGTCCATGCTAAGGGTGCCGGTGCTCATGGTTACTTCGAAGTCACTGATGACATCACCGATCTCACTTGTGCTGCGCTCTTCAACAAGGTCGGCAACAAGGCTCCTACCACTGTCCGTTTCTCGACTGTCGGAGGCGAGTCTGGTTCTGCTGACTCTGCTCGCGATCCTCGAGGTGAGCCTTGCATTGCATGCACTCGAACATGATCAATTTGCTGAATGTGATTGAAAACAGGTTTCGCTATCAAAATCAAAACTGAGGAGGGTAACTTGGACTGGGTGTTCAACAACACCCCTGTGTTCTTCCTTCGTGACCCATCAAAGTTCCCTCACTTCATCCACACCCAGAAGCGTGACCCCCAAACTCATCTCAAGGTCAGAGCCTCGGTTTCAGCAATATACTTCCAGTGGTACTTACGTCTTTATTTTCGATCAGGATGCAGACATGTTCTGGGTATGATTAACATTCAATCACGTTCAGATCGATAGTGATAGATTCATTGTGTGCAGGACTATCTGTCACTCAACCCGGAGTCTATTCACCAAGTCATGATCCTCTTCTCCGACCGTGGAACCCCCAATGGTTACCATCATATGCATGGCTACTCCGGACACGCACTCAAGTTCGTCAACGCTGCGGGCAAGTTCACCTACGTCCAAATTCACTTCAGGAAAGACGGCGGCTTCAAGACCCTTGATAACAATCAGGCTACAAAGCTTGCTGGCGAGAATCCCGACTACGGCTTGCAGAACCTGTTCGAGGACATCGAGAATGGCAAGCCTCCAAGCTGGACTGTCTACGTCGTGAGTACTTCTGAACTATATCCGCCATAATGACATGCTAATCGGCACTTGCGTCACTCTCATAGCAAACCATGACGCCAGAACAAGCCGAACAGTACCGCTACAATATCTTGGACTTGACCAAGATTTGGCCACACTCTCAGTTCCCACTCAGGAGGATCGGCAAGATGGTCCTCGATAGGAACCCCGAGAACTACTTCGCCGAGATTGAGCAGGTGCGTAGCAAACGGTCAACTCCATACTTCACCCAGTCTGACTAACTCATTGTATCACAATAGGCGGCATTCTCGCCTTCGCACTTGGTTCCGGGTATCGAGCCTTCCACCGACCCTGTCCTCCAGTCTCGTCTCTTCTCGTACCCTGATACCCATCGTCATCGTCTCGGTCCGAACTACAATCAGCTCCCCGTCAACGCACCCATCGTCCCTGTTGCGAACTTCCAGCGTGATGGATTCATGGCTATCAATAACCAGAAATTCAGGCCTAACTACCAGAGCAGCTTGCTGCCCTTGACGTGCGTATCGCTCACGTCTAATACAGTCATGAAAACTGACGTGAATCATTACAGATATAAGCCTAAGGTTTATGAGAACGCGCAACATGAGCTCTGGCTGGGTTACGCCAATGCCGACTTGAGCTACCTAACTGAACGTTCGTTGTTCATCGTCCCACATTCTTGACTACTGGCTGACGGAGTTGAGTTTCTAGTTGACTTCGAGCAGCCTCGTGCTCTTTGGGAGAAGGTCTTCGACAACACTCAGAAGGATCACTTCGTGAGCAACGTCGCCGGTCACATCAGTGGCGTGAAGAGCCCTGAGGTCAAGGCTCGACAACGTGAGTAACTTTGGATCCAGTTCATCTCCAAGAGATGCTAAGCCGTGTTTCCGCAGTCTCCGTTTTTGCCGCTGTAAGCCAGGACCTCTCAGACCGCATTGCCAAAGCCATCGGACACCCTGCTGTGAAACCCCTCGTCGTCAAGCCCGCTTCTGAATCGGTTCGCTTCAAGCCCAAGGCACTCTGAATGATGTGTGTTCGACGGGGATGAGGTAGTTGAGCAGATATAATGACGTTGTACTTTTAGATAAATTCATCATTGCTGTATCATCATTGTCACTTCGTGTATGAGTAGTTTTTCAAAGCTCACCATCGCTATCACCATTAGCTTCTATGTGAGCCTGCCTGTTCTCTCTGAGGGCCGCCGCGAGCGCAATGGATAGAGACAAACTTGCCCGCTTTTTCCTTTCTCGCCTAACTTCTGAGGAACATGCAATGTCGACATAAACTTACAGAAAGCACGAAGATATTATCTGGGGGCAGAATGAAAACCTTACACTTTCGAGCTCGCCCTTAGTACGATGAGAGTGGCGCAGAGATACTTCCTCATCGAGAAGTTTATGTCACCGGTGTTTGCCGAAAAACTGTACAGAACACACCGGCTTGGGCGCGGCAGGAAACCTTGTGTATTACCGTTTCGGCAGGCAGCAAGTAGCACCAACTCCTCAAGACCTCCAGCAAAAATGTCGAAACGCGGTATGTAATGCTGCCAAAATGCTGCACGAGAGAATACTGACACGAACGAATCGTCGTTTCCTACAGGTTAGTATCTTTCCGAATGGTCAAGATTCATGTCTTCGAGACAAGACCATCCTAACGAACTCATGCCACAGGTTCGGGTGCCTCTGGAAACAAATTCCGCATGACCCTTGGTCTGCCCACGGGTGCCGTCCTCAATTGCGCAGACAACAGCGGCGCGAAGTCGCTCTTCGTTATTGAGCCCTACGGCACTGGCTCCCACCTGAACCGACTTCCCGATGCCGGTGTTGGCGATATGTTTGTTGCGTCCGTCAAGAAGGGAAAGCCCGAATTGAGGAAAAAGAGTGCGTAGTTCATCCTTTGGAGCTGGATGGTGTTGATTGGGAGGAGGACGGGTGGCTGAAGGCGCAATTGTACATTCATGATATTGACTGCGGCTTTCCCCCTTTCCTAGCGATGCCCGCCGTTGTTATCCGTCAACGCAAGGCATGGCGTCGACGAGACGGTGTCTTCCTCTACTTCGAGGTCAGTGCCATTCTCTCTATGAATATTTTTGTTTTGTTGACATTTGTGTGTGTAGGACAACGCTGGTGTCATTGTTAACCCTAAGGGTGAAATGAAGGGATCTGCGATCACCGGACCAGTCGCAAAAGAATGCGTGCGTATCATAATTTCTCCTTAATTCGATAATATTTATTCTTCCACAATCACAGGCGGATCTCTGGCCGCGTATCGCATCGAATGCAGGCACTGTCGTATGAGCACATCTTTTATCCTGTTTTTCCATGTTTGTATTGCGTATATGACACTGAATGCATCTTCCACGCTATGTCTCTCGGTTTCTCTTTGTATCCGGTCATATTGGGTTCTGATTGAACTGTGTGCATTATCGGCTTGAACGTTCTTCGCCCATGCGGACTCATCAAGCTCAGTCATACCAGTGAGAGCAATACCAACCGGTGCTAACACCGCGCAATGAATGTTCATGCTCTTACTGCGCACAGCACCATCTTGACTTCTAAACAAAACCAGCAAAGCAGGTTCGTCCTATTCCTACCGGTTTCCTGCCAAGCCGTTATCATGAATTATGTACAGCCATGCGTTCTTTTACTTCTGGAACAAGGTTTTTCTTTCTTTTCTAGTGAGTATCCTAGGGCTAGTCTCCCACAGACAGTGTAGACAAAGGTTCAACCTTCATACATCATACCTGTCTACCTCGGGCGCCTGTCACTAGTCCCGATACTTGACCTAAAGGCGAGTGCAACTCTCAACCAGGGTATTCCCAACTTTGTCTCGTTCTTTGCCATTATTCAGTCACGCATTAACAGTTTGGAAAAGAATCAGCGGACGCATGTACCGCGCCAGGGGTATCATTCGAATCCAAGAGAGGTATCCAGGAATGATACAGTGCGAACCGCATCAGAGCAACTCGTACAGAACAATAAGGTATGATACAACAAAACGCCCGAAAGCAGAACGATGAAGATGAAGATGCAGCAACAAAACAAAGGCAACTCACAGGTGCGAAAACAAGCGAAGAGAGCAATGATACAAGTTAGAAGAGTTAGAAGAGGTAGAAGAGACACAACAATAACATCGATTAAGGACGGATCTTGTAGAGAAAACGGGCTGCGAGCCTGGGGTGCACTGCCTTCAAATGACGACGACAAGCGTCGCCCCTTGCAAAGGTCTTGTCGCACACCGGGCAAGGAAACACTTTAGCAGGAGGTGCATGTGGGGGGCGCAGAGGGCAGACATCGGCGGAATCCATATGTCGAACGGAGTCCGCCTTTCGTGCGAAGGTATTGATAACGGTATTGTCCCCCTTCATGTGGCAGCCCCAGCCGCAAGGGAATCTGCCTATCTCGTTACGCTCGAGGAGGTACAACGCCTGTAGCTCATCTGCCGACATCTCCAGCAGAAGCTTCGTTCGCAGCTTCTTTGAAGGGGAAGCAGCACCTTCAGGTTGTCTTCCACGCTTGGTTCCAGCCTTAGCGGCAGCCCCCCGAGCCTTAGACTTTTGACCAGACTTCTTCTTTGACTTCTTCTCCTCGTAGTCATGCTCAATGTAGTCTCCATCTTCGTCGTCGTCAACAAGAGCATCGTTAACGTAGTCTGCATCTTCATCTTCGTGATCGCAGCAAGAGTGCTTCTCTTCCTCCATAACAACATCGTTGTCAACAAGTGTGATGTCAGAGCCAGGAGACTTCGAGCGGAGCCTAGACGCAACACCGGCAGGGCTTGAAGATGCAAGCGAAGACGAAGAGGTGCAAGGCGAGCAAGCAGGAGACACAGTCTTAGTGCGAGCTGGCGGTGGCGTACTAGCCAATCTGAGGGCTGCGAAAGCCGGAGTAGCGGCAGTACTACTAGCTGCTGGAGACTTGGATTGACGAGATCGAGAAGGAAGAGGTGCGATCTTCCTGACTGCAGATTTAGGGGCAGCGGTACGCGGAGCACGAGTGGTTCGAGGAGAGGTGGCCTTCGACGAACGACGAGCAGGAGCAGCAGGCTTAGCTACAGGACGAACAACGGGAACAGGTGCGCGAGATGACCGGCGTGCAGGCGCGGGCTTGGATGACGGGCTCTTGAAAGGCAGAGGGATGCATTCAGCCTTCTGGGGGCTCGCAGCGCTGATGACTGGCTCAATCGGGGAGGACGGAGATGACGGCGAACATGATGTATCTGATTGGATCTCCATGGTCCACCACTCATTGGGAGGCGTGATATCGGAGAGACTAAGAGAGTACTGCGATTCACTCGATGAGGGATCGCTGTAGGTCGACGATAATGGGCTGGGGAAGGACGTGAGACTGCTGAAGGGTCCTTGAGGACTGTCTGAAGGAAGAAGTTTCTAAGCGGGGGATATCAGTACGGGCGAGTGGCGAGATCAGATAACATAACTAACCATGTCGCGTAGCCAGAGTGTCATACATTCCTCTGGGAACAGACTGGCCATATTATATTCGCCTGAGTTATATTTGTCGAATACTGTCGAGACAAAATCGTGATCCCACGCATCGAATTCCTCGATGGTTTGGAGGAAGGGAAGCCCTGGGAGGGGTGGAAGGTCCGAGGATATGTCCTTGCGATGGTCGAGGATGGTGTCCAGACTACGGCCTTGTAGCCTTGACAAGTGGAGGTGAGTGGAAGCGGACAGTGAGGTCACACCAGTTGAGCGGCCGATGTGGTGGCGACGTTCCGAGTCCCTCCAAAGGCGCTCGGCGTAAGGTAGCAGAAGAGAGACGAGTTTGCGGTATTGTTCACCGACGATCGGCAGCGTAGGAGCCCAAATGATGAGGCTAGAGTCGTCTCGCTACAACAATACGTTGTGTCAGATGTGGACGCTGATGGATTGTGGGTAGACCTACAAGTATTGCTGCATAGTGATTGGTATGGATATATGATGTGAAGTTGCGGTTGTTGATGATGGGAACTTCATCACCGTTATCCAATGTTAGGACATGGACGTTAGAATCGCTGGAGTCGCGTCGAAACATACGGGCAATCAGCGCACAGACAACAGTAAATGTCAAAAAATAGACTGACCATTGGCGAAGAATCGTACGGATAAGGATTGACTCAAACTTGCATACCATATCTACCGGGAGAGCGTTGACAAAGTTTGCGAAGACGGAGTCGTACTCAAAGTGCTCCGGACAGACTTGCACTTGACGATTATTGTTGCGAGAGCATACTGCGACTAGGCGATCTCTGCCGGGGCATAAAGGCGAGGATTTGTTCGTAGTGCCAACTTGCGTGTCGACTTCGAAAATATTGTCGGATACGTCTGGGATGGATTCCAGCATACTGGGGAGGGAGATTCTGTGAAGAGAAGATGATCCATGAGAAGCCACGACTGAACACTTTAAATCTCAGGAGCGCTTCCAGGAGAGCGCCGTCCGTCCTCGAGGTTACAGCAAGGTACCCAAGAACGACTGCCAAATCAGTCATGGTAGCCGCGAAGATCTGTATCGCCGAGGACCGGCCCATCAGCAATAATTGAATGGTCGCATTCCATGGAATTCAGAGCTGATAAAAGAAGAAGTCTGGGTTTAGGTGACAAAAGATGTGTGCAGATAGCGAGAGTGCCTGATTGATTGAGCCTAGTCTGAGAATTCCGTTGGAAGAATGAGGTTGCGCAAGCCAACGGAAACAATTGTCCAACATCCCTCCCTCACACCGTTATTCGGGCTTCATGAGCACCCATAATGTGAGTACATTGTATCCTCAGGAGGCTATGCCTCAGATGCAGGACAACGTCGACATTGTACACGTAGGCATGCATACTCATTGGACTGCCACAAGAGCACGCGAGAACCAGACACCCCTGAAATAAATAGAAACATGGGTGAAGCACATAAGGCTTCTCGAAGACGTTTCAGCGGAATGCTGTAATCTTCGGTCAAGAGGGGGACAAGAGTAGAACAAGAGCAGGGAGGCTCTGAGCGAGCGTGGGTGATGGTGGGTGATATGTCGCCGAAATGGACCCACAGAGCCAAATATATGCAAAGACGATAATCAGATCTGCGACCGGATCAGGCATTCTTTTCCGTATCCTCCCCAATCTCGTCTTCCCTTGTGACCTTCATTGGCTGTCCTTGTCTTTCTGATTTTTGTTCATGAACGCCCGGCACATCGTCCAGAACGCGGCCATGGGCTGTGCGAGCAATGCTAAAGTACTACCATGCGTCGCTAGGCGTGGGTTCGAGCTGGCATCATTGCCTAGGTCCTTCTGCCTGATATCTACTACGGCTCGGTGGCCGGTTTTCTCTCACAGATTGGTCTTGGAACGTGGACTACAGTCTGAACAGCCTGTTCTCTGTTGGCTTCAAGCACGTCGTATAGCGCACTTCGTCAGGGTCGCATCTGAGCAACTAACTCTGTTGGCAGCAAGTTGGCTTGGTTGTAGGATCTCCTTCTCCCTTTCCTTCGTAGATCTTCGACTTCATCATGAAGGACGATCAATCATATTTGATGACGGAATAGGTGTCGAAAATCAACTACTACTCACGTTGCCCAGATGGCAATCGTCTCCGGGCTGCACGCCTCCGTGCATTCAGTTCCAATGCTGTGGTATCACGAGCTATATCTAATTGTCTGTCCGTGCCGGAGGCGCCTTGTCGTCTGTTGTTCTTTTCTAGTGTATTGCTTTATTGCTGAAGCACCGAACTCGTCGGTGTTCGCCTAGCCACCCTCCGGCGTGAGTGCTATGTCTTTCCTTCCTTAGTCTTTCGCTCACATCATCTGCCACCCATATGGTGGTGCAGGATCGTCCTTACTCTTTTAGCACATATCAATCAAGTTGTACGTGATACTGCCTCCATTTGATGTTCTCAGGTGCTCTACAAACAGCGCTCAGAACAGTCTATCCTTGTCTATCTATACCATGACCTGAACTTCTTGACAACCGTATAACCCGAGTGCGACAAGGGCGATCTTGCAGATCTCATTGCCGTGTCTCAATTCAACGGAGAATGGCGTTCTAGCGCCATTTTGACTGATTGCATCTCGTTGACGGCTCGGTCTCACACCGGCCGTTATGCGCTTCTCAGAGATACTGTATGTCGAGATTTGAACGCCTTCCGGGCTCTCCTTTTGTCTTAACCTCGATGGAAACCATCTGCCTGGCAACGTATGGAAGCTCTCGCGTATAGCAGAAGCTGTCGGAGCATCGACAGTGTCCTTTATGGACCCCAGAACGTTGTGATTCGTTGGCTCTTCACTATTAGTGGGATGATCACGGATGTTTTTCCGCTTTCGTCCCGACGATCCCCGGCTGCAAACTGTCATGTATCGCCTCCAACTTTCATCTCTTCCACAGGTATGAGATCCTGTTCATCTTGCACAGTTGGACGTACTCATAGACGTTGTTAACTCCATGAAGGACTGTCGGCGGCGACGGCGGATTTCTGTATCGGACAACGGAATGGTTGCCAGTCTCCATTATTCCTGTTATCTACCTTGCCTTGCAGATCCCATGACCACATGATGTTGCCCGATCGCCTAAGATAATGGAAAGAAGCATGACTTGTGACTTTTATGAATAAGTGCATCAAAATGCATGAGCTTATTGTGCCCCAATTTGAATGGTGCCAGTAGGAAGTTTTCCGGAGCCTTGGGAGCATATTCCGAGTCGGAGAACTCGCTGCGAAGGAGACATGAAGGCAAGGCAAATGGCGAGTAATAACTCAGGCACTCGTAACGCATGTATCCCTCACCTTTTCCGCAGGGTTTGCACGGCCGGGACATCGCAATGACTGGACTTTTCGGTATGTTTTAAACCACGTCGGTATCAGTCAGTATCTGAGATTCGCAGGATACTAAAACTAATTGTTCAGACACAAAATACCCACTTTCCGAGGCTTTGGCTAAGACATCCCACATGAAGTAAATTGAAAGGGAACACAAAACTACACAAAGTCATTCCCGCGAAGGTGTGAGATGTACTAATTTGGACATCCTTGTACACCGGCGTCAAATATATTCTGGGTGGTGCGAATGTCTCAGAAATTCCCTTGTTCTCAGCGATGCATTTTCACCTTCGACGGCGGGATGCAATGTCTTCCCTCCCGAGCTCATGATTTGTAAGCTTGCAGGCTATGTGATGTGGTACACGGGCTGTTCGAAGTCGTTGCTGCATACAGAGTCATTGGTGAGCGCCATGATACAAGGTTTATTGGCGGCGATGTCTGCGGATATATGACTCTGGCAGGTGCTTCTTCTTCGATACGACTATCATGATGTTCAGCAGAGACAAAGCACTTTCGCCCGGCGATATCTGGCTCGATCCTATCATATACACCACTCAATTCTCATCAAGCCTTCAGAGCCGAATATGGGAACTTCTCTTTGCGTCCTCGGTGGAAGCGATCTCGTCCAATCGTGCTGGTATCCTCGATTTTGCCCAGTATGACTGCATATACTCGGCTACAGTCAATCTGGTAACCGAGGTAGTGGAGGAGGATGAAGACATCATGGATGAGAACGACGCCAGCCACGCCGAAGATGCGCGGAAGAATGACGATGCCAGTGAGCATACCCTCTGGGAACCTTTGCAGGAGGGCGATAAAGCAGATAAGGCAACTCCACCCAATCCTATCATCGGATTCGTGTACCTGGCTTCCGCTCAGTATCCAGGTTCGGTGAACCTCGGAATCGTGATGCTGCCAGAATTCCGTCACAAAGGCTATGGTACGCGGGCTGCGCGTCAGCTCCTGACATTAGCCTTCGCTGAATTCCAGTGTCGTCGGGTTCAAGTGCAGATCGGAGTCGCAGAGAAAATACAAGAGAACCACATCGTTAGGATGTTCACTACACTAGGGTTTGCACACGAGGGTGTCAACCGACGTTGCTTGCTTATCCCATCACCATTCCTAGACGAGCGTCAGGTCGGTGTGCGTGAAGAATCGCGACATGTCATTATTCTTGCTATGCTTGATATGGAGTGGGTGGTGTTGAGCAACCAGAAGGCGTTACCTGTTGCGTTCGTGAAGACACGGTGGGATGAGATGTTCAGGAGGCATCAACGGGAGAGGGACTGCATGCTTGCTGTCGAAGAAAAGGCAGATACTATGCGCAAGGCTCTTCGTCGGACCTCCAGTATGGAGACTGTCAAGGACGTTCTGTTCGTCCCGATCAAAGCTGAGGCGGAGACAACAAGCTTATCCATCCAGGCGAACAGTTCATCGTCACCATCATCTTCCTCTATCTCAAGAGCGTCGGATCCTGTTCCGGAGGACGACGCTCAAAAGAGTCATACCCAAGTTTCTTACGCGTCCACAGTCACAACTAACGATGACATTCAGCCGCCTGTGCGGTATTGGCATCCCCCTAGTGACAGAGGCACGTCTGTAGATTCACTACGGGAGGGGTCTGGGAGCCCGGAATTATCTGATGCAGAGTTTGAGGGAAGCTATGCATCGTCACCTCCACGATCACCTCTGTCGTTCGCCGTTACGGATTCTGGCGCCGAATCCGACTGGGATCTAGGGTCTAACTGGAGTGGTAGAGCTTCACAAAGCGAGTCAGACTGGGATATGTGGGAGACATACTCAGACATCTCAGTGCGGAGACGGTCGATGGTGGACGGATGATCAATAAGTTCTTGCCATTTTGGATTCACTTGGGCAGAATTGGGAGTACTCGATCTCCTTATGTAAGTGCAGGAGACGACGGACACCTTGCAATTCTTGATTATGGTGTAAAACCGAACGATAAACATATTATTTATTGATACATGCTTTATTTATAGGAGGAACTGCTTTAGTGACAGTGTCGCAATGCCGGCAGTGCATGGTCAAATGTTGATGATGTTCATAAAGGGGCAGTTATACATTTGCAGTGTACCTGATGAACGCACGGTACCATTAGTCTGGAATCTACATCTCATAAACCATATGAACACTCATCCAAGTTGAGTTTTCATATATCGTGCTCAGCCGTGCAGCGCTCTGCTCATTGGTGTGTCGAATTTTGGCCTGGACAACCGAAATAATTGTGGTATTGAACATCGCAGATTAGAAATGAGATATTGCGCTTGATAGTGTGTTAGTGAAGCTTGCAAATTTCGAGAACGTCTAGATGCTAAGCTGACGAGAAGTTTCCCCGATAACAGGCGTCATGCGCGAGCGAATATCTTCACTGTTCAGTCACACACTAAGGTGCTGAAGTACGCAGAATGGGTAGAGAATCAAGGTTTCGAAGCACATGTGCGAAAGAGATACCAAGAGATCTCTTATCGGCACGAAACTAGCCGCGCCATTCCGTATACTTCTAAACGGAAGTGAGCAAAGTGCTATGGCTATCGCCGAAATCGAGTTGGGAAGAGGACGGAAAGAGACTTCGAACGGTCACCGTCAAATTCATGGTAGCCCGGACACATGAGGATCCGAAGTACAATATGATGATGGCTGGATAACGCACATGCTGCGACGAGGGGACAATGAGGGACATCCACGAGTATAGTACCCAAAGCCAGGGCTTAGTACCAATGCTTCCAAGAGGAGGACACGACGAATCATGTTGTAACAGATGATGTCGTGACGAAACCTCACGGAAGGACTTTCATATACCATTGTCCCCGACAAGATCAACACCATCTATGGCCAACGCATCACAGATGGTGTTGATATTGCCAGAGGCAGAACCTGGACGTTCATGCACATCTAGGTTCTGCCTCTTGACGGTGCAATATAGTCTTTTAAGGAGGTGTCAGCGGACATGCCGCGAACAGCACATCACTGCAGGCGAACAGTGCATGCCAGGATTGAGGCGATAATCTGAGATACAGCCGATATACAATGTTCCAAATATTGTTCCATCGGTATTCACATTAGTGAACGAGAGCTGACATGGTATCGTAATCTCCGCAGAGCACGGCGGATTGGAGCTTCGGGATGCCTCAGCCGCCTCATTCAGATGAAGCCATCGACTGCCACACTGAAGCCCATGTTCTCATACAATATTAGAAAACGCACGCACATGCTCATCATGATGCATCACTGCTCACCTTGTCCGGATGCAATTAGGGTTCATTTGGTGAGATCTTTCTATAGGCCGTGAGCAGGTCGCATGGTACATTTCTGCTGGCACAATGGTGCCACTCAGGAGCAATATTGAAACAATATATCCGCGATCGCGAAGCCTGAGGTAAGGGGTGACTTAATCTTGGTCTTCCGTCGCCAGAATATGAAAGTTTTAGCATTCAAAAGTTCTACGGTTTGTAGACCTCAAACGATGGTGACAGTTCCAAACAAGCTCCAAATGAAAGAGGGATAAGCGCTCGAGCTTCGACTATCCTTCGACCAAACTACCATGCATATGATATGATTTACTGGTAAAAACATGTACTTCACTTGATGCTGTCTTGGTGGCCCGTCTGAGGGACGTTGTGCATCTTAATTTAGTGAAGGACTATTCTACAGCTGATGCTTGGTCAGTATGCCACATGCATGAGCCACTGACATATGCCACACCGGAAGTCGACTTAAGCAATTCCCCCGACGCTTGCAGGAAATAAACAGTACGTTCCATCTAACTACCTTACATAAATGCTTGCAACATGAGCCATCAGATTTCAATACAGGTTACTTATGTACGTACACCTGACGCTCCAAACGACATTCAGATGAATACGTCTCTTCCCAGTGCAGGTTGGGACGGCGGAAAACGCCTTGGAACGTTCGCAAGTTGTTTGTCCTAGAATCTGAACTCGTTTTGATTTGAATCTCAAGTCCTAAAGCTATAGCTTCTCCTGCAAGTAATCCTATGCATTCCTCGAGATAGGTTACCTCTTTGCCTCCACACAGTCAGTAGGAGCGTAGGCTAGGCCAACACCTTGCGATTTAGTTTCACATGTTGTTGAGACTGTGAGTGCCATCTACACCGTCTGTACTCGTGCTGGTGCTGAACAGGTACTCACAAAGTATTGTTTCTTTACAAGCGACTCTTATGTGGAGGAATGCTGTTTGGACAGCGTATACAGCTCAAATTGTCAGGATGCAATTTCCTCTCATGCACTCTCAGAAACGAAGGTTCAACTAAGCAGGCGTCAGTAGAACCGGTCCGCATTTCCACAACAGTGCTGTCGCCCAATCTCTTCCTGCTGAGAGGTGCTCTGTTCTCGGACACAGTACTTGAGTGTGCACATGCCCAGCGGTATCGCAAGCCCGCCATCAATGTGCTCATCGGTAGTATTGACCGCTCCCGAGTTGTCTAGTTAATGACTCGACGTGACGCTGCTGAGCCACCGGTGGGTCCTTGAACTTTTTAGTTCAAATCCATTCTAGCTGTTCTTGTCTGCTCTCGTGACACAAGAAGCCTGTTCGTGACCCATGAGCCAATTCCCGCCTGTAGACTCTTCCACCATCCACGATGTCCGAACGCATTACCCTTGACACAGAGGTACTCACATCTCTGTACCTTCATGATGGATCTGAAGCGCAGAAGAGTATCGTACGCCTGCAGATTGAACATAGGATCGAACTGGTTAAACTCTGGCGCATTCGTCCTGGAGATACTATCCTCGAGGTCGGTTGTGGACAGGGCGATTGCACCGTGGCTCTGGCTGCTGCTGTCGGAGAAGAGGGACATGTCACAGCGTTGGATCCAGCTCCAAAGGACTACGGCAAGTCAAACATTTTCACCTCTACCTTCCGTCCCCGACTGAAGCCTACTTGACGCCAGGTTCGCCATTCACCGTAGTTGAATCCCAAGCGCATATACATGCCGGTCCTTTGGGACCTCGTGTTCATTTCGTCAATGCTGACATCGTACAATTCCTCCAGTCCACTCCTACGAATTTTACAATTGCTGTTCTTGCCCATTGCATATGGTACTTCGCTTCTCCAGAGACACTGGAGAGCATCTTCACCCAATTGGCCAGACGTGTGCAACGGATATGTCTTGCAGAGTGGTCTTTAACGGCCTCTGATATTCGCGGTATGCCGCACGTCTTCGCGTCACTCACACAAGCTTCGCTCGAGTGCCGCAAGAAGCATACTACGAGCAATATTCGCACCGTTCTCTCCCCCGCTGCCATACATGACATAGCGCAGAAGGCCGGACTTGAGCCCAAACAACAGAAGACATTCGCACCAGTGGAGGGACTGATGGATGCTTGGTGGGAAGTGAGTACTGTGCTGGGTCGTGAGTTCACCAAGGAGGTGGAGGAGCATGTGCAAGATGCGAAGGAGAGAGCAGTGGTATTTGCTCTTCGGGATGCAACACGGAGCAGTCGAACATCGCTGAAAGACAAGGGGTTGCTACTGCGGGCCATGGATGTTTGGGCCGCCGTTTACACGACCCGGAAGACAGCCTAGCCCTTTTTCCATCAAAATCTTCATTTTGCCAGGTTCTCCTTGACGACACCCATTTTGTGCTCAGCCTAAGACTGTCAAAACCATTAAAAAAAAATTGGAAAGAACGAGACGTTAATATTAACGTCTCGTTCTTTCCGTTTCCAATAGCATACGTAACTGAGAAACAGCGGTCATTCATTTGATCTTCACAAGTAAAGAGAATCTGGCGGCGAGCGCTTTGACCTTTGGCCTTGCGTCGTCAAATGCGTTTGACGCATTGCGCTCTCTTTGACCTCAACGTAATCAATTGTATATAAGAAGTCGTCTACCGTATCCAATGCCTCATCCTCAACCGACTCAAACAACTTTTCTTGCGTATCTCAAACTCCCCAATGACGGAACACACTACGGACGTTAATTCCAAATGCACTTGTGGTATCTGTATAGATGGATGGCTCTCTGCGAGGATGAGCGAGCGTTTGGAAAGTAAGGCCTTTGATCAAACATTCGCACATCTGCGACATGCAGCAATCTGACTGTCAATCACATCTTGTAGGTGAAGCAGATTTCCTGCAATATGCATCACTGCAACTCGCAGATGATCTAGTTGCAGATCCTGATATCTTGGGAGGCGGGGTATTGTCTGAAGTCTTTATTGGAGCCGATACCTCCCTTCACTATATTCCCACCGCTCTCCACGACAAGATGACCCCCCACTTCTACCACGGCTACATCTGTGTCATCCAGAGCATCCTAAGGATCTTGTTGACAGATCCTACTTCCAACTCCCTCCCTCTCCCGACTCTGGACGCCGTGACTAGCTACCTCGCGAATGTTGACGAAGAGGCCAAGAATGGTGGTAACTCTAATTATAAGGCGGCCATACAGTCTGAACTCATCCACGCCTACCTCGACCAAGGGGGCAAGATTGAGTACGCATTGGATGCGATCACGCATTTAGCCTACGAGAAATCGCCCATTGGCAGCCTTTATTCTCGTAATAATGATACTCAAGAGGAGAATGCGGCTTTGGAGAAGGAGGCTGACGACGCTGAGCTGCCCACGTGCGAGAACGACTTGAACTTCGAGCTCGTCAGGACAAAGCTCGGTTTGCCCGTTTCTTGGGAGGGCCCTCACTGGTTCTTCCTGACCGACCTCAGCGACTCGGATGAGGAAGATGAGGGGGAAGAGGTCTTGTACGAAGGCGTCAAGGATGGAGAGAAGTCGGAGGAAGAAACGAGCGAAGAGAAGATAGGTCCAGGCAAGGGCAAGGCTTGAAGATTTCGGACTCGGATATATCTACGACCAAGGGTCTGGCTGAACACCGACATTTTGCCTTCATATGCGATACCCTGCACTACTATACTATAGATATCCCAGATTCTTCGGTTTCATACATCCCTGCAACATCTTGCCTTTTGAGAACCCCCGTATACATGGGTATTGCTGAATGATGACCGAAAGTTCGAAGTAGAATGTAGGCACTACGAAAAGGTGTGAATAGCAAGGGGATTGTCAAGATTATCGACACAATGTTCCCGATTCCAAACCAAAAGAAGGTGTGAGGGAAGATATGTGTAAAAAGGATGGAGGCTCTAAAGTAAATATAGTTTAGAATACAGATGGGGCACCAAGACTGCTCTTGAACCTTTGCGCTATTGAGCAAAACACATTGTCCGTATACTTTATAGTAAGTATATTTAGAAAAAAAAAGAAAAGGAATTAACCAAAGGTTGCAAATGAAGTCCGGCTGGTGAGAATGAATGCTGCTATGACAGGATTGAATACCGCCGAGCCACGGGGCCAAGGAGAAGGGGGAAGGAGTGGATATGTGACATGTAAGCCGCCAGTAAGAATAATTGACCGTTCGAGAGGGGGAAAATGCTAGTACCGCAGATGAACGTGTAGATGTTTGAGTTCGACCCATGCTAACAGCCATCGAACTATTCACAACCAAAACGTCAGCTCTCAATGGACGTTGAACCATAACTACGTGACGCACAGCAGAGTTTTTCGGCCAGGAATAACCTGCGCCATCAGGTTGCGGCTGAGACCAGAAAGTGAGATTTGGATCTAAGAGGGTAGATGCATCAATACAGCAGCACGACCTCAGACCCATAACAACATACTGGTATATGCTTCCTCATGCTTGGTGATATAATCCGCAGTAGGGTAATCTGGTGGGTCGCATCCAACGTTCGTATGTCCTGTCCTCTGATACACTCGAACATAGTCGATCAAGTACTCTGCCGGAAACACCATCGTCGAGAGGTCGATCTTCTGCCAATTAGCAGAGATACCCAAGTTGAGGACGATAGACTAAATGTAGATAGGTTAACACCTAATGTTAATAACAGGCAAGTAGTCGCGAAAAGACGTACCATGGGTTCCTCTGGAATGAGTCTCTTGGAGACTCCTGATCCGCCATCGCCCTGATCAGCACCGACTGCTGAAGCGCCCATAGTGATCGAAGGCGTTCCGTCCACTTGCCAAGTAATGAAGCCTTCGTCGGGTTTACTAGGGTTCGCCCAGTACTCAAAACCTGACATTCATGTGGTGAGGAAGGTATTTGTGGTACAAAAGTAACAGGGCACACCTAAAGTCTTGAATACTTGACCAGATCCCTGGAACATGTCATCTGGAAGGTTTGTCAGACCAGAAACAGCTTGCTGACTATTGAACCAGTTAGTGACATTAGCATAGTCCTCAAGTCAATCTAAAACTTACACAGCGGAACCCCTGTGAAGGAAGAGTCAGCATCAAGCTCCCAATCCAAATGACATATCATACTTGTAATCATTCGCTCGCGTTCTACTTGAGTCATAGATCCACCAAGCATCCTGGGTGTCGTTCTTGTACAGGTAGTCGTGCGTAAAAGGTGCAAACTGTGCAGACTGCGACACTACTTGTCCGCCCGCACCGTCCGTCTTGTTTCGCTCAGCTTCCAGAATATCGATTTCGGGCGCACCACGTCCCTTAGACACGCTTGGACCGGGATGCTCTTCACCCGGACATGTGCAGGAACTACACGGCAATCGCAAAATCATAATCAGCCATCTGTCACGAAATGCATAAATAAACTCAGGACGTACGAGAGCCTCTGCCCAGGCAGCCAGGACAACTCGAAATTGTACTTTGACCTAGAATCATCGGAATGCAGCGCTGCTTCAGGTCCTGTCTTATCTTTGAATGTTTGGTTAGGGAATGTTCCAACGTCACAGTCGTCGTAGCTAAAAACGGCAACCGCGGTGAGATCATAGACGTCACGATGGTGAGAAGATGACATACGAGTAGGGCCAGGTACCGTCAGTGGTTGCTCCGTATCCAGGTCGCCCGAGGTTTCCCATCGTCCATGCTCCCGGCCACTAAAACAGAATGCTCAGTTGTCAGGTACATTGAATTGACAAAGGCAAACATTACTGACATAGCCCCGAGTGTCAGAGTTCGGTCCAGGAAGAGACATCGATACTTCGATGTATCCGCTGGAGAAGCAGAACTTGTTCCAGCTCTGAAGCATGCCACTCTTGTACTGCAACATGTGGTTCTGCGTGACGTCCGTAACCTGGTCCATTACAATACGGAGGTGACCGTCTTTCGTCGTGACCTGCGAGGGGTCGTACCATTCCTGATCAGCCGTAGCGCCATACCATAAATCCATCGCCTCCCAGAAAGGATCGTCGCCGGGATAAAATGTGCGACCATCCATGTTGAATTCATCTGAGAATACCAACTCATAAGGCTGACCATCGAATCCAGTCCGCGTCTTGGCTTCCTCGGGCGTGTCCAAGTCAATCATCTGAGGCAGTTGAAAGCTATGGGAACACAATGTTACACTGACAGTTCAACGTCGAGCAGATACAGAACTTACAGTACAGGTGCCTGACCAGTGCCATTTATTCGGATATTGCCGTCGATGGCAAGATTCCTGGCGTTATGGCGAACGAAGTAGAGGACAGGGTAGCAGATGAACAGGGTAAGGAGAGCGACAATGAGTATAATGAGAACCCCGAAGTTGAGAAAACCACGCCATGACCAGAGCGTTCGCTTGTTCTCGCCGTAGTCTGGCCTATGTAGGTAGTCATCGTCATCTGGGCCTTCCTTCATGTCAAGATCTGGATCGTATGCATAAGGGATGAAGCCTCGCTGTCCTTGAACAACGCCCGAGGGGTACTTGGAGTCGGAAGACAGAGAGAAAATGGAGTCGCCTGAGGAGGAAGCGACCGAATCACGCTGGTGGGTGATTTTCGGCGGGAGAAGAGGATCGTCGGGTGTATCACCAGCCAGTCGATAAAGGACCATGGAGCCTCTGTGAGCAGAGTTCAATGTTGAGAACTGCGATGCCAAGGCTTGAGACTCCTCAGAGGCGATTCGATTAAAATACGTGCTGCCTCGGGAGGCTGGACGCGAGCGGATTGCATGGCCAGTAGAATTGGGGTTGAGCGGTGAAGAAATAAAGTGGTTTGCTGACAATGAGCGAGACGATGCCCTCGTCGCAGACGAGCCAGGCTCCTTTGCATCTTGGGGTAGGAGAGGGGACTCAAACGTCGAGCTGTGAGGGGTCCTTGGAGAATTGACAACGTTCTCCTCAGGCGGCGTGCTCGATCCGCTAGCAAAAGGATTCTCCCCACTCTCCGCAGACGTTGGCCATGGTGCAGACATTGGCGACTATGGCGTCGACGTCGAGCGGGACGGTGAGCAAGGAGGGGGTGATAAAGAATATGCCCGCCTGCAACTGACCGCCCAGCCTGTCACGCCCATGCCCGTGGGATGGCTGTGTCACACAGGTCACAGCCTTGTCACACACAAGCTATTTTGGCTGGCATGATGTCGATATCATTCCTCGCCTCCGTCGCTGACATCCGCAACGATTCCATTTATCATGCTACAGACAACATACAAGAACGTTAAACTGCATAGCAGACAAAGCGCTTTTTAAGTGAGCAGAACGTTCTGCAACTCGAACAATTTAAAGCGCTTAAATCGTGGGTTCATCTCCCAGGCGGCTTGCAACTGACCGCAATAGCGTCGTCTTCCATTGCTATCTCGAAGGTCGAGTGTGATTAGAAGCAACTGCGTGTAGCATACGAACCTCGACGTCACGGGTACAATCGATGCGAACAAGAGCAGCGGACGCAAATGCAACACCAAAAAAGCCACAAGGTTCTGTTCAACTCGAACTTACAGACATCCGTTTGGAAAGTGAACTGCTGACTTCAGGATACGGAGATCTGCACCTTCATTGCATGCGAACAATGTAAATGTATGGAGTGATACTTACCGTATCTTTGATTGCATGACATCAGACTCGGCGAGCTAGCCTGGAGACCGGCAGGAATTGTACTTCCATGTGCGCGTAACGGACATATTACTACGATTGTTGTGCGACACACTTTATCGTTTGGAGAGGCCCAAAAGGCTAGCTGCTGACGAGTGAATATGTTTTTCAATGGAACACCTCGATGAAACTCGTTCAAGCTCCAAAACTCGGCGGCGGCACCTAGGCGGATCTGACTTGGGCGTAAGAGGATATTGCGTATACAATTTGAATCATGCTAGAGTGGAAGTGTTCCTGACCCTGAGATCTGAGACCTCAAGCTTGCTCTGTACGATTGCAATGGCTAATTCGAAATAACCTACAACAAATCTGTAAGGAGAAAATAGAACCCAACAGCCAAAGAGCTCGCCATAGGAAATATAAGTAAGGAGACAAAAGAGGAAGGCAGATATAGGATAACATACAGGGTCATCAACTATGAGTCTATTAATGGCTAGTGTAACAAAGTGGAGCGTAGGATAAGCAGGTACTGTATATGTCGTCCATGAGCGAGAAACGGTTGATTCAGGGAGAATCATTGAGACATGGAGAGAGAAAATACGAATGGACCGGGAAAGGGGACATGCATTCAAGCAAAAGAGCCTGGAAGAGGAAAATGGACTGTTGGTTGTACATGGGCACACTGAGTTGGTTAGAGTTCACAATGTGAAAATAAGAACCTATATCAACAGAGAGAAAAAGAAAAGGCCAGCATACATCTTCTTCATGGCTTATACGGCATTGTGTGCTTGTGAATCCTTGGGGGCATAACCCAGGGGTCTTAACCAAGTGATACTCGGCCTTCATCAGGCCTTCCCTGTCACCGGTAGGAGTGACTCTAATCGCTCCTCCAGGCCCCTTCCAAGCCCTTCCCGTTCCCATTCGCCTCCAACATCGTTAAGAATGTCGCTCGTCGGATCAGCGACTAACGCGCCGGCCGCATTGTGCAAGCTTCCGGCGCTGGATCCGGATGCTTGAGCCTGAGCCTGAGGCACACCCATCACACTCGGAAGATGCGGTGGAGGCTCGTTGGCAGAGGACAACATGAGCGTCGACAATGGTACTGTCTCTGCCGGAGTGGATGAAAGGAGGTCAGTGTAAGAAATGAACGATAGACGTTTGTTGCTGTGCTTCGGCGATGGCGGGTGTGAACCGGTCGAAAGCGTAGCAATCGATGTTGGGGATGAAGGGGACACGGCGGAGGAGGGGGACAAAGGCGCAGGCAGGGTATGTAGTGGGTGTTCGTGGTGAGTAGCAGTTGTTGGTGAGGATTCAGCGGAGTCAACAGAAAAGTACGCGGACGTAGGGGTTGAGGTGGTCGTGGTAGGAGGAACAGCTTCTGTTTTCACAGTCGGTCTGGGCAAAGATGTACTTCCTGTTGGCTGGGGGAGCTGCTGGAGAGGGAGAGGGAGGGTGAAGCTGGGACTAGGGCTTGGAATATTCAAGAGAACACTCCGCCTGTGACTAGTACCCGTCGGACTCGGACTACGACTGCTCAACCTTGATATCGGGCTGGTGAATCCGCTACGACTACCCTCGATAGGTACCGGGGCAACGATGGAAATGGCATCGAGGCCGTCTTCATCAGATGTAGGAGCGGTGAGAATCTCTGCAGCACTATCGAGCACCGAGGGAACGGATTGATCAAGCTGCTCGGTATGTCTGGCACGGGGTATATGGTGTGGATCGCTACTGAGCAGAGGAGGCGAGGGACTGATAGGCTCGATATCCCGCTCGAAGATGGCAGAGGACGACGAGTGACTGTAATATCATCAGCGAAAGAGAGGTTGCACGTTTATGATAAGACATACACGGATGTTGGTGATGAGGGTATCGAGGTTGGAGAGCGTGAACCCACCCGGTGAGTTCGTAGATGCTGTGAAGTTCGCTTGGATAGTCTATGCTCCTTCGTTGGACTAGCCAAATTGCCGTTCGAAGTAATATGCCGGAGGTCTGTAGGCGGAACAGTTATAGTTGCTAAAAGTTCAAGCTCAGTTACTGCCGAAATGCCTTAAGCACGGACCAGATACACTCACGATTGCTTGATTCTGGTGTAGATGAAGCCATAGCGAAAGTTATACAAAGGATATGGCGGTTGTACGAAGGGAAGATGAAAGAAGATGGTGGAGATGGAGAGAAATATATTCCCCCTTAGCCACTCAAACACACGGCACGTGGGCCGTGACCTCCTGTTCCGTATGACACGGCGTGACAGTAACCTACTGGTCACATTTGCTTCCGCCTACTCGTCCCCTTCCACCATTCATCTAGCCAGCTCTACTGTTGTTCTCTTGCCACGATCTCTCCACATTCTAGACATTCATTGTCTTGGGTGCTGGCCCGAGTGCGAGGAGCACGAAGTTCCGCATCGAATGCACTGCCCGCTCACAAACCGCTTCCGTTTCACACAGGCTTTTGGCAATACACTATTCATTCAGAGTATGTGCTTCGGCCCTTGTTCCTCTCGTTCTGCGCAGTTTCAACACCCCTCCGTTTCTCTCGGAAGGACCTTTCGACGGGCGAAGGGTTACCGTTGGTTTGTTGTCAGGAGCTGCATTCTCTGTTTCCTCAGCCTTGTCCTGCACGCATGTATGAATAGCACCGATCACCCCTAGCTTGCGTTGTATCGCATGCCCAGACTTGCTTACTTTCATAATGGCAGAAATCAGCAGCTTCACCTTGCGTTGTGCCTCTCTGCCGCAGTGTCTTCAACCTTCCACAGCTCTCGAAATGCTCCTAGAAGCCGGAGTCTTGGTCTGACTATGTTGCCTAGGGGGTTCAAGCGTTCATCATCTATACAATCATCGTTGTACTGATGTCAGAGCCTACTTGGAGTGCACGCATGCAGGCTCGGAGGGTTTTACTTCGAGCGTGTAAAAGCGGCTTGTTAGAAATCCCTTGATATCGGCGTATCCTGATTCTGATCATTGTCTCGGTCACAATGATAACTCTATATGACAGTCATTGTATCCGAATGCAATTGTATAGAATGGTGGCTGCTACTGGTTGCATTGCAGCTCGGATATGCTTCGCTTCTCATGCGACTGGCTATGTTGTAACCTGTTGTAAGCATTGATTGGGTTTGTCGGTCTCAGACGGTCTTTAAATCTTCCATCCGGCTCGTCGTGGGCTCTGTGGACTGTATATGGACTGTAGCGTGCCTGCATACATATTGGATCTGTCACCTATCGGAATATCGATGTAATGTCGACACTTGTTGAGTAGCATCAGCCTAATTTGTTCCAAGGCCTGTGACAGGTGCTAATAGTGTATCGGACCACTTACTATCAGTCGAGCAGCACAATCAGGAATAACAGGTCAGGATGTTCGTCAAGCCACATAGTCTGTACCTCCATTAGAAAGGTTAGCACGTTCTGTTGCAGATCTTATTGCACATGTGTTACGAGTTCGTGTTCACTCAGTCACTATTAAGGGCGATCAACCTCTGCAGATATCAAACATCACTAGATCTCCCTGCTGATGGCGCCCATGGATGTATCACGGATATAAAAATGAAAACGGAGGGGTTCACGTCTCCCTTGGTTGATTCCCATCTTTACCGTCCAGAGTTAGCCTGGTGCTAGCTAGTATAGTCCTTCCACAGCACTTCCTGTTTGATCAAAGAGTGTTGCGTGTTCGTTGCTACGCGTCAGTCCGTATGATAAGCTCTTTATGTGATGGCTCGAGGGTTTAAGTTCGCTGACCAGAAGTTCTCGTGATAGGTGCTTTCCCGTTCGTTCTCGAAATCTCATCTCAAGGTTACTACTTCGCGCTTCTCCTCAGGCCTGAAACGGATATGCAATCATACACAATCACATTCATCCTGGCAACCTTATTGATGATCATGACGTTGGCATCCGCTTCACCTCTTCCGTATGTGCCCATCTTCGTACTCATGATACTATGATGTGTACTAATATATTCCTTCAGTAGTGTTGCGGACCTTTCCGACGTATCCAAGCGGCAATTCGACATATTCCAGTGGCTCCAGGATCTAGATCGTTTGCGAAGAATTCACATTGGTGTTCAAGGGACATCTGCTGTCACCGGACTGGTCGATGAGCAAGTCGTCTCGGCATCTAGACGGTCCACAACCGAGCCTGTGGCGCTGGCTCCCGTTGCCACATTCACCCTTTCTTCAGCGTAGTAATGAACGACAATTCATTTCGTACAGTTGGTTATGTTGTTGCTTGTTGCATGCATTGATTAGGCTTGTCGATCCTCGACGGTCTCACGGCTTTCCACTTTCCATTTCTTATCGTGGGCATTGTATGGGCTGTGGCGCGGCTGTATATCGGACCTGCCACCCATCGGAATGTCGATGTAATATCGACAGTCCTGGAATAGGAATATCATGCAAGATGAGATATTGTGATGCACGAAGGTTGCGTCTCTGTGTACCCTGCCTCAGGAAGACTAGCATATCATCAGAGTTTGTTCGAAGGCCTGTGACATCCATAGCACTACGTTGGACCATGACGCTACATGTAAGTACCCGCGACCATAGATACTGCAAACTTACATACTATCTTAAGAGCCTAGCCACTTCAGACGAACTTCGGTCTGTACCTCTAAGTCAAGAACATCTTAGTTCGCGCTCACTCAATCAGTCACTGAGGGTAATCAGCCTTCCCAGATACAACACATGGATCTCCGTTGGTGAGAACATCCCCGGACGTATCACGAACCTAAAGATGAAAAGTTCCTTCAGTTGATTCCCATCTTTACTGTCTCGTAGTATAAATTAGTCACCGTACAAGGGAGTGAATGACAGTCGAGTATAAATACCAAAGTTTTTCTCTCTTTCCCATCTTTGCTATTCAAGTCAGCCTGGTGCTAACTGAGACAGTCGACAGCACTCCTTGTTCAACTGGAGTGGTAAGTACGCATGACCAGCCTTTTCTGTGGCGGTTCGAGAGTGTACCGTTTGCTGACCGGAAGTCCTTGCGATAGGTGCTTTTGCCATCGTTCTCATTTCAGCGTTATTACTTCGTGCATCACCTCCAGAACGAATATGCAATCACACACAATCACGTCCATCTTGGCCATCTTAGTGACAATCATGACATTGGCAACTGCTTCACCTCTTCCGTATGTGTTCATTTTCGTACTCATGATACCATAATGTGTATTAATATATTTCTTTGTTAGCGTTGTGGACCTCCATAGTACATCCAAGCGACAATTCGACATCTTCCAATGGGATCTAGGTCGCTTGCGAAATCTTCACACTGGTATTCAAGGGAGCTTAACAGGCATAAAGCCGAATCCTCCTTCAGTGCAGCAGCAGTGAAATGACAATGCATTTTTCAATCAGAATTAACGCAGCTGAGTGGCCGATGCAGCCACGATAACATTCGATGGTTGTGAAACTACTGTCAATGGACTCAAACATACTATGATGATCCGAGAATAAAGGCAGACGTGTCAGACAATCATAGCGCCTTCAACAGCATCGCGAACGATACCGCAACCAGTCGCATCACCCACCGGATAGCAGGGAAGACGATACGCCTGCTTGGGCTGATTGCAGGTGGTATAATAATGGCACCAGCCAATCCCCGAGTAAACCAAGCGTCCACTAAGACAACAGCACTGTCAGCACCTGCATGCAATACGCCTTCATGAACAGCCACGTACTGCACATCTGCCCGAGCCCTATGATCCAAAAATACGTCCACAACGTACCAGGTATACCTCCGACCCTCTTTCCAGTCACATACCTATAAAACTCCTCCATCCAAACGCCCAGACTTTGCAACACGAAGAAAAGAACAACGCGATAATCAACCCCCCTGCCCATCAGGTACGTTCCACCTTCGTGGAATAGTCCCGAAGCCAAAAAGGCTCCAAATATAAATCCTGTTCTCCCATAAAGATACTCTCCGGGTATACCGCCTAGTACAACGAAGATTCGTCTAAGAGTCTGGTGCCACCTTTGAGTCCAGAAATCGTGTAGCGACTCGGAATCAAAAGGCTGATCGAGGATGAGAGGCCACTCGGTTGGAGATTGGCCTAAGAGACCGACCCCGATGATCGTCAATAAGAGGTTCAGGCACTCTACGCCATTGGTGAGTGTGATGCCCGCGAGGAATTGAATACCTGTGGAGACGGCATAACGTTTGAATACGGGGTAGTTTGAAAAGAACATGCTTCCACCGCTGGTAGAACCGATTCCAGTTATTGACTTGATAAGAGACTCAAAGATGTCGGCGAGGATGAATTTCTTGATGAAGAGACGTGCGGTTTCGCGGAGAAACGCCTGACGTTCCAGGGGCCTGCGTTCCCTGGGAATATACGTCGATTTTCCAAAGTTCCAGCCTATTCCTCGCATTGTGGAGAGTGCCTCAACTGCGTCTGATAGCCATGCAGGAAAGATCCCATTCTGACGCCGCTTCTTCACGTCTTCTGAGTCGTCCAAGCTTTCTGGTTCGTTGATCGCTGGTAAAGATGTTTCGCCGACTTTTAAACGCGCAGTTTGTGAGAAAGCAAAGTCCACACTCAAACCGGCAGCGGCCAGTCCCGTCAATCCTGGCAAATAATTACTGGTGAAATCGAGATAGCCTGTCTAGGAGTCGGGCCAGCGCACCTCGTAACCAAGTAAAGAAGTAATAATCAGGCTCAAACCAGTCATATGCATAGGTGCCTCTAATGGCCATGACAAGGCACGTTGGTAACAGGAGTAGCCGTATTATTTGGGTATCTCGTCTTTGACTGAGGTATGCCATGAACAAGAGCGGCAGGAGGTATGCGTAGGCATACGGTGCCGTCTTCCATGTTAGTGGATATCGCTTTGGAGGTTCTGGAACTAGTTCCCGGAACGCCCTTTCAAGTGTGAGTAGTAACCTGTGGAGCAGCTGCTAAACATGCATTGTTGCCACCACGAGGTTGCGGAGAGCACTCACTCTGTTCTGAACGACACTCTAGCCATTTCCTGCGTAGAAACAGTATTATTTTGTCTGGTATCGTCTATAAAGGACACTCTCGTGTCAAGTCCATGTACTGCTCTCCGATGAGCTGCAGGTGTGGGTATGTGGATTGAAACTAAATCTACAGTACAGCCACACTATGTTTGGTGTGTTTATATCAATCCCGACAATTTCCATATAAAGTGATGCCGACTTGATGGTCAGGTGCGGTCCGTGGGGACCGAAGCCGACGCAGAACGTCACTTGAACTTGGACAAGTTGCCAACGTCTTCCCCACACTTTTCACTGATGGGTCATATCCGCCACAGTCTAAGCTCTAGACCTCAAAAACCGATAGCTGTAAAGGTTTCAAGACATAGCAATACGTGACTAGCTCAAATTTTCCTAAACGACATCGGATTCAGCTAGTATCACATTGAAGCCAATGCTGAATCTGCGCAACCTTCTCAATGTGTCAAGGACTCAGTTTCCGAATCATGTTCACCCACCATCGAGGGTCTCCTTGCGACAGAATATCCATACAAATCACTCGTCTGTGAATACACTTTCACGAAGAAAGTGGGCAATACGGTTTGCCTGCAGCACGGTACTTGTCGGGGCGATATGGCAAATCGATAAAAAATTCAATGCATCTGCCATAGGAAGGAATTTTCGGACCTTTACGACAGTACGTCCATTGCATATGAGCGAATTATAGTGCTACAATTCATACAATATGAAGTGCATGCTGATCGCCTTAGACTATAAATGGAACTTCACGCACGCGAAAAGTGACCAGATACCTGCTCTTCATGAGCGTGTGGCGGAGAGAATATACCACCTACTCACAACCAATGGCGGACTGTACATCAAAATTGGTAGGTACTCCTAACATCTTGTATTTGAACGTATTTGCAGATGATAGGGCGCGCCGGGTCTTTGAGAGTGCTCTGAGGCATTCTGCTCAATCATGGCGCGATGCACTAGACTTCCTAAAGTTTCTTATCATGACACTGAAATGAGAAATCTTCCTACGGAGGTGGGGGTTGAACCGTTTACGTTGTGCCTTCTCGATAACTGGTCTACTATTATGGGAAAACTAATACTATAGTGTCTGCGAATGCGCTCACAAAAAGTTATTAACGCTCCCTGTTTCTCTTACAGGACAAGCTATTGCAAATAATGCTGCCTTACTTCCTCGCCCCATCCAAGAAAAGTTTACGAAGCTTTTTGATGATGCTCCTCAGGTCGAATATGAAGTTGTTCGACAAGTTTTCGAATCCGAATTCGGTAAACCAATGGCAGGACCAGACGGTATCTTCGAGATATTCGAGGAGAGAGCTGCCGCTAGTGCCAGTGTTGCGCAGGTTCATCGTGCCAAATTGAAAAGTTCCGATGGCGATGGAGTTTGGGTCGCTGTGAAAATCCAGAAACCTGATGTCGGTAAACAGGTGGATTGGGATTTGGGTACTTTTGGCATTGTCATGTGGTTGTATGAGAATATTCTGTTCGATATGCCGGTCTATTTTGTCGTTGGTGAGTGCATTTCATATGTTATACGTACAAATTTGTTGCGAACATGCCACTCTAGATTTTATCTCGGACCATCTGCGCAGAGAGCTTGACTTTGAACTCGAGGCAAAGAACGCAATGCAGACAGCAAAGCTGGTGGCCAATGAGCCTCGTCTAGCAGATCGTGTCTACATCCCAAAGGTGTATCCTGAATATAGCACCAAGAAAGTCATGACCGCAGAATGGATCGACGGTGTTCGACTTAGCGACCGAAGAGGTATCATGCATCTTATGGGTGAAGAAGACACCGACCTTGACCTCAGTCCGACTACTTCGCGCACTCCACCTGCACCTCCCTTTCCATCCCCATTAAAAGGTGGCGTTGCGTCCATCATGTATACCATGGTTGAACTCTTTAGTGCCCAGATTTTCAGCTGGGGCTGGGTGCATTGTGATCCTCATCCAGGAAATATCATCATCCGACCTCACCCCGCTAGACCTAAATACCCGCAGCTCGTTTTAATCGACCACGGACTGTATGTTCGCCTCTCCGACGACTTCCGGAGACAATATGCAACTCTGTGGAAAGCACTTCTGACTGTGGACGTAAATGTTATCAAAAGTACTGCCTCGGAATGGGGCATCGGAACTCCGGATTTGTTCGCAAGTGCGACCCTGCTTCGGCCAATGTCGTTCAGTAGCCAGGATTATCCTGAGGCTGCAAAGTTTGCCGCAGACCTGGAGAAGATGGATCAATATGAGAAGGGTGTCATGATGAAGCAGAGACTGAAGAATTTCCTGACGGATACGGATAAGATGCCCAAGGAGCTGCTCTTCATTGGAAGGAATATGAGGTACGCTCGGAGCAATTGAATCACGACATTGGCTGACGTATTTTCGTCTAACAGAATTGTTCAAGGTATGTAACACGGGAGTGGCAGGTGCTGAATTCTTCGTCTGATTTTCGTTATATAGGGAATAACCAAACATTCGGCTCCCCTGTGAATCGAATACGTATCACAGGATACTGGGCCTCTCGGTCGTTAGCCCGGGAACCTCAACCAAGCCTTCCCGCCCGCATCCGTGAATACGTTGATTACTTTATTTTCCTCACTATGACATTCGCTATCGACATTGCCTTCTACTTCACCAAATTCAAGGCTTGGGTAAGAACCAAGCTGGGCTTGCAAAGCGAAGGATTTGAGGATGTGCTGGAGAGGAGTATGCGCGAGTTTGCGAAAGCTAATTTTGGTCTGGAAATTGGGGATAACGCTTTCTTAGGTTGAGCGCGGGCATACTCTGGGATTTTTGTATCGTAGCTAATACATAATCGATCCTCTGAACCATCTTACTATGCGAAGTTCCTTGCTTGTCGTGTTCGCCGATGTTCTAGACAACAATCATGAAAGTTGTCACGTGCGCGAGGGCCTGCCCGCGACGCTCACCGCGCAGCCACCGTACACCGCAACCCTCATCATCCATTGAAGCAGGCTTCACGCTTCCTCCCGTTCTCCTGCTCACCGTCCGTGACGATGAGCGACGACTTTGTACGTCTAGTTTCACAAGCAAACCCTGCGCTGCGACAGTATCAACCCGCCAACAACGGTTATCCACCTTCTCAGCAACAACCGAATTATGGCTCTTCATCCAACTCGCAGCAGCTAGACCCCTTCTTTGATGATGAGGACGACATACCGGACTCTGCGTTTGGCCCGACGAGGATGGACGCTATGCAGTCCAAGGAGAGCGGGCTGCCTCTTGCTAGGAATGCTGCACCTCCGGCGGGCAATTCACAACTTTCATTACCTGAGAACCAAGACATGCTGCAATGGGATGATTATACCCCGAAAACCGACACATCTCGTCCCTTTGCTGGCTCTGCCTCGTTCCCAGGCCCCTCGTCATCGTCCTCGCAGGAAAAGGGTTTCCGTAAAGCAGCCCGGAAGTGGAAATGGCCATGGCATAAGGAGGAGAAGGTTCTGGCAGGAGAACGGCTTATTGCTTTGAACAACTCAGAAGCGAACGCCGGGTTCTGTTCCAACTACGTGTCGACGACCAAGTATAATGCTGTGACATTTGTACCAAAGTTCCTGTTTGGTACGCATACATCCTATATGCCTCAACCTGGGGATATTCTGATGAGCGAACTCGTTAGAACAATTCTCAAAGTATGCCAACATGTTCTTCCTGTTCACCGCATGTATACAGCAAATCCCGGATGTCTCACCGACGCAGCGTTATACCACCATTGTGCCGCTATCAGTTGTACTTCTCGCTTCGGCGTTTAAGGAGACTCAGGAAGATCTGGTACGTCATTTATCTTACTACAGAGCGTATTAGATGTGAAGAAATACAGCTATCCCGACCAGCCTGGCGGCATCGAGGGATGGGTGGAGTTTTGGCAGGGCGTGCAAGGGACCCTATGTCCGAGAGAGATTTGTTGACATGGTCCCAGGATACCCACATAGCGTGGAACCTGCCTCTCAGACAAACAGACCGCATAAGTGGTCGGTCAGTCACCCATGATCTTTTGCCCCAAGCCAAGGTCTTATGCGGAGCAATAACGATTCTTCGCATCGAATATGTCCTAATCTCTACTTCTCCTTCTATGCTGACCTCCCAAACAGAAACGGCACCAGTCGGATTCAGAGCTTAACGCACGAAAGGCTAAAGTGTTGTCACCCAATGCTACCTTTGAGGACAGGAAATGGAAGAACATTCGAGTTGGCGATATAGTTCGACTTGAGAGTGACGACTTTATTCCTGCTGATCTCATTCTATTGAGCTCGAGTGAACCGGAAGGATTCTGTTACATCGAGACTTCCAACCTCGATGGGTACGTTTCCTGACATGCTTATCTATTTCACGCTCTCATCCCCTTCGCCAGTGAGACCAACCTGAAGATTAAGCAAGCATCACCTCAAACTGCTGATCTGACCTCGGCACACCTCATAAACACCTTACATGGCACTCTCCGTTCTGAACATCCCAACAACTCCTTGTATACCTACGAGGGTACACTCGAGCTCACGTCTGATATGGGTCCTAAGCAGGTCCCTCTAGGTCCAGATCAAATGCTTCTTCGTGGCGCACAGATCAGGAATACGCCATGGGCATACGGATTGGTCGTTTTTACCGGGCATGAGACAAAGCTGATGCGAAATGCAACGTAAGTACATGACTGGGCGGACATCACAGTATGATGCTCATGCGTTGCCGTCATTTTTCAGCGCGGCCCCCATCAAACGAACCGCCGTAGAGCGCCAGGTCAACACACAGATCGTGTTCCTTTTCATTCTCCTGCTCGCCTTGTCAATCGGTTCAACGATTGGGAGTAGTATCAGATCAGTGAGTGGTGGTTTTGCGACCAAGGATAAAGCTAAGCTTTGAACTGTACTGTCAGTGGTTCTTCTCGAGTCAACAATGGTATCTCTTCGAATCCCCGTCAATAGGAGGCCGAGGTAAGTGGTTATTCGGCGATTCTTAGTTGCCATCTCACTCGTGTTGTCTCGTAGCGAAGGGCTTCATTGAAGGTTTGTCAATTCCGTTACTCTTCTCAATAAGGCTGACGTCGCCACAGATATCCTGACGTTCATCATTCTCTACAATAACTTGATCCCGATATCCCTGATTGTCACGATGGAGGTTGTCAAATTTCAACAAGCGCAGTTAATCAATACAGATCTGGATATGTACTACCCCAAGACGGACACTCCAGCTTTGTGTCGAACATCCTCTCTTGTGGAGGAACTAGGCCAAATTGAATACGTTTTCAGTGACAAGACTGGTACCCTGACTTGCAACGAGATGGAGTTTCGCTGTTGCAGTATCGCCGGAGTTGCCTACGCCGAAGTTATTGATGAGAGCAAGCGAGGCGAAGACGAAGACGGAAAGGATGGTTGGAGGACTTTCGCACAGATGAAGTCGATTCTGGAAGGTACCTCAGATCCATTTTTGGATGGCGGATCTGGTTCCGGCGGCCCAGGAGGGGAACGGGAGATCATCCAAGAATTTTTGGCTTTGCTTGCCGTCTGCCACACCGTCATCCCGGAAGATCGTGATGGCAAGATACACTATCAAGCCAGTAGTCCTGACGAGGCTGCTCTGGTGGCAGGCGCTGAGTTACTCGGATATCAGTTCCATGTACGTTCATGCACACAGTTTCCCATTGCTTCTATTGACACATTGAACCAGATGCGGAAACCGAAGTCAGTGTTTGTCAATATCCAAGGCGCATCTGTGGAGTATGAGATTCTGAACATTTGCGAGTTCAATTCCACTCGGAAGCGGATGTCGACGGTCGTTCGTGGACCTGATGGGCGAATCAAACTCTTTTGCAAGGGCGCTGATACAGTCATCTTGGAGCGGTTGAGCGACAAGCAGCCACATACGGAGAAGACCTTGGTACACCTGGAGGTTAGCACGATCGTTATGGTACGCGCAACCTCACAAGTAACGTCTTTTTGTGCAGGATTACGCCACAGATGGCTTGAGAACGCTCTGCATCGCATACAGGGACATTCCGGAAGCAGAATATCGACAATGGGTCACGATATACAACCAGGCTGCAGCAACGATCAATGGTCGTGGCGAAGCTTTGGACCAGGCAGCAGAAATCATCGAGAAAGACTTATATCTGCTTGGAGCTACGGCTATCGAAGATAAACTGCAAGATGGCGTCCCTGACACCATTCATACTCTCCAGATGGCAGGTATCAAGGTGTGGGTCTTGACTGGTGACCGTCAAGAAACTGCGATCAATATCGGCATGTCATGCAAACTCATATCGGAGTCGATGAACCTGGTATGACCCATTCATGGCTGTCGATAGTTGCTTGCTTCTAACTAGATCGGGTCTTACAGGTCATCGTTAATGAGGAGACATCGCACGATACAAATGATTTCCTCTCCAAGCGATTAGCTGCCATCAGGAGTCAGCGGAGCTCTGGCGAGCTGGAAGATCTCGCACTTATCATTGGTACGGCTACCAATTCCGCTAGTTTGTATGCGATGTAGTTTCTGAATCATTGAAACTAGATGGCAAAAGTCTCACTTTTGCATTGGAGAAGGAAATGTCGAAGACGTTCCTCGAACTCGCCATCATGTGCAAAGCTGTCATTTGCTGCCGTGTATCCCCATTGCAGAAGGCATTGGTCGTGAAGCTCGTCAAGAAGAACCAGAAATCTATCCTACTAGCGATCGGAGACGGAGCAAATGATGTTAGCATGATTCAGGCGGCACATGTCGGCGTGGGTATCTCTGGTGTTGAGGTACGTTCTTTGTAGCTTTGGGCCCTCACTGTCTTTTGATGCAGCTTATCGTAGGGTCTACAAGCTGCTCGATCTGCCGACGTGGCCATCTCCCAATTTCGTTACTTGAAGAAGTTACTCCTTGTCCATGGGGCTTGGAGTTACCAACGGCTTTCGAAGCTAATTCTATGTTTGTCTTATTTATACATGTATCCATACTCAATTACTCACTATCATATCCAGACTCATTCTACAAGAACATTGTGCTCTATATGACACAGTTCTGGGTGCGTTGTATACTTCTTCAATTATTCTTTCTGAAATGTCCTAACGATTATGGTCGCGTTGCAGTTCTCATTCTTTAACAACTTCTCCGGTCAAATTGCCTACGAATCATGGACATTGTCGCTTTACAACGTCCTCTTCACTCTTTTGCCACCACTGGTCATCGGTGTCTTCGATCAATTCGTTTCTGCGCGTATACTCGACCGGTATCCTCAGCTGTACATGCTTGGTCAAAAGAACGCTTTCTTTACACGGACAGCTTTCTGGTTGTGGGTGGGCAATGCCTTGTATCACAGTATTGTGAGTTTCCCTTCCACCATGGACCGAGTAGATGTTTGCCTGACGCATGCCTAGATTCTATTCGGCTTCTCGGTCATTCTCTTCTGGGGTGACCTGAAGCAGTCATCAGGGTTGGATACAGGACACTGGTTCTGGGGAATGACTTTGTACTTGGCTGTGCTTCTAACTGTTCTTGGGAAGGCTGCTTTGATCTCTGAGTAAGTGTCACCTTCGCTGTGTTTCGTTACCGGGAGGCTGACGTGCACTGTTTAATTCAGCCTTTGGACAAAGTACACTGTAGCTGGTTAGTATAGCATCTTTGTTAAAGGGTGCTTGAGTTGACACATTCTTTAGCAATACCCGGATCTTTCATTTTCACCATGCTCTTCCTACCGTTATACGCCGTTGTTGCGCCCGCGATTGGATTCTCGACCGAATATCGCGGGATTGTTCCTCGGCTTTGGACCGATGCTGTGTTTTACTTCGTTCTTCTTCTCATTCCTATATTCTGTCTTTCTCGGGACTTTGCTTGGAAATAGTAGGTCTTTTTCTCCGAAGTTATACTTGCGCGTCTGATTCACAACTTGTTCCCAGTTATCGCCGGACGTATATGCCAGAAACCTATCATATAGCTCAAGAAATACAGAAATACAATATCCCCGACTACCGACCACGGCAGGAGCAGTATGTCTTTCCACTTAATTGTCTCATGCAAATTTCTAACTATAGCTCTCTCTAGATTCCAAAAGGCTATCAAGAAGGTTCGTGCGGTTCAACGTATGCGGCGGAACAGAGGTTTCGCTTTCAGTCAGACTGAAAACGCTGCGCGACAAGACCAAGCACGGCTGATTAGAGCGTACGATACGTCGAAGACGGGTGCGAGACCTTCGGGCTACTAGTATTATTCTCGCTATCTATCATCATGTGGACTATGTAGTGTACCGTTCGTGATATCCTGCTGTCATAAATAAGACTCGCAATTAATGGACGATGTCAAGTCACGCAAAGAAAATAGAGATTTATTATGATTTCGGATGGGGCAAGGTGCTATAGTGTAGTGGTTATCACTCGGGATTTTGATTTGCATGCTTTCCCGGAACCCAGGTTCGAACCCTGGTAGCACCTGTCGCTTGATGCATGAATACTCGTATGTGCTTAAATTTTGACTTCCAGCGCGATGTCATGATCTACAGTACCTTACGCCTCGGAGCTCAGTGTGGCATAAACTGCTGGATGGCAAAACAAAAACGGTGCTCCTATGTAGTGCGGAAGGAGGAATCGATGTCACCACCGAAGCCATGGTCTCCGTTGGAAATGCATTCGGGGCTGCAGTGGTAGATCTACCGATACGAAAGATTGAACCCTTTACGAGAGACACGAATATTATACTATGCGATCTATATGAATGTTGAAGGTGTTGGATTACTACTTGGAGGAATCCGCAACACTCACGATGTATGTAGTTTCAACACTGGTCTTATACCAAACCCTGAAGGTGTGAACGAGACAACGCGAAGAATTTTCAAAGTTCAACATTCCATTTCGGTGAGCGTCCTGCACCAAGCGATGTCCTATGTAGGTTCAACAAAATATTCAATCGCTGTTAGCGACCATTCCAGGTGTTGAATATCCTGAAGTATCCTCATAGTGATAGCTGTTGTATCCGTTCACCAACTTCACTTCCTCCGCCACTCTCTCCGGAAGAACGCAGTACTTCTTCAGGGCCTCGATGACATGTGGAATAACATCCTGGTGGACGTTCTTCCCCCATATGACGTCCAGATGCTCATACCCATGCAACCGCTTCGCTATTGTATGCGAAGGCAGCTCGCGCAACATCTGTTCGATATCGACCAACGAGTCTGAATCACCGTATAGCAATACAACAGGTGAAGCGATATTACGGGTGGGGAATCGCGCGGGCAAGTATGACGAGACTCCGGATGGCCGCGCAGTGGTTCGTGCCAACATGACATGTTGTACGTCGTCGTCGTACATTTGGAACTTGCCTGTACGCATGATTTGGAACCAATGCACGATAGACTTGACAGAAGCATATGAGTACAGGTGCGTATATGCGGCGAGTCTCTGGGCACGACTGATGTTGTGACTGTCCCAATTGAAAAGCCATTTCAGTGAGAGGTTGATGGTGCTCGCAAAGATCGGCGGGTAGAGGATGTTCTGCCAGGAAGGAGCGGAGGATAGGATCGCTCGACGTCCGAACATGAGGAAGAGCAAAGTTGGACTACAAATACATCGTGAGATATGTGATACATCGGAGAAGACGGAGAATGCACGTACGATGCTTTCATGAGTCCGTCTATAATGGGAGCCGCTAGTCCTGCTGGACTCATAGCAGGCGCAAGCGCAATGAAGACATTGACCCTTTGGTTCAGCGGAGGATGTATACTAAGCGCAGCGAACGCCTGTGCGGTCCCTTGGCTGAACCCGATGTAGCTCAGACTGGGTTCCTTGGTGACATCCAAGACATACTCAATAGAGTCCGGAATGTCGTTCCAGGCAAAGTTGTCAATACTATAGTCCCAGAACTTGGTCGAATGCGGGTCATGGTAGATGCTCTTCTTGGAATACTTGTTGCCTCGGTTGTTGCCTAGCCAAACGTCGTACCCGAGCTCTACGAGTACGAATGGAATGTTGCGCTCGGCAGACGTCAGGCAGACCCAAACTTCGGAGTTCATGAGGAGTCCATGGTGCAGATAGACGACGGGCTTGCCTGTGGACGTTCCAGGCATGCGCTGCTCGCCCTTCTTCTGACACAGACGGTGAAGGGTTAGGAGATATCCGTCTTTGGTTAAAACAACGTGGTCCTCGAATACATATCCGAATATCGTGCAGAGCTCCTCGAAGTCTCTCGCGCGGCGGATGTGGTCCACGAGGCGAGATTCCTCCGACTTTGGCAACGGGGGCCCAGCGATGTAGTGGAAAAGGGAGCGAGAGCGGTCATAGAACCAGCGAATGACTGGTTTGGGAAGGAAGGCGATAATGAACGAAATGAGAGTCTCGAGGACGACGAAAAGTGAGCCCAAGAAGATCGCAACATATTCTCGCCGTTTCAGACGACCGAGCAGCGGGATCCTGGCCATCTTCAGCTGTAACAGGCGGTCTTTGCTGTGGTATATATCGTCCTGCGACGTAAGTTATGTCCTGAAAACAGTGAAAACAGCAAGCAAAGCCATCGGCGCAGCAGTTTCGGTGGGTAACATTTAATGGGACCCACTGAAGAACTGCCGCCGCCACGTGGAAATGCGATTCAGTGGTCCGGAATTTCGTTACCATTCTTGTTTCCAATTCTTTCCTCGCCATTTCGTTCTATTTCCTTCGGGTTATTGCCTTGGTATACAGTTGTTTCAGACTGTTATCTTTCTAGTTCGGAAGCAAGAACCATAGGAGAGTTGGATATTGGACTTGCAACGCGATTCCCTCGTTGCGTTGATCATCTGGCGCCGCCTTTCAGCTTCAGCACCGGTCTTGTCACCTCTGCCTGTCTTTCTCCTGGTCTTTACCACGTCTTTCAATTTTGGAACCTTGCGATATAACGCGCTTGCTCTTATCGTCTTTTCCCTCCCCTCTGTGTCCCAACCTTGATCACTTTCCAGAGTAGCGAGATGAAACGAAACGGATCGGCTTCCCAGAGAAGCACTAGAGTACCTTCACCCACAAACACTACGTACTCTGGTTTCTCAAACTATAGGACAGAAAGCTATCGTCCGCTCAAAGAACCTGTCCCGCCATTTCCCCCCGTCGACTCTCGGACAGTGGCGCGGACCCATTTCGATCAGTTGCACCGATACCTTGCATCTTATCTCGCCAAAGGTATGTCACTACCATCTGTCCTCTCTCGAGTTGCATTGATCGTGTGTTCGTCTAGAGCCTGCAAACTCACGTTCTACTGCGAGACAGAAACTTACGCGTTTGACACGGCAACAATTCCAGGAACTCTCTACGGATGTCTACGATGAGCTGGTCCGTCGTCAGAACAACACCACGGAGAATGAAGGTATACCTCAGACTAGTGTATATGAGATGTCGGACCTTGACTAATGATCTTCCTGTTACGACATTAGTTCCTTTTTTGCCCGTCCGCGATGACTTTCATCCGAAGCGAAATCAAGCTCGTCAGAAGCTCGCAACGCTTCCGACAGGTCGCTTCAAGGATTTATCTAGCGACGTATACTATGAACTTTCCCGACGATACCCAGAATTCAAGGATGATGTAGGTGTCTTATCATAATTTCTACGACCCTCTTGAAGCAGACCCATATGCGTTCAATAGGTACCGGATACAGCTAACTTGACTTCACCTGGATCTACTTACGACGACTATCCTTCCCCCGAATTTGCCACAACACCTCAGACCAAGGCGATTCCTCCCTCAGCTCTTCGGTCGAGTCGTGCGTCAGAAGACAGACCTCCAGACCCTTATGCAGGCGGTTCTGCTCGCAGGCCCAGCGAGGACTTCAATAGTTCCCGACGCAGTGAAGATATCTACGGCGGTATGGAATCATACAATTCGTCTCCTGCGCCAATGCCGCCCTCTGCTTCCGTTGCGTCACGGCGCAAGCCTTCACAAGATCTTTACAGCAACGATCGACGGAGACCATCACAAGATTCCAACATCTCTGGACGTCGGTCAACAGATCGAGACTACAGCAATAGTGCTGGACGACGACCAAGTGAAAGTGTGAGCGTGACGAGTGATTCCACTTCAACTACAAATGCACAGAGCGCCACGGCCGGTATGGGTATGATTATACCTAATAAAAGCACAATTGCCGAGGAAGAAATCGAAGTACCCTACGGAAGAGAGGTGAGAGATAGCACAGGAACCGCTGTTGATGAACGAGGCCGTGATCGTGATCGGACAAGCCAAAGGGACCAAAGTCGAGACCTTAGTCGAGGGACTGATACCGATGCTGACGGTGATGAACCTGGTATTGGTGGTCTCTCTGGTCTCAGTGCGCGTTTACAGCAGGTCGAAGGAGACGATGACGAGGGAGCACTTTCGGGCGCTGGCGCTCGAAGTGGTGACGATTACTATGAGAAGATGTCATTTGGACGGGCATCGGTCGCGTCGGATAGGTCTGCAGGTGGCACGAGAAACTACGGTGGTAGGTCAAGTGTTGCTGCTGAGGATCAAGAAAGGATCAGGCGTGACTATGAATACAAGATTGCGACTATGCAAACCCGGATCACTACGTTGGAAAGGGATCTCGAGGATTCGCAGCATCGCGAACAGAAGGCTGCTGAAAGTGAGCAGAGGGTCCGGCAAATGGAGGGCGAGTTGGAAGAACTGCGTCAAGTGAGTTTTTTTTTTGTTTCTCAAGAGATAACTTATGAACTGCTCGTACTACTTAGCATTTAGAAGAGAAGACATCCGGCATGCGCACTTTGCAGAAGGAGCTTGACGAGCTGCGTGAAGATCGTTCTCGAGAGAAAGATCTCACCGCTCGACGGGTGCGGGAAGATGAAGAAGAGATTCAAATTCTACGTGAACGATGCGAGCGACTTGAAGCACAAAATAGTAACCAGGTAATTAAGCCTGCATACATTTTCGTCCTATACTCATTATTTACTCTTTCTATGATATATAGGGTGATCTCGATATCTTGGAGCAGCTCCGTTCTGACATGGAAGGCCTGATAACCGAGCTCTCTGACCTCCAACGGCGGAATGACGAGCTGATGACGGCTAAAGATTCTGATCTTATCGTCATACGGGATCTCGATGCACAGCTCAAAGAGTACAAGCGTAAGTACGAGCAAGCGAAGACAGAGCTACGAAGTGTCAAAGGTGCGCATACGATTCACCAACCTCTGAATGATTTGTGGAATTGTACATCCTAACATTCTATGTGAACCAGCGACTTCCCAATTGTTCTTACAACCTCCAAAGACCGACGATCAACTCCCCGTGTCGCCGGATGGTGGTCTCCTTGACATTCATGTCACAGCTTTCGTCTCGGCCATCGATAGTCTACTGACCGCTGGACGTTCCAATGCTCCTACACGAGTACTGACACCCATGAAGGCTGTCATCAATGCGGTAACGACAATTGTAGAAGATGTGCGACTATTCGACCGAAGACCTAGACGGGACCGTTCTGAAGTCGATGTCGAGGCTCTTCGAGCTCTGCGAGAACGTGCTGAAGCTACTCTCAGTAACCTCGTTACAGCTTCAAAGACCCACGCAACGAGCAGTGGCATGTCACCTGTCAGTCTCTTGGATGCCGCAGCAAGTCATGTCTCCTCTACTATCACGGAAATTGCAAAGACTGTTTGCATTCGCAAGGCGACGAAGGCCGAACAAGATCAATTCGTACCACCACCGTTATCCAGTTCATCACCTGCAAATGGTTTCTCGCCTTCTTTGCGGTCGGTGGAAGAGAGATCGTTGCATTCACGGGGAGGCAGTAGCGCGAGTGTGCGAAGTGCTGGCGGCGGCGAAGCTCGCTTTACAGATATGCCTTCTCCGCCAGCGCCTCCACGTCCATTGTATGGTCGAACTTCGAATGAAGATAGGAGACGGCCACCCTCAAATCCCTCCAGTTCTGATGCAAGTGCTAATTCTCCTCCACCGATCTTTGACCATCCAACGTCCTCTAGCACTGGTATCACCAGCGATGATTCTGCCACTGCAGAGGGTCCTGAAGATGCATGGATGGAACTGAAGGTGAGTTCAACGGTTATTATAAGAATATACAGGATCTCAAATTCCTTTACTGTGTAAGCCCTACCTGGAGGCGCAGACCGAGTCAATCGTCTTTGCTATTCAGAGTGTCCTCTCAGGCGTCCGCAGTCCCACACCTTCACCGACACTCAACGAGAACATCACTCAGATTATCACCATTGTTTCCAGTATCGTCGCTGTATGCAAGGACAGCCTACCTCCTGCGTCTGCGACACAAGGCGAGGATATCTTGCGCGAATTGAGCGAGCATGCCAATACATTGAGCGAGGTGCAATCTCTGCCGGAGGTTACCAAGGAGTCTCGCCAAATTATGGCAAAGTCGAGTTTCGCTGTCGCCAATGCTATGAAGGGTTTGATGAAACTATGAAAGTCGTCTATTTAATTGGAGTATGCAAGGATATATACCCAATCCCACTCGCTGATACTGTACATATGCATTCTACTGGGTTGTAATGATACGTCTCCGGTTAATCAAATGGCTTGGTTTTGGATTGTACTTAGAGTCTGCCTCTCACTGTTCCGTCATTTCAGTTTGTTGTGTGATATGTGATAGCCTCGAAATGGGAGCTGGTACGTATGTCATCGCAGTATAAGTTAATATATAGTAGGACTTGCACCGAGGATTTCGTAGCAGGCGATGTACACAAAGAACAATATTGGGATACAAGAGTAGCAGTGTGTTAGCCAAGGCGCGTAGCAGAACATCATGGATACCGCAGACATGTCTAAAGCAACCTCGACAGGTCAACTCAGCGGATATAACACATACATCGAAGGATAATCAGGAGAGCTAGGAGCCGTTCTACTTGGCATCTAATCCCTTCGCCGCGTGGACGAAGGCACGAATCTTCTCTATGTCCTTACCCTTCCCATCCTCAGTTTCAACACCTCCACTAACATCCACGGCCCAGGGGCGCACGTTCTCCACAGCTTCCTTCACATTCTCCGGAGTTAGTCCGCCAGCAAGTATAACCGGCAGAGGGTAGCTCTTGCCGCCAGAACTAGTCACTGTAGTATCGGCGTTTGCAACACCAGTTGAGGCCTTAATACCAACTTCGCCGTTCTCAATGACGCTCTTGGCAAGATCCCAATCGACCTTCAACCCAGTGCCACCACTAAGTCCATCCTTATTAGCAGGATGGACGGCATCCAGCAGAATGTACTTGTGCAAACCGGGACGAGTGATTCCCTGGACACCTTGGCCTTTTTCGTCAATGTGGAAGACGCGAATGACAGGTACAGGGATGTGTTTAGAGTACTCGAGTGGTTCGTTCCCGTGCAATTGAACCAGGTCGAGATTGACACTGGCAATGGTATCAAGGATAGTCGAGAGAGGCTGGTTCTGGAATACACCAACAAGGAGGGGACGAGCAGGAGAACCAGATGGCACAAGTGCCGAAGACAAGCGTTCGGCATGAGCAGTAAACCAGGGCTCATTCCTGATACTTTCCTCCTTGCTATCCAGTACAATCTCGGACTTCAACCTCTCTTTGTGCACAACTGCAGAAATCTTCTTCGCCTGCTGTACTGAAATACTCCTCTTGCTTGACGGCACGAACATTAAGCCTAATAACTCTGCACCAGCCTCAACGGCAGCTTGAGCCTCTTCCTCTGTTCGAATACCACAGATCTTCACAAGCGGAACAGCGGACTTGCCCTTACCCTTTGCGTCCTCAGGCTCTGGCCAGCTGAGGAGATTCCTGATGAACGCTCTGGTATCTGTAGCACGCATGAGGGCTTCTCCAACAAGAACAGCACCGACGCCCTGTTCGACGTAGGTGTTCACGTCATTGGCATCCTTGATACCAGAGAGCGCGCAGAGAATGATGCCCTTCTCTTTGACCATGTCGGCAAGTCTGCTTGTGTTCTCCATGTCCACTTGGAAATCGTGCAAGTTGCGGTTGTTCACCCCAATAACCTTGGGGTTGAGCTTGAGAGCGATCTCCATCTCCCTGGCGTTGTTGACTTCGACCAGAGGCTCCATGCCCAATGAAACGGCATATTGGTAGAGCGCATGAAGACGTTCCTCGGAAAGACATGCGACGATGAGTAAGACAGTATCCGCACCATGAAGACGGGCCTCGTCAATCTGATACTCATCCAAAACGAAGTCCTTGCGGAGGATCGCAGGGCGGTTCGGGAGAGCGTCAATTGCCTGTCGGGCGAGACGCATATCTAACAACGATCCCTTAAACCAGGTAGGCTCCGTGAGCACGGAAATGACAGACGCCCCAGAAAGCGCATACGTCAACGCCTGCTGAGCAGCATTGGTATGCATCGCGATGGGTCCCTTGGAGGGACTGGCTCGCTTGATCTCTGCCATTAGCGCCGGCTTCTTCTCGGCACTCTTGAGTCTGTCGACAAAAGAGGTGAGAGGCGGTGAAAGGTTCATGGAGAGGAGAGTCTTGATGTCCCCTGGCGTCGTACCAGGAGTCTGTTTGGCCTGGGTCACATCCTTCAAACGCTGCGTGCAGATCTTCTCGAGGATGGTGGGTATCTTTGCAGATGTCGAAGCGATGGGACCATCAGGCAGTGGAGCGAATGCGGGTAGAGAGCTATCCAAAACCCTGAATTCCGGGTTTTCTTCCCAAGTGCCACCCTTGAGTTTCAAAAAGTTGTGGCAAAGGTCGTCGCCAGACTCCGAGAGGATACTTTCTGGATGATACTGCACCGCCTCCAGAGTGTACTTTCTGTGACGAACACCCATAATGACACCGCTTTCTTCGGTAACAGCAGTGATGGCAAGTTCCGCTGGGAGTGTACTCACACCAGCACTAAGGGAATGGTAGCGGGTAGATTTGATGCCTTGAGGAAGATCCTTGAAGCAACCTCGGCCGTCATGCCGAATTGGCGAGACTTTGCCATGCATGATCTCGCCAGCATAACTACAAAACATAGCGTAAGTTAGCATGTGCAAAATGTGATCATATGAGACGATCAGACAAAGGGAGGATCAAACAGAGATGCAATATTGCAATGGATATCCACGCGTTTGGGCGTATTGACAACGCGAGAGCACGGCGAGTGCGGACGATTCATTCATTGACACTTGATTCTGGGGTACCCTGGGGAGGAGAGCAAGCAAGTTCGCAGCTTGTAGTACCCTGGTTGACACCAACATCCATCCCCGATCACCTCGGGGACGAGAGGAGATATCGGGGAAGTTAAGTTGCTCGACACTGACTAACCAGAGGATCCACAGTAGAGTGAAATAGAATCAGGCACGGCTTAAGAGCATCATTTACTCTCTGTAGGCTGGCAGAAACCACGAGGTGTCGATGGGAATGCACACCGTTGTGGCAATTCTCAACAAACATCCTTGGCCCAAATACCGTAGAATGTTGAGGCAGCTAAGATCATGCTGAAGCCCAGCCCCTTGAGGACTAGTCGCAAGACCCAGCTGGTGTCCGGAAGTGAGTCGAACAAGTGACAGAACAATCAAAGTTAGAAGTGCATTGGGACACGATCAGTGCAGCTTTAGTGGAGCAGCCTCGACCGTGTTGACCAATTAATAATAGTTAATGCACCGGTAGTTCAGCCAAACAAGATGTGGCTCAAAGAACAATGCGAATCATTTATGAATGCATGGAAGCAAGGTTGTCTAACCGGTAAGCGATTGACCAACGATTGGAGGGCCCGATTGAAGCGCAGAACAAGGAAAGGGAGATAGAACGAGATACTCACGCGATGTCACCGCCAAAGACGTCGACCAGACATTCCAAGCCCATACATACGCCGAGAACGGGCACCTTCCCGGCGAAATATTGTATGGCTTCTCTGGAGATGCCAGAATCTGAGGTAGGGTGGCCAGGACCAGGGGATATAATGAGACGGTTGATCTTGAGTTCAGGAAGAGCAGAGGCAGGTATTGCGTCGTTACGAATGACCGTTACATCTGCGCCAAGAAGACAGAGTGACTGGTATAAGTTCCAGGTGAATGAATCGAAGTTGTCTATAAGTAAAACATCTATGGGCTGCGCAAGGTGTGCCGGGAGGGCCATGTCACTAGACTGGAGATGAGAGATCGGGTGAAGAGTAGGTGAGAACAATGTCTCAGAGGTAAAAGTAGCGATGAACGACACCTGTGCAGCGAACAACGGGAAGATGATAGACTTTGATACTTGTTATTTTGCAGCACCAACTCACCAAAATGACACAGAACTTAGAAATCAAACGCCCATACTGATACGAGCTTATGTAAAGGTGCGTTATGCACTGAACTTCCATTTTTGGGCTCTTGCTAGGAACCGCGTCTACAAGCGAGTCTTATGAAGACTCGGACTTGTATAAATGACCACATAATCATGAAACCCCTTTGCCATCTCTCGTCTTCCCGCACTTCTAACCATCACTTTCTTCAGTATAGACGGCCATGAGCTCCAGTCGATCTACAGACCTCCCTCCTGCACCGGGCCCTTCCACGTTCTCTCGTGCGCCAAAAGGTAAAGCATGCCTCAATTGTCGCCGGCGAAAAATGGTCGGTTTATTCATCTTCAACACGGGCGGCTGTTGTATTCACTGCAATTCAACCAGAAATGCGACTGTGTTCGCCCTGTATGTGGTCAATGTGTGCGCTTCAATCGAGAGCGCGATTGTGAATATACAGATGGCGATCAACGCAGTCGAACTGAAATCCTGGAAGAGCAAATTGCGACCCTCCAGGCCCGCATTGGCACCTTGGAGAATCCTGTCGACCCCGTGGCAACTATACAGGTGTCCCAATTCCGTAATGGATCCAGGAGGTCCCCTTTCGAAGATCCCGCTGAGTTTGGCATAGGTATGTTGTTCATCCATACTTGTCAACCATAATATTTAACGTGGCAACACGCATAGACCACATGCGCTCTAACAGCCAGGTTCCCTATTACCCTGACGTTACTCAAGGCGCTTCGGACGTCTTGTGGGTCACTTGATGATGATCAGTTTCACATATGAATGCTAAGACGCGTTCATCTAGAGTTCAGGCCTTCTTGACCTATGCTGAAGACCTTGGTTGTTTTCTGAATGTCCCTCGCCTCTTAGCTCATACCGAGTTCATGCTTTCAAATGTTGTCAATGGATCTCAAGACCCTCTGTTGAACACTATATACCTTTGGGGTTCCATTCTGCGTGGCGATCATAACGAGAGCCACTTCTTGGAGCGTGCCTTACACAACTTACCCAAGGCATATGCCTGTAACCATCCCAACATTCTACAAATCATTCAGACAGAAGTGTTGCTGGCTAACTACTTCTTTTACGGCAACAGATTTGTCGAGGCGAGGGCGCATCTGTCGGCAGCTGTCTCTACGACCCTGACGCATAGGTTTCATAAAATTCGAAGTGCCAATGAAGTTATATCGCGGACACTGGACTTAACCGACATAGATACCCAGTTGCTTCCTGCCTTGGATAGCGTCGAAGAAGGCGAGCGCATACACGCATTCTGGTGGGTCTATATCCTGGACAAGTCATGGGCGGCAGCCTTGAACGTCGAGTCGTTTCTGGTGGAAGATGGTTCACCTGCTACCAGGATTGAAACGCCGTGGCCATTAACTGCACAGGTATTCCAAGCGGTAAGTTAACATATCGCTCGATGGCTGCTGTTGGGGCGTGATCACTGAATCATTTGGTGCGCGTTCTCGCAACAGGGCCATGTAGGGGATGAATATCGTGGCAATAGGACCATCCAGAGGTTCCTCAACGAGCCTATCGTAAATAACACCCCGAGTGTACTATCTACTCTCGCGCTACGAGCTCAGGCCACTGCTCTTCTTGACCGAGCCAAGTGGCTTTCGTCAACCTGTAGTGCAGGTAAGCCACATATTCTACACCTTCCCAGTGTAATGTTGAATGTACGCTCACTGATCCGTCAGACCTCGCACTTCTCAATATCCACCAAAATGCATTCAACATGCTCGACGCCCAAATTGAAGACTTCATTCTCTCTCTGCCTCCCTTGGACGTCTTACGCATTCACCCGCCTGCACAAACCCGCAGTCTCGTTACCACGCACATGGTTGCCCGTATGGCGATTATGCAATTGCACATAGCATTTGCGGATACGGATGTGACAGCTTCTATAAAGGCGTTGAGCGCGAGCAAGGCTATTATAGCTGCTTTTAAAGTGCTATATCCTGAACGGCCGGAGTTTGCGGAGGAGTTATACCTGCATGCGGAGCCTTTCCTCCTGGTACGTCGTTGCTAACATTCATCTATGTGTCGCTTCGAATGCTCATGAATATGGCGTGCGTAGATTCTTTTGACGTCTTCGGCCCGAGTCATGATCATCGAGCAGAACAAATACAATACGAACCAGGCTCTGTGGCAAACCATGGCTACTTGCAAGAGTATATCATACATGCGTGCCGTCTTGGGCGAACTTATCGAACAAATGGGCAAGGTCAACCCTAAATCCCGCCTCACTGGTACATCCTTTGTTGTCGTGCTTATTTGCGTTTAGTGCTGACGTTTCGATATAGCTCTCCAAGTGCAGAAAGTGGACAACTCCAGAGTCGACCCGCTCCAATCTCTCCCTCCCATGATAGTACCCTCGCACTGACCGCATACAATACCCAATCGTTTTTCATTTTGTTCTGCCGACGATTACGACTCAATGACTTGATGACCACCTCTCAATCTGTTGCATTCCGCTGCGTCCATGCCATCTATGATACTCGTGTTGTAATTCAACTTGCAATATTCACGACATTTTACGTCCCTCTGAAAGTGCCTTTTACGTCTCAGATTTCTCAGGTAAAGATTTCCTGTCTCCGGGAAGGCATGATGCTCAATCTCATCCTACCGATTATTTTCTAAGCAAACTCAAGACGTGTTTACGCTTTCTTCGAAGCCGTCAACGACGTTCATCGTCGGCATTAACCGTCGTCACCGGATCTAACGCAATCATTTTCAGTGTCCTGCACACTATGAAACCAGGACCCTCGGCCTTCTGGTTGTTTCGGTATCTGGCGACGGAGAGGATCGCCAAGTACATCATCTCTTTTTCACACTCTCGTTTATCTTGACTTCGGTTCCCGTGGATGGCCGTGTGCCAAATCTTCAATGTCACGACAACTGGCATCGTGGCGAACCGTGCGCATGTCTCGTGGACGAGCACAAGATCACAATAACGACCTCAGCAGGTCTCCATCCCGCCAATCCGTCAAGTGGACCAACACCAGAATCCCACGTCGTGCGTGTTGTTCACATGGGTGCTTGCAGCCGGCGAGATTTTCCACCAGCAGTGATGCTGCCGCTCAATTTTACTAGAGAACCTCAAACGCACCGCTGAGTTTGTCTAGATTCCTGTCAAATCGGTTCCAATACCAGTATCACGAGGTCCTATTTGGAACAGGGTTGGTCTACCGCCGCAAGCACACGTATTGTATCCTACTGCCGAACGGACGCGTACTACCTCCGCCACGTGTCAATGTGCCTTTGTAGGCACATTCGAGGCAGCACTGCCCTATCATGTGAGGATTTGGTGGGGATCGTCATGGTCCAAATGGCGATGCTTGCATCGATCTCCAACTCATCGAGATTCAAGGCAAGCACCGTCGGTAATTATATATTATTTGGCGGTAAATGAGAGCCAATATTGAGCGAGCCAGCGAGTGGCAGGGCAATCATGGTGGGGTGTGCACACGTTACACAGGTTCGCTTGACCGGTACTATGTTGCCAGCGTGGCAGAATAATAATGTAAGTACTGGTGAGTCTATATGTGTCGTGGCATTTGACGCACTTCAACAGTGACTGATCCACCAGTATGTCTTGCTATCGTAGGATTTGGTTTAACGTCAATTTCGAGACGACTACAGCAACCATCTTACATTTCGCAGAGAAACACTCGCTCAAATTCGATTCCGCCTGTTTGACGGTCAACACTGGCATTGAGAGGTCGAAATGTCTAAGCAGCTATGGTGAGTTGTTGCATCGCTGGCTTCATTTCTTTTCACGTCCTTGCCTTTGCAAGCTGTCTTCCAATTTCGCGCTGATATCTTCGACAGCTTCAGCCTTGAACTCAACAATCCGACATGATTCTTGCGCTCGAGGTTACAGCCGCAAATTCATGTCGGTGGAATGCTTTATGAAGAAATTATGCCACAGTAGGACACCGTATAAGCTCGCCTACGGCAGATTTTGGTCAGTAGATTCAGTCCCCCAGCATGGGGAATTCCAGTCTTCAGTGTGGCTTTCCGTTTCTTGGCATTACACTGGCCAGTCCTCGAATGCATTATAATGTGCTCCGAGTCGGAAATCCTGGTTCCGTCCCCTCCTCGTTATATCTCGAACATGTGAGACCTGCTGAATCTGGGAAGGCTTCGTGGATAGGCCGCTGACCTGCGATTATGGGTACTTTGTATTCATGCTTACTATCACTCCGAATGCCGGTAGTACGTGAATTTTTTGGTTGTCTCTGGTGTATGATCTCACCTTCACCTTTTTCTGTACGTTTGACGTTCTCAAAGATACTAGTCAGACTTCAACTTTTTTGTATCTTTCTACGCGCTATCATCGCAGAGGTCCTCGGGCCGAGGTTCCCTCTAGTCAAGCAGGTATTGTGACCGTCAGTCGTTGACAAATTCACGACTTCGACGATGTTTTCAACGGCTTGTCAGTTACAAACATGACTTCACCCGTGCCCATCTAGCATCCCTCTCATGCAGTTTTTATCTTCCTCTTCGCACCAGAAATCCATCGAGCTATTGTAGCTCTTACATTGCCAAGTCGGTAGGTGCACAAGAGGGCGGGAAAGGCTGGCAGTCTTATCGGGTGGGTTCAAGTCAGGCTGTGGACTGGGGACACATATTTGCTTGGTTAGTTGTTGCTATTTTCTACAAAATCTCACTGTTCAATCCCCATGAAGGTGAGATACGTCGCCAAGTTGACTTGCTAATAGTACCACCCCCCGGTATTTCTTGAAACATAGGCTTAATTTTGAGTTCCCGGAAACTATCTGTTATGTCGGGACCTTCGGTTCTCCTATTGAGGGCCACCGTCAAGCCCGATTGTTGCATCGTCGATCATAGAAGCTCCTGAGGCGCTCAGCGGTTTACAGTTAAAAGCATCTTTTGGCCCATTCGCACTATTTCCCGGTACTCACCAACTCGGCTTCAGTTATTTTTCAATGACTTCATTTCTCTCACCATACCCGCAATCCAAGCCACATGAAGTTGGTGTAGAAGTGCCGTTTGCAGATTCAAATGTGGCGCAATGCACATATGACTATATTGTTGTTGGTGGTAGGTTGTGGCGTAACAGGCTCTGTTATATTGTGTACTCATAGGCCAACTAGGAGGAACGGCGGGCTGCTGCCTTGCCTCCCGACTCTCTGAGATACCTGGCGCCACAGTGCTGCTCATTGAGCGCGGCCCAATTGCAGACACCTGGCTTAATCGGAATCCTTTACTTTCAGCATATTTCTTCCGCAGAGATGCACCTTCAACTATCTATCTTGCCGCGCCCATTGCGAATGCCAACAACCGTGTCATCCAAGTCGTAGGTGGAGAAGAGCTTGGTGGGACCTCCCGAATCAATGGGTGTTTGTATATGCGAGGCTTCAAGGGAGACTGGGACTCTTGGAACCGGCCTGGATGGAACTACGAGGATATCCTCCCGTACTTTGTTAAATCAGAGAATAGCCTCAATCAACCCGAATCACATTTCAGGGGGAAGAATGGTAAATACAACAATTCGAGTGTCGCAGCGAAGTTCACGCTGACGGTACTGTCCCTCAGGCCCTTGGGTTAACCAAGTACTGCCCGATATGCCTTTCAAAATCTTGCGCCGGTGAGTACTAACAGATTTAGTCGCGTAATATATTTTTACCATCCAGGATGTCGCAGGGTCTTGGAGGCCGGAAAGCGCAATGGTATCCCCGTAGTCTCCGATATCAACGCACCGGACGTTCCCTCCTTGGCCTCTGTCTCTGTGGATTTTTCTATCGATCGGAACAGGACTCGTGTATCTACATTTTCTGCCTTTCTACCGAAGAGTCTCGCCCTTGCACGGAAGGACCGTCTCAAGATCTGTACAAATACCCTTGTGACCAGGGTCGCCGTAAATGCTGGACCTAATGGTCTGCAAGCCAATGGCGTGTACATTCAAGCTGCGACTGGCTCAGACAATGTATACTTTGCACGTGCGCGTAGAGAAGTTATCCTTTGTGGAGGTGCGATTGCCTCTCCGCAGATTCTTCTTCTTAGGTATGTCCCTTCAGCCTCTCCCATTTCGTTACTATACTTATCGCTCCGTTCATAGTGGAATTGGCCCTCGTTCATATTTGGAGAAGATGGGAATTAATGTGATCTTTGATTCGCCTGGCGTTGGAAGTGATCTGGTACGTAGAAAACTGGTATATTTTCGATCAAAGACAGTTCACTAACTTATTTCAACTAGATGGACCACTACTCACTTCCAATGAGCTACGAGATTCCGAAGGAAGACTCATACCACGCTCTATTCAGCAGCCCGCTTCTTGCACTGATCGAGTTCCTCAAGTACCTCTTCTTGAGCGTCGGCTTGTTTGCATATCCCCTCATGCAATTCAGCCTGTTTTTCCGAACATCCCTCGTAAGGAACGACGGCAGTCTTGACACAAGCAGCTCCGTAGAGTTTGACTCTGGCAACCAGGACAAGGTCCCTGATATGGAGATCATGCTATGCCCTAACCAGGTTCAAGAATACGAAACTGACCCAATGGACTGGAGTATTGGAGTCTTCACATACCTGAGCTGCTTGATCAAGCCACGTTCAGTCGGTTCAGTCCGACTCTCCTCCACGAACCCTCGTGATCGCCCAATTGTGGATGTCAACTACTTGAGTCACCCAGACGACCTGTCTGCCTTTCGTTCTGCTGCCCGGTTTGTGGAACATCTCGCAGAGGATGTTCAGAAGAGTGGTTATCCCCTGGGAAACGCTCGTCACCCTCGAACCACGGATGTTTCAGAAGAAGAATTCGATAATTTCATACGGAAGAATGTGCGCAGCGCGTACCATTATAGTTCAACCTGTCGGATGGCGCCTCTCGATGATTTGAGACCGGGGGTTGTGGATGACGAGCTTAGAGTACACGGGATAGGCGGTCTTCGAGTTTGTGATACCTCGATCTTCACGGAAACTCTGGCTACCCATACTATGGCACCTGCAGTGGTGGTTGCAGAAAAATGTGCTGATTTGATCAAGGCCTCTCACTGACGCGACTTTCAATGACATTCACCTCTGACGTCGACTTTATACGTGATTGTCATTTTCGGGAAATTCATCTTGCAATTGAATCAATAGGAAGGCGATAACTTGGAAGTCCATGATTGCAGATATAATACAATGTAGAGGCACTTCTTTTATATCCCCTTTTGTTGATTAAGCAGACCTACTCCTGGCTAACAATAATAACACTCTTTCCCTTGTTCAAACCCTTCTGCACTTCATAGATTGCCTGTCCGGTGTATTGCAATCCAAATTTCGGGTCTTCTTTGTACTTGATCTCGCCGCTCGCGACCCGTTTAGGCCACTCGCGGTAGAACTCATCTGCGTATTTGGAAAGAAGGGTGAAGACGAGGAAACCGTAAAGCTTCAGCTCCTTGGCGAAGATGTGAATGAGGTTCTTGACGAAGTAGGGCTCGGTGTTATATTGGGTGATCGCGCCGCACATGAGGAAGCGGGCAGACGGGTTGGCGTACTCGAGAGCGGCCTCGAGGGATTCGCCACCGACGTTGTCCCAATAGCTATAGGCGTACGAGTCAGCAAGAGATGCATATACGAAACGCGACGCGTACATGTCAATGGGCCCCTCCTTGGCGAGGACCTCCGCAGGTTTGGTCGTCTTGTAGTTGAATGTAACATCAGCGCCGATTTTCTTCATGAACTCAATCTTCTCGGCGGAACCGGCGGAGCCAATGACTTTCAGACCGTCGCGTTTCGCGATCTGGATTACAGTTGAACCAACGGGTCCACCGCCAGCCGTGATGAAGATGGTCTCGCCTGGTTTAGCGTGTGCGTACTCCTTCCAAGCGCAATAGGCCGTTTGGCCTGCACTCGTGTTAGGATTCTGATCGACGCAATAGAGTTCATATCAATTTACCGGGCATTCCGGCAACGCCAACATAGGCAGACCAGGGGAGCTTCTCCTTGTTTTCGAGGATACGTAGGCCCTCCAGATCCTTGAGAATAGTATAGTGTTGGAAGGCTGTCGCATTTATAGCAACTGAGTGCGAGATTAGTGCATGAAAGCAACAGCTTGAGCTCACGGAGCAATCCGTAGATATGGTCGCCCGGCTTAACTGAGGGGTTCTCAGAACGAAGGACTCTACCAACGCCGTAGTTGTCGAGAGGTTTACCGAGAATTAAAGGGGGCTATACCATGAGGCGCAGTCAGAGAAATCATGGACGCGAGGGCAAAATAACACTTGCCGCATAGCTCTCGATGTCGGGATCTCTCATTCGTCCTCGCATGTAAGGATCGATAGAGAGCACGAGGGTCTTGATGATGTACTCGCCATTGAGAGGCACGGTGTCTGGGTCGATAACCTGCGGCTCATCGTATATAACGGTTCTTTTGGGATCCGGAAATCCTAAGTCAATGACAGGTCGTGGATCCTGTACAACAGTGGAAAAGGGTTGTGACATACCCGTTGGGATCTCGTTAAAGACGACTCGACCGTTCTTAACTGGGGCCATTCAGGATGTGAAATGATAGAAGATAGAACGCGACGGAAGATGGGGAAAGAACGAGAATCGTACAGACTGTGTAGAATCGTTAAATAGTGCAATCCTAAATTCTATCTTTGTCAGGCTTGGCCTGGGCATTGAAGTCTAGAAAGCCATCGTATCCTTTTCATGACGTTGGATGACGGAACTGCTTACCTGAAGTTGACCTCAAGACTCCTATTTCTCTCTTGCCGACTTCTGTGTTCAGTGCGTATGTCCCAGCAGAGACATGACCACGTATGAAACACGATCATAAACACCGAAATCAAGTTTCATATAGGGAGACCTGCTAATCCATCATTTGGAGAAATTCAGTAGGAATCCGGGCCTTAGGGTTTTGAGGAACGTCGACGAATGAGTTTGGACGAGTTTTCCACTTCCATAATGGTAACAGAAAATTAGTCTACAGTGTAGACCGAAAGTTCAAAGCTCAACATCCAACAGTCGTACCTGAGGATATCTCTGTCACAAGTTCTGGCAGCCTGAAGGCCCTGAACAATACTAGAATGCTTCCGTCCGTCCGAATTCGTCTACTAACTTATGGTTCGGCAATACCCGCACCAAGCAGCGGATGCTCATTATGGGCGCCTCAGCAACTGCCCTTCAAGCTTCAAGTTCAACGTTTCGACGGTTTCACCGTTGCAGCTGTCTTGACATGGCCGCTGCATACGGCCAATCTTTCAATGACCTCGAGTCAGGGGAGAACTATAAACTAGCGGATAGCGCGGACGAGGAGCAAGTTGCTCTCCTACCATCCCCCACGAAGGAGCAAGACGCTGCATCTGAAGATGATATCCCTCGAAAACGCTCCGCTGGCCCATTCTATTCTCGTCCTATCTTCCAGATAGCTTCGTCTTTCGTTTTGGGTATTGTTGCTTGCTTAACGTTACAGTATATTGTTTGTGCAATCAACCTCTCTGGCGTGTGTGATGACGCGTCTTCAGCTATTGGACGTCTTGCTTCGCCCGAGGCAGGTTCCACCGAGGTTCACAAGTTTCCTCCTTTGTCACCCACCAACGCATCCCCTTCCTTATTCCCTAGCTCTGTCGGCTATGCAGGACCTACTCCTACAGGAGCTGAACCCGGACTCATACAAACAGCGCCGTCATACCCTCTACATACTGGCGCTCCTCACCTCGTGGCGCCTCACTTCAAGTCGAAACATAATAGTTCAGAGTCCTCGTCAAGCCGATTGGATGGTTCAAGCCGATTTGATCTCTTCAAGCATTGGGGCAATCTGTCTCCTTGGTTTAGCGTGAAGCGAGGATCCTTTGGTCTCGACTCTAGCCCTGAGGCACCCGACACCTGTCGCGTAACTGGCCTTCACTTCTTGCACAGACATGGTGCTCGCTACCCCACGAGCTATGGTAAATAACTCTACAACCACCATTAAGCATCTCTGAGCTGTCTTCACAGCTTCATATGGTGGACCTGCCAACTTTTCCTCTCGTTTGCATCATTCCGCTGCTAAGTGGAATGGGCAGGGTGACCTAAGTTTTATGAATGACTGGTAAGTGGACATTCAATGCCTTTGTCCTTCACGGTCTTCACCGTGTATAATATAGGACCTACAAGCTAGGAGAAGAAGGTCATTTCCTTTCATCCTATTCAGAAGGTTCAGTTACTCATCATGCTCAACAGTGCTCACTCCTTTCGGGCGTCAGCAAATTTGTAAGATTATGTTATACAGGAATGCCCTTACCTCGTCTTAAATATTTTAACGCAGTTGACCTCGGTGTTTCAATGCGTATCAAATATGGCTATCTGCTCGAGGTGAGACTCAAATGTGAATAACGTATTCTGGATATAATACTTATGTTATGTCAGAACTTCACTAAAACCAACACACTGCCTGTGTTCCGAACTGAGTCACAGTATGTTTTCATGCTCTTGTTCTTCGGATTTATCTTCAGTTGTGTATAACTGGATATCAGAGATCGTATGTTGGCTTCCGCGCTCAATTTCGCTATCGGTTTCTTCGGCTTCCCATATGAAGGCCAATATCAGCAAAGTATCACCATTGAGGCACATGGGGTTAGTGCATGAGTCTTTGGCCACATCAATGTTTATTGCTCACGCGTGCATTTAATAGTTCAATAATACACTCGCGCCATACAAGACGTATGATATATGTCACTTCTCCGTCCCAATGATATGACGTTTACTTTGGAATCCAGGTGCCCTAATGCAAGAACCTCCGGGAAGTCCGACCGGTCTCTATACTATGTCCGTGAATGGGCTTCGAAGTATTTGGCGGATGCCCATGCACGATTGGCACCTCAACTGGAAGGATACGACCTGAGTATTGAAGACGTTTTCACGATGCAGCAGCTGTGTGCTTACGAGGTATGCTCATCTCGTTTGATAACGCTTGGGAGACTTACCATCCATAATCTGATATTGTAGACTGTTGCCATTGGATATTCCAGATTCTGCGAGCTCTTCAATGAAGAGGAGTGGAAGGGCTTCAACTATGCGTAAGAATTACTCTAACGGTTACCCTTCTGACTCTGACCAATTTGCTATCTGATGTTTAATTTAGGCTCGATTTGTTCTTTTGGTACGACTCAGGTTTCGGATCGCCAGTTGCCCGTGTCCAAGGCATAGGTTATGTACAAGAGCTCGTGGCCCGTCTCACTCATGCCCCTATCGCCGTCCATAATTCGTCTACCAACGCTACTCTTGACGATAACTCGGTGACATTCCCTCTCGGCCAAAGCCTCTACGTCGATGCTACCCACGAAGTCGTCGTGCTTAACAGTAAGTTGTCATAGATACCGTCGTGCTCCCTCGTTATCTCACCTTTCTGAATTTCGTAGTTATCACTGCTTTGAATTTGACCAATTTTGCTGCGGATGGACCTTTGCCTGCCAGTCACATTCCAGAAAATAGGGCATTCAAAGTCTCGCACCTCGCGCCGTTTGCGACTAATGTCCAGTTCCAACGTAAGCTTCTTTCATTCTTATCCATCCTCGACCTTCTCACACCTTCTTCTTTCACAGTGCTTTCTTGCGAGTCTACACCTGACCCTCAAATACGAATCATCATTAACGACGGTGTCGTTCCCTTGACATCTATCAAGGGATGTTCCGAACACAAAGACGGTCTGTGTCCTGTCTCTACGTTCGTAGAAGCTCAGAAGGAAATGATCGCGACAACCGATTGGGAATGGGGATGTCATGGCGGTTGGGAAGTTCCTGCAGGCCCTGAGTGGAATACTACTACTGGATACCCACCTGTTCAGGAGGATTAGGGGTTGACTTTTGCTATTGATCTTTACTGTTGATTTTTGGGTAGATTATGGACATTCTGGATACCTATATCTGTTTTTGGGTACTTTGTCCGGTTCTGATACCATATACTTTACATTTTATGCTACTACCAACATTTCTTTCCGGCGCTGGTTAGTACACAAGCCAACTCTCAGCCTTGTTCAGCGCATCATCCCACCCGCCGTCCTTGCCGGTTTCCCAAACTTGCACACTATCAACTTCATCTTTACCCAACTTCAAACCGTTATACAAGTGAGGAAACAACCCCTCTCCTCCCCTTGGTCCACACACTTCCGCCTTTGGATCTTCCCACTTCATATCCTTGTCAATGGCGTCATAAGGTATCCGCAGCACATAAACGCGAGAGTCCTCTCGAAAGAAGTACTTGAGCGTTCCAGGGATTTGTTTGGCTGTGGATAGGTGGATGAAACCTGAGGTTTGGTCAAGCTCGCTAACTGGAAGTCTCTCTGGTAAAGGATCGGGGGGAACAGCGGAGGATGGGATCAGTTTGTAGACGTAGCTAGGTTTGGAGGATGCCTCGGACATGGTGGATGAAGTTTAGGATCGATCTGAGATCAAGAAGTATCGTTTCGCATTCGCCACTCTATTGAGGCTCGCTTCCGGCCGCTAATATATTCGTGGTTCATATATAGAATCTTAGTTCCCTCAGTCAAGTACAATGCCTGCTCGACTTCTTTCAAATATTCTGAGCAAGGTATAATTTCATTCAAATCGAGTTGTCCAGCCCAAGCACAGTTCTACTATGTAGTAGACATCGAAAGGACTCAGCGGTATATCGCAAGAACCAGAGTTCGAGCAGAATCGGATGAGGGAAACGAGTCAGAGAAATCTACAGCTACATGAATTTCCAGTTTTCCAACGGACTCAAGAAATAAATAAGGGATATCCAAGCAACACGGGGGAACAAAGTTAATGATACATACTTTGATACTGACCTACGCCCTGTGGCCCAAGTGAGTACCTGCAAGCTCCCTCTCCAACTCAGCACTTGGGTCGTCGAGAACAGGGCTTGCAGCACGCTGGTCACCAATAGTGGTGTAACCGGAGGTAGCTCCATTTGGTGGCGCATTGTCCGTGACCGGAGAGCTCAAGATCTCCTCTCGTGTGGGAATCGGTAGGCTGTAAGAGTATCATATAGTGTTATTGTCAACCGGACATGGCAAAACAAGAGTGCGCACCTGTCCTGACGGCGGACTTGGCCTGACGCACGAGCTTGAGCACGAACTTCGGCGCGGAAGGTCTGAACCTCGTCGACAATGAGGCGCTTCATGCCTTCAATGGAGTCCTCTTCTTCGAAACCGAAGTCGAAGCTCTGTTTTCAAGCATACACTAAGCTCATGAATCCTGCAAAGGTCACAGACTCCACGTACCGATGCGCATACTGGCTCATCAGCAGGATCATGCCAGACAGCCAAGTACGGGTGGTTCAATGCTTGTTCGCATGTAATACGCTTGGCCGGATCGAAGTGAAGCAGTTGGGAGAGAAGGTCGATTGCGAGGGGGTTGGCACGAGGGAAAAGAGTGGAGAAAGGCACTCGAGGCTTGATAGGGAGAGAACGAATATAGTCTTGAGCCTGAAGTATCACGAGGTCTTAGTTAACGATTATGGGCTGGTGTTTGCTAGGGAAAACTTACGCGAGGAGAACCGACACGACGCAAAGTGTCTTCTGACGGAGTTCCCAGGTAATGCAGAATCTGGTTCAACTGATCGACGTAACTGAGAAAAACCAGGGTAAGCGCAAGTACAACGAGCTATGAAGATTGACATACTCCCTGCCCTTGAATATAGGTTTTCCAGCAAGTAACTCAGCGAGGATACATCCGACGGACCAGACATCAATTGCGGGGCCCTGTTACAGGGTTGTATTAGGAAGCTGTGATATAAGGTTCACTGATATATCTCACATAGTTGGCGAAGCTCAGCATAATTTCGGGTGCTCTGTACCACCTCGTTGCGACATACTCGGTCATGAAGCCCTGGTTAGCGGCAGAACGAGCATTGTTGTTGCTGTTGCCAGGGCTGTAGCCACGGGCCAGACCGAAGTCGCAGATTTTAAGTTCACAGTCGGCATTGACCAGGAGATTTCCGGGCTTGAGGTCACGATGCAGCACGTTCGCGGAATGAATGTACTTCAGGCCACAGAGTGTCTGATAGATGAAGGATTGGAAGTGAGCATCGGAAAGTGGTTGTTGCGACCGGATCTGCAAAAGAATCACAAAGAATTCGTGAAGAGATCTTGCAATGGGAACTGACAATGGCATGGAGATCAGCTTCCATCAGCTCTTCCTAACAGTTACCAAAATAAATTAGCAAAGAAGACAGTATGATTCGAAAACCACATACATAAAGATACACTTCATCGAAGTTGCCGTCAGGATGAAAGACAATGTCCATATCATATAAACAGGTGATCTGTTATGCAATTGATAAGACGAATCAAAATCCGATAAAGCCTTATGACAGACATTCTTGTGGCCACGAAAGTGGTGTAGTAGCCTTGTTTCATCTGTCAATACTATGGTACTACTTCCGAATACAGAATACGCACTTGATCTCGCGAAGGCATCGTTTCGTCAAGATTCTCTGAGTAACAGTGAGGTTTTTACGTGATCGAAGATGTAGAGACCGGCCACAGAAAACATGCCTTTGTGTTAATGTTGGTGATCTTTTTGATTGCACAACCTTCACCGGACCTGCGGTGCTTCGCAGCTACTACACATCCATAGGCACCCTGCCCAAGCTCCTTAACGAACTGGTACTCAGAATCTACCACAAAGGTGGAGTTCAAAGCTTGAAAGGAATGCCTTTGCATTGTCGTTGTCTTGTGGGTAGTGGTAGTGAAGAGAAAGAGAGACTGGCAGCCTTGGCAGGTTTGTGCGGTTTCAGCATGGATCGATGGAACTGCTTTATGGGCGTTTAAGTAACACCGCCCATCCTCGAATGGCAGCTAAGGTCGATTGCCATCAACAGGTTCGGAACTCTTGATCATGTACTTGTAGTACCCGGATTTGTTCAGAAAATTGGACCTGACAAAGGTGCCTTTGCTGCAAAACATCCAACTGGTAGGCAAGCACGCCATGGAATTTAATAACTTGTTGCAATTCCCAAGTTGTCTTCGGCCAATACGGTGTCGCATATTACCTTCAAATGGATATGCTTCTGACATCGTATATTGACTTGCGTGGGAGATATCTGTCAAGTTAATACAGACCGGCTGTCGTACTTGTGGTGATGGGCTGCTATTGCAGACTGCGAGGACCTTGTACATTAGCGAACAGATGTACTCGCTGTTGTGACGAAACACATGAGCAATACTCAAGGAGGAAACCAATTCAAAGGCTACGTGGATCTTGGTAATGAGATCTCCTCTGCTAGTACAAGCCGTACCATGGGTGTTCAGAGCACGGATGTATATCATGATATGTTCGTATCCAGGGTTTCCTGCTCTCAGACGATAGCCCAAACGCAAAATGGAGAGGATGGCGTACAACTGAGGTACAATCGCATTCGTTAATTTTCACTGTACGCGCAGTTCCAATACACAGGATTCCCTCAATGAGAGTACGTTATTTTCAGAGTTAAAACAAGTTACAGTAGGGTGCGAATAAAGTCTGGAGTCAAGTGGCATCAAGACTCGGCTGTGCTGAGGATCTAATCTTATCATCCCTGTCGACTGGAGGCTGTTTCAACTTCGCTCATGTTATTTGCCCCCCATGACCAGACCAGTTATTCAATTTGTATCCACAAGGGCAGCTTTTTTTCCATATTGAAGTGCAGTTGGTGCATATGAAAGTCCAAGGCTTCTGGCCTTTATCCCGGCCGCAAAAGGATTATTGTCAAAGTCGACGATAGGTGAAACAGCGATATGATTAGTTGGTACGCTGCGCTTGAACATGAATGCCTGATATCGTAGCTCAACCTGAGTCTTGACAGAGGTTCCATCTGACCAAGTCATGGGAGTAACATACCAGGGCATACGCCCCAGGCTTCTTCAACTTCTACTGTCAAGTACGTATGATAGTATGATACTACGTTCAGGCAGTGTATCAATCATCCGTGCTCCTTGATGGCAATGGTGAGTCTATGGCTGGCCTATTTCCGTGACCGGAATAGCTTGCCCATACATGGTACGAAACCTGATATTCCTGTGGCACATCTATGATTGAGTCCGGAATCGTTGGAATCAGCAGGAGGGGCTGTTAGTGCATATATACCCTTTCCTCCTTGAAAGAATGCCTCCTGATCCTCCGTATCATACCGACCCGTAATGCTCTCGTTAAAGAACTTGAGCCGACTCGCAAAGAATGCGGCTATGGGATATTCTGAGGCTCAGTCGAAAGTGAGAATGGCCACCTCCAATGACCCTCAGTCGCCATCACCTAAACAGTTGGACGAACTACTTCGGATGACATACAAGGCGTAGGTGGCCACGATCCTCAGAAAATATTACCCCTAACGTCTTCTCCAGAGAGCTCTTCAATGAGCTTATGGAGACCCTCTTCAAGCGGCTCGAAGAGCGCGGAAAGAGTTGGCAGCATGTTTACAAGGTAACTATCTCGAACGCGCTTTCCTAGTCTCTTCACTAAAAATATCGCTGTGCCAGGCCCTCATAGTGATCAACCACCTGCTACATATCGGACCAGAACGTACGCTCTACTACTGTACAGCCAAGTCTGCCACGATCGAGTCCCTTGCGGGATTCCGCTACACAGACTCCAGCGATGTCGACCTGGGCACACACGTCCGCCTCAAATCACAAGAAATTATGGGCCTCTTGTCCGACATCCTTACTCTCCGTGAGAAGAGGCGAGCTCGTCTCATCTTGAATGCCAAATCTTCCATCTTGCGACCATCTCGCTTGGAAACCAACTCTAATTCTATTCGCGCAAAACTTTCTTTCTTGGATACCAAACTCCCCGAAAACGAGAAGTCGGAAAGGCGAGACGGTGGCGTATCAGAGGAATCAGACCAATCAAGGTACTCGCAAGATCCCTTTGATCCAGAAGTGGTCTTGATCATTGACGGTGGAGCGGGCGAGAGCTATGGTGCTCGCAAGAGTGATACTGCTCGCGAGAGTGTGGGTACTCTGAGTACGAGTACGGAAGCAGAATGCGAGCGCAGTCCGGTCCATGATTGGATTTCCGCCGTAGCCATGGCACGGGATGGAGAAGAGGATGGACTGTTGTCAATCACAGATGAGGAGGCCGAACAGGAGAAGAATGCAGGGCGGGAATCAAGACAGGGAAGAGAACAACGGTTCTCTACTCGGTCCCGGGAATCAGCCTACACTCAGGACTCCTGGTCTGCGTGAGTGCATTTGATTTGCATCTAAACCGGTAGCGACAGATCGACTTATGATGGATGTATCTACACAGTCATGATCATCATGTTCTGCCAAGGCCATCTGCACCAACACCTGGATTATCACCAACGAGCGACTCGGAAGATTCCTCGACTCGATCATTTGCATCTGGTCCTCCAGACAACAAAGAATCTCCTCACCAGGGGATTCGACCGCTTCCAACCCCTCCACGGCGAGTGTCGGAGGACATCGACGCTTCCATAGCATCACTAGAACGACTGAAGGCTTTGCGCAAGTTACACTCCGCCCTCCCTGCAGACTATGGCGAATCACCTCGGTCCAGCATTGCGCCATTGAATGTGAGATCGAAGAAACCAAGACCATTACCAGCCTTGCCTGGAACGATCGAGTAAGTTATGATTTCGCACATGATATGATGTACGCATAGCAATCTTGACATCCTGCCATTTCAGTTTATCAAACCCGTTTGTGACGGTTCTGGACTACTTTCCCTTGGTACCATCACATATACCGCAGAGACCATGCATGTGACCATCTTTAGAAATTCGTAGAATGCGGATAGCGGGGCTCTGAGCATATGTTGTTGATCCACTCAACTGCCAGCTCACTATCAACACCTACTGGACTTGGCGACGGCATTCTTGAGTGATTAGCGGATTCCACCTTGGTTTAGAGTGGGGCTACGATATCTGACCTGATTGAGATATTTGGAGGACAGATAGGCAATGATGAAAAGTTCCTTGTGGTGGGCAGAGCCCCAGATAGACGGCACCTGGCTTTGCGAGCAGATTCCAGACAAACTGAAAGACTGCGTGCTCAAAACTGCCATATTCTCACGGTGAATAAGAGACTGGAAATGTAATATACACATCATGCATGCCAGACTTTTGCAATGAGTTCCGTCAAACCTATGTGGCGCGAATCAATATCTTCCATATTCCATAAGATAGTGCGGGACGTATGACGTACCGATATCGTTCGTGTTGAACTGGTAAACTCCCACAAGGACCGCAGCAGTGACCCCTCGCAGGAGCCACGAAAAGGTGGGTCCGAGAATGGGGAACTTACGAGGGTGCAAGTAGTCGACCAGGATAGAGTCGAACTGATAGAAACAAGACGATCAGCCAGCGCTTTGTACGCACAAACTTAAATCCAAAACAACTGCGAGATACTCACTCCAATGTGGCTATGCACAACCAAACTTATACCCAAGAGTCCATCCACGATGGGGTAGTTACTTCCGCTTGTAACGAAGGCGGCGACAGTGAGCGGGACGAGACCTGCGGAGAGAAGGCGCTCGAAGGCCCAGTGATAAGAGCCATGCGTTCGGGAGGGAGGTGGGAAGGTGGTAGGATCGTTAACTGTGCCCCTGTAGATGGCTGTAGCATGATAGTTCAACGACCGTGCAGAGGATTGAAAGCGAGTAGGTACTCACGTCCACCAGGAACGTATGCGAATTCAGAATCTTTCTTGACTGAAGCTATATCAAGGTGGCATCGTAAACATCGTAAACATCGAATTGAAAGCAAGATTAACACCCAAGAGGAACAAACGGACGAGATATGAGCTCTAACTCATGCAATTGTTAGAAGTGAACAAAATGACGCACAAGTAGTAGTGATCGGCCTCAACGCCCTCTTCGCGAAAGTGGTGGCAATTCGCCTCTTCAACGCATTTCTGGCAACAAGTGCGGAGGACATCGTGGTAAGAGGTTAGGACAGGTCAGCAACACTTCGTCGTCGTCGTCGTCGAAGATGTTGAGCTCGCGGAATGCACGCCCGACGGGCAACACAGGAGAAGGTAATCACGTGCGGCTGGACCGACTATCGCCGCACCTTTCCGGGCAGCCAATTGGAGGGCAGATATTCCGTGAATTCAACTCGATTAAGGGATTTGAACAGGATTTGAAGACGACACAAGTACACGGATAGACTCGACGCGTTTCTCTTTAAAACAAACAGCCTTGAGGGCATATTAGGTACATTGAACATATTGTATGATTTGCAGTCACAAGCTATTCACCGCTTGGGGTGAATAGTGTCAAACTCTAAGTTATCCGACCAACTCTCATACTCATCCACATTCTTTCCAACCATAGCCAACTTCTCCCTAGCCAGCCTTACAGCATCCTTGCCCAGAGGTAGACGGAGCGGAGGGTCCGCAAGCTCACTGAGTCTGTAAATGGCGCGACCCCCTTTCTCTGGATCGCCGGTGAATGGTATTGAACTGACAAATTGCCGCGTTTGGATGGAAGGCAAGCTCGTATTGACATATGCTGGGAGAACAGGTGCTATTACGAGGTTTGTGGTACGTGCAGGGGTATCAAACAGTGCAGGCTGCAACAGGGTGATCTGTGGGGGGTAAATTCGTCAGTGGTCTAGTGAAGTCGAACAAAAGATACCTTTATATTCCATGCGGGATCCAGTTCTGAAGCGAGGGTCTCGGTAACGCCCTCAATAGCTAATTGCAGAATGCGGCTCAATTTAGGGCATGTATTCAGTTTATATTGTACTTACCATGCTTGGATGCCGTATATATACCTTGACCAGGGAAGCAGTACAGTGCACTGACAGAGCTGTTCTGAATGATTCTTCCTCCCACAGCAGGAGGGTTAACGTCACGAAAGAATTTGACAGCTTCCTGTATGACATGCAAAGAGCCCCAGAAGTTCACTTCGAACAACCTCCGTGCGTCCTCCTCAGGCGTTCCCTCGGCTTCCGCGAGCATAGTAAACCCAGCGTTGCTAAACACGACGTCAAGTCTGCCATAGACTTGCTTGGCTTGTGCGAATGCATGCTGAATATCTGAGAGGCTGGTGACGTTGGTTTTGACTAGAAGTAAACGAGGCCGAGGATACAACTTCGATAATTGGGTGAGTGCGTCAGAGTCGGTGTGGCGTGTAGCGACGACAACGCTGTCTCCTTTGGAGAGAGCGCACTTTGTAACCTCATAGCCAAAACCAGATGATGCACCGGTGACTGGGACGGATCAATGGATTCACTGATCAAACATATTTAGCGCAATATACAAAGACGGACGTACCAAGCCACACCCGACCTTTTGGTGTTGGTGTCGCCTCCTTTCCTGTCCTTGTGTCTGACATCGGCGCGGTCTAGACTCACTTTATGCTATTCCAGGTATTTCAATTGTGCTCCAAGGTGAGTGAACGGGGAGATAAGCATCTCTCATTTGCCTTCTCCCGCCGCTCGGGAAATTCAGCGTCAACTCGTCGCCACAACTCGTGGCGTACGGGATGCACATAGTCTGAGGGCCCGCGTAGTCGCTAAAGCTGGGTATCGTTTGCTAACACCAAACTGGATTATTGTTGAGAAAAGCACCAGGTGTCTTGAATGGTGTTGGGTACTTGAATACTTAGTGGTCAATGCCTTGATGGGGATAGACAGATTTGATCGAAGAACAACTGCTGGTGCTTATTCCAATATTGTCTGTTTCTACAGAACGGAGGCTTCGAATCACAAAAGACAGTCGATGACAGCATGATGCAAGAAGACAGAAAGATGGTAGAGCGCGTTTCTCCGACAGTCAAACGTTGAGCGGTTTCGCTGATGAAACCGTTTTGATCGCGATCAACTGCTAGGGCTTTTTCAAATATTGCTTGTTTCTACAGAATGGAGGCTTCAAATCATAAAAGGCAGTCGACGCCGGCATGGTGCAAGAAGACAAAAAAAAATGGTAGACTGCATTTCTCCGGCAGTTACATAGAACGTACGCCGGTGCGTGGGTGAGAACATTCGTAGTGATATCCAAATGGCCATTGTAACCAGAAGACCTATTTTCTACATTACGATGTGATCCTGAGGTGATACCTTATCGCATCGTGGTCCTCGAAAGCAACGAAGGTGCGTCATTTCCATTGATTTTGCAAGGCGTGTGAGCGGATACCATGAAGTTGACGGTTGGGAGGTGAATTACAAGGTGATAAAAAGAACAACCCACCCGCAGCCTTGATTAGGTCGCTTTCCAACGGACGCGCAGCGTTTACACGGTGGGGGTACACATGTGCTTGATATGAGCTCGCAGTACCTTCTGAGCAGACCACCATTCGTGCATATCTTGACATCCTGAGAAAGTTGCATGCAGGCCACAGACAATGGCGTAACTAGGTGGCCTGTTGAGGATCGTGCGATCCTATTCTGCGAACAAACTTGGCGGAACAAGGGCGTACTAGAGGCAATGAGATCGCCAGATGAGAGACCTTCCTAGACTGTTCCGGGCTAACGTAGGCGAACGAAGACCGGGCTGGGTGTATCACTCCCAAGAATTGTGGTACCCGTTGACGTTGAACACTGCGCAGCTGCCACAGCAAGACGTCGTGTTCATATAGCTTGAGACGGGTGAGAGAAGACGGAAAGGTGCCGATATTAAAGTTGTATGACGAAGTGTAAATACTATTACAGTATCGGGTATTCCAGCGAAGCAAATGCAAAGCGGATACAAATTATGAATGGCGTCTGGATGGCCGGATAATAAGATCAAGGGAACCGAAAGTTTGAACAAAAGGCTGACACTTGCCTGGCCTGCAAAAGCCACTCCCTGCACCTCTTGCTCGGCATTGTCGCTGTCTATCTTTCATTGCTCTACATTGTACACGGCGACCCCGACGTCCGCCACAGTCACTGATCAAAGCGACGCATCTTGATCAGCGCTGGGAATTTCATCAGATCCTGTCTCGCACGGGGGCACCGCCTACACGACGACCACTCTTCACAGAGCTTGCGACGTATCCTCTCTTTCCCCTACCCCCACACCCTTTTAATCTTCTCTGTCTTCGTCTTCTTATCCTTGGGTTGAGCCTGGTGCTTCATCTGAGTCTTTTTCCTGAGCTTTTTTCTTCTCCGCGTCCGGCACGTAGATCCATCACCATCATTTCCGCCCTCTCTGCGTGCAATCATCGCCCGGAATTATAATACACTTCCTCTACGGCCTATAACCGCTCACTCCTTCAAGCTTTTCTCTCACCGTTCTCTCCTTAACTGTCATGTCTCTCAAAGCCGAACTCGAAACCTGGGCTGCCGCGCTCGAGGCCTACGATGCACAAGACTTTGAGAAGTCCCTCGAGCTTTTCAGTTCCATTGCTGATTCTTCCAAGATCCTTACGAACATGGGTCTCATCTACGCGACGCTGGGCGAGCATGAAGCAGCCGTAGAGCAGTTCATCGGCGCCACTCAACTCGATCAATATCTCGCTGTTGCATACTTCCAATGCGGTGTATCTAATTTCCTACTCACTCGTTACGATTTGGCACACAAGGACTTCGATGAAGCCCTCCTGTACTTGCGAGGCAACCAGTCAATCAACTATGAGCAGCTCGGATTGAAATTCAAGCTCTTCTCGGCGGAGGTTCTATTTAACAAGGGTCTCGCGCAGATTTACATGGGCAGGCTCCAGGAGGGTTTGATGGATATGGAGGAAGGGAGGAAGGAGAAGGTTACCGATGAGCACAACGTTATTGATGATGCCATGGCCGAACGCGGGGATGGTTACACTGTGTTTAGCATTGTGAGTTCAATCTTCTTTCAAATTCTTCGTATATATTTCTGAAGCTACTGCCTATTTAAGCCTGTCGGCGTATTGTACCGTCCCTCAGAGAGTAAGCTAAAGAATGCGAAGGCGAAAGACTACATGGGAAAAGCTGTAAGTTGACCTGCCATTGACACCGCATTCACCATCATTGAAATTGATAAATTCTCCGTAGAGACTCGTGGCAACCAGCGACGCAAACGAAGCCTATACAACCTTCACCGGGGTCACACGTTTGAAACAGGGTATCGCCCCTACTGGTACCTTCCTCGAAGATGAGAGCCGCGCCGCAGGACTTAACCGTGCTGCCACAGTATCCGTTACTTCACGTACGTCCTGAATATGTGCGCATATATACAGTATACTGACCCGAATTATCATTTGTAGGACCTACTGTACCTGATGAAGACAGGCCACAACCTACCCTTCAACGTGCCAAGACAACCATCAACGTCCCTACAGATGCCCGTGACCGTATCCGCGCAAACAACTCTCCCATGACCACTCCTCCGAGCGGTGCTGTCATTTCACGCAGCGCATCATCTGCTGGTTCCGGTAGGGGACAGATGCCCGGACCTGTTCGTGGTTTGAGCGTTCGTCGACCAGGCGCGCCTGCACCCAATCTTCCAGGTGTCAACAATATTGCGGGTGGTGCTGTGCCACCTCGTGCTTCCCCCCAAAGAGCACCTCCTTCATCATCCCGTGTCACCGAGTTCTACGATGACTACATTGATTCCTATGGCGATGACACGACTAGCCCGCCTGCTAATCGGGTCTCTGCCTGGGCAAGGAACAATGCAAACCCTGGTGCTGGCGTTGCAAGGTCAAGGTCTATGGCACCTAGCTCGTATGCACCAAGCTCTGCTGGTGGTATGAAGAGGCGTATTACCAGACGGGGCACGACCAGGAACACTAGCAGCCGAGCGCAGAGCATGTACGAAGAGGAAGAGGAAGGCTATGGAAGTGGTGGCGATATTTTGGACGATGATATCATCAGGATTCGCGTCAAGGTCTGTATCTTCTGCTCAATATCCCCTGATCATACCTTTCTCACATGTACGATTATTCATGGGTCAGGTTCATTACCAGGACGACGTCCGTGGAATGGCCATTGACTCTGGCATGCCATTCGACGAGTTCGTCGAGCGTTTGACCACCAAGTTTGAGAAGTCATTCCAAGATCTCGCAATCAAGTTCAAGGACGAGGATGGCGGGAAAGTCACGCTTCGTGATGAGATGGATTATGAGCTCGCCGTCGAAACTGCAAGGGAGAGCGCTAAGGGCAAGTCCGAAGGTCGTCTCGAGCTTTGGTGCCTCGACAAGTAGACGTTTGCACCCGACATCTCACATTCACCTGCTCTTCCTCAGTTCCATTCATGACTGCAGAGCCGTCGTCTCCATATCCTTCTTACTTCCCTAGACTCACGATTCCTCAGTTTCTCTACTCATAGGTTGTGCTTGTATCCTCATATCTGGTTTTTCCGTTGTGGTCAATTGTTAGTGCAATCTGCTCAGGTTCTGTACGTGTATGCTCTCTTCTTGTCTCTCATCATTTCTCTCGTGCTTCTGATTGTGTACTGCTGCTGGTAGTGGGTTCAAAGCGTATATTATAAATACCATCGTGCGACTCGACAGGCGATAATCCCTTGCCTTGGCTTGCTTTCGGGTTTCGTGTAATTTATATTTATCCTCTCATTTGCTCTTTACTTCATTGTTCCATTCTGCTCACAGGTAGAGGCCTAGAGAATATAACTCAATTCTCTTTCAATGCATGTAGCTCGGCGCTTGTCGTGCAATCATCCTTAACTCTGAACGCCCATTCTCCTCCATCCTCTCCAAGTGTGTGCATCATGTTCTTAGATAACCATATCATCTTCTTGAGTCAATACTCATTCTTATTTCTTCTTCCCCCAGTCGTATAAACAATTTGAGATTCCGCTGTGCGTCAGCACGCATATAGTCAAGACTCAAGCTACAAGTCTATTCCTCAAACCTTGACTATCCTGTACGTTCGTCCTCCATATAAATCTCCTCATATTTCCTCAATCCTTTTTAGGCACTTCAGAGATCTGACGACGGTGTAGTTGCACAAATCCCACTAGCGTCGTGAGTATCTGCGACTACGAGTTTGCACATATGCTAACTGTTTACGACCAACATAGCACCATGACGAAAATCAAAAGACGTCAAAAAGCTGCCTCTCAGCGTGCCTCCCAGCCAAGTTTGTCTCCAATCACAAGACTTCCCCCTGAACTATTATGCCACATCTTCCTCTCGCATTCTGAAGTACATGGACATCAAGAAACTGTGGTGGTCTCTCAAGTATGCCAGATTTGGAGAGATCTTGCGCTGAATATGTCAGACCTATGGGTGCATATTGATTCACAGCTTACGAATTTGGAATACACCAAGGCCTGGTTGCTGCGCTCGAAGGTTGCCCCGCTTTACATCATAGCTAATGCCGAAGACTGCATTAAGAAAGACGAATTCGATGACGATGCATACGACGAAATCTGTGACATATGGATCGAAGCCCTGCGTATGACGTTGGAATGTCTCCCACGCATACGCTCTCTGAGCATCAATGCACCCTTGTACATGCTCGACCACCTTTCGATTGTTTCCAAGTCGATCCTGACCCTCCCAACTTCCCTTCTTGAAGATTTGTATCTAGCAAGTGAAGGATGGAATGGGAATGCACCAGCTCCAGCCATGGACTATCTCCTCGTCTTCCTTCGCCATGACGCGCCGCACATGAAGTTCCTCAAAACCGTGGACCTATACTTCTCCTGGCCTTCATACATTCCTTCTAGTCTTACGAAGCTTGACATTGATCATACTCTGGAGCTTCCTGCGCCAAGCGTCGAAGCTGTGTTCGATGTCCTGGAGAGTCTCACATCACTAGAGGAGCTGTATCTGGGCGACGTGTCCCTGCCCGGCCCCATCCCATTGTCACGTACCGTCTCTTTCCCTAGGCTCACCGTCCTGAAAATTTGTTGCTACAACACTATCGATCTTTTACAGCACTTCTCCCTGCCTTGTGGACCATCCCTCGAGCTGTCTTTCGAATCGGTAGAGGCCGAAGATGTTCAAGAAATTTGTCAAAGTCTCCGATCTGCCTTACGTACATGTCCCCCTCTTCGTCACGTTCTCATCGAGGCGAATACCCGCCGGCGGTTTGATGGCGGGCCCGACCTTATGCTTAGTGGATATACCTCAGCCTTACACAAGGTCGCACAACCCGCTCACATCATTCTGCGCTTTACAACCCAGATGGATTTACCCTCGAGGGACATCACAACCTGTCTATGGACACCAGTTTTGGACATATTCCGGGATCATTTCGCCTTTTTAGACTCAGCTTTGGTGGATATCTTCGATCCGGACAGTTTCCTGAACATCCAACCAGAAATCGTTGTCCATATGTTGGAACTTTTGACGAGCATTCGCCAGCTAGGTGTCGCCGAGGCAGAAAGAACGCACAATGCGTTCAAGTTCGGACTATTTTCTGCTCTCAAAGACGATTACATCAGTATCCTCACCAATCTCGAAGAACCGTATTTGGACTCTCTGAAGCATGCAAATCATCCCTCTTTTGTTTCACCAATCTCTCTCGCTCGTTACGCTCAAGATGCTCTTACGATTCGCCAAAAGAAGAGGTCTTATCCAAATATCGACTTGAATGTCAATGGTGCCATTACAAAGCAGGGGAGATACAAATGGAAGTCGCTCGCAGCCATTTGGGCCGAGATAATTACAGGTACGGAGGTGTCATAGACGTTATAATGCTGTATATGTCGCTGCACATAAAGCGAGTTTTTAAAGCTCGCCCTTGAGTTGTGTGGATGCCTTGCGAGTTTCCACTCAATGGCAATGTGAATTCTCTTGGCTAGTAATGCTTCTCACCTTGTGTCGCGGAACTTTTCACGCATCACAAGCACGAGCAACCTATTCTTCATCAAAGTGGTGGTGGATGACAGTCATCGGATCTCTCACTATCGCCCAGGTCCGTACGTACTTATTATTGTCTCTGTTGCCGTCCTAACGGTGTGCTAGGACCGTGGCAGAACTGGAGATCGATCGCAAGCCAGGCTTTGCTGATATATCCCAAGGATAAGTCTCAGCTGTTGCCATACAAGAGGTACCAACTTTCATTGAAGTTCTCAACAATCCATAGAAGATGTCGAAGAGGCTTGTCCATGAGTTGCGTTGCTCAGTTCTCATGTCAAGCGCGCGGTGCCGAGGGAAGCAAAGCACTTCGGAAGCCGGTTTTACGTCGGATACCTTTCACCTTGAGTAACAGGCTTTCCACGATCGTGGCACGTCCGTCTGGAAATGTTAGTTCCGTAGAGATTAGGAACAGATATAAGTTTGGACAACAATGCGAGTGATAGAGCCCTCTTTCTGGATTGTCTACTGGCCAAACAACGCTATGTCCGCTCCTCCTGCTCTGACACCCCTGCCTTTTTCTAGTCTTGATAGTACCCTCGGTGCTCTTTATGTAGGTAAGGTTAGTCCTGTGACTCATTTGGCGATAATTCTGATGACGCTCTCAGGCAATGTGTTGGTGGCGTTGTACGCACTCCTATCGTGCTGTTAATGGAGTAAATTAACTTGACGCTATTCAGCTTTTGCGGCATCACAAGTTTCCAGACCTACGTTTACTTCGTTCGCAATCCGAAAGATAACCTTGCACTCAAATCTGCCGTACGTTGTATCTCAGGTCACTTGTTATGTCACGCAGCTGCTAATGCTCTACTCTCGATCACAAGATCTTCATTCTCTGGTATGCGATGCGTGCTGTTGCAGGGACACCTTAAACTAAAGTGCCTCCAGGGTCATCGATATGGTACATTTAGCATTCCTGTCTCACTCGTTCTACATATACACCATCACAAACTACGCCAATCCCTTGGCATTACTGAAGGTTCAATGGCAAGTCGGCCGTTCCAATGTATACGAGTCCGAGAGCTGCTAAATGTTGGCCTGGGGGATATAGGGGACTCAGCGTTCGTAGCTTGCTTGTTCTTATATCTTAGTTTGCACTGATGCAATGTCTCCAGGCGTTAGTAGCGCTGACAGTATGTACCTCGCAGCTTAATGCAGAGATTGTTGGCTGATTGACTGTAACCAGGATGTCAGTGATGCCATCGTCCGAGGGTATGTGGCGCGACTCTTAGATGCTGTCATCTTTGCTTATATCTTTACTAGGATATTTGCGCACCGCATATGGAGTCGTAAGTTATGCTCTCTGCCTTGATGTGAGGTTCCAAGCTTGAATGAGTGCCATAGTGAGCGGTCATAACTACTTTCTCACTGCGCTTATCGTAAGTGTTCCCCCCTCTGTCACTTTCGAAGTCGAATCCATTAATACGCATTTCATAGGCAGTTGCGTCTCTCGTCGTTTTCGGTGAGTGGGAAATCCACACGCTGTCGTATCAAGGATAAGTAACACTGCCATTTGTTTAGTTAGTGGGATGAGTTAGTGTTCTACATCATTCACCTTGAGGTTGAGCTGACTTTTCATCTTATCAGTATTTTCTGTGAGATGGTGAGTGTCTTGTTCATGTCGGCCTTACTATTTTGACCTTGATCGCAGTGCTCAACTAGGAGAGTTCCTTAAACTTCAATCAATATCAGTATGTAACTTGATATTCCTTTGTGTGGAATTTATGTGTTGTTTTTGAGCAGATCCTCACCTCTGGTGATTTTATAGTGGCTCATGTACTTGAGTCTCGGGACCATAGCTCTCGCAGACATTATCATAGCTGCGTCGCTATGTATCCTCCTGAAGAAACAAGTTACGGTATCGAAGAGGTAAGTACTAGTACCTGTGTGTCGCGTGCGGTCTTTGTTTGATGCTGTATGCACAGAACGCAGTCAATCATGCGCACCTTGATGCTCTATAGCATCAATGCAAGCGCATTAACAAGGTTCGGCATCTGGGAACTTCTTCCATTGGTACTTATAAAACGTGGTCAATGATAAGCATATTCTCGATCGCATGTCTGGTAACGGTACGTCTTGTCTTTGTTGTGCCGAAGACTCCATTGCTTCATCACACTCTCAGTATGCAACCATGCCGGACAACCTCGTCTTCCTGGCGATCTATGTCGTAATACCAAAGTGTAAATGAATATGGTGCTGCTCTATATATCGTTTCCTGATTTATTTCATTCCAATCAGTGTACTTCAATTCCCTCCTGGCGATGCTCAACTCTCGCAAGGCTCTGAGAGAACATCCAGGGGACCCTGTATCAATACCGCTGTCGCAGAGCGCTGCTTCAAGAGTACGAACATTCGCGACCGACCATCCTTTTGCTACTGGTGGAAGCATTGTATGTGAGGCTTACCGGGCGTGACCGTCAAATATGCTGACATGACTTCTTATATAGGTGTCGGGAATTCAGATAGAGACAATAACTGACAGAAAGTATGATCGTGAAGGGTATGATGGTGTTCCAGAGTCGCCTGGATATTTGGTAAGTCTTCTTTCATTTATGTGGGCACTTCGAGGAGCTCATGGCCTTGCCAGGACCATCGACACAGTCGATTTTGACGACTGTTGTAGTGGACAGCAAATATATTGTAAAGAGTTTGATTCCTTCCTCAAATTATTTATCTTTCATCCATTATGACTTTCACATTTGTCTGCCTTGTTGTTAGACACTCTCACATTGCATGTCAGAGCCTGTATGCGAATCAGTCGCAGACTGTTGTTGTCCAACTTTATATTTAGGCAGTGTATAAAAAGAAATCTCCGATACGGGGAATCGAACCCCGAGCTGCCGCGGGCGTCTAAAGACAGATGAAAGGCGGCAATGTTAGCCGTTACACCATATCGGAGTTATCAACAAATATATAATTTTTAAGATATTGATACATATCACACGCACAATTCACGCGGAGAATCTTAAGCCTTAAGGACGAACACATAGCGACGACTTGACCAACGATTGCGAGAAGACGGCAATATAAATGAACATACAAGGTTGGTGTGAAGCGGAGGCCGTTAAAGACAGCTGTGTATTTGCCAATATTGGACGTTACACCATATCGGAATAGCGCTCATCCAGGAGTCGCTAGTCGGCTTTCTGAGAAGGTCTAGGACCTTGGGCAAGATAGGAAGCTGCGTAGCATATTTATTTGCGACATGGAGAGTATAGCGTACAGAGGTGTGCAATCGATGCAAAAAATCGCAGGAAAGTGGACGACGAAGACGAAATAAAACGAAGAATATAGACGACGAGGAAAAATACACATACAACATAAATCATATACTGGCGAGTGAAAGTCTATCAACGAGGCGACGTTGCAGAGTTCGAGGAACTTGTGGCAGGTTGCTGTTTAGACAGCTCTTGTTGACGCTGCCAAATAAGCTCTGCCCATAGGGGTTTGGGAGGTATGTGACCGACGAGCGCACGCAAAACTTCAAGCCTGTGGAGCTCATCAGTACGTTATGCTTTAGACAAACGGGAACATGCTACTGACCATCTAGCTTTCTCTTCATCGCTATCCGCATAGAAGAGAATCTCTTCGTTAGCAGGGAAGATCAAGCGGAACGACCGTTCGACACCATATGGACATTCGTACTCGTCCATATAGCGACTTGTTCGTGCTGTTGACCCAGACGCAGGACTGAGAGCATCACGAGCCTCTTGGTCATCTTCCACGGCGACAGCCTTTTTCAGGTCGATGGTCGCTGTTGCCCGCTTGGTGACGTCATTGAACGCTACGAGATTGGCACCGATGACACGAAGGTGTCTTCGCCGCCATGACTGTCGGATTCAAAGTCAGAAGCGTCTACCATAGCATTAGAATTGAGATACTTACTGTGCAGCCACCGCCCATTTGCGTCAAAGTCCCCTCAAAGTAAGTCAACTTATGCCAGTTGATATGTCGAAGGCCGCGATGACATTCCTCCAAACTCTGCGGCAATTGATTTGGAGGTATCCCGGGTAAAGGTGGCAGCCGGAACACTTGGAGAACTAGCTCTCCGACTTGCACGCTTCTTGACGTCTTTCCGGCTTCCAGCTTCTGACCGATCAATGGGAAGCTTGTCTCGAAAAGGCGAGTATCGCAGTGTTTCGCGATATCCTTGAACATGACGAAGGCACGAGCAAGCGTGCCGTCAGGCGTCAAGTAGCGAGCTAAGTTCTCTTGAAGACGGTGCACTGGTGGCGATGCTGGTGGAGGGGTGGAAATCTTAGGTGACTTCTTTGGTGCACCTCGGAAAAAACTTCGCATACCCCCACCCTTCGATGCAGGTGGGGGTGGGTGCACTGGTGGAGGTGGTGGTGGAGTGTTTGCCTTGAACTGAGCGATTATATGCGGGTCCCGTCGAATCTTCAAGGTGAGAGTGATCTCGAGCTTGTTTGTCTCGATACTAAAAAGTATGTTAGACAGTGCATACGCAGTGAAACAAAGGACACACAGTTCAAACTCTTGCTCAATCCGAGAGTCGCGTGATAATCGACATTCTGGTGTTGTCACAAAGTGAATACCATTGTTCAACGTGCACGAAATGGCCGTAGGCTTGTCGGGTAATGGAACGTTGAGGTTCTTGACGCCAAGGACTGAACGCGGACAGAGCTCAGTAATACTTCTAGGTCAAGAACAAATTTCACCTACCTTTAACAAAGACCTTGCCGTGAGCTTTCCCGATACCTTCCTTCGCCCTAAGCTCTTTGATCTGCTTAGAATATTCGTTCTACATCGAGGCTCAGCTTGTCTGGATACATCATATCACGAATAGTGCGTACCATATCAGAAGGTCTCCTAACGGTTCTCCAAGCCTTGCCACCATTGAGGTCACCCGCGCCGTCCATATGGGATACCCTATCATTATCTGAGGAGGCATAGATGGTTTCGCTATGTTCACGAACATGGTACTTCTGAGAACGTCCGGAAAGTTGAGTATATGCGCTATCCACGGGGCGGTTAGGTGAGAAACTCACGCTAGTTGACGCTCCTAGTTTGCGAAGCTCACGATCAATGCTATCAGCTAAAGGGTCTTCCTCGTCAACGGGCATGACGTCCAACAGCCCACCGTCAGTAGTGGACTTTGTCCGCCGTTTGGCAGCGAGACTTTGCCTGGTGAAAGAAGCATCGGCCTCTGAAGTGCTATGACTGCGCTGTCTCGCCGGTCGCCCAAGAGGATTTCGCGGCGGTGTCCTGAGACCCATGTCCTCATCCTCCTCCCTCCGTCGAGCTTCGCGTTTCTTCTGCTTGATGAGTTCTTCACGCTGGCGAATCGCATCTTTGGCAGGAGGTGGAGGAGCTATTGCAGGTTTACTGAGTTCCGGTGCGGACAAAGCGAATTGTGGATTGGACAGCACTGGAACTTTAGGACCGCGACGCTCTGCTGGGTGTTCTTCCGGTTCGTCGCAATCCATCGAGTCTTCCTCTTCTGCTTCGTCATCATCCATAATAGAATCCACTTCAGCCAATGAAGGGTCGGCAGCATTAGGAGGAATTTGGAATTGGCCAGCTTGAACACCTGCTGTAACCGCTTCTACCTTCAACCCTCTTACACCTTTACCGTCCGGAGTGAGCGTGGCTCCTCCCGCGACGTCCTCCATGAGTCTATCTAGCGCACTACGCATATCGCCTAGTGGGACATCGCCAATGGACTTCGCGAGGTCATTCCCCATATCCAAACCACTGTCGCCAGACTGAAACCCAGAACCGAAGTCCAAGGTCAGACCAGTGAAAGGTTTACTTGAACTTAACCCCGGCTCTGATGGTATCCCATCTATAGAATGGGAACGTATGGGAATATCTGGTCGAGGAGGGTCTATGGGTTGGGGGTCAGGGTCGATGGATATTATGCCATCGTATGTGGGGTTCTGTCTGGTCAATGGTACTGCTATATGAACTTTAGAAGCACTCGGAGAGACGGGTCTGCCTAGGTCTTCTTCGTCAGTGTCGTCGCCCTTGTCAAGCTGAAGATTGACGATGGTGTCTCCTACATCAACAACCTCCCGAAGGGGGCTGTCAACACTGCGTTTCTTCATCAATCTTCTTTGGACATCTTCGCGGCTGATCCTGGGGCTCCGACCACTGGGACTGCCGTTCGGGCTGTTCAAGCTAGCCGAACTGGCGGCCTTGACGAGGCCCTGCTGCAAAGACGAAGAAAATTGTAGGGGAGAGCCGCTACGAGATGAGATACCGAGACCTGGAGAACCAAATCGCTGGGGTAGGGTGGGAGATCCCGAACGAGTGAGGCTATCGTTATTGTAAGAGCCAAGCCGTCCAGGTGGAGGCGGAGAGTCAAGATCAAATTCGATCGAAGGTCGGTGTCCAAGTTCAGGAATATTACGAGGAGGCGAAAGGGGAGGCGTGGAAGTTATCGGGAGTTCTGAAGGATATGGAGATGGGTCGCGCGCAGGACGTGAGGCTTCAGAATGTCCGACGGGCGCGTTGACATGGTCCATTCCTGGTTCCCGGGAATCAGTCGAGACGAAAGAAAGTTCAGCCGGTCGCGGCTCGTCCTTAATGAGTGGCATCGCAAAAGGATCAACCCCAGCAGCTAGAACAAAGGGCGTAAATAAAGGTGAACAATAGAACACAAACCTTGGCCACTCACAAATTTCTTTGTCATCCGGTTGGGGAACTTCGAGCTCGAACTTGGGCATCAAACTCTCCATGTGAGGCAACGTACTTGTACGTTTCGCTGGAGAAGGCGAGGGAGGAAGCATCTGCACATCCTCCTCAATGCCATCCTCCTTATGTGCCTTCACGCGTTCGGAATGTGTAGAGCGGCCCAAAGGCATCTGCGAGCCTGGAGAAACAGGCCCAATCGGCGTAGCTGAACTGGAGTGTGGAGGCGTAGAGAACGTGTCGGAGGGACGAGGGAATATCGGTTCGTCCACTTCTATATCATGCATATGATGAGCTGCTACTGCGCGCTCAGCGTGATGCGTTCGACCATAGGGCACACCGTCTTCTGCTTCCAGGTCGTCTGGAAGAGGATGGTCATCATGGGGCGGCGTAGAAGGGTCCGCATCCTGCAACATGGAATCCACCATGCCGGTAATACTATCATCACCGGCTTGAGAACTATCATAACTGTCGTCAAGGTCATTACTACTAATGAATCGTACGTCATCTTGATCTTCGTCCTCGTCCGTGACCCAATCAAACGCGTTCTCGTCGAGCTCTACGTTGTCGATTGTGAGGATATCGCAGTGTTCGCTAAACGAGACCGTTTTACGTCGGGCCCTTTTATTGCTATGACCTAAGCTAGCATCACGAGGGCCATGGAGACGTTTCGACACGAGAGATGGTCGAGCAGGTGACGCCGATGGATTGGGAACACGAGAAGGTGATGGAGAATTTCTAGGTGAAAATACCTGCTTGGGCGGTGGAGGCGGAGCAAGTTCCTCATCATCATCGTAAGTAGGGGCTTTCTTTCGGTACTTTCTGTTCGAAGTGGGTGTGATCGGCTGGGAGGGCTCGTCGCTGGGAACGCGTCTGAATGGGCTCTTGGTGACAGGCTCCTTCTCAAGGAGCCCTTGGAACGCTTTCGACTGACGTCGCTTGAAGCCAAGCGGATGTTCGTTCTCTGCTTGATCATGCAATGAGATCGGACGAGCCCTCTTCTCTCCACTAACGCGGCGGGTAGGGGCAAGAAGAGGAAAGGGTTTCGCTGGGGTTGGAATGTGAGACCTAAAGGGAGAGCGTGTGACAAGATTGTTTTTCTTCAAATGATTATAGCTAGAGGATTGTCTGCGGGCGAGTTGGACACCCCGCGGTTGAAGCTGCGGTGAGCCCCGCTTCGCAATTCGTAACGGTGTCGTGGTTGGAGAGCTCCATTCGGTATTCGTGTCAGACGAGTTCTGGAGTTGATCTTTGGCTTTGAGAGGAGTACTCGAGCTCATCGTGGCCTACGACGGCGAGAAGGGCGGGAACGGTGATGAGAGTACTTAGGGTCAAGCGTGTGAATGTTCGACTTCAATGTTCGACTTCAACAGCGCGTCTGCACGTGATCGCGTCTCGGCTTCATCCGGCCTCATAGGGAGCTTACCGTTTCGAGCAAGTGTGGTTGTTCAGGTGTTCTGCGAAAGCAAATCAATTAACGTATCGCATCAGGTACAGTAGGCACATTGGCTTAAATATATTTCTTCAGAGTTATTTTCGCCTCGGGTTGGCTGTTACTTGTGGTAGATGACCCGAAGTTCAAGAGACTACTGTTTATCATTCTTGTCTGGCTGCAAAGATTATTATAATCCTGCATGTATGCATAGAAACCGAAGTGTTTACACCTTTAAATTTATACTCCCATGTCCGTCGCATCAAAAATGCTGTACTGTGTGTCCAAACAATATCAATCGGTCGCCGACTCGATGACTCTTCCGTCGTGACCGAGGGGCCACCCAAGCTGCTCATACGTCCATCCAAAGATGCGACCTTCCGCTGCATAGTGAGTTAAGAGTGACCGATGCATTCCTGGTTTCTTGTGAAGTAAGTTAATGGTTTCCATTTCCTCTTCAGTGAGAGTGACCAACTAAGCAAACACATCATCCGTCAGCCGCCGAATTATAGAAACAGCGTGGGTACTTACGCTAATGTTCTGTTTCATTCTCTCGAAATTGGAACTCTTTGGTATCACAATCGTGCCTCGCTGAACGGCCCAAGAGATAGCAATCTGAGCGGGAGTGGCTTCATGTCTTGACGCGATGTGAAGGAAATCGCTATCGGTAAAGAAGAGCGGATTGTATTGACCTACAGGACCGACTCGTTAGTTAACTCCATACGAAACCCTGCGAAGAAACTTTACCGAAGGGAGAATACGCCGTGAGAATGATTCCATGATCTTCACAGTAAATCTTCAGTTCCGACTGCGGCAGGCATGGATGCAATTGAACCTGGTTCGTCGCAGGAACCACTGTGCATTGCGGGAGCAATTTATCGAGCAACTTGATACTAAAATTGGAGACGCCGATCGCTCGAACTTTGCCTGATATCGTCTGTCAGCATCTCATAGTGCATTCCGCCGTTTGGTCATAAACATGGAAGTTACCTGATTCGAGCAGCTTCTCCATGTCCTTCCAAGTATCAATGAAAGTGGGGTGCTCATCCGGATCCAAAACACGATCTATCGTGTGGAGGGTGAGAGCTTGTCATTCTAGATGCAAATTCCTCTCACCATCAATTTCAGCCTGAGGCCAATGCATCAAGTATAAATCGATGTAATCGAGACCTAAGTTCCTGAGCGACATCTCGAGTCCTTCTTTAACGCAATGGTGGTGCTTATTACTGTAGTAGTGAAACTTAGTCGCCAGGAACTCCGAACATGGAATAGCGAGCTCACGTTAGCTTCGTCGTCACAAAAATCTCCTCCCGCGGGATTTTAGACTCCCGAATGGCTTTGCCAACATGCTCCTCGTTCCCTATGAAGCGCGCTTTTAGGATCACTAGGAGGGAGATTGTGCACTACCACATACCATATCCGAAGGCCTAAGGACAGAAGGCGACGCTTAGACGCTTACAGCAGACGATCAGAAGCAAATTTTACGTACAGTGTCAAAATGACGATATCCGACCTGCCCAAGTCATAGGCTGTCGTTAGCGTTCGAGATGGTCCTTGAAAGCCAAACATGCGTACCTTGAGCGCATTCTTGCACATTTCTTCCACGATTTCTCCACCACCTGGCTGTCCCATCCAGCAGCTAAAATTACTGTGTTAGGAAACACTCCGACGCTTTACGTGACGGCCACTCACCCCATTCCTACGGATGGCACTTTGACACCATTGTTAAGGGTGAAGTGAGGTATCTTGGCAGCGACTGCAGTCATACTGGTGCTGTATAAAGGGAAATCAGGTTAGCTGATGTTCGAGAGGGCCGCTATGCAAGATTTTTATACAGTTGACCTCGGCGTCCGTGATACATGACGCTAGCACAATCGGCAACGCGTACATCGTCGGCACACCCGAGTCATAACTATCCGGTGTTATGAGATAGCTTTTCAATCACATCGTAGCATCCCCAGATCAATGACAAATGTAGCAGGTGTATAATCATCGGTTTCGCAAGATTTTGAAGATTCACTGGAGCGCGAAGGCTTGACTCATCGGCACCAGACTCTTTCTCTGCTCATGCGCAGATTCCGAACCGGTGCCAACATTTCTTTCAATCCGAATGGTCAAACCACAGGTAACATCCGCAGAGATGTTCCGCAGTGGGTGGTTGATAGGTAGAGTCCCTCGGTGTCAGCGAGTTGGGCCGACCATTCTATCTCTGTCCACCGATAAAAGGACACCTGCTTTCCGTTAGGGCTGAGATCTTATCATGATCTCTAGCAGGCCCTATACAGTCAGCAATGCTGTAGGAAACATCGAAGGGCCGGCACGCCTCCGATTCAAGGAATAGGAGCGCTGAACGGGGCGCGTTTCCGCTCAATGGTAGGTCTCATGACCTAGGACAACGAAGCCCTATAGTCTATGTGAGAGGAAAATGCCTGGAGAATACGGTGCTCGGATGATGCGAAGAAGAAACCGTTCTCCAGCGCATGGCACACTACAGATAATGTGCACTCGGCGATAACGTCATCGACTTAAAGGAAAGGATATCTCTCACCGAATAAAAACGGACGGCTCTTGCGTTTGAATGCGATTAAGCACAAGCACGGTGACTATAGGAGTTTGCTTGCAAGATGTGAGTAGTAGTCAATGCAGAAGCGGTAGCATAACTCAACTATAATCGAATCGATTTAATACATGTTTTTAACGCCAAGTCAATGATCGGATCGGCATCAATTCGTTGCCTTTAGTAGGTTGTTCCTTGAACTCGTTATTTTTGTTTCGTGTATCTTGATTTCCATCCGGCGCCGTTATGCATGGGTTTTCAAGAGTCGTTGCTCAATCAACGCATTGTCCTAACCGTAAATTTAGTATGCGGAACTGAAGAAGTCTGCTCGACACATGCTGCACCCCTTCCGTACCCACCTCCGCCATCTGCTCTTGGGATCCAGTTTGAAGTTGCTGACCGAAAAGACATGCCATGTGCGTATCCTGACCGGCCCACTTGCAGGCATTCTTGCGTTGTATCAGGTGGGGAACAGTATATAAGGCGTTGAGAAGAATGGCTGCGTCGGGAAACTTTCACTGCAATGCGTTTGAAAAAACTTCCCAGCACGTCCGCCCTGCTTTCGATCTGGTTTGCTTTGGCATCAGCTAGGACATTCTCTGGCGGTGCTATTGAAGGATTTGAAGAAGCTGCTAATTTCCAAGCTGAACAAATCGAGAATCTTCGTAGTTTTCTAGGTCCTAAGCAGGAAGACTCAAGTACTCAAAATGTCAAGAGAGAGAGCGCTATCACCTTCAGAAACCCGAATGCCCGACAGTTCTTTGTCGACGGGACAAAAATTCCAGATGGTGCGTCAACTACGTGCGACTTCCGGTCCAAACTGACTGATATGTATGCAGTGAACTTCGATGCCGGCCCGTCGTATTCTGGGTTGATGCCCATCTCTCCCGACCCTAAGGAGACACGAAAGCTCTTCTTCTGGTAGTTATTGCGTTGCTCAATCTCTTCACGTGCATGCGTTTAGTATCTAACGTAGGTTTTGGCCTACTACGAATGCCTCGAACGCACGAGACCTTCTTTTCTGGACCAATGGTCGGGGTTTTTGTTTCCGGGATCATGCTGAACATGACCTATACATTTTTGGTTTCAGGTGGACCTGGTTGCTCGTCCTTGGAGGGCTTTTTACAAGAGAATGGTCCAATTTGTGAGCTTGGTTCCAACAATGGTCTGATGTTTTCGTATGCTGAGGCATATTAGCTTGGTCTTGGGGTCAATCCGAGCCAACTCCGTATGTCTGCTTACTCTTTTACACCAACTATTGCAGTGGTTCTCACTGTTTCATCGATCTACTAGTAACCCGTTCAGCTGGACGAACCTTGCTAATGTCGTGTGGGTTGAACAACCCGTTGGCGTAAGTTACAATGTTTGCAATGTCTTTGCGTGGATACAAACTCACGTTGTATATAGACCGGTTTCTCTCAAGGAGCACCTAACATCACCAACGACGATGAACTAGCTGAGCAAGTGGCTGGTTTCCTTGGTCAATTCTTAGAGGTTTTCGACGAGTTGAAAGGAAGCAACTTTTTTGTGAGCGGGGAAAGCGTATGTTTCATTTTTCTTTTCGAATTTGCGACTTGACGTTCATTTCTGATATCACTCTTGACCAGTATGCTGGCTTCTGTGAGCGTCTGTGATACCCTCATATGAGTGACATACCGAACTACTTCATCACAGACGTTCCCTACATCGCCAACTGGATTTTCGAGCATACAACGAAACGTACTCTGGACCTGGACCTGCAAGGAATCTGGATTGCTGACCCTACTCTCACTTGGGGACTGATCTCTCAAGAAATTCCTGCGCTTCGATTTGCACAAGTATGCTTTCACTATAACGTGTTGCCTAGCATCGTATCCTCGCGCTCATGAATACTATACAGGCAAACAGGAACCTCTTCCCATTCACTCAAGCATTCTACGACCAGCTTCAAAGCATCTCTGATTCATGCGGTTTCACGGATTACCTCGACAAGTTCGTCAGTTACCCGCCTACTAGTCAATTGCCTATTCCCGCTGGCGGTACCATTGATCCTGTGACCCGAGCGGTTGGTGTTCGTTCGGATTGTAGGCTGCACAGTCCAATACAACGTGCTGTCGCTGTGTAAGTCCTCTTTGGTGATTTCCGCGCATACCTGCTGACTCTGTTGTCAGACTGAATCCTGTATTCAACGTCTATCGGGTGTCGGATACCTTCCCTAATCTTTGTACGTCCGTGAACTATACGCTTGGCTAGACGACTCATCAGTGACAACAGGGAGTGTCCTGGGATTCCCGCGAGATACACAGCAGTTCACTTATTTCAATAGGTGTGCTCGCCATCTTCAACTATCTTCATGAAAGACACTGACAGCTGACATATTCAATAGGACTGATGTATGTGTTTATTGACTGGCGACTTATTGAGCAAAACTCTCATTTAGTTGTGCCCCACTATAGGTGCAAAGAGCTATCCATGCACCTCACATCGAATGGCAGTCCTGCACGGACACATCGGTTTATATCAACCGTACCACCGGTGGTGCAGGTCGTGACCAGAGTATTCCGTCGACTCTGAGCGTACTTCCAAATGTCATCGAGAAGAGTGTTCGTACCGTCATCGTTCATGGTCTCGCGGTAAGTCCTCGCTCGTTAGTTCATACATGTGGTGTATTGACGTGAGCACATCCGGTAGGACTTCATTCTGACCGCTGAAGGAACACGCATCGCTATCCAGTCAGTGTCGATCGCATGCCCAATCATCTTATTTTTACCATCCTCACCAGAAACATGACTTGGAATGGATTACAAGGGTTTCAGACTCCCATTGAGCCCGAGAGCTTCATCGTAGATAACATGGGTGCCTTTGGATCCTTCCACCAGGAGCGTAACCTGACCTGTAGGTATTCCCCAGTCCGACTTTCGACCAAGCGCTGATGCTTGGCCGTTCCGTCATAGACGTCGAGTTCTCCTTCAGCGGACATATGACTCCTCGTAAGTGCTTGACCGCAGCATCTGATCTGTTCGTTAATGGTGCATTCAGAATTCGTCCCTTGGGCAGCGTTCCAAACTATTGCTTTCTTGCTCGGAAAGCGGCCCTCGCCCTCTGCCTAGAGCTTGCTGCTGAAACGACTTTGTTAGGCTCTATGCGGGTCCATTTTAGTCAGTATACTCGCGGCACGGCAATGTGAAATGCAGTTTTGTGTCCTATTAATAGATGATCGATGAATATGGTCAAGTCTCCAATGAAAAGGTCTATGCTTCGTGGGAGCCTCCTTTGTGTGTTATACAGCCAATGTTCGTCCTCGTTGGTATATGCTTCTCATTACGAAGATGGTTGATAAGAAGTCATGTTATGGTGGAAGCAGTGTAAGTGCTATTTTTGGAACGTCGATTGGCATAGACGCTAAGTCAACCTTCCTCTGTCGGCTCCACCACTGACCATTAACAATAAACAGGTCCTTTCGAGTCATACAGTGACAACCATGCATCAGTGTCTTTGTCTCACGGTAACGATAGGTATTATGATGTGACTTCACCCTGTGAACTGTTTTTTGAAGTTCGGACTCTGCAGATTTCGGCAGTATGCTGTAATCGGTGTATTACATCCGAAAGTTGACACATCGGCGCATATGCTTGGTTCGCTCCCGAACAGCAGGGGGGTATAAAACCAACATGGGCGAGGTCGCATGATGTTGCACACGCCCTATGGATTCGTCTTGGCAACGTTCTGCACCTGTATTCAGGACTCAACCCGAAAAAGGTAACGAAGAAAATACTAAGTCAGTCCTGATCGAAGAGATCAAACCCTCAATTACACCGTCAACACCGCAAGAGCTTACTCAAGGAGGTTCCTGTACATCTTCTGTGTCTGCGACTGCAAAAACGTTTGATGACAGTCATGCGAATCCAACGGAAGCCGACGAACTAATCGTTGATTGGGACGGCCCCGACGATCCGCACAACCCTCGAAAGTCAGTCAGGCATAATGTCTTAACGTCGGCTCCAATCTGACTTTGATTCTCAGCTGGACGATATACAGGAAATGGGCGGCGACTCTTGCCGTGTCAGCTTCATTTCTTCCATTTCATCGTCGATGGTGGCTCCTGCGGCTGAACAGATCTCACAAGAGTTCAGCATCCACAGCGGTGTTACATTATCAATGGTGGTTTCCTGTTATGTTCTTGCATACGGTGTGTTTTGATATATTATATTTGACTTTATCTGTTCAATCCATGATTAGCCGTCGGCCCTCTTGTTCTAAGTCCTCTCAGTGAAGTGTACGGTCGGTCCCGTGTCCTCCAAATCGCTAATCTTTTCTTCCTTGGTGGGCTTGCTCTCCCTTCCTGGTGCTCAGTATCTTGATGTGTTCAGTACTGTACAGCGTTTAATCTTGCGTGTGGGTTCGCACAGAATACAAGTCAACTTGCCGTATTCCGATTCTTGTCGGGGTTGGGTGGAAGTGCACCGCTCTCGGTAAATTCATTGCTGTTCGATGCGGGCAAATCACTCACCTCACTGTAGGTCGGTGGTGGTACCCTTAGTGACATGTTCGCAGCCGAAGATCGTGGCAAGGCTATCTCCATATATTCGGTGGCGCCCCTGGTTGGCCCAGCCATCGGTCCGATCGCTGGAGCTTTCATCGCACAAACTACCACATGGCGATGGGTCTTCTGGTCATCGACGATAGCAGATGGTATTGTGCAACTTTTCGGATTATGGTTCTTGCAAGAAAGTGAGTGACTCTCATTGAACTCCATTCTGCATCCCTCATGGTTAGTGTCTATATAATGTTTTTCTCAGCCTACCCACCTGTCCTTCTTGAACGCAAGGCGGCCAAGATCAGGAAGCAAATGGATTCAGAGAAGAGACTTTATACGAGTTTCAGGACGGTCTATCAATCCAAAGGTGGACGCAGGTACAATTGTCGTGCGCTCTGGTCGCATGGAGGCAATCTAATAACTACTTACAGCTGGGAGGAACCCTTCACGGAAGCTCTCATTCGACCGTTCATTCTATTTGCCCAAGAGCCAATTATCCAGCTGTTTGGGTTGTATCTAGCGCTGTCGTATGGAACGGTTTACTGTGCGTAGATTGTTACACATTCTCTTGTTCGCTCATCATTTCCTTTCCAGTGACAATTACTACTCTCCCACAGATATACAGTACTGTCTACCATGAGAAGATCAGCATTGTCGGACTTCATTATCTCGCTCTGGTGGGCTTTCAACCAGCTGACCTCCGTCATTTTTATACTGGGGTTCTAATATATGGCTTATAACTTAGGGACTCGGATTCAGCTTGACTTCACAGATCAACTCTCGTCTCCTTGACCGTGTGTACGTATACTACAAGGACAAGAACGGTGGCGTTGGGAAACCAGAATACCGACTGCGTACGTTGACGAAAACAACACTATCTGAATCAACGTTATGATGACCATGTTGTAAAGCTGTTAGCATTCCAGTATCGTTAGGTTTACCGATCGGCCTACTCATTGCGGGATGGGGGGCTCGGGAGAACGTGCATTGGATAGTCCCAGACATAGTCAATTATCTTCTTTTGATATTGCCAGACTCGTTGTTGACGTGCATTGGGCTTTATAGGGCTTTGTCTTGATTGCGGCGGGCATTGTAGCAGCATTTCAAGCAATGCAGACGTATATAGTCGACGCATTTACATTGTATGCCGCCTCAGGTATGTATCATGTTATCTTCAGCTTTTCTACAAACTGAATATGTCTGCGTGAAGCTTTGGCAGCTGTATCCTGCTTCCGGTCATTAGCAGGCTTTGCTTTCCCCTTGTTTGCTCCTAATATGTACCAGGCGTTGGGGTATGGTAAGGGTAACACAATTCTTGCAGCAATCTCGTTCGTTCTTGGGCCTCCTACGTATGTTTACCAATTTCCTGTAGACTTCTAGCCCTGACTTATTTTCTCAGACTTTGGCTCTTCTGGAAATACGGAGAGCGAATACGGAATATGAGCAAGCGTGCAAAGGATGTGCGTGTTGCGCCCATGAAGTAGTACTTCATGGAAAATATTGCGGCGTATCACCCACCATCCGAATTTTTTTTACCTCTGCAGAAGGACAGACGTTGTCTGCATTCAAATCTTTCCATATTTCATATAATATTGATGGCTGAATTTAATGGCTTATTTGCACTCTTGGGAGGGTACATGCAGACTAAATCTAAACGGGTACGAATATCAGCCAGTTTTTCAATGAGTGGGTGAGGATAAGCGTAAAAGCAATACGGCGTATTTGAAAAGTAATGCCCAGGTTTCGCCATCCAGTGTTTGGAGCTCGAAATTTCAGAATATCGGAACACCACAGCAGCCAATGGACTGGAGATGATGATCGAGTCGAGCATCTGGGAACGTTTGGGCTGTTAGTGACATGCAGATTCGAATATACGTATTGGCATCGACCTGAAATTGCTCACTTACGGAAGCTGAGAGGACATGAGATGGAAAGCGGGTCAGGATATTTATTTTGTTCAAGGACAGCGCCTTCCTTATAAGTCCGCACTCTGATTACGTAATCCAAGTTTCGTTGTTTCCTGCCCACTTTTGGTCTTCGTGCTTAGGCTCAGTTTAAGTTTCTCAGGGCTTCTCTCGTCTATTGCCTTTCTGAACTGCCTGAAATAGTATGGGTCTCTCTGGTCGGAAAGTGAAGCAGCGAATAGGTCACGATCCTCGCAATTTGTCCTGGGCAGATGGTGCGTCCACAGTCTTATTAGCCCTTGCTGGCTGCAGGCAACATTCTAATGTTTGTTTGAATGTGTAGACGCGAATAAATTTGGTGCAGCATATCTCCAGAAACTAGGATGGTCTGCTGGTACTGGTCTTGGTACATCCGGCGAAGGTCGTACCTCGCACATCAAAGTGCATCAAAAGCTCGACATGATGGGCATTGGAGCTGCTCATCAAAAAGACCCGAATGGTATTGCTTGGAAGCAAGCTAGAGATTTTGAAAGTTTGTTGAAGAGGCTCAATGGAGAGAGTCCTTCATCAACGCCTGTTGATGGCTTCGTGCAGGCAGGCGAGGAAGAAGAGTCAATTGAGGGTGAGAGAGAGAAGGGAGAGGACATCGGGAGGCTAGACGAGACGAATACAAGTAAGAAAAACAAGAAGGACAAGAAGAGGAAAAAGTCAAAGGATGATGACGAGAGTGAGGAGCCGGTAAAGAAGAGGAAGAAGTCAAGGACGGAGGGAAATGGCGATTCCGATGACGAGTCAAAGCGAAGTAGCGAGAAGCAGAAGAAGAGAAAGGTCAAACCAGAAGATGAAAGAGTCGAGGAGATTCCTGCAGCATCGACGTCGCAACCTACACCTCAAGCCGTGGTACCTAGACCGTAAGTCCTTGGCTTGCATACGCTGCACCGAACTGCTTTTATCATGATTGATCTTATACTTCGATTTCATACAGACATCGTGCTCATAGAGCGCGATTCCTGGCTGCGAAACGAATGGCTCTCAGTTCTTCTGCCGCCGTGGATGAAATCCTAGGCGTGTCGCGATCTACATCTGGGACTCCCCTACTATCTGCCTCAATTCCCGGCACACCTGCAGATACCCAAGGCGACCTAAAGCTACAAGAGCTAACGACTTCATCCAAAAGCGTCATGGACTACTTCAAGGAGAAGTTACTTGCGAAATCCAGCTCAAAAGCTGCTTCTGCGTCAATGGTAGCAAGCCCACTTCCCGAACAGACGTCCAGCCAAGATGATTATGACGACTACTCTCATCGTCCGCGGGGAGGCCTTGGGTTGGGCGCATCCCGTGGTCTCGGCTCGAGCTTACGCCTAGAGAGCACGTATGAGGAAGAAACAGAGACCCAAAAAACGGGACTTGGCGCTTCGTCACGTATGTCGGCGATGTTTGCAGCTGCATCTTCTTTCGTTGGTGCGTCGGGTGATGTGAAAATCACTGAAGAGCGCGCCGTCGCTCTCAACGAGACTATTGATATCTCATCGAAGGCTGAAGAGATGCCGAAAGAAAAGGCGAAGAAGGAAAAGAAGCACAAAGGAGTGGGGAAAACGACACAAGAGGACGAAAGGAAACGCAGGAGCTAAAACAGCAAAGACATACGTCAGGAGAGCGATGATCATCACGAAGCCGATAACCCGCTAGAAATACCAGTTGAAGCCGCTTCTTCAGTCAATGAATCTTCTCGCAAGAAGGAAAAGAGGAAAGTTAATTCCTCGGCCATAGAGGGGGAGGAACGTCGTAGAAAGCGGAAAAAGGACAAGGCTGGGGAAAAGGCCAAGTCGCGATAGGATGTGTACTGTAGCATCAATTGTGATCTGTGACTCGTTTATATTTACTATCACTGGATCAGGTGCGGCGAAACTGCAACAGTTGAATGGTATGCGGACATTGGAGGCCCTTCTCTTCATTTTGAGCTTTATAAAAAGTATGATTACGTCGTCAACTTCAGCGATTCTGTTTCACTTTCCATGAGTCAATCTAGTGAGAGTTGTTGCATAGTCAAAATACTGTACAATCTCGGACGGCCCGGCATGGAATTTCTCTCCTTTGTTTGTTCTTGATGCGCAAAGCCTTCGACCTGACTTCCTAAAGAAGCCCCGGTGTCGTCACATTCATACCGGGCGCTCAACGCTCACTTCTGCCAATAACTTGTCTCACTCACCTTCTGTTCTCCCTCCCTCTAACTCTCAGTCCCTCCTGGGGGCGTATACTCTATCTTCCTTTTATCTCACGACACGAACGACACCTGACACGACATACGCAACATGGCTGACGGACTGAAGAAACGACGCGTCAGTCAAACTCGGCATACTTCGGACAGCGTGCTATTGCAAGATGAAAAGGAACAACACCATCGGAGCGAAGTCCACGGGATGAAGAATGAGTTTTTGCATAAAATTGAGGCATTGAAGAAGAACAAAGATGTGAGTTTGCTTATAGACCTTCCATGACAATCCAGCCGGGCAGGTGTAGATCAACTTGGAGCAACTCACTCTCACATGCAAGGCTCGATACTGCCGAGGTGGTTACCTTTCTGCGACGTGAAGCTGATACCTTCGTTTCTCGTAGGCCGATCACTGGTTTTGGTCTAAGAAACGTTTCATATTTCCCCTTGGCATTATGGGTATGAATTCCGCTCGGTGTTGGCCTTTCTCCCACTAAATTCATGCTCTCATGTAGTCGGAGTTCTTATGGGCATTGCTCTCATACAACCCAGTGATCTCCCAGATATACAGACCCACCTTGCCCTTCTCCTGGACGAATTTGGCATGTCTCTTCCACAGCTCCCGGACTTATCCCGCGTAGAAAGCGAATGGAATCGACTACGAAGCAATATACCTGAACCTTGGAAACTCAATACCAATGGCTTGGAGTTCAAGGTTGGTGAAGAGATAGCAGCGAGGAACCTCAGTGCGAAGCATCCGGTGGTTCTTGTTCCCGGTATCATCTCTACCGTAAGTCTTCATTTGTTTTACTTCAAGTATGCAGCCTTATCGGGAACGCAGGGTCTTGAATCCTGGTCAACTGCACCAGAGTATCGCACTTTCTTCAGACAGAAACTCTGGGGCGGATTTCCCATGATTTCACAAGTCACGTTCAATCGAGAAAAATGGATGTCGGCTCTTATGCTTGACTCGGTAACCGGACTTGACCCTCCGCTGGCCAAAGTGCGTGCTGCGGAAGGGATTGATGCAGCAAGCAGTTTCATTCAGGGTTATTGGCTATGGTCAGTTTGAGCGTTGCTCGTCTGGGAGTATTTAAATTGATTGAAATATCTACTCTCCTATAGGTCGAAGATTATTGAAAATCTCGCAGTGGTCAACTACGATACGAATAACTTGCATCTCGCACCTTATGATTGGCGATTGTCCTATCACAACCTAGAGGAGCGTGACGGATATTTTTCGAAACTGAAAACAACCATAGAGGGATTCAGGTATTTGGTCCCATCTCAGAGGAGTGAACTAGTTGTGCTGATATCGGTATTAGAAATCGGGACAATCGAAGAGTTGTGCTTTGTGCGCATTCAATGGGAAGTTCGGTAAGATTCTCTGGCATCTGACTATATGTCGTCATATTGACTAAGTCTCTTCATCAGGTCATGTTGGTATGTACATGAGGTGGCATATTGCCCCCTTGTCTAGGCTGACGCTGAGCTTGAGCGTTATAGTATTTGTACGTGTCATTACAATGGGCCATTCATACTTACCTCACTTATCCCTTTCAGCTTCAAATGGGTCGAATCACCGCGTCATGGTCGTGGAGGGCCCAATTGGGTGGAGGTGCGCACTCAACCCTGTCCTACTTGTGAGATTCATTCTGAAGCATGCAGTACACCAGAATAACATAGAAGCCTTGATTACCATCGCGGGTACCCATCTCGTGCGTTATGAATTGTTCGACACTTCACAACTCATCGACTGATAGTCTAATCTAGGGTGTTGTTAGTTTTATCAATCTCTTCTTCCAGGGAATATTCGTCTGATGCTTATATTGATAGACCAAGGCAATGTCTGCTTTCCTCTCTGGTGAGATGAAAGACACCGTACAGATGAACCCTGCGGGTGCATACGGTGAGTCCAAGAGATCCTTTGCACTGTTGCTGTTCAATTAATTCATGTCAAAAAGTACTTGAAAGATTCTTCTCTCGTAAAGAACGTCAAAGGTTGTTCCGGAGTTGGGCGGGAAGCGCGAGCATGTGGATCAAGGTTGGTGTGCTGACCAAAATACGTTCACTGTGGAGGTCTGACAGTTATCCAGGGTGGCGATGATGTTTGGGGCAATGCAACGTTCGCTCCTGACGACATGCCAGGAAGCAATCAGACTCATGGCGAACTTATAGCCTTCCGGGATGCAGTCGCACAAACCGACTCTACCTTAAGCAACATGACGTCTGATACTGCCGGGAATTGGATTCTGGAGCATACACCCCCAGACTTCCAGGTATGTCACTTGCTACCTCGTGCAGAATCACGAATGGTCTTATATGTCCAAATATATAGCGCATGCTTGCTAGCAACTACTCATATGGTATCGAACGAGATGAGAAAAGGCTGAAGGCGAATAACCTTGATCACCGGAAGTGGACAAACCCTCTAGAGATTCAGTATGTCGTGGTGTCTGCGAGCGATTTCGCACTTCTTATATTCCCTCAGATTGCCAAATGCACCTTCGACAAAGTTTTACTGCGTCTACGGTCATGGTAAGGAAACCGAGGTATGTGTGATCCGATGCAGTCATACTAATGCTCACTGACATGATTATCTACAGAGGTCATACTGGTAAGAATTTCTTCCCCGGTGTATCGTATAGCACTGAATAAAAGTGATCAGGTATACTCGCGGCGAATACGAGTATGACGAGATCCACCCTGATGACGTTGCTGGAACATGCCCAAATGGTACCGACTGTATAACCAGACGCACGCCTCTTGACCTGCCTATGTCTCGCAAATCCTTCATCGACTCCGAGTACACGGACGAGAATCTTAACCCGAAGGTGCTCAATGGCGTGAAAATGGGCGAAGGCGATGGCACTGTGAGCCTACTGAGTCTCGGCGCAATGTGTGTCGAAGGTTGGAAGAGAAAACGTTGGAATCCATCCGGAATTCCTGTTGTGACTGTTGAGGTATGTTTGAATCGTTCCAAGGTTGCAAAATTGTCTCGTTGACTCTGTCTCTTGCAGTTACCTCACCGCCCAGTACCAACGATACCTCGTGGCGGTGGCACAACAGCAGACCATGTCGACATTCTGGGGTCAACGGCTCTCAACGAAATCATTCTCAAGGTTGCAACTGGTGTTGGAGACGAAGTTAAGGATAACTTCGTGTCGAACATAAGAGAATACGCCAAAAGGATACGTTGGGATTGATATCATAGGTTTTGGGGCTGATTTAGGGTAGTGACATTAGACTAATGCCGTATAATTACACGAAGCGTTGCAACAGCCGGGCACTCGATTAGGCGCAGGATATTCATGAAGGTGGTATGACAGTTCAAAATGCTGAGTAGTCGACATGTAGCAGACTGCAAGAGAAATGATACGAGATCCGTCACACAATGTCAAGATTTACCGGACCCTATTATCTCCATTTGAATTCTCCCGACGACCATATCGATTCTCCATTTCTATTGCAAACGAAGGGGCACTGATAGCACTTTCAGAGGCAATGCGAAGGCCAGATATATCTGACTGATTGATGAATGAGAGCACGTCTCCTTTTCCTCGGGCCACTGTACGCAAATTCAAGATAAGGCGGGAACCCTACATGACGAGTGTGTTATGTGTCAGACCCAAAGGCACAGTCACGAACATCACGATGAAGAGACCTACAGCTTGGGAGAAGGCAGTCATTTGCCAGCTGCATGCAAATATTAGAATCGAAGAGGAACCTGTCATTTATGTTTGTAAAGTAGCACTCAACTTGTATGGGACGAGATACCATGGCAAGAGTTTCTGAACATTGATGAAGATGGTGCAGATGAGTACGATACCTATGCATCAAAGTCAGGCTTAGCATGGATGCATTCTTTCCGCAGAGCACATACAAAATGTCCTGAGAAATACTTGCAATTAAGCGGCTTCGTATACGGCCTACAGGTGATCACGTACAATAAGAAGTAAATCGTACCATCCTGAAAGAAGGTATCAAGCAGCTCGGGAGACCGCAAATTGAGCACAGAGCGGAATTGATTGATCTGGACAAACTTGTACATCGTCATCAGGAAAAATGTCACTAGTGTGTGGAGGAAGTCAGCGATTCAGATGCACTGCAAAACATGCAGAAGATGCATACGGGAGACTGTTAGGGCAGGAACCCTTGATTGGTAATGAATAATTGGTCGCAAAGAGTGAGATGAGACCTACATACCATGCCATCAGAGTCACTGAGTGCGACTGAGGGGCGACATACAAGCACCCCTGCCAATACATATCAAGTGGAAGACTGGTCACCGAAGTCTCTTTGGCTGAGACGACACAGCTGTAGACTTCCAGCTGCGAAATAAAAGACACATGGATAAAAGCTCATTGGAGGCACTACACCAGTGCCAGTTACATGCAGAAATACGCACACTGAAGTCAACTGATTTGGGACAAAAATAAGATTATGCGGCGCTGAAATGACATGACAGCAATCAGGACTTACTGAACATTAGCACCGATAAGCCAATAAGCACTGCAGTATTCCATACGCTCAGCTGTATGATAGCGAAAGGGCCGATATGTCTCACCCTTTATACTCCCGTTATACAGCGCACGGATCCGAAGAACCATGATGATGTTGACTGTTGTGGTAAGGATGACAGGCGCGGAGCTGTGAGTGAAAAATAAAAGCTCACAGTAACTCACGTGAACGTCACCAATAGACATATAATAACTTACAAGGACGAAATCCACGCCGATCCCATACAGCTTGTTGCGGTCATTCAGAATGCATGCTGTCGCAAAAAGTTTGGAGCTGCTCACAACTACCCAATGTCGAGACAGTATTGGTGAGCTTATAAATGTTTCTAACTTCTGATGAAAACTCACGCTCTCAGAGGGACTGGGCATAATTGAAACTAAAACGTGTGATATCATGATGAATGCATCAGTGACCATTGAAGTCAGAAAGACACACCGAGAAAGAGATACCTGAGGGTGTACATGAAGTAAATCAATCAAGGACAGGGAGATGATGAGAGGCTCACAGTAAGACAACTGGGTTCAAGTATCGGGCGATGTAATACAGAACCTTAACGAGGCTAAAGCGAGAGCTGAACGACGATGAGACAGATGTTCACCTTGAGAGTCCGTCTCGCGTACCTCCAGATATGCTCGTACTGTTTTCAGTGTATCAGTGTCAGGTATGGAAAACAGAATGTATGGCTGACCTCTTCTGAAAACATGAGGCAGATATCGTAGATAGGGATTACAGTTGCAGCAACTTTTAACGAGGGGCGACACTGAACGATACAAGATACTAACAGATGAGAGCCTACTCACGAGAAAAGTGACTGACAGTACGCGACGTTTGCATTGCATTGAAGAAAAGCTGTTCATCTGTGGGATCCATGACGAGTGCAGAAACTCCTGGTATTCTTCATCCCGTGGCTTGGGACCCATGATATAGCCAACCCCTGGGATCCAAATTTGGTCACGTTGAATAGAGATGTACGATCAGGTCAGCACCAAGATGGAATTCATTTGTGAGTGGATTCTATGATAAGTTTGAGTTTGCACTTGCGATAGTTTACCTTCGATATGCACCCTCGATTCTTGCGATCTCGGGGAACACTCATTACTGATGTATGATGGCTCCCATGACATACATTCCCAGCTGATATCCTGCTAGATACTGGCTAGATACGAGGCCCCAAGCTGGACGTAGATCTTTGCAGCAATGATTGTCATCGTCACGAGTCTTTGCAGTGGTTTGTATTATAATATCGGCATTAGCATGGGATATAATTGCAGCAATGTGTTACATACGGAAAATTTGGATCAATCCCGGCACCGTAGGTCATCCATTCGAGCTTTCTGTACATCTGTCAATCAATCGAAGTGGTATTAAAGATAGAAGTCGAGCAGAACAAGAGCGAGTCTTACCTGAAAGGTCTTTAGGTGGTCTCTGGTTATGCGCGACATCGGACAGGTGGATCAACGGCGAATGAGAGCGTCCGTATGAATCATCACATGGTCAACTCGAAAGACTCTGATGATTCGACGTGTGCTCTTTGACAACAGAAATGTATCAAACTCCAACAGCCCTATGATTCAAAGCACATGGCAGCTATGTAGGTGTCGTTCAATACAATCATAACGGGATGTTACAATGGCGAGCACTTGAACTCACGGAGCGACGCATCTAGTACTGTACAATTTCGAACGGTTCGTCGGCCCTTGTGACCTGTGACATGGCCTGACGAAATGTTGAATTCGTCAGAGCGTCGAGACTCGCGTGACCTTGAGATATATTCAACTGAAAATTAGATTTTCCTTCAGCAATTGGCTCTGGAAGTCACTCACAGTCTATTACAACTCAGAAAGATGAAAATAGGGGGAAAGAACCTCTCCGAGAGGTATGGATTTTTGGCGCTTAATATGAAGTTCTCCAAACTCATTCGTTTTTATGCCCAGTGACCTGTGACTTCGGCCAAATTTCGTCGCGTCAACTGCCCCTGTGACGCGTGACTGACGAACCGTTCGAAATTGTACAGTAGTAGTTACAGTATGGGAGATTCTGGCAGTGGTTAAAGAGCTAGCCTGGGTTCTGGAGCGAAGAAGAAACTTGCGACAATTTCCTAACCACGATTTCAGCACATCGTTTGTACATAGACATCGATTGCGAATGACAACTCACTGCCACCAGCTGCAACTCGGAGTAGACTCTAGAAAGTTAAACGTGGGAACCTTTATGTGTATGATCATGATGACGACGGTGTTTCTCCCATTAACCGTGACATTGCCAACGCACCGATTGGTACTTAGACGAAATACTCCTCATCTGATACCATACCGAAGCTGCGCATCTGTTCTTGATACATATCCGTATCAGCTGGTTGTCCTGAAATTAACCACCGCACTTCTTCGGACAGAAGTTGCTCCTTATCGCCAGCCTGAGTAGGCACAGGTTTGAAAGAGTTTCATGCACATTGCCATGATCAATCTGGATCTTCTGATATCTTTCTTGTGCAGTGATTATTCGCGATGCGAGCTCTTCTGGGTCTTTGATCTCCTGTCAGACCGGATACCTCAGGCCTGTCCTAAACATAGTTCAGCGGGGACGATTCAGTCATGGACGTCCTGACCTGCATATCTAGACACTTTGGATTGTGAATGTAAGGCTCTCACTTGATTTCGCTAACTGCAAATTGTAACGTGCGACGTCTACTCTGGAAGGATAACTACAAGACTCTCTTCGCGTCTCTGAATTTCCCAACGTGGAACCATGATATTCGTCTATTTGATTGCCTCCCTCGTCATTCTGTCATGCATACGGTCCTTCTGTAAAATCTCATCTCAATCCCTACCTGTAGTCACCTCGTCAGTTCCATGGATCGGGACAGTCATAGAACTCTTCAACGATGCTCTTGGACTCTTGCAAAGGAACAGGTACATACATCATCTCTCCAAAATTAATACTTACCTTACAATTAAATTAAGGGAGCGCTACGGTTCAGTGTACACGATGTCCATCGCAGGCCATCAGGTCATCGTTGTATGCCACAGGGAAGGTGTTGTTCGCATTATGCGAGACGCCCCCAAATGCCTCACCAATAGTTTCAACACTCGGATGCTGGAGGCAGTCGGGGGCGTGAAGAGTAACACCATCACCCATGTCTTGTTTGGAAAGCTTTCAGGCTTGATTACGAGATCGTTCTCAACCCGCGCAATTTCCAAGCTTGCGCCGGCATATACTCAACGTGTCGTGGAGGAGATGATGTCGTTAGTCAAAGGGCAGACGCGGCAGCCGATACACCTCTCACAATTCGTTGGCGAGTGTCTGTATCGGGCCGTTTCCTCCATGCTATTTGGGCCACGATTCCCCTTAGACACTTATGCAGATTTTATGTGCGTGGATTCGCAGATCCCTCGACTACTCTCTCCAATTCTGTTTCCGCCTCGACAAGCCACGCGAGCTCGAAAGAACCTGAAAAAGAAACTCGGCGCATTCATTCATGATTGCTGGGACGATATTCACGGTCTTCCCGATGCCGCCCTAGCCGGTACAGCCATAATTCGTACCCTTCGTGAGGCTGCGTTGCCGCCTTGTGATGAGCAGGGGGTCTTGCTAGCATTTTTACTCGGGCTACACGCCAACTCATTGCGCGTCACGACCTGGTTCTTAGCATTTCTGCTGAGTGACCAAGTCGCCTTATCCAGGATTCGAGAAGAGATCGATCATGTTATCGACACCGAGTTCGGATCTCTCGACGCACTTTTTTCCTCGCCTGTTCAAAGTCTCGGAAAGGAAAACTTTCCACTCTTGGATTCAGCGTTGAAGGAGACGATGCGTTTGTCTGTACCGCCCGTATTCATGCGTGCGGTGAAAGTCGAAACCAACTTCCCTATTGACGATGCCACCAATATTACCGTCAAGCGAGGACAGTATCTTGTTGCGGATGGTTGTTCCTTGAATATGGGTCATGACATATTTGAGGACTCAAACGAGTTCCGCTATGACCGATTTGTTCAGTTCGACAGCCATGAAGATGCTGAAAAACATACACACCTGCCTGTTTCTCCTTTCGGTGGAGGTATACATGCGGTGCGCGAGTTCTCCCAGGCTTTTACTCACATATTGCTCACGACATGCTCTACAGTGTAAGGGGCAAGATTTTGCAGTTTACGAAATGAAGGTGTTTGCCATTGTTTGCCTACGGCTACTTAACGTCACGGCGGAGACATCAACGGGTACCAGCATGCACCAAGTTCATCCCAAGGCCAATACTTCCATCCCTACTCCAGTCATGTATCTAGAAGACGGGATTTTCGTGAGAGTTAGCAAACGTGACTAGGTGTAGGGTGACTTTTCTTCGCATTTCTCTTAACATGCCACTTTTCATGCAGATGTCGACTGCATGTATTTGAACGATAGTATTATCAATAGAATTTTCTTTGACTTGTGAGTGCTCATCTCAAATTAGTGAATTGCTTGAAGCAAACCTTGGCTCACCGTTTACTTTGAAGGCCGATATAGCTGCGGAAGAATTATTTGAACTGCATGTTGCGAATTCTACCGACATGCCATTTCATCTCATCACGAAGCAAAGAACACCTTCAAGTTGACATCGGCCAACCATCATGCAGTGGAGCTTTCTCCGAGGGCAGTAGAGTGGTTCACTTTGAAAGTTTGAGCGATCACCGGGCTTCGTGATGCAGCTGTTCATATCATGACATGATTCGATGTTCATTTCAAAGTTTCGCACTTGACATGCGTCTGTTGGAAGGCCATATCGGGGGCACTAAAGCAACCTATGATTTCTCCGTGTACCTTGAACCTTGCCGCTTCATTCCAGTGGCATCTTGTTGCACAAATGCTCTATAAATATCTCGGCAACCTACCGACAGCCATCGTTCATCTGCAATTGAACTTTCCAATGGGCTGGCATGATCATCACTGCTCCTTCCATCACGGAAACCCACGATGCTTCCGTTCTCCGAATACCCTGCTCAGGGTCTCGAATACTCCATGTGTATATCTTGATACAGGCATAGCATTCATCCGATATTTCCTTGGCTGTTCTTGCCTCTCGCCTCTAGTCAATCCTAGTTGGAAAGTATGACTATCTCAAGTCTCACCTTTCTCGACGTTCTCATAACACTTGGATCTATACTGGTACTCTCGTGCATCTATCGCTATAGCGCCTCCTTGAAAGTGACACAAATTCTGCTTATGTATGATCTTTGACATTTACTGATATTTTATCCTTCTACAGCATGTTCAATACGTTCCTGGTATGCGTGTATTGTTCTCGCCGTTGACCATCTTCGGCGCTATGATTCCGACAAGGTCGTGGAACCCCGGTCTAAATTGGTCTTGGATATGGCGTAAAACTGGTAAATCTTACATTTATCTCTCCTCTCAGCTTTTTACATGGATATCTAGCCTACATGAATCGTACTCATGACATCATTTCAATGGTCCCCATTCTCTTTGGCAAGCCTTCTATTTATGTGGGCTCTCTCGATGTTGCACGACAATTGTTGGTAAATGAAAACAAGTTACGCCTGGAGAAACCTGCAGATCTTCGAAAGTCTCTCCTGTACGTGACCCAGTTATTTCCCTGAACATCTTACAAATTTCACTAGTCTCTGGGGCGAAAGCCTCTCCACCACTAATGGGGAGGATTGGAGACGCCACAGGCGTATCCTTGGTCCGGCCTTTTCTAACGAGACGTGTGTGCTTTTCATTTTTTTTGGAGTCCCAAATTCATGGAGGTTTCTTTTTTTTTTAATAGCTATGTAACGGTCGTGAAGGAGACTGCTTCGATTTACCGCGAAATGGTCGCTGCGGAAGGTTGGATGGACAACACTGAAGTTGTCGTGGAAGAATTTCACCGTATACCATCACACGTTAGTCATATATCAATACTCTGCAAGGCCGGCTAATGGTTCAGAACAGGTAGCGTTCGTGGCATTGGCGAGATGTGGGTTCAATGTCCGTCTTCCTTGGGCAGAAGAGCGTGAAAACGAAGACCTGTCATTCGGCAAAGCTCTGAAGACGGTCATACGTACAAACTTAGCACGCTTGGCAATACCCATTTGGGCCTATAAGCTTCCACTTGAAGGGTATGTACAAGTCCCAATGATGAAGCAGTATGCTGACGAGTTGCAACAGTTTACACAAGATGGATCAGGCCTGGAAGTACATAGGTGTCTACATGCATGACCTTGTCGCTCGCCGTAGGGAAGAACTTAGAGGAGAAGTACCTGAAAATCTGCACCAGAGAGGTGATCTTTTCAGTCGTCTAGTTGCTGCATTAGATGAGAACGCGAAGATCGGTCTGAAAGAGCAGGAAGTGGTAAGTCTTCCTTTTCTGACTTTTCATTCTTAGGTTCACTTGACCCAAGATCGGGAACACATTCACGTTCATGTTCGTTGGCCACGGTAAGTACTGCTATGCGGGCATTCTGTCGATGGATTCTGATGCATCTATCTAGAAACCTCTGCTCGTGTTCTCACGGAAGCTCTCGGATTTCTCGCCATACACCAGGATGAACAAGATAAGGCTGTTAATGAAATATCAAGTGCTCTTCCGGCGGGTCAGGATCCAGTTTGTACCAATTTAATTGGCACAACGGGACAGTGATTGATCTGATTTCAGACATTCAATGACTTATCAAAACTGGTGCATCTCCTTGCCTGCTTCCATGAGGCTCTTCGCATCTATCGTACATATAACATCCCAGGATGGTTGAATTGTACTCACTCACTTTTGCAGCGCCAAGTCTCATGATGGGTCGAGACACGACCAGCGAAATTCCCATTAAAGTCACGCATCCATCGCCCCAAACCATTCTACTCCCCAAAGGCAGCCGCGTAGTGATGGATATGATCGCTCTTCGTAAGTATCTGGAGTACCCGAGGCATCTCAGAGAACCATAACGCTCATCCGTCGTTCCCAGATCACGACCCCCGTGTCTTCCCGGATCCTGAGAAGTTCAAACCCTCACGATGGTATGGGAAGAACGGAGTCGGGGACGAAGTCTCCATGTTTGGGCTCGGACCTCGTGTTTGCATCGGCCGTAAGTTTGTAGAAAGCGAAGCGTTGACCTTCCTTTCTATGTTCCTGAGGGATTGGAAGGTGGACATTATTCTCAGTCCTGGTGAAACTCGTGCGCAGTATGAGGACAGGGTGATGGGACGTGCTCGTCTCATTGGCCACGCTTTTGGAGTTGAACCCTTTCCGTTGAAAGTCTCTAGGCGGGTTTCGGTTTGATAGGATGTCCTGGTAACCATTACACTGACAATTGTAGGGACAGTAATCAATATCATTGTGCACCCTCTTACTGTGGTTAGCACGTATATGCATGGTACAGGGGCGCAAATTCTCCTGTAGCAGCCGGTCCAAAAAATAATGTTGTACTCGAATGATGATTGAAGTACTGCCACGTCTTCGATAATTTCTGTCGAATCTGTGCAACTGTTTCTACAAGGAGTCAACACTCACAAGTACGTATAGGCACATGCGAATGAAGATTGAGGTATGGGACTACGGGTACATTTAGGAGACCCTGTGTTGAACAAGTAGGTGCATGAGAATTCGATTGGTGACTGCTCTTTATATTCAGTAGGAGATTATAATCGTCTACGTATCTTCACCGGCACTTTTTCTACTCCAAACGCCAGACCAAGTAAGCGAGACCGATCCATAATACGCCTCTCAAAAGCCTGCCTAGTTTCCCCATCTTGGAGATCAATATCGACCTTCCATGTGCGCAGGAGAGTCACCAGGAAGGTGAGAGCCTCTGTCTGGGCGAATTTCCTTCCGAGGCACGCTCTGGGTCCCAAACCGAACATAGCGACATCATGGTCAGGAATGTTCCGCCACCTTGATGGTCTGAACTCTTCCGGGTCTGGAAATGTGTTGGGATCGTGAACTGAAAACCGTCAATGTGAAACTATGGCTGTGAACATACGGATACAATCACTCACGTGCACCAATGTAGTCCAGCATCACATAATCTCCTTTCTGGAGATGAAGAGCCTGGGGCTGAGGCCGCTGAAGGTGGAGAGTCACGTTTTCCATTATTACACGACCAAAGCCTGGTCCAGGAGCTGACAATGGTTTGGGTTGACAATTAATCAGCGCGAAGAAGGGAGGACTCACGATGTAAACGAAGACCTTCATAGAAACAATACAGAAGATGGTTCAGTTTCTCCAAATCAAACAACGTCTGCGACGGAATTGAACTATATCCATAACTGTGGGGTGTCCTGGTTACTCACCGGGTCGCGATCATCGGGCAGTATGTGTTGAATCTCGTCCAAGACCCTCTGCTGTTCATCTTGATGTATGGCTAGATATCCGACGGTGGCAGCAAGTGCCCGCGCAGTAGTCTCTGCAAATTTAGTGAGACTCAAAACCTAAACAGCGAGGTTAGAGTGCGGCTCACCATGACCTGTGAACATAAGTATGAAGGTATTTCCGATCTCGGGTTTAATCAGATATAAAAATCGAATCATCAAGCAGCTGAGAGACTTACCACCTGCTGCTCTTCGAGTCCAACTTTGGCATCCTCCGATAAGCCGGCAACAAGGCGAGTAAAGATATCTCCTCGCTGTAATTGAGCGTCAGAGCCGCTGGCACCTAGCTCCTCCTTGCGTTCGACGATGAGTTCCCGCATGTACGTCCCAAGAGATGTCCATGCAGCATCGATGAATCGCAACCTAATGACATTGAAGCAAACCTCGCTGCTTATACATTGTGTCCACATACCTCTGTATGGGCAGTCTATACAGCCATCTTGGATAGAACAGACGCTCAATGTGGGACTCGCATGAGGATCTGAGCGCGTGTTCAAATGTCAACTTATCTTCTCCATCGTTCCTTGTATCAGCCCATTGGAACGGAAGTCCGAATACGCATCGCCCCAGTACAATCATAGCCGTCTATCAAGTGATCAGCCCCTGAGAGAAGGGTCATCAGGAAACTGACTGACATGTGCAGTGATTTTGTTGAAATCAGGTGAGTTCCCTTCGTGTCTATCCACCCAGCCCTCGGCGACTGCCATCTCCTCAACTACTGCCTTAGTCTCCTTCAGGACCATCTGGAATCTATATTTAGAGGGAATGAATTGCTGCAGGCGGGCTCGGAGTATCCCACAAACGTTGAGTGAGTGAAGGCAGGCCCCATGATGCGTCTCTGTCGTTTCCACACATCGCCATTCGCAGTGAAGAGATTGTCTCCGAATGCACTTCGGTAAACTTTAGAAACTGAATGAACCCAGATGAAGATGAAAGGACGAACAGCATGGATTTCAGCATGTCCTGAGGTTTCTCAATATGCAGTTTGTTTTCCGCGAAGAGAAGCTGCTTGAACAAATTCAGAGAACCGAGGTAATACATGCGACGACCGTAGAGAATGGGAACTAGTGAGATGACTTCATGTGTATGGTTCACGTAGGCTGAGACGACATAAGTGTTGAAACTTGTTGTTCGATAAGAAGCACGCCCACCAGTGGCCCGTTGCTCCCAACACCAGTTTAGGCCTGGATTCCATCGAAAGGTTGGAGTGATAGCGCCTAGAACCGTCATTGGAGAGAGCAACACTCGCATCTCAGACGCATCGGAATGGAACTGAAACATGAAAGTTAGTCTTAAGGTTACATGGGTACACAGTACGACATGCCCACCTTGAAACGCTTCAGACACTTGTGGATATTGATGATGGCGATGAGAACCAGGAGAGCAGCTGTTGTCGTCAGAGACCAGTCCAGCATTCCGTAGAAAGGAACTAAGGGGATGTAAACTACAAAAAAATGCACAAGCTTTATTCGCAGCTGGTATGCTTCTCTGTAAGAACATCATGATTCCGTGATTGGGATGATGGCGGAGCACACTGAAGAGCAGAGCATTTTGCCGAAACTTAACCCAGATTCGCTGTTCGGCCATGCAACGATATCGGTCCATGTTTACTCGGACAGAAGCTGCGATGGTGCAACGGGAGCGTCAGCGACATTCCACTGCACTCCACATGAAAAGTCAGGCATACCTTCTTATAATTATCTCGCTATCTCTCCGAAAGTGAGAGAAAGCTTGAATGGAGACGCAGATTGAAACCAAGAGAGGGCGGAGGTCGGCAAAGAGAGAGATTCAAGACGTCGACTTCGATACCAAAGCGTGGGTGAATAGCCCCAATATCTATGGCCTCACATTCCGCAAAATTTCACGTCATTGAGAACGAGCCGTGCTCAATTCAACGAAACTGATGCATCCTTTCTCATTATTCTTCAAGACCAACTCGGGGGATTGTAGGGAGTCCGTGTCGCCATCAGCACCCGTATGACGACAAAACACCTTGAAAAATCCATACAAGTCAGCATAATCACCGCCTCGATACCTACTACTTTACCTATTTCTCTGAGTCTCAGGAACTGAGTACGAGATTGGGTCAGGTCCCCAGCGCTCAAAGTTAACGTCGGACCGTTGATGCCAACTGCACTTCCCACGCTTAGACTATGACGACTTGTGCGTGAGTACTCGTCTGCATACATGACATATGCCAGCGGGCTAAGCACGACACCTCATCCAATTACGCCGACGAAATGTAAGAGTACAAATCTTACGGAGCTTGCGGGCAATGAATTAATGACGCCACAAGCTTTCCGAAATGTACTATTACAATGGTATCCCGTTTATATGCTAAGTTTAGGCATCTGGTCGCACAATGGCAAGGTCCGGGAACATACAACCTTTCGACCGTGCCCCCAAAATCCCCAGGCCTCTCGTCATGGACGAATTCAGTCTGGCTTCTTGTGTCAGTATACTACAGCTAGTATGGGGTTGAAGGAAGATGATTGTGAGCGAGAAAAGGTCGTAGTGCGCAGGTGACTAACCGGGAAAAATAAAGATGGTACTAGTGGAACCGGAAGCACAGCTGTGGTGGTGTACATAGAATGCAGAGAAATGTTGACTCACAAGTCGCCGGCCTGTTGCAGCAGTCATCGCTTGTATTTGCGCCTGTTGATGGCGTATTTGTGAGGATGGTGAGTAGCCTAAGTAGGAGAGGACCTTTGAACACTCGTCTCTTACAGTAGGGCCTTTGTTAGACCCAGCGGTTCAAAGAAGGCACCAATGAGTGAGCGAAGATAGAAGACCGACACCTGGTTCAGGTTGTGGGCATGCACCCAGGACCCTAGTAGATGTGGTGTGAACAAAGAGAGGGGTTGACAGCAGGGAGACTCTGAGGAGACATTTCCCTCAGCCCTTTCGCCGTGATTCAACACGTATAGTCAGGCTTTGGAAACACTCATTGCGGCCTCGAAGCTGGTGGGAGTAGGGAAGGGAGGTTTTCAGATAGGGTTTATATACCCTTGATGAAAGCCGTGCGTAGTAATCAACGCGACGCGCAGCCGTGGTCGCGTTGTTGGCTCTTGATTGGTCCCACATAACGCCTGGAGCTGGCCTGCCGAAGTGAATCTGAACCCCCCGAATGTTGACGGTCCCCGCCCGAACGGGCAACTCGGCCGATCCGCCTCGGGCAACCAGCTCGCGAACCGAACGAGACCAGCTGACGTGAGCCCGATCGTTGTCGATCAACGCCCCACGCCCAATCGGGGCAAGCAAGTTGGGGTCGTCGTGTCGTGGCAGCGTGGCACACACGGCTCTCTCCTCGCTTCGCTCTCTCTCTGAGACTCACCTTTTTCTCCGGCAGGAAAACAAGAGAGGGAGGAGGAGGAGGAGGAGGAGGAGGAGGAGGAGGACGGAGGGAAGAATGGAAGGAGAGAAAAGGTCAAGCGCCGAAGCGGGTGAGTGTGTGAGCTGGCAGGCTGTGGGGAGGTTCGAATGGCTCGGTCGCTAATGAGAATTTCAAGCCCAGATGCAGGACTCAGTGGGATCAGCCACAGCCTCCCAGTTTGCCGCGGTCTGGCCGGTAGGACTGTCGTTTGGACTGTAAATAAGGCGGCAGTCAGCGATCTGCGGTCCTCCCCTCCCTGCGGTGACATTTCCCCTGGTCGACGCGTTCAATCGCATTTTCGGGACCCGTCATTTACAGTCCCAACTACAGTCCCATCCGACGAGGTTCGTTCGACGCTCTCTCCCCCTGCATTCACCCTCATCGGTTCACACCTTGCTGCAGCCCTTACATAACCAGCATCACTCTCTTTTTTTTCACGCATTCGCATCTCTCTCACTCACTCGCTTTTTTCCTCGCATCCACCTCCCCATCCTCTCGCTGTCCTTCATCCCGCCTCTCTCCCCCCTCACACGTCAAAGGCCAGAATATCAAATATATAGACCGCTCGCTTTCACTTTTCCCGTTGCCCTCGCCCTCACCCTCATGACCACCATCCCTCTTCCCTTCTTCGCGATCTCCCAGTACCCTGCAGAGTCTCTCTGGCCTTCCTACCGCCTCTCTCATCTCCTTTGAATCTCGCTCTAGCCCGCTTGCAAACTCGAATCGCTTTCCCGTCGTGACCTCTCTCTCAACTAGTCTGAGACTATTCACTACCCTTTTGCACCTGCAACCTACAGGTGTCAATGGCGTGCATTCCCTCTATCTGCGATACTGAAGGTGGGGGCATCTTGCCTGCCTGCCTTTTTCTAAACTTGTTTACTAATGACCCTGGTTCTCAAGGTACTCTCCTGATATGGCATCTTCAACTGCGCTGAGGAAGCCTTCACATTTCGCATCGCCGGCCCTCCAGATGGACAAAGCGAACGACGTCCTCTTTCACCTCTGGGATCCCATAGAGGCAACAGGGGAAGTTCGACTGCCTCCTCTCGAGAACCCTTTGAGTCTGCTCATGCATGCCGATATCTGGTCCCAAATTGGTCACGTTTACGAGCAGCAGATGTGTGTGAGGTACGTGGGTCTGCGCTATTAAATGACTGGTTTTCCGCTGTCTTCTAATCCATTTGACTACGCAGCTCATCCGTGCGAGAGAGACACCTACGAACGAGTCGTAAGGGATAAACCCGAGACATGCCAAGGTTCTCCAACAACTGGGTTGGCTGTACCATCAAGATGGATCCTCCTTCCAGAATCAAGACCTTGCTATTCAATATCTCACCAAGAGTCTAGGAAGCAGGTATGTGACTTCCATATGCTCTTTCTTATTCTGTAGCCACGTCCATGCTGATCATCTGTTGTTTCAGGAATAGATCCATCAGATGCGCAGAGCTGGTACCTACTTGGACGTGCTTACATGGCTGGACAGAAATACAACAAAGCGTACGAAGCCTACCGGCGTGCGGCGTACCGTGATGGCCGCAATCCTACCCTCTGGCATTGTATTGGCATCCTCTGCTTCCAGATCAATCAGTATTGCGATGCTCTCGATGCATACTCCCGTGCGATTCATATCAATCCTTACATCTCAGAGGTTTGGTTCAACCTTGGCTCAGTGTATGAGTCCTGCAATAACCAAACCTCAGCTCAGATGCCGTTGGTGCTTATGCCAGAGCTGCTGAGCTAGACCCCTAGTAACATGGCGAGTGCCCAGCGTCTTTAACTTTTGAAGACAGCTCAAGCAACTGGCGGCGCTTTGCCTGCTGCAATGGGACTGCAGGATGTCTGTCCTACCAACTACGCCAACCCGCTCATCCCCACGCCTACGGGATTAATGCTATTACATAACCACCACTGCTCCTTTTTTTCACGCATCCGCATCTCACTCTTTTCTCGCATGCACCTCTCCATCCTCTCGCTGTCCTTCATCTCACCTCTCTCCCCCCTCACGTCAATGCCAGAATATCCAATATAAAAACCACTCACTTTCAACCTTTTTCAGTGCCCTTGCCCTCACGCTCACCGCTCACCGTCCCTCTTCCTTGTGCAATCTCTGAGTGCCCTGCCTTCCACTGCCTCTCCTCTCGTCGCCTTTGCATGGACACCACAGGGCGCAAATCTTGCTCTAGCCTACTTGCAATGCAAGCCGCTTTCCCACCCTCATCATACCTCCAACTATTCTCGCGCTATCCACAACCCTTTCGCACCTCTAACCGACGGGTGACATCTTCAACTCGTCTCTGCTGCATCGACTGTTGTTGATCATAGCACCTGCACTCTCTCTCTATCCGCAATACTGAAGGTGGGGCCTTGCCTACCGTTCTTCTAAATCTATTTACTGACCCTTCCAGTTCTCAAGATATTCCTGATGCAGCTCCTTGGATCACGCTGAGGAGGCCTTCGCATTCCATGTCGCCGGCATTCACATGGTTGAAGCAAACAAGATTGTCTTTCGCCTCTAGGATCATACACAAGCAACAGGGGAAGTACAACAAAAGCCTGGAGTGCTTCAACCATATCCTCTCAAGAACTCTCTGAATCCACTCATGCATGCCGATATCTGCTTCCAAATTGGTTATTTCTATGAGCAGATGTGTGAGGGTGTAAGTGGATCTTTGTTATTCAGTGGTGAATTTGGCACTGACTGACTAATTTTGAACCATCTTCTAGTTCATTTGACTTCTGCGGCTCGTCTGTGCGAGAGACACCTGCAAACGAGTCATGAGGGATAGGGATATTCCGGGACATGTCAAGGTTCTGCAGTGACTGGGTTGCCTGTACCATCAAGATAGGTCTTCCTTCCGGAATCAAGACCTTGCTATTCAATATCTCCTCATCAATGGTCAAGCTAGACAGAGATACAACAAAGCATATGAAGCTTACCAGCATGCAATGTATGTGATATACTACAATGGTGGCAATCCTACCTTCTGGTTGTCTATCAGAGGAGCTTATGTAGCTGATGAGGAGAGTACTCTTGCTATTGTTACACAATTATCTTCAGATCAATCAGATGTATTTTACTCAGTACCAGTAATTGCAGTGCCTATAACATAATGTGTGTGACATTTCTAGACAATAAAATGTGCTTCATCAAGGCACACTATGAGCACCAGCAGGTACGTCCACAGTCTCTACATGGATCGGCTTTCTTCCGATTAGGATTGAAGTAATCCTCACGAGTCACAGTGGGTGTGTCTGTTCAGGAAAGCAGATACTTGAATATGGTGCCTGGGTTATCAAAATTCTCTGCCCAGCCTCCCCAGGTGCAGATGTCCCTTAAAGGCCAGCGAAGCTCCATGGCAAGATGCTGGCAACCACCACGTCTGAATGAGTGAGTGCTAAAAGGGCGAGGATTCACTCCAATGTCAAGGAGATTATTACGAAAGTAGTCCATGAATGCACCTGCAGACTACCAGTAAACAGTGCACCACCAATGATCAGCATCAAAGCAATGACACAATATAGAGAAACACTATACCAGTTTGTGTTGCCCATCTTGACTGAATCGTCCACCAACCTTCTTGCAAAAAACATGACCAACTAGACCCTCATGTCTATGACACTTCATCCAGCTGACATATGCCAGGATAGGGCATAACCAGGGTTTGTCATAATTTGGATATAGGTAAAAGGGTGCGATACCTAAGTGTACTCAGTAAGATGTCAACACCATGACAGTTACCAGCATATAACAAACCTCCAGTTTGATGAGTTTTTCTGAAGGGAAGTGAGAGCTTCAAGCGATATGTCTCACTTGGAAGCTTCTCGAACTCAATCCACTGCCATTCAATTCGAAGGACTTCATCAAAGCGCAATAAGCAGAGAAAGGCCACAACGTAACAGAAGTTAAGCATAAGATAAAATGAGTTGCCAGCCTTCCAGTCAGTTGGCTCATCTGCCTTGCGCTTCTTCTGTGGTGGAGGATCATCAACATCCATTGTAGCATAACGGGAATCAATATTGAGGTAATACAAAGACTTCAGGGTCTCAGAGGTAATTGCACGAGCACTGGTCACAATGTCTTCACCATTACGGACCTTGGTGTATTATTTCAGCACTGAGATTAAGAAAACTGGTAACATGGTGACATACCTTGCAACGGCAGAGACTGACCATGTACTGAGACACAGCAATGGAGATTGAGGGATTTCCAAGGTATGTCCCTTGCTTTAGAACATTCTCAGTCCATGTCTGAGGCCCACGTCCCAGCTCACGACCAAAGCGGTGGGTCATTGCAGCCCGCATCTTCTGTGCTTGACTGTAAGTTGCTCTCGGAGCATTGAGAGGCTTAGTTTCACCTGTCTTGAGATCGGTATCATCGCACCTTGAGAAGAAGCATGAGTAACAATCACATTGGCAGTCAGATGAAAAACATACTTGTCCATGATCCACATGGCAATCCACCGAGGCATCTCAGCTGGAATATCACCTTTCTCACAGGCCACATTCAGCTTTGCGCTAGTTCGGAAAGGGACAAATTTCAGAGTAACACAGAACTCCGTGAATTGTGTCCACAGCCTGGAAAAGTCATCAGTAGAATTCCCCAACTATTGTAGACTAGCATTTGCAGTAATCACCTCTGATAGTCCTTGAGAGTCCCAGGTGTGATCACCTGTGCCGATGCCTTATCGAGACTTTGGTTATAGACATCTCCATCACCAATTTTCACCTTCTTGCATGATGGCGAAGATGAGCGCAGCCTGATACCATCATCATCGGATACTTTATCGATGCCTTCATTGCTCTCCCGAGCCTTCTCTGCAGCAGCTTCAGCAGCATCATACTCAATAGCGGCACATAATTCCTCGGCCTCTTCTTCATTATCCTCATAGACTTCATATGCACTTGCCTCTTTGCTGAGTTCATCAAGATGAGCAGAGGCAGCATCTCGCAGCTGCTGTGCATGAGCTTGAGCCATTGGAAGGATGTCCAGGAGTTCAACAGTGGTGACAGATCACTGGAAAGGTGCCGTAGTCATCAGACGATCGGATAGTTCAACTCTCGATCACTTCACGATCACGTTCATACATGTCTACGCGCCGCGCCATGTTCTATTCTTCTAGCCCCAGACACACCGCCCAGCCTTATGGGCTTCACGGAAATCCTTACATTGCCGGTAATTGGTGCTACCTATCGAGAAGGTGATGAAATTCCGACACAGGAATGGCGCGTGTGCGTGGTACACCCCTAATATGATATCTCATTCAACTGACAGCAAATACTCTCAGTGACCGACATTTTACCAAGGAGAAGATATCGGACTTACTCAAAAGCTATGGCCTGATGCATACAGGCAAACGGCAGTTATTGCTGGATAGGTTGCGTGAGTACGCCAGCAACCGGAGTCGCTGGACCGGCAACTACCAACCTAAACAACGCCATGTGCATGGTGGTGGCAGCGCGACAAGTGGGACCGGATTGCGAGCACACCATCTCGTCATCAAGAGAACAAGGGAGATGTTCCCTGATGACGACAACAATGGTCCAGCAGAATATCCAAGCAAAAGAGCCGCCCAGTCAATTCCCGATCGACGAACAGCACAAGACGTGAAAGCCGGTTTTGCGCTGGTAAGCTTCCAAGTCCATGTAATCACCTTCTGCGACTCACCTCCAATTGGATCCAGGCTGACGGCTTTCTTGCTCATCGTGAAGCACATTCAGCTGCTCGAATTCAGTCCCAGCAGGGTGCAGTTGAAGGCAATACCGAAATTACACACCTTTCTTCCCATGCCGCCAGTGGTGAAATGGCCTATCAAAGCGGGGTGTGTTGATTTCAGCTCTGCATTATCACAAGCAGCTAACGGAAACTGCAAGCCTTTGAATAGCAACGTACCTCTGCGTCGCATGGAGCGAGAGGTCTGTGGCATCAAGATCTCGATGGATCGGGGTTTCTACCAGATCCATCAAGGACTAAATGACGTCCGCTGTCTTGTTGAAAGCTTCCAGCGTTCGAATCCCATCTTTCCGAATGGTCGATTTGTGCTGCCATCTGTCATGATGCCCCAATACACGAGAGCAGAGAGTACACCCACCTGTTTCACTCACTCTGACGCTTCCCTCGCGCCTCCAGCTGCCCATGGCAGGGAAGACGGCTCTGGCTCATGCCACCTGCTGCATTCTGCCCCAGTACAATGGGAAACGGCCAGTCCTCCGAGTGCCGCCTTGGTGCATCAAGTCCCACCAGCAGATACCGGAGGTGACAGTGTACATGAATCACACATGCTTCGCCTCAAAGACAGGACGATTACGTTCAATCCTCGAACTGTGCCGTCACCGCCGGTTGGGCTGTCCTACAGTCGAAGTGAGATCAGCAAGCTGTTCCATGATTGGTACAACTCCTCTCACATCGTTGTTGGCAGTCACGGCATTCCCATCTGCTACTGGGATTCCCTATACAAGAAGCGGGTCGGCATCAAAGGAAATGTCTGGACTCGTTTTCGATCAACCTGGCATAACTGGAAGGTGAGCATGAACTGGAACTTTGTGACTCCAAGAGACACCTGCTCACCTGTCGACCCTCGAAGTACCTCGTGCAAGAACGCGAGTCTCACGCAAGTGAGGCTGCATTCTGGAAGAAGTTCTCTGACCCCCGCGGAAAGCGCATGACCTACGCGCAAATCTTGAAGGTCCTCCAGCGGCAGCGAGAGGTGAGCGTAGCAGACGAGTCAGTTGGTCTTGCCCAACAAGCTCGGAAGTTCCTCAATGGAAACCTTGAGCACCCCGACATTGGTCGCACATTCCTCTATCGCAAGAGCAACCAGTGGCACCTGTGTAAGACCGATAAGGAGATCACCAAGCATTGGCAGAAACTTCTCGCCGAAGATGAAGACATCCGATCGAGATGGAGGCATCCTTGACTGTGATGGTGGACGACGGTGAAGACGGTGAAGACGGTGATAGGACCCCTGATAATACCCCAAATATGCCGTTCGGGACAAGGGGGTTTTGGATCCGGACGCATATCCGGATTTTCCTCCGGACTTCAGACTGGCCTTCCAAAAAGTGCCAAAATTCCTCCGGATATCCGAACGGCCTCCAGAAATTTCCCAAAAATCACCAGAGTGCTCAAAAACTGATCGAAAACTGTTAAAACTGCTCAGAACCTGTCAAAAATGCTCAAAAACCAGTCAAATTTGCTCGAAAGCACTCAGAAGACATAGATAGTACTACGCATATAATACTAAGGCTTAGGCCCTGAATGTAGACTACACATGTAGTACTAAGTTCTAAACGTCATCGCCAAAAAGCTCTTTATTCTTCTTGCGTGAGCGCGATAGCCGCATGGCTTCAGCGATTTGTGGAACTGCCCCTTGCAGGGCACTGAGGATGCCACTGTCAACCCCTCCCTTCCATAGTACAACAGAGCCAGAGGGATCGGGTATCAGTATGTCAATCAAGGACAGGAAAGAGAGCGCAGGAACAAAGTCGAAAAGATGTGTCCGCAATGGTGTCAAACCCTGCATGAACTGCTGTCCAAAAAAGTGGTCTTTAAGTTGGAGACCGACGTATGAGACTGCACCGATGGAATCGACCTCTTCAACAGAACAGTGTTTGCCGTGTTGACCACCTGATTTGACGTACAGCGCGATGACTACAGAATCGTGTGAGCGGAATTTTACAGAAGAACAAATGTGATCAACAAGCTCACCTTGACCAACTGTGATCTTATTCCGGCTTGAATAGACAAGTCCCCAGTTTCCTATCTTCAAGGGGCGCACAGGTGAGATCCTTGCAGTGCCTAAGTACTGTAGGTCCGGGACATGTGTTGTTAAGAATAACGCTTGCCGTCGTTTGACAGCCTGAGAAGCTCTTCACTAAGTGGGGATTACTGCGAAGCAAGATTGTAAGACTCACCGCCGCAGCTGTCGCATTGGCAACAAGTTTCGCATTCTTCGCATTGCCTGCAGCTGGTGCTTGAGCTTGCCATCGTACTTTGCGCTCCAAACCGGTACCAGTGCGCTGAACCTGATGATCCTTCAGAAGCTTGTGAAATTCTTTTAATAGCTGTCATTGAGTGGATTTCTCTGGTGGCTCGGTTTTCTTTTGGGACTTGGTTCGAACACCCTCTATCGCCTGTCGGGTCTTGTGTAACTGTCGCAGTTCCACTAGGCGTCCCAAGTCAAGCTCATCCAGTATGACTGTACCTTGTCCAAATGGTTTCTCCCATTCGTCCACACCCTTAACAGGAGGAAGAGCTGCCGCAATTGATGCATGAATGAGTTCACATTCCTCGGCGAAGATTTCATCCTCCATCTCTCCATCGATGTCCAGTAAGTCCTCGCTAATAATTCGTCAGAAGGCTGAAGAAACATATAGGGGATGGAACACGCACACCGTGAGGTAGTTGTCAAGTGCAAGTGCCACCGCGGCTGATGCAAGGCTTGTCAGACGATCCTCCTCACTGCGCGTGAGATCTGTCACAAGTGAACCCATGTCCGAACTACGTAGAAGCTCCCGCAATTCAATTCCAGCTGCAAGATCATCCTCATCCTCGTCCTCGTCCTCGTCATCACTACTGTTATCTCCGTCAGTGCCAGAGTCGAGATTGGCATCTGGGCTAACGGTGTTGTCATTGTACCATGAGTTAATAGAGGGCAGAAAGGCCATAGCGTCATCGGGCGCATGAAGCATATCTGGAGCCAGTCCAAGTAATCCAATGACTGACTCAGCTTCTTGCATTGCAACATCAGCAATGTCAGGCAAGTCAGAGTCGGAAAAGTAGGTTGCAAGCATGGTCACGTTGATGCCCCTGGAATTGACATATGTGTGATTGTAACTCATTGCGCGTCCCTTCGGATCTGCAGCCTCTGCAAGCATGGCAGCCTCTCGAGTCTTGAGCCGTAATTTCTGGATCATGTAGTGGAAATTGAGCATGGTGAAGTCTTTGACAACCTGACGCGCCGATCCAAATGCATGCTCGCAGGGTTCACTAGAGTGAAGCCATGGCAAGAGAGGGAAGGGCTTTGAGTCGGTAGTGTAGTAGTCCCTGTAGATGAAAATCAGGCCCGCCAGACCTTCGACGAGCATCCGCGTGATATCAGTAGCCTCCGGCGAGATGAAATAATGACTTTGTTGGTATCCTGCTCTTTCAAGGAAGGTCTTCCACATGCAAAGGAAGTAATATGCCCGCAAAATCAGTTTGAACTGCTCAATGAGTGGGATATGCCTGTTTTGATATGCATCCACCAACTCGCCGAAGATAAAGAGGTAAATGATTTCTCCAAGGAAGTCAGGGTTCTCTTGAACCAGATGCTCCAATGCATGAGAGCTGAAGAGACGAGTGGCAGCATTGTCATCTTGTCGATCCAACCTATCCACGTCACGCACATAAAGCGGTGATGCATCTTGATAAGCCATGGTGTGAATCCGTCGATAGAGTGCTGTGGCGTTGCCGATTACAAGCAGCCATGCACCAAAGAAGAGATTGTTACGAAATGTCTTCAATGCATGCTTGGAGTCCTGGATCATGATGATAGGACAATCGCCGTAAATTGCCACTCGGATAGTAAGCTCATAGCCATTACCATGAGGACTTGGTACCTTGTAGACGCGACACTCATCAGCAAGTTCGCAGAGCAGCTGTTGAACTTTACGCTCAGTCTCCGTCCCGTCGCATGAGTAGGAGGCAACTTTGATACCCAACCCAACAAGACCACGGATGACTTGAACCGAGTATCCAACTAGGTCTTCAGCCTTGTTTGACTCGCCGATAGGCAATGCTGCTACCAGAATTGGACCGACACCAGGCAAAGGAACTTGAAGCGTGAACAACCGAACCTGGGTCAAACATGTAAATTCGTGTGTGAGATATAAAGATAAAATGTACCTTTGTTGCTTCGCTGACCTTACCACTGTCTATTATAGCTTGGGCTGCCGCTGGATCTGGCACACGAATGGGACCACCTATGCCACCTATCAGAAGAAGGCCTTCATCCTCGCTCTTTTGGACCAAGCGCCAGGATGCAGAGAGTTTAGTATCATCACAGCTGAGAGCGACAGGGCCATCGTAGTTGAGAGACTTCAAGTGTTGATGAACCAACTCAAACATTTGCGCACAGATGGTCATCAGGAAAGAGGGTTCCTTTGCATGCAATGCACTGGTGAAGGTACAACCATTAGTAGGGCTTTGATGACTCGAGAAGGAGTTTACATATGCAAAACTTCGCTCAGAATGAGCTGGCAAATACTTCATTAGAACACGGTAAGCTCGCGGGCTCTCAATTTGAATCATATGAAGAAAATGATCATATTCCAGTGGCCATTTGAAGTTTTGCATACCCTTGCCATGATTTGTCTCTCTTCCTTCATAACAACACTTTGAAGGAGACCAGCGAGAATTTTGTTATCTGAATACTTCCCTGCAATGACACCTATTGCATAGTGGAGAAGCGGGCTAGTATTGGCAGTGTCTTCAAGTAGCTCCTTCAGGCCTCGCGTCTTTGCATATAACTTCGCAAGAGCAGGGTCTCGGTAGAGGTGATTGACATAGATGTAGTTCTTATCAGGCGGAGAACATCCTTGCAAGGTGGACATGGTTGTCGATGCTCAAGAGCCTGAAGGTGGGAACGACCAGCGGCTATATCAACCTTGACTTCAACCTTCACCTCACCACGGCACCTTGTTGAATAAACTTGTCCTTCATGATGCCTGTTTCTCCATCTGTGACCCTGCTCCTGTATCTCTCGAACTGCAGCCTTCTCCTTCAGCTTCAGGAGTTTGAAGGCCTTCTTGAACATTTCATTGGCTATCTTCGACACAGATCTCCCTCCGCCTCCAACTGCGCCAGACTGTCGCAAGTATGATCCAATGCGCGTGTCGTCCTTTTCAGATAGACCAGGACATGGAACACTTTTCTGTGCAGTCTCTTTGGTCTCAGACTGGGTGCTCTTCGCTGCTTGTTTCTTGAATATACTCTTCAATGACATCGATCCGTTTCATTTGCAGTCCTTTGTGTAATGAGTTCTGTGAGGAGAGACAGCATACGGTGTTGACACAGACAACCATTTTCCACATCCGCCACACCATACGTCAACAGGGTTGTCTGGTTTGAACTCAACCTTCTTGTCGAACGCACGACAGTCCCACTGCCACCTTTCAAGCTGAGCCTGGTTAATGAGCAGTGTCCCAGCCTTCCATTGTGCACGAAGCTCTCTGTCGTGAGTCGCTGATTTGCTTGTTCCAGGACCCTTGGTTGATTCACCATCAGGATCAAATGGGAGTGCAAATTTGGTACACTTCACTCGTTGCTTCTGCGTTGGTGAGTCACCTTGACCCTCAGCTTTGCGGCGCTTTCCCCCAGAACTTGAGCCAGGAAAGAGGGCCAAAAAGCATGCTTTGGGGCTCAAAGGGCTGCTACGCTTTTCCTCATTGACTGACATCATCTCCCCTTCACTGCGCTGACCCAGGTCTATATCAGGAGTGACGTCTACATCTCCTGTAGATACCAGCTGTGATAGGTTCTTCAAAGATCCAATTTCGATGGCTCTCGATGTGCTATCATCTCGAAGGTCAATATCATTCAGGTGTGCAAGCAATGACATATCTGAATGTGTGTCGTCATCAGTCTCGGTGGGTAGTATGAGTGATGATAAGCTGGACGGAATGGTCAAATCATCTGCCATTGGTATGTCTTCGACAACAGTCATTGATGTGAGAGCCTGAGGTGTCGTGGTTTTATTGATAGGGTTCAACAAGTCAGCCAGTGACTGATGCACACGCCCTTGAGCAAGGGAGCAAAACCATTTTGCACGGTATGCGGTGACATCTCGTGGTTCTAAGAGGTTATCTCCAAATACGGCATGCTCTATGGAATTAATAGCATATAGCCCGCATGAACTGACGTCGACCTGTCTCCCATGTTTCAGAGAGTCCTTGTTGATACGAAACATCTGAGGTAATATTGCCTTCATCCAGTTTTGGATTGCCATAAGCTCTGTTTTAGGTTTATGACTATCGCTTGGACGTGAATTGCCTAATCAATGAAAGTGAGTTTTCCTCCTCTACAAATAGTTCTTTTGCACAAAGCAGCTTACCATATTGTATGTAGAGCATACAAAGTCAATGTGAAAGGTAATCCAATGGCACCCATCAACGAGCAGCAGAAAATAGAGGTGCTTCAGTATGTTGCTCTGAGCCTGTCGGGTGATCCGGGATAGTAGGGGAAGCTTTCGGGTGAAATCTCCACTGCGATGGCCTCGAAGAAGCTCTCCTACAATAGCGAGGGGGGCAAGCATGATATCTGATGGTGATTCGTGGGTCGTGGTAAGTCTATTGACTAGGACCTCGAGTGTGAGATCCATGATCGAATCTGAAAGCCAACCTCTCTCTTCAGAGTCCGGACCAGAGCCTATAACACGAGTGAGCTCAGCGGTGGTTGTCTTAACCCCTCGAGTCTGGATTACAACATCCCAACAAAGCTTTTGTAGAAGGTTTCTGGCCTTCAAGATGCTCTCCTTCTCAACGTTTGTAAGCTTTTTGGTTTCCTGCGAAGCTAGCCAGTGATCTGCACCCCTCCAGCTCGCAAATTTGACTTTGGCAGCTGCAAGCTCCTTCCAAAGTCCGAGAGCCCACAACGGGAATCTGTCACATCCTGCATTGAATTGCGGGTCCACAATTGAGATCTTTCCATCGAACCACTGTTGACCGGAGATCTTCTCCAGCCATTGTAGCACATAAGGAGGTGGTATTGGTCATGTAATTAGTATATGGATGATGGTGTTTGGCCGTTCTGAGGAAAACCAATTTGCTGGTTTGGCAGTTATTAACTCGGAGGACTGCTTTGGGAGGGTGAGCTGGAGGAATTCATGTACCACAATTGTGGGAACAGGTACGAGGCTCGCCTGCTCCAATGCAGGAACTGTGAATGATAAATTGTGTGCATCCGAGATGTATCTTGGAGTGTCTTCTGTCGGATAGTGTTTTTTCTGTCCAATCCATTGAGAAGCAATAAAGACTGTATTGTCCTCATCGACTTCTATAGTGTCACTGAGAGAAGCTATAGAACCAGGTAGTGATATTGTGACTTACCAAAGAGAGGAAATTGTCATACCAAAATTTTACCGAAAGCATAGTCGGATGTCTCACATTTTCCTCCTACTCTAGGGTTGACTATCTGGCTACAATTATATGCAATTTATGAAGTATTATGCCTCACTAGTATTCTTTTCCTCATCCATTCCGAGCAACGAGGGGGGGCATCCATGGGTATTTTCATCCGGACTCACAGATGGCATTGCCAGAAATGGATCTCCGGATCCGGACTTCAGCATGGCTGTTGACCACTTTTCGGCCAAAATCCTACGGATTTTGAACATCCTTCAGCCAAAATTTGCCCATTTTCGTCCGGATTCCGGGACGGCCTACTTGGGGTATTATCAGGGGTCCTACGGTGATGCACCCACCTTCAACGAAGGCCACGGCGACGGCGACGACACCTTCAATGCCTTCTGATCACTGTGTCAGTCCACTCTCACACATGTTGAACCTTAAACCCAGCTGCATTCATTTCCCTGAAAGCTTCCAGCTCCTTTATCACCATTCCCCCTTCAGTGGGAGTTCTTGTCTCCCCTGCACCCTTCCGTACATATCTGACACCCCAGCACCCTCTGGTTTAATGTTCCTACTCTAGACTTTGCAGTAAGTTTACCTGTATAGCGGTTTTTCAATCAGTACAATAGAACTTTCTATTTATATCTATATACATATGTTGGCCTAGTTATACAGTGTCTCGGCGTGCACAAACACCGTCCGCGCACCGTCCCCGACGATGCCCAACAACGCACGACGTCCGCACAGCGAGGATACAACGCCAAGTTCTGCAGCGATCTCAAACCGATCGTGCGAGAGTCCCCGCCATGTGGCTTGCGCCCGAAATGGCAGGCATAAGCGCCGGATGGACTGTCATGTGGGAGCGCCGGACCGTCGTTGGACTGTCAACCTGACAGACGAAGTCCCTCTTTGCAGCACAACATGTTTTATCATTTGGGCGTCTGTCTGATCACCGGGGTTTTCTTTTTTGAGTACGGTGGATGAAAAACGATCCCTAAGAAGGGGATCGTAAAGGCTGAGCATCCTTCGCAGTCCTATACTTGTCCTATCTGCGTATAATGCTGATAAATCGCACGCATAACATCCTTTGTGTCATCTGTCCGGTAAGTCATCCATACTTTTAATCCCTACTAATCAATTCACACCAAAGCCGGCGGGATTAACGTCAGATTGTTTGGAGGTCGCGTTCATTTGTAAGTACGTAGTCCACATTTGCTCCACGGATGCCTTGGAAATATAGTTCGCCCCATGCACCATCAGCAGTCTCTGCACGAGCAGCTCAATGCGTCTGACGGAACTCAAAGCTAGATCAAGTGGTCTGATCGTGAGTGATATTTTCACTGGAGAAACGACATTGCTGATGTAGTACTTTCAAGACACCATGTCCAAGGTGTCGCCATGAACCTCGGAGGGACACCGGTGCCAAACGAACTACGCCTTCAACACCTGCTGCAATTTGATGCCGCCCGCCCGGCTTCATTTGGGCCTTACAGTATTTACCACAACACTAACTTGTGCCTTAACACGCTTACTGATCGTTGGCCCCTATGAGACCGCAGCGCATTGATTATGTCGAAGTTGTGATATTGAGATCGATCTTGTGGGTTCCGCGTCCTCTGGCGGTGCTGAGAAGGTGCGCAGTACTACGGATAATATTGTTCTCTGCATATACAGTCCAAGAAAAGCTTCGTCCTTTCAATTGCACTGACGACATGCGTCGGCAAGCTCACGTTTAAGCTGCGTTGAATTGGTCTATCTGGTATACCAGTGTATTAAAGTTTGGCACTGTCATTGATAAGCAAGGTCTACGCAGTTGCTTCTCTAGCACCGTGCTCACATAAAGGGCGATATGCAACAATGGTCAAAGCATTAACCACCAAACATTAGCCACCATGTCTATTCCTACTCAGCAGAAAGCCCTGCTCTTGCCGTCCAAGGGAGCTGATTTTACGTTGGTGACCATCGATGTTCCGAAACCAGAAGCCGGAGAAGTTCTCGTCCGCGTCGAAGCCGTTGGTCTGAACTCCTTGGATTATAAGATTCAAGAGTTAGGCTTCTTCGTCTCCGAATTCCCTGCCATCTTAGGTTGCGATGCCTCTGGCGTCGTTGTTGACATTGGTAATGGCGTTACTGATTTGGGAATCGGAGACAAAGTGTACGTACTAGTATTCTGTCTTACGCAGTCCTGAAACTATGTGGTACTTATTATCATACAGATTGCTTGAGCCAAACCCCGGTTATCGGAATGCTGCTTTTCAGCAGTTCACAATCATCAAGGCATCTCTCACTTCGAAGGTGATTCATCTTGTAAGGTCTCAATGTTCCTAATGACTGAAGCTTTCACTTTTGGAATCAGATTCCTGCAAACATCTCGTTCGATGAAGCTGCTACCCTCCCGTGCTGCCTCATGACTGCAGCGATCGGTTTGTACGCGGGCTTTGTTCCTCATCTCCTGAGGGGAGGCGCCAGCCTGACACCTTTCTGGGCGGAGGGTGGACGCGGGAAATATGCTGGGCAGCCAATTGTCATCTTTGGGGGTGCTACTTCCGTAGGACAGTATGGTAAGTCGAATTATCAAGTAGCTTTCGAGTTGACTCAATTCTGACTCTGGGCTTATACAGCTATCCAACTTGCTCGCATTTCGGGATTTTCTCCCATTATCACCACCACATCTTTGCGCAACGCAGAGCGTCTCAAATCCATTGGAGCAACTCATGTCATCGATCGCGGCTTCTCCCAAGCCGACATTATCGCGAAGGTGAAAGAGATCACCGCCAAACCTGTCCATGTAGTCTATGATGCTGTCAGCATTCCAGAGACTCAAAACACAGGTTACGACATTATTGCACCTGGAGGAACTCTTCTTGTCGTCCTACCAGCGGCTGTTGATCAGGAGAAAATAACATCAGACAAACACTTCTTCATGGTCTTGGGGAGCGTACATGTCCCCGAATACGAAGAGTCCGCTGCAGGATTGTTCCGGGTTCTACCGGAGCTATTGGCCTCGGGACAAATTAAGGTCAGCATTCTTCGGTCACGCACTATCCTTTCATAGTATGCCTGATGGTGCCATGATGGTTCTTTCAGCCCAATGTTCCGGGATATATTCCCGGCGGTCTTTCTGGTATAACTGAGGGACTGGAAAAGTTGAAGAGGAACGAAGTCAGTGCGAAGAAGCTTGTTATTCGTCCTTCCGAGACGATCTGAAGTGACTACTGAGAGCCTGGCCAAACTAGATATCGCTCACTTTGGCTGTGTTCTATCATGATTTTGCTTAACAGGTACTCCCAGCTGTGTTGATTCGAAATGTATATTCTTCACTTCATGTATGCATGATCTTGGAAGTCAAGTGATGACCCTTAAATGAGGACAAACGGGTATGTTTGTAGGGTACCATGCGCTTCTCCGATTTCTCCTATGCGTGCGTAGGTGGCCACTTGCAACGTTGTGAGGGACAGGGAATAAATCGTCGAGCAGGTCAATTGACAGTGGCAAACAGTTAGCCCTTCTTTCGTCGTCATCTATGCCTCAGTTGAATCCCCATTTCCTGGTGTCGTGGTACCATTGTCATTTTCATTCTGATCGCGCTCAATCATATTGGAAGACATATCTGACATCACTAAACTGAAGCATTTATGTGTAATATGCTTGAATGAAATACCTTCGCATGCATTCACGGGGTCAAGGAGTGCATTAGCTTCCAGCCTGAGGGAATGCGAAAAGAGCTCTAGAACAATGTCTACACAATGGAACGCCTACTCAATCTGAGAGGGAAAGGTTCGATACCAAAGGCAAGACCAAGCAGCCTTGCTCGCTCCATCACCCTCCCTTCATATTGAAGACGTGTTTCATTCGGCTCAGGTACTATGTCGACTCTCCAATCCCGCAAGAAGACAGCTAGGAATGCCAACGCCTCAGTCTGGGAAAATTTGCGACCGATACAGGCACGGGGACCAAGACCAAACATTGTTATGTCGTGTTCATGTGCTCCATACCAGCGAGAAGGCTTGAACTTCTCAGGTTCGGGGAAAATGTGAGGGTCATGATCTACCGCAAGGACAAATTATGAGCGAGGCATTGGTATAAGTGAGACTGAAAGGATACGTACGGACGCCAATCATATCAATGACTACACGACTGCCTTTTGGCAGTGGCATGGTCTCCTTTCTAGGATGCTCCACTTCAATCACCATGTCCTCCTGCATGTCTCGATTCACGATGACACCCGCAGCTATATCCCGACGTCAGCTCAGTAGCACGTAAAAATGAATGCTACATACGATAGATTCGGAGAGCTTCATTGAAACACGCCAATACGTGTACCAGATTCGACAGGTCATCTAATGTCTACATCAATGTCAGCTCCTTCGTCAAATGTCTCTCTTCTTGAACCGCACCGGATCTTTATCCTTCGGGACATGTTTCAGGATCTCTGCGACAGCCTTGTCCTGCTCCTCTTGGTATATTGCAAGATATCCAAGTGTTGCCGATAGAACGTGAGCAGTCGTTTCTAACCAATTGTCATTCAATCTTGGGTTAAAGGTGATATAAGGACGAAGAAATTACCGTGGCCCGCGAACATCATGGTGAACGTGTTACCAATCTGTGACAGGCCTAAGCATCACCAGGTATTTCACGCGAGAAAATTACTTACAACTTCCTGCATCGACAAGCCGACCTTCGTCTCTTCATCGAGAGCGCCTACCAAACGACTAAAGAGGTCGCCCCTCGATTGACCGCCATTAAGCTCTTCCGCGTTCAATTCTTCCTTCCGAAGAATCACTAAGTCATCCATTTGGACTGCGAGCGACTTCCAAGCGTGATCCATGCGATGCAAACTAGGTTTCAACTATTTAAACCTGCATGAAATTATACATAAATCGTATATACCTTTCGATAGGCAATCGGTATGCCCAGGTAGGCAGAGCTAGACGGTGTATGTTGGTCTCGGAGACAATCTTCAACGCTTGGCCAAAAGACAAGTCTGACTTGTCTGGACTGTGGTTTTCTTCCGTCCATGGTAGGTGGACGTCGAAGCCGCATCTGGCTATAACGAGGAAGGCCATCTAAAAAAGGTTTGAGCCTGAAGACAGAAACTAAGAAGATGACAAGATGACGGACATGTTGAGGAATTCGGTTGAAACCGTCAATGACAAAGTCAGTCTTTTCAGACCAACCCTCGTCATTGACAATTTCACGGTACAATGAACAAGTCTCTTTGACCACCATGGAATAGCTGGTGAAAATGTAAGCTTAACATCAGGGGGAAATGACTGTTAAATTCATCCTACGTCTCGCGAGAGAAAGCCGGGTTGAGTACGCGTCGATGTCGTTTCCACATATCCCCATTTGCAGTAATCAGGTTGTCACCCCACAGACTACAACGTGTTATTAGAGCCACTGGTCGCACGAGACAATGCGATACGTACAGTAGGGCCTCACCTAGCTCGGTAGGTTTCTCCATGCACACCTTGCCGTCGTTCAAGAGAACTTGTTTGGCAACATGCAAGGATCCTGTATAGTAAAAAGGCCTGCCGAGAAGGAATGGTACAACCGATATTACATCGCGTTGCCGATTCATGTACGCTATCATAAACCATCAGCTGAAGAAATATACTGCTAATTCCGATATACCCGTCTTGCGCCACTTCCAAGTCCAGTGCAACCCAGGATTCCACCATGTTGTGGGAAGGACTGCGCCAAAGACGGAGATAGGAGAGAATGGCACTCGCATGCCCGGGACATAATTGACACTCTAATGGGAACGACATTCATTCGGTGAACAGCATACTGTTCGGCACTCTTACCACGGGGTTCAACGTACCTTCAAGCGAGAATTGTACCAGTGTACTAAGAAGGCAATCAAAAGCGATATACCAGTCGCCACGATGCCATATGAGGACGTTCCTAGTAGGGACATGTTGGAGATCCTACTGCAATGAAGAATCGGGGACGGGTGGGAGGGAACCGAACTCTGGATACAGTCTGAAAGATATTAAACGGAGGACGAGGGCATGTGGGTGCCTCGCCCCCTAAAACGGCGTGGGAATGGAAGTTAGAAGTACTGCCTCCTTCAATTCATCATTGGTAAAGACACTGTTCTATCGATCCATTCGATGTACTTGGAACCTGGGAGATGGTACGTTTGTCAGTTGAATTTGTCGGTGACAAAACAAGACAGCCGGCGCTTCTAGCACACGGAGGTAATGTCCAAAACAGGCAGGTCTTCAATATTGCAACGGAAACATATTCCGACGAGGGATAAGGAGATCTTGGAGCGGCCTGGCCAGAGATACATGGGGTCCACCTTCGAAAATCCATGATGCAGAAAATTACCCATGCGGATGGCGGAAACAATTCAATTGCGAACATGTTGTTGCAACTTCGATATGACCTGATGTCAAGCACTTACCGAATACCCTCGGGCAGAAGGACTAAGGCCCAGAGAAGTTGTGATTTTGGTCGTCATGAAAAGCGTGTTTTATCAACATCACGAAGGCACAAGTAATCGGCAAACCGTAGATAGCCATAGGTAGATCTTATAACCGTGCACATGTGGAAACTCGGTGTTGGCAATTGCAACGGCGTAATGGACTTTCACTAGTCACTGATGGACAAGACTATCTCATACGGTGAAACTATAAAGCGAGGGATCTTGTGTATTGTTTTGACAAAAAATAATCTGATAGAAGGGGACAAAAAAAATCAGCATAGCATCTTTCGCAGCCGTCGATCGTACCTAAGCAAGTGTGGGGCGTTTTCTAACCCTTACGAACACGCCATCCTCCAAATACATGACAGGGGTGGGGATAGAGGTAGTAGGTTTGAGATTTGATTGCTGCACACATGCACCCATCGACGTCTCCACTGTAATGTCAAACAGGCGACATACGATGATGAATACCCTCATTTCATACATCGCAAAATCCTGTCCCTTGCACTGAATACACAATTCCATAAGCATAGATTGAATCAAACAAAATGGCACATCGTACTCACTGGCACTGCGTGTACACTTCCTCCAAAAGGAGATATTAAGAGAGGAGTGGACTTTCCATTCTCATGTTGGAATATGGATGAAGTGGCGAGCGTCGCTATGTGCAAGGAATGAGAGGAGCGGGACGGAGTCCCGCATACTTGGCGTATTCTCATATATAAGTAGTTACTTACCTTGTATGTACCTCATCTGTTTGCCTCAGAGCTCAATGAGGTCAAACGTACCAACTCGCTTTCCTCCTGCGTGACATGTATTTCAATATCTCGCCCTCAAACTGAGTGAACTGATCATATTTGAACTTGCTCGGCTCTTCGAATATGTCATGAGCCATATTGAGATTATAGCCATCGGTGACAACATATTGACCTTGCTTGAGACCTATGGTGGTAGCATCATCAAATGGGAAGTTGGTGTCTGCTTTGACTTGGCGCATGAAGACAGGTGGGACGATCAGATGCATAGTCTCCTGCAATGCAGAATTCAATAGAGGAAAAGTGCCTGTCCTGAGAGATTCAATGGGTGAGGATAGAAGGATGCTCAATGATCCAAATTTGGTTTTGATGGCATGATCAATCTCCTCCTGAATGCTGTGCACAGCAATAGGATGACTGAGCAGGAAGGCTAGGAACCAAGTCGTGACCCATAAGGAGTTTGTATGTAGCCCAAGCAGGAATGACAGCAAAACACCCCACTCATCAGATGGTGACAATGAAGCCTGGCGGAGAGCATGAACAATGTCATTGCCAGCCGACGCGGTGCCAGCAATGCCATGAACCTCATCCCAGTGCTCTTCAAGAAATGCGCCCAGCATACATTTTAAACTGTTGCAGGCTTGAGTTGCTCATCGAGGTGGGAAGAGAATGCTGGAGAGAAGTCATGGAATCTGTGAATCCATGTATTTGAACTTGGCATAGGTGTCGAGAGGGTACTGTGATCCCCAAAGTGTGAAGGAAATGGCATGGTATAAACTCTCACCAATGAATTCTGAGATGGGCACAGGTCATCCATCTGCGAATAGCATTATCTCTTCGATGATGCGCTGAGTGTACCCAGGTGCAAGCTTGAAGATTGCATGGCTTGAGAAGGACCTGATCACAAAGAACAGGCTATGTGTGATTGTGCTGCTTGTGACACACCCCACAGCCTCCAGCATCCAAGTGTTAAAGTTATTTGTAAGGCATTTGGATGTATTGCGCATGACACAAGCAACACCTTTTTTATCACATATCACAAGGACTCGATGGCCCACAATGGCCATCGTATACATTGAACCATATTGCTCCCTAAAAGTATGATGTACAGTGAGTAAAACCCTTCAAATGTGACTTCATGCATACCTGCATCTTCGTAAAAATCCAACAGCATCCCTGAAGAGCTCTATGGAGGTGCCGAACCAGGAAACAAATGAAGTGATAACAGGGAGTGAATGAGATGAGCGGATGAGTGAGCTTCATATACAAAAGCACACAAGCATAATGACAATAAAAGAAATGACAAACATTATCAAAAGTTGAAGAAGTAATGAAGAAGCTGGCAAGGGTGCTAGTGGGAAGCACACATGGAGTCATCAGGAAAAACCTCCCTTGATATTTTGCACCTTTATAGTGCTAAAGTAATGCTAAAGTTGCTATTTTGCCTATTGTTTCTATTTTGACTATAAATACTATTTGACAGCTATATAGTACTATGATAGCACAATTTATAGCTAATATTGTACAAAGTCAGTAACTATATAATAGTGTGAAAAGCTTGTCTGTCTGAGAAAGAATTTACATAGAAAGTATCACATTCATCAAGAACAGTACTACTTGTCCAATGGCGTGAAGCTACAATACCAAACTTTGGAAAAAGATGAACACTTTGATGTACACTAGACAAAGGAATTATGCTTGCCAATCTCTCTCCATTACGAGTTGACCATTTAATCTGATAAAGCAAGTGATTGGGTTTTGGTGAACGATTGAATGGTTTAAACTATTCCACATATGCAAGATACTTTGGTGGTTGTCAATTTGCTGGAAATAGCTTTGCTGCTGCAGATTTGGGAATAGAGAATATAACTCTTAGCTGAGCCACACGATGGCCTATTATTTTAGTTACTAAGATATTAGCTAATATTTGAAGAATTTTATTTACATACCTTCAATACCAACATATTCACCATATCCATCATTAACAAGTACAGTGTCAAATCGACCAGCTATTACTTTATTTCTGGCATTGAGTCTTTGAGGTCTTGCATGTGCAACATCATATTCATCAGATTGAAGATGATGAACTTCTTGATGACTAAGCCAGAACTTTGCCTTGTGATAGACAGGAACTTTGACAAAAGGCAAGTCAATATGACAGGCTTCAGCTTCAGCTTGCACAAAAGTGAGTTTTGGATTACATCGCTTGGCAATATAGCATGTAAGAGCATCAGAAAAGAAGGTAGCACCATAGTCATCAATAAGAGTATTGATATGTACTGCTTTTTTTGAAGAATGTTTAGTCATTTTGAGAGATGCAGAATGCTTAATAGGAAGAATTGGATCTATAGGTGGACATCCAGCAAGACACCATTCAATATACTCCTGATGATGCAGAATTTTCTCTTTTCGTTCTAGCCATATTGTCATCTGTGGATATTTCTCCTTGCCATTTGTTGCTGACCATGGATCTTTAGCATATGGAATATGTAGTCATTCAGTATTTTCTGTATTATAGTTATCTGTTGTTCCAAAGCGCTCAATAAGATATTGATAGTGAACAGCTGCATGAAGCTTGTTGAATTCAAAGTCATCCCGAATTCCTAGCTGAATAAAAATATCCTTGTCTTCATGAAATCGCACAAGTGCATCTTCAAGCTGATCCAAAGTTTTGGATGTATGAACAGGATATTGTGCAAGATATGCAAAGTCAAGCATAGCTCGCACTGCTCTAATAAGCTGCACTGTAGATTTTGCACTAACATTCTTGAGAGGAATATCAATAATGATACCAAGAATAATGCATGCAATATCAGCATGTTCATGCCCAGTAAGTCGAGAAAGAGAGCAAAATCCTTTTGTAAAGATATAAATATGATGATTTGGAGGTAAGCAATGACAGCGAGCATCAAGTTCTGCTTCTCTATGAGCAGCTTTAATCCATTGAATTAGATGCTTAAGAACACCTTGATAGAGTTGATGAAGAATATCAGGAGTGATAGAGAGAAATGGATCTGCATAAGGCAAGTCTTTCCAGTATGGATGAAAGATAGATTTGATACCTGCATCTTCACATATTTTGGTATAGTGATGAGAATCAACTTGATGAAGAGCTTTGAGAACTTGAGAAAGATCATAAAGGGGATATTCTCTGTCAATTGAACCTAATTGTCCTTTGGGCACTTTACAGGTTGTACACTTGCATGTCTTGACACCAGTTACTAGAACCTGCTCAGGATAGTCTCCAACATGAATTGCAAAAATAGGATGACAATGTCGAATAACTCCATCACCACTATGCATATTAATACCATGCTCTCCAGGCTCCTTGATAGGTTCAAGAATCTTGCCCATACAGTTATAAAAAAGATTTGCAAGAGTACGTCGATGTGCAGCTTTATTAGTAATATGCTCAAGATGTGTAGTGGGCAAGTAGGCAAGAAGAATTTGACCTTGATAAGAGGATTTACGATGTATCTCCTTAGGTAGATTGCCAATAGTAAGATAGACAGGATAGGCAGCCTTGTTACGAAAGAGGGTAAGTTGTGTTTTATCTGTAGAAATAATCAGAGGAATAACAGTTGCTCCTTTTTTTCCATTTTCCTCTAATGCTTTCTATATAAGAATTATATAATAAATTCTATTTTAGATTATATTGATAACATACCTGAGTTGACCACCACTATTTACCAGTATGCATATCATGATACATACACATAGTCATATCTTTATCTGCATAGTGACGTTCAGGTGCAAAGATAAGATGCTGTGCAAATTTGTGATTGCCATAGAGTGATTTGATACACTCCATAATAGGTCGGTGATAAACTTCAAAGACTTCACCTGCAACCACAATCTCCTTGCATCGAAATTGTGGACGACCAGGAAGTTGTGTGTCAATGATTCTATTCAACTCCCGAGAGTTTTTGTAGTTCAATTCAAGGCCTTCTTGAATCTATAGCATATTTAGAGATAATTAAAAAGATATATCTATCATAGTACATACCCCTTCAATACTTAATAGTTCAGATAAAGCAGTTGAACCAGGACCTCGAAGTTTTGCCCATCGACAGATCTCCCAACTCAATCGATTAGGAAATGGTGAGTATGGATTATCAGCAGAACTTGGAATGCTAGAGCCATAAATTCTGAAAGAGTCAGGTTCTGTCTGTGATGCTGACACAGATGTACCAGCATCCTTTGATGGATACTTGACAACAGTGATTTTTTGACGTAGACTATTTTCAATATTACAATGGCCAGCAGTAAATTGTTCTTCAGCAGTTTCTGAAGATGCATCAAGATCAAGCATATGAGCAGCAACATCTACACTTGGAGCAGGAGGCTCCCATCCAGTGGTATCTTTATAGATGACATTGTCATCTGCATCCTGATAGCCATCATCATTTGGAGTTTCTTCATCCTCACCCTCATAGTCCAATTCCCATGAGGTTGTCTCATTCTCCTCATCAACATCCATCTGCCATGGAACCTCATCTATTCCCTCCACCATGATATCACCAGCAGGTGATGAGGAATGATCAAGAGGCGGATCAGCATTATCTGCATGTTCCTCAAAGCCAGGGAAGTCTTCAGGACCATAGTCATTGCTGAAGTAATCACCAATAAACTGTCTTGGTCCTTCACTGCTTTGATCACCAATCTCACCTTCCATGGAAATATCATCATTATCGGCACCATCATCATCATCGTCAGAGTCAGAGTCATATAGGCCTGGGAAATTCTCATAGCCCTGCTGCCGTAGATACTCTTTCTTGCATTTAGGATTGGTTGTTTGCTTCAAATAGTGAGCATAACCAACAACAGACAAGGGTCTGTCGCAGCCCGGGCAGAGGATGGACTCGGACATTATTCGTAGCATCCTTGGTAGTGTCCTTGGAGGTCAGAGGCAAGAGGCGAGCATTGAGAATGCACCGCAACTTGCAGGCAAAGGCTGTCCGGCAAGTACCAGACATAAGCGCCTGTTGAACTTCAACCGCATGCTGGCGAAGTTCGTCTGCACTGACTTCCTCGCTGCACCATCTCACACTCTCTTTGCTCCCTTTCCCCTCTTCTATCCAAACACCCATCCTAATTGATCACCCACATTCATTCTACAAACACCTCCCATCAAGATGGCACTGACGAAGCGTACCTACAGCTGGGATGACCTCACACCCGCAGAGAAGGCCGCTCGCATGAGAGCGGCAAATAGGGCACAGCAGGAGGCTGAGGATCAGATGCTGATTGAAGCAGCATCCAGTAAGTTCTCATTCATGTGTGTGTAAACCAGTTGAAGCAACCAGGACCCAGGGCCAAGGCATGCGAAGTTGAAGGCTATGCAGGACCCCGGTGAGTCTAAGCATACCAATACGCCGTGCATTAACCAATGCAATCCAAACACCTCCAGTTTGGAAGAGTCAGAAACACGCCCAGTCGCAGTCATGCAAATGCGCCACCCAGTCTGACACAGAAGAGCCGGTCCCAAAGAGAAAGTGAGGGAGATCGAATCACGATGAACCTACATGCTTAGATCCCTCAGACAACCAGGAGGATACCATTATGCACGGTAGGAAGGGGGGACATCAACGATCGACGGCGGATGTGGAAAGTGAGTGTTTTAGTTCAATCAGGTCCCCTTCAGTGTACTCACATCAACAGTCACTCGTCCTATACTCAGGCGTGATGACGATGATGATGATGACAATGTTGAGGATGGCAGCAATGGCAATGACAATGGCAAAGGCAATGGCAATGGCAACAACAGCAGCTACGGTGAAAATAATGATGAGGAGGTTGATAACCACAACGACGACAATGATGACAATGACAACGACAACCACTATGGTGATGACAACCACTATGATGATGGTAACGACGGTCATCCCCAAGCCAGCATCCACCAATCGCATTCACACACAACATCAAACAATGACATCGATAATGCGAGTCAAGCTTCTCGCACAATTGCGAGGAGCTTGAAGTTGAATGCATCTCAACACCCATCCTCGACATCTCGACAACCCTTGTCGACGTCTCGACAACCATCGTCAACACCTACTGAGCCATGCTCATTGTCGCAACCAGCTGGCAGCAACCAACGGCACACTTCATCGGAATCACAATCAGTGGCTTTGAGCCAGCCAATGCCAGGTATGTAGTTGTATTCTTAGTATCTAATCATACTAGCTAACTGCGAATACATTTGCAGCGAGCTGTCGTGCTGTCCCAGAATGTGACCTCCACCTTGACCTCCACACTGGCAAGGCCGCTGTGAAGATAAAGCATCCTCGCCGGCAGGTGCTTTCGAGGGACAACTCTGAGGATGAAGTGCATGTCCTAGATGATGCACTCAGGGAGATTCAGGGATATGGAGGGGATTCATCTGAGGAATCGTCAGATGATGATGGTGCGAATGTGCAGCATCTCAACAATGAGGTGAGTAGGCTATGCTAGCGTGGTCAAATATACTTGACTAATGGCAAGCAGCGACCCTTCTGGAATCTATCTCAGCAAGCACAGGGCAGCCCCCCATCATCTCCACCAGCTGATATTGCCAGATCAGCTCCCTCTCAGTCACGCCGTGGACCAGAGATCGAAATGGCTGACACTAGGGTCACTCCCATGCATCGATCAAACAGCGTTGCCCAGGAACACTTCCAGGATAATGCCCAGCTGCCCATGGTTGATGAGCCAATGCCCAGTGCTGATGAGGAGGTGTGCCACCGGTGTCCCTTTCTGGGCAATCTGTACTGACATACTCTCTCTAGTATGTGCCGCCCCTACCACCTCGCAAGTCCAAACCAAAGCACTGTGCTGGCCAGAAGGGCTCAAAGAAAGCACAGGCTGTTGCTGATATGTGTGATGCACTCAATGACGAAGTGCCATCATTTGATTCTCCCGCACTGCAACATCAGAAGAAGAGTCAGAGCAAGATGAAGAAGAAGTCGAATGCTCAACCATCACGACTGCAACCCAGTCAGAAGAATCAAGCTATGCCACCATCGGCATTGCAACAAGCCCGTGTTGGGCAATCTACTTTGCATGGAAACCATGGTCAAGCTGGATGCCGTAGCGCTCCTCAAGGTGATACTGGTGGCAGGCCGTCTGTTGAATGCTGTGCTGTGGCAGCTGAACCACAACAGAATCGGCGAGCTTCTCGGACATCATCACAGGTACTCTCTTGCTATCCTTTGTATGTTCTATCTAACTATTGTTCTGTCAGTCTTCAACCCAACCCTCTAAGAACAAGGGCACATGTCGACAACAACAACGGTGTATAGAGGTACGGCATCAATCATCTTCTTTGACACTTTTTTAAACTTACTTCACATCCTTAGCAACCTGTGTGGGTGAATAATACCCAGGAGAATGAGGATGATCCCAATGCTGATAGTGAGACTGGTGCTGCTCACACTTGGCCTCTCAACACACAGTGGATATGAAGTGATGCCGGCCATATCAATATCAAGCAACAGCCTCGTTGTCTTCAACTAGTTCTTGATGGTGCCAACAAGTTTGTTACATTCTTGGCCTACTTTCAGGATGCCTACCCTGAATTTCCCCAGAAGATACGATACTTTCAGCAGGTTCTTGTTGATTGTGCTTTGAAGTTAGATGATGAGATGTTGGCAGATCGACTTCATGAGGATATGCCTTATGCACGCAAACTGACAACTGTGGTATGTCTCTGCATTTTGTATGAATCTTATACTGACTATGATTAGTTGGATACAAAACTAGCCAATATTTGAGGCCGAGTTAAGAAGATTGTTGCACCACAGATTTCCACCAACTATGGCCTTTGTCCTGGCTGTTCTAAATGAGTAGAAGACTTGCTGTACCATCGACGCTATATTTTTCCTGGTGATATTCATGTAAGCTCTCCTTACTTTCTCATTGATATTGAGCTGATCATTGTTCAGAAAGGACTTAACACTACTTTACCCTACCAGAATTCTGTTATTGTTCAAGGTTTGGCCTCCAGTTTTCTTAGTGGATCTCAGTATGTTGCCTCTCGCTATGTGGAACACTTCAAGGTTCAGTACAAAGGCAAAGTGCACTATGAGTGTTCTACCTCAATGGTTGCTTTGATTGCTACAGCTATCATCTCTCATTTTATTCAACTGATAATTTATATATGTAGGTTGAAGATTGCATAGCAGACTGGAAAACAGGCACTTACAATCTTTCCAAGTTTGAGGCAGGTAGATGTGTTGGAATTTTCAAAGCTCATATTGAGTATTTGAAGGATATTGAAGTCAGTAAGCCTGGTACATATCATTATATGATGTCCAATCTCTACAAAATGGCATGGTAAGCCTATCATACTTCTAATCTTTATATAAACTAATATTTTCTTTTTTCTTTTTAGCAATGGCCAGATTTTTTCAGCCTCTAAGGCTAGTGCTGCTGATATGTTGGAGGAGTTGGATCTTGATGCTATGCCTGAAGATGATGATGAGGAGGAGGATGAGGAGGATGAGGAGGAAGAGGAGGTAGTGAAATCAAAAGAAAAGAAGAGAATGAATATGATAGAGGAGGAGGATGAAGAAGAAGAAGAAGAAGAAGAAGAGGAGGAGGAGGAGGAGGAGGAGGATGAAGAGGATGAGAATGAGAATTAAGTGAGTGTCAATAAGTATCTCAGAGTGATTCATCTGACTTGATATTAGCTTTATGCCATCTTTTGGATTTTCTTTTCTGCTGAGGTGAGTTTGAGAGTTTATAGCTATCTGGTGATTTCTTCTGATATAAATTTGTACTAGCAATCTCTAGCTTCCTACTTCATACAATTTTTTTAATTTCTTTTCTTTTGCTTTCTTGTTAGTTATTCTAATATGCATTTTCTCATTACTTTACTAATAGATCTTCCTTTATGCTTTCATTGATATTTCTTCATAGTTAGTATCTGTTTAACTTACATCATTATATTTACAATCTATATGAGTTATATCAAATTTGGCTCAATATAGATAATTTACAGAAGAGAATTGAAATCTGCCTTTAGTGCTAGCTAAAGAAAAATAAAAGCTATATAGTGATATGGTAGCACTCCATATATATACAGTAGCACATAGTTAGCACCATAATAGCATAAGATTGCACTAAATTAGTGACAAAATAGTGTTCTAGTAACACTAAAATAGTGAAAAATAGTAATACCTAGAGGAAAAATAGGAGGATCTCGACAGTTTGCGCTATTTTGGCTACTGTAACTATTTAGCACTATCTTGGTTCTTTATTGTGCTTTATAGTAGGGGGAGTTTTTCCTGATGGAATCTGAAGACTTTGTAGGTTACAAACAGTCCATGCTGGCAAGGCAGTATATTACTTAGAGTAGGTTTATCGGATTGTATTTACCAATGAGAGTGAACCAACCTTAGTAATACACAACCAATGCTTCAAGTTGGTATACTGGCATGAAACCACTGGAACTGATGTGCTGGCTATTCCGAAGCCAGTCCTGATCCACGGCTCCTCTGATCATACAATCAAAGGCATTCATCAGAATTCTGTTACACGATCTGATACAGGGTATGGATGATAGACACAAAATGCACCTCGCATGCTGTATCATCCTGGCAGAGCCCTGTCAGTCAATGTAACTGATGTACTTGGACAGCTGAGCCTGACATTATAGGCAGGCTCTCAGACCAGTGGAATCAGCTGAGGCTGAGATATGTCATAGAGTGGAATCAGGGCAGCTGAGAGCAAGAGCTTGTATGCAGTGTAGACACAGTCATGAATAGCATGCAGTCAGCTGGGTGCAATAGAGAAATGACACACTTCAGATTGTGCTCTCGGATGAGCTGAGAGATCATCTGAGGACATGTCTCAGATTGCATTCTCATCTCAGCTGAAGTACCTATGTCAGGACAGTCTCATATAACATACTCCACTCAGCTGAGTTGGAATTCACGATACCTCAGATTCCACCTTCGACTCGGCTGAGCTGCGGTGCTGAGAGACATGTAAGATTGCACCATCATCTCGG